ACTTCTACCTAAATAAACCGATAGAGACCTTATTTCTATACTATATTAATAGTAGACTAAGTGACTATTAATACTACTACCGGAATTAGCTTATACTATTTTCTATTTAGGGTATATATAGTTTTACTAGTTAAATTAGAGATATCTATATAAAGTATATTACTATAGGAGATTGTCTAGGATAGACCGAGTCTTATTATAATACGCGTATAATAGATTAAAAGATAAGAGAAGGATATTAAGAAAGCTATCTTACGAATAAACCGCCTTAAGGAGAATAATATAGGATACTTTAACGACCACTATCGCACTTATAATACTCCCCTTAAGAAAGATAACTATATCTTACTATATAATAGTTAAAGGTCTTTAGATATAATATCTATTTAGAAGCTCCGCTTTCGATAGCTTAGACTATATTAGATTAAGTCTATTAAAGGAAATAGATCCTACTCTATTAGGGAACTTAATAGTACTATCCTATACTATATCGGAGATAAGAATACGGATATAATTAATAGCGATAGACTTAAAAGATTCTACCCTTATAGAATAAGAGATTCTAATAGGATATAGAATATTATATAGACTGGCCACCTTCGGAAGCGAAGACTAATTAGTTAACTAAGAGTAATATAATAACTCTTTTATCCTACTATTTAAACGATTATTCTACCGATACTATAAGATACTTTTTCGGCCGAAAAGATCCTTCGCCTAAGGCACTAAAATACCTTATACCTTATACTTATTTATATCGCTAAGAGACGGCTCTCTTATTATAATAAGGAGGGGAAGGATACTTATTACTATTAGTTATTACCGATTAAACGCTTATTACTACGATTTTCCTTTATTTATTATAATTTTATTACTAGTTTAAAAAGACTATATAGTAAATCCCCCTATAAAGTATTAAAATATAAAATACTGAAAGCCCTAAACTTTACTTTAAAAATCTTACTTTGCAAAACCTCTCTTTCTAACCCCCCTACTATACCCTTATATATCTTTATATACGAATTCTGATTAATATAGATAACGATAACCTCCTAAGAGATATCGAGGTATATAGATAGCCTATTAATAGTATTAAGAATACCCTCTAGCTTCTTCGAAGTTATAAGTAGCTTTAGGCGTACGAGCTCGTATCTTAACTATTCGATAGGCTACTTATAAACTATAGTTATACGGAGCGTACTATTAATTTATTATATTAGTACGTTAATAAGGAAGAACTATAGAGAGGCTCGGAAGAGTATAAGGAGTTCCAGAGAAGGTAGTCTAAAGGCTAGAGGATATAAGTATAACGCGCCTAGAATAAGTAATATCTTATTGCGAATAAGCTAAAAGCTATCGAAGTATAGGGAGAATAATAAGCGAATACCTTCTTCGGTTACTTAATTACTCGTTCGATAATAGAGTTAGCGAGTAGGTTTATTACTATTAGCCTTAGCTACGATTATATTCGCCTCTTTATTAATAATAAAGTTCTCTCTCGCTTATTATCGTTAGGTAAAGGTATCCGAAACACTAAAGGAGTTATTTAAGGGGATCTTTTAAAGGCCCTCCTCCGGAAGTATATCTTAGCCCTTAGATAAGAGGATCTTCTTTAGTATAGACTATAACTAAACTAAGATAGGTACTACTACGAAGTAGGCTTTAGCTAGGATTTACCCACTATCGAACTAGGAGGCTAGACTACTCTTTTAGGATAGTTTATTTCTATTATTACGGTTAAGATAGAGGATAAGGCTAATACTAATACTAAAGCGATAGATAACTATAATCCTAAGAGTATTATACCTAACGATATATAGGATATAGCGATATAGCTTAAAGAGTTAGATAAGGAATATATAGCTAACCTAATATTTATTAGTGACTTATCTAGTGTGGTCTCTGATCTTTTTATAGCCTAGTTATTTCCTAATAATTACCTATTAGAAAGTAATAAGAAATATAATTCCTCGTAGGAGAGAAAGGAGACTGCTAAATATAGTTATACCGCCTAAAGAGTAGCTATAAATAAGACTCTGGCCTTTCTTACGGACGTTATAAATAAATAAAAGTTAGTAGTACTTAGGCGTATTAGAAAGCTATCCCTTCCGGAACTAGATTTAATCTTTACTAAGGATATAATCTGTCTACCTTATACGAAGAGAGTATTTAAATTATTTAATATATATAGTGCTAATAAGGACTATATAGCACTAATAGTGCGAATTAATTTTATTTACTAATATACTAAGGACTAAGATACTATAGTAAAGGAGAACCGGATATAGTTTTTATTAGATACTAATAAGTTATAGTTAGATTTTTATTACTTTAAGTATTAGGCTAATCCTCCTATTATCGCCGACTATTATAGGGTAACCTAGTTATTCTTTAAAAGCCTTTATTATAGGGTATCTCCTACTCCTAACCCTACGACGCCTATACCTATTATATTAAAGTTATAAATATAAGAGCGAGGGAGTATAGTTATTCCGTAGTTATTTAGCTAATTAAAGGAGGACTTTAATAGGTTTTACCTAAGTGGCCTTCTTACTCTCGTATATAAGGAGATAGATATATATAACTATTACTATCTACCTTATATAGGTAAGCCTTACCTTAGGTAGTTAAGGAATATATAGTATAGTATTATTTAATAGCTTATCCGTTAGGATCTAGTATACTATATATACTATATTTTCTTCTGGCCGGACTATACTTATTAACTGATCTCCTTCCTATACTATATAAAGAGTACTATACCTAAGGAATAGACTTATTTTAGGTATATTAATATAAATCTAAATAACTTAGTATAGACTAGACAAGGTAGCGTAATCCTATAGGGTAGTCTAGTATTAGATAATAAAGATAAATAGAACTATACTAAGAGTCTGCTTAGTATATATCGCTATATTCAGAAGTAGTAGGCTCTTATACGGGATAAGATAAATATTACGGATAGCTTTGTGTAGAAGATTAATAATTACCTTTAGACCCTAAAAGATACTAAGCGATATAGCACTAACTAGGTAAAGGAGATCTATATAGCTAGTGATATCCGAATTAGTTTACTTAGTATCCCTTATAGGTCGATAGGCCCTATAACTAAGAGGCGGAGAAGTATTTTGCTATAGTTTATATATATTAGAGATAACCACTTAACTCTAGATACTTTAGAGTCTAGTATATAGGAAGAAATATCTATAATATACTGAGACCTTACGTAAGCTCTAAGAACTTTATTAGGGCTTATAAGTAGTATATATAGCTATCTATAGTATATATTCTTTGTAGCGCCACGATTCCGCGGGGAAGGTTTAATCTCTAAATACTTAGTTAGTTATAGCCGCTAGACAGACCTTAGTGTATTAGCTAAGTTAGATATCCTCTTCGGACCGGATAAAGCAGTAGTAACCGCCTATATTATCTTATAGAGGAGAAAGGCGTAGTAAATATACGCCTAATTATTTAGAGATATAATTAAGGCGGAGAAGCTAGTATTTAGGAAAGATTCCTTTTTCTACTATAAGGTATTAGGGCTATATATTAGTCCCCCCTAATCTAGAAGTTATATCTCCGGAGGATAATAATAACGAGGAAGAGATATAATATCCGCGGCGATAGGGAATAGGTATTTTGGTCCTATCTTTTTTTACTTTTATTAAAGTGGCTTAGGCATTCTAAATTAACTGCGCTTAACTATAGGACGGTTAATTTTATAGGGAGGGGTAATATATAGTGGGAGAATTAGTGATATAATAAGCCTATTTATAGCCTTAGGCATAATTTAATATCTGTAGTGTATAGTATATCTCTAGATATACTTAGAGGGAGAGAAGTTATCTACCTAATTCATTTAGGATTCACCCAATTTCTTCTATCTATAATATAGTATTAAGATTATCCCGCCCGGCCGCAACAGGGTATCAGTACGGCCTCATCCAGTATCCTCTACACCAGACAGGCAGTGTGTGTGTGTGTTGTCCAGTCTGTATCGCCAGACAGCCATCGAGCCGTTCCCATTTCACTAATTAGAAGCTTTTTATACACAAAAGGCCAAATTAAGACTTAAATATAATCTAACTAGGCTACGACCTATATACAAAGAGCTTCAAGAAGAAATATCCTCTATGTACGTTCGTTATAATACTAGGGTTATATAGTTTACGTGACCTATAGCGGGCATCGGCCCGTGACTTTTCTGCCAAATTTAGTCACATGGGTCACCCGTGGGTGAAGGCCGGCCAGGTCAAGTCAACGCAACCTCGAACAATATGCATCGTAGGCCTTCATCGTAAGCGACCAATCACTCAACCAACCGTCAAGCCAACTAATTTCACTGTGATCTGGTCGCAGGAATTCAGTAGCCGTTTCCCGCGTGTCCTCTTTTTGCTTGGGTATAATAGTCCCGTGGCATGCCCACACCGCTTCTCAACACCCGAAGCGGTGTGGGCATGCCACGGGACTATTAGTGTTCGATCTCGCCCCGAGGTCACGTGCTACGGAGCTAGCTTCTTGGCTGCTGGGATTAGTTGGCTCTGGGTGGCCTATCGTTGGTTCAACAGCCCCCGATTACTTGGCTGTTACAGGGGTTATAACACACACTTACATAAGCTAAGAAGGCGCACCTATGCATACTAGGCATCTGTCCGAGCAAACGATATGTCTCATATATTACGAATAAGATATGACCTACTAAAGGATATCATACGATTTCTTTATAGTCATCGAAAGGAAAATGAGATAGGACCGCAATTTTCTCTATCTTAGTACTTAAATATTCTATTAAACCTTCCTTAACGCTCTGGATAATAGCCCTACACCGTTTAAGCTTATTGTTATCTGAAACCTAGCTAAGGGTATCTGTCCTAATAAGATCCCTTATCTCGCCTAGTTCCTATAGTTTCTCCTGTTCTTAGCGATAATACTCTATATATTCCTATATCTCTGCCTCCGAAAAGTGAACTAGACACTCCACAGATCTCGTATACGCTCCTTTATCTAGCGATATAGGCCAGTTTATAAGGACTTATAATATCGCGTACTTTAATAAGATAGAGTCTCCTTCCTAGGGGGCCTATACTTATTAAAAAAGCTTCGCTCATAATATATAGTTTTCCGTTCTGATAGCATCGAAATAATCCGGTATAGATTTTATGGTTAGCATTAGACCTGGCACTCACCCGCCCCGCGGGTCCAAGATCAGGAACCTCCACCCGCACCTCCGAGGGTCAGGGTCTAACCTCACCGACCCTGACCCTCCGAGGGTCCCGTGAGGGTCACCCGCGGAGGGTCCGACTTACCCGCATAAGCCACGCTTTACCTATTTAGGACACGCTTTACTCTTTTAGATACGCTGACTAAGCGAATTGACACCTAAAATGTTAGTTTTCTGCCTAAAAAGTGACTTTTTTGCTAAATTTAGTCACGTGTGGATCCTGAGGGTGACCCTAAGGGTCACCCTCAGGAGGTCGAACATAGAGATACCCGACCCTCAGGGTCTAGAAGTCGGACCCTCCACCCGCCAAGATGAGGTGCGGGTGGAGGGTCGAGGGTCACCCGCGGGTGAGGGCCAGGTCTAGTTAGCATAGTATAATAAAAGTGTATAATCCGTCTCCTTATAGTCTCTTAAATATTTCCTTATTCTTTATAGCTAAGTCGATCAAAATTTTCTGGTAACTTAACCTCTGGCTTAGATAATATTTTAGATAGTCGATCACCCTAATTTTAAAAATACTTAGGGATTCTAGCGTACAGACACAGAGGCAGAATAACTATATACTGCTAGTCAATAATCCCTATAATATCGTTAGAGGTATTCACAATAATATTACTAGGTGAAAAGTCCGGATAGCGAAGAGTCGGGTAAGATATATAGTGGTCGGATAGGACGTCGAGGTAGGGCGCTAATTTTGAAAAGTCCGTAAGGAGATATTAGTACGGGATAAATAATAGATTTTGGAACTAATACAGTTCTCGTAGGTATCTCTCAACGTATAGGCGCGGCTTACTAAATCTTTCACAAAATTTAATCTCACGCTTAGTAGGTGCTTTAAAGTATATAGAAAAGGTGTTCCCTAGCTCGAGATTAATATATTTAAAGGGAAAGAAGGGGAGGAGCTTTCTGGATAAAGACTTATATAGGCTACGGTTAACCTCCAGAGAGGCTCGTTCCTAATACCACTATTTATACTATATAGTTAGACCGATAATAATATCGTCCGAGACTAAAATAATATGCTATAAACTATTAAGATCACGGAGGTGATAAAGACTTCCGCTCGCTAGGAAGCGGATACTTATAAATCGCCTTTCTATATTAATAATCTATCTTATTATTTTAACCTAAGTTTTGGTATCTATAGAGAACCACTAATCACTTAAAGGAGTTCCTTTAAGTCGTTTAAGTAGAATATATTTAGTTCTAATAATATTTGTCGGATTTAGAGAATACGTAATAACTTTAGGGGACTAGGGCCCTATAAGCACGCAGAAGTGTTAGTGTAGTAGCTTCACTGGCCACTGCGTAATACTTTGGAAAGGTCAACTTATAAGGTAGTCTTATAAGGACTGCGTATCTATTATTAAAAGTAATTTATAATATACGATTAAAGCCCCCCTCGGCGAGTTTTGTGATCGAGGCCACGCTATTAAGGGGTTAGCCGACAGTATAGTAGGCTACTATTATAAGAGTATCTACGTCGAATTATAGACGGCGTTTAGCGTAGCGGAGACCTTCGTTAAACCTATTTTAACGCAGTAAGTCAGTATATCGCAAATAACGCGTTTAACGGTTAACTATTACGACTCACAAAAAGCGTCCAGAGGTGTACTCGAACAGATTAGGATTACCACTTATAGAGGAGATTATCCTAGGTAATAGCTTCGATGATGAAATGAAAATTCGCGAAAAGTAACGTATTATTAAGCGGATAGCCGTTAGCTTATATAGTTATCCTAAGTTACTATTATTGTTTGCACCAGAAGCGGATACGTTAAAGGGTGGATTGAAGTTACGGGAGTGATTGGAGGCGGGAGGAGAAGCGCTAGTAATCATTTGTTTTAGCATAATTATAGGATATAGCTTACCCGGCTGCCTTATAGAGGTCCGCCGCCAACCCGGCCTTACGGCTAATAGATACGTGAATGAAATTACAATTATAATTATAATTATTTGCACTAGCATAGCTAACAGCCGAGTTTGGAGCAGCAAGCGTATTACTCAGCAAATCACCTCTGTGACTTTGCCGCAATTAGCTTAGATCACACAATCTCATATGACGCTTTGGCCTCTCGGCCTTTCTCGATAGTCCAAGAATAGGACATTTCTAGCAGTGACGGGCGCCCAAATCGCTGTTTCAACATGTACACGCACAAGTGACCCAAACAGGTTCAGATTCCATTTATTGTGCTTTTTCTTGTACGCGCCAAGTGGAACGTCTCTCAGCGACACCGTTCTTCTCTCGTCCCAAAACCAGAGCTCAACTCTTTATTCTCGTGCATAACAAGATCAGGCTACGGACGGAAGGTAAATACTTTACCCGCTACTCTATAAGAAACCACCTATTGACAGCAACCAGCATCATCATCAAAATGCCAAATAAGTGGAACAAAGTCAAGGACGCGCTCCTTATATATATAAATAGCTATAAGAAGCTAGTGTAGCTAAGTGTTGCCCTTCACAAAACCGCTTTCCGAAGACGGCGGCAGATCTCGAGAGTCTAGGAGTGCGTTTCGATTTCGCGGGCATTATTGAGGAGAACCGGGATAAATTCCACAGATACCAGGTTCAGGTTAACACAGGTAACAAAATCCCGACTTCCTGGAAGCAGTGGAGGCAAAAACATGAAAAAGGGATACATGGAATCGTTGCAACCGTAAAAATCCCCGATGGTGGCACTAAGGAAGATGTCCAAGCGGCACTTGACGCGGTCGATAGTGAAATTGAGTAGATAGCACCGAGGACTAAGACAACTTGAACTTGCGGATCCTTGTGATGGAGTCATACCCTCCCTGGGCCATTTTGTTATGGATCTGTACTCAGTCAGCATCCGAGGCCATTTACCCTTCATATCTGACCAGGGCGCTTAAGCAGCTTGCTTTGCAGCTGGCGCTCCTCGTGAGCCCCTTCATGACCTCCATGGGGCTCAGCTGTACCATCTAGACAGGTCGGCCTCACTTTTGATGCTTACCTCCTAATGTAATGCTCGCACATCTTGCTTTTGTGGCCCAGGGGGAACGGCAATGGGATACCTCGACGCGCCTAGTAATGCGACATGTTGGTATAGTATGTATGAGGAGTCATTTGTCTGGTGCTCGACAGCCAAATGTTGCCAACCTTGTGATCTACTCAAGCTGACCGGGGCTTTTCTTGGATGCTCTCTGGGCACTTGTACCCTGTATATTGATCCGAGGTATTTTCCACTCACAAATAAATCGTAGAGGCGAACGACGAGATGGCCAGATATCGTAGTTGCCATTTGCAACCGCTGGCTTAAGCCTTCGATGCAGGGTCGGTCTCTGTGGCTCAATCGGAAACACCATAACGGGGGATCAACTTGATAGACACCTGCTCGGAACAAGATACTTGGCAATAGAAGTCGGTGACCAAGTGACCATGCATGGTACAGGAGGTTGCTGCTGCAGATTCCTGCAGGGTAATTCCCATCTTCGGTTCGATCTCTCAATATTGAAACGGGCCTGAATCGAATGAATGTCCTCAATTGTTCATTCTTCGGAGCATCAAATGCGCCGAAGGTGTCGACAAGTGTTCAAAAATTGTAACAACGATGATGAGTATTCCATTCGGCTGTTTGTAAAGAAGGCAATGCCATTTGCCTTTTATCAATTTCTTGGGGTTTGCTTTTTTGTTATTGTTTTTGTTTTTGTTTTTGTTTTTGTTTTTTCTTTTCTCGTTCTTTGTTTTTAACCTCTCGACACTGGTTTGATAGATCACATTACGGATCACCGATCTGGGGAGACACTAATTGCCCTGGAGAAGCAAAATCCCTGAGATGCTGCAGATCTCAATTTTGTGACACCTGATTTCAATAGCGGGCTATTGTGGCTCTCATGAGGTGGGTATACTAACATTGAATGCATGCGCCTCCTTTGGACCGGCAGGAACAGCTACACCCTGCACCTTGTTCCTGCTTCCCGCTTGAACAGGTGCGACGCCATCATGTTCGTCTCGCATTGCCAAGCAGCAGGGACCTGATTCCATAGGTTTTGGATTCAGCTGAGGCCAATGATCAACAGTCGCCACACAGGCTATTGAACGCGCATGATACCAGTGTAGTGACGGTGTCTCCTGAGATGCGCTGAGCCATCGTCGGCTTGAACCAGGGCGAGATTTCCAAGGATATATAAAGGTCGAGAAATCGGACCAAGGTGATATTCCTCATCCTCTAGCATCTCTCTCGCAAGCAACAAACTCACTCCTCACTCTCCTTACTCATCTTTTCTCAAGGCCTTTGTGCATCATTTACATTCATCAAAATGAAGTTCTTCGTGTCCGCTTTTATCCTCGCCGCCACTGCGATGGCTCTGCCCTCCGGTGAAGGCGCCCCAAGCGGAAGCGACGTCAAGTTTCCCGTTGGTAACAAGATGACCATGGATCAGGCTCAGGCCAAGTGTGGCAATGATGCCAAGGTCTCCTGCTGCAACAAGGCTACCTACACTCACGACATCACCACCGTCAACCATGGCGTTCTCGCCAGCGTTTTGCAGAATGCGATCGGCGGCGGCCCCGGTGGCGACGGCCTTGGTCTCTTCGGCCAATGCAATGACATCAGTGCCAATGGTGGGTAATGGGGAATAATCCGGGGGATAATCTCAACTGACAGAGTGATAGTCCCTGTCCTGAACGTTGTCGGTGGTGGTCTCGACCAGCTGGTTGAGCAAAAGTGCAAGCAGAACATTGCCTGCTGCCAGAACACCAAATCCGAGGCTGTAAGTATTCCTGTGTTTCCACTTCCAGTACATCACTGATCCACGCACAGAACGGCGATCTGGTTGGCGTCGCCATCCCGTGTGTTGCTCTCGGCTCGCTGATTTAAATGTGACGATCCGCCTTCCATCCAACGTCGGGGGAAAGAGCCAGGAGTATAAGCGTGGCCTCCGTCAGAGAAGCACATACCATGGATCCACGTACATAGCTGTACAAATTAACGGCCAAGCAAGACCCTCTCTATTCCGATTTCTTGAGCTCAGCATTGGCTTGACAATGGGTATCGTCTCGACAAATCATGTCCTTCATTTGTTTTCATTTGTCGCCATCTCCTGTGACATTGAATTTGTATTGATTTTTTATTTATCCTTTTTATAATTAATCAAAGCATCTTGCTGTGACCCTTCGCTCTGCATCTCTTCGCTTTCAAGTTTGGAGAGGAAAGAAAAAGAATACAGGGCTCTTTGAGGTCTGATGAGAATTCTCAAGATGATCTATTTGGACGTAAGACATGGATGGTGGGCATGATGATCTCGATCCAGGGCATATCCGAAATGTTCTGCATTGACCTGCATTGAAAGCTGACGGGCCCATTATTTCGGATACTGCAACGGAGACCTTTTCTTTGAGGCAGAGACGCCAAGATAAGCGGGCAACACAAGGTCGAAATGTCCACTTTTGCAACAATTCCCAATGTAGAAGCCTGTTACCGAGCTGATTAATTAGGTCCTTCATACTGCCCACCCGGCTGAATTGAGGTTGGGCGAGACTATTCTCGGATGATCTCATGTCCGAGAGCGGATCCGGCTGAACTGCCCTGGGGCTACTGGGCCGCAATATCCCACTTAAGACTCGGACGGCAACGTACGGAAATACTGTTGACGATCGTATGGAAGGGCCTGTACGGAGGACGATCGTATGGAAGGGACTGTACGGAGGACGATACCTGGGTCTCGATATCGGACGACTCTGCGAGCGCAGGTGCCGTGCAGGAATTATCTGATCCCAAGTGGAGCGCCACGAGGCCGCAGTAAGCGAGGGAAATCCCACGGCGACGACCCAAGGAGATATTCCCCGCTAGGAAGGCCTCACGGCGATCCCCGTGGAAGTCTTTGGTGAATCTTCTTGCGTCTAGATATATGGACGATCTCTATGCAGGTCTAGTGCTTCTATGTCCTCGAGGGCCTTCTACGGGTTTGTCAAAGGCTTCCTCATCAGAGCTGTTTAGGAGCCCATAATATCCCAAGGATCGAATATCGCAAGAGGTCCAATTCTAGGCCACTTTGCGCGTGCCTTGTTTCAGCCCAAGTGGAACACGCCAAGTACCCGGATCCCAGAATCAACCTTGGGTTTTCGTGTCTGGCACTGCCAACGTAATTACGCATTACCTGCGTTACGGGGCTCCACTACGGCGGATCTGATTTGATCGTGGGCTAATCTGATCGGATACTGGAAATTTGTGGTATCCGCAAGGGAATTGTTCGGAGCTTTTTTTTTTTCTCATTCTTAGGGGCGGGAATGCCGTGGTGCGCCATCTTCCTGAATTGCTCGACCCATTTTCCTGCAAGATGACTACCACGAGGAGCGTTCAACGCTTGCAGCAAACGGTTTCACACGTCTCACCAGCAACGGCGCCACTTCAATGGTCCCTTGTCGCGGGTCCGAGACAGCCTGAACTGCTGGATATTACCCTGGGGGAGCTGTTGACTTTACAGGCCCTGCAGTATGGCGATTATGAATGTTTGGTCTTTCCCTGGACCGGGGCACGCTGGACGTACGCCTCTTTAAAGGATGAGGCTGAGCGTCTCGCCCGAGGAATGCTGGCCATGGGGATACAGAAGGGTGATCGCATCGGTGTGATGGCTGGCAATTGTGAACAGTACATCGCTGTCTTCTTTGCCGCGGCCTTGGTGGGTGCCATTCTGGTCGTACTCAACAACACTTATACTCCCTCCGAGCTTTACTATGCTCTGAACCACAGCGGTAAGACACTCGCGATGGTGGTCCAGCAATCACCATGGCCATTGCCCGTGCTGACGCCAATACAGAATGCCGACTGCTCTTTATGACCCCGCGCATTGGACGCCACAACCTTGAGGAAGTCCTCGCCGAGCTGGGACCTCGGCCGAAGCAGAATGGACACTCGCAATCGCTGGAGGAGATCGTCATTCTTCGCGGCGAATACGACAATTTCTCCACATATACCGACGTAATTTATCGCGGTCTTTCGCGGGCCGCTCATGTGCTGCAGGATCGCGGGTCTGAACTGCGCTCGGGCGATGTTTGCAATCTGCAGTTCACCAGCGGCTCGACCGGTAATCCCAAGGCCGCCATGTTGACGCATCAGTAAGTCTTGAGGAATCAGTGGAAGGAGCGACAGGACTGACGCTCGGCAGTAACCTTGTCAACAACTCGCGCTTCATCGGCGATCGTATGAACCTGACCTCCTTTGATATTCTCTGTTGCCCGCCGCCGCTCTTCCACTGCTTTGGGCTGGTCTTGGGCATGCTGGCCGTTGTCACCCACGGCTCGAAAATCGTCTTCCCCAGCGAGACCTTCGAACCCAAGGCTGTGTTGCACGCCATCTCTGATGAAAAATGTACCGCACTACATGGCGTGCCCACAATGTTCGAAGCCATTCTCGCTATCCCCAAGCCACCCGACTTTGATACCTCTAACTTGCGCACCGGCATCATTGCAGGCGCACCCGTTCCTCGACCGCTCATGAAGCGCCTCCTGGAGGAACTGCATATGACGGAATATACGAGTAGCTACGGTATGACCGGACTTTTTCTAAATATCCCACGGCCGCTAATTTGAAGCTCCAGGTCTTACCGAGGCATCTCCTACATGCTTCAATGCCTTCACCACAGATAGTATCCACACGCGTCTGACCACTGTCGGGAAAGTGCTGCCTCACGCTCGCGCCAAAATTGTTGATGCCAACGGCAACATCGTGCCGATTGGCCAACGAGGAGAGCTTTGCATCGCCGGCTACCAACTCACCAAGGGCTACTGGCACAATCCGGAGAAGACCGCTGAGACACTTGTCACGGATTCCCACGGCATCACCTGGCTGAAGACCGGTGACGAGGCTTCCTTCGACGAATACGGCTATTGCAGTATCACTGGTCGCTTCAAGGATATCATTATCCGAGGTCAGTGGATCTCATCTTACCCCCACTTTGCTTCCTTGACTGACTCGCAACAGGTGGAGAAAATATCTACCCCCTCGAGATTGAGGAGCGCTTGGCGGCACACCCGTACATCGAGCTGGCCTCCGTTATCGGCATTCCGGACCAAAAATACGGCGAAGTGGTCGGGGCGTTCATTCAAATCACCCCTGGTCAGACCCGCCCCTCGGATGACGACCTTCGGGCGTGGACGCGTGAGACCCTCGGTCGACACAAGGCACCGCAGCACGTGTTCGTATTTGGCGAAGAGGGTATTCCTAACACGGTGCCCATCACGGGCAGCGGAAAGGTCCGGAAGGTGGAATTGCGACAGGTGGCGACTAATGCGCTGGCCCAACGAGGTCAGTGACAGTGTCAAGAATACCCTTGTTCTCGGTTATGTTTGATATGTGCACAAAAGAAATGAATTCTGCCCATGTCCAGCGTCACGGGGCATGATCTTATCAGATGCCATGATTCGTGTGTAGTGTTCGCGCTAGTAATGCTGACGAAATGACGTGTGCGTGGGTGGCGTAAGCGAACTCGGCGGCGGAGCTGGCCGCGCCGCATTGCCGCAATCAGATTAGATGGAGATCTTGTCTGATCACAAATCCCGTATTGATTGGTCGGTGTGGTCGTATCGTATATCACTTTACCGTAAATTTCATACAACATCCACAATAGCGATTGTTGCACTCTTCTCTGGTGGGTCCCCGTCACACTCTCCGACGCTTCGATTTTCTTCACGCTTTTCTAGAGACTGGGCCCATGTCTCATGGTGATGTCCCCACCGATGTTTCACAAAGTACCAAATCCATATTATTGGCACTGGTTGTGTGCATAGGCGATTATACATGCGCAGACTTCACGCAGGCCTAAGAGAGCGCGTTTGTTGCTCTTCACACAATGAACCTCAAAGCTCAATCTTAATACCCTTGCCGTCTAGGTGAATTCCTGCGATAGCGGCTATTTCTGTGATTGCGAGATCCTTGAAAAATCGGAAGAGATGATGGGCGGCGGAAAGTCATCGCCGGTATTAGACAGCCAGTACTAGGATCGGCGAAGCCAGGCTCCAGTGGGCACCGTCTGCAGGTCATGATCTAGTCTTCGCGGCTCTGGAAGCGGGACCGAGGATGGAAAGGCATAGACTCGGCAATAGCAACAATGTCGAGTCAAGAATGCGTGGTGGGCGTTACAAGAAGCTTCATTCTGCAGGGACGTATACTCCATGCTGGCCTCCATCTAAGACGTCTTGTTTCGAACTGATGATCGATGAACGTCTGACCCCGGTTCGTACAGTTCATCCCAGGGGCTTTGAGCGCGTGGGACGTGGCGTTTCGTAAACCTCTGCATCGTAGCCATGTCATAACATCCCCGTAAAGTTCCGATTGGGGAAGGCTACTTGCATTCTTTGGCAATAATATCCCCACCCGTCGCCAAGCCCCAATTGTCTTGTACGGCTATCATCGGAGCCAATAAAATTGATTCACGCAGACGCCAAGATGTCGTGCCCGACAAGTCAAGGGAGACTCAGGTCCGACGTCGCATCTCATCTGATAAGATTCGGATCAGGACTGTATAGCTGGCATCGAGAATTGGATCGGTGGGTCTCTAGAATTGGCGCCATGGCGCTAAACCACTTTAGAATCCAATTCCCGAAATCAGGTGATAAAGGTTTAGCCCAGTACAGTAACTATATCCTTACGCATGTAGATTTTTCTTACCATTCACCTATATATACCTCGCAAATCGACTTTAGTCTAAACTCTTTACTAAAATTATAGCTGTTACCCTAGCTTAAATTCTCGATAAGGAGATCAATCGATATATTAGGGAGCGGAAGGAACGAGAAGGAAGACTCCTAAGTAACTAGATATCCTATTGGTATCTATCAGATATCTGTTGAATGTTCTAGTCCCCGTAGGGCTACCCTTCTCACTCTCGTGGCGGGAACACACCGGAATTTATTTACAATAGGTAGAGATTGTGTTTCTCTAACCGACTGTTAGATATTCGAGCGATGTTTGGTAAATTCTAATAAATTTAGGGCGGTAAGAATACAGGGCGTAGTAAAACTGAGGGTCTTGTACACGCTAGGGTATGAAAGTGGATACTGTCATACTTTGCTGGGCCTAATTGGGAAGGCGGTCATTTTAATCTCGGACTTGGCTTTTACCATTCTCGGACTCAGTCGGAGCCGAGCCAGGGATGCTGGAGTTCACCATGAGTATATATCGACATCTCCGACCCCGATATATTTTTCACCCTTTGTCACTCCAAATAAACGTTCCTCCAGGGCCTGGACTGCTTCGTAAAAGACTCCCCTCATAATCCACTTCACAAATGCCCTCTAACAATGGCGTACTGGCTGCAGCCAAGGCTTTCCGAGTCTTGGTCATCGGGGGCTCTTATGGAGGTCTCGCCGCCGCATTGACCCTTGTCGATCTGTCGCGTGGCCGTGTACCTCGCTTCAGCTCAGATCCCGATGCCTTGCTTCCCCCGCATCGTGTTCCAATTCAGATCACCGTCGCAGACGAGCGAGATGGTTACTGTAGGCAACTCGCTATTCTTGCACATCTCGACACATGCTGACTTGGCAGATCATCTCATCGGTTCTCCGAAGGCTCTCGCTTGCGAAGAGTTCGCGTCGGAGTCATGGACTCTGTTCCAAGACATCCCCGCGCTGAAGTCTTCCAACATCAAGTTCATTCAGGGAAGTGTCAGTAGGGTCGACTGCGCGGCGAAGGTCGCCCAGATCCTCGAAACTGAGACCCAAAGTACCCGCGCCGAGCCGTATGATTATCTCGTTGTGGGATCTGGGCTACGACGAGCCTTTCCTACCGTACCTCGGTCCATCCAAAGAGCCGAATTCCTGCAAGAGGCTAAGGGACACGCAGGCGACATTCGAAACGCTCGTGAAGGAGTGGTGATCATCGGCGGTGGTAGGTACTCATCTCACCCACACGCGTGAACTTCTCGATGTCTGATAGTTTCTTGCAATTCTAGGCGCGGTTGGCGTCGAGATGGCAGCCGAGTTGAAGGTACTGGTTCCGGAACAAAAGGTCACCCTGATTCATTCTCGAAAGCGATTGCTCTCGTCCGAGCCACTGCCCGATGACTTCGCAGAGCGCGTAAAGACCATCCTACACGAGATGGGCGTTGAGGTAATCTTGGAACAGAGAGTTGTCGACACCACTGCCGTGGATGCAGACGGAGAGCGCTGTGTGTGGCGTCTGACTCTCAGTGGTGGCCAACAGCTCACCACTGGGCACGTTTTGAGTGCCGTCTCAAAGCCCATCCCCACATCGACGTATTTGTCACCTGAAGCTCTGACAGACGATGGTTACGTGAAGGTGCATTCATCGTAAGTGCCCCTCTGGATGATGAATCCCTGGCGAAAGTGGCTTTGTCTGATGGCTTCACAGATTGCAATTCTCCGGCAGTGTCCCCAACTCAGAGCACCACTTCGCCGTGGGTGATGTTGCGGCGTGGAACGGTATCAAGCGTTGTGGTGGCGCAATGCACATGGGCCATTATGCTGGCAATAATATTTACCAGCACATGTTCGCCGAGTGCGGTGTTGGGAAGCCGAGTTACATGACTCTTAGCCCTTTCCCCAACATGATTGGACTGGCCCTCGGGCATAAAGCCGTCAGCTGGACCCCGGATGAAGGCACGCGTCATGGTGCGGATATTCTGACATCGTTGTTTGGGGAGGACATGGCGAACACGAGTAGGTCTATCGTACATCATGTCAGTGCCAAGTGCTAATCAGGAGATCTTCAGCGTGTCGAAACTACATGCGATTCAGTGAGGCATGTCAAGCATGAGTAGGATCGAAGTCTAGGTCTTGTTGGGCATATTTTGCAAAGAAACCCTCAACTTCTCGATCTTTGCATGCCACTTTTGGTATTTCGGTTTCGCCGGGGTGGCTTTCCGGGAGCATGCGTGCATACTCTGCGACGTTTGATCAATCAAACATGGTCTCGTAAGGCTGGGTGGGAGTCTTCCCTGGCGCGGTATGCCCCTGCCAGCAGGACACGCATTCCGAGGTATTGTGCCTAGACGGTCGCGTGCACCAAGCTGAAAGCGCTGGCAGGAAAGACACAGTACGAACAAGGTTCCCTGAATGGTGATCTGGGCCCCGGCACCATACCGCGCGGTACCCTCGCGGGGTTTCAGACCACATTCAATACAAAACCGCTTGCCACTATCACGTCCCGCACGACATCTTCGTCGTCGCAGCATCCGATCGGCAAAATAAGATGCCGGACGTAGTCTTAGGCAGTAACGACAGGTGTAGAGATCCCGGTCGCGGGCCCAGTCAGCAGACTCGGCCAGGAGCAGCCGGTCGTGCGACGGCTGAGGGATGAGATCGCGCAAGTATGCACAGGTCAGCCTGAGTGCAAGGAGGTCGTAGATAGATAAAAAGTCGGCAATCAAGATATGAAGCTCCGGGGGCAGGGTGAAGAAGGGCGACATGAGAATGTGAAGAGAGAAAGCGGTTGGACGTGGCAGATCAAGAGATGGAATTCTACCATTTGGATTCTCGTCTGTCTACTTTGTTCCGGATTGAAGTCTATGGCTGCTCCATTTCCTCACGCTGAACCCCTTTTCTTCTCGCTCATGAACTTGAGCAACAACAACTCCAGGGCTATTCCTGGTTCAACTGACTCAAAAGTTCGGTCAATTTAACTTCTCTACCCTGACCCCTGTCAGCTTACCCATGTTCACGTAACCGGGTTCCATGCACCACCATCGGAAATGTCCTTCGAGGCTCTGAGTTCTCGAGCTCTCTTCGACTTAGTTCTTTTCGTTCGTGTCACCCAGATGCATTGCATCTCGGTGTTCCCCACTAATTAGCAATCGGTTTCCACTCGCTTCCACCCCACTTCCCCATTAATAATGCAGAATCGAATTCGAGATTAATAAACAGGAACCCTGCGTGTCTTTCGGTCCCCAACTATCACCTCATCTGCATCCACAATGGCACCATTCGGCAAGATCTACACATATACGCCTAGCCCTCGGGTTATGAAGGTAAGCCACGCGTGTTGATGGCGATTTCCAGATCAGGCTAACCCCCCGCATGAAGGCCCAGGCGGCTGCCAACCTGAACGGCCTGGAGCTGGAAATCCCGGAATTTGCCATGGGTAAAACCAATCGCACCGAGGATTTCCTGACCAAGTTCCCCCTGGGCAAGGTTCCCGCCTTTGAGGGTGCCGACGGCACCAACCTGTTCGAGTCCGACGCCATGACCCAGTACATCGCCGAAAGCGGCCCTGCCGCCGCGCAGCTGTTGGGTGCTACGCCTGCGGAGCGGGCCGCTGTCCGTCAGTGGATCTGCTACGCCCAGGGTGAGATACTGGACCCCGTCACTCAGCTGGCCCTGTGGCGCATGAACATCCGGCCCTACGACGAGGCCACCGAGACAACCAACCTGCAGCGTCTGGAACGCTCACTGGCCTGCCTCGAGACCCACCTCAAGGGTCGCACCTGGTTTGTGAACAACGACAAGCTCAGCCTGGCTGATATCACCGTGGCCTCTGCTCTTGTGTGGGGATTCTCCATGGTGATCGACGCGGAGATGCGTCAGAAGTACCCGACTGTCATTGCTTGGTACGAGCGTACCATTGAGGCCGATGGTGTCAAGGAGGCCTTTGGTGAGAAGAAGTTTGTGGAGAAGCGCCAGGCCTACCAGGGTTGAAATGCCTGGAAATTCGACGAGGTAGCAGGTAGCAGATCCAATTATCACCGAATCAGATGACCATCATATTTCATTCCTCAATGTATGTAGAAAGCGCGAAGCCAGGAAAATCATGTGTCATGCACGTAAAAAGACGGACTGCATAGGAGTGGATATCATCAATGGGAATTTCGGCTCGACATTGCCTTCAGATGGTTTATGCATAAGCTCATTCGAGCCACGGTCCTCGAGGCGAAAGGCGGGAAATTGAACATGGTTTCGCCTTAGAGACGAGCCATCCCATTTCGCTCACTTTTGGGCTTGCCCAACGCTCTCGCGATGTTGCGACTAGCCCAATCGGCAATCCCCATGTTGGTGACCATCGGGTTCACCCCTCGCACTCGGGAATATAGAGGCATCCACAACGTACAAACCGTCGGTATCCCAGACCTGACAATCAGGGTCCACGACGCTCGACTTGGGAGACTTGCCCATCCGGCACGTACCCATTTGATGAGCACTGGCAAATAATGCTCGCTCCGGATTCAGAGGTGACTTTCGGCGCAATTCCGCGATCCAGCTCTGCAGTGCAGCGTCGTTGGTACCTTCTGGATTCTCCAGTTTCGACTCATTGGGCCGAATAAACGGAGCAATGTCACGGTAGGTGGTGTGGAATTCCTTAGCACCCGAGATGTACGCAATTTTGGCACAGGCAATCAACCCTTCCACGATATGACGGCGGTCAAATGCGGAGACTGTGTAGTCGATCCGGACGCGTCCGTCAATTGGGTCGGGGAAAACACGGCCGGTGTCGCGGTCCTTCGTCAAGGTGATGAAGCTGGTGGTACGCCTCATCCCGGCCGCCCACAACTTGTACTCCAGTCCATCTCGCCAAGGAAAGACGGGAATAAACACCGAAGGCATCATCGCCACGGCTTCCACCTTGACACCGTGTCCATGTCCATCAAGATCTTCGAACTCGTTGACTACTGTAGTCAACGCTCCGCCTTCCCACGGACGAACCTCGTCGTCAAATACAGCCCCAGCTCCCATGACTGAATGCCCAAGTCAGCCTCTAGCTTGCAATAACGGTATGACTTTTGCTTACCAGGGTGAAGATGGAGGTTTTTCCCGATCTGAGAATTTTTCAAACCACTGCGCATCAGCAGCAGTGGACTCTGCAAAGTGCCAGCAGACACCACAACCTTCTTAGCCTTCACAATCACTTTGCGCTGGACAGCGCCACTTCCACTCCGGCCGAGATATGAATCCCTCGAAGTCCACGTTCCTTGCACTCCGTTGGCTACACGTTTACCGTTTTTCTTTTCAAACAGCACCTTGTCTGCGCGGAAACCTTCGACGAAGATCGCTCCGGCCTTCGCAGCGTCTACGAGGAACGTTTCGGTCGGACCTTTCTTGCCACATGACGCGCATCCCAGGGTGCAATATCCGCAGTAATGCCTGGCATTTCCGGTGTTCTGGGGTACAGGATTCGCGGCATATCCCAGCTTGCGAGCACCCTCCAGGATCACGCTGTTTCCACGGTTGTGCTCGATATGCTCGGTATTGACGCCCATACGATCACAGACACGATCCAGACTCCGCTGGAATTCTAGGGAAGTAAAGAATGGCAGACCGCCATCGGCCCATTCCTGACGAACATACGCTTGAGTCTGGAGGGATGCAGACCAGTTGACGGTGCCACCGCCACCCCATGTGGAGCCCGCCAAAACCGCCATGGAACCATCCTCGCTGATCGTAGCGCCGGCATTTTCGAATAAACTAATGTATCCGTCGTTAGGCTTCATGGGGAAGGATCTACTACTGTAGGAATAGGATTTCTCCACCACGAGCACACGAAGACCGGCCTCCGCCAGGTTTTTTGCGGTCACGGCACCACCACAGCCACTTCCCACAATGACCACATCCGTCTCCATGATCTCGGGCTCCTCGCTGGGTGGGAATTGCAGAAACTCAAAGGGGAATGAATCCACGGGGTTCCCGTGGACGGGGACGCGGGGAAACCCAAGTACATCGTTAATGGTCGGACTGGCCATTACCCATGATTTCTTCACAATAGCAGTCAAACCGCGATAGACGGCGCGAAGCGGGGGCAACCGAGACGTGTCCCAGCCCTTGAACACCTTTTCGCGGAAAGCAATGGGTTGTTGGTGAATGGGTGTGGTCGAACCGGTCAAGATCAGTGACCCGGCCCGAGTGCTGCAAGTCATGTCAGCCAACTCTTCTCGCCTTTGGGGCATCCAACGACAGCTTCATACTTGAGTGCATTCATAACCAGTCCGAACCCAGCCTTACCCTCCTCATGCACGTAGTCCCCGAAGATTCTCTCCACGTAGGAACGGAAGACGGGATTAGAGGAGGCATCTTCCTCCAGATAACGAGTTGCAATGTGTGCCGCATCTGGACCCGGGATTAGAGAGGTCAATTTGGAGAGAGCGGCATCCCATTCGCCGATCGAGATGACTTTGTCGGTTGATGACTTGACGGTGGCCGCAGTACGAATTGATGGCACCACGGCGTCACAGAGGGCGAAGAGAGTGGTCCACTGCGCATCGGAGAAGAAGCTGAGATTCGGGCATGGCGGAAGAGGAACCTCCAACGGAGTGTATGTTGAGAGGGTCGTATCCATGTTGTGGATGCAATCCGCAAAACCGCTCGGAGAGTTGGAGAGGGTCGATGAGTCGATTAGATTGGAGTGGCGAGGAGAGCTGATGATTATACCCGGGGATCTCAATGTTCACCCACAGCTTTCCCCGCGATCTCTCCGGGTGCACGGTCAGCGGCCGAGAGCCCAGAATGACATAGTGCACGAGTTGAAGCTACCTACCTCTATAAAGAACCTCGGTCGTGGAGACAAACCTTCAGGGGCCTTCAAGTGCAGCCGATTGTCTTCGAGGGCTCGTGCGGGGCAAAGCCGCAGCCGAGATGGAAGACCATGTGAAGGGAAGCGTTTAGTCTCGGCCGCTTTTATCTACAGTGGGAAATGCAAGCTGCACATCGAGTGCTCCACTATGGTCTGTTTCGTTTGCTTCTTGTCTGTAAAATGGATCCCTGGCAACAACGGGTCCCTCGGGCTCATCGGGATAGGAACCAAGACTGTACAGCGGAACCATTCTCTTGAGATAGTGTACTTGGGTAGCTCGATACTTGGATGCTCCGTGCTCAATGCTTACTGCTTAGTGCTGAGATGCTCAACGAAGGCTCAACAAAAGTACTCGGATGTCTTCAAAGGATATTTAAAAAATAAAATTGAGAAATAAAAATAAACAAAATCACCTAGAACAGTTAATTTATCCTGGATCTCCGCATAGGATTCTACAAGGAGAGGGGCTCTAGCCTTTGGCTTCGTCGGTTTTGATTTCGAGGACGTGGTGCAACCCGCCTATAGACTCTTCAGTGTTGCACCGCAGCTCCGCGTCTACATCTCCTCCACAATATGACGGACTCGGGCCGGGCGCCCTGCAACTTGCCCTCGGAGAAAGTCTTCTCTATCCAGATTGGCTCGGAATTATTTCGTCTCTCTGGCGCCTCAATTGCCTCGGATGGTAAACTATCCCGTCGTCTTGGGGCCCTCTACCAAATCCCCCCCCCCCTCTCCTTGGATTGCGATCCTAACTGACCGGTGCAGCTCCGTCTTACTTCTCCCAGTTCTTCGAAGAGCAGTTGCGCATGACCGATGCCTCCAAAATCCGAACCCTTTATATTGATCGCGACCCGGCCACCTTCCACGAAATTGCCAGGCACTTACAGGGTATGGCACTCCCACAACTCCATCGAGACACAGCTGACGGGTTATAGGGTACCATGTGCGCCCTCGGGATGGCGCTCAATTTGTCAAGCTGTTCGCCGACGCCCAATTCTATACTCGTCAGTGCTTTTGCCTGCTGCGTAGATCCCAACCCGTGCTGACCTAACGGCAGTGCCCCGATTGATGTCCCAGCTGTTTGAATCCGAGATCTTTATCCAGATCGGCGACCGCCATTTTCAGATCCCCCGTGACATCTTCAACAGCCCCGGCGACTCGCCCAACTTCTTTACTCTTGGATTCGGGGCTTTTTTCGCCTCTCCCGCCGAGGTTTTTCCCGGTCTCGACCGTGTAGGCCTTCTCCGACCTCCTGCTATCGTTCCCCGGCCGTCCCCAATCGGTCGGCCGACTCTTTTCGGAACTACTACATCTCTTGCGCGGCTATCCGCTACAGATTCGCAATGAAATTCACCGTGCCGAGCTCCTGCGTGACTGCCGGTACTTCCACTTGCGAGGCCTGGAGCAGAAGTTGATCCCCCATCAAATCGCCGTCAACCCCTTCAGTCAGCACTCCGAGATCATCCTTCGACTGGAAGACGTGCGACCGTCGGGTATTCAATTCGCCGAGGATACAGCATCATCATTCGTTGGCGGCTCGGTCATGTATACCCGCCCATTTGTGGACGACGATCCCGCCGACTTGATCCTTGAGGTGGGGAGTGAGTCCACGCTGGTCCACTGTGCAAGTCAACGCGCCAACTTTGTCGGCCTGGCCAAGTCTCGCATGGCCAGTCTTCTACAAGTGGTGGGCAAGAAAATGAACCTACCGGATCCATATCTCGGGGGGGCTTCCGGTCAAAATCCGCCTTGAGCGGGAGACAGATCTCACCATCGACGGTGAATCCGATGTCCAGCGTAAGGGGATAGAAAACGAGCCCGAGGTGAGCGATACACCTCCGGCGAAACGCCAGCGTTCCGAGGGATCCAGGAACGGACCCTGGATCGTTCGAACTGGACAGTGGCGGCTACATGTTCAACCTAATGGCAACGGCGCATACGAAGCAATCTTGATAGCCGTGAAGCTGGACGTCTATACTACACCGCGGGTTCGAAATCAGGCCCGCAACTTCTTATAGAACCACAGTGGCCCGAGATCAGACGCTTCTACGAGAACGCCAGGGTTATAAACGATGATTTTTTTGGTTCCTTCAATGGTTAGAACTGCTCAATCGGAGAAGCCCTCCCATGCATCATCGCTATTATCTTCATCATCCTCGTGCAGGGGCTCGGCTTCTTCGACTGAATTTCTCTGGGAGTCACGGACGAAGCCGGCGACGAAGAAGCCACCGAGGCCTTCAGCATCGCCTGACCAGCAGCGCAGGCAAGCCTCTAGATCGTCATTAGATAAGCTGGCTACCACAGCGCTCTCCTCGATTTCACACCAGTCTCGACATCGCGGTCACATCGAACACCACGGTGTTTCCACTTCTGCAACCCTTCCGGTTGCTCGTCGCGTCGCAAAAGCCGCCATCCGCGCTGCTGAGCCACTTCCGAAGCCAAAAGACGAGCCACAACAGCCTCGTTCTCAATCAAATGAATGGAACAAGTGCTGTAGGTCACATGGGTAGCATTGGAAAACTTCATGGCGTGTTCCACAATCCGTGCCTGCAAGTTCGACAATTTGATCAGCCGCTCGTTGTCGACCGCACCAGCAGGGATGTCGTTCTCATCCGCAGGTGAAGCATCGGGAACACCCGCGGGAGCTGCTTTTGACTGCTGTTTTTCGGTTTCGTCCTCATCGTCTGCGCGGCGCTTTCGCTTTTTACCTTGCGACTTGGAAGGCCGGGATGCCTTGGGGGCCGGGAGCGTAAGCTGGGGAACATCGTCTCGCCCGACAATACCACTGCCGGAGCAGCTGGGGTCGAGCAATAGACCAGAAACATTCGCGAATTGTTCATCCATCGGATCTAACGCCAGAAAATCCTGTCCCTGGAGAACGGTGACGGTTAAATCCGCCCCGGCCAAAGAGACCATCTTTTGTAGCGTTTTGGAACGCACTTTCGATGCATCCATAGAGAAGATTTGTTTCTTGGACTGTTTCCCCTTGTGTTGTTTCGCTAGCAGAGATGCCATGTGAGTAGTTTTGTTTCCCGGTGCCGCGCATCCATCCACGAGATCGCCTTGCCAGGCATCTTGCGGGCCGCGGTCACCCAGTAGCAGGTAAGCAGGGAAGCACGATGCTTTGTCCTGCAAGATAATTTCTCCGTTCTTGTAGGCGGGCGAAGAGGTGAAGTCTGCTCCAAAGGGAACGGCCACCAGATCTGGGATGTTGGGATCCATGTAGAACAACTTTCGGCTATTGCGGTCATCATCGTCGTCATCCGTTGCCAACTCCGCGAGTGTGTCTACACGTTTGTACGACGAGAAGGTCGTACTCAATTGGTCTTCGAGGGTACTACGGATGTTGTTGATGCGCACCCAGCGCGGATAGATGAAATTGCTACCGCCATTGGCTTCTCGCTTCTCGCGTCGGAGAGCTGCCTTCAGCTGTTCGACTGTCGCGCATCCGCGGCGCACACGAGCCTTGGTGAATTCGGCTTTGAGTCGAACTTTATGACGTTCCACAGCTTGACGAAGCGGGTGATTAGCGGGAGCAGCAATGCCTTTTTTGGAGATCAGATGGTCATGGACCAGGAGGAGGGCAAGGAGAGGATTGAGCTATATATTCCGGTCTCGGTCAGTCAGTAAGCATCTCTGGGTGGAATCGGAGGGCAATCTCACCTTGCGCTCCAAAGATAGGATATCCGCACGCTCGATGACCTCGGCAAGAACAAGATCCCATTTGGAGGCCTCGATGATGAGAGCGTAGATCTGTGACGGCGTCGCACGCAAGTTGCGCGCACTGTAGATGCGGGATTTGAAGGAGCCACCCGAAGATGGCTCGGTCAGGATGTTGACCGCATCAAAGTAGAGCGACATGGAGTGTGTCGTGGTAAGAATCCCTAGGTCCGTGAAAAAGTTGCTGTGTCCCGGGCGGTGTGGGGCCTAGAATTGTGATCCATGTTCTATAGCTTCAGGGCCTTTCAAACGATACAAGATATATGCTTGATACATGCTAGAATATCTCTCGATGCTTCTTTACATCTAAAATAGTCATGGAATATTAATTGTGTGATCTGAGGTTCAAAAGTCAGACATCTGGAGGTACTTTTGGATAACACTGCACCCTACATATATAACCAGAGCCGCCACGAGGGGCCTCTGAAGTATACTGCTCATACTTTCCATGGTTCCAATGCTGGTAATTTGTCAACACGAGAATTCAGAGTACCAACAAATGCCATGAAGAGTACAAGGATAGGCAAGCCTGCAGAATACATAATATCCTCATTCAGATATTGCCAGCAATTCTAGTAAGAACCGATTCAAGGTGGCACAGACCTCGTGATCTGGGGGAAAATAGACACGATAAGAGTCAACGCCTTATCGCTCTCTAAACGCATCCCACGGCCTCTAGACCTCCGAGCTATCTAGGTCGTCCCGAGTGTCGTTACCGGGACTCCAAGCTTGACATCATGGCCCCCGCACTCACTCTGACCACGGCCATCCTACCACCCCTCAGGTTCGGGGCTCTCCCTTCCCGACCAACCCAACTCCAATCCAGCCGTCTTCCAGGATGCGATGACCGTGCGCATGCGCGTCTTTGTTGACGAGCAGCACTTCAGCGCCGATGCCGAGATCGACGAGGACGATGCGCGGAGCTGGCACTGGGTCATTTCCGCTACCACAGCCCCCGGCACCAGCATCCCAGTCGCGGTGATTCGTCTCGTCCCACCCCGCAGAAACCATACGAGTTGCTCACTCACCCGGAGACAATCCTGGAATCCTCGTACGACTGGACCCACGAGCCCTGCATCAAGCTCTCTCGCGTGGCGGTCCTGCGGGAGTATCGAGGCCTCGGACTGGGTCGGAAATTGATCCAAGTGGCTCTCGAGTGGGCGGCACACCACGCGGCGGAGATCGACGACGCGGCCGCTCAGGTGGCGGCGAGGTCTCATTGGACCGGAAAGCCTGCCCGCTGGCAGGGATTAGTAGTGATTCACGCCCAGGCGGATGTGGAGGGGATGTACAGGAGGTCAGGATTCCAGACAGACGAGACCTTGGAGCGCTGGGACGAGGAGGGGGTCGAGCATGTCGGGATGTTTCGACGGGTGGAGGTGGCGAGGTGACGTGATACCCAGGATCCCTACTGTATAGATCTACATGCTACAGAACAAGATAGAAGATGGATTCGGAAAATAGAATAGGTTTCATCTTATGGGGAGTGCAAAGCCACAGCCCCGCGCCATTCCGTCCTTACGAGATAGCGGGATCACGTATCAGAAAACAGGTCAAGAATGAGATCGCCGCTCAACAGAAATGACGGGGTATCCTGATCAACGAAAAAAAAACAACAGACACACAAAACACGAATCCACAGTACTACCGATAAGTTCTCGGCGTAACACGCAAGATCCTCTAAAGCGATATGTTAGGAAACACAAATCAAGAACCCAGCAAAAGAATCGGAAAAGACAAATGAAGAAACAAAATGCCCATAGCCCATTAGGAACGCCGTAACCGATGGTCGCCAAACCAAGTCATGAGATAAATAATAAGAGTGGTCGAAGAAGAAGATCGCAAGAAGTGAAGTTGCCCACTCTCAGCCAGGCCTGCTGACCGCACATGAGAGGGAAAGAGAGAAAGAGAGAGAGAGAGAGGGAGTGGGAGAAGGAAATAAGAGGGAGGAAGAGATCAAAAGGTGCTCCAGTTCCAATCGCGAGGCACACTAGCAGCCACCTCGGTGGTCTGGGGTAAATCGGCCTTGAGAGTGGCGCGGCCGGTCTCCTGACTGGAGTCGAGGTTGGAAGCCTCCGAGTCCTCGCCATTCTGAGCCTGGTCGATGGAGTTCTGAATCTTGCTCAAACGATCAGTCCGGGTCTCCTCCCAGCGCTGGTGGGCAATCCAGCAGAGATCGCAGGCGCGGGAGGGAACACCCTCTGGGTGGAAGCGCGCATCCTGGTCAAGTGGCACGACGTGAGGAGTGTGGGAGGAGCAGAAGACATGGCCACAGTGACGGCAGTGGTGACGGCGCAGGAAAAGACCAAAGGAAGAGCGACATGTAGGAGAATCACAATTGGGGGAGGCCGAGTCCGCCTGGCGAGAAAGAATTAGCTGGGATGCTCATGCATACTCATGTGGGTGGTATTGTGATGCTGAGAGCTGCCAGCACGCCATTCCAAGATAATCACGAGCTCGCACACGCCATGACCCATGGGAAATGGCGCCGTTCAGGCAAACCTGGGTGTATATATAAAGACTGAGAAGAAAAAAACAGAATTACTACTCACTTTCCAGTGGTCCCGAGTGGGCAGGCCGGTCACCTCGCCCAAGGCCTCGTTTTTCATCCACTCGTGCTCGGCCACTTTGCTGATGCCGCTGGACTTGCTCTCCATGGTGGAGCGGCGACTGATGGGCTCGGCCGACTCTTCCAGGCTATCCAGCGAGCCATGAACACTCCGGGGCGGGGTGATAGGCGAGGACTTCTGAGGGCGCTCAGTGGGACGTAGCGCGGCGGGAACATACAATGGACCCTTGGGCGGGCGCAACTGACGCGACTGTAGGGGCAGTTGGTGAAGCGCGGCGGTGGTGAGACGCGGGGAGGTCGGGGAATTGTTTGAGGGAGTAGTGGTGGCCGAGTTGGTCGGAGAGGGTTGACCATGGACGGAGATCTGGCTCGGAACACTCGGGGAGGTCGCAGTGACAGCAGTGACGACGTGAGTAGCCATGATGAACAGGTTAAGATAGGAGGGGAGCGATGGGTGAGAAGGGAAGATATCAGAGAATCAGAGGGCAGAGGGCCATAAAGAGTGAGATGAGGTGATGTCGAGGGGCAAAGGCACACGACAGAAATAGAGAAATGGGGGAGGAGGGGAGGCGAACGAGGAAGTGAAGAGCAGCGCGGTGACTGGTCGAAACGGTGGAGACGGGACGTTGAGGCTAGAAGTGGCCCCGGTGGATGTGGTGGAAGTGGAACAAGGGTGGATTAGGATTTTGGAGATGTTGATCGGGAGGCGAATAGTAGAAGGGAAGTTGGGATTGGATTGGTATGTTCGAGGCAACAGACTGGGCGGGACCCGCACTATGTAGAATGAGAACTAGAACTGGAACGAGAACTAGAACTAGAACTAGAACGAGAACTAGGCTAAGAGGAGGAACGAGGACGAAGATGAGACGCTGACTTCGAACAGGAATATTAGGGTGGTATATACCTGTCGACTCCGTACTTCTGCCCCGAACCGGGCTTTTGGCTCACCGCTGCGCTTAGCCTGAGATTCTTCGGCAAGCAATCTACGAACCTAGATCCCTAGGGATCCCGAGGGGGGGGGGGGGAAGGGACTACCATTGACCGCTTCTTCGATCTCCTTCTCCCATCCTGCGGTCCATGTTTTCCTGTGACCTCGGGTGTTTCCAGCTTTCGAGTATTTGATTCTACTGTATACACGTTCTGCACCTTGCACCTGCACCCGCACGGTTGCCCTTTCAGGCCTCTCCACCGGGGCTCCGCTGCCCCGCCGCGGAGAACCGGCACTGCCGAGTGTCAAGTACATAACAGTAGTCCCCTACAGTAGTCAGAGCCGAAGCCGAAGCCGCAGCCACAGCTCACCAAGCTAGAAAGCCACCGTGAGTCGATCTTTCATCTTTGGATTATGTAGTGATGATGTAGGAGATAGGAGATAGGCAATAGTCAACATCCCTGACACGCCAGACCGACTCTCGACTCGGGAACCTCGAATTCCATCGCCGAGTCGCCTTTGGAGATCAGAGTTCACTAGTGTCCAAGGCGAGCCAATCGAAATGCAGGTGGCGCGGTGGTCTTATCGCTTAGCGATGATTGGCTCCTGGCTGCCAGCCAAGCTTTCCGTTTTGGGAAGTCACGGGGAAAGTCACGAGCCGGATTCCGCGCCTCGCGTCTCCGAGCCAATCGGCCGTGGCGGGTTGCAAACTCCCCCTCTTGGCCACTTGACAACGCTACTGTACAGTAGATGCTTCATGGCCCGTTGGACCGGCCAATCTGGTCCAAACTCAATGGCCATTCCAAGTGGCGAACACGGTTCGTACACTGATCAGAGGATCTAGCCTCCTTCTAGCCCCCTTCTAATGCTCGACCTAGTACCCAGCCCTTCCGTCATGAGAGATGGAGTGGAGCGAGCACTGTACCGTATGCTGGACACATCCCCAGACTTGATACGCACGGATTAGGAATGCTACGCCATAGAATCCTGAAATCTCCAATCCAATGTCTGGGGAAGATCGGTCATTTGTGTACAAGGATACCGCAAGCGGTCGTAGACCGCAGCCGACCCCGGGTGTAGATATCTGACCACCTCATGGCGTCATGACTGTGTCTGCTTGCCCTGGGGATGCTCGAGCGCTCCTCGTTGCCATCCTCCCAAATTCCAAACAATGAAACTCGCCGTCTTCAGCGCGAAATCGTATGATCGCACCTACCTGGATCAAGTCTTGGGCGAGCAGTTCGCTCGGCTGGGTAGCATCGAATATTATGCCTTTCCGCTCTCCGAAGAGACGGTGCCCTTAGTCAAAGGCTGTGATGCCGTCTGCGTCTTCGTCAACGACACTCTGCACGAGCCCGTATTGCGTGCATTGCATGCGGGTGGCGTACGCGCGGTCCTACTGCGCTGTGCAGGCTTCAATCACGTCGACCTGAAGACCGCCGAAGCGCTCGGTCTCTTCGTCGCCAACGTACCAGCTTATTCCCCCGAGGCCGTCGCCGAGTTTGCGGTGGCCCTGATCCAGACCCTGAATCGCAAGACGCACCGCGCCTACAATCGGGTGCGGGAGGGCAACTTCAATATTGAGGGCTTGCTGGGCACCACGCTGCATGGGAAAACCGTCGGCATCGTCGGGGTCGGGCGGATCGGTCTCGCAGCGGCTCGCATCTTTCACGGCTTCGGGTGTCGACTCCTCGCTCACGATCCCTTTGCTGGGGAAGAATTTCGTCAGTATGGCACCCTGGTTGATCTCGACCGTCTGCTGCAAGAAAGCCATATTATCAGCTTGCACTGTCCGCTGACCGAGGATACGCGGCATATCATCAAGTCATCCACCCTGTCACGGGTTCGGCCCGGCGCTCTTCTGGTCAACACGTCGAGAGGAGGGCTGATCGATGGGACAGCAGTCATGGAGGCCCTCAAGACCCATCGTCTCGGTGGACTCGCTTTGGACGTGTACGAAGCCGAAGGCGGGCTCTTCTACAATGACCATTCGGGCGAGATCATCGACGACGATGTGCTCATGCGTTTGATGACATTCCCCAATGTCATCATCTGTAGCCACCAGGGATTCTTCACCCACGAGGCCCTGACCGAGATTGCTACGATTACCCTGCGCAACTGGGCGGACCTGGTAGATGGACGCTCGTGTCCCAATTCCTTGGTAACTGAGGGCCATGTACTGGTTCGTGCGGACACGGCCCCGGTTCGATTGTGATCAGAATACGCAAAAGTCTACTACTGGGTTGATCTTTTTCATAGTGGATGGCATTCATGATTAAATGGAGTCGTGGTATCATCTACGTCGAGTAGAAAAAAAAAATGAAAATCATCAGCCTCGCAACGGTCGAGTACACTGGAACTGGTCCTGCAGGGCCTGCCACGCACGGGGAATGAAGCGGTGTCCATGAACAATCAGTGGCACGACCGCAATGAGCCACATCCCATAGACAATCCCCACGGCGAGTCCCAGTCGGATTTGTTCCGACACTTGCGCGATAATTCCGGGCCGAGCCTGTGATGGAGGACTGTGCGACTCCTGGTCGGTGTGTGTCAGCGCCTCCGCCAGCTGCCAGGCGGCTCGACGGTTGATCTTCTCCCAGGTCGTGTCGTCTGCGTATTGCCGCGCGGCAATCGTCAGAGCTGCGCGCAGCGCAGCATCATGAGATACATCGCGGGTCAGGTTGGTGAATTGGTCGAGGTCGTGGGCGGAACGAGATACCCAGTCTGCCCATGACGAATAATATCAGATGGGCCGCCTTGATCCCGGGCAATAACTGGTAGACCGCTGGCCATCGCTTCGAGCACCACTAGCCCAAATGTCTCGGTGATGGAGCAATGCAGGAACAAATCGGCCGAGGCATAGGCTCGAGCCAGTGCCACGCCCGTGAGGAAACCGGTGAAGACAACATGCTTGCTGACACTGTCAAACAAACGCTTCACATTGTTCTCGACCACCGGGTTACGGTTCCCACCCACAATCAGCAGCTTGAAGGGTATTTTGTCTGCTGCCAGCTTCGAGGCGACTTGCGCCAGGAACTCGAACCCTTTCTCCGGAGCAATGCGACAAACACAGATGAGAATGATCTCGCCCGCCGGAGCAATTTGACAACGGTAAGCCTCGTCACGTTGTGTTGGCGTGAACATTGCGGTGTCGACACCCCGACCCAGCTGGACCAATCGGTCTGTCGGGGCACCCGCATGTTCGAGGTACTGGCGAATGGCAGAACAGGGATAGAAGATGGTGTGAACCGCGCGCGAACGGAACAGAAAGCCCTGCACAACAGCCAGCAGCCAGACGCCAAACTGATCGAGGGGCGCAGGCAGCATAATCTCCGAGTAGGCAGAGAGATCCGTCTGAAAGTTGAGCACGACGGGTGGAGGTGATCGCAACTGGCGAACCTGTAGCAGCATTTGGAACCCGAGCGAGGCCGGACTGGCAAGGTAGACAATGTCGGGCTCAAAGGATTGACGATAGACATCATTGATATTAAATGGATAGACCACGGTCAGATCTGGATTATAAGGCAAAGCGCACCCGGGGAGGCGGCGCTCCCAGACGTTGGTGACATGTTTCGTCGTATCGCCCTTGAAATGCGGTGCGACCAAAATGAGCTCGGCCCCGTGGTCCCGTAGGTACTCGACCAAACTGCGTGTAGTGCGACTGACGCCGTTGACGGGACCCCAGGATTCCGTGGCTAGCAAGATCTTCTTCCCGACGAGAACAGTAGGGAACTCATCGGGGTCTTGATAAGAGGCGAGCAGGGGGGCAGACTCCATGGTGATACATGCCGATCCAAAAAAAAAAAGAGAGAAAGAGGGGTGAGGGGGCAAGAAGTCGATAATTAAAAGGGGGAGCCCAAAAAACACGGTCACATAGTTCACGGTTCACGAGGGTTGAGTTGAGTTTCGAGAGTTAAGCTCCTCTCAGTTAACCTTGGCCGCACGTGCCGCCACCACCGGCTGCAAATCGTTACTTGGCGACCAACAGCATCGCGTCCCTCGAAGCGTGCGCGCATCGTGTCCTGTGGATAGTTCTGGATAAAGGGTCATGGGCAGAAAGGGTGTGATCGTGATCGTGTGGCTCCTTTTTATTTCCTTACTCCGCCTTTTTCCTGTAGAATGTAGTTGGAACCTCCCCTCCTGGTATCCCCGGGAATCTAGATCTCTCGTTCACGGCATCATGTGCGACGATATTCCGATGGAAATCTTCTCTTCGCCGTCCGAGAGGAGTTTGTCCTGCTCGACGGCACCTACAAGTCCCAGCTCGAGTCCTCTCTTTCGGCCCTCGGATGTGGATGATCTGAAGCTGGGGCTACCCCAGTCCAGACTCGGTGAAGCGGATCTGAGCGACGGTACAGTCAAGAATGTGTGTGTGGTGGGTGCAGGATACGTCGGTAGGCTTGCTTCGGAACGAGACGACGGTAATCGGCTGGGATGGCCTCGTTGACACTCTTGCAGGTGGACCAACAGCGGCAGTACTGGCCCTCTACCACCCCTCAATCACCGTAGAGGTGCTGGACAGGGATCTGGCGCGTATCCAGCGATGGCAGTCAGCGCACCTGCCGGTTCATGAACCAGGCCTGGACACAGTCGTGCGCATCGTGCGTGACGGCGCCAAGGTAGAGCATGAAGCGAACACCCAGGCTGTCTCGCCCGCGGTCACGCGCGCCCAGAATCTCTTCTTTACCCGTGACACTCAGGCCATTGCCCGTGCAGACATCATTCTCATGGCTGTCAACACTCCGACCAAGATGTTCGGGGTCGGCGCAGGCTGCGCCACCAATATGACGGCCTTTGATGGGGCCATGCGCGATGTCGCGACCCATGCCAAAGCCGGCGCGATCATCGTGGAGAAGAGCACGGTGCCCGGAGGCACTGCTGAGCGTGTTCGAAGAATGGTACGTCTTGTCCCGTCTTCTACAAGCACCGCAGGTTCCTGACCTCGAATAGCTGGCGACTCTTCGCCCCGGAGTGCCTTTTGAGGTTCTGTCAAACCCTGAGTTTCTTGCCGAGGGCTCAGCCATCCAAAACCTCACAGCTCCAGACCGTGTGTTGATCGGATCCGCCGCAAGCCCCTCAGGACGCCAGGCAGCTCAGACGCTGGCAACCCTCTATTCGGCCTGGGTCCCTCGAGGCCGGATCCTCGAGACGAACGCCTGGTCTTCAGAACTTGCTAAGCTCGTGGCCAATGCCATGCTGGCACAGCGAATCAGCAGCATCAATTCAATCAGCGCGATTTGTGAGAGGACTGGCGCCGAGGTCGATCAAGTGGCCAAGGCCATTGGTCTGGATGTACGGATCGGACCCCAGTTCCTCAAGGCGGGACTCGGATTTGGTGGCTCCTGCTTCCGCAAAGACATCGCCAACTTAGCATACATGGCCGAGTCTTTGGGACTAGACGACGTCGCACATTACTGGCGACAGGTGAACGTGATGAACGAGCGACAGCGCGACCGATTCTCGCGCAAGATCATCGATCGGTTTGAGGGCAACTTAGTCGGGCGCAAGCTAGCCATGCTCGGATTTGCATTCAAGAAGAACACAGGTGACACACGTGAATCATTGGCAGGGGACGTAATCCGAGTCCTGCTGGAAGAGCGACCGGCGGAGATTGCCATTTTCGACCCCTACTGTCGTCAAGAGGATATCTTCCGCGAGCTGGAGCTTGTCTGCCCTGGTATCGCCCAAGGTGGAACCCTGAAAATCCACACAGACCCGTACATGACATGTTCTCAGGCTCATGCCATTCTCGTTGTCACCGACTGCGACCAGTTCCGCAATACTCCACGGAAACCCTCACCACCGGCAGTTTCGTCTGCAGAGAAAGGCTTGGCTCGAAGCGCGGCCGATGACTGCCATGACCACGCCAAGCGTGCATGCGCTCGTCAAGAGCACGAGACCTGGACACACGCGGGCGTAACCTACCAATTGACGCCTCAGAGCTGTGGCTCTGACTGTGCGGATTGCCGATCGATAACACGACCAACCACCGAGGCAGTGGAATGGACGCGCATTGCATACAACATGGTCGAACCCAAGTTGGTGTTTGACGGCCGAGGATTGTTGGACTCGGCGGAGTTGGCCAAGTTGGGTTTGCGGGTGGATAGCGTGGGAAGGCGGAATGCTCTTGATGTTTTGGCCTAATTGTCTCTAAGCACGCGATACCCTTGAATTTTCCTCTTTGAAAGCTGCTTCAATTAGACGAGTGACACGAGAGAGTTAGATCTATAATGGCATGTCAACTCTGACCCGAATTGCGTCTTGTTCAGATGTCCAATAGTCCTGGTAGACATCGTGGCAAGGCCTCTTGGCTCGTAATAACTGACTGGTAAAGTGGGGAAAAGCGCTTGCTGCATATATTGGGCTAGGAGCGGATAGTGGGGCATTCTGTGATGTTTGAGAGTTTTCCTCGCAGGCAGGGCAAGACAAACACACTGTTGCTCTCCTATAGTCGTACTTCTCCTAGCTGCCGACCGGTTCGCAGATAGATAGGCAGGGGCGGGTCTCCTCACAGGTACCCTCTTCATTAGTTAGATCCAGGCCCACGTGCTAACTATACTAATAGGGGTCCAACGGAAGGCCTGCGCGGCCTACTCACAGTCCACCTGACTGGGTACCTAACCGTCTACCTCACCGTCTACTGATATCACTTACTATCTGGACCTTTGAAAATAGCGATGAGAGTTGTTCAATGTAATGTATGAGTATAGAGACTATCTGTTCGCCCTTTACTCAAATGCACCATTCTTGGTTCACCTATGTACTCATAACATGGAGTTCTTATCCTTGGAGGCACTGGGTTCATGAGAAATGTTCAACTCTGGCCACCATGGGTACTCAGGGCAGCTGCTGTTTCGAGGATCGGTCTCAAATACTGGCTTGCGCTTTTCAAGAAACGAGTTGACCCCTTCCTGGTAGTCACTGAAGAACAATTAGACGTCTGTCTCCTCATCCATCTCGCTGGGGAAAACATACCTTTGACCGATCATATGATGGAACACTCGAGACTCGAGCAAGTGCGCTGCTTCCGGGGAGACGCCGCCTTCCCACATCAATGCCCGGCTCATCGAAGAGGCCAGCGGACTGACATTCTCCGCCATGTCCTGAGCCAGCTCCAAGGCTCGAGGCAAGACCTGAGAAGCCTGAGGAAGCACTTCGGTAAAGAGATCACCAAAGTACTTAGCCAACGGCGGATACACAGCGCCAGTAGTGATCAAATGCATGGCACGCGAGAAGCCAACCAGACGGGGAAGGAAATAAGAAGCACAGGATTCAATGGTAAGCCCCCGCCTGGCAAACACGAACCCGTATTTGCTCTGTTCGTGGCATATACGGATCGCAGCCGGCAATGTCATTGTCATTCCCACGCCAACGGCTGAGCCTTGAAGTGCAACGATCGTTGGCTTATGACATCGATGCATCGCCAGGCTGACTCTTCCTCCACTGGTGAAGGAATGATCAGGACCGAAACGCCCCATTTAGAAATGATCAGACACTTACATGTCACGAAAATCAGCAGCTCTACCCTGATTATTCCCGAACCCAATATCAAGATCCATGCCGGCGCAAAACATCTTGCCCGCGCCAGTTAGAACAATTGTCTTGACCCGAGGGTCAACGTGAAACAGTTTGAAGGCCAATGTAAGGCTATCGGCCATCTGTGGAGTGAATGCATTATGTTTTTCTGGTCGATTCAATGTAACAATCACTACTGAGGTAGCAGCTGGGGCTCCGAGAGGACAATGAGATATTTGGATATGAGTGAGCTCGAGGGCCTCGTAGGAGGTGGGAAGATCGATAGCAGTCGAATTAGGTGGCATTGTCTCGGAATAATGGTTCCGTTTGTTCAGAGGTAGTGGTCTTGTTCCTCAATAAATCATAGACTGGCCAATTCAGGTGAAAGCGGAACCCTCATCTTGAGGCGGCCTCCACAGTGCCTCGGCCCGCAGAGGCCATTTGGGCTTGAGCGGAGAAGATTAGCAACCACATGTGGCCAGAAACTGGTCACTTCTGAATTATATCAAATTCGTGCCTTTCCAACTCGAACGAAGAGGATTGTAGTGAAGGGTGGGAATGTAACTATATCTCTGGAACCCATAGTTCCTACATCAGTCCTACACAAGTCTCGAAAGAACGAAAGAGATAACCAAATGATGGAGTGCCGGGACCTTGGGAGCAGGCAAATTCAAGATATCTCAGAATGTGACTTACGCAGAGAGCCCCGGGGAAAGGAACAGCAAGAACTCCAGAGAAATGCCTAGATTGATGTCTCTAAAAAGCTGTAGAATCAAGTATGGAGGTCCCTTTAGATGGTCTCCTTGGGAGGATTGCATGGTTTCCAGAACTAAAATGGAACTAATAAGGGAATGAGCTAGCGCAATACCACTTGAGCTAAACGTAACTCACCTATGTGTAATCTCTGGTAGACTAGAATTCTCCAAAATGAATGTTTCTCCAAGCCATAATCACTTGGACCCGCTGGCTGGATTCTGCAAATATATTGCAAGCTTCATTCGAGACGTTGGAAACCGTTGACATGACCCCACTTAAGTGTCAAAAGAAGATAAGACGAAGCGTCGGCTACGTGATTCCATGATGCCGGGGGGAGTGGGGTCCCTATCACCCATCGCTCAGGCTGATCTAGTCGAAATCAGAATGATAGGACCGAGCGAAAACGAGAACGACACAGTGGATTCTGGATCAGGCCAGCTACGAATCCCCGCACGTGGACTTCACATGAAGGATCCACCGATCTCGGCCCTTTATCCTTATCAATCGAACAACGTGCCTCGGGCCATTGACATCATGAACCAGAATTCGGGCCCTTTATTGAAAGCTACCCCTTCTTCCTACTCAATTAATCATAATTCTATTTTTCCTATTTTCGTGTTCATATTGTTCATATCATGGCTGATCACAACCAGGGCTGCAAGATTACCCTCTACTGGTAGGCTTCTCAGGGATATGCTCAAAGTTGATACTTATGCAAAACCAGGCTCGAGCAATCTCGAAGCCACCGCATCCTGTGGCTACTGGAGGAGCTCAAATTGCAATATGAGCTGAAGACTTTCAAGCGCCGCGCTGATAAGCTCGCGCCCGCGGAGCTCAAGAAGGTCCATGCTCTCGGCAAGTCGCCTATTGTCACAATCGAGGCCCCGGGCTCCGACAAGCCGATGGTCCTCGCCGAGTCCGGCGCCATCGTTGAATACCTTTGCGATCACTTCGGCTCGGGAAACCCTACCTTGGTGCCCGAGCGCTATGTGGCCGGTCGCGAGGGCCAAGTCGGCGGAGAGCGTGAGGAATGGATGCGCTACCGGTATTTCATGCACTACACCGAAGGCACTCTGATGCCCTTCTTGGTGATGACCCTCGTCAACGACAGTAAGTGGGAATTGTATTGCTCGTGGGTTCTGGCACAGTGGGCCCATGCTAACATGTTTGAAGCCATCCGCAACTCGCCTCCATTCTTCATCCGGCCCATCACCGGTCTCGTGGCCTCGCAGGTCGAGGCTGCTTTCCTCACCCGTAACGTTGAGAGTAACTTGGCTTTCCTAGAGGAGCAGCTGAAGACTGCCCCCGAAGGCGGTCCCTTCCTCTGCGGTAAAAACTTGACTGCGGCAGATATCCTGATCAGCTTCCCGGTGATCGCTGCCGGTGGACGAGTACTTCAGGACAAGAAGAATCAGGAAAAGTATCCTTTGTTGGCAGGATATGCGAAGAGGCTGCAGGAGGTCGAGTGCTACAAGAAGGCCGTGGCCAAGACTGAGGCCGTGGAGGGAACCTTCTCTGCCTCGATGTAAGTTGCCGAGGCAGGCTGGATCCGACGACGACCATGTTCCATTATGTATATGCCAGCCAATGTTATTGATATCAATTGTCATCAAAGGGCAACGCACAGGATTTGTTGTGCTTGGTAAATTGACTACTCCGATTGGCGATCCCCGGAGAGTGGATATTTAAGCGGGGAATCGAGAGTCTCGACGAGACAGGTACTAGTGTTGTGAATTTCGAATGGTCATGATTGAGAACAGAAGCCAGTCAGTAAATCCAGTCCAATTGGCGAATAGTACGAGCAATCAGGAGCTCAGTCACCGTAGAGAATGTGTCCGTCTGTCTATATCACGTGACCAGAAAAACCGGCTGACACATTGCATCATGTGACCTGAACCTCACCTGGTCCGCACGTCTGCAGATGTGACGGTTCTGTGTCTACGCTACGAGTGACATCGCAACCATGGCCGGCCCCAGCAAGTGTGAGTACCAGAGTTATGTCGACCTACATCAACCCAATCGCTAATCAATTGAATAGCCCTGATCCTTGACCCGGCCCTCCAGAAATACTACGGTACATCTTCCTGAACCCCATCCCCTCGGTCCCCGCGCTTCACATGTCCCTGAGCAGGACAGGATTGCTCTGCTGTAATTTCTAAATGGATTTTGCCTCTTGATTCGTCCACCCGTTTCATGCCGCAGCATGCCGCAGCCTTTACCGAGCTTTCTACGCATATAGAAACTAACCAAGCCGACAGAACTCAACGCCAACCGCTACAAGTACTGGCGCTGGAACTCCCGCCATGCCTGGATTTCTTTCATCTACATGGTGGCAATTCCCGGTGCTCTGACCTGGGTCGCCTACAGGACCGATGTATGAATTGATAACCGCCCGCCCTCCCGGTCTTTTAATTTGCGCGTGAGGAGACTTATCTGACTATCCTACAGGGCAAATACGAGCTCCGCGGTAAGCGCAGGGGTGATACCATCTCGGAATGGTGAAGAACAAAGGATTGATGACCTGGATCAGTGGAGTCTCAGTCATCGCTTGGCGAACTAGTGATATGCGAACTCTTCCTTACACGGCACTACCGCGATTCGCCGGAGGACTCGAAGCGAAAACTGCTTTTTTTTTCTGCCGGTACCTCTGACCGGGCTATGTACCTTATCACAAGCATATACCGCATTTGATTTTCTTCTGTTCACTTCGCCTGGCGGCCACTTATGGGAACTAGGGACCTTGGGAACCAAATGTAGTCAATCTTGGAAAGACGTATCTTGTTATCCTCAATCGAACATGATCATAAATTGTTGCGAGCGGATGTTTTGGTCTTCCGTAAGCGCCGCACGTTTAAGATTTTCTTAATTGCACATTCGTTGAATCTTTAATATGGGGCCCATCCTCGGCGACCACCACGTCCACCACCCTCCGGCAGCCTTTCTCCTCGCTTCCAATCGCCTTGAGGAAGAATAGGAGAGACCACCACGATCCCCGCCTCGAGCACCGCCCCGACCACCTCTTCCAAACCCATTATCCCGGAATGCGCGCATGCCACCACCTCCCGCCCCAGGTGGGCCGGAAGCACCACGAAGCGCAGGCGCAACTGATCCGTCCTCAAGAGGAGGCAAAATGGCGCACTCAACGTAATCTCCGACAATGAACCGTACGTCTTGCAACGCCTTGTCTGCTTCCGAACCCTGGAAACGCAACGGGCCTGGCCGCGGTCGCGGCTCCGCACGACCGTCTGCGTCCTCCTCGTTACGGTATGGACTGTCTCTTGGCGCAACAATGACGCTTCCCAGGTCCTTGCTAACGTATCGACCGCGCGCATCGGGGCCCATAATTGCCGCACCGCGAGCGTCGGGATAGATTAGACGAAAACAAAGGCGGGTACCGATGGGCGGATCGGGGAGTAATGAAGGCAGCGCGGAAGTAAGAAGCTGCGAGAGTTCCCGTAGCGTACATGATTGCCATGTATAGATCTCGAGGTGAGGGGGTAGCGGCGCAGCTGGCGGAGGAGAAGATCCGCGAATACTGTTGGGCCCGCTAGCTGGACCGCCGCGCCGGGGAGGGACAGGGATACTGTAGTCGGAAAGGTTGTGGTAGTTGTTGGCTCGGTAAAAGAGCTTTAAATGAAATGGAGTTGTGGTCTGGCGGTCAATTGGAGCTTTGGAGCCTTCTCGCGAAGGAGCAGCCATGATGGCAAGGCGAGCCGCGTGCAGGAGCAGTACCGGAGCAATGCAGAGAGAATTTCGAGCTCGACAAGCGCGTCGGAAGATTATAGTGTGAGCTCAGTCTGCTCGTACTGAAGCTTTGAAGCGATGTGGTTGAGTGCGGAGGTGGGAAAGGAATTGGAGAAGACCCGAAGCTGTCGGGGTTTCCGACCTTTCTCAACCGAGCATTCTTTTCCTTCTGCCACATCACCGACGCCTCGCTTCAACGGATCTATCACAGCGTCAATAATTACTGCGCAACTTATCATATCTGACCGAATCTGATACCGTCTCAAAAAAAAAGCCTGCGCCGGGCAGCCTTACCCATCATGGATTTCGCTGCTCTCATGTCCAAGGAGATCTCCAAGGCCAAAGCTCCCAATGCCACCAAGTCTTCTAGCGGAGAAGAAGGTCAAGGATCACCCGCAGAGCCAACAAAGAAATACCTGCGCCGAGGAGAAATTGAAGCTGCGCGCATCGCGGCCTACAACGAGGAGCAGGAACGGTTACAGAAGGAGCGTGAAGATCGCTTGGCTAACAAGCGCAAGTTCGAGGAAGAAGAGGCAAATCGTCGACGGGAACGCGAAGAGAAAAAGCGCAGGCTCGCCGAAGAATCGAGGAAGAAGAGAGAGGAGGAAGAGGAGGCACAGGAGCGTGAACGGCGACAGAGACTCGGTCTTCCCGAACTGCCCTCAAAGAGTGGCGACAATACCCCGGATCCCGAAAGCCAGCAGGAAGAAGACATTGAGGAAGACGAGCTCATCGAGAAGCTTAGAGGGCTTGATGAGCCGGCGCGACTGTTTGGAGAGAACCATCGCTCTCGACTTCGACGATATCGTCGCCTGGTTCAGCGCGCCGCTACGCAGCAGAAAATGACAGATGGACCAATCCCTACGAACTTGGAACCTGTTCCTGGTGGGGAGATGATCATTCCGGCCAAGATACCCAAGGAGCCCGAGGGACGTCTATTTCTGCTTCGTCAGCTGGCATCCTATTTCAACATGGTTTTGTCGGAATGGGAGCTTGCTCTCGCCAAGCGCGATGTAACTGTTCGACAAAGTTTCCAAGGAAAACAAGCATACAATGCTATGCTGCAGTCTCGAGAAAACATGAAGCCGCTGTACCGCCGACTTGAAAAGGCGGACTTGGAGGATGGGCTTCTAGAGCCGATCGTGGAGATTGTCCATAAAGCACAGCAACGGAAATACGTCGATGCTAATGACGCATATCTCCGTGTGAGCATTGGAAAAGCGTACGTTCCCTCTCGTGCCCCAATAGAGACAGAGAATGCTAACCAAGCGATAGTGCATGGCCCATTGGTGTGACCATGGTTGGTATTCACGAGCGCTCTGCGCGTGAAAAGCTACACCAGAGTGACCAGCAGGCACATATTCTGAGTGACGAAGCAACACGCAAGTACTTGCAGAGTATCAAGCGGTGCTTGAGCTTTGCACAAGTTCGCTGGCCCCCCGAGGATCAGCTCCAGATCATGGGTTAGATTGCCACGAGTGATATGCTGTTTCATATACCCATAGCGTTTCAAATTGGATATTTATTGCCCGTATAATTTGCACCAGTAACTGTACATCGATTTCCCGGATGATCTCAAACCCTGAGATATGCTGCGCGGGCCTGGGCCTTAAGGCAGGTTTGAATCCACTTCTCTTTCCTCGCTCAGATTACACTCTTACCCGACCATGTTCATCGCTCTTTTGTGTACATTCAGTCTCCTTGGTCCACTGTGTTTGATATATAAGCCGCCTGGTTCGCTGATCCGCTTCTTTCAACGTCGCTGGCCCGATGTCATATTTCGTCACGCAACCGCCGAGAAAGTGGTCGCGTTGACCATTGACGACGCCCCGTCCATACACACGCGCGCTATTCTCGACCTCTTAGAGTCAAATGACGCGATCGCCACATTTTTCCTGATTGGGTCTCAGGTACCTGGTAAAGAGGACGTTCTCGTCGAGCTAGTGCGCGCTGGCAACGAACTAGCCAACCATGCGATGCACGATGAGCCATCGCGTGGGCTCAGCGATCCAGCTCTTGCGGAGCAAATTCAGGCTGTGCATGCCTTGATTCAAAATGTGTATAGCGCAGTAGACCAGGAGGGGCCTGAGAATTGGTTCTTCCGCCCAGGCTCGGGTCTCTTTAGCTCCCGAATGCGACGCTTGGTCTCGAAGTTGGGCTATCGACTTGTGCTCGGGGACGTCTATCCCCACGATCCACAGGTAGCATTTGCAAAACTCAATGCAAGGCATATCTTGAGCATGGTGAATCCAGGCAGTATCATCATTTGCCACGACCGCAGAGAATGGACGTTACCCATGCTACAAGAGGTGTTGCCAGAGCTCAAGCGCCGCGGATACCGGGTGCTCACTGTGTCAGAGCTGCTTCAGACGCGCTAAATCTACAATATCGAAACCCTTGACTTGGCTTTGACCATGCGTCCAAATAAGCGCAATGGAGTTTAAAACCCTCCAATAAGTCTAAACTCTAGAGCGTGTACATACATGATACATATCATCATCATAATCTAATCTCACCCATTACTGTGTTAGATCCTTCCACACCTGCGCCAGCGTTTCCCACCAGCTCTGCGCGGCTGTGGGTATTGTCGTCGTCGACACCTTGCTAGAAGTATCTTCTCTGGCCAGATCAGACCCGGCATTGTGATATATATGATGACCGTCTATCCCATTCATTACGGCGAGGGAGGAGGATGGGCGAGTTGACACGACGCTGCTTGGCATACTGCGCGTTGCCCTGTCGGTGTCTCGATCACCAAGTAGATGACCTGCGGTGGAGACACAGCCCCCATAGGCAAAGCGGACGAGGGAGTCACCGGTCAAGCTGCCAATTATATACACACCAGGAGCAACTTGTAAATCTTCAGTCGCTTTCGCGCGAAGGGTCTGACCGGTGACCGCCAAATCGATCATTTCATGTCCCAGTACCTCGGATCGCAGCGCGGTGTCCAGGTAGTTCAAGGTGCCCCGCCGTCCAGCAGCGTATACGAGACCCCGCACTGAACGAGTCAACGAGGAACCGTCTGCGCGACGGAAACTGACTTGAGCCAATTCGCCCACAACCTTCACGTCGGTGATTTCCACATTACATACACCCTCATAGACATCGTCCCAATTCCGATTTTCCAGGAAGGGAGTTGAACTGCCGCGGCGGCTTTTCAGCGGCTGGCTTTTGGTGGCATTTGCGGCAAGGGCGGCTCGCTTCATTAATCGATACACACCGGCGTATTCCGGGTACGCGCGCTGGTGGCAGCTCCTGAGAGGCGATGGACGATCCTCAGGGGACCATTTGAAAACATGCAATATTTTCTGGTCGGACGATGCAGATATGATTGCATCCGCGGCGGAAAATCCAGAACCGATGACGAGAAGGGGGGTGTCCGGTCTCGAGTAGGTTTGAAAGATGGGTTTCAGGATTGGTGTAGGCGGTAGCAATTCCGAAAAGATCCCGCTAGCTAGCACCACGCGCTTGCAATGGAGATTGTGGGATTGAATGTAGAAGCCGTCGGTGGTGCGGGAGATGCCTTTCAGCTCTTCCCCACACCGGAAAACGTCGTCGATGTCGACCGCCGCGGGGTACGCACCGAAGTAGTCAGCGATCTCGCGCCTTGTCGGCCGTGTGTAGGGTGGCAGGTCGTGACCAGTGGCCTTCCTGTAGTGATCCGCGAAAGAGTAGCCCGGGAGTGACAACATCGCTGCATAGCTCAGGGTTTGGATATCCCAATTGGCCCCATGGGGATCTTCAGTCCATTGGCCTCCTGGATACGAAGGCTTTCCAAAGACGAGATGCGAGACGGCTTTTTCAGGTACATGACGCCATTCCACATTGGAAGTGGTGCCAGTCTCATCAATGTCGACACTAGGCCGCACCAGCGTGTCCAACAGCACGTTAACGGGTAACGCCTGGGTCGAGTATGATAAACGAGAGGCGGCGAAATGTGCCGTCAACGCATCCACATCGGCATGTAACAGGTCAGGCGCATCTTTCAACTTGGCATCCAGTAAAGGATCTGGGTGTGGAGGGTTATCTGAGTAGAAGGGAAGATGACCATGTAGAATGTACGAAAGGATCATAGCCGACGGCCCATTGCCTATTGATGAGAAGGATTAGCATCTGACGGACGGAAATGAAGAATAAGTGAAGAGTGACGTACCGACAATGACCGTATCGGTTTCCATGGAAGGAGTCTCAAACAAATTCAGCGCTGGGGCATTCTGTAATCATGCGATGAGAATGCGCCTTGAGCCCGAAACTAGGGAAGCTGAAACGGCCATGGAGGGGAAGGGGGGGGGGCATGGAAGCAAGTCGCGGAGATCAATAATCAAGCTGACAAAAGCCCGAGGTGGGCGGGGTGGGGTTTCTCCGTTTCCATTTCTTTTGGGGGGTTCTTCCAATTCCGGCAAATGTACGGGAAATAGAAACTCGGATGAAAGTGTCAGGGTGGCATCACCGGTACGTCAAAGGTAAGAGACATGATTTCTACCCCGGATTCCTACTCGAGTGTTTCTAGCAAAGTACGTAAGAAGACCTGGCAATAACTACTCATCCTTGCGTGGAATGGCGACAGATTTCTCACATCGTAGCCCTAAGCCCTACTTCCCCTATGCGGACACTGCGGGATGCGCGTCTCGAGGTGATGCGATGCTTCGACTGTCTGGTGTCGCGATCTCCTTTCAGAGTCTCATGATTTAATAATCCCGTTTCGCGCGCATCTCTCACTTGATCGCGCCGCCAGCTCTTGCGCGATCATGTATCACCTGGCCAAGTCGCTGTATACGTATGCGACCAGCAAAGAGGGTAAGTTTGCCATCCGTCGCCCAGCTATTCCTCAATCTCACGTATTGGATTGTGCTGCAGAGTACTCTGTCCTTTTATTAGGTCTTGACAATGCCGGCAAGACCACACTCCTCTCCCAGATCAAAGCGCTCTACCAACCTCGACCCGATGGCGCCCCGGCACCCAACCCCGGGAAGACCGTCCCGACCGTCGGCCAGAACGTCGCTACAATTTCCCTGCATGACATGAACTTGAAAATTTGGGATGTAGGAGGGCAGATCTCGATGCGCGGTCTCTGGCAGAGTTACTATTCTAGCTGCCACGCCATTATCTTTGTAGTGGACAGCGCCGACGTGGGTCAAGATCCGGACATTACCCGATTGCCCTCCTTGAGTCGACGCCCGAGCTCAGTCGCCGGTCCCTCGCGAGGCAATGACCTCTTTACGGAACAAAATGTTGGCATCAACGCCAGTGGGAGCGACTTTGGGCGCCTGGATGAATGTCGACAGGTCCTGGAATCGGTTCTGCAGAACGCCGACGTCGCAGGGGTGCCCATCCTCGTGCTGGCTAATAAGCAGGACCGTGAAGATTGCGTCGAGGTGGTTCGCATTAAGGAAGGCTTCGTTCGCAAAGTGTTCGAAGGAGAAACTGGAAGCGGCGTCCGAGACAGTCGCGTGCTGCCGGTCAGCGCGCTCATGGGCTCCGGAGTGCAGGCGGCTGTCGAGTGGGTGCAGAGTCGTGTCAAGTGGAATAAAGAGGGCCGTCCACCGGTGATGCGATGATGCGACAAATGGCCTCGAACATACATGCATACTAACGTTTGATTGTATTAATTTCCTATTCCCATCAATACACCAACCAAGTTTGATCAATGGCTTTTGAAACGCATGAAACGCAAAGCTCACAACGCTCTTAGACACTATCATGGCTGAAAAGCAAGTTTGGAGCCAGAGACTCAGAATCAATTAAATCCGAGATAAGTCCCAATCTTTCAGCACTCCTAGAATCATTCCAGGGTTGCCCAAGGGCCCCGGTGCTTAGATCATTAGAGCTTCTCGCAGAGACCCCCAACACCACCAAACAGGGTAACTGTGCTTGCGCTCGCTTGAGCAATTCGATCGACTGGGTCGAAAATCAAGGAAAACTCCGTGAGTATTGCGTCTTTCGCATGCAATCTTCCAAATTTTATGGTTCTCCACTTTTTGATGTCACGAACCGTATACCACCACCCTGATGAGCTGCACCCAGAACCTCGTCAAGGATTGGATCGATCAATGAAAAGTAGACATGGCCCTACATTATGTATGATGAGATCCACCGGGAGTTCTTCTCCTACGTTCACTTGTCAGAGCAATCCCGGTCGCAATACATAGCCTCAGGTTCCGTCAATTTGACGTCATGTCGTAGTATGCATCCAAGATCTTTGACCTCTCAGATGAAGCAGACGAGAATGAAGCAAGATCAGAACATTCGGATGCGAAGTGACATAGCTATATAAGCCTTTCCACTTCCTCGATCTACGCCTCTTCCAAATATATCTTCCGTCTCATATATACCATTCCAATCCAACGTTCACTATGAGTACCTTGAACAACGTCGAGTCCGTCAGCAACCAGCAGGGCAGCTTCAAGCCTTCTATTCCCCGCGAGGGACCCATTACAGACAAGGGCGTAAGTTCTCGCTCCATTGTTCATTGTGACTTCCAGTGCAATAGACTTAACATCATCTAGCACAAGCCCGGTGTTAAGGTCAACGAGGCCGATCAGCGTCCCGAATATCACATGGAGGCTTTCCCTCCTGGCACTGCTCCTGCTAGCAACTCATACACTTCAAATGCCAACGAGATCGGCAGCCAGGCCAACAACCCCAATGTCCTCCGCTCACATGGCAAGGAGTCTACCTATACTTCTCCCGCTGACACCCTGACGGGTGCAACCTCCAAAGACGTTCACACCGGTCTCGGTAAGCCTCTACAGGGCCAGTCTGGTGTTGAACTTGCCCACGATGGCGCCCACGGCCGAAAAGAAGCAACCCTCCGGCCTGGAGGGTGTAGGTGCTTCCCGCGAGGATCACGGTATTGAGCGTCGGTTTGTCGACCAACGCGGTCTAGATCGAGAGGAGGCTGCCAACGCTGGTGCCCGTGGTAACAAGGCTGACCGTGCCGCCGAGGATATGCGGCCCGAGGGTGCCGAAACCTTGGACACTGAGTGGAAGTATGAGCCTCGCACTCAGCGTGAAAAGAAATAGATAAACCATTACGATGTTACGAGCAAATTTGGGTTTGGGTTACAAGTGGTTTTGGGTTCTTAAAACGGATCTTGATATTTTTGAGCCGACGAATGGTGTATCAATGCATAAAGCAATAAAATATATATCCCATCAAAGTTGATGCAGTGTTGGTTGTTCGAATAGGTTAGAGGGCAGTGGTCAAGAAATGCCTAGATACGGAGATGCCTTGGCAGTCGTGGAGCCTCAACAGAGAATGGAAATCCAAGGCGCGTAGGAAGTATCGGACATGTTTCTTCCTTGAAAGCAATTTAGCGGCCGAGCTATTAGGTACAATGCAAAGAATGAGTTCTATTATGTCCATATATCCGACGATACGAAATTAGTACCACGTCGTTTCGACTTTCACCGACTACTCCGGGCTGTAGTGGAGACCCGAGATTGCTCCGCCGGTTTTTTCCTTGGCCAACTTCTGGCAATGTCGATGTTCGCTCGGGGGAACCACATCTCGAGGAAAACATAGATCAAAAAGTCAATGACCACGCATAGACAGAACAGTTTGCCTGCCCAGACACCGCAGCCGTAATACCGTTTTAAGCGATCAATCAGTGCGAAGCTGCGTACTCGATCCCCACTGGCTTCCCATCCCTGACCAGGGTAGTAGCCGTAAAACTCTTCCGGGCTGATATCACCGGTGATGCCTTGATAAACCCGCTCAGTGCGCTGAGCTACGTCTCGCCAAGAGTACATCATCTTGACCTGATCATGGAAACGGTCTGTTCGCACTTTGTTTGAGCGCAAAGCGGCGATAGCCTTGCTAGTTGCAACGACCAAATCATCTTCCTCTGGTTTTGCGAACGTAGTCATGTGTTGGGGTAGAACCTCTGGAATCCCCCCCAACTCGGGTACACACCACGTACAACCCGCAGCTCGCGGCTTCGACAATCACCGTGCCGAAGGCCTCTGTCAGACTGGGATGAAGATAGATATGACCTCGGACCATGACATCTCGCACCTCTTCGTGTCGAACCGAGCCAAGCAATTCAACCTTATCCTGGAGCACATTCCGTTCCAGCATCTGTTCCAGGTCGATCGCCTTAGGCCCCGAGCCCGCAATGATGAAGCGGGTGTTGGGATTGGAAGCAAGAATTCGCGGGATCGCCGCGATCAACAGGTCTGTGCCCTTATTATAGAAGAGACGGGAAATGACCACGATTGTAATAGTATCGTTGGGTCCAATTGGTGTCGGCGATAGTCGCGGATCGACGGGAGAGGTTGGGGTCTGGTCGAGGGCGCGAGGGGTGTATGATAATGGTCGAAAGTTCTCTGCAACGACGGCATTGGGGATCACGGAGACCATCAAAGGATCGAGTGAGGCTCGAAGCACCGTATTCTCCTTGCTGAGCGAGTCAGTTGGCGATCGTGAAACTGTCCATCCACAAACTTACCATGTATGGCTGACGCAGATCGCATGATCGACATCGCTGAGTGTAAACTTTAGTAACTTGTTGGTAAGAATTGAAGCTGCATCGGCAAATCCAAAAAGAGAGTGGTCTGTAAAGACTGTTCGCAAACCCATTGTTCGCGCATGGAGTATAGCTTCCCCACAGAAGCTACTGAGACTCGCATGGCCGTGGACGATTTCGATCTGTTCCCTTATGACAATATTGCGGAAGATGGGAAAGAATGAAAAGACGGTAGGGAAAGTCGTCTCGCGGTAAATGACGAAGAAAGGGACATGGTAGATCTTTAAGCCGTTGGTGAGGTATCGTACCCCTGTCCGGCCTTTGTAAGCGTGAGTGATGATGATGACTTTGTGCCCACGGTCGATCAATTTCTAAATAATTGTCAGACTGCGCTCAAGACGCCGGTGAACGTAGGATCGCGAGGATGAAGGTCTGGCAGCATACGGAGGACAATTGATAGATGTGACTCTCGATTCCCCCTTAAAAATGTTAGTGACTCCGATCTAGACCTAATACTATATTTCGGGACAAGTATGACTTACCTGATTGAGGAAAGAAGAAGTCACTGACCATACTGTCACCATAGAAAAACAAAAACCATCGTCAGCCCACTGTGATCATCACGGTGCCTGGCGCGTTCAGAACTCACGCAATGTTATAAGGCATTTTGGCGGCTGCGGCCCTGAGGCAGCGATATCATTGATGAATTCCAGATATCATTCACACTCAGCATCCTACCCATGACGATATGTTTGCGATGGTCACAGTGAACACTGTGCACACTCAATCGCAAGTGAGGAAGCTCGAGGCGATACTGCCGGGCGGTGAACTGGAACAGGATTACGCGGTGTGCCGCTTGGACAATCTGCCGGCAAAATCGTCGGTGAAGTGCAAAAAACTAAACCTTCCTCGAGTCGAGCGTCAATCCCGAGGAATGCAGCTCGAAAAAATGGCCGGATTCAAGGCTGCGCCTGATGCGACTAAAATGACCTTGACCCCCGCCTCCGGCAAGGCTCAAAAGCGAAAGCGAGATGTCGAAAACACCATTACAAGCACTCCAACGCCAACCAAAAAGTCCAAGAAGCGCGACAGCCAGTGCCTCGATGAGGGCAGCGCCAAAAAGCGATCGAAGCTTAAAGACCGGCTCCAAGGTGACAATTCACCGGCATCGACGCCGAAAGAAAGTGCTGTCTCGACCAAGCGCAGTAAGACGCCTGCTACAAACTCGGATGACCGCGAGGATAAAGCGGGAATCAAGTCAAAAAATGGCAAACGAAAGAGCTCTGGAAAGAACACTGAGTCGATTAATGAAACTGCATCTGTGAGCTCGGAGCCCCCAAGTGCCGACATCGCAGAAGTGACTGCGGAAGAGAAGTCTATGAAGAACAAGCATGCCGGACTTTTGTCCAAATTCGAACGAACAAAGACCGCTGCCGCTACAAAGGCCAAAAAGGCCAAGGTTGAGGTCACAGAGCCCCAGGAGGGAACAGCTGAGGCCGTCTTCGCGAAGGGCCTTGAGCCCTTACCCCAGCCTGAGAATGCTGAGGAGCCCGAGACTCTACCGACATATTCGTCTTTACCAGAGTGGCTGGCAAACCCCCGGCGAACATCGACCAAAGAGCGAGCCAAGTTCTCTGATCTTGGCATCAAGCCCGATCTTCTTCACATCCTTGACGAGCGCGGCTACAAGGAAGCTTTTGCTGTGCAGTCCGCTGTCATCCCCCTCCTTCTTGCCAATAGCAACAACTACCACCCCGGTGATGTTTGTGTTTCCGCAGCCACCGGTTCTGGAAAGACCCTCTCCTACGTACTTCCGCTTGTCAGCTCCCTCAAAGCTCTTCCCGCGTCAAGACTGCGGGGACTGATCGTTGTCCCCACTCGAGAGTTAGTGCGGCAGGCACGTGAATCATGTGAACTTCTTGCCTCTAGATCCGGACTTCGTATCGGAAGTGCCGTGGGTAATGTGGCCATCAAAGATGAGCAAAAGCTTCTCATGCGAGTGGACCAAGTGTACGACCCGGCCACCATCGCTCAACGACAGAACTCAGGTCTACGAGGGGATGACTGGATAGACTTTGATCTTGAAGCCTGCGTCAATGAAGCTGTAAATACCAATGAGTACCTCCCGGGCCACGCTCAGCGATCTGAGCCCAATGTCGATATCCTCATCTGCACACCAGGCCGACTGGTTGATCACATCCGTTACACCAAGGGTTTTACTCTCAAGTATCTGGATTGGCTCGTAATCGATGAAGCTGATCGTCTCCTGAATGAGAGCTTCCAAGATTGGGTTGATGTCGTGATGGGCTCACTGGACTCTCGCCAGGCCCCTGAGACTTTCGGACCCTGTGGTAAGTTTTTGCACGACATGAAGCTTTCCATTGCCGCTAGACCCCCGCGAAAGGTCATTCTCAGTGCTACCATGACTCGTGATATTTCGAAGCTCAACTCACTCCGCTTGACAAACCCAAAGATGGTCGTGGTGGGGGCTGAAATCACCTCCGAGCCCACCGATCTCCCCACCGACAGATTAGACGCCTCATACGACTTGCCACCAACTCTGCAAGAATACATGGTTCCGGTTGCGGAGGGCGCTCATAAGCCTCTCTACTTGCTGCATCTTCTCGAATCACAGATTAAGATCGCCGCAGCGAGCACCACCGACGACGCCGGCAGCGATACTTCTGAAGACAGCGACGATACCAGCTCTGATGAAGATTCTTCTGACTCCAGTTCATCTGACTCTGATTCATCTGATGACTCAGACTCGGACTCAGAGTTGGAAACGGATTCCGATACGGATTCCGACTCGGATTCCTCAAGTGACTCATCAAGTGACTCCGAGGAGGAAGTCGATTCTCCCGCAAAGTCGTCTACACCCCGCTCGACCGTTCTTGTCTTCACCAAGTCTTCCGAGTCCGCATCACGACTTGCTCGTCTCATTACTCTGACCAAGCCATCGCTTGCCAAGCAGATCGGGGTCATTGTCAAATCTAACAAGTCTTCGGCTTCTCGGAAGACTCTGTCTGCCTACCGACGAGGTCGAATCTCGATTATTATCGCTACTGATCGTGCTTCTCGTGGTCTTGATTTAGAGTCGCTGACCCACGTGGTCAACTACGATGTTCCACACAGCATCACTACTTATGTCCACCGCGTCGGACGTACTGCCCGCGCAGGTCGCAGTGGATCCGCCTGGACACTGGTTGCTCACCACGAGGGGCGTTGGTTCTCTACACAAATCGTTAATAGCCTCGATGGCCAAATCACACGCTCGAACAGCATTGATCGGGTGAATGTTAAGGTCGACAAAACTTCGGCGACCTTTAAGGGCTACGGTGCTGCTTTGGAGAAGCTAGAAAAGGAGGTCAAGATGGGCGGGGCGACCAAGTCCAATTCCAAGTCCAAGTCCAAGTCAGAATGAACTTGACAATTTTATGTCACGAATATCCTAAGCGCATATTATCGCGTGCACAGCGTCTTTCGTTCAATCAATTGTACAATGCAATTAACTATATGAGTCCTATGAACGAGCTTCTCTTCATGACATATCAATATACTACGCGAACAGGCCGTGTCCAGTGCGGCTTCATTCCAGTATGCCCCATCCGTAAAGACGAAGGAAACTTTGAGACGTAAATCGGGTGCTATAAGACCTGGCATCCTTCGGACAGAAGTTGCCCGAGATCCCGACTTGGAGCGGAGAAAGTGGGTCACGTCTGGGGAAGGCAAATCTGGGGCGTGGAGACATGCTTCGGAGTATGTCCGAGAAGGGGTCCAAGTTGAAGAATTGAAGAAACAAGACGTTCAAAAGTCCTCGAACCTGCTGCCAAGCCCGTTTAATCCCATATATCATCTTTTGGCTACGAAGCAAGTATGAACAGACAAGACACACTTTTCACAGTACCCGGTGAAGAATGGATATTTCGACGTATGTGCCTTCAGTTTACGCCTCTCTTCTCCTTTGATATCTCCCGCTAATACACAATTTCAGGGGAACATCCAGTTGCTCGATACATTCCCGGGGGATTTTCACCATCGAGGTGCATGAAAATTTCAGGCAGGGCGATGACTTATGCCATCTTCCTCTTTTCGGGATGTGCCATCCTCTTCTTTGGATACGACACAGCAGTAATGAGTCAAGTCAACAACAACGACGACTATATGCAACGCATGGGAGTGGCTAGTGGAAGCGACCGTGATGCTGCAGCCATTGGTGGTCTAGTTAGTTTGTGGTTTGGAGGCTTTGCGATTGGGGCGTTGATCGTGGGCTACATCGCCGACTCCATCGGTCGCTTGAAGACAATCCAGCTGGGATGTTTATGGGGCATACTTGGGGCCGGTCTGTTAGCATCAGCAGAAAACATGACTTGGCTCGCATTTGCCCGAGTCATCAGCGGTGTGGGATGTGGCCATCTGAACACGATGGTCCCCGTCTGGACATCCGAGCTGGCAGACCCTCACATGAGAGGTGCATTTGTGGCAGTTCAATTTACCCTCGCAATGATCGGGTCTACTATTGCATACTGGATGGAGTATGGCTGTCTCAAGTCTCAAACAATGTCCTTTGCATGGCGCTTTCCTCTCGGGTTTCAGATCGTCTTTCTGATCCTTATCTTGATCGCGGCTCCATTTTATCCTGAATCACCTCGATATCTGGCCAAGATTGGTGATCTGGAGGGAGCAAGAACAGTGCTAGAGAAGTGTCGTATCAAGACTGAAGAGCAGGCAATCGAGACCGAGATGGAGGAGATCGTTGTTGCCATCCGCGCCGAAGCCATGTCCACATCACACAGCTTCTACAGTATGCTGTTCACCAAGGATAAGCTACATACCCGGCGACGGGTTCTTCTTGGGTCTGGTGTGCAGATCATGCAAAAATTGACTGGAATCGACTTCATCGCGGTGTATGCTCCTAACATGTTCGCCCTGTCAGGATTCACGGGAGACAAGCCCGCGCTACTGGCAGGAGGTAACTGGTTTGGATACATTGCTAGCCTGGCGCTATCAATCTATCTTTGTGATCGAGTTGGCCGACGCAAGCTGATGCTGACTGGGTGTCTTCTCATGGGGATCGTCTTGGCCGTTGGAGGCGTGCTTTCCCACGAGACAATTGCTCATAAAGACAATGACCCGGCAACGGCCACCAAATTCGGTTCTGGCGTTGCAGCAATCTTATACATCTACACCTTCATCTACGGCAGTACTTGGCTAACCACTTGGTGAGTTACCCCAGGCACCCTCGTCCTAGCTTGACGCTAATTGGATGAAAGCTGGGTTTACCCGACAGAGGTATTCCCCCTTGCAAGCCGTAGCAAGGGAGCCGCATTGGCAACCTTTGCCTTTTCTATCGCCGGAGGCACCATTAATATGATCATTCCATATCTTATTCAAGCAATTGGCTTCTGGGTTTTCATTCTATTTGCTCTGATCAACCTGGCGTTGCTAGCTCCTATATATCTTTTCTATGTTGGTCAGTCCCCTCATGCTTTCTCTGGCTTTATAGTCTATTGATTTGCTCACTGGAATTGCTAGAAACTGCAAATCGCCATCTTGAGCAGCTCGACATTCTCTTCTCGAGCGATAGTTGTCTGGCTTGGAGAGCGGAAAAGAACTTTATTCAAAAATTGAATGAACAGGGCGGAATCCTAGGAGAGAACAACGAGAAGGGAGCTGTGGAGCAAGTGGAGTAAAGCAATCATTTGCACACCTTTTGATTAGAGCCTTAGAAGTTGGGCATTACAGCCTTAGAAGACATTGCGAGTGGGTCTCCGAAGGGGCCGTGGCTATCCGTGCAGGCATGTTCAAAGACAAACATGAATTTGACAAATTACTCAGAAAAGAGCCCGAAGCCGTCCAGAGAGGCGTTCAGAACTGTCCGCGAGAAAATTGAGAAGGACAAGGAGAAAGACGGTCTAGACTTATTCGACTACATGCTTGGTCTGCCTGTACTGATCCGTCTAACATGTCGAAGACTCGGAGTTGCCTCCGGGAAAACACCGCGCCTCCGCACGCCGATCAATTGGTTTTAGCCGATCAGCAATGAATCTCCCCTCCCGATCAAGGAAAATAGTCGACCGATAAAAGTTATGTAGTCAAGGTTACAGTCTACTCCACTTCTGCGGGGAAATGACACCGTTACCATCCAAGTCTGATAACGCTTATATCAATGCTGTCTCGCGTATACAATTCTTGACTTGCTGTTCATCTAGGGGCTGTTTTCTTGCAGACTGTACCATGGTGGTCACGAAAAAAAAAATACTCTTAGGGCTTTTCGCCTCAGTATCGGTCGCTGGAGCAGTTATCTTCAAACCACAGAATGAGTTTCAAGAGCTTTCTGGACTGAATGCCTCCTTTGCTGTGGACCTGGGGCCTTGGTTCAATAATCGTGCATTTGGAATGAAGCCTAATGAATCGAGCTTCGACGGTGATGGTAGTGAGTAGCGCTAGATGAAGATCTTATTAGACCAACATGCAACTTGATTGACATGCATTACCTAGACTCTTACCCGGCCACGGAAATGCCACCAGAGAGCTTCTCATATGGAGGATTCAATTATCGCTTCTCAGCATACAATTTCTCTGGCTATGACAATGTTCTATCAAAAGGCCAAGAGGTCAAAGTACCCCCTGCGAAATACTTTAGCTACCAGATGCTTGCCTCGTCAGAATCAGGAATGGCAGCTGGCTCGATAATTGCCAAATATGCTGATGGCAGCAAAACCACTGGATCGCTGCTGGTCCCAGCTTGGTGGAGTTGGCCATATCCGGCGAGGAGACTTGGTGTTTTCATCTTACTTGACTGAAAATACCACGAACTTCAATAGATCCAACATTTTCCAAACCATCAACTGGCTCGACTCCTCGAGGGAGCTTGTCTCGTTGACTTTTCCCAAGTCCTCGTCTGGGTCAGCGACCTCTCCGGGAGGTGCTTCGGTTGAAACCAAGCTGCACGTATTTGCATTGTCCATGTTACCGGTGTTGGACCACAGTTCACCTACAATCCAATTGGAGACGCAATATGCCCGCTCAACCCAGAAGTGGATGGAAGGTACTGACAAAGTACAAATCGTGGAAGTTCTCGTTAACAACCTTGGATCTTCATTTGCCCTACGGAATAGTAGCGTGCGTGTTCACATCGAGTCTCCGGGCCTTGAAACCGTGGGAGAGGGTGTAATCCACCGTCTTGGACCCGGTGATCAGGCCATAGTCGAGGTTGGTGTTCGCAACCGCAAGGGCGTGACACCTGGAACCACTGGTCCAGCCACGGTTGTAATTAAGGGTCGCAATATTGCATCTGTCAAGTATACATTCCAGGCAACCTATGGTATTAGACTTTATGAGGCTACCTATGAGTCTATTTACAGCCATGAGTCGCCAACCTGGTATAATGATGCCAAGTATGGGATCTTCATTCACTGGGGAACTTACTCAGTACCGGCCTGGGCCAATACGGGCCCCAGAGAAAGCTATGCGGAATGGTGATTGGAAGAAATTATCACATGTGTGTAAGCTTCAACTAACAGCTTCACTAGGTATTGGTGGTGGCTCGGCCAAGGGCCGAATTATCCAACTGACGTATACGACTACCATCTGGAGAAATACGGTCCAGATGTCGTGTACGACGATTTCATCCAGAACTTCACTGCTGATGCCTGGAATCCGAAAGAATGGGTAGATCTCTTTGCCGATGCCGGTGCCAATTATTTCGTCCAAGTCAGCAAGCATCATGAAGGGTATGCATTGTTCGATCTTCCGGAGAACGTGACGAAGAGGACTTCCGTGGCTATGAAACCACACAGAAACTTGATCCAGGTGATTTCAAGGCGCTAGATCGCACTTAGAATGCTGCTTATCAATATCCACTCAGGAACTATTCGATGCAGCAAAAAAGTACCAGCCACAGCTCCACCGTGCAGTGTACTATTCTTTACCGGAGTGGTTCAACCCCGATTATAGGAAATATGGCTTTTCCAGTTGGCCAGGGGGTAATCTAAATCAATAGAATGGGATTTGAGCTATGCTGACATCCGCTAGGGAACGCCACTGACCCATTCACAAACAAAACTTTACCGTATACAGGATGGGTGCCGGTCAATGACTATGTTACCGACAAGGTGCTTCCCGAGATGAACACCCTAGCCGACATGGGTACGGAGATTATGTGGTGTGATATTGGTGGACCTAATCGGACTCTTGAATTTGCATCGGAATGGTTCAATCGGGCGGCCAAAGAAAACCGCCAGGTCGTCATGAATTCCCGCTGTGGTCTTCCGGGCGACTTTGATACGCCAGAATATGCTTCCTACCACGGCGTGCAGGTTCGAAAATGGGAGGGAACTTGGGAATGGATCCCTATAGTTATGGCTACAACCGAGCTACACCTGTGGCAAGCTATATGAATGCCTCTTCGATCGTGGCCCAGCTTGTTGACATTGTCAGCAAGAACGGAAACTTACTTCTCGACGTTGGTCCTACTGCAGATGGAACGATTGTAGATGTGGAGCAAAATCATCTGCGTCAGGCTGGTACTTGGATCAAGAGCCATGCCGAGGCCATTTTCAATACTACTTATTGGTTTGTTACCCCCGAAGAAGGAAACGAGGTCAGATTCACTACGTCACAAGAGGCGTTCTATATTCACAACCTCACCAAACCTAACGGCACCCTGACCCTGTCAAGTCCCGTTCCTTACGTGCATGGTGACCAAGTTACGGTCGTGGGAGGAAAGATGCATGGAACAGTCGTGCCGAGCAGAAAGGACAGTAATGGCTCCGTGACTTTGTCCATCAGCAAGGACATTGCAGCCGCTGACCGATTCGCCTGGGTGTTTAAGATTTCGTACTAGATGATGTAACATCTGAAAGTTAGTGGATCCAGCAAGTCTTATTCAAGAACATGTAAGAAGCATGCATATTGGTAAGCGAAGACTTTTATTTAGCTGCGTATCAAGACTAAATTGAGGCAAGAATTTAGTGAATTGGCCATATAGCCAGACTCTATTGGGCATAATGGGCTTCAAAGTTATGGCCGTGACACTACTTTGAGCGTTAATTTTGTGGATTGCTTTATATACAAAACTTTTGGACAGGGGTAAAAACCAGTCTAGAGAGGTCCACAGCGGAATCCCCAGAAAACGAACGAGAAGAGTCCAGGGCACAGAATGGATGGAACGGAATCCGTAACCCGACCGGTCCTATCATAAGCGCCAATCAAGAATCAAGTATTTCATGAAGTACCACATATTCAGATCGTGCACGCAGGATAAAGATCAGGAACATTAAGCCGATGGTCTCTCTTCTGTATTTGATGATAAAATGGAGAAAAAAACTCGATAGTGGAGAAAATGCATCAAACCACCTGAAGCTCCGACCGCCATTATACGCTCATGCATGAGAGGGGTCGAGAGAAATAGGTTAGACAAAAAGTAAGTCTATGCTGAGAAGACTGTGCATCGAGTTCAGCCTATTTGTCAACTTGATTCAATAATTACAGAAAGCCACATCGGCCTCCATTGGCTAGCAAGCGTACTGATATTGACTACGGAGCTGGACTGGTGTAGGGCTTTACTTTAAGGAATGTGAATGCTAGAGGTAAACATGTTTGCATCAACCCCTTGGCATATTGCCAAAGTCGGTCTGTGTTGATGGTAGACAGCAGTGCTCGCTCATGGAACTATGGAAGTTAAGCCGATGTATCGCCGACAGATTTTGACATCCGATCAACGTCATCTTCAAATTCAGGCTAAATAGGAAGATTCAGTGAAGTCCGGAGAATCCCCGCATGGACGGGCTCCGGCAAAGCGTCGGGATCGGCTGCAGGACCTGCCGCGTTCGGCGTGGATGTGGAGAAGTTGGCGATTCCTCCGGGGTTTGGGGAATCTGTTCATAGCCGGCGTACGGCCCGGCATGTAGCTGCACGAGGGGGGTATAAATTGAGGAGGCATCCTTGCATGCAACAGACCAAGTGCGATCCCAACAATGTCTGCTGCATTGTTCTTGCTGGCGGCTTTGGCGCCGGCGGCGTGGGCTCAGGCCAACACTAGCTATGTGGACTATTCGACGGAGCCCCAACCCAATCTCGATGCTTGGACTCTGGCGACAATTGACCTTTCCTTCCCTGACTGCTCCAAGAGCCCATTGAACAAAACCCTGGTGTGCGACACCTCGGCACGACCTCATGATCGTGCAGTGGCGCTTGTTTCGATGTTTACGTTTCGAGGAGCTTGTGAATAGCACGGGTAACAACATCCCAGGAATTCCTCGTCTCGGTCTACCACCATATCAGGTGTGGAGTGAGGGCCTCCATGGGCTGGACCGCGCCAACTTCTCGGACTCGGGCGACTATAGTTGGGCCACCTCGTTCCCTTCTCCCATTTTGTCCATGGCCGCCCTGAACCGCACCTTGATTAATCAGATCGGTGGCATTATTTCAACCCAGGGCCGCGCATTTAACAACGTCGGTCGGTATGGTCTGGATGCATACGCGCCAAATATCAACTCTTTCCGCCATCCCGTCTGGGGCCGTGGTCAGGAGACTCCCGGTGAGGATGCCTACTGCCTGTGCTCGGCCTATGCCTACGAGTACATCACCGGTATGCAGGGTGGAGTGGACCCGGAGCACTTGAAGCTCGTGGCCACGGCTAAGCACTATGCCGGATACGACATCGAGAACTGGGGTGGCCACTCTCGTCTGGGTAACGATATGAACATTACCCAGCAAGATCTGGCAGAGTACTTCACTCCTCAATTCCTCACTGCAGTTCGCGATGCGCGGGTACACAGTGTCATGTCATCGTACAATGCGGTCAATGGCGTGCCAAGCTCGGCCAACTCGTTCCTCCTGCAGACTCTCCTTCGTGACACATGGAACTTTGTGGAAGACGGATATGTCTCATCCGATTGCGATGCGGTGTACAACGTCTTCAATCCACACGAGTATGCTCACAATGTCTCCAGTGCGGCAGCTGACTCCATACGCGCTGGGACGGACATTGATTGCGGAACATCTTATCCGTACTACTTGAATGAATCATTCATCCAGGGCGAAATCTCCCGGAGCGAGATCGAGCGTGGAGTCATCCGACTTTATTCGAATCTCGTGAGTCTGGGTTACTTTGACGGCAACAATAGCGAATATCGCAACCTTGATTGGTCTGACGTTGTCACTACTGACGCATGGAGCATCTCATACGAGGCTGCCGTGGAGGGTATTGTTTTGCTCAAGAATGATGGAATCCTGCCTCTATCTAGCAACATTAGTAGTATCGCATTGGTTGGACCTTGGGGCAACGCTACCCAACAGATGCAAGGCAATTACTATGGAGACGCCCCCTACTTGACCAGTCCATTGGCGGCTCTGGAAGCCTCGAGCCTGGAGGTCAATTACGCCTTCGGTACCAACATATCTTCAGAGTCCACCATTGGATTTGACGATGCAATGTCTGCCGCCGGGAAATCCGATGCAATCATTTTCGCCGGAGGCATTGACAACACCGTTGAAGCAGAGGGCATGGACCGCTCCAACATTACATGGCCAGGAAACCAGCTTCAACTCATTAAAAAACTCAGCGAACTGGGCAAACCGGTCATCGTTTTGCAAATGGGTGGTGGTCAAGTTGATTCCTCATCTCTCAAGGCCAACAAGAATGTCAACGCTCTCATCTGGGGTGGATACCCAGGTCAATCCGGCGGACAGGCTCTTCTGGATATCATCACCGGAAAACGGGCGCCCGCTGGTCGACTGACAACGACTCAGTATCCTGCAAAGTACGCTTTGGATTTCCCCGCCACGGATATGAATCTCCGTCCCAGCGGAAATAATCCCGGCCAGACATACATGTGGTATACTGGAAAGCCCGTTTTCGAGTTTGGACACGGCCTGTTTTACACAACCTTCAAGACCTCGCTTGCACGCTCAAGAAGCTTGAGCAACGGAAGCTCATTCGATATTGTTGACCTTTTGTCGCGGTCTCACGAAGGTTACAATACAGTGGAGCAGCTGCCCTTCTTGAACTTCACTGTTTCTGTCACCAACACAGGAAATGTTCTCTCAGATTACACAGCCATGCTGTTTGCCAACACAACTGCCGGGCCCAAGCCTCTTCCCAATAAGTGGCTGGTTGGTTTCGATCGGCTCGGTTCTTTGAAATCTCACACCTCCCAGGCAATGACCATCCCTGTCTCGCTGGATAATGTTGCTCGCACTGATTCCCTCGGCAACCGTATCGTCTATCCTGGGAAGTACGAGTTGGCCTTGAACAACGAAAGATCTGCAGTCTTGTCATTTACCTTGACTGGAGATGAGACAGTCATTTCAAAGTGGCCGCTTGTCGAGCAGCAGATCCCTTCTGCGTGATCTTGATTTCAAGAAGTCGAAAATATGTCGGCATGTTTTGCACAACCTCCTCGGATAGAATCCATATCGCAAAAAGATGGAACAATAAATCAGTTCAAATTAAACAAGTATCTGAGCGGAGAAACTTGACAGAGCAGCCAAAATCTCTAGGCATTTAAGAGGTCCTTAAAAGATCAATCACCAAGGACCTTGTCTTGTAATTCTAGTTTAAGATAGGACGTGGAAGAGGACTAACATCTTGGAAAAATACATTAATCAAGTATACACCATGTGAGTAGCGGAAACTATTGCGCCCACGGCCATTGCAGTGAGAAGAGCCGTTCCAGCAGTATCCGCAGTGGCGATAGCGGAATATTGTACCTCGGTGGCTGTGTCTTTTGATCCTGTTCCAGTCAACGCATCTCCCTGCTAGACCCGCCTGTAGAAGAAGTCAGCGGTCCATTCACATTGGCAGCAAGTAATCCCTCGAGAACTTTGACAACTCCCATCTACACTAGCAGTCCCGTCATAGCCACCACTTGACCAGCGGAATCCTTAATGGATGCGTCTAGTCCCTCTAGCATTGTGCTGCAGCGGCCTTCGCAGTGGCCAGGAGCTAGATCATGATCATGTCATACGTATAATGTGCAGATTGCGTGACATCCGCTTGGCATCGAGAAAGATATGCTCCAAAGGACAATTGATATGTCTCGCAGCTGCTAATACTCGCATAAAATAAAGTTTGAACTGAGATATCACCACATAGGAAGAAACCGATAGGTCATTTAGATCGACAGGGGCCTCAATTTGGAGAAAAATCAACCCACATGTTTTCGAAACACGCATAGTCTCTCATTTTTGATGCAGAAAGATTGTCTCTATGAGGTACATAAGACAAGCATTCATTAGTATTGTCTAATAGTCATATAAGTTTGTTTGAGATGGAGGAAGACTGTACAGATGAAACGGAAAATCCCAGATGTGATCTCCGGGTGGCAGCCTCGTGGACCAGGTGTCGACCTGAAGTGGATACGGTCATTGGCTCCGACGTCGTTGAGTTCGTTCCCCGCAATCGGCAATCCGCGTTTCGCACTTCTCAGATCACAGCCCTGCGGTCGAATCGTACTGCCGGACTATGGACACCAGTCCATTAAGCGTCCAGCCGCGCTCGGAACCTGCCTCGGGGGCTGCCTCGGCGCGGGGCTCGCTGACCGGAGGTCGTCAGATCACCCGAAACCGCGCAAGTTACAGTTGCCACACCTGTCGCCGGCGAAAGGTGAAATGCGACAAAGTATGCACCTCGGTCGCTATTACCTGCAAGGATTTGCTAATTCCGTCTCTGGTTTAGGTGCATCCGATCTGCGGGAACTGCGCGAAGACCGGGGCCGAGTGCGTATACGATGTGTCGTCGCAAAAGCGGGAAGAGGAGCGCGATGGTCCTTTTCGAAGTGGGCAAGGTGTGAAACGAAGGAGGGGAACTTCAAGAACCTGGGAAGAGAATGTGGACGAGTTGCAATCAATCTATGGAAATTTGAGGGAGGCCGAGTCATCGCCAGATCATAAACCAGACCCTCGAGCGATCGAAAGTCGACTGGATAAGCTGATGACCATGATTGAACGAATTGGTGGGGCCAGTCAGGCTCCCGAAGCTATCGAAGAGCAGTCGGTCGCGTCAAGCGCTGGTCTGGGGTCAGCTCTCATGCAGGATTTGCGACAAAGAAATGCACGGAATGAGACCTTCGACCCTTCCCAGCAATCGAGTCCTCGTCGGGCTCCTACAGAGTCTGGTGGTGAAGAGTTCCCCATCCCATCTGGACAAGCAACAGATTTGGTTGATCCGGTGGGAAGTCTGAATCTCGGGCATCTGAGTCTGGAGGATGGCGGAAGATCGAGATACGTGGGAACAACATACTGGGCTTACATTTCCCATGAGGTATGCCGGTTCTGGTCCTCCTCCTTTACGTGAACTTTTCTAACATGAATTGAAGATCAATGATCTTAATCAACTGTTAAGGGATCAAAACCGGTCGCATGAACAGCAAGTCTCAGATGCCAACAATGAGAACGATCTCATGACGAACGGCCGCCAACCGTGGAAGCAGTCTACTGACAGCTCGACGTATGCAACCTCATCAAGATCGCCGCGCGGTTCCTTTCAACAATCAATCATCTTTCCAACTGGTGGATCCCCGACCATAAAGGAAACAGTCGTCGAACCAGAGATGCTTGAGCATGTTCCGTCCAGACGCCAGAGCCATATTTTGTACAAGGCTTTCATGTCGGGCGTCCATGCCATCAGCCCCGTTATCCATCCACCAACTGTCCTGAAGCTCTACGATGAATTCTGGGACTGGTATGATTATAGCAGTTATTCCGGAGAGCCTTGTCCGAATCCTTCGTTTTTACCACTGCTATACGCCATCTGGTACGGCGGATCAGTGACAATATCGATCCGAACCATCAAGGCCGAGTTCAACGTCCTGTCTCGAGTCTCGTTGTCGAATATGTATAGCGAGGAGGTTACTCGTTGGTTGACGAAGATTTCCTTTCCACGGAGCCCTTCCCTGCAAGGACTAGCCGCATATCTCATTGTCCAGACGATTCTGTCCAAAGAGGAAGAGCCCTTGACAAGCAGCTTATTTATCAGTCTCGCGATGAGAGTGGCACAAACCATGGGTCTACATCGTGACCCGGCAAAATTTGGGATCGAGCCCTGCGAGGCAGAATATCGGCGCCGGTTGTGGTGGCATATCATACACATGGATGGTGTGGTAGCAATGTCCAGTGGGCTGCCTCCATTAGTCAGTGAGGAGAATTACTGGGATGTACGAGAAACGAGTGAAGTGAAGGACACCCTGCTCGGTACCCCAGCAGCCGAGCGATATGAACAGCTGGTGGCGACCAACCAACGAGTCCCGGACAACCCCGATGACCCATTGCTTGGCGGGGGACCCTCAATGGTGAATGTGTTCTATCTCAACGCAAGAGGCAAATACATAATGGCCCGTGAGTGCGGTTTATATGTCATTCAATTATAGAGCTAACCACAGTGAAAAGGTGCCGTTCGCCGTATTTTGAAAATTCAGCTGGGTACGAGACCAGTGACTCGCAGAGACATGGAAGAACTTCGGGTAGTTCTTCTCGATCTTCAGCTCAAGTTGAACTCAATAGTGGACAGGATCCCTGATCGAAAGGCTACAGACGGTACTCCGGGATCTTCTGGTCGCGCTCTGTCCATGTCCAAGTCCCCCATGGAGGCTAGTTCTGCGGACCCAGAGCCACCTGGCGAAGGTATAAACGGCTGCCCGGAACAATACCATTCTCCAGTCCATGCTTCATTCCATAAGTGGGCGAGGATTATTTTGTCGCTTTATATTGACAAGGTCGGTCATGCAAACTGCAAAGCAGTGCTGTTTCTTCTTGCTGACTAGTCATCTTAGGCATTTTGTGTCGCGTACCAACCATTTCTCAAGAATGCTCGCAGCCGAATTTGGCCCGCCGCACGACAAAGGTGAGTCTTGAAATTCCATTCACGATTAACTTCTTTCTAACAGCTCTAGTGCACTCCGTCACTGCCATGGATTTATGGAAAAATTCATTCAGCTTGCCACAGACCCTGACTTCCAACCGTTCCAGTGGAGCTGGCCTGGGAATCACCAGCCCATGCATGCGACGATGTATGTGAATCTTTTTTCAAAATTTTCTGAAAGCTAATCAATTCTTGCCAGGATCATGCTCATCGACCTGTATGAACGACCATATAGTCCGGAAGCATCAAAGTCTCGCGCGTTCATTGATCGGATCCTGGCTCTGTCCGGGCCAGATGGAGGCGTTGTAGGCGGCGAAGATGGTATTTCTACACAGCGGCCACTCAAGGATGGCGGACGTGAAGCTTGGGATATGATCCGCCGTCTCCGCCAGAAAGCCTGGCAAAAGGCTGGCCTCAATCCGCAAATGCTTTGGACGGAACAGGATCAAATCCAAGCCGGCCTCGCGTCACCAGCAGGGGAGTCAGGAAATCTTTGCAGTTCGTTCAACTCGGGGGCTGAACCTCCCTCTGCAGCAGCAACGGCACCACGCCAACCTGTGGCTCCAGATCGGCAGTTATCGGATTTCAACAAAACCTTTTATAGCATGACTCGTGCCCATTTACTTCCCAATCCTGCTGTTTCTTCAGCTTCTCTCCGCCCCAGTCCTCTGCGATATGCATACCAACTACCTCCCCTGAACCAAACTTCTTCTCACCCAACCACTCAAGACCACCGCACGCAGGCAGCTGTCAACATTTCCGGAGCAAGTACTATGGCTGCTCAATCTGCCATGGCGACATCACCAACAACATCCGCTTTGGCAGGCCCCCCTGCGACCCACTCCCCCACTGCCGCTTCCACCGTTCCTGAACCCCCTCAGCAAGCCATCCCCAACAGCACCTCCCCACAAATGCCTTTCATGGATCCAGCCTCACCTGCTCCCCAAATGGGAGTCCCCACTCCACCTTTCATGGTGGATCCTAATCTGAACTTCGACTGGGACCAGTGGGATGCTGTATTCGGACAGCAACTACCCGTCGCCGATGAGCTTATGGAGCTGGATCCTGTGGCAGGGCTAGATTTTGCCCATCTTGGAGTTCCATCCGGGAATACCCCCGGCGCTCTGGGGGCCAATGCATTCCCCGTCACTACACCAAGTGATGTTGGACTGCCGCCAGTCTGGACAGAACAGGGCTCGGCAAACTCCGAAGGACCTTCCCCAAGCAATTGGTCTGGGTACTATTGATAACAAACTTGGGGAACATCTTTTTTGAAAATAATGCAAATGTAATATAGCGCCATGATCGGCAGTTGGAGACCTCGATTTGTACATCAGGAGAGCTAAAAAAGGCAGTTCGGCTGATGATCTCCCGACTTCCAACATCAATTGTAGATCCTAGTTACTACCAGCGTTTCTCAAAATAACACGTTTTGTTTCATGGAGAAGTTCTCCTACGACCACCGCATCTCTCTACGGAAACAGCATTATTGAAGACGTAACAGTATATCGATTCATGAGGCGTAACTCTTGACGATCGGATGGATCGATCAATTAGGATACGAAGGTGCGAAATGTAAAGCCAGAACAGACAAAAGGCCCGGCGGGAGAGAATAGACATATCCCCGTGTCCAGTTTAGCCATGGATGCAGAGAAGTCGCGTTTCTTCGTAGCTCGCTTTCTTCAAGTCAAGTGCATTTTTAAGAAATTCGCCGAGAAGATCAGAGGCTTAAACCTTGGTCTCCTTGAAACCGTGCTTCCAGACGGTGGCGTAGGGGGTAACACCATCCTCACGGAAGTCAATCAGAACGTGCCTAGTATGAGTTAGTGGGAGTAACAGTTTAATGGATGCCAATGGAGACATACATGGCATCACCATCCATGGACTGGCCCATCAAGACATCGTAGTTGTCGTAGTTGGCGAGAATCTTCTTCATGGCAGCAGGGGCACCGGCCTTGAACTCGGCAATGGATTCGGCGGGGGCACCGTTCTCCTCGAGCTTCTTCATGACCTTCTTGAGGTAAGCTAGAAAAGTAAACTGGTTAGTTGAATCGTTGACGTTTGAAGATCGACACAAAACGAACTCTTAAGGTGAGACTTGAAGCCATCCTTGGAGGGCTTGAGACCCTCCTCCTGCTTGAGCCAGACGAGGCGGAACTGGTCCTCAATGTCGTGAACCATGACAGCCTCGCCCTCACCACCCTCCTCCTCGCCGTCCTCAGCAGAGGGGTTGGCACCCTCAAGAGTGAAGTCCTCGTTGGCCTTCTTGAGGTACTTGCGGCAGTCGGTCTCCCAGAGAATAGGGCAGTCAGCGGCGGGCTTAATGTTGAAGGTATCGGAGAGAATCTCGTCTCCGGAGATAATGTCCTGCGATGATCAGTTGACAAGTCCTATATGCGCCTTCGAAAGACGGTAAGACAGAGAGGTGTACCTCGTAGATAATCATGGTGGCGGTTCTAAAGGAAGAAGTCTTTTGGAGAAGAAGGAATGGGGCTGGAGGGGAAGAGAGGAAAAACAGAAAAGGAGGGGAAAGAAGTTTTTTTTAGTGGCGGCTGGTGGGGGGAGTTTGCACACGTGTTTGCATTGGGATTGCATGGTGCTGACTCAGCTATGCTGGTGCTCGCCCAATCTGGGAAGTGTATACAGAGGAAGTATATATTGTATGGCTATTATGAAATAGTACGCTATGTCATAAAAGACCGAGTGTATCAAATGGACTGCCTACTGTACTTGATAGAAGATGCCATCGTGAAGATCAAACCCTGCATTGGCGACCATGTCGATCCACATCTCTTCTTGATATAGTAAATCTGTGCGCTCATCTGACAGCTGTGGAGTCTCCAAAACTTCGTTCGATGGACTTGAATCTACATTCGAGTTGGGAAGAGTGGTTTTGGGTGCAATTATTTGCGCGCTAGTGTCATTGAGGGCAGTGGTGAGGACTGGCACCTGGGATGAGGTAGGGGCGGTTGAGGTGGCACCAGGGATCGCCATGGCTTGGTGAGAGAAGTAGTCACGGGAAGAGATATTTTCAGATACCAAAGTCGGAGGCCGTGGAGCTGCTATCGGCCAGCTTTGCGCAGCTCGGTACTGGGCAAGGAGATTCTCCAGGAACCGGGCCTGCAAGGTACAGCTGGAGCCGGGGGGCGCAGACTGGCAATTGAATGCAGCAGCAGCCTTGTCAATTAGTCCCAGAACAGTCGACTCCATATCAACCGTCATGGACTTTGAGCCCATGACGCCAACCTTCATGAGAAACTTGAGCAAGGTACAATAGAGACGAGAAGTCTGTCACCAATTTGAGCATGAAGAGAGCACTTTCATAGCTAATCCAAAATGGCTTGATCTCTGCCGCTTCGTCTGTCTTCGGGTTGAAAAGCGTATCCTGAAGAGGAAAAGAAAACAACTGCAGCCGTAGGTGGGCCCCGTAGAACTGGATCATGAACGAATGGCATGTCCCTGTCGTGTTACTCAGTCTTTTGTTGTCCATTGAAAATGATTTGATAGATCAATACCGGGCTCGATCATACTCATCCATTTACTTTCCCATGAATCAATGTGCCTTTGAAGACTAGACAGTAATGGGCCTTGTGACGATGAGAATGGTCGCAGCCATCCAAAAGCATCCGCTGCCAACAAACGCAGAGAAAAAAAGCTGCAAAGCAACCGATCGTTAGAGATAGAACATGCATTTTGCCACCAAGTGTTTGCTGACTCAATCAATTGACCTCTGTCGATCATCCACGGCTTTCCAGTCTGTAGACTCATGCTTGTGGAGGTAAGTAAAGCGCCAGGTGTTGTTGGGATAGTGCTCTCACCTGCGGTCGTAGACAAAAAGGACCAGCCAGGTTCGCTCTACATTTCTAGCCTCTCTTCGATCGCTGTCCGTAGAAATTTCTCCATGAGGTGTTGATACATGCCAGTTCAAGTCTAACCCCATCCTGATTGCAAGACCAAGTGACATCCAGGCACGAGCATCATTGGGTCCCTTCCAGTAGGTAAGAATCAGAATTGGCTGGACTGATTCGGTGAATTTTTCACCTTGGCGTAGGCATTGAGAGAACAGTTCCTCAACATATGCATGCAGTGTATGGTACAAGGCGGAATCGAAGGCCTTGGATGCCGCCGCCAGCACCGTTGTAAACAGGAAGGAGGACTTGTGTCGTACATATGCAAAGGAGTGCAATTCGGGGTCGAGCTGGCTAACATATGGATTCAATTTTGTCATGAAACTGGTTTACGGTTTAAGTGGGCTTTTCTATATGAAGACATGGCGATCAGCTCACTTATCAAATAAATGAGCGGGCGACCTGATGATTGATCAGGCATGATACCACTAGATCGTTTCCGGGGATAGATCTGCTCTCGCCGTTGAGTGTGGCAGAGATGGGATGAGCGCTCAGCACATTTTGAAGCGAGAAACTACCTCTGATCGCCTGCTGGCTGAGCAAGCCATGCGGCTGCAAGGCCCCTGGTTGTGTCCAGAAAGTTGACATGTCTTTCTTTCTGACGTGGATGAGATCCCGGAAGTGATATTCCCTTGCGAGCCGTGTGATGTCGAGTCTTGCAAACCCAGACCTTCTCCGTTTTTTCTGCCTTTGAGTCTATCATGGAGATGAGATGAATCTAAATACTCGATAAAACGATCAATTCTCATACCTTGTGCCTGGCTTCCTGCCTCGACGATGCTCGCAAAACGTACAAACGAAGGACTTCCGCGAGCAACGATCACATTCAATTGCACCTTGTGTTATTCTGCACTTCATTTTCACCTTTCTACATGCAAGACAGGCATTGTATGCTGTCAAAGAATCAGGATACATTCCTCGGCGTCGTCGGGCTATCTTACCTAGCGTTGTGCCATGCACATCTATCAAACTTCGGGACGACATCCTGACCGGTACAATGAGGAATACCTGGATTCTTTCCGTCCGCAGAGATCAAATTTGATAATATGTTAGGAAGGGAACGTTGAGTCACTAGCGCCAATGCGCCAATAACTAACCCGGTTCCCCGCGACTTCCATATTGGTTATCAATCTGTCCTGTTCAACCAACAACAATCTTGAGTCTCTTACCTCTCCAAAATAAAAAGCTGACAAGTTGACCGGTGACTTACGTGATCTTTGTCGTCTTTAATGTCATCTAGAACGCCGGTGTATCCACTTTGGTCACCGGGGTACTTCGATATTCGGCGAGGGCGCAAGCTAAAGACAAACTTAGGACAAGGTTGCCTAGGCAGTAACTTCTCAACGCTCTTGCAGAAACTTGTCAGAACAACCTCATCTCCCAAACTACAATATGACCGTTCAAACCCCCAAATCGGCGCATGTCAACATGACGGTGGACACCATTATTGCCAATCTTCCGTTTGACGGTCTACGTGCAGTCTTACGTGGTATGCTGGCAAGTAAGCCCGATTGCACTGGGACATTTGAAGAACAAACCGAGAATTTTATCCACGAAACGGCTTCCCGCTTTTCCAAATCTGTCAATGAAGGAGCCGCCAATGACTTTTTCCACTCTGATTCCTCTTTTGAGGAGATTCGAAAACGTGTTTGCTGTATGGTCGGCTGCGGACTATGCTACGAGGCCATTCCCCTACTTCAGTACCTTGTAGAGCGGGTGTCAGGGATGAACCTCCAAGACTGCCATTGCATCGACCATGAATTTGCGGCCTTGGAAGGGCTCATTGTGCAGACCCTTACTGCTGTCCAAAAGACACTCGTCGTGGTCACTGGCCTAAGGCAGCTGTCTGCCAAAGAGCGATTGCCACTGAATGCTTTGCTTCAGTCGCTAGTGACATGCAAGCTGAGCTGGGAAAGGGTTGAACGCTACTTCCCTTTAGAAAGAGGGCTCGAAGCGACGACAGATCTTCTTGAACCTTGTGTTGCCTTGGAACTACCGATAGATTCAAGTGCTCTCTCTGGTGGAGAGTATCTCGGTGATTCCAGAAACATTCGATTTGAGCAGCATCGCAATCCCTCGAGTCTTTACAGGACTGTGGCAACTTTCCAGCCCCGCCTGGGGAACAGCATCACGATCCAAAATGATGGAGCAATTCTCTCGATATGTTAAAAATGGGTTCACCGCATTTGACATGGCAGACCACTACGGGGACGCAGAGATAATATTTGTTCGTAACGTTCCACTTTCCATGGTGCGCAACTGTCTAATACTTGAACAATAGGGTCGGTACCGGGCTTCTAGTCCCTTTTCAAATCAGATATTTGCCGCAACTAAATACTGTGACCCCTGAAGCCGTCCGTTTCAACGTGAACGAACGGTGCCATAGGCTGCGCACCGATAGGATTGACCTCCTTCAATTCCATTGGCAATTTGTGGGTCTAAGCATGTGAAGTTACAGGGGAGCTTGTGCTGACCGCAAACCCCAGCACGATGATACCCGATATATTGATGCCCTTGGATACTTACAAGAAGACGTTCGAGTGAAGCATCTCGGTCTCTGCAGTTTTGACACCAAGCATATGCAAAGGGTGGTCGACAGTGGAATCACTGTTGCTACGAACCAGGTTCAAGTGAGCAGCTATGTCTAGATTCATTTTCCGCCTCATGCTAATGGAAATAGTTCTCTCTCATTGATTCTCGACCAACTGTAAAGATGGCCAAGTTCTGTGAAGAACATGACGTTAAGCTTCTTACATATGGCACACTTGTATGTATCTCTAATATTGCCGTTCATCGACATTTGTATTGTTCTAACAAATGCCACATGTAGTGCGGGGGGGTTGCTGGCAAAAAAATTGATTGGTCAAGATGCCCCTAATCTATACAGCGAGAGCATGACACCGAGCCAACGCAAAGTAAGGTGCCTCTTTTCGAATATCTGATGAAATTTCGGCTGACTGATATCACTAGTACTTTTCAATAATCAACAGTTGGGGAGGCTGGGCCGTGTTTTAGGAGCTCCTCCGTACACTTCAATCTATTTGCACGCAAACATAGTGTTACGGTCTCCAACGTCGCGACGAGATGGGTTTTGGACTTTCCATGTGTGGGTGCGGTGATTATAGGAGCACGAATGGGTGTCAGTGAGCAGTGGCAAGACCACTTGGCTAGTCTGGGATGGTCTTTGGATGCAGAGGATCACAGACAGGAGTAAGAAGGATGAGATGTTCGAGGTCTTGGGCAACTGCGGTGGAGAATACAGATAGTACTTCAATGGTACTGATCAATTGGAATCATGGAGAACAAGTTGAAAGTTCGGAAAAATGAAGCTGGCTGTTTGATGCCTGAGAAAACGCCCTTTTAAATGGAAGACACTAGAAAGAATATCAAATTTGAGATGTGAAAGGATCTCATCAAGGCCTAGGATATTATATCGAGTGAACTAAGCGATAAAACCATGAAGGTTCTGAGTTCTCCTCGCTAGCATACTGCCTGTATTCCTTTTCCTGTTCAGTGGACCGGTACTAGGTTTGTAGATCCATTTCCTTTAGTGGGATGATTTTCGACTTTAAGAAGAACTTAAAGAAGATGTACAACACTACAATCAGCTCCTCATTAGTAACACTAATACACATACCATTGTAGAGACATACCGGCAAAAATGGCAATGTTCAAAAAAGAAGTCAAGAACCCGGCTGCGGTAAAGTTCCCTGTAGTTAACACGTCGAACCCTGCAAAGCCAACAGTTCAGTCATAGTGAGACAAGTCGCGGGCAGGAGTTCCGAGCGCAAACATACCAGAGAACAATACGACCAAAATAACCATGATTAGAGTTGCCCATGCCGTAAATGGCTGCAAGGGACTGCGATGTGGAAGTCCTGGATCTCGTAAATACACGATCCCACATTGAATAGCAAGTGACTCACCTTTCCTCGAGTATCCCTGTGCTGGAAGGCCCGCGTGAAATCGAAGATAAGTTAGTTCAATCACAATCCACCCAATTAAGCCGGCAACGGTAGTGATATTCACAAACCAGTTGAAGACGAGGGATGAGTGGATGAGTCGGTCCCAACTGACAGATACATAAGTGGAAGTAGTGATACGGTTAGACCCACTGCAAGATAAGGTGTTCCGAAACGGTTACACTTTTGAAACAGCCTAGGGGCGTGTCCATCTCGACTGAGTCCGTATAAGGTTCGAGATGCAATGAAAATCCAGCTCGAACCGCTGCTGATAGCAGAGGTGCAGACCACTCCGTTGATAATATGGGGGAGGACAGAGACGCCGGGTCGCTGAAAAGCGATCACGAAGGGGTGATTGTTGTGCAGTGCCAGTAGACAAAGTGAGGTCTGGGTCATTGTACGGCCTATGTCAATCAATTGGTGATTCGTAGTCCCCGGGCACGAAGTTCTCTGGGATAATACACAATAAGTCCAACGATGAATATGCTGAGCACGTAGAAAAGAAAAACGCGGATGAAGATCTTCCTGGTTGCAGCAGGAATTGTTTTGCGGGGATTTTGAGTCTCCGAACCCGAGATAGCCACCACTTGAATATTACCATAGCTGAAGGCAGAGGTTAAGAGGACTTTCCAAAATGCTAAGAATCTTCCCGTGGACCCTGTGGCGATATCACTCGTTAAATGCACCGGGTGTGTTCCAGTAGTGGAAACCGAGACGTTGCTGATCCGGGCCTCCGCCGAGATCAATCACAAGGCCGCCGAGGATCAAGCCCAGGATCAGCATGATTTTGAGAGTTGCAAAGACGACTTCGGTCTAGCGATTTTCATCAGTCAAGCTCAATATCCGTGAAATCTGACGACCGACCTCCCCATACAGACGGACGCCGCAAAAATTGACGACGATAATGAAGAACCCAAAGATGGTGATTCACACGGCTACATTGACGGGTACATTCCAGAATTGAACCACAGTCGAAGTGGCTGTAATCTCTGCAGGCGCGGAGATGGCCCTGGTATACCCTACAACAATCAGCCTTGGCCCAAGGGGAACTGGAAATGAGCTTACAGAAATTCCAGCCCGTTGCTGCGCCGAGAGCTAGCTCAACGAATTTCGTTGCATGCCGAATGAATCCACCCGTCACCGGCATAAAGGCCGTAATTTCTCCCGTTGTGTAAGAGACTCCGGCAGCAATCAAGCCCATGATAATATAGGCTATGAGGGCACCTGCGGGGCCTGCAATGGCAATTACCTGTCCGGAGCTTAAGAAGAGACCCGTTCCCTACAGATATCGCGACCCCCGAAGTAAGCCCTCCGTCTTCCAAACCACTGAGGAGCGACTTACAATCATTCCCGCAATGGCAATCATAGACGCTCGATCTCTCTTGATTTCTTCACCTTCTTCGACATCGGGACTGGTATGCATCTCGACATCCTTGGAGATTGCCTCGAGCTTGTTGTCGCTGGATGACTGCATGGTGTTATGAAAGGCGCCTGGCAAATGGACCCGCCGTCACGGCTGACAGGATATTTATCTTCAATAGAATGACATTGGAAAGAATAGCTTGGAGATTAGCTTGAAGATAGCTTATCTCCATGAGCTGGGATCCCATTTAAAACGATAAAATGATCGAGATACGAGAGCATGTCTATTCGGTGCTGGGGAGGGGCGAGACCGGCCTCTTACAATTGCGGGGGTTTGGCTGGAAGGACGCCGGTCATTGCATTTGAAACGCCGGGTCTCTTCGCCATGCCATCAAGTACTTCACCCACCGCTTGAAGTTCAAAGAGGGCAAGTTAGATAAGACGCACTCCCCGCCGTAATAGGCAGAAGTCCCCGTTCTAATACTCTCTCTCCTTTCTCGCTATTCCTACGTCTGTTTGTCACGGTCGGAATGGGTGAAGAATTCCAACTCTACGATCTGCGCGTCGAGGTGGTGTGCCCGGCTGATAAACGTATTATGTGTGGAGCGAAGGAGGGAATAAGCATCTACAGTCTGAGTCAGTTCCTACCCCGGGCTGATCGTGAACAATACACGACTGACTCGTCCTTGCAGCTTCGGTGCTGCCCTTACTCGCAGCTAAACAATGCATGACGCTCGCGCACGACTGGATGACCACCGACTCGTTGATCGCGTGTCCCGATCCCCATTGTCCATCGCAGTTGAGAATCCTCCGAACGGGCGTTCGGACCTTTAAGCATTCCGAAACGACGGTGGTGACATTGAAGCATGATTCTTAAGACAAGATGGGGGGGGGGGCGGGGTTTCTGGACCGCTTACAGTGCCGCGCACACGCAAATGACAAGTTTCGGAGATTGTTTATGCATGCGGCGATGGACTTGTACCTTGTATACTAATCAAGTCGGAGGCCCCATCACATGTGATGTGTCTTTTCGCGAATTGTACAGTCAGGAACTACCGTATAGATCAGGTCGGAATTTCGGATTCAGGGGCTCTTTATAGACCTAGACACCTCAATAATAAGCAGGCTACTTTTCTGTCCCTGATAATCTTAGGATGTCGATACGCGGCGTTCGAATGCAGCTCAACTAATGCCCGGCTGATTCAGATGGGGTGTCCAATACAATCTGCTACGGTAAATTACCATTTGCCCGCTAGTCCGTCCAATCGACCAGCTTAACCCTGGTAATACGAAGGTTACAATACAGCGACGACCGGTTCCGAACTCGCGCCACTCATCACCTCCTGATCTTTTTTATCTTCTAATCGCTCTTTTTTCTTTTTATATTTTTTCAGTTCCCCTCCTTTCACACTGTATTTGTTATCGCGGGGTACTTTGGACGTCAACTGTACCATTTGCATCGCGCTTACCCGTCAGCCTCCGACTTCCCTGCAGGGTAGTTGCTTGCTGACTCCCTTTCGTGACCGACTTGATTGCGGTTATCCTGAACCTCATCTCATTGCACGAAGTGGTATTCTGCCACCACACCTCCATCATGGCCAACGCTTCTACCACCTTCGATCTACCGCCTCTCCCTAGCTACACCACTTCCGTTCGCGAACCGCTCTTCCCGCCCATTCCCGATAACTATGTCGCCCTCATCCTGCCCATTGTCGCCTATTGGGCCATGTCCATGATCTACCACTATTTGGATGTGAACAACTACTTCGAGCAGTACCGCCTGCACACGCCCGCTGAAGTATTAAAGCGAAACCGCGTGACCCGATGGGAAGTTGTGCGCGATGTGGTTTTGCAACAAATCATCCAGACGATTGCCGGTGCATCCCTGGCGTACTTCGATCCCGTGGAGACCGTGGGCCGGGAGGAATACGATATCGCCGTCTGGGCGCAGAGAATCCGGTTTTTGCAAAAGGCCTTCCCGCCGCTCTTGGCTCTTGTTGGAGTCGACGCTGCTGGCCTGGCCAAGTCGGTGTCGCAGAGCGGACACACCATGCTAGCGGGGGTGTTAGCCGGTGGATCGTATCCGGGCGTAATGCAGAGCGTGATCCTTGACAATGGTGCGGAGGTTTCGGCCCCCGCATTCACAGGCTGGGAGTTGTCCTTGGCCGGCTTTATCTACTGGTACTTTGTCCCTGCCCTGCAATTTATGCTGGCCGTCTCGATCGTCGACACATGGCAGTACTTCCTGCACCGGGCCATGCACCTAAACCGTTGGCTTTATGGTAAGTTTTCGATGCGCCTACATCCTTTGCATTTCTTAGTCTGATTTTGATCTTACTAGTGACCTTCCATTCTCGTCACCACCGACTCTACGTTCCCTACGCTTTTGGTGCCCTCTACAACCACCCTGTTGAGGGATTCCTTTTGGACACCGCAGGTACCGGCATTGGGTTCTTGGTCTCTGGCATGACCAACCGCCAGGCCATGTGGTTCTTCACCTTGTCGACCATCAAAACAGTGGACGACCACTGCGGCTACGCCTTCCCTTGGGACCCCTTGCAGCACTTCACCTCCAACAATGCCGCTTATCACGACATCCACCACCAGAGTTGGGGCATCAAAAGCAATTTCTCTCAGCCCTTCTTTACTTTCTGGGACCGCTTGTTTAGCACGCAGTGGACGGGAGAGGTCAAGCTCCGCTACGAGCGGGCTCGTGAGAGTGCCCAGAAGCAAGTTAACGCAGATGCTGCTCAGGCCGATGAGGTGGCGGCAGCCTCTGCTCTCGAGGAACGTGAGCACGAGCTTGTGGTAATCTCCTCCGAGGGACCGGCGACGCGGACACGTCTGCGCCGCAAGACAGTGGACAGCTTGAAGAGACCCAGCCATGGTGTCTCAGGGACCGTGCTGCACAACTAAAGCCGTGATGAACTTGGACATGTTTTCACTACTCATGCATGATTCGTTGGTCCTCGGAGCTGCCGGCCACCTCCCTGAGACCTTGCGTTTTCGATTTTTTCTTTTTATGTAAATGGGGTTCCTGACCCCGCTGTATTAATAATATGAGGACTGTCTATTCTTTGTGTACATGGTTTTCTCTACGGCTCACCGTGATCTTGTGTCGATGATGTCTACCTTACAAGTTAACATTCGTTTCCTACAATTCAAGTTTGATGTCATTCGCACAACAACAAGATGCTCTCTATTCGCACTGACAATACGAAACAGCCCCTTCCCCCCAACATAAGAAGAAAGCCCCTCAAAAATTAACGATACTAGAACATGTTCGATTGATCAACCATCATGTCCCAAGTGGTCATGACCCGGGGCTGCTCCTGACGTACAGGAGCCCGGGACTGCGGCTTTGGCGGAAGCTGAGGTTTCAAAATGGACGCCGGTTCCATCTCTTCTGAATTCCAAGAAGCATCGGTCCAGTAATCACTACTGGAGTAGTCCAAGAATGAATCATTCTCGCTTCCATTGGGATTGGAGGTCTGGAAATTCACCTTGCTCATGCGAAGCTCCTCTTCACGCTGAGAATCCACTCTGCCGACACGCAGAGGCTCAAGTCCTGCTTCTGGAACCGGCGTGGCTCGAGAATATTCAGGTTGGAGGTCTATGGACGGAAGATGAGAACTTGGGCGAGTGCTACCATTTAAGCCGTCGGGCTTTCCGTCGCGGTGTCTATCATCACGGCGCTTCTTTTGATGGCGACGCGAATTTTTGTTGTCATTGAGCCAGGCCTTGATGCAGGCCTTCCGAGTAGCCTTCATCTGAAACGCCAAGTTGCTTGCAGTGCCACAAATCTCTTCAGCCTCATCACTGCCAAACTGCCGGATGCATTCATCGACGAACAACATGAGAGTTGGTGCTCGGTGATACTTCCGAGTGCGAGTGCGACTCTGCAAGACCACGCGCAAATTCCGCAAAATCTCGCTGTCTGCTGCGATGCGCGCTATGATGCATGCCGCACATTTATTGATCTGATACGGCAAGGCATTAGGAGCCACCGATTTGTCCACCTCAGGCTTGGTCCACATGCCTTGCAATGCTCGCAGCTTGGCTAGAATTTCTGCCTCGACGGCGCCAACGAGCTCCGGATATTCCTCAATTTGACGGAACCCCGAGGTGACCTCGTGCTGAACCCGAATCAAGATATTGTTGACCAAATCGGAGTTCAACCCTTTATGTACGTCACAAAGCGCCATCGACCTGAACCGACTGATGGAAAGAAACGGCGCGCGACGTAATCGCTTCGGCAGGGACTGAATGAGCTGTTCAATGTCCGAGACAAGATGAGAAGATGAGCCTGTGTTGTCTCAGGTGCAGAACATTCGTTAGCATCCTCACCTCCGTCTTGCCTAACTCTCGGACTGATCGCGGATATCTCTCACGGGCTTTGGATTGTCTTCTGTTGGCTCCCACGGTGAGCCGTTCTGGCACAGCGCTGAGCCCCATGACTCTGAGATCTATTTGAGGGAGGCGATGTATGAAAGCTTTGCTAGTACTTCAAATGATTAGGTGTTCGATAGTGTCGGCTTGGTTTGCAGTAGATGTCTTGTGTTCAAACCCAATTGAATTTTTGATTCATCATAAGTTAGTTCTGATCAAGAAGGGTTGAAGGCAGTATATATACCATTCCAGTGAAATCCTGTCTTGAACCCAGTCTACCTTAATTCAACTAGACCAAGATGATGCATCCTGCCGTCTTAAAAGTCATTCAAGCTGAATTGAGACACTCCGATTGTTTCTTCTTCGATAGCTTTCACTGACAAAGCGCATTGTGTTTTGTAAGTGGGCCGACTTGGCTTTTTGTTTATATTTGAGAGCCCTCTTCTTCTTTGGCATTGTCTGACTTACTGCATTTGTGTATGATGTGCCGTCTTCAAGCAACAAAGGTCATTGGAAACATCAACTGCAGCCCGGGCATACTGTTTTGGATTGAAATTGACGTAAATCTGCAAATATCATCATCATGGGATTAAGTTGTTGACATTGTATGAAAGAATATCTGCAAATATCCGAATCTAAAGATCAAGCACGATCCGACCGACCCCTCGTGAGACACAACTAAGCATCGAAGTATCCTTTTCATTCTCAAGTAGCCCGGTACCACGATGTTCAGCTCGCCCACTGCGAACCCCAACACGGCAAGTCCCGCACTTGCCGGCCTCGCAGGTAGATGGGATGTCAAAACCGGCAGATCGAAGCGCATCCAGAAGGCTTTTCTCCCGATCCCACGTCCACTTCCTTTTTGGTCTCAGTCAGTCCGGCAGTAAATGAGTCGCCCGTGCTGTTAACTTGGAATGACTCGAAATGAACGTTTTCTTCGGGCAGGCCGAGTTGATCTGCTGTTTCCCGCACGGCATTCATCAATCTCTCCCCTGAACAGCAGTAGATGTGGGTGTTGCTGTCGGCTAGCTGAAGCGCTTTGGACACGTCAAATGATTTGCCGAGCTTCTTAGAATAAATAGTCACATTGGTCACAGTTTGTAGATATGCCGTGAACGCCACCTCTTCTGGGGATCTGACAACATAGTGTAGATGGTAGGGCACTTTCCTTTGTTGCAAATCTCCTGCAGATGCAAGCAATCCAGTGATTCCAATAACCTCCGGCGATAAGAATATGGTGGTCGACTTCTCTCGCGAGAGGAAAAGTCGTGGCAAATTTGCTAATAGTGACAAGGTCGCCTTTAAGTTACTGATAGTCTCATGAAGGTAGAGGGAGCCCCCTCGAGTTTGATCTCGGTCCAGGGCCACCCCTACTGTGAATCTGTTCCGATTTCCTCCAACTACGGAATAAACTCTGATGAGACGACCGCCTGACTTTAAGCGCACGTGTGCGCCCGATAGAGCCCTCTCGGGGAATTCGATAGGCTGAATTGCTTCGAAAACAAGAACCTCGACCGTAGGCATTTCCTCTCGTTTTTTTGTAAGTCGATAATCGGCCCACGTGTCAAGAACCATGGAGTCGTCACCCAATAGTCGTGCTTCTTGATCTTCAAATATCTTGTTGAGCCGGTTTTGAAAGATGGTGCGGATTTCACTGCCCAGTTCCTTGATTTCAGCCAATTCCTTCATCATCTCGTAGTTCTCTCCTTCAATGTAGAGGTAATGTTGGTCGCGAGCTACCGTCCATTCCGGGCTTGGGCGCGTCATGAACTCAATCTCGTCGCCCGCTTGTATGGAGCCCTCCTGAATGATACGATAGAACCAGCCCGTTCGAAACTTTTCCTGGGCGAATCGCGACATGTTCTTTTCCTGCAACCGATGATTGAGTTTGTAGCATGGCTGTCGGGGCAAGCTCACCTGGGCAATCACGTCGCGACCAATTCGGACAATGTCACTGATGCAAGTATTGCGCAAGCCACCAGGTTCTGGCCAAACCCACCAACGCGGAACAAATGCTCACTTCCGGGTACTTCTTTGACCCAGGCATCGTAATGGCGCGAGCAATACTGTAACAATGCCTTGTCTGGGCCGCCATGAAATTCATAGACATGTTCATCACCCTGGCATCCGAGTCTGTCTACGGTGACTGAACCATAGCGAACAGATTTGAAGATGGCGGACTGAAATGGGAGGCCAAACACCGGCTTCCCTTTTCCGGTGTGGACCTCTACCAATCGATCTCGCTGCCAGGGCTGTTCCAGCTCGGAGATGACTGTAGCTTCGTCTGTGGCGTGCATTGCGTGTAGTATATGGCTCGGTCTTTCGAGGCCATTCAGAGTACAAATGGCTCAATTTGAAAGGTTCAGTGATGACGGCGAGAGCCGATCTCGCATGTCAAATGGTCGATTCGCATGGCCGTTGAGTCAGCGTGATAAGACGACAGGCCTGAGCACATGTCCATTTGGCTGGTGATCTGCGACGCATGTGTCCCCAACCATATCCGCCATGGATTCGTGGACAGTTGGGGGTCGACATCATGTTGCGTTGAGAAGACCGAGGAAATGCGCCATCACATGACAGGTGCGGATGGCAGTTGCCTCAACGCTGTCTCTGCTTTGCTGGTGTTTCAGTCCATCCTTGTTCGATTCGACATATATAGCTTCATCATGCGGTCTCAAGTTCGTCTTGCCAAGAGAGCCGTAAATGCAACGCCTCTACCGTACACCGCATCGCCGCTCAAGCTGGTGTTGAGTGATATCCTAATTGTCTTGAGGAATTTATGGGCGTCCCCTGAGCTCATTTTGCCTCTTTGCCTCGGACACACAAAGCCGCTCGATGAGCTCTATCCATCCTTCCAGACGGGAGTATCAGTGGTCACTCAGGCGATCCTTACCGTCGGACAGGTTCTATTTCTTCTATCCTTGCCGCTTGCAATCCTATTCATGATCCCCGCTCTGTGGTTCATGATATATGTCGCGACCAGTTTGTTCCTGAATTATGCGATCTGCATGCTGGTTTTGAACGGCTTTCGACGAGTACTTGTATCACAAGTACCGGTAGACACCTCTGGCCATGAGCAGGAACAGTGGTTTTTTATAAATGGAGTAGCCGGCGGGTGAGTGCGGACGTCTAGAAAATCATCCCTGACTAACGACGGTTTCGCCTAGTTACTATTGGCTACAGAATAGCATTGATCAGTTGTCATACACCTTTGGTCGGAAGGTGACAGGGATACACAACCGCACGTATGTTACCGATGGGTCCCTGGCCGTTCAGGTATATGGTCTGATTGTCGTAGTGCGGGCTTACCTTTTGACCTGATTGAGTGTCTGATCCAGCGCGATTTGGCCTATGCCACTGGCGATGTGCGAGTTGCCTATCCTCTAGTCAAAGAGGCACTTCTAAATCGCTCTTGTGAGAAAGTGGTCCTCATTCTTCACAGCCAGGGAGGTATCGAGGGTAGTTTGATCATCGATTGGCTATTAAATGAAATACCTCAGGATCTTGTTGCCAAATTGGAAGTTTATACATTTGGAAATGCTGCTAACCACTTCAACAATCCTCGTCGAACATGGCGATGCGAAAATGGGGACCGCTCGAGTATCCAACGAGCCAATCGGTCTATTGGATACATTGAACACTATGCCAATGCGGCAGACCCAGTGAGTTGGCTAGGGGTCCTGCGCTTTGCCAACATCCCGAATCGCTACATGGGCCGGCTCTTTGTTCGCCCTGGATCAGGGCATCTGTTGAATCAACACTATTTGGACAACATGTTTACCCTTGGTCCTGACATGACAGTTCTGGAATCAAATCCCTTCATGGATATGGAGGTCGATACCAAAAGCGACATGGTACCAGGGGAGACTGTGCATGACTCAGAGGCAGAGGATCGCGAAGAGACGCTATTCCCTGTTCCTCGCATCGAGAGCTACCACCATGACCGACGGCCTCTCCGCGTCAAGGATTTCAGTCGTCTTTGGGCATATCGCAATGGAGGCTCGCCAGAACAACCATGCATTGCATATTCCTGATGCCTCGATACTTTCATGCCATACTTGACGAGAACAGTGAACGATACCCTTCTGTCCTATAGGTGCATTTGGAAATGTTCAGGATCTGCACTGGCCTTAGCAGACATCATCGACTAAACCTAGATAAGAAGCAATATATTCTCTCATCCAGATGTACCCTGCAGTCAACGACCTCGAGACCAATTTTTTTTGGCGCCGCCTGGGCATTCAAAGTTACCTGGCATAAGAAGCACACTCGATACGTAGATGACTACCTCTGTAGAAACTGCTACTTACCATTGTGTCGCCTGAGGTTACTTTGTAGAATCTCAACCTCCGGAGACTGAATATGTTATCATGCGACCATCGTCAAAGTATAATTTGTGGTGTGTTTTTCTAAAATTGTACATGAGTTCGGGCGAGCACTGTGGATGAGTGATACCCACAGCCCGCACCCCGAGCAGGTATCAACGAAGAATATATCTTCTATCATATCAGAAGCAAATAACGCCCGTCGCCGTGCCATGCAAGTAGAGGATAGAACGGAGAAAAAGACAAGCCGTCCGATCATTTACCCTTCTTCTTGTCCTTCTTCTTCTTCTCCGTTCCTGCTCCGGAGGGCTCGCCGCCCAACCCCGGAATTCCAGGCATGCCAGGAATCTGCGGCATACCGGGCATTCCTCCCATGTTCTGCATCTCAGCCATGGCCTCTTTGAACGGGTTGTCGCTGACACCGCCGCCGCTGTACGCCGGAGAATGGATTGGTAGAATTTTGCCAATCTTCCAGCCGCGCGGGGCAGGAGGAGCTTCTGGGAGCTTTTCGGGCATAGGGAGTCCGCGAATTCGTAACCGGTAAGGCGATTGTTCGGTGGTGGGGTGGGCTTTCAAGTATTCGGCGACGAGGATGAAAAGATGATGCTCTATAGATAAGCGAGTTAGGTATGCCCAAAGACAGAAAGGAAGAGGAAAGTTCTCAAATCCACCAGCGCTGCCAATTCGCAGTCCAGCGGGAAATCGTCCGACGACTTACTATTCTTGATTTTGGAGTTCACCAATTTTCCATTCTCATCCTTGAGCATCACACGCACACGCCCGGGATTGGCCCAGTCCTTAGGGTGTAGCTTTTCAGGTTCCAATCCAGCCTTTAATCCCAGCATCTGTACGGCGTCGACAATGTCACGAGCGAGCGGGTTCTCCACAGCCAAGTCAGCGCCGACCTTGCGGCCCTCTGCGCGAGAGCGGGTTTTATCGAAGTAGACGGGGTAGAGGCATTGGAAGTGTCGGGGGATTTCGCGCTGCGGCTCAGGCATCGGAGCCTGGGCCTGAGCCTGGGCCATGGGAGGAGGATTCGATGGACGAGGAGCTGCTGCAGGGACGGACACGGGCGCAATAATGTTGTTTCCAGTCAGCGGGGTGTCATCATAGGGAGCGACCTCATCGGGGTCGGAGTCGGACAGCTCCTCGATCTGGGCGTGGCGCGACATGATGTGAATTGAACGTGGAGTGAATGATGTTGGCAAAGGAAGAAAGTGCGGGTGTGGCCTTTGCGCTTCTGTGCGGGCGGAGTGGGCAAAGTGGGCGGAGTGGGTGGCTCGCCAGTTGCCGTATTTCTAGTAATAGTTACGAATAATTGGTAACCTCGATCATTCAATGAGCTCAAATCAATGGCAACATGTGCATTTCAGACAGTGGCTCTGTCAGACTGGCAGAACAGCTGCGGTCGCACGCAACATGCTTCAATAACGATACACACAAGATCTTCTGCGCGTTGTCTTTCGACCCCAAGCAGATATACAACTTCATGGCGCAAGTGCTGGTTTCCACACTACGAAGCTTCACTGTTCGCGTTACGATTGCACGGAATACAGCGTTTCAGATTCTACGACCGACATACAACTAAGAGAATTATCCGGAATTGAGTCATAGCGGTACTCTCCGCTCAATTGTGGCTCTACAGGAGCTCCCTGAGCGCCTTATCAACTGGAAAAAGGAATGCCCACAGAGAACATCCCCCACCGAATACGAGTGGGCCCAGATATTTTCCTCAATCATAATGCACAGATAACGAGGCACGGTAGGACACGATACTGATGCCAATTAACTTATCGGCTTCTCCCCGCTCGGCATGCCGAACCCACTCCATACATGGATGCCCCGCAGGAATTGCCTCGGGTACTTGAAAGTAAGTAGCATAAGAGGAAGGCATTCTCCATCTGCATGAACCAGCTCAGAAATCTACTCAATTGATTCACCTCGATAATTGCACACTTGTCACCGGTGTGTGAAATACCTTACGGAGCATGTCTGCCTCATACTAACTTCATTTCGAGATTCTCCAACATGGCCAGCGCTGTTCTGCACCGAGATACACACTTTATCCCGAAGAAGGCAATCGGTGGCCAGGGGTGCTACATATATCTCGAGGATGGCACTAAGTTTCTCGATTCCACGGGTGGTGCCGCCGTCTCATGCCTAGGGCACGGGAATGAGAAGATCAATCGCATGATTAAGGATCAATTTGATCAACTGGCATACTGTCATTTGGCATTCTTTGGAACTCAGGTATCCGAGGACCTAGCGCATTTCTTGACTGAATCTACCGATGGGAAACTCTCCAAGCTGTTCGTAGTCAGTTCAGGTACGGCGTGACTAGCCAGAGACGGTCGTCTATCCCGCCAACAGAATGATTCTACTTTAGGCTCCGAGGCAATTGAGGCTGCTCTGAAGCTGGCCCGACAATATTTTCTCGAATTGCCAACTCCTCAAGATCAGCGCACTAGGTTCATAGCTCGACTCCCTTCTTACCACGGCACCACGCTCGGTGCTCTAGGTGTTGGCGGACATGTTCTTCGAAGACAGCCATTCGAGCCATTACTAGCCAAGAATACCTCTCATGTGTCTCCTTGCTATGCCTACCGTGATAAGAAAGATGGTGAGTCTGATGCAGATTATGTCGCCCGTCTTGCTGCAGAGTTGGATGCCGAATTCCAGCGCGTGGGCCCCGAGAGCGTGTGTGCATTCATCGCAGAGCCTGTTGTTGGTGCAGTAAGTTGCCTCGTCTATGAGGTCTCTGGGAGATTGATGCCTATTAAGTGATATGTTAGGCTTTGGGCTGTGTTCCCGCTGTTCCCGGATACTTCCCCGCTATGAAAGCTGTATGTGAAAAATACGGTGCCCTATTCATCCTGGATGAGATTATGAGCGGTATGGGTCGTTGTGGGACTCTGCACGCCTGGGAGCAGGAAGGCGTTGTCCCCGATATTCAAACCATTGGTAAGGGCCTAGGAGGGGGCTACGTCCCTGTCTCGGGAATCTTGATCAACGACTCCATCGTGCAAACACTGGACAAAGGCACAGGTGTGTTTCGACACGGACAGACATATCAGGGCCATCCAATTTCCTGTGCTGCAGCACTTTCAGTGCAAAAGACCATCCAGGAGGACTCGCTACTTGAAAATGTGCAAACCATGGGTGCTTACCTCGAAAGTCAACTGCACCAGAAGTTTGATAATCATCCATATGTGGGAGACATTCGAGGCAAGGGTCTGTTCTGGGGCGTATGTTGAATATGGCTATCTGGGTTAGATCTTTTACTGATCTTTGCTTGCAGCTCGAGTTCGTCAAGAACAAGACCACAAAGGAGCCGTTCGATCCCCAAAGCCGACTGTCTTTCCTGATTCAAGAGAAAGGGCTGCAGCCGGAATTTGCTGTCTCATTCTATGGTAGCCCAGGCACAGTAGACGGTATTCGTGGTGACCATGTGCTGCTGGCACCGCCTTACATTGTGTCCAAGGAAGAGATTGATACCATTGTGGATGTACTGGCCAGAGTTCTGGCTGAAGTGTTTGCAGAATTGGGGCTATGATTGGGAACTATACTATCTGAAAGACTAGACAAGTGCAATCGGTCATAATGGAACGGAACGAGCTACAGCGAAAAGATCAGTGAAAGGATATTCATGTGATAGTCTCTGCTACTATTGTACATTAGAACAAGCCGGGGAGAATTTATCCCTGGGCTTCGATGGCAGCCGTCTTCTGCGTAGCCTCGTCCATCTCCATCTGTCCCTTCGAAGTGCCGTTTGACACCACCTCTTTGGGCAAAGAACTCGCTGCCCATAGTCCAGCGACGGTCTCGACCGCCCTTTCAACAACAACGCGCACGCGATCCCGAAGAACAGGGTTGGCGCATTCTACCTCCAGGTTTTCCAGCCAGACACGAGCAACATGTTTGTCGACGGTAATTTCAAGACCTGGAACCGGAATTCCTAAGGCTTGGAGACGCTCGAGCTCGGCCGATTCAATATCGGCAAGTCTTTCCTCGTTCACAGTCGTGGTACCGTCAGTTCCCTCTGTGCCATTGACAAGATCCGCTGGAACACGAGGACGTTCGATGGGAACAATACTGCCGCCGAACTGCGCCTCCAGCATCATAAGTAGGCGGGCCAATCGATCCTCAGCGCTTAGATGAGAGTGCGGATTGGGGAGAGCAGCAAAGTCCTCGTCATAGTGATGATGATGGTGCTTGTTCTTGGCAGACTCTATATAAGTACTTGTTAGCATAGTCCTTATCAGCTTGTCGATACAGTACGCACGCTTCACGGAGGCTGGGCTGCTCTCGACCGTTAGAAGAACGGCCATGACAGCATCAGCAACTCCATCGTTCATCATATTGCCCTCCCACTCAAGTTCAACCTCCCGAGTACGCGAGTGGTGACGAAGGATCACACATCCCATGACAAGGAATGTTTGTGTCTCTTCCATGGGGATTTCTTCATCGGCAGCCTCCAGCTTTGCGCTTGAGGTGTCCAAATCTCCGTTGACTTCATCCTTCAAATCGGTCTTTGTGTTTGTCCCCACTTCTTCAATGGCTCCGAATGTGCCCTCGAGAGCCCATCGAATCAAGTCCATGCTTACCGAACTAAGTGTCAGGTGTTGCTTGCACGTAATGGTGGTCGTTGTCAGACCGGCGTATTCCCGAAGGTCATCCGGGGCCATCAAAGCCAGGTCGAAGCCATTCTGGACAAGAACACCAGTCATCAACTGGCTGTCATCTTGCTCCGTAGGCGGAGCGACCTGTGCGAGTTTACCGACGACCTTGGCAAACTTATCCTTCCTAAAAAGGGATGCGAACTTCGTCGCAATTTGCAGGTGTGTATACCTTGACCTTGACAGTTTTATCGGCATTAAGACTCAAAAGCTTCGACTTGAGTCGCATCATCTGATGTTTTTCGCCGTGCACAAGGATCTAAGAAGATAATTTAGCGGGTTGCATGGAATCTACCAGCGCAAAAAGAACCTACCACAACTGGCGCAGCAACCTCTTCAATGAAGTTGCGATTCTCGACACCATCGACGTGTGCAGCAAAACTAATTTCGTCGACCGTGCAGCGACGTGGAATCATCACTTTTTGATCCTCATCATTGCCTCCAGGTACGCGACCGCGGCCCTGGATGGTGGAAACCTTGGACATGACGGCAGGAATCTGGTCGGGCTCGTTGAGAAGCTGCTTAGCCATCGTTCCTTCAACACTATAACCCGTCATGACGACGCCGTTACGTTCGCTGGGTGCCCATCTTTCAAGCAGCTCGCGACTGGTACCTGTCTGCAGCATACCGGGCGATGAAAGGAGCACACAAGGGGATACATCCTCGAAGCGTTCGAGACTTCGCAGACTTCGAATGAAACGGAAATCCCAGGGGCCGGCAGTTACACTCTTGTCACCGCTAGCCTCGGCCTCTGCCATACGCTGGCGAAATAGCATTTTGATGTTGTCATTCATCGCTCCAATATAGGTCTGATAAACAACCATGCAGCGTCTTGCCATGTTACCAATGTAGTAAATGGGGATCTTCTGTAATTTGGGATGTCGCTCCCAGTACTCCTCGAGGATAAGTAACAGCTCTTGAGCGCGTCCGAGGGCAAACACAGGCAACAACGCACGTCCTCCGCGGTTTAAGATACCGGTGATTGATTTCATGAGAGCAGCCTCCCGTTCCAGACGGGGCGGATTCGAGGATATACCGAATGTGGATTCTGTGATCAAGACATCGATTTTGATACCCCGAGGGACCTGTGCAGGAATCAAATGCCGGTCCTCTTCACGGGAATAGTCGCCGGTGAACAGAAGGTTCAGCCCGGCAATCGACACCAGAAACATTGCGGCACCCAAGACATGACCGGCGGGATATGGGGTGATTTTAATGCCGTTGATTGTATGCGTGGTGTTGAAATCGATCGTTTCGATCAGAGGGAGTGTAGACAGGTGATCTTGCTCGGTATAGAGGGTGGTACGCTGATCAGATGATGAGGACGTATTACTGACACGAACGTTATCTTGAATGAGCCACTTATAAATTGCCTGGTGGAATTTTGATTAGTTCACGGTATCAAAAGCTGACCCAGAAGGTACACACCTTGGTGGCATGGGTCATCATGACCCGACCAGCAAAATTGGTCTTGCTGAGAACATAAGGAAGAGCAGAGGAATGGTCCACGTGGAAACTAGAGAAGCGCATCATTAGTTCAGAGGTCTCGAGAACAACGCTTATTATTTCCAGTCAAGTATTCCTGAAGAATACGGCATCAACACCGCAGCGGGCTGGAGTCTACCGGGCCCATTGTAGAAGCAGTCAAGAAAGATTGAGGCAGGTCTGGAAGAAACAAACAAAGAACGGGATAGTCTCAAAAGGTTTCAAGCCACATCTCGACCCAAAAGCGCATCGAGGGAATGTATGGGAAATTCACGTACTGGCTAATCAGTAAAACGTCTACCGTGCTCAAGTCGAACTCGTCAAAGAAGGGAAGGGCGGAGAAACCCTCTTTGGCCGGGTGCATTCCTGCGTCAAGCTGGATGAGCCGCATATCAGCTCGGTGTCAATCGTAAATGGCAGTGATCAGATCAGACCTACCATAACCGTCTTGCCCTTGTACTGGATGATATGACATGATCGCCCGACCTCGTTTCCTCCACCCAGACAGTAGAATGCAAGTTCATCTGACGGGTCAACCGGCTGGTCGTCAACAGCCGTGCCCATCGCCGAAGCCTTGCGCTTAGCCGCCATCGTGGTCCGAGTATTGTTGTTTAACAGCGAACCTCAAGTGTCTGCTATTGGGGGCGAGGGCGCAGACGCCCGGGTCGCGCAGTTGGGAAGCCTGGCCTTATGTTAACACCGAAGATACTAGAGGTGTCCCATGCGACGCGATTGAGAAGAATGGCGACAAAAAGTACAGAGAATGCGATGAAGGGAAAGCATGCGACGCAGAGAGGCCATGATCTTGGACATGATCACGTGCCGGACAGCGCGATCCGCAAAACCTCGAGAAAGCTCCCTGACCCGCTCATCCCGCATCTCCTGCTTCACCATCGTCCTTTTCACCCCGAGTCACCCATGCTCCTCTTACGCGTCAATTTCATGACTCAGGAGCTCTTCTGAGATGGTCACATTTGGTGCCATCTGGTGGTGCGAGCAAATTGCTCACTTCAATAACCACGCGTGACGTGCCTTTATCTCGCTCGAACTGCACGACAGCAGATTCTCCTAGCTACCGTTATCCATATTGTCGCTCAAACATCACTCACTATGGCGCAAGCTAGGCATCCACAGCAGCAACAACAGCAGCCGCCTCCGCCCTTCTCCACACAGCCCTTCTCTCCTCCCGTCTCTTCTCCATCTCCTCATGCAACATCCCCTCTCAACGGTGGCCCAGCACCTCCTCCGTCGAAAAAGCTACGCCTTTCGCCAATCCCTCCCTCTCAGGCGCAGTCTTCATATGCCTCTCCAGGTTTTAGCGCGATGCAACTTCCTCAAGGTCAGCCCCAGATGAACGGGGTCGCGAACAGCATGCCCTCTACACCCATCGCCCACACAGGCGCGTCTTTTCCACCTGCCGCTCCGGGGACTATGGGACCGCCCTCTGCACCGGCGAATCGGCCCGTGGACGCTTCTGAACTCACGGATGTTCTGGCATCCTCCGGAATTGACGTTCGAGAGGAAGAAGCGTTCCTCACAGGCGGCTACACCGGTCGAAATGCGCAGGCGCAGCCTCCGTCCCGAGGCCCGCAGGTCATGAATTCGTCTTTCGCCTCGCAGCAATCCACAGGGACACTCTCGGCGTCCAGTAGCTTTGGTGACATCAAACCCGTGATGCATCAGTCATCATTTTCCTCGCAGCCTGTCTCGCAGGCTCCGCCGCCCTTCAAAGACCCCAACGAGCCCACGCGGGAGGATTCAGAAGCGGCGAGAAGATCACAATTTGAGCTCCAATCCCCTTTCCTTTGGACCAAAGTTCTGGAACAAAAGATTCAAAAAAGAGGATTCGACCTTGGTGTGCGCATTCCCTCTGAAGGCCTTTTCCATCCAATTTCAACTGGGAAACAAACTCCCATCGAAATCACAGGCCGGGATGGATCATCGGTTACTCGAACTGGTTGTACAATCCTTAACCAAGAGGGTGCGCCCCTGGTTGACATTCTAAACCTGTTATCACTCTCGTGCGAGGAACGACTCAGGGGAGTAATTGATTATGCGTCAGCTCTCTCCCGCAGCCGGCGAGCACACTCATCAGGAGTAATTCCTCAGGAGTGGCAGGATGTGGCGCAGCCTCTGGCATCGGTGACTGGGAATCTCGCAACACCCTCGAAGCGTATGTGTCCTTGCAGGAAATTCAACGTTGGCACACTGACAATTTTCCTCTAGGTCCCCATCCTGATAGCCAGACCACGAACCTCAAGCCTGTTTCCCAGCGTTATGTCGGTCTTGTCACCAGAGAATCCTCGCAGGAAAACCGGCGCGAGGCGAAACGCAACAAGCGTGGCGCGAACGCCATTTTGGGCGAAAGCGCCGCTGCCCCAGCTCTCGACAGCGCCCCTTCCACGCCCATGGCTGAACGGGCACCGAGCTTTGACAAGAAGTCGATGACAAAGAAGGAAGCGAAGAAGCTAGTTGATTCAAAGGCTAGCGAGGCCCAGCAACATCAACAGTCTGTGGAGACGGCTCGAATGGCAACCAACAGCATGCTCTCGGGCCGCATGTTTGGGTCCAAAAAGTCTTACTCATGGTTGAAGCCCGGTGGTTCGTCAAGCGGTTTTTCATCCCCATCGCGTCCCAATCCCCCATCTACCCCAACAACTGGACCCGAAAAGTCGAGTCGACCTGGCGAACAGACTCCTGCTGCCAACCAGGCAAAACGACTTGGAACATGGCGCGAGGACCAGGAGAAAGGAGCTGGTATCCAAGTTCGGGACATTCTATTCATGCTCGAAGCCGATGGACGAGGAACTAAGCACATCCAAAAGGGCTACATGAAAGACCCAAAGGAAGACCGTGACCGCGGGGCTTGAAGAAGTCAACATTGTAATCTTACTTCTTTTCTTTTCTTGTGTCTCTAATTTGTTCTCCGCCTGGAGATTATTGCATTATCTGCGTGCGGTTTGTGGCGTTGGGAGGCTAGCACCGGAGGTTGCTGGGGTCTTTGATTTCTTCCATCTACTGCATCTTTTGTGGAGGAAAGAGTTACCTTCCATTATGAACCGTCCGATCCGTTACTTTACTGCGTTGTGCCAGCTTTACACATTGCCGATCGAAAACAGCCGAATTACGGATCTTTAAAAGAGTGATTCCAATCATTTTATTCAATAAAGCTACCATGATCCTTGAAGAAACGATTTTTAGGCCGCTAGATCAGTCTACTGGCTATCGTTTCCAGAGGCCCAGTGCCTCGCGTGCTCGGGTAATTTCATTTTCAGATGGCATGTTGACAATAACCAAGTACAAGACTTGCTGTATCGAGAGATAGCTCTGTTTTGTCTCAGATTCTTGAGATTTCTAACCTTCTTAAGCAATCTCGCAACTGGTGCCGCAGGGCCCTCGCTATTAACTCTGTCCCGCGACTGTGCCAATCCCCTACGTATGCCTTTCGATCCAAAGTTTCTCCTTGATGGCATCTGCGCGGAGTCTTGGGAGGATCTTAAATTTCTCATATTTCCAACAACTTCTTTCTGTCCTATGTCCCTAACGCAGGGTGCGTGAGATGCAGACGGATTTGATTTAATATCGCGATTGAAGAGACTGGGTTGTGATGAGTTAAGGGGGTGTTGCTTCTTCCATATAGTTGGCGACGAAATTTCTCTTCTGCTTCATCTTCGAAAGCTCAGCATCCCCATCCACCGCCAACCGATGGATCTGTGGGGGGAAAAAAGAGCCCCAAATTTTGGAGAGATATTGCTGTTTGTCTTTCCATCAAATGATCTGAACTTGTGCTGGAAGTCTTCAGCCTATTAGAGCTCCTGCTAACGGTAGCCTTGGAAATAAAGGATTCGAGATCGTCTCCGTAGATGGAGTATCCGATAGCTCCGGATTCCAGGTCATTAAGAGACAAAATAGACCTCGAGGTTGGAGAAACTCTGGATCGAGCTGTCTGAAGAAGGTGTTTCATGTTGAAGATCTTGTCCTCGGTGAAGTGAGATTTACTCATCATGACCTTTAAACGTGATTGACATGTCGGTTGCAATCTGAATGGCGATTGAAACCGCTGTTATAGTGAGAAAAGGGAGACCAACGGTCGCAGTAGACGCTAATTTGATCGCATGGAGCCACGGAGACGCTGGGCTATGCAGACATAGGTTGCTGGCCGAGGGGAGTATCCTTCGTGCATAAGCAGTCGGTAGCGGCAACGAAAATTGACGGGCAGCGAGCAGTCCTTCGATCGATTTGTTTGAGTAAAGGTGGCGTAGGCCGTTAGTCTGAGCATTCGTGCGACTGTTAGGATAGGGCACGAACGCCCATTGTGTCGATATTGCGGCTCACTAGTATCTCACGAGCCTAGTAAGGCCCAATCGAGATACCAAGGGAACCGGCCAAGCCCCGCTACTCAGGCTTCTTTCTAGTCGTTGCCCGGTGTCTAAATCTCTGAATCTCCAAATTTCTAGATTTCTAGATTCCGAAAGCTACAAGTCTCTACATCTTTGAATCTCCAAATCTTGAATCTCTAGAGCTGCGAATCTATGGTGTTTAAATCTACGATCTATGAAGCTATGGATCTTCTGGCTTCGGGCATGGGCTTCTTAGCTTTGAATACTCACTCAGAGCTTCTAGAGCTTATCAACGTTAACTCCCACGTCTCTTGATGGTGCTTCGGCTATAGAGCCAGAGCAATAATGGACTATGGTAGTGAAGTTTGATTTTCCATGTAAGTTTACTCATCGTGAGCGAGAAAGACCTCCATCGGAAAATTTCTATGACGAGGAGATTGAAAGTAACACAGACACTTGCGACGATGACATGACTCTGAGAGAACCTTTGAAAAGCCTTTCAGCGAATCCAAATACAGGAGCTTCACAGCGCATTTGCGAGTCCTATACTTTGAGCCGAGTGTTTTCACCCAGAATCATATGCGTTTTGCCATTCCGATGCTATAAATTCCCTCGTACCTCTCTTGTCATTTGGCTTTCCGCAAAAGAGGGCGGCGGGTCCTCTGTGAGTAACATTTCTTCCTCTAGGTAGGAAGGGGGCAGCACCGTAACATCATGACTAGCAGTCATCTTTATCTTTTCATCATCAAAGACGCCTCGGATCTCCCATGAGAGCTGATGTGTAAGCTTAATGTTGTATGTCGTAAAACTCGGGTATACCTTCCCCAGGTTGTATCTCCCCAGCCTAAAATCTAGAAGTCCACCGACATCGATGAATTCAATTTCCGGTCGACTCTTCGAGTCAGGGCGCCCCATAGTACCCCACGACATGAAGACCTCCTCGCTGAGGCCTCGGACCGCCGCAGATGAGATCAACTCTATCTCTTGCGAATCGCAGGCCTTCAGATCACCAGATTCCAACGTCATGCTTAGCTTCAAGCGCATGACTAGGGATTCTAGCTTGATCTTTTGCGGCACATCATGAATTATTTCGCTGGTGTGATTCCAGATCGGTTCAATCCCAATCCGAAGGGGCATGTAGTTGGTATTTTCAACCTGCAAGCGAGTCGGCATTTCGACGTGAACTTTGAAAGAGAAGTTGGGCAACTTGGAAGAGCCAATGAACTGCTGGGCCATCTGTGTAAAAGAAAGTCCAGAGTCTTTGAGGCCAGGTATAAGTCGCTGCGAGGTAATTTTCCGAGAGTCAGAATGTCTTTTGAGCTGAAAGTCCGTTATCGGGGGCTCCGTGAGGAATTGCTGCACTTGCAACGGCATCGCGGCTCGACTGGTTTTGGTCTTTCCTCGCTCTTGCAATTCAAGCTCTGCCTCCAGAATGTATTCCACAAACGCTCCTATCCCCGATCGGAACCCTTTGGAGCGAAAAGCTGACGGCAGCAATTGAACGGCTACTTCTTCGGGGTTCAGAGGGAGAAATGCAGTTCGTTGAGCAGTGCGGGGTCCGATTAGACTTTCGTGATTGATTGTCGCTGGAATGGTTAAAGCAAAGGGCCATGAAGTGCCTTTGCTGGCCGGCTCAACATGGAGGGGCTTATTAGCCAGTAAGATCTGGGTGGTTGCCTCAGAATCAATGAGGTTGAATTGGCCAAAGTAATCTCTATGGTTCATGCCTCTCGCTAAAATCATCGAGGCCTCCGATTTACCGTGCAGCTTGATCGTTAGTCGGGCCTCGGGCGCGACAAGTGGGTGCAGTCCGGTAGATGGTGCCGACAACGACATCTCCCGGACTGAATCTTGACCTACTCCCGTCCAGCCGGATTCCTAGTGCTGGGCATGAAATTGCGACGGTTGGAGGCATTTTCTGCAGGTCCGATCAGAGAGCACCTGAATTCAAGTTTTGCGGGGAGAGATAAAGTATAAAAGGCCAAGGTGAGAGACTGTTGGCAACACTTCAAGCCGAGGCCCCATTTCTCTTAGAAGCATAATTTCCCGTAAGTTCGATGGTGGCTATGACCTGGGACACGGAGATTGGCTATCTTCACGGCGATGGCTACTTCATTCAGCTTGTTTCGGCGCGGACTGGCCTGGCTCTGATTGGGCTACACATAGTCTCCGCCGGTATCGCCAGCTCTCACGCACTTGTCGCGGTGGAAAGGTTGGATGTCTAGCACAGACATTGCGCACTTGATAACACGACCCTTTTCTCAACACCTCTCGTTTTCGAGTCAATTGGGGCTAAGCTTAGCCTATCAGCCTTTTTGGCCAGCAAAGATCACTCTGGAAATGACGCTCTCAGAGCAGTTTCGAGGGCACGAAACACCGGGAATAGTATTCATTAAAGCAAACAATTCTTCAAGCATAATGGATCCTGTTAGACATAGTGGGAGATTCCCATATAGAATGACAAAACAGATTGATCAATCATAGAGCTACACGGGCTGAAAGGCCTCCGACATCTGAAGGTACCTTTCCTAGGTTTCTTTCCGCCATCATCAAATTGTACCAATTGATCGAGATTGCTGACCATCGTCTGCCTTTATGGGTGTCCTCGGAAACGTTTCGAGCTCATAATGCAGACTATTCGAAAAAGGTCGACGCTTTCAAGTGTTCAAATTTTCGATCTCCATCTCGCGCATGGCTCTGCGCTTATTGTTTTCAATAGGCTCAATGTAGAAACCCTGGCCGACACCACGCCAATCTCCAAGTCCGGTGAACCAGCAGAGGCTTTGGAGATACTGTGTCGTAGAATGCTTGATAGTTCCCATGCATTAACCAGAGAAAGATTTTCTCATGCTCTTACTGGGAACACTTTGGGGGGCGGGGGTGATTGGGTAGAAAATGCTCAGCACCAAATTTGAAGTTGATAGAAGTATCAACTGCACCAGTGAGTCGCACTAGAAAGCAGCTTGCGCTCATTGTCAACTTTAATGTGGCCAAATGCAGGCATATCCAGTTTTCCAGGCTGGGAATTTATTTATCCCGCTTCTTCTGATTCGTCTCTGAGAGTTGATCGGTCACTGATGGATCGCACATTGCCCGGCGTCTCTCACTGTGGCTTCGATATTATGAGCAATTTTGTCATCGACTATACCTTTACTGCACTTGATTCTCACAATCTACTCGAGGCCTTTCTGCATTTTATTCGAGGTGCAATTGGATTTCGGGATAAGACTACCCGATGAAGATATTCTGTGGCGCTGTGTCCCGGTGGGGTCTGGCCCCGCTCCAGATCCGCCCCCAGCGGCCCGTAGACTCTGGTTTCGTTCAAGTCGATGATCATTATGTACTATATGTTCAACTTGTGGTGTAAGTGACTGAGTGCTCTCGAAATATCTCCTTTGATTTCGGTACTTCGCAAGGCTCTCTTGGTTTTGGGTCACAGTCTGGACGTTCGATCAAAGGCCTGTGCTGATCAAACATACCGATCATGACCGCTTCCACACATTTCAGCATTAAATTTTGCACAATTGAAAGACTGGAACACACCTATGAAACAGAAACACTCCATCGACACCAATTCTACTTTCAGTTGCACATAAAAATGTTCTCTACATATGGAAAGATATTTTATTTCGAATGCGCCAGTAGGTAGGCAGGTTAGCCTCAAGGTCAGGAATATTGTGATCACGGATGGATGCAAATCCACCCGAGCACTTCTCATTTCTCACTTAGAATCGATGGCCGGGTGAAAGTTTCGAGGCCTCGAATGCGTGGCCACTTCTTGGCCTTCATTGTAGTTCGGGCGCCAGGCCCTGGCGCCCAGTATCGAATTTCCCGCACATAGGTTGTCCAGACAGATCTGACATGCTTCGGGTCTGGAGCTCTGACAGTAATGCAACAGTGATGATAATTACCGACACTTCTAGTTTGAGATTCCAAAACTTGCAGAAATCGTAGAACTCGCGGTGCAGAGACTGCAGAGACAGAGTCAACCTTAATCACAGTGGAGACTTTTACACGTCACCCAGGCGTTTCCCTTGCATATTGAGACTGCTGTAGTACCTCAAGAAGAGACCATCGTTTCTCTAGGTTCAAGTACACGCACGTTTGTTGTCTATTTCTCCAACTTCCTTTCCTCTCTTCTTGTCTTGGGCGTCCGATCTCTCTCTCTCTCTCTCTCTCTCTTTCTCTCTCACTCTCTCACTCTCTCACTCTCTCACTCTCTCACTCTCTCACTTTTTCACTCTCTCACTCTCTCACTCTTTTCACTCTCTCATTTTCTCACTCTTTCACTCTCTCACTCTCTCACTCTCTCACTCTCTCACTCTTTCACTCTTTTCACTCTCTCACTCTCTCTCACTCTCTTTCACTTTCTCTTTTCTCTCTCACTCTCTCTCACTCTCTCTCACTCTCTCACTCTCTCTCGCTCACTCTCTTCCCTTTTCCACCTTCAAGCTGAGTCATCTGGCATGGCCGAGATCAGCTGATCGGACTGCCAACAGCCATCAAATCACCATCAAATCCTATGGGATTCGCCTCGTTTTCCACATAAAGGTATCTATTGTTCTGATGACTAGGCTCGCAATTCATCCATTCTGTAAAGAGCGGAGTTCGAGGTTTCTATAGACGCCCCTAGTGGAGTCGCGGGTTCAATGTGGGTGTCGGCTAAGCCAGGGCTTCAGAGACTCCAGTGGCGGGCCTTTGCACTGTTTGACCCCGTCAATACATTGCGAAATGGCGTGCAATTGGAATGCGCCGAGTCCCTCAGCGCCCAAGGACTCGCTTCGGTTTCTTTTCCCAGGACGCATGGACCCATCCATTCCGCCTCCACCGTCCGTCAACACGAAGAGATCACCCTGGCGACTGTAAATACAGAATTAGACTATCCTAGACAAGCCCAAAGAGTCGAGAAGTAGCAAATGGTAGTCAAAAGTCAACCCACAAGAGGTGATGTTTCAGGAGAAAACAGAAATACGAAACGGCAAAATGCGAGTTTAGCGCAAAGCCGAGTCCGCGATGGATCGGCAACGCTCTTACGTCCCCAACTCGGCCATCATCACCACTTCTCGACCCTAACCTTCTCTTTCCCCCCCCTCCTCGTGAACCCGCAAATGTTACTTTGTTATACTCCAATGTTCTGTGAAATCCATCCACCCTCTTGATATTTCGAGGAGATGCCTCTTTGAACACTGTCCTGTTCTCCGACCGCCTCGTCATCGTCACGTCTAATCCCTTCCGACGCATCCTTTTCCCCCTGCTCGAGTACTCTTGGACTGGTGTCTTCTAGACCGGTAGATTCGGTCTCGATATTCTTCACCCGAGAAGAATCACCTCGTTCCTCCGCCGACCAATCCGTCTGCTCCGCCTTCTTCTCCGTGCTCTCTATCGTTCGTGTGACGGACGGGACTCCTCCGTACACAATGTCAACGCCATCCACGGCCACCGCAACCCATACCACGCACCAGCATTACGGATATCCCCATTCCTCATACCAGGCAGCGACATCCTATCCCGCCACGACCACCGCTACGGGCGCTCGCCTTCCCAACCCCTACGGCTACCCGGTTCCTTCGCCTACAACCACCACCCTTCCCTACACGCAATCCACGAGAGTCGTCCCATCGTTGGCGGCACCCTCGGGGATGGCGTCTCACCAGAGTGACTCGAGTGCGGCCCCCTCGCAAGGAGGCCGCAGGAAGAAGCCTGACTGGGGCGAATTCTACAAGAATGGCATACCCAAGGAGGTCATTGTGATCGATGACAGCCCTGCCCCAGAGGCTGCAAAAGCACCGCCCGCGCCTCCTCATGCCTCTTCCGCTGCACAGCCTGCCGTACCCCAACCTGCCGGTAAGCGACGACGGACCGGACTCGAGACGGCATATGATCTCGGATACTATGACCGACCGACCTTCTCTACAAACCCTCAGCAGTACGGTGATAATTCGTCGCACTCCTTGTCGACCGACCGAACTACTTCTTTGCATACCACGGCCCCCACATCATTGGGCTCGCAAGGTAGCTCGGGCGTGAGCAACGGTGTAAATGGTGCGAACGGCGTATACAGTGAAGACGCCACCGTGGGCCAAAAGCGCAAACGGACCACCCGGAAATCTGCTCGCGACGAGCAGAAGCGACGAGAGGAGGAGACTGTGGGAGACGCGTTCCTCAGCTACGTTCCTCCCCCCAAAGCCTCCAATCAAGGCTAAAGATGTACCTGTTCCCGTGATCCGCGATGTGAGTGCCTTGTAGACCCTGAAATTTGTCTAAGAGTCGTCTCAACTGACCCAATTAGTTCACGAGCTCGCGCCACGAAAAGTTCGACGACGACGATGGTCACTACGTCGTCACCCCTGACACACCATTGACAGATCGATGTAAGTAAACGATCTTTAGAGACTGTTTCGGCCTTTCTCTAATCGTTTCTCTCTTCAGACTCTGTGATCAAACTCCTGGGCCAGGGAACCTTTGGCAAAGTCGTCGAAGCGTATGACAAACAGCGCAAAGCGCGCTGTGCTGTGAAAATCATTCGCTCCGTCCAAAAATACCGTGACGCCTCCAGGATCGAATTGCGCGTATTGTCCACACTGGCCTCAAATGATAAATCCAATCGCAACAAATGCATCCACTTGCGGGATTGCTTTGATTTCCGGAACCACATCTGCATCGTGACAGATCTGCTAGGTCAGAGTGTTTTTGATTTCTTGAAGGGCAACGGGTTTGTTCCCTTCCCAAGCAGTCAGATCCAGCAGTTTGCTCGCCAGCTTTTTACCAGCGTTGCCTGTGAGTTACTTCCAAGTCTTTGCATGAAATACCCACCCTAATTCTCATCCAGTCCTCCACGACCTCAACCTCATCCACACCGACCTGAAACCCGAAAATATTCTTCTCGTTAGCAACGCCTACCAGACCTTCACTTACAACCGTACCATTCCTTCTTCCTCTCACGCGAACCCTCGAAATGCCCGCCAAAGACGAGTCCTTCTCGACAGCGAGATCCGGCTGATCGACTTTGGCTCTGCTACATTCGACGACGAATACCACTCCTCTGTTGTGTCCACACGGCACTACCGGGCGCCTGAAATCATCCTTAACCTGGGCTGGAGTTTCCCGTGCGATATTTGGAGTATTGGGTGCATTCTGGTGGAATTTTTCACCGGTGACGCGCTCTTCCAGACGCACGACAACCTCGAGCACCTGGCAATGATGGAAGCAGTGATTGGTAGCAAGATCGACGCAAAGTTGGTCCGACAGGTGATTCAAGGACGAGCCGGAAGCAATAACAACTCGGCTGCGAAGTAAGTACACTGATCATGGTTGCACTACCGCCAGGAAAGGCTAACTTGCCTCCCTTTAGGTATTTCCAACGGAGCAAGCTGGACTATCCGAATGCTGAAACGACTCGCGCTTCGCGAAAGTACGTTCGGGCCATGAAACCGTTGACTGTAAGTCATTTCATCCTTTTTTGGTCACCAGCCGAACCGAACTGACCTTCTTACAGGAGTTTATTCCCATGAACACCCCATTCAATCGTAACTTCCTGGATCTGCTGCAGCGTATCTTTGTCTATGACCCGAAGCAGCGCATCACTGCCAAACAGGCATTGAAGCATCCCTGGTTCAAGGAAAGCCTGATCGACGACGGTACCGAAGCGTACCGCATCGGCGCTGGCCTGCACCGCCCAGGACGTGGCTAGTGGCCTCAGAGCAGAGCCCATTATGGGCGCTGTCTCAGTCGACAGCATCGGGCGTCTTTGGGGCTTTAAGGATAGACGGTTCACATCTTGGGTAATTATTGTCATGAACGGGAAGGACGGTGTTACAATCCGACGGGGACAAGGGAATGATGATCACGATGCGCCTTTATTTATTATTTACTTCTTACCTCCAGATGGATGTGAAACTTGTATACACCCGGCGGCTGCACTCTTCCCATCTCCCCCGGTTTTTAGCAGATCGCGTCTGATCCGAGAGATCTTATGCTTTATTTTGTTTTTTACCCATTCGTTTCTGGCGCTAGGTATTTGAGGCTGCGATTGCATCTGCCTCTTGGCTGTTTTTTGGGAGATTCCTAGGGTGCGATTCTTATACCATGATTTGATTCCCGGGGAAATTGTATATAGGCATTGGCCTGACTTTATTGATCTTCTTCTGCGCCTGGGTTTCCTTGGAATGTAAAATACTGATATGAACATGTGCAAATCCCATGAATACCGAAGAGCAACATTGACATTTGACTCAGCTGAGAAGAAACCGTGACACATTCGGAAAAGCGGAACAACTCCGTTCCTGTCCCGTGGACCCGCTCAGCCCGAACATCCCACTTTTATCTTTGATATCGCGATTCCTCCCCGCGGTGATTCATAGCCCTTGCCCCTCGAGTCCTCCACCCTCTCTTCCTCCCTACTCGGTGCCAAACTAGGTACCAGACTATCAATCGCCATGGCATTGACCAAGGAGGAGCAGCTTGCTCTCATCAACGAGAACCTGGCTGAAGTTCTCAACCCGGAGATCATTGAAGATGTTCTGAATAAAGGCGAGACTCTCAAGATTTATTGGGGTACCGCGACAACAGGAGCTCCTCACTGCGGATACTTCGTTCCGGTGGGTGTTGACTGATCAAGCTCAAGTCTGCGCTGGCTAACAGGCCACAGATCATGAAAATCGCGCAGCTGCTCAAAGCCGGCGCAAATGTGAAGATCTTACTAGCTGACGTTCACGCTTTCCTTGACAGTAAGTGTCCCCTTTTCTGTGCGCCGAGATGACATGATCTTAGTCTGACTCATTTCCCTAGACTTGAAGGCCCCCATCGAACTTGTCGAGTACCGTGCCAAGTACTACCGTTTCGCGATTACTGCGCTGCTCAAGGCATGCAACGTCCCCGTGGAGAAATTGGAATTCGTGCTAGGTAGCTCCTACCAGGTGAGATTGATAACAACGGAGGGAAAGCCCAGATTGATTGACTCGGAAATAGCTGTCTGCGAAGTATACGATGGATACCTACAGGGCTTGCTCGATCACATCCACTCACGACTGCGCCAAGGCCGGCAGTGAGGTTGTCAAGCAGTCGGATAACCCTCCTCTGAGTGTAAGCCTGGTCTGACTGTTCTTGGGCATTCATTCACTGACAACTGCGTTCCAGGGTCTCATCTACCCCATCCTCCAGGCTGTACGTTCTTCTCATCGCAAACCTTATTCAACACACTAACAATCTCTCAGCTTGATGAGGAGTACCTCGATGTTCATTGCCAATTTGGCGGTGTTGACCAGCGGTAAGATTGCCGTGCTGCTTATTGGAGGATATAGATTGACCTGGACTAGGAAAATCTTCGCCTTGGCTAAGGACTTGCTCCCCAAGCTGGGCTACTCTGGCCGTGCTCGTAGGTTTTTCAAACCCAATTTTTACGCAAAGAAAAAGAATGGAAAAAAAGCTGACCATACAAAAGACATCATGAACCCTATCGTGCAGAGCCTATCTGGAGGCAAGATGAGTTCCTCCGACGCCAACTCCAAGATTGACCTCCTCGACACACCGGAGATTGTTGGCCGTAAGGTCAAGAAGGCCAATGCACCTCCCAAGCAGGTCGAAGACAACGGTCTTCTTGCGTTCACTGAACACGTGCTCCTCCCTGCTAGCTCTCTCCTTGATGAAGAGCGTCTCTTCAAGGTCGAGCAGAAGGAGGGAGAGCCTCTGGTCTACCGTGACATCGAGAGCATGAAGAAGGACTACGCCGCCGATGTGGTAAGTTGCCTCGGACCCATGACTTGAATAACTTTACTAATGAGATCAATAGCTTACCCCGCAATTGGTATGTTGATTTCCGTCTACTTGAGAACGTGACTGATACGATATAGCTGAAACCCGCCGTCACCGCCGCTCTGTGCCGTCTTCTCGCACCCATCCAGAAAGAATATCAAGAGTCTACTGAGTGGCAGGAGGTTCGATACCATACCGCAGCATTCTGTAACCTCTATGTACTAAATAATCTACAGATCCAAAAGAAGGCCTACCCCGAAGACGCCCCGAAGGAAAAAAGAAGAAGAAGGACAAGGGCACCAGGCACCCAGGCGCTCGCGCTCAGGCTGAGGAAGGCAAGGATGTCTCAAAGGAGCCGGCGACCGAGGCTGATGTTGGAAAGAGTGCTGCTGATGCCATGGACAAGTTGGCTGTTTAGATGCATCCCAAATAGATCTCAGATTTGAACATAAAAAGCATTGCGGGTTTATCCTTGGCCTTGGAACATCTCTTCTCAAGAATCACTGCAGGACTTTCTAGGATTTCTGTTCCTAGGATCAATTCATGTATCGAAAAACATCACGACTGCATCGAAGAAGAAAGCCATAAGTGCTCAGTCGATCCACTCGTCTCCTTAGTCGCTGGTGTGAAGCATCGGACCGAATTCCGACTTCCATTTTCCCCGCCAAACGAGAGATATACTGGTCGCATTCACTACAACAATCGTTGAAAACCTTGGTCAACTTCCCAATGAATGTCCTCGAGCTAACCATATCTACCTTCCACGATGCTCTTCGCCAACAGATCACTAGCTGCGCTGCGGTCGTGCACGCATATCTCGACCGCATCGCGCACCATGACCCGACACTCAAAACACTCATCGCCATCAACCCCAAAGCATTGGCCATAGCCACTGAAAAAGATAAAGAGTCCACTCAATTTCTCCAAAATGGCATTCCTTTCCCGCCTTTACACGGAGTGCCCATAATCCTCAAAGACAACTACACCACCTATGACCTGCCCACTAGCGCCGGGGTTGCAGCACTGCGCACCCTTCGCTCAACCGACAGCGCCATCGTGCACCATCTCCGCACCGCAGGCGCAATCATTCTCGCCAAGGCAAATCTCCACGAATTCGCGCTTCATGGCACCACCACCTCATCACTGGGTGGCCAAGCCCGCAACCCCTATGACTTGACTCGCACACCGGGTGGATCTTCGGGCGGCACTGCTGCTGCACTGGCGGCCAATCTGGGGTTGGTGGGATGCGGTACTGATACAATGAATTCATTGCGATCGCCATCATCTGCATGTGCTGTTGTGGGGTTTCGACCTTCGAAGGGGAATGTTTCTCAGAAGGGAATTGTGCCTGTGTCAGTGACACAGGATATGGCTGGGCCTATGGGGAGGACTGTTGGTGATGTTCGGATCCTTTATGAGGTGATGAGACATGGGAATGGCGGAACAGTATGTGAAATGTCTACTACGAGAGCCCATGGCCGTATACGCGTGGGGGGTCTTGGAGACATACTTCAAGCTTGAAGAGAAGAATCCAGATCTTCCCAAGAAAGTCATTCTTGAGAATGAATTGGTCCAGAAGATTGTTCACACCGCTCTGAAAACTATTGAAGCTAATGATGCCGATATCGAATTGGTTTCTATCGATTCTTCCTGTTACGACTGGAGTCTCACAACCCTACTCACCACAGTCGATACACAACCCTTTGAGTTCAAAGATTGCCTGGAACAGTTCCTCCAATCACCTGAGATCTCTTCACCATACCATACTCTCCAGTCTATAATCGAAAGCGGAGAGTACGACATGAACGCCGTAACAGACGTGTTCTACGCATCTCTGAAGGATCCCACGACATACTCTCGCACTAGCGCCGAATACAAAACCCGTCTGGAAAAGGTCGCGAAACTGAAGCAGTCTGTTCAGTCATGCTTCAACGAGAATATTCTTGATGCATTGGTATATCCCCATCAGCGACAATTGGCTATTGAGATCGGACCAACCATCCAGCCCCGGCGAAATGGTGTGTTGGCAGCGTTGACGGGGAATCCTGCTGTTTGTCTTCCTGGTAAGTTCAGACCGAATCAATCTGTCCTTTGCATTCTCCATGCAAGTTCAAGACTGATATATGGACAGCTGGATTTAGTCCGCCGACTGCGAGTGCGCCCCTGGGTGTGCCTATTGGACTAGAGTTGATGGGTCGACATGGGTGTGACGAAGAGCTTCTATCTCTTGCAGAGCGCGTCGAAGGAATTCTCCGTGTCAGAAGACCCCCAGATCTAAGCATGATACACAGACAAGTCAAGTCGCAATAGGGAGATAAATATGGAAATTCAAATCTATACCGCAGAAGAACCTGGAAACAACCCAGGATATCTATGCACACATATACCTGGGTTCGAAATGCATACGCTGCGACGCCTAATTAAAAGAAAAAAAAACCTTTACATGCCACGGTTGAACTCAACCATACCCTCGTAACCACCACGGCCATGGAACTCATCCTCAAGAGTAGCAGCGCTGATAGCTTGGCGCTGAGGGAAAGCAGCCAGAGCCAAAGGCAAAGCAAAGAGAGAAGTACCCAAGACCAGACCAAGATTGAGAGGCAGGATCATGCGAGGGCGAGCACGGAGCCACTCCGTCTTCTCGAGACGGACCAAGATCAGAGGGGGAAGGACCATGATCGGAGTAGCATTCAGGACACGGCTGATGGCAGTCTCACCGACTGCCAGGGTAGCGGCCTTCTTGGACTTGCCCAGGCTCTCAAGGGCGCGGCTTCATCCTCGGACTGTTCGCGCTTGGCGCGTTCCTCGGCTGACAGCACGGGGTAGACGTCGATACCTTGGCGGATTTCCTCGCCGCGCATCAGGAAGACATTGAGAGCGCTGGCACTGGCAACGGCGGCGAAGGGGACCAGACGGGAAAGAATGAGACGGGTGTTAGGAGAGATGCTCTTAAGACGGGGCACAAGGGCGTTCAGGCCCAGGGCAACGGAGCAGGAAGCCGAAACGGCCATGCAATAGGACTTGGCGATTTGGGAGGTGGAAAGCGGGGTAGACTTGTTGGAGTTGGCGTTGTTGATTGCGACATTGAGCGACTGGTTGCCGATTTGCCAAAGAAGGGTACCGGCAGTCTAAAGAAGTCAGTCTTGGTTATTCCGTGCGACGGAGCTCGGATCGGGTGTCTTACTCCGAGGCCAGGAGTGAGCATGCCCGCAGTGACCACCAAATTGGAGAGAACATAGCAGGACATGCGGAAGGGGAACAGCACCGGTTCTCCGGTATCTGGTTTTCATTTATCAGTCAAGAATCTTCTCGTTGTGTTCGTTATTCTTCCAAGCGCATACCAGGGTGCAGGGTCGAGTCCACCACCTTCTTTGCCCGCCACAGTTCCGCATTCATATCGGAGATCTTGTTCTGCTTGTAGGAGGAGATAAGCTGTTTGGCTTGGTCCAGGCCCGTGGATGAAACGAGTAGTGTCCTATGTTTTTTTTTCCATTAGTCTTATTGATCATGGCACGCGACGATCCAGACTCACCGCGGGTCAGAAATGTCCGCCGCATGGCGCACGCGGCCCCAGTAGGTTGTCAGATCATACTGGGAATTGGGAAGCTCCCGGTTGCCAGGAATCGAGGCAGACATGACCGAACAGCAAAAAGAACGACTGAACGAAGAAAGAATGACCGGTGACTCTTTTTGCGGGGGGCCGATTTCATTTTTGACGATAAAAAGGCGGTGAGCCGATAAGTGGGCGATGGCCAATCATCGCACGCGATGCAAAGTTTACACGGAGAAGGGATCGGATGGCTTGCCGATTCTATGCGAAAAGGGGGGGAAAGGCTTTCTATTGGAAAGAATCACAGTGCAATAGTACATAGGTATCATCATGACAATTAGGAAAACATCGGGGAGGGTCCCGGGCTAATGCAGAAAAGGGGGATCGAGAATGGGACAAAGGAGAGGTCGTAAAAGGGGGGGGGGGTCTATCGAAATCGATAGGACTTGTGCGCCAAAGGAGATGGAGGGCCGCCACCGGATCCGTACCCGGACCGAACACGGTTCTGTCGCGACGGAGTTTGATCGCAGAACATGCATACATAGAATGAGGGCAGATTTGCCCGTTCCAGCCCAACGCATTTGGTGTGTAACCAGTGGCTACATGACTCGCTATAGCCGGTGTTAGATTAGATCGAAACAGAGAAAGTCTGGGAAACAACTTACCACTGAATCATAAGATGGCCACCGTTGTCCATGGAGTTGCAGATGCAGCGTGTTCCGTTGCTCGGGTTGCTAATGTTGCGATCGGTGCTCGGAGTGGCCAGGTCAGGATCAGTCAAGGTGGTGGGAGATTTATTAGAGTGTCGAGGGTGAATATCAAAGTCGCTATGTAAACGGGGAGGCGAGGAACGGAGGTGGGTGAATGTGTGTGATGACCGCGGCAGCCGAGCACCATAGCCACCGGTGGAAGGCCTGGGGACACGACCACGCTCTTTCAGAACCTGTCGAAGGGCATGAGTGGCATCACCACTGTCTTCCTCGTCACCAGGTAATGTCTGAGATGCGATACTGCCGCGCGTATAAGATGCATCAGAAAGGAGCAACGACGAGTGCCGCTTCGGTGTCCGTTTGATAGCATCGGGAGATCCCCGGTACGTCGACCGACCACTGACGCCTCGGGAGGAACCAGCCCAAGGGGAAATCCGTCCGGAATGGGATGAGCCAATGGACGCATACGATCCCTTAGAAGGGGGGCGGGAACCAGAGTCACTACGAGCGAGACTGGGTCGATTGCCATCAAACAGAGTAAAAGAAGTCTGAGCACGAGGTAGAACGGGATAATCAGAATACTCTGCTGGGTCGGTCTCGCTCTCGGTAGCAGAACCATCAAGATCCATACCGGTCAGAGGATCTGTCAGTCCAGTAGGTCCCTCGTCCACCGGCTGCATCTCCGTCTTTGCGCGTCCATCTCGGCCAATACGCAGTACCACCGAAGAAGACCGGGTCGGGACTCCAGTAGCAACAGAATTGGACCGTCCCAAAGGTATCGGACGCATATTCTTAGCCGGGGAGGCTCGGCCTTTTGAAGGGCTCTTACGAATTCCGCTAGTCGAGGCCATCATGCCCCCAGCTTGACTAAGTGATCGATGGGAGGAACTGGTGATAGCTGTATGTGTCACACTCCGGGTCAGGCCAGGACGGCCACGCGGAGTGAAATCGTCATCTTCTGTCTCGTCTTCAGAGAAACTCGAGTACGAGCCAGGAGCCCGTACATCTCCCACCTGAGCCCGACGAAACTCATCCCGCTTTGATTCTTCTGTTTGATGGTGGTATGGCTGCCGCATTCTGACAGGCCGTCTTTCCGGAGTCATCTGAAGGCCACCGAAACGTCGCGCAGGAGAGCTCAAGAACATAGCAGGATCTTCTGCTTTGGCGACTGGAATCCGGGGAGAGGTTGAAAATGGAGCTGGGAACAAAGCGGCATCGGTAGGCGGTGCGGAGGAGATGCCAAACCCGCCAAAGTCGGGGAGGTCCATGGTGCCATCAATGGTGGGTAATTGAGGGATATGCGTGTTCGTAGAGGAATATGTCGCCGACCTCTGTGCGTGAACGTGGCCCTGAATTCGACCGGTTCCGGGTAAAGGTACATCGGTCTGCTGGTCGTGCTCTTGATCCCAGAATAGCCGCTGTTGCGGGAAGAAGGGAGACGCCGAGGGATCCATCGAAGCCAGCTGGAAGAGGTCCGGCGAGGACTGCAAGTTGCCAAACATCCTCGGTGAGGTGCCCAGCAGGCGACTGGGAGTCTCTAGGTGGGTTGTCATTTGAGATGCACTCCCTCTCGTAGTCGTGTTGGACGGGTCAAAATCGGGGATTTTGCGTCTTGACGCACTCGTCGGCGGCGGCGTCTGCATAGAGGCTGCAAATTTGGCGGAACCTATCTGCAGACCATCCTCGACCACACTAGGCAATGGCTTCATGGAACCAATTCTTCTGGCCGTATCGGTCTGGTCCGAACCCCTCCCATCCTTGGCGTCCTGTGGTCTCACTCCGTTTGAGGCGGTGCCAATACCGAACTTCTGCGGCGAACGAAGGAACTCGGGGCTCGAGGCATAGGGGTCTGCGGTATCCCAGGTGACCCGAGGGTCAAAGAAACTGGACTCGAGTTTGGGAGTGGTAAAGGAATCAAATGCCGCGGTAGTAGGTGTCCTCGTGGGGGGTTTGAGGTTCGCCGGAGGGATAGCTGAAGCTGAACATGTCCGGTCTCATTAGCATCATGATGTCCGCAGAAATGAAAAGAACAGACCAACGAGCGGAGGAGAGGCTCACCCCGCACGAAAGGGGACGAAGGGGGGCAGCACATACCTGTGAACAGGGTGATCCCAACTCATGTCAGCAACACGGACCCAGCAACCATTGAAGGTCAAGCTGCCAGGCAACCTTCAGGGGGATATTCGAGGAGAAGAATGCTAGGGAGGGGGGTCGAGGGTCATTGGAAGCCAAGAGAGTGGTCTACTTGACTGCTCAACTGCTCGACCTGAAGGAAGGGGGAGGTGGAAGAGAGCAGAGAAAGGGAAGGTGTTTCCAGCTGTTCCTGATCCAACTTCAGATCAACCCGTCTTCCCTGGTTCCAATGTTCCAAAGGCTTGGAATGTATAGCTGGTACGAAAAGAAAAAGATGAGGGGCCTCAGTGTTTTTCTTTTCCTCTTTGTCCAGATTGAAAAGGCGTGGGGACCTTTTTTTTTCTTTCTCCCTTTTTTTTTTTCCAATTTTCTTTTTGTTAAACGCCTCCACCGATCCACTGTCTGTCCGATGCCGATTCATAGGGAACTTACTTTGCGGTAGTTACTTGTACTGCCAATTCTTTTATCTGGACTATTTATCTCGAAGTCGTTGTGGTTTTCTATAGGTTTCTTGTCATGAATGATGGCTCTCGTCGCATGCCTACTCTCCAGAGATACAATAAACATCGTCGAAAGATCGTGTACAAGGCGATATTCTCGGCTCCAAGTCAGCTGCAAAACAGGGCGCCTATCAAGGAGTTGGCGGAGAAGGGCTCTCCTTGGGCAAGGTCTGCCGATCTAGTTCCCTATTGGGAGGAAACGAGATCGAGCCTCTAACCCGGTTTGACCATCAGTATCGAGTCTTAGTTGGTTCGGGGAAGCCGCCCAAGCCTAGCTGGTCCTGTGGATATCAGCCAGTAACGGGCGCGCGGCTTTCACGCTCAGTCCGTTAGAGTCCGTTAGAGTCCGTTAGTGAGCTTCAGAGCGGGCCACTCTTACCGATGACGACATAGACTTGCGAGATTGGAAGTGGAGTTCCTAGAGATCTTGCCTTGGGAAATCCAAGTTTCCAAGCGGTTGAAATACTGCCCCAATGGTGGAAACTCATACAAACAGGCGTGAGAAAAAGGGGAGTCAGCAATCATTATCCGCATCCTAGATCTGACCACAACCGACCATCCCAGACCATCCTTTTCAGCTCATCATTCGAGGATCGCCTGCAGCTAACCCACGGCCCCTGGCATTATGAGCCCAACTTGGGTCTGGAGGGCCTTGGGCCCTGTACCTGCGTTGCACTTCCTCCACTAGCGTCGCTCTCGGCCGCCCTTACTCCGATTTGTTTGCCCCGGTCCTGGATTCGATGCTCTGGAATCCGTTCACTACTTGATTTCCTATATTAAAAGCTGCGCCCCAGTCCCTCTCGGTTTCCTACATGCGACATTGGAAACCCCACTTGACTCTCCACGCGATGCTGGTGAGATCGGGGTGATCGCAATTTCTCAAGTCCGGTTCGTCGGAACCCGTCACCTTCCTTTGCACATGCCCAGTGGTTTAGCTCAGAGATTCTCGTCCCAACGTCGCGGATCTGATTCCGACACGTTGGCTCAATACTTGACTCCCGCCTCGGGAATCTAAGGCACGATCAGGGGGAGGAACAACTGAAGACTAGCTCCACTAAACAGGCGTTTCTCCGCCGTTTCTTGTCGGGCCCACACAAGCTGTTTCCAGGGCTACCCAGTCCAATTGATTCAACTTGGGGACAAAGATACCACTGTCGGGGCTTTGAGTCGGCAAAATTGTGCTGTTGCGAATCCGTCTTGGGATGTAGATCCGACAAGCACATATATTGATTTAACCCTCGCACGTAGTCCTTTATTAGTAAAGATAATTGGAATTTGTATCAGGAAGAAGACTTTCTGGAAAATGAGCCTGAGACCGACAAATGGTGTTTGTTGAAACGAGGATTAGTGTTCTGCCTGATAGACAAGGCATCAGCATCTCCATGCCCGCATCCTCGACATCCGTCGAGCAAAAGCAGTCGTCTGGATTAGTGAGGATGGCCCCTCAGTCGAAGTCTTTTCCTAATCGTTTCCCCTCTTTCTCTTCCTTATCTTGAATTACAACTATATCCAGAATGGCACGTAGCAAATCCCAGGGCCGCAGCCGCAAAAAAGGGCCCGCCCCGAATGGACGCGTCCGCAAGTCGCGCAAGCCATCTTCGTCTGTGAGTTACATGAAAACCCGCGGAATCTACAATGCTTACCCCTCCTCAAAAGTCGTCGAGGAATCTACCGGTCTCAAATGACCCCCTAGAAATTGTATGTACCTCTCGCGCCAACTCCTAGATTCCCGCTGATTATATCTGCAGAATATCTACGCGCACGTGTCGATGCCAGATTGCTATGTCTTTGTTCCCAAGGGAAATGCATACATTACCCTTCACTGTCGCCGCAAGACTAAGGAGTCACTCCAAACAGTCTATGTTGTCTACGTGAGTACCATACCCGTCCATACTCATTTCATAATTTCTCATGCCCCTCCAGGACAAACCAGGCAAGCGCGTCCAGGGCATCCGGGTTCCTGATAGTATCTATGCCAATGTGGTCGAGCTATCCGAACTCACTGCTGACTCTCGCGCCAAGCTCGTTCAGGCTCGTGATGCCAAATACCTCTCTCACGGTCGGAAGCTGCTTAGGCAACATTTCCCACTGATGCCCGAGGAATCTCTTAAGATCATCCTGAATCACTCGTTCCTCAAGGGCTCTGGACGAGTCGGGCGCACTGCGACGACCACCGACGACCGGAAGGTCACTCTCGCCGTTGACGCGCACATTCGGCACACGCACACGCCATATGAGGAGCTTCTTTCTGGCGGTGTTGATCGAGAGAAAGCCCGCGAGACAGTGTGGCCGACGGTTCAGACTATTAGAAATACCTGGCAAGGCAAACATGAGAACTTAAAGAGCCATATTCCCCCGGATCGTTGTTGCCAACCGGAGGTGATCGTGCTGGATTGATTTGTTTGCGAAGCGGCTTGATAGATGCACTTGCATACTACTGGAGCGCATCAGGCTAGATTGACCATTTGCATGATACCATGAACACACGAACTAATGACCTCGCATCAGAATTCACTCAAGTATTGATCTTTCTGAAATCATTAAATTCGGGCTCGGCTTTCTTCACAATTTTTCCCCTCACCCTCATCGTGCATCATTCACGAACCATGCCACATAATGCATAAAGGGTCAAAACATTGCCCTTCTCTAGCTCTGCGGATAGAGGACCTCGACATGGAAATGCCGCGCCTTCCAAGGCAAACCTGGAAACCACCCCATTCCATCACTGATCATGTCTTGCATGATCAACATCCGCATTCGACAGTCTCCTAGTGCATCAAGACGACTGGTATTCTTGGTATCGATCGTCACGCGAAGTCGAATTCGGCAATCTCTGATGTGGCGCATGGCACCATCGCGCAAATTCGCTCGCTCCAGAAACCCCATTTGATTGCGCGCATACTCAAGGATCTCGAGATCGGTAAGTTCATGTGCACGGTTGAGGATATCGACCTCGAAGATGTAACTGTACATCTTTGATCCGTCCGGGAGCAAGGTAAAGAGCGCATTGTTCGGTCTCAAAGGACGTGGGATTGCTGTAGGTACCGTGGGAATTGGTCGTCTGGAGGCAGTAGTACTGGGCTCGGAATCGATATCCATCGGGTCTCCACCTAAGGCTTGCCATGGAGGCGGGGCGGCGGCACGGGTCTGCTGGCGCAGGTCTCTTGCTAAACTCATTCGGCGATCAGGCTCGGGCGGAACAGGAGGTCCATAGAAGGACATGACGACGGTGTGAGGATATTTGTCTTTGTTGTTGAGTTGCTAGATCCGAAGCAGACTGGGTTGATAGAACCGTACATTCCCTCAGTGAGAATAGGTCATGAGGGCGGATGAGTAGAGAAAGAATCAAAGGCAGCAAGACCCAAAAGAATCGAACGGGTATATGGGAACAGATGGTGGAAGTAGTAGAATGAGGTGAAGTTGCCAGATTAGAATCGTTGTCATCTTGCTCTTGACGCTACGCGATCACCCACGGGCCTCGGGAGTTCACGACTCAACCATCTGCCTGGACACGAATTGATGATCTGTAACTTCTCAACACGAGTATCTGAGTCGAAAGCCTCTACCATCACACCCAGCACACATAATACTTAGTCCAGAATTACCAAGAATCCCCGTCCAAAAGGGGCCAAGAAACAGGCCCCACCAGGTCCACTCAGGGTCTAGTGGGTTCAGACACGAACTACTTCCATTATGATTGGCGATTTGCAACCAAACCTGTCAGCCCCCTTAGGCCTCTCTCTTTTGTTCTGTTTCTTTTCTGCTTCCGACATGGCTCACTATGCTTAGTCGACACCTCCCTTCGCTGAGGCCAGGGCGGGTCAAGTATGTTGCTATCATCGCCATACTAGTCTTGTTCCTGCTTGCGCGGGGTCTGCCCTCGCTAAGTAGCGTCGAAACCCGCGTGCGCGATTCCCACATGGGTGAAGACAGGCCGCAATATCTCTATCACTCCACTTTCCGTGACGATCCCGACCTCGAGTACGAACGCAATGTTTCCCAGGCTATGCGCGACCTTGAAAAAAAGCAGTTGGCGCTAGATAGCGAGGACACAACGAATACGTTGTGGCAGATCTTACTGGACCCCTCGGTCCAACGAGGCGAAGACTCACTTCTGTTCGAGGAGAAGAATCCGGAGTGGAATTATGCGGTAAGAAAAATCCTCCGTCTTCACGCTTTTGGCGCCTCGACTGACACTACTACATCATCTAGCTCGTCAATAACGAGTGGGCCGAACAGTTCATTGCTTTAACCCTGGGATCCGTGCCGGGCCTTGCGACTATATACCATGCATACCCGCACAGAGTCCTCCGGGGTGATCTACTCCGCTATCTCATCTTGTGGTATTACGGAGGCTACTACACCGACGTCGACGTAAATCCCGCCAAATCCATCAAATCGTGCCCGTCCCTCCAAGACTCTGTACTCACTAACGACACCGATATATCCCTTGTCGTAGGTGTGGAGATAGACGAACCCTTTGCCTCACCGCAAAAGATGCGCGACTGGCACTGGGTCCGAAGCTACGGGTTTCTTCAATATACCATCTACGCGCCACGGCGATTTAGTCCACTTCTACGGGATGTGATCGTGCGAGTCTTGTCACACACGAAGCGGCATCGCGAAAACAGCAACGCCATATTCGGTGCCAAGTACAATGAACTAACCACGCTCGAGATCACTGGCCCCGGCGTCTTCACAGATGCTATTTTGGACATCTTGTCCGACACATTACCGACTGACCACCCGATGCTCTCGATATCGAAGAAGGCAGATGAAGGTATAGGAGATCTTGTTACTGAATCGGGCAAACCCATTGATCGTGTTACATGGGCACCTTTCCATGAGCTGAAGGAACCGCTATGTGTAAAGGGCTCAGAGGTCAAAGAAGGAAAGCAAATGGGTGGCTTGTGTGCGCTTCCCATTAATGCTTGGGGCAATGGACAACGACACAGCGGATCAGAAGGGTTCGGTAGTTCCCATGCTTGTATTAACCACCGATTCTCCGGGCATTGGAAATCGTGGAAGCTTAGTTGGAAGCAATATCTCTTTGGGTGATCGTGCCAATGACTGACAGAGCTTGGTGTTTTGCTGAGTGAATTCTAGTATTGGATATGACTTCTAGTAACGATACACATGGACATATATGCTTGCATGGTTTGAGGCATCGAATTTAAGGTCTTCAACCCTTCTTTCTCGACAGCAACATTCGAGCTAGTGCATTAAAGCCAACACCGGAAGAAAGCTTGCAGCTGGGTTTTGATTCCGCTGGAGCTAGTCAGGGAAAATACATACAATGCGCTGGTTAAAGACCAATTTCGCGCGCACTGCGAGTCATTCACGATGATAAAGAGAGTTTTTGTTTTGACTAGGATTGTACGGTGGGAAGCGTGTTATCTTAGGCAGCCAAAGAGCTAACATTTTTACCATTTAGTAGTGATATTTAGTAGTGATATTATGCACTTTTCAAGGTTGCCCAAAACGCTTCCTCAAGCATATACACAGCGTCCCGACCGGCTATTCCTCACGCTATGATTGACCTGCGTCATGCTGCGAGCCAAGAGCTTGCGTCAACTCAGTACATACGCTTACACTCCTTATACAGTGACACAGCAAAAGTATCGACACCCTCTGACCCACTTCACCTGATTATGTAATATTCTACCGCTGCAGTACCCCAACTAATTCCTTTCTGAAAGGGAGACCTGAGGATAGAGCTCATGTCTTATAACCCCAGCTAGCAGCCTAGGAAAGCTCGCATACGCGCTCACGTAGGGCAGGGGTGAGTTCCGATTGTAGTGCTTTGATTCTATATGAACAGAAAGGGGTTTTAGGGTAGAAATAAGGCAAAGAACGCGGTCAACACGCTTGGTATAGACACTAGATCTAGCGTTTTTCTGTAGGCGGTGAATGTATTTTCAAGGCGGTGTAGCGGGTGGGGCTAGAGGGGGTGTCGATACTTTTGCTGTGTCACTGTACTTCCATCCACTGCTTGTAGGTTTCCGTGATTCTCGACACCCTTATCTTCAGGCATCCATCTGTCCTGTTTTGAGTTGCCACGTGACCCGTGACCATAGAGCAAGCGGGGTCTATCCCCGGAGCAGTCAACCCGATCTCCTCTGGACCCATTCTACCTGCATATCGTCATGAGTTTCAGCTTGAAAGAGGGCTGGCACCCTAAGGGTAAAGACGGCAAGAAGGAGAGCTGGCGCGGTGACTTCAAGGGCATCAATCAAGTGGTAAGCTTCTGTCTGACGTCTGCAAGGCTCGGCCGCTAACCTTGTTCAGGCAGGATGGATGGGCAAAGGCAAAGACGCGAGTGAGGACAAGTCTGAGCATGTATCCAAGCCTCTATCAGCGTTAAAGGATCCCTCCTCCTTTGGTCCGCCGCCGAAGCACATCAATTACCATGGCGCAGGCGCCCTGCCCTATGAGACTACACCAGACCGGCGAGGCATGGGAGCTTCGCCATCCCAGGAGCAGATCAACTATCAGAACTATCAGCAACAGCAGGCCCTTCAAGCGGAAGAGGAAGCCGCTCAGAAGCCTGCTCCGCCCCCAGTGCCTTATCGCGTGAACACTACGGGATTGTCGACGGACAATCTTCCAGCTCCCCCGGTACGACGCCTCGACTCGCCTCGCTCCGGCTCATCCGCCAGGGGGCCCCAGGTGCCTCCACGAGTCCCTCCACGGAACGGCTCGCCTGCGACAAATGCTCCCCCGCCTCCATATTCTGCTTCCACACCATCGGCGTCTCAGGGATATATCAACCAGGAAGCCACATCGCGCCTCTCCAATGCCGGTGTCTCTGTTCCGGCTCTTGGAATCGGGGAAACCAATAGGCCATCATCTCAAACTTCAACCTCCTACACTGAATCTGCGAAAGGAAAAATGAACGACCTGCAGTCTCGCTTCTCGCAGATGCGAACCGACTCAGGGTCATCGTCTCCAGCGCCTGCTTCAACGGATCGATTCCCTCGTACGAGCACTAACCCCGATGCTTCCCTTCCCCCAGCCCCCGGGTTCCGCGAGCGCCACGCAGACAAGATCGACATGGGTAAGGAGAAGCTGAGTGGGGGTGACGTCTCGCTTCAATACATTTGTGGAAGACCGCAAATTTTCAGCCAACGCGAATAAGCGCATCCCCCGACCGCCGAGTGACTATGTTTCTCCGTCGCCGGTTGCAGTTGGAGTTGTCAGACCTGCTGCACCTGTTGCGCGAGCAACTCCTGTTGCACCCGTGCCGAGCAGGACGCCGGACGTCCAGGCTCAAGCCCAACGTAAGAGGCCACCTCCGCCCCCGCCTAAAAAGGCTGAGTTTCGCGCGCCGGCTGCCAATAATTCGCCAGCGTCATCAGCCTCGCCCCCACCACCTGTGCCGATGAGTTCCAAACCCCGCTGAGCGGATCCGTTTTTGTACAACATCGATCATATCGATGCCAATAAGTGCTATCAGAATAGAAGTGCAGGGCACATTTGTATAGTGATGACATTTGATCTTCGTAATTGATATGCATTCCAGGATATCAATTTAAGCCTCGGCCGCATGTGAAGTTCCGGCCGGATTTCCTACTCCGATTGACTGCATGCGCCGAGATGTTGGGAATTGTGCAATGATGTTGATTGTGAGACTATTTGTCCCAACAGAAGATCGGGATCGTCGCACCCAGTTCGCATGTAGTGTACCGCAAGATAGGGACTTGTCAATTTTAGCTCTATGAGTGTGAACTGTTTCAATGGTAGAAACCTGGGGAAACGGCTGACTCATCTATGACACCTGACAAACCTGGCAAAAAAGCCAAAACGCCAAAAAAGCGTGGGGTTTCAACCGTCCAGTCGCGTGGTCGCGTGAATTTAATAGTTCCGATCTATGCACCTGTATACTGGAAATGTTTAGCAACCTGGGGATGAATCATATAGATAACCATGCCAATAGAATGTCAGTAGCAATCTATAGCATATGCTTTCAGAGGATGACGACAATGTCAAAAACCAGATTGACCTCGGTTCCCCGTTTTCATAATGTTCCAGGTTCACAAATTCCCAACAAACGGGGGATCCACTTCCGATAAGTCAAGTCTTTTATCAGTTGAGTGGATCTCCCTCTACTCTGCTTTTGGACTTTTTTTTCTTCTTCTTTCCCTCTATAACTCGACTTTCATTTTGGGATTTCTCGATTCTTGCCCTTTCTGGCCTTGGGCTCACCATGTTCGACATCAACGTGCCCTCCCAGTTCGGTCCGGCCACCGTCCGCATCGCTCTTCCTCCCGCCTCGCTCCTCAAGTTTCCTCCCAACGAGCTTCCGGTGACCATTCCGGCGCCTCACGTCACTGAGTGGACATGGAAACAGCCCTTTAACATTCCCAACGATCTCTATAACCAGGTGTTGGATGTGCGGGTCCCAATTACCATTGCCACCGTCTATGCTCTTACTGTGGTCCTGATCAATCGCATCAATAAAGCTCGCGGCTACAAGCCCTATGCCTTTAGCCATTCGCGCCTGTTCAAGCTGTTCGTGATTCTCCACAATGTTTTCTTGGCCGTCTATTCCGCCTGGACTTTCGTCGGCATGTTGCAAGCCTTTAGCAACTCCTTCCCGTCCCGGGGCGAGTCCAATGGTCTTATCAGTGTCGTGGACTCGCTCTGTAAGATCAATGGGCCCCGTGGCTACGGTAACGCCGCCACATACAGCCCTTTGACTGATGAATGGTCTATTCCTAACCCCGCGCTGAAGCTGAATGGCGGTCAACCCGACCCTAGTGACGTCGGTCGTCTCTGGAACCAGGGACTGGCTTACTTTGGCTGGATCTTCTACCTGTCCAAGTTCTACGAGGTTGTCGACACGGCAATCATTCTTGCCAAGGGTAAGAAGAGCTCCACTTTGCAGACTTACCACCACGCTGGTGCCATGATGTGCATGTGGGCTGGTATCCGCTACATGGCGCCTCCTATCTGGATCTTCTGCCTGGTTAATTCGGCTATTCACGCCATGATGGTAAGTCAATTTCTCGCGACCTTTCAAGCGATGTTTCAACTGACTCGATCGCGCTTGGTAGTACACCTATTACACCTGCACTGCCCTGCGCATCCGGGTTCCCAACCTGATCAAGCGTAGCCTGACTACCATGCAAATCACCCAATTCGTCTTGGGCACTAACATGGCCGCAGCCTACCTTTTCGTTCACTACACTATTCCCTACTCCGCTGCCAATGCCGCTCTGCGCAACCTGACCCAGGCCGTTCCCGCTGTGGCCCATGCTACTACCGAGGCTGGTGTCATGCCCTGGCTTAAGAAGCTGGCTTTCCGCGCCGCTGGTGCGGAAGGGATTGCCGAGAATGTGGGTGGAGCTGTCACCGCTCCCCCAGCTGGCTACACCCAGCAAATGGTGACCTGTATGGATACCACGGGCCAGGCCTTCGCCATCTGGCTCAATGTGTCTTACCTGCTCCCTCTCACCTACCTCTTTGCTCGTTTCTTTGTTCGCTCCTATCTGCAACGCAAGGATCCCGGTGACAAGCAGCCCACTCACATGGAGGCTGCTGAGAAGGCCGGCGTGGAGGCTTTTGGTCGTCTGAGTCGTGAGATTCAGCGGGCTGCTATCGAAGGCGAGAATAGCGAAACCACTGATGATGAGGTCATCCGGGCTCAGGTCCAGAAGATCGTTGAGCAGAAGACCCAGGCCTCTCCCGTCCGCACCCGGGCTTCCGCCGCTAACAAGGCCCAGACCGCTGCGTCATCCGGCTCGAACGACGGTTTCTCCACTGTGAAGAAGGGTGCGAAGAAGCAGACGAAGGCTGAGCAGAAGATAAACTTTGGCTCTCCGACCGGACAGGGTGAGAACCCTTTCGGCGTGCTCGATAGAAATGCGTGATTCCCACTAGCCAATTGGGTTTCGGCATGAATCTTTTGGCGTCTTGGAGTTTTGACCGCAAAACATCCATTTTCTTTTGACGAATGAGATGTGGCATGATGTGCTCTGCCTCAATCATCTTTCGGTCATCTCTTGACTGTAAAACATCGATACCAGTCTTCCCTCCCCCAAAACAAGATACACTCCCCACACCAAAGGGGGGGCTCCTTCCCGATAGGGTCGTGGCCATGGAGCTGCAATATCGGGGATTCCTCGGAGACGATACTTCGGAGATTTGCTTGATGGGTATAGCTTTAGCCTGGTACTTGTGGCTTGGATCACATGATTTGGACTTGTACATTATCAACGTGAGCGTGTCGTTAACTAGCAATGTCTTTCTGCACTGGACCCTTGTCCGCTCGTAAGCCCTGCGTAGAGATCTTAGGATCATCCGAGATCTACAGCTCCTTTCCAGGGTTGACTCGGTCGCCAAGCCTCAAGACGTGCACCCGAGCATGCCGGGTACCTGGACAGGTACTTATCTCATCCCGGGAATTGGGATGATTTTAAGAATTCACGGAACCCTGGTTTCAACTGATCTTCCCCGCCACGCCTCCGCACCACCTGAGTGGAGGAAAAATATCATCGCGGGGAAGATCCGGTCCACCGATATCTCGCTTAGACCCCTAGAAATGGACAAACGTCAAGCTAGTGAGTATAGCTGCATGTCTGTCTCCGCAACTTCTCCGGTGGGAGAAATGATGCAAGATAGGCCATTGCAGTATAAATCGATACAGTTCGCAATGCCTGCAGTGTCACCTCCCTTGCAAACTAGCTCCTCGGCAGCAGTCCGGGTGGCTTCAAAATGGCGAAACTTGCACGGCTAATTGCCGGTCTTTGGATTCTGTTTTCCTTTTTGGGTGTTTCGACATTTGCCGAATCCCAGGAGGTGACTCAATGGCCTCTCCACGACGATGGCTACAACAAAGTTGTCGAATGGGACCACTATAGCTTCCAGGTCAACGGGCACAGGATCTTCATCTTTTCCGGCGAGTTCCATTACTGGCGTATCCCCGTCCCGGGTCTGTGGCGCGACATCCTCGAGAAGATCAAGGCTGCGGGCTTCACTGCGTTCGCCTTTTACTCCAGCTGGGCCTACCATGCGCCGAACAATCAGACCGTCGATTTCTCCACTGGTGCCCGTGACATTACCCCGATCTTTGAGCTAGCCAAAGAGTTGGGACTCTACATCATCGTGCGCCCGGGACCATACGTCAATGCTGAAGCCAGCGCCGGTGGATTCCCACTCTGGCTGACGACCGGAGAATACGGCACTTTGCGGAACAACGATACGCGGTATACCAATGCCTGGAAACCTTACTTCACCGAGATGTCGAAGATCACCAGCAAAAATCAAGTCACCGATGGCGGGAATGCTCTGGTCTACCAGATTGAGAACGAGTATGGCAATCAATGGATTGGCACTGCGTCGGAGCGCGTGCCAAATGAGACCGCGATAGCATATATGGAACTTCTCGAGGCCAATGCTCGTGCTAATGGCATCAGGGTCCCACTGACAGCGAATGACCCGAACATGAACTCGCACTCCTGGGGCAGCGACTGGTCCCACGAGGATGGCAACGTCGATGTCGCTGGTGTTGATTCATACCCATCGGCAAGTTCCCTGTTCTGTCCTGTGGAAGTCTTCTAACGCGGTAATACAGTGCTGGACTTGCGATCTCAGCCAGTGCACTTCCACCAACGGCGCATATGTCGCATACGAGGTAGTGGACTATTATGATTACTTCCAAGAATCACAACCCACCATGCCAGAATTTATGCCAGAGTTCCAGGGAGGCTCCTACAATCCATGGGGAGGGCCAGAGGGTGGTTGTCCTGATGATATAGGGACGGACTTTGCCAACTTGTTCTATCGCTGGAATATTGGGCAGCGTGTCACAGCCATGAGTCTGTACATGCTCTTTGGCGGAACTAACTGGGGCGCTATCGCGGCGCCTGTCACCGCAAGCAGCTACGACTACTCAGCTCCTATTTCGGAAGATCGTTCAATTGGCTCAAAATATTACGAGACCAAACTTCTCGCACTGTTCACACGTTGTGCGAGGGATCTCACAATGACGGAACTGGTGGGCAACGGAACGCAGTATACCGATAACTCGGCCGTGAGGGCATATGAGTTGCGAAACCCGGAAACAAACGCTGGATTCTACGCCACTTTCCACTATAATACTTCCACCTCCACGAATGAAGCGTTCCATCTCAAGGTCAACACATCTGCTGGCGAACTTAGCGTTCCAAGGCATGGTGGGAAGATTCATCTTAATGGGCACCAGTCTAAGATTATCGTTACGGATTTCACCTTTGGGTCCAAGACTCTCCTCTACTCAACTGCAGAGGTCTTGACTTATGAAGTCTTCGACAACAACCCCACGCTGGTTCTTTGGGTACCCACCGGCGAGACAGGCGAGTTCTCTATCAAGGAATCTAAGGCAGGGTCAGTCAAAAAGTGTCAAGGATGCTCGAGTGTCAAATTCATGAGTGACAAGGCTGGCGTGACTATATCATTCGTCCAGTCGTATGGAATGAGCGTGATTGAAGTCGATGATGTCCGAGTCATTCTTCTTGATAGGACATATGCGTACGAATTCTGGGCTCCTGCGATCACGAATGATCCATTCGTCCCTGAGAAAGAGAGTGGTATGTCTGCTTCAACGGGTCTAAAAGTTTATTGTTCTAACATTCTGTATAGCTTTCGTTCAAGGACCTTATCTCGTCCGTGATGCCAGTCTGTCCGGTTCAAAGCTTGCAATCACAGGTGACATCGTCAGCGCGACAACAGTCGAGGTCTTTGCACCAGAGGCCGTGAAGGCCGTCACATGGAATGGCAAATCGCTCAAGACTCAGCGCACGGCGTACGGTAGTCTCAAGGGTTCAATTGCGGCACCGAATACTATTACCCTGCCTACCTTTGGATCATGGAAATCCAACGATAGCTTGCCCGAGCGCTTCACGTCATATGACGACAATGGAGCAGCATGGGTTGGTAAGTCCAGATCAATTTGGGCTTGACTACGATGAATGAATGCTAATTTCGCAGATGCTGATCATATGACAACCTTGAACCCGAGAACTCCGACAAGTCTCCCCGTGCTGTATGCCGATGAATACGGTGAGTAATCGGTCCTATTCATGTGCAGCGATTATCTAACATCTTCTAGGCTTCCATAACGGCATCCGCCTCTGGCGTGGATACTTTAATGGCACTGCAACTGGAGTTTTCCTCAACGTGCAAGGAGGATCTGCCTTGTTAGTAATCCCTAAAATCCATCCAAATCACCTTCTAACCCTTTTCTAGCGGCTGGTCAGCCTGGCTAAACGGCGAATTCATCGGCTCATACCTCGGTAACGCCTCGACAGAACAAGCCAATCTAACCCTATCCTTTTCCAATGCCACGGTGAGCACGAGCAAACCCAATGTCCTCCTCGTCGTCCAAGACGACACCGGCCACGATGAGACAACCGGGGCCTTGAACCCCCGCGGAATCCTCGACTTCAAACTCGAAGGCTCATCAACCGGGTTCTCACACTGGCGTCTCGCTGGCACAGCAGGAGGCGAATCAAACCTCGACCCAGTGCGCGGCGCATGGAATGAAGACGGCCTATACTGCGAGCGAGTCGGGTGGCATCTCCCTGGTTTCGATGACTCGGCCTGGTCAACCGCGTCAAATGTCCGGACATTGATGAAGGGAACAACTAGCTCAGTACTCAGCTTCACGGGTGCAACGGTGCGATTCTTCCGAACAATTATTCCCCTGGATCTTCCATCGGGTCGCGATATCTCCATTTCGTTCATTCTCGGAACGCCCACTGGCTCGACCCATTCGTATAGAGCTCAGCTGTTCGTGAATGGTTATCAGTATGGGCGATACTATCCCCACATCGGAAACCAGGTGGTGTATCCCGTTCCGGCGGGAATTCTGGATTACAGTGGGGAAAATACCATTGGAATTGCTGTCTGGGCGCAAAGTGAGGAGGGTGCAGATATATCTGTTGGGTGGAAAGTAAATTATGCTGCTGATAGTTCGTTGGAGGTGGTTGGTCTTGGGGAAGGATTGCGGCCTGCGTGGAGCGAAGAGCGGAAAAGGTTTGGCTGAATGGATGGCTCCACAGGGGGGGTCCGAAAGTATGAATTGGAGTTTCCAAGTCAGCCTACGCGGATACCATGAAAATCATAAATTCCGTTACGATTCTTCGCCAGATGTAGGCCTAGTTTGAGGGACTCCGGTTATGCCAAAGGTTCAGAAATGCTGTTACTAAAATACAAATCCAATCATAGTTATCATCTTCACCCATCATTGCTCGGATTCTATAAGCTATGCAACAGCAGCAATGCTGTTCGGGAAGGATACGTGCTATGATTGACCCTACCAAGTACTGGTTGCCGACGAGACCAAGATCTTCTTCAAGACCAGTCAAACGGGCCGAGGCCTAGAATTCAATTAGTCTCGGACGTAGAGTAGATGGAGGGTAAATTGACACTCACAGTATTGTTGCGATCCAAGTAGCTGGGAATGTACATACTCATGATCAATGGGCAACAAAGTGAATATCAATCTTGCGAACCAGCGTCGTCTCAGCCTGGAGAACGAAGTAGCATGGACCGAGTGTAACCCCCAACTCTTTCCCTCCATACTATCATCTTGGCGAATAGACCGAATTGGCCCCACGGAGACTATTGACGAGACAAACGAGACTCGGTCCACTCAGCCAACGGCTCTTGCGGGGGCTGAACCCTTTGGTTGCGACCGCAGTATAAGTCTCGACGTGGGGGTTGCACCGGTATGCGCGTCTTCCAAGCATGGCCACCTCGGCAACTTGAGTACTGGCTGTCCAGTGATGTGGTGATATTCCAGGCTTCATAGCGAACGAAATACAGAGACGCTTTTCGACTGCATGGTCCTGCAGGTTAACGAGCCTGGTGAAGTTCCAGATGTCTGGGGAGTCCTTGGGGAGAAGGACTGAAGGGACAAGAGTGCATATTGCATATTGATATTAACCGAGGATCAGCCGGAAGGACTCTTTCCAAGAATTTCTGATATGGTATGTCACAGAAAAATGTGGCGGTAGATATACGAGAGTCAAGAGGTGAAGATCTTGATGAACTGTACTCGCCACAAGATGTACTTGTGTTGAGCACTAGGGCTACACACGCATTGCAGTACTTCGCATCTGCAATGTTATCTCTGGTCCCAAAGCCCTCAAAGAATGCCCATTATATAGAAAGGGATGCACATATCAATTCCACCATTCAACAGAAATTCCGTCCGAGACCTAGAATCCAAAGCATCCGGTCCGAGTGTCAATCGAAAGCATGTCATTTCAAATGTTCCATCTCAAACCCTCGGGACGGAAGGCATGCAGTCTGCCCGACGACGGTTCCCTGCACTGATGCGGCCACCCTGGCAAGCGCTCTAGACAGCATTGGTCTTTGACATGATACCCATGACAGTAAGAAGTTATGAAGCTATGGACGAACGCCATACGAACATCGGACATCAAACATCGAACATTAGGGCGCGCACTGTAAATGAATTTAACTCCATGAGGTGGGTCTCAAATAACGGGCGCAGAGCAAATTGTAAAGTGAAATCGAGATTACACAAGCAGCTCGCGTGAGAACTGACATACAAAGGGGGAGGAGGCTAGAGTGCACATGTATGAGCAGATGCAAAGACGCTTAGTTGCATTTCACGAGCTGAATGATGATGAGAAGAAAGCGGGCCCAGACATGACCAAGGAGAATGATGTGCTAGAAAACAAATAAATGAAGGAACAGTCCAGTAGTCCACGCTCCCAATACTCGATGACAACGATTCAGATGCATGCGGGAAAGACAGAAGAGACAAAGGAAAAAGAAAAAAAAAAAGTCTTGAGTAACCAATGGCCGTCAAGCCGAGTAGCTGGCAGACGACGAATTCATTAGATCAACAACCGCAAGGCAGTAATCGCAAGAAAGTTCGTTAACCCGCGTCACTAAAGCCAAACCATTTTGTGAATGATTATCCTTGGAAAGGGGAATACCGAAAGGGTAAACGGTATAGACAGCATGGTTGAACTGATGAGACACGAAAGACGGAGAAACGGAGAATTTCCTGACTGTAACGAAGCCTGGATTTGTCGCTTTGCTGCGACACAGATAAAATCAAACGCCCCCAATCGCCGAAGTTTATGCAGATCTATGGACAAGGACGCAAGGCTCGCTCAAGGCAAGCAAGCCACGCAGGGTAAATCCCGACCAAACTCAAATGAAGTGCGTGTAGATCTTGGAATTTTCATGAACCTCCATCTCCTGTGGGCACGTTAGCACATTAAATTTGACAGGCTTCTCATGTGAATGCTGACCATTTTAAAGTTGTTAATCTCCTCCCGAATCTGCTGGGCCAGCAGAGGCGTCAGGCGGTTGCAGGTCGCGATATCTCCACGGCGGTCATACTCGCCAGGTGGCCAGGTGTCGTGGAATTGGATGCGAGGGCTGAAGGCAATATTTCTTCCAACACCAGAGGGAGTGATCGGAGCACTCTTCGCATCCGTACCAGTGTAACGTCCGCCCTCGGCAATGAAATAGTCCTCACCCTCAATTTTCACGTGGTCATTCGGGCGAGGCCGCGTCGATTCATCGGGCGTGGTCGGGGCACTGGAATGCGGCGAATCTGCGACGAGCGTATGTGCAGGCGAGGAAATTCCAAAGTCGGAATGGGTTTCTACACAAAATGTTAGTTCTCGAATGCACGCGGTAGAGAATTCGGATGGAAGGCTCACTCTTCAGAATACCTTTGCGGACAGCTGCAAGGATCTCCGCCCGCTCACGGTCACTTCCCACGATGCTCTTGCGCGTCTGGGAGACATCCGACAGGGTTCTTTCCCGGATAGAAGCGGACCGACGAATGTCTGATCCCTCTAACCTCAGGAAAGACTGTGCCACCACGAGGCATTTCCTGCGGATCGGGATTCACCGCAACGGTCTCGCCATTGTCTCTTTCGACATTGACAACGGTGATTTGAGGAGCAGCTATCGGCTCAGCTGCGCCTTCGATCGACTTTATACTAGCAACCGACTTGGTACGGAACATGCCGACGAGAGATCGACCACCCTTCTTCATACCTTTGCCCATTTTTCGTAGCATCATAGATGCCGATGACGCCGTGGATGATACTGAGAGGGCATCGGTAGATCGAGAGAATAAACCACCCTGATGAGAATAGATGCTTTCGCCGAGACCGCTCTCTTCTTGTTGCATGGCAATGGCAGCTTGTTCAGGTCCCAATTCCTCCAGCAAGGCTTCTTGACGAAGTTTCTCCGCAGCGAGGGCTTCTCTTTTGGCGGCACGACTCTCTCCGGAATTCTTCAAAAGCTCGGAGGCGCTACCGAAAGAGAAAGCACGCCTCAAGCGTGATTTGCCGGGGCGGTTAGCAACATTCTTCAGTTCAGCAAGACGCTTGGCTGCAGGAGAGTCCAACGGTGGCGAGGAGGGCGTAAAGTGGGTTGCTTCAGGTCCACTCGTAGGCGCGTCGTGGGACGTGGCTGCGGGTTGGGAGAGGGGCGAAGGCTTGCTGGTTCTCTTCTCGTCCGGCTTTCCGGTCTTGCTAGTCACGGAACTAGAGTCCGGGGACCCAGCTCGAGCCTGGATTTAGCAATTGGTCAGTTCTGATTTAATGATATCGTGCGAAGAGGGTAGCCTACCGAAGAACCTGAAGAACGTCGTGAGTGGATGCTTCCTGAGCTATCCCGACGGGAGTGCGATGAGTGCGGTCGGGGATTCGAGTCGAACGAAATGAAATCGTATGAGCCTGGTTGGGGCGATGAAGAAGTCGGGGTGGGTAGCGGAAGTTGCAGGTTAGGAATAGCTGCAGAGTCCATGTTGCCCAAACTTCGTCGACGGTATCGCTCTGGGGCCACTTTCTCTGCATGAGACACACCATCTACGCTCGAGACGCGACTGTGAGTAGGTCGAAGAGCAGGTCGAACAGGGAAAATTGGGGCTGTCTTCTCCTCAGCAGGTGATGCCGATGCCGATGCCGATGCCGGAACGGGTGCGGGTGACTGATCGCGTGCACCCTCAGCACGCTGGGGCCGGCGATATCGATTCGGGGAAGGTTTAGCAGACCCGGCGGGCGAGGAAATGTTCATGATGGAGGGAGTTGGAAGGTTGGCGGTGGAAAGAGGACGTAGAGGCTGGTCACCCCTCAGTTTCCTGGAGGGGATTGCGCTGTCGTCCTTGGAAACATAGGAATGAAAAGATGGGGTAGAAGAGGAAGTATTCGATACAGAACCAGCTGCAGGATGGGCGACTCGAGGGGTGGCCCCGTAAGGCATCATTGGCCCTTGGGCGACAGTAGGGGCAGAAGATGTGCGGTGTTCCGGCCGGAGATGAGGAGACCACGACTGTCGATGTTGTTGGGGGCTCGAAGGATGACCCAAATTTGATGCGAAGGCGTAGGGAGCCACGATTGGTTGACCAGTTCGATATGAACCTGAATTGCCAGCATTGAGGGAGCTCCACGACATATTCTGATAGCGGGAAGCCTGGATCTGTGATGAGGAGGCAAAAGTGCCTGAAGAGGAGGAAGGACGCGTCTGGAGCACCGGGACCGTGCTAGTGTGTTGCGGAATCGTTTGAACCAATGCAGCCATATTGTTCTTTCTCCGAATAATGGAAAGAGAGTCACGAGCGTCCGGGCCGGGGCTGGGATCTCGACAAGGCAGCTCGTGGCGAGGATGGGGGGTTCACTCCTCAGGACACCGGAAGAACGACAGTTGCTAACGGAGGACAAATGTTAGTCGGCCATGATTCACGATGCAGACAAATCGTGTCTTCGAGTAAATAGAACAGGAGGAGGTGGATGAAAAAAGGGGTTGTTGATCGAAGTTCTTTTTTTTTCTCGCGTTCGGGGGGTGGATGGGAACGGGACCGCGTCAGCCAGGGGGGGGCAAGGGTATCGTACCTGTTCTTAGTGATGGCGAAGATAAACTATAGTGGTACAACGATTAAAGAAAGGAGACGCTGAATGCCAATAAAATGCAGAAAAACTCGAAACCAGGCGAGTGAAAAGAAACGAAAGGTGGTCAGATGGAAAACAAGCCCCGGGGATGGATGAAGGGGGCAGATGTACAAGAACGAAAAGAAAGCCCCCAAAGAATACAAAACCAGATCCTTGGGAAGGCACCCTGTCAAAGACAAGAAAAACGGTGCCGTTCTTCTGGACTGGGGAGGGGGGAAGAAAGTGGAGGAGTGAAGGAAGGAAGAGTGAAAGCAGAGCGCAGAGAGCAGACAGAGCAGGGGGGCGGAGATGGAGAGATCGGGATGGGGGGAAAACTAACCAGGAGGGGCCTTTTCTTTTTCTTTCTAAATCTGTCACCAAGGATTAAACGGTATAACTTATTCAAAGCATAACAGTGTTCTTCTAATATCTGGCTACCGCTTTTCTCTCTTCAATGGCGATTCAGACTTCCTATCTTCTATCGCTGACTTTCTTATTGCGGATGTTCTCGCATCAACAAACCCCCCCCCTTAAACTGACGCCAATCATAGCGGAGCCCCCCTAACTCCTCTTTGCTCGGATTTCGGATCTGTAAACAGAATTTCCTTGACAGGGGATTTACCTAGAGTCACTCGGTGACTATGTTTCCTTGGTCACCAGGTTACCCACCTTAGGTACCGAGATCATTAGCTATGTAATTCGATTGCTGCATCACCAGGTTACCCACCTTAGGTACCGAGATCATTAGCTATGTAATTCGATTGCTGCTTTTTTTTAAACACAATTTCCGATCGTGACTCTGCCTTTTATAAAGATACGCGAAGGGGATATGTCCCGCGATTGGCGACTGCGCACTAAAAGTAGCAAGTGCAACGCTATCCCACGACGGCGTTTTGGCGTTTTTCTCCACGACTGCAGCGAATCCACTGGCGTTCGGCGAAACATCTGGCGGCTCCGTGCACCGCACGTGCTGTCACCTACTATCGAATTCGATGCAGTGGAGAATCCAAGATTATGTGCCCTAGGTAATGTGGAGTGTGTGCGATAAGAAATGGAGAACGAGCTTGCTTCCTGGGCGGGATCGGTTCCAATCTGGTGCCGGTCAGCTTTCGCAGACTGCCACACCAGGTACCGCCGGCAGAAAGCCAATCCTGGCTTTGAGCCCGGACGGTGCGCCATTGTTGATCACAGCTAGTGGTATTTTACTAGCCGGTGAGGCTGAACAGCCCGTGGGCGTGGACACATGAACGTGGACGTCGACGAGGACTTCATGGTGGTTCGCGAGAACTTTGGAACGGAACCGGGGACTCGAGCGGAGTCTGCGGGAACTCCGTGTTTCTCACCCTCGGTTTTTCTGTTTTTCTTTAGTTTTCTTCCTTTTTCTCTTTTTCGACTCTTCTGTTCTGTTCTAAACTTTTCTATTGTACCCGGCTCTGTCCCTGATTTCTTGTGGGTACACCCTAACCGTCGTACTCGTGAACTTGTACATGACGTATAATGCAGCGCGATCGCACAGCTCTCACGAACGCTCCCGTCAATCCTATAGATGCACGGCTGACTAGGACCGGAGCTGACCCGAAAAGAGCCAAGTACAGGGGTGCAGACCCAACATGGTACTCTCGCCTAAAGTGTCCTTCCTTCCCTCCTGTTCCTGCCTACTGCTTATCTTAGCCTCTTCCCCACTGATCACTTCCATTTCTTCCCGCGTGATCGACATGCCCTAAAACCAGACCGGCACAGATCCTCGTTTCGTGCTTCCTTCCTCCGTGATGATCGAGTTATGCATACATTGCTGCACATGTTCTCCGGAATCATGGATGAGCAAAAAGTACGCACCTCATTATGGCTCTCTAGCTCCTTCTCCATACAGCTTGGTACCGATCTTGCCAACATTTTGCCGGAGGCGTTTTATTGCGGGTCTTGAATGGAGGACCCAGGAGAGAGCGGCTTTTGAAACCGCAAATCATGGCGCGCATCTCTCAAGTGCCCGCATCTTCCCGTGTTGCGTGTCTCGATGCTCCATGCCCCATAGGCCATGTCCCATGTTCCTTCCGTGCTTCGTGCCTTGTATTCTACATGTCCCACCTTTGCGTTAGCTTTGCAAGGTTTAGCTGAACTCTTCAATGCTGCAGACAGAATTGTCCCGCCTCGCGATCATTGCTTGGCTTGACTTCTGCTGTACCGCTTTGGATTACCCTGCATGGCATCGCGCCAGCCTCTAGTGCTAAAGATGCATATGCTGTACTGGGAGGGAAAAAGAAAAGCACGAATGACCGTCGACGCCTGCCTAACCAGTAATCTGGCACCACGGGCCGATTCATCTCTACAGCCTGGGTGATTGGCACGGTACGAAGGAATTAGCATCCACGATATTGTATCCAGTGACCATCCGCTAAAGTCCTGAGAAGTACATTTGCACAACGCTAAGGAATGTAGCCGGCATCCGGGGAAGCAGAAGTGTGGAGAGGTACGGTAGCGATCATCAGAGCGCCGTTGTCCAGGCCGCGAGTCGTGCCCGTGCGCACATTGGAGCTGACTCGGTACTACTGTCGTTAGCGTCAGATGCTGTCTTCTTATCATACCCTGTTTTTGACATTGGCATTAGATATTTCATTCCCTTTCGGTTTAGACACGAGTGAAATTGATGAAAGAGATCGACCCCTTCGTGGAGAAATTCAGTAGATATCTCCTTCAACATCTCTCCCCTCTATCAATATAAAATCATCTGAGCCCCCAATTGATGAACTCCTTCCGCGCATCCAATACAATCCCTGGTGTTGGCCAACCATCGTATGACAGTCTTGTGAACGGAGATGTTGACCCACAAGCGACCAAACCAGCGCAATGGACTCCACTCTTTCCTCCGAAGGTCCGGTCTAGTACGCTCCAGCGACAAACATGGCTTTCCGCCACCTCCGCGCCCTTCCACCACCAGTGGAAGATAATATCACGAATCGACAGGGTCATGCGTTATGAGAACGTGGACAAGCACCGAGGAAAATTCACCCTGGGCACATTGTGGTGTCGCTCAACTGATGAGTGTAGTTCCCAATCTGAGGTACCTCACCACAGACACACAGGAGACGCCAACCCCACACTAGAGCTACTGTAGCTACACTGCAACTTTATCATGAGAAGCCATGTCCGATCAGGGACGACTACCACCCACTTTTAGGGCCTCACATGGTGATATGCGCAAGTTCGCATGCTTCGCGCCTTTACTGTAGTTGACGTTGTGGTACTGTACATACAAGCAATATCAAGCACAACTGGCACGTGAGGTCCATGCTGGGTCTGACCCTGTTGGAAATCCTGCCGGTTCCCATGGTCTTGGGGGTCATGTTACTTCTGACTCGCTCATGGAGTGATTACGATCATGATATTGCTGACACAGGCAGGCAAGCGAAGCGAGGCTGTCCTCAAGTCAAGGCTTCTTGAGACTTGTTCATCAATGCTTTGTAGAAGATGACCGAGTGTTAATGACAGCAGAGGATGCATACCACAAAGGCTTATTACTTTTGTTCGAGACGGTTGCTATACGGGAGTCGATGACTTTGCACCTCAAGTAAGAACTCCAAGCTAGCATGGACGTGGTCTACCCTCCTACCTGGGAAGACTTTCATTTTAGCTTTGAGCTTTTGAACTGATATCTTGAGGTCATGTAATCTATCTCGTCGTCAAAATGGCGATTTATGGAGAAAAGGAAAGAGGAGACATTTGAACCCCCCTAAACCGCCTCAGAGCTCCATGTCATCTTCGTTGTCATCCGTCATATCAGCCTCTTCGTCAAGTCCCTCAAAGACCATGAACTTCTCATTCTTAGAATCAGTGTCCTCGGGCACGACATAAGAGTCCTGCACTTCGCATTCCTTCAGCATGGATTCGGCTCCAATCTTAGCCCTACGACCGATTATGCAGTTCGTTAAGGTCGCCTTCGGTCCAACAGTAACACCGTCCATCAAGACACACCTGGTGAGCCGGGCGCCGCTGGAGATATGACAGTTACTGCCAATGACAGACTCTTTAATTACCGCGAACTGCTCCACGGTGACATTTTCGGCGATCAGACAATCCGACTTGCTGACGGTACAGCGTTGGGCAATCCCCTCGGGGTGGGCAATCTTCTGATTGTGTGCGAAAGGCGAAGCCTCAATGCGGCCAACCTCTTCAATAGATGGAAGCTTGGCTAGACGGAGAGAGGTGGACAGAAGGAGGGCGGAGCTGTCCACACGTCGAACGAAGGGAGCAGATTCTCTTTGAACATATGCCAAGATGGGCGGAACTTTGGAGGACTTTTTATCCTTAGATGCTTCAGCTTCAGATACCTTGACCCGGGAGGCATAGGAGGGCAAGGCAGCCTCGGCGTTGATAGAGCCGCTCTTGGTGGTGCTCATGGCCTGAAGGTCAATTTCTTCTTCCACAGATTCGTTATCATGGCTCCCAGTCTCACCAGGAATCTGGCTATCCTGCTGCCGCTCGAAAATTTCGGTCATGCCCAGCTTATCTGCCAATCCCTTCTGCCACCCAGATTTGGCCCAGTAGCCGATTAAGTCCTCGCTGACAGACTCCAATTTCTCGTTGCGGGCCAAATCCTTAATCCAGTAAGGGAAGACATAGAGGTGCGCATCTCGATAGCCGCTCAACATCTTGATCTCTGCGTGCTTCTCCACCAACGAATGGCGAATGAGGAAGCCCTTGTCGGTTTCCATCTTCTCCTTGATTGTGTCCATCGGACTCGACATGACGACCTTGGAAAGATGAAATCGTAGAGCGGCCGGCCCTTGAGCGGGATGGGAGACTGTGGGCGCTTCATCCTTATCAAGCGGTGCGATAGCGACGAAGTCTGTGGCCTCACCCTTCACACTTTCCTCTCGAAGCTTTGTTTGATAGTATAGACCCAGGCCTCCTCGGCGACCGCCCTGTTCACCCCCAGATCCTCGAGTAATGGGGCCGTGGGCATTGCGCCCCTCAGGAACTAAGCTGCCTCCAAGAGAGCTCTGAGAGACCATCCAAGCCTCAAGCAATGATTCGCCCGGTATCTCGCAAATAAGGTCACAAGGGAGGAGGAGGAAGTCTGTCTTGATGCATGCCTGTACCTCGGGTAAACGAAGAAGCTCACATGTACCCATAGTCATCTCGAGTGCCTTGGGGGCGAGGACGGACGGTGAGGGAGAAGAGAATGATGTGAGGTGTGGGTTTTGCTTCAAGGCAGCCTGGAGCGGCGCAAGAGAGGAAGGAGGAGTAATCAAGGTGATATCTATATGGAAGAATTAGTGCTTCAAGCATTTGTAGCCTGCGATCTGGATTCATTTACCAGAAATTCCCGACCTCCGTAGGAAGTCAATGGCATAATAAACCATTGGCCGATTGGCCACTGGGACGAGGCATTTTGGATGTTCCTCGGGGTTCGCAGTGAAAGTGTTGAGGGATACTCCAGGTCCACAAAGAATGAGAGCTTGGAACCCTGTAGACGGTACTGGGATTGATTGAGGCATGCTTGCTTTTGAGTCAATTCCAACAGCCCCGCGGCGCACAGGTAAAAGGAAGATTGTCGAGAGGGCTGATATGCGGCTATGGCTGCAAAGAGCTTTCGGGGAGCTCCCACGGGACTTGTAAAGCCCAAGGCCTTTCTGAACAGGACGAAGCACGAGAATTGACTATGGTTGACAAAGCCAGCCGTGACTCCATTCATCCCGCTTTGATGCTTTTTTTGATTGATATCACGTGCAGATAGCTGACTCATATCACGTGCCCAAGACGACCCGCCTCCGGATTTTATGTAATACGTAAACACCGCGGCAACAGCATACACAGAGCCCGAGCCCCCAGCCACATGTATTCCCAGCTCCGAGGTCGAGCTTCATTTTCCCTATCTCTTTTCTCCACTTGTTTCCTCTCCGGCAAGAGGCGTGCGATGTGACTTGCATGCCCATTGCGACACACATTGTCCCCCCTAAATGCGCTATCTCTAAATTAATACGCAATCGCAATGTCATTCCCCCAGGACCCTCGCGGCCGCCGCAGTGGAGCCGGCACCGGCTTCAGCGCGACGGGCAGACGCACTGCCATGGGTTACTGGATTCCATTGGCACTCACAGTGGGTGTCGCGACCATCAGTATTGCAGCATGGATCTGGAGCGAACGTAACCACGATGACGACGAAGATGACCAACCATTCGAAGGAGAGACCCCTTACCCGCCTCACGGCCCGTCCGATAGTAATATCCCCCCTCCTTCATACGCCTCAGAAGGATACGCAAGAAGCACAGGACCAGAAGCTCCTGGTGATGCTCGATATGATGCCAGCTTCATGGGCCGCATGCAAGGTGCATTGCGCCGAACGCCGAGCCCGCAACAGATCTTTGACGGCGCAAGCCGACGAGTCGTGGCCGGCGTGACTGCTGCTGGCGCACTTGTCGGTGGAGCTCTTACGTCTATTCGCGAAGAAGGCCGAGGCGACTTCGAAGACCACACGAGATGGTCCGAGGAGGCTGCAGCCAGAAACGTTGGGGGTCAACCAGGCACCGCACCTGCCATGAGTGGAGCACTGCCGACTCGTGGACCAGCTGCCAGTCAAAACTCATTTGATAAGAAGAAGAAGACCGTGGCAATTGTTCTTTCCTCTGTCTCTCCGGCTGACTCGGATGAATTTGCCTCGGAACACGCCGTAAGAAACCCGCCACCCCTTTATAACAAGTAATTGTATGCTGACGATCAATAGTCAATCCTGTCCCACCTCCCTGAGCATGTGGACTTGGATACCTCTCGTATTTTTGTTCTGATATATGCTCCCAATGTCAAGCACGCCATCGGCCAGGGAAGTTCATCTCGCCAAACCACATCTATCGCCTCGTCCTACTCAAACATTGCCCACGAGGAAGCTACTTCTCCTGGTGAATTGATCGATGGTAACCGGAAGACCGTGGAATCTCGCCAAGATGATGACCTTGAAGGTACTACTCCCCTTTTCAAGACTCTGTACACACAGGCCCAGGCACTTGTCGAAAAGGAGATCATGATCATGCCCTTCAGCACCCCCTCTGGCTACGTGCATCTTGTGCGCCACCTCGCACCCGATCTTGTCTATGTCCAAGAATCTCTTACTGGTGATGAGGGTGACGCCGTTCAGCACATCTCTGGCTGGGTTCGTCAGGTCATCGTCGTGGTCGGAGATGAAGCTGGCCGTGGTGGCTTAATTGACAGTGATGATGAGTCTGCGCTTGCAGATAAAGGTGAGAAATGGTGGCAGAAAGAAGGTACCACAGGCATCGGCAAACGGATCGACGTGGTAGATGCCCTCCGTGTTGGCGACGACTGGCGACGTCGGGTGCGTGGTTTGGACTAAATGCCCGCCTTGTCTACTTCCCAATGATGTTGATGTCAATACCTTTTTATTTTTACTTGTCTATACCTGATTTGATCGTTACCCCTTGATGATTGTTCTCTTTCGATTCCCCTGTCTTCCATGTTATTATGCATTATTTCATATAGTGCTTTTGGGTCACGATACTGGTGGCCTCTGCTAGTACCTTCGGAGGATTGTTCCGCCTTCATCTTGATAGCATTGATAATAAAGATTTTATCTTCCTCTGATGATAGTTTGAGCCCCCGAAGAGGGATAGAGGCTATCTTGCACACCGCGAAGAGAAAGGTCCCGGACGTGATGGATGCAAACCAAGTCCGATACAGAAGCTCCAGATCAGGTGATAGCGTCGTGCGCGGAGTCATGTGACCGTTCTGGAGCGTCACCGCGGCTTGGCACCTCACCTCACTCTGCAAGCCCGCGGTAGTCTAGCGCTTCCCCCGATACATTTCCTTCGCGACATCGCTGGATGGACGCTTTCGCTCTCTTATAATAAGCGTCACTGACAGCTGCCACGCATTTCTAGCTCGACTTCACCGCGTTGGTGACCTGAGCTGACCGTCCGATCCCACATGTCTCGCGCATCACTCATCCCATTCTTCCTCGGAGTTCGGCTTTGAACCAGCATCGCCCGATCGGCTTTCTGATAAATCGCATTCTCACTTACCGAATTCATACCGATTGCGCGCGTCGTGCCGCCACGATGGCTACCGCAATTTCCAAGCCCACGTCGCATCCCCGAAGATGAAGCGGCCGCCCCCGCCTTCCCCCAGGCCGGGGTCAACGGAGTCAAGGCTCAACAACCTTTATCTTCTCCACCTGCCACCTCTAAACGTCTCCCTGGAGGCATATCCTCTGGGTCTAGTCCCAGTCTCACCAATGGTGTGCTTCACGTGGCGAACGGGGCCAAAGGTCCCCTGAACCGGACCAGGAATTTGGCGCAAAGACCCGGAGATCCTGCCGCTCGAGTCACACGGGGAGTGACGAGAACAAGCTCACTGGGAAATGACAATCGGGTGGGAAAAAGGCGTCCCGAGCCCTACGGTATGGCATACCCTCCTAATCATTCCGCAATGCCTCCGCAAAAGCGCATGATGGACTGACTTTAGTCCTTGTTGCAATTGCAGTCAAAACAACACAATATATACTTAAAAAATACGCAAAGTGCCCTCCGTCTCTTATTGTGCATCTTCATCCTACACATTTCCGGTTCGAGCAGCAAGATGGAAGTTTTCCTTACAATTCGGAGATGAAGGTGGTCATCGAGCACATTCGCGAAGGCACCGTGCCACATGATCTGATCGAAGAGCTCCTCCGGTCTGGAGTACGGTTTTACGAAGGTAGCTTTTCTCCTCCTAGGTGCTTGGCCTTGACCCTCACCTACTAATTGAACCCTCACAGGCTGTCTCATTGTTCGTGTAGTTGACCACAAGTCTGTATCTGCGCAGACAAGGAAGACTTCTGCTGCGACCACCAATGAAAATAATGTCCCGTTTTCCCTTCACAACTACAACGAACATGTCACCCCATCAGCATACGTTCCGTATCCAAAACAAAACCAGCTCACCGCCGACTTGCCCACTTCTAAGCCGGCTGAATCAACCTCAAGCCAAATCGATGGCCAGGTTAAAGGCGATGGCTCCGAAACTCAAGTCAAAGAGACCGAAAAAAACAGCAAGGATGCCCCGCTGAAGCCGCGGGTATTCACCACCGTCCTTCACCCGACGTCTCGCGTGTTACAGGCTGAATTAACTTTGCTTGTTACTACACCTGACCCCAAAGCCGCGAGCGTAGCAGCACAGAGCCAATTTTCTCATACAAATTCCTCATTTGCCGTACCTCAAGCATCAGGTGGTCAGGATGAACGGGGACACGTTACAAAGCGACAGAAGACTCTTGTTGAGCCGCAAGACCTCCCGGAATGTGAAGCATTACTCATCCGAGCCCTGGCTCCTCCCCTCTATCTGGACCCCGTGGATAGTTTCGCGGCATCACAAGATTTGTTGAAGTCTATGGAGAGCCCACTTCACAACGCTCCACCGCCATCGCCCAAGCGTCGCAAGAGAACTATCGCCGAGCTCGCTGCAGATGAAGCCCTTGCGGCCGAAGAGGAGAGGTTTATGCTCATTATGGATGAGCGCCTCGAGCCCGCCACTTCCGGCGCAGGTGCTGGCTCTAAGGCTGCCGTGGTTGATGACGCAGCAGGTGTTGCGGCATTTGAACCACGCTTCTCTCGCTTTAAGACTCTTGAGACTATACGAATGCAGCATGAGGAGAAGGCTAAGCGTGAACACGAGATCAAGATGAAGCAAGAGCTGGCGAAGAGACAACAGCAGGAGCAAGAAAAGGAGCGCCGCAAGGCAATTGAAGCAAGGCAGGCCGAAGAGCACATCCGAGACGAAGCTCGGAAGCAGCAACTTGCTGCACAACAGGCACAGGCACAGCTTGCTGCCCAGCAAAGTCGCCACGTCATGGCACATCCCAACGGAGTCAGTCAGGGGCAACAATCCTCCCCCGTTATACGCCAACAAACTCCACTCAACATGTCCTCGCCGCTAGTTGGTAACAATATGGTACCACAATCCGTCCCGATGGCGATGAGTGGATCTCAGCAATCCGGAAGCCCGCCCCGACCGCCATCATCTCTTCAACATGCGCATCCCAACATGATGGGCCATCCAATGGCACCCTCAAGAAGCCAACAGGGTCCCAGCCGCAATGGGACACCACAGATGATTCAAGGCACGCCGGCCTTGTCGCATGCCACGCCCATTATGCGCAATGTCACTCCGACTCAAAGGATGGCTCAGGGCAGTCCAAACCACGCCAACATCCAGACCCCGATGATGAGCCAAGCTGTTATGGCCAATACGCCGCAGATGAATGGAAACAATCTTGCAGCACTCAACCCGCACCAGCAGATGATGCTTGCACAACGACAGCAGCAGCAGCAGCAGCAGCAGCAACAACAACTTCTTGCTGCGCAAGGACATATGGGGGGAAACCCCAATCAGTTATCGCAGCAACAATTCGCTCAAATGCAGGCCAATATTCACGCCCAGCAGAATATCCAGTCCCATCAGCAACAGCAGCAACAGCAGCAGCAGCAACAGCAGCAGCAGGCGCAAATGATGCAAGCACAGCAGTCGCAACAGCAGAATTCTCAGAATATGCAAAAGATTCCTCAGCACAACCAGCAAGCGTATCAGGCGCAGCTCATGCGCGCCCAGTTTGCGCAAATGCAAATGGTCAAGCAGCAAAATGGCCAAATAGCACAAGGCCAAGCAAATCAGCATGCTGGCAGCCCGCAAATGTCTCAGCAGCAGCAGCAACAACAGCAACAGCAACAACAACAGCAGGCGCAGCAACAGCAGCAACAGATGCTGATGGCGGCAGCTCAGGCCAACGGTGGACAGATTCCACCGAACATGCAGGGTGCTACCATGGCGCAGCGATACAACCGACTCTATCAGCAGCGTTTATTGAATCTTCGCCACGAGATGTCACAGCGGTATATGCAACAATATGGACCACCGAACCAGTATCCGCCACAGATTGCGCAGCAGTATGGTGCCGGCTTGGAGAAGAATGCCAAAGCATGGGTTCAAGATCTAATGCGGCGCGAGCGGGAAGCTGCTCAGCAACATCGGGCAACGCAGGCTGCTATGCAGGCCCAGCAGATGCAGCAGCAAAATATGATGCACAATGGCATGGGCAACTGATCGTGAGGTGTATCTTCCGGGGTGAAACTTCGATAAGAAATTCGATCTAGGGAAGCATGTGAACAGACGCCGGTAATTTTGCTCTTCCGTTTTCAAACCCGTTCGTTTTATTTCTATTCTGCGTTTGCTCTTCATTTTGGGAAATGTACAGGGACCGACATCGCGGAGACCAAGTGGACTGGCGTTTTGCACCATCTTTTGCCATGGTTTCGGTTTTTTCTCACCTTTGCTTTCTTTTTGATTTTTATTATCTGGCACTAAGGCCTTTCTCTATCTTCTTTTTTCTTTTTTCTTTTTTTTTTTGGACGGGGCTTACTGATTTCGATTCGATACCATTTTGTACAGGAGTTTACCTTTCATCATTGGATCTGGCTGGTCATGGGGGTGGGGAATGGAAATAGGGAATAGGAGTGAAAATGCAATCCACTATTGAACGAACTTGTATCTCGACCCTGAAGAGTATAACGTAGAGAGCGCAAACCAGAACGAGCTGAGATGTTAAGTCATGTCCACATTAATAAAGAGTGTGGAGAAGATGGGGAAGAGTAGGGGCAAGAATCGCCGAGCGGCATATCCGAGCCAAGCGGCCGCAACTTGTTTTATTTTCCAGCGCAGTGATCTTCAATCAGTGAAACATGGCGTGGAGAGAGAACTTCGAATTCCTTTCGGTATCGCACGTAAGCGATCTTAATCAGTCGCTTAAGATGTTGTGTTATGGCACACTTTCGGTCTGACACATTAAAGTAGCTCAGTGGATCTGGAATCCCAGGTATCTCGAACAGGATCATCGGCCGCAGCCGTACTTCCTCTTCCGCAAGGCCTTTCAATGGACTAGTCAGGCTGGGGGTTGATTGCTTATTCAAGTTTCCGCCGATAGTCGATACCGCCTGTTTGTCAATGGGCGACGAGTGAGCTTTAGGTCTTGCAAGGGCTACGCAGAGTGATGGCGTCCTGAGAGGATAGACATTCCTCCATATCTCGTGGCGAAGGAGAACGTCATCAGTGCCCGCGTGCTGCGCCATTCTCCAACTGTACCCGGCTCGTCATCAATCATCAGCACGGAATTGCCGGGGTTTATACTACATGAAGACTCTCAGGCAAGCGCAGACATCGAGGCTGATATTGGGATGTGACACTAACGGCGCGATAGGACTGTTCACTCTCGACAGATGAATCGTAGAAATGTCTCGAAGAGACCACTCGTCAGATTATTCCTCATGCCGAGTGGAATTACATTCTGAGGGCCCCCCTTTTCTTATCAAGCATTAGCGAGTCTCTGGGTATCGGCAACTTAATGGCCGGGAACTTTCCGGCTTTGGTGACTTGACTTGGGAGAGTGCTGTGTTGTAATTCCAGCCTCGAACATTTGACTGACGAAATTCAGAATCTGGGCTACCTCGGCTTACAAGGTACGGTTTTGTCTGTGGCTAATCCCAAGCACTAGACTGATCTCTCATTCTAGGTCCTTTTTGCCACAGTATAGGCCTGGCCTGGGGTCATCGCTCTCTTCCTCCCATCTCCCTCTCGAATTTCCGTCTTTTCTCGTCATAAAAGATGGCCGAGAGAATGCCCAGCAATCGCTCAGCAGATTTGGGCAACGAACCAATCAAAGTCACACAACTTATCGAGCAAAAATTGTCTGAGATCAACGAAGAAAGAACACGAAGCGCAGTATTCAAAGATGCAAGCTGTCTCAGACGGTTCCGGGTAACCAATTGGCGCCGCACTCGAATCATCTTCATCTGCAATGTCCTGTCCCAGGTGATCGGGTCTAGCTTCATGACGAACAGCCTATACTTCTTGGTCTCAGGCCGGCATGTCTTCGTCAGAAGTGGGAATGATGACCGAGATTGGTATTGCGTTTGGTGTCGCCAGTACCATTCCCAAGGTTCTATCTGGTAGCAAGTGTGGACGAAGAAGATTGATCATATTCGGCATTGTGCTTTAAACCAGGTTGTTCACAATCATGGGGATCGCGAGCTGTTTTCCGCACTCTAGTGCTGCCTTGTGGTAAGTTCACTATTTTTTAACCTTCAGTCTCATGAAAAATGACAACATCTGACACGGACGTCTGGCCTAGGGTTGTTGGCATATTCCTTCAACTATTATGGTGGGTTCATGGCCCAGCTATGGCCAGTGCCGGTGAAGTCTCTGCCATGCATCTGCGCGCCAAATCCATGGCCATTGGATTTACCTTCAACTACTTTCTCAACGATCTGGAACGTGGTGATCCCGCACTTGTGCAACATGACGGAGGCAGACCTAGGCGGCAAGATCGACTGGATATTTGCAGGACTGAGCGTCATCGCACTGGGAAGCTTTTAATTGTTTAATATTTCTTTTTTTAGATCAGACGAAGTGCTGGCCTTTCGAGAGGCTGGACGAGATGTTCAATTCGTGCGTCGGTAGGCGGGCGTTCCGCCACCATCAGTGCTCTACGGACGAGCCGGATGCAAACTGAAAGAGAAATAAATAGGACGTGCACAGATCGTGGTCACATTGAATAAAGGTACTTTAAAGGTACTTGAATATAGGAACATAGATAGTCAATTGAGCCCTCACTCAGACTGTTGAGCTTGAATATTGGGTTGATTGGTCACTCATAGAGGTCATGCCAAAAGAAGTTGTATCATCACCGTGAGGGGGACCGATGGTCCATTGACTACGTGTAGAGAGCTGCATCCGAGAAACATCAATCTCGCAGCAGATCTCTTATGCTTTGATATTTGACCCTTACAATAGCGGGTAAAGTGAAAGTGAAGTTGCCCAGCCGCTCGGAAGAGTTTTTATATGTGGAATGACTAAGCCGGCTCACCCCCGTACCAGGTACGCTAGTCCCCAATGAGTCGAACCCATGACTAAACATATTGCCATTTAGGGCAAGTAAATATTTGGCCGTCAATCTGTATATAGATTTTTCGAAGTACAACTCAGACCGAGAGTTGGGCGAAATTGCAAATGACAAGGTATCCTGGAGAAGAAAGATTGAACGTGGAGCTGAGATTCCGACACGAGGCACTCTGGTGCAAGATGCAAGATGCAAGATGCAAGATGCAAGATTGACCGATGCAAGAACAAGTGGAATGCCTCACCGCTGTCATGACCAGACACGAAGTACACACCGACTTCAGCATTGATACCCAAAAGTTTTTCAATCTTTATGAAAAAGAAAAAAAGAAAAAAAAAAAATCGCGCACTTCATGTCTTAAGACGACTCTGTTATGAAAGTAAGACAGTCCACGGTAAAGTTTGAGACGGCATCTGAGCACGTACGTACGATCTGAGCCACGGCGACCGCGAGGGATAAACGGCTCTTCGGACCTGACATGAACAGGCAGAATCAGATTCCGCAAATCTCCTCTCTGCACTGCAACTGCAACTCCAAGCTATGCACTATCTTGACCTCGCCAGTTCAGGCCTCGCGCTCAACAGCCGACCTGCTCCAGGTCCCCAATATCACATTCCAATGCATGTCGCCCGAACGCACGGCGATCAAAGCAAGCGGGGAAGTTATTCCCCCAGTTGAACGTTGCATCCAACCACCACATACTCCCACCCGATTAAGACATCCTGTAGCCGTCGATGAACTCGGCTCGGACACGACAATAGCGGAGCACGGTGACGAGGTACGCCTTCCACGGCCCAGCAGACGCCCAGACATACCGAGACAACACGCGGCAGTGATCCCAACTGGCCAGGCTCTGCTCAGGAATGCTGGGACCCTTTTGGATCTTCCATGGTAGTAGTGCATAGTGCATTTCGGGTGGATTTTCCAGACCCGCGGACCCGTGGATCGTGCACCATGCTCCCGAAACCAAAGTTCCAGGGTCCACAAGTCTCATGGTAGCAAAAGGACCAGTGACGATCATTTTCACTCCGCAAGCTTTCACAAAAATAGACCAGTAGATGAGGCAGGAGACTTTGAAGAAAAAGGAAAACTAAAAATAAAGAGTCAAAGATACGTGGGCGCATACGCGCAAAAGCAAGCATGCCAATAATTCCACAGGCTTGATCAAGTGGGATTCCAGAACAAGTATCAGTAGAGAAAACCCTGGCCTTGGAAACTCCAGCGTACCAAATGCAGTGTGACAAGCTCTCAACTCCGGTGCAAAGGCTCTATTGCTCGTTATGATCTGGTGGATAATAGATTGCAGAGTGGATCTCATAATTTGGAATTAGAAGCTGGGAAATGGATATCCATGATCAGTAAGAGCAACTAGAGAGCGTGAGCGTAAATCCAATCATAGAGGGTTTAGCACTACTGTACGTTCTGTCTACAAAGTTCCATAGAAGCGGTAAAGTCGTCACATTCTCTACGCAACCTAAAGACCTGCATCCCAACTGCAGGTCCACGAAAAGGCCGGGCCCGTGGAGATCATGGGGGGGGAGAGGGGACCTACTTCTTGGGAGACCGACTCACAAACGGTGGAGCCCAAAGTGTTGGGAATTCGACATGCAGCCGAGCCGATCGAGAAGGATCACCAAAAGAAAACCTGGTAGATCATGAATGCGCGGCTCTCGACTGCACCGTCCGAGCGGCGTCTCCAAGGCCTTGGCGAAGAAAGATGATCAAGAATCCAACGTTGGAGTCCGACTCCACTTATTTTGCAGGGAATGGGGGCCATGGGAGACGAAGGAAACCAATTGGTGAAGGCAATGGCTGGCATGAGCTGTACGTATGAAAAGCGAGAACGAGGGGGGGCAAAAGCGTGAGTTTTAAAGAGCCATGGCGTCTGACCCAGGGGATTGCGAATAGGAAGTGAGCCCGTTGGCAATGGAATGTGGAGAGAACAAGTGGCGAGGTACAGGAATAGGAAGCATGAACATGAACATGAGCATGAACATGAACATGAACATGAACCTAGAACGGAGTCACATTGGGGGGATCTTGGATGACGGTGAGGAACCTTGAGAATCCCGCATACTCCACCGGAGAGATAGATCGCTTGGAGAGATCCAGGGACCGCGTCCAAGATTGGGGAGGGGCGCTGCTCGCGGCCCAGTGTGATGTGTAACATGTGGCTGCTGGACGAGCAGGAACCGTGGAACACGCACCGAAGAGTCGGCTGTGTCAAGGCGACAGGGGGAGACCCATGTTGCGCATGAATGGACAATCACCAGTATTTGGAAGCCCAAGCAACGTTCACGTTCGGGGAAATACGGGAGAGGAATCGAAGTTGAAGGAAAGTTCAGAGGTGGAGAGAGGAAAAATGTGAGTGGAATGGTCTACAAGTGGAACAGGATGACATCTCATCTTTTTGAATTTCGTATTATGCCACAAGGTGATAGTGAGAATCAATGGTGGTACAGAAACAAAAAAAAAAAAAAAAAAAAAGGAAAAGAAAAAGAAAAAAGCACAGTGGTAGCGGATTGTACAGAATCGCCCTTTTTCAACTCATTATCCCACGGCGACCGAGGCAAAGTAATATGCAAACGCCTTCGAAACAGAGATCCCCACCCAGCCCTCGAGCTCCGGACAAATTATGCAAGAATAAAAGAAAATAATCACAGCTGTCTCTTTTCCCAGGAGACATGTACAACGCCGCAGCGGCCAGTTCAGCTGGCCGAGATATGCCTGTGCCGATAATGGCAGCCGATCCTCCAACGAAAGGGTATCAAATATCCAGGGCCCGGGCCGAAATGGCGCCATGTTTGTATTGCTCATTTCGGTTTGTTCGTGGTCGGGAGGTCGCGTGGTAAACAAGTGTATGTGTCTTTGTCGGGGTTTGGTTTGATTTCTTTTTTTTAGGGGGGTTTTTGGGGGTTAGATTGGATTTTCGCATGTACTTTATTGGGGGTTGTATTTAGTCATCCCAGTGATCACTAAGGTCACCACAGTCGGGGATGGCATCCTCCAACTTGGTACCATAGAGAGGACGACCGTCGGGAGTCAGCTGGCCACGGAAGTCAGGATTGTAATCCGGACTGGTCTCGTCTAGGGTAGCGACATAGCGGTTGCGACCGCCCCGCTTGCTGTGGGTCTTGGTGTAGTGAGCGTTCAAATTGTCACTTCGAGAGAACGCGCGGTGGCAGCCAGGAACCCAGCAAACGTGAGGCTTCTCCTTAGAGTGACTCTTCATGTGACGCTTGAGATGCTCTTGACGCTTAAAGCGACCCTTGCAACCAGGCTCCTTGCACTTGAACTGAACCTGCTTGATGATGGGAGGCAGGTTTTCCAGGCTCAAACTGGAGCGGATGAGTTGCTTCTTGGACGGCTTTCGGGAAGGCTGACGGTGGCGCATGGAGCCAGTCATATAGACCGGAGAAACAGGGTGCTCCTCGTAGTGCTCATGACCATGGCCGCTGGAAACTCGGCTCATGGGTGTATCGGTACCAGAGAAGGATCCTGAACGGACGGGAGTAGAAGGAGTGTGGGCTTTGAATGTTTGAAGCTGGGTAGGAAACTCGGAGTAAGAGGAAGAAGGTGGGGTGACGGGACCCGCAGGGAGGACCTGCTGAGGACTAATAGTTTGAGTTGTCATGGACTCCTGGGCCGGCATCCAAGGAAGCATGTTGGACATGGACATGGAGTTGGGAATGCGATCGGATTGGGTGAACATGGGACGAGACAGACACGGATTGGAGGCTGATTCCGGAAGGTAGGCGGGCTGCTGAGGCCGGTAGTGGTAGTTGCGGCCCATTGTGTGGTACTGAGGCATTGGTGCCTGGTAAGGAAAGTTGGTCTCGTCGAATGTCTTGGGTACATCCTGGGGGATCCAGAATTGTTCGACGTTCTCATCATAGCCCGGCAGGTACTGCGGCATGGACATCTGGTCCTGTCGCTCCATATTGCCATATGGCATATTCATCCCATCACTCGATGTGAGATCGGCCATCTTGAATGCGCTGCGCAAAGGAGTGGCGGAGGTACGGCGTTCCATGGGGAGGCTGTGATATTGACCGGCTTCGTGCCAGCTAGGAGATGCCAACGAGCCCTGGCTATAAATGCTCGTCGGGGTGGGAGTAGGAGATTCCAAAGGAGAAAAGCTGGAGGTCATGGAGGGGCAATCGTTGGGGCCCAAAGAGTGACAATCAACTTCGACGGTGAGGCGATCAGAAATCTGTTGTCCCTGGGGTCTCATATCGTCGAGGTCTTCGGTCTTGAAGTCTGGAGTAACGTGGTCGAGAGTTTCACCTGAAGGAGGAGATGTTTAGTCCGGTGAAGGGACGGAAAGAGCGAAGGTAGAGGGGGTAGCGAAAGACGAGAGCAGGAAGCAACAAGCAAAAAGGAAAGAGAACGAGGGAGGGGTACACGAGGAAAGAGAAAGAATGTCGAGGATGAGGAAAGGGAAGAAGGAAAGGGACAAACGAGCAGAAATAAACAAATTGGCCCAGCATAGAATCTCGACTGGTGGGGAATCGGACTTACAGCTATACGCCATGATTCGGATTGATATCGCGTCGCGTGCCTGGACCCTACGCAAGGCCAGGAATGCAGACTATGGGCTCTGCTACGGGGATCCAGATCTGGGGTAGGATCGTCTGAGTCGCGCTGGGTAACGAGCTTCAAGCGCGTTTCCTCGTCGCTGGCTTCCCGAATTGGGACAAGATGAGACGACCGGACCTGTGGCTGGAAGACAAGAGACTGGCGACGGAGACCCTCGAACGCGGGTCCTTGGTATCCAGAGGGTGGAATTAGGTGGATTGGGAGGTGAGCTGGGCGTGAACAAGGAGGCTGGTCTCAGAAGTAGTGGATTGGCAGGGGCTTGTTATAAGATAGGGAGAGCAAGGGTCCCCAGGTGTCTTGGGGAGGCCGGTTTATACATGGGCGACTGGGAGAGGGAAGCTTGTTCCTGGGCCTCTGATCGGGGCCTTGGATCGACGGATTTGCCCCATCCCTAACTTTGTTCGTGAATTTTATTTTTATTTTGATTTTAATTTCCAATTTTTTTGACTATGTCCCGTTTCTCTTTTTCCTCTTTTTTTTTTTCCTGCAGGTGGATCGATCGCCCATCGGATATCATCTAAGTACGCGGGTACATAATCCCACTGGAATGCTCGGCTGCGCCTCTTACGTTCCGTGAAATGTGAGTAGAGTCTAATTCAGTGACATGCATTTGCTTAATCACCTTCCCCCAGACGGTTTTTTGTTTTATTTTATTTATTATTATTTTTTTTTTAAAACAATTTACTCTTCTGGTTTCCATTTCCATTTCGATTTCCATGTCGATCGTCCCCGTTATGGTGGAGATCGCCCTAGCGTAGTCTCCACCGGATTGTCTTGAAGATGTCTCTCCCTCATTGTCTCTGCTATAGTTCAAGGTTCAGAGACAAAAGAGAGCTTTCCAGATCCTCGCTGCGAACTGAAATCACTTTGGTGGCGGAATCCAGTGGGGGATGTTTTGATCGATCGGGTTCAAAGGTTCTAGGCTTGACAGGTCAGACGTTATGCCTGGTCTGTGCGGGTCTCTGACGGGGAACTGGCCGGGACGTAGCATCGCACATTCCATTGCTCTTCACTATTCTGCGCGTCTTGCCCCTCTTGTCTTTTGATTATTATGTGACCTCGACTTTTATTGTTTCGTGGGGTCCTTCGTCACCGGCATTGGAATGTGCATATGGCTAAAACGAGCAATGCTCCACGACACAGCACTATTGCATTGTATTGTTTTTTCCCGGAGAAAACAACCAGCATGCATTCCATCGGGTTCCTGGGGCTGGGTCTTTCTTCTCCCGCCGAGTGATACCTCTTGCCGCTACCGCGGGCTATTTTGGACCTGCATCTGGACTCAGGGGTGGTTTCTGATACATCACGCGTCAGTCAGGACCCCAATTCAAGCCACCAGCTTTGGTTGGTCCATCCATTCAACGGGGTTGGTAGGGGTGTTCTGGTCTGAGCCCGTTGACTAGCATGGTAGCGTGGTCTGAAAACTGCGACATTCTCGAGTCAGTCCAAGCCACTCAGTGGGTGGCGAGATGATTGATCTCCATGCGGGTGATTCCAATTCCTCCCCGTGGTGTTATCGCTCAAGAATCCTCATTCCTCGGAACTGACGACTCGCGTATGTTTGACAGTAGGAGATTTTTCAATTTGCAATTTGCCTCCGAGCGGGTGTTCTCCCCGCTGAATATCTGAGAGCTACTTCGACGTCAAGTACTCTACAGTGGGTCAATGCCGAAACAAAGATCTTCTCTGCTGTGGTCCTTCGGCTTTCTTCGGTTCATTGACAATCACATAGCTTCAACACATGAGCGTTTGGTCACGACCATAAATCTGACAGCTCGTCCGTGCTTCAATCCAGGTTCTAATTCGCGGTGAATGGCGAGTTAGTAAACTCTGTGATGCGAACAGACCCCGTCTTGAGCCACAGAAAGATTAGGTCAGAGATGGACCCGAGTCACTGGTAAACACTGCAGATAGGTCTGCTTCGTCCGAATGGCCGAGAGGCCCAGTTCGGAGGCGTTTGTTACACCCGTGTAGATCCATATCTGTCGATCTTATTTGAGTGGCAGATCTGACGACCCATCCCCCCGTTCTCCACTGCTTCTTCAGGAACGCCTTTCGACCTTCGCACTTGGGGCCCAGCCTTAGCGGTTTGAATTATGCATCTAGTTTCGAATGCCTTGAACAGCGAGTGATCTACAGTAAGATGTGTGAAGCGGAATGCCATACAACGCGACCTATCCGAGCCCGTGGAACTCCCAAGCCACGCCCGAGATTACGGTGACGGTTTCCATGTATAGGCTGGCTCTTTATGCTTCGAACAGCCACTTTTTTCCACATTCTGGGCCTGTGACGGTCATTTGCCCCCAAATAGCCTTATCATTGTAGCTCCCGGTGGGTCTTGATTTGTCTCCAAGCCTAAGCACAGACGTAGTTCGCCGCAAGGGCCAGTGGAAAGCCACAATGTCCCCAGATATCGCGGGGGACCCCTGCGTCTACGAGACTGACTTACTTCAATCTTCTCTCATTTGTTCCATATTCGACAATCGAGCATATTCAGCGCCTTGGCCTGGGTTGGTTGTGTTTGAGCGCATGCGAACTAGACTGACCACTTCCTGTATCGATGCTAGCTCACCACTAGGTGAACTTTGAGGGTTTGAGTGGTGCTTTTGTTCATGCACTTTGAGCTTTATGGTCGCATTGAGTCATGCCACACAAAACAGCGTTATCGAAAAGGTCAGTCTGACTAGCACACACGCCACCAAGCCTTGGTGGCGACAGTTGGCTGATCTCACGGTCGCGGCCTTGGTTGCACACATGCCACTCTGCAGTCTGTGCTGGGCCTTGAGAGCGATGGAGACACCCTCACACTACACTTGGCTTTTTTTTCTTTTTGGGCAGACCTTTGCGGGGGTTCTTCCAGCACGGTGATATTCAGGGGAAAGCAAAATAAGTGTTCCTGAGGCTCTGCACCCCTGAAGTGAGTTGCGGTTAAACGTAGGCACTACGCTTGGACGCGGACGGTACCTGAGGTACTGGTTCACGCGTATGATATCCAAATGAGAGGTTGATGTCATTCGACTCTCACAGCGACCGAGACATAGTTCCAGAATTCCTCGGGAATTCCCCATGATTAGCGCCAATTCACCATCACTCTCTTGCATTAGCACGGAAACCCCCACTTGGGGACGACACAGGCACCCGGTCCTCGAGACTCGCACTATCGAATTTAGATTCTTCTCAGATCCATGTCTCTGTGAGCAACGAAAGCATCCGAGTCTGATCAATTACCTGGGTGGGTCGTGCATGAGATGCAAGCCTCTTGACACCATGCCAATATTCGGCAAGATTGACGGGTAAACATTTTGCGGGGAAAATCCAGAGTGGTCCATTCATGCACTGGGCCAATCGAGTGAGCTCAGACATACCTATGGATCACAGTACTATTGCACTGGGTCTTCTGGCTCAACATTCCACGGCATTGCAGCAGCAGAATCCGCCTGTGCAAGATCACGGATGATTTGCTGCAGGTCCGTTGAGCATTTATGTTTGCCCTGACGTCGATGTTGAATCATGAATCACATTACTCGGGGAACTCATGCACTGCGTGACTGAGTTATCGCAGCTTGTCGCAGAGATGAAATCATTATCATTACACGTTGCCGGGGTCAGTGTTGACTTCGTCCAGAGATATCATCTTCCCCCAGCCCTCAACAGACCGACTACCGGTAACTATTGAATGGATGTGATATGAGATTGAATAATTAGGGCTTGAACCGTTGAAGCTGATAAACTCCAATTTGTCAACCCATTAGGGAGCCGTAGGAGATGTTTAAGGGTTCAGAGGGCACCATGATATGTCTCAATTTGCTGGCGCACTGGCATTGGCACGGATTCGGCACGGTAAAAAGTGCCACCTATGAAAAAGGAGCACGAAGCACGAAATGCACCAAACAGATCAATATTGTAGGCTCAGGGACAGGAGCCAGATCGATGTGGTGTTGGGTGTTCCTGAGCTTAGCGGTGTCGCCCCCTTGAAGCCCCCACCCCCTTGCATACTTCACCGTGAAAGTCTCTCGATCTCAGCAATTAACATTGCAGGGAAAAAAAAAAAGATAGTATAACTTGCTCCGCTGGGCTTGGCTCGATGCTCCTCTGCCCCCATTCATGTTGACTTGCAGTGCAGGACATCGCATCGCCTTGCGTCCTGGTCCCGACAGCCCGGATACAACACCCGGTGGCAAAAGGTTATGTTTCCAAGACCCTGGGATCAGCCCTCCTCGAGCGTGCCTGTGTACAGGGTCGATTTGCGGGGTCGAGATTCTATTACAGGCTGGCGTTTCAAGGATTGCATCCACCTCGCCCTCGTGTCACTCACGCGCCAGGAACTCGAAAGGACCGCGATCAAGGCGAGAGCTAGAAATCGGGCAAGTAGATCACCTAATGCCCGTACACCCTTCACCTTCGGGTATGAGATCAAGTCCGAGCACCATCAGAAACAGTCATAGCGCAGAGAATCTACGCATGCCAGACAACCCAATAGCGCGGACAAAACGCTGGGAAATTGGTAGTGGCTTTTATGCACAATTCTCAATAGAACACCCGCCTTGGAGTGATTTGCCGGAGCCACCGGTAGACGCCAATCGCCTATGATCGACCGTGCGTATCACATACCCTAAGGTATGTCCGGCACCGCCAAGCAATCAGATGAGCAGGGGGAGTCTCGCTCAACGCCAACGCCAGCGCCAACGCCAACGCCAACGCCTAACGCCAACGCCAACGCCCAACGCCAACGCCAACGCCAACGCACGACGCCAATGTCTTGGGTAAGCGCGAGCGAGTCTGAGCGAGGGAATAGGCTTGAGCTTCGGTTTGCTCGGTGGAATGTAATGACATCATTCATCCCGCCCTTGCTCCAGTGGATGATTGCGCGTGCCTTTCTGGGACGCCGGCAGGCGCTACTCGGTGCGGTTTCATATTATGGTAGGATAGGACCCTCGGAGAAGACTGTGGAGCTTGGGTCGTGTTCAATATATTGTTGTTAAATTCTCTAAATCGCAGGTCGCAAATTGAGTTAGAGTTGAAGTCGAAAAGGGGAAGGGGGAAGGGGGACCTCTGTAGGAGCCGCAGGAGGCATCCTGCAACACACATCAATGCGTCCGGATCATGTACGTCGAGGACTGGTGCCTGTCTCGATGATCGGGTCTGGACGTCGGTATTCCGAAGTGAGCGAGGTCGATCGCTGAACTCCGTAAAAATGGCTCATAGGAAAGATCTGAAGACTCGATGCGAGTGTTGAGCGTTGAGTCCCAATGTCGGACTATCATTGTCCTGAGGGAATACTTGCGCCAATTACTGACATAAAAAATAAAAAACCAAAAAAAAAAAAGGTGATGGAAGTACTGGGGAGTGAAGACCCGGTTCAACTGTCGATTTCCTGGATTCTTGAACTTGATGGGCGGTGGGTTCCAACGGAGAGCGTACACCAATTCATGGGCCAACACCTGCTCGAGTACGAAATGCGATAGCTGACTTATACTTATGGCTTCTTGGGTTAAAAGAGGAAGAATCTTTTCTCTCGAGCGTCTTGTAGCTCCGCGCATGTCTCTTGAGGCTTGGAGAAAGCAAGTGAAACCTATCCAGGATTGGACTCAAGAATCAATATATAACGTGCTCCCGTAGGAGTGCTTCCCTCCTCACATCTAATACCATTTTCTCGTCTTTGCAATTCTGTGCTTGTATCCGTAGCAGCAGAGTGAGAGAGAGAGAGAGAGAGAGAGACTGCTCACGGATGAAACTCAGCAGCACACATCAATAGGAGTCGACTCAAGCCTTGCCGGGTGGCAAATTTGCTCTTCGTGCGAAGAACAGACGATCATCCCAGGGGAGCAGCATCGTCATGTCACACCGGGTTTGAAGACAATGAGATAGAGACGGTTTTGCAGCACAAGCAGTTTCAGGTCAATACAGAGGGCACTAGAACAGCACCCTACTCCGTATCGCATACTCCCTCTTGTCATTATTAAAGGTCATTATCAATCCTTGAATCAAATACAACAAGGTAACCTCCATCGGACTTTACAACAGACTTAGCAGCACTAAACATAGCACTAGATCAATCACAAGTTTCACCGCTGGGTTCACTTCAATATTCGCACCACTTGCTGCACAGATTCCGGCATCAAATACCTATTGAATTCGGCTTCAGTATCAACGAATCCCACCCTCGTCCTTCGTTCAATTCGAGGCTAAACTCATTGAAGCCAACTCCGAAATTTCCCCCGACGCCTTTGACAACAACAAGTCCAGAACGAGCTCTTTCTAGAAGTGCGAGGTTGAAGCTCAAATCTGAATGGCCTCAAGGAAAGGCAGATTTTTTGCGAGCAGCCAGCTCGACGGCTGGGTACAAGATAATGGTCATACCCTCTACTTTTGAGGGCTCTAATAGGTGTAACATGACGACTCTCGGGATTCTCGAAGTAGCCCAATAGCAAGACTTCAAGGCTGACTTCACATTATATTGCTGGAGGGAATTTTGTAGGAACAATGGAACTTTGAATTTATATGTTGCTTTTCCTCGAGACCAACTACTCTATATCCGTGCTAAATTGCCCAAGCGGGTTAGTGCATACACCTTGGTCGTCTTGGCACGGATATATCCTTAGGCGCCATTGCGGATACGTCGGCAAAACACACACTTACGGCTTGCAATAAGTATCTACGCATCTGCAAATAAACCTTTTCACTTCTTCTTCTTCTTCTACAAGCGCTCAGAACATCGAAGCACCAACCTCCTTACATTTCTCATATTTCAAATCCCACTCCCTGGCAAATCCCGTTAGAGGCCTTTGTCTCTTCCAAGGCTAACGACATGCCCCGTATCGGCACCATCCTGATGACTGTGGTGGGCATAACCACCTCGATCGGCGCCTACATCGCCGATTGGAATGAAACCCATATCTACAACCCGCGATGGACCCCACATGCCAAATTCCACAACGGCCAGACAATGTCTATGGGACTCGTGCTCGGGTTGACGACGCTGTACTACGTCTACCGCTACGCCCCTACGCCCGATATCAAAAGCCATTATATCCACGCTGCAGCTTGGACTGGCAGTATCTATTGGATAACTCAGCTGAGCGCTTACCTCTATCCTGGGACTTTGGCGATTGATCCTGAGTTTGGCACCTTTGCGCCGCAACCTTACATCATTGGTGCAATGCTCGTATTAACTGTGATTGGGCTGATGATGGAGAGAGCGAGATTGGCGCCGTTGTTGTCCAGTGACGAAAAGCCTGTTTCGAAGAGATCTTGATATATGTCATCATGAAATGACGAAGTGGTTTAATTACGCCCATAGTACAATGCTCGGAGCTTGGCTGAATTCAATGAAAACCTATAGCCGAAGTATTCATTTGATCGCAGTAGTTATCATTTCGTAAGCAACTCAAACATCCCTAAATCTGGCCGTATTCATTACATATCGCAGGTTACGGAGGTAAGGCCCTCTCGTCCCTTTTGCATCAGCTCCTGATGCTATACCGATCCAAGTTAAGGTACTCCCAGGTTGAGCGAGCTAGATTCGTCTTCTCGTATTCTATAAACACTCGTTGTAGGTCTCTAATAGTAGAAACACCGATCGGTGCTGCCTCGTTGCTGGCAGCGAAAGTATGTAGGCCGTGCGTGGTCGCATCGGACTTCGCGTGTACGGCAAGGTTTATAAGATGCTAGTTTGCCATTCGGATGCCGAGAGCTCACGTCGGAGGATTAAACAGACAATCATTAAACGCAAGAGTTACGAGTCTACCACCGATATCTTGCGATCGAAACGAAAAAGGGAGTCTTCCTCTTTCTCCTCTGTCTCTATCCTAATTTAGATTCAGATCCACTTTGACACCGTTTTACGACACCAGGTTGGAATGTTCTGAGTATAATATCTCTAGGTTATATTACTAATAGCGATTTTTGGTAGGGGCTTCGGAGTGTCGGGGTTCGACCCCGTTGAAATATAATAAGAACTTCGGAATGCTTAGCGGGCTCCCTATATAAACAAAGCTCCCCACCAGGTAGTCTACTCCGTCCCTTTCTTTCCTAAGACACATATACAAACGGAAGTGAAGACTAGTATGAAACCTGACTTTCTTCGAATTCGCACTCATCACTTTGTATTCAAGTCTATCTAAGCCGTGGAGACGCGTAAATTACGTGTTTCATACATCATCCGGACAACCCAGTAGCCGTCTAACCTTCATCAAAATCTTAGATGAATATCCGTGCCGAACTTCAGCAAAAGCTTAAACATCCTAATTTATCCATTCGAAACCGCAAGGTGCATAGTGGTCAATCTATATCTATCTACCATTAATAAGGTTACTATAGCACCGTATATAAGTAACGAGCGTCCACTTCCTTTCGTATCTAAAGATAGCAGCAAGATGAAGAGGCGTCTGACTATCATTGTCCTTAGCTTTCACGTCGGCGGCATGAGCCAACAGAACTGAACCCATCTTTTGTCATCCAGGATCACTCCCACGTGCAACAAAATTCGGCCAGAAGTCCTTCGATCACAAGCCTTGGTGGTAGGGTTTACCTTACTCTGGAAGGAGAGGACATTCGTTTCGAACAAAAACGATATATCTGTTGGAGCAGTGACGTTTTGTGTCTGAACTGGTTACTTGACGAAGTCCAGAACAAAAATAACATGGGAGGGGCTTACAATTGAATAGTGTGTTTCGACTCCAGAGGCTCAGCGAAGAAGGGCTACCATCATATGCCTTTTATGGGGCGGTTTGCACTGTAATATGATCCCATGTTGTTACATCGCCCCCATTTTGGGAAAGGCGCTTGAGGTAATTGGCTGGTGGACTCGCTGATCAAAAAATTAACCTCTATCAGCCGATAAAAAGCGTCACTAATTTTTTTTTGCAAATCGAAAAAAAAAAAAACATACAACAGCAGGGATTCGCTGGTGGTCACTCACCCAACTACTAACCTACCGGCGTGTTGCTTAAATGCGGCCAGTAGTCGGGTGGGTGCCGCCCGGGTGAGAATTAGGTGAGAGCCGCTTTAGCGTCGCGCGACCGGGGTGAGTAGGGTGAGTGCGCAATAGGTAGGGCGAGAAGCAGGGTGAGAGTGAGTGAGAAATCACCCCGTCGCGCGACGGCCGCATTAACCCTCTCAGCTGAGCGAAAGTAGAACGTTGTTGGGCTACGATCCTCCATCTGAATCAGCCAGCCTCTTAGCATCTGTACACAGCCCCCTTGGTGGAACTGAGAGGGAATGACTTCAGCGTACTGGTATGTCACTTAAAGGTCTCAAAGGAAAATCGACTCAATGGCATCACTGCTCCTTGGATGGAACTGTCAAAGAACTAGAAGAGATTTGCCACAGACAAAGTTCGGACTTCGGCTTGTAACGTCCAATTCTGGTCAAGATACTGAATAGCCCCGGTGATCTGGGTGGGTGACGCGTACTTCAAGTTAGAGGCTGCTTCAAGGAGTGCACTGATGCTGAGCGAAGCCGAAAAGTTAGACCCAGTATTGACCCATTCATTTCCAAGGAAGAGGTACATTTCGCGGATCTCAAATACGGGTACTGTGGTCTGTTAACTGGCGGGATCTGCAATCAATGTTCCGTAGAACGCGACATCTCTGGTCCCTATTCGTAATTTCACCTAAACAACAGATGGAGGTATCATAGACGGCCACTTGTCGTGTCCTGCAATTTTACTTAAGTCAAGGGATGCAGGCCATCTTTTAGGATCTTTCATTAGAATTAGTTGCATGAATGCCATAGTCTTCATATCTTAGCAAGAGACGCGCTGCATCATCCACGTCAAACGGCGGTGCTAGAATAAATGACTTATTAGCATGGTCCTAACCTGTACATCAACCATATGATAACTTACCAACCCAGAGATCTGCCTCAAGATAAGTGCCGTCAGGATCATCTTTGCCCGGTTTTTTGAAATATCCATAGGAGACGAGAAACAGCAATAGATCAGCTCCGTCTCAGACGCAGCGCCAGTTGCATGTCAATGCGAAGCAAGATCAATCTGGGGCCTTTCGAAGCAGCGTTGTCCTCAAGCTCGAGTGTGAACAATTGGAAAGCAAACGTATCGAAAGTTCCTGGACCGACGGACTACTTCTCCAGCTTCCAGAAGTCAAAGGGGGCATGCAGTAATTCGAGTAGAGTCTGCCAAACCCGTTTCCAAACCCATTGCCAAACCTTCACAAAGGTACAATCTGGGGCGGTCTCAAGAACGAATGCGAATTTTACTCTATCTGGCTTGAATTCAATGATGGCCTTCATTTCTACTCCTCCGATATCCGCTTTGAGGATTGTGAAGATGGATGATGAATGATGAGAGATATGATCGATGATTGATTCTAGAGATGAAGCTATGGATCTAGATATCATGGAGGCTGAGGCAAGGATGCGGTGAAGTGGGGCAGTATCCCACCCAATTCAATGCGAACAAGGATCAAGACCAATTTAGCTGTCGAGTGGACGTTTACATCCTGGTAATAAGGGGATGCTGAAGCTTCTGCAGTCGCATGCGATTCTTCATCTGCCTCTTCTGGTTGCGCTTCCTGAGTTTCTAAGTGAGACTCATCAGTCTCCGGTACAAGGTGATCCTCCAGCCGAGGCTCATCGATATCTGGTGGAGGGGCGGCAGCGAGCGGCTGATCTGCTTCTCGATCAATTATTTGATATGCACGCGCAAGAAGACGACGCTCATTCCATTGTTCACACCCGCAACTCTTCCACTGCGCCCCGCAATTGTAGCAAAATTGGGCACCACAGCGACAGCTATTGCCGTTTTCTGTTAGAAATCAGGGCCTTGAGAGGTAAAGAAATGGTATTTGCACAACACTCGGAAGAGTAGCAGTACTCAATCTTCTTTTTCTCGTACTGCTCTACTAGATCGGACTTGAGAAATATGCGAGCTATGTTCATATTCATGGGTTGTCGGCAGCATCGCGGAGGGAATAGGGATTCATCTATCATTGAAGCTTTGAAAAAGGTCTTCCAAACAGGGACGACAATACTCGTGCTGACAGGGAACACGGGCCACGTTGACAAATTCTGTTTGTTCTCTGCAAGCTACACATCGACGGATTCGCGATAGTGATTGACAGTTGGTCAGGGTTGGTCAGGCTGCCCAAGCAGACGATTCGGCTTGCTCGGTTTCGGCATCGGCTGCGCCCACGCCCCCTATGTTGTGGTACCCTTCCATGCCGGACATGCATAAGATCTGGAGTTTAGTCAGAGTCTCATCATCTAAAGCCGCTGATTTTGATTCGAAGTCATCCGAAGACACAAGACATCCATCCTCCGTCCATTGACGAGCAATATGTCGATCTTTGGACGCGTTCTCTCTTCCACTTGGTTCTCAGCCAGAATGCGTCCATCAGCTTGTACTGTAGCTGCGAAACTCATGGCCATTCGTCTATCCACCAGTTGACTGGCTTTCTAACATATAATTGGATGACAGACAATGGACCCACTGAAGGTTCCTTCATCTTCCATTCAGTGGGGATTTGAACAGGCGAGATATCAAATACAATAGGAAAATTATCAGATTGTAGGAAAATATATGGCGGAGTTGTGTTGAAAACCGTCACGAGTCCTGTCATTTCGAAAAGGTCTTTCCATGGGCAAAGTACGTACTTCTCAGTGCTAACGAGCGTCTTAAGTAGCTACATGTCACATGCGAAAAGCATCCAGAAAAAAAACGATAACATACTTCCATTTCGCAGCCTAACCTCCAATCCGAATACCATGCCATATATTCTCGCCATTCATGAGAGTCTTCATGGCACTGCCACCTGCAACGAACGAACCAAGGATAGCCATCCCTGACCCGAGAACACTGAGCTCTACGCTTTTGTTAGCCTCGCCAAGTGCATACGCCAATCCACCAAGATTGCACGCAAGATCCGAAGACAGAGTCTCAGGAGCCGACGAATAAATCTTCTCAAGCGTGTCCACGCCGAGAGTGGTCACTATGCAGAAAAAGTCAAGAACTGCCCGACCTATTGCACGATTCGTATCCCCGTCGGCACCAAACGTGAACTTCTCCTTCCACTCTTCAATGACATCGTAGATGGAGCTCGCGAGCCAGGTGATAACACGCCAAATCCAGGGTCGATAGTTGTCTTGGCCCTCCTTCTCAGAATCGTCCTGAATCAGGAAGCCAAATGCGGCCTGGCCGATTATGAGTCCGACTTTCCAGGTGCGATCCAGTTCAATCTCATATTTTGTGTCAAAAATGTCCCCGATGCTGCCGAAAATTCCTAGTCCTGCGGCTATGAGGCCGGCGATGCCGGAGTAGGTAACGAGGTCGGATGGAGGAGGACCGGCAGCAGCGTCAAGGTTCATGGTCGCCAGTCCCTTGGTCGAAAGCGAAGTCGCTTTGATGACGGGTCGTTGAGTAGGATCCATCTGCGAGGCAAGAGTCTGGGGAAAGCCTGGATGGTCCATGCCGAACGTGTTGTGCTGTTCGAGTGAACCAATGCCGGCAATCTCAGTCACCACGACCATGGGAATAGCCACCAGGAAGGAGATGCCATTGACGATTGAGAACTTCTCACCGTCTCCGAGTAGCTCACTGACAAGTTCGTAAAGGTCACTGATGATCGGCAGGTTCCATTCCGTTTCCAATAAGCCCTTGAAGTCTCCAATTACGTCTTCGATAAGTTTCAGGAGACCATCGACAAGTGTAGCAAAAACAGAGATGATAGTGTCTGAAACGTCGAATGCAAGCTGACGTAGATCATCCATGGTGTGATTACGAACAAGCGCGAGCACGTCTCCGGCATCCGTACCAATCTTGGAGATGAGAACATCTGCAATTGGCTTGAGAACATCGTTGAAGATTTGCGTGACAGGGTTGCCAGGACTAGAGACAGCCTTGACAGTCGCAAGAGCGGCGGTTTTCGCAGGACTTGCACCGCCCGAAGCCGAGTGCATGAAGTGGTACGCGGCGAAATTGCTCTGAGGAGAGTTCCACGCCGTCGACTCATCCTTAGAATTGGCCTGGCTGGTAGTTGCAGCAGGTGTTTGCGTCTTCAGGTTATCTGGGAGAATGATGGCTTTAAGTGACTTCTCGAGGGTATCTGCAACGCTCTTCGATGCTACTCGAGCCATGTCGATGTATTTTGCGGAGTTTGCCTCGGCAAAGTCAAGGAAGTCTGTTGGGAACAAAGATAAAGAATTAGTTCAAAAACTGAGCATCACTCTCCGAATCCCCCTTACTTGTTATGGTTGATGCGATCATCTTGTGTGTATTCCAGATATGATCCCAACCTAATAGATTTCCAAGCCACGCCAGGAGCTAGAAATCGCTTTAGCCATATTGACTTTGTATTAGTGAAAATTCCGTCCACTAACCTTGGAGATATCTATACCAACAAGCTTGAGGATATAGTTGAGGGCTTTGAAAACCAGCAAAAAAGACTTCAGCGCGATTGACACGACCTTATCCCCAATCGTAAGAATGAATTGAAGGACTCCTTGAGCCTTTGAAATAATGAAATTAATTCCCTCAGACAGGACGATAGGTGCACTCTCTACCGCACTGATAATCTCGCCACCTAGTTCTTCGAGATGATGCCACACGTCTCCTGCAATATCTGTCAAATCACCGAGTGAAAATTTGGCCATTTTGGCCTGCTTGACGACAGCCTGCGCAGTGTGGAGCGTGTGCAAATTCCATGTTCCCCGCTTGAATTGCAGTCCCGTTGCAAAATTATCGGGCAAATGGTTGGCCGTTAAGGGCGCATTCAATGTATGCTTGAGCTTCGAAGCACTAGCTTTGTTAGCAATCGGGGATGGCTGAATGGGCTTCTCGATAGAAACGAAAGTATTTCCGGCAAGGGTTGGTGGGAAACTCTGGACTGCTGCTGAATGTAGTGTCATGACGTTCGCTGCCACCCCGTTGGCAGTTTCTGCTGAGGTGTCTTGGGAGAGTACTGGCTTTCCATCCTGCGTCAAGGCATTCTTGAGCGAGTCACCGCTGGTGATTGACTGTAGGTGAGCGTGTATCTTTCCACTAGGATATATATTGATGGTCTCAAGAAAGGCGTCGCCTAGGATATCAGGTAAAGGAAAATTAGTGTGAGGGTTCTTGAAAGTAGAGAAAAGAAAATGTTGGCCTTACTCTGTATGTGTAACACAGGCGGACTTATATCAACGGCTGTGCTAATGATAGTGATATTTCCCATCGGATCTGTGGGAATCTCGGCGGCGACATCCTCATCCAAGGAGTACATCAGACCGTTGATGACGCAATACTGCCACTCGCTCGAGGTAACCTTGACTATCTGGCCATTAAGTGGTAACCCTTTGGCCTCCAGATGAACGTGCGATGTGCAGGAATCAAAATTCAAGACATAAGGGTCGTTCTTTATCACGGCAACTTTGCTTCTCCAGATGGTGGAAGCAGTATCTTGCCAGTAGTGCGTGATTGATTGGTCCTGCGTCAACACAAACAGCTCGTTTGCCTTTTTGACTGCCGACCTCATAGCAGCAACCTGGAGGACATTAGATGCGAACAAAATAGGCGTTCTCCAAGCCACGGATATGTTTCCAGGGGTTCTATGGCCGTAGATATAGTAGAGCTTGTTGGGACTAGCCGTAACCCAGAGTGAGATGTCGTCACCGTCAAGAATTGCCTGGATCTCATGCACATCAGAAATATCGCCTGAGACGAGCTCCATGGATGCCGCTTTGCCATTCGGGATTCTGTAAACGCCAGTCCTAGCGCCAATGTACAGGTCTGATGCGGGATCAACTGGATCAGGTCGGCTGGTGGCTGTCTCGATTGTGTTGTAATCCAGACTCCTAAAGGCTGATGGAAGCTCGTTATTACCCGGGCTGTAGTCGTAAGCAAGTGAACCTTCGTTCGCATCTGCGGTTGTAATCACGCTAATATGCTTGGACTGGCCAATTACATAGAGGAAATAGTTCGCGCGTTGACCAAAGTTATGGCCCATTCGGTGAGCAAGTAGACTATGTGGGGTGGGATCGAGTTGCTCAGGAAGCTCCAGCCTTTGGGCTGTCGTATCGCCAGCTTGAACTTGGTAGTAGATATGCTTAGAGTTGGTCAAACCTTCAACAGTAAGCACCGGGCGATTTCCATCGTCAGAAGATCCCAAACCAATTGCATCGGGCACGAACACCTTGTCAAGGCCTGAGACCCTGGTGGAGAGAGCTGAGAGTTTTCCAAAGTCGGTGCGAGACAAGTCGTTGGAGAGTAAGCTCGCAAAGAAAACGTCAATACCAGGATCGTTGTTTTTCTGGAGACAGAATGCAATAGAAATACGGCCTGAAGTATCCTGTACCACGTCGAAAGCTGTGGCTGTTGCATACTCTGGAAAGCTGTCCAATAGATGTTTTGTAGCCCAACCGCTGGAAGAGCCTCCAGAAACGCTGGTGAGGAGGTTAAACCTCTTGTCGATTCCAATGCCGAATAAAAGAGGTTGGCCAGTATTATCCTGGACAACAACCATATCCTGTGTGACCGATACTGCCCAGTGTCAGTCCTCTAATGACGACGCATTGCGCATTACTACTTAACTTACCAGGCAGTCCGGCTTGAGAATTACTCATCAATTCGCAAGAGACACTGATGTCAACGTTTTCTTGCGAAAAAAAATTTTCCTGTGCCTTTCAATGAAAACTTGTCGATCACAGGAGCTCCTAGCGGTTTGGAAGTATTGGGTGCAGCCGGTGAAGCTGCCTTGATAGGTTGTGGGATCGGATTTTGGCTTCTATTCAGCATGCAAGGATTAGAAGAAATCACTTCCAGTAGGTTGTCCTTGGAGTCGAACTGGCAGAGTCGGCTTCCGTTCAGTCTTCTGGCCTTGACTCTTAAATTCAAGAACCTTAGAAACGTGATTGGAGATGACATGGAGATTGGGTGTAGCTGCACCACCAGTGCTGGTTTTGTAGGTCAACTCCATCTCTGTCATTCCCTCCGACGAAAAGGGCAATGTTCTGCAGCAGCGGTTAGAAAGCAAACTCTCGTCGAAATGACAAATGGACTTGAAAGACAGCGCGTACCTTGAAATAAAAAACATCTCCAGCTGGGAGCATAAAAGAGTTGTGAGTCGCATCGAAAAGGTGATCCATGGTAACATTAACTTGAGGTATTCCATCCACATGAGCCCCCCAATTGTCGCTAAACGTGTTCTCCAAGTTGAATTTACCAGCAGTGATCGCGTCAAGAAGGCCACCCAGCACGATACCAAGTCCTCCCAAGAATTTCGCCCAGCCATTCTGGTAATTATCATTATTGGACGAAGTTATAGTGATAACAGGAGTGGAAGCTTTGATGGTTGGTTTGTTAGTCGCGCTGTCAATAGTGCAGTCCAGAGTGATCGTAGATGACCAGGTCTGGTCCATGCTGACCCACGAAGTGGCCGTGTTACCAGCACCCACGTCAGTGTTGTTGGTCTTCTTGATATGAATGGAGCCGAGAAGGTCTATCAAAACCCCAGTGCTCGTTGGAGACCAGTGTACATCAAAGGAGTTTTGGAAGTCGTCGTCAGTGCCACTCGTATAGTAGACCTTGTACGAAAGCCCAATTTGGTTACCATTGGCATCTTTCTTGATAATTTTGGCCTTGTCGTAGTCGTAGTCGTTGTTTGAGGAGAGGGTTAAGTGATCTTTAACAAGACTGTGGGTCTGGTCCGCATAGGTCTGGTAGAAATTTTTCAAAATGACCGATTCTAGCAGGCAGAAGGAAGAATATATCATCTTGCCATCGCATTGCTCAGTGGTGGCAATCGGATTGTAATCGAAGTTGCCAGGCGTGCTGTGCTTTCCAGGACCGTTCTTCCCCCCGCTAAGCTTTGTGTTGAGAATGAAGTTGACAGTGCTCTTATTTGGATCATCATCCTTGTACAATGTGAAAGTACAGCCGACAGGTTTCATGCTGTCACTTATCTGGGCGTCAGCAGGGTTGACGGTCTGCGGTGTTTGAGTGACTATTGACTGCATTAGACACCTTAGGTACGCAATTTTGCGGTCACAATCTCACCTGCGTAGCCAAGGATATAAGGATTTGCATTCGAATTGGCCTGAATAGCGCCGAGGTAGGAGGACATGAAGTAGGTAAACATTTCCATTGCTTGAGGCCCACTGTTGCCGACGCTTGTCACGGAAGGATCAAATCGTAGAAGGTTAGTTGATTCAAAGTTCACGAAAAGCTGCGAAACACTGAATTGGTTGTCCAAGAAATTGTTAAGTTGCTGAATCATCTCCGCTGGGGCTGCCTTTCCTCGTCACGTTCAATTCCAGCAAAATCCAAGTCGACGGCGATTCCAAAGACCCATTTTGTCATGTCCACTCCCTTCTGCATGTTTCCAGTTCTGAGACTCCGTGTGTAGAGATTACCTGATTTGAAAGAAAGGACGAGGTTAACGACCGTTCCGCTCTTGTCGATTTCGATAGTGGGATGGTAGACTGCATTCATCGAAGGGTTGACCGGAAGTCCGTTGGTGTCCCTGGGGACACTGGTCCAGTCTTCGTGGACGACAGGCAGCCATTGGTCCGCATTATTGGGATCTGCTCCCATCTCGATGACAAGTCTATAAAGATCAATTCACAAATTGCCACGTCGAAGATACAGAGTAACGCACGTTGTCTTAATCGTCCCTATGTCAGGATTTGCCAAGTGATTGAGTTGGTCGTTGATCGATTTCTGCGTAACAGCTACGACCATGTCATAGCCAGCAGAGGTAAACACATCATTAACCTTCATGATAATCAGTGAAAGAGAACCACTGTAAAACTAGATGGCAAAAGACTCGCAAGAAACGATATAGTACTAGTTTTCTTGAAGAGTCAACTGAAAAAGTTGAAGAAAACATAAAAGGGCAGAACAATTAGATGCCTTTGTAGATTTTGATGTGTTCAGAATGTCACAGCTAGCCGTCCAGAACAGCCAAGATGCTTTCCACATGCATGGGCAAAGAGGCCGAGCTGAACTCAGCCCCAATGACGCCCAATAACGCCATCTTTCGGTCTAGAGCTCGATATCATTGTCACTTCAGAGCACATGCCCCGCTTTTTCAATAGTGATCCCATGAAATGAATAACAACATGTTCTACTGAGACTGTTCCAACATAGACAGCTGAATAAATGTGGCTGGCGCGACTTTTGAGGGCTGCTAAAGGTTGAATAGCAACTGGCCAGCTCGGCAACAAACACCATACCTCAGCCTTGGCAGCCCTAGGGCTGGCTGAAAACAGGGCTTTAGAATTAGTCCTTAACCCCCGCTATCATTGCCCCATATCAGCTGTCTGATCTCACCTCTCCAACGCTCATCCTATATATCTCACTGAGATGTTGTTCAGATTCACCTGGTCGCTATGGCTTGCCGCAATGAAGTTGGACGGGATAAGGATGGCATTCCAGCCCTCAGTCGTGGCTTGCATTGCTAGCAAGAAAGAAAAGGTAAATACAAGACACTGACTACGTGGACTCGCTGAAGCATGGACTCGCTGAAGGCTCAGCTGTGCGCCACCAAGGTCATAAGTTCCTGGTGATTTATCAGTAAGTTCTCAGTAAGTTCTCTCATAAAGACCACAGGGTTAAGTGGTCAAATTGACGAAAGAGAGTTGTCGTCTAAAGCACGCCTTGTACTGGTCTTGTACTTCAGAATTTCATTAATGCCTACTTTCTTCTAAAATGTGCTGATTGGAACATCTCCGTACTTTTCTAGATGTACACAAACCCTGGACATGCCACCACTCTACTTGTCACATGGCTACCGAAGCCGAGAATGAGGTTCAAAGCGGAATTGCAGCAGGTACTCATCCCAACCTTAGGATGTGCCACATAGTGGTATTCGAGCGCAGTCAATTGTTCTGCTGGTCTAGTCGTTCTGGATATTGGGTATAACTGCTATTATCCATTAAAGAAGTTGCAGATGCACTAAGCCCCCAAACGAAAGACAATACAAGCTCCCCGCCCGCGGCCCTTCAATTGATTGATTGAATGGTCGATGGAATGATTGAATGATTGAATAATTGAACAGCAAGGCTTAGGCCTGGCGTAACCCTGAGAACATCACTTGGAATCGTCCAGTCTTTCATCAAGTCATCGCGCGTTTGAAGCTGCATGAGGAGACCCGCAGCAACATGCCAGGTAATGTGGCAATGAAATGCCCACAAGCCAGGATTGTCAGCCTGGACCCGGATTAGGGTCCAACTAAATGCATCCACCATCACAGTGTCACAGCGCATGGGATTTATAGTGTTCAATGAGTCATAAATGTCTCACAGAAAGTACTGATTCTGGGAGCTCACTATAACCCAGAACTGATATCTGTGCAGGTGGAAGGGGTGGGATCCATTATCAAAGTTTTGGATGAGAATATCAATGACCTGATTGTCAGGGATATTGAGGATATATTGGTTCTGTAATCTATATGATGCCCCTACCCTGTCTGATCATAGGTAGTATTCCCAGCGCGCAGTTAGGGAACTATCCAATTCAGAGTGGGAATATTAGATACAGTGTAGGTTGTGCTGTTAATATATGCCTAGTCCAAGGCACTGTTCCTAATTTAGAAGGTGACCTGGATAAGAAAGAGCTGTGCTACAGGGGGTGCCTGCTATACCATTAAGGGCATAAGAAGAGTGGAATTCAAATCTTTATATAAGGGATCTATGATATTAATCCAACCCACTGACTCAGGTCCTGGCAATGCAGTGCTATTACTGTAGGCTAAAATCCCTAGAACTATAAGATTAAGGATAAAATTTATAATGAAGAAATAATAGATGTCTATTTCTGCGTACATCCAGTAGTTAGTCACTGTTTGATTGGTATTAAGCATAAATAAGTAACACTGAGCTAATATATTCTTTAGGGTCTGGAGCTCTAAGGGTTTAACCATAGTGCTTTCACCCTCAATCACCATCATAGTGTAGTTATTGATTATAAACTGGAAAGTGGCAAATGCTCCCATATTAATGATCTAAAATTAGGTTTTTATATTTTACTCAATAGGAAAGAGAGCCTGGGTGGAGTTGTCATAGCAAGTATAGCCACTATTAGACTGATATAAGGAACAGTTAAAGTTAGATTAGGAGAATCTGAGAAGGGATAGGAGATGTGTTAGGCCTCGAGGTACTGAGACCTAAAGGGTGCTTATGTGTGAGCCGAGTGCGTACTTATTGCCGTGTAAGAGCATGATTGCCTAGCGGCAATCATATTAGCCTTTTTGATTCACGTTTCGATTGCTGAGCCACTCGACCTAGTGCAGGTCTTGAGAGCTAGCTTTTATTATTTTATTTAATAAGATCACGTTTCTTTAATTTTATATTTTAAGAGATAACTTATAGGTAATTTCCTTTATTTTTATACACATATGTCTTGTGTGTATGTAGAGCTAGATGGCATAATTACTAAGTATTCTAAGAGGAATATAATAGCTAAGCCCTACTATTATAATAATTAATTATAACTTAGATATCTAGCTAAATATATTATATTATAGTCTAGGCTAGATAACTTAGCTAAGGCGGTAGGCGGTAGGAAAGTAAGGTTTTATATCTAAATAGACTTAGCTCGGACTTAGTATCTTACTAATTTTACAATTTGTTTTTTAAGACCTTACGGTCCAGACTTCTTGACCGTATAGGTCATGTATCTTAAACTGTTTTGTACCGGCCTATGCACTTCGTGTTTGTGGACGACGATACCGCGGTAAACTGTCAGAGCCGGCGCCACTACGGCCGTGTTCCGCTAGCGTCCGCATTGGGAGGCCATCTTTCCAAGACAGACTATTAGTCAACGTTCCAGGCTCCCTGAGGGCTCCGGATTTAACATTGACCGCCAGCCCTATCTCCGTGACTACGGAGGGTCTACGTCTACAGAACCAACCTGTAAGGCGTAGACCTGCCTTCAGAAAATTCTCAAGTAAAAGCGACTTATCTTCATAGAGCAGAGAAGACTTGAACTTTGTTGCGCCTCCGGCACGCATGTGCGTAGATGAAAAAAGAAAAACCATGAAAGTACATATGATAGGATGTATCGCAAGTTCGATATTAAGGACAAGACTCCTGATTCATCATATCATCCATTTTCGATCGCAACCCCAGTGCTTTCCATTTATATTCTCATGTCTCCTACGCCCCGCATGTTCGATAGATGCTCCATCATAAGCGTACTCATCGCGGTGCTGTCTTGAAACTCACGCAGCCGTGAAAGGTCATTTATTCTATCATCGTGAAATCAAGTAGACTAAGAGCAGGGAAGTTGGCAATTAAGACCCACGTCTAGATGGGCCCTGGCTGCAACATAATCCACGCGATGCTCCATTATCGATTTTAAGAAAGCGCAGGTCCAACTGCGACAGTATATTGAACAAGAAAATAATCCCCCTTCAAAGGATCATATGATTGCATGATCTTAACATTTGTCACCCAATTAGAGTCATATTTTTAAAACCACACTGACAGAGATGAAGCCCATTAACGACCTATTCGACAGACCATACAAACCAATATCTCTCCTTTTCGGGAGTACCAAATCCAATAGACTAGACCGAAGACTGCACAGGAAAAAGACAGATATTACAGAATAGAAGTACTTCGCTGGCCTAGGGACACGCGCCAATGACGAATGACACACATTGCACGTTATCGAGTCACCAATCCATTAGCATACAGTGATGAAGAGACCCAGTCTTATAAATTGTTAGTTTGTACTCTGTAGCATGGTAGAAACAGGAGTAAAAAACTTACGGAGCAGGGTTAAAGTCTTCGAAGAAGTTTAGCTCAGTGCTACCAGCATTCTTCATCTCATAGGCCACCGTCTGGCCAGCGGGGCACGAGAAGGTCGAGATAATGTAGGAGTTACCAGGCGAAACAGTAATATCACCGAAGTCCTGGGAGACAGACGGAGCGTTGTTAAAGGTCGTCGAGGTAGTAGCAGCCATGGACAATTTGGAAACATCGATCTTGCCATCTCCACTAAACGTGAAAGACGATGTCTGGAGATTGGCCTTCTCGGGGAACAGGAAGACCAAGCTACAAGTTTTGCCCGAATCAGAGGAAGGGATATCAAAGTTGAAAATGCTAGAGACCGTGGAAGTCACTTCGCCATTCGACGAGGTACCAGCAGCTTTGTTGGGGACGAGGAATCGATAGGAATAATCAGGTGGGGGGGATTCATAATTGCCCGAGGAAAGCGCAGCTCCACAGTTAGTCGAAGGTGGCGGGGTGTTTCCACTGGAGCATGAGCTGGCTTGCAACTCGATCTTCTGGCAGTTACTCAGGTCGTTACTTTGGGTAGTATAAATGTTCAAACCCCCGTTGTCACCAGTCTCACAGGCAATGAAGTCGGGACTGCCATTGTATTCTAGCAAACCGTTGGAGCTGATCGAGAAGCCGGAGGTGGGGGTAGCTCCCACATCGCACTGCAATTGAGTAGTGGGTGCTATACTCTCGATTAGTTCCGAACATTGCCGGTTTATGTTTGATCAAAGCGCATCACTCACGGGTCAAAATGCAACCGCGACCTTGGCCATCGGTGATGGAGCCACCGTTAATACAATATTGTCCCGCGGGAAGACTGTTGTCTCCGATACGGTTCTGACCATCACTGAGCTGACCGACCGGAGACCCGTTGGAACTCAGAGTAAAGCAGCAGCTGCTAGCGCGGCTGACGAGGGCCTGAGATCCGGCAGCGAAGGCTGCAAGAGTGAGATAGCCCTTCATGTTTTATGATGGAGAGCCGAAAAGGGACAAGGGTAAGAGGAAAATATTACTTGGGAAAGCTGGGAGACGCTGAGATTGAAGATGGACAAAAAAAAAATAGTTCTCCTAAAGAAAGTAGCATACTTATACCTAAGAGGGGTTGAAAATAATAGGTTGCCTCAAGGAGCAGGTCCTCGTAAACCAAGCTCTCCAACGGTACAGGAGACAAAGTAGACGTCATCCTAGACCGAACTTCGAACCCTCGTTGACTTCCAAAGAACCTATCAGCGAGACCACACATGTTGAGTCCCATCATGAGCAAGATCTTGTTACCCTACAACATACTCAATTAGGACAATGACCGGCGTAGCTGGAGTGGCGACGTCATTGACCATGGCTCCAGCGTGACCGGCCGAGAGGAGACCCATATAAACAAATAGCGGATCGAGCCGATAAATAATCGACGACCGTAGGTGAGAGTCTCATGTTTTGATGAGTACCAATCGGGATGGGATGTTTTCGAGATGCCGACAAAGGCTAGCTGTAAAGCGTTCAAGGTTCATTTCCCCGCAATTCATCCAATCCGTACTCAGCAAAAGCACAGTGATGATTTAGTGGCGGACACACAGGGGTAAAGATAGTACAGTTCTGCAGAGAGGAGAGAAATACAAATAAACAGCGCTTGAAGCATCGAGGTCATGGTCAAGTGAGCCTTTTGTCTAACGAGACAAGACATCATGTTGTGGGGCACAGTCCTTCAACGACGGCCCCCGGATGCTACGCCGATGCATCTGCGCGCACGTACATGACTTCATGCCAAGGAAGATCGATGAAAGAATCCCCGCCTTTTGAGTCAAAAGTGACAGGATTCCATTCGGATCTCATGTAGCCGGGACTGAGTGATGATGTTACAAACTCGTCGGCTCCACCGGCGACGAGTCCCAGCGAACGACAAGCATTCTATTTTTGTGCATTTGGAACGAACCACAATTGTACCAAGTTTGGGTACGGACATTGCCCATTGACCTGTGACCTCGGTATAATTTGCCAAAATCGAAGAGAGTTTGTTGTGAGAAGCAGATCTACACCGAGGTGATCGAAAAGTAATCTACGTCATGACCGGGACTCTGTATACCGGACTACTTTGTAACATCTCGGCCGACGTGGAGACGAGACTGGAGGAGTGGAGACGGGACACGATCGCAGACAAGCTTCCTGTCCAGGGTCCACCGGGTTGAGTTGGCGATCGGCAATGGGGGCGACGGAGTGAGCGGGGGCTCAACATTGACAATCACGAATCGCACTCTCAAGCCTTCGATATGTGACTTGCCAGCCGCCTGTAATCAGCCGCTAGTTGACGCCCATGCCGTTCCACCCGTTAGACAGACGAGTGGTTGCTGAGCGACAAAAGCAAAGTACGTAGCAGAAACCCTCTTGAGGGACGCCACGTTTGGAGATTGAGGCGCGGACTTGGGGGCTGGCAAAGCCGGTCGGCTTTGCAAGGTCGTGAAAGGACGGGAGCACTGATGCTATGCGGATGTGGCCGTAGGGCTATTGGTAGAGATACTTCTCTGTGGTCAGAGCTTATCTCCAGGTGGATCTGGACGCTTATGGAACCAAGCTGAAGGATGCGATGTGACAGGTGTCAGAGGGTGCGTTGGTCTGAGAATGAGAGCGATGACGGAACTTGGTCGTTGCTCATATAGGGTCGAGAAAACATAAACATCATGCTGTCAATGGAGTTCCTCTCATTTGATGTTCCACAAACTCTGAATTTTCAAGATGAAGTGGTTCATAGATGTGATGCTCTCCCGAGGGTGGGGAGGGTGGAGAGCGGGTACCACGGGGGCTGATATCACCACTTAGCGCAGTGGAGAGGACGTTGCACCTACTCCCGCACCCGTGCACATCACAAGAGGCACACCTTGGGAGATTCTTGGAGCCTACGTCCAGTTGTTCAGGATTGTTCAGACGAGCAAACATGATTGTTGCCTAAAACAAAGAAACTAAGCCATTTAGCGCGCTTCTTATCGCCAAGAAATAAGCAGGGGAAAAAGCAGGGGAAAAAACCAAAGAAATACACCGATTTGCGGGCTCCGCACTCCGGGCGTTGGCACTTTGGGCCCGATAAGCTTCCCTTTAATAGTTCACGGCTTCTCGAAACATTCCGGGGTCCTTTGAGGGTGAGGCGAGGCGCCAACCCCCTGAACTCCTGGGAACCGCAGAATCCTCACGCCGCATTATTCCCTTCCTTCACCCATTAACCATCATGGTGGCTGCACATGGGGAAACCGAGCCATTGCTGGCGAACACCATCCGAGACGTGCGTGTGCCTCGTACTTCGAGGTCGAGAAAGCTGTTGGTGTTCCTCGTTTGCTCCGTCCTAATTCTCGCCGTGGATTTCGGCTTTTTCATGGCAGCGGCGCCTCAGACGGCCGTATTCGAGGAGATTATCTGTCGCAACCATGGCCTGCAGCCCCGTTCTTCCAACGGGACGAGTGGTGGGTTAGATCCGTGCAAATCGGAGTTGGTCCAGGGGGAATTAGCCCTCGTGTTGGGCTATAAAGATACGTTTGATACACTGCCAGGTCAGTTTGGGGCTCCAAGTGATGATTTCTTCGACGTAACAGCTGATGGTGTAGGGATCTTACTGTTGCTTCCTTTCGGCATCCTGTCCGATCGTTGGGGCCGCAAGCCCGTGCTATATCTGGCTTGCTTGGGACTCGTCTTGAGTGAGATGTGGGTGAGGACCGTCTGTAAGTGAAAGATCACTCTTGTCAACGCTCCAGCGGACCCTGACATTCTAGGTTACTTCTCGGACTATCTGCCTATTCGTATGATCTGGTTATCCGCTCTATGGCGGATGATTGGCGGCGGCGAGCAAGTAGCCACCAACACTTGTTTTGTCATGATTGCCGATATCTTTTCCGAGGAAGAAAGGTATAGCGCACCGTATGTGACCTGAGCTTCACTTTTGTCTGACTATCATGCAGATCAGGCGCTCTCTTCCGTCTGCAAGCCTGTGCACTGGCCGCAGAAATATTGGCCACTCCACTCAGCGCCTACTTGATGACATTTAATCCAGCCTTTCCTTATGTCTTGGGCTTGGTTATCATAGTTGTCGGATTTCTCCCCATCGTTCTTCTACCAGAGACGCTCGAAGATGCCAAGGCAACGAGATTGAGCCAGCTTCAGCCGAACTCCAACGCCGCTAATTCAGAGCCTGACATTGAGCCAACCGAAGTTTTGGACAAGGCCATGCTGCCGGAGCTCATACGCCAGATCCGCGAATTCATAGAGTCCACGCAATTCATCTGGCGTGACTTGAATGTTTCTCTGCTGGTCCTTACCATGTTCGTTTGGGCCGTGTCGCGCCAATCCACCAACCTGCTCCTTCAATATGCATCCAAGAAATTCCACTGGAGTATCGCACGGGTAGGGATTCCAACAACGCTGCCAAACGGTTTGTACTAACGCCTGGACAGGCTAGCCTTCTGATCTCATTGCGGGGAATCTTCCAGCTTGTCAATTTTCTTGTCCTAATGCCAACTCTGACCTTCCTCGCCGCCACATACTACAACCTGCACGGGAAACACCGAGATTACCGATTGAGTCAGGGCAGCGGCCTACTTTCGATCGTCGGCTTCGCCGCCATGGGCCTTGCCCCAGTCCCGGTTCTCCTGATCTGTGGCCTTGTCTTTCTGTCGCTAGGCTCGGCATTTTCCACCACGACCCGCAGTCTAGTCACGTCTCTTGTAGTACCCGACCACGTTGGGACATTGTACTCGGCCATTGGAATCTCACAGTCGGTCGGCACATTCATTGCCGGCCCCTTATTCGCCTATCTATTCAAGCTAGGGATGCATCTTGGCAATGCATGGATGGGGCTGCCGTTTCTGCAGGCGTCTCTTTTCTACGTGATCGCTACGGTCGCCGTGTGGCGAGTTCGAATAGGCCGATCTACTAGCGACGATGCAGAAGAGCCATTGGAATCGGAATCGATGTATACATCCGTCGATCTTCGACCTTAGATACTTTTAATAGCAAATTCAGGAATCCCCTTGACACCGAATTCGAATAGAAAGATAGAAGCCGATCGCGAAAACTACATTACCATAATAGGCGAGGCGGGGTAGTCTCAAACAACGCCGATCATTTCACGATGAATGATGCACGTTGGTTCGCTGGGCATGGGCGATCACTTCGAGTAATCTCCCGCGCTTCAAACCACTTCTGAACGTAGATCTGCAGGACTCGCTTGGATGCAACCTCAGGGCAACTTGCCTCTTCCCCCCTGACTGTCTTGTCTGGACTTCCGACGGTGTGTTTGAGGATCTCCGCATCCTTGTTAGAAGTGGACGGGCGATTGGGTCCCTTCAGGAATGCCAATCCCCCGGCTTCATCCATTTCACTCCACTTTTCCTCCACTCTTGTTCCATTTTGCTGCTTACTGGTTGATTCTTCTAGTGCACGGCGATATCCGATCTGGCCACCACGAATCGGAGGCCACTTATCAAGGCATGTGTTGCTATCAGCGGCGATCGGCGACCCTGACGAGATTCAAGTCGATGTACCTGCTTCAGGGTACATAATGCACCGAATGATGCCCCCGGCCTGTTCTACAATTCGAGTGATTATTTCGTTGCAACATGTTCTACTCAACTTCCGCGGGCGTACTGGCCCTAGTGACTGCACAGCTCTTCACCAGTGTCTCGGCCAACCTGAAGACCTGCACCAACAACAATACCCTGAGCTGTCATAGCTCCTCCAAGGCCCCAACCTGCTGCTACAACTATCCTGGGGGCGCCCTCCTCCAAACCCAATTCTGGGACACTAACCCGTCCACTGGGCCTTCCGACTCCTGGACCATCCACGGCCTGTGGTAAGTCCCTCACCCTCGATCACACACGACTTGCCACCTTCTAAGCATTGACAGGCCTGACAACTGCGATGGCACGTACCAATCCAACTGTGACTCGTCGCGAGCCTACACCAACATCACCGAGATTCTAAAGGAGCAGGGTCGCTCTTCTCTGCTGTCCTACATGGACGAGTACTGGGTTGACATTAACGGCGACAACGAGTCCTTCTGGGAGCACGAGTGGAGCAAACACGGCACCTGTATCAACACAATTGATCCCACCTGCTACACTAACTACTCGGCGCAGGAGGAAGTCGGTGATTTCTTCGAGAAAGTAGTGGACTTGTTCAAGTCTCTGGACACATACCAGGTATGTCAACCTTTCTGTATCTTCAGAACAGGAGAATTGACCAGAATGAACAGGCCCTCGCTGCGGCAGGAATCACCCCTTCAAGCTCCAAGACCTACACTTTGAGCGCCATCGAGGCCGCCCTGAGTAAGCTGCACGGTGGCTCGCAGGCCTACGTCGGCTGCGAAAGCGGTTCTTTGAACGAGGTTTGGTACTTCTTCAATGTCCGTGGCAATGCCATTGATGGCCTGTATGAGGCGACTGCACCACGCAAGTCTTCTCCCATCTCCCTGACTTGGGCACAGCTGACTGTTCCATAGTTTCCAAGTCGAGCTGCCCCAGCACTGGCATCAAGTATGCGCCCAAGACCGACTAAATCGGACTCGAGCTATTTTAAGACTTTGGTTCTAGGATGAGGACGAGTGCTCTCTGTCGAATTTAGGGACCTCTTCGCTGTACATAGGCCTATGAGTCGATTCTAGTGTGAGCATACTTTAGAATAGGAGACAGATGCTTTCGCTCTTCTCAGTAGGGTATCTGATTGTTTGAGAAGTAAACAAGATAGTAGTACAAGGCTAGGCAACGCCCAGCAAATATGAGAAGCATGCGGGAAAAGACGCCCGCATCTCGCTAGTGGTACGTTTCAGCCATTATAGAGAAAATATCCCAAGCATTCGGTAAAGTAAGAAACTCACCGACACTACCCGCGAGTTCGCACTATAGAGCGGCACAGATGCAGTGCCAAATAGCTTGCATGTCTGGATATTGACATCCGCATATTCCCGTCGGGCGTGCGCGATTCGCTGTTGGCCTGCTCAAAGTAGCACAAGGGCAAAAGACCCGGACACAGGGTCCTCGCAATACGACCCTGTGTGCAGAAAGTGTGCCGATCAGTCGGACAGCCTCTTAAAATGACCGGGTTTCAAGATAAAGCTCGATAGCGTCGAGGATGAAGAGATAGAGACTGAACAGATGTTCACATGCCCTTGAGCCGTGCCTGGCGTGCCTCTTCGTCTCTCTTTGCATCCACACGACCCAGGAAGTCCATACGACCAATATACCCCTCCTTTGCCTTGGATGCGGTGCGAAGTTCGTCTTTGATACCGGCCTCATCCACATATTGCGCCCAGTCGAGACGGGATTTTTCCACAGTATTGATTTTGGGTCCACTTGCGTCCTTGTCTGCCTCCACGACCTGCTTCTCCCAGTTCTTTTTGATTGTGCCGGTCGGATTGGGATCGAATCGGGAGATCTTGCGTAGCGGGCGACGCAGGTTGCGGCTTGGGATGCCGTCCACTTCAGTGAGCTCGACGTTCTCCCCCGATGATAGAAACACCTTGGCTTCGGCGGAGTCTTTGGGAACAGTCTTCTCTTCTGTTATCATCTCGCCGGCAAATTTGTAGGTCCGCTTAATCTTGATCATCTGCTGCTCGTATTGGCCATGGCGCGCATTATCGTGCGGTTTTGGAGGCCTCGGGTCCTCGGTGCTCGTTTTCGCAGGTTCTGGAGCCGGGGTAATTTCCTGCTGCGCCTGCGCCTGCGGTTGCGATGGCGTGAGGCCCATTTGGCTTTCGGGAGCATTCATTTGCTCCCAGAGGGAGTCCACATCGATAGTCGCGCCGTCGATTTTCGCCAGCGGTTTGCGCTGCTCTTCCTGTCTGCGAGTGAATGAACGTCAGTTCTGGGACTGAGGACACGGAACCGTGATATCATAAAATCTAACATTTGCGCCTTCATCGCGCGTGTTCGCACGAAACCACCGGCTCCCCCTTCATCATCGTCCAGGTCGAGGTCATCTTCGTCATCTTTGCCCTTCTTTCCCTTCCTCTTCCTTCGTTTGTCGCGCGCCTTGCGAATGGTGATTTCATCGCCTGAGTCTAGCTCCTCGTCGAGTATCTCGGCTTTCTTATCAGTCTTGCGCTTCTTCTTGGCGGGTTCGACAGTCTCGTTGTCGGAATCCGACAAATCAGAGTCGTCCTCAGCACCATCCAGCTGGAAATCTTCATCTTCGGCCGATTCATAGAGTTCATTATCCATTTCAACAGAATTAACCTGGTCGGCGGGCATCTTGCAAGTTATGATGGCACAGATAAAGAAGTCAAAGAAGTCAAGAAGCAGAAGCAGGAAGCGCGTAAAGATACAATTCTGCCGCAGGCGGTGCTGATAAGGATTATGTAACTATTCACACGCTAGAATAATGACAAGATGATCATCGATTGAGCGACCTTTAAGAATATGAGGAATTGGCATTCTTCACGATAAATATCCAACGTCCACTCAGGATTCATATCCGTCATTGAGGATGTCTGCAATGGTCACCGGCGAGCTCAACGCGGTGGCAAAACTCGCCCGGTCTTTTCTACTCCCAGGGCCAGAGTTCCTATACATCCCCAAATAAGACACAGTCCTTTCATCAGATAAGATCATCGAAAGGAGGCCTTGTGTTCTAGTCGAATACGGCGAGAATTGAAGGCCAGGTTTACGCAATCTCCTATTTATTTTCAATGACAAAGATCGGCTTAGAGAAGCATCCCATGGAATCTATCTCCCTGACAGGAGATAAAATAACCCGAGCCACCAGACTCACGTTTCAACGATCAAACTATTGCCAGACTTTCTTTCATCTATGCCCAGCATGGGATCCTAATACAATTTGACAGGTCAAATCAACATGCACCACTATGCCTCAACGTATAATCCGCATATTCTCATTTATAATTCAACCCTCGTAAAGTCTAGTTCTGATGAACCTGCTTGGTAGCAATTTCCAACTTCTCAAGCTGGAACTCCTGCTCGCGACGACGCGAGACATCTTTCTGGAAATAGGAGCCCAGGGCAGCACCGACTCCCATGACAATCTCCAGTCCCAACAGGACACAGAGAAGGGCAAATCCAGCCCGGGAATTGTGGCAGTCCCTTGTAAAGTGGACCGGAATCGTAGTGCTGCTGGTATTGTTCTTCCACTTGCAGGTCCAGCTGTGCAGGGTTTCGTTCTCGGTGAAGCCAACTGGGTAAGTTGAGGACGGAAGGTAGATAGTGAAGAGCAGACCGATCAGGGCTGTGATAAATCCAGCGATAGCGGATGTGGACGCACAGGTATTCAGGATCTGGATCCGCGAGTGGGGCTACATAGAGGTGTTAATAGATCCGACTCGGCATCAACGTATACCTGAGAGAGAACGCACGGAAGGAAGCAGAGCCGTGACGACGTAGATCAAGTTGAGGACCGCGATAACACAGCCACACGACATGGCCGCGATCATAGGGCGAAGATCGAAATTGAGGGGCCAAAGGGCGAGACCGGCACTTGCCCATTTGGCCGTAGATGTGTAATGTTGGAAAGGCACTGCCTCGCATGCGATAGTTGCGACAGCAATGGTAAAAATCACAGAAGCTAGGCTGAGCCGGCCGAGATGAATGGCGCGGCTGCGCTTGAGGAAAGCCGACTCCTGCATATCGGAGGAATGGGCCTGAGACCCAGCAGTGGATGAACCCGAGCTCATGATGGAGTGGAGAGGATAATGAAAGACCGTAGATTATGTGATAGTGGAGAGAGATCTGGGACCTTGCCGGCAAGGCTGTTTTGAAAGTAGAAAGAAAGTCGGGCCCTCGCCAGGGGGTGTAGAAGACAGGTTGATCCTTGCAAAGAACGGCGTTGAGGCAAAGATATAGGTCCTCTGGTCTCAGGTATCCCGGGGAGGCCAGCGAGTTATGTACCCTGCCTCGCACAAGGACTGACGTTCCATTGCAGATGGATATGTTAGCGAGTGGCTCGTCACAAAGTGCTCAACTCGCGTGGGCGCGTAGCCGGTATAGTGGAGGAAAAGGTCTCAGTACGACACCCCCCCTCGTCAGTCTATTGATTCGCCCGATAAAAGGGAATTGGAATTCGAGGAGTCCGAGGGCTGCCTCGCCACCATTGGTCGTGTAGATGTGTGGGTTGACCCATGGTTTGGACCATGTTCTGGGTGGGCGCCTGTAGATTTGGCAGGAGAAGCACCAGAGAGCGCTAAGGATAGCTAATATTAGATGGAGCAAATGATGATCGTCACTGACTAGCGTCGATCTAATTATCTGATTTGTGGTCCTCTCAAGCCATTGAATCAGGGTCTGGGTGATGGCGGGTGCTGATAGGCCGAGGCGAAGCGCCGGGGGATTGCGCCTTTCGAGCCACGGCGGTTATAGCTGATGAGTCTCACCTTCGCCAGGGATGCTGTAGTGCCTGCATTAATGGAGATCGAGACCCTGATAATCTCAAGAAGATAAAATTCTAAGAATTACGGTATGCGGGCTAAAATAATGCACTTTTAAGCACCGGCTGGTTTATCTACGGCCTCGGAGGCGCCTTTACGCCTCGCTTGAAAAAGAATTGGGATGTGGCTTCATCACTGAACGTCCATTTCCAATCAGAGATGTGCACAGAAAGCCAGATGGTTGAAGAAGGTTTCAAATTAAGTGAGAAGCATAGTGATAAATGAGCGCCGATTTCCCAAAGGGGGCAATGTTGAATGCTCCAAGGTCTAGCTGAAATCGTAGTTGGAATAGGAACCATGTTGGATGTAATCAACAACGGAACGCAAAAACACGAAAAGACAAGCCAAGTGTATTTCAACTGCCGGCTTGCAAATCTTCAACTAGACCTCAGTAGTCATCGCCGCGGCTGATAACTTCCTTGCTAGACTCTCCCAGCAAGATGGTCTGACAGAAAAGTAAGTACAATGGTTTTCACGTGGGTACAGAGATAGGAAAGGAACATACATGCTCAAATTGTGCCGAGTATGACCCCTCACTGTCCATCAGAGGAGGATAGATCTCGACGATCCCTTGGGAGGCAAGGTTGTTAATCTGCACAATCAGCACTAGTCCGAGTCTGACTTGAGAATATACTTACACCCGCCAAATAACTCCCTAGTGGGATACCAAGGCGATCAAGGTACCGACGACAAAAGACAAGCGAGCCAAAATGGTCATTGATAGTCTTATTGACTGACCTGGCCATGGCAAGAGGCGAGACGATATTCTTCGGCGCAAGTGGGTCTTTGCCGTACCCATAGACTCCGGGCTGAAACAAGTCAGTTCTTTTCCTAAATGCAGTAAGACAGGGGCTTGACACACTCCATCCATCAAACGACCCCGCCCGGTAGTACCGAACGTTTCGATGGCGAAGACTTCCCCCTCTTCCATCTTGGTCTGGTCCTTGTTCTTCACAAAGGGAATGGACTTGCCACCATGAATCTGATATTGCTTGATATCATGTCCGCTAAGTTCTCGAACTGCTTTTACGGGGAAAGTTTTGGCCCCGATTTCTACTTCGTAACTTTCCATTGCCTCCTGAATAGCAGCGCTGATATCGCAGATACGGACGTCGACTCCAGCATTCTAAGTGAGACGTTAGTGTGATCCATCAATCGAGAAATGGGCTTCTAGTCACCTTGATCCCGGTATTGGTTGCATCCTTCACTGCAGCAAGCAGGTTGTCATAGGTCGGATCCCATGACATAGTGAAGGCGCTATCGACAATCCAACCGTTGATATGGACGCCGAAGTCAACCTTCATCACATCGGTCGACTTCAAGACAACTTCCTTCTGGCCAGGATTAGGCGTGTAATGCGCCACACAGTTATTCAGGGAGAGTCCCGTAGGAAAACCCATTCCTGAAACAAGCCCGCTTCCAGGTTCAAGTCCCTGATTATCGAGCAGCGCTCTCACGCCATCTTCGATGTTCACGGCAATTTCTGTGAGGGTTGAACCGGGCCGAGCAGTCTCCTGTGTATATTTTCGGACCTGGCGATGAATCTCCGCTGCTTTGCGATAGTTGTTCAAGAATTTGTCGTCGTGAATTTGACGACGCGACTCGTATCGGTCTTCCTCGGCAGTCGTGCGGGCGGTGTTTTCGACCACTGATCCATACTCCTGAATCTCTCCGCTTGAGTATTGGCCTAGAGGGAAGATCCGGTCGAGAGGGATTCTTGGTGGCGACGTCTGTTGAACAGCTGAGGCCTTCTTTTTAGACTTCTTTCGCTTCTTCTTGGTAGAAGCGGCCGTAGAGTGCGGGTTTAGCGATACTTTGACTTCGCCAGCCGTATGGTCTCCGTCGGCATCTTCTCCCCCATCGTCATCTCCCAGACTACCATCTCCATCCCGGGAGAGATGAATTCCACGTGGTTCGCCGCCGACGCCGTTGGCATTGATTGAGCCGGACGGGTCATCTGCAAAGGGTAAGCGCAAGTTACGGCGGCGAAAGCTTAGTACGTACTGCCATTGGTATGGCTCTCGTGTTCAGGAGTCTTTGATCCCATTTCAACATCAAGCAGTAAGTTTTGTATACAGGATGTACTTTGTAAAGAAGAGGTGACGGAAAAGCAGTGTTTTCTCACGCGATCAAGGCGGTGTGCTTTATCTAGTGCTTATTTAGAACTTCTTTGATTCGGTTTTGGTTAGGTGACCGTCTTGGCATCGAAATGCCCTCTTCATATATTTCGGGTTAAGCTCAATTCAAGGCGACACGCTCTTGCAGGAACCTCAATTGAGAGCTCCATCTATAGATCTGTAGATCGACAGGACGTACGCGGGGAATCCGGCCGGGATATCCCCCACCGCCTGGCAGAAAGAAAAACCGTGGCGGGGCAGTCTTGGACTTCTTCAATTGCTTCAATAAATTCCATATACCCTAGACACCATGCCTTTGTCACATCTGCAGGGAGTCAAGCTCCCGGCTTCGGCCGATTTCCATGGTACGTCCGCGGTAACAGCTCGAAGACAGCAGAGAATGGCTCACTAACCGGAACAGTCCATCTTCGCGATGGCCCGATGATGGACCTGGTGACGCCCACTATTCGCCAGGGCGGCGTGAACACGGTATTTGTCATGGTAAGAAGATTGAAATAGACATCAATGCTCAGCTTTGTAACATGGTATCGCACAGCCCAACCTGGTCCCGCCTCTCACGACCGTCGACCGAGCCCTGGACTACCAGAAGCGCTTGCAGGCCATTGAGCCTAACGTGAACTACCTCATGTCGCTGTATCTGCACGAGTCGATTACTCCAGAGACAATCATTGACGCGAAGAAGCGCGGAATCACCGGTGTCAAGAGCTACCCGGCTGGTGTGACCACCAACTCGAGCTCGGGTGTCATTGACTACTCGTTGTTCTACCCGGTCTTCGCTGAGATGGAGCGCCAGAACATGATTCTGAACTTGCACGGCGAAATTCCCTCCAAGGGTGATGTCACGGTCCTTTCGGCCGAGGAGCGATTCCTTCCCACACTCCTGGAGCTCCACGCTCGATTCCCCAAGCTCCGTATCATCTTGGAACACTGCACCACCGCTGCCGCTATTGAGGCTGTGAAGAAGTGCGGTCCCACTGTTGCGGGTACCATCACTGCCCACCACTTGTCCATCATCATCGACTCGTGGGCTGGGGATCCCTTCTGTTTCTGCAAGCCCGTGGCCAAGACCCCCGCTGACCGCGATGCTTTGCTCAGGGCTGCAGCCTCCGGCAACCCCAAGTTCTTCTTTGGCTCAGACAGCGCCCCTCACCCGGCGGCCTCCAAGCGCGGTGGCGAGAAGATCGCTGCTGGGGTATTCACCCAGCCGTACACCACTCAGGTCGTGCTTGATTCTTTTGAACAGGCTATCGAGAACGGCGTCCTTAAGGACGAGGATATCACACCGGAGATCGTCGCAGGCTTCATGAGCAAGTTCGGACGGGCCTTCTATGAGATCGGTGAGGAGCAGAAGGAATTCATCACCCTCGAGAAGAAGGGCGAGAAGATCGTCGAGATTCTCAAGTCAGACCAGATCGATGTTGTTCCCTTCCGCAAGACCCAGGACACATGGAGTGTGACTTGGTCTTCATAGATTCCCAGTTTCAATGCAAATAAAAAGTTCAAGCCCTGTAAGACTGTTCACTTTCAAACCGGTGCATGGGCCTAAGAGAGTTTGGGTTCCTGTGTCAACATCTTGGTCACGTTTTCAAGCGCATGTGCCTCGGAGATTTCGATGCGACGACCTGCTACGACTGGGTTTCCATCATCACTCATCGCAAGCTGTCCAGCCCGTTCAAGGTGAAGTCTGATACGACTCTCAATATAAGCCTTCCGTTCATCACGCTTCGATTTGGCCTCCATTGCCTTCCCAGAGCCTTGCAGACTAGCCAACTTAGGTCGCAGGCCCTGCAGCGTTACCTGTAGCGCAGGAAGTTGCGAAAGGATGAAAGCCGTATTCGTCGTCAGGGGTGTATGTCGGACGTTGGCACCAGCATCCACGCCAACGCGAAGCTGACGCGCAGCCGGGCTAGATGTCAAGAAGGAGAGATCCAGCGGTCCCGCGGCCTTGGTCTCTGCGCTCTCTAGTTTGGCGGTCTCCACGGTCGACAGTATGGACTTTAGCTGAGATATAACCGCATTATTTCTGGCGCATTCATCTTTCAGCGATCGGTTGAGTTTGCGGGTTTCGAGCAGCTTCTCGCGCTGCGCGAGGATGGTATCGGGAGTGGGTGAGTTCGGCGAGGGGGTGAACGAGAGATCCTATGAAATGAAATTTTAGCCAATGGATTTCGTCGGGCGACCATTTTCACACACCTGGTAATGCTTGAGTCTAACCCACGGGAGCAGGTCTTCGGGTACAGTGAGAATGTTTCTCAGCACGTAAATTTCAAACTTGTCGAATGCCTTGTCGACATTGGCTTCCAGGAGTGTCTCCAATTGGTGCAAACCATTTTCCAACTCTAGCTTTGCTTCTGGGTAGAGAACATTGCCATCTTCGTCGGTTTCGGGAATAGTAGAACCGTTGTTGGCGTGCGCGAAGCCTAAGCGCTCGGGTGGAGTGGCGATTAAACTAGTCTCCAGGCCGGAGATAGCCTGATATATCAAATTGTTGATCGAATTGATAATATCATCTATGAGAGACTGGGACAGGTCAGTCGACTTGTCAACTCTAGCACGCATGCATCACGCGCAACGAGGGGCACAACGGACGTGTTGGGCCCGGACTCAAACACGTACCAGCGGGGTGTAGCTAAAGTGCTCAGTGAGCAAAGAAGTCGTCGCATCGTTCATGGCGAAATCGAAGCGCAGAGACCTGGCGGATCGAAGATGGAGGGACGCGTGGGAGAAGGAAAAGACGCGCGGGATGGGAACAGACCGCCTTTACCCTCGCCTTCAATTGGCGACAGACATGCAACATTCCTGCAGTCAAAGGTTCAATTCATTGGAGAATTGAAATTAGCAATCTTGTTTTGCGTTGACCTTACTGCACAGGTGCCTGATGGGTCGTGCAAAGGTTTCAAAACTGGCCAAAACATCCACATCGTCGGTCCCAGACGTAGCATGTCCCGGATAGAACTGGATGGCATCAAATAGGATTCGAGGCTAATATGCATCTCAGACGACCCGTCAGATCCATTTCAGACCAGACGCCGAGTCTACAGCTTGGTCCTACTGCTGGCGCGAAGCTGACTTGAAAAGCCTGGGCATCTGCCGTATAGAGCTTGCTGACTTCCATGGTTCTCTTGAGTCCCCCTGATATCGTTCCTGTCAATACATCGATTATGCTGAGCCTTTCTATTCAATCATTCGACTGAACCCTCCTAGATCGCGATGGCGCACCCAGCTCCACTTCGAGTCTTAGCAATAGTCTCGCAACGAAGTTCCCTATTTGCCACAGCTCGCGACAGCCCCGAGGAACTGATTCCGTTAGCCACTCGGCTGCTCAGAAGGAATTCCTTCCTGAGAATGTCCGACCCCAAAGATACAAGACTGCTTGCCGTCCAAAAATGGAGAACTCGCATCTTCCTCGTCTTTGACATCGCCAACACCGACTACGACGCAAGGCAGGGACATCTCCCTGAACACAATCAACTCCCCGTGGTCGTCACACACTTCAGCAAGAAAAAGAGCGCATATGCGGCCAATCAATGGGTAGCACGGAGGGTCAACCATGATATCGCGATGCTTCACAATGCCAACGGTTTCAACTCTGTGCCGCCGTTCATAGAGGACCACAGCCTGGGCAAACCCCCTGCATATCACAGTCCTCGAGACATCTCCATGTTACGGGTCACGTACATCTAAAGGGCAGGTCGAATGAATCATCGTGCTAGAGTACTTGGTATCTCGGACACACAATTCAAAAATGATCCCAACGCCTTGTCGCTCTCGTGCAGTCTTCATCAGAAGTCCATAATTCTGTAGATCAAAAATCCATCGTAAGCTGCGGGGCCATTTTCTCCAGGTCCTCAACCTATCGCAAAGATTAGCATGTCAACCTAAGCAGCTCAATAATCGACATACCTCAAGAAACCCGTCGCCGATACTCCTCGCACCCCCAGCACCGTCCGTTTCTGCACGTTCGTACGCAGCACGAGCAATAGCCTCTCTCACGAAGACATCAACGTACTTGGCCACGACCTCATTGGCATCCTTCGCGATCTTAGTCTTTTCGTTCTGGAAGTGGTGATGCAGTAGCCGAGTAAGCAACTTCGGTGGGATCTTGGGATCGCTCGAAGCCACGTCATCAGTCGAATTATTTGTGATGATTTCCGCAAGCATATAATCCGGTTCTTGGGAGAGCGATCGTTCGCGACTGCGGCCTGATGCATCGGAGTCAGGCTCGGATACCCTGTCAGAGGCTGAAGCTTCAGCGATAGGTGATTGGGCGCGTGGTCGTTTGGATGAGAATGTAGATTTGGACGCTGATGCTGAAGAGGTAGCCTTGGGTATGTTCTGTTTGGCTTTGCCTTTGGCTTTGGGGGCTGGTTTGGATGCGGAGGATGATGGCCCCGCACTTGTGGATGGGGTGCGACTTGGTGGCTTGAATGGCAGGCGACGCTTCTTCGCTGGCTGAGGTTCACCAGCCATCGTGTCGATGGGGAAGTTTTTGGTAGTTGATGCGTTAGGCTGTCATCGCCTATCGCTACGCGGATCGCGACGCGTTATCAGGTGATCCAGGTTGTTCACTCCATGTCCATCGCAACTAGGTATGAACATGGGAATTATTGCTATTTACTACTCTTTGAGTGTAATCAATAAATTCATATCCTTGCCGCTTTGGATTTGAGGTACTACTATATAAGCGTTCGGTCAAAATTTACGTGTTGTTGTAAATTGGAGTCTTCAGCGCGGAAATATATCTCAAAATGAGAAGTTGTTGAGCCAAGTTGCTTCTTACACAATCTTATATACGCAGCCGAGAACGGGTGGACGGCTCAACAACAGTGGTTTTCCCTTGAAAGGCGAAGTAGCTAAGAGTCGTTCTTCCCATCGGTCTCTTTGGTAGCATCAGCTGGATACACGACCTTCAGATCCAAACCGACATTCTCCACCAAACCACGCGTCTTCCCCCAAGGAACCCCGAACAGACCAGAGTTGAACCGGCAGGACCAGAGTTCCCCTGGTTGAAGATTTTGGCTGTCCCGAAGATCAATGTGCAGAGAATCAAGCTGACTCTTCAAATCATGGAGCGCTGCATGGGTACTGTTGTGGATCATCTCTGGTGAGTCGACTCGCTTGCCATAACCACGCGAAGTAAAAAGGCACACGATCCAGTGGGCTTTACGACCGCCCCTGCCATCGCTTGGTTGCGGTGGAATGATAAGAGCCGTGCCGAGTGGGAGCCGCACTGTGATTGTACTCTCGTCTTCAGCCTGAAGGTTGGGGATAGAGTGATTGGTGACCCCATAACGATATGTTTGACAGTGATTGCGGTAGTAGCGGTATGCGGCAGGGTACTAGTCGAGCTGTGTTAGCTGTGCGGCTTGATGTATGGGGTAGGATGAAGTTGAGCCTGTATCTAACGACAAGCGCACCTTTTGCTTGAACACCTTGGCAATACCTGCGCCCCAAGAACCATGAGAATTGCATGCATCTGGCAGAGGGTCTATGAGTTACGTGGGTTTCAATATCAGGAAGGTTGCGCACGAATAAGGGCCGAGCCTTCAGGAGCATCGAAGAGATCACCCGGTGTCTCGGTCACCCCACGCCTGGTGATAGAGACAGGCATTAGGATATCAAGTAAACAGAATGACGATGTGAGGTGGCTCATAAGAGAAAAATCATATAACGATCGCGAATTCCTGACGAAGGCGGGGAGGACGGGGAGGACCGAGTGAGGATGAAGTTCGCATATTAGGATTCAGGAGAGGATCTCGTATGCAAGTCCGGGAGAATACTCCTCAATGAGAAACTGGAATTCTTGAATCATTTCTTGGCGAAGAGATATACATACAAAGCCCATCAGGATTCCTTAATTCAAGCTCGTCACAACATAAGAATAGGGGGACAGAGTCTATGCTCTGCTAAAACGCCCTACGAACCACCATTCTCGGTTTCGGTGATGGTGGCAGCGGCACCATTCTCGATTGACCTTGCTTCTAGTACGACATCTTCCCTGGCCTCCCCTTTCTTACTCTTCTTCTCCTGAGCCTCCGTTGCCTCCTTGTCCTCAACTTCCATCGTCATCTTGTCCTTCAGCAGTTGGAAGATGCGCTTTCGGAACCCACCTTCTTTGCCCGTCGTCCCCAACTCTTTCTCACGAGGAGATGCTGGTCTTTCGCATGGTGTGTGTGGTGATGGCGAAGCGGTGATGGCAGCAGATGGCTGGGAAACCGAAGCACTCTGCCCACTGTGATTCTTCAAACGCCGACTCATACCCGAGAGATAGACTTGAAAATACTAGGACTATCCTCGTTGCGTTCAATCATCGAGATCTCGTTTCGAATTGTCGTACCGTTTGTCGCAAGGTTTTCTTCTCTAACGGGGATGAAGATGGTGACGCCGAGGTTGGGTGGAATGCCTAGCAGCTCTTCGAGGGTATTCTGGATAAGCGCTGTGCTGCGAACATTTGTGACAGGCGCGATCATCGAAGGAAGAGCGTATATCGTTAGCAAGTAGGCCGAGAGAGTATTGTTGCTGCCAAACAGCACACAGGTATCTTGCTGAATAGTGACCATGATAGAATTTCCCGGACGCTGGTAGACTAGAGAAAGATGACTGAGAAAGTCTCTAGCAAGTTTTGATCGCTCATACTTGACCTGCAACAGCAATCAGCATCTTCATCGCTTAGTCAAGGACAGAATGTGTACCGCGTGACTGGTCTTAAGTTCAGCGACCAGGACAGAGTCCTGATAGATACGCTCCCGAGGAGGATCAGAAGAGTCACGACCACCAAAGAACTCTTCATAGTACTGTTGGGGTCTCTTTTTGACCATCTGTTCTTCTGCAACATTCTTCTCGGTCACATAAAAGGCCTTATCGGGATCATAGCGAGCTTTCGGAAGCAGGTTTTCTTCGTTGGTAACCTCCTTGAAAATCAGACTCGGCACAGTCCCAATTCTTCGCACATTTGTCTCTGAAATCTCTGGAATAGGCACTGGCGCCAGAGGGAGCGTCAGCGTGGCTGGACGCGGCGGAAGACGGTGTGGAGGCAAGATGTCCGTCTCCAGACGAGGAAGTGAGGGTCTCTTGGACTTAAATGGATCCATCATGAAGCCTGTGAGATGGAGTTTATGAATGTGATGAATAAAAAAGAGAAAACATGGAATGACGAGAGAGACTAAGGGAAACAGAAAGAGAGAACTAAGTTGGGAAATCAGGAAGCTGGGAAAGTGCGACCAACTTCACATCAAGCACATCACATATCACCAACAGCACCAACGTCGCTCTGAACATCTTACATCAAGAACGCCAGCTCGCTGAACGCTGAATTTCCACTCATGAAGATCTTATCAATGCGTCTTCTTCGATCCCATACGATCCCTCCACCGACCCGCTGAATGTATAGGATGCGATGCTGTGGAATGAACTCTTCGTCTGTCGAATCCTTCTTCCAGTTGTCCATGTTGATCTCTAACTGTCCTTCAAATCGATCCACGAAGCCAATAATGTATTCGCTGCGCTTGAACTCCGGGTCCCAGGTGATGCGATTAATGATATCTGGACCGTTACTTCTGTAGACTTTGTTTCGCAATGAAGGATGATCTACTAACCTCCCGCCGGTCGCAATTTGTTCTCGCCAGCCCTGGGATTTGGCGGAGAAGGACTTCTGCGCAAGCGTTGTGATTCCAATTTGTATGACGGGCTAGGCGATCCTGATCGATCTGCCTTTGGTTCGTCATGGATCTCCACAGCCACAGACTCAGTTTGAGGAGCGCCAGTCGCCATGAATGCTCCGGGTACAAGGCTTTGGTGGAAGGAAAATGATAACAGACATCTTATGATCCGAGAAAGATGAGATTTTATAGCTCGCGAAGTACATATGTTACCTCGAGCAACCATAAGAGCTCCGAACTCATAGCAGGATAGCCGATCAGCCTTGACGCTGACACAAGATCCGAAACACGAGCCTCATTCTTTGTATGACTCAATTAGAGTCACGACTTGTCGATCGTGACTGGTGGTTGTACCATGAGTCAGGTCTCCGAGTCAGCTCCAGCCTAAGTGCAACAAGGTCAACGTCTCGACCGGAAGTTGTATCTTTACATCCTATCCTGAGATTGCGAATTTCTTGGCTTGTTCCCATGTCACGATCTTCAAATTAACCCTTTGCGATGCTTCTTGCATTAAACCAAAGTAGGCAATCTTGATGCCTTAATGCCTTGAAACGCGCTTTGGGGCCAAAAAGAACTTGGGCTAATATTCAATTTGGCCGACATGTCGAAGAAGTACAGAAAAAGCTAAAGCCCAGGGCTAGCTCTCAATTATTTACAAATGCAAAAATTTAACTCCGATAGGGGGAATCGAACCCCCGGCTGCCGTGTGAGAGACGGCGATGTTAGCCACTACACCATATCGGACTTGATGAGAGTTTGCCTCATTTTTGCTTACATGAAGCTAAACGATCCACACTCTCACCAATACGTCGACAACACTTGGAACATGGTTCACTGGACCACAAGTTTCGAGTAGAGCTCCTTTATGACTTCAGTCAAGTAGTTTGAGGGGCATCGGCCAATTTGTGCCTTACCTTGTCGTAGGATATTTTCCACTGATGCATTTGGATATTCTGTATCACACTGCTACGGTCGAATCATCTTCGGTCTAGCGCGGTTTGTCCTTGCACACAGCGGCAAGTTTTGACGGTATGCAGGCCGACCGGAAAAATATTCTACATTTCCCCGGGTGAGCAGTCACTCTCTGTCTTTCAAGTCAACCTACGAAGGTGTTTGATGATATATTTTGAAAGGCATAAGAAAGCGTCTAGAAAGCCCCTGGAGAAAAAATTCAAGAAAAAGTTGAGAAAGGGCATGTGAATTGAGAGAACAAAGTCTTTAAATCCCCACGAGAATGTCTCCTCAGCCAGGTAGTTGACAGGTACAGGGTCTGACCAAATTCCATGAACAGCGTATTTAGAATCAAAAGCGCCGATATCCAACATCTTTGACAAAATTTGGTGCCAGAGTCCCTGCAACTTGACCTCGGTAAGCTTGTCATAAAACTTTGCGTGGACCTCCCCATCAAGGCCGGCGTATAGAGGCGACGTATAGAGGCGACCCATCAAATTTTCGCTGACCGGCGCACTAGAACCTACATCTGTCAGCAAATACCAATTTGAAGATTGTATGTCAGGTGAAGTGAACACATACTTGAAACCGCGGAAGATGTCATAGTAAGACATTCAATGATATATGCTGGGGCCGCTTTCCCAACCCCCAGACCTAGCAGCCCCGGAAAGACTATCGTACTCAATATGTTGCCGGTGTAGATGAAAGTCCTCGACGCCTTGATTGGAAAGCTCGGCAAAGCCCTTTGCGGCCTCCTGCGCAGCAGGATAAACGCTAATTGTGTTGAAATACCTTGAGATATTTTCACCTGTGCAAAGATAGAGGGCACAGAAGTAGGCTCAGATAAGTCACACGCAATGTGCAATTGATTCTGACTGCTGTCTTTTTCCTTGGCTGTCCGCGAGGCTAGGGCAACCTTATAGCCCTTGGCTGCAAATGTTTTGGCCACGCTCGGCCCCACGTTAGATCCTGCTCCAAGGATTAGAAGGACGGGAGATACTGTAGACATGGCTCTGAATGTATCAGGTGAATATAAGAAGAATCTTCTGATTCTGTTATTTTTACTTCCTATTTGTTCCTTCTTATAAAGCTCTATCCTAGTAATCTCGGCGTCAATAGGCACTAGGCCTCATAGTCAGCACTAGAGTGTTATGCATTCATAATTATTGACCCCTCGGGGCCAATGTTAGCCCGATGCTTTGTACTTCTAGATATGACACAATTTTTCAACGTTGAGTTGTATCTGGTCACTGAGAAAATTGCCAGAGAGGCAGAGGGCACTGTGGCTGTTGACTTCAGATAGTTCAAATATGTTTATGCCTTCCTTGAATCCCCACCCCTTCCATTTCCCGTCATCCGAAAATCCATTCTTTCGAACCTATATTGCCCGGCTGCGAGGAAATGTAAAGTACTATGTCGGGTCGTGTATCGTCCTCGCTTCAGCGCCATGGGCAGCTGTTAGCCAGCTAGGTATATGCTGGACAAACTCTCGGGTGCGATATTTTGTACCAATTGCCAGGGTCTCGTCAACACGGACGCTGCTCGAACTCTATGGGACACGAGCGATCCCAGGAGGATTTTGCAAATGCTCGGGGTAATGAACATAGTAATATAGGCGTAAAATTCAGGTCAACGCGCCTCGCCTTGCGCAAGCCACGATCACGCGCCTGCCCAACTCAGACCCGCTGTAGACCCCTTTGGAGCTCGAGACGTGACTTAATAATAGACTACATTCAGGCTCAGAGCCTTCATATCCTCGTGTAGGGTATAGGACATCGGCATCAGCTCCGCAAATGTCCGCCAGAGCATCTCTAAGGGCTCCGCATCCCATGAGCACCTGGGTGCTTAAAGGTACGAAGATTATGATCGGACAACCTACAAGTGGCGCACGTTACCGGCGGACGAACAACCTGTTCATGCGGCTGAGTTCTCGCTTGTGTCGATATTTCAAGCTGCATCAGCTGTTCAAATCTTTTTTGTTCTCTGATGTGCCAGTAATAATACTTCTACTATGATTCTATGAACTCCCCTCTGCTCGGAAGAGGATAGGTACTAATGATATGATCTCTGGAAGCGTGAAATGCACATTTTTGTGTTCCACCCGCCTTGTGGAAGCGTCTCTCAGTCTAGCCCTTTCTTTCTGCTTCCATTAATTTCTTGGGAAGTTACTGAACCTGACCCCCTGCTTTCTATATCCGTGCCTTTATTGTCTCTGCCCTTTCCCTTGCTGTCATTGAGTGCAAGCGACAGGTCACGACTGTACACTGCGCGAAGTCCTTTGAATCCTTTGAAATCTCGGATCATTTCTTCCATTGAATGGCATGGAAAGGGGCGTAATCTCGTGAAAACTGTATATGACAAGGTGCTTGGGTCCTATGGACATATTGGTATAAGATTGTATTCCGCGAGTCCTCTTCTCCAAAAATTGTAGAGCCAATGGTGTAGATAGTTCCTGCAAGCAGTTTTGTCTTTCTTTGGCGAAAGAATTGCCCTTCCTTTCGGGAATGCCATGTAGGTTCACTGCAAATAGTGAAAAATATAGAGCATTGCGGGAGGCCTTGCTGGTTACATAGCCAATGATGAAAATACCCTGCTTTTTAAATGGAAGTTTCTAAAAAGCCGTTTATCTTGATGACCAATGTCGGTTATTAAAATTACGGTTGCACGCAATGAATGAGAACAAAGGAGTGGCAGATTCGGTTGAGCTTATATTGACCGGGCCATAATTCGTGAGAAATCAAACCTCCGAATTATTCCTTCCACATTTTTTCTTTCTCGCCTGTCTTTCAACAGATCGTGACACACACGGAACTGGATCTTCTCATTTCTCCTGGTGGGCAACGAGGGTTGAATCCAAGATTGCCATGACCAAGACCTCTGGCCCAGCTAGCTTCCTCTGGATTCCACAATAGACTGGGTTGACTGTGAACTTGAAAATCGAGGCCACAAAAAGAAAAAGAAAATGGATTGCATCAACGGGGAGTCGAACCCCGTGCTAGCGCTGTCACGAAATGGAAGGCGCTAATGTTACCGGTACACCATTGATGCTTATTAATGAAAAAGGCTTCCAGATATACGTTATCTAATGATTATCACTTATTGCCCTTTAGAGCGATTGCGTCGAAATCGAGACAATCTTCCACAAAACTTTAATGTAGAAGCCTAAGTCTAGTCTATTGATATGAGCCAAGGCAGTGTAAATAACTCGGAGAGTCGGGGAAATTGGGAGTTAATAATGAGATGTAGAAAATGAGCAGGCCCGGAGTCAAGACCGGAAAGCGAAGAAAAAGGTACCAAAAAAAGCAAAAAGATTTGCATCAACGGGGAGTCGAACCCCGTGCTAGCGCTGTCACAGAATGGAAGGCGCTAATGTTACCGGTACACCATTGATGCTTGCTTATGGCATAACTCTTAACTTCAATTTTATTAAGTAAACTAACTTTTACTCTTTTGAGCGATCGCATGTGAAAAGCAAGAGAAATGCTCGACCACATAATAGAACACCCACTTCAATTGCCTTGAGAGATAAAAGCTGTTGATAAAACGATGAAAACGTTCAAGCAAAGCAGGGAGAAATGAGCAGCCGATGAACTCGGTAGGAAGGGAGAAGACAAGAGTTCTGAACAAAATAGCAACAAATAAACATGTTCCACTATTTCACTAACACCACCTCTTCCCTGCCAGGCTCAACCCCCATTTCACATGCGATAAATTGTGACTTTTTAACTCGCCAGCAATCAGTTATTTACAAATCTACATGCGACCCGAGGCGCTTTATCTACATGAAAAGTCCTAGATAGGTTGGACAGCTGTGCTCTCGACTACATATACAATCTTGTCACTATTCATTTTCCTTGGTATTCTTGTGGTCTACATAGGTATGCACTTATATAAAAGCGATTGGATCACATAAAGATAGAGATCTCGTTTGAAAGATTGAACCACCAGCCAGCCCTATGCAGAAATTCAGGCTAAATCGAAGACCGTATCTGAAGGATTTAGGGACTGATGGGGAAGGGCAGTGACGATGAAAGGTTGTAATACGTCACAAAAATGCTGATAGGAAGCTACAAGCTTCTTGGGTCCGAAGTTGCCACAAGACATGTGTCTTTACTTCTAAGGGTCACTCAAAATGAGGGGCAGGACTATGATCTTGGCGGACCTAAAAAGAATGCATCAACGGGGAGTCGAACCCCGTGCTAGCGCTATCATAGAATGGAAGGCGCTAATGTTACCGGTACACCATTGATGCAGTAGGTGAGTAATAATCTGCATTTTTCAGTATATGAATCAAGCTTTGGATGCCTCACTTTATCTTGTCTTCCTGAGATCTTGCCTTACTGGGGATTTTATACATGCAAGACACTCGTATAGTCTAGCCTGCGAGCTCTAAATATCAGTGATACTTTGATCACCGATACATATCACAAAACGCTCGCTTATTGAGATTTTAGAGCATTCCCCCCAAATGGTAATCATCATCTACTAGCGCTTAGTAAGTTCACCATGATCTCAGCTAAGAAAGTTCAGACTATCAAGAATTAGATTCCCGGCTGGATCGCGACTCGGAGAGCTCGGCAGGTGTTTATACGTTCATTCTTGGCGACAAGGCCTCGGAGGACATTGTTATCCAGAGTGTAATTGAAGTCTACCTGATAATAACGAGCTACCTCTTCAAACATCCCAAGATTCACAATAAAATGCTGCCATAGGAGCTAACAGCGGGTGCTTTATTTTGTCCATGGCCCGGGCATATCTAACGGGCTACGACTTCGATTGAGTTCAGTCCATTCGCGGTGTATGCACTTCCCCTCACATGAACTTCATTGGAAGCTCTTTAGCTGCAGTCAATACTTTTCCTCTCCCCACTGATCATGTTCCGCAGCTCCATTGGTGATCAAGGCGAGGAAAATGGGAAGACCAATTTACTGCATACTAAGGTACTGCTGCTGGATGTGTGGAGAGTCTTGAATGAAGCCCCTGTGTCTATGTATCTGAGCCGGCTACTGTTTATCGCCTAGGCCCGGAAGAGATGCCAGAAGCCAGATAAGCTCTTACAGTAAGTCATAATCTGACTATTGCATAAGATACCTAGGTAGGTATATGTGCGGCGAATCAAAATTTCCCGACAGTATCATTCTGATGTGCTTCACATTGCAGTGCTGCTCAAATAAGTATCACTAGGTCAAAGGCCTCAATAATCTCTGAGTCTTGCCACATATAACGTGATATCAAAATTCGCCTCAGTACTATCAGATATCTTGTCTACATCCACCGGACGTATATTAGGTCCGAATTAGTTGGTCTACTGGCTACCTTCAAGATCGGACGAGCTATTAACATTTGATAACGATAAAACATTCGATATCGATAATGATTCTAATATATTAAGCTTGAATATGATACTATGAAGCCTCCACTAGGACCTATTAGGGCAATCACTCTCCATACTATGTGAATCTGCAACGCCTGATACGGGAGATAGTGAATCCATATAGCTCCTTCCGTCTATAGAATTTGCATCAAGCGATGCCGATTGGTATCTATAGGGCATTGAAATAGCCTTCTTCTATATTCTCTTCCATGAACAGAAATGAAGAGCCGAAGAGGAAAGATGGTATTAGGAGAATGAAAGAGGATGGCGAACGCATTAATGTTACTTTTCTGATTGGGGCCGATTTTTAGAGGACATCCTTCTGCTCCGTTTTTGTACATATCTGAAATACTCCTTCCTTTGCCGAACTCTGTGTCTTCTACACTATATCTAGGATGAGGGATATGACCACTCAAGAAGCGTAGTGTTAAATAAAATGGGTATATAGGTTATAGGGACATCAATTCCAGCACATACGACCATAGGGTGTGGAGAACAGGGCTTCCCGTCCGCTCAGCCGTACTTAAGCCACACGCCGGCAGGTTAGTAGTTGGGTGGGTGACCACCAGCGAATCCCTGCTGTTGTATGTTTTTGTCTCTTCCCCGTATTCTTTTCATATTTCATGTTATATAATTATTTTTTTGACATTGACCTTATGATCCGGGGATTCTAGATCACCGCCGTAAATTCCTTCTAACCTTTCCTCTCATTTTGAGTAAATATAATCCAAAGTCAAGTTGAGTCTTTCGAGAGAACCTATGTCTTTATTTAAGCTATGATACCCCACAGAATAACGAATCTAAGGTATGAGATATCCGAACGGAGGTTGGGTCTGCTCTTGCGACTAGGGTGGTTTTCAGTCCCTATCACACTAGAAGCGAGGCTTAGGGTTGGGTTATCAGTAGTAGTGACAGATTTGTAGTTGTCTTGAATCATGAGTTCCCTTATGTTTCTGCGACAAAAATGAAAATAGGCCGAACGACTCCGAAGTGGTCATATTTCCAAAGAGGAAAGAAAGATAGAAAAGAACATAGAGAAGAAAAAAACATACAACAGCAGGGATTCGCTGGTGGTCACCCACCCAACTACTAACCTGCCGGCGTGTGGCTTAAGTACGGCTGAGCGGACGGGAAGCCCTGTTCTCCACACCCTATGGTCGTATGTACCATGTTTCGCTGACTAGAAAAATATAATCCTATTGCGACTCAAGAATTGAGTAGAGAAGGACATATGTTTTTATGATTGAGTACGTACTTTGCTTGTTGAACCATTCTTGGACCCCGTATTTTTAGCTGGATCTAAAGGGATCGTTCCATAAAAATCGCTTTCAGGTAATCTTGTACCACGATCGGCCTTCCACAGCGGTACTCAACAGTAAAAGTACATGCCATACGGATTTCTGAACGCATTAGTCTATATCTACTTCGCCTCTAATGTCTGCGGTTCCGATGAAACATCTCCTCCGCAGGTTCATCGACTGCTACTTTCGCGTTATAGTTATGTGGGAAGTGAATGCAGAAGTCCTGCACGTCGAGGCTGCTCTTCATATGACCTAACATTATTCAATTTCCACCGCAGAAAGTCAGGTTATAGATTCAAGGCTCTGCGGCCATCCAAACTCCAAAGGTATGTTGCATGACAGAACAATTCCAGCCCCTACCTTAGACATGTTGTTCTGTCAAACACCAGGCTTTCAACACTCTCTAGTCAGGGAGCGCGACGGTCCACCCAAAAATCCGCCCCCGAGACGCCCTCGTGGCTCAGCAGGCTCGGTTCACCGGACACCCTCATTTTTGAATTGCTTATGAATGCCTAGATGGGTTTTTGACAGGTCCGAAGAAAGATCTGCTCTAGCCGTACCCCACAGTAGCACTGAAGTTCTCTCAAATAATCAATATGAAGTCAAATAGCACGCGGCAGTGAATGATCTTCGGAATGAGATCAAGTATGGCGTAATCTGCGAGCGCACCTTGCAACTAAACGGCTAACACAAGCTCGGAAGGGTACAGTGGTATGAAGATCCTGAATTGCTCCAAATACTTCAATTCATTAGTGCGCTATGGATATCAAATAATCTATGGTCATAAAGTGAGGTTTTCTATACATCCTCCAGGTCTAACTCCGTGCAATCAACACCCACAAGCAAATCATACGAATCCACTCTTCCATTCATCCACTCACAAGACGATCGGGAGTGAGAGTGGCAGACGTATCAGTTCCATCAACAAGTGTTGCCGTCCCGGAAGAAGGGGTGTTGATATCAACGAGGGGTTCCTTCTCTTCCTTGGCATCCTTCGCGACAGTGGTCTTGCCCTTGGCAGTAAGCGCACCTGATTCCATAGCTTCCTCGGGCAATGGCCGAATATGAGGCTGGCAGATCCACCAAGGTCGGCCATACTCGGCAATAGTGGCCTTTGATCCCGTCAAGGTCTCATCAGACTTCTTCTCAAACTTCTCTGGAGAAGATTCATACTCCTTCAGTCCTGATTGGACCGCACGCTCAACCAAAGCCAATACATTTTCAAAGGCGGCCATATCGCCAGGCCGCGACTGGGCCAAAGCATCTCGAACATTCGTGTGGCTCGCGACCATCGGCCGAAGCACCTGGAACAAGTGTCCCTGCATAACACCCAGGCTGGGAGAATGGGGCTTTTTGATCTTTTCCCGCTTCTGCTTCTTCTTGGGCGGGCCACTTTCGGGCTCTTCAGGCTCTGTGATTTCTTCCGCGTCGTCCACAGGGTCGGATGGGAGGAAGAGAGGCTTTCGTTCTGGCGCTGGCTGCTCGAGGACGTATTTGTAGATGATGTCAAAGTAGCGTCGGAGGATCGCATCGATACGGTAACCGCCCTTCCCATCGCGTCCTCGCCAGTACTCACGCCCTTCACTTCCGACCGGAGGTGGCTTGCTAAAGATAGTTGGGTCGGATAAATTACCCTCGGCGCTCATCACACCATCTGCACCGGTTGCCTCGAGACACTTCTCAAGGTCTTCATAGTTCAGAATATTGCCATTGGCAAAAATGACGGTCTCCGGTGGAAGGTTATCGCGCAAATAACGAATATAGCTCCAATCCGCCAACCCAGTTTCATGGCCCTTCTGCTCTCGTCTGCGCCCGTGTACAGTGATGATATTTGCGCCGGCGGAAAGAATCATTTTCGCATATTCCAAGGTCTTTTCCTTGGTCTCCTGAATGCGAAATTTGGCAGTAATCGGAACAGAAAGTTCAGTGTGAAGCCGGTTAATCAACTTGTATATCAAGTCCCAGTCCTCCTGGAGGAAAGCTCCGTAGTGACCCTTTCTCGCAATGCCTTGCGGACAACCGAGGTTCAAATCAACGGCATCACAATAAGGTGCGACATGGCGCGCCGCCTCCAGGAACTCGGTCGGATCATTTGCGCAGAATTGCACGAAGAGCGGGCGGTCGAATTTCGGGTTTCCGTCGAGAAAGAGTTCGTCCTTGTTGGCCATATCACCGATGGCTTCGCGAGTCGGTTGAAAGTGTTGCACACGCATGCGTGGCATTTCACCGAACAGTCGTGCATGGTACATTGGGGAATATGCGAGAAGAGATTTCTGTTCGTCTGGAGTCATGAAGGATCGAGTGAGCATGCGCCATGCCTAGCGGAGAAGGTTGTTAGTATGCAAAGAGTACGCTAAATATGAAATCCGGTCAACTCACAAATTCCGAACGATCAACCATGGGAGCCACGATATACTTGGGACTTCCTATGCTCTCATAGAATTGTCGGCCCTTTAATTTCGGAGATACCGCGGAGATGTTTTCGCCGCCATTTGGCGGCGCGGTGTCGGAGGCCATACTGAAGGAGAAACGCGGGATATTCGGGGGGAAACGCCGCAAATGCGGGAATAATCGCTGTATGAGACCTATTTTGGCTGCTGCAGTCGAAATGCAGAATTGCAGATTTGTCTGGGGAAAGACCGCGGAGAGCTTATAGACAGACTATCGAGACTTTTTTCGACTCGCGCCTTATCACGGAGCGGAATAACAGTTATTGCGATATCTTATCATAAGTAGGAGACGCGATGGGCAATTGTTTGAACGAAACAAGATTGGAAATGGACGTCTCATATCTTGTGAGATACAGCATGCTAATCAAGGTTTTCTGCTCATAGATTCAAAGAAACACGAGCAATATTACAACAAGACGGCGCAAAGTCGTAGACGGTGATAGTAATTACGTAATCAGAAATGGACCCGGACGTAGTTGAATCGAGTAGAGATCGTGTGGAAACAACATTCGAGGATGACCCGAATCCGGTAGCGTGAAGGCTTGAGGCTTGAGGTCATGACCTCGGACTGAATGCAAATCGATCTCTGTGAAATATACCTACCAGAACTTCATCTCCCACCTGGGCATTCCGCCACGCGCGCCTTCATTGTTGACAACCCATAAAAAGCATCAACAATGGATTCCTCGACTGGATCCCTCCGTTAGTGCCTCCATTACCCTACCTGAACCAAAATTGACAGTACAACAGGTTCAATGGAGCTGCGAGTGTCAGACGATGGTCTTTATGCTGCGCACATGCGTGGGAAAGACCTCGCAGTTTTCTGGAAGCTTGCAGCAGAGCGAAAAGAGATAGATCTCGAAAGACTCAAATCAAATGGAACAAAGTCCATAAAATTCGCACCCACTCAAACATATGACCCGGATGGGCCCTTCTCCACCAAGGATCGGCGTCTTCTTACCCATCAAGGCTTGTCTGTCGCTATCTGGAAGTTCCACCCTCTTGAGCAGCTCGCGGAGATCCAAAACATCGAGCCCGAGTCATTGTACGTGGATTTTGGTGGCAACGAGAATGAGGTCCTTGTGTTCCATAACTGGAACACAAAGTTGACAATCTATTCACTGAGCGCGGAGCGAAGCACGGTGATTAAATCGCCGAAATTGGCACATTCCCTTGGATATGGCTATCGCCCGAAGACTAGACAACTCGCCATTCTCTTGAAGCCTGAAACCACCGATATACTCACAGTTCATGAGTCCCAGTCATACGAACTCGTCAATCGGACAGTCCTGACAACCATTGATGCACAAGGCTTGAAATGGAGTCCAGACGGAAAGTGGATTGCTGTCTGGGATGTCGCTAGTGCCGGCACCAAGGTGCTGATCTTTACGGCTGATGGCCAACTCTTCAGAACATACTCCAATGCATCGGGATCAGAAGATGAGAATGATACCGGTGTGAGACAAATTGAATGGAGTCCGGCCACAAGCCACAACCGAACTTCGCAAGTTCTTGCTGTGAGCAAAGTCAACGGCAACATTGAATTACTGCGCACTCGTACTGTGCGTATATCAAGAAAACGAAACGCGATGTATCGGACTAACGAGAATAGTTCTCATCCTCTACAATCCTGTCGCACGTCTTCCAGGTCGACTCGACTACCCCCAGGATTTGGCGGGAACGCTCGATTAACGCCTTAGGCGATGCAGAATACACCGAAACCTCCAGCTCGTCTGCCTTCAACATGAGTTCCGATTCATCAGCAGGTACACCACGTAGCGCGTCCATTATGGCGTTCAGTGCCGATGGAACCCTTTTAGCAACAGTTGATCCCACCAAATCAAATGTGGTCTGGATATGGTCCATGGAGGGTACGCCGGCACTGACATCTGCTCTGGTCCACGAACAACCGGTGCGACAGCTCGCTTGGAACCCCTCGACATCACAGTTACTGATCAATATCGTTACGAATAATCTGCCTTCTGTGCGATACTGGTCGCCACAAAGTCAACCGATGATCGCTAAAGTTCCTATCAAGAAATCTGATAGTGGCCGGTATGAGGTTAAATGGTTGACAGTGCCTGACCGGAGGTTTTTGTTGGAACCTTCTTCAGACTATATCCACGACTCGCCATTTTGGTTTGGATCTAGTGAAGAATGGGTGGTGGGGTATCTGTCCGAGGAGGGTGGCAGAGCGTACTTTAAAGTGATCAACTCCATTGTCAACAGTCCATAGTTGACAGTGTGATGTTCAATTGATGGCATAGATACATGGTTTCAAAATTCCACCCTACAGGGTTTTTTATCCATAAATACGTGGGCCAAATACTCGAGGCAACAGGTAGAGTCTGCTATATTCCCACGACCACTTGGGAGTCTGTACATATTTACAGAAATTGATCTTGTATTCATTCTCATCGTTTCGATGGCTGTCTTTTGATGCCACATCCTCAAGGCATGAGATGACGTGTATCACATGACTGAGTAGCCGAGGTGCCCCACGTGACCCGCACCGAGGGCTTAGGGCTCGATCCGATTAGTCAGGCCCCACGGCTCAATTTCGCACTTAGAGGGCGGCTCGACGCTCTCTTCTTTCGAACATCCACCCCATCAGTCAAAATGGTGAGTTACCACACCACGCCTCTGAGCCTTCTACGACGCAAACAACTAACATGAACATGTAACAGGCCCCCTCAGCAACCGGTGGCAAGAAGCAGAAGAAGAAGTGGTCCAAGGGCAAGGGTACGCTATCACCATCATCATTACCATCACCATCACCATCAACGACCGTGCGACCGTGAACCAACGACTTCCATCTTTCAAACTTTCGCCGGAAAATCCAACCAAAGAAAGAATATCGAAACGGAATCGTTGGAGCGATCGCGCGAAACACTATTCTCAGAAAATCGAATACTAACTTGTCTTTTCCTTATAGTCAAGGACAAGGCCCAGCACGCCGTCATCCTCGACAAGACCACTGCCGAGAAGCTCAACAAGGATGTTCAGTCTTACCGTCTGATCACCGTTGCCACCCTGGTCGATCGTCTCAAGATCAACGGCTCCCTCGCCCGCCAGGCTCTTGCCGACCTTGAGGCTAACGGTCAGATCAAGAAGGTTGTTGGTCACAGCAGCCTGAGCATCTACAGTGCGTATACCCGTCACCGCAGAGCGAGCGCAATGAATGCTAACCAATTTTGCAGCCCGTGCCGTCACCGCCGAGTAAACGTCCCGATACTCTGATTTCTCGCGGTTCTCTTTTTCCTTGTTACGATGATATCATTTCACATGGGAAGTTCGGCTGGGCGTGATGGAAGTTGACGCCTGATTCTCGGATGTGTGGAACATTCGTGTCCCTGGGCTTGTTCCGGGTAGAACGAATCAAATAAAAAAGTTACAAAACTTCATATTCTTCCTTGTAGAGTGTACCAAATGGCGAATTGCTATGCTATGATCTAGACTGCCCTCAACACCTTTTTTAAACTTATCACCTACTGCCCCCTCAATCATCTCACTCCGCTTTGGCCTTTGGTTCTTCGCCCCCCCTCACAAAGAAACCTCTTCCCCTTCTCTGGATCAACAGTTCCATCGTCTACCATCACCCCAACCTGGAAATATCTCTTGTGGTTCCGGAAGAAATTCTGCCACCGGAGAACAGTCTTCTCAATCTGTTCCCTAGCGAGTCTCAACTCCCGCTCATGGCGAAGCATCCTCTCAGCCATAGTAATCTGCTCATTCTCCACGTCCTCGACGGGGAGGAACATTTCCTCGACACCGATCATATCTGTAGTCAGGTCTTCCTTGAAACAGCCCGTAACGAAGGCGCGCATGGCGTCTCTTCCCGCAAAGAAATTGTAGCTTCCGCCCGGCCCATAGATCATCGGATTGGCGGAGACGTCGAAAATGGAGCCGTTGACAGCGAGATAGATTGGGAGGGAGGGGTCGGTGCCGTTATACAGGCTGAGTTCAACTGGTGTTAGGTGAACTGGACCGCTCTACATCAGAAAAGTGTTAGTGAATTAGTTTCGACGCTTTAAAGATGGTGCTGTGAATTGTGGCCACGATCTTAGGGCGGACTTACCAGATGCTGCTTCACGACAGGCCACCGTGTGAACCACGGCCGATAGCCCCATAGTACAGACTCGGCGTTGGTCACGTAGTATGAAAGACCGCAGGAGGCGATTATGAGAGTGACAAGCACCCGGATGATGTCGAGAATGCTGATGAAGGGCTCATCATCGTCGGTGTGGTGTTGGGGTTCGCGCCGCGGCGCAGTGTCTGCGTCTGTGTTTGTGTCTTGTTGGCGTCCCGAGCCCGCCGCAGGCTGTCGCTGGCGGAGTTCAGACATGATCGGAGAGAGAAACCCGGTCGGTTAAGGAGGGATCAAAGATCAAAAATTGGCCATTGAAGAGGTTGTTGGAGTGAGGAGTGGGCAGATCCGGAATGAGGTCAGAAGTCCGGGGTACCCTCGGCGGGATCTACAGCATCCATGTACGATGAACAAAAATAGGCCAGAAAGAGATTCGCACTATGCTTATCATGTGGGTACTATGAATTTTCTCACTATTCAATACAAAGTTTTTGCGCTATTTCGAGATTCGTGAGCTTTCGTCAAAGGCCGAGGGCTTAAGAAAGATCAAGCGCTGGCTTGGTCCTCCTGTTCCCAACTGCGCGAGAAAACATCATTTAATGCGTCTTGGAAGGTGCGGCAGTTCATGTCAATCAGACCGCGCTTTTCCTTCGCCTCGGGATTGCGAATGACAGATACTAGACAGAGGTATCTGTGGAGTGTCAGTGGTACTCAGAATGGGTCGGGCAAGGAGTAGCATACTTGTTCATCTCCATAAGATGAATCATGGTCTCGTCATGCAGGACGACATGACTCTCTGCCTCTTGAATCTGTTCTCCTTTTGATTTACGAGACGGGTGATCCCATGAGTACAGCTCGGAGATATCGACAATCACGTCGATGTAGTCGGAACACATCTCATAGCAGGCCATGTCCACAGGACGGGTATCGGAGGCTATGTAGATTTTGCTGAGTACATCGAACAAGTAGGTTTTCTCGAAGCCGCAGTTATTACCGAGAGTGTTGATGAGGTTTTCGAGGGTGGAGAGGTTGGGGATGAGCTTCTGAATGACCTTGCTGAAGGCTTCGAAGACGGAGTAGTCGTAGATGGAGGTAAGGTAGTAGTGGACGGGCGCGTTCTCGTAACCGGCGTCGCTGAGCTCGTCTGAGATACGCTGGACGATGGCCTGGAAAGTGTCGGTCCGGTACTCCTCGGAGAGCCCGTCCACCTTATGAATGAAGACTTCAATGTTGATTCCAGGGTAGTATTGCTGCACGGTTAAGATTGTGCGATTCAGACGAGCGACCGAGTCCAAATAATCATCTTGTGCGTCGATCACCCATACCAGGGCGCCCAAGCTACCGAAGATGTCTTCAAGATCAAAAGAGGGCTCGAGATACTCGAGCTGGCCGGGGAAGTCCCAGACTTGAAAGTCCATGAAGGAGCTGAGACTTGATCAGCAGGGGATCTGGCGTGGGAAATGGAGCGAACTCACTGGACAGAGTCTTTCTGAATGCGAGTGGTAGATTCCAGGAACAAGGTCTCATTCGGAGGCATCTTGTGAAAGACCACGCTGGCAATGGATGACTTGCCACTCCTGGAGTAAAGTAAGCATTTCTTATCTCACGTCTGCTGATATCCGTCGACACCTACCGGCGAAGTCCCATCAGAAGGAGACGAGGCTTAGCATCGCGGCTTTTGGGGTCCAGGCTTCTGGACTGAGCCGAGGCAGCGGTACTTGTTGTTACCTGTAATGCACCGAAGAGACTTAGCTGTGCTTCAGTTTTCCAGGTCCAGAATTCGGGCGTGTCAGGGAGCAGACGACAGTCAGACAAGCTGCGTCTCAAGTGCCGCCACGGTTCCGGGACCGGAGCAGAAGACCGACACCTGCGGAGCGAAGCAAGAGGCATCATGTTCCGGGACAAGGAATAGGGTAGGGGCAGTAGAAAGGTCAAGGATACCATGGGGAGGGGATGCACAGCGGCACATGTCGATGAAAGCGTCGGCGAGGTCTCTTCATTCAGGGTGCAAAGCTCTGATGCTGACAGGCAACCGAGAAGACTCAAGTCACAGAGATCCCTTGAACATCGTACCCAAGTGCAGAGACGACCGACAAGCTTCACTCAGACATCCAGCCACTATCGCTCAGTTCTCCCTGGAAAGCCTTGGCCTGCATGGAAGGACACTATGGGCTTCTATTTTTGCCGAATGCCCACGAGAATCGGAACCAAGCATCCATTTTACCATCGGCACCACTGAGAGCAGTCCCCCGCCGCAATCCACGGGAATAGCCCGACCGCAGGAAGCATATTGTGGAAGGCAATTGAACGCGGGGAAGAGTACAAGACGGAGATCCTCTTACCTCCATTTTCTTTCATGCGCGTTTTTAAATATTGGGTATTTCTGGGCATCGGTCAGCATTGCCCACAAGCTTCAATGGGTCCAGACATACAGGCGAAACAATGTGAAGCTCAACAACGGAACTGGACGAGATCAAATGCGAACATCCGCGGCCCCAGGCCAATTGGACAGCGATCGGATAGCGACAGTCAGGCCTGAGGCATACTAGAGGGTGAAGAAAAGCTTTCAAAGTTGCCCAGGGTGTCACACAAAGCCCTTGAGGTATGGAAGAAGAGGAGAGGGGAGAAAGGAAGACGTGAAGGGACGGAAAGGCGGAGTCGCGATGAGCCGTTATCGCTTATCAGTTTACTGCCTGCGATTAACATGCGAAACTAGGAAACACTTGGACAACTTCGAAATTACGAACATGCTGAACATGCTAAACCACTTTTAATCTATAAACAGAATCTATCGGCTATGTTGATGACCCTTGTGGTCATGGCTAGTACGGTAATCGCTCATCTTGTGTTTACCAACTTGTTCCTCCTCGATCTCCAAAGCCGGCCAATCCTCCCAACCATCTTCCCACAGACTGGCCAGCTTCTTAGCTTTGGCCTCCGGATTGAGCTTCTTGTTTTTCATCACCTTCTCCCACAGTTTCATATCCTTGTCATCCAATAGACAGTCATCTAGAATCGTGGTGATCTTTTCCTGGTCGATCCCCTCCCCAATGAACACCAATTCCTGACGCCGATCCCCCCAGGGGCCCTGGAAGTCGTTCAGAATCGATTCGACGACATCCTTGTCCTCGGGCCACGCATCATCGGGCATTTCCGCAAACCAGGGGCCTCCGCAGCCCACGGTTAACATGCCGCCCGCTTGACTCCACTCACCAAATTGGTAGGGCCGAGTGGACAGCCAGAAGAAACCTTTGGAGCGGAGAACGGGGCCAAATGCGGGGTGCATTCGCTTGTTGTTGAGGATGTCCTTTGGGTCCGGTTGATCAAAGTCTTCCACTGACTCGGTATCGGTGTCCATCTCATCTACGAACTCTCCGTCTTCTTCATCTTCATTTTCATCGTCATCATCATCTTCATCATCATCTTCATCGTCAACTTCATTGTTTTGGAGGAGAATGAACTTGTCGTGGAGGAGTGCAAAGAGACGACGGGGGTGGAAGGGCCGTCGGGCGGAGTAAACAAAATTGTTGATTCCGTATCTAGACGTCGTTAGCAATGGCGTTGTGATCGACCAACCAGCAAACTCACTCGAGGGTCTCCGGCTTGGGAGCCATGCGCTGTCCGTTGCCTGTCGTCTGTACAGTCATCTCATGCAAGCTGCGCAGCCAGCCAGCACCAGAGGCAGCGCGCACAAAGTCAAATTTGCCGGTCGCAATGATCTCCCGCACATCCACCTGGGAGTAACTTGTCATAAGGACCTTTGCATCGGGATTCAACAGCTTCAATAGCTGCATGATCTTATCCTGTGTCGCTTGGTCGATGATTTCAATCTTGTTGACAATCAGGACATCAGCGAACTCGATCTGGTCCACCATCAGATCGGAAATGGTTCGCTCATCTTCAGGCACAATCTCATCCTTTCCATATCGATCAGATAGGAACTCCACGGTATCGAAGTTTGACAGGAGGTTGAAGGCATCAATGACGGTCACCGTTGTGTCCAGACGGGCCATAGTATGCAGTCCTCCCAATTCAACACTGATGCACTGTTAGACTGATATCAACAGGGTAGGAGCGAACAGTTGTCCGCTTACATCTCCTTCAGAATCTTCTTCGCATCCTCATCATTGTTTCCCGTAATCTGATCTTCGGCTTCCAGCATGGCTGAGCTGAACTCGGCTGTGAATGTTTCGGCCACTTGCATGGGCTCACTGATGCCTGTGCTCTCGATAATCACATATTGAATCTCGTTTTGCTTCGTCAATTGTGCTAATTCGGACAGCAGATCACCACGGAGGGTGCAGCAGATGCAACCGTTCTGCAACTGAATGAGCTTTTCGTGGGTCTGAGAGACCTTGTGATTCTTGATGAGGGCGGCGTCAATATTCAGCCTACATGAGAACACTGTCAGCATGAATCACAGAAAAGATACTGGGACGTTAGTCAACTTACACGCTCATGTCATTGACAATGACTGCAATGCGCATGCCATGATCGGGTGATTTGAGAATATGCTTCAAGAGCGTGGTTTTGCCACTCCCCTAGAATCAACTGTCAGCATTTCACGCGAGATCCAATAGACATCCGATTTTTTACCAGAAAGCCAGAGAGCAGAGTGACTGGCAATTGGTGTCCCTTGGGCTTGTCCGGCTGAGACACCTGGACCGGATACGCCACATCTTCACGACCGGAATCAATAACCATTTTAAGAGGCCTTTTAGATTGTGTATTGAATCGAACGAAAAAAGGAGGAAACAACTTCTAGTCTAAGCACCTTGCGGACAATTCCTTTTATCTCTTCCAGAACATCGTCTCCAAGTTCCTCATTGCTTGCGGCCTCTAGAGAACTTTGCTCTGCAACATACATGCTCATATATGACCTCCAAGGTTGTTAGCGACGCTGGTGGAGTCAAGGTGAAGCCAATAATAAGGGACTTGCCCCCTGATGCTGATAATTGAAGCCTTCTGTTTGGCTCATGGTGCCGGTCCCCAAGGTACCTGACTGACGGCGCTGACCTTCACGGTCCTCATTGAATTTCCACCAGCTCGGTGATTTGGTATTGAGGAAAAATCATTGGCTAGTTTTATTTCCGTCTTTGTTTCTGGTTGTTGGTAGATCGTCATAAGAGGATGTTGCCAGGGACGTCCAGTCGAAGGCATTGAGATGTTGTACATGAGAGGCAGACTCCGCAAAACTCTTCAGTCCCTAAAAACCCAACGATATATTTTACATAAAAAATGAAGCTCTTGATTTTTCTTCATATTTGTTCTTCGCATGCCTTTATTTCCCTTTTCTTTTGGCTTTTGAGCCATACAATCCACTTGGATCTACCGACTCAAAAGGAGCACCCGATGGTTTTCATCTGGAAGAAAACAAACTCGATACTGCGCAATAAAGACACTTCATTTGCTCTCTCTTGCACAAAAGAACAATGGCATTTTTAGTACACAAAAGGATGAAGAGGCCATAAGACCAACCCTTCTTCCGAACCAGCTACAACTAAATGGAAGGGCCATTCAAGCCAACACGAGAACTCCCCAACCTTATAGAGAATACATGAGGTCCACTGCAGCTATGATCTGGGATATGACCTACGATAACATATTTGAGGAGCATAGTTTCATTCTTCCAAAGATGGAAGAGAAGCTAGCTGACATCTCGTCGCAGGATACAGACCCTAGCCGACGAACTCATCGCGTGCGGCGAGTACAAATTTCTAAATGAAGAAATGCAAAACGATTACAGCGTAACCCCCCCTTCACTTGATTCGAAAGATTGCACTTGGGAAGAGGTCGGTGCCAAATTCAAACAAACTATGCTAAGTATACTAATAGTGACAGACCGTCCGCGAAACTAGCCGTGATGCTGTTCAAAAGCTCACCCGACAAAGACCACAAAAAATGAAGTATCGAATGCTATCGTTGAAGCCTTATTTAGAGGCATTATGATATGTGCCTGGCATATTGCTTGGAAAAGAAATATAAATTTTGTCGTGACATTTCCTCTCACAAGGCCCATGCACGACCCCTATGTCGGTCTGACCCCCTCCATGCTGATTCACCCGATGGATCTTGTGAGACATAAAAATGGAAGAGAAGAGTGATCGGAGCAGTCTCACGTCATCATAATAGTGGTATCAGATTGTGAGCTCTGCTTACTCTCAGGTGTTGAAAGTTGAACTCTGACTTCATCGGAGCTCGGCCTGATCAGCGGGCCGAAGACGAGTCAACTCGCCGGTGAACCGTACACTATAAAAGATACTCCCAGGTCACTTCAGAAATGAAATTAGATGGAATGACTAGAATTCAATATCCACTTTTAATTCCCCAATCCTTTTTATCGAAAGCAGCAACCTCCAGTTTGACTCAAACTCGTGATCTGCGGGGAACATTGCCACCGATCGATATCGATAGCCCCGAGCTTCTCCTCTTTTCTCCACTCTTTTTCCAACCCTCGATCCCAGCATCAACATATAAAGACGGAGCAACACAATGGCCCTCTCTGACTGGATCCAGAAAGCTCCTAAAATACCAATGCCTACTCCCCTCGCCTTTATCGGATTCCTCTCACTGACCTGGGGCACCCTCGCATTCATACGCCAAGCAACCGTCTACTTACTCCCATGCACACTCCAACAGTACAACTCTACCGAAAAAAAGCCTAAAAGAGGAAACTGGGCCCTGGTCACTGGAGCCACAGACGGAATCGGTTTCGGCTTCAGTCAAGAGCTTTGCGCGCGCGGCTTCAACGTCATCCTGATGGGCCGCAATGAAGACAAGCTTCACAAACGCGCCGACGAGCTACGACAGCAATTTCCGTCGCGCGCAGTCGATATTATAGCCATGGACGCAGTGCCCGTGACTTCAGCCGTGGATCAAATCGCGACTGGACTACCGGGTAAGCTTACCGTGTTAGTGAATAACGTCGGTGGCGAATCGAAGCCGTATCTACCTCTCGGGGACTACACATTTGAGGAGGCGCAGGCGACGATTGATAAGAACGCGGTGTTCATGGCGCAGCTTACGCGCGCTTTGCTTCCTGTGCTGTCGAGGGCGGAACGCAGTCTGGTGTTGAATGTTTCGTCGATGGCCTCGTGGGGACTGCCGTATATATGTATGTATGCGGCGTCGAAAGGTTTTGTGGATTCGTTTACGCGGGCGCTGCAAGGAGAATGTGCGGCCGAGAAGAACGGGGTGGATGTTCTGGGGTTGAGGGTTGGGCCTACTTCGACACCGGGCTATCATCAGCCTGCGAGCATGTTCGTACCGACGGCGCGGGTGATGGCTAAGGCTGGATTGGATCGTGTGGGATGTGGGAAGACGATTGTTTGGGGGTATTTCTGGCACTGGTTGTCAGGGCTTTCGCTGATTGTGTTGCCGCGTTTCATGATGATGAAGGTCTTGGCGCAGAAGATGAGAACGTTGAGGAAGGAGGAGGAGGCAAAGTCAAAACAGTCTTGATATTCTACTGGGGTGGCTCTCATTTACATCCTATCCTCATTATACTCACAATCCCATGCACATGTTTAACAAGGAAGAAAAACGATAGGTATAATACTAAAATCCGGCCTGGGCACGACTCCGGTTGTTGGGGCCGTGCAGGCCCTCACCGAGGTTCTCAGTGCACTCGATACTCCAATTCTTCGGGGTGAATTTGTCAACGATCGACTTGAACGCGTCAAGGGTGCAGAAGGTCTGATCGCCCGGAAGGTGATTCTCGGGCTTAGCCGCGCAACCAGGGATGGTCACGGGGCGGTCGTTGTAACGGATGCGGACGTAATGCTTGCGCAAAGACTCGCGGGATTCCTCGGGGAAGGACTCAAGGTCAGCGCGTGCAGTGGCCGATGGCGCCGGTGGCTGTGGCGCGGATTTGCCGCCTAATAAAGATCCGAAAAGACCTTCAACCTTCTTAATCACAGGTGAATTTGAGAATCCTTCGAGCATAGTGCCAGCATCCACAGCATTGCTCTGGACATGTGAGAATAGCTCGATGGCAACGGAGGAGGTGAACGGGGGCCAGTTCTCGTCCTGGAAACCACCAACACTGGAAAGGATAGCCGCGAGAGTGGTGTCGTGGCATCCACTCATAGCAAACCTGATAGCTTTGCCTTCCCCGGGTTTGCTGGAACCAGATGCAGAACTCTCACTGCGCCAGCCGCCCTCCACAGCAGTGCTGACCATGCGATCGGTCACATCGCCCATCAGGGCACCAATACCCAGCTTACGGTACTCGGCGCTCTCGTTGTAGCCGGCGAACCACTCCTCGACCGCAATACGATCCATAATAGCGCGACCCTTCTTATCATAGAACTCAGAAGGGAGCTTGGTGGGAGGACCATGGGCATCGGTCGCGTTGACGGTGTCCATGATACCCGAGAGACGGGGGTGAGCATCAACGGCAACGTTGGGCGAATTCTCAGGCATGTACTTGGACCAGATCTTGTTCAAGTATGCCATCTGCTCCGACTCATTCCCTACAAGATGTCAACTATGACCAGCAGTAGGGCGAAGTCCGATACTTACAACGCTCAGCAGCCCGGTCAGCAAACAGACGTGCCAGCTGTCTGAAGCGCCGACAGTTACCCTCGTTGGGAAACAATGTCTCTTCGGACACACTGCGGGCCACAATCACAGGCGGCGGGAAGTCCAAAGTACGCGCACTCGGCGGGTACATTCCCCAGAAAGCCTGCTGCAGCGACTCAAGCGCTCGGGGAATCGGCGTCGCACGCAGATACATATCCTCGGCATCAGCCTTGACCTTGGGCATGAAGCCGAGCTGGTCGACGTAAAGGTGGCGTAGACGGGTACCCAGCGCATATGTAGTTTCGCGGCCTTTGTCCGTGAGTTCACCATGATTACTTCAAAGCGTGTTAGCCCGAGATCCATCCATCCAAGTCGCTCAATACAACGAACCAAATAGCTTCGATCTCGCCTCCCGGCCCTGTCGCAATGATGGCCTCGTCATTGTCTCCGAATGCTTCCATTTTCCGGCGCCATTGAAATCCGTCCCATGTAGACATATCCTGCTTGGAGGCAGCCGATTGCACCATCTTCCTCGCAACACCACAATACGGCCAGTCTCATCGAGAGGTCAGTTTAACGATCGAGAAAGTGCTCGGAGGGAATGGGAATCAGTACAAGGACTCAGGCCAGTCTATATAATTCATTAGCATTCGAGCATCATAATCAGTGACTGAAAGAACTGAAAGAACTCACGTTTTGGAAACGCGACGAAACAGGCGTCCGTTCACCTAAAGCCAATTAGATCCATTCGGAGAATTGACATGCACATGCTTCCGAGCTCACCATGTCGAAGGAACTGGCTAAGTTAGCGTGGCACGAACATTGAGGATCTCGGCGGACTCACCACTTGGACCAATTGAAGCTTCAGGCTTTTAGGATAGAGGTGAGCTAGCTCCTCTTGGGAGTAGGCCTCACGGGGGATGAGAGTCGTCATGGTCGGCGATGAGTCGATGGTGAGGTTGGGGACCTTCGGGCAGGATGACAGCTCCGGGGGGGGGGGCGGTGAGGGGGTCGCGCCTCCCGGTGTGGGGACTCCCTGGTACATGGGGTAATTGGAGGCAACGATTGGATCTGTTAAGCTAGGCTTGCTTTACTTGGAAACCATGATGTATATTGAGTCTTGCACCCGGATAGAACCAAATATAACTCTGACATAGGCCAAAAGTCGATACATCAATTGATTTGTCCTGGAGCTGTGGCGCATTTGCAATGCCGAGGGAACGGCATCCTCCACAGTGACAGCTAAGAACACGTGAAAAGCAGCAAAACGTGTTGAGATCTTTCAGCTCTAATTAAGTTGGTGATCTATAGGAGAAGTCTATAAATGTCCACAATACCTGTGGATGCAGTTGTATATACATTGAAGCCCATCCATGGATCCTTTAAGGACTTTACTCCTCATAGTCACTGGTCTCCCAACCGCTCTCACTCTCACTGGCACTGAAGACAGACCTCTGATGCTCTTCAGGCTCGGCCAAGACCGGAGCAGCCATAGCTACAGCGGCAGCGGCAGCAGCTTTCCCTTTGCCGGACTTCTTGTTCTTCTTTGCCTGGCGGGCCTCTTCCTCCGCCTGCAGCTTCTTCTTTGCTTCTTCTGCCAGCTGGTCCGAGTTACGCTCCATGAGATCAACAAGCTTCTCAATGGCAGGCGCATATGCTTGGGCGTATGCTAGATCGCCAACCTTGATACGCATGTAGTCCATCGCAGTGGCGATCGGGGCGTTCTTGCCGGGAATCCACTTGTTGCTGGGCGGGAGGCTTGGTCGGCTAGCAGAAGGGAAGCGGATGTCATCTAAGAGTTGAGCGCCAGACGGTAATTTTGAGAAATTCTCTTCCGGCTCATCCAGAGGAATGTCGGCCTCGCCAGCTTCCCTCGCTGCGGATGCCTGAGCTTGCCGTGCCTTGATGACTTCGTCATGATGCGAGGTGCCGGCACACTCGTCGACATGGGCGATCTTTTGGTACCGTTGACTGAAATGGGTAAGAAGAACGGCACGGGCTCCCATCCGGCGGCCAATTTCCAATGCTTCTCCGGTGGTTGAATGACGCTTGGCGAGGGCCGAGCCTACCATGTTGTCTTGGAAAGTGGCTTCGTGAATGAGCACCGTTGAGTCGCGGCCGATAGAGGCGAATTTATCCGAAGGTCGGCAGTCGCCTGAGTAAGAGACCTTAAACCCATCCGGGAAAACGAGAGAAACGGCGAGAGCACCCTTGCAATGCTTCACACGAGTGGTGAGAATATCATCCAGGCGGATGCTTTCTTTGAGAAGGTGGGTGAGGTAAGCGGAATTGTCGTTGAAGTCAAGGACGGTTCTGTTCGCTGAATTTCGGCCGTAAGGGGCAGCGCCGTTGCGTGGATGCCGGCAAGTGAACGTAGTCTTAATAGAATTGCCGCACGGCTCAGGGTGTGCGATGAGAGGAACAATTTTATCAAATCCGTAATCCTCAACAGAGGCATACTCTTCCAGCCAGGCGATCATCATCTCCTCGGACACAACGAAGAGGCGATTCTTCTCCTGCAGGATCTTGTTCAAATCGGTCTCGGGTGGAGATGACGGTTCGTAGTCTGCTCCATAGTTTTCACGGTACCAGGCTTTGATGAGCGAGGCAGTGCCCAGATGGTGATCAGCGTGCAGATGGCTGATCCAAATCATACGTAAATTCCGCAGCACCTCGCGTAGCTCTTCAGGCTCGAAGACTCGCTGAAGCTGACCAAGAGTGTTCTCGCCACAGTCCAGCAGATAATAACCATATCCAGGGGCGTGGAGCAATGTAGCGGAAACGTTGCGGTACTTGGATGGGGCAGATGAGCCTGTGCCGAGAGCGATGATCTCAGCCTCAGCACCGGGGAGATTCTCGCGCATTTCAGCTAGTTGTCTTTGAAAAGCTGGCTTGCGCGTACGAGTGCGAATGACCTCCATTCGCTGCTCGACAGCGCGCGGAATCGTTTCCAAAGTTTTTGCAGTGTTCAAATATTGGAAGATTTCATCTTTGTTGATCCGGAAGTTCGGCTCCATGTCAACGATCAACCCGGGCGTGAGAGGCTCAAATGGAAGGTCAACTAGTGAGCTAATCTTCGTGCTCGAGCTATTGGTTGAGAGCCCGACCTGGGGCAAAGTGACATTGTCATGAACAGGAATCGAATAATTATCGCCCTTCAAACGAGCCAAACGAATCGAAGCCTCAGCAGAGCTCTGAAGAGCCAGGTAGTTCGGACAGTAGTCAGTGCTGGAAACAGTGTGTTTGCAGTGAGACATGCTCGCCACAAACTCACGGAGCTTGGGATGATCGCCCACCCCAGGGCCCAGAATCCAGACAAAGACCTTGAGCTCCGTAGTTACAGCAGGCGAATTCCATTCAGGACGCTTGATCAAGTCTTCAACATATTCAGACGAAGGCAAGTCGATGATAGCGATGCCCTTTCCAAGCTTAGGAGCGCCCAATACCATATCAGGAGTGATGGTCTGGCCGTCCTCTGACTGAACATCCTCTCCGCGTGTTAATTTAGCGTAATCCGGCCCGTAGCGAACTTTCAGTGCCTTGGCCTTGGCAGCGTCAAACTTGCCGCGGATGTCATGGTTGCGGATGATATAAGAGACAGCTTCCTTCGAAGGGGTGGTGGGTGGCAACCTATCAACCATCGCACCAGGCCAGGGCTGCCGAACCAGCACCTTAATATCAGGCAAAGGTCCTTTGTCGCCAGGCACAGGTCCTTTGTAGGGCTCGATATCCTTTGTGTCCGGGTTGCGCACAAACATGGCTGCGGGCATCCTGACTTGGGCCAATGGGGTCTCAACTAGGGCGTCCATCTTCCAAGTTGAGTTGAACATATCCGACACAACGGACTGTCTCATCAATTGGTCCTTGGCACGCTGATCGATTTCGAGCTGTTCTTGATCAACAAGCTCTTGGAACTCGCCCAAGCTCCGCTTCCGCGGGCTCTGTGCCCGAGGCTGGCAGGGCTGCTTAGGACTGCTTGAAAAGGCAGGCTTCACAGGAAGAGCCCAAACTTTAATGTTCCTGTCGGACCATGACGGATCTTCAAAGGGATCTTCTTTATCCGTCGGAGCCTGCTTCGCCATAATTTCAGAATCATACTCACGCATATACACAGGCATTCCCTTTCGGAACACGAAGCGTCGGGCAGTAGCCATAGTATGCGCAAGGTTCGTAGCTCCATGAATCGTCACATCAGCTCGATCCTGACCGGCTCCAGCATGATAGTGTGCGACTGGTTCCAGCTGCGCCTTGCCTTCAGCGCGGGATATCCGTTTCCGCTCTGCCTTTCTACGGGTATCGTCCTCAAGAGCCGCCGCAGAGCTTGAGGTTGCGTCTGCCAGTGTCAAGATCACACCAATCAGTCCACCCAGGTTTGCCCATTCGGTGCGGCCTGTGATGAAGATGTCAGACAGGTAGGTCAGCTTGACACCGCGTTCGATACATGCTCGCTGGACTCCCTCCGAGATCTGACCGAAAAAGTATCGCTTGTCGGGGAAGTGTAGGTTGACGACCGTGCCTGGAGTGTCGGCGGTCGGGGTCGAGATGATCTCGTAGAAGAACTTCATGGGTGCGATACCAGGCTTGTAGTCTGGACGGGAGGTATCGACGGGTCTCTCAAGAGCTGCAGGATTGCAGATGACGTATTTCTCGTTTCGGATGGTGGCAGACGATGGAAGAAGATTTGCAGCGGGAATGATGTCTTGAGAATGCTCACGTTGCGGCTTTCGAGCTCGGGGCGTGCAGGTTTCGAGGCTAGCAGCGTCTTTGATAGTAAGGTTGGGGATCTTTTGGCAGCGAGACGCTTTAAGCCCGAATGATGTGGCCTCGGGGCTGTTCTATTCGAAGTGCTGTGATAGCCTGCGCGCAGGACGGTTGACGTGAAGCTAGAGGCCGAGAGATGAACGCGCCAGGCGACAGCGCCGAAGACCGCGGTAAACAAAGTACCGCTGGATCTCAAAGAAGCCAATTTGGCGGGAGATAGTAGATTGAATGGACAACCTATGCTAGATGGTGCGAGGAGACGTCTGCGAAGGTATTGTGAGTCTTCGATTGGAGCCGCAAATCTGCGGGAACTTTTTTTTTTGGGAGGTTTGGCGTCACGTCCCGCTTTTCAAGTCCCAAGGTCGAAATCGAACAACCGAACACCGCGCTCTGAAATCTTTTGATTTTTGAAAGATTCTAATTTCTTTAAAGGAGATCGAAGGAGTGAATGGAAATGTTTCAGCGTAAGATAGTGGCAAAGTCAATTTTGAGATCCTAGTTCGCTAGTCCGCATGCGCCGAATAACCGTCCCCCAATTTCCGCCTGAGAAGCCTGACCCGGGAGATGCAGCAAAGAAACAGAATGAGCGCCGTTCAAACTCCCAGGGGACAACTGCGCCAAGATCAAAAGAATGTAGCTAGACATGTCGGCAGATGTATGATCACCAGGCTATGATGACAGATGAAACAGAAATATACATAGAAAATCGAACCAAAGACAGGACGCTAGATGGGGAATCACTGGAGGTGAGAGGTGAACAAGGACACGCGATCAAAGGCAGCTTCCATGCTGGAGCAAAGATAGTCAAACCGAATTTGGTTGGCGGAGGTTTGATCGGCAACCAGCTCGAAGTGGGGAGCAGCCTTGTCGGCCTGAACACCATTGAAGGGAACATCATTATCAGAAACAGTAGAACGAACAGGGGAGTCGACAAAGAGAGCGAAGGCAGGGTCGGACTCGTCAATGTCAACATCGGGGTTAGCGACCCCGACGTCGGATTGGGTCAAGACCTGGCGCTCGGGAAGGTCAAGAACGGGGGCCTCGTCCTTGCCGTCACACACGCTCGAGGACTTTCCAGAGAGAGCTGCAAAGTCGAGAGCGGGACCCTCTGGCACGTCGATCACGGCAAAGACAGGGGTGTTGCCATAGTTGATATCGATACCTGAATTCCAGCCGGCGTTGTTCATCATGGAGGCGTCCAGGCTTTGGTTGGGAACCATGACCATACCGGACTGGGGATTCTGCTGCATTTGGAATTCTTGTTGGCGAGTGGCTTCCTTGGGTAGGGCCTGCATGTTGGGTTGAATGGCCGCTTGCTGAGGTTGCTGCTGCTGATGGTGCTGTTGCTGTTGCTGTTGCTGTTGCTGAGCCTGGATCTGGGGCGGCACAGCGTTGTCGGGCATGTCATTTAGAAAGTTGGCGAAGTGAGGGGAGCCGAGGAGCATGCGGGCGAGATCGTTCAAGCGAGCGTTCTCCTCAAACAACTGTCGGTTCTGAAGACGCAGCTCGTGAGTTTCGTTGGTACGGGAAGCAATTTCGCTCTCGAGTTGACCAATGTACTCTGTGGGGAACTTATTAGCAAAATCAAGACGAGAGGAATCAGATCAAGTTACCCTTGCGACGGGAGCGGAAAGCACGGGCGGAGACCTTGTTGCGGAGCTGGCGACGCTCTTTACTGCTAAGCTTCTTGCCTTCCTCACTTGCAAGGAGACGCTCATCTTCATCCATGTCGGCCTCGTCCTTCTTGGACTTAGCCATGTGAGGGAGGATGGAAGAGGGAGAAGGAGAAGTCTCGCCAGCCGCGATAGCCTGCTGACGCATCTGCTGGAGAAGACGGGAGATACGCTCCTCAACGACGGGATCGCTACCACGAACGGTGCGGACGGGAGCGTTCTGGCTCTCCTCCACACGGCGCTGTTGCATCTGCTGCTGGCGGAGTACATCATTCTGCTTCTGTTGCTGGGCGGCCTTGGCAGCGATCGCAGCCTGCTGCTGATGCATACCGGGATACATGCGACCGACCTGAGTGGAAGGACCAGCCTGAGCCAGCTCATGGCCGCCTAGGGCGTTGGGGTCGACATATTGATTCTTCGCGGAGTTGGCGGAGAAGAAGAAGGGGGCGTTGTTCATGCCGTCGGCCTCAACGTCCATCTCAGACGGCTGGCGGCTCGGGGCGGCGTTGAATTCAAAAGGAATATCCTCGCGCTTCATGCGACCTTGGAACAACTCGCCGTTGACGGGATACCCTAGAGGGGCATTGTTGAATCCCATGGAGTTGACCTGATTGTAGGCCATTGACAACGCACCGGGGGGCAGACCAGTCTGCTGGCGGTGTTCCTCGTAGTGGTGGCTTGGAGCCTGGAAAGCGAGGGGAGATTGACCACTTGATGCGAAACTGGCACTCCGGGCATCACTTGCACTGAAATCGGTGCTGGCGACGGAGGGTTGGCTCGCAAGGGCGACCTTGGGGCGGGAGTCGGCGGATGTGTAGGTGAGTTGATCAAAGTTGATGAATGTGTCGAGATCTTGGTCGTAGGTAGCGGGCATGTTCGGCATGGGCGAAGCCGTCGAGTGCATAGGGTGTTCTGCGAGTGTAGCCATGTTGCCTGAACCCCCAGATAACAAAGAGGGGGGGGGGTTGGGCTAGAGTATTTAAAGTTGTGCAATAGGAGGCAAATTTAACTGGAGAGTGGGAAACGAGAGTAAAAGGTCTAGACGAGGAAGAAGATCGGATTAAGAAGATGGGTCAATAGAGCCAAAGTGGATGGGGTGGATAAGGAGAGGGTGAGAAAGACCAGCTTCGGGAATAGACATCAAGGCTTGCGCGTCCCCGGGGGCTGACTCAGCGGAGACGAGTGACAAGCGGCCGTGATTGGCTGTCGTGCCACTGCGTTGAAACGGTTGTTGATTTCTCTCGTTTTTGCGAACTTGCTCGCTATCCTTAGTCTGACTTTCTTTCTAGCTTCGGCACTACGGTATCTATTCCGCAATAGTCCGCTGAATTTTCCCCATCCCCAGACTCAAAATCACTGAAGATATTCAGGAGCAGCACAGTCGTATCGATACGGATGAATCTACTATTTCTGGTAAGTGGGGCATTTTTTCAGGAACCGTTCGTTCTCATTGGAACGGCGGAGCAGGGTTGGCCATTCAACACCAGGTTCTTTTGGCATGACGCTGGTGGCTGTGTGTTGATCGCCTATGGTGATTTTCCGGATGCGACTAGTCAACATTCCTGAGAACACGATCCTAATAAAGATGTGGTCCATATTCCTTCCATACAGTATACGTGCATGTGTGTCGACTCTGCATTGACAGCCTTCCTAGCATGATCTAGACTGAACCAGACTATCGTCGCGCTACTGTAACGAGTCCCCGAAGTACCGCCGATTTCTTTGCATGGTGGATCACGCGGGAGTCCACCGGGCCCTACAGATGCTACAGCAATTGCCATGGATCAGCGCATGCCGTCAGGGGTTCCCGCCCCCGGTGCCTGCATAACAGGTACGGAGATGCGTTTTGTGTCAACGCCGTCCATTGGGACTGCATTTCATCGCGTCTGTCTCTGCGTACCTCTCACTCTCTGTCACCCGAGGAATCCATTCCCTCCAGGAAAACCCCGGAAACTGACCCAGTTGGGAATGGCAGTGGCCCAGTTGCAAGGTCAAGGTAAAGAAGGCAGGCACTAGCAAGAAGCTTTATTGTCGGGCGACATGATCTAAAACGAGCCAATTTCACACTTGAACAGTGCGGCAAACCTCCGAATTCACGTGACTGGAGACTCTCCGATGGGGATCATCCAGCCGACTCCGAAAGTCGGCCTCGGGGCTTGGAACTCGCTTGAAAACGCCCTGAACTGAAGTTCTTGGTTCTGGTCTCAGATCTCAGCTGGTGGCAATCGATTGACCTATCGTTCTATGGTTCCGCTTCTTTTTGAGCTCCCGTTTCGAAAAAAAAATCTAAAAAAAAATCTAAAAAAAAGAAAATTTCCACCTTCCTACCCAAAAAAAGTGTATAGGGTGAAGATATAGCCGCGTGGCCTTGATCCTAGTGGATCACGGACCGAGAAACTTTGTTTTGAGAACTGCTGGGACTGCTCCCTTTTCCAGCAACGACCACCTAGGGCTGATCGACGTGCAACCTCGAGGCTGAGCCGAGTCCTGCGCCTCCCGTCTTTTTGCACGGTAAAAATAGACCGCTATCGTGCCGACGAGGCGTCAATAACTAGGTCGATCATTCAACTCTATTCTCATGATCATTGATCATATGCTCGATTATCGCTTTTAAGATTGCTCTGCGCAGCCGATTGACAGTGGGACTCAAGTCTTTCGGTTCGCCCATCCCCTATTCGGCTGCCGAACGATAACCACCAGACTATGTCCAGTGCATCCCGGGGAAGAAAGAGGGAATCAAAGATCGGAACGCAACGAACAAGGACCCATGGCTTTTTGATTTAAGCATTACGAGGGTCGCCAGATCGAGGCTCATGAGGATATTGTTCCCGCATTCCAGTCCCAGTCCAGATCTTTTTGACCCTGCGTCCAGGTTTGGTTGTCTGACGACGACTCTTCGCGCCCCGCCAGTGCCCTGAACGATCGGCCTTTTCGATCCTTTGAGGCGCTTGAACTCCCATCAGGACCCTTGACCGAGCCATGATCTGGGCCTTCAGGGGTGGCAAGACGAGCAAATGACGAGTCCCTGAAGACATGCCGGGAAGAAATTCCAGGGAGCATGGTCGAAAATTGCGTCATTTTCATGATTTTATGGAAACGCATCAATCGATCTGGGCAATCGAATTCTAGAACTTTGAGCTAATCTGCCTGGCCGTTTGAAGTCAACGAAAATCCTTGAAATCTCTATATGAGTCGGAGCTCCATAATGGCTGGTCTCGACCAAGTCTGGAAACCTCAATCGCTTCTAGAACTCACTAATAGCATTAGAAAAGTTTGACCGAAGCTACAGTCGTGAGTCTCCACGTGGTGGCGCCATACAGGCAATGAGGCTCCCATTCACGGGTGCAGTAGGGAAACAGCTTCCTATTTTGACATGACAAGCCTCTGGTACTATAAATCACATGTAGCTAAGATTTCCAATGATTGTACAGCCTTCAAACACTGCGCTTGCTCTCCAGGTAAACATTGATATGTGCTGCGAGCATTCCAGGAGTTCGCCGAATGACGAATTAATCTGCAAACATGTATACAGAGATATACACCAAGCTGTTTGATCCTGACGCCATGACAGTTCTCTCTCTGGAGCAATGTCCTGTGCAAGGCGGCATCGGGAACGATAAATAGAACAGGATCCTTGAGTCGAAAAATAGGCAACGTTCGGATCTGATCCAGGAAATATATTCTCCCGAGCTCGGCAAGCCCGGTGTTGCCAAGATAGACTAAACGCTAGGCACTCGGACATGATTACAAGGAGATGATTACAAGGAAACAAAGTGCGAATCAGTTATTTATCAGACGTTCCACGGCGACGATTGAATTGACGAAAAGGCCAAGGGCCGCCGAGCATTCAGGAGTCGTAAGAGAGCATGAGTGAATAGCCGACGGAGGTTTAGCTCCTGGAGATTCAAGAAATCGTCGACTGCAAGGGATTATTTGACCTAAATCTTGGAAAAATCTTCGCGCTGTGCTTTCAAAGGCACTCTGTACACCAGCTACGATGATGCGAACACTTTCTAGACCGCGTTCAATGCTGCCATCTCAAAAGAAGGTGGTGTTGGGAGAGAGCCTAGTCGCAGATTCCAGGAGGTTTAATCTCGGTTTCGTAGATTCTTCATCCACAGATGGTTTTTTTTTTCCAATTCAATTGTACTTATTTCAATAAGACTTTGTTAATAAGGCTCGAAAATGTGGCCCAGACAACGTGAGGTCCAATGTGACCCTCACCGAAGGCGCAGAATCCTATCGCCCCTAGCGGCCAACACCGAAAACACCCTTGAGATGTCATTCACATCAGACCCCGACGAGAAAGTGACTGATCACCGATTCGAGAGGAAAATGGTCACTATTGCCCCTTCAGCGCCGACCGGGAAAAGACCTATCCGAAAACCCACTGTATCAGTCCAGAGAGCCCTTCGGAAGTTGCAACAGAGTGATCTCGTGGATTTAGTGAGCGCCCAACGAGCATCAGTACTGAAAGATTCTCTGACTATTTCATTTGGAAGTAGCTCAACGATGTGCAAGAAGAAAGAATAACGCTGGTCCACTCCACAAGGGTGGTGGAGCCGGGCTCTGTTGCGACCTATTTCCATTCTCCGTCATCGTTCACTTTCTTCTTCTACCACTATCCAGGCTCACATGCAATACTCTTGATTTGGACGCAATGGGAAGGGGCGGTGTCGGTCAAGAACATCGCACTGCAAAGGTATGTGCTGCTTGACATATTCGCCATCGCGGAGGGAGAGGGCACCAAGGTCATGCAAACGGTAGGAACGATCCGCACCGATATAAGAGACGAAGCTCACACGTTGCAGATGAAGGTTCAAGGAGTCAATCAGATTGATGCAGATCGCTTGAAAGAGGAGGCTTTCGCCAGACAAGACACGTCAATCCCCGAGGTGTTTGGCCAGGGTAAAGTGGGTTAATTGTCGCGTGGAATCTTTTCAAGGGGTAAAATGAAGCATTTATTCTTCAATTGATTCAAATGCCACTGAATGTACTTCTTTGCCGGACCGCCTAGGTTCGTTGAATGTCATGGGCATTGTCCGGTTCCTTAGCGTAGAAATAGGGCAGGCTGGTTCCCCGCATTTGATCCGAAATCATTCAAGGTGCCCTCTCGTAAGCCCACACAAAGAATACCAGATGAGTCAAAAGGAATCATTCACCTTCGTCAATGTATCACATCCCGATGAGACACGAGGCAAGGCAAACCAGCGCCTCATACGACGCAGGGTGATGCGCGAAATTGGCAAATCCCGACGAAAAAGAAAAGAGGCCCCGACCATGAGCTTCACTTTGCAAGAGATTAACGAACGACCAGTATCAATCTCTATCAGACCGGCATTCGGCTGCAATCCATTTCCAGTGAGCTTCAGCCCTCGGGCGCAAGAGCTCATGCACTTCAGTACCGTCCAATCTGTTCAGGCTACTGGCTAAATGCTGCGCTAACATTCTGCGGCAGTGAATGCTGACTCCGAGTACAATTATCGACCTTTTCGAAAGGTGTGGTTTGCTATAGCCCTATGCGACCATAGTGCCTTTATGCTCTCTATGGCCAATGCCGCTATGTTTTTGGATGAAGCACGCAATCCAGGCACCTTTCAGTATGAAGATAGTGCAGAAGCCCTTAGGTACTATGGCCAGTGCGTAGAGCAAATCACAGCGCGTCTCTCCAACCCTGAAGACTGCACCAGTGAAGGGGTCATCACAACCATTCTCGGTCTTATCTGTCATGATGTACGTTCTCAACCGAGGTAAACTTGTTCAGGGTAATACTTGCTCTTGGCAGTTGTATGTAGGAACGCTAGATCGTTGGGCGTTTCATGTACGTGGTCTTGCACAGCTAGCTAGGCTTCGAGGTGGCTTCCATGGAATGAGCAAGGACATTCAACTGTTCGCTTGCTGGTTCGATGTGATGGGATCGGTGGTTCGAGATCAGCGACCGCAATTAGTCGGGTATCATCAATATTCTGCGACTGAAAGCACACAATCAGATCCACAGAGTATGAGCCTCCACGCTATTTCTCATGAAGCCACAGCCACACCTCCTGAGTTGGCTGGTGTTTTAGAAACACTGAAGCAAAGTGCGGTGATAGCCGAGTTTGTGAACACTCACTCCGATCACCCAGAGTTCTGGAGAACAGAGGCCGACTTGACACCTCTTCAAATGCTGGGACCTATCATGAACCAATTGCTGTCTCTACCAAGATGTGAATATCCGACGGCAAGCCCTTATGAAATAGTCCGAGAATTGGCGCGGCTCAGCCTGCTCATTCTGACATCTGAGCTCAGAAGATTTTACGGAATGAGTGCACCCGAGATCTCGTTGTTGAATGCAAAGATCTACAAACTATTAAAGTTCATCGAAGCTAGGCAGGAGAAGATCTTGATGCCAAAGCTGCAGCTGTGGGCAATTATTACCGCGGCTCTGTTTCAGAAATCAGAAATGAGGATGAAAAGTTACGTTCAATTAATATCCTTGAGGATGGCGATGATGGATATTCGGGATGGAAATGCCGCAGTACAACTTTCTCGCAGAATCGTTTGGATCGATGTGGTAGCAAGTCAAGCTACTGTTCACAATTTGATATCCATGATAGACGCTTACCAATCAAAAGACATTTGATCTGAGTACATGCGACCGAATCAACACTCATACATCTTGGAACTAGCCTCCAGTAATACCCCCACTCACAGAAATCACCTGCCCGGTGATCCATCGACTCTTCTCCGAGACCAGAAGAAGCACTGTATCCGCAATATCATTGGTGGTGCCAACTCTCTCCTCTGCTCGTGTCAAAGGTACGAGCATCTGGTTGATCCTTTCAGCTTGCTCTCTAGGCAGCGCGTCTGTATCAACAGGGCCTGGCGACACGGTGTTGATGGTGATTCCATGACTGCGACCCAGCTCCATAGCCATGGAGTAAGTCAAAGCATCTGCCGCTGCCTTGGCAGCGCCATACATGGCGACGGGAGCCATGCCAAGCTTCGAAGCAATAGATCCAATGTTAATCACCCGGCTTCCACGGGGCATAAGTGGAACTGCAGCCTGAACGAGGAAGATTGGTGCGTAGACGATGGAGGAGAACAATATATCCATGCTCTCCTTTGTGGCTTTGAGAGCACCATGAGGCATTCCCGCAGCAGCATTGTTAACTGGAAGAATGATCATGTTAATTTTTATTTATCTCCGTTCGCAAGAGAGAGTGCTCTACCCACCAAGAATATCAATGTGGTCAACACCAAACACCGAAAGAGTCTCATCAACCAAGGCTCTGGCTCCCTCGGGCGTGGTAATATCTGCCTTGACTACAGCCGCTCGCCCACCTTGGCGGCTAATGGCTTCCACGACATGTGCCGCCCGGCAAGAACTTGCATCAGAGACGTGGTTGATAATCACCAGGGCTCCATTTTTGGCTAAGGTTGCTGCAATGCAAGCGCCAATTCCAGTTTCTCTGCCGGAACCAGTGACTATAGCCACTTTACCCGCGAGGTCCAGAGTGTCCGGCGCCATTGGAGGAGAAGGAGAGGAGATAGGTTTCGGCAAGAAAAAGAGCGGGAGTATAGGGGGAAGAATTGGAATTGCGATTCAAAAGGCAGGAGAAGACCAAGACCACTATTTTTATATCAAATTTTGTCAATTTCTTTCTTCAAATCTCTCACGATAGTTCTTGTTGACTTGAAGCTACGTGACGACGCTATACCGAATCGAGAAAACGGTGTTCATTAGTTGCAGGTGCCCCACATTGACATAGTTCCTGTCTCCAAGGGTCTAGAAGAGTTGGCATCTGCGTGTTTCACACCTTGACACATCTTGGCATGCTTAGCCGATACACCCATCGATTCAGGCTGATTGAAAATCCGGGGATTCTTCACGGCTAAAATTGGCTTTTTCCCAATCGCCATTTAAGTGAAACTTGAAGCGTAGGCGATTATTAGGCAAAATCCCAGGTTCGGTCCAAAGGAGATTTTTTGGTCTTCAAGGACTACAATCGGGGAAATGGAAGACAGATCTGTCGAAAGGAGTCGGATGGTTGGGCTATAAGAATGAGCGGGGATCTCAGTGTTTCAAAAGAGACAAGCTTATAAAGAGCATCTTCCAGCCTTCATTTCGCCCAATACATACTTTTGAGTTTCAACGAATATCTAGACATATCCTTCTACCAACACCATGAGATCCACGGCGCTGGCTATCTCCTTGTTCCTCGGCTCGGCTCTTGCCGTCCCGCTCGAGGTCGATGCTGAGAAGCGTCAAACTTGCCCTAGCATCCACGTCTTTGGAGCCCGTGAGACTACGGCTGCGGCTGGCTATGGATCCTCCAGCACAGTTGTCAATGAAGTACTGAATGCTTACCCGGGCTCTACGGCTGAAGCTATTGTCTATCCTGCATGCGGGGGACAGTCCTCATGCGGGGGCGTAAGCTACTCTAGCTCAGTGGCTCAGGGCATCCAAGCCGTCGCATCGGCGGTCAATGCTTTCAATGCCCAATGTCCACAGGCGAAGATTGTTTTGGTGGGATACTCTCAGGTCCGTTACCTTCCTCAGCGACTTACAGTATAAGAGACAAGATGGAATATTGATCAAACGAATTTCAACAGGGTGGTGAGATAATGGATGCTGCTCTATGCGGCGGCGGTGTACCCAACCAGGGCTACACCAACACAGCCGTCCCGCTGACCTCATCCGCCGTGAATCAAATCAAAGCCGCTATCTTCATGGGCGATCCTCTGTTCAGAGCCGGGCTTCCATACGATGTCGGAACCTGTGCTGCTGGAGGCGTAAGAATGCTCTTCATCTCCTTTTTGAAGCTGAGCACTGACAATAGACTTGCAGTTCGATGAGCGACCGGCTGGCTTTAGCTGTCCGTCAGCCGGGAAGATCCAGTCGTATTGTGATGCCTCCGATCCATACTGTTGCAATGGCAGTAATGCCGCGACTCATAATGGCTATGGTGCCGAGTACGGATCCCAGGCTTTGACTTTCATCAAGAGCAAGCTTTCTGCCTCTTAGGTATCAACTAGTGGCTGTCACCTGGTGTAACATTTGCATGAGGCGTGGGAGCATGTGTTGGATTGGCCATTGATTCAACTCGATGCCGCTTGTGAAGCTCTGGAGATTATCTACAATTTCAATACACCATTCCTGATCCATTTGCGAGTAAATATTCCTGTCATCGTTTTTCTGAAACGGAGCAGAAAGAGTTTGGGACGATAGGCCGACTGGCTGGTCGGGGATACGTCCTGTTCTTGGAGTAGCTTGGTCAACAATATCTAGTAGCTTGCATCTAAGGAGGCTTTTTTCTTAGCATGAGTACTCAATATGATAAGAGCGTCTAAATTGACCGTTTGATAAGTTATTCACCCTTCTAGTTTGGCGCTTTCATTAAAAGTGTCCAGATCTATCAAATGAAGCCAGTCTGGGCTTGGCTTTGCTGGGAAAAACACGTGCAACCAAAAATCAAGGGCCTAGAGCACCACGTTCTAGCATCAAAGTTTACTGGGGAACGCAGTATAACTCGAATAGAGTTATGTGACAGGCAACGTGGGAAGCAACAAGATGAACAGAGCCTCTTCCTCACTCTTCAAAGACGTAGTAATTTCTTGTTTGGTATTGAGGACGGCGATTCACTGATACAGTGCAAATAGCAGGAAAAGGCCCGATAACAGGTCCAATGGAATGTTTGACACACAAAAGGAAGCCAAAGATAGAAAGAAAATGTCCGAGCGTTGATGTGTATGTGCTACCATGGCACTGCGAGCCATGTTATCATCGAGCTACCCGTCTTCTAATATGATGTACGATGATTAGGTCGACATCCCTATGGAAAAGCCAGAGTCCTCCTCGATTCCTCACATAGCGCATCGCCTTGTCTCGTGATCTTAGCTATCGACTGAAAAGTCTGACCTGCCACAGCAATTGAGTATTGAGTAAGGGAAGCATGCAACACGGAGAAGTAAAAATTGGTGACCATTGGTGACCATTGGTGACCATTCCTCATCTTATCTTTCATCTCACAAGCAACCGCTACCACCTCACCATCTTCCACATTTACCGAGCCAAAGCAAAAACCACCATGTCTTTCATTCACCTTGATCCACCTGATTCAGACCGCGGATTGAGGGACTCCAAGCACAATGAGATCAACGAGAGAGCAACCCCAGCCGTGCTTGCGGCTCCAGGGGAGCCCGAAGTCAGTGACGAAAGTGACAGCGCCAGCATCACCATTGTGACTGGAGCGGATGTCTCTGCTCATCTGCTCTCGTTGAGAGATGACTTTGACAGCACTCTGACTCTTCGCAGCATCCTTCTGGCCTCGGGTCTTGCATGCTTTAATGCTGTCATGAGCCAGATTTATCAGGCGAGGAAAACTCCATACATCGTTACATTGCCACTGAATCTCACTGACACGCCTAATGGCAGTTCAAACAGACAAGCGCTGGCGTCTCTGGAGCCTTTATCGTCCTGATATCCTATTTCGCCGGCAATGCGTGGGCCAAATTCCTTCCTCGCGGCGACAAATACGAGGCTCGATGGCTCGAAAGAGGCGGCCGAGGCAATCCTCCTCGCTGGATCTCTTTCATCAAGTTTGTCAACTGTGGTCCATGGTCTTTGAAAGAGCACGCAATATGTGCGATCACCGCGGGGTCGGCCTCGAACGCTTCTGCAGCGACATACGTCTTCGCTACACAGATCCTATTTTATGATCTACCTTTGAGGCCGGTAACTGTCATCCTCGCCACAATCTCCATCGGCCTGTTCGGCTATGGGATCTGCGGATTTCTACGTCCAATTGCTGTCTGGCACGTGGAGTCCGTCTACTGGGGCAACCTAGCTACTGTGAAGACCCTTCAAGGGCTTCACTGGCAGGAGGTTAAGGATTCCAAGCCAATGAGGTATTTCTGGTATGCTTTTGCAATTATGGCTTTATACCAGGTATTGCCCGCCTATGTCTTCCCGTGGCTCAATTCAATCTCAATTCCAGTATGTGATCCCGTTTCCCTTTTGCCCTATATATCGCAAGGCATTGATCTCAAAATTGGCAGTGCCTTGCTTCACAAAAATCGACCGGGCACACAGCGGAGATACTCACTAATTTATTCGGGGGGAGCCACGAACAATGAGGGTTTGGGTCTTTTCTCCCTTTCATTTGACTGGCAATACGTAAGAAGCCCTTCCATGCAGCATCACATCTAGCAAATAAGCTTAAAGTAGCAGATCATGTCTGGTCAAACCACTCTCCCCTTGAAGCTACAGGCTCATCAAGTCCTGGGGTTTGGTGCCTGCTTCATTGCTATGATAGCCATCTATTATGGGAATGCCTGGGGATTGAGATCGCTTCCTTTTCTGTCAACGAGGCTTCTGACAGCTGACGGAAAAAAGTATCCCTTGGGGAAGATCTTCCCAGGCGGCGTACTAGACAAAGCTGCCTTGACTGAACATGGTGCACCCAAGCTGGCTGGGACATTTGCCTACGGGATGTTGATGTCCAATGCTGCAGTATGTACCAAAACATCACGTTTATAACTGAGCTAGCTGATGATCTCTAGATTGGGGCCCTAATCATGCATTGCTGTGTGTTTTGGGGCAAAGAGGTTCGAGAAGCATTTCAAAGTGCAAAGAAGGGCAGATTCGACGATCGGCACCACGAGCATATGGCCAACCATTACAAAGAAGCTCCATGGTGGTGGTACCTCATTGTACTCATCGGTAGCTTCTTTCTCGGTCTGATTGTGGTTCTCAAAGAGGACGTCACCATGTCAGCTTGGGCGTACCATGTCTCACTGTTGCTGGGAATCATTGTCGCACCCTTCGTGAGTACTCTCAGTCTCATTGAGCTATGTGAATCCGAATCATGACAAATTGTAGAGCATCATTCTCTTTGCTCGATTCGGCAATGGCATCGCGACCAATACTTTGTCCAAGATGTTGGCTGGCCTCGTACTTCCCGGTCGCCCAGTGGGAAATATATACTTTGCCGCATGGTCGCATAATGTCGTCGGCAATTCAGTCAACCTTTGCAGTGACTTGAAGCTCGGGGAATACCGTAAGATTTCTTTTCGAACCCTTTACATATCGATACAAAGAAAAAGCTGACGCGTTGATATAGTCAAAATCCCTCCTCGGGTCATGTTCCTGACCCAGATATATGGCACCATGCTGGGTGGATTCGTCAGCTATGCCATCATGATGTCCATCGTAACCAGGAACAAAGCGCTTCTTGTTAATGGCAATGGAAACGCATCCTGGAGTGGAGCAAACATACAGGCGTACAACACTAATGCGGCCTCCTGGGCCTTGGCTTCTTATCTCTACAAGATTGGAGCTCAATACCAGATGGTGCCCATTGGGATGGCCATCGGGGCTACCGCTGTCATAGTCCATCGCCTCTTCGTTCAAGTGAGTCAGCCCTTATCCCGTCCACACCCCTATTTGCTCTTCTCAGCTAATGGACTTGAACATTTGAGTTTGTTCCAAAAGTCAAAAACTTCAAAACCACGGAACTCAATGTCCCACAGTTCATTCAATACGCTGGGTTCATTCCCCTGAATCAAAATCAGACTTGTCTCATCTTGAGTTGGATGATCTCGGGGCTCTTCGTACAGTATTATCTCCGAACCTACAAGCCTCGCAGTTTCAAAGAATATTCGTATTTGGTCGCTGCTGCGTTTGATGGGGGTAGTCTCATGGTACTGTTCATCCTTTCTTTCGCGGTCTTCGGGGCTGGTGGAATATCCCATCCATTTCCATCGTGGTGGGGGAACAACGTGAAGGGAAACTATGACTGGTGTCCGGTAACGTGAGGCTGGCACAATCCCTAGGGGCATTTGTTATTATTAGTTGATGGCGGAGGATATGCACTGAGCGAAATGCGTTGCTTTAAGACTAAATCGATATGTTAGCTAGGCCGGAGGTCAACCCGGCGACGAACATAAACGATGAAATGTCTTGAAACCTGTTTGCTTTGAAGTATGCCTCCGGATCAACGCCTCAAGAACCTTTATCCAAGTACACAATCTTGACCTATTCAGACCGGGTGGTGCCCAGTGCTTGTTTTAACCTGAAACGATCGTGTACCTCTTCCCAAACCTTAATCGATTTCCCGATTCTCTGCAAGTGATCCAATTACATTGTAAGCCGTGCCCTCGTGGCGACTGAACCACACAATTCGACCGACACTCTCAACGTGAATGATAAATGACTCGCGGAAGGCTTCGACATGGGGTGGGACTCGCACCCAACGAGCTTGACTATCTAATTTCGATCGGTAACGATGTCAAACCACGGATACTCAGTGTGATGGGCACGGAACCATAGCTCGGAGGAATTTTGAGATGACGAGCGGCGTTTAAAGAAACGAAGCGAAGATCCATATCCAATTTCACTTCTTGAGGCCCCTGTGGCGCAGCACTCTCGTTCGGGTAAATGAGATAGCCATGGTGGGTGTACACCTTAACATCTGGAATCCATGTTCAGGAGGCTAAATTTCTCAAGCGTGTGATAGTCCCGCCCAGTCAAATGAGAGCTTCGATCTTTTCCCTAGAAAAGTCATACCTCTTCGTTATGATTTGCGATTTGAATCATTTGAGACCGGGGACGTGGTGAAAGGATCTGCTTGAGTTATGTACGAGAGGTAAACATGACAAATCTCCGGCTCTGGCAACATCGCCGACTCCCCAGCATCAACTCGCAGAGACTGAGCCACTGGAAAGCTGGATTCCGATGAAAGTAATTTAAGGAACACATGACCATGGCAGCACCAAAGCAACCGCAAACGATTCGTACTTCATGGGGATTTTCAAGTTCAAATTTGTCAGTCTTAGTACTGGATGATGCACATCTGCAATCTGGACTTATAGGAGCAGTTTAATTCGTCAGAGCATGGCGCTAGAACAAGTCCCCAAACAGGTATTCATCGCCATCCAACTTGGCAACGGTATTTTCGCTTTAAAAAAACCTGTCCGAGAACCGCATGAGGATACAACCGCTACTAACCGCATTTGACACTCGCCATGTGGGCATCAAATGTGGGCATCCCATGCGGCTATCTCAAAAGCGGGCATCAAATGCGATTCGGGGTTGGTTAGTGCTCTTGGAGCCGTAATGAGATGACGGAGATCTCGCCCCGCAGATGATTCCACAACGACTCCTCCTTCTGAAGTGGAACATCCAAAGCCTTATAAGGCTCGTCGGCACTTGAGATGGAATCCTGAGAGATCCACTTGATTCTTTGCTTTGAAGGAACTCCAATACATTGGGACATAAGGTCTAATGACCTGGAAAATGGAATCTCGGTATCATTTGTAGCAGTGATCAGGGGCTTCTGCAACGGAATCGAACAAGGAACTTTACGCCCAAGAGATGATAAGATCTGCAGTGGCGCAGGTCGGCTCCTGGCTCTGGACCCGATTTTCCACCATGATCCACTTGTCATTCCGCCCCCTGGGAAAAAACTTCTTCAGTGGACCCTTGGCCAAGTGAAGGATTTAGCGGTGTGTGTGACCAGGGGTTGCTGAAGAAAAGATCGGAGGTGCCCAGCAGTATACTCTTGCTATAGGGGGGTGACAGACCACCAAATATGCCACGCTGCCTCGCATCCACGCTTTGGGTAGGTTCCCGCGAGATTGGTTTGTTCGCTCCGAGATCGGCTTCTTCCCAGTTTGACTTAATCAGAGTGGATCTGCTCCCGGGTAGACTAACAATGCACAAACTGGTTTCTAACATGCTATACTGCAGAGGTTTCTTAACCAAGTAGTCGGGACTCTTGCTACATCCCCGGATCTCCAAAACATATTAGCACAGTGTAATCTTCAGTCCCAGGCGCCCTGATCGCGTTTTTAGGTCCCACTCTCTGGGGTTGTCGCCAAGCCTCCGATCCAGAACGACCTGTTAACCCAGTTTCAATGGTGTCTTCGGCGGGCACGGGCCAAAGAGCAAAAGTACCGGCAACCTTGAGAGGAGCTTTCTCAGGATCGAAGCAAATCTGCCGATGACTATTTCCTTACCAAGTAACAATGAAGGAGACTTTGACGAGCCCCTCGCCTCAACGGCCATAAACGGAACAGCCCCACCACTCGGCCTTGCTTGCTGCTAAAGCCTCCATATTCAATTATTCGCACCTGTAGACTCGAGTTTGGCTAATTAAGTGTGTTCCTCATGGAGTAAAGCTCATTCAGGATATATTTTTAGTTACACTGAAGATCGACCAGGGGTACATCATGGTTTGGAAGTGTCAAAAAACAGCTCAGACGCAACAGGGCCGCTCTGCTTGCTTTCTTTTCAGTAAATTCAGTCACTTATGTTACTATGCCTCTCTGTAGTTTCTCCGTGTCGCATTCAAATCTGCAGCACAGTCCTTTCTGCCGAAATGACCTGGTGAACTGCACTGTTCGAGAATAGCTCTGCTCCGTAGTGTTTAGCTCAAGTCTGAATCATGCGCGGAACTCTACCGGTATTCCTCGGGAAAAAGAGGTCATTCTTTACCGGAGAGCTGTCCCAATAGAGGGAAGTGGTCGCTTCACCCTAGTAAATGAGACTGAGGTTCCAAACGGTTGACTAACAGTGGGCGATACCCTTTGCTACCTACTCTATGCGGCAAGACCTTTTGTTTCCTGTCGCTCACCAACATTACCTGCAACTATGCTCGAATTACCATTTCCTAGTGTAAGACTTTTGGAATACACAAATTTTCAAGATTGTAGAACCTCAAAAGCCGCACCCGGTCGTCCCTTAGCATTTACCTCCAGTCGCCGTGAATACCATGATATCCTATATTATTTAGCCTGAGAAAGTTGGCGATTGTATGTTTTGAAGGAGTTTGCTTTGACAGAAGTGGGTTCTAGAAGGGGGGATACCGTAACCGGTAAACCCTAAGCCCTCGGTATCCTGCCGGCGTGGAGTGAACGCCAGCATGAGTAATTTACCCGTGGTGGAGACTTGGCTTGGCGAATCTCAATTATTAGGATTTTTATAATTTCTTGTATCTTGGCAAGTCTAGACTCGAAAGGAGCCTTCCCAAAAACCTTTTTTTCGAGGAGTCACGCGAAGCCATGACAAGGCGTGTCGAAGTCCTCGCTGATTGCCAGTATTCCACCGCCGTAAGAGTACAATGAACGGCGCCCATTCGGAACGAGAATTTGACTTCATACTGACACTCTTATGGGAGAGAAAATGGCAGTCGCAGCAAGTCGAACTATTCAATGAAAGACGATGCAATTGCTCAAGGAGCTTTGAATGAAGGCTGTTGGGAAGCGGGGTAAAGAATGAGAAGATTACACCCGAGGCACTTGAATCATCCAAAAGATCACGCTCATTGTCCACGTCTAGCTTTGTCTACCACATGTATATTCAGGCGGCTCAAGATGCAGCCGCCCTTGAGTATTGTAAAGCTTTCCTTTTGGTCCTGTACCTGAAGTTTGTCGTCGTCAATAGTTTAATGATTTGAAACTACATCTCAAAATTCCATTGCAAATGCATTGTTTGCAGCATCTCGCAAGACACGGGTTTGCCGATAGAACTCCTGAGCACCCAGAATAATATCCGGCAAATGCTCATCGAACACAAACCGAGCGCGGCTTAGCGGTATAACAGACCGCCAACTCGGCTAATTTGTACTTTAAAGTCTGACTTTCGAGGTTGCGTTATCGCACCCATTCACTGACTAATTGATCAAAATCTTCCGAAGGCGTCCTTGAAGCCGAGGTCGAAAAAGGACATCCGGTTTTGTGAAGTGTACATAGAGATAATGGAGAGGGGTGATGACCAACGTTCTAGACAGTGGGATCTGACCACGTTCGCTTAGAATCATGTTCCGACCAGTAGCAGTTCTTGCGGATTCCACTGCTGGTACGCCTGGAGAAAAAGTGGCACGAACTAAGCTCATTGGGATTCCTACCGTAATTCGGTGGAGCTCTGGCGATAAACAGCCGCCTACGACGCGCCGCGACGAGACGCCTGGGCGGCAGACTGGTGCCAATGTGTCCTAATAGCCGTTGGCAACGTCGTCTCGGTACGAACGCATCAGTCGTAGTGGGGCTTTGCTTCGTCATTTCTTACTCGATGAAATCTGCGTTAGCGGGGTGTGTGGAAATACGAGGAGCGCTTTCGGTACAGGGTGACCAAGAAATAAATGTAGGTCTCCACTATTATTCTGCTGGCAGTTTGTAAATAACCAATGTATTGAGTTTGTGTAAATACCACTCATTGCCAGCGAACGCTGTAGAATGAAGATACTGATTTCGTCATAAATAGTAATTTCGTAAGGCGGTATGTAATTACGAGATGAAGGCGGTGAGAAAACCTACCTTGCTCGCACGTTCCACCTCCGAACTTGGACTTCGGTCCAACGCCTCGGGTGGGCCTGTTGGATGCCACACTGTGAACTTTGAAGAGATCATCCCTGACTTGGCCAAGTGAGTCCTTTGAAAGTGAGCTCCTCCATGAAAAGATTCGATAAAAAAAAAAGGCATTTCTCGCGAAGGTCAAAGCACCCCGGGCACGTGCGAATTGCCTGAAATAGAAGAGACCCGCCGTCTCCACTGTGTCAAACCGCGGATTTCCTGCGTTTTTGACACATGGGCCTTGTTGATCCTACATGTCTGCCCTTCTTCTGGTCCATTGTCTCACCGGACTCCTGGTAGGAATCATGGTCAAGGCACTCGAGCTCTGACCTGAGTGTTAAGCGATACGCAGCTCTACCGAGGCATTGCCATGTACTCGCACTGACAGAACAAGAATCCACAATGACCGGCGAATGGAATCAAGATTAACAGTGCATCCAGACCCCTGGGAAAAGGTCTGCAGCAATCCTGGTTAGGAAAATCCCGGAATCTATCGGCAAGCGGACCAGCTTACCCACTGAGGATCCCTTGTGCCGTGTCTGACGGATTTTGCAGCATTTGTCAAAACGCGCTAGGCTGAACGGCTCGCGCTAGCTTGATGCTAAATCTTTGCCCCGCGACCAACTCAGGCCTCGTAGGTGAAAATCCCGACGCTACCGGTGTTGCAGAGTGGGTGGCAAGTTCCCGGGACTCCAAAAGCACCACAATGTGGCTTTCTGCTAATATTATTACAACGGTGATCTCTTGTGCGGCTCGCCCCGTTTAGGACCGAATCCTAGCTCTGCCCATCTTTGCCAATTGCTGGTGGCGAGCGTTACTTGTGTCGTCTCTAGCGCACTACCATTTACCCCTGACGTGCCGACGGTTCTCCATCTTGCTTCGACCCCGTTCCAGAATTTTTCGGCTTTAAAGCGGTGCCAAATCCTTCTGCTGCATGCCACCCTAACCCTCAGGATGAGTAGCGATGAGGATCACCAGAACCTAGCGATTAAGGTGGTGCCGGCCGTTTTCGTGACGATAGCATTTGTGACCGTCGTGCTCCGATGTTACGTCCGCGGCTGGATCGTGAAGGCGTTTGGCTGGGATGACGGCGCCATGGTAATGGCTATGGTAGTGTACCCCTTCTGGCCCGCTTGTATGTGTTGATCGTGCTGACTTTGGGGTGTGGTAGGCCTGGTATGTGATGTTCTCCGGGTCTATGATAGGCGCTGGACTACACGGCAATGGGCGGCATTGGTATCATCTGGAGCCAGAGGAGCGAGTCATCGCCATGAAAGTATGCAGAAAGCTCCGAGTTTTCTCGAGAAATTATCACTAACTCGTCTTCCTATAGTACTGGTGGCTCTGTGAGATTGGTTTCTGCTTCGCCTCTATCTTCTGCAAGATTTCAATTTGCATTTTCCTGATGCGAATCTGTATCAAGAAGACCCACCTGTGGACTCTCTATTCCGTCATGGCCGCGACCGTTTTTGCCGGACTGGTATTCATGTTCCTCATGCTATTCCAATGCAAGCCTTTGTCCTTCTTCTGGACACGCTTGCAAAATCACCCTGTCGTGAACGTCGATGGTGAAGGGTCCTGTATAAACATGGAAATTATTGTCATCATGACATATATTTACAGTGGCTTTGCCGCATTTTGCGACTTCACTGTGGGAATATTACCAATCTTCGTCGTGCGCAAACTGCACATGAAGCGACAGACAAAGATGGCAGTAGTCGCAATCTTAGGCATGGCTTGCGTGTATGTGACTATTCAAGATGCGGTGCATCTAAGCTTGAAGGAACGTCAGCTAACATCGCTTGCAGTGCATCTTCCGCCGTTATCGTACGTATTCCTTTTGTGGACACTTTTAACGAATTGGACGACTTCTTATGTATGTTCTCCTTTACTCTTTTTATCGCTTGCCTCGAAAATGCTAATCCCCCGAAGATGCTACGGTTCAAATTGCCTATCGGTCTAATCTCGAGGCCGGTCTCGGTATCACTGCTGGCTGTCTCGCAACCCTCCGTCCCCTTCTTCGCCAATGGTTTGGATCAACCGTAGACCCATCCTATTCTGCTGGATTCCCCAAAGAATCTTTCGGCCGCTTCAATGCAAGTGCGCAACGACCGGTGCCTTTGGGATCAATGAATGGGACTACTCGAAGCGAGCTGAGACCCGATAAATTAGCTGTCATGGTGACGAACATCGAAAGCCAGAGAGACTTGGAAGGATCTTGGCCCGGGTCATCGAGTCTGAACAGTAGTGAGGAACGTTTAACCACACAGCATCCTCCACTTCCAGGGAAAATAGAAGTCGGTGTCCACCAGACGTTCGAGGTTACACGAACGGCGGCGGATGGCGACGATCTGAACGGCTCTCAGTGGATGGCGAGAGAGCATGTATAATATAGTCCTTGAAAAATTATTAATGAACAATCATGCACAAACAACCTCTCTGCTCTGCGTAGATAGGTCTTGAACTATTTGCGATTATATTCTCTCACTTTCAATAAAGTTATTCATATTCCAGGAATATCAATAATTGAGAATTGAATTCAAATACTGATGTGAATACTGCCATTCTAGTCATCTATCAGCCGACAGAGCCGAAATTCTTTTCTTAAGAGCCGTTGCAGTTGGGCTCGAGGCTCAATAATCTAAGAGCGACGAAAGCAGAGGAGGTATCTTGCTCAATGCCGGTCTATTAGTCAGGAAAAATGATGTTTGGGGAGAAAAATATGCATCTTCACACTTAATAACACTAATTGGACCCGTAGCTGTCAAGGTGAATAACTCAGGCGTGGCCCATCAAGGCTGGAATACGTATAAAGGTGAATAATATCTCGGTGAGGGAGTGTATACTCAAGCGAAGCTTTAGATGATAGACCCAGAGAAACATCACCTGACGTGACTCGCTCATTCCTTGGTCCACGGGTGTTCTGCCTTGCCATTTAAGGTCAATCAAAGAAGAGTAGTATGCATTGAAGCTTTTGATAGCCTCTTGTTCACTTGTTGCTCTGATAACAGCCGCTGAAAACGACCTAGATCTTAGTAATTAGAATGGTCAACCTTTGCTTTATCTTACATATAACCCCTTTCGAGGGTGTCACGTAATTTGAAATGTTGCTCAACACCTTGTCTCAATCACCACGCTGAAAGCGTCGCAGCTGTGTAAGCCTTAGAAACAGAGCTGCCTTGGCACTGGGATGGCACTTGGTTGGCTTTGGAGGCCCCCCAACTGGCAGGAACAGTTCCAACTTGCGAGCTGCTGCAGTGAGGAAAGCAGCATAGGACCAAGTGAGATCGCGGGCGGAGAGTGCGGTACCGGTGTCCCGACTGAACTGCTCTGCCAGGGATCCACTGTTGGGCGTGTTTTGCTCCACAATTGAGTAAAATCCATTTGCGTAGGCCTTGAATGCGCTCGCGATAGATGAGTATGTCGATAAGGAGCTAGAGTCATTTCCGATTTCTGCGGAGGACAAGAGATCCCGGAAGAATCGAAGACTGGTCTGTGTGATGGCTAGCGAGCCCTGTTTCTTCCATAGATGGATCGCGGAAAATCAACACATAGCTTGCGGTTAGAATGTGCACGAGCAGAGCAAAGCTGAAAGGCCGTGTAATCACAAGAAGAAGCCGGGTCGAGTGTCTGGATGGAGCTAAGCACCGAATTGGCATCTAACCCCAAGCGGCCATCAAGGAGATCACGGATGTATTATTCCAGAAGTCTTCTCGAAAACAAAAGACTTGTGGGGCCTGTAAATCACACATTTCACATTACTGTTTGAGAGTCGCGGTGAAGGCACTTCCCTCAACTAAGGCGTGGTGCTGAGCGGCGACTGTGAAGAATGACGACCCATGGACCTCCTCTCATAGACCAGAGCCAGTCTGGTTCCAATACTGGGTGATATAGTTCAAGTCATTCTGCACGATAGACCAAATGTTTGTCCTCGCGACTTACTCTTTTTCAGCGCTGACTAAATAATTTCCGTATGCAATGAGAGCCGAGGCACGCAGAGCAGGACCGTCGCGTTGAGGACGTCCCCAGTCCCCTTTTAAGAGAGCTGTCAAATTGACATTGAACTTCGGCTCTCCAAGGCCTGCCCCGTCAGATGAACCGCCTGATGGGCTCGATATCGTCTGCACCGTGGCCTGGGCTGCGATATACTGTTGAATCACGGTTTCCAAAGAGGTTTCTCCGGCTATGAAGCTTTCCACTACCATGGCCAGCGTCAGATCCGCATCTCGTGTCCATGTATAGTAATCTAGTTCTAGTTAGTTTGGAATGTGACGGGTAATGGGAAATTTGGAAAGGAGATGAAACACACAGTTGGGATTCGATTTGGATGGTGATGCCACCACAACGCCAGAGGAAGCACCCGCCACGTTAGTCCCATTCGCACCAACGTTATACAGCACCCCTTGGAGGGCAATTGAGGTCTCCGACTGGATGAAGCTGTAAAATTAGATTGAGGACAAGAAGGGCGGACGACAGATGACGTCACTGCTGGGGCTAGCGATGCCAGCAATGCCAGGGTCAAAATGTTGTGGCCGAACATGATGAAGCAAAAGATTTTTGGCAACTTTTCTCGAATCCTTCGAATAATTCTGTCGTATATATCTTCTTCAGAACATGCTCGTTCGGTCACATCGCAGGCTTGATCTCCACGGGGAATGAAGAAGTGAAACAAGTGCTCTCCGCGCCTCTGGTTGGACAGAGCGATGTCGACCATAAGGGATGTGATCCGTCAGTCGGAAATTACTCGACTAATAACCGGTCCGATAGGCCTGGAGCAGATTGCAGTCTTATTTGAAGCCTATCATCCTTTTGGACCCTGATTAATTGAGCTTTGAGTCTATGTAACCTCGGGGAAGCCGATGGTGAACAGAAGGTCCTGAGCCAACCGAGGCCCCGATGAAACCCCGTCGAAGTCGATCATCTGGGACTCAACAGTATTGATAAATTCTAGAATTCTAGCATTGTATCCTCAAAGGTTTATTGCAACTTTAAATCACTTGGCACTGACAGTAGTCGGGGCAAACACGGAGGTCCGTGGCATTACAGTGGTCTGAAACAACATATAATTTATCAGTATGGGTGAGATCATCAAACAAAGGCTAAATGCAGCTAAGGGGGGCAATCAAGTTTATCATATTATCACATAAAGTCATTCAATGTCTCCAGTTGCTCCTGCATGCTGGGCATGTGGCAGCATGAGCTGTTTCCAGCCACTGGTCGATGCATTGTTTGTGGAAATTGATTCCACATCGTGCCCGGCACCAAACCAGCTCTTCCGATCCACCTGCTGTTTCAATAAGCCCATCGTGTTGATCATCATCGTCGCCCTCCACCTCCCCTTGTCTCTCCTCTTCTTCCCGTTGTGGAGTCTTCAGATCACACAAGCAAATCCCACACTCTCCTTCCACCTCGCGACGGATGACAGCAACAGACTGATTAACCAGCACAGGGACCTGGCGAGCTGCATTAGGAGCAGAATGATTTATTGTTTCGTCGGCGATGCGAGCCATGCTTGATACAAGCGTTGGAGTTGCACCTGGACCGGGTGACAGGTGTTCCCGACGATCAACATGGGCCTGTGCTAGCCGAGTTGGCGTGGTTGCTGATTGATTCACTGACTCCGTCGACTGACTGGTTACGGAGTCTTGACTGATGATTCCAGGATACCTATCCCTAGTAGCTGAGATGCGGATACTGCTTAAACCAATCTCCCCACTTGTGCGCCTAGCATCGGGATCGCTCATGAGGCTAGTGTCAATTGTTGGCTCGTCTAGGCTCGCCTGAATAAGCCTAATTTCCTCCATGGTGTCACGGGGTCTTCGGTAAAGAAGAGTGGTACGCTCCTCCACATTGTCCTGAGAAATTCCCGGACAGGGATCTCTGGATGACCGACTGGTCTGACGCTCTGTTATTATCGAGGCGGCTTGCGTATCGAGTAATGTGCGAACTTTTCTTTGCCAGCGACACACCAAGTCTGAAGCTTGACTTTGATGGAATCGTGTGCATAGAACATGAGGGGCCAGGTCTTTTAGCAATTCATCGATGCAGCGACCAGCCCGAAGATCTTTGGTGCCCTCATGAAGAAGCACCATTGCTGAACGGCGTCCGTGCGCGTTTGTCCTGGTGTGGCAGCGACGGCCCTGAGAGGGGGCGTAGCCGGCACACCATGGCTCTTTTTCTGGCTCGAGGTCGATGATCTCACATAGAGGGGGCAAGGCTGGACCCGCTACATAAGAATGTGTGGATGGCATTTTGAATAGATCATACAAGCCTGCAGTGTACGCCTGGTCGTGAGTAGTTGTTGCGCTGCGTCAATAGTGCCTCTTGTGTCAATGGATTTGAAGACATGAAGGCAGGTGGCTTCTTTATATTGAGCCAGGCCGTGCAAGGCGCAGAGCGTCGGAATGTTCCCTGTAGAATTCAAACATTGCTCTGCCACAATATTGTGGCGCGACTCTCAAAATAGTACCGAAACCGTGCTGGGACTGGGATTTATAAGAGATTATAGGGGAATAGATACCAATCAAGATTGGTGGTCACTGGCTAGCGGGCATGTAAAACCCGACGGCTCGAGGCTGTGCCTGCACGAGCGCGTCAAAAAATGAGGGGCTTGGTTTTCTGTTGGCTCTCGAGGCATCCTAATAGGCTCCTGTTCAGAAAAGTGCAAGCTTGCTGCATGGGACTTCTGTTCTGCGAGAGATGCATAGTTGGCGCTAACTATCACAATGCTGTGCTCTCATTGACTGCAGATACCGATCCAGGTGGAGACTGGCGTCAGAACCATGGGAATGCGGACCGCCCCGGGGCCGAAGTAGGGGATTAATCGGGCTCAAACCGGGGACTGCAGTTCGCATTGAGATATTCTATAATGGAGTGGACCGCTAGACAAAGAAAAACATGACTTTCACGGCCTGATCTTTCCGGGCAGTCAACGTCAGTACGAGCAAGTTTGACACCTGCCGCCCGAGGCTAACTTTTTTAAGCCGAGCCGCTCCTGTTCCCCACCCAAATTCCCACGGTATGTAGGGTCTTTCCGCTACTCATCCTTCCTAAGGACCTCCAATTTTCATTGTTCGGGTGTCGGTGCCATGATTAGCCGTATCATTCTAATAAGTCTAGTCAAGCAATCATATGCCCAGCCTAACACGACAGCTCTCGAAGGATGGCAGTTAAACAACGATTCACGTCTCTGGACCTGTCTTTCAACGATTCTCACATGTACATGGACAGCGCTGCATCTATCCGTTCCAACATAAGATGAGTCTGATGCTGCATACACGTTCTAGAAGATTGTAGCCTGGATGGGCGCTGTGCTCGCTCCAGAGTTACTGGCGGGGACCGCAGCGGAGGAGCGGCGGAAGGCGAAAGCTACAGCAGCGCGCTGCAATGCTGCGTTCTGCAAGCTATCCGGTAAGTCGAGAATGGCGGTCTCTTCGCTCTCGGAGAACTTGAATAGAGAGCAACAGAATATTGAACAAATTCCTGATTGACAGGGCATGTCGGATGTGGACGATGCTACTTCATATCAACAGAAAAAGGCCTCAGCAGGAGACGAGGTGCCTTCGAAGGAAGATGAGCCCAAGTTACCCACTGTTTGCTGGTTTACTGCTCAGGGCTTTTGTCTAGCCATGGACGGTGTTTTCCTTCAGATCAAAGATGGTTGGACGTTTCCAGTGCAACCGAATCATGTTGTTCCTTTGATTGAAGCCGGTGTTGTGAGCTCTTTTCACTTGAGATCCCGCGATATAAAGACCGCGCCAAAACCGACGCTTTTGCCAAAGGTTTCATCTTGCTGCAGAGCGAAGGCCAGCAATCCATTGGAGCCAATGACCGTGGTAAGTTATCTCAATCTCACACACCTTTATATGTTTGTGGCTCTACGTTTTTGCGGGATACATATTGCTGCGTAAGTCTCACAATCCTATTTTCCATTAGCCTTACTGAACCATTGAGTAGGTTGGAACTCCGAATACCAACGCGAGCGGAACACATTGTTTGAGTTTTCTCTCTCTCCGCATTTTGTGTGGTTGGGCCGATTTACTCACACTTTTGGAAGTTCTATCGTGTCTATCGTGAAACATGGGACATGAACACCGTTGCAGAAGTCTTCAATTTTGTCTCAGGTCGAGTTCTGATTCTGTGGACTGTTTGGTTCTGGATCCATCAATTGCACGGTGGGGGAACCTCATTCTCATTTCATTCGCTTCAGGGCAATTCCAGCTGGTTCATAACTATGTCACGATAAATTGGATGGCAAAAATTCCTCACATCTCAGTCAATATCACATTGTCTTGTGCTGAAATTTCACTACGGGTTTATGCCAATGATCGGGTACAAACAGACTTGGAACCGGGAGCATCAATTCGGAAATACCTTTCTTCGAGTACACGCTAGCCTCCCGACGCGGCAGATTCATTTCTGCATTGAGCCCCAACTCCCAGATAAGCTGACCACGCCCTAAGAAGACAATGTCCACTCTAGATCTAAGGACGAAAGAGGTTTGTTTGGTGAGCTGGAAAGAACCTGTGCAGTGTCCACAAGTCTTTGAGCCAAAGCGCTGGCACTGTGAGCGCTCATCACTCGATCTGAAGTAAGGACTTGAACTTGCAACTCATCTGTGGTGGTGATGGAACGAATCAGGATTTGATCGGGAAGATGGATGTTTGCGGTCCACGAAAGATCTTCACATAAAGCACCATCAAGCGTGAGAGGCACGGGGCTTTTGTGCCCATCAAGATGGTTCATCATAAATCCCAGTTTTGTGTTTCCGTCCCAGTCGGTGCAATTGGTGATAATATCGGATAAGTTCAAGTAACTGTGCCGAGTAACCTGGACGTATTGATCATGTAGTAGTTGACAGAGGTCGAGTACTGTTCTGGCTTGAGACAAGCGCGCTCGAAGAGGGTTGATGTTGATACATGACCCCAGCATTTTTTCCACTCCTCGCAAGGGAATGTCGCGAGTATTCATGACCACGCCGAAAATTACGTCCTGATCCCGCACCATCTGTGACAAGACGAGACTGAAAGCTGCATTCATCAAAGTTGGAATTGTAAAGTCTTGCGGTGGAAGAGGCACCTTCCCAGTAGCGCCCTGGCGGATATGCACATCCGGTCGGTCTTCCCGGCAGAGACGGAGACTCGTTGGTAGTGTCATTGATGCAGATTTGAGATTTTCCCTCCAAAAATCAAAAGCATCCTTAGTCCTGTATTGATAACATGCATATATGTAATGGCTGTAGGGCGTGGGATGCGCGTCAGTGTATGTCTTTCCAAGGCTGTTGTAGGCGACTGAAATGCTTTTGAAAAGAACAGGTGACGAGTATCCATCGTATTGAGCGTGTGATAGTTGAACCATAAGTGCATGCTCCGTGTTTGAGCGAGATATCAGGGTAAACTTGATAAGTGGATTTCCTGACACGCTTGCTTCGCTGAGAGCAATGTTCGAGACCGACTGACAGATAGAATCAAGCTTCTGCTCTGTCTGCACATGTTTGAAAGGAACATCAAGATGCTTCAGAACAACTTGAACAATGGTACTATCGAGCCGGGTATAGACAGTCCTCAAACTGCTGTGTTGAGATACAGCGGCTTGGCAGGCGGCGCGCAATCGTTCGATATCAATATTCCCATTCAATATGAGGCGGAAAGAGGAAAGGCTCCACTGTGTCAAGAAGAATATCTGTGTATCTGTGACAGGGACAATGTCGGCAATTGCGTTTTTAGAAACAAGTCCTTCCAAGCTCGCGGGAAGATTAGACAGCGTCCTAGAACCGACGAGAGAGAAAGGCGTAACACGGATAGCAGTGTCAATCCTCGGCCTTGTCGACAGAATCTGGGCCAGCCTTTCCAACGTCTTTTGCTCGAGTATATCTGCCACCGATAAGTTCAATCCCTTCGATCGAGCAAGAGCAGCGACTCGCATCGCAGTGATTGAGTCTCCACCTAAGCTGAAAAAGCTGTCGCATGATCTGATCTTGTTCGGGTCCACACCAAGGATTGATGTCCAGATACTCTGCAGCTGCAGCTCAATCTCAGAGCAAGGAACTGATTCTTTGCTTTCAGATTCCTGTAATCTGCCCACTTGGTCGAGCGACAACGATGAAATCATCTCTCGCAATTGCCGCCTATTCTTTTTCCCGGTAGATGTCATTGGGATTTTCTCAATCATGACGAATTCACTGGGAATCATATAAGCGGGTAAAAGCGCGCCCAGCTCCTTTTCAATTTTGGGCAGAACCTTGCGCAGAGCGTTCTCCATATCACTTCCTGCATTTTTCGCGCCATGCATAATTTCCAGAAACGCGACAAGCAATGCGTTTTTTAAACCCCGTGGCTTGACAAGGTCGACCATCACAGGTATATCAAATTCGTGGCGAAGGCTTCGTTGAATGTGATGTTCCACTTCATCGAGTTCGACTCGCTGCCCGCGAATCTTGACTTGCGCGTCCTTGCGACCAATGAAACGGATACTGCTGTCAGGCTCATATCGGCCAAGGTCGCCAGTTCGGTAAACACGCATGGGAGGAGATTCTGGTCGAAGATTTGAAAGCCAGGCTGGGAGTGGCAAGAAGGATGCCTCTGTTTCAGTTGGATTTTTGATGTAGCCCCGGCCGATACTGGGGGTTTCAATCACCATTTCACCAACAGCACCAATAGGAAGAAGCTTATTGGGGTCTTGCACATCCACAATCCAAATGTTTGATCCGCTCCCATGGCCAATGTTTGTATGATGATCGTGGATACTAATATTGGGTCGCAGCGAGCTGATAGTGGTAGTCTCAGAGGGACCATATGCATTGACGAGGTTGAGTTTTTCCCCCCAGGTGGCGATGTGAAGAGAAGTCATAGGCTCACCGCACAGGATTAGATGGCGCAAATGAGGCACCTCAGTTGGGTTCAGAATGTTCGCAAGAGACGGTGTCAAACTAGCCCAGTTGATCTTTTTCTCGGCCATGAAAGCCATCAATCTGTTGTAACGGTCAGATTCGGACGGCACGCAGATACAGCCGCCGAACATCAAAGTGTAGAGAATATCCCGATTGCTGACATCGAACACATAATTGGCAAATTGCATAACCCTTGAATGCCGGCCCAAAGACAACACTTGGTTGTTTGCCACTGCTCGCAAGTAGAAAGCGCCATGCTCAATGACAACGCCTTTGGGCTTGCCGGTGGAGCCTGAAGAAAATGCGGCATAAACGGCATTTCCTGGTTGGATTGATCTGTCAATGGGTTGCCCCTGATGGCAATTTATCCGAACGAGATGTTCCCCCGAGACAATTACGGTCTGTATGCCAAGTTTATCGCCTACTGCCGAATGAGTGGCAGAGCACACCAAATACTTAGCTTGTAGATCTTGAGCAATGCTGGCAATGCGAACAAGAGGATAAGTTGGGTCAACGAAAGCGTAGGCTCCTCCTGCCCGCAAAACTCCAAGAACAGCCACTATGGCCCATTTGGACTTTTCGAAACACAATGGAACGATGGTATCGGTAGTAATGCCGTAATCAACGAGACGTCGCGCCAGTTGCGCTGAAAGCAGATCCAGCTCGCCATAAGTAAGACTTCCGTCCCAAGAGTCAATAGCTACATCACTAGGAGTGCGAGTACAGTTTTTCAGAATAGCTTCGTGGACACATATGGGTTCTTGCCGCGGCAAAGCAGGGCACCATCGGCTCAGCTGATCCATGTCCTGTGTACTGCAAAGATTCATGTCGCTGACCCTGGAGTCTGGCTGACGACGAATATGTGAGAGTGCGAGCTTGAAAGTCATCACTAGACTCCGAGCCTGGCCCTCGGATATGACCGAGGTGTCGTAATCAAGAATGATGCATGCCGATTCTCGCGTCGTTTGAATACGTAACACGATGTCTATAGTCTACATTGCAGAAACAATTAGTAAATCTTCCACAGTTTGCGGTGTAGAATATCTCTGAGATCGCGAACCTCGGCATAGAGAGTATTCCAGAGTGACGCTGCATCCACGCTTGGATCATTCTTCGAGTCCACTATCCAATGCAATGCGGTATTGAAGTTGTCACGGCTCTTGTGAATGGCAGCACCATTCATTTCCAAAGGCTGCTTCCATAACGGTGACTCGTGTTGAGTCTTGGGGATGAGGTCCGAAAACGTAGATGCGCTAGACAATTCAAAGTCACACAGATACAGTTCTTTCTCGTGTTTACCAGAATGAACATAGAGGAAGACAATGTCGTCGCAAGCAGTATACAAACGCAGGACAACACCCCAAGCCAGATGAAAAAGCCTCGTCTGATCAACTTTCGCTTGCAATACATTCCCATCAAGTTCTATCACCTGCTGTTGTCTTTGGCGAGGGCTTTGGTCTGGCTGCGCGCCATTGAGAGCAGGGAAAAAGCAACACCGCTCCGATTGCTTGTCCGAATTTTCCATAGTCGAAATCCGTTGAGCAGTTCTTCCGTTCATCATGAAGAAAGTATGAGCAAAGTTTGGAGCGAGTAGACAATTTCTAAATGCCAGCGAATAGACCCGTTATATCCATGTGTTATTTTGTTCAGATGATGTAGTCGGTGGAGATCGTTGGACCCACCTGTCGAGATTTTGGGTAAGCAAATACTACGCTCGTTACAGCCCTTGCCTTTTACGATGCTTAGCAACGATCGGGACAATAGAATGAGGTAATATTGGTTGCTCTATCAAACCGATCAGCCAAATGAAATGCATCTTGTCGCGCCACAAAATAGACACATAAGTGGGTAACAGAGTTCGCGATAATAGTCGACAGCTCACGAACCTAAGTGGGGCGATGGCACTGCCCAGATGCAAAATCAAGGAACAATCTTGGATGCTTGATACTAGTCTGTCGATCCTTCTGGGTATGATCGTTGTACGTGGGTATGATCGTTGTACGTGGGTATCATCGTGTATGTAATGTTACGTATGGATAGTTTCCTGGATACTCGAGATTCCTGAGGTTCATATGGGATTGTCTTCTTCCTATTGCTGTCGGGAAAGGCCATTGCAAGATTAACAAACTTCATCTACCACAAACAATGGCCGAGGATTTTGCCTCCATCCCTGCGATCGACTTCTCTCTGTCAAGATCTCCAGAGACCAAGCCTCAGTTTCTGTCAGATCTCCGGCATGCCGTGGTGAAAGTGGGCTTTTTCTATCTCAAGAACCATGGTATCAACGAAGAAATCCAGCGCCAACTGGTTTCCGAGTCAATCAGATTCTTTGACTTGCCAGCGGAAGAGAAACAGGAGATCGCCATTGCGAACAACAAACATTTCTTGGGCTACGTTGGATTCACTGCCAAATCAGGCGACACCTTTGATCACCGAGAGACATTCACAGTAGGTTTCCGCACCTTCTTCACATCGCATAACAGAGCCATGTCTAATGTACTTCAATCAATCTAGCTGGGGATGGATCAGCCGGCTCCTGGACCGGATGAGCCCATCTATCGAAATTTACGTGGTCCCAACCCGGTCGGTTTTCTTCCTCCGCAATTCTCACATGGTCCTCATCTAACATCTCTCAGTGGCCCAATGAATCACACATGCCTGATTTCCGCGTAACTATAGAACACTACATGGACCAGGTTCATCGACTGGCAAATACCTTCACCGTTCTGATCGCAGAAGCTCTTGGGCTCGAGCAAACTGCGTTTTGTCAACTCTTTGATGAAGCATCAAATGACCGACTCATGCTGGCTAAGTATCCTCTGCCGGCTAGCTTGTCCGAGAGCAAAGAGAAGGACTTCCAGGGCATCGGTACGCATCGGGATAGCAGCTTCCTGACCTTCTTGTTCCCTGGCACAGAGCATACGGGTCTTCAAGCTCAGAACAAATCTGGAACCTGGATTCCTGTTCCACCTCTTCCCGGTCACTTCATCGTGAACATTGGTCGCCAGCTGGAGGCGCTGACGAAAGGGGTCTGCGTAGCTACCACGCACCGAGTCAGCCTTCATCCTCGGGACTATCACGACGACAGCGGCAAGCCATTAGGCTCTCGTTATGCATTTCCGTACTTTCAGGTGTTGGGACTAGACTTGACGCCAGCAACTGCATCCGTTGAGATCCCCGCTCACATTGCGCAATTGGCCGATGGCAATGTCAAGTCTGACGCAGAAACATACTTTCAGACTTACTTCAAGGATGGCATTGGGAAGGGAGTGTTGGCTGCGCGAGCACTCAGGCATCCGTTGGCGGCACAAAAATTTTACCCCGGTCTTCTAGAGGAGCTTACAGCCGGCAAAGTCTCGAAGTAGCTGATGTATCCATTCATTGATTCTTCTCCATATTGAATCTAGAGCATACAGCAAACTCGCCAGCTGATTTAAACAGGATGTAAGGCATTCGTCATTACAAACACACTTACGGATATGTAAAATACATACTGTAGTGGGAGAATTGGTGACATAATGAGCCTATGTGTGGCCTCAGGCATGATTTAATGTCTGCAGTGCATAGTACATCTCCAGACACACTTGGAGGGAGACAAGTCATCTACCCAATTCATTCAGTATTCACCCAATTTCTTCTATCCATGATGCAGCATTAAGATTATCCCGCACGGCCGCAACAGGGCATCAGTACGGCCTCACCCAGAATCCTCTACACCAGACAGGCAGTGTGTGTGTGTGTGTGTGTGTGTGTGTGTTGTCCAGTCTGCATCGCCAGACAGCCATCGAGCCGTTCCCATTTCAATACCTTGGCAATTACACGGTCCACGGGAGCTGATTCTAGCTCAGGCAAGGGCAGCGCTGATCAATGTGAGTTGCTCGGGAGATCGGGATTTGGGCACCAGTATGCATTCCGCTCGATCCAACCCGGATTTGAGCTCGATCAATCGCGATCTCAGCTTGATTATTCTAAGCTCCGTGCATTTCAGCTCGGCTGCCTATGTAAGGGCTGAATTGCTAAGATTCTCGATCGCTGGGCACCTTGGAGCCAGACAGGATCCACTCATTAGGGGGCGGCTGAGCCTGGGGGGGTTCTGTGGAAACTCGTGGGACACTTTCGGACCTGAGTTCCTCTCTTTGCTCCACCTGAATAAAATCTAGCTCTCCCATGAGCTTTTCCTTCCCTCGGAGTTTCACATTTTGAGGCGACGAATCGTACTTGTGTGCTGATTTCTCCTCCCATAACGATGGCCCCGAATGAGCGGTCACGTCTCCTACCACCCCCGGCCTCAACCAGGGTAGACGATAATGCTCCGGAACAAAACAATTCCAAGGTGAAACGCTCAGCGGGGTTGATAGTTTGCGCAACTTTCCTTGGTAATGAGAGGTTCCCCAATTCCAATCAAGCCAACTAGGTAGTAACACAAGAGGCAGGAGAATTCCTGGCCAGTGCCGATGAGTCCCTTATGATTTCGACGTACAGTGCCATCGCATCCGACTTTCGCAGTCTTCCCATGGGATCTTTCCTGCTTGTGGCATACAACTTTGGATATTGTGTTGCCTCGCCTGTGGTGAGAGCTTGCCCCAATAATTTGCTTTCGTACTCTTAATTGTGCACTACTGATGTGACCTCCGAATGAACCAGTATGGAGTATTGGGCGACCTTTTTGGAAAGAAGAACATCATGCTCTGGTCTTATTTGTCCTTTATGCTGGGATGTATAGCTTGGTAAGATAACTCTGGAGATTCGCCTTAACCGAACATCCTCTTTACTAAAGCAAAACAGTGGTAGTAGTGCCTCTATTCAGCAGCTCATTCTGGCAAGGGCTTTGGCTGGAATGAGTGGTGCGGGCATGGTATCGTTGGTCTCAGTGATCATGACAGGTAAGATATCGTGTTCTTGGTCTTTGATTACCAGAAAATTGGGCTAAATAACCCGTAGACATCATGCCCTCCGAGGATGTAGTGATGTATCGCAACTACGCCAACATGGTTAACATGGTCGGACGAGCTTTGGGAGCACCGATTGGGGGTTTTCTGACCCAGACGGTGGGCTGGAGATGGTATGAGTGTCATTCGACAGTTCTCTCTCTTCTGATGGTGCATGATCTTATAATGAATACAGGTCCTTCTTTGGCCAGATTCCGTTGGTATTGGCTTCAATCTTGATCACTGCGCAGCAGATGCCATCCTCCCTGAATCGGCCGCAGCATATCGAAACCTCTGCGCGGTCAAAGCTCAAGCATCTTGACTTTGCTGGCATCATCGTATTCGCTGCAGCTGTTCTTTCACTTCTACTCATGGTTCATAACTTCGACTCAGTAGGACTGCAACAATCACAACTGTTTTTTCTCACTGCAGGAGCATTCTCGCTATTTACAGTCATGTTTCTTTTGGTGGAGATTTTCTGGGCAGTGACTCCCTTGATTCCTTTGGATTTGATGAAAACATCGTTTGGAATGTATTGCGTCTCACAGCTGTTGGTCACAACCGGTCGAAGTGCGGTACGTGATCTTTTCTGTTTGACGAAATGGTTCGCTGTTCTAACTCGGACATGCAGTTCATGCCCACCACGGTTCCTTATTTTGTCCGCGTTCATAACGCGAGCGACTTTGAAGCATCTTTGGTCAATGTAATTGCCATGTTTGGTGTCCCAATTGGTGGCTTCCTAACCGGCCTTTTCATCAAAAGGTGAGTGTAAATCTTCTCTACCAAGGGAAAAGCCACATGTGCCATCATTTAGCTCGACGAAAGCTATTCTAACACAATTGATCATTAGAACAAACCAACATAAGAAATTGGGCATCATGGCTGCAAGCCTCATGGGCGTGGTTTATCTGGTCATATTCTTGCGGTGGCGAGTCGGCTGCCATCTTTGGGAATCCCTATACCTCCTTCCATTTGGCTTCACCATGGGTGTCCTTTTCTCCACTCAATTCATTGGAATGACATCAACGGTTCTCAAAGAGCGTTTGGGACAGTGCGTGGGCACTTTCTATCTCTTTCAGCAACTGGGGCGCATCATCGGGCCTGTCTTCGGATTAAAGCTAATCGACCAAATATTCAAACAAAGCCTGATTGACAAACTTACATCAGGGCCTGAGAAGCAAACGGTACGCTCAACATACTCCTCAGACATTTGTTCATTACAACATCATTTTTCTAATTGTCTGCAGCTTATCAACAATATTTTGAATGATGCTCGGTTTTCTTTTACTCTTCCGACATCGATGCAAAGGATCGCGTCTCAAAGCTTTTTACACGGGTTTCAAGTTGTCCCTGTACGTCAAACTTGCTATGGGACTTTGCGGTCAGCTTCAAAGCTTTTGAGCTAACTGTGATTTAGTGTTCTGTGTCATTTGTGTTGTCTTCGCACTACCAGTCATGATATTGACTAAATAAGTTGCCATTGAAGTTGGATATGATTTCGTGTAGTTTTATCTTTTTATTCTGTATCACATTGTGTAACATGACAAGTGGCGTGGGGTCTTAAACCACGGTACAGAAAACGCGGCTGAGAAGTGGAGCCGTACAATCAATACAATCCATTTTCGATCTCTGTATACCCTAGTAACGCCCCCTATGTCACCCCTCTTACGAACCTTACCTACAGCTTATGCGAATGCGAGATCGGGGCTTATTTTATTTATTTATCGATAATTTGACAATGCCGATCAAGTCATGCTAATCACGCCGCAGTCCACGACAGGAAAGCTGCCCAGATAGCTTGGCCACGAGAGAGGAGCAGGCGCTATAATTACATCCAGTGATCCCCAGATCTGAATATCCATCATTGTCTCACTATCAAGCTCAACCATGTCTCCCATCATCCTCAACCACACACTGGCGGACCTGTATTCAGAAGATGGTGACGTCTCAAATCTGGTCGCTGTCTTTGCGTATCCCACTGCACGCAGCCAAGGCATCGCCTCATCTCCTTCGTCCAAAAAATTCATCTATCAGACGCCATTGGCACCCTCAACGAATCAAGATGCAGTCGAAAGGCGCCGTCTACACAACATTCCGCTCAAGATGGCATTCACGATGGGGAAAATGCCCATAGTCCTCTTTGATCTCGATCGGAGTGAAATGGATGACAACGGCGAATATTCCCATCACGTCGATGCGTGCAAGGTGCTGGACCAGTTACATCCCAATCAACGGCCTAATATCACCTTTACCCGGGGCCCGGATGAAATCCAGCTACAGAAGGATGCGCGAATTGTGATCTTGAGTCCTTTGGACTTCATAGCTCATTTACCACACGCTGTTGACCCGGAGATCCACTATGATTTACTATCAAAAAGAGGACTAGCTTACTCTGGACTTCCTACCCCACGCACTGTGGTCATGGACAGCATAAGTCTTCCCAGCGAGGGCTTTTCCTCAACGCAGATTAAAGACGAGATCCAACGCATGATGTGCCCCATCTATGAAAGGGAGGTTCCCTTTATTGTCAAGGTTCCACAAGCTGTCGGGGGTCTTGGAACATTCATCGTGCGTACCGAAGCCCAACGCCAAGCTGCTGCGACAGTGCTTGAAACAGAGCTTGGCCAGATATTGCGCAACGTTACCTCCCTGAATCAACATCTCCAACCTTGCTGTTTGATCATTCAAGATTTTGTCCCAGGGGACACCTTGGGGCTGACTCTGTTTGTGACGCAGCTAGGGAGACCAATTTTCATCGGCTGCTGCACACAGGCCGTGGACATCGCGGGACTTTGGTCTGGGGGCACGATATCCTATCCGAGACAGGCCGAATTGCAGAAGCGCTTTGGGGAGTTAATGGACAAGATTGCGAGACTTTTGCACAAGAAGGGGTACTACGGTCCTGCCGGTGTTGATATCATGATTGACCAAAATGGAAAACCGCTCATCATTGATTTTAACGTCCGTGTCACTGGTTCATACAGTCTGGGATGTCTCCGGAGCCACTTTGAACAAAGAGGTCTATGTGAGGCGCTGCTGTCTTCAATCAACCCTCATTGCTCTCGGGAAGATTTCCAGAACCATTTCAAGGAAGAATTTGAACATGGAATCTTCATCATGATTACATGGACTTCTCATATGCCTGATGGCTCGAGCTTGGCTATGGTTTGCATGGGGGCGCCAGACCAGACTCAGCTTCAAGATCTTGCCGCTAGACTCGCTACCTTCGTGTCCGCATCGAAAGACTCGGGTCCCGATGGTCACAACCTTCATACCATTACTTCTGCACCATAATTTTAGACAAAGGCCTGTAGGACAACATGGGTCACTTAGACCATAAGTCCTGCAATGATCGTTTCTCCGTCAGATCGGCCATCATAAATCACAGATTCCGGGCTGAAGTCAAAATATGTTGTTTTTCACTAGGATTCCGAATTACTGAAAGATATGTATGAGATAGATCATGCGCTCCAACAAAGCAATGCACAGGTGGAATTAGACTCTAGGCGTCACACGGAAAATAAGAAACTTGTAAGATTTTGATGAGTCCAGGGTCAGACTAGAATTACCAAGTAGATCGATATGGTATTTCCGATCTTGTTTCATCTTACCGCAGTGGAGCCCTTTGTCAATACTGCACGACCAAGTGGCTCCACAGAGCCCGCAGTCTGGACCCACTGTTCAGCTCGCAGGAACTACTGATCTCGACCCACGCATCACGTTTTCCGGCCTGGAATTCGCATTGGATCAGGAGAGCTTTTGAAAGAATGAGGTAAGTTGGCTACAATCGAGCTAACCACAAACAATAAATGGGGCCACAAATGTCTATACCGCTACATCCCGGATTTGTTCGCTTGTTTACGTTTCATCTTTGGGCCGATCGCCCTTTCTTTGGAATCGTCAGATGGCCGGCATGAGATCCACCCCGTATGCCAGAACAGTGTTGTTCTACATATTGTAGTGGAAGGACCAGTGACGTATAAGATGTGTGGCCTCAGGCATAAAGATGTCTGAGGCGTATGGTTTATCCTCGTCACAAAGTTGGAGATAGATTAAGCACGTACTCAATTCATTCCATTTCTCACATTCTACGCCTCGAGATACTGGAGTAAAGGTCATCTTTATTGCATTATTTCGGAAGTTTCATATCCTGCCTACCGTACGTGGGTGTGTGCGTTTTTGTCTTCATGTTGGTGTTGCCCTGTCTGCACTGCCACACTGCCATTGAGCTGTCCCTATCTCAGAATATACGTTAGTTGCATGTACATCCTACCAGAACTGTGTACAGAGCACTTCAACAAAACCACAGCTCTTCATGGAACCGATTAGGTAATTATTTCTTGTTTTGACACAGTCCTGGTGTCATATGAATACATTTCACAATGAATATGTGACGATCGTCTACTTAGAGCAAATCAGAGGAGCGCCTCTACGGCAGTCTGGTAAGATTTCTTGAATACGAATACCTTTTTATGCCGTGAGCTAGTCGGCTTAATTCCCAATGGAGTCGCCCCATTCTTATGCATAGCATGTAAATACAACAATAATACTGGTAGCAAAACCACTCAGAGATGCTGAGATTATAAGAAGCTTGTATGTCCTTTTTCTCAACCTGTATTTAACCCTGAATTGAGCCCTGTTTGGCACAAAAGGCAATTCAGGAAATGGGGAAGGCCCATTCAAGTTTCTCCAGACATGACAACAACCTGGGAAAAATAAGTAGAGACTGGCAAAAGAGAATTCGTCTAATTACACTTGCATAAATTGGATTCCTCTAGGCAATAGTCTCGCACCCTCTTCCATTGGAAATATCCTCCAAATATAGGAGTACATGGTTCGTCGAACACAAGAACACAAAAACATCACTGAACACCCAACAATTAGCCGATATCTCAAGAAACCTGTTCGACTCAATTACAAGTGACTGCAACCATTGATTATTTCCCAAATTACTCAATGTTCCCCGTTTTGGCGATGGAGTCTATGTCCTTCTTGTTCTCCGGCACAACCAGAACAGAATTTGCCTGAATGGTCTGCAACTGCTTCACTTTCCGAATGTCAACCCATCCTAGGCCCCAGCCAAACGCAAATGTGGCTACACTGACCCCGATACCGAGATACATGACGTGACTAATTGCGTTGGTATAGCACTTGAGTGCGGCTGTGAGCGCATCACCAGAGACAAGACTTCGTATTGAAGTGAGTCCAGTGGTAAGGATGATGTCTGGTTGGACGCCAATTTCGTGGATGTGCTTCTGAAGCTCCTCACGCAAGCCGTTGGTGAAGATGGAATTGGCAGCAATTAGGAAGACGGCGCCGCCCATGTTCTGACAGAAGATGATGATAGCCATTGCAATAGGTATCTGTGGAGGGGGCACAAGGTTTTGAATAGCTACATAGGGCTTTGAGCAAAAGGCAGGTTAGCGAATTGTTATGGAATGTGGAGTATGAAATAGGATACTAAAAAGAAAGCTTACTGCTGAGGTCATAGCCCCACTACCAACACCATAGAGGATTTGATAACCAATCCATTTTGAGGAGGAAGTCGTGGGCTTGATCGTAGACATGACACCATAGCCAATGGCGGCTAGGGCGCTTCCTCCTAGGTTCCAGGGCAGATAATAACCGAAGATCTCGGCTGTGAAACGTTAGACTATTATTATTTGGAAATTTGGAGAGATGAAAGGGTGAACACGAACTCATCATTCCGGAGAGCATGGTGAAGAAGACCAAGCCTAAAGTCGTTGGTAGCAAATGTACACCGCTCATGATAGGTCTATTGTCGAGCACGGTTTGGAAGTAAATGGCGAGGTAGTATTCGGCCACCAAAATGGCACAAAGAAGGAAAAATAAGTTACCCGCAGCAGACCACACAATCCGCTTTTTGATCATTGCAAAAGGTACCATGGCGTCATCTCCCTGGTGGTGCTCCCAGGCAAGGAAGAGAACAAAGGTGACGGCGGCGCCGACCAGAAGGCCGATCACAACGGAACTATTCCATGAGTACACAGTCCCGCCGTATTGTAGTGCAAGCAAGAACATGACGGCAGCCGGGCTAATAAGCAAAAAGCCCGGAAGATCTAGAGACTTGATCGCGGTGCCGAGGACTTGTCTGGGCGGCAACTTATTGGTCGGCTCAGGAATCGTGAAGAAGAACAGCAGAATGGCCAGGACACCACCAATAGGAAGGTTGATGTAAAAGCCTGTGAAGAGATAACAAGAATAGGGTAAGCTGAAGATCAAAGAAATTCGATGAAGAGGACGGTCGAGTCACTTACACCAACGCCACGAGATATTTTGAGTGAATGCACCGCCAATGATGGGACCCAAGGCGATACCGAGTTGGCCGATGCCTAGATTGATCCCCAGGAACTGAACTTGCTTCCTAACCGGTAGCACGGCCGAGATGATAGTCAAAGCGCCGTTCCCAATACCTGACGAGCCAGCGCCGGCAATTGCTCTGCCGACAATGAACATAGGCGACGAGACGGCGGATCCACAGATGACAGATCCGAGCTCGAAGATGAAGAAAAAGAGAAGGAAGGACCACTTTTGCAAAGTTTCAGTACTTTCAATCTTCCTCACTTTGTAGAAAACCATATATTGACTTACCTTGATGTTAAAATGGCTGTAGATTTTACCAGTGAGCGGCTGAAGAGCAGAGTTGCTGAGCTGGTACGCACCACCATACCAGCCGACGTCGACCAGAGAATTAAACCGCTGGGTGATGGCTGGGGTTGCGGTAGACACGACACACATATCGAGGAACACCAGGAAGTAGGCGATTGTAACAGGACCTAGTATCGACCATAACGCTAGGCCAGTGGGAAACTTGCTTTCATCATCTGCGGTCCTATTCTTGGACACGATGTCGTCGGAAGCATCCTTCTCAATGTCAGCAGTCTCCTCTGACAGTACCATGCTTTTATCAGTTGCTCTCTTGGAGTCAGCCATGGTTATGGACGTGGTCGCGGTTATACTGGAACGGACTCTTGCCCTTCTCGTCCTGGCACCAATGACTATGCCGGTAGTTGTCGAAATGAAACAAGATGAGTTTGAAATGCAGCATTTGGTCATGAATAATATAAATGTACGACTTGATAATTCCTTAAGGTAGGACCGGAACCGGACTCTTACGACTGCGTGAGTGATGGCCTTTGTTTAGGGTTAGGTTACTACACGTCGGAACCGGAATCTGAAATCCGGTCCACAGTCCGGCCCCGTCGGGTCGACGGACTAGGGGTATGTCCGCTCTGCCGAACTAGCATGCTCTGGCCATAGCACTTGATTGGAGCCATTTCCCCTAACAGATCTGGCCTTTTACATGTGATTGTATGTAAGTCAGCAGTATGATAAGAGTAAGTTTATAATATCGCACCATGGCAGGCCAGAAACATGGCATACTGGTCACGTCTGAGGATTGTATTCATCCAAGTTATTAGAACCGCTGAAATGACAATGTAATGACAACGTTCGTTTTTCATTCTCTGCACGCTATCGAACACTACATAGAGTAACGCCAAGTAGAGAGAGGGGCCTTAATTTAGCTCCGCTGTGTCAACGCGACTTGAAGTCTCATCGATAAACTTCTCGATGGGATGATTGAGTCAATACCAATTCTAGAGATGATAATTTGAGTGAACACTATCAGAGGAAAAGGGGAGTAGAATATACAATTGTTGCTAGATACCCCATGACTCTGTGAGCAGCGGACTTGAATAGTCAAGAAACAGAGGTTCCTGTGTCTTGTAGATTTGCTATGAGCTGTCAACAAAGCATCAAGACCAGTAGCGAGACTGGATAGTATGCCTTTGCAAAGCCTGGGTGCTTGGCACGGAAGCCAGGGAAGCGCGGTGTTGTCTACTGCAGCTAGACAGTAGTGATTTGTGACAAGTTTATGTTTTAGCACAGAGAATTTCAAGCATCTAGAGGCCAGATAACGACTGGTCTTCATCGTCAAGAAAGAATTGGTCCAGCCATAATGTGGGACTCATCAGATATTCTGCCTGTTGGCTATGCGGCAACGCATAGGAACTCATTTCGGTAGTCGCGACTGAAGCCTTATCTGCATCCGCTGGGCCCTTTGCGCTAGCAACCGCTTCTTTTGTGCTCTGTGCCTCTTCCTGTTCAGTCAACAGTCCTCTACCGTGATATGCCGACTGAAACGTGCGTAGGCCACGTGCCAGCTGGGTGAACACACCGTCGGCTGATCCCGGTTGCTGGCCAGCTTCAGCAGCAGCGAGCTCTAGCTTGTCCGCCGTACAGGAAAGCAAAACGGGCAAATCGACGAGCTTGCTTACGGTGACTGGATCCCAGCCAGGCTCTTGGACCGTGCTAAGTTGCTGCAGGGTGGCCACACACCTGGCCAGCTGGGCCCACTGGATGAACGAAACGCCAACTAGCCCCGACGGTGAGAGAGTAAGAAAGGTTGATACACATGACTTGATCGCCAGCGCCGCCTGCCAAAAGCAGGAGACGCGCGTAGGCCCGCACGTCGGCGGTGGCGAGCAGACAGAGTCCTGAATGTGAATAGTCTCGATGATACACATTTCCGTGTAGTATGTCTGGGCGAGGAGTGCTGTTTCTCAATTAGCAATCACTGGCTTGTCCATATTCAAATGGAACATAGGCTGAGCCGGACACCTACCAAAGTGCCGCTGGAAAGCCGGAGGAATAGACGCTCTAAGGTCTTGCAGCTGCCCCATCAGCGCCTTGATGTACAAGAGAGCTTGGGGTGAAAGGGTTTCTGGTGGGGGCTGGTCAGGGAGTTGGGCTCGCTCCCGGACCTGGGCAGCCTTCATGGCAAGCAGCTGCAGGCGGACTTGAATTGCCAGGGACGCATCAGACGGACACTCCGCACCCGTGCTATCGGTGTTCGCTACAATGGCCGCAAGGCTCTTGTCCATCTGAGGTATCCACCTAGGCGCATCAATTTGTGAGAAATGGGCCGAAACAGCTGACCCAAGCACAAAGTAGCCTAAAATGGCTCGCTGGCGCTCGAGGTACAAGTGTGTGTTAGTCACTTCAACAGCTTTTGGCATAGCCGTAGTTGCCGTCGCGCTGCCGTACATATCTTCAGAGCCGTTTTTTGGTTCAAGTTGGCTTATTATGCGCGTTGTCACTGGTACCGCCTGGCTCTGAACATGCAACTCCCCAACCAACGATATAGCAACAGCCATGAGTCGAGACAGACTGCGACGGCTGAGTAAGTGCTCCCAGCCCCAGGCAACGTAAACAAGGAGACCTAGTAACAGATCGACAGTTCGCTGTGGCGACTCCTGCCTGTCCGGCTGCAGCGACCGTTGAAGGAATACCGTCTCGCAGAGCACACGCTTCAGTTCGAGGGAACTTGCCCTCTTGTCCTCATCTGATGCCGACGTCACGCACAAGATGGCGCGGAACAAGAATGGCCGATCTAGCCGCAGCTGTTCAGCTGTGAGGTGGGTAGGCAAATACACAAAAGGGAAGTGATGCAGCATACGCAAGCGGAACGTGTCAAGAGAGGTCGATGCAGATGACGAAGATATAGGTGACATCAACGCACCAGACGCGGTCGAGGACGGGGGAGTAGTGAGAAAAATCTCGTCGGCTCCAAGCCCGTTCGTATTGTTCCCTCCCAACCAAGACGCAGAGGCACTGACGGTGTCGGCATCGGTATCATCGTGGTCTTCATCAATAGAAGTGGCACGCGATTTCTCCGTAGTGCTGCTCCTTTCGGTCCTTTCCACGACCACATCCTGGCTTTGGGAGATGAGACAAGGTGGCTGTTGAGTTTTTCGCTGCGCTTGTTGGTGTAGATGGTGACTTTGTTGCGCTGGTGACAGTTGCTGCTGCTGCGACCATACATTCGCTCTGTCGTCATCGACGTTGCCCATGATCTCCATATTGACGCTGCCTGCCTGGAGCAGCGAGACTAGCTGACCGAGTGTGCCCTCAAGCTTTGCGATTCGGGCCTCCGACGGGCTTTGCTTTTTATCGCCGCGACGACGTACCGCATCGGTGGAATGGCATGGGCGCTTTAGACGGTGGCATCTACACATCGTACTCGTTCGCATCAACGAGTGGCCCCGAGGCTAATGTATGCCAGCAGAATCCACTGGAAAACAGTCCAAACTGACCTTTCACATCCATTGCCGTCGGGGCGAGGGATACACTTGCACTTGGTCTTGAAGCAGCTTAGACACGCTTGGCCATAGGGCGCCGAGCGGCCAGCCGACCTCTCCGTCGCAGGCATTTCCTCGGTCGGACTCAATTGAGAGTGAGGTCAATCTACACGGAGAAGTTGGCGGCAAGAAGTCAAGTTCCTCAAGAGAATGAGGTTGCAGAGGAGGAAGAGTGCATGCGATTAAAAGGGAAGATGCAATGCCACAGTCCCCTGTTATTCCCCACTTTGGTTCTCCACCTATTGCATGATCTTCCATATGATAGAAGATCTTGTCGGAACAAGAAGTTTTTACCCAATCAGTAGCATTGTGAAATCTGCTATTCTACAAATACTAGAATGCTAAATTGTGAAGGCGGAAAATGTGATACAAATAATCCAATTATGAAAGAGGGAAGCTTTTCCGCCCACTGATGTTGAATTATCGCGCAAGATGCCACCTCGAGATCGTAAAACATCTAAAATCCTGCTCAGGTAGAATGGATCAATTAGAATAGCTAAACTGTCCGATCTATAGCATACGTATTACACTTCGAATGTCCAAGTAGACGCATCGTGAAGCTATCATTTACGCGACCCCATTATCGCTGTGCCGAGTTTCGCCCCCTCTTTCTTTGATCCCCGGTGAGACCATGTGTTGCTAGCCACCCTTATCAGTGCGGTATCGCACCGGCTTACGCTTCTCTTCTGCACCTGCAACGCCAGTTTGAAGATTCTCCCAATGTCTCCCGCCAAAGCTGTCGTCACCGATAAGGCACCGAAGCCGCTGCCACAATTTTCCTCGGCAGTCACATACAATGGCATGATCTACTGTTCCGGCAGCCTTGGACTTGACCCAAAGACACTCGCATTGGCGGAGGGCGGAGTCAAGGAACAGACAGTGAGTTTTCCGGTCGACATCAGAGCGCACAGAATTAATTTTCTAACATTGACATAGCGCCAATCCTTGAGGAATCTCGCCGCTATCTTGGAAGAGGCCGGAAGTAGTCTACAGAATGTGGTCAAAGCGAACATCTTCCTGACCACCATGGACAACTTCAAAGTCATGAACGAGGCGTGGGATGAGTTTTTCCCTGCAGACCTCGACCCCAAACCGGTTGGTTCCAGCCCTGACCTCCCATTTGATAATGAAGAAGTAGAGGTGCTGATTGTTTTCCAGGCTCGTACTTGCGTTGCTGCTCACCAATTGCCGCTCGGCGGAGATGTTGAGATTGAATGTACCGCGTTTCTAGACAGTGTTGCGAAACTCTAGGCTCACCAGAAATCGAGGAATAGAATTTAAATTCCATTGTCTGGATAGACAGACTCAATTACCACGGAGTGTAGAGTGAATGTGTTCCCCGCACCGCACTGAGTCGGTTATGTGAGGGGTCCACTGATAAGTGAGAGATTAGAACCACCCGGGCAAGCTTGGCACACCGACTCACTCATTCCCCCAACTTTGGAACCAGTTTCGCAAGATCAACAGGACTGACCTTACTAGTCAATCCTCTATCCTGCAAATCTCAATCTGAAATTATTCCTAGTCACACATGAGCCGCACGGCTCCCCGCCAAAGATGCAATCCTCAGGTCAGCCGAGGGCGATAACTGTCATTGGGTAGCTATCATCTTACGCCTTAATGTTCTCCCTTTCTCGAGGAAAGCTAATGCGCAGCAACAGAGCGGGTGTAATTGGCCTCACGACTGCGCTACTTCTGAGCAAAGATGCGAAGAATAAAGTCTTGGTCATCGCCGAATTCATGCCCGGCGACTACGACATTGGATATGCATCACCCTGGGCTGGGGCAAATTTCTTCCCGTAGGTCTGTCATGATTGATAACAAAGCATCACCAATTAACGGCTCCTCCAGCATGGCCGAAAAAGGAACACTGCAAGCGCAGCTTGAACATAGCACCTGGAAAGTCTTGAAACATCTGGCCACGTCTGTGCCTGAGGCCTGTGTCCACTTTCAAGGTCCTCAGACCCCCAATACTTTCCTTCTTGATCTGAAACACTAGAATGGACCCCCAAAAGAAACATACTGATCGGCCATTAGAAGCTGTCGTTTATACTCGGGAGGAAGATGTGGGCTTGGCTGGGCCCTTGTTTGTCGGACCAGGAGAAGAACCGTGGTGGAAAGACGTGGTTGACGATGTGAGTGGCATTATGGTATTGCCGACTTGCAATTTAACAAATATTGGTAGTGTCATCGTGTTCCCTCGAACGAACTTCCTGCGGGAATCGCTGCAGGGACCAAATTTAAGACGGTCTGCATCAACCCACCGCTCTACTTGTCCTACCTGGTCTCGGAGTGTCGTCGCCTTGGCGTCGTATTCAAGCGCCAAAAGATGAGTAGTATTACAGAGGCCCAAGAAGCTCAGCATCCAAGCGGAAGAGCCACCGATATCGTCGTCAATGCGACAGGTTTGGGCTCAAAGACTCTGAAGGGCGTCGAAGATTCCTCTCTTTTTCCAGTCAGAGGCCAGACTGTACTCGTGGAAAACGACCCCGGCTACATGATGGCTGTTACTGCCGGAAGAGATGACCGGAAATTAGGTTATTGTATGACACGGGCTGCCGGTATGTGTCAAATCAGTCAGGGATCCAAATCTCATTAGCTAACACTGAAGCCAGGTGGTGGAACTATTCTAGGGGGTAGCTTTCAAAAGAACAATTCTGAATCTTCACTGGACTTCAACCTTGCGATTCAGTTTATGAAGAACGTTATTGACCTCTGTCCATCGATCGTGAAGCCAGGTCAAGGGGTTGAAGGTCTGAAAATTATACGCCATGGCGTGGGTCTAAGACCAATGCGGCAGGATGGTCCTAGAATTGAATTTGATGACAAATGCATGGGTGTCATTCACTGTTATGGTCATGGCAGCTATGGATATCAGACCAGTTGGGCAAGTGCAGAAATGGTGGTGAAGTTAATTAGTGAGAGTGAGATGGCCCGACAATCGGGCTTAAAAAGCGTGCTGTGATAGTCAAACCTTGAGACGGGAAATTTGATTCTCATCTTCATGTGCGTAATTATGTTTTGCGTACTCAACCTCTCATAGATTATAATGCATGTTTCACGGACCCGCACGGTGTGTGAAGCTATTAAAGAAATTTGATCCCCTCGCAAGGTTGGTGCATTAATCCCCTAATTTTACATCTGGTCCGAGATTTAATCTACCTGAAAAGTCAAGTAGCTTTTGTAGGCTGTGTAGTACATCAAATGGGAGCCTTCGTCTCTGCCCAGCGGACCAGCTGTAATGCAGCATAACGTCCTCGGTGGAATAATTAGGTACAATTTGGGAAATATTCATGCAAGAGATTTAGAATAATTTGACTCTTCCATAGATACAGTATTGAGCAAAGCTTTCTTCTGCTTCATGGGTACCAGAAGGTGAAGGCTAGTGCGACAGCATCTGGCCATTAAACCACGCTCAGCAGCCTCTTAGACTTCATTCAGCAATGGATGCTGAAGTTGACCAGATGCTTTGACAACAATTTTGCTACTTTCAAGCATCAATGCTTTACTGTTGCCTCTAATTTCCTGTCCCAAGAAGGCACCATGAGTATCTTCAAAATCAATGTCTTTGATGGCTTTCCAAATTTCGTGTACGTCATCTGGTGGAAGAGGAATCTGTAATCGCAATGAGATAGCCGCAGAACACCACAAGAGGCTCAAAACTCACAAGGTTGGGGTACGACCACATGAACGAAAAAGACGATGTGCCTGGAAGGCGATCGACGTGGTAAAGTCCACTCGGCACAATCATAATGGTGTCGGCAATGAAGAGCTTTTTGGTTGATTTCCACCACAGCACAGAACTTCCCGGGAAATGTCCTCCCGTCTTAATGGCCATTATATCCGATTCATTTTGAGCTCCACGGGGGCTAGAAGAAGATGGAAGGGAGAGTTTTTGTCCGCTCCAAAGCTTCAACCTTTTGCCATCGCCTCTATTTCCAAGCCACTGTTCATCTTCCGCGGATACAAATAGATCACAATCAAATACCTCGGCCCATTGAATGCTGGTGGAAAAGTAATGAGGATGCGAAATCACAATAGCGCTGATTCCGCCCAGGGATTTCACATGCCTGACTGTTTCCTCGTCGAGATAGGTGATGCAGTCCCATAGAACATTACCCGAAGCCGGATCACCAAGACAAAGGAATGCCCTTTGTCCGATACTCAGCTTTGGAACAGTATGTATGGTGATCAAGTTGGTATTGTATGGGTCAGTGGTGAAAACGTTGCAATAATTTTCCTTTGCTGACTGCAAGCCTCTGAGAGATGTCCAGGATTGACTGACTTCCAAGTTAGCTTTGAGTCTTTGCGCTGGAACAGATGGGATGATCACCCAGTTGGAGGCACATATTGACGTGGATCATCACAGATTTTGCACGAAGTTAACCCCGCACTAACGTCGTACTGAACACCACAAGTGAAGCAAATCAAAAGGTCTATGGTTGAGAATGACATTACTGCCGAGTGATCATAGAAGACAAAGCTTAGAGAATCAACACCTAATGAGTAGACAATGATGGCTACTGCTCTGGGATCGAGTGCTTTCCCCACTTCCCAAAGGGCTACATGTAGGCCACGATGACGTTATCAGCACTACCCGAAAACGATAAATAGCGGGTGCAGGGGTGATGAGCTTAAAAAAAAACATCGAGTCCGCCATTTTGAATAGCGCACTATTCTCTGATCCATGCGATGAGGACTCAGGATGTCCAAAGCGACAAGCGAATTTTCGTGGCGCTTCAGATCGGATCCCAGATGTTAATAATTGCAGTTCTATGCACCCCATCTGGGACGTATACGCCCTCTTCACGATGCTGAACGCAGGTCCTCTTTAATTGAAGTGACCGGCTTAACTTCCAGTGCTTTTTCTTGGTTGAAAGACCTAGATACGGGTAAGCTTTCCTAGCATATGTAGGTTAGTGAGAAGTTCGTAAGTGTCAGGACATCTAAGAAACTCACCTGTCACCCTATTGAACCTTGTAAATTCCAAAAAGAGCTCCTGACCTTCCAAATCCCGTGCCTTTGTAAGAAGACTCCAAAAATTCCGAAAGATCCAACTGTTGTGGAAGGTTCTTCGCTGGACATGGTTGAAGCCTTGGAGTTGATGATACGAATTGTAAATTTGCATTTTGGTTTGTGGATTCATTGATTGGAATCAATTTTGTGACAAGTGGTAAAACTAATCTGGAACAGCGATACCAATGTTTTGGGCAGCCATAATGAATCCGTTTGACCGGAAATAATTGCCTCTCTCGGACTCTTCAGATACCACTAATCACCTTCTCATACCCCTTCTGAATATCGATGGCGCTTGATACATATCCTCGGTTGTTCAAAACCTTCTCGAGCATCACTCTGTGCAACTCATCATCGGGATCGGCACAGGCATCAGAAATGGTAGTCACAACGTATTCCTCGTCACATGCGGGAAGTGCAGTTCGCGTGACACATCCAGAAGTGCTCAAACCAGCAAGCAGCAATGACTTGATGTTATTCATCTTCAGGTAGTCTTCGAGGCCTGGCGACTTGAGAGCTGAGACGTGACCGAGTCGACGGAGAAAAGTGACCTCGTCATCTGCGTCTTCAAGAAGCTCAGAACATTCAGCGGCACCATGTTCTCTCACTGCCTCGGCGATAGCGGCGAATCTTTCTGAGCCCTTACAGGTTTCGAAGGGCGAGGCGCTGAAATCGACCAAGGCATGGACGACCTTGATGCCCTTGGATTTGGCCCAAGTCTTCATCTCGGCGGCGACTTTGACGGCCGCGGGGCCTCTTTCAGGCAGGCGGGAGACAAACATAGAGTGAAAGTCGAGTAGAAGCAAAGCTGTTTGAGATGGGCCCCAATGGCCGGGGCAAGATTTGTCCGCAACGTTCCACATGGTTTCAGTGTTGACGACTCGCAGTTTGGGTAGACAGGTCTAAGAGGTCGTGGTTCTTGTGATGAAAATGAAGACCGACGAGTTTGGGTGTAGAAAAAGAGAAACGGAAGCATCTACACGGCCTGTTGCGAACACTTATATATGAGTGATCCATCAACCGAATTAATTTCGGGATCATGGGCTCAGACCGATCTCCATCCGTGGGCCGAGTAACGATGTTTGCCGGTACCGGGATGAAGCTTTTGTCACGAATCTTTTGAGATATAGACCACGGAGAGATGTTCTATTCAAATGCTTTGTCTGGATAGTATATTCAGACTTTAAGGTTATTGTCACGGGAGGTGAATAGAGGGGCAATAAAGAGAAGGTGGAGGCGGTTGATGTAGCCCGTTTACACAAAGTGCCCTACTGGAGGGGCAACATTCGACAAGATCCCTGTCGCGATACCGCAGACACGATCCAAAGGATGTTACTCGTTGGATATAGTGCCTGAAAGAAAAGCTCCTAGTCTGTTTGAAGGCTTTCAGAACCATGAACTCTATCAATATCAGAACTGCTCTGTGCTTGAACCGGAAACTACGACTGGTTTGAATGCCGGTACCGGGATTCCAACAACGGCACCGGCCCAAGGCCGACTACTTTAAAGATTGGAACATACAACCTTGTAGCTTCTCTCACTCAACTTTCGAAAGGGCCATCATCCTTGATCTACTACTTACGATATGACAACAGCCATTATGAGCAGCGAGGAAGTCAAAGCTGTTCATAGTGGCGATGCCACCCCTCCAGTCGAGGCGGTTGATCCCAACAAGGATACCGGACAGCGCGATTTCTCTGTTTTCACTGTCAGCCAAAAGCGCTGGATCGTCGCAGCTGGATCTCTTGCGGCATTTTTCTCCCCATTATCCTCTAGTATCTATTTTCCTGCTCTGGACACAGTCGCCAAGGCCTTAGGCGTGACCGTCACGAAAGTCAACCTCACGGTGACCACGTATCTGGTGAGCAGGACAGCATCACCTGCTGAGGATTGTGGCTAACAACCGAGGATCGCGCATCAGATTCTGCAGGAATTGCTCCGATGTTGATTGCAGGGTTCTCCGACACTGCAGGTAGGAGACCTGCATACATCATCTGTTTCACCATTTATGTCGCTGCCAACCTTGGTCTGGGTCTTCAGAACAGTTATGCCGCTCTCCTCGTGTTGAGATGTATCCAAAGTGCCGGGAGCAGTGGAACGGTGGCTCTGGCAAACGGACTGGTGGGAGACTTGGTCACATCCGCCGAACGAGGCTCCTATATCGCCTTTGCTTCCCTGGGAGGCATGTTGGGTCCTTCACTTTCACCCATCATTGGCGGTTTGATCAGCCAGTACCTTGACTGGCACTGGCTGTTCTGGTTCTTGTTGATTTTGTCCGGTGTCTATGCGACGCTCCTCTTTCTCTTTCTGCCCGAGACTTGTCGGAAAGTTGTCGGAGACGGGTCGATTCCACCACCACCAATGAATGCTTCGGTAACCGACTGTATCCGCCATCGGAAACGTAAGAGAAGGGGCGCCGCTGTGACCGAAGAAGAAATTAATGAAGCGAGAAAGACTTACGCCTTTCGTTTCCCCTCGCCCCTGCCAACGCTGAAAGTCGTAACGGACTTGGAGACTGGGGCAATCTTGCTTGTGACGGGATTAATGTATGCTGGCTTTTATGCCGTCATGACTGGAGCTACCGCATCATTCCATAATGTGTATCATTTTAACAACATCCAAACCGCACTGATGTATCTACCTCTCGGCTGGGGGGGATCGCTTCGGCTCTCACGACGGGACGTCTGGTGGACTGGAATTATCGCCGTCACGCTAAACGGGCCGGAATTCCAGTGGAGAGACGCAAGGCCCAGGACTTGAGCCACTTCAATATCGAGAGAGCCAGACTCGAGATCGGGTTGCCGTCCTATTATCTCAGCACGATTTGCATCATTGCTTATGGCTGGGTCATGGGTCGCAAAGTCAATTTGGCTGCCCCGGTGATCCTTTTATTTATCAGTGGATGGTCTCTCAATGCAACCTCGCAAGTCCTGAATGCTCTGATGGTGGATATTTGGCCTGGACAATCCGCTGCAGCAACTGCAGCAAATAACTTGATGCGCTGCGAGCTGGGTGCTGCCGCGTCCGCCGTGATCAACCCAATGCAAGAAGCGATGGGCTGGGGGTTGGCATACACCACCCTTTCATTGATTTCAATTGCTGCTTCGCCGATCCTGTGGCTGATGGCACACAAAGGAATGAAATGGCGACAGAGACGGACAGAGAAAGAAAAGGAGCGGGAGCGGGCAAAGGATGAAAGCAAAGTTGAAGTCAAATGAGCTTCGCTTTCATGGGCCGGATGTCAGACGATCTTTCTAGTGAGATCTTAGCTTTTCAGCGATGTTTTAAAACCATCAATCTGATCGTTGTCTCCACAGAAAGCCAATGTGTGTTTATTGCTCAACAGAAGTTGCGGTCAAGGAATTGATACCCACATTAGCTAGAGTATAGTTAACTCTTCTTTTAAATGCTTCAGACCCTATTCATCGTTCATTGATGCCTTGAGCTCAATGTTTGGTTTTCCGCAACGTCATGAACCCCAAAACGCTCTCCAAAGAATGGCTCCTCACATTGAAGCGAAGGTGGGACATAATATGATCATTCTGCCAATTGCACGTAGTGAACTAACGTAGGACCAAGCTGGAACACCCTATGCGGTGTCGGTGCATAGGCGTAGATCAGCGCATATATTTCCCCTGACCCGGAGAATCGCAAGGAAGCGGTGTACAGACCGGGGTGGGGGGAGCTGAACTTACCCCTCACTTGTGTCATCGCCCCCACTTGGTCTGTTTGAGCATGGCTAGGCAGTGTGCGAGTCTCTTGCGTCCTGGTGGTAGGATGTACATCGCCAAGCTCTCCCTGGTGAGCTTGGTACTCGCTGGCGGAGCTCAAGGTCCATGAATAGCATACTATGATGCTCTCTACCTCTGTATTCATTTCTCAGCACACCTGAAATACAGAATTGGATCAATTGGGTACCCTCTCTGTGGCAAAAGGAGAAATAAATCTCCTGAGAGCCAATCGTCTGACTGCCCCGCCACCACTTGTATCACAGCTACGTGGTGGACCATCGAAACGCCGACAGCTCCATGCCTAGCTAGGTAATGAGCGGGCAATAGACCAACACAAGCCACGTAGTCAGGTCTTTGTCTGTTTCACTTGCGGGTATCTATATTAACCCCCTCTTCCTGCGCCTTTCCTCTTCCTCTTCGTAACTTCATCAGTATTCATCGACTTAATCACAATCATCTATCACAATGGGTTGGTTCAGTGGTTAGTGGCTCCCTTTTGTGTCACGTTGGTGATCCGTTGTCATTGTCTCTTACTGACGCTCTATTAAACAGACGATTCGGACCAGAGACGCGCCTACGAACAGTACAACAATGGCGGTATCTCTCAGGAGCACGATGCCTCTGTCTCCCACGAGCTGATTGCTGGTGCTGCTTCCTACGAGGCCGCCAAGGCTTACGAGCACCACTGCGAGAGGAATGGTAAGAAATTAGACGTCTTCCCCGTATCGAAGATATCTATGAAGCTTACACGGTCGATTTGAATACTAGGCCAGCCTGAGAGCCACGAGAAGGCTAAAGAGATTATGGCTGGCTTTGCCGGCGCTTTCATCGACCGCGAGGTCGAGACCAAGGGTCTGGACTTCATCGACCGTGAGGAGGCCAAGCGTGCCTCTCGCCGGCACATCGATGACGTCTCGGCTGACCAGCTGGGCTACTAAGCCGTTGCAGTTGGACGAACGGGTTCCCTGTGTGTTGGCATTCACTTAGCAACAAATATATGACATACATGAAATGAAGGAATTTGGGCCTCTCTACTAGAAGGTGGTAATCGAGTCCAAGGCAGAACAAAGCCATCACTTTACGTTCTGAGACTAGAAAAGTGCCAAAACGTGGTAGTCTCTTTCCTTTCTGCTTTCACCATTTAGGTCCGCTAAGCATTAAATAAGGTGGCATGCTCCGACAGCGGTGCCCCACTTCAACCTGCCGAGCGCTACAAGCTGCAGCTCAGCTGATAATGATCTTGTCAATGATCTCTGGAGCATGGGCACTACATGTGAGTAGCGTCAGGCGAAAGCGAAGGCTGGCTACACATAGTTCCTACTTGACCTTGGTGTCTCCAATATCTTCAAGAAGTCCCCTAGTCTGTCAGACCGAGCACGGTGTCCAGCTTGGTTCCGCCCGCGATACATCCGTATATTGACCATCAATGTTCTGATTAAACTTCATTGATTGTTTGTTTCGATATCAAGAGCTTGTATCCCCCACTAAATTTCACTAAATCTACTTGAGACTGAATACAATCGCCCCTGGAGTGCATAGACAATACTACGTGGAATCACGTGAGCCTCGGCGTTGGTGATTTTCAAGCGACCAAATGAGACGCGCGCAACTCAAGGTCAACTTCGTCAGCGTCAACTTCATCTCTCCAAGTAAAGATAGCCTGCAACTCCGGCTATAGCATACCATGCGTACCGCGCCATAAGCGGACACCCCAACTCACAAAGTCTTGTTCCACAGAGAACATCAAAGTCCATCTGCGTCAAATGTCTGCGGTTGGAGTGGCGGAACTCGCGCGACGTCCATGCGATCGTTGTCGTCATCGCAAATCTCGGTGTATATGAGAGCCGGGCAAAGACAACTGCACATTCTGTAAATTGAACGGGCTTGAGTGCACATTTCTTCATGGTCCTCGACCACGCAAAAGGATCAGAAAGTCGTCCAACACCGCAGAAATCAAGTACGATTCAATATTTATTGGGAGAATTCTCAGCTAATAAAATGGCCAAAGAACAGAGAGGCATTACAGCTATTCACTACTGGGTCTATCGACGAACTGCCCACGGCTTATCCGGCCAACTCCCGACTGGACGGCACATTGGGCTTAGAACTTCATCTGCATTCTGAGTTCATAGGGCCCGCCAGTTATCATGAACCTGAACTTTTTGATCTGCGGCCATCTGCCATTTCATCTGCTGGCCATGAGAAATGTTATCCTCGACGAGTGAACCAATCTGCCGCATTCATCACTTACCCAGACAAGGACTCGGCCTCCGAGATGCAACGAATCGCTGACCTTGATCGCATCGAAGAGTCCATTCACCCGCTCGGACCGACCTTGGTGAATCTGTATTTCCGCATCATGCATCGCACACTTCCAAATTTGGACAAGGGTGTGTTTCTTGAAAAATATGCCAGATCGTATCGCGAGTTCTCTCCGCCACTTCTTGCTGCGGTATACTTAGTTGCACTGGACTGGAAGCTCTTTGACCGAACTCTTGCCACTGTGTCTCGGACACCAGATGCCGAAGCCCTGGAAAATCTAGCGATGCGGGCCATGGACGATAATTTGAAGCGACCCAAACTCTCAACGTTACAAGCTGGACTTTTATTATTACAACGAATGAGGTCCTCTCAAAGCACTCTTCCAGCCCAAGTACTATCCCTTGGGCAAACTTTGGGTATTCATATCGACTGTACTGAATGGAAAATCCCGGAATGGGGGAAAGGTCTGAGACGACGTTTAGCTTGGGCACTGTACATGCAAGACAACTGGGGCGTTATTGTGCACGGCCGACCATCTCTCATTCCCGCTCAGATTGATGCAGACCACGATACAAGTGACTGGGATGTTAGCCCGTGTACACTGGACGACTTTCCAGTAGAAGCGACCGGCGAAGAGGAAAATGAAGATGGAGGCGTGGACGGAGCCGGGCGGGCCGCATATTTACAGTCCATTAAGCTGACGAGAATCTTCAGTCAGATCGTTTCAACATTTTGTTCGATCAGTGCCACCAAAAAAGGCGGCCTGCTAGAACGGATTGTACCTTCCGGGGCCATGGGTCTAGCGAAACCCCTGGCGCTGGAGTTGCGCCAATGGCACGCTACATTGCCTACTAGCCTCCAGCTGGAATTCACTCCTTCACTACGACTGTCGACAAACGGAGCTTTGCATCTGTCACATATGGCAGCAGACCTGACCATCCATCGCGTGTTACTTCGTGTTCTTACCCCAGATACTCCGTCTACTCTTCGCTCAGCGATTCGAACCGCCGCCCGCGCCCGACTGACTTCGGCAATGAACTTGATTGAATCTTTCCAACCCGAACACATTCAATAGTTCGGGGGCTTTGCAGCTGCGGCACAACTGGCCTTGGTTGGAGCGTTTGCTGGTCTTCTATGGGCGACCAGCGTTGAGATGGATGAAGCGGCGGGATATGTTGAGCAACTCAAGAAGCTTCGCTGCATCCTCCAGATTCGAGCTTCTGCTGCTCCATTTGCTCGCGAGGCACTCCGTATGCTTCACGAAGAGGTCGGTGACCTGGCCGCCGTAAAAGAAGCTACTTTCCGAGACTCATAGCTTTCATTTGCTATTATTGTTCGCCTATCGAGTCTACAAACTTCTCGACATCTATAGCAAACGAATGATCGAAAATACGAAGGACAACTCCAATGGAAAGCTTTTCTAATAATGTTCTTTCTACACTTGCGTTACACTTGTTGAACAATTGCAACGTCATCATTGGGTCCAAGAATATCCCCCTCGGCAACCAGCAATTTCACATATCTCCCACTAATTGGTGCACAAATCTTCATCTCCATTTTGTTGAACTCGATCCAAATCTGAAGATCATTAGTCCCGAGATTATTTGTTGACGAGATCATTTAATGTGCTTACCAGTGGGTCTCCTGCCTGAACCTCTTCTGCCTCCTTGACTGCGCAACGAAAACATCTACCAGGCAAAGGTGCCTTTACCCGCTCTCCCGCCATATGCTCATGACTTTCAAATTCTCGGTCAGGTCTCGTTGCGGCTGGTTCATATGGTTTGAGCAGATCATTAAAGAATTCGGCTTCATGGACTGCCTGCGATCGCTTTTCTCGAACAGTGGTACTGTCTGCCGCATTTTCTTCCAACCATTTCTCATACTCGTTGAGATCCAGATCGACATCACTTATCTTGATGAGGTCACTGGAATTCCCCTTGGCTTCCGCTAGAGAAAGTTCTTCTTCAGTGACAGGATAGAACTGGATCTGGTCCAACAGGGTGAACAGCCATGGTGCCTTTTCGCCAAGTCCTGGCTTGTGGAAATCGTCCCATATAGAGACGGTGCGACCAACAATCTGGTACCCGCCTGGCGAATCAGTCGCATAGATGCATAGGTATTGACCTGCAATACCTACGGCGCCTTGAGGCGTAAATGAGCGAGACGGATTGTATTTCGTTCCAAAGAGTTGGTGACGCGGGTCTAATGGCACAGCACACGGAGACCCTTGGTATACATCGCCCAGTCCCAAAACAAGGAATGTGCCTTCATAGAGTTTGTTTTCGACATGATCAGAGCTATCTAGCCCGTTCAGCTTTTGCACGAACTCGATGTTGTTGGGTAAATATGGTGCCGAGGCACGAATGGTCGAAGCATAGCGCGCAATGGCTTTGCGGTTGCTATCGTCATTGGACACAAGAGGCAGTTGTACGAGTCGAGACGGCAGTCGAGATGGAATCTGCATTCTAAGCGAAATTCCGTGCGCCACTAGTGCATCGAGAACTTCGGGTAGAGAGAAACCCGCTGTTAATCGGACTTGGAGACTTCGAACCCCGGGTGTAAGCTCTTCAAAACCTGGGATTGTGATCATGCGGTGCTTTTCAATGAAATTCCTGTTATGGAATGTTTGTCGCAACATGAATCTATCCTCGGCGCCAAATTCGAGCAGCAAAGCTCGATCACCTGCCTGGCTACATCGAATGAGACGCCCAGCATTGGAGACTTCCTTCACAATTGGACTGGAAATCAGGTTAGTTTGTATACCACCAAAATTCAGACTGCTCAGTTGGGTGATGGTAGCGATAGAAAGCTCAAGGTTCCTCGCAAGCGCCTGTGCGTCGTCAAGAGTGATAGGTTATAGGCGAAGGCGATCGCCTGGCCGCTTCTGACCAAACTTCCACATTTCGGCCTCGGCGACCGTGGCGAAGGAAACGAAACCTCCCAGACTAGGGCCATCTGCAGTCAAAACAACCGCCTCGTCGCCTGTGAAGCTCACATTTCCGATGGAATAGGGGCTGTCATGGATGTTTGAGGGGTGCAGACCAGCGTCACCACCTGTTTGCCTTCCCCACTCTGGACGAGGCCCACTGAGGCGGACACCGAGACGATTGCTATTGTAGTGGACGGATCATTTTCCATTGAACAACTCATAAACCCCGTCTTGTGTGAAATGTGCCGGACTGCCGTGCGACCCGGAATCGCACCCACAACCCATTCTCGGTTTTCGAGTGGTGGTATTGGAAGAACGGGGGCTTTAAGCATTGGAATTTGCTTCTTGGCAACACTCGCTAATGGAAGGATATCACCGACGCGCAGACTACGCCCTTTGTGGCCTCCAAGGTGACCAATTGCGAAAGTTGAACGGCTGTTCAGGACTTTGGGGACCTCAATGCCACCTAGAATTGCAATATAAATTCGAGAGCCACTTGTTGCCGTGCCAATGGAAAGCTTCTGTCCGGCTTCAATGCTGATGACCATGCCGAGCTCCTTTTCTTCCCCGTCAACAGATACGGGAGCATTGGCACCAACAATAGCGACGGTGGTTGAGGAGTGGAACAGCAATGTAGGCCCTTGGTTTGAGCATTCTAGTCCCGCAGCATCTTCATCATTGCCAACCATTTTGTTTGCGAGACGGAATGAATAGGAACCTATCGGGTCAGATGGTGGCACACCGATATGCCACAGGCCCTGGCGTCCAGTAAATCTTGTACAGTGGTGTCAGATCCAGCAGCGATGACCTCGATGACTTGGGCTTCGTATGAAAATGTATTGAGCGATCCGGTCGTGAATTCTCCAGAGCTGAACGTCTCCCAAGCAATGATTTGTTGCAAGTACTTCAAGTTCGTTTCCACACCAGTGATAACGGTCTTTGCAAAGCCCCAGAAAGCTTATGAAGAGCTGCGGCCCGGTCATCACCATGAGCGATAATCTTTGCAACCATTGGATCAAAGGACGTTGATAGCTCTTGGCCTGAACTGACCCAGGTGTCAATGCGGGTATCTGATGGAAACTCAACGTTCAAAATTTTTCCAGGAGAAGGTCAAAAATCTTGAAGGGGGCTTTCAGCGTAGACAGGGGCTTCAATCGCTGCACCAAAGACCGGGACATCATTCATCTGCTAAGGAAAGAGGGTTGCACGATTATCCATGGCAATGCGCATCGTACATTCGACGAGGTCAAGGCCCGTAACAGCCTCGGTTCAGATGAATTCGGCTTCCTCACGGTAGCTTGTGCATCAATTTCGCTACCTACCATACACCATGATGTAATTTCGATGAAGACTAATGAGTAGATCAGTACATTCTATCAGGAGATTCTCAGCCTCCTAGCATTATGAAAACTGGAGATAAATGTTGGCAGACAATTTGCACTACAAGTAAGCGCGTTTCCATGCGAAATAATCTAGGGGGAGACCTCGTGGGGAAGTGCTGGCTATGTGCCTCTCTGCCACCTGATCAAGTCTTAGATAGAAGCATCGATCGTGCTCATCCCTAAACACGATAGTCTCACGGCTGATCTTCCAGGATACATCCCTAGTTCTAGAGACGGGGCGTACTGTTGGTAAATTTCTCCGAGAATCCTTAAGCCGGTTTTTCACTAGCATCATACCGCGGAAACATTACTGAACCCTCGGTAGCTATCGTCGCGTAGGCTGTCGTCCGTGCGGATGGGTATGCGAATCGGGTGATCTTATTTGTTTAGGTGACTCGCATTGTTTTGCCGAAATCTATTTGTTCCAGATCGGGTTAGACGGTGGGGACTCGATTCACTTTGTGGTTAGCCGGAACGGGGTTCGCAGGGATCTGAAACTTTATATTAGAGCAGCTTCAATGCATAAAGATAATGGCCCCTTTCTAGTGCCCCCAGGAAGCCGTCGGAGCTATTTCTCTCTCCGTTTCGCCAATATCTTCACACAAAATCACGCTGGCTCGGAAATTATCGATGACCCAACCTGACGATGACGCCTTGAATAATTTCAAAACAAAATCTCCAAATCTAAGATCTAGAGAGAGGTCAGAATGGGGTCTTCTATGGCCCTCGAGGGCCGAAGTCTGGCAATATTTGTCTTGGCTACCGTTTTTATGATCATCTCCTTCATGACAGTTTCATTGAGATGCTTCGTTCGGTCTTACATTGTCCGAGCCTTTGGCTGGGATGACATTCTTCTGCTCATAGCACTGGTATGGTATTCACTCTAGATGACCTGGCAAAGCTGCACTGACACCTCAATAGACACTATATGCCATATTAGCGGTATGCTGCATGATTGGGACGTCGAATGGCGTCGGACACAAATTCACAGATTTCACAAGTATGGTGGTCTATGAGCGAGCGCTTCTGGTATTTTCTCCTCTATCCAAAATCAAATGGGAGCTTCTCTAAATCTGATCTTTGGTAGTGGTGGTGGCTCAGTCAAATGATCTACATCTGGGCATCAGCTGTAGCCAAAGTTTCCATCGCCGTTGCACTGCTTCGATTGACAGTCAAAAAAGTCCACCGCATCATCCTTTGGGTTACTATTACCCTAACTACCGTCATTGGTCTTGTCTTCTGGCTGGTACTCCTTCTGGACTGCCACCCGGTCTCATATTTCTGGACTCAAATTAAGGGCGATTCAACAGGCAGCTGTCTATCAGTAGATATCTTGCTGGATATTGCATATCTTTATAGTGCCATCACAGTCGTGTGTGATTTAACTCTTGGAATCCTGCCAATTTTCCTGGTTTGGCAACTACAGGTGAATTGCAGAACTAAGGTGGCGGTTGGAGGGATTCTAAGCTTAGGAGCTATGTAAGTTCTTTGACTATCATCTGAATCTGAGGTGAAAAAGCTAATGTCACAAGTGCGAGTGTGGCTGTGATTATAAGGCTTCCATTTCTCAGATATTACGCCGATTCTGATTTTCTATGTAAGTCGCTGGGGCACAATGGCCATCCTTTCAACAACCTGCCATGTTCGATTCATGGGGAATGACAATTAATATGGAGCTCTTCCCAGATTCGACCTATCAGATCGCCATCTGGACTATCGTCGAAACTGGCCTCGGAATCACCGCAGGTAGTCTCATTACCCTTGCCCTCTTTTCCGCTGGCTTCTGGATGGAAGCTTTTCATTCGGTCAGAATGGACGTACCTCTGGAAGAAGCTCTGGACAGTATCAACTCTCCAGCTTCAAAAGCGGAGGAGCGAAAAACTCACAAAACCCGAGCTTATGGCGCCCTGACACAAAATCCAACAGTAGAACAGTGGACATCGTTTCATTGCCAAGATCAGAAATTTCGAACGATGCTAGTAGCAGTCAAGAAGCTTTGAACCCTCCAAGCTCAGCGAGCCCGCGAAACTGGGTGACTGTTCGACATAGCTTTGTACAAACAGTGTCAGAGGAGCGAGGATAGACATCGAATTGGTTGCTTATTGTATGACTTAGCTTGATTTGTATATCAATTCACGTGGAGAGCAACAGTCCATAATTCCAGTCAATTAGCTTGTCTATAACAATCCCAGCATGCTTCACATTCATGTGGTAAAACATAGAGCCGATTATCTCGATTGAAGGGGAAAGTCTCGATGAAAATTCAAATTGTTTGCCAAGGCCGTCATCCTCGCTTTCTTCGATGTCGTCGTTGCCGCTCCCACAATCCAGGATGATCAGGACAACACCTGTGCCAGCACCTGTGGTAGTGTCTACTGCTGCGAGCTCGGGATCGCTAACAGATTGACCACTTCCGGACTCAATTTTAATGATGGTGACTTTCAAAATCTCCTCAACCAGTGCAACGAGGCCACTGCTCCCATCTTGGGCATCGCTGTACCTATCAGAGCCCAGTGCGCCCAGCAGACTGTCTACTGTGGCGAGCTCAATCAGAATAAGAGCTGCTCAATGATATCCTCAAAATTGGACTGCACTATTAAAAGTAGTCTTGAAGCTCGTCAATACAGCTTGCACAACTCTTGGCCAATAGAGTGTATTGTTATATTGGCTTGAGGTTCGACATGTGGAGAAACAGACCATCTACAATAATGGGAACTCATAATCTCTGATCATATTAAAGTGTGGAGTGCTGATAAGCCATCTTTTCTTTTGATCTGTTGTTATTGCCTACTGCGAAATATGATCCTCCACATTTTGTTTATTGTGAGCGATTTGGCCAGCTTCACTTGTTTCTATCTCTTGCGCCACCAATACTCAAAAATTCTCGAATTTAAACGCTCTCTTACAAACTGTATGAGGCTTTATCGTTGCGTCTGTATTGTTTAAGACCGACGTTCCATTTACATTTCGTCTCCGAGTGAGTCAAACAATGTCACAGAAACCTTACGGGACGGTCGGCTCTCTCCGCTTTACCGCATTGGGAGCCCGACGCCGTCAAATACGACAATTATAGCTTCCGTTCTCCTGCGTTCCTCGCTTGGGTCAAATCTGTCAATTCGAGGACCATGATGAACATACTCGCTTCCTGTAAGCAGACGCGATTTCATCTGTTGGATGACAATCCTTCGCCCGAGGTATGGACGTCAGAGCACCAACACAATAATTAACTACTAATCTTTCGAAGATTGACGTGGAGGGTCTTGAAATTGTAGTCACTTCGGCTGCATCTGAAGACGACGTCAGATCTAAAGCTAAGGGCAAATCCAGGGCGAAGCCAGCTGGTCGAGAGCTCATCTCAGATGCCCACCTTCGTTTGAAGGGAGGGATTCATTATGGTTTACTGGGACGGAACGGGACTGGCAAGTCTAGTAAGAAGACCCTTGCAAGCATATTGGCAATCATTGACAGATCACACCACAGCTTTACTCAAGGCAATGGCTGAGAAGCTTATTCCGGGTATATCCCATGCTACTCGTGTTGCCATTCTACAACAGACCGACGAGGACGGACCTGGTGGTAATGCCTCGTTGAGACTTGAAAAGTCTGTCCTGGAAACAGTCCTAAGCAGCGACGAAGCCAGGAATGAAGCTATACGCACGGCAGACGGTGAGTAGATGATGCCAATCAGTCGACGAATATGTCGACTATCAGCTAAGTCGTAATTAGTCCTTTCGAAAAGCTTCGAGACTGAGAACCCACTGGAACCTGTCAAGGCTATTCGTAAGATCAGATACCTACATTCCGAAAAGATGCTCTTCCTAGCTCAAAAGAATGCCAACTTGAAAAGTGGTGCTCGGGGTCTCCAGGCCAGAAAGGATCTCAAGGCAGCCGAAGCACAGCTGGAACTTGCCCGTGAAATGTAAGCAGCAGGCAATGTAGGTTGAGTACGCTCCTAAACCTCGAACAGGGTTGCCCAAGAACCAGACTCGATCGATGCCGAGGCGATTCAAACGGATACCCAAGAGGCCGTCGAAACCTTACAAAACTTACTATCCCAGCTCGAGGCGGTAAGTGCCGTCATTTATGCATCCCCCTTCTACTCGACTGACACATCCAGATGAACCACGCCGATATCAAGAAGGAGGCCCGTCGCATCCTCCTCGGACTCGGCTTTACAGAGGACGCATTAAACAAAAAGGTATTAACACTCTCAGGGGGCTGGCGGATGCGATGTATGCTCGCTAGCACTCTAGTCCGAAAGCCCGATATCATGATCCTCGACGAGCCCACCAACTTCCTCGACCTTTTGGGAGTAGTGTGGCTGGAGAACTACCTCAAACAACAACGTGAGACGTCCGAAACTACTGTCGTCCTTGTCTCCCATGACAGAGATTTCATCAATGCCGTTTGTGAAGAGATCGTCATTCTCCGTGACCAAAAATTGAAGTATTTTCGTGGGAATCTCGCTGCCTACGAACAAGACTTTGAAGAGCAAAAGCTCTATTTGGGACGCATGAAAGAAGCCCAGGAGCGGCAAATTGCGCATATGGAAGCTAGTATTCAGCAAAATCTGAAGATCGGCAAGAAGACCAATGACGACAATAAACTGCGACAAGCAAAGTCTCGGCAGAAAAAGGTCGATGATCGGATGGGTCTGCAGGTAAGTGCGAACGGAGGCCGATTTAAATTGAACCGGGATCTTGTCGGTTGGCACTTGACTTGTCGAGCGGAGATTGAAGTCCCGACGGATGAAAGGGGTGCGTCGATGAGTATACCCGATGCCACTGAGCTGCGTTTTCCGGGACCACTTGTTTCTTTGGAGGGGATTACCTTCCAATACAGGAAGAATGACCGATTAGTTCTCGACAATATTACTCTGGTGGTTCATGTTGGTGACCGAATCGGCATCATGGGCTTGAATGGCTCTGGCAAGACTACGCTCATACGTGTCCTGAATGGACAAGTTCCGCCATCGAAGGGCAAGGTGTCGACTCACTCGCGACTGAAAGTTGGCTACTATGGTCAACATTCGGTCGAAGAGCTCCAAGAGCGTGGCCGCATGGAACCTGGTCTGACCGCCCTGGGACTGTTAATGGCTGAATCTGAAGGGACGCTGAATGAAGGCGAAGTGCGAGGTCTGTTATCATCCTTGGGTCTGCAAGGGCGCATCGCATCAGATATTCCAGTCGGCAAGTTATCAGGAGGACAGTTAGTTCGCTTAGCACTGGCACGCATCGTGTGGAGCGCCCCTCAATTGTTGATCTTGGACGAGATCACCACTCATCTGGATTTCCACACGGTGACGGCGCTCACAACGGCCCTCTCCGCCTTCAATGGTGCCATCATCCTCGTCTCACACGACCGATTCCTCGTTCGGTCAGTGATTGAAGGAAAACGAGATACCGATCATAAATTGGATGAAGATTTTGAGGGGTTAGAAGAGGAGCAGGAGGAAACCAAAAATCGTCGCCGGTCCGTGTATGTGCTCAAGGCGGGCAAATTGAATGAGCAGACACAAGGGGTGGAACAGTTTGAGCAGAGCTTAGTGAAACGGGTCCAGAAGATGCTAGTCATGTAGTCAGGAATACAGAAATGGTACCTCATGCGAGGAGCTTTGAAAAGGTCAATTCACCGTGAGTTCATTTGAGTCAGCGGCGAGGACCGTCCAAGAGCGGGTGAGTTCAACGAGATAAGAGCCCCTCTTCCCCTCATCCCTCCTCGTGTTGGTGTTATAACCGTCTTATAACACCTGCCATGTCTCTTCAGTCTTAAAGAATCTTCCAACCTGCTGGTATGCTGTGCAAGAGAGTCCTGTCACACCTGCGGCTCCCCGCCCGGGGATACCAGAGTCTCATCACGACTCGATTGCAGAGCACTTCCAGTTCCCGTACGAACCTCCCCCCCGACCACCTCCGAACCCTTCCCGTCGAGTCTCCGCCCTCAAGACTGCGAAACCCTTCTCCGAATTTCTCACCGACTCCTTCAACCGCCAGCATGACTACCTGCGCATTAGCGTTACAGAGCGGTGTAACCTGCGGTGCCTCTACTGCATGCCCGAGGAAGGGATTGAACTCTCGCCCCAGCCCCGCCTCTTGACCTCCCCGGAGATCGTCTACCTGTCATCCCTCTTTGTGTCCCAGGGCGTGAACAAGATCCGCTTGACGGGCGGGGAGCCGACCGTGCGCAAGGACATTGTGCCCTTGATGCAGGATATCGGCAAGCTGCGACGGGATGGATTGCGCGAGCTCTGTCTGACCACCAACGGGATCTCGCTGCACCGCAAACTGGACGCGATGGTCGAAGCGGGGCTCACCGGGGTAAATCTCAGTTTGGATACGCTCGACCCCTTCCAGTTCCAGATCATGACGCGGCGTAAAGGCTTCGACGCTGTGATGAAGAGCATCGATCGTATCCTAGAAATGAACAAGGTCGGCGCTGGCATCAAGCTGAAAATCAACTGCGTCGTAATGCGGGGCATGAACGATCGTGAAATCCTGCCCTTTGTTGAGATGGGTCGTGAGAAGCCGATCGAGGTGCGATTCATCGAGTACATGCCCTTCGATGGGAACAAATGGAATAAGGGCAAAATGTTCCCTTATCAGGAGATGCTGGCGCTTATTCAGGAGAAGTATCCCACCTTGGAAAAGGTGACTGATCACAAGAATGATACCAGCAAGACATATCGTGTGCCTGGCTTCGAGGGTCGGGTCGGATTCATCACCAGCATGACACATAATTTTTGTGGCACTTGCAATCGCCTGCGCATCACCAGTGACGGAAACTTAAAAGTATGTCTTTTTGGAAACGCCGAGGTTTCACTGCGAGATATCATCCGCAAAGAGAATGACGGACGGCCCATCGACCTAGAAGCTCTGCAAAGACTCGGGCTCCTCGAGACAGTACAAAGTGCAGCTCAACTCAGCGACGAGGGAGGATTGATCAACGAGCGGGAACGTGAAATTCTCGACATCATCGGCATGGCTGTCAAGCGCAAGAAGGCGAAACACGCGGGCATGGGGCAGTTGGAGAATATGAAGAACCGACCTATGATTTTGATCGGTGGGTAGCCTAATCCTCCTTTTATGACTGGCACGATTCACGAACTTGTACATTTCCATTGATTTCTATCATTTTCACTGCGGCACCATGTATCTATGGAAATTCATGTTTTTGGGTCGCAATTCTCCTTTATTGCTTACCGCGTGCTGATGGCCAGATAGATAGAGAGCCATCTACTTCGCGATCTCATAGTCCTGCAGTCTCTCGGATATCCTCTACTTCCTGGTCAAGAGTCCCTCTGCATATCCTCCCAACCGCAAGACTAAGCCAGTCGCGGCTATACAGCAGTAGTCGCCCGAGCTCGAAATCAGAGAATGCCGAGAAGCAAGATGAACGAAAGCCTCGTTCCCTTCCAACAGCATCCGACCCTGACCTACCGCATCTCACGCCATCCCAAACCGTACACATGACCCAAATCACCTTAAAACCCGAAACAGCACGACTCGCAACGGCCGCCTGCCACGTCTCCTTTTCCAACTCCCGACCATGGGAACTCCTTCGGAAAGGACAAGGTACACATAAAGGTGACGTCTACAGTGTCGCTCGCATCGCCGGCATTATGGCTGCTAAAAAAACCCCCGACCTCATTCCGTTATGTCATCCGGGAATTGGCATCACGGGGTGGAGGTCAACGTTGAGCTGGTCGAACCAAATGAGAAAAACCCGGAAGATTATGGGGCTATAGAGATTATCGCAACGGTAAGCTGTTTCGGACGAACTGGTGTTGAGATGGAAGCCATGACGGCGACTACGGGGGCAGCGTTGACAGTGTATGATATGCTCAAGGCTGTGGATAAGGGGATGGTCATTGGAGGTGTTCGACTATTGGAGAAGCAGGGTGGAAAGAGCGGACACTGGACGAGTCAAACCATGTGAAAATCAATCACTAGACACAGAGTCAGTTGAAATGTGAAGTATGAGCACGCCAGTCCAACTTCTACGCCAAATAGCTTGTTAATTCATTGAGTCACCGTACATTCGATGATAGAGTCACTCTCGACATCGGCTTGACCAGTACACTATCATTTAACGACCCCACTGCTAAGATATAAGTGCAGATCAGGCAATGAGCGGGCCGCGTTTCATTGACTGCACATCGACTGACACCGTGCCTTGCCACGTACAATCGCGCCTTCCAAACTCGCCCACAACTTTCTCAAGAGCGGCATGTCTTGAGTACAAATCAAGACTCGTTCTGAACGGGTTATGGGTCGGGTCTGGTCGGGTCAGGTCATTCCCAGCTGTTGTAAACAACTCATCAGATAAGGTGTGCTCAACCGGGGGCCACGGTCTGCAAGAACATAGCGTCTGATATCATATGAAGGCTTCTGGTGAATTAGTCAAATCATGTTTTCTAATTGTAGAGGTATGTAGATCAGATTATTGGCTCATTGCAGTCTTTTATAGGATTCTTTCCGTGGCCCCTACGAGCCATTTGTCGGAAGCGGGTCGCGGATCGCGGCTCGAATAACCTTCCACAAGATAAGCATGCGGGTCGGAGAATTGAGCGGGTCGCGGCTTAGTCCAAGCCGGAAATCTCACCGTCGCAAGGACGATAACTCGTATTATCTGTCATAAAGCAGATCCAATCAGCTTCGTACAGCCTTCGCTCTACCAGCAAGCCAAAAAGCTATATGTTCAGGAATTCCCCCTCCCCAAAGTTATAACCTAGCTTGCGAAATTACTCTCTGAATAGATCAATTCACAATACTCCATCTTACTATTGAGTGAAGCTTTCTGGACAATTCTCGTGAGCATCCTTCCTCTGTTCGCATACACTTATCCCACTTTCAATTGTAATCATCGATCCTACACGATGTTTCGGACCTGATATCCCATCGCCATCGTCGACCCAGGTGTTACCCTCAAGCTTTAATCTCTCCTTATTATTCTCTGTACGCCTTACGCTCTATGAGTCATAAGTCCCATTCAACGGCTTGCACCGAACGTACCAGGCACTACCTCTTGGTTTCGAGGATTGGTCGTGATGATTAGCATGCAAATTCCTCATCTCCAAAAATACCCCAACGCTGAAGGATATTTCGGTCGATTTGGCGGCAACCACTATCCACCCGAGCTCCGGCCAGCGCTAGAAGAGCTGGCCAGCAGCTATCAGGAGCTTCATCGCATGCCAGAATTCCAGCAGGCACTCAAAAATGTGCGAATTGGACTGCAAGGTCGACCGACCCCGATTCATTACCTCGAAAATCTTTCAAATCAGGTCGGGGGCGCTCGGATTTTCATCAAGCGAGAAGATCTGAATCACACGGGGGCGCACAAGATCAATCACTGTATTGGCTTCGCACTTCTTGCCAAGAAAATGGGTAAGAAGAAACTGATAGCTGAGACGGGGGCCGGTCAGCACGGCGTCGCGCTGGCAACTGCAGCCGCCTATTTTGGCCTCGAATGCGAAGTTCATATGGGGGAGGTGGAATCTCTGTAAACAGAGCTCGAATGTCGGTCGTATGCAGCTGCTGGGCGCGCGCGTGGTACCAGCAACGACTGGTCAGTCCGCGCTGAAGGAGGCGAGTGATTCTGCATTCAACGCATATGTAGAGCAGCATGCGCACGCGCTCTATGCGATCGGATCGGCTATCGGACCCCATCCTTTCCCTATGATTGTTCAAGACTTTCAAAGTGTCGTGGGTCGCGAAGCCCGCGAGCAATTTCTTTCCATCACGTATGGAAAGTTGCCCGAGCATGTCATTGTGTGCGTCGCCGGTGGGTCCAATGCAATGGGTATGTATTCGGGCTTCATTGATGATCCGGATGTTGTTCTGCACGCAGTAGAGCCTCTGGGCGAATCTGATCCACTAGGCCACCACGCAGCGACGCTCTCCCATGGAAGACTGGGAACATTGCATGGTGCTCGATCGGTTGTGTTGCAGAAAGACGACGACACGCCTGCTGGTGTCTCTTCTGTGGCATCGGGACTCGCCTACCCTGGCGTTGGCCCCGAGATCGCGATGCTTCATGAAACGGGCCGACTTTCTATCGCAACGATCTCGGACGAAGAAGCCATCAGCTCTTTTTCTCGCCTGTCCAAATTGGAGGGAATCATCCCGGCTTTGGAAAGTGCGCATGCTTTGGCATATGCGATACGCTTGGCGGCACAGCGCCCTTCATCCGAACGAATACTGGTCAACCTCTCGGGGCGCGGCGACAAAGATGTTGACTTTGTGCTTGAGAACTATGGGACTGGTGCCCCTTTGGTCCATCCATGAAGAATTTTGATTACACTCGATCTCATATTGGCTTGGCCGGTACGCATTGAAAAACTTTTGCAGTGTGATGCCGCTTTGTAATACATTTGCTATCAAAGGATTGTCATTCGGAAATCAAAGCGTAGCATGGAATTTCGCAGTGGCAATATACATGACCACAGTAAAGTATTATGCTGTTGTTCCCCATTTAAAGGCGCTCTGCTTAATGAATTAAACACGGTAGCTGCAAGACCATGACAGTTTTCTCAGGAGTGCGATAGTCAATCCTACTTGGGAAATGACTATATGACATACTTGTACTTCCTTCCTGGAAATACCTAGCATATATCTCCTTTGATTTTGGATCAGCTTCAAATCACGTCTTTCAATCCTCGGCTTCGATTTCATAGTAGTGTCTTAGACCATCCTGACGCGGCGTGGAGCAAGTGGGGCGCCATTGATCTGATCTCAAAAAATGAGACGGGAAAAATAAAAGACTTCACAAATCTCTTCGCGGCAGGCCCGCATCTCGCGGGTAAATAATATCCAACTGTCTCCCTGCAGGAAGGCATGGCCCCTGCCTTGGTCGGCATCAATTATTCTCGGGCTCGGTAGTGCCTGCGCCCGCTTTCATCGCGTCTTTGATAAGGTGTATCGGGATCGAGTGCACACCGACAAGTCACCGCATGAGACTTAAGATTTCCCTGGACATTGGTCTGCTTTGATCTGGCTGTTGTTCCAGGAATACTTTTCTCGCTATGCTTGTTCGTAAGTTTTCATTTTCGTTACTGTCTAGCTTCCACTGACTTCCGACAGCTCGTGGATGGCGAGGATGCATAAATCGGGCCCTTATGGCGGTGCTCCCGCCCTTTAACTTTCTGACATTGCACTATCTCTATTTCATTGTGGCTTCTGTGGTCGCTAGCACTATACTGTTCTCGACCTCGACGCCGGTCAAGGATGTGGCCTATAGTGATGCGATCTTCTTGTGCATCAGCGCTATGACTGGCGCTGGATTGAATACGGTTTGTTTATGCCTTTTCCTGTTTGATTGAATTCGGCTAAAGGACTACAGGTGGACTTGTAAACCCTGAACACATCCCAACAAGTTGTTCTGTTCATACTCTTGCTTCTGGGTTCTGACATTCTCATCTCTAGCACTGTGCTCTTGGTCCGAAAGCGGGCTTTCGAAGCTAAGCTGAAAAGTGTCTCAGATTCCCGCGAAGCTTCCCAGCGAACTTCGACTCTTGAGCTGCAGAACATGAATCCAGAACTGCAAGATGAATCTTATAGTAACATCGTGGAAAGTCGGATGCGAGTGAAGACTGCCGTGGGCGTTCATGAATCACCCGCTCAGCCGTCTTCTATCCAAATTCAATGGACGGACGATGATCAGATCACAATGAGCGATGAACAACGGTATGATCACCATCATCATCATCATCCTCACAATCACCGAGTCTTCCGCATGGTTGGTGTGGGAGCCCGACCAGATCTCAACAATCATCCTCGAGATGCGATTCCGCTGCCATTATCCGCCGATAAACCTCTGGGATTCGGCTTGAAGGGTATGATCCGCAGCCCACAGCAGTATCTCCTCTCCAAGGGTGTTGTATCTCGCAACTCCCAATTCCACGGCCTTTCATCGATCGAACGTGAAGAATTAGGCGGAGTAGAGTACAAAGCCGTGTCATTCTTGTCATGGATTGTCTCGCTGTACTTTATTTCGTTCAATCTCCTTGGGATCATCGGTATGAGCACATGGTTGCAGGCAAATCACCCAGAGGTGACACGTGGAAACGGGCTGGATCCGTTCTGGACCGGCGCATTCTTTGCCGTGTCGGCGTTTGTGAATAGTGGCATGTCATTATTGGATAAGAACATGACTGCTTTGCAATTGGAGTGAGTCGACACGTCCACTTACTTGGTGATCTTTGCTGACTTTCCCAGTGCTTATCCGCTTCTTACTCTGGGAATGCTCATTCTCGCTGGCAACACGCTTTACCCCTGTTTCTTGCGCTTCATCATCTGGACCATGAGAGACTTGATGCCGAATAATCCGAGGTGGGAGTCGTGGAGAGTCACTCTTGACTTTATCTTGAATCATCCGCGCAGGGTTTACACCAATCTCTTTCCTGCACGCCATACATGGTACCTGCTTGGCACAATCATCATTCTCAACGGAATTGACTGGGCTGCCTTCGAACTGCTCTCTATTGGCAACAAAGAGATTCAGGCTCTTCCGTCAGAATATCGAGCTCTCGATGGCTTGTTCCAGGCGTTGGGTTAATAACGTTCGCAACTCTGTTGGGGTTCTGCTAACATTCTCTGTAGCTGTCCGTGCAGGTGGATTCTACGTTGTGACGATCGCCGATTTACGACAGGGTCTCCTTGTTCTTTACGGTGAGACCTTATCTGCTTTAGTGCCTGGACCTTACGCTCATATGATCCCCTAGTCCTCATGATGGTATGCTTTATCACTTTTCTTAGGGTTCACTTTGAAGAGACTAATAAACCAATCAGTATGTGTCAGCATATCCAGTGTTAGTGACCATACGGTATGTACACCCCTACTATCCATGAATTGTCCAGATCTAACACTAGTTCAGCAACACAAATGTCTATGAAGAAAGATCCCTCGGTATCTACGCCCACGACGACAGCCCCGATTCGCCAGACCGACCAGCTCGAGGCAATGTCTTCCTGGATATAGTCCGCCACCACATGGGCCGGCCTACATTTTCAGAACGTTCACGCAGCTACTTCGTCCATGAACAGCTACGTTCCCAACTCAGCCACGACATCTGGTGGATCGCAGTAGCCGTGCTCTTCATTGCAATCGCCGAATCAGACCACTATAGCGAGCAACCTGTAGCATTCGCAACCTTCAACATTGTTTTCGAAGTTGTTTCAGCATACGGCTGCGTCGGGTTTAGTGTCGGATATCCGGGCAAGAATTACTCATTTTGTGGCGCATGGCACACGATTAGCAAGCTGATCCTTGCGGCTGTTGCGCTACGGGGTAGGCACCGAGGACTACCTGTTGCTATTGACAAGGCGATCATGTTGCCTAGTGAGTCTTTAGCGTGGGCTGAGGAGGAAGATGCTGCGTTCAGGAGGGAGAGGGCGAGGGCTTGGCAACAAGATCGTATGCCTGCTGGGACCGTGTAGTTCCTAATTTTTGTTTCATTCATATCCTCTAGAGATTTGCTCTTCATAGTGAAGCAGAGCATTGCCGAGGTTTACGAATTACACGACCTCTATTTGTTGGATATGATTGCAATCAATCAAATTTGGCATTCAGATATAATTGTATACAGATTTAACAACCTTAATTAAGATGACATCCTCTAGCGAACTCTCATCTCGCCTCTTTGAATATTGCCCGCTTCGTTCCTATTGTCATCCAATTTTTGTTTCAAAGATAGAACAGGAATGGACGTCATGAACCCGAGTTTGTAAGAAACTTCTCAGAAGACTTAGTACTTGCCATTGGCCCCGCCACCCATTTCAGGATCCTTCCTAAGAATTTGTCAGGCTAAAAGACATATTTTTCGATGGTGATAGAACTCACTGTCTCTGAACACGAAGCCAAACTCCACTCAAATCACCAACAGGCAACGAAAGAGGGAATCCAACCGAGTCAAGCAACTGGGCCGTCAACAGCCACCATCCCATCATCGTCGCCACAAACAAAGCAGCACCAGCACCCTAAATCATTCATCATCAGATATCTTGAGGTAATAAAGAGAGATAGAAAAACGTACCACACTCAGGCGGTTAGCCGTCACTTCATCCCCGGTACCAATTTTCCAGTACGCAGCGGCCAGGAGCGAGAATGTCACGACCAGACTGAGAAAGACTATAACGAATAGCAGATTTATACGACTCGCACAGATTGTATAGATCACCATAAGTAATGCCATGAATAAAAAGAAGAATGCTACATGGTGTTAGTGAGCACACCAGACTGCAAGGACAAAGTACGTACCAAAGGTATTCACAAAGCCGGCACTATGGAGACCCGCCAATGTGCTTGTTCCATCTGGGGAGTAAGGAGCGGCAGAGTTAAATGCGGGCGTCATGCTTGCACCGAACGCCAAGCTGAAAGCACCTAAGTCTAGTCAGTATCTCAATTCGATTTTTACACGCGCATAAGGGACGACTTACCCAAATGACCGAACGCCACCGAACTGAACGTGTTACCAAGAATGAATTCCAAAATACTCGAGACCACCAGAATTAGGCCGCCGAACAAGATCAAAATACCACTATTCCAACATCAGTTGACGATTCTCTGAGTCACTGGAGAACATTCATATCCATACCTGAAGGCAGCGCCCCCTCCACCAGCACCTCTCCAGGCCATCAAACAGCATGCCATCGGTGTAGCTGAGACTACAAAAGCTCCAAGTCCCCTAGTGATATTAATGTCCATCTTGCTTGAACCAGGTAGAGATCAAAAAAGCTTACAGAGGCGTAGGGTTACCAAGGTTCTTCGCAAGAGCCGGCTGACGATGCATCATAGGACTGAGATAGAGCTTCTCAAACTGCTCAGCCGACAGCGTCACCGAGGTAGGGACCTGTGTCAAGACCGGCATAGCTCCAGCATCACTCTGCGAAACATTGTAATCATCGCGTTGAATTAGATCCGCTTTACCCGACATAGTGAAAAGTTCATATAATAGAGAAAAATAATGTTGAGAAAGAGGAACAGAGATAGATAGAAATAGAGAGAAATTCAATTCAATTGAACACGATAGGAATTATGTGACAAGTCCAAAGGACCCAAGGGGCCTCTTTTATAGCTACATCATGTCCCCCGCCTGTGGAGACTTCCACAATCCCGGGGAAGAGGACCTGGAGGACTCTCCCAGTCAAAACGCCCTCGGAAGTGAATTCGGCAGCTCCAGCTCGAAAAACAGATATCGGAAGCTTCATCGGTAGGACTAGACGATCTCTCCGCATTCGAAGCAGAGGGAGAAAGGAACCAAGGTTTCGCCCCACGTCTAATGAGCTTTGACGATCATAGCCTCCGGATTTGGATCGAATTGGGGATAAGCTCCTATGGGGACACGACAGAGGCTGACTCATGTTCCCCTTCCAAGGCGGATCGTCCAAATCCATGGGGCCGTGAAGCTTATTGCTGGCCGAAAAATCTGCCGAAGATGCAGAACCACCGAATTTTGGATCCGTCAAGCGAGGATCGTGGGGTCATGCCCGGTAGAGCGTCTAGATTTCCAGGCTATGAACGTCTCATTCCCCGCGTTTTGTGATTGTAGGTTTCGGATCCAGATGGCGGCTTTATGTTATCTTTAATTGGACGCCTCGTGAGGGTGAGGGCGATTAATGCGGAATGCTGGGTTCCGCTCGTTCTGGATTGTACGGAATACACAGGAATTATAGCCGAAGAATTGTAGGAACCTTTGAATCGTGACAACGCCTGTGCGACTAAGTCCGTAGTTCGAGACCGAGCTGAGTCCTAGCGTAAGGGCAATTTCCAGGTCGATTCCCTAGGTCCACTCCCGATGTCTACTCTCCCCGTTGGGCCAAGGATTTTCCCATTTACTCGGTGGTAACATGCAAGGTGTGCCTTCAAAAACGCCAGATTCTTTTGATGCGGATTCCGATATACCCAAAATATCTAAAACAGAGCAAATATACAAAAGGGGACTACTCGTCCTCCATCTCCATCTCATCCTCGTCCTCCTCTTCCTCTTCCTCTTCGTTCTCGCTCTCGATTTCCTCCTCGCCTTCTTCATCGTCACTGCCCTCATCGCTGCCGAAATCTTTCATCAATTCATCGCCAGTATTCTTGGCCTCGGCTCTCCGCTTCTCCTCTTCAAGGCGACCCTCTTCGAGAATAGCAGCACGCTCCTCTCGCAACTTACGCTGAGTCTTAACAAAAGCTCCAAGAGGGGTAGACTCCCAGTCGACATCCTTGAGGAAGTTCTCGACCTCAGTGCGGTTGCGCGGTGTGTAGGTCACATTTAAGCGACGCTCTTCGATCCAGCGGGAATTAGCCTCGACCTTCTGCACAAGCAACATGATCATCTGGTTGATCTTGCCATTCTTGTTGCCGCCGTTGCGGGCAGAGACTTGCTTCAACCAGCGCTTGAGAGCGACAACAACAGGAACCGAAAGTTCAGGGAAGGCAATGTGCTTCGACCATAGGACGAAGAACTCGGACAGGAGCTCGGCGACCTGCTCACCGACGCCGTCTTGGTAGGTGCGCGAGCGCAGGTACGACTTGGGCGCACGGATGGCGGTATTGAAGTCGAGAGGCTTGAGAGTGCTGGACTTGGGGGCCTTGCGCATCTCGGCGGAGGTGAGGACCTCCAAGAGCGAGGCTCCGAGGGGAATGTAGGTACCGGTGGCACGAGAGATGCGCAGCAGAGCACGGGTCATCTGGAAGCGCAGGGGGAAGTACTGTGCTGTGGGAATTAGGCGCATGGCACCAAGGGTGATCTGAACAACAGGGTAAATGAGTGGGCGCAGAGCGGATTGCTTGCCAGCCTTGGCCTCAACGAGACCGTCGCAGTGCTGGGAGAGCACGCGGGACCAGAAGTCGAGAGAGTGCACGTATTGCCAATTGTAGATAGTCTTGTAGGATTCCTTGGTTGTGTTGGTGATGCTCTTGCGCAAATGCATGGCCAACTGGCGGATGAAGCCGAAGCCAGTGGTGTAAGATACGTTCTGGTCAATGCCCCAGATCTCCGCGGCGGAGTTCTTCATCAAGTTCACACCAGCCAGGGTGTGTACAGTGGTGTTGCGGCTTCCCTTGACCACACCCTCGTAGGTCGACTTGAGCACGGTCTCCCTGATGCCGGGGTCACCCATCACCATGAGGCGACGCAACAAAAGGAAAGCAGTAATACGAGTGGTATCAGCATTGGCAACATCTGACCAGATTCCGACAATGGTCTTGATGAGCGCCTTCAAGACCTTGCGGAATTGAAGGAGATAAGGAAGCATGGGCTCCATGGCGGCCAGTGTCAGCTTAAGAGTCGATGCATCGGACAGGTTCATCAGAAGCTGGTGGGTTGAAGAAGTATAGGATTTGATCAAGGGCGTGAGGGTCTTAAACTTCTTGGAATCCATAGACACCTTGACCTTGCCGGCGGCGGTCTCCTTCACGGGGAGATGGTGACCCAGAACCCGAGGAACCACATTCAGGGCAGTGACGAGCACCTGGTGGTAGACCTCGGGGTCAGAGATAACGTACTTTTGCTCAGGAGGATTGGCATCATGGACGTAGGACGCAGCACGGAAAGCAAGAACGGTCTGACGCATAGCACGGACTGAGTGTTGCTCTTCCATCAATTTCTGCCACTTTTGGACCATCGGGATCGTTAAAGTGACGGAAGTATCTTCAGGCTCCTCATCTTGCTGGGCCTTCTTCTTTTTCTTCTTCGCGGGGCCCTCTTCCTCGGCCTCGCCCTCACTGAGATCGTCAACCTCAGACAAGTCGCCCTGGTCACCGAAATCGAGCAGCTCCGCATCGTTCTCCTTCAGATATTTGTAAAACTCAGGGTCCTTCTCCTTCAATGCTTCGAGCTCGTTCTTATGGTCGTCGAAAGCGTTCGCGTCGTCATCACTGGCAGCGTCTTCGCCGGCCTCAGAGCCAGCGGCAACAGCCTCTTCATCCTGGGCCTGATCTGTGGTGCGCTTGCGCTTGCCGATTTTGGGGGTAACATCCTTCTTGCTCGCCTTCTTCTTGCCGTTGATTTCTTCGGGGATGTCGAAACCGCCAGCGAAGAAGTCATCGACGTTCATCTCCTTGAAGGCATTCTTCTGTTTTTCCTCCTCAGGGTCTGCCGCGTTCACTTCTTCGGCTTCGCGACGGCTGGCACTCTTGGCCTTGCGCTTTTCGTTCAGTTGGTGACGCTGCTTGATCTTCGCGCTCTCCTTGCGGCGTTCGAGAATATCCTTGAGATGATTCTTCTCGAACTTCTTCGTTGACTTTTTTGCTCCACCCATTGTGATGATTGTTCTGCAGAAATTGAGCTTGCAGATTGCGGTCAACTGCGAGAAAAAAAAAATTGGCTCGGGGAAAATCAGCGGGTCCGCCTCCGCGACCGCCTTTGCAGCTGCCGATAAGACAAGGCCGCCTCTAGCTTCCTATATGGCCATGTCTTGCTCTGGCTCTTGTCCTTTCTTTTGAATTTCTTCTCGAGATGTACACGCAGCGCCCACTGTCCTACGCTCCTACTCCATACAGCTACATGCCTAACCCTGCTCGGTCGGCCTCAATTAATCTCGATGAAGTACGTTCGGTGGCACCGAATGCGGGGGCCTAATGCTAACAACCTCAAGGAAGTGAAATTGATTTCCAACTCCGGAGAACGAGATCTTTACGAATCGCTCGCCGAAATATACAGCATTATCGTCACTCTCGATGGCCTCGAGAAAGCATACATCAAGGACGTCGTCACCGAGGCGGAGTACACCGAGACATGCACACGGCTCCTGAAGCAGTACAAATCGAGTGTAGGTGACGAGTCCGTGTCGCGAGAATTTGTGGATCTGGAAACTTTCAAACGCACATGGGGGGTATGTTTGTTGCAATACCCTTTATTTATCATTTCTAACCCAAGTCCAGTTGGAGTGTCCCCGCGCAACCGAACGACTACGCATCGGACTACCTGCGACCGTCGAGCAGGCCTCACACGGCGCAACTGCAGCCAACAATACAGCTTCCGGTGGCGGCGGCGCATCGGGCAGCCTAATCTTGGCGGCGACTGAGAACTTCATCACCTTCCTCGACGCGTTGAAGCTGAACATGTTATCAAAAGACGCCTTGCACCCTTTGCTCTCGGAAGTGATCCAATCGGTCAATAAAGTCACAGACGGAGATTTTGAAAGCCGCGGCAAGATCATTCAATGGTTGATTGCGTTGAATCAGATGCGAGCGACGGAGGAACTGAATGAGGATCAGGCTCGGGAGTTGTCATTCGATATCGACCAGGCCTACCAAGGTTTCAAGGCGACTTTGACCTAGCATGCATTGGTACGGCGTTTCATGGGCTACTTGAATTATGTGTTTTACGATACCATTTCGATTTATACTTCAGAGCGTCTATCGCAATTGTGATTTTTTTGTACAGATGTTGCATACGTGGTGTACGAGGTACAAGGTATTCACGAGATTTTTTTTTTGGTCCATCTCGTCTTGGATAATCAGAATCAACAATGTCTACTGCAGCCAACCCTCGTTTATCAATTTGGAAATTCCCCATTTTCACTTGTCTGTGGTTTCTGGTTTCTGCCTGAATCTTCGGGCAATCCCACGATCCGCGGAACCGACGCCAGCCTTTCCTCTTTGGGTTTTTTCTTTTTCTGCGTGGCGCGTGGCGGTTCATGGGGCTCCGATAAAACCCCCGATCTTACCCCGACGGTGATGCTGGTTTCTCGTGTACCTGGTCGTCAGGAACCAATTGCCCACAATGATCAGTACCAATGACGAGCCGCTGCACGGTGAGTACATGATCTATAAAATTCCTCCACGAGATAGTGGAACTTGAACTGATAAGGGGTCTACAGTGCTCGACCTACCCCAAATCTACACGAAACCCTCCGGCACCGATCTCATCAAGGCCCTGGCTTTATTAACGCTGCAGCCTCGCACATTCGGAACCACTGCGGAGGTTGCCAAGGGTCCAGCAGTGCAGCCAGCTGGTGTGACTCGCTATCTCACCTCAATCATCGCAAGCCCGCTGTCATGGCTTGACACGGAAGAGTTGCAGGAAGCTGTCTGGGATGCGGCTTCAGCTCGCCTGAGTGAGAGGTCTGGTCGTGCCGGTAAGGCGGCTCCTATCGCCATGTTGTATACTTTGCTGACATCCTCCCTTAGCCATGCCGGCTATGTCGCGCGTCTTCAGTGTGCCCACCTCGTCCGGGGAAGACTACACCCTCACCTTGCACGAACCATCCATCACCGCAGATAACCTGGGGATGAAAACCTGGGTCTCATCTTATCTTCTGTCCCGCCGACTGCACAACCTTCTCGAGTGCCCGCCGGACCTCGTGCCGTCGGGACCGACCGAGCTTTCAGCCAAACTCAACACGAACAAGCCACTACGCGCGCTTGAGCTCGGCTCTGGCACGGGACTTGTCGGCCTGGCCTTTTCCGCACTCCAAGGCAAATCAGCCACCGTCCACCTGACCGATCTTCCGGACATCGTGCCAAACCTCGCCCATAACGCCGCACTGAACGTCGAGCTCCTCAATAGCACAGACGCAACCGTGACAACAGGCGTTCTGGACTGGTCTTTGACACCCAACCCACTGCCTTCGGCGCAAGAGCGCTTCGACGTGATCCTGGCTGCGGACCCGCTATACTCGCCCAAGCACCCCAAGTGGCTCGTGGACACAATCGGGGTATGGCTGAGCCGTGGACTTGACGCACGAGTCGTCATGGAAATGCCGCTTCGTGAGGCATATATTCCACAAAGACAAGAGTTGCGCCAACGACTGGCCGACTTGGGTTTGACTCTGGTCCAAGAGGGTGAGGAGATCGGATACGACGACTGGGAGAGCGCAAATGGTGAGGCACTAGCCGTGAAGTGCTGGTGGTCCGTGTGGGGATGGAGCGAAAAGGTCTAGTCAACCACCTGCATTGCGTTTCATTCCTCCCTCACATTGCGATCCAAGCGAGGGCCAACGCCCACTTCCACGTCGCAGCTTCAGCGAACGACATGAGACACGAATAGATGATACATGATAGAATCGCATTTTAGAAATAGACAACATATATTCATTCCAATAGAATGAGAGCAAAGCATGATGGAAGTTTAGGTGAATCGAAAGTAGAAAGGTGAAGATATTGAGACCCATCACGTGGGGCCATGACGTCGGTGTCAAGGTGTCAAGCATCCAAAAAATACCTGGGCAGTGACTCGACTCATCCACGGCTCATCACTTTTAAAGAGTCCGACCACCGGCCAGATACAGTGCACCTCATGAAATCACTCCGTTTCTGGTCCACATCGCCAGGGTGAAATGCATAACCTGCGAGTACCAATGATTCGCAAGTCATCCTAATCTCCAAACATCGGAGACATTTTACAAACGAGCAAACCAAAGTCAAGCCGACTTCACTATATAGCTGTCGCGTCAAATCACGCACTTCAATATGGTGATTGGACTCTTGATGCTCTCGTCTATTCCGACAGTCACTGGCGTGGCTTTCGGAGTCAGCGAGCAGCGCAAGTCAAACCAGCGCAGGGAAGACGCGAGGCGAATGGTCAAGTTCAACATCGACGCCCAATGCAACGGGGATACAGATGATGATCGCGAAATTAATGGGCGGAGAGTCGTTGTTCGAAATGAAAAGGTGAGAAATAGGACCTGGCTGCACAAGTACTCGAACTGACACTGTCCAGGTCTATCTAGACGATCCGAATCCTGCGAACCGATCACATCCTGCCTTTACATCTCTGGCCTTCTATATCGAGTATCCGGAGCTTGACGAGACGAAGCATCTCGATCGGGGTCTCGGGCTACCAACATACGTGCAGGCCAATCCGCCGCTACTGAACTGGATCTATGCGGACAAAGATACGTATGAATTGAAGTACGGAAACAGGACACAGAGCGTGGAACATCTTGTTGGGCCGTGGGACTGGACAGAAGATGAGAAGACGATTCTGTTAGAACAAAAGAGCACGTTCGTGGCGGTTGAGGAGGAGGAAGGCGAATGGGCTCTATACTTCGATCGGGACGGTGATGAATTAGCGCGAGTTCTAGAGGAACAGGACATGTTGGATTGCGCCTTTGTCCCAGTGACACTTGTCAGACGGATCGCTGAAGAGCCACCTGCTCCAAAGGCACAGAGTCAGGGCTGAGCATTGAATATTGGGAAGTAACGATGGAATGCGTTCATGATCACATCTGGTTTATATACCAAAATTTGAAATAAGTCTACACGAACTATACTTAATCTTCCAATCCATCCCAGCTGCCATCACTCTCATTTCCTGCAGCCGCGCCCTCCGCCTTGCGATTGCGACTAGCAGCGATAGCACCTCGCTTGCGGTTCTCCATGCGGCGCTCGTAACCACTCTTCGTACTGATTCTCGCAGCGCGAGCGCCCTTATCATTCTCGTCCTTGCCGAGGTTCTTCGAGACCTGGCGAGCCTTGACACCGTGTTTCTTGAGTTCTTGCTTGTCCTTCTTGCTCAAGTCGGGAAGTGACTCAAGTAGCCATTTCTGAATAGACTTCTTGTCATCGGTTCCACGCAGCTTCTCGCTGGCATCGATGACATTCGCAATGCTCTTGACATAGGGAATATCTTCCTTGGTGTAATATGTAACAGCAATACCACCCTCGCGACCAGCGCGTCCGGTGCGTCCGACGCGGTGGACGTAGACCGCGGCAGAGTTAGGGATGTCGTAGTTGACAACGCCGTTTAGGCCGCGGAGATCCAGACCACGGGCGAGAACGTCGGTTGTGACGAGGATCCAAATCTCGCCTTTGCGGAAGTCACGCATAATTTCTGAGCGTTGAATGTCTGAGAGGTCGGAGTGGAGTACGGCAATGCGCGAGGATCCGCCTGCTTCAGCAGGGATGTCGTATTTCAATTCCGAGTGCAGGGCAATTGCGCGGGGAATGGTTTGTGTGAAGATGAGGAATGGGGGGGCGAAGGCGTATATCGTTTGCTGCAGCTGCGGTGGGGCGAAGGAGCTGTCGAAGACCGAGCAGCTTACCTTGTTCAGTTGCTGCGTAGACGAGACGGTGGTCGATGTTGGGAACGGCCGAGTCCTTGAGACCGACAACAAGGCGAACCAGGGGGTGGAGCTTGTCGCTCTGATGGCCGAGACTTTCCAGGCGCTCTTTGATCGTAGAGCGAGTGAGATCTTCGATGTTGGATCCCATGGTGGCGGACCACAGGCTGACGCGCAAGTCTGGATGCACGCATGAGCGCCAGATATCGAGTGTCTGGTCCCGGAACAATGGATCCATGAGAACATCTGCCTCGTCCAGCACCAGGCTTCGTACTAACGGCAGTTTGCCCAAGGGCTTCGTCTGATTTGCGTTCAAGGAATTGACAAGCTGGAGAGGAGTAGTAACCAGGATGTCACTCTTGGTAAGAGGTGATTTGTTCTCAGCCTTCTTGGGTATGCTCTGCTCTTCTTGTTCCGATTCGTCAGATGCCTCGCTGTCTTCATCAAGGACATTCGCATCGCCTTCCTCCTCTTGCTCCACCACGCGCATACCCTTCTTCATGAGAGTAATCTTCACTCCAGTGCCAGCCACCAATTTCCGACCTTCATTCACAATTTGGCTGGCAAGCTCTTTTGTAGGCGCCACAACCACAGCTGAAATCCCATGCTCATCGGGGTTGGTGTGATGATGGCGAACAATCTTGTTAATGGCGGGAATCAAAAAAGATAACGTCTTTCCGCTACCGGTGGGAGCGACGACCAAGAGGTCTGGCTCCGCTTGGTTTTCAGTGGCGACTGAAGAGCCACCAAGCATAATAGGGAGAGTTCCTAACTGCACCTCCGTGGGCACAGTAAATCCCTGCTCGGCGACATTCGCGGCGAGACGGCTCGAAATTTTGTACTTTGAACGTAGTTCCTTGAACGAAAGTAACGGCTGTGGATACAGACGGCGAGCACGCTTCATCTCCTTCTTGCTGAGAATGGGAGCTTCTTCCTGTTTAGACTTCTTCTTTTTCTTCTTAGAGTCCTTTGCAGGTGCAGACTGAGGCTGAATCTCGTCCAGATCGCGGAGATCGGTGACCTTGATCTTATGAGAGTTCAGAATAGTCCGACGCTGGACTTCATCCATAGCTTCCTCATCATCTGATCCATCGTCCTGAGCTGATGCATGCTGCTGGTCGAGCTTGACGGTAGATGTTTCCGTCGCAGCCGGCGCAGAACGTTTGTTCGAGTTGAAAAAATCCAGTTCAGGGGCATCATCTGCTTCTTCATCATTTGCTACAGGTGCTCTCTTCTTTTCTTGTTGCTCTGCGCAAGTTCAAGCTTCTCGCCTTCCTCAGTCCGGAACAGTTGCGGATTAGCGGCTTTGCCCGCTGAAGGCAGACGGGCAGCAGACTCTGTAGCCGGCGGGGTCGGCTTGAGCTTCGTTGACCGAGTCAACAACCTGAAAGCGTCCATGTTGTATGGGGGATGAAATGAAGGAAGACCGGCTTTGATATTTCGCCAGGAAAAAAAAGTGACCCGCCAAGTTTGCTTCCGGGCCAATCAGACCGCGCGCCCACCGATCACCGGCGCTCATGCCAATGTAGGCGCAGGATCAAGGCGTGAATCATGAAATACAAAGTAAGAATTTCGCTATTGACCGGACTCAGGCACACAGCAAGGAGCACTGTAATGAGACATACGATCTCGCCGTCCACCATGGCCGTTCTGGAGATGGGAAACACGATAGACGTCGCGGTACTGGATTTCGATTTGAGAAACTACAGAACTTCACACCCAACACATACAACAGAGTCCGCGTCTTTAGGTCCAAATGAATTGCGATCAATGACTTTCTATCTCAGACAACAGTTTATATTCCATCGTCTATCATACAGTGCACAACCTTAGGGAAAACGGGATACAAAGGAAAGGAACAAGGGAAAGGCGATTGGGTTCCAAGCTTAGTGTCCGTGTGCAGGCTCACCCCGGTAGCCGACGATGTTCATGCGACCGATCATCTCGCCAACGGTGAAGAAGCCGATGACCTCGGCGGCGGTGACACCGGCGAGGGCGAGCTCCTTGGGGCTGGCGTTGCGGACGCGAGCCAACCAGTTCTGGGGCGAGGGGAAGTTCATGCTCTTAAGAGCGGCGGGGTTCTTGGAGATGTTGATCAGGGGCTGGAAGTAGGACTGGAAAGTGGCCATGGAACTAGAGATTTGTTAGATCGCGTGTGCGATGCGGTTATTTTGGCTGGGCGGCTTACGGAGGAGTCATGTTCTGGCCACGGAACACCAGCTTGCCGAGCTCAAGGCCGACCTTGGAGTAGTAGATAGTCGGGGGGGATCATGGCTAAATTGGATGGTATGGTTAGCGGTGCACCGATGGAGATGAACTCGGATGACCGGATGTCAACAGGAGGGTTTGTGAGAGAGGCATGATTCCCATTATGACAATTGCATTTCCCATGCCTCTATCATCAATCCTCCCGTGTGTATTCATCAGAGTCAGATCTTCCGAGTATGAGGGTATCGCTTACAGTCGACGAAAGCGACGACCTTGCCGACAGGGCCGCCAACCTTCCGGAGGGCAGTGGCAGCGTTGGAGATGGCCGGGCCAGCGGCAGCAGAGGCCTTGGACAGACCCTCGGAAGCCTTGGAGGCAGCCGAAGAGGCAGTCTGGCTGGCCTTGTTGGCGGCCTCGGAGGTGGACGAGGAGTGTCTGACGACGGTTCTCCGGGTCAGGAACTGCGATTGCCGCAGAACGGCACGGGTGGCAGCGGGCATTTTGGGGACTGCGGGAGAGGTAGAAAGAGCGAAGATAGAGATCCGAGCACAGGTCACCCGTTGCAGTCGCTGGTGTGAGGACAAGGGGGGTCCAATGGCGGTTTTCTTATGGCGCAACGAAGGACCAGAATCTGCGGATTCAAGGTCGGGAACTTCAGGGAATGAGTCACGTGAGCGGCCGCTATCCGTGCCTGAATCTGAGGTATTCATATGCCATCGACAATTAGTCAGGAGAAATTTGGAGAGCTATAATCTTAATCTAGGATTTGAATTAGTGTGCTTCATATGGTTATTGAACAATAGAAAGATCCGTGTGGATGGTGTGCGCTACTATGAGTACGTAGTCGCGGCAACACTAACAACACATGCGCCCGGACTACGCGCCGTGAGTAAGACGCCTCAATTATGGTTAGATCTTGCCTAGCTTTGATCAGTAGAGTATAAGGCATGTTACAGGCCGTGCTAATCTATTCATATCGGGTGTCCAAATGGCCATGGTAAGGCTATCATTCTGCCGGTAATATATCCAAATACCAATCCGGACCGTAATTCAAAGTAAGTGATATATTTTTTGTGCCTACCTGAGCAGCATCCATCAACTATCATTCATTTATCTATTAATATCCGTTCAAATCTACGACATTGCATTAAGAGTCAATTAATTAGCTCTTGTGCACCAAAGAATGCTATCCTATCATCCAACATATCGAGGATCTGAGCGGTCTTCACCCCCTTCAGGCGTCGTTCTCTAATTGGGGTTATTAAACCTCCCGGTGACTAGATCTTCACTTCGGGCCTGTCTATTGTTAGGGCACATTCCGAGTGCCCAATAGGCAACGGGTCGTCCTCTTCATGTGAAAATTCACAGTCGCGAAAAGAACAATCCCACCTGAAAGTTGTTTGACCGAGTTCGCGAAAATAGGTGACGACATCGAATTCTTTTCTTTCCGTCACCTCCTTTGCAGCTCCGTAGCCGCTTGTTTGTTTTCGACTCATTCGAATAGTCATAAAAGGCTTCAGATTGTCCTTTAGAAGACGCGAAAGAAGGTACAACGTGAATCAAGCAAATAGCGAGAACAAAGACAATAGTACGACGTGAGGAGGCATGGCTTTCCCTTCCTTTTTATTTTTTATTTTTATTTTTATTTTTTACATCTCTCGAGTCTTACGCCCTGAAATCTACTATAGCGTCCGGATTCGAGCTACACTTCCTCAATCATGGAAGGCTTGGTACTGTGCTGCCACAAGCCCCCGAAATCTGTACCATCTCGGGGAGGTCATTTTATAGCACGAGTTCTAACTTTGCAATTCATTCTCCGAGACGCTTCCAGTAGATGCCAAAGTTACTGTCACAAGGGAAGAGTGAGGTTTGAGCTAGCTGTGTTCTCCATTAAAATCAGAGCGAGAGGCAATTCGTGTCTAAGCTTTTCTCACTTGCTTTGCCCTCCCGTCGCAACTCCCCCAATTGAATTGAATTTACCATAATTGAATTTTGAAAGTGATCTGACTCCGCTACTACGGCATGATGACGGTCCGCGCTCATCAAACTCCTAGGACAAGATGATTCTCGCCCTCATGATCGATATCCGGTAAATTGCATCTTGAACAGAGTTGTCTTCGCACCGACAGTAGATGATAGTCTCCGAATATTCTCACTTCGTACAGCTCGTCTTCCGCAGGTCAATAGAGAAGCGACAAAGAAAAAGAAACAGGGTTAATTGACCATGTCACGTCCCACGAGACAAGTTGCCATGGTTGGCTCTGACATGACTATGAGGTCAGCACCTCGTCACAGGACCCTGAAGAGCTCCGGGCGATAGTTCCTGCTCTTGTATGTCGTGCCCTTCCCTAGATCACCCTTCAATTCCATCTCAACAACTCAGCCCATCCACTGAAGCTACCACCACCGCTCTCCCTGCATCAGTATTCGAGCATCTTAGGGTTATATTACCTTTCACTGAGTCATGCATAGTGATTTTTGGATCTTTTATCGTGCCCTTGGCCTTCGTTTTTCACGATCTCCGATCAAGCGCGTTGCACCGACTCCTACTTGGTATCACCCTGGGATGTGACGATATTGTCACTCGGAGAGAAAATATTTGCAAGTTACCAGAGGAGACCAAGTGGAAGGTGGACTAGTTTCCAGAACGGACCAAGCCTATACACGCCCAATGCAGTCGCGTGTGTCAAACGTTGAATCGACAGCTTCCCCAATCATTTGCACTGTTTGCAGCGGATAAAGGCCGCCCTTTCCCCGCCACAAAAAAATCCATCAACCAGCGTGCAGCCGCCGGAGAATTGCCATTTGTGGGCTCATGCGCCGTTTGGTAGCATCAAGCATCTCAATGTGGCTTTTTGGTCAGAAGTCACTTCAAAGTAGGAACTCACCCGACATTCGATGCAGTTCAGTTTGCTCCACTGCCACTGCCAGTATCTAGACACGGGTATAGACGAACAAAAAACACCATATCCTTGCTATTAACCGAGAGCCGACTGGCTTCGGCCCGATTAGAAAGGGGCGATAGGAGACTGGGCGAGGTCCCACGTTTCACAGTGGAGGATGGTTGAGCAGCCCCTAGGTACTGTAAATGACCCCCGCGCGGTTAAATGGCTACCCCTCCACTCCACTTTTTACTCCACGTCCTGGACAGTATGACGAGAGAGAGAGCGAATGCGCCTGATCACCTGCTCCCACGTTTACATAAAGAGCCTGCCTTGCACATTTTACTCTCGCCTATCCTCAGTCCATCCTTCACCATGTCTTCCGCTACCACCGTCACCAAGACCAACATCGGCGTGTATACCAACCCCAATCATGACTTGTGGATTGCGGAGACCGGCCCCAAAGTCGAGGATATTCAGAGTGGCAAGGGTCTGAAGCCTGGCGAGGTCACTATTGAGGTTCGCAGTACTGGTATCTGCGGGTAAGCATTCAAGTGTGGCCGTGAGAGACCAACCTAACTGAATGATGATAGATCCGATGTTCACTTCTGGCACGCCGGCTGCATTGGCCCCATGATTGTCACCGGCGACCACATTTTGGGCCATGAATCTGCCGGTCAGATCGTTGCGGTCGCTCCCGACGTCACCCACCTCCAGCCCGGCGACCGGGTCGCCATCGAGCCCAATGTTATCTGTAACGCCTGCGAGCCCTGCCTGACTGGACGTTACAACGGCTGCGAGAGGGTCGCCTTCCTTTCCACTCCTCCCGTCGATGGACTGCTCCGTCGCTATGTCAATCACCCTTCCATTTGGTGCCACAAGATCGGCAACATGAGCTACGAGGACGGTGCCCTCCTGGAACCTCTCAGCGTGACTCTGGCTGCCGTTGAGCGCAGCGGGCTGCGTTTGGGTGACCCCTTGCTCATTACGGGTGCAGGTCCCATTGGTCTGATCAGTCTGCTCAGCGCTCGCGCTGCCGGTGCGTGCCCCATTGTCATCACCGATATCGATGAAGGTCGGCTGGCCTTCGCCAAGAGAATCGCCCCGGAGGTGCGCACCTACAAGGTGGAGATTGGCAAGTCGGCCGAGGAGTCCGCAGAGGGTATCATCAACGCCCTGAACGATGGAAAGGGTTCCGGCCCGGACGCTCTCCGCCCAAAGCTGGCGCTAGAGTGCACTGGTGTTGAGAGCAGTGTCAATTCCGCCATCTGGAGTGTCAAGTTTGGTGGTAAGGTGTTCATCATCGGTGTCGGCAAGAACGAGATGACTATTCCCTTCATGCGCCTAAGTACACAGGAGATCGACCTGCAGTACCAGTACCGCTACTGCAACACCTGGCCCCGCGCCATCCGTCTTGTGCAGAACGGCGTTATTGACCTGCGCAGCCTGGTCACACACCGCTTCGCCCTTGAGGACGCTCTCAAGGCCTTTGAGACTGCTGCCAATCCCAAGACTGGCGCTATCAAGGTGCAGATCATGAGCTCTGAGGAAGATGTTAAGGCCGCCAATGCTGGCCAGGCGGTCTAAGTGTGTTATTAAGGCTGGTGTTGGGGCTGGAAGGAGCTGATGAACTTTCTTAATGAATGATGCTTAGAGATGCCCGCTGGGCACAATAGAGAGCCATGAAATGAATTTCCTTTCGTTCGAATGCTTCAATGTCTCAATGTTTCGATGTGGCGGCGAGTCAAGTTTTATTGGGGCCCGGGTACCTTTTGATCGAGGACGAGGACCCTTGTGTCTCAGCCCTAATTTAACTGCACGTATGATCAGCACTCCAGCCTCCTCTCTATTTCTGACCTTGTTCACGATCTGAACATGGTCCTTAGCCGGGGGCTTCCCCTCATTTTTCCACATATCCCCGGATGGACCCTGCCGATCTGCCAAGATGCTTGTCCCGACAAATGTCCGCTCGTCCATGTTTGCTAGTCCCAATGATGCAGGGACAAGGCAATAAAACTCACGTCAAGCAGGAAAAACAACGGCTGCACGGCCGGAACTTGGGCTTCTCGTATCATTAGTCCACATCACTTTGTCCTCTTCGCATAATCATCGGACATCATCCTCTCCACCTTCCCCTCCATCTTCTTCTTTCACTTGGTCCCACATTCGCATTCCACCCAGTCCTGATCCTTACTTAAATCAACCTTGGTCTGCTTTTGAATATTCCCAAGTTCCCGCTGCTGTATAATCAACGGTCTCTAGTTGGATCTTCAACATGCGGATCTCTCTCTTTCTCTTCGCTCCCCTCGTGGGGGCTGCTGTTCTGAACCATCGAGACAACATCGATCAATGCCCTGGCTACAAAGCCGTCAATTTCAATGACCAAGGCCTGAAATTTACGGCTGACCTGACTCTGAATGGTGATCCTTGCAATGCATATGGCTATGACCTGCAGGATCTGAAGCTTCTAGTTGAGTACCAGGATGGTCCGTGACATCCCAACATCTCCAGTATGATCAATCGCTGACCAATCCAGATGACCGTCTTCATGTAATGATCTACGATGCGGATGAGGAGGTCTATCAGGTCCCTAATTCCGTCGTCCTCGTCCCAGCCCTCGCGGGGATCACAAGAAGGGCCAGCCTTCCCTACGATTCGACTACCAGCCCGATCCCTTCAGTTTCCGTGTCCTGCGCCAGACTGATAATGGCGATGAGCAGGTTCTGTTCGATACTACGGAAACCAACATCATCTTTGAATCTCAGTATCTAAATCTGCGTACCTGGCTACCAAATGATCCAAACTTGTACGGACTGGGTGAGCACACCGACTCACTGCGTCTGCCCACAACTAACTACACGCGAACTCTCTGGAGTCGCGATGCTTATGGTGTGCCCTCTAACACAAATTTGTATGGTAACCACCCGGTCTATTTCGATCATCGTGGTGATGCCGGCACCCACGGAGTCTTCTTCTTGAACTCCAATGGCATGGACATCAAGATCGACAAGACCGATGATGGTCGTCAGTTCCTGGAGTACAATACTGTGGGCGGAGTCTTTGACTTTTACTTCATGGCGGGTCCGACTCCGAAAGATGTCGCCAAGCAGTATTCAGAAGTCGTGGGTCTACCGACCATGCAGGCCTACTGGACCTTTGGTGTATGTTCTCGATGTTGTGGGTATCTTTGTCTTCAATACTGACCATTAGATAGTTCCACAATTGTCGATACGGATACCGGGATGTCTACGATGTTGCTGAAGCGGTGTATAACTACACTCATGCTCACATCCCACTGGAGACCATGTGGACAGACATTGACTACATGGATGCTCGACGTGTCTTCACGCTAGACCCCGAACGCTTCCCTCTCGAGAAGATGCAAGAGTTGGTGAACTATCTTCACCACCACCACCAGCATTACATTGTCATGGTGGACCCAGCTGTTAGTGCCAGCGGTAAGTGGAAGGGTATTACCATTTCACACGGAATAAGATCTGATGCAGGTGGAATCCAATAGACAATGGCGCCTTCAACCGAGGCAAAGAGGCTGATGTCTTTTTGCACTACCCTAACTCGCCTGACTCGTTCTACGAAGGTAAGCTGCCCACAATTTACTCCATGTAAGTTACTCACGTATACAGGTGCCGTCTGGCCCGGCGTTACCGTCTACCCAGATTGGTTCAATCCCGTCGCTACACAGTCGTGGTGGAATGATGAGTTCAAGAGATTCTTCAACGAGCAGGACGGAGTCAACATCGACGGCCTCTGGATCGATATGAATGAAGCCTCCAATTTCTGTCCCTATCCATGCACCAACCCCGAGCAGTACGCTGAGAATAACGATCTTCCTCCCGCGCCTCCATCTGTTCGCCAGCCACCGCGCACCATTCCCGGCTTCCCTGGTGACTTCCAGCCTAAGAAGAATGGCAAGCAGCGTCGCTCTACAGGGCGCAGGCTTGGACTGCCGAATCGTAATCTCATTTCGCCACCCTATGCAATTGCTAACGCTGCTGGGTCGCTCAGCAACAAGACCATTGATACTGATATCATTCATGCTGGTGACGGGTATGCTGAGTATGACACCCATAACCTCTACGGTACTAGTAAGTGTGACCAAGCCCCGTGGCACTTCATTTGATATACATTCTAACCACCTCAGTGATGAGCTCTGCCTCTCGCGAGGCAATGCTGGCCCGCCAGCCTGAGGTCCGTCCTCTCGTTATCACTCGTAGCACCTTTGCCGGTGCCGGTTCTCATGTCGGTCACTGGTGAGTATACCAAAGCCATTCACGCACTTGACTTTCATACTAAAACCTCCAGGCTCGGTGACAACCTCAGCCAGTGGGACAAGTACCGTGTCTCCATCTCTGAGATGCTAGCCTTTGCCTCAATCTTCCAGATTCCCATGGTCGGCTCCGACGTTTGCGGCTTTGGCGGCAACACAACCGAAGAGCTCTGCGCCCGCTGGGCAACCCTTGGCGCCTTCTATCCATTTTACCGCAACCACAACCAGCTAGGCTCGATAGGTCAAGAATTCTACCGCTGGCCCGTCGTCGCCGACGCCGCACGCAAGATTATCGACATTCGTTACCGCCTCCTCGACTACCTCTACACAGCCTTCCACCGCCAAACCCAGACAGGCGAGCCTTTCCTCCAACCTCTTTTCTACATCTATCCCAACGACGCAAACACATTCTCCAATGAAGGCCAATTCTTCTACGGAGATTCCCTCCTCATCTCCCCAGTTCTCGACCAAGGCTCAACCTCCGTAGAAGCCTACTTTCCCTCGGACACATTCTACGACTGGACAACTGGCGCCCGCATCACCGGCCAAGGCAAGAATATCACACTCTCCAACATCGCCCTCACCGATATCCCAATGCACATTCGGGCGGGCAGTGTTCTCCCGCTTCGCTCCAAAGGCGCTATGACAACTACAGAATTGCGCACGCGTGGCTTCGAAATCGTCATCGCACCCAACGACGACAATATTGCCGCGGGCGAACTGTACCTCGATGATGGCGAATCGCTGAACCCGCAAGGAACATCCCTTATTCACTTCACCTTCAGAGATAACAAATTGCGTCTCCACGGTGACTTTGGATACCAGGGTAATGTGGTCGTGGAGACTGTGACGTTGTTGGGTCAGAAGAATGCTGGATCTCGTCGGGATGTTTCCGTTGAATTTGACGAGAAGCGCCAGGCGCTTTCAAAGGTTGTGAATATTGCATTGAGTGGCCCAGTGGTTATTGACATTTGAATGAGTTGTTGATTTTGTGGGGAAACAAAATTGCGTACGAGGAGGCGGGGTGGCGTGGAGCCACTGTGTAGTGCGAGGTAGTTATTTTTCGATAGTCTGCTCACAGTCCGAGATAATCCCGCGCTATGGAAGTCTCTTTGGAGCTAAGATGGGGAAATGACAAATTTCAATGAGATAGTCTCAGTGTGAACCTACATCAAGAGATCATTATGTAGTGGAAAAGCTCACGTTCTGGTGATTGCCGACAAGGTCGCCGTATTCGCCAGATTGAGGAGGCTGAGATCGGTGCCAGGTCCGTCAGGTGACAAGACTCGTATCGGGCTCAGACATGGTTTCAATGTGATATTAATAGCACGGCAGGTCATTCATGCAAAAATAACCCGCGCAGAGGACAAGAAAAAGGCGAACCGTGGAAAATCGGCAACCCGGCAAAGCTCAGCCTCATCCACTAGCGACCAGAAACAGAGAGAAGGAAAAAAAGTAACTGGAAGACACACGGCGTACTCCGAGCACGTCAGTCATGGAAGCCAAGCATTTGCCCCTGCGCCAACCCCTAGGCGGCCCGGTTCTTTATTGCTAGTACCTGGGCTAAGACCCTAAGACTGAGAAGGGAAACTTGAGGGGGGGAGGCGTGAGGCTACGAAGAGTTCACAATGAAGTTGTCTCTCATCGGATCTACTCGGTTTCCGCTCTCCGTCCGGGGATACGGTCGCATCGGCGCTAGGAGCCATGTGCACGGGCCGTGGGGTTGACTTGATGTGCTCGTACGCGAGGGAAGACGCCATCAAAGTCAACCTTCAATACCCCTGAGTCAGGCCCTCCAATATAGGGTATACGTGGTGAAAGGTGCCGACTACCAGGTCACGCACCACCAAGGGAACAAAAAGTGATCCCTCACGCAGAGCGGTACGACATGGATCAGGGTTCACCAGTTCAGCCCCCCCCCCCCAGTTTTTTCTGCTACAGTTCATATGATTGATTTTCTTTTTCATTTGCCCTTGTTTCAGTCTTAGAACGGGCAGTGGAAGTGGACCCCATCCGGGACTCGGGTTGGGCCTCGCTTATAGTAATCACTTTCGGGATCCAAGTTGCTCAGGAACTAGGACCCTAGGGTGGCCGTAGTGTCAGAAAACCCACTTCTGCATTGGCGAACTATGGGCCGCATCTTCACCGCATGATGGGTCGCTTTGTATGCTCTAAATAAATCCGGGTCCCAAGTCAGGTAATCCTGCTGACTGGAACCCTGGACGATGGTTCCAGGGTTCAGTGCTGTGAGCAGGATGTACAAGATCGGCGCGATCGGCTTGTGAGGGAGGTTGAAAAGTGATGGGTTGATAAAGTCTGGGGAAATGAAGGAGGAAGGGGGCAGGGAATAGACTAAGGGCGTTCACCCGTGTGTGCATGGGGTGTATTAGTGTACGCGGTGTCTCACCCTCGACGTGAGACCAGTCATGGTGGACGAAGCGGCTGCTCAGGAGGACTCCACTGATTCTCGGTGGGCGCCTACAACCGTGTTGCCACGCCGATGGCCAATGGCAGTACTGGAAATCAACGCGAACTGGGTCCAGCGGCCCCTCTCCAAGGCCAATCCTCAGCCTCCTCCATTTTTACAGTACTATCGTCTGACTACAGAAAATGTCGACCACGATAGGGAAAAAAAAAAGTACAAGTAGACACCTCAACCCACCTGCACTATCTTCAGATGCACTGTCTTTTGATATAAAGAGTTTCCTTCCCCCGTATTTATTGATCTTTTCATCCAACACTCTCGTTACTGTGTCCATTGCTCTTTGTACTTTGGCTTGTTTGCTTATCACACATTGTATACGTTGAACATGCCTTCGTTCATCAAGTTCGCTGCCGCGGCTCTAGCCGTCGCCGCTCCCCTGGCTTCCGCCCAGACCTACACAAGCTGCAACCCTCTCGAGAAGACCTGCCCTGCGGATGCTGGTAGCACCGAGTCTCATCTGAGCTTTGACTTCACCCAGTCCGGTTCTCTCGACCAGTGGACTACTACTGCTGGTACTGTCAACACCGGTGCCAACGGCGCCGAGTTCACTCTCGCCAAGCGTGGTGATGCTCCCACCATTGAGACCGACTTTTATATTCTCTTCGGGGAGATTTCCGTTACCATGAAGGCCGCCCCCGGTCAGGGTGTGGTCAGCTCCATCGTGTTCGAGTCCGATGACCTCGATGAGATCGATTGGGTAAGTTCAAACTATGTGGCAAACACGTTTTTTTTTATTTTTTATTTTCTTCATGCGCATTCCTAACCTCCTTGGCTGTGTAGGAAGCTCTCGGCGGTGACACCACCCAGATTGAGACCAATTACTTCGGCAAGGGTGACACCACCACCTATGACCGCGCCACTTGGCCGGCGGTGTCTGACCCCCAGAACACCTGGCACACTTACACGGTCTCGTGGCAGGAGGATGCCACCACCTGGTCCGTTGATGGCAATGTGGTCCGTACCCTGAACTACGCCGATGCCCAGAGCGGTACCCGCTACCCCCAGACCCCCATGCGCATCCGCATCGGTATCTGGGCCGGTGGTGATCCCAGCAATGGCGAGGGTACCATTGAGTGGGCTGGCGGTGAGACCAACTACGCTGGTTGCCCCTACACCATGTACGTCAAGAACATCGACATTGTCAACGCCAACCCCGCCGAGAGCTACACCTGGACCGACAACTCCGGCTCGTACCAGAGCATCAAGAAGTCGGGTGCCGCAGCCTTGAGCCAATCTTCGGCCAGCGAGACCTCCTCTTCCACCTCTTCTTCCTCCTCTTCCTCCTCTTCCTCTTCTTCCTCCTCTTCCTCCACCACCAGCTCCACTGAGTCCAAGACCCCGACCGAGACCTCGACCATTGCCACGACCCTGGCTACTACCACCCAGACCTCCACCGCTGCTCGCACCACCGCTGGCTCGACCACTGGCTCTTCGTCCAAGGCCTCCACCACTGGATCCTCTACCGCCGGTTCCAGCTCCAGGGCTGGCTCTAGCTCCAGCTCCAGCGCCGGGTCCAGCTCGAACGCCGGCTCTGGCTCCACTAGCGACTCGGCCTCCAGCACTGCTGGCCATGGCTCCAGTACAACCGCTGGTTCCGGTTCCAGCTCCAGCTCTCGCAGCAGCAGCGCCGCCACTAGCTCCCCGGTCTTCAACGCCGCGACTACCGTGGCTGTTGGCCCTCTCGGCCTTCTGGCTCTGCTCGCAGCTTTCATCCAGCTTTAAAAAGCCTAATCACGTCTGATGAAGCAAACGGGCTGGAACCGGATGGGAATGAGGATGCCTTTTTGGATTTTGAGCCTTTCTTATGATGTACTTTTTTTTTGATCCTGTGGTCTCAATTGTGTATTGTGGAGATCCGGGATAGTTGATGTTTGCGATTTATGCCTACGCCCCCCCATGTATCTAGTACGAGCCACTTAGAGCTTAATGTCCTACGGGATTTACAATTTCTATACCTGAACCTGAACCTGAACTCGGTATCCCAATATTGCGTGTAGCACTAGAATCAAACTTCAGATGGATCACACCGTATCTGTACAGTCGATCTGACGCAAGGCACAGCGTACATAGCCAGCCTCGGTGACATGGGTAACTCCAGCATGTACGCCATTCAGTTCGCAGTACACAGTACGCAATTCGCAGAAGGCAGAAAGCCGAGTGGAACCAGATCAAAATCCCTCTGAACCAACTTGACCAAGTTTTTAAATGTCATCAATTGACTCTACCCGAACCATGGAACCAGAGGAGAACCCTTCTAGAGGGTGCAAATATCCCTCAAGAACTCATCGGAATATTGAATTGAAGCTCGGAAGAACAGATTTCCTTGGCAAACTCGTCAATTGTAGTGCGATTGGCCTGAGCGCACACACTAGAAATGCGTTCCGTGGTTATAGTGGGCCGGAGCTTGAAAGTGGGATTGTGTCGTTTATGGGGCATGTGTAGCCGAGGTGTGGATGATCCAAAGTACTGTCCTTTCTTTTTGCGATGTGTGGTTCTAGAAAGAGTGGGAAAACAAGGAATTGAAGAAATAAAAAAAAAAAAAGAAGGAACCGTTCCGTGATGTCTTTGTATTCGTATCTCGTGAATCATGAGCAAAATATCCCCCGGCTTAACACCACACGTTACGTAGATGAACACATTTTAATGCATTTACCATAGTGATCCTGACCTCGCTCGCTGTTCTCCTAATTGCTTCGCTAATCTTGACACCTCATCCGCTACAGGCCGATGATGTGTCGCCGCAAGTCTGAGTAAAGCAAGGGTTGGCTGGGGGGCATCACTTTCGCCTTTCTCGGTCTGACCTGAAGATGAACGTGCGCCAAAAGCATAGCTCGATAACGAGTTCAGCATATACTGAATTCCTCCATTCTCGTTTCCATTTTCGTTTCCAATCCCATCTCCATGTCTTTTCCCACCAGCTAGGGCGGCTCTCCTCTCGCGCGCGACAATCCCATCCACAGCTTCGAGGTGATCATCTAATGTACTGAAGCGCGTAACTAGAGAATCCGCTTTCGTCTTGAGTTGACTGCGCAGTCGATCCAGGTATTGTGCTCTCCGATGGAACTGTGCCGCGAGACGAGTATCTCTTGCGATAGACGGGGGCCCGGCTTCCTGTGGCGGGGAAGATAGGAGACTGTCGATCGCGGAGCGGAGGTCAGCGCGGAGGGAATCAAATTCCCAAGTTGCAGCGCGGAGGGCAGCGTCGCTGCCTGTGAATTCGAGGTTCAGGGCATTGCGGACATCTGGGTGGGATGATTGGAGGGTTTGGTGGAGGTCGGAGAGCATGTTTGTGCTTTCTTGGAGAACGTGAGTTAATGGAGTGAGGGTTGAGAGGGTGGCGGTGAAGATTGATTCGAGGTTGTTTTGTGCGGTTATGAGAGTGTTTTCTGGGGTCGCCATTGGAGTTGATGGAGATACTGGACGTGGCACTAGGGGTTTGCAGCTATCGGGGTAGGTGGATTTGATGATGGAATAGTCGCAGAAGAAGGGTTGAAATTGTTGGATGAGTTCCGGGAGGACGAGGAGGTGGAGGATGCCGGCGATCAGTAGGCTGTTGATGGTCATTCGGAGCAAAGTCATGCACAATCTTGCGAGCTTTGATTTGAAGCTGGGAGATTGGTGCTCCGAGGCCTTGGACTTGGACTTGGCTGTCGAACTACTATCTGGATCTTGCTGTTCTTCTTGCGGTGTTGACTTGGGCAACACCTTGCGACGCTTTCGTATACCAGATTGGTCGTTTGGATGCAATGGCGCGACCCATGATGCCTCTGAGATGGGCATTTCGCATATAGAGGGCATGATAAGCTCTGGGCCAGTCAGAGTCCATGATGAGGAAGATAGAGACTCTGTTGAGTCTGTCTTGCTGCTTCTTCCATGGCCCTTGTGTCGCTTTTCATTGAGTAGTGGAGTAGGGCTTGCTGGATCGTGATCTTTGGGGTCTTTCTCCTTGGACGTAGTGGATGTTGTAGGCGACGCTATCACCCATGACTCTCCCAGCGCGGAGCGATCTGGGGTCTGCGGTTCCGCCATGGCGCACTAAGCATATTCCGGCGGAAAATACGCTTCAGATCGGTGAACTTTCAGTGATATGAACGCGAATGTGACTCTTCGACCTGTCATGTGGAACATGGAATGGAGGCGCGTAGTCGATGTTTATGCGCAAAGCGGTGGGGAAGCAAAGCGGGATCGGCAAGAAGTCCTGAAGATTCTCTGCAACAACCATGCGCCCATTCATCCGGTTGCGATCGAGCCTCTACACTCGGCCTATTGTTAACAGGTGCTTGAGTCTGCCGTCAACACAATTACGATGGCTTTCAATCACAGAAAAGCGCAATTGCTCGTGCGCTGATGCCGCCAACGGTCGACCCGAAGCTCCGACATTACCCCCCAACGATCATCGAGCTCTAGGAACATCCCAAGAGCTTTTCACCTCGTCCATCTACACCCCTGGCTCCCCACTCTTCCTTCCGAACGGCACGCATGTCATCAATAAGCTCATATCCTTCCTTCGCGCCCAATACTTGCAATACGGCTTCCGTGAAGTTTTGACCCCGACCATCTACAAACGATCCCTCTGGGAGGTATCAGGCCACTGGCAGAATTACAAGGATGACATGTACGAAGTGACAGGTCGTGGAGCGACGGGGAGACAGAAGGCGAAGTCGGTGAAGACGAATCGTACGGCCTCAAGCCGATGAATTGCCCGGGTCACTGTCTGCTATTCAAATCGCAGAACCACTCGTATCGTGAGATGCCAGTGCGCTATGCCGATTTTAGCCCACTGCACCGGAATGAAGTTTCTGGCTCATTGACTGGGCTCACTCGCGTCCGTCGCTTCCACCAGGACGATGGCCACATTTTCTGCCGACCGCAGCAGATCAAGTCGGAGATCGCATCAGCATTAGGTTTCGTGGACATGGCAATGAAGACATTCGGACTCGGGCCTTACCGATTGGTGCTTTCCACTCGGCCGGAGACTGATTTCATTGGGAGCATCGAGATGTGGGACAACGCCGAGGGACAGCTGCGCGATGCCTTGGACAGCACAGGGCGTGAGTGGGCATTGAATGAAGGAGATGGTGCATTTTACGGGCCGAAGATCGACATCCAGCTTCAGGACCAGGCGGGTAAATACCATCAGCTCTCGACCATTCAGCTTGACATGAACTTGCCTCGACGATTTGAGCTTGAATATCAGGTTGCTGAAGGTGAGGAAGACTACAACCCAGCAACTCCCGGAGTGGCTACACCTGTCTTGGTGCATCGCGCTATCTTTGGTTCACTCGAACGGTTCCTCGCTCTCTTGATTGAGCATCACGGTGGCCATTGGCCCTTCTGGCTATCCCCTCGCCAAGCCATCATTTTGACTGTCAACCAGGATGATGCAGTTGTGCGACACGCGCAGGATGCAGCTGCCAAGTTCTCCGGATTCCGCGCCTTGGTGAACGATGGCAATGCAGCCCCACCGCGTCCATTGTCCTCGGCCGACTCTACTTTCCTGGTTGACGTCGATAGTAGCGCACAAAGTCTCAGGCAAGAAGATTCAGCGAGCTAAACAGATGAAGTATAACCTGATCTTCGTCCTCGGACCTCGTGACATTGCCGGCGGCGGCATCACACTCGATCTGACTGGACAAATGCAAAGCAAGACCGATGGGGAAGGTCAGGACTTCCATACACTGATTCGTGAACGACTTGGAGAAGACGCATTGCAGAACCCTCGGGCGGTGAAAATGCAGGTAAATGAGGTGCATCAGTTGCTGGTGCAGCTTGAAAAGAGCTTCCTATGAGCATTGGACAGGACTGTACTATATTCAACTGTATACTAATGAGAGATCCACAATGCGTTCCACAATGACTTTATATCATCGCGGTTAAATGCGGAGGGAAATGCCACCTCAGGCGCCCACAGCTCCGAGTTCGGATGCGATCGTTGGCTGATGTCGTGACACGCAAGAGATGGACGCCTTGTGCACCACCACAAATCTTGCATTGTAGCCGTATCCAGTCTAACTAGAACGAAAGGAATCATTCTATCTACTCTACAAACACTTTGACTCGGCGCAGATCGCATCTCAGCCAGGACTTAAATATCACGTGACTCCGTCATCGGAGTTTTCGGCGTCATCGACGATCGCGCGCCCTTTTGAGTCACATTTCGCTTCATTGGCATCATAATTTCTTCAGAAATCAAAAGGGACTGCGATTCTTTTTCTGAGAACATATCTGTGTCTTCCTCCTGGTCAGACCTGACTGCGTCTGCCCTGTCAAATTGACTATTATCGTTCTCTTATCAATCCCTCCCCGCCATACCCCGCCACGATGCCGATGCTCAAAGATCCGTCGTCAAAATACAAGCCCTTCAAGCCTCTGAATTTGAAAAACCGCACATGGCCCGACAAGACCATCACCAAGGCCCCGCGCTGGTTGGCCACCGATCTGCGAGATGGCAACCAGTCTCTCCCCGACCCTATGGACGGCGAGCAAAAGTACAAGTTCTTCAAGATGCTCGTCGAAATTGGCTACAAGGAAATTGAAGTCTCATTCCCCTCCGCCTCACAAACCGATTTCGACTTCACTCGTCGCCTCGTGGAGGAGCCTGGCCTCACCCCGGATGATGTTTGCCTGCAAGTTCTCGCCCCGTGTCGTGAGGATCTCATCCGCCGCACCGTCGACTCCCTTAAGGGTGCCAAGAAGGCTATTCTGCACATCTACCTTGCCACCAGCCCGTGCTTCCGTCGCATTGTCTTTAACATGACCAGGGAACAGAGTCTGAAGAGAGCTGTCGAGTGTACCAAATATGCTCGCTCAATTACTAAGGATGATCCCTCCCAGGCTGGCACGGATTGGCAGCTGGAGTTCTCACCCGAGACCTTCTCAGATACAGAGCCTGACTTTGCTGTCGAGGTTTGCGAGGCTGTCAAGGCTGCTTGGGAGCCCACTGTTGAAAAGCCTATCATCTTCAACTTGCCCGCTACCGTCGAGATGTCTACCCCCAACGTTTACGCCGATCAGATTGAATACTTCTGCAACAACATGACGGAGCGCGAGAAGTTTGTTGTTTCTCTTCACCCTCACAACGATCGTGGCTGTGCTGTTGCTGCCGCTGAATTGGCCCAGATGGCTGGTGCTCAGCGTGTTGAGGGAACTGTCCTCGGTAGGTCAAGATATGGGCACTCAAGATGCAAATTATGCTGACAGACATTTCTTAGGAAATGGAGAACGAACTGGAAATGTGTATGTCATTTCAATGATCGTGTATTCACCTGGACAATTTTGCTGACTTTGCATAGCGATTTGGTCACTCTTGCTCTAAACCTGTACACCCAGGGTGTCTCACCAAACGTTGACTACTCCGATATCAACTCTGTTATCAAGGTTGTGGAAGAGAGCACTAAGATTCCCGTCAACGAGCGTTGGCCCTATGCTGGTGCTCTGGTTACCAGCGCTTTCAGTGGAAGGTTTGTTTTGGTTTTCCAAAGTGTACGATCTTATATTAACCCTTCTGCAGTCACCAAGATGCTATTAAGAAGGGCTTCGCCCTGCGCGAGGGCGCCACTGACAACGACGAATGGGTCATCCCGTACCTGCCTCTGGATCCCCAAGATATCGGCCGCACATACGAGGCCGTTATCCGAGTCAACTCCCAGAGTGGCAAGGGTGGTGCCGCCTGGGTCATCCTGCGTAGTCTGGAGCTGGATCTCCCTCGTGCCCTGCAGGTCGAATTCAGCAAGATTGTGCAGACCGAGACTGAAAGGTGTAACCGCGAGCTCCGTCCCAGCGAGATTGTCAACCTCTTCGAGGAGTCATATCACCTCAAGTCAAACCCCCGCTTCAACCTCATCGACTACAACATCACCACAGACCGTTCCCAGTCCCCTGCTCCTCCGGAGCCTGGTAAGGCTCTTAACACTAAGAACATGAAGCGTCGCTTCACCGGTGTTGTCGAGATCGACAACGTTCAGCACGCTATCACCGGTATTGGTCCTGGTGCTCTTTCCTCTCTCGCCGCGGCTCTGGCTACCCTTGGTATCGATCTCGATGTTATCGACTACAAGGAACACTCTATTGGTCTCGGTCGTGACGTGAAGGCCGCAACTTACATCCAATGCTCAGCAGCCGGTAGCAAGGAGCGCGTATGGGGTGTCGGCATCAGTGCCGATGTGGTCCAGGCCTCTCTTGTCGCCCTGCTCAGCGCCGCCAGCTCAGTAAGTTTCTGATCATTCAGAGTGTGCCCTTTTGGAAAGAAACACCAGCTTACGCGTATCATAGTTCCTCACCTCATCTGCTGGTTCCCCGGCTCCTTTCCGTCCCATCCGCTCAAACACCCTTACCAACGAAGACCTTCGGGCTCTCGAGCAGTTGACCGCTTCCGACGCGGCGACTGCTAACGGCGGCTCTCGGCCAAGGTCAACATCGAGCAGTTGACCAAGGCGGCTGAGAGCCAGTAAGCCTTTAAAAGTGTGTTATTATCATGTCAGCAGTAGCTAATGCATATATCATTCGATGATCTTGAATATCAGCAATTTACAAGTTGAACAAATCACAATTCAGGAAGTCAGCAATGGCATAGACATTAGCTTATATCTTGAATAATTCTACCGCGCTAAAAGCCAGTAGTTGACGATTCCACGACATTACTGCCCATGTTTCTTTTCTCCCTTGGACAAATCACCATTGGAACAGATTATGCCAATCCCATCCCTGTCTTGTCTTTTCTCCACCGCTATATACATTGAACTTCTGAGGTCCCTCAGATGGAATGATATAGCCGAGTTCACAAGCCGAAAAGGACACCTTTGGCTGATTCGCATAAAACTCGTCATACTCGGACTCTAGCGCCTCGGCGAGAGTATTCACCTTGCCTCCGGTGTGCATTTGACGCCAGGGGTATCGGCAAACGTCGCCCTTGCAGGACTTGAGAACCATCATCATGGCATCGAGACGGTGAATGATTTGAGGTAGCTCGCGATTGGCGATCTTTTAGTCTGTGTGTTTTGCTGGATGGGCAGCCAGGTTGACAGTCTGGTAAGAGTCATCCTGGTGGTATGTCAGTTTGGTTCATGGCGACAAAAGAGAAAGCCTCACCTTGAGGTCATAGAATTCAAGTTCATTTGTGCACCATACGGAGTAGTACAAATTGTAGTCGTCGATCAACCGGATTCCCTTATAAGTATTGTTTTTGTAGCTGTTGCCGACTTGGTTGTCCTTGTCGCTAGCATAGCCGTAGATACCCTCAGGCACAACCAGAACCCAGTACGCGATGGCGACATGTTCCGTCTTCTCATCCGTATCGCTGGTCCGTAATATCCTCGGGATAGCTTTTCCATCGAGTCCCTCCCTTGTAGCTTTGGCAAGGATAAGAAGGTCGGTGCAAGATCTGTGTGGCTAGTGACGGCGTCGAAGGTCTGGTTCTCGGGGAGACCAGGGCCACGAACAATCAATGGGACATTAATATCGGTTTCTGTTGTTATAAGTACAGGCAACACTCGTGCATTGAGCACAAACTTACCAAACCCGCAGTTCTTCCCTGGCTGCATACGGTGTTGACCTAGATGATGACTATTATCGGTCGAATAAAAGATATAATTATTATCCAGCTCGCCCACCTTCTCAAGCTTATCAATCAGCCTCTCAATCAGATCATCCACGGCTTGCAACGCACGCAACCGACACCTCTGGAAGAGATCGATATAATCAATCTCCTTCTGGCTCAACTCGGGAATATTCTCAAACCAGCTCACAGCCCCGTCAACCAACTTATTGAAACTTGCATCGCGAGGCGCCGTGTGATGGTTGAAGAGATTCGCATGGCGAGGTGCATACTCCGGCCGTCCGAACCAAGTAGCATCACGCTCTGGACTATGCGATCCGTTTGCATGTGGCGCATTAGAAGCCACTGTCAACATCCACGGACGATCCAGCTTCAGCGCCTCATCAAAGAAGCCCGCAGCCTTGTCAGCAATAATGTCGATTGAGTAGTTCCCATTGTAATTGACAGGAGGTTGCCCATTACGAGTCATCCGCGCATAGTAGTAGCGATATGTCCAGGGGTCGAGGAGAAAGTCAGACCCGTTGAAGCCTCGTACGTAGGGCTTGTTGTAAATTTGTTCGGTGTGGCTGTTCCACAGCTTGCCCACGTAGTACGTGTTGTACCCTGCGTCTTGCATCCAGGGTGGAAGATAGTTATCGTTCCAGCCGGCTGATACCACTTTGGGGTAGCCACCGTAGGGGGCTGAGACGTCGGTCACATTGGTGTTATGTAGCATGTGGCCGGTCCAGAGGTTGCCGCGTGAAGGACAACATAGGGCGACGGAGCAGTAGTGTTTGGGATATGTGACTCCTTTTTGGACGAGAAGAGACTTGGCCATATTCGTTGCAAATTAACTGGGCGTGAATGGATTGAGTCACTTGTAGCTTAGGCATATGTTCTAATCCTCCCACATACTTGCCTTGGTCGTCCGTCAGGATGAACAGGATGTTGGGGCTTTTGGCCACGGCCAATGTGGCGAATAGCAAAACTGTGAGTATGAGGTTCATGCCGCGATGTATATGACAAGGCTGGAGAAGAAGCCTTGATCTCGAGGACAGGAGCAGCGCTCTATATAGCTGGCCAGCTACGCGAGCTAGAGATCACTATACCGGTCCTTGCAGAACAAGACCTCTTGTCTCATTTCTCCACCCGATCACATGGAGCGACAAGGCTCCGTGATCGTGCAAAATTCATTGCTGTAGCAAGTCAAGTAAGATTGGAATTTCCGCTGATCGGCGGCCGCGGAAAAGGTGTGCACAGGTTTGGTGGTCAATCATGCGGAAAGAAGGATAGAGGATACACAAAGACGCTTTCTTGTCGTATTCTGTGTCCCTCAGAAGCATGCCAAGAGTCAAAGTGTCGATTGCGAGATATGCAGGTGGATGATGCCAGTGGATGGTAAAAGGGTGGGCCGCCATCACGTCTTCAGTGGGGTCAAATTTCCTACCCCCAAGTGAATCTAGCTGGGACCATCGTATTGCGTGCTGCCATATTCAATCTCACGGTGATGTCACAGGCACTACGCGCCGAGGTAAGAATATATTGGTATACCGATCGGATGTGGGTAGTGGGTATGATATGTACAGCAGGAACGCACATGCAGAAAAAGTAAGTCACTGCAAGGATGAGGTATTGGGATAAAATGGAGGGGATTGAATAAATAAATAACGATAAAAGGCCAATGAACAAGATGAAGTAGGAACAAGAAAGATCTCGCAAGATGAAGCAATGCACTTCGAAAGTTTTCAAGCTTTTTGCTCTGGTTCACAGTACGGACACAATGGATGGGTGGAGAAATTGCCATGTACAAGACCCACGCCGTAGATCGTAACCACGAATAGATGATGAGTTAAGCCCCATAGCCACTTCCGTCATAACGGTTCTGTGCGGAGCCATGGTGAGCGTCCTGGCCGCCCTCGTCTCCGAGTGCAGACTGGTACATTAGGGCTTCCTGGGCCCAATCATCGTTTAATGCGCTGTCTTGGGTGCCCGGTCGATACTCATTGTGCGCAGGGCCTGAATCATGGTCATACGGGTCGGGTTGTTGATGAGTATGCGCATCCCGTCCTGTCGAGAGTTGCTCAGGATCGAATGAGGACTCGACAGGAGTGTTGATGATGTCAAAGCTGAATCGGAAATCACGGGTCGGTCCTGGCTCGCCAGTGGCTGGCGGAGGAGGAGCATGAGGATCCGCTAGGTCGAAATAGTGATCATCTTCTGCAGAGTGAATAGTGGCTGACAGCGGTTCCTGAATAAAGGGCACTGTAGAAGTCGCCGAAGAAACTTGAGCTGCAGACACATGGCTGTCTGCTCGAGTATCAAGCTCTGGCAGTGTAGGGCGAGCGGACATATGACCCTGATGATCCGGATGATCCTGGAAATCATGATAATCTTGATGCCCTTCCAGAGTTGCCTCGCGTTCGTGTTCCGGAGCCATGATGGCAGGCGACTGTAGTAGCGCAGGTATCTCCGTATCAGGGTTCATGGTCGACCTCCTCATGCTGTTGCCCATCGTACTTCCGGGCTTCGAGCTTCGGCTGGCGCGGTGTTGCATCATGTCGGCGAACGGATGGTCCTCCATATCCCGGATGCTGAATTGCGCGATAGTACGCAACTTGCGGGTCACCCAGGATGCCAGGACCTTTCCACGCTGCTTCTCACCGAGACGCGAACGAGGGAAGTCACCAGTGGAGACAAAAGCGACGATGTCCGCAATTACCTGGTGCTCGTTCAAAATTGCATCAACAATGACCGGGACGAGAGATGCGAGGAACGACTTGCGAGTAACCTCAACCACGACCACAATCAAGCCACCTGCTTGGAATATAGCACTATTGAGAGAAGTTAGTAAATAGTCGACTCGTAGGGATTTTTTGAGACCTACCATCCTCCCTTCATGATATTACGGTGGCATCTCTCGACAGAGTTTTCAATATCCATGGGGAAGTGGTTCAAGCCGTTGACCTCAAAGGTCTCACCGATGTTTCCAAGCACGAACAGCACCTGCATTTCCACGGGCTGGCCTCCAGGTCCGATGGGACGGGTAACTGTATGGAGGAAACCTAGATCTCCAGTGCGGACGTAAGGCACGCTGGGATCTCCGTCGAGAACTCGGCCATTCATTCTCTCGGAGTCGAACTCCTGCTTAGATTTGTAGAAGCCCTGGGCACAGGCATCGGATTGGACCCAGATCTCGCCATATTCTCCGACATGGGCAAGAGTGCAGGTCTCTGGATTGACAATAGCAATTTGGGTGTTGACTGGCACCATGCCAGAGTCCTGGAGCAAGAGAGCTGTTGGGTCGGCGTCAGGGTCCACGGGGTAGATCAGACCACGACGAAGACTGCGGATGTCGAGATATAGCTCGATCGGCTCAATGCACATATAAGATCTCGTCACAATCATTGGGTTGAGAACATGCGAGTACACGACATTAATTGCAGTACGGTCCAGGCTGGCGGAAGCAAAGTGCAGGCGCACCTTCTGGTAGATATCAGTCCTGGGTCGACCTTCGGCAGATATCATCAGGTTCTTCATTTCTTGCAACTGGAAGCCTTTGCCTGCCATGGAGCTGATTGCATAATCCAACATCTGACTCGTAGCATAAGTGTCCTTGATCTTGTAGCGGGAAAGCGTCACGAAGAGTGTCATTGGGTTCTGAGCGAAGTCGACAGGCGAAACGAGGTAGGTAGGGGCGCCGACATAGATACCCATCAAACAGGTGTGTAGGAATCCGAGACCCAGAGTACTGCGTACACTACCCAACACAGGTCTCATGCTTGTCATTTGACATGTCTCTTTTTGCACCTTGCACATACCCATGATGGTGTCATGGCCGATCTGAACAGAGATACGGCGCTGGTCCGGCGTCCAGTAGGTCCAAATCAAAGCCGGCTGGTTGGCTTGGAGCCATGTATCCTTCATGGTGTAACCGAGCTCGCGACAGCCATGAGACTGCTTCGACGGCTTTGTCGTGTTGTAAATGGCTGGCACACCAATGCGAAGGACCTGCGCTGATTGCTTGATGTGCTGAGAAACGAGCTTTTGTCGCATGACATGGTCGACTTCGGTGTTCACAATGATAGCCTTGACTTTGAAATCACTGATAACATGCAGGAAAGCGGGCGCATCCTCCGACAGACGGTTTTGATCAATCGGAGCCATTGGGATGACAACAACACCCAGACAGAAACAAGCGTGGATGGCGTACACGTATTCCTCTGAATGAGTGTACATCAAGACTAGATGATCTCCGGGCCGAACCTTAACCTTGTTCTTCAGATAGGTTGCGACCGCAGAAACCTTCTGATCAAACTTCTTCCAGGTAATCCCCTTGCCTTCTTTACCACGCCCGTCGATAGAGCAATAGGCTAGCTCTTCGGCCTGGCGAGAGATACGCCACTGAAGAAGATCGACAATAGACTTGAAACTGTTAAGAGGGGTGGAGGTACGGTCGTCCATGACAACATCACGATAGTCAACACCCGAGTACTGCTTTTCTTGGTAGGCGAGGGTTTCCTGTCTCGAGGCCAATGCGATTGGAGACCAGATACCTCCCTCGGGGTCCACGCCGACCGGCAGATTCAGCACCGAACGCTCCACGCCGAACTTTACATGCACAGCCTGCAGCATGCCAGCCTCGAAGTCTTTGCGACAAAGCATATTGCCGATTTCCCGTCTTCCGTTCTTGGTCACGCGAGGAAGAGAGTTCGGGGCCGTGAGGAGCACACAATAGACGCGCAAGTGATGCTCCTGGTACAAAACCTCCATACAGCGCTCGGCAAGCGAGTCAAGAAGAACAGAGTCCAGTTGTCTCGGAGGCCCGCCAGATGTTGTTGGTGCTGTTGAGGCAGCAAATGACTCCAACACAATGACTGGCAGATGCTCATCGTTTACAAACACATCAAATGCTGTGCAATCGTGGATCTTGGGCACCTTCTTCAACAGGCTGACAACCAAGTGTTGGACAAAGAAGTATCGATGCTCGACAATTTCTTGGCCGTGCTCAACCCACTCCACCTTCTGGCGCAATCGGTCTTCGTACAGACCCAGAATAAACACTCGTCCTTCGATCACGCAGCCTAGAAGACCAGTGCGTAGGAATTCGGGCTCAACTAGAATTGGAGTGGGGTTGGCGTCTTCGAATTTATAAGGTCGAGCATGGAAGATCGCTTCTGTGTGTTTGGGCAACGCCCAGAAGCCTCCAGATAATGAAGGCGAGTCTACCCAAATTTCACCAATAACATTGGGTGTGCACAAGAGATTTGTCTCTGGGTCAACGACAGCCAATGTCGCGTCGGGGATTGGGTAACCGAAGGCACCGATACGGACAGCATGGGGCATGCTACTAGCGTACTTGCGGGCATCTTCACCCATGGCCAAGACGACAACCTCATTGCTCTTGAGAGCTTCCTTGTCAAGAAGCACCTCGCTCAGCTCATTTTTGGCAGTTTCCTCGGGTGCTGATATACGAGACGCACCACCGAGCAGACTGCTACCAAAGCCAGTGTTGGTCCCGGACTTTTCGAGTTTGGCGTCGTTTTTTTTGACCCCATCGCGGATGGCTGGGTCCATTTCGTGCGTCAAGGAGCATCCCATCCGCTCTTCTCCACCAAGCCAGTCACGCACACTGATGACCATACCACCGTGCTCGGGCAAGCAAAGCATTGGAGATACAATTTCTCTAGCCCGAGGGTTCCTCATCGGGCGCAGCCATCTGTCGGAAAGAATTTCGTGGAATTCAGGATCGAGAGTGAGTGTATCGATAAGGCAGAGTTTGACGCTGCTGAAGTTAGGCTCTGAGTTCTTTTTGTAGTGCCGAGTCGACATCGGATCTTGCTGGTAGTTATACGCCGCGATTTTGAGGCCAGAGTAATCGGCAGCCATAATTGTCGCTCGGTATTTGGTGATTAAGTGAGCATAAAGACCGGGGGTCTCAACAGCTCGGTCCTCGTGGTAGACGGTGGTATGCCCGCCATATACAGTCAATAGAACACCTAAGATCATACCGATTCCCTGCCTTGGGTCGAGATAACTGATAATTGTTTCTCCCTTGGTCGCGTATTGTCTGGCACTCACATCAGTGGGTACTGTCGAAACCATTGCGCTCAGACAAGCCATTTGATGCATGATAGTTCGGTGGCTCATGACTACACCACGCATGTCCCCGGTGGGAGCGCGAGCAAACTCGATATAGGCCAGATCCGGGACAACAAGCGGAGGTGTATCGTCCTTCTTTTTTGGGTGAAAGCTGCCGAACTCGTTGGTCTTCCACCACTCAACTCCTCGCGGCCAGTTCAGTTTCTGTGCAGTGATGTCACGTTGGAAGCCCTTTAAATTGTTCTCCGTGGTCAAAGCCAAATGCGCCTGGGTGGAGGTGAGCACCAAATTGAGGGACTGGTAATCATCTAGACTGTTAATGGGGACCGCAACAACTCCGGCAATAAAACAACCCATAAGAGCGACTGCAAACTCGATAACCTCAGTGTCGCGATAGATCAGGGCGACTCGGTCACCGCGGTACAAGTTACTTTTGTCCCGGACGACCTGAGCAACCTTCTCCGCGCGACTAGCCAGCTTGTCCCATGTTATAGATGCGATCTCTTTTCCTTTCTGGTCCAGCACCCAGTATGCTGGCTGTTTCGGGTGAGCTCGCGCGCGGTGTCGGAGAACTGCTGGAATATTTTCGAAATTGGACATGGGTATATTTTTGTCATGGGGATCATTGACCGCAAAGGGAATATCACGCGGCTCTAGAGGCAGTAAATGCTCGATAGTCGGCCCATGCTGGAGATCTGAGGCGGGGATGAACGGCGGGGCCATGTTGGCTGTAGGCGAGAAAGCTTCCCCGGACTGGGAATAACGGTGAAATCCACCACCATAGCTCTCTCGATAGTCATCATGCTGCTGGCCGGCAAAGTCTGAGAAGTACCCCTGCTGGGAATCAAGCATTGTCGACTGTCGCGTGGCCCCACTCGAAGCCGGATCGTAGCCACCATCGTAAACCCCCATTCCATCATCCGCGTACTCGGGCTGATAGGTATAATCCGGCTGCGCATAAACTTGCTGAGCTTCCGGGTTGAAAGCGTAGCTCTGGCTCATCAAAGTCGCGGTTCTAGAGCCATCTGGGCCGGGCGCTCCTAGGGCCCCCGGTCTGGGGAGAAAGAGGGAATCATAGGATCCCGATGATGGCGTTCGATCATGAGCTTGTAACATGCCATTGCTGTCTCTATCAGATGCACCGAGTGCTCCAAGCTGTGCGCTTTGCCTGTCCCGATTGTATCCGAACCCTCCGCTGTTCGTAGAGGGCTCGTAGCCGCCAGCATGGGTTGGTGAAGCGATAGTAGGCTGAGATGATTCGGCGGTCGGCGGGCGAACACTCAGTATAGCAGGAGGAGCCATTTGTGAGCCATCTGATTGCTCTTCGTGGCCTGTCTGCGCATGGGTATTGATATCGAGGGCCTTGTTTGGGCCGAGGTACTGCGACAGCAGGAGGGTACGTCGCTTCTGATACCTACTCCATTGTTAGCCAGCAATTCGTGTGAAACATGCCACAGCTTAATCCGTGTCCACCAGGGTCCCATTATCTGTTCCCCGGGACTAGCTGAAGGGCGAGGATCGAGGCAGCTTACCCTTTTTGGGTGATTTCGCCATCCTGTCAAGCAAGATTCTGTCAGCGCAAAGTACCTTTGACGGGTGTCGAGATAATTCATACCTCCAATTCTTGGTCCAGGTCCTTCAACTTGGACTGGAGCTCCGGACTTTCTTCCGCCATTTGACCGGATGGAGTACGTCAATTCGAAAAGAGTGGATCGAAGACGCGGGGGGAGGAATGATGTTCAAGAACACCTCATCGCAGCTTCACTGTACAGTGGGGAAATATGGGAGGGTAATCCGTTGCCCCTGCTGATTGTCGAATTACCCGGAATTTGTACTTTGACAGGCAACGAATTGTCGTGTGTCTCGTCGAAGTCCACGAGCCGCAACGTCACCCGCACTTTCAGGGCGGTCAGAGGGAGCCGACCATTTCCAAGACAACAATCGAGGCAGTGAAATCCGCTTGTAAATCGGTGAAGGCTATTGGCAGATCTCACCTTACTTTGTCGAGGACTACGGTTGAGTTGGCACTGTGGCTTCTCAAATACCGATGAGAGGGGGAAGGGAGGGGAAGGGATCAGAGCTTGGGCAAAAGCACTCGGGACTGCAGGAACGCACAAACTTGTGTCGCCTGGTTAGAAAGGATTGAGAGACCTTCGTTTTAATAATAACCAAGGATATTTCCAAGCCCAGAACAGAGAAAATGACCAGTGCGTCCTACGTTCAAGGCTGCATATATCTCAATGATATGATACTTTAGACAAGTAGATATTAGTGGACCGAGACGGCGAACAAGGAACACTTTCTGCCTGAGGCATCAGACCAGCAACAATATCACATGACTTTGAGAGACTGATTGGCTGAGTCATCCTGCCCTAACTCACATGACCCCCACAACAGGGCTAAGCGAGCGCACCTCCAATTTCACTTGTGCTATCTCGACTGCCCGATCGTTCAACCTCACATCGCCAAACCCGGTTCCCTTCCATTCCCCTACGACACAGTCAACATGTCCGACAACGGGGACGTCGAGGTTGCGACCTTCACCTCCCTTCCCAAGGATGTCCTCGCCAACGAGGGCCAGGTCAAGCTCTTCAACAAGTGGAGCTACGAGGATGTCGAGATCCGCGACATCTCTCTGACGTGAGTGTCTCTTCTCTGTGAGGCCTGTCTTTTTGCGCGAGGATTGATTTGTGTGCGACGAGTCTCGCCGGCATCGCTGGTTTGTGGGACATGATTTTGCGCGGGTCAAAAAAATCAACATGCGTCGAAATTTTTGGCACACGCGGTCACGGGCTGTTGATTCTACTTCTTCCGATCGACTTGGGCACTGGAAGTCGGCGTTTCACCACAAACACAATTCTCGCTCAAAATGATAGACCAATTGCCGATGATTAGACATGCTGATCCAATTTTCACAGCGATTACATCCAGATCCGCTCCCCGGTCTGCATCTCCCACACCGCTGGCCGCTATGCCGCTAAGCGTTTCCGCAAGGCTCAGTGCCCCATCATCGAGCGTTTGACCAACTCCATCATGATGAACGGCCGCAACAACGGAAAGAAGCTCCTGGCTACCCGCATTGTCGCTCACGCCTTCGAGATCATCCACATCATGACCGACCAGAACCCCATCCAGGTTGCCGTTGACGCCATTGTCAACTGCGGTCCCCGTGAGGACTCCACCCGTATTGGTTCCGCCGGTACTGTCCGCCGCCAGGCTGTCGATGTCTCCCCTCTCCGCCGTGTCAACCAGTCCATCGCTCTCTTGACCATCGGTGCTCGCGAGGCCAGCTTCCGTAACATCAAGAGCGTCTCTGAGTGCCTTGCTGAGGAGCTGATCAACGCTGCCAAGGGTTCCTCCGTGAGTCTCCCCTCCTTCCCATCAGATTGTATCGAGTCGAGTTTCGAGTACGAACTCTGTGCTCGAGTCTCGGGACCGATCAGTTCAATAGTTTTATGCATTGTTCCATTCTATAAATATGATTCTAACTGTTGGTTCCTCGTTACAGAACAGCTACGCCATCAAGAAGAAGGACGAGCTCGAGCGTGTCGCCAAGAGCAACCGGTAAAGTGGGAGTTGGGATATCCGTTTCGACCTCTGTTTACGCATTATGGAGTGGACGGGGGGGTTTGTACCGGGATTCAGTCGATTTGTGTACGTCTACGTGTCTGTTGACTCAGTCACGGAGAAAGCACAATCCAAAAAGGAACGCAATTGGATGGCTTTCTCTGGGGTGGATGGAATGCATTGGCATGAAGACCTATGGCCAATTTTCTATATGAAAAAAAATTTCTGCCTCTTCAAATAACTTCGCACTTCTCTTGTAGTCATAAGATCTTTAAACTGGCTATCGATTATGCGAAGTGGCTGGTACAAAGGTCATGTAAAATTTTCAGCGAAAGAACTTTTCTCAACTATGGCATCTATAAAAATGAAGCGATCAATCAGACCAAGGAAAATCACCAAAGTAATCCGACAATACAAGTCTAAGAAACCAAACATAAAAATTATAAATCAGCAATTGCAGTCTCGATGCTCGTTGCGGTAGGGTGTGCTCCAGGCTTGTCCCGGGGTCGCTTATCGATACGAGAAAAAAAAAGTTTCGGAGAGGCCTCAAGTTGAGCCCGACCCCAACCTCCTTCCTCCAACCGCCACTTTATCTCCCCCAAGACACCTTCAAGATGGTGAAAAGAAAGCTCGGGGCCTTGGAAAAGGTCGAGGCTGACCTGTAAGTGCCTTTTATCTGCGACCGCCCGGTGCGCCCATGCTATGCTCTGGCTCGGACCGATCAGAGCCTTCGAGTCGGTCTATTGACACTTCATTTTCCCGCTTCATAGGCCCAACCTGCAGCACAAAATCCGCAGAGACCCTAAGTAAGTCATTTGAAACTCTCTCTTCATTTACTATAGTGTCATCATGCTAATTTGTATTCCGAACTGCTCAGGTCTTACGTCGAAGATTTCCGCGCCCAGCACTACCAGTATGAGTCGCATCGCGAAATCTTCATGGCCGCGCCCACTTCGGCCACCGATACCGGTATCATTTCACTCCGAGACTTGATCGACTTCATCTCTCATGTGGCCGATTGCTACCCGGATATCTTGAAAGAGTTTCCCCAGCAACTCACCGATCTTTTGATGCAGCACCACTTGGTGCTGCAGCCGGAGTTGAGGGAGAAGATTGTTGGAAGTCTGGTTCTTCTTAAAAAGAAAGAGTGTATTGATTCGGCAACGTACGCATGACCTGGAAGACTTGGTGTCATATTCGCTGTAGATTGTTGACTGATCTTCTACAGATTACTTCACACTCTGTTCCCTATACTCATTTCCACCCCGAGCAAGACCCTTCGTGCTCTTCTATTTCAGAAGATCTTATCTGAGCTTCGCACAGCAAATTCGAAGACTACCAACCACAAGCTCAACCGGACTATGCAAACTGTTCTCTTCAACTTGGTCACATCGGATCGCACATCTTCAAAAGCACTCTGGGCTATCAAAATCACCCGTGAGTTGTGGAAGCGTCAGATCTGGACCGATGCCAAGACTGTTGAGATCATGAAGGAGGCCAGTCTCTCCGAGAATGAGAAGGTCACTGCTGGTGGTGTACGCTTCTTCCTCGGGGGTGACCGAGAACGTGAAGAAATGGAGGACGAGGATAGTGACGCTGATGTCGATGTCGGTCGTATTAAGCATCAGCTTGGTATCAACAAGAAGACTAAAAAGAAGGCACGCGTTGCCGAGAAGGCCATGGCTCTTCACAAGAAGAAGGAGAAGAAGAAGGGCCAGCCTCATCCGTTGAACTTCTCAGCTCTTCACCTGCTGCACGACCCTCAAGGCTTTGCGGATAACCTCTTCACCAAGCACTTGAAGACTGCTAAGATCAACCAGCACAACAGGGAACACAAACTTCTTGTTATGCAGCTCGTCTCCCGTTTGGTGGGTTTGCACCAGTTGCACATTATGCCGCTGTATTCGTGGTTCCAGAAGTATCTCGTCCCAAAGGAAGCGAACGTGACTTCCTATCTCGCGTCACTTGCTCAGGCAACGCACGAGTTGGTGCCTCCGGATGTCCTCGAGCCTCTTATTCAAAAGATTGCCAACGAGTTCGTGTCTGAGGCCTCTGCTGGAGAGATTGCTTCCGCTGGTCTCAATGCCATTCGTGAAATTTGTGTTCGTCAGCCTCTTGCCATGAACGAGACCTTGTTGCAGGATCTCGTCATGTACAAGAAGAGTAAGGATAAGGGTGTGATGATGGCCGCTAAGGGTCTGCTCAGTCTCTACCGTAATGTTGGTGCCGACATGCTGAAGAAGCGCGATCGGGGTAAGGAGGCCGCCATGGGACTTCGTTCCGGTGACCGCGAGCAGAAGCGCTTCGGTCAGCAGGAGAATGGAGGAATCGAGGGTATCGAGCTTCTGGAGCAGTGGAAGGCGGAGGAGCGCCGCAAGAAACGCGAGGAAAATGGCCTGGACCCCGATGCCGAGGGTGGCTCCGATGAAGAGGAATCCGATTGGGATGCCTGGAACGTCGAGGATGACGAGGACAGTGATGATTCTGGCGGCTGGATCAACGTTGAAAGCGATGTAGAGATCGACTTCAGCGATTCTGAAGATGAGGGCAAGGATCGTCCGTCGAAGAAGGCTAAGCAGGAGGCTGAGGCCAAGAACTTCGAGGCTAAGGATGCTGAGAGCAAGAAGGAAGCCAACGAGGAAGTCAAAAAGATCTCCAAGCTGGCCACCACCCGCATTCTCACCCCGGCCGATTTGGCCAAGCTCGCCGAGCTCCGAGCTCAGGCGGCCATTGACTCCTCGATGCCCAAGGGCCGCCGTGCCCAGCTTGGTGACCGACACGTTGACGACGGTCTGACCGCCGAGGAGATTGAAGGTCTCGCTTCTCTGTCCAAGGGCAAATTGACGCGCGAGGAGCGTATTGCCCACGCACGTGAAGGCAAAACCGACCGCTCAGAGCACAAGAGTAAAGAGGCCAGGCGCAAGGAGCGCAAGGAGGAGCAGGGCAAGAGTACCACCAACAAGGAGAAGGCCCGCCGAAAGAACTTCCTCATGACTCTGGGCAAGGCACGAAGCAAGAACAAGCGCAGTCTGGTCGAGACCAGGGCTGTGTTGAAGGCGCATCACGACCGTGCCAAGAGAGGTGGAAAGAGAGGAAACTTGGGAAACTAGGCTTGCTGTTTCAGTACATACCTTGCACGAGTAGACAAAATAATGGCGATCTATCATGGGATCCGGCGTTGATGACATTGAATGCAATATACTTCGAATTTCGATTGCTGTTCCCTTGCCTCCTTTATCTGTCAAGATCCGTGTGTTGCCTCTTGTTCTATAGGTTCGTACTATAGCCATTATGATGAAAACCGGTAGTTTTATCATTTTAAAGTGTTTTTCGCAGCCTCCAGGCGGATGGGGGTACTGATAGATGATTCGCGGACCATCGCTCTGTATATATATATCTCTACGTCAAAAATGTCCAAGGGCTTCATTACCTATGGGTAGCATAACGGAAAAAGAATTTCTTGCCACGCTTTCTATAGAACTGAGCAGTTTTATGAAAGGTCATTACCAAGCTACACATCTATATTTAAGAGACCAAAATCTCACTGCTTACAGTATTTCAACAATCTGTATCAACTTGAACGCATGACACACGTGACCTTGACGATAGCCCTAAGCCCTTTCCAGAAAAGGCTTAAGTGAAAGCCCCCCTTTGTCGCGTCTCCCGTGACGGTGCCGCGTCGCGTTCCTAGCTGCATCATTTTGTTCTTATCTCTTCTCTTCCCTAGCAACCGACCCTCCCACTCCCATTTCCACCCTCACTCCCGCTTCCAACCCCTCCAACCCCTCCACACCCTCCAACTTCTCCACTCTCCATCCCCCCTTGCGTGGCTTCGATCATGCCTGCAGCCATGTCGCATTCGACGATGCCAGTATCCAACAGTACGTTGTCCAAGCGTCGACGCTTCCAGCCTGCCATCACCAGCTATTTCAACTCGGTGCCTGGTGAGCCTCACTTGCAGAATGGCAACATTGTATCACACAACCACTATGCGGCTGCCACCTATTCGCCGACGCCCATGGTGCCTGCCAAGGTGCAATCGTCCCTTATGTCCGTCGGCATGCGAGTGCGCAAGTCTGTTGCGGATGGATACAAAACCCAATTGGCAATGAAGGCCGACAAGACGATGCCACCTGCCACCGCCACTGAACCCACTTCCGTTCACCCTTTTTTCGGCAACAATGCCTACACCGAATTGGCACCCTTTTCCGGCCTCCCCAAATCCTCCCAAGAATACTCGGCCGACCATGTGATCAACGACGACGGAGATGCCTTCTCTCTCCCGCCAAGCAGCCAAGAGTCTGTTGGTTCCTGTGTTCCTTTTGGCCAAAAGCGATCATTTGAACATGACATCTTTGTCGACGACGACGCCTCTGAAGACGGTTTCAACGGACCCTCGCAAGATGCCCCCCCTCGGGCGTCGCATTCTCTCCCCGAGTCTGGGGCAGCGGCGACGAATTCTTGCTCTGCGCAGCTCAATGAGCCAACCCACTTTGGACCTTGATGATTTTGAAGAAGCATCTTTCCTCCGTCGCCGGGAAGAAGTTGATGCCGACTACAGCCGGATGGACTGTGCCTGAATGGCTTGAACTCTTTGATACTATTTGCTGCCACTGGATGGTACCGGCTACCTTGGTTGATCCAAGGCCCGCGACTGCGCTAACACCAAGCTCTCACACCAGGGGAGGCTTGGCTTCTTTTCCCTGTACTGAATTTCCTCTTTGAACTTGTATGACCACTTGATCTGTACTTATACCCATATTTGCTTCTGTCTTGTACCCATATTGCATGTATCATCAGTTCAATCATATTTTCCGCAGAGCGCGGAGTATCCCAATTGAAATATGCTAATATTATCGAAACCTGAAGAACAAAAACTCAATTCGAAGCATAGATTTGGCAGCTCTAGGAGTGCTTCTTACCGAGTGGGTCGCTTACATCCCGATGTGCAAGACCCACCGTCAAACTCATACAAATGGTGTAACGACGGGACGACACGAGGGGCCCCTCAGATTGACCAGAGAAACTACAATAAGATCTAAAACCCTAAAGTCAGAAGTCAGGAAATGGCTTGCAGTCACAGCCACATTGCAAGGCAAAAGTAAAACTCGCGGGATTTATCGTTTCTCCCAGGAATGTCAGCCCTGCAAGGATCTGCCCCAACTACTTACTTCCGACATGGCAGACATAAGAGGACGCGAACATCGAGTCTCACTCGGTCTGACAAGGTCAAGTGAGTCAATTAGACAGTATAACAGCACCGAGCGTGTCCGAGCCAAAGTGTAGTAGAGACTCGGTTCGCTCGGTTCCCGAAACCCGAATCTGCCATGTAACGTGGAGTCGAGGCTGGACAATAAAGTCAACTGATGTTAGAAGTTTGATGAATGTCATGCGTTTGGGATCTAAAGACCCACCGTGTGCAGGGGTTCATCGTGGCATCTACATGCGGAAATTCTGGTGTCGATCCAGCCCAGCTCGAGGGCAACATAGCAAACGGTGGGGTTTTCTGGAAACTATCTCACTGGATTGGGATTGGGTACCCTTAATGTCTTACAACTATCGATGCTACTTCAGATCTAAGTTGACTCGAATGCTCGATCTAGTCATCGAAGTTCGTCTGTCTCTCTCATCTATAAGAAAGACTTTTGGTCCCGATAGTCCTATCGAGTACTCATGTCGCGCTAATTCTGCTCGAACATCCTCCCACTTCTATAAGAACTTCAATCTTCAAGATAAATCACCCCCCAAAATGCTCTACAAACAAACCATCCTTTTCTCAGCCCTGGCCGTTGTGACCTATGCTACACCTACCCATCTCACCTCCCTCGCAATCCGCGACAACTACCCGACAAATATCGGCAACCCATCCTACTGCAAAAAAGTCGGAACATGCAACCCCGCAAATCTCCCCAACAGCCGAACCCAATGCACCGATGACGAGAAATTGACTTGCCAATACTACGGCTGCAACGTTGCTTGGTCCGAATGCCAAAATGCCAACAGCTTCGCATCTTGCTCCAGCGCGCTAAACCAATGCGAGCCAGTAGGAGGGCGACCGCTGTCCGAAAAAGACTGTGCGAAGATTTTCACGGGCTACGATGGTCGTGTCTGTATGGATTGTACGACGGGGACCAATGGGCGATGTCATATCAACCCGGAGGCATATAAGCAGTTTTCGGAAGGAGATGCGTGCAAGAAGTCCACTGAATTGTGTGTCAAGGAAGACGATTGTATGAATGCTCTTCTTGACTGCGAATATGTTGGGGGCGCGAAGATCAGCCAGGATCAGTGCAATTATGTGATTGTGGGGTCGAGTAATGAGACGGGGGTGCCGATGGAGGTCGCTTGTCAGGATTGTACTTCTTATCAAAATGGGATGTGCTTGCTGAATGAGATGAACCTTGCGATGTTTGAGAAGGATTACAAGCTTGTTTGAGGACACTTTTTGTTCGTTTATTTATGACTGGAGATAATACTGATCACATAATGGAATGGACGTCGAGATGAAAGGTGTCTATTTTCAAAGATGTAAGAGACCATAAAGGATTTATGAAGACGCGGTGACATTATCCTCTGCCTTGACAATCTCTCGAAGTTTGAAAGATGTAGTGAAGTTCTTTTGCTTAACGAACCAAGCGTTCACCAATTCCCATTCCTGGTTGGGGTCGGTGAATTGAATCTAGACAAAAAGATGGTTAGCCGAGGGACCGTCAGCAGTAGACCAAAAGAACGTACCTCAAATCTCCGCAGCATGCTGGGAACTAGCTTGTAAATTTCCAGCAGACTGATATTTTTCCCTAAACAAGTTCTTGAGCCCATGCCAAAGTGGAACATAGTCCCATTCATTTCCTTGATACGACGATCTTCAGCAGCCTTGCCCAGTTCCGTCTTGGCAGCTTCCTCATCTGGTAGCCATCGCTCCGGCCGATAAAACTCGGCATCTTCACCAAAGACCCCCTTATTGATATGGATCAGCCAAGCCGAACAACCAACGATCGTTCCACCGGGGACAAAATGGCCAGAAATCTCGGCACCACCCTCTGGCACGATTCTCTCCAACGGAAGACCGGCAGCTGGGTGCAGACGGAAAGCTTCTTTGACGCAAGCGTCGAGATAGGGAAGGCGCTGGCTCTCATGCCAGGTGACAAGGCCAGTCTCGTTGTCTCCAAAGGCTCCAGCACGTGCAGCATCATCGATCTCAGTTCGGAGACGTGCTAAAGCTTTAGGGTGCTTGAGCAGGAAATAGAAAACGGCAGAAAGACTGATAGCGGTTGTTTCGGAACCGGCAAATGCCATACTGACCGCCATGGTCTGTACCAAAGTTTGAGACATGAATTCGGGATGGGATTCATGGGCTGCCATGAATTTGGAAAGTAGGTCCGGGGACTTGACGCCTACTGCCTGAGACTCTGCCTTCTCGCTGGTCAAGTCTGGCACGCGCTCGGCCATGCGATTGTTTGCAAAGCGTGCGACGGGGAAGGTGGCATCGATGAACCCCCACTGAGAGAGCTTGAGGTAGATTGGGTTCTTGAGAAAGAGTAGGTCTAAGAAAGGAATTTGTCCGACCTAGAGGATCAATGTGTTAAGGAAATTCAACGACGGGGGTGCGGTATGAGGAAACATACGGGTGCAACGTAGAGGAATAACCAGGTCAAGTATCCGACGATGCCATCGACATCCTCGTTCTTTTCAATGAAGCCGTGCCTTTTGCTATAGGTGATTTCTCCAATCACATCAAAGGCATAGAATTGTAACCATTGGGTAAAGTCACATCCTGAACCATTATCAACGAAGAGTTTCTTCGTCTGCTCCAAGAAGAGTTTGGTGGTGTTGTCAACAAAAGGTTCATACTGGACCAAGGCCGACATTGCAAAGGCTGAGTTGACGCATCTACGGAATCTCGAATGGAAGTCATTATCCGTTGAGCTGAAGAGAGATTGCAGACGGTGGCCCTTTGCAACGGATTGTTGAACAATGTAGAAGTCCGACTTGTTATGATTTAGCAAGAGCGTAATTCACGGATGGCTTGTGCAGTGGACCGACTTACTTTGACGAAGCCCTTGTTCAAACCGTAGATGGATTTCAAGGCACTGGGGTCAGAGAATGAGAGGGTATTCGGCCCCAGCCGAACAACATCGCCGTACTTTTTGTGCAGTGCTCGGTGAGTGAGCTCCGGCGGCGACCATAGACATCAAAGAAGCGCCACCAATCTGTGACGGATGCCAGGAATGGAACGGGGTACTTGTTCAGCCCATTTTGGTATCTATTCTTGGCCAGCCATAGGAGTAAAGTAGCCCCGGACACAAGCAGCCAATGCTGGGACAAGATTCTAAGAATATAATCTGTAATTCCATGCATGTTGAATTGAAGACTGAAAAATGGAACGCTTAGAAAAGTCTAGAGACGAGTAATTTGTGCTTCATGTGAAATGAGATAGAAGGGAGTAGAGGAAGAGGTCACAAATGGATGGGCACAGTCATTGATTTATATCCAAAGAAGAGAGCAAAGGCAAGAGGCATATCCCGGCAGTTGATGCCATCCGACGGTCCAATAAGCGGTGGTATCAAGTGAAAGAAGTACCAAGTTCTTCATCGCCTTCCCCGGTCGGCGCGCCAATCCAGGACGAATTGGGCATCGCCACACGATATGAATATCCACACGGCTCGAGGATCCCGGGGAAGGACCCCATCGCAGAGCCCCGAGCCCCGATTCAACATAGAGCCAATAATACACACGGCCTTTTTGCGGAATGTAAGGAGTACGATGCACCCAACACGAGTTGCATCCTTGGCCCTTATCATAGAGGGGCCTAGCTCTGCCTTTTGGCATCACAAACCCCGAATACGAACCGAGGAATTACCCAGGAAATCACTTGAGTATATCCAGTGTTCTCAATTTCAGGCTAAGTCGCGCAGACCATTTGACCTATGCGGGGGAAAGATGCAATTAGGCGTGGGGCGACGTGGGGCTATGATGGCAGTCCGGGGTCATCCGCACCTCCGCTTCCTCTAGACCTGCGCCAGACGGGATTTCATCACCACCTCAACTGCCGATATCTCTATAACCTCGACTCTTCCAGGCTATGGTCCATTTTCACTCCAACTGAGCTTGACCCAGATATTCCTGCTGCTGATATCTTCTCAACCACGAGATTCTTTCAGGACATCCATCTTCCATAGGAAACCATATAATTGAGATGTGATTCAAGAACTGAGTCTGTTGAAAGAGTGAGTGACTTTGGGCATCCGAAATGGCAGCAATATTGGTCAAGTGGACTCTCTCCTCCATGGCGTATTCATCCGGAGATATCCATCTAAAATGTCATGGTGCCTCCTTATCTCCGACGTAAAGTGAAATAGAAAGGCAAAGAAGAGATGCATTGAGAAAAAAATCACGGTGAATGGAGTTTCTGCTCAATTGATTCCATCAGACTTAGAAAAGCATAGCTGCAATGCTCCTGTGTTATCAAATGACCTCATGCAGATGCAAACCATCCAGACACCTATCGCTGATCCAGGTCTCGCAATCCGATACCTAATGTAAAATTACAAAAGCTTTACTTGAGAGAGGAACAAGTGTGGGTCATAGCGCTCTCTTAGATGAGATACAGGATCCTTTGGCTTCGATTCACCGAGTCCCTTTTCTATGTCACTATCTGTGGGTTGCTCGCGGGGTTATATAATTAAAGAGAATATTGAGACAGATTTATGATCTGATGATACAAGGCAATGTGACCCATGCTGGATGTCAGTTCCGTCGCTGGAAACCCTGCCAACCACGAAGAATAACGAGGTGCTTAGACGCGAAGACCCATCATTGTCTAAAAGGACTCGATAGAACCTCTTCATCAATCTAGCCTGGCCTACTGAAGCTGAATGTTCCAATTTCCTCCAGTTTCTGATTGCTATAAGCTCAAATCATTGAATCGCTTCTTTGTCCTGTTCTGCATTTTTTGACTTGTGACACGGGAACCACACAACCTTGACTCTAATTACTTCTTCAGTATACCAAAAAGATCATCCAATTTATGTCCTTTCCGCGATCACCGATGAGTTCATTACGAGATAGTGCAAGGACCCCAAGCCCACTTTCGGTGTGCGGTATAGTCATGCCGTCTACCTTCACACTAGCAGGCACCATGGCAAGCACGACATCTACTGTTCCGAAGAACAGACACTAGTACAATTTGACCCAGGGAAATGCGCCAAAAGCTTATGCGATTGGGCGGGATTTGTGCTGCGATAGTCAATGCAGAAAGGGTGGCGAAATGAAAGGATGAAGACGCAAACGGCGTTACAACCTATCGAACATGTTCCTTGAAAACAGATCGGGCGCAGATCGTGGGGCGAATGTTCCACCCCATTGCTACTTTGAGCGTGAGTTGTCAAGTCAGTATCAAACAATCATCGAAGAGAAGGCAGCCCAAGTGCGACAGAAGTACTTCTATTTGGAAAATTATAAAAAGATAGGCTGGGTGCAGCCGACCACCTGGAAAGAGGACAGCTCCACGACTACTGATCGGATCACGAACAAGCTCATGCGTGGCGCCAATCTAGTTTGAGCGAAGGGAATCACTCTTAATGAACCCCATACTTGGACAGAATCCTGTACTTGACACACTGGCCCGATGCGGCGGCCTTACAATGTCGGGTGCTCTAAAAAATCTAGATGAAATAGAACGAGCCGCACAACATTTACTCAAAGTTGGCCCCGAGGCCTTCAAATAGCGGAAATATACGCTGTAATAGTGACTATCCAAGGAGCCTGTAAGTCGTTCTCGTAAATTTACCAATCAATGGACGAGAGTGTGCTTTGGAAGGTCGCTATCATAAGAACCCAGCTGTGAAGCCACAAGTCTTCTCCTCGCAGCTTATCATTCCCGATACCGGCAATAGACGGATCTCGGGAATAACCCCTCACGCTATTCCCGACAAGATAGGCACTTTTGGAGATATTATGGTCAATTTGGAGATGCGCCTCTTGAGTCTACTTCCAGAGCACAACGTTGTGATCCCCACGTGTCACGCTTAGCCAACGATGACCGCGAAAGGCCGGTCTCGCACATTAGCTACGCAAGAAGGTGGGAACGAGGATCTTGACAAGAAGTACGTTTCACTTCTCGAGTATCAATGATTCAATCTAATGAGCGCACCTGCAGGAGACTGCGAAATCGTCTTTCGCAACGTGCATTTCGTCGCCGACAAGCAGATCGGCTACGAGAACTATTAAATCATGCCGATGCGAGCGACAAACCTCATGACGAAACAGTCAAAGCCCTGCAAGAAGAAAATAGCAATCTGCGAAGGAACCTCATTGAAGTACAATCCAAATTAGCCAGGTTGATTGCCAATATGCAATCGCTGTCGGGAAATTTATCGACAGCTCTCGGCGAATCTCCTCAAAACGAGGATTCCAGTGCTCATGAGCAATCATCGCAGCCACCTTGCAATAGCACAAGCCAAATCTCCCAGGAATCTCATGCCATTGGAGGAGAAACCGAATCTTCCCTTTTGCGAGTTTCGCGTCCAAGAAACTTACAATCATCACCTTGTAGCTATTACCAATTCGATGACCTCCTGACTAGCGTGGGACCCGCCCTTGAAGGGGCTTTTGAGGGGGATTGTCCTTCAACTCAGTCCCCGGAGATGAATCTAGCTGCAAATTTTCACAGTCTCGCTCAGCAACTACCGAGTATTTGGTCCTTTGAATACCAAATGGGCACCGAACCATACGCCAACGCCCTAGCCGGAACAGAAGATTCCTGCATGACACGCGGTCGCGACTGGATCGAGACAAACTCGCCATTTTCAGACCATATCGAAACCCTCCAGCGACTACTCAAAGGAAAAGTTGAAAAAATTCGTCCTTCTACTGGAATTAATATCACCTTGTGCGTAGGTCACCACAAAAAGCTCAACTATCGCTGACTGTTTTCATAAGTTTTTACCACGAAGTCCTCATGGTCTTGTCCTTGTTCAATAGCATGACTCGACCAGATGTGATGCGCTGGTATGCGAAAACGAGATTCTACCACATCGTCAACTTGACGGCGTGGCAAATCTACCCCTGTCCACGGACCTATAACGAGATCCACCCGCAGTATCGGCCAACAAAACTGCAACTACAGTGCCAGTATCCAACGGTCATCGACTGGATCCCGTTCCCTGTATAAGAGACCGCCTGATTCAGCTTCATTCCGCGAATCCCCAAATCGACCAAATATTCTGCGATGCCGTGAGCAGCTATGTCGTCGAGGCGTGGATGTCCGATTTGATTCAAGGTGCTCCTGCAATCAAGGCTTATATCCGAGTGACCGATCTGGTTCCCAACATTGACTTCACGAACTCCGTCAGCGAAGATGACTTAGCCGCTGCTCTTCCTGCTCGAGATGCCGCGACTCTCTTCTCCTCGCCGATTTGTTCTAGGGCCGTTTTCAACAGGCTGAGTATGAATCGAGGAATCTCCAATTACAAGATCGATCCAGCTTTCTTCGGCAGCTACCCAGAGCTGTATGATCATAGTGTCGACGTTGCGGCTAAAGGCATTCCTTTGCGACCGGATGTACAGCTTCGGTTGACGTACCCCAAGCCTCTTGATTCTCCAACGTACCATACTTATCGCAACTTCATTGACTTCTCTTATGATGCACCTATGTGTGCCGACTTGCTTGCTTGTTGAAACTTGATGGATTCAATTGTTGAATGTGTAGTGATGATAATGACATTGAGCTTACCCCCCCCCCCCAAAAAGCACTTGCTTTCCCATATTGGTACCCAAATGACGTGCAACTACCTCAACTGAGCGAGAACCTTTAGTAAATCGCCTGTCACGCCCATTGCGGTGACATCACCACCAGCACCAGCACCGCGGATTGTGAGCGGGAAATCACCATATCTCTTGGTGTAGAAGCTGATGATGTTGTCACTGCCCTTCAACATGGCAATGGGATGCAACGGATCAAACCGCTCCAGTCCCACCTTAAACTCCTTTGTAGCCATGTCAATGCTACCGACAAAACGGATGACCTTCCCTTCCTTCTGAGCTGCGATTTTCTGCGCCTCCATCTGGCTGTCATAGTCATGTAGCTTGCTGAGGAATTCGTCGCCGTCGGCAACATATTCAAGCTCGTCCGGAATCAAACTCTGCACTGGGAATGAAGATGGAGATTCAATGGGTAGACCAGCCAATCGACCAAGGATTGTCAACTTCCGCGCGACGTCAAGACCATTCAGATCATCACGGGGATCAGGCTCAGTGAAGCCTAGTTCCTTCGCCTTCTTCACATTGTCCGACCATTTCACACCAGAGCCAGAAATTGGAGCGAATGAGTTGAAGAGGAAAGACATGGTTCCGCTGAAGACACCTTCGATACGTGTAACTTCATCACCAGTCTGCACGAGCTCCTTAATCGTCGAGGTGATGGGCATGCCCGCCCCGACAGAGGACTCGTGAAACACCATTGATCGACCAGCCTCAGCCGACCTGAAGATGTCCTGCCACAGCTCATAGCTTCCCGAGAAGGCTTTCTTGTTCGGAGTGATGATACTAATTCCCCTTTGCAGGAAAGCTGGATATGCCTCTGCCAGACTACTAGCACTGGTGTTGTCAATGAGGACGACCTTGTGTGGTGCACCGGGCAAGTATTCGATAATCTGGCGGAGACTCGGGGCGAAGATCCAGATGACTCCAATGTAGATACGGCGGTGTTGATGTTGATCTCGGAGTAGTCCTGGTGACATAGGGCTTTATCGATCATAGCGATATAGCACAGACTCAAGCGCGTTGAAGGCGAGTTCTTGGATAACCAGGCCAGCTGGGAAACGAAAACCGATCCCACGCCCCCGGTACCTGCGAATAGATCAGTAAAAAAGATCGCGATAAGCAGGTCATACACGAGAGACTCACCAATGGTAGCAATATTGACCTATTTTGTTGCCATTTCGAAGACAACCAGCCAAAACCCTAGGAATCAGTTGTATGTAGCTCGCATGATCTCGAACAAGGGGCTCAGGTCTTTTAATGCTAATGGATTTACACCACAACAGTTCACCCGGTGGTTTCCCCGAACATCTAGCCTCAAATCGAGCTTTCTAGATACTAAGCATCCCATGAAGCTGTATTGATGATCCCTATGCAATTTCAAGGTTAGGTGACCAAATGCTTACGCCCTTACAGTTTAGGCCCACTTCCTTTCAGGTACCGTTCCTTGTAATCAACCACTGACATAAGATATTTCCCGGCCATGTAATGCCGAACAATCCCTGCCGCAGATCAACAAAGCGTATAATTATGCTGAAACCGTGGAAAAATTGAGATAAGCCCCATCTGCCAATCTTTCCATTGGAAGATAACCGACGGAGGCTGACCGTGGCCCACGCCAACTAAAAAGATTGACTTGAGGCGTATCAGATGTGGTCAATGAAGTTGAGTATATGTATATAAAGCCCCGAGAATATAGCTTAGCTATCTGCAATCATATTCCAAGAGGGAAGATAGGAACCAACCACCATAAGTGTGACAGCCACCATGACCAAGTGCGACTTGCTACAGGCAAGTACCTACAGAAAGCATTGCCACGATGTGAACATGTACTAATTTTGAATAGTTAAACGATAGATCAATTCTCCACGAAGCCTCGCTGCTAGATGGGGAATGGGTGCAAGCCCAGGCAGGCAAAACATTCGATGTGGAAGGCAAGACCGAACAAAGTCGGAAAAGTCAGCTAGTATCTCAGACTAACGATGGAACTTAGATCCCGGCTCCGGTCAGGTCTTTGCAAACTGCCCTACAAATGAAGTTGCCGACGTAGACCGATACGTCACATCCTCCCAAAAAGCCTTCGAATCCTACCGAAAAGAGAATCCACGCACACGAGCCAAGATCCTCCTTAAATGGCACGAACTCATCAATGCACGCGAAGACATCGCGAAGATCATGGTCTATGAGACCGGAAAGCCCATGACAGAAGCCCTTGGCGAAGTAGACTACGCCCTGGGCTTTGCATGGTGGTTCGCAGGCGAAGCCGAGCGCATTCGAGGTTCAGTTGCACAGCCTTCGATCTCGAGTCGGCGCACGTTCGTCATCAAGCAGCCCATTGGAGTGAGCGTCGCTCTGGTGCCGTGGAATTTCCCAGTGGCCATGATCATTCGCAAAGTGGCTGCTGCTTTGGCTGCGGGGTGCTCGAAGATAGTGAAGCCTTCGCCGGAGACACCACTCAGTGTCAATGCCCTCGCGGACCTAGCTATGCGCGCTCGGCTTCCCGCCGGAGTATTGAATGTCATCTCCACCGATAACGAGAATACACCCGCTGTCAGTGAACGGCTGTGCAAGCACCCCTTGGTCCGGAAGGTGACTTTTACTGGAAGTACCAGGGTGGGCAGTATCGTCGCAAAGCACTGCAGTGAAGGATTGAAGAAAGTCACGATGGAACTAGGTGGCAACTGCCCTTTCATCGTTTTCGATGACGGAGATCTCGAGCAGGCTCTGGATGCATTGATGATTCTCAAATGGCGTACAGCAGGCCAGGCGTGCACACATGCCAACCGGGTTTATGTGCAAACGTCTACGACAAATTTACCCAGATGATTACCGAGTCCACGAGTCAGAAGATCCGTGTCGGCCACGGAACTGATCCTCTAATCACCATGGGCCCTCTGACGACTAGCAGTGGTATTGAGAAGCTAGAGCGCCATGTGGAAGACGCTGTGAAGCGTGGGGGGCAAAATTCTCTGTGGAGGAAAGAAACCGGCAGGTTTGAAGGGATACTTCTTCGAACCGACTATTATCTCCGGCATGACCTCGGAGATGTTGACTACTCGTGAGGAGATCTTCGGTCCCTTGCTGGGGCTCTATAAGTTTGAGATCGAGGAAGAGGCTGTGAAGATGGCCAATGACACTTCCATGGGCTTGGCCTCATACTTCTTCACAAAGAACGTCGACCGGACTTGGAGGTTGCTCGAGGATCTCGAGGCGGGCATGATTGGCATGAACACCGGCAACTCTTCTTGTGCCGAATCTCCGTTTGGTGGTATTAAGCAGTCTGGCTATGGCAAAGAAGCTGGCAAGGACGTCGCGATCGAGGAGTACTTGATTTCCAAAACGGGAACTTTGACTGTCGAGGCTTAGAAGACGAAGGTGCTTTCGTGTAATGACAACTAGAAATCAATTATGCTCCTAATGAGACCTGAATTCAATCATAAGAGAATTGATTTGAGAATGAAGAAAAGAAAAGCCCTAGGACTAAAGTACCTCAGTCCTGAACTCCGTTGCGACTCTTTCTCTAATATTTGAAACAGATGTGAGTGCATAGCACACGGTATATGAAAATCATGCTTTATACTTCCAACAGCTTACAACATTCATGCATGAAACGGAAGGCTTAAATTAAAGCTCATCCTTGCGAGTATCGTCTTGGGCTTTCTCCTCCTTGCCCTTGCTCTTATCAGCCTCGGACTTATCCTTCTTGCTTTTCTTACTGCTATTTTTCTTGGACTGCTTGCCGGCCGCGGCAGTCATGCGCTCATACATGCGGTTAAGTATGCGCTCGAACTCACGCAGACGGGAGTCGATATCCACAACAGTCAGAGCGGGGTCATCCGAGCTGGTGAGCTTCTCTTGGAGAGCGAGCTGAGCCTCGAGCCAGGGCTTGGTGGACTCATAGGCCTGGGTCAGGGAGGCAAGGTCGGTAGGGTTGAAGAGAGTGTACTTGGGCCCAGTGGGCTTGGAACTAGCGGCCGGCTTGGCGGTGGTGGTGGTCTTTGAAGATGAGGCCGAGTAAGAGTCGTCGTCGAGTTCATCCATCTCGTCAGCAGAAGCGACCGGGGTTTCGGTAGTAGAAGAGCTGGTCTCGGACTCGGTGGTTGAGGTGCTTGACGCGGAGAGGGAGGATGAGTAGCTCGCCTCGTCAGAGGCGATTTGACCCTCGATCAGCTGCTTCATGGACTCGGCGTTCTTGAGCATGTCCTGGAGAAGCTCAATACGCGCCGGACGGTCGGTAGATTCCTTCATGCGCTTGAGTGCAGGGTTGACGATGGCCTTCAGATCCTTCAGCTTGGACTGGAACTCCACCGTCTTAGCATTGTCGCTATCCTCATAGAGCCAGTCGCTAGCCTTGGCAATCTTGTCCTGGAGGATGGCCAAGTCATCACTCTTGACAGCTTTGATGAACTCTTCGTTGTCCGCGAGATCCCGACTGCGATAGATGAAGGCCTCTAGCTCATTGAGAGCCTCCTCGCGGAGAATACGATCGCGGTCAGAGGCGTCGAAAGCCGCCAAACGACCGCGGATGCGACCTAGCTCGGATACAGATGGAGCCTTAGTTCCAAGTGGTATCGACTTCAAGCTGATGGGAATGATCTCAAGTTTGGTCTGTCCGGACGTCTTCACAGTATCCTTGGCGGTGGCGGTGGTAGAAGCGCTGGCGGAAGAGGAAGTCGAGGACTCAGCCTCAGCCTCGAGGTTGATCGACTCGCTTGGCTCGCCGTCCTCTCCAAGAGGCTGCTGGTCTCCCTTTTTGGAGCCGAGGCCAAAGAAGCCCTTGACGTCATCGACAATGCCCTTCTTCTCGGCCTCGACTTCGCAGCTCACGTTGCCACTGGTGACTTCGGGGAGACCATTGACAGGGTTGAGACGAATAGCGAACTTGGTGGTGATGTTGGCAGCCGCGCAGCCAAAGGACTCCTTAAGCTTGTTTGCCGATGCAGTAAGGTTCAGAGTCTCGACGCTAAGGACGGAGCGGTTGTCTCCACTCTGGTCAACCTGTTGGTAGAAGCTGAACTCAAAGTCATCCAGGTTCTTCACGGTTACCTGCTTCTCGGGGCCAACCTGAGAAGTGGCGGTGAATAATTTCTGGTTGCGATCCTTACCATCCGAGTTCCACTTGAGCATGACAGGGTACGAAGCCGCATCGTGAGCGCGGATGTCCTTGACGCGGAAATTGGGGCTAAGGGCAGCACCCTTGAAGGCAGCACCAAATACAGCCGCCTCATCAGCGTTGACATTGGTACGGAGCTTCTTGGATGAGCCCAGGACCTTCTCGAGCTCCTTCTGGACGAAAGGAGTCCGGATAGCTCCTCCGTGCAAAACAACAGAGTCGATATCATCCATCTTGAGACCGGCGGCCGCCAGAGACTCCTTCAAAGGAGTACCGATGCGAGCAATGTGCTGCGCAGCCAGCTTTTCAAAAGTGGCACGGCTGATCTTGTACTTGAAGTTCAATTCCTCATCATACAGACCCTCGAAGCTGGTAGAGGTCTCGGTGTTGGCACTCAGAACTTGCCGGGCCTTTTCGGCATCCTTCCAAAGTCTGGCCATGGTCTTACCATGAGCTTTGACTTCTCCGGCGGTAACCTTGCCCTTGAGCTTCTTGTCGTCGACTAGCTTCTCCACCATGTCGTTGACAATAAGATCGTTCAAAGAATCGCCACCAAGGGTTTTGTCCCAGCCAGCTCCCAAAACGTGGATCTCCTGGACAGTCTTGTTAAACTTGCCGATATCCTTGACCTGGCGACTTTGGAAGCGCAGGACGCTGGCAGTAGTAGATCCAGCACCCATATCAAAAATAATGTGGTACTCGGGTTTCTCTCCATCCGAAACACTGGGGAACTTCCGGGAAGTGGCGTAGTTCAATCCAACAGCCAATCCATCGCTAACAAAGGCCTCGATGTTCAGACCAGCCAGTTCCGCTGCCAGCGTGAGACTCCTTTTCTCGTCCGCGGTGTAGAAAGCAGGATAGGTGAGGACGACATCACGGATATCCGATCCCTTGCCAGCGAGTTCGTCGGCGTTGGACTTGACCTCCTTCAATTGCATGGCCAGGATCTCCTCGACCAAAAATGCATCCTTCTTCTCTGCCTCTCCAAGTCGATCACTGCGCATGGCGACAGAGCCCCGGCCATCGGGGGCACTTTCAAGCTTCAAGGCTGGATACCGGCTCCAGTAGGCCTTGACAGTCTCATCGTTTGCGTCGTTGAAAGGGACACCCAGAAGGGTCTTCAGATTGCAATAGACGTCATCCGGGTACCGAGCTGCCAAGGCAAGGGCGTTACCACCGTAGAACCGCTCAGGGAAGGGCGCGCTTGTGTCTCGTGTCGGCTTGAAGGCGATGGCTGCTGACTCCTTGCGCTTTGAATCCTTGGACAGAACGATTTCGAGGGGAATGCCCGGTTTGACGAGTGCGGCTTTCAAGTATTCAGTGCCGACATCGAGGCCAATGACCGCAGATCCGGCAGCGGAAGCTTGTCCAGCGAAGCCGATCAGGAAAATCAAGAAGGGGAGAATGACGAGGGAGAGGAATGGAGAGGTTGGTAACCGTCCGCGGCCCGGAAGAGCCATGGTCTGTGTTTAAGCTGCGCACTGGACGAAATGAGCCAATTTTTTCATTCAAGGAGTGACGTTGTAAGGCACAATATCAGCGTACATCAAGCCAGCTGGTAATGAGCGCGAAATTCTAGCAGTAACCACACCGCTTCGCCGATCTTTCAGATGTATGTAAGTGGAAAGCTGGCCTTGCGCCAGGCGAATAGCGGGTCCTTAGCTATGGGATGGGTTCGAAGGGGACCGATGGAGTTGAGGTAAAGTTCCAGATGAGAATTGTATGAGGTGAAGGCGTGAAACCATATGAATCAAGTCATCCGGGCGCGAGGGGATGCAGTGGCCACCTGTCAATAGAAGCAGATGGCGCATCTAAGGCCACGGGTCAGATCAGTGATCACCGTTGTTTGCCATGTTTGCACCGGGCCAGGGCGCTGACGTAAGAGCCCTATCTTGAAGTTCAAAAGTGATTCCAGTGTACAATCAGTAAACAAACACAGCCCCTGCTGGGTGAGTTTTAGTTTTAAGAGTCTCCCCGACTTAATTGAGAGTAGGTGATTCCCTTGTAAAGTGCAGTCAAGAAGAGTCTTGGACAGTCAGATCTTGCGACAATTAATTCACTAAGTATTGCATCCATCATAAGGAGTGTCCATGAAGTCATAAGCCAAATCAAAGAACCACCACTCTCTCCCAAGACACGGAGAGCGGATATCAGGGTATTAATACCGGGTCATTAAGATATCTCCCAGTCCCAAGAATACAATTTTTTTGGCCTTTTTTTTGTTCCGTGTACTTTCGAATCATGCCATGACCTCTTTGGCAATATCACCGAGTTACTAAAACAGAGCAAAGATGATAGCAAGACCGGGGATGAGACCCGCTAAAGACATCTTGTACTGAGATGAGGCACCATTGAATTGGGGAGTCTGAGAAGGCGCAGGCGGGATGCTGGAAGAGGCGGCGGCAGATGAGGCTGGTGCAGGAACGGCTGAAGTCCCTTCAGGAGCTGGTGCGGTAGTTCCGGGTACGATGATCGTGCTAGAGCCATTGGGAACAGGAACGACAGTACTTGTGCTGCTTTCAATGACAGTTGTTCCGGGAACGATGACCGTGTTGGAAACACTGGGAACAACAACGACAGTACTCGTGCTGCTTTCAATGACAGTGGTCCCAGGAAGAGGCTGCAAAGGCACAGTCGTGGACAGGGCACACTCGTGGCAAGTTACTACGGAGGTGACGGTCAAAGTACTGGTGTGGGTCACAGGAGTGGTAATGATAGTTGAGCCGCTAGTGATTGTGCTCCAAGTGACTTTTAAAATTAGTACCTATATTGATATCGTGCTCAGCGGCTTTACGTACCAGGGCAAGTAGTGGTGGTGAAAGTAGTGGTGATTGTAGTGGGAGGTGCGGTAGTAACGGTCTCGGTTTCGCATGGCGTTGAGGTCGCTGGAGGTGCTGTCGGTGTAGTCGTCTCACACGGTGTGGTGGTGGTTGCCGGAGGCGAGGTCGGGACAGTAGAGGTTTCGCATGGAGTCGAAGTTGACGTCGAAGGAGACGAAGGCGTAGAAGTCTCGCATGGAGTGGTAGTGGGGGTCTCAACCGGGGTTGTAGTTGTTTCACACGGAGTAGTGGTCGGAGCCACCACTGGCGTCGTAGACGTCTCGCAAGGAGTAGTCGTGGGGGTCACGACAGGAGTGGTAGTCTCGCACGGAGTAGTGGTAGGAGTCATCTCTGGGGTAGTTGTAGTCTCACACGGGGTAGTCGTGGGAGTCACCTCTGGAGTAGTGGTGGTCTCACACGGAGTAGTTGTGGAAGTCACCTCTGGAGTAGTGGTGGTTTCGCATGGAGTAGTCGTGGGAGTCACCTCTGGAGTAGTGGTGGTCTCGCATGGAGTAGTCGTAGGAGTCACGACGGGAGTAGTAGTCTCGCACGGAGTAGTCGTGGGAGTCACCTCTGGAGTAGTGGTGGTCTCGCATGGAGTAGTCGTAGGAGTCACGACGGGAGTAGTAGTCTCGCACGGAGTAGTCGTGGGAGTCACCTCTGGGGTAGTGGTGGTCTCGCATGGAGTAGTCGTAGGAGTCACGACGGGAGTAGTAGTCTCGCACGGAGTAGTCGTGGGAGTCACCTCTGGGGTAGTGGTGGTCTCGCATGGAGTAGTCGTGGGAGTCACGACGGGTGTAGTAGTCTCGCACGGAGTAGTGGTAGGAGTCATCTCTGGGGTAGTCGTAGTCTCACACGGAATAGTCGTGGGAGACACTACAGGAGTAGCAGTCTCAGTGTCACAAGGTGTAGTAGGGTAATCACCACCACCTACTCCTCCTCCATGGCCGCCGCCTTCGCCACTACCATGTCCACCTCCATGTTCTCCACCGCCGCCATGACCACCATCATCGTGGCCTCGAATAACGACGTCGAAGTCGGCAACAGGCTCCCTAGGCAGGACGCCAGCCGAGGTCAAGCTGGCGACAGCCAAAAGAAGAATTGGCACAGCACGCATCTTGTATAAGCAACGAGAGAAATGCGTATTGATCAAAATTTGAAACGACTGACAATGCCTAGACAGAACTAGGTAAGAACCGTAGCGAAAGAGGTCCTGACACGAATTGCTTCACAAACCAGAAAGCAGAGAAGAAGGAGAGGAGATTTATAGACTAAGCCCCAGCTGCAGTACTAGCCTGGGCGGGGCTGGGCGTCAGACGTTGACATCAGAGTTCTCTTTTTGGCTCAAGAGAGAGCCATCCAAATTCGGCTGGCAAGAGTTGATCCGTGCAATTGTGGGACCAAAGTATCGCTTCGACGAGTGGTAAGCAGCTTGATAATGTAACCAAATTTGGTACACGGGTGAATCAACCGGCCTTGATTCCGTCATTGTCGACAGCCCACGATGCATCGTGAAATAAGTCTCGTTGCAGGGCAGACGCTAAAGAGAAGTATCAATCCGGTTGGCAGCGACAATCCAATGACGGAGGTGCTGGTCTCAGAATTGGCCTCTGGTTCTCCGAATGGGGACAGCCAGGGTACTTGCTAACAAACTCAAAGCGTTGAGAGACCGACGCTCAAGCGCAACTACAATCGAGCCGATGATGCATGTCTGTTCTTGGCGGAACGCGACACGGAACAGGCCCGAAAGATAGCTCATCTTGGGGCTGGGGCTTTAGACAGGCCAGGAACCAGGGGACTCCATGTTCGATACAACAGATTTCGACTGTTTCTTTCTTGGTCTGGCACTGGGTATCGTGCAATCGTGGTCGGATCCCCGTATCATGAGAAACTATCGTGAGATCATGAGACTTCAAGTTCCATTCCAAGATGGACGCCCCATCTGGAGAAGACTGGAGAAGATAAGATAGGTTTCATTTGTTGTTTGTGGGGTAGTCATATTGCATGGGGAAACCTCGCGAATAAGAATCGCCACAGCGAGCTAGCGCTTTGATTCCAAGTTCTGTAGGTCAAAGAGCTAAGGACTAGAAGCCTCAAGGCGGCCCATCCGGGAAATTACCCGGGAGTTGTGACATCCGTGCAATAGACTGGGTTTGGATGATATTGGTTGTTTTCTCCCTCCGTTCCTTTCCAGATTTCAGGGTCCCAGGAGTGGGCCGATGCAAGCCACGATCCTGCAGTCTATTTCCCCCTCATTTTGCCCTAAGCAATGAACAAGCCACGGAACCAGTGCATAACCGTGGGCCCGGCAAAGCCGCAGGGCTGCCCGCTAGTCAAAACAAAGCCAACTTGGGCTTACCTGCCACGCTGTTGGGCGTCGGTCCCTGAGGTCCTGCAGGTAACGTTACATGACAGCCCCCATGTCGGACTCACCAAGAGGTGATGCTAAGCTGACGCCAGGGGGACTTGGCCGAGGTGTGGTACACAACGAGTGGTGAAGAAGCACTAGAGCACGTCGTTGCAGGGAAGTTCCCGAACAGCCCATGCGATTGGTGCAATGCCAATGATGAGAAGTTCCAAGCTCGTGCTGTCACATGGCTTGAGCTACGCAGTTGTGGTCGCATTTTTCCAGTTCTCCTGCTTCTTCGCCATGGCTGAAATGTCTCGGAGCTTCCCATGGTAACTGCCTCACGTTCCTAGGATTGTGTCATTCTGACCTGGTGCACTGGACCCCATCAAGCTCTTCCAGTGCCGTAGGAATTGTCAACTTGACCAATGACAACCCGGCTTGCCCGTTGGCAAAGAGGTGGCAAGAGTTGACAGGTGCATGGTGGGGGCAACGTCACTGACCCCCTCGGTGGGCTGAGTCCAAGGACCATTTCTCGCACGTCCTCTGTACGGGCTTCCTGACCAACATGGGGAACGGAAGGAGCCGTAGATGTCGCGAGAGCCAGAGTTTGTGTGAGGGGTCACGCCTTTCCCCAAGAAAACGACCTGTCTCACTTGGGATAAGATGCCCTAATTCATGTCTTAAACTCTGCAGGAGCCACAATGTGGCATTTCATAGAGATCGGGTCTACCGCAATTATTATCTGGGGTAAGCGACTAGCTAAATTAAGTGGCCGTAGTATCAATGGCATCTCGTATTCCGGCCATCATGCGTCACACATTGAACGGCCCCAGCCCCTGGTGGCCACGGCCATTGGGCACTAAATTTGGCATACAACCGATAGTGGAAAATCGCCACAAGGCCAAACTCAATTCAGGTTCGCGCGACAATCTTCGCGAAATCATCGGCCCGGCAATCGCTTATGGCCGTTCGAGGGAAATTATGAGGTCAATGCTGCGCTGGGACCTGTCCCTCGTCTAGTCATCATCGTCCTCGGATCCACTGCTCCACCCAGTCTCGTAGGATTCTCTTATCTCACCCAGTCCATTGAGCATGGCCTCGCGTTCATCAACTGAGAGCATACGTGCGGTGCTCGTCTCAATGGCCTTGATTCTCTCGGCTGTTCGGTTCGACGCGGTCAATGCGGCGAGAACGCTTACCCCAGAACCGGACTTGGATTTAGGATACATCCCGTGGGGGAAACTGTCAAGCATAGGTAGGCGGAGTGGTGTATAGTAGCTAGTGGTATCCTTTTTTAGCTGGGAGGTTCAAGAGTTTCTAGTATGTGGAAAAAGTTACCTTTGGAGCATGGGCTCCGAATTGAATAATCTGAGTCTGCGAACGTGACCAAGGTCTTGTTCTATTGACTCTGTGACGTTCTCGGGCTCGTCTCCACGCATCACCTGGACCTGGTTGAAAATATGCGCAGACTTGCTGCTCTCACCGCCATACGTAAAGTCAATGTCAAACTCGATTTCCGCCTGAGGTGATCCATCCTCTTTGGTGGGTGATTTGTGTCCGTGCTCTCTGGGGTTGAAAGTGGTTTGCAGCTCATAGATATTGTGAGTCCCGTCATCTCCAGCCAGAGATGACTCGAAATCATGGTACGGCCGCAGCCGGGACGGCAAGGTCACTGTCTCGACCGCGGAGCACATCAGTGCTGTAGTTTGCCAGCGCGAGCGACGGTCAACCTGCAAATAGCTGGGAAGTTTGGGCGGTAAGTCTATGAGAGGTACATAGAGGTTTGACTGGGGGGGAAATCGAGTATATCGACTTGGCCTTGTTAATGTCTTTTTTCATTTGTTGGTGCTGCAAAGCCATATGTCAGTATTCTGTCTTCAATGAGGGCTGACGAATTAACTTACCCGCTGGACCTTGGTTCCATCCTCAATGGCCCAGACCCAGATACTTTTCTTTCCATACTCATCTCGAAGCCGGTCGATATACCGTGCGGCAAATCCGCCCCAAGCATCATCTGCTCCAGAGAATAGTTGCAGTGCTCGCAGTTGGTCGCATTCCTCTGCAAATGGCCTCACGTCCCGATCTAAGAGATCATGTTCTTTGTCGAGGTCATTGAACAGCTCTCCACCGGTGTTCCAGTCCTCAAACGGCATGATTTGAGAGTTCAGCTCATACTCATTCATTTGTACGATTGAGCGGGGATGGTAGAAGACTCTGTTGTAATCGGACCAATAACGCACAGTTTCCGAAGTCAATCGGGGAGCAGGAGTGCCCAGATCTAAGCTTTTTTGATAATCGCTTTGCAGAATGGGCGCTTGCTTCTGGACAACTTCTTGGCCATCCCTGAAATACAATTTAGCTGAAAGTTGTATGCTGAATGACTTCTTCGGCACCTACCAAAGGCCAGTCACGGCCTCCTCGCTTAGCTCATACAGCGCATTGTATTTTCGCAGTGTGCCGAATCCACCCTTCAGATCGTAGATTACTGTCCGGGAGTGTACGTCTCAGAGCCATCTGCACCGACTCCAGGTCGAAAATGAACATCGTGATCAACCGGTGTCTCTTCGCTATCGTTGTATGTGAAATAAGATTCCTATTTATGTATTAGACATGAAGATATTAGCGCGGAGGTTTTAACAACCTGGAGGTTCCAGAAATGAGTCGCAAGGTAGTTGGCCCGCTGACCCAGTTGTAGCGTCACGATCTCATGCATATTTTGACGTGGACACCCACTGTGTGGCTTCGAATACTTTATGATCGTCACATGTGAGCAAGTGAGGTGGACAAACCGCCTTCCGATGTCAGTAGGCGGTGGGATCTTTCGGGCAATAAAATAAAGTGAGTGCGGGATATCAGCACGTGATGTCTGATCTTCAGTCTGTCGAGCTAACCGCCTTGGGAACTTTAGTGTGGTGACCAGGGCAACAGTCACCTGATTTGTCCCGAGAGGGCAATAAACAACTCGTGTGTGGGTGCGTCACCCTCCAATCGAGAACGGTGATTTTCCTTTGAGACTTTCCCCTCGAACCGATCTCCGACCACCTGTGACGCCCTCATGACCTCTTGACATCAACCTGTCGCCCACTTCTCCTCGACAACGCCCGCGATGGAGTCTCCAACGCGTCCCGTACTTAGCCCCGCAAAGGTCCTTCACCCGGTCTCGCCGGAACGCATGAATCAACAGACAATTCCCGCCTCTCCTTCACTGCCCTCAGATTTATTGTCTATTCACCATAAAAATACTAAGGGGGTCTCCGAAGTGCAAGCCAAAGTGGCATTCTTGAACAGTCTTTCGCGTCAGGGTAGCCCCAGCGCCGGTCAAGCTGCCGCAAATCATGCCGCCCTTCAAAGAGCAATCATCGGCCGTGAGGAGGCAGAGTCTGCCCTGAGCTCAGTACAAGAAGAGCTTGCCGAAGCACAATCAAGAGAACGCCGAATTAGCGAACGACTGGAATCATTGTTGGAAGAATTACACGGCACCAAAGAACGCCAAGCCCAAGAACGGTCGATCTTCGAGAAAGAAATTCGCAAAGCCCGCAAAGAGGCCTTCCGTGCGGGATCAAATCTGGTCAAACTACAAGAAGAATTGAAGCACTCCAAATCTGAATCTAAGGCTATCGAAAAGGAACTTGCAGCAGAGCGGGATGCCAAGAACAAGGCGAAGCAAGAGGCATTCGAACGTGCATACGCTCTTGCCGGTCTAACCGAAGAACTGGAAATTCTCAAGGGCCAGCTTCGGTCCATGGAGGCATCCAACCACTCAAGCACATTAGAAGTCCGCGCCCACGAGATTCGGAGGGAAGACTTCGGCAGATTGTCCCTGGCAGAGGGCGATCTCGCCTTTCTGACCACCCCGCGACGACCAAAGCGCGTGGCACCAGACTCCGCCCGATCTCAGATGTCCGAGATGGAATCCGGCGATGCGGCCGAAGCCACCCCTCCCAAGAAACTGCGACTTTCCGAATGCACAACTCCCATCGAGGTTGAGCAAACAATCACTACCACCACGTCTCTATCACACCTTGATCCCGAAGCCTTGGACAACCTGAAGGAAGAGCTTGACCGTGAGCGTCGCCGGAGAGCCGAGGCTGAAGAAATGGTCCATTTTATGAACATCGAATGTCAGTTTGAGCGATGCTCTTGCCGGCTTGCGGAAAGTCAGGGTCGCCGTTACATTTACGACGAAGAATACTTTGAAAGGTTTCAGAAGCCACAGCTAGAGGCCGAGACTAAAGCAGCGCAAGAAGCCCGCGACGAACAGCAACGCCAAGCGGCAGAGCAGGCACGTGCTGAAGAGCTGGCGCGGGCTGAACAGCAAGCGCTTGCGGAGGAGCAAGCTCGCCTTGAGCAGCAAGCCCGTGCCGAGGAGCGGGCTCGCTTTGAGCAACAGGTCCGCGTTGAGGAGCGGGCCCGCGCCATCCAACAGGCTCGTCTGGAAGAACAGGCTCGTTCTGAACAACGAGCTCTTGAAGAGCAAGCTCGTGCTGAACAGCGAGTTGTCGAAGAGCAGGCTCGTGCCGAGCAACAAGCTCGCATTGAACAGCAGCTTGTTGAGGAGCAAGCTCGCGCTGAAAGAGCCCGTGAGCGCCAGCAGCAAGCCCTTGAAGAGCGGGCACGTGCTGAGCAACAAGCTCATGTGGAAGAGCAGGCCCGCCTCAAACACCAACAGCAAATCTACATTCACTCAAGCCACACACCCTCTGTCGACCCTCCCAGCCCCGTCTACCAGCAACCCGAGACTTCTGTCAAGCCAGAGCCCATCGAACTCCCGGAGCAAATGCGTATGCCTGAGGAGCCTATGGTGACCTTTTCACCTGAGACCGGAACCTTCAAGACGTTCCCATCACCCATTCGCGACAATGTTCGACCCCGACGAACTGATTCTTTCACACTTTCTGAACTGAAGAGCTCGCAGGTCGACGCCTTGAACGGGATGCGCACCTCAACTGCCTCTTCCAGTCGCCATGCGGACTCCACTACCCCAACCGCTCCCCCATTGCCACTCAAGGCCGCCCCTAGCTCAACAACAGAATCTCTTGCTCGCGAAACCAACGAGAGCAGAACTGGTAGACGCACTGAACGGAGTGCCTACGGGCCTACCCTCGCAAGCACAAAACGGGTCCCTCTCCGCGAAGCCGCTGGGTCTCAGAACGCTGCCTTTGTTTCGGATACACCTATCAACCGAGAGGAAGCTCTGGCCAAAATCCGAGAGCGCCGCGGCCGAGCACGCAGCAAGGTCCGCTCAGTGAGTGCGGCCGAGCCTTCCGGACGGCCAGTGGGATCCATTGGCAGCACCGGCGCAGCCGCAACCCGTGGTCCCCGTCGCATTCCGAACCTTCGACCGGATAGCAAGAGCGAAGGTGAGCTGGGTGAGCGGAGGGACTTGAGCGCCCCCGTGCGCATGTTCCGACGATGATGGCGATTGATTTGCATATATGATGTTCTGGGCCCTATTTTTTGTTCTTGAGCCGGTTCTTGTCTTTTCCATAATACCCCGGCGCAGGTGCATAACCTTGTTTTTTTTTTGAATTGCTTCCATCGAACTTTATTGCATCCCGTGCACGCGATGCCTTGGCTAAGAGTCTTTCTTCCTTTTCTCATTTTACTTGCTATGAACTTTGTTCTTGTGATGAACTTTCGTCTGAGATCCGCTCTCCTTCACTTTTCCTATGTTGGTACATCATCTGTACATATTCCAGACTTTTCCCAGCACTTCGCATGTCGATTCGCATTTAATGGCAGAATGTCTACCCAAGAATTGGATAGACATCTTTCGGATATTTGGTCCAAAACGCATATTGCAAGAGGACATCCAGCTTCAGCTCGCAGAGATCCTGGAAGATGGTGTAGACGCAGATAATGCCGACGCTTTCGACATCCAGCCCTTAAATAGCGGGTGTATGTGAAAATCATGACATATTTACAAGATGGAAATACCACAGCAGCGAATACGTGCGCTGTCAACATATGCAGAACGGCCCCACCAGAGCAAGACTAGCTCTTCGACGAAAATGCGGTCTGTCGCGCTCCACACGTCCAAGCCCATCTCCACCATATCAGCGATGGTTATAGTGATAGGCTCTTCTGATTCAAAATCCTGAGCGGAGTGATCACGCCGAGAATGGTTCCCCTGCTGTCTCTGGCGCAGCAGCGGGGCATTGTCATCGTCCTCGACGTGAAGAGAACGAGACATGGAAAGAGATAGATCTCCTTCCTCATTCACCGGAGCATCTGAATAAGGCTCATAGGCATCATTATGGCCATCCGAGTCATGCCTCGCAATGGCGCTAGCAAGCGTTTGAAAGATCTGGGTCGTGAGACGACGGAAGTAAGCTACCAGCGCGACTTCCAGAGGCTCTTGACTCTGGTCTTCAAGATGTAGGGAACGACGCTCATTCGGGTTCGAGGCGGGGTATGCAAAACTTTCTATGCTTGCCAGAAGTCGGGCGTCTTGTTCACTTTGATGTTCTTCCTCTTCTTTTGATAAACCGTCGCGGTTTTCGCCGGCGGAAGCCCACCACATGAAAGAGGTATAAGCTAGTCGAGTCCATGAAAGAGGCTCGACGATGGGACTGGATGAGTAGGTTGAGTCAGTGTCGGAGTCATCGGTGTTTGGAGACGTTGCTCGGTCGCTGGAGAACTGCCGAAGGCCTCTGCGCAGCATGGCATATCGGCGAGCATCTCGTTGTGTTGCTTTGAGTTGGACTGTTTGGTTTGAGTTGTGCTTTGTACTAGAGTGATCTATCAAGGCAATTTTTGGGAAGGCCTGCTCGGAGCCCTGTTGAGAGTATGGCGGGGGCAGGGTGACGAGTGCATCGTAGAGCTCAGGCTTCATGCTCAAGACGGTGTCTGTGGAGCAGGCGATCCAACTGGGATCCTTCTCGAGGTTTTGTGTTGATCTGTCCGAGTCATATGAGGCGAGATCAGGGATATCGTGAATGCCAACATTGAAGAGGGGACGCGGTCGCAACGGCGGGGTGAGATCTTCGGGAAGCACCTGTAACAGGGAGTTCGGTAGGGAAGCTAGCAATGAGAGATCATATACTAAAAATCCAATCAGTGGGGAGCTTCAGTCATTGTGAAGGATGGGACAATACCAAAATTGCATGGTTGTTGCACCGGTGCTTCAACCATGAAAAGGATGCGCTTCCGTAGCAACGCTGCTCTGCATAACGGGAATATCAAGGGACCGAAGCATTCGAGGAAGTCTGGGAGGGATGAAGCAGGATGAAACGGTGTCAAGGTTGGTCTGGGAGTCTGCAATACTATCGCATCGCTAAATGCGCGGTTGCGGTGTCCGTCTGGTCTGTCGCCTGGGCGAAATCGCAGGCTGATGGGTGATTCCAAGGGAGATTCTGAAGTAGCAACTTCGGGGCTTCCAATCTTGAAGGCGTCCCAGTATTCAGATAGCGCCTTTGTATCAGACAGATCTGCGGCATATTTCCTGTCGAGTAGCTTTGGTGTCAGTCGCAAGGTGAAGCGAATTGATGCCAGAGATTACAAACAGCGTCAGTTCACGTAGCCTCGGAGCATGTCTCCAGCTCTTCCCTAATCTTCCAGCACTCAAAGGGACCAGAACGCCAACCGCAAACATCTTCGCATTGCGCTCCGCCTCTGCGGCGGGCTGATTGACGAACGCGCTGACACCCGCGTACTGCTCATGGACGAAGTACCTAAACGAAGGGCATGAAAGTTAGGCTTCACTGTTGTATCGAGCTTTGCAGACCTATGACCACTCACACCAGGTCTTCCGTCACATTATGTAGTCCGGAGGGGAGCGACTTGTATTCCACCACACCTTCGACCTCAACTATAGCGACTCTCTGTCAGCGCCGCGTCTCGGAAGGAGACAGTTTGCGTTCGCACATACCTCCTGGGATAGCTTGTTTCCACGAAACCACATATCTGGCATCAAACGCGTGTCAGCGACCCACCGCTCCTGACCGCAAGCTCTAAGAGTAAGACTTACCCGGTCCTGATATCGAAGCGGATGACGAAGAGGGCCGCAATGCCTGGCGGCGACTCCATCGCGGGACAAATATCAAGAAGAACTTGGCTTCTGAGAGTGTCAGCAACGCATAGAAGGAGAAGTCATCGAGTTTCAAGATCGGGGGAGTCCGGCCACCTTAGGGGAGTTGACACCTAGTCACCTGACCTCGAGCGGGGTTTTGCAGCCAATCCTGGGGAGCAAGATAGATGTTTCAGATGAATGATTATTTAGAAGATTATATTCATGGATTGTTCAGGCTACTTTTCTGCTCAATTGAATGAGAATGCTAAAGTCTTAGGTTCCTGATGGTGGTGCGGCGAGCCTCCTTATCTATCCCGAGGTTAGCCATTATCGCGCAAGTAAGAACTTGACCAACACGAGTCAAAACAGTTTCCGCCTGCCTCCTGTGACAATCATCTGGAGATAGCGCTCATGAATAACACTTAACTCGCCATTTAGCAGAATACACAGGCAATAACGTATGAAATTAGTGCAAAGCCCTGACAGAACAATTGCAGAATCAGGACACCAAATGACGAGACGTAACCCAGGAGAAAGCTGGGGCAAGGGAAAAAATCTCGCGCTAGGTCATTGATTGAAAATCGGGATATGAGGTCCGGATAATCAATTTAGGTGCAGATTGTTTCCAGGGAAAGCTGCAGCTTCAACTAGCCCAAGGCATGCCGTTTTGAAGTTCTAATTGGCCCAACCTCTCCGATCCACTATGCGCTCAACGCGTACAAATGGCTGCGCAGGCATTCCCCCCACGGCCTCATCGATCTAACGCCAGATCGATCTGTCCTCGCAGACCTAGACTCGGAGGGGGACTGTGTTTCGCGGCACAAATAAGCTTTCTGACCCACTGGCAGCAATGGCATCACATCCCTACTATCCCCTGGAGGTCGATATCGTCGACTATTCGCCCAACCAAACCTCCGTACTCGAGCTACTGGTCTCGGCCGGAGGTGGTTGCGCGGCCCTGCTAGGTTTGACTTTCAGCTTGGCCAGTTACGTGCGACCGACTCTGCGTCTGGCCGATCGGCTCGCCATTCTATGGTTTGTGCTATGTATGAACAGACGTCCAAACATAATGAGATCGGGAATTAACGAAGGGAACAGCGGGAACACTGCACTGCTTCTTCGAGGGTTATTTTATGATTCATCATGAGCATATGGCATCGGCCCAAGATCTTTTCGGGCAGCTGTGGAAGGAATATGCACTATCCGACTCTCGGTATATGACCTCCGATACCCTGGTACTCTGCATGGAGACGATGACCGTGGTAAGGATATCCCGGGAATTCCGCAAAGGCCCGAAAGCTCGACCCGCTGACCCGTCACCAGCTGCTGTGGGGACCTTTATGTTTTGGCGTTGCATATCTGACCGCGACGAGACACTCCCTACGGCATCCGGTACAGTTGATGGTGTGCATGAGCCACCTCTACGGCGACACGCTATACTATGCCACCAGTCTCTTCGACCACTATGCGAACGGGGTGGCGTACTGCCGACCGGAAGGGTATTACTTCTGGTTGTATTATTTCTTCATGAATTTCATCTGGATTGTGGTCCCGGCATGTTGGTTGGCCCTTCTCCCCCATGCGAAACAAAGGTGGCTGACCCAGTGCATTAGATTATCTGCTCGACAGCATCAGGACCATTTCGGGCGCCATTAGGGCCCAGCAGGGGTCAGGCGAGAAGCACAAATGTCAGTAGCACCTCTTCCGTCATAGCCGCATGGGTGGGTGGATGTAGTGGGGAACGGTTAATCTACGGAGACTCGGGCCACCTTTGAAGGTGAGAGATCTGATGCACATGGCAAACAAAAGATGGAGGCCATAGTAGCTGGCGATTAATGTAGAAAGGATAAGCATATTTCCCGAGGAAAGGAAATCAATGTAAAATGAACGTGTGAAGCTAGAAAGCGAGCAAGCAGAAAAGTATACAGATATACGGTCAGCGTAAACAGCCTGTTTCGCACCACGCAGACGATGACGCTGCATGAGGGACCACTTCAGGCACCCAGGCCATTGTCCAGTATCCACTGATCAGACTCATGATTAAAAGCCGCCCATTCCCTGCGCACCCTTAGCATTGTGAAGAATGCCAAGAGCATCGAGCCCCTCGCAGTGGGCAAAAAGCCCATAAGCAGGGTAGAAGCAGCCGACCATATCACGCGTGGCAACTCGATCAGGCGGTTCGTCTGCAAGGGCCCAGAGTCCCAACTTCTACAGAGCGGTCGCAGACGCGCTGATCGCTTGGTCGGATCGGCGGTTTCCCGGGCAGCCAAAACGTGTGGGCGCCAGAGCGCATCGGTCTTATCGGGCGGTGTCAGCCGCACTATCGTCTTGTTTACATCCCCTCGATCAACTCTGGCACAGTCCGACTGGACAGCGAATGCTGTACGGCTATGAAATTTGACGATCTGTGATCGAAATTTAGATCAGCGGGCGCTGGTGAGTTTCCTCTGTGGCTTCGAGTATACCGTGCCAACAACCTCCCGAGAATTCCTCGACACGTACTGATCACGGTTCGATCTGCACAGTTACCCATGCCGACTCCTGTAACGCCAAATCGCCCCTCCAAAGCTGGAGGGACCACCAGATCTACTAAGCCCCTCGACATCGGCCAGCCATTAGGAGTCCACGATACAAACACTGTGCGCGCCCGAGTGCGGCAATGGCAGCAACAAGGCGGCGGAGTGATTACGATCGATGACGGTGTCTACGATGACGATGACGAAGAAAACAAACCGAAGAAGACCCCGAAACCCAAGCCCAAGATCGAAAACGTGAAGGCCGACAAGGTGGAGAAGCCAAAAGAGAAAGATACAGAAAAAGAAAAAGAAAAGAAAATCCCACAAACCAGGAAGCGCAGCCATAGCACTCCGCGCAAACGTGTCATTAGTGATGAGCACTGGCGGAGAAATCGATCCAATACTCAAACGTCTACCCGAAACCTCCCCGTGCCCAAACGAATAAACGAATACACGACCAATGAGGGGACAGGAACTCCGCGCGCAAAACGAGAAAATGATAAGGACGAGCTAGAAAGACCCAAGCGAGGCACACGACGAGATACAGTCGCTTCAAAATCCCCCACTCCCGAAGCAAAGCACCCGAGCCCGCGCAAGGCAGATATCGAGTCCGTGGCCGACAGCGACTTGGAGACCGACCTACCAAGATCCACAACATTGTCAGATATCCCGGAAGCGTCAAAGAGGGAATCACCACCGCCAGACGATGTGGAATGGGCGAAGAGCGAGGCCGACTTTACCGAGTTGTCGCGTCGGCGAGCTCGTGGCCAACCCTCCCGTGGCCACTCGAAAGTGCCGAAGGGGGAATCTTCGCGCAGATTGTGGACGAGTCCAGGAAGATGTTCAAATTACCAGAACCGGAGCCACCGAGGCCTACGCCTGTTCCGCCTGGACAACGCGGAGCCAAGATCGAGGCATGGCTGTCAGACACGCCCGACCCTTTCCTCGATAATGAGTCAAAAGATGACATGCCGGGTCCTCTAGACATCAGATCAGCGCGCGCACGGCGATCAAGGAGACTAGCAGATGATGAAAGCACGATACTTTCTCCATCTGAGCTGTCCTTAGAGAGTGAGTCTCGTCCGAAGAGCTCACATAGCCGTCATTCAAGAGACAAGGATAGTATCTCTGAGAAACGCAAGTCACTCGATCGCGACTCTACATCAGAAGTCAGACTGTCGAGCATCGGTAAAGCTCCGAGACCGTTGCCGCTCAGGATTCGGGAAGAAAAACTGCGCGACAAGCCATACGAAGAAAGCACTTTGAGCTTGGACTCGGACCTACAAACAGCCTCAGAAGGATCTGAAGTCTCTGGCAATAATGCACCTGTCCCGTTAGGCCGGAAGAAAGCATTCCCAAGCACCGGAGGTCATCGCTTGTCGACAATAGCTTCTGCCGAAACTTTGAGCACTCTTATTGAAGACTCATCCGTCTCTCAGAAAACATGCCAAGAAAAGACGCTAGAGGAGGCCGAAGAGGCAGCTGAGGAGAAGGACAATTTTGATCCCAATTCTCTGCCCGTAGTCTCTTCTCAGCTGAAACGACGCCTTACTACCCACAACGATCTCATGTCGGTTCTGTCAGTTCCTACCGGCCGAAGCAGAAGCATCCGATCTGCGCGAAGTATCCGCACAAACAAGAGCCGTTTGGCCAGTGCGACGGTCCCAGACATTATGGCCGAACTCTCTGCAGACGAAGCGAAGTATATGCGCGAGCTCAAGACCCTCGTGGGAGGTGTGATTCCGGTGCTGTTGACCTGTGTGTTGTCACGGTCCGACGCTGCAATTGCTGCTGGTTTGTTCCGACCCTCCATGGACCCGAAAGACGACATGAACTTCTCCAAACCCATTGTCAATATGGGAGTCGCAATTGAACGTTTGAAGACTCTGCATAAGCGTATCCCGCAAGACAACCCGGATGCGCTACTTACGTGGGCCCAAGGCGCGCAAAGAGTCTACCGCGAATATCTCAAAGCGTGGCGACTTGGATTCAAAGATGTTATTGTCAACCTTGCACCGCTAGAAGAAGGCGAGGAAGACAATGGTGACACAAAGAGTCTTGATGAGGGTATGGAGCGTGATGAGAATGGCGACGTGGTCGATGCCGACGGTGAGAAGGTGGATGTCGCTTATCTGCTAAAGCGACCTTTAGTGCGACTCAAGTATCTCGCCAAAAGCTTCAAAGGAATCAACATCCTGCAGCCGTCGCCCAAAGCAGAGGAGATAGCAAATGCCTACCAAGCGCTTGTGGTAGATGCACGGAAACGTACACGGGATGAACGAGCGAGGCTCGAGGACGAGTCCGCTGCAAGCGTTGACCCGACTCGCGCCAGAGATCCGATGACACTGGGGATACTTCAGAATGTCTCAGTTGATCAGACCCGCCATGTCCGGGCCCGCGACTTTTTCAATCTGTCTTTGTACCACTCTAGTGGCCAGTTGGTTGACTGTCGGGCGGAACTGTTATATCGAGACAACGCATCAAATGATGGCCCAGGAGGCGACTTGTTGATTTGTGAAATCGACCATTCGGATCGCTGGCTTCTTTTCCCCCAATGGATTTGCGCTGCGTCTCAGCCCGCACCGGCGAGACCAAAGGCGAGATTGTGATGATGCTGCGCAGCGCACCTGGCGAGGAGAAATATTGGCAGGAGTTGCTCTCTCTTCGTATTGATGAAGTTGAAATCGGCGCGGAATGGGTGCAGCTCTTGGGATCTGAACCTGTTCCCCCTGCGATCTTCAGAACTCAGAGCTTCATCAGTCGAGCTAAACAACATAAGGCTCGCAAATCTCCAGTCAACGACTCTCCGCCACGAACTAACCCCAGCGACGTTGACATCCCAATTGGCGAGAAGGCGGCGAGCAAACGGCGCTCTTTGACCCCGAAGGAGCAATACTCTGAGCCCAGTACTGTGAGCTCCGCTACCGACAACAGAAGTTCTTTGATTTCAACAGCCACTCGGGAAACCGACTACACCACGGGAGACTCTGAATTGTCGAACAAGCAAGCTCGTTCAGGTCTGGAGCTTCTGCCGTCAAGGGCAAGTCCCGAAAAGGCCTCTCATGGCCTGAAAAGGTCCAAGGCGCAGAGGCACTCCCGCTACGGTGACTATGGGGGAGAGTCTCGCTTCCGGTGATGCCTCTGCGCAGATTGCTCTTTCAGAAAGAGCGTTTGAGCCCATGCCGGCAACAGACTCCCCCACCCCAGGCAGGTTTTACGGCGGCGATGTGAAGAATGCCATCAAATCAGCCGACTCTATCAGGGAGAAGTCTCCTCCAAAGTCACCACCAAAGACACCTCGCACCCCCCGCAGAGAGCCTCCAGAGCCCGAGTCTCCTCGTGTGTCATCCGTACCGTCCGCATATCTCCCACAGATCCCCAAGATCCGGAGCACAAGCAGCCAAACCCATTTGTCGGCTCCGTCTAGTGGCGGAACCGAAGAGGAAGATGAAGATTACCCCCCGCTGGATTCTCTGCCTGAGCAACCACAGCCAGAGACACCCACTCGTTCAAGACGAAGAAAATCCCGGCGGAAGTCAAAGCACGATGATGCTCCTCCACCTCCACCGCCACCTCATCGCTCCCCAAGCTCGAAGCTTCCTTCTGTGCCTGTTCTTAGTCCTGCTGGTGTCAAGCTCAAGCGACGTGGCTCCTCTCCTTTGAAGCACGAATATGAGCCCTCTACGGCTTCAGACTCTTACTCAGACACCGATTCTGACGCATCGACAGTGCGCCATTACAGTTATTCTTCGTCGGATTACTCGAGGGATGACGACTCTGATTCAGATTATTCGTCGGAATCGGAACCGGAAGAAAAAGACCTTCCTCAGCCGAAGATCCGTGGGCCTGCTTCTACAGAGACAAGCTCTTTGTCTCCTTCCAACTCTGCCTCTCAAAGTGGCTATAGAACCGTGCCGCTGCAACCTGGCAAGTCAACCAAGGTCATTGCTTCCATCTTTGCTTGGTCTAGCAAGGGAAATTGGGAGACCCTGCTTCCTGACGAATGCAGTATCGCCGTTAGCCCCGGACTGATTGAAGCATTCAAAATGAATGCCGATCCCCATTCTACATCCCCGTCAAGATCATCGCGGCCTCTTATTTCAATGGAGCTTACACCACTTGTTCCTATCCGCCGGGGAACTGCTATTGACATCAGCATTCGCTCGCCTCCCACCGAGCGATCTCAAATCACTACTAGCAACAACATTATGTTCCGATCCCGCAACCCTGACGACTGTGACGCTCTTTACGCCCTTATCAACCACGCCCGAATCAACAATCCCACCTATATCGCTCTCCAGAACGCCCGCGGTCCCTTCAATGACCACGAAATACCCAACTACGACCCAGCACCTAAGTCTGGCGGAAGCTGGTTCGGCTTCCCCCGCCGCAGAAAGAGTTATCGCGCTTCCAGCTCTCCGCGCTCTCTCGCCGAAGGCTCCGAAAGCAGCGTTGGAACCATGAGCAGCGCTTTCTCTGCACTCAAACGCTTCGGTGGTGGCAGCAAGATGTTCAACATCTCCCGTTCTACCATTGAGTCCCGCAGCGGCCGCGAAGGCAGCATGTACTCCGGTGATGGCGACGCAGACTCAGCCTCTCCATCCGGCGGAATTGGCCGCATTGCAGCGGCCATCAAGGGCGCCGACGGCATTGGTCTATCAAACGCCAAGATCCGCGTCTACCTCCGCGAAAGTGCCTCCAAATGGCGCGACATGGGCGCTGCCCGTTTGACTATCATGCCCGCGCCTCCCAAAAACTTGCTGTCTCGTCCCGGTACCGCCTTTAGCGGCCGCAGCGACGGAAGCGGAACGCACGACGGAGCTAGCTCACCACCCAGCTCCGGCGCAGCCACACCGCGCACCACGGAGCCGGAGAAACGCATCATTATCCGCGGCAAGACCCGTAGCGAAGTCCTTCTAGACGTCTGTCTGCCTGAGAGCTCATTTGAACGCGTCGCACGTACTGGAATTGCCGTATCCGTGTATGAAGAGATCGAAGGCGGCACAATCGCCAAACAAGGCGGCGTCTCTCTCAACTCACAGCGTATCTATATGCTTCAGATGAAAAGTGAAGCTGAGACAGCGTACACATTCGGCCTTGTTGGAAAACTGCGGTATTAGCGCTACTCTTATCCTAGGTTTGAAATGGGAGCATCGGAGCTGGTGCATTAATCTTCGGCGGACTTTTTGTGTGCATGTGCAGGAGCATCTTTCTTTCCCTTTCTTCTTTTTTTTTTCCATTCTTCGATGTCCATCATATCATACTTACTCCTAGATATTGTCGGCCCGTTCATGGCTATTTCTTATGTACATTTAGATTTGCGGTCAAATGAATCGCTGATTCTTGCCGTATACCATACCCTTACCTTACTATAGTAGATAGTCCAATTCAAGAGCACTATGTTCTCATACATCATGTCGATTGTTTATAGTATGTTTCTTATCAAGGTCAGTCTTTATTTCTCTGGCATCTTAGTCTCGATCTCCGCGCCGCTCGTCTTCTTGAAGATGTACCCGATCCGATTAGATTCATCTTTGAGCAGGGAGACGAGAACATCGTCATCCACCGCTGCTGAGAGATCCTCGTTGGTTTCATCGCACAGAAGTGCTGGGTCGATGTGAGCGTACTGCGCCAAAGATTGATGCATCTTGTCCTTCTGTCCAGGCTTGCCTTTTCCATTCTTAGCATAACGCTGGCCACGATACGTTCCATGACGAATAGAACATTCCTGTTCTTCCATGTCCACTTCAGATGCTTTCAAAAGGCACGGATCCTCAGGGAGGGAATCACAGGATCCATCATCGCTTAACTCGTCGACATCTATTTCCTCTTTGGGCGTCGCCGCGCCCGAGGACGGCAAGGACGTGATGCCCCTTCCACCGCAGTCACATCCCACAAGATCATGCGTCTGACAAAGACTTTCCTGATCAAGTCGGAACAAGTCGCGTAATTCAGCGGTGGAAAACTGCGATACGCTGTCCTTATGCTCCATGACACTATCCGCCAAACCTAGCTTCGTCACCTGGCGCTGCCAGATTTTTCCTCCAGACTACCCTTGAGAATGACGCGGTAGATGCGACAGTGGTTTTTTTGTCCATCGCGATGGATACGCGCCATGGCTTGAATGTCCGTTGCGGGGTTCCAGTCTACGTCGAAAAGAACGAGACGACTGGCTCCGATCAGGTTAAGTCCTGTGCCACCTGCTTTGGCGGATAAAAGAAAAGCAAAGCACTTCTCGGCGGGCTGGCGGTTGAAGTCGTCGACGAGTGGTTGGCGTTTTTGAGCTGGAGTGCTTCCGTCGAGACGGAGGAACGGGAGACCGAGGGATGAAAGGAGGGTGGCGAGGAGGTTCAGAGTTGAAGTGTAGTTTGATACAAGGACGATTTTCTCTGATGTGTTGGAACGGATACTGTCAAGGAGTTGGTCGAGGACGCGGACTTTGGCGCTTGCTGAAGGAGAGAAGTGGCGCATGAGAGCTGGTGGTAGGGACGCTAGAAGAGCAGCGATGGTTTCACTGGGTGAATTGTCGTTGTTTTTAGCCGTTAGTAGAGACGGGCTGTTGCATAGTTTCTTCAGGATGGTGATCAGTTGGAGAGCACTCTCGGCATTTCCCATCGCTGTCTGGAATATAGGAGATGCCAGGACAGCTTGGTAGATATTTGCCTGGGCTGGCGTCGGTTTGCAGAAAAGTACATATTCTGACTTGGGTGGGAGGTATTTGGCCAGAACGTCTGCCGTTCTGCGGAGAATGAACTTAGATGTGAGTTCTCTGAGCTCCTCATTTCTGGATTCGCCTTTCTCGATATCCTTGCTAGTAGCTTCTGGTTGTCTACTGCGAACAATCGGTGTCTCAAACTCTTTGATGAAGGCCTTAAAGTTGCCGAGGATCCCAGGGTTGATGAGGTCGACGGCCGCGAAAAACTCTCTCAAATCGTTTTGGATAGGCGTGCCCGAAAGAATAACTCTTTTCGTAGCATTGAGATTCTGGATGGCTTGACCACTCTTATTCTGGAGCGTTTTGAGTCGGTGACCTTCATCGGCAATGATGATATCGACTCCTGCACCTCTTGCCAGACCCTCATGGACTGTCCTCAACTTCTCGTATCCCACAATCATAACACTGTAAGCCTTTCCTTTTGTAAAATCAGTCAGACGCCTGCGATTATCATCAAGGACAAAGACACCAATTCGCTCGTTTCCAAGCCACTTGCGAAACTCTTTTCGCCAGTTGTTGATGAGTGTCACGGGACAAACAATCAGTGCTTTCTTGATGACGGGGGCATTGCCGGCAATGGGGTTTTGTTTCAACAGCGTCCATAGCAACGCGATGGTCTGGAGTGTCTTTCCAAGACCCATATCGTCCGCCAGAATTGCTCCTTCGCCGTTGAAATCCCGCATGCCCATGACACATTCGTAGAGAAACTGGACACCATCGCGCTGATGTTGTCGTAGACTCTTTACCAACAGCGGGTCGACCACCACATCCACAATCTGCTTTCCCTCGGGGACAGTTCTCGGTCTCGGCATTACCAATGCCCCTGGCGCAGTGGGATCGTGTCGTGGAACGGCCTTGGTGGCATTCGATGACACTACCGTATTCTCGAGGAGAGGTGCCTTGTAAGCAGCGAAGGTCGGGGTGGTAGATGCTCTAGAAGTGTTGTCATCCTTCAAGGCCGATGAGTTGCGTTTCAAAGACGTAGTCGCATTAGAGGCAGCTGGCTTGGCAGCTGTCTTTCCCATGGCCATCCGCAGCGCAGCTAGAGACATATTGACCGGCGCTTTCGGCGACGTGGGCGCTTGTTTCTTTTCTTCCACTGGTGATCTCGTGGCTAGGTATTCCGCGCGGGGTATTTCAGAGTCGATCTCAACCTCTTTCCCGGAGATGTAAAGCATCTTCCCCTGCTCAAGCTCTTGCTGGTAAATTACCCGGCCCATCTCTTTGCCTCCGGCATCTCGTAAAGATAAGAGAGTGCCACGGGCAACAAGTATGGCATCTCCATCCCAAGTCTTGTTTTTCTTTGTCGTTGGTTTTCTCCTAGAGACACAGGTCCCATGTTAGAAACGATGCTATCCATGAGATCGGAATGATAGAGGTCTCGATCGGACATACCAGAGGGCATTGAAATAACGTTCGCCGGCGCCTGCTTTGGGGACAGCTTTCTTGGAGGGTTTCCCTGAAGTCTCTTTTCCGTTCCTGACTTGTACCAATGGCTTTCGGGAACTTAATGGTGGGGGAGGTCGCGTGTCTGCTGGTGTTGGCTCATCCTTCTCCAATCGGGGTTTTTTGGCTGGAGGATCGGAGTCTTCCGTTTTTCCCATTGATGTCTCGGGCTTCCTAATCGAAGGAGGCTTGAAGGGCTTGAAGACCATTGCGACCTGCAGTTGAGGGCTGCTGAACGTCGGGGCGCGACACGCGTGAGACGAGCGCGGTATCACGTGACTATCCGACCAATTAAACCTTCAAGACCAAATTCGGTGTTCCTAGACAATGTGACAATGAGATTACAGACAGAGTATCTAGCTTGCTTCAGGTGGATGTACAGTGTATTTCTATCTACTTTCAAGCTTCAGAACGAGTGAAGTTGAAAGGTAATTAAGTATGCATGCGAGAGGTATGTCCGGCACGATTAAGGTGATGGACACAAGGGGAATATCACGTCAAGGTACGCCAAAGAGAAATGCACATAAGTACATCTGATAGTCGTCGAAGATCATCAGCAAATGAAAAAGGTACATGGTGAAACAAAATGGTATATAAAAATCAACAGCCATCTCAATATTCATTTTTCGGTACTTCAAACAGTCATGCCCTTATCGCGCGTCATCCATCAGAGCCTTGTCGGTCAGAGGAATGTTCTTAGGCCCCTCATACGAGCCCTGGCGCACGAACCACCAAATGGTAACGAAGACGGTGAGACCACCGGTCAACAGGCTGGCGTAGTTCATGGACTGAGCATCAGTGGGCAGGGCGTAAGGGAAGCAGAAGATGACGACGAAGGCGAGGATATAGGTGCAGGCCAAAATGTTGATGACGTAGCCGATCTTGTTGTTCATGTAGAAGAAGCCAGGAACGAAGGAAGAGCGACGGGTGAGAACGTGGGGAAGATAGCCATGAAATAAGACAGACTAGACAGCTGAACGAAGCATCCGACAAAAGCGCTGAAGGCGGTGGTTGAGCCGAGATAGATGCAGGCCAGGATAGTGACAATACCACCGCACACTAGGGTAGCGTTGAAGGGGTTCTGGTATCTAGTGTTGATGTGGCCGAGCCAGCTAGGGAAGGGAGTGGCACGGTCGCGCGAAATGGTCCACAGAGTACGACCGGCAGTAATATAGCAGCCAGCGGCAGTGACCATAGTGGGCAGGAAAGCGACGATCAGGAGACCCAGGGCACCACCACGGGTTCCAGTGGCCTGATAATAGATCTCGGCAAGAGGGAAGTTGTAGGAGCTGTTGCTGATCGCCTCCTTGTCATGGATGGAGTAGAAGATAGCAATCATGTAGAAGATACCAGTCAAGAAACCAACACCCATCTGGGCCAGCACAGCCTTGGGAATGTTCCGGCTAGGCATAGGGATCTCTTCCGCCAAGTGAGAAGAGCAGTCAGGGGTACCAACAGAGTAGGCACCGTTCAACATACCCATGACGAAGACGAAGCCCTGCTGCTTGTAGCCAGTAAGGTTGGTCCATTCCTCCCAGACGAGGTGGTTAGAGGCATACCCGGCGCCAGTGACATGAGGCATCACTGCGCAGACGATGATGGTGATGAAGACACCGGCCAGAATTAAGAACATGCCGAGGTTACCAATCCAAGGCAGCCAGCGATTCATGAAGAGCACGATGGCGCAGCAAGTCCAGGTGCAGAGAAGGAAGGTGATGAAGGTGTTCCAGGTCTGCGCCGTGAAATCGGGGTGCATCAAGGCATACATGGAGACGAGCTGCTGAGCCATGATTAAAGACATGGAGGCGGCACCTAGAATCCATGCAAGGCAGTTCCACCAGCCGGCGAAGAAACCGCAAACACGACCATACTTGCCGGCAGTGATGGAAGCCCAGTGGTACACACCACTGGAGGAGGGCATACCAGATGCCAGTTCGGCGATAGAGGCGGCGACAAGCCAATAGCAGATAGACACAGCGATGCTGGAGGGAGAAAGTTAGACGTCATTTCGGTCGATGCCAGAGGCGGGAGTTCGGCATACAATTCATAAATACAACCTGCGAGACCACCGTTGCTCAATGCAGTCACGACACTACCACCCTGTGCAATCCAAGTGTTGCCGGTCGTAACAGCAACAGCACAAATACTGAGCAGACTGAAGTTGCGCTCGACCTCCTGTTTGTGACCAGAGGCGTTGACCAATTCACCATGATACTCCTCGGAGACCACCTCCTCGGTAGCCTGAGTCTTCTCGACAATGTCGGCCATACTGACGATTAATCCCCGTGGGTGTTTCCGGTCGATCAAGTCGGGATGACTTGGCGGGTCTCAAGGAAGGCCGTGAACAAGGGTCGTCTTCCTTGTGTGAGGGAAAAAGAGCGGCGGGAGAGCGACAGAATACAGAAAGGAGAGACAGGTTATATGATTATTCGGTGGAGTACAGGCGGGGAGTGGTGTACAAACTGGTGCGGGCCCCCGGCGTCCCGGGCGGAGTGCGACCACCTCACATTGAACCCATCAGAGGGCAACGATAGCAACTCAACCGTGAAATGCTTCTCCCAGCTCCACATCGACTGACCACTCTAATCGAATCCAGGGCGAGCTTGCAGCCAGTTAGCATCTTCAAATCCTAAGTGGGAGTGGCCACTCCAACTCCCGCCAACTCCAGTGGGGCTAGTGATGCTTGTCATTGGTGTCCTCAGGAGGCAAATGCGCCAAACGCCAACGAAAGCCTGACTAGACGCGGATTGTTGCGCTCTTGCGCTTTACCTAGAGGGGGAGCTTGAGCAGAAAGAATTTTCCCCTACATAAGCTATCTCTTGGCAACCCCCAGGTCCTTGCATGCCCATAGGAAAATGATCCGAGGCAAGAACGTGTGGAGTAACCCAACGCTTGATGTTCTGGGTCTCTGGCCTAGATCTCGATCTCATCTGTTCATGAGTATGTTGTGCATAGCTATGTGCGCCGTGGCCGAAGGGAGTGCGGAATGTATCACATTGTCAGGAAGACCTTCTAGAAGGTCTCCGGAGCCCTACAGCAAGCCACTGAGTTTTTCCACACCGGATGGTACTTCGGCACTTCCGACGCTCCTACGTGTACCGGCACAGAGGACCAAAAATACAAACGATGGCACCCCGTTGGGAAGCACCTAGTGAAGCTCCCTGCTGCACTAGTCATCATTAATCTATCCGAAGGGCGCTGCCTCCGTCTAGAAACGGCCCCCAAAAGTTACGGAGCACATACTAAGGAAGAAGAGCCCAGATCCACGCCACGTGTGAACTAAATGAGACAATGTGCCACTTGATGGTACTTTTGCACTATGCTTCCACAAAAGCCTTGGAGCTTCGGACATGGCCGCGCATCTCGGGCAGCGTAGCCTGAGATCTTTTGACTTCAATTCGACCTCCACACAAGCGTATTTCGGGCTCGGCCCACGAATCTACGGCCCCAATGGCTCTCACTTTGGGGCTCTCCATCAATGTGGTCTGTCCTCAGGTGGATGTGTGCATCTGTAGCATCCACTCCAAGTCACTGGAACAATGACAATTGTTTGATCAAGCTCTAGACGAAAGCTGATCTAGCCTTAGTGCGATCGGGGGAAGGGTGTGTGCGCGCTGGATCTAGACAGGCCTCCGAGACCGGGTCGGCCAATGTCGACTCTGGTTTCAGGTACATAGCGCGGTCACATCCGGGTAAGGAAACTAACAAAGCTAGTCATCCGCAGGAGATCCTCATTCGCCGGGCTTCCTTCAGTGCCAAGGTCGGTAAACTCTGGTGCTCATGCGCGTTAAGAAGGTCGAATCGATTCGTCTCATGATCGCCACCCACAAGTCGATTGTGCCTACACAGCACCATAGCCGCGATGTCGGTACCATACTAATGCAGGTTACAATGGCCACGCCGTGCTGATGGTGACTTCCGGGGGGGGGGGCTAACCTGGGGAGCCGTAGAAAGTAGGGATCTCCCCCAGTCTCCACCCGGCAAAATCCCTCAATCTGCACGGTCCGCCAACCAGAGGATGCAGATCGGGCCCACTTTGATCCCACTTGCTAAAGTCTATTAAAGAGTTCATGTTTGGATCGAGTGGACGGTCCCGCCTCGAGCTAACTAGACGATGAGTCCCTGCGAACGCTGTTTCCCGCTCCGATTCAACAATAGCGTGATGATCCCTGTCCACCTTAACCATTGCCCTAGGCTTCCGCGATTGAAATCCAGGTGCGAAACAGGAACAGCTTCGGAGGTCACTAGCCCACTTAGGAAGGCTCTTGTCTGAGCTCACGTGCTCACTTTCGCCTTTTCGGGCGGCCCTCAAATGATGGGAGTCGGGCGTACGGTTTTGACCGAAGTTAGCGCAAGCCTTATACATTAACCTCCTTCCATTTAGGAACAATTACATCGTCGCCAAGTTGGGGGCCTGAATCCTTTCAGAGTGATCGTGATTGAGGGTCCCGCGTAAAAGTCGCAGGAGAGGCAACTAGGCCTCAAGAGCAAAAAAGAATAATTCACTGCGTGTACTGTTCGTGTATGTGACCTCAAAGTAGAAAAGCCAGCCCGAACCGGAATCTCTTTGAGCCAATCTCGAGAGACGGACGAGCTGACGCCTGGTGGAGCTCATCGGCGAGCACTGCCAGGTACGATTTCATATCAATTTCCTTAAAATTCATTTCCAAGGTTCCCATCTCCTTTCAGTCCCATGGAACAGCCCACCTTCCTCCGAACCCCCACTATGGGCTATGGTTGGCTGTGGCTGTCACCGGCAGATCTATCTGTGCGCCTATGATAAGCCTTCGTCCTCCGATGCTCCTGCATCTCTCCCCAGTGTACTATCACACCTATCACATCGGCTCGGCGAACTCCCCGGTTGTTCCTCACCCCCCCCCCCCCTGTAGTCGCGATCGTCTTCGGCAGATGTGTGCCCGGGAAACTTTATACTAGTTCTCGGACTGCAACCGTCTTATAATGTTCGTGGCTGCACCTTCCGCGGCCCCTTCTTTGTTCCTCTTTGATCGCCCAGCTAATCTCTCCGTCGCATAGGTTGCACTCTTCGCATCCTGAAACAATGTCTGGACTAGGTGGTGATTTTGGTGTCCGCTTCGCCCACGAGACCTGGGCGCTTTACGCCGTTGGTCTCCTCGGCGGTATCCTTCGATTGTATGTATCTCTTGCTCTAGGTGCATGGGCCGCTCAAAACTGATTCAAGGCGCATGATAGTATCGCCCGTATTCGACGTTTGGGTATCCGCGGTCTCCAGCATGATGACTATATCATGATGTTCGGCCTCGTCTGGTACACCATTCTATGTGTCGCCCTCAACGAAGTAGCAACCGGCGGAGGCTCCAATCTGATGACCGATGAAGAGAAGCTTCATGTCACACCGACCATCCACGCGGAGCGGGAACGAGGCAGTAAATGGGTGTTCGTTTCGGAACATTCTTTTATTCTTTGCGTCTGGAGCTGCAAGGCTTGCATGCTGGTGATCTACGCTCGTATCACCGAGGGTCTGAAGCAGCGCAAATGGATCAATTGGATCGCTATCTACGTCGCGGTCGGCTTTGTCGCTACGGAGTTGTCGCTCTTCCTTATATGCCGCCCACTGAACCAATACTGGGCCGTCCCTCCAGACAATAGTAAGGAGGATACTTGCCAGTTGAACTTACTTCGATACTGACTTTCCCGCAGACCAATGCTCGACCTATCAATACTATGAGGTGGTTCAGGGATGTCTCTCCATCTCCGCCGATTTCTTCATGCTTCTCGTCGCCATTCCCATGCTGATGCAAGTCCGAGTACCACTGAAACAAAAGTTGATCTTGGTTCTTCTCTTCGGCATGGGCATTTTTCGTCATCGTTGCCGCCGTGCTCAACAAGGTGTACTGCCTAGTCCCCTCGCTGATTTCCTATGTCTACATGAATTGGTACTTCCGCGAAGCCACCGTCGCCGTCCTCGTCACCAATCTACCCCTGGTGTGGTCCCTACTGCGCGACGTCTTCCCTGCGCTCAAGAGTTGGACTGGAGGATCGAAGCGCGGTACCGATCGGTACAAGTCCGGACCTTGGACCAGCAAAGGCACCGGCTCCCGACCTTACGGACCTCCCAGTCAATTGCGGTCGGGTGACTTCGACATGCAGAACTTCCCAGGCAGCACGACCGTCACTCAGTCCAAGGGCGGCCCAGCTGTCTCAGATATCAGCCTCAACGCTAGCGAGGAGAGGGACATGAGCAGTGACGATGGATCAGCTCGTGCGCTACGAATCCGACAAGATATTACAGTGACCGTGCAACACGACAATCGGCCACCAGAGTATGAGACCAGCACGGCGCATGCCGTTTCGCGACACGAAGATGTTTGAATTCGGCCCTCGCTTTCCTTCCCTTCCAAAAGTGTCAAACCCTCATTTTCTTTACTCACGAATCTACGGAGTCCGAGTGGACCAGATACCCAGCATAATCATGTTTTTTCTTTTTTTTTTTCTCCTCCATCTCTTTTTCTTTTTCCCTGTACATATTCAGTCCGTGATAGACACGGAACTCCTTTCTGATTGGACATACGGGCGATAGACCGGTGGATTTCAGGATAGACATACACTCATACACTGTACCAATACAGAGAGCTACTTCAAAATCATCAAAACCAATCAGTGAACAAAGCCCAAAAGACAAGTCACAAATGGATCAAGTGCGAAGCGTGGCAAACCGTGGTTCAGCGGGGAATCCACTTGCCCCGCCGATCTCCCGTTTCCTTGCGTCAACTGTTGATCTTGCCTGAAATCGGGTTCAACCGATGTGAGTTGAGCTGAACTAAGCTGAGAAGTTTGCAAGTCCATATACTTTTCGCCATTGAATCCCTGCATCTTTTTCCCCCTTTTTCCTTCTCATTCTGACACAGAAATCTAGCCCCTAAATGGCCCCCACCGTGGCACCAAAATGCGTGGAAGCCTCCAGGATTTAGTGCCGAAGTCTGGAACGAACTATTCAAATACCATGCCCAGGCGTCATCACCCTCGCTTCCATCCGAAAGGCCAAGTCTCCGGAACAGGCTACATGATCTCAAGGCGATCTAAAACCAGATTATTAAAAGCTCCACATTGCCATCCATTGCGTGGCGGGTGCGGGCTCAGCCTGTCACGGTTTCACCGGGACCCACATCATCCCGCCATAGTCCCCTCTTTGGATCCGGGGGTCTCGCTTGATCTTTCTGTGGTTATGAATTGTCGGGGACGGGGAACATCCCACTCCAGAAATTAATTGACGGGAGATCCTTTGTGGAGAGTTAAGTGGCTTGAGCATCTATCACTCTCCATTACTCATTTTGAATGGTCATCGTGAGTCTTATATTACTTATTTGTATTTTTACTTTTTTTTTTTTATCCTTTGCCTAAGCGAGTGCAACAACTTTGATGCTCTCAGCATGGTGCAGCGCGGGTCGAGTATGGCGCCATCTCATTCGCCGAGGTTCAGTGCAACGTCTGAAGGAATGAAAAGTTTCTTCCAACGGGTCTCCCAGAAAAAGACATCTATTCTGCCCCGAAGAGAGTTTGCACTAAGTTTCGCCGTCCCACGTATTGTTCCATCAGGGCAAGGGAGCAGGATGAAATTCTCTGCATGACGCCAGCCATGCCGGCCCCAATGTTGGAGGTTGAGGACCTCGTCAGCCCAAGCCGAATACCCGTAGATTCAATCCGATATCGCTGGAATCATCATCGAATTCTCTCGGCAATTTCCACTCGGCTCCATAATGATCAACGCAGAAACAGACATCGGGCGGTGGACCTTAGGAGCCGAACAGGAGATAGCTCGGGAATAGTAAGTCGCAATTCGCCAAATTTAACTGAATAGATTAAGGGATTCAATTATGGAGACAATTCGCGATCAATTTCGTATTTCGAATTAACTCTTGTGTTCTTCGTGTGCGTGGACCTACCTCACAGCTGTCTTATAGAGTTTTTCACGCCTAAACCCCGATCCAGGTACAGGACTCGGATCGACAATGATGACTGGGAATAGTATAGCTTCGATCGTACGCTTCCTGGTGCTCGATGGGGTGTTCGGGGTCCACTGCAGGCCCGTGCCTGGCGCACTGTGCGGGCTTGTGTACTGTAGGCTTTGTGCGGAATGTGTTTCCGGGTACGAATTAGTGGCGTCCTACTGTAATCAGCCACTCTTCTATTATGATCGCCCGATTGAGAAATCACTGTATGTACGAGCCAGGCTCGGAGGAAATCCGCGGGCGGAGAGGGGACCGAGGGGTCTGATACTGAGACCGCCTTGCGTGGCTGGTTTGTACAGGGGTTTGCCGCGGGTATACGAATAAGAGTCGGGTTTTCCTTGAATCAGGGGGGTGCTCGGATCCAATTTGATTCTCAGAAAGGACAACCTTCGGATCTAGTGTAGCATGAAAGGTTTCAGTATACATAGCGAACAATAAGATAGTTCCAAGGTCTCAACCAGGACAAGGTGGTCGTCATCAAGATATCGTAGACGGGTTGGTTTGCACGTGACTCTGCGCGGCCACTGCACACGCTGAAGCTATTGGATCTATCTTGGCTCCAATCTTGGCCAGCCCCAGCACTCCGAAGTCAGTGCCATCGACAAAGCTTGGTAAAATACCACTCTACATTAGAATAACTTGGGCCAGAAATCACTCTGCACAAAAGACCTCGCCCCTTGGAAAGGTTATTTCCCGTGATCTCCATCATACACGGTACGTACAGTACGTCACCGCACCCTCTTTGCCCAGAGTTCGTGAACTCCGATGAACCGGATAAATGGATGAACAATCAGCCTGCAGGAATTGAAACCAGGGCTGCAATTCCACGTGGAAGAACCAACGCACCGGAGCCAGCGCTGATCATCTCCGCGAGGATCTCCAGCCATCCAGGAGCGCATTCGTGCCTCGTTTATCATCTGAAAACCGGGCAGGAGCGCGGATCAGTGTGATCGACGCACTGCAGACCTCTTTTAAGTCCTCAGGGGCTAACAGTTGCGCTCCGTGCACTTTTATTCGAATCGGTCGCTGTACCACTTTTAGGATCCGTCACAGATCCCGATGACGACTGACTCGTTACCCCGACGCTCGTTTTTGGGGCTGGAGGGTCAGCATGTTTTCATCACTGGCGCTGCTGGTGCCATTGGGGGCGAGGCGGTGCGCGAATTTCTCGGTAGGTGTCTCGATTTGTAGTTTTGTTTCCCCCATGTGATGCACGCTTCGTGTGATGCTGGTTCTTGAACTGAAAGGGTGATGCCGTCCAGTTGCCCTAGATATATCCTTGTACGGTCTGGGACTTGTAGGAGTGCCCGTCGGGCGTTGAACATAGATGAAGCTTCTGAGAATTTCAAGGGATTTGACCTGACCATCACTCAGATCACGGATGCCGTGTCACGGCCTATGACAGTCGCCCACTCCAGCTCTCTGGAATAGACGCCGAGCGGTTTTCAAGACTGCAGCTTTTGAGCGGAGATGTCGGTGATGAAGAGTCAATTCAGACCGGGTTTAAGAAGGCACAGGAACGATTCGGACCTGCGAATATTCTAGTGGTCAATTCCAGCCTCGAGGACAAGACCAACAAGTATCCCATCTGGGATCTGCCCCTGGACGAATGGGAAAAGAATTATAGAGTGAATGTCCGCGGCTCTTTTCTTGCCATCAAGCATTTCCTGCGATGTGTAAGCGAGTGTCCGCAGGCCACCGGCACTGAGCTGACCAGCCCGGCCATCGTTGTGACGGAGACGGAGACTGGCGCTGGCCTTGCTGCAGGAAAAGCTGGTCTACACTATGGTCTTCTCAACACCGTCCGAGACGAGATCAGGCAGCTTCATCCCGATGGCCGAATCAATGCTGTCACTCGCGGCCTCGTCAGCGAGACAGGAGAAAATGCGACCACTCCAGCAGATGTAGCTCGCACTATGGCTTTCCTAGCCTCGAAGCGTGCGGCTGGACACATTTCCGGACAATGCATCCGTGTTGAAGGCAACAACGATCTAACTACAGCCATGATCCAAGAATCGAAATCCCTGACTATCAAGGACTCCGTGCAGTCAATCCCCCCGGCTCTATCCAAATCAAAGCGTAACAAGATTCGCGTTGCGGTTTCAATTGACCTCGACGCTGTCTCGGGCTGGCTGGGAACAAGTATGCCTATCCCTTCGATCAACATACGATGAGAACTAACCATTGCTATAGACTCGCACCCTGACAATAACCTCGCAGACTACTCGGCTGGATTCTTCGCCGCCCGAGTGGGTGTCCCTCGACTCCTGCGCATGTTAAAGAAGCTTGATCTCGCCAACAAATGTACCTGGTTCATTCCAGGTCACTCAGCCGAGAGTTTCCCGGAGGAAGTCAAGCAGGTCGTCGCATCTGGCTGCGAAGTCGGACTGCACGGATATGCCCACGAGGGCGCCTATCAACTCACACCGGAGCAGGAGCGCGACGTGCTGGTGAAGTGCATCGAGATCGCGCAGAACCTCACCGGCAAGAAGCCAGTCGGATATAGGGCACCTTTATACCAGCTCCGAGAATCAACCCTTGATCTGCTGGAAGAGTTTGGCTTTGAATACGGTATGTCCAGTTTCCTTCCACACAAACACAGTACGCTTCTCACATGAACCAGATGCCTCCCTCACCGACCACGACTGTCACCCATTCTTCGCCCCAAAACGCCCGCCTCTTACCCCCATAGACTTCTCCAAACCCGCCTCATCCTGGATGCACCCTGTGAAAGAATCATCTTCCCCACCCGATCGTCGTCCTTTGGTTTGTGTCCCTTGTAACTACTACATGGAAGACATGACCCCCATGCAGTTCCTTCCTCATTGCGAAAACTCACAAGGGTACGTCGACACACGCATGATCGAGAATATGTGGCGGGATCGATTCCTGTGGATCCGAGACAACGAGGAGGAGCCTATCTTCCCTGTGTTGATGCATCCGGATACAAGTGGCATGGCGCATGTTATTGGGATGTTGGAGCGCATGTTACGGTGGTTGAAGGACTGGGAACGGGAGGGGGAGGTGGAGTTCTTGCAGACTGGGGAGATTGCGAGGTGGTGGAAGGGGAAGATGCTGAAGGATGGAAAGTTGCCCCGCAGCTAAAGCCTGGATGAGCGAGAATATCACGATTCGAGCCTTCCAACATGAGACGGATCGTCATCTTGATTGTTCCCTTCTAATCATAGATCAATTAGATTAGTACCTGTCAGTCTCCAGAACTTCACCTGTCTTCATGAGTGATAAGGAAGGCATGCGCGTGTTTTGAATCACCGAAGGGATGAAACAAGCAACAAGCATACCAGATATCTAGAGACAGCCGTTAAGATGACTGAGTACAGCTCTATGCATGAGGATATGATAGCTGATGCTCATTGGAGCCATGGGTGCATAGAACACACACAGTGGCCCCAATGAGGGGAGATCCACGACTAGTCCACAGAGCGATGCGTGGTGGCTGTCAATGCACCAACTGCGGCTCAGCAAATGCGGTAAGAGCTTGAGTCACGTCCTCTCATCTTCTAGACATAAGACGTGCAGTCTTATAATGACCACGAAGGGACATACTCACCGCCGTTTTTCACTGCCAGACTCGTCAGCTCTCCGACCATCGGGATCCGAGAGGATGTCGGTGCAGCCATGGGGCTATAGATGGCGCTCGTCACAGGTCTTTATCATATTTACCGCGACGCTAGGTCTCTTCTCGGAGACCTTCCTCTACGGGTTCCTCGTACCAATCCTAAGTTACATGCTCGAGGACCGTCTGCAACTGCCTTCGTCTCAGACACAATGGCTCACCACCGCCCTGCTCACATCTCATGGATTCGTCGCGATGGCATCGGCTCCGATCATAGCTCATTTCGCAGACAAGACATCCGATCGGAAAGTGCCTTTACTTCTAGCTCTGGCTGCTAGTGCAATTGGAACTCTATTGGTCGCCATTTGCTCGTCTCGTATGTACTGTCCCGACCCCCGTGTCAAACGCACATCTTTGAAACCAAAGCCAGTGTGGTTGCTCTTCCTTGGTCGCACTATCCAAGCGGCCGCTGGTTCAGCGGGCTGGATTGTAGGCTTCGCAACCTTGACCGATAATGTCCGACAGGAACACGTCGGTCGAGTCCTCGGCACGGCAATGTCATTCGTAACAGCCGGAGTGATAATGGGCCCAATGATTGCTGGCACACTGCTCCAGCTCCTGGGATACTGGCCGGCATGGTCTTCAGCGTTCATCCTTCTAGGCATGGACTTTGTTGCGAGACTGCTTATGATCGGGAAGAATGACACACAAAGCGAATCCTCAGACGCCTCGGGCGATGAATGTGAAACACTACTTCCTCGAAATAGCAACGATCCATCTGATCCGGAACAAGGAGACACGGAATTGACAAGCTCGGGGTTCTATTGTATTGTGCTCTGCAATATTCATATCATTGTGGCGCTACTCAATACGTTCATGTTCTCATTAATCCTATCTGGATTCGACGCCACATTGCCCCTTCATCTGCAACAAATATTCAACTGGGGCCCATTACCCATCGGTATGATATTCCTCGGGATCCAAGTCCCCGGCATGATACTAGGACCTGTAGTCGGATGGCTTCGTGACCGGCAAGGACTGCGCTACCCGACCACGATTGGATGGGTGCTTATTGCACCCTTACTTTGTCTACTAGGAATGCCAGGCACAGGAATCGACTGGCTAAACCATGGAGATAATGGCAAAATATTCTTCATCAGCGGAATCATTGCAATCGGTGCTGTCTCTCCGCTAGTTCGCGGAGCAGGAACATTCCAACTGATAGGTAAAGATCAAACATCCTCCTGCCTTGTGATCCGATTTTGACTCTCGAAAAGCTGTCACAAATGACCTCCAAGCAGAGAAGCCTAATTTTTATTCGGACCTCACGGGGGCAGCTCAAGAATCTTCTCCATCACCGAAATCTCTTTCAATCTAGGATCAATGCTTGGGCCTCTTTTCTCCGGCGGTTTCGTCGAAGCATTTGGTTTTTCTACGATGGTTTGCGCCTTGGGTAGGTTTCCGCATGTAAATCATTTGAAAACATGCTGATTTTTTCCAGCTATGCTCTGTCTCATTGTTGCTTTGTCTTGTTTCAGATTCCTGTCTCAAGAATGCCCCAAGCGGAGCTAGAATTAGAGTTTATCCAGAGGTTTCATGGGAAGGTGAAAGCGCGGTGAAGTTGATCCCCTTTCTTATGATGAACAGAGAGACTCTAAAGCTTAGATGCGCTCTTTTTGAAGCGCGTTTAGATAAATATGTTGGGGTTGAATTCAAAAGCCATCAACGCGGAAAAATAGTTGATTGATGCGTCCCCAAATCAAATTGTATTTACCTTGAACTGATTCTGATTACTATTTTCCAAGACCAGTCAATGACCCTGAAAGTCCTAGTAATCCAAGCTGCCGATTATTGCTGATTTGTTTGTGGACATCTTGCGTAAAAATCCAGACTTACGAGTTCTTACCAGGATAGTTAGAAACTTGTCAATGCCCATTCGGACAGGTTAAATGCCTGTGCCCGCGAACGTGCGATTTACTCAGCACATCATTGGTACTCCAATGGGTCGGACCCATGTACCTTTCAACATTAAAAATACTTCACCAAAAGGTTCACCAGCAGGCATATCGTCTAGCGCAAGGCGATTGATGGAAATAGCTCAGCGGCGGATCGAAGTGAAAAGTCTCACAGGCCACAGTCATAGGAATGGGTAGAGGTTAATTTTGTCAGCACATTGCGAGAGGAAAGTATACTCTATGACGACTTTGGACGGTCGTGGTCTTGAAAGCAACATGCTCACTGCGAGACACGCGAGTAAAACACCCGGGTTGGCTCGATGAAAATGAAGATATATCGTCCGAAACTACTGTACCATACAATATTTACAGTGGAGGAATCTACGTAGAGCGCAGCAATTAACAAGAAGGAAGTTGGGATGATTCGAGGGGTCGCTCTCGAGGGACTTTTACGTGTCCATGTGGATCAAGGTTAGCGCTACGGGACATATTGATGAGCTGCAGGAGTTCATGTTCAACTATCATATTTGCGATGACAAGAGACTGTACTATCTGTGTGAACATGAGAATTAAACCTCTTTTAAGGGTTAAGAACAATGAAAAAGACCTTGACGGTCAAATGAGTTATGTAAAGATCATCGTCACCAACGCCATGCCAACTGTGCAAAAACAAGATCAAATCAACTTCGTAAGAATCGTGGATCAAATGTGCGATGCGTTCAGAAATGGAAAACGAGCTTTTGATGATACTGGATATCCAGCATCTTACTCTTCGTAAAGATCCATGTCACCACTGCCATCTTCCAACTCAGCGAGGGCATCATCAGAGTCAACCATGTCCTCATCTCCATCTTCATCGCTGCTATCGCCGTTCTCATGGTTGGGGAGGACCTCAATGCGACCATCCATCATGACCACACGAGCAGTCTCGCCATCCTTGATACTGCCGCGAAGAATGAGAACAGCCAGGCGGTTGAGAACCTCGCGCTCAATGATGCGACCCAAAGGACGAGCACCATAGGCAGGTGAGTATCCAGCAGCACCGAGATAGTCCTTGACTTCTTCGGAGCATTCAATGACGACGTTGCGCTCGTTTGACTCGAGACGTTTCTGGACCTCGGCGAGACGGAGGTCGACGATCTTCCGGATCTCTTTCTTGGTGAGACGGTTGAAGATAACGGTGCTGGAGATACGGTTGAGGAATTCAGGCAGGAAATAATCGCGAAGCGCGCCCATGACCAGCTCACGGGTCTGGGGCTCAATGCGTCCGTCCTTGGTCGTGGGGCGGGCGAGGAACTCGGCACCCAGGTTGGAAGTCATGACGACGATGCAGTTCTTGGCATCGACAATACGTCCTTGGCCGTCAGTGATGCGACCATCGTCCATGAGTTGCAGAAGGACGGTCAGGACTTCCTTGGCAGCCTTCTCGACTTCGTCGAAGAGCAAGATCGAGAAGGGGCGGCGGCGGAGGTTCTCAGTCAGCTGACCACCGGCGTCGTGGCCGACGTAACCAGGAGGAGCACCGATCATACGGCTCAGAGAGTGTCGTTCCTGATACTCGGACATGTCGAAACGAATCATGGCCTTCGGGTCGTCGAACAAGAATTCGGCCAGGGCCTTTGTGAGAAGGGTTTTACCTGTACCGGAGGGACCGCAGAAGAGGAAGCTGGGGGGCGAGTTGGGGTTGCTGAGACCAGAGCGTTGCAGTCGGATGGCGTTGGAGACGGAGGTGACGGCTTCCTTCTGGCCAATAACAATCTTACTCAAGTACTTCTCCATGTGGAGCAACTTGTCTTTCTCAGTAGTCTTGAGGCGAGTGACAGGGATACCGGTCCAGCGGGCAACGATCTCGTTGATCTGTTCTGGGCCGACGGCGTCTGCCAGCAAGGCCTCGCCGCCCTCGGATTGATTGGCGCGACGCTCGGCGTCAGCCTTAGCTCGGTCAGCCTCAAGACGTTCGATGAGAGCCTTGGTCTCGGGAATGGCGTAATATTCGATATCAGCAGCAGTCTGGGTGTCGCCCATGCGCTCAGCCTCATCGCGCTTCACCTTGAGGGAGTCAAGTTTGATCTTGGCGTCTTGAACTTCCTTGCTGCGCTGCTTCTCGCTCTCGTACTTCTCGCGCATCGGTCGAAGCTCCTCTGCGACATTGGCAGCCTCTTGTTTGGCGACCTCAAGACGAGCCTTGGAAGCATCATCTTGCTCACGCTCCAGGGCGTGAATCTCGATCTGGAGCTGTCGCAACCTTCGCTCGAGGGTGTCAAGAGCTTCAGGCTCGGACTCGCGTGTGACTCGAACAGCGGCAGCAGCTTCGTCAATCAAATCGACAGCCGAGTCAGGCAGACGGCGAGCTGTCAAGAAACGAGATGCAAGATTGGCCGCAGAGACAATGGCACCATCGAGGATGTTGACACCGTGGTGGACCTCATACTTCTCCTTCAGACCACGGAGAATGGAGATGGTCTCTGGAACAGTGGGCTCTTTGACTAGGACCTGCTGGAAGCGTCGCTCGAAGGCCTGGTCCTTTTCGATGTACTTGCGGTACTCGCCGAGGGTGGTGGCGCCAATGCAGTGCAGCTGACCTCGAGCAAGCATAGGCTTAAGGAGGTTCGCAGCGTCCATGCCTCCTTCGCCGCTAGATCCAGCTCCCATGAGAAGGTGAATTTCATCGACGAACAAGACGATGGTGTCTTTGGAGTCCTCAATCTCCTTCAGAACACCCTTCATGCGCTCCTCAAACTCACCGCGATACTTGCTGCCAGCAACAAGAGAACCGACGTCGAGTGAAAGGAGACGGCACTGAGCCAGGTTGGCGGGGATGTCGGCATTGACGATACGGCGGGCCAAACCCTCGACGATTGTGGTCTTTCCAACACCAGGCTCACCGATGAGGACGGGGTTGTTTTTGGTGCGTCGACTAAGAATGCGAATTACGCGACGGATCTCCTCTTCTCGTCCAATGACAGGATCGATCTTGCCCTCACGTGCCAGAGAAGTCATGTCGATGGTGAACTTCTTCAGGTTTTCGTTTTCACTTTCGGCATCAGCCGTCTTGGAGTCCACGCGGCGTGTTCCGCGAATCTGCTGAACGGCGGAGTCGATAAGGTTGACCTTGGGGATATTGGAATCACCCAGGGCGCGCTGGACTTGAGAGTCCTGGCACACAGCCTGGATCAGATGATCGATAGCTACATAGCTATCTTTTTGTGTTTTCGACAGATCAGTAGCTTGTCGGATGACCTTGGCAAGCGCCGGAGAGACACTGACGGTCTCTGGTGGGGGGGTCTTGACTGGGCAGCCGGACCAAGAGTTTCATCAGTGCCCGATCGAGCAATTGTGGGTCACCATGGGCTCTCTCGATGACCTGGCGGAAGAGGGGTGTAGACGCTGAATCATGTGAGGCGTGGCCAACGGGCTGGCGGTCTTCATTTTCGTCCGCTGACGGGGTGAGGAGGGCAACTGCGAGGTGAAGGGGAAGAATTTGTGAGTGGGCGTATTGCTCGGCCAGACTGTTAGAGTCCAGTAAGGCCTTGTTGGCCCGGTCAGTGAATTGAGCGCCGCTCATGTTGAACGGAAGAGTATGTAGGAGCTTGCAGTGGTGTGGGTAGTGGTTCGAGGTGGAAAGTAATAAGTCGAGGTTGAAGGTTGTCGAGATTGAAGATTATATAGTGTGGAATGTAAATCTGAGTAGGTGAATCATGCATGCAAGTCAATGATGCAAGTTCATATACTTGGGCCACCCCTCAGGTTGAAACAGCTGTCACTCTCAAGACGTTACTCGCAGCCTCCACCGCCTTCCAGAAGCTGCTCGAAGGATCAGGAGACGTCAAGTGACTTGGAGAGGCTTCTCCATCACATGAAAATCATGTGACCAAGATCACATGTCTGCCCCCCCCCCCCCCCCCCCCTGTGTGCACACACTCGCTGCCTCAGGCTACAAGAAGCGTTTTACTATTCCAAAGAAAACTCAGCCCGTTGTGAAACACAGGATTGGCGGAATCCTGGCTTGCGCGTGTTCCTGGCAGCGGAGAAAATAGGAGTAGGGAGGAGCCGACTCCGCCCGGGACAGGCAATCTGCAAGGGATCTAGACCCTAAGTGCCTTGATTTTTGGCCATCCCGCAGAGTGCCACCTACGCCAGGGTAACTCTACATTTAATCCCAGTCCCTTTTCCCCCCAATTCATCCGTTTCCCCGTAGCCCGTTCCCTGACCTTGTTTATTTCAACCCCCATCACTGTATGAGCGACATCCCACGATAAGCGAGCGAAAAAGCGCCCCGCCGTGTTGTGACGTCAACCACGCAACCACTGCATACAAGTCTGACTTTGGAACAGACTCGGGATCAGACCTTCAACCTATTCGGCCGATGAATCAAAAATGTCTCTATTCCCGTGCGGATCTCTCCCCCCCCTCCCCCTCCCTCTCCCTAAGGTTTTACCTGTACACCGGAAATCACCCTTTCACCAGCAGATCGTGGAACGGCGGAGAAGCTAGATGGTGGCTAAGAAAGATGGTGGACACCGGTTCCAAAGAGGCGCACCCAGACACGAAGATCGATCCATCCGGCTGCCCACCAGCGATCCCACGATTGGAGCATGGGCTTCCCATGCGTAGCCCAGGAGGCCCATCTTGTTCACCTGCAAAAAAATAGAAGCGGAACCTTGAAAGGTTCGGCGGGGCGAGCGGAGATGAGGGGCAAATGTTGTGTCTTCTCTGATTGCTGCGTAGAAACCCTTCCCCCCTCCTTCCACGCCTTAGTCTGCGTAGTATTGGCCTGGTGAAACTCCCTCGAGGCATTATGTGCAGGCTACTACGCTTCATGCGTGCAACGGCCGGCCCTGATAGGCCGTAGATCCCCATCTAGAACCCGTCTGGAGGGGACTGAGCAACAGGGACGAATGGAGTCGAGTTGGAACACTCCCAACAGAGCCATGGCATGATAGGACAACAGTCTAATCGGGTTATCCACGGTCGTCGCAGCGCCAACTTTGGTTGAACAGGAATCGCCCGAGGCTCTCAGCTCTTACAGGAAAAAAAGACCCGGTTAGTGGTCGATGTCATCCTTATAAATGGCCGTCGCCCTTGCATCCACTTCAACCATTCTCACGCCATCGTGCCTCCCAGTAAACTCATCTACTCGCCCTCGTATTTGCTGAAGTCGGCACTGGGCTTGTCTGACCCCTCAGACCCCAGCAGTCGATCAACTTGCTTCTAATTCGCCGAGTCCGAACCGGATTGCCATCATCTCGTTCTTCATTACTCGGAATCTTCACGAGTCTAACATTGCCTGTCTTCTCGCGCGTGGCGTGTAAGGAACCAAATTCTAAATCCATCATGTCGAACAAGCCTATCTTTGTGGCGACGCATCCGCGTGCCTGCTCTACGGCCTTTGAGCGAGTATGTAGAGCAACAACGCCGTTCATTTTGGCTTCTAGACCTACGCTGACAAACATTCTAGGTCTTCATGACCCAGCGAGATACCATTCAGTGTATCCACGAACCATTCGGTGACGCTTTCTACTACGGTCCGGAGCGTCTGTCCGACCGCTTTGCAGACGACGAGCAGGCTCGTATCGACAGCGGATTCAGCCAGTCAACGTATCTCACAGTGTTGGAGAGAATTGAACGTGAAGCTTCAGAGGTCCGACCCTTTTCCTGCGACGCCCTTTGATATTGTTTTTTTTTTTTTGTCTTGCCGTTCAACCCCTCCCCCATGTCTCCGAGAGGATTGACACGGGGACATCCCTGATCTACTCCTGGCATGTTCAGCATGCCCAGCAAATCCACCCCTTTCTCCCATCTTTCTGATTTAAAGCACAAGTCGGATGGAAAGGTCTCGAGCCTTGACTTCACCAACAAATTCAATGTTGAGTTTTCACCGGGGGATACTTACCGTATTGCAGGGAAAGAGAGTCTTCATCAAAGATATCGACCACTACCTGCTCCCGCCGAATGGCAAGCCCGCCAGCGTTGCTCCCTCGTTGCGACGTATCAAGCGCGGTGTGGGCACCAACGAGAATGAGCACCAGGTCAATGGTGTGAACGGTGCCAGCAATGGTTCTGCTCACGCCAATGGCCATGACGCGACCAACGGTGTCAATGGCACCAACGGCGCGATGAACGGCTCTGCCAATGGTGTCAACGGCCACACCAACGGCACCGCCAACGGGAATGCTGTGAACGGCACCAATGGTGTCCACAAGCCATATCCGTATGATACGCCCGCTGAGCCGGGCAACCCGACGGTGATGCCTCGTGAGATCCAGGAACAATTCCACTTCGCGTTCCTGATCCGCGATCCTCACTTCAGTGTGCCATCGTATTACCGATGCACAATCCCACCCTTGGACAAAGTCACAGGGTTTTACAACTATGACCCCTCCGAGGCTGGGTATGACGAGCTGCGTCGGCACTTCGACTACCTCCGTCGCGAAGGACTTGTCGGACCCCGTGTGGCGAATCGACCCGACCTGAACTTGGACGAGGAGTGCAAGACCAAGGAGACCGTACATGAGATCTGTGTCATTGACGCAGACGACATGCTGGATAACCCGGCGCCGACGATTGAGGCGTTCTGCCGCAGCGTCGGTCTGCCTTATAGTCCTGACCTGCTGGTGTGGGACACCCCAGAGGATTATGACTATGCCTGTTTCTGTTTCGAGAAGTGGCGCGGGTTCCACAACGATGCGATCGAATCCTCGGGCCTGGTAGCAAGAGAGCACGTAAGCATATTCCCTTGTACGGGATAAACTTCGAAGCCCCAGCTAATGATCTCCACAGAAAAAGCCCTTCAAGACCGAGGAGGAGTATGACGCCGAGTGGACGAAAAAGTACGGCCCTAAGGGCGCTGCTCTCATCCGTCAGGCCGTCGACGCCAACATGGCCGACTACCTTTACCTGAAGCAATTCGCCGTGAAGGTCTAATAGACAGGTAGGCAGTGAAACTCTTGTCAAGCACATGAACCAGAAGAAATAGCTGGCCCGGACAAGAGCATGGAGCTGTGGGTATGTGGAGGGACCCAGGAAATAAGAGGAAACCAAAAAAACAAAAAACCCGGGGAGGGGAACAAGCAACATATCTATCCCCAGACCCAACAGCAATCTCACGAACCGAGCGCCCCCCCCCTTTGTTTTGACTTGCGACGACGCCTTAGTATGAGAAATATTTAGTCCCGATGACGCGATCTCCCGAGTCTTCCCACCTGTCGTTGCAAAGGAGACTTTGTGCGACCTGGGATCTCTGCAGAGGTTGGTCGATGCCTTGACGATCTTGCATTGTATTTCATTTGTTCTTCACTTTTGCTACACCGACTCGTTGCTGTTTGTGACTTTTTGCGTGGTCTGATCTGCAATTTGCGTGTTGGGAGACTGAATTGCTTTGTGTTTGCGTACCGTAACGCGGTTTTTCTACGGCTCGTAGTCGGTAGGCCTTAGTGTTAAAGGAGTGGTGTAAGTACGTAGCTGTAGCCTTGGGGCTATCCCCATGTCCTGGTGTGCCTTCGATGAGGCCACGTTGGGATGAGTAATGCACATCAAGCTGGTCGCCCCTAATTGACATACAACTTTCCAGAGATACCTAGCGAATCTACAAGCAATTCCTGCGAAGGGTTGTTAATCCATTTCACACCTCACACCCTTCATTCACATTGTCTGCTCTATTAGAGACTCCCTTCCTCGTTCGGGTCTATCCCACAGATTCTTCCCAAGTGAACAACCCCCCCAAGCCCATGGGCTGCTAATTCTACAAATTGATCCTGATCCCGGGCCCTACATATTGAACCAGTTCTAGCTGAGATAACAAAACATTTACTTCACATTGACATCCATACATGAGCCAGCTCGAAAGCCTATATTCCAAGCTCAATATCTAGCGCCATATCACTAAGGATTGAAATCCCCATCCCCGCAAATAAATTACAGACCCGGTGTGGCTGCCGAAGAACGAGATGAAGGAAATTTGCGGACGAATTCCGAAGACACGGGAGCCAAAATGCTTGGAGTCCCTAGACAGCACTGTATCCACCCCGCGAGCCAGATCCTTGCAAAGTGTTGAGCACTCGCTTAACCCAGTCCTGGAAGATATACGGAATGTCGCGCAGGATGTCACCGTGCGGGAGAAGGTCCCAGCCGCGGGCGCCATAGCGATTGTAGTTCAACCACGAGCCAAAGATGAGGTATGTGGCGATGGCGAGGAAGAGACTAGCAGGGAAAATGTAAGTCACAAGTGTGAACACACTGGAGAAAAGAGAGACTTACATGATGATCATCCAAGTGAAAAAGCCCCAGTGAGTGGAGCCGTTCTTCCCACGCTGGTATTCATCGCAGGCGAACCGCGTCTTCCAGTCCAACTTGAGCAAATACTTATCATTCTCCGTGAGACCGAAGCTCTTGAATTCAAGACTGCGACCCCGAGTAGAGTCACTCTCGTCTCGGCGTTCCATCGAATCGTCTCGAGCGCTGAGACCCTCCAGTCCAGATCGGTCAGGGTCGCACTGGAAATCGATCTGGGCGCTCGCATCCTTGGGCTTCGCGTCGTTGTGGTCGCCTCTATATTCACCGCCACCCAACTCGACACGGACGCCCTGCAAATTCTCATCGATGGTGTTCAATCGGGTGAATTTGGGATCCTTGGTTCCCGCACCGGCATGGTCGAGGCCAACGATCGGGAAGCCGAATTGAATGCCGCCATTGCCGTCCTTGGGCTTTTCGTCTACAAAGCCACAGACTGATAGTCCCACGTTAGCTATCAGATCCCAATGCTCGCCGTGTCCGGATGTGGTTCGGCCCCGGAGTCTGACATACTGTTCTTAGAAGTGCCGCACTTCCCCTCCGGGCGGTTCGCAGCCTTGTTCAAAATGTTGCAGATGTTGATTACATAGGTCGTATTCGTCGTCCATGATTCCGTCTCATTGACGTGGTACAGCTCGTGGACACCGCCTAGGGAGCTGAAATCATACTTGTAGCCATCAACGTTCAGGTGCGCGCAGTCAAATCCGGTTGCGGCCGCAAGGCCCGAGAAAAGTGTAGAGATGAGCAGTGAAGCTCCTTGTAATTGTAACCGCATGGCGGGAGAGTGACCGGTGTATCGGAAGGGGTGAAGGTTGGGTGTCGATGGGAAACGTGGTCGGGTCGGACTGCGGCGCGAAGCTCGCAAGCTCGGAGACGGAGGTCACGAGAGCAAAAGATTTGAAGAATCAAACGATGTGATCGGTGAGGAAATGGCTGGAGCTGATATAGCTGGTGTAGCTGGTGTTTGGGTGGAAGTGGTTTGGCGTGAATGACGATGACTAGGGTGACTTTGGTGACTTGCGGAGTCTTTCGTTTCTCCGACGCGGCTTGCGACTGGGTTCCGGCGGGCAGCGCCAAATGAAGCCGCGAACAACGAGAGCTATACAGATGTTACCTAGGAATCAGACGCTGTCCGGTACGAATTCCGGAGCTTCAAACTTTTCTCGGCTTCAGTGTCAGACCTTTTTTCCAGACGTGTACCGCCAGCTTGAGGATGATGTCACCCGATCCTAACATTGGCGTTGTGCCCCCAAACTGGCTCTAGCTGCTTTGGGGCAATTTTTCATACTATTTCTACATATGGAACAAGAGCTTTTCGGAAGGTGGAAATCATTCTCAAGGATCTCTTGCAGGGCCTTCTACATGGCATGCATTACTTGGTCTTCAATCGTGGCTTGTAAAGTGGTTGTCAGTAAGCAGGGTAAGGAAATATCTCGTCAAAAGTCCGTAAAGAGCATTCTCTTGGTTTCTATCAAGCTATTGAATCATGCCGGTATCGACATAGTTCATATTAAGGTCTTGAAGTACAGTAAATCCATGTGAAGAAAAGCCGGAGATCGCAGCCCACCAAAACCGCTTGCGCACGGACCATCTACCTCAAATCAGCAAATCCGCAAAGCAACATCTGTCGAGAGGCTCACCTCTATTCATCAATTCAGTCCTTACCCATCCGTCAACATGATGAACGCACGCATGGTAAGTCTGGCTCCGGACTGACCAGGGGAGACTGGACAAGCCTGCGTCCATCCCACCAGGCAAGATATCAAAAAGAGGGGAACAACACTGACACATGTGCAGCTCTCCAAAGATGACGAGGGGATGGGAGGCAGCGAGGAGAATGAGGTCCGCCGTGAGGACCAGGAGAAGATTAACCGCTTTAGTCGGTTGCATCAGCGCGAGAACGTGCTAGAGGAGCAATTGAAGGCCAAGCAGGTAAGTTCCCCCCCACGGCGGCATTGAGGATTATCATCCATGTCGACGTTCAGAACTGACAATATCTATAGAAGGATAAGGAGGACCTCGAAGAAGTTTCTATGGAGCTTGAACTTGCCGATGAAGATGAGCTCGTTCCGTAAGTCTCTTTTCCAACACCGATCAATCACACGCTCATCTATCAACAGCTACAAGATCGGTGACTCCTTCTTTCAGCTCCCGCTCGCAGATGCTCAGGCCATGCTCTCTGCCTCCACAGAGCAGATTGATCAAGATGTGTCGAAGCTGGAGGAGTCGATTGGCGAGCTGCGCGACGAGTTGCAGCAGCTCAAGGTTTCCCTGTATGCGCGATTCGGACGAAGCATCAACCTGGAGACCTAATTGATGTCCGTGGCCTCGCTTTGCTCTCAAAATCATTATGAAATCGATCAAGAACGTGGTATGATTGGGGAAGTCTATGAATGAAATGCCCGGATAGACCTGAGCCCACCAAAATAATCAATCAAGAACCTTCTCAAAGGATTGTCAATGTCCCTATTATTGGACTTCAGGAGGTGAAAATAAAGTAAACAGAAATTTAAAAACCCCCACATTGACCTTTCCTTGAACATTGCGGCCCTGTGGGACATTCCAAATATTCCCCGAGGCTCAAATTTATTTCTATGCGCAACCTCATGATATTGGGATTTCCTCGTACGATAATCATGTCAACTGACCAAGGACGGAATAGCTGAAGGAGCCATACATGCTGGCACTACTTGACGTACACAGACCATATCAGACTTCAAATTGGAAAAGCCACAGCTCAGTTCATTCAAGTCAATAAACAAGGAAAGAGGTATCTAAGAGGATCAGAGAAAAGAAAACAAGAAATGTAAGACATCAATGGATGTCATCATCGGAAACACGCTGTGACAGGTATGTAGGGAAAGGAAAGCATTCAAGACGAGACATCAAAATCACGCCGATTCTCCAGTGCAGTGCGGTCCATTCATATATACCAAAAACGCAGAGGTTCGCATTTCGGCCGGGCCAGAATGCAAGTACAAAAGTGCAAATTGCAGACCGTGACTTTCTCGTTCTTAACGTCATTGGAAAAGAGAATGTATGTACGGCGAAGCCTGCATGTCTCATCTCTTCGTAGTTGGTTGCTTTTTTTTTCGTTGCTTTTGAACAAGGTTCACATTCGAGAATCTCGTTCATCGGAACTTCGCCCGGCAGCGACCCATGATCTCATTCTGGCAGACTAGTTCAGCGCTGAATTCACTGCCGTCGAGGGTGAGGTAGATGTCAAAGTAAACGCGGTAGAAGACACCCTGCGGTGTGTCCATGCGCTCGAAGTCGGTCTCGAGGTTCTTGCGAGAGAGATCTGAAGTGAGGGTGACGACTTCCTTGATGCGTGGATCTTTCGTGTATTCAGGGCACACATCTTCGTCACAGGCATATAACACGTCCTCGTACATGAGGGTAGCGCCGGGGGCCACTTGGCGGAAGAAGCTGACTTTGACAGGCTCGCCGATCTTCACACGCTCGCCCTTCTGGACGAAAATCTGGCGTGTGTACTTGCAGCGGTCTCGACCGTCAAGACTGGGTACTCGGTATTGTTCGGGGTGGTATCCCTCCTTGAATGGCTGCAGAGTGGCCATCAAATAGTGTCGACGGGCGACACGGTGAGTAATGACCCGCTCGGTGATACCTGCTGTGACTGCACCCTTAACAATGGCGGCGACAGAGTCCATGGGACGGACGACCTTGGTTTGATATTGGGGAGGGACGTGGAGCTTGATCTGTTGGAAGAGATACTCTGAGGCACCGAAACCACCGACGACCAGAACGTTCTAGCATGGATGTTAGCGTCACTTCGAACAAGCTAAAAGAGCGATCTTACCTGGAGCATGCGGTTCTGTGCTTGGATGGCGATGATCTGGTTGCGCACCAGCTCCAGGATACGGTTCACTACAGGCTCGAAGCACTGAAGAATCTCCTCGTTGGTGAAAGTCATGTAACCCTCCTCGATGCCCGCATCGGGGAAGTCAGCCTCGATGCCGACATCGACGGCCCATTTCTGCCCGTTGTTACGGAAGTCTGCCTTGATGCGATTTTCGAAATCCATGATACATTTGGCGTAAACCTTGCCTGCCGTTCGGGAGCCGTCGGGAAGCTTCATCTTGCGAATCTTAGCGCGCAGGATATTGCTAAAGTTCCGATTGAGCGCGGTTGAACCACAGGAGTCACCGGATCCAGCAGTACACTCCATCACACTGAATGGCTGCTCCTCCTCGACCTCGTAAGCGATCAAATCCACTGTACCGCCACCACAATCCACGATCAGAATGGCGTCTCCAATTTTCAGGTTCAAAAGTCCTGTCTTGGCACAGAAAAGAGCAGCTGCCTCGGGTTCAGAGACAAGGGTCAGACGGTTGTCATTCTCATCGCGCAAGAAGCCGGCTTGGATAGCAGCAGCGCGAGTGGCAGCTTTTCCAGCATCGTTCCAAATGGCCGGCACGGTGAGATAGTAGCGGATGTTGCGCTCCTCGCGAGTAAATACCTCACCTAGTGTCTTCTGCAGTTGCGCGCGCATTGCCTGGCGCAATTTGAAGAGATAGTCGGCAGCCACATCTATCTCTGACTTGCCCGGAGGAAGCGGGGGAAGGTTGATGGGATCGATGTAGGTATTCCCAGAGAGCATCAATTGCAGCTTGAACCACTCCACCTTTTGTACGCCATGTTTCGGGTATCCGGTAGGCGCGAGCGCATCGGCGATATCTGGACCCCAGCCCACCACTTTTTGGTACTGATCGTAGTAGAGAACGGTGGGGATCTAGAAGAAGGTGGTGATTAGAGACCCCGGATTCCTTATCTGTGAGATAGCGCTCACCTTTTGTTTCGTATGGGTTCCAGCCCCGGGCCATTCCGTGATGATGTCTTCCCGGGCCTCGTTGTTGGTCGCAAAGGCAAAGGCGACACCGGAAAAGGTCGTTCCGAAGTCAATACCGACGATGAGCTGGGCTTTGTTGCGATTCGCGCCCTCGACCTCGACGGCGGGATTCCGGTACTGGGGTTGAGGCTGCGGTTGCATGCCGGGAGGGACAGGCATGTGTTGTTGAGGTTGCATGCCGTATCCCGGAGGAGGGTTCCCGGGCTGCTGCATGCCATGGACGTATTGCATGTTGGGGTTGGTATTGATGGGGGCGGGGTGCTGGGTAAGGGAGTGATGCGGGTTGGGGGGCCATGGGACTCGTCGGAGGGTTAGCTCCAGCAGATGAATAACTCGGTGGTCGGCCTAACTGTTGTGTCTGCGGTGTTTTCGGTGCTTGCGGCTGATGGCTATTCACGGACAAACTAGTCGTGGACGAGCTGCGATTCGAGGGCGGCGAAGTGTGGGAGGTGGTGGGCGAGGCGCTGGGAGGGGGAATGACGGTACTGGGAGCGGGGGACGGTACTTTCGGCTTTTCACGTCTGCTGAAAGGGAGCTTGAATCGCGAGGAGCTCATGAGGTCCATATGCGGCGAGCGCCGGGAGATTTAAATTGGAAGAAAAGAAGGGAGAGAGGAGGGGGGGGAAAGGGAGACAAGGCTGAATACGAGACAAGACGGTGTGGAGCAAGGAAAATCGGTGCCTGTCAGCTCGGGTAAGCCTTGCGGTACAAGAAAGATTGAGATGAGATAGTGGAATAGTTCGAATGGAAAGAAGAAAAGGGGAAAGAGGGGATCGAAGATCCAGTTGAGGCTGACGATGTAAAGGGTTTAGTTTATAGTCAAGACGCTGAAGGGGGAGTCAGGGCGGAGAGATCATGATGATCCTGGGATGAACCTTCTCTACAACTGAGATTTCACTGACCTACAGTGTCGAGTACAGGCAACCGAGCTAGATATCGGGAAGTAGAACCTCGAATCGTCAATGTTTAAATGTTTGAATGTTTTCTTTGTTAGAGCCATGGAACGCGACGTTGCTGAACCGCCGATTCGCTTTGTTTCCCCATTTTCGGCCCCCAACCACGCTGTCTAAGGGCACAAGATATCTTGGACTCGGTATTCTGGGGATGAATTGGGGGCCTTTCGCCTTTCGCCTTTCGCCTTCGGCCTTCAGGCTCCAACCACTTTCATCTTCCGTGCCACCCAATGCGATGGCTGGTAAATGTTCTGAAGCATGCTATCGCCGTCCTGGATGTAGCCGCACGGCCGCCGATCGTCAGACCGCGCCTCAATCTTGAAGCCCATGCGTTCGATCAGGGTCAACACTTCCTCCTCTGTTAACTCCACATTGCCTGGTTCCCCAATTCCTGTAGTTTCCCCATCGGCGTCTCTGCGGGGATGACTATCCTCGAAATGCCACAATAGAGGTCCCACATTGATCCACAGCCCGTCCTCCTTGAGACAATGGTGAATCGCCTCAATATAACGAATCAAGTTGGGTGCGGTATCGATGAAAAAAACTGTCGCCACGGCATCAAAGGTCTGCCGATTGCTGGGCTCATTGTACACGACCACAAAGTCACCTGTCGACATTGACATCGATCCAACAGGCCGGTTGGCTTGCATCGCCTCTCCAATAGCGGTGGCCGGATGCACATCCGGGATTTGAACGCTCCGCAATTGCTGTCCCCGAGATTTGAGATTAGAGAAGTGCAACGCGAAGGGGTGGAGCTTGTGGCTCTGCGGGCCTTCGGTGTGGTTCAGTATCCAGCTGCTGGCCAATAACTGGTGGTACGAGATCTCATTGCCTTCAGCTGCAAATCCCGACAGGCAGATGTCAAACACTAAGCGGCCCAGCCCTGCGCCTGGAACGAGCACTTTAATCTCTTCGCCGGCATCCCGTCGAGCCTGAAATTCGGTGCGGAGGTCTTGGAGTACGGGTTCGTAGCATACTTCTCGCTCGACGCGTCCCTCGGCACTCCAGTCTCGATAAAACTGGCGGATCGTCGAGTGCGCCTTATTGACGTCGGATGAAGTGGCTGTTCCATGCCAATTCTGTGTCGGATCCTCTTTGTCAGGAGTTGCAGAGAGACCGAAAGACTCCAGGCCTACGTCCAGGATCTTGTCTGCGAGCTCAGCGTTGGCATCGATCGCATCATCTACCTTGTTAAAGTTATCCAAGATAGAGAATGGCGGCTCAGATAGCATCTGCCAGTGTTCTGACGGGAGAGAGTAAAAGGCTTGTCGACGGCGATGAGTAGTGTTCTGGTGCGCCGTGCGACGATATTGCCTGGAGACAGTCAGCCCCTAATCAAAGCTCAACGAAAGTAATGTCGATTCATTGGGCTGTTTTGCCGGGTATAAACAATCTACTTAACACTCACCGGAAAGAGTCAAAAGCAGCAAACAGTACCCTTCGCTCATCGGGGTCAGCGAATGGGTCGAAATCGCCCTGCCAGCTGCGCTCGTCCTCATTCTGGGAAGATTGTGAGTCCGTCATGACTAGAGTACGAGGAGCTATGTATCTCTCAGGTTTGGATACATGAGCTCTGCTGAGTCAGTGGAGAGCGCAGATCCAAGATGAGTTGTGCGGTGCGGGCAAAGTTGAGGTGGGATTGGTGGAGCCGTTGTTTGCCGCACCGCGGGGACTTGAATCTTCAACATCATTTCGCCCTGAGCTTCACTGCGCGCAACACCCATATCGACACTTGAGATAATCCATCAACTAGCTCGACTCTCCCGGCCCAATCAATCATGGCAACAACTGCGGGCCCGGAAGTGCCTCAGACGGAGCGAGTGACTCCCGATTTCAAACCGCAGCAGCTCTCATTTCCCCTGCCCAGAGCTTTACATACAACGGGACATGTGCACTTAACCTTCTTGGATCATTGCATTATGGCATTCTTGACCACGTCCACTCCTGGTGACTCGGCTGGGACTGTCAAGCCTCTGGGGAGCTTTGTTTATGCCATGCCGGATGTAAGTTTCGACCTTGGTTGATTGCACCGCTCAGCCTTTCTGTCTGTCCATTGGGTCCAGATAGCCAGGCTATCCCTGATGCTTGATTCGTAAGAAAAATTCATGTATTCATGATCTCTTTATTCACACCTGCAGATTAGAGTGTTCGGCACTCTAAGTGTGCTTGGCCTTTATGCCCGTGGATCCCCCGATCATTGTCCCTTTCTGTATATTGCCTTACACATCCTCCCTCCGCAGCCCATGTTACTTCAAGCGATACGAACCATGTACTACTTCTGATACCAGCCCTCTATCTCCGCTTGAACCTATACCCTTTGATCTACAACCACGTCATGAAACATTACCTAACTCTTCTCCAGCGGACATCATCAAACTCGACAATAGCCACCACTATCTACACATCTGCATCAAGCATTGAGTACACGACACGGGTGGCTAAAATTGTTGCTCGACGGACCAAGAAGCCTGTCTACGTCGGGTGCAGCATTGACCCTAATGCACACGGCATGTCAGTCGAGGAGGAAATGGAGGGATTGAGAAAGATTGTGGAAGTTATCGTGGAGAAGTATGAGGCGCAGCGGAAGCAGTGATCAGCTGTAATACCTCTGGAGGAGATGTTTTGGAAGACAGATGCATGTGGCTGGATGATGGCGTTGGTAGGGAGTTGTGGCGGGTTATTCAAAACTGCTATTCTCGTTTCTAATTTGATATATTTGACTTACCGGAAATTCCCTTCCCAGGTCTTGGAGTTTTTCTGGATTGTGTGAATACCCATGAAGACGGTAGTCATTTACATGCACGCTCTTGAGATACGCTGTCTTCAGCTCAGCGGGCCACCCCACGGACAAGGTCAAAACCGCAATCGGAATTCAACTAACACACATAATTCATTCCCTCGATAGTGGCCTTCTTTCGGCTCGGAATTCGGAATCTATTGTACGCCCAACACCGAAAGTTCCTGGAATGAAGCAGGATCCAATCTACAGTGTATATCCACGAATGCTGGCCCCGACCCTCCGATCAGGCAACGACGATGTCACTCTGTGTGTCGTTGTTACATACCGGTCGAGCGGAACTTGCCTATTCCTGTTGCTAATCTCGCTCGTGAGTTGGGGGCAGGAGCATGTCGATATAGTATTGGCTATGGAGATGATCTTGGAGAGTTAGGCCCACAGGGGTGGACAATTTTGGGACTGAGTTGGAAACATGGAGAATCACTCTTTTGTGGGAAGGCAATGTATGAAGGAGGCTTCGCACCAGGAAGGCTCTCAGTTGATTATTGTCCGAGTTCATACCCTCAAACTTGGAAACGACAGCAGATATGCCTCCCCAAAACGTGGGCATCAAAGCCATTGAAATCTACGTTCCCAGCCGAGTATGGCCATCCAATCCAAAGCTCTTCTTCCGAAGCAAATTAACACTGCTGCCAGTATGTTGCTCAATCCGACCTGGAGAAGTTCCTCGGTGCCAGTACTGGAAAGTACACCATCGGGCTAGGACAGACGAACATGAGCTTCTGTGACGATCGTGAGGGTACGCATCGCCTATAAACTTGTACTTTCATCAACAAGTCATACACTCTACTTCTCAGAACTTAATACTAACCTCCAGACTAGATGTCTACTCCCTCGCCCTAACAACCGTCTCTTCCCTCCTCCAAAAGTACACCATCGACCCAAATACCATCGGCCGCCTAGAAGTAGGCACAGAATCAATGCTTGATAAAGCCAAATCCTGCAAATCGGTGCTGATGCAATTGTTTCCTACGAACCCCGACATTGAAGGCGCAGACACCTACAACGCCTGCTACGGTGGCACAAACGCCCTTTTCAACGCCGTGCACTGGATCGAGTCATCTTCCTGGGACGGTCGCGACGCTATAGTTGTCATGTCCGATATAGCTCTCTACAACACGCCCGCTGCACGGCCTACGGGCGGTGCCGGGTGCATAGCCATGCTAATTGGTGCCGAGGCACCAATTTTGTTAGAGTCAGTGCGGGCATCCTTTATGCGGCATGCCTATGATTTCTATAAGCCTGATTTCAAGACTGAATATCCCCTTGTTGATGGACACTACTCGTCTAGATGTTATTTGCAGGCGCTCGATGGGTGTTACCGGCGGTATCGGGAAAAGAAAGGTGCGCGTGAGAAGAGTCCTGATAGGACTGTATTGGATATACCGTTGGATGAGTTTGACTATTTTGTGTTTCATGCGCCAAATTGCAAGCTTGTTTCTAAGTCTTATGCGCGGTTGATGTATAATGATTTTGTGGCAGATAACGAGAATCCTCTCTTCAGGGAGGATAATGTGCCCATTGCGATTCGGGAACAAACTCATGAAGGGTCTCTCGATGACAAGATTCTTGAGAAATGCTTCATTAAATTATCTCAGCAGAGATTTGACCAGCGCGTACAGCCAAGTCTGACTGTCCCGACCATGTGCGGAAACATGTACACCGCTGGTGTATATTCGGGGTTAGTCAGCTTGCTCAGCAACACGCCCAGCGAGAGCCTCATGAACAGCCGTGTGGGAGTATTCAGCTTTGGAAGTGGATTGGCGAGCACGCTGTTCAGCTTGCGAGTTGTTGGTGACGTTAGTGGCATCGCGGCTAAGATCGACTTGAGCGGTTGGCAGGCCGGCACCAGGTTTCCCCCGAATTCTACGATGAGGTGAGCCACAAGCTGATGTGAGATGTGGGAATTCCAGCTAATCAAACTCAGATGTGCCGTGTCCGCGAAAAAGCCTATCAGCAGAAGAATTACACTCCTACTGGGAGCATTGAAGCTCTTGCGTCTGGAACCTACTACCTTTCTTTTGTGGACGAGAAATTCCGACGAACCTATGCAGTTCGAGAGTAATCAGCTGCAGATCAACATTGGTATTGAGAATGCAAAGATGGACCAGAAATATTCTTCCAAATTCATGACACCAAGGGGCCATTGCCCGGATTCGGATTGGATGGGTTGGTGATCCGGTGCACCATGAATAACGCCCTCAGAAAGTCGACGTTGATTTCAGGCCACCAATATCAATGGAAACCACCGATTTCAACACACGCGCCAGTCCATCAATATAGAAAATAAATTACATTCGCTTAACTGGCGTAACCTGCTAAGTCCGATCTAGACGTCATCGATCAAGCCAAGCAACCGTTGAATCTGAGACTCCCGCGATTTAGCACACGGAGTGCTCCGGTCTCAGATAGACGGGTGGCAGGTCTCAGAACTGGCAGCGCAGAACAAATCGGAAAGCCTCGGTTGCTGGTCGGAATCGTTTCATCTGCTCGGATCGCTGTCCCGCTGTGGGGCGCAAAAATAGACTCGACCGCAGACACAAAAAGTGCGCAATAGGATTCCGCTGCTCGCTGGGTTTGCTGGTTTTTGTCGGCTTCGCCTACGGTTACAAACTGTCTTTGTTGCTATCTATGATCTCCCCTAGACTCATTGTCCTCGTGAGGCTAATTCTAAAAGTGGGGGGGGCTCATGGTCGATGGTCAGCTAGTACCAAGTAGCAATCGGTGGGCGCGACTACGTGTCATAGGTAGACTTGCTAGTGATTGGCGTCGCTGAGCAAAAGCCACACCAAGACTGGTGGACTTGGTTGATTGTGCGCTTCCTGACGACTGGGCGGCATGGCGACTCCGAATGTTGGTAGATATTTGGTTCAACGACCTGCGCGACAACACTGCGTGATCTTGTCATAAGCGCCTGGCAGGCAAATGGCAAGAACTGACGGCTCGGCCGAACTATCCACTTCTTAGAAGAGGCGCTGCCCGGTGCACAGTGCACCAACGCGACCCAGCGTAGCCCCTAATGATTGCGGGTCAAGGCTCTACCCGAGATCGAGATACGACGCTTGAGCGTGCTTTACTTGGCAGCAGCAATAGGAGGCTGGGGCTGGAAATGGACCAATCGGCAACGACGCATACAATCAATATGCGAACTACGGTTTCATGTAGGGCGTTGAACTTGGTAAGTCGAAGGGTTGTACCTGGAGAATTTCAATACATCTTGTCAGATACCCGAAGTGTGCCAGCTGCAAGCGTACGGGGAAAATGATACGGCGAGGGTTTGTTGGTTGATCTGCGCGCCAAGTGTCACGGGTCAGACATCGCAGGACGTTCCGGAGGTTATGAGTGAAGGGTGAAAGAGGGCGTGGGCCGAGGATACCGGAGAAGTAGCCTAACGGGGGCGGAGGAGGAGGACTACTGCAGTACTGTCCGTGCTTATTCTCTCTGCCGCTGCTGTCGACACTAGAAGTCCTGTGACCTCTGACCTGTGACTTCTAATTCAGGTCCCGGTATATGTATGCCAAGCATATGAGATTTCATGATGAGTACTGGTTCTGGAGGAATTATCCGACCCCTGGGTATTCCGGCGCGCAAGCCCTTGCTACGGTACTTGACTCCCTAACATATGTGGAGCCCGCTCAGCTTCAACTCGTGCAGTGAGTCTCGTGGAGCGCACGGACTCAAGCCTTCTCCTGACCTGACTCTCGAGATAAAGTTGAGACATAGCCCGGGCAGAGGACGGATGAAACTCGGACTGAGAAAAAGCAATTGGGGAAGGGGCTTGGGACAGGTACGAATGCAAATTGCGGACACAGACCACAAAGAGACTTGACCTCGAGTTCTAGGTGATTGGGGGCTATCAGACGCGTGGACAGACTCCGGCGGACAGAAAAGAGCAAAGATTGGCCGTCCAATGAAGACGGTTGCCACCAAGGTTCCACTGTCCGGGTCAGTATCCGGCCTGGGTTTCCATGTGGTCCGGTGCATGCTTTCCGAGTCGATCATCGGGGCTTGGGATCAAATTAGGGCCAAGGGAGGGTTTCGTTAAGCGGCACGGCGGGCGCCGAGATCTTCATCCCACATACCGCGTCGTACGTACGTCCCAGGTGTAAGGGGGGGAGCCACTTGCTGGCCCATGCCGCGTTCACTCGCGTTGAGCTTTCCCTCTTGATCTTATGGAGACTTGCCCTGGACAGAGCATCATCTTCCCCAAAAAGCCCCAGTGAGCCTAGTAGATCAAGGAGTTGAAATGGCTAGGGTGATCGCATGCCAACCACTGAAGCCACTGAAGCCATGAAAGTAGCCAAGCATTGAAATTTGAAACCTGGAACTTGGAAAGTGGAAAGTGGAAAGTGGAATTGAGTCCAGTTGAGGGTTCTCGCCCAGTTCCCTTTTGCCGATCGTCCCCTGCGGACGATCTAAGACCTCCTGTCACGGCCTTTAAAGGGAGTGTGCTCCCAAACCAAGTGGAGCACCGCTCCCTCTGCCGACTCCATTTAGGGTAACCTTTGGTACCGCTTCTCCGGATCGAGAAAGACGCAACGGACAAGGTTCACCGAATACCAGGCTTCCCGACGGTGGGCCCGTGTGGACGTCGGGCGCTCAACTCCAGCTGCCGCGACTGGCTCATCCAAATAAGCCAAGCACCTTCTCGACTGCTTCAGGCATCCATCGACACGGTCTCTTGCCGATCTCGGGATTGCTGGGCTAGAGGTCTGAACCCCAAATGAGGGTGACCTTCAGTGGAGAGAGGACGAGGAAGATGATAGCTTCAGCCTCGTCACCGAGGGTCAGAGTCGAGGAAGGCAATCGATAGAAACTAAACTAGATGGTCGGGCTAGACCCGCCCGAAGCGCAGGTGTCATGTCGGCTGAAGATTCCTAAATCCAGCCTGGTCGTCCTCGTTCTCCGCGATCTCTGGGTCGTCAATACGGGACCCTGATGGAGCCCTTGGGAACGGTGATCCCAATACCATCTCATTTTCGTCGTCGATCTGGTTCGGCGCATCTTTTATTTTTCCCTTCTTCTCCCTCTCCTTTTTCACGGCACTTGCGATCTGTGTTCTTCTCAACCCATCTGCATCTGCAATCCCGTCGATCGTCTTCACGAAGTTCTTGGGTTCTTGGAGTCAATCATCTTTCTAATTCGCCGCTTTCTTGTCCCAACCTCGGCATTTGCATCTCCACGATTCCGATTTGACTTGACTTGCGTCTGTTGGCGTGGCTTGACCCGTGGTCGTTCTTAACCTTTTTGCTCTTATTTTCTTTTTTTTCTTTTTTAATTTGTTTGTTCTCGATTATTCTCCCCGTCTGTCTTCCACCCGCCAATCCCGTCTTGAATAGCCCTCTCTATTGCATCGACGATGGCTTCATTGGACCAGGCCCGCGAGTGACCAGCTCAATCTGGTGTGGTACCTGAAAATTCAAGTGATCGAATGCGCTCGAGTGCGCTGTGGCGATAGTGCCTAATCTCGTCTGTTCATCGATTATATGACTAGGCTGATCGTTTCGCGGCTTTCGTGACCTTGAAACCATATTCATCACCCCCTCTTCTGGGGCGATTTCTTTTGGGTGTTTCTGCTTCAGGGGGTGGATCCTGTGGATGGAGTACTTTGTTCCAAAATGCAGCCATCTCACTTTCGCCCGGGAATTCCCACGAGTAGCTCTGTCGAGCTTCCTCCGGTGCAGTCGGTGACGTCGGGCGCGTTCCTTCCCGCTGGGTCTTTGCTTTCCGCCCCGCCGAGTAGACCTGACAGCGGAATGCGCATGTCCCATCTACTTCAGCCGATGCCCCAAGGGCCGCATCAAATACCACCGGGTCCTTCTACATCCCCCTTTGGTCATTTCTACGAGTCGGCGTCTGGGTCGCCTGCGGAGAGTGGCCTGCCTGATGCCTCGCTAGGATCGGCCCCAGGACCCTCGCTTTACCAGACCAGCCCGGTCGGACACGGCCACGGGCCGAGTTCTTTGCAGCAGCAGAAAAGAGCCTATCGTCAGCGTAGAAAGGATCCGAGTTGCGACGCCTGTCGCGAGCGCAAAGTGAAATGCGACGCCTCCGACGAGACCAGCTGCACCGAATGCAGCAACCGGAAGGTCCGGTGCCAATTCACCAAGGAGACAAATCGGCGCATGTCTTCGATTAAGCAGGTTCAGGATCTGGAGAAGCAGCTCGCACACGTGAAATCGCAGCTGCACCATGCGCGCTCAGGTATGATGCGCCCAGACCATATGATGGACATGGATGAGACTGGCTCCCTGCCAGGCGTCAAGCTTCCCGATATTGACTATAAGCCTTCGCGACGACCCAGGGCACCTGTTTTCCAGGAATTATCTGAGGTGCGGACTAATCTCCGTCAGCACGGTCGCGGCATTTTGAAAGTACCTACGCCATACCAACAACATGGATGGCGATCAATCGTCACCGGTGATGCGCCGGCGCTGCCACCAAAAGACGTTGCTGATCATTTACTTGGCCAGTACTATAACTGTATTCACTCAATATTACCAGTCTTGCATTGGCCTTCTTTCACGACAGAGTACGAAGAGACTTATCGAAAAGGTTCGTTATTGGGTGTGTCCCGCGAATGGGCTGCAGTGCTGTTCGGAGTCTTTGCATGTGGTACTGCCCACACAACGGAGCCCGATTGGGAGGAAAAGGGGAAAGAGTTCGTGCGTCTGTCTTCTGGGATTATAGACGTCTGGCAAGACAACTTCAACCTCAACCGAGCACGCGCCGCTTTGCTTGTCAGCATCTTTCTGTATGAGGTGAATTCAAGATCAGCGAGTTGGGTGTGGATTGGATCTGCGGTGCGTGTGGCTCAAGAAATTGGACTTCACATTGACCTTGGGCCATGGCCACCGGTTGAAGGCGAGATGCGAAAGCGTCTATGGTGGGGCTTATACACTTGGGACAGGTTAGTGCAATCACCCTTGGTACTAACACTGCTCATGCTTACACATCTGCAGGTTACTTGCTCTGGAGATGGGCAAACCTGTCTTGATAAATGATCAGGACTGCGATATCGACCTTCCCTGCCCAGTGGACGACCAATACCTTGCTGAAGACGGCAAACTTCCAGATGGTCAAGACCAACAAACCACCCCGATGCTCGCCACGATTCATGTCGTCCGTTCAATCGGTCAACTTACTCGAACCCTTCGATCCACCTCCATCAGCCCTGCAACCCTTGAAACCTTTGAACGCCACTTCAACACATGCCTCGGCACCTTCCCAGTCGATCTTCTTCCAAAGGGCGACCAAAGCCTGAGACCCTCGCTCTTTAGCGCCCATCATCTACCTCCAAAACGCCCGTCTTCTTCTCCACCGCCACAACATCTCCCCCTACTGTTCCAGCGCCGATCGATCCGCGGCGCGCGACCTCTGTGCTTTAACGGCAGTTGACACTGCAAACATCCTGTCCCGCTGTATGCGTGACCGCCACAGCGCAGGAGACTGGCGACCACTGTTCGCTTCCTGCGCTGGTACACTCCTCTGCACACACATTTGGCGCTGCGCATTATTCCTCTTATACCGACAAGAATATACCGCTGCTCTAATTTGTATCCAAGCGAGCGCAACCGTTGGTGATACCCGCTCAGTCAATGCAGCTTGCGGAAGGTACATAGCATTCTTTCTCCGGACCCTCATCGTCCGGGCTCGTCAAGGCGAACCCCTAAACATAGAGAACGATGAGGAGATGATCGCCTACGTCTCCGGAGATATGCAAGGGACTACCGATGGCAGCTGGGTTTGGCAAGGTAGTGAGACCGGCTCAGACCTAGAAGCCATGTCTTCAATGAAGACGACTCCTGTTCCACAAGAACCGGAGGCGGAGTGGGAAGGCTGGGAATGGATTGAGAAGACGATACAGTACCTTCTCAGTGAAAAACAACAGAGGACATATGAGCGTTGGGATGTGCCAATAGACTCCAAACATGATTCTAGCATGCTCAACCCTGATGCTGCGGGGTCCGACCCGACGGAGCGTCGATCGAGCTCAGCACATTCTCGCATGACTATCGCTAGTATCATATGATTACATCTAGTTCGAAGTTCTTGCCCATTGTCGCGGCCATGTTTTCATCGTGACACGACCTAGCGTGCCACGTCATCACATCTACCCTGCTTCGGGTGAAAACCATTCAAGTCGAATTGTTTCGACCCCGGTCGAACAGACTGCTACACTCTGTTCGGACCTCGCAGAGGGCGCCCGTGCCACTCCGAGAACCATTTCCAACACCCAACTATTACCTCCATGTGAATACTCTTATTCTTTGCACATATTGCAAATTCAAATTTCATTCAAAGCTCTCCTCAGCGAGTCTGCGTATTAGAACCATCGGCCCTTGAGGTGCCTCGCAAAATCAAAAAGCAATACCTACCACAGCCATGTACTGGAGTTGAACTCGTGCGCTATGATTATCTAATCTACTATTCTTCAGTCTGGTCTCATCTGAAAGGAATGTGTCTTTCAAGACCACTAGGTACACGCGATGCCCTCAACATGCTATGCTGACACCCTCAGAAGCGCAACAGTATACTTGGACCTTATTTCGAGGTATTTCTTTCCATTTCAAAGATGTAGAATGTTTCATTGACCAGGATAAAGCTACATCTTTACAGCACCACCAGCATCATACCAATACTCCGTGCCCCACCACTTCTTGGACCTTCATACCATATCTCTCATCCACCCTCCTCCCCCACCGAGTTGACTATTTGAATCAAATGATCCTTGCAGCAGCTTAGATGAGAAGCTTCTCAACGGGGAACAAGGTGCCATTCTCAATAGCACCAGCATGGTGACGAGCAACCAATCCATAAGCAAATTGGTATCTGAAAGCATTAGCAAATCTCATTTCCAAATCAGTAAGAGCACTTACTTATCCAGGAAAGGCAGCAGCTGGTCCAGACCAGGAGTATTTCTCCAATCGCGCATCAGATCACAGACGATCCCAAACAATCCCATCAGAGTAACACCCGCCCTCTCCATTCTCCGATTCGCCTCATCAGCAAGCCTCTCATTGAAAGTTCCACTAGCATCAGTATTCGCAAAGACCTCGTATCCCTCATCGATAAGCGAAAGAGCCAGGAATGCAGTGCCTATTTCGTCAGCACATTTATTCTATCCAGACGCCACGGATCATAGAACGACTTACAAACTTCAGTCACGATGCCGCCAATGATAAGCTGCTTTTTGCCCGTTGCGCGGACCGCGGCTCGGAAATCGGCATTATCCCATGCATTGACCTCGCCCTGACGGTGGACGAAGGTTGCATTGGGGTGCATCTCCACGATTTCCTTGAGCAGGAGACCGTTGGGTCCGACGTCGGAGGAGCTGGTCAGGACAGTCGGCAGGTCGAACACCTTTCCGATGGCGGCGTGGCCGAGCATGTTGTTGCGGAAGTCGTTGGTACCGAAGTCGCGGACTAGGGAAGCTAGACCGACTTGGTGGTCAATGACGAGGAGGGCCTGGTTGTGTTAGCCTTGCTATTTTCTTTTTGGTAGAGGCTGCGATGAATGGACTAACCGCGTTGTCTTTGTCCAGTCTGTTCCATGCTTGCACGGGCAGAGAGATTGCCAGCAGGACCGCGGCTTGGATTGCTCTGGAGATGAACATTGTGGAAAGAATTGAACAGTTGTGATTGTCTTTAAAATTTTGAAATTGTTCCTGGATGATTGATGAAAAGCTTCGGGAATGCTCTCCTCTTTATACCTAGTCTGACAATAGCACTATGCCATCTTGGCTCTATAGATGCATCGGTGAGTCTTACAAAGTGTTTGCTAAGTTCTTGCTAAGGTATGAGTGATTTACCCCCGGGCTGCTTACTCTCGGCGTTGCCGTGATGCTATATTTTGATCACTGGATTTCTTGGCTCGCAGAAACGTGAATATGGAAATGCGAACTATCACATATCTGGGAAGGTTATGGCAACTTCGAGTCTCTCACCACTTCCTCGGGAGAATCGACATGATAGGTAGAATTTTCCAAAACTTGATACGGAGTTATTATGAGACTTTTTTTTTGATGGGAATCAAATGTATCTTTCTAGCGATTCAGTTACCAATTCATCGGTGGCAGGTCTATGTTTGAGGGTATTCTTCATACTGTTCGATCTTATTGCTCAAGATCAAGTACATTCACAGGACTCAAGAGGCGACAAAACGATTGGGAATAACTTTTTCGATGTGACCTTGATGGCACCTCATGGTCCTCCAAGACCCGAAGGTCAGCGCCCGAGTTGATGTCGTAGCTCTGACGGATAGAATTGCCCCCCAATTTCAGAAAGCACGAGCGCCACCGAATACGATATGCATGAGATGAGTGTTGATAAGCGTCACTTAATCATTTGTCTGGCATGCGCCACGAACGTCGGCACCTGCATGATTTGCAGCTAGCTTCTTTAGTGTCTGACAAAATACAGACTAAGTGATCCGTCAGCCTGCATGACAGCCCGAACCCTGAGCACCCTGAGCTAAATTTGGTGCTCATCGGCATCCACATCTTGTCTATCTCGGCTAATACTCTAAATTTCTCAAGCGAAAAAATTGAACTGTCTGGAATCTGGGACCCTGATTTGGTCATTGCTGAAGTCACCTTCAAAGCGCCAAGTGTAAGATGAGATCTTTCCGACCCATTCACCGCTACACGCCAAGAGTTACCAGAACGCACTAACTCTCGTCTTTGTCAGCTATTCAGGAATGGCGGATATAGCGGGAATAGATTGGTGTAATTTTATGTTGTGGATGCTGTTCTGCTTAGTGTCGCAAAGGGTTGTGTGGATGCTTGCTGTGGCTTCGGCGTACAGGTGTCTGAATTTTCCCTGCGGTCAATGTGAATATATTTCGTGTACCCTTGATCGTGGAGTGCTATTTTTGTAACCGCTAAGAGAATTGGTGAGCTTCTCTCTGTTGCTGGAGCTATGATGGCGTTCGCTGTCTTTCCGATGTGCAACGCGTCAATATATTTTCGGGACAAACCGGGAACGAGGTGGACTCTGAACACAGGCATATACAAACGGAGGTACGGAGAGACCATAGGCATCACACATATAAAAGTCTGATATGTCTTGAACACTAATTAACATATGAGGCGACCATTGAAGTTGCCACATTGTGACATGATGACATAGTTATAGCAGAGCTCCTCTAGCCTCGAAAGGGATCTTTCATAGCTATCATTTTGAGCTGCATGGCAACTTTTGGAAATGATTGAGAGAGGAATGGAAAATCACGCTTTAAGTGTTGGGTTTCCGCATCAAAGACGGACTGAACCTAAAGTCCTACTAACAATAGGTCAGATCTAGACCAAGTGTTACCCCGAAAGATCGCAGAGAGTATGTACAATTTTGTTGGCACAATATTGAACATTCATAATGAATTCCGCTTTTGAAAGCTTTCAATAATCATGGCGGCATAGCGTAGCGATGAACCGTCGATCAAGGAGCGTCGATATCGGATGGCCAACTTTCTTTGCCACCATGTCATGTTCTCTCGGCCATGAGATAACAATTTAGAATACGAAATGGAGCATGATGCCCTCGATACGAACTTATCGAGAACACGAAGATTTGAAGACGAGGTGAATCAGCAGTCAACGTTAATCACTCAATTTGTAGATTTAAGTTTGAATGGAGTCTGATGTATAGAGGCAACAATATGATATCATGGTGACCGACCACCATAAAATGCCGTTGCTGGGTCTTAGATACTTTCAATCCCTTTTTGCCTCTCTATCTGAATGCATAGTGCTTTTGCAACCCTCTGAATAATTGCCGAAAAACTTTGAGATGCCATTGCACACGGTGAGTCGCGTGCCTCTCAATCAACAAAACACGAGTAACTCATCTGATCAATACCCAAGTTCACTCTGAGAGAGGGCGCCAGCGAATCGGATGTCGATAGGTTGGTCATTGCGCTCATTCGAGAAGACGAAAAATTGACATTAGCCAGACTAAAGTCCCTTATCAGATCCGTCGGCGGACATATCACTTGTGAAGAGAAGAATGAGATACAGTCAGTAAAATTCTTACTTTGACAAGATCAAGATTGACAGTCAGAACAGATGCAGCGTAAGCGATTGCTTCCGCCTCAATCTGATCAGGAAGCACACAGGAGCGGAAACAATCGCAGATCATCCCTAAAACGCCGATTATCGATACGGAGAAGCCAAGACTATGGAAATGAGGACACATTGTGATGCACATTGTGAACTGGGATCGTGAACTTCTTGAAACCAGCCGTGATACTAAATGATCGGCCACACAGAACCATCTCGAGACACCAGTGAAGTGTATGATCAACATAGTCGTATTTGTAGAATCAGAATGACACACGAAGGTCTCTTATGAATGTGATTTGCCTCCTATGGACCTGTATTCGCTTCGTACTTCTGGTAAAGTAGCCTTGTGCAATTCTCATAATTACCCTTTCCCCTCAATCTACGCCACCCTCGGCCGTGAGTCTTGATGTGATCGCTCAGCATGCAGACTGCTACTGTCAAACTCCTCAAACTATACATCATAACGAGTCAAAGTTCTGCTAAAGTCTACTAGCCATAACGATATCTTTGGGCCTTTCTGGCCATCTTACTGCTTCTCGAGTACGTAAAAAGAACCTGCTATTGATGGTATAGTTGTTCAGGGGCTATAGTCACTTGATAGACCTCGTGGTCCTTGGGCATGTCGAAAGTATCAAAGATAAGCTGACTCTTCTGGGCCATTACTTGATGAACTACTTCTCGGGCTGACACCGATGCAGAAGACGGCGGAACGGCTAATCCGACCGACTAGATAGAGAAGCATGGCCAAAAGATCAGATGATTGTGGGAGACCGACTTGTGTTTCAACATTTGACACTGTACAATAGCATAGCGGACACGAAATACACGTGAAATGACGAGCAATTGAAGTCGCGCGGCCCACCCGTTGAAGATTTGGACCTCGGCTCTTTCCGCATTTAATCCAGGAGACCGCCGCCATCCGGAGCTTCGTGGGCCCAACGCTGTTTCAACGTTCGGACACCTTCTTTTGTCTTTGCAATTGATTACCTTTTGAAAGTAATTCTTGCCAGGATGGCCAAGCGTGTGACTCTTTTAGATCCCCCTCCGCGGGATCATTCCAAGGCGCTGATCGAGAATGTCCTTGACCTGACTCCCGTCGTGGACCTCGGCCCCGTACGACTACCCCTTTCGCTTGCGCCATACTTGCACATTAGTTACTGACCGGCGATCTGATTTCGTAGGATGTCTTCACCAACACACGGCCCTTATGGCACCCGCCAGGTGCTCGTGGCATCTATGGTGGCGCTGCGATCGCGCAGTCCTTATCAGCCGCCATGCGAACAGTCCCCGCCGATTTCGCCGTCCACAGCATGCACTGCTACTTCGTCCTTGCCGGTGACTCAGAGATACCCATTCTATACCATGTCGAGCGAGTGCGTGACGGCCGCAGCTTCGTAACCCGTACCGTGCAGGCGCGACAGCGGGGCCGCCCAATTTTTACCACCACCCTGAGCTTCAGCCGCGTCGGAAGCGGCGGCGAGAAGACGCTCGATCATGCGACGACCAAGCCCGAGGTACCACTTCCAGATGAGGTGGAGCCGGGTACTATTCGAGCTTTGAGCAACGCGGGCGGTGGCCCATTCGAATCGAGAAAGGCGGGCATTGTGAACCGTACGTGTAAATCGCTCTGCCAAACCATGATATCTAGCCGTATATGCAGCGAGCTGATGAATCACAGGAAGTTCTTCAAACCCCGAAGACAAAAAAGTGCGACGCTATGTTCGTGCGCGTGGGCCGATCTCCGAAGAAGGTGGCTTCCAAGCACATCTGTCCGCACTCGCCTACGTTACAGACAGCTATTTTATTGGTACAGTCGCCCGTGTTCACGACATGCCCCGATTCTCTTCCCCGGCAGAACTGCAGAAACTCCTGAAAGCGCTCAAGAACCCCTCCGATTTGGACGACGAGGATATCGCCAAGGCGTTGCAAGAGTTGAAGGAGGAAGAAGCGGCCGATCTGCGCCGCCAGCTAGAGGGCGCTTTGAATGATGCCAACAATTTCAAGCCCAAAGAAGACCACAAAGAGGTGGGTATGATGGTGAGCCTCGATCACTCGATCTATTTCCATAACCCGCGATCCTTCCGAGCCGATGAGTGGATGTTGGTGGAGTCGGAGAGTCCATGGGCCGGTGAGGGACGGGGACTGGCTGTTCAGAAGATTTGGTCCAAGGACGGCCTGTTGATCGCCACCTGCACTCAAGAGGTATGTTTCTTTTGGCTTCTATTCACCGAGTGTGCTGACAAGTTCAAACTAGGGCGTTGTGCGGTTAAAGCAGGACAAGCCTCCCTTGGCAAAGATCTAGAGCCCTTCATACCCTTTCCGGACTTTTCTTCTATCTTGGAGATCCTGATATGCCTCTTCATTTCTATCACATATTTTGACCATGACCTATAGACTTTGACCATTGTTCATCTGACTCCATTGGAATATTTTTTTACTAAAAACATGTCTTCAGACCACAAGTAGCATTAACTCAACCAAGTGATTACCAAACGATGAAGCTCACAGCACTGTAATTTTCCCCAATTTGGCTCATCGGTAGTTAACAATTCGATATGATTCTGATACTCAGAATAGCATGATGCATAGCTGAAGAAACAAAGTTTAATAAGATATTCAGACAGCCACCCATTTTTGACAAAGAAAAAACCGCATAGACCACCATTTCCACCACCATCGAAGTCATCACGGAGATTATACCTCCACTTTCTCAACTTGCGTTCTCGATCTATAATATTCCTTCACTTTCGCACCCCACACATTCTTCCCCTTATACTCACCCACACTTTCAGGCCATGTCTCCATCTCTTTGGCCAAATTCTCCAACTCCTGCATAGGAAGCTCGTCGAGAGTCGTCAAGAACGTCTTGACACCGAAGAGAATGGCACCCGTGCGCGGGAGACGGCGAAAAGTCTGCCTTTCGCGGCGAATGATGATTTCATCCGGAGTCGGGTTGAGTAGTTCTTTCTCGCAGAGCGATCCTGGACGGTAAAGAATGTCAAAGAGGTTCTCATTTGGGCTTTTCACCTCAACGAAGTAATTGGATCGCTCCATTGGGGAGTTTGGTGTGAGCCGGGCGAGGAATCTAAGTCAAATTGTGTCAGACATTGTCGCGGTAGGTCCAAGCCTGCAACTTCACTTACTTGCTGACTGAGTTCGCTACTTGTTGATGCCATAATGGTACTGGCTCATGCATCCGGGAAATTGTCCATCCAATCCGCTGGTCCACTGTCCATCCCGTCGGGAAGAGACTTGCGCTGGCAGCCCTGGAGACTTTGTGAGCAGAATGCAAAAAAAATCGATTGCATAGGAGAACCTACAGATAATATTCATTCTCTTCATTCATCATTAGGATGCTCAGATCCTCCATCGTAAGCCGCACCGCCGCCTCCAGGGCGTCAGTAAGGTTTTCATTTGGGGCCGAACCACCAAGTTTGAACTTTTCACCAGTCATTCGATTTTGGATATGTGGGTTGCTGTTGTACAAAGTAGTCTCGAACATGTTGGGAAAGCGTTGAGACAAAAAATTGGATACCTCTTCAAGCGCCTCGTGGCAGGCGTCGACCGATTCGGGGAGACACTGTATTACCTGGTCCCTCTTTTGGCGAAGTAGAGCATCTCGTACGCGATGCTCGTCCATGTAGTTTTTGTCAAGAGTCAACCAGTTCTGGGCATCGAGCTTGCGAATGTCCATCATCACGCGGTATCGTTCTCTACCCTTGATGGGCTGTGGTTTGAGGACAGAGGGAGTCTCTGCGCTTTCATGTTGGTGATTGTGCTTTTGACGACTCCACAGCCAATGTCGAATTTCTTTATGATATCTCACGACCAGAGATAGCAAGACGATAGGAAGTGCCACCAATGTGAAGACTGTCATACTTCCTCCATTCGGCCACTCTGAGAGTCTGTTACAGATAACTTTTTTTGAAATGTTGGCAGGTTGAGCAAAGCAATAACTTTTGGATTTGGATTGCAAAACGCAAAAAAAACAAAAGAAAGCAACGCGGTTGAAAGGCGAAAGGTGAAAGAGATTATAGAAGATCCAAAACGAACAACGGCTGGGGATGCGGCTACATTAAATACATCAGGTCCCGGACAAGTTACCAATTGACTACCATCAGAGACCAGGCATCGGAAAACAAAAAGCTGATCACCAGACGGTCAGGTCAGTGACACTAGCTCCAGTCTAAACTAGATCCTGACCAAGGGACCTAAGCAGCTGCATTCCACATTCCTGATACAGCGAACGGAACTGCCGTGATACGCTCAAGGATTCCCCGCAAAAGTGAAAAAAAAAAATTAAAATTAAAAATTAAAAGCCTAGAGTTCGCCTCCCGGACAGACATGACAGCCACATGATCACTGGGGTATGAAATGGAATTATTAGATTTTTGATTTTTTTTTTTCAGCTTGAGTCATCACTCCGTTATGGCGGGTCGAGGCCTGGCTATGCCGATATGTCTCGGGAGGATTATGGGGGTGGAGTATGGATATGACCGGGTCCGGGACCAGGCTTCCTGTTGCAGGCAAATCGGCGCTTGAAGATGGGCTGTGAGCTGGATGGGCTGACCCAGTCGCTAGGCACGATCTAGGCACAAACGTTTAGCTTTGAACAAACCATCAAGTTCGCGTCTCCTGTCCGTGCGCGACCCCCTCGTGAACCCATGCCGAAAGAAATGATCGGTAAAACATGGGAAACGAACCAGGGAGAAAGGCAACCCGGGAAAGAAGACCAGATACTATTACGGATAGCGGGGATTTGATGCCCGAGCCCAGGGCGAGTCTGGAGTCACCTCAGGGATAGTTTGAATGAGGGCAGCTGCTGACCCCGACTTGGCCAAAGGGATCGCCCAAGCAGGGGCGCAGTTGCAAGGCCGAGCTCGATACGCGATCTAGTTGGTGCACATCACGCCGTCGCCAAGCTAGAGCGTCCATGTGTACTCTGACGTATCAGACAGTGGGATATCTTTTCCTAGTTCTTTTTTTTAGTGGGACCCAGTAGCCTCACTTCCGCCGCCCCAAGACATTGGTACCAGGATGTCATACTGGCTTGGACTCTTGAGACACCCAAAGCCCCGGATTGACGGTAATCAGGCAGAGGTGCAGGTATACATCACCATGAGCACCCTGATCACCTAGGTCCTGGTAATCTCGATGGATCTCTATGGTGAAATTTCATGGTCCGCAAAACCCCCCCGGGCGCGACTCCACAAGCCCCGTCTGCGGCCATCTGGGGTTTCCGCTGCAACCGCTGCCCCTTTCGCGCATGGCGCGCTTGCCGCTCATATCTCGATTTTCTGAAACATTCCCCTGAAGCAAACCCCAGGCCGTTTGTAGAATTCATTTGCCATTGTAATGGATCAATTCTCAAGAGATCTGGGTTTTTTTCAATGGTCGATCCTTTTATTTTATTTTAATTTTTTTTCCCCTGTGGCGCTAAATCCGTCCAAAGCAAAAAAAAAATCCTGTTCTAGGTTTGCTTTTTGGCCGCCCGTTGTACTTTCGCCCAGTGGAAGTAGTGGTTGGCTTAACAAACGACATGGCTATGAAGTCATTTGATCATCCAGATGCAAAGCTGAACCAGGATGTTCCAGTAAGATGGGGCTGATTCATTAGTTAGTGGAACGATGCATGCAAATCCAGTGGTTTCCTCGTCATCGCTAGTGATTGTCTAGCCACCTTGATTTCGTCTTCGACTTGGCCTGAATTATTGAGGACTTTTGCACCGGACCGTCCATCTTTGATCCACATTGTACGGAGGATTTTAGTGGATACTCATGCAAGTCACCTTTGTGGTCGGGAAGTTCATTGTCATCCCCGTCCCGGCACAGGAACCAAGCAGGTTACGCGAGACCAGTGCTCAGACAGTGGGTCACTGATGTCAGATTACGCCTAGTCTGAGGTCTTCTGTGGAGGCTCTCTTTGGCCGCACCTTTTGGCCGCTTCCTTTGGCCGCTCCTTTTGGCCGCTCCTTATCTATTGATATGGCGATCCGGCCAGTCTCGATTCCCTCGCCGAGCCTTGTCGCGTAGGCGTGATTCAACTTGACTCAATTCTCTGTCGATCTATACAAGGTCTGTGCTTGAATTCTTGCATCAGACCCTCTGTCCGGTAGATGACTGGAGAGGGTTTCGAAGCATATTTCTAATAGTCTGTCATTTAGTGGTGGGAGCGTTGCACTAGTCGCCGCATTAGATAAGAATCGGTTTCTGTATGGAAATTGAAGATAAATCTAGATCGAGCACTAGAGGAAACAAGATTGATTGGTTGATCGATGGATTTAAATATGGACCACTGTATTTGTCGTTCCAGTAGACAAATCTTGCGATAGGCGCGTTCGCCGCCGACCTCTACCGCCACCTCCAGACATACCTTTTAAGGACCATTTGTGCCCAAGTTCAATCTCATCCAACAAATATCATCTATTACTTGTGTCGTTACTGAGTAGTAAAAAGCCAATTTCAATGTTCATTTCCCTTCGTCGAAAGCTAGAAGGTGGCGCTTAGCCCACGTCATCCAGACGAGAGCCTTTGGTGTACCCATCCGGACGCGAAGCCTGTCGTATAGCTGGTGCTGCATTTCTTTAGATTGAAGCAGCTGAGGCTTGACATCTCGTGGTCTGAATATGCCTGGAAGAGACAGAGACGCAGGATCAATCTCACACGACTCCAAATGCGGCCTCCGGCAGAATGTCATGGCCTTGATGGTATGTCATCTATTTCAAACATAACTGGCTATTAGTCAAGTTCTACCGCCGTATCCGACGCAAATGATGCGCGAGATTTGACGAATCGGCTGCGTAGATGGTCCCTTTGGATCGAAGTGACTGCTCACAAGTTTCACGCTGCGACGGTTTCTTTATTGGTCAAATCATGAATCTCAATTGGTCAGGGACCTTGTCGGACAATTGAAGTTAGTTATTGGCATGAGTCTTTGAATCTGTGGGCTCATTGTCGATTCAAAATCTGATTATGGATTCTTATGGAATTTGACTACTTTGAAGGCGACGCTGCGTGAGTGATTACCTATTACGGAAACATCAGCCTTGTCTCACGCTCAGACATCTTCAAAAGTCCTGCCACGGTACTTTCCTACAATACTACATGCTACAATGATATCCACTGATGCAAAAAAGTTCAACTCCTTACGATTCTTCCATTACCCAGAACGTTTAACTGATGGAGAAGTTCTTTAAGAACGATAGGCTGTCTCCACCAAGCGGAAATGACTAATGACAGGCTTGGCCACGCCTTTTGACAAGTCTCCAGACGCTGCTGACAAGGATCATATTTCTGCAGAAACTTGCCAGAAAAACGAAATGATATTGCGCAGTGTCTTTTCTCCCTAGCGAGCTATCCGCGCTGTTTCAAAATGGCAACTACCACTACCACGATCTATGCTGGATCGCACCTAGCGACTTTCGAGGTGGATGACTCGCGCCAGGCTTCGTTGATGCATTCTTCTTCAAACACTTCTCGTGGAGGCTCGCGACTTGGAAGTCGACTCTCACAGCATCAATTCTCATCTGAACTTGCTCATGATGGTCAAGATGTATTGTCGCAGACTCGGGCTGTCATTCTCATTACTGCCCTCACCGGAATTACCTTTGTGGGTAGTATGAGTGGTGGCTTGTTGACCATTGGATTACCGGAAATTGCGGCAGATCTGGAACTACCAGAGAACTTGCTCCTTTGGTGAGAGTCAACCGACCCTATCTTGAATTCAAACTAATAACGTGGCAATATTAGGCCGGCTTCCGTGTACTCGTAGGTTTCGACCTTTTTTTTTGTCGAATGATCAAACTAATCACTGACAGCCTTGCAAACGGGTGCTGTCTGCTTCTTGCTGGCTCTTTAGCCGATTTCCTCGGTAATAGACGCATTAATCTCATCGGTTGCGTGGGACTGTGTGCATTTATCTTGGCCTGCAGTGTCGCCAAAAGTGGTATCCAGATGATTTTATTTCGCACTTTCCAAGGAATAGCGACATCAATGTGCCTTCCAACAGCATTCAGTATCATGACCAATACCATGCCCGTTGGAAAACGGAGAAACATTAGTTTTGCTTGCCTGGGGCTTGGGCAGCCTCTTGGCTTTTCCATAGGATTAGTCTTTGGTGGCCTGTTTCAAGATAGCAGCCTCGGTTGGCGGTTCGGTTATTATCTCTGTGCTGGTGTCACAGCCGTTCTCACGCTCATACTCTATTTCAAGCTGCCGAATGACAAGCCGCGCGATGCCTTCACGCTCCGCAGACTTCGAGATGAGATTGATTGGGTTGGCATTATTCTCTCCAGTTCATGTTTGGGCTTGATATCATATGTCTTTGCGTAAGTTGAATGGCTTTTGATATGCGATCAGCTGCTAATATCATACTAGCATCATCACTGATAATCCTGGCAATATGCATCGTGCCGAGAATATAGCCCTGTGTTGTATCGCGGTAGCTTGTATGCCTGCGTTCATGTGGTGGATGAGCTGGCGAGAGAAGAATGACAAGTCCGCACTGATTCCTAACTCCTTGTGGAAGAACACCGCGTTCGCTTCCATTTGCTTGATGGTCCTTCTCACCTGGGCGGTTTTGAATGGTACAGAAACAATTCTCAGTCTCTTGTATGTTGTTCAAATTCCTTTAAAGTGACTGGGCTGACCGACAACAGCTTCCAAGAGGTTCAAGACCTTCCGCCTATCCAGGCCGCCGTTCGCTTCTTGCCCAACGTGATAATTGGAATAATTCTCAACGTTGCAACTGGTCTTCTAGTGTACCGTCTTCACGCCAACCACCTCGTCCTTGTTACCACACTTCTCAGTGCTGGTTCGCCGCTGCTATTAGCCGTAATCGACCCGCAATGGTCATGGTGGTACTGCGCATTCTGGGCCGTGCTACTAGGTCCTCTCTCGGCAGATGGTATGCATTAACCCTAATATCAAATGAACACAGAAACCTGACATGGTCTAGTCATCTTTACCGTCGCAAATCTGATTATCGCCGATTCATTTACTCCGAAGACGCAAGGCCTTGCTGGGGCTGTGTTCAACACCATCGCGCAATTTGGTACCTCTATCGGCCTGACTATCTTTGCCATCATTTCATCAAGCGTCACTCAAGAGTCATCGTACAGTAACAAAGAATCGCCCGACGCCCTGATGGCAGGCTATCGTGCTGTGTTTTGGACTTGTTTCGCATTGATGATCGCTGCCTCTGGCATCGGTGCATATGGCCTGCGCAAGGTTGGAAAGGTTGGACTGAAGACGGAGTAACTGTTTTCCCAAACTTATCAAACCTTCACTATGACACCGAGACTTGAGTTACTGGAATATGAATGATACTTGCTCGTGAAATCATACGATTAGGACTATCGACATAGATACGCTCTAGGTATGGGTAGTAGTCAAATTAACCCCAAGGACTATCGACATAGATACGCTCTAGGTATGGGTAGTAGTCAAATTAACCCCAAGGAATGCCAAATGTCGCCAATTTAAAACGCCCAGCCTGATGAATCTTGTAGTAGAAGCATTTTCAAAAGGAACAGTAATCGGAATTAATGTAAAGAATTCCGCTTGTTGTCTTCAGAACCTCGCGCGAAGATCAGTCGTCGGTGCAGCTTGGCACTATGCTCACATATGTTGAGGATTAAGTGTGTGAATATTCCATGATTGCTGGGGAAAATGCTGCAAGATTGGGAATCGCCAAAGCAAAGAGTAAAGATCGTTCATGTGGTCAGAAGTTCAAGTAGTGATGGTCGCAACCAATCAATAAATGATAGCCGATTTCTCCGTCTGCGCAGTATCTACTCTTGTCATGGTGGCTTGGCCGGTATTGACAGAGGGAATAGGTTGCAGGTTATCAGAATCGTTACCAAGGCGCTCCTCTCGCTCGAAATGTTCCCGCTCTTCCTCTTTGATACGCTTCAGTTCCTGACAGAACTTGCTATTGGCACGGATACGGTCGCCATAGCGGATGAAAGCAAAGGGGATAATCGACACGCCCAGGCTGAGGAATGCAATCAGACTGCATGCCCAATTCACGCCAAGTCGATTGAACATCGGCTTCGCAGCAAGAGGAATGACGGCGCCGAAGATGCTTCGTGTGCAGCTAGCCGCTGATTGGGCACTCGCAGACAAAGTCTCATAGGCATCGGTGAGGTAGTTCAACATGGCCATAAAGATCAGTAGGTAGCCCATTCCGAACGGAATACCGGAGAGGAACGGGACGACCCAGTGAATATTCGATGATGATGTCCATCCTACCCAGAACAGGGAGATTACATACAATGGACCTCCGATACAGGCAAGAGGTAGTCTTCGATACTCTTCAATACTCGCCCATTTCGCGTCGCGAGCCTTTGCGCGGGCAAGGAAGCCATCGTACCAGATGAAGACGAAACAAGCAAGGACTGCTCCCACGCCAATGGGCAAGAACATCAAACCGGCAATGCCAGCACTCATCCCGTAGATCCCTTGGAAGATGATCGGGTAAGCCTCGAAATAGAGGTAAAATATGGCGTATGCGAGCGCGAGGTACAGCGAAGTCAAAGAGACAATTGATTCATGAAGAAGCATTCGAAATGGTCGTGTCATCGTAAGGAAGAGCAATTGTCGAAGATTGCGGCTTTGCAGCTCCAAAGGCGAGACGATGTTTGAATTTCCAGTATCCTTGCGCAACTTCTTCGCACGTTTTGTCAGGACAACAGGTCCATATGTCTCTGGCATGAAAAGAACGAGCGGGAAGGAAACGCCGCAACAGATCAGCCCAATCCAGAAACACCATCGCCAGTCGACAACAGCGACGAATCCGGAAAACCCAGGGACCGATGATGGGCCCAAATGTGGTACACTGTCAAGGATTAGCGAGAATTGGCCCATTTCCAATGAATCAAAGAACGTACCGCCATGTAATAAGCCATCAAGCGACCACGTAGCGTTGGATTATCGTGGACATCGGCGAACAGTCCACCAGTTGTAGCGATTGGTGCAGATGCCATCATTCCGTTAAACAATCGGAAAATAAGCAATGAAGCATACGAATTGGCCACAGCGCATGCCATTGTGAAGATCATGAACCCGCAGTACGACACAAGCATGGGTTTCTTGCGGCCAAAGTACTCAGAGCTAGGACCCCAGATCAAGGGTCCGACGACGTAGCCGATCAGGAAAATGGAAATAGGGAGGACTAATGCCTCTTGATTGGTGATGTTGAACTCCTCGGCGATTTGAGGGATGGCATTACTGCAAATGGACGAGCCGATAGTGCTGTTCATGACCTGCATGACACCTGCGGCAAGAACCAGGAATTTCCTTGACTGGTAAGAAGTTAGTGTTAATGACTTTAAAAAAAGAAAAGTGCCAGTGATACCTTTTTCCAGTTGACTGGATTCTCCGGATCATTCACACCAAAAGAGACAACGGTCTTCGAAGCGACCTTGCGGAAACGAGAATATGACGGGTTCTCATATCGCTCCTGGATAGGTTCATGTGCCACTTCCGGTTCCTGGTCAGAAGAATCTCGCGATGAATCTTGTGAGTCATGAAGGGACTCGGCTACGTTTTCTAGAAGAGAATATAAGTATTGAGGTGTAAGCTAAGAGTGAAAGGGTAAACTAACCTATAGCAGACATGACCTTTTGCAAGTTCTCCTCCATTGGGAAGTGGTCGGACATGGTGACCTTTGACCCATTGAATCATTCAAGGTATGCGCCCAAGATCCAGGTGGGATGGGGCAAATATTATAAAGTAGACCTGTGCAAGGAAAATTCAACCAGGTCAAAGCCAGGTCCACTCTCTCAGGGTCCCAGTTTAACGCGGCCGACCAAATGAAACTCAATACCTTGGTGGGTTCAGGCTCCACATCCGGCTGCCACTCTTTTTTTTCACGCCCTACGCCCTGGTGAAGACATGATTCTGGAAAATACGGAGAGAAAATCTAGCCTAATCCAGTCGCATCTGGTATTTGTGGTTGCTGATCGCTTAGTCTACGTTTGTTTCGGTTAAGACGGCCTGACCACGAGAATCCTGGTTCGCGGAAAACGGCAGCTAGAGCAAGACTTGTGGAGCTCTCGTGGTAACTTCCTATGCTACACATACAAACTCTCACATAGTCCCTCGCAACGTAGACCGAATACTCATAGCCTCGATGATCAAATCAAGACCATCGGATTCGAACCGGTTGCGAACCGGCTCCGTAAGAGAATTGAATTTCCGATTGGCAAGACTTCAGTGTCTATCCGCATGCATCTGATTTCTTGGGCTGTCATTTTCCAACTCGGAAGAGGGGTCAATTGTATCATGCAGATCAAGCTATGACCCCAAGGTTGTGCAGAGCTATACTTCGGGCATCACTGACTTTCGATCTAGATTAGTCGACCCTTTGATCCCCGCATTGCTCAGCAGACCAAGCCCTTCAAAAGCCTTTCAGTAGTGATAGAACTTTAATGGCGTCCTGTTTCTAGATCAGTTCCAACGAGAACGTACGCGGTTAAATTCCGTGGTGTGGGTTTTGGAGAGCGTGAGCCGAATGCGACTCCACATGCTGTCCAAAATATACACCAAATCCCAAGTATAGATCTCATACAGCACGTCTGCGGAAACGCCCGTCACCAGAGAATGTACTTGTCTTATTCTCCGCCTCTGGCTCTGTCTGTGTGCCCAAGGAATGCTGTTATTCCTGTGCTTGTCTTGGTGAAGGGCGAACGCGCTGCGCCAAGCCTCACATACCCGGATGCGTAACCGACAAGATCGGACTTCTGGCCGAACTACTTTTGTCCCGTGAGACAATTGGATTTCACATGTGGGCCGTGAAACCCAATCTGGCCAGGCAAGTTCGAAACCTGATATTTGTATGGCTCGATTGATCGCGTGGCAAACACTGCGGATTCTGGAATTTGAACCTTCTCGCGTTCGTGCCTCAGGCATCAAAGACTCATGTTCGCTCACGTGACGTCTACAGAAAGCAACTGATCAGGAAATATAATGATACATTGAGCGCGTGGAGCTCGTAGATATTGAGAGTCGTCGTCAGACTCTAGCAGATGTCGCGGTTACATTGGCCAAAATATGTCCGCAAAGTTTGAAAAACGTGTTGTATTTCGATAAGTTGTTGCCATTTTTTTAAAGAGATTGTAGTATCGGAACTCGTGACAAATTAGTGGGATGCGAGACCCTGATTGAATATGTATTATGTAGATGATGTGATTCTCGGAACTTGACATGTCTGCCGGGAAAGAATATGCCCAGATAGGCCAGCGATTGAACTCCGGTCAATAAAATCACACTCTAAAGTGCAAAAGCAATGCCCAGGATTCCAGCCACTCCAGCGAAACTCATAGCCACACCACCAGTAGCGATAGGAGCGCCACCAGTGGAAGTCGCAGACGAATGGGCAGTTGACTTGGAGCTGGAAGCAGCACCCGACTTAGTGGAAGAAACGCTTGAAGCCTGAGTCTCGGTGGCAGCAGAACCAGAGGAGCCAGTAGCAGTGGTCGCCACGGCAGTCTGAGAAGAAGGATAGGATGAGCTAGACCCAATGGCCGTGGTCATCGAAGGATCCACGCCGAGCAGATTCTCGTCAAAACCACCAAGCTCAGTAACAACCGCTTTAATGCTGGCTGGCAGATTATTGTACCACGCTGGGTACGTGCCAGCCGCAGCGGCGCTGGCAACCGAGGCGATTTCCGCGGAGTTCATGTACTCCCAAGAAGACGGAACGGCGGTTTCCAAAACGCTCACATAATCACTTGGGAGTGCAGCGTCGGGGCTCACAGACGTAGAGTCGGAGTCCGAAGAGTCGTTGGAGTCCGAAGAGCCGGAGCTACCTGAGTAGCCTTCTGAGGTAGCTATGGCTGTTGCTTGTGGCATAGCCAAAGCCGGAGCGAGGAGAAGCAGAGCCGCAAAAACCTTGGAATGCATATTGAATGGCACGAACAAGCGATTGGCGGTGTATCACTTAAACGAGTGTGGGTAGGAAGTTAAAAGAGTGAAGTATCATCAGATAAAGCAAAACGGTGTCGACAGCGAAACCCGGAACCCCACGGGAAAACAGCAAGCCTAAATACTGCCTTGGAACACATGGGAAATTCTGGGGGTCGGCAAACTATTAATTAAAGGCCACCGTGATAGTTGTTGCGGAGTCTCTACTAAATGTTCAGGGTCCAATTGGCTTCAAGGCTAGCTGCGATGCCCCGACGCCCATGCCCATTTATTGCCTGATTAGGGGAATTTTGCTCGGTTGCCGCCTCGCTTAATCTGTTTCTACGACACTTCATCCGCCACATTGAACGCCATGACTCAGATAAATCTATTCCTAGTCCCTTGTGGGCTGAACATAGGGTCCAAACACTGGGATTCTAGCAGTTGTTGAGTGGAGCAGACCCTCTTAATCCAGGGCCAAGACGACAATAACCCAGCAACTCAGGGCTTAGTTTCTCGTGGGGTAGACAAGCATTTTTGCCAATAAATGCCAATAAATGCCAAGCTGCAGGTCTAAGAGAACGAACCCGTGTGACAGCACGGGTTCGTTCTCTTTCCTATGAGCCTCTGACCCTATCCTGAGAGTCTTCTTAGATGCGTGATCCATGTTTTGGGATCGCGCTCAACGCACAGACCAGCCCGTATTCGCCCAAAACTCGCAGAATTTGTTCGTCGCTGGCGAATAACATAGTTTGGCTAGTTCACTGGCACGACCACTAAGCCTAGATGATCAAGGGCGACTCAAGGCCATTGTGATGTTCAGCTCGCTTACATGGCTCCAAGTAACCTCGATGTGACCATGCATCTTCTCATACCACGTCACTACCGTTCACGAAGAGAGCTCGAGTCTCAAACTATCCGGTCTTCCATGGTTATCAAGCCTTGCTTTGTCACGATCTCGTTGCTTACCTTTTGGTAAAACCTAATAGGATGTTTCGATGCCGCCTGATTTCTCACTCAGTGGAGCACTAAAATCTCACGCCTGAAATGTTCTTCCCCTTTGTTTGATTCTCAATTACATGATCCCCGAAGAATGATTCCCCTATTTCCCCTCTTCCGGCCTACATACCTGCGCCTACGATGATAACCTTGTCTTCTCCAGCCCTGTCAGATAATTGTCAGTGATTGCAAATATTGACGAATGTAGGGCTTTATTGCGAAAATTGCTTACCGTACCTCCTTTACTGAACACCATTGTGGCAGTCATCCATGATTGATTCGTCACTAGATCACGCATTCGAGTCAAGGCGGTTGAATAGCTTAATTTTGTGCTACTTTAGTAGAAACACCGAGATAAAGGATTCGTGAAGAATCCTACAGGCCCACTCCGACCAGGCCAATCAATTCCGAGGAACTGAGATCTCCCCTAGCCACCCACTCTCGGAAATGACCCGGGGTTTATCCTGTATTTAGCTTCTCCCTACCCGCGTATTGTGAACATCACTGGTGGAACATTGCGACCGTTCAAGTCCCACTGACGCTCCGATAAAGCTTTGCTACGGAATCAGATCATGCCGGGCGAGTGCGCCCAAAAATGCTTATTGTGAATAGAAGCTAGTCAGTGGCTGATTTTCCCCGGCGCTTTACCTTAAGCTGTATTGTAGGAGGAATGCTAATTGGTTTCAGTTGCACTGGACGCGTGGACGGATAAAACAGTGGAGGTAATCCACCACACAAGCTGAAACAGAATGTTAGGTCCTACGCTTACATGTTATTATTCTGCACGCTAATATAGATGAATGAGGGCTTGTTTATTCCGGCGGACTATCCGGATGAGGCCAACTAGTGCCCCCATCTAAAGCAATCACTCTAATAGTCCCGTAGCATGCCCACACCGCTTCGGGTGTTGCCGAAGCGGTGTGGGTATGCTACGGGACTATTAGTTGTACTTCCTCTTACTAATGTTAGGGGGGCAAGCAGCGGGAGAATATTAAAGAGAGACTACATGCTCAGGTCTGTTTCTCCAAACAACCCACTTATTCGATTCCTTCATCTTCACTCGTTTCATTTTTTTTAACCTATTTCCCTCAATCCGTTGATCGGCAAACCATGAGATTTTTCACTTTTGTTTCACTTGCGGCCACGGCTCTGGCAGCCAGTCGCACAACCGCTCCTTCCGGTTCCATTGTTGTCGCCAAGTCGGGCGGTGATTATACTACTGTATGTGAATGATGAAAAGAGCTCGCTTGTTCTACACATGAGCTTACGGGTTACCAGATCAGCGAAGCCATTTCGGCCTTGGACACCGATAGCTCCGAGACCCAGACCATTTTCATCAAGGAAGGAACCTACGCCGAGCAGGTGTACATTCCCAAGCTTTCAGGAGCGTTGATAATCTATGGACAAACTGAGGAGTGCGTCCGCGTTCTCCAGATCCAGGCGTCACTGAGCTTATAACACTGACCGATACAATAGTGACACCTCCTACACTTCCAACACCGTTACCATCACCTCTGGCCTCAGCCTGGAGGAGGTTAGTAACGATGACGAGTCCGGTAAGAAATTCAATGATATAGAAAATCATATCTGCTCTAGAGTGGACCCATGCTAAAACCCCAATTTAGCCACTCTGCGTAACTGGGCCGCCAAATCCAGCATCTACAACATCAACGTCAAGAACACCTACGGTGAAGGTCATCAAGCTCTCGCACTGAGCGCCTACAACACCGAACAAGGCTACTACGGCTGCCAGTTCACTGGATTCCAGGGTAAGTGTAATCTATTCTGGCCATTGATATCTCAATTACGTGACTGTTTACTAACGGTGTAGACACTGTTCTCGCCGAGACCGGCTACCAGGTTTATGGCAAGTGCTACATCGAGGGTGCCATCGACTTCATTTTCGGTCAGACAGGAATGGGCTGGTTCGATAGCTGTGACATTGGTCTTCTCAAGTACTCCGAGGGTACTATCACCGCTCAGGGCCGTCCCTCCAGCTCCGATGAGGGATACTACGTGATCAACGAGTCCACTGTCGATGCTGCCTCTGGTGAGGATGTTGCTGAGGGAAGCTATTACCTCGGCCGTCCCTGGACCGAGTATGCCCGCGTTGTCTTCCAAAAGACCACTCTCAGCGATGCCATCAACTCCGCCGGCTGGATCGAATGGTCGACTAGCGAGCCCAACACTGAAAATGTTCTCTTTGGCGAGTACGACAATTCCGGTGATGGTTCTGAGGGCACACGCGCCAGCTTCGCCGAGAAGCTCTCTTCCGCAATCCCCATCACTACCATCCTTGGCAGCGACTACAAGGACTGGGTTGACACCAGCTACCTTGCCTAAGCGCTTTACTCTTTGTTTTTTTTACAGCTCTCTTGTCCTCGCATCCTTGTGTGTTGAATTTTCCAGAAGGGTTTGTCTATTAACTTAGTTTTACCTTAGTGTCAAGTATATAGGCTTTCTAATTTTGTTTCCTTCTTAGGCAAGCTGGGAAATGGGAACCTTGGACCACCAGAACTCTGTCTCTTCTCTGGCCCAGTCATCTTTCACAAATTTAGCAGCTGGAGTGGTACTACCTCCGATCAGCTCTTCGTTGTCTTGACCGAAGATCATTACTCGGGCATCATCCGGGACAAAAGCCTCCCACTTAGGCCTTTGACCATAGCGGCCCAAGGTGGCATTCGGATCACCTGTAGTAATGAAGCTAGTAATGTAGGCATGCAGTGTCCCCGAAAGCTCTTTTTGTGACTCCGAGATGCCCGTGATATCGCTATTGTATGTCTCATAGTACATATTGTCTCCATGATTCGCTCGGCCGACAATAGTCCTAGGCAAAGCCCAATGATAGAGGTAAGCTGGCGTGCCTTGAGATGCGGCAAATTGAACTGTCTGGCGGACTGGAGCAACATAGGCATAGTGCCCGTATGCAGCCTCAATACGTTTGTACTGAGGACCTAAGCCCTCTCCTTTTCTTGTTTCGACGTACGGGGAAGTAGGATCAGACCTAGGATCAGGATATAGTCGATCAATTGTATCCAGATCGGCAGACGTCAGTTCGGGAAGAAGATTTTGCCAAAATTCGCGGAACTGGGCAGGCCTGGACATCTTCTTGTCCACGTAGAATGTTCCTTCGTTGCTATTGAAGCCGGTCATAATGGGTACCTTGTTCCATAGCTCGGACTTCCAAGCATCTAGAGGTTTGCGGGAGAGGATATCTTCATCAATGACTGGTTGGAAAGCCCACCGAAGAGAGGGGTTGTATTTGTCAAACACGGCTGTTTGAGCCTTTGTGACAGTCGAACTAGGAAGTGATCGCAGGAATTGGAATACCTCGGACTCAGGGAGATCTTTAGGGCAGCCTGTCTCTTGGAGAAAGTCTTGAAACTGCTCCTCGTGGATTTGCGCATTGTAGGCCGAACCGCTCGGGAGGTTGGCGATCCCGATTCCAGAATGAGGCGATGAAACAACGGGGGCGTGCGCTCTTTATAGTTGAGAAGATGATGACCGATCTTAATTTGAACTGTTTCAGCTTGCTACCATGCGAACATGCAATAAGAGGGTGAGAAGAACGTACGGAATGCGCACCAGCCGACAGGCCAAACAGGGTGACATTGCCAGGATCGCCTCCGAATTTACCAATATTTTCTTGTACCCATTCAAATAAATGAACTTGGTCGCGCAGACCCAGATTTAGGACACCCTCTTTCTTGGACAGGCTCGAAGGCAAGAATCCCAGAGCTCCCACTCGGTACCCGAAGCTCACGCCGATGAAGGGCGACTCAGACCAAGCGACCATGGACCCGGTGTTGTGCATAGCCGCTGCTCCTCGATTGAAAGCACCTCCATGTATATAGAGCGCTACAGGAAGCCTGTCCATCTCTGTGATTCCAGCCGGTCGAAAGATGTTCGCGGTCAGGCAATCCTCGCTTTGGTCGAGCCTCGGTCCGCCTGAGAGCAATGCTTTGCCTGGGGCCATGGGGCCATATTTAGAGCCATCGATGGTCTTTGCAGAGGCTGAAACTTTCTCTGCGGGCTTGAATCGTCTATCCCCGACTGGTGGAAGGGCATAAGGAACCCCCAAAAAGGCATCGATGGCTTGGGGGAATGTATCCGTGAATTGAATACCCACCACCTGGCCTTGGGCAAGGATAACAGAAGGACGCGAGGAGATTGTCATGACGACGAAGGTCGGAGCGAGTTAGTGAGCTGTATGATAGGCCGTAGGAAGGGGAAAGGGCCGAAATATAGGCAGAGCGCGCATTCCTCTCCGGGGTTCAGAAGTAGTTCCGTGCGGGGGCGATTGTAAGTGTAAGATGGGAAGAGAGTGGAGACAGATAGTTATCTTGTCTTAGCATAGATATGAGCAACATGCGCCTCTATCTTTTGGAGTCTATTGTTTCGGACAGATGCCGAACGAACAGACTTTCTCCGCATGATTTACCCCCAAAGGCCAAGCAAGTGGAGAGAGATAACAGGTCAATGGCGTCCCGAGTATTAAAGTGGCCCTCAGATGACTTTCCAAGGGGGCTATTCCATCTTTTCTACCATCAGTCAGGTTGAATCAAGGCAATTATCCCAGGATGAAGAGTGACGCCAAAAAGGTATCTATGATAAGTAACGCAGATGAAAAAGACCTTCAGGTTGGGACCATCACAGACCTCGATGAGGGTGAAGTTTTCCTTCACGAAAATGGGTTCACCCACGACGCTGTCCAGACTCTCTTGGATGATGCTCCGCGCAACAAGGCTCTAGTCCGAAAGGTAGATATGGTGCTCCTCCCACTTCTTGCAAAGACCTACATGCTCCAGTATATTGACAAGTCGGCCTTGGTATACTCCGCCGTGTTTGATCTATTGACATCGACCCACATGTCAAGCAACGAGTACAGCTGGCTCGCGAGTATTTTTTTTATTTCGCATATCTTGTTGCAGAGTATCCGTGGAACATGCTTGCCCAGAAGACGAGACTGGCGAAGGTGATCTCAGGCAACGTGGTCGCATGGGGCTCTATGCTCATGATCACCGCCGCGTGTCACAATTTCACGGGGATTGCCATCTGTCGCTTCCTACTCGGTATCTTTGAGGCCCCCATTACACCCTGCTTCATGATGATTGTGACGATGTGGTATACTTGTGAGCAGCAGCCATTCCGTGCCGGTGTATTCTATAGTTGCAACGGATTGGGCGCTATGGTGGGCGGCATCTTGACCTATGGGATTGGTCAAATCGAGACAATCGCGGTTTGGCGAGCAATCTTCCTCATCCTAGGTGGCATCACCGTGGCCTGGGGCGTTGTAATGTTCTTGTTCCTTCCCGACGATGTCATCTCCGCAAAGAGGTTTACTTTGGAAGAAAAAGCTCTTCTCATCGGCCGTAGTCGCCTAGGCCGAACTGGTGTGATGAACTACCAGATCAAATGGTACCAGATTCGGGAGGCGCTTGCCGATGCCGAAGTCTGGATTCTGTTCTTATTCACTTTGTTTAATGAGACGATCAACGGCGGCATCACGAACTTTAGCAAGCTGATCATCAAAGGCTTAACTCACGATTCTCTGACCACAGTTACACTTGGCATTCCCCAGGCGCCTTTCAAATCTTCTGGATTCTGTCTGGCACATTTCTTGCATCTCGCGTGCGCAACTTTCACACAACTGTGATGGTCATGTACCTTGTCCCCACCATCATTGGTATTTGTCTTCTTTGGAAGCTACCGCATGAGACGCACAAGGTTGGCGTCTTATTTGGCTACTACTTAAGCGGCGCATACGTCTGTTCTTTGGTTCTGGCACTTCAAATGCCGGCTACCAATCGAGGCGGCTATACGAAGAAAAGTACAGGTGTTGCTTTGGTCTTCTTTGCATACTGTGCTGGGAATGTGATTGGACCTCATGCATTTTTGTCGAAGGAAGCGCCCATCTATGAAACCGGTTGCAGGGTCATGCTGTCTTTCGCCGCAGCTCAAATTGCCTTGGCAATCTGCTTACGAATTCTCTTAACGAGGAGTAACAGGCAGAGTGATGCAGCAGCAGCCAGTAGTCAAGCTATCGCCGACATGTCAGAGTATGATGAATTGGCGGATTTGACTGACTTTGAAGTGAGTTCGCCATCGCAGGTTACCATAAAACAAGAAGCTGACCAGTGCGCAGAATCTGAACTTCCGATACGTACTTTGAGTTTCCTTTCCAGGATGTGAAGCGTGATTCTTTTGGCGTCTATCTACCATATGTTATTAATGTGAATCTACCGGTTTACCACGTGAGGCAGTTGCGACACTATGATTTGTTCGAGCTTGAGTAAGACGTAGAATTTCTCGGGAGTAAAAGTCCTAACAAAGATAAACGGATGAGGGGTTGCCAGTCATATGGACATCTTGGAGCTCCTGAATGGGCAATTGACTGCTGGTTATCTTACCCCACGCCCTACGACAAGCCCACATACCAGTTCAGGAAAAGTGATCCACCCAGGTACAGCACCCGGCGGTTGATTCCCCGCGGACCACATCGTTCAAGTCGTCTCTATAAGAGCGACAAGCATCTCTCTCACATCACAAAACGACGGCCATCATGAATTCTTTCACCTTGCCCCCTTTTCAAGCCGATGGTCCAATCAAGCCGATCACCTGTGTGGAAATGCACACAGCCGGCGAACCTACACGAATCCTCTGGTCCGGTTTCCCAGAGTTAACGGGAACATTGCTTGAACAGCGCGCACAAGCCAAGGCAAAACACGACGACTTCCGAAAGTTCTTGATGCTAGAGCCTCGTGGCCACTATGACATGTATGGCGCGATACTTCGCACCGAGACCGAATTAGTCTCGACAGGCGAAGCAGACATAGGCGTGTTGTTTATCCACAACGAGGGCTTTTCAACGATGTGCGGTCACGCCACTATCGCATTGGGACGCTTCCTGGTAGACGTTGACGAGTCGGTTTTCCCACGCAGACGTCAATTGAAGTATGACAGCGTATCTGGCACAACCAGGCTGAACTTGCATGTGCCTTGTGGAATGGTCGAGGTCACTGTTCCTACTCTGCCGACGGGGAAGTCTGATCCTTCACGTCCTGTTTCATTCGTATCAGTCCCGTCTTTCGCGACTGCTATCTCCCTTCAGGTGCCCCTGCCGGAGAAGTATCGGTGGCCTGAGCTCCAGGGTCGCACCTATGTGACGGCGGACTTTGCATACGGCGGAGCTTATTATTGTTTGATCAACGCAAAGGACTTGGGATTCCCTGCAGGGTTGGGCGAAGCCGAGGTTCAAAAGATGGATCACGCTACGAGGCTTCTCAAGGAAGCGGTCGTCACAAACCCGGAGCTGGCATATGTGACCAAGGATGTGGTGACTGGGGAGCAAGGCTACCTTTACAGCATCATGATCGTGGATTCATCCTTGGGACATGTTGATGCAGCCGAGAGAACCGCTGGATTTGAAACACAGCAGGGTGTTGACGCCGAAGAGACCGGTCTCTGTTTCTTCGCAAACCAGCAAATTGAGCGATCGCCAACTGGGGGATGTGTTGCTGCGCGTGTTGCTCTTGCTCATGCTAAGGGTACCCGCGCCTTGGGGGAGAAGTGCGTGTATAATTCACTATTCACTCGTGCGTATCCGGCTCTGTCAGGCTTTGTAGGCTCCGTGTTTGACAGCGTCGAGGGCCGCCAATGGGTCCGTGTGCTCGTCGGTGGGTACGCATATTATACCGGAACTCATTGCTTCGTGGTCGAGAAAGAGGATGGTATTGGTATTGATGGCTTCTCGGTCAAAGATGTGTCAAAAGTAACAAAGTAAGCTTTACATTTGAGAATCGGATCAAAATTTGGAAACAAAGGAAACCGAGCCTGTTCTTGGAATGGAAAACTGAGACAAAGTATTGTACATCGTATTAGAGGGATGGACAAAGCTGAAACAAATAAATCTAAGGGTAGTCTCTCTAGGTTCCGCCCCCTTTTTACAACACTCGAATTCCTCTATTTGCCGATCTCAACACCACCGGTGGCACCGAGAACACGCTTGATGTCACCGTAGATGGCGAACTGACCGGCAGTCAGGGAACCGACCATGAAGAGACGGAGACCGATACCAGAGTAGGAGCCACGGATACCGAGCTCCTTTCCGATCTTGACGAGACGGGACATGGGTTCCCTCACCGGGAGCACCCGGGGTCTTGTTGATCTTGGAGAGCATAGTGTCGGCGGGCTGAGAAACAATGGCGGCAGCGAGACCAGCAACGAGACCGGAACCAAGGTTGATACCAGTCTTAGCACCGTCGGAGAGAGTGTCCTTGTTGACGGTCTTGTAGACAGCCTCGGAGACCTTCTCGAAGACGACGAACTTGGCCATGGTGTAGGGGACCCTGAGAGAGAAAAAAACAAAGAGTGTTAGCATATGCTGTTCGATAACTGGCAATCAAGTCTCGGCACTTACTGCTTGAAAAGAATGGGACCGAAACCAGAGTAGAAGGCAGCGAGACCCTCCTCCTTGAAGATACGGCTAGCACCACCGATGAGGCCGTTGGCGAAAGTGGGCTGGGAGACGAGACGGATACGGGTGGCCTCGAGGGGGCACAGGGCAATGTCGGCCATGAACTCAGCGCAGGCGGAAGAAGCGAGGTAGACAGCAGTGCGGTTGTTAGCAGCGGTCTCGTAGCCGATCTGGTTGATCGCCTGCTGCTTGAAGAACTCGTAACCTCCGAACTTCAGGGGCACCCTGGAGGAAGTAACCGGCGAAGGTAGGACCGAAACCAGTCAGAAGAGCGCCAGCACCCTCCTTCTGGATGACCTGCTTGAAGCTACCGATCATGCCACGGTTGTAAGTAGCGGGGTCGAGCTGCATGCGGGTCTTGACGCTATAGAGAGAAATTCTTATATCAGCCCTGTTCCATCCCCTGCGATTTCTCATCCGATTCTCACTTACACATCAAGAGGAGTGACAGCTCCGTGGGTGATGGAACAGCACATGGCACCTGTCGAAAGAGTTAGAAGCTGTTTACATGCCCGAGTCGTGCATCCATGTTGGCGTCGGCGCCAGTTAAGAGTATGTTCGTATTTACGAACCAATCGGACTCGTACGTACCAGCGAAGGCGAAGCGCGAGTAGAGCGCAAGGCCAGAGAGAGGCTTCTGTTCTTGAACGGCGGCCATTGTGATGGTTTGTGATAAAAAACCGGGGGAGAGAGGAGAGCGTATATGGGGGACAGAAAGGAAAGAAGGGAAAAGGCCTTTTTCTGCGATTGAAAGGGATGGGTCCGTCCCGAAAACTTTTCGCGGACCAATGCGGTACAGGCTCGGCAGCACACGGGGACATCCACCTAACTCCGATCATCGCCCGGTCAACCGCATAGCTCAATTGTATGTGCAGATGAATTAAGCGGGTTCTTATTATGATCTGTCAAGACGAACAGGACCTAGATGATTCCTCTGGTGATGATTTGAAGTTGCTACGGAGTGAATATGGTGATGAATCAAGTCCTCGGGGTGGGGGAAAGTCGGGATCCACGGAATGATGCGGCTCACCTAGACGGTCGGCCGGACGCTATATCTGTACTTTTCTACAGTGTCCATCCCATGCTACATCAGTGTCTCCCGTGTCGCAAGACCAATGCGCTTGTTCACAGGACATGCATCGTACAGCTTGTTCCGGTTGCCCAGACTATCCAGCGCCCCGTGTTTTTCCCTCCCTACGTCACAAAAGTGGACACCTGGCGCTTGCGATGGGGCATTATTTGTTACCGCCCGGTTTTGGCCACAACAGAGCCAAGACCGTTGTGAGGGACCGTGTGCCACTGAACCAGCCTGAAAGTCCAGTCTTACATTTCTGAAACGGCATCATGGAGCTCTGCAAATCAGCGCCCGGCTCTTGCACTCAAAATTACAAGAAGCGATTGCTTGATTGGCCAGAGCCCAACGTCGCATCCTGAGATCCGAAAATTCTGTGAGGAGGCTGAAGTACTTGGAAGATCTAGAGCCGTGAAGAGCCCTTGATATCTTGATCTCTATATCTATGCAACCCAGCCGAAACAGATGATCTCAAAGGGCTTTCAGGTTTGATCCTCTCAATCTAGATATCACTCTAGGGTTGATGCGAGACCTATTTGCGTTACACAGATAAGTGTGTGCTCCTCTGTCCTCTTTCCTTTTTCCTTTCTACCAAAGACAAGAGCTATGCTGGACACGATACGGATGATGTTCGTCAATTGAGCTACCTCGGAATCCTAGCTAGGCTATCTGTAAGGCCCCCGTGTAGAAATACATACAATGCAGTTTAGGAGCCCTCCACACCGACTGACTACCTCGGCGTGATCGATGCAACATAATAAAAGTCCGTCTCTTGCAGATATGGGATGTGGATTTGAGTACACTCGGACTTCTCCGAGAGTCAAATCTCTCATCTAGTCGCCCAAACCTGCAAGAAGGAAAAGGGTAAGTGGAAAGAACGAACCTTGTGCTCAACGAGTGCGAAAAGGTCACTGTAGATGGGTCGCCAGTGCGGCGCATGGTCAGATCAAATTCATGGGAGAGAATGGCATATTACGGAATCAAATACCCCTTAGTCTTAGCTTCAGGAGGCTTCAAGGGTGGTATTGGGTAGTGGGGGCCGGCCCCGGATGGGTTCTTGAGAGTTGGTGTAGGAGTATGATATACCATCGATCAGGCGGGCGTCGCGGTACTAGACATGGTATTCGGGGTAACTTGGCGCTTCGCATTTCCTTGGGTCTGATCCTAGTGGCAGAATTGGGCATTAGTTTTTCCTGGCTGGCCGGTACCCTGTGTGCTGGTTCCGCGAGACGAAGGAATTCGGTTGCGAGTTTCGAGGTTGAGCCGAGGTGATTAATCTCGGTTTCTTCGGCGCACTTACGTCCAACTGCTGTTCGAGTCTTCGCTTCTGACCCTGACCGTTTGCGTCGGCTTTCCGAACCACCTTCTTCTTTGGGCGCACCGGACGTGTTTCGCCTGGTTGGAATACATCCTCGGGCAAGTCGAAGCTGGAAATGTCAAAACATGGACAACTCAGATTTCATGGGCCCAACTCACTTGCGAACATGAACAACGGCGAGGTCCATAACTTCGGGTTGATACCCGGCCCAGGATGTGCACATAGACTTGAAATGTTGAGAGTCCAGTGAAATGTCCAAAGATCGAGCAGCACCTAGAGCGGTTAGATAGATCAGACAAGTGAGGATTGGCATCCATACCGGGCTCCAGGGGCTTTAGTTCCAATCCAATGTAGTAAGTAGTGGTGTAAATGGTCTTATCATCACTTTTTGCGTCCTCCTGGGATACCTCTGAGTTTTCTTCTTTGTGCTCTGGGACCGCTGGGACGACTGCATTTTCCTCTCCATTCTGGGCTGCAGCTTCATGGGCTGCATCCTTAGTTTCGTCGGTCGTTTCCGTAGAGGTTCCTTTGGCTACGTATTGAGTCGATCCGTTCTTGACAGCTTCCATCGCCTGCTCATTAGGGACAGAGTGGATTCTTTCGAATCCTTTAGGGAAAGGGTGCGCCACGGCAATGATAGGTTTCCGATCTAGGGCAATGATGAGATGTCGCAGTTTCGACTCGACGAGGCCAGACCAAATTCCCTCCGCCTCCTTTGTTTTGCTCGATGCAGTGATGCTGAGATAGTATTTGTAGTCCTTGGTGAAAAATGAGTGACGGCTAAACAAATCATTCCAAGTTAATTGCTTCATGAAAATCTTGTCCACTACGTCGCCTCCGCGCTGAAGTTCTTGGAGAATTACAGTCCTCGTTGACATGGAGATGTTGTGTGTAGCGCACATGGAGGGATAGGCAGGGGTGATGATGGGCATAAGATGCCAACGGTCGCCAGGGTAGATCTGGACATCGAGTCAGGACATACAGCACCAATGTAAAGAGACCGGCGGGAGTTCAATTTACCTTCGGATTCCAAATCTTCATTTGAAGAGGCCCTTCCTCGATGTTCTTTAGCATCACAGGCTGTGGCCATGCCCACTTATTCATGATCCTGAAGAATTTGCCCACAATGACTGAACCGGTCGCTTGTGGGTAGAGTTGACAAACTCTAGCAACAAGCATCGCCCATGCAACACCTCCAGGGAAACCGACAATGTTGGCATAGATTGCCCGGCGTTGAGCCCAGAGCTTAATTGCGCGCAAAGCTAGACGGAAAGTCTTCTGCTGGGGGACAAGTTCCAGAATTTCATCTGTGACACGAGTTCCATTCAGCGATCGCACCTCCTTTTCATCCAACCCACGCAAGTAGTCATTGTTCTTCAGGTCGAGATTCATCGGCACCGAGGGTATTATTAGGCGACCGAAGATCAGATCAATACTGATTCCAGCCATCTCGAGCTTGATGATGGGAACAAAGGCATCTGGAACAGGCGTCATCTTTTCAATTGTTCCTGGAGGAGACATTTGTTCCAAGATGGGAGGGAAATCGGCAAAGAAATCATCAATGACGACATGCTTTGGGGCAACGACGAGCGTATCGATATCGGAGCCTGGGACACCAGTCGTAAGCGAACATTCCAAAGATCAAGTAATCATGGTGTGAGATTTACCTGGGCCATAAACACCGAGTCTGTAACTTCCGTAGGGGAAGATCTTTCCTCCGGAAGCTTCGACAGCCGCCGGCGACAGGCCCTTCTTGCGACTGACAACCTTGACAAATTCCAATGTGACGCGTTGAAGAAGCTGGAGCATTTGCTTTCTATCGATTCATAGTCAATATTCGTACCCGCAGATGCCCGATTGCCTAGGGATGTAATTAATGTACCTCCGCTCCGTCTCCGAGGGCGGCTCGAAGTTGTTCTGACTTTTAAGCTCTGCGATAAGATCATCGCTTGCGCTCAACTCATCCTGAGTGGGAAGAACTGTCGAGATAGGGGGTGTCACACCCCACTGTCGAGTAGGCGGTGCGGCCATTGTGTCGTTGTCTGTCGAAGATGGTGAAAGACCGGAATGTGCAGCGTTCGCGACGAAGATAGGGAGATAACCGCGGGAAAGTCGCTAAGGTAGATAAGGCGAGCGCGCAAAGTATGACAAGGGTATGAAACTGGCTCCTTGAAGCCAAAAAAAGGAAACAAGGAAGGAATCGACGGCAATGGAAAGAGTGGCAGACGAAAGCAGTAACAGGAAGTGGAAGAGCCAAGGTCGACAGCGCTTCCATGGGCCCAGGGCGCTTACTCATAGTTGGCACGTGATTCGTCCCATACAAATTCGTTCCTTCATGACAACGGATTTCATTGGCTTAGAACTTTTTTTGATGCTCAAGCACTATCCAATGATGAACATGCTTGAACAGGACCTTATATCAACGCTAAGTGCTATGTAAAATTTCCGATGTACCCATCCACAGCTATCCTTTCATCCTCTTCAGATCATCAAGAGACCGCATCCGACTACTCTTCCGCGAAAAAAGTAGACAACTGTTTATCTAGCCATGCGACATCCTCCTTGCTATCGCCGGGGCCTCCTGCCCAGTCTGTTTCATGTCAATACGGAACTTTAAAAGATGGGCAACCCTTGAGCAAATTACTTACGTCCCCAAATGGAAGGGAAAACTTCCAATTTACCTATTCCCGGCTTCATGCATGCAACCTCGTACTCTGAGTCCTCCGGTCTGATGGTATTCAGTATCAGCTTCAGTTCAAGACCTCACGTGGATATCCAGGGGCAGGCTTACGGGAAGTAAAGATCCGTCTTTGCAGGTAGCACAAGCGTCTTGGCCTTGATGGAGGCCATCGCTTTCTCGAAATCGCCATTGTATGGCTCTTGCAGGGAGACATCACCAGTCTGCCAGGTTTGGATCATGACCAGCAGGTTCTCGGGGTCTGCCCAAGATGTTTGTGTGTTAGATATGCTGAAACAAAAGGAATCTAAAATTAGTCAGAGCACAATACCTTTGGAACATGCCCATTTCTCCCAGAAATTTTGCATGAAGTCTTCGAGGTCTTGATATCCAAGCGCGGACTCATACAGCTTGTGCCGGTAGAAAGCTTGACTGAAACCCCTGTTTGTTGAAAGTCAGACCAAGTTTGCCAATGTAAGGTTGCGGAGATCCTTGTCTTACCAACCAGCATAAACCCTACCCAGGGCCTTTAAACCGACTTCTTTATCGCCGTTAGTCCAAGTGCGAGCCTCTTCCCCCTTCTCATTTATTCCAATCTTGCCAAGACCAGCCGATCGCATGTTCTTGACTGCAATCAGGGCGCTTTTGACTCCCTCGAGGAAGACTTGATTATGCAGGGAGGTCTTGGCAGCTCCACAGAATGGGATAGCCAGATCCATAAAGTCTGGGTACTGAGTGGCCCATTGGAAGGTCTGGCCACCTCCCATTGACCAGCCGATCACCGCACGCAGGTGGGTGATGCCTAATTGCTTGGTAACGAGCTCATGCTGAGCCCGCACGTTGTCGTAGAACGAGACCTTGGGGAAGGGTCCGGGAGTAGGTTGGTTCGAAGGAGATGACGACTGCCCATTACCAAATAGAGCAGTGATGATGATGAAATATTCTTTGGGATTGAGTGTCTTATCTTCTCCAAGGAGCCAGAAGTTATCCGAAATAGCTATTGCAGCCAATCATTAGCCATTTGTATGCAAAGTATCATTCAAATAGAACAGACATACCGCCCGAAAACCAGGAAGGATACAAGATAGCTGGCGATTTTGGGTCACCGAACGTCTTGTATGCGATATGCGCGTTGGCGATCTTCTCCCCAGACTGCAGCTCCCAGTCCCCAAGCTTATAGGTCTCGTAATCTTCCTGTGACATGTTTGCTCGTTTCTGACGAAATGATTCTCTGTGGAAGTAATGAAGTGATCCAGATTCGGGGGGTAACGACTGTCTTGGGCGCCTCCGTTTTATAGCTTTTGGTCTGATGATAAGAACCCCGCTCGACGCGCTCTCCGCACGGCCGCTGGGAATTGGAGTGACTTCAAGAACATCCTAGCATTCTGTTTCTGTTTGTCATTTCCGTCTTCATTTGTCACAGATCAGCAATTCCATCAACGTTCCCATCTACGATCGCACCAGCCAGCCCACCGGCTAACCCACCGGCCATCCCACCGGCCATCCCACCGGCCATCCCACAGGCTATCCCACCATCCATTCCATCAACTACTTCATTGCATTTAGTGTCTTCTTATTTATGTATCATGCAACAAGGAAGTATGCAAAAGAGCAATCAAATCCTACACATAGGATGCTCTTTCTAAGCGCTGAGCTGAATGAGTTTCATTGGCAGCCAATCAATCGTTGAGCATTATTGAGGAGACCTGGTCGTTGATCTCAGACCCCGCCAAGTTTACTGGAGAAGATAAAGAGAGTCCTGCATGAGAATTTCACGTTCATCACAGAATAACATCATATGTGCAGCATGTATATACGCTCCGTCTTCTATCTAAAAATCCTTGGTACAATATATAGCGACCATAAATCATTGTCATCGGCTTCAGCTATTCTGAAATTCCGGACGAGGGAGCTCCATCACCTCAGTGGTGCGACCGTATGAAATGCCACCCAATCGGCTGATAGGCTTAAGAACCTTCAAGTCGATGACACTCTGTGCCTCGTCAATAGCATCCTCCCGGACCCAGAATCGAACACCCTCGATAATGGCCATTACGCTGCTCGTTGTACCAGGATTAGAACGGCTCTTAATTTCTTTGAACTCCACCAGCTTTCCCTCGATGGCCAGGACTGACTCCTTGACGCGCGCAGGTTTCACGACCGAGGTGGGGGCCTGTGTCAGGCCGGAGGTTTCCCACTCAGAGTGTCCGTAGGGCGTATTGATAGATGTCGCATTGGCAGCTTCGAGGAAGTGCTCGGAGATAATATTAATCACGCATTCTTTGGTCTCGTTTAAATTCTTCAAAGTGTCCTTGGCCTTCTCCAATGAACCGGAGAACCCAACAACAAAAGTGGGCGGGTCGTGGCAGACAACTTGCGAGTAACTGAAAGGAGCGAGGTTCGTAGCCTTCCCGTTTTGCGACTTGGTGCTGACGAGGGCAATCGGCCGAGGAGCCATGCCAGAGATCAGGAGCTTGTAGTTGTTTACAGACGGGCGACCTTCAGCGTAGGGATTGATCTCGACGTGATTCTTCTTCAGGCTCTCGCCGCCATCATTGGCGCCATCGCCATTCTTCCATTCGACGTTCGGGGGCTGGGTGTAGGTGACTTCAGCGTCATGGCGGAATTCCGGCCGCGAGGCCTGGAGCTTGTTGAAATCGGGACGGGCTTTGTGCATTGTAGATGTTCGAGTCAGAGGTCGTGCGAATTGGTATGGCAGGAAAGGTGTGCGATTCAATGCAGTGCGACTGGATTTTGTAATGATAAGGGTCAGCCAACTTGTCGCTTCCCCACAGAACAACTAGCGCTATCCAATCTTGCCATACTGACAGTGAAATACTCACATTACTGGTACAGAGAGTTTCTGTGATGAGCGGAGAGCTGGAATTAAATGCATGTGGTGGTCGTTGAAGTTCTTTTATCCTGAGGGTTCAAGAGACCTCGGTCTCAAAAACCGGTCGCGGTGGTCGTGCTGGCAAGCCCTAACGCCACAGGAGTATACCGCTGTGTGCGCTATTGCCACGCGGGCCTGGCGGTTCGGGCCCTCATGGTGCGTGGCAGTAATGGTCCTTGCCGATATCCGGGCCGATTAGCTCGACGAGGGCGTCATAGTTCTAAAGCAAAATGTAGGCCATCAATTGACGTGTAATCACGCTTACATCTCAGGTGCAGGGTTCAGAAAGGTTTGCTGATCGATGAGCCTTAATCAAACTTGATATAAATACTAACCAGTCCTGGAGCTGGGCATGTCTTCCAAAATTGTTCTTTATTTGGCAGGAGACCCGCGACATCCTCGTTCGAGAGCCTCGGTTAAATCACCATCGGCAAATATCCGCGAAGAGTAAGTGGATATGCTTGTTCCCTTTTATATACAAAAAAGATAAACAGCGGACCGCGTGTCGAGGGTTCAAATTGGGAAGCTCCCATGGATTGCCCTTGACGGGCCCGTTGAGGAGGCGGAACTGGTCCGAGCTGTGCAACAGGCCCCATCTTATCGCCCAGGTGGCTCTGCAAATGGAGCCATCAATGGTGTCCCCAGATTCTTGACGTCAGCATATTCCGGACTGTGCACTTACCCAGGTCTATAACATGGCCCGGGCTATGGATCTTGATCTAGTTATTTCCCTGCAAGGAACCATCACACCGGGTAAACCTAGGGTTCATGCCCCAGGAGGTCATTAGTTATATAAATGGGCTCGGGAAGATCGCCGGGGTCAACGTCCGCATGGCCGCTAATCCTAAACCCAAGGATCTTTACAGGGGCCCTGCCCCACTACAGTAGGGCAATCCCATGACCATCAGATCTTTTGAAGTCATCGTGTCCGAGTGGGCCAAATGTTGACTTTATGTGGCACTGTTTCCGGAATACCAATACATGGAAGTTATAAGCGGTCAGGGAGCGTTCCCTTTGGCCAGGCCCACGCCTCATGTATTTATGTATGTCTGTACTCTTCATTACTTTCTGTCAATCACTAGGGCCGTGTACCTAAATGGTGATGCTGCAAGCGAACTGGGGCTTATCGTCACCTCCCCTCCTTTCAAACCCCATCTCCCCTCTCTTGACGCTCTCGAGCTTCATCCCTTCCCATTGGGCTCCAAGGCCTCCCTCTCCATAATCCCAATGAGAACGAGCCTCATGCAGTGGTCTCGAGAGTCGATTATCTTCTTTGATCTCCAGTACAGCTCCGCCCGCCCTTTGCCCAACGTCCTCGAATAGCCTCCGCGTGCCGACACTCGACCCTCATATCCAGAAGGACTGACCATTAACCCAATGGGTCACGACCAGAAATACTTCCGGCGCTCGCAATGAGCCCTCCTTCTCCCAAGAAGAAGAACGGCGGCAATGGTTCTGGACCACGACAGATTCGTTTCGTCGCCACCGACGGCCAGCCGCAGACCAAGCGCCGCCGCGTCAACGCCGCGTATGTAGAGCGCGCTCTCTGGGGTGTGAACATGTGGGGCTCACCTACTAACTTTATATCTAGCTGCTTGACTTGTCGCCGGCGCAAGATACGCTGCTCGGGAGAACAGCCAGGTAGGACAACTTTGCGGAGTTCCCCGCAACGCGATAGCTGGGTACCCTGGACTAACGGGCCATCCGCAGTGTGCAAAACATGCTCCGACTATAAGCATGTGTGCCTCGGGTACAGCGAATCTACCGCCCACCTGCGATCGCAATCCGATTCCACCTCTCGACCGCCCGACCCGCCTTTCGGCCAACGTGATCCCAATAGTCAACATTTAAGGGCGGTGGAGAGCTCTTCGCCAGAGGCTCCACCGAGATCAGCCCCCGGATCGAACCCGAATCGGTCCCCGCAAATACTCAAACACTTCGAGAACAAAGATGCCTCTTTGTTAAGAGATAACTCGGCGCGTACAAATAAAGAAACCGATTCTCAGCTGGTTGTCGACACCCCAGAAAGTAGTAAGCTTCCAAGCGGCTCCCAGATTTGCCGAAATTGCATATCACAATATTGACCACGACTATCCTGCTCAGGTCGAACCTCTTTGAGCTCCGGGAACCGCACACATGTACCGTATTTCAGGTATTTCGGGCCCACGGCTATTGTGCCCGGCTTCAAGCAGATGGTTGGTTTGCCCGTCTCAAGTCTAGCACTGCCTGGTTTGTCCTGACCGAGTACAAGGTTGTCCAAGTTCGAGGATCACGAAAGAGTAACCCATCAATGTCATCGGGTTGGTTTTCACTTTTATACACCTTCCACTGGGAGCTACTACTAAGTGTATTCGTTCTAATACCAGATTCTCTCTCGCCGCTTCGAAGCCCGAAACCGTCTGATGGCCCTTTTGGCCTGTCGGCCGCAGCGACAGAGCATCGTGACAGTCGCGACAGCCGCGATAGTCGCGAGTCCAACTCGATTCCGTTTTACGATCGTGACGATACTCTCCCAGTTCCCAACCTTGTTTCCCATCTAAGCGATCTTTTTTTTACGCATCTTGGCTGCAGTTTTCCCTTCTTACAACGAGAGCGTTTTATGCAAGACTTGAAGGGAAAAAAGGTCGACACCATGTTGGTAGACGCGGTCTGTGCATTGGCTGCCAGATTCTCCCCTCATCCGTTGCTGGGACCTGCTCAAGCACCACCAATTGATCACTCACAGTTGCCACCGGACCCTAAATTCTGGGACCGGGGTTTACCTTTCGCTCAGCGAGCAACGAGTGCGCTTGTCGATTCTCTCTCGTGTCCAACTCTCTCAGGTGTTCAAGCTTGTCTACTGCTAGCGTATGAGCAGTTCGGATCTAATCGTGATAGTGGTCTTTGGATGTACCTCGGTATCTCCATTAGAATGGCCCAAGACCTTGGCCTCCAGAAGTACCAGGGCTTGAAGCACAACTATGGCCAAAAGGGCGTAACACCCAGTTCAGTGATGACTGGTCAGGCTGGAAAATGGAGAGATGATCAGTACGATGATTTTGATGTTTACCAAAGTCCAAAGACCGTTCCGCCTGCTCTCGACACGGAACGAGCAATCGAACGGGAGCGAGTGGATTCCTTCTGGAGCATATTCTTCCTGGACAGAGTTATCTCGTCTGGTACAGGACGGCCCGTGACGCTGCGCGACGAAGATATCGAGCTATGCTTCCCCCTTCAGTCAGAATCACAATTGCCCAATGGATGGCCCGCGCCATTCCCACCCCTCATTCGAATTATTCATCTTTACGGCCGAGTCACGGATCTAATCAATGGCATCCAAGATGTCCACCATGTCACTCCTGATACGCTAAAGAGACTCGCAAGCATGGAAAGCGACCTGACCGGCATCTATCAAAGGTTGTCGCCAAAGCTCCATTTCAACGCTGCAAACTTCCAAGCATACGTCAAGGCCAAAGAAGGAACCAACTTTATCTTGTTACACTTCTGGTTCCACACACTAATTGTGCTCCTTCACCAGCCAACACTGTTGCACTCCTTCGGTGGATCAATACAGCATCTCTATCCTAACAGTCGTGAACTATCGATGTCTTCAGCTAAGACGATCGCCGATATTCTTTCGTTCTCGGAGCTGGTAGATGGGAAGAGCTTCATCGGCAACCCCTTCACAAGTCAACCTATGTACATTGCAGCATGCGCCTTCCTGATGGAGAGTGCATACTATTCTTCACCATCATCCAGAGGCGCCTCACCTCCATCCCAATCACTTTTATCAGGTCAATCCAGCGGTTTTGTGATGCCCAACATGGAGTCATCTCACAGTTCAGAGCGAAAGTCTAATGCCAGGCACATTCTTCTCGCTTCTGCTGCCAAGGAGAACTATCAGCGTTGTTACAAGGCGTTGAAGGCACTGGACGCCTACTGGGAGGGTACCCGATACATATTGACTGTGCTCGATCAGAAGGCCAAGGGAATTGTTGACCCACTTCTTTACACGGAAGAAGATATGGAAAACACGACAGGTCTGGATCCTGTACAACAATTTGCTCCTGGTGGGTGGCCTGGGTCCAAGTCTTCGAACTCTACTCAGAGCTTTGAAAGGCCTCCAGGTGTGGCTGACATTCCATCAGATGGAAAATGGTCACCGAAAATTGACCCAAGCCAAGGTACGTGTACTGACTCTCTTATGTGTAAGACACTTCGATTGACCTCCACCTCGATAGCAATTGGATGGGCACTTACTGGAGCCACAAATTCCTCACAGCCAAACTTGAGTTTACTTTATCAAATGCCCACGGCCACACAAACAAACCCCACCCCGGATAGGCCAACCTACTCTTCCCAATACAGCCACAGCTACCCACCATTACATGCACAAAACAATGCTGCGCCAGGCTCCAATCCTTCCTTTGCGCAAACAGTCACCCATGATGACAGCATGTCATCATCTCTCGCTCCTAAATTTCCCAGCATGCCACCTCGAACAATCAGCGCCAACTCACCCTACTTCCTCCCGATGGGCTCTGCATTTCCCGAATCAAGCTCACGTGTCTCAGAGAGAGCCCACCCATACGATCAAACTCTCCCATCCGCATATCATTACGATGTATCATCTACCGAGCCACACACTGGCGGTGGGGTGGTCTCTCAAGGCGAGATTCACCCCGGTATGCATACGGATAATAATGGCATGATGATCGAAAGCCACGACGTCGACATGAACTCCCTTCACCAACCAGATTCGTTCCCCTTCTCCAACGGCGAGATTCTTCCGTGGCTAGAATATCTGCCACAGGATGTTCTCAGCCTTTTCGGCGAACCTCAAAATTATCCGCTCATGAGCCCTGAGGATACCACACCGCGGCCTCAATAATTCTTGATTTCACTTTTCGTACATAGTTAATCTTCGGTAGGATATGCATCTTTGTTTCTTAAGCGATGCTTTGCGTCTTTCCTGGGGCTGGGGATCCAGGCGTTGCAAGGTCGGGTTTTTACCTTAAGTAGTAATAGATCGTTGTCTGGATGACTTTGAATGTTGATTATGGTCATCTGTGAGATACGAAGCGAATATCTTCGTTCAATTATTGAGAAACCTGTTGTGCAATATGATGAGTTCAAATTGATTTCTCCGAGACTGTGATATACTTCGAGCGTGGATCAGTGGATCACTTACGGGGCGTTGCCCAGCAACGAGGGCGGTCAGTGACCATCAACACGCACTAGACAGCACACCGCAATATACATCATCAGTAACAGAAGCTTTCATTCCATCTTTCCATTCTGAGCTTCATGGCGAGACTGAATGATGAGGGAGAGCCACACTCGGCAGACTATGCCCCAGATTATATCATAAGCCCCCAGCCTCGTGCCCCTCCCAGCAAGGAGCATCTATTCGCCTCTTTCGAGACATCCCACCTGCCAATCGAGACCGGATCGACAATCGACGATAGTCAAATGTCGACGCCAGATTATGGATATAGCTCTTGCTCTTCGTCGGCTCGACATTCGATAAGTGATATCTTTGGTCGCGAGATAGACGACGAGCTGGAGCAGATGAAGTCTAGGGCATCGAGTCGCTCATCTCTGTCTTCTGTTCCGGCCTCCGTGCTCGTACATCCAAAACCGATGTCTGCAATGTCTTTACATGATCGAATCGCTGGATATAACTTGGAAGAGGATGAAGCGAGCTTTGGAGGATTCGAAGGACCACCGAAGTCGATTCGGACCATTCGCCAGCGTGAGGGGGCTTTTCGCAAACCCAGCTCTGTTCGTGCTATGCAGATGCACACGGAAGATGAGGCAGATGATGACGAATATCTGACACCACCAAGGCGTCGGGGAGGTATGCGATCGCCAGGCTCGTCTGCGCCCAAAAGATCGCCCTACTACTCGCCCAACTTATCACAAAATAAACCCAAGCCCAAGGTTGAAAAGGAATACCCATTGGTTCTTTTGCACTGCAACTTGCTCGCGCCATCTCTTCCAGTGCCCGGTGCAGCATTGCCGCAGAATCAGAAGTTGCTCGAGGAAGTACTACCGCCTGAGTATTGGAAACGATGGAGACGACTCCAGGACAAAGTTGGATCAGGTGTACTCCGCGACCGAGGAGTGCTGATCTCCCACCCGGAGGACCTCTACGATTTGCTGGAAGAACGACTTCTAGAGAGCCTTGAATTGCAACGTTCACGTCTGCAACATGGCCACTTTGTTGGCCATGAAGAGAGCGGTACTGGGTCTGAGGGTGAACATTCTGACCAAGGCGAGAGCGAAACAGATGGCGAACAAGATGAGGAATGTCCCGATTGTGGTGGACGTGTCCGACACGGCGACAGTAACCGCAAGTGGGAAATCAAGGTCTTTGCTGCGAACGGCCTGATGCGTGCCGGCGCTTGGGCTGCAGCTTGGAAGGAGATGGAGAAGGTTGACGTCGAGGTTGGACTGTGGTTGCCATCTGAAGTACGACGCACCCTGGAGAAGATTCTTGCGGAAGAGAACGCAGCCAACGCCATCGAGGAACTACATGCGTCGCCGCCCATTGACCCTGTTTCGCACTTAGCTATGGACCCACGCCGCTTATCTGTCCAGACACACACAAGAACAGTTAGCGAAGCAGGATCCTTCCAAGCTGGTGTATCACCCTCGGTGCCCCAGCCCAATATCGCCGACATGCACTTCTCGCCAAGTGGAAGCGAGAGAAAAGAGCACGAAGTTGCCCTTCAAACTCTTTTGATCAACTATATTCGTGTACTTGCGGGAGACAGACGTAATATCGCTCTGGTCTTTATGAGCATTCTGGTGGTTTTCCTTGCCATTGGGGCCCGTTCTCAGCAGTCGCTGGTGCAACCATCTTTCTACCCACTTCCTCCTGAGATGGCCGAGTCGTCTGTGATTTGGGAAATCACCCATGCATCCTCTCCTTCTATTGTTTCCTCGAGCGCGGCAGTGGCTGAGTCTTTCGAGGCACCGATCAAATTTCCATCTAGTCTGGATTCAGAAACTTACATTCCAAGCTCAGTAAAGGAAGTTCCTACGTCTTCCATCCTAGCTGCGTTTGAGACTGCAGAGCCCACCGAGACTTCAGAGCTCACCGAGACTTCAGAGCTCACCGAGACTTCAGATCCTACCGAGCCTACCAAACCTGCCGAGCCTGCCGTATCAACGGCGTTTTATGAGCCGATTGAGACCGCTGAGCCCACCGAGACTGAGACACAGCCAATTGAGCTAAAAGCAGCAACTGAGTCAGTCCTCGAGCCAGAGTTAGTCCTCGAGCTAGAGTCAGTCCTCGAGCCAGAGTCAGTCCTCGAGCCAGAGTCAGTCCTCGAGCCAGAGTCAGTCCTCGAGCCAGAGTCAACCCTTGAAATCACGGACGAGGATCTCGATTATCAGGCGACGGATGAAGTCAAAGATCACCACATTGAATTGGAGCCACTCGATAAGCCCATCGCCGACAAGCACTGAGGATGTTTTCCGTGGATAATCTCAAATTCCTCCTCACTTTGACTTTTACGATTGGAATGATACGAGGCAAAATGTTGAAACGTTGTCATTCTTATTGCTGCCTTCAACTCTCTTTATGCTATATATCTATCATATCTTGGGCGTATTCTCGATGTTATTCAGCCAGCTAGTCTTGTTTGATGCCAATTGATGACTAAATCATGCTTTTAATTACCATTCCGTAGGATCCATGATGGATGCTTACTTTGAGGGCTCGGCACCTAATAATACCTTTACCTGTTCGAAAATTTTTTATAGAATCTACCTAATCTAGAGAGAATCGAATCTTGAATTTGGGTCCATAAGAGCGGCTTGATCCCTGTCTATTCACATTCAATGGATCTGCCAATTCGGAATTAGTCTATCCTTCATTCTGTTATTCAACTCCTTGGTATTTCTACCAACTGTTCAAGCATCTTATATCGCCCAGTTATCTCGCCCAGTGGCACTGAAAAATATGAGCCTTTGAACTACCCGACAGTCCCTTCCCTCATACCAACAAGCATTTAATATTGAAGATCCCAAGCCAGAACATCCTCAGAACCCAGATGCATTGCCCTGATAATTAGCCGGAATAGTAGGCCAGACATCTACTCCATCCAAAAGTGCCAGCGCCATACCTCCACTCTGATGGACCTGGATGTGACAATGCATCAAGAACGCTCCAGGGTTGACAACATGATACCGAATTACCGACCAAGTTGGCCCAGTCACTGCCGCAGGTGTCGGGGTGGTGTCTTTGTACGGCGGATTTACTAGATTAAAAGAACCCGGTATGGCTTGCATAGCCTCTGCGACAGAGGACCAAGTGAATGTTCCATTTCCTTGTCCGATGAGGAAATGTTTGTTAGAGTGTTTGTGAATAGGATGGGCCGGTTGAATCGGTGAGTTAATCTGTAAAACAAGATCGACCCAGGTGTTATTCTTTGTTCGGATGACGAGGTCGCCGGGTATGGAGTTCTGGTTGAAGAGAAGAGGTTGGAACTCCTCGAGTTCTAGACCAAAACTACTGTTTCCTAAGGTCCAGCGATATGAGGCGTCATAGTGGCCGATTGTCAGGAAGTAGGTCGCATCGGCGGTTGCGGCGGGCGTTACGACGGGATAGGGAATGACGGATGTGTCGTTGAGGAAGATTGTGCTGGTAGTCGCGTTGCCGCCGGTTAGTGTGATCCATGGGTTAGATGGACGGCCGAGCTGGGGCGGGGCGTTGTAGCGGAGTATCGCGGTTGTGTTGAGGATTTGTTGTGGACTTCCGCTGACCATGCGGATTGTGTAGTCTCCGGCGGGTTTGTTGAGGGGAACAAGAACCGAGTATCTATTTGAATTGGGGATATTGATGGCGTTGACTCGCACGGGTTGAACGTAGCGGCCGTCGATGGCGTATACCCACATGTCGTGCTCGTCGACTGAGATGGTCAGATGTAGAAGACCTGCAGCACTGATGAAATCCCAGCTCACGTATTGTGCGGATGGATTGACTGTGAAAATTGCCTGAGGGCCGCGAGAAGGAGTGCAACCAGAGAACATGGTTGGCAATAGTGCGCTATAGTTATGGTTAAAGTTACCTTGAGCCGCAGTGAGATTTGCAGGAAAGCAACTGTCATTCCAGTCAGTACATTCATTTTTTTAGCCAGAGGGATTGAATGCTCACGCAATATCAGTGAGAGTTTCATTGCCCAGGACAGCCTTTTGATTAGGCGTTGTCAAGCTGTCAATCTCCTCCCGCGAGAAGCAAGTCACTGATCCCTTTCCGTTGATCAAAAGTGCATTGGCACAGTAGGAGTCCACGCCTGATGCTTCCTCTGCGGCCCAAATTTGCTCCGAGGTCAAGACTCGCCAATCCGAAAGCAAAACAGGTGATGTAACTCTCTCTGCAGCGCGAATCGCCTGAAGCTGAGTCGCATTGCTTGTAATTAAATTGAACGGCTTCGCCTCGGAGCTGGATGGAGTAATATAGATAGGACCATAAAGGCCGTCTTCTAGCTGTCCGCGGTGGTGAGCGTGGTAGAAGTATGAGCCGTACTGATCAGCTGTCCATCGGTAGAGGAACGAGCGACCTTGTTGAATTGGCACTTGTGACACGCCAGGGACTCCATCAGACCAAGGTGTTCCGACTTGTTCGATTCCTGAAAGCCCTGATTTAGCATGTTATTCCTTTCGGCTCGTATGGAGCTGTCACCATGAAAATGAACCGTTACATTGAACGGACATCGGTTGTCCACTTTGAATTGAACATTATCTCCTTGGTTCAAAAACAACGAAGGCCCTGGGTATTGTCCATTGGTAAGAATGACCGGTCTGGTGGCCCCTGCAACAGTCCGATTCGCCCAAGTCAAGACGGCAGTGACTTTGACAGTAGCGGCGTGCGCCCACTGAGTGAGACAGAAGACCAGGAGCGACCAGCTCGCAACAGAAATCTTCATTATGGGAATTCCGAGTCGGATGGAAATATAGTCGAGATGCTGTGCTGTGTTGCACGACTTCGCCATGGAAGCTTCCATCTGTTATATACTGGACCGCCGATTAATCAAGAGTGATCTGTGTACGGGTCTGGTCCCCACCTGCAGAAGTCACAGTGCGTCTTTCTCAGCACAGTGAAGTTCGCACATAGCGACGGCGGCCCCGGTTGGCGAGATTGCCCAACCTTGGGATGAAAGAAGCCCCTTCTCAGCTTGGCGCGTGGGAACATGGGGTTCTCGCAAAGAGTCGAAGGCATGGCACATGGAGTAATCCATTTACCCGACAAAGGATTTATCTACACTCCAGTAATTTTAGCTCAGATCATGGATTTTGATCCGTACGAACCCAATCAGAACGCGCGAGACCTCGTTTTCGTCGTGGAGATCTCAATCAGGAGAAAGAACGATCCATGACAGAACCGAGGGCTCAGATCTCGGGGCAAAGTGAGGCCGATGGGCGATTGTGATTCCATGGCTTGAAGAGGTCATTCAACTGGGATGAGACCTGAGCCCTGCAGTCGGGGAAGTCCATTCCCGACCACCCGAACCACCTAAGACCTCGAATGGGACCGATGGATGAGCTGGAAACGAATCAGAATTGGAGAACAAAGAGGTACCTGAGCCATCAGAGCGGCAGCGTCAAGCTAGTGATCTCGGCATTCGGTGTGTCAGACAATCGCCGAACCAAGTCGCCGGGTCGGGACAATGAGAGTCACAGTCTCGATCAGAGTTGGGTGTAAGTCAACCAAACTGGAAATGCAGTCCAAACCGCCATTTCTCAAACTTGCTCCACGTGTATGGGGAAATCAGATTTATGAATATCATAGGACAGATTGAAAGGCGATACTGTAGTCGTCTTCGAAATCAGTGCCGACTTCTACACTCAGACGACTTAATTCCCGCCAAATATTGAACAGCGCTAGCCCTAGTATGGTAAGACCACGCCCGCTTCGCTTTTCAGACCGCTCCCTAGGGTAGTAACTGTATTTTATAGTACAGGTGAGAGACAAAGCGTACATGAGACCGGCATACCCATATTACCCAAGTGCCCATCCCTCTCCTTGATAGTAATCAGCTCTTGTCGCTCATTAGTCTTGCGCGTTCTTGAGATTATACACAATTAGTCAAAATGACCTGAGTGCCAGTCTTCCTGATTGGAAACTTCATCTCAACTGTCATATAAGAGAGCTCATCCTTCACCTCCACTCCAAAGGCCACAGAAGCCAGATGCGATAGCATGAGCTATCATGATAATACTAGATGATTGATTATCGGAGATATATTGAAAACTTGTTTCACTCCACGTCGACCCAAAATAAGCTAACCAATTTTGTATGTATCTCAGGGGAGTTGGTTTATGAGGGAGTGGGGTTATAACAACCAATTTCGAAAAGTACGGTGAATGGACTAAGAACAGGATGCGTGTGGAAGTTCAATTCCAAACCCAACTACCTACCACGCGGACAAGGTGTGGCAGGCTAACCGGAAAGAAAACCAAATCACAAATTAATTTCTAATGTCATCACCGAAATCCTAATTATCGTGCTATTTATGCCAGAAATACCCAGTAAATTCGTGAGAAAAGAGACAATTTTATCGGCTGAAGTTGGGACCGACATGCTTTGAACAAGTTATCGTAACAATCACAAGTTGCCAGGGGTGTCTTGAAATGTAGGCATGCCTCCTTGGGCACCATCTGACGTAGGATCGTGGTCCTCTTGCGAATACATCAAAGAAATTGAATTCGAGCGAGGCACACCCAACGTGGGCTGGGTCCGGGACAGATCCAACCACGACTGCTTTCCAGTATCCTCAAATTCACCAGGACCTCCCAGAGGCACGGTTTCTAGATCGGGAGGCGTAAGATCACTGTAGCTGTCGTTCAGTCGTTGCAGGAACTCTGGGTCAAAGCCCATCTGCACCAGGGGATCATTTGCCCCATCTGCAGGAGCAGAAGAGGACGAAGCGTTGCCTGTAAGGCTACTACCCCAATCAGAGGCGAATGCTGGCACCCCAGCTGACAGCATCCCTGCACTCTCAGCATAACTTCCTGAAAGGCTAGCCTGTCCACTGGGTGCAGCAGAGGAAAAGCCCGTCCCAGGAAGCGCCGGGCTTCGTATACCAGGACTGGACACCGAGGGACTAGGAAGCGCCCCTCGACACACAGTCCTCGCTAGTATATTGATCTCTCGTGGAGGGGCACGTAAGCCACCTTGAACAGCAAATGGAGGCTGCAGGCCAAGGTCGGAAAGTTGGATACTGTTACTTTGCACGGCAGTCTCCAGCCCGGTGTCTCGCTTCAAGATGCTCAGCCAGACCGCGTTATCTGCACAAGTCTGATTCCAAGCGTCCTCGCTGCTGCCATAGATGACTCGACGAGCTTCAGCCTGTATCATCTGATCTGTCGGGACGATCCCCTGAGCAGTTTGGTTATGAATATACGCAGTGAGCTCGCGAGAAAGACGCAAGTAGCAATTGGCATCGTTGGGGACAGGAAGCGTTGGTGTGTTGTCATCTCCTTGGGCTTGGACTGTGGTCCAAGGATCGAGAGACCTCCACTCGTAGTCGATTAGATATGGCGGGATGGCGTTCTCGACTCGATTTTGGATATGGGCGTCAAAGCCCCAATCGCCTTGCCATTGAGCCATAGAGGCGCCATTTTTGAAGTGGCTCGCGAGATGGTCCACTCGGTCCTTCCAAGTATGTAACGTAGAGCCACAGAAGCCGCAGCGAGAGTTGATTTCTGTGATACTACTTTGCCATTTGTCCATGCAATGTTGAAATTTGGTATTGTGCATCAATCGAAGATGCTGGTTGAGATGGTCTTTCCGGTAGAAGCTTCTCTCCTGGATAGACTTCTCCTGACAGCTAAGATAGTTGTGACTTTCAAGGTGATCCCTATCTGGATTAACTGCCAAGCAGAAGACGCATCGAAGTATACCATTCTCCTCGGTTACGCCGCCATGAGGAGAGCAAGTCCATTTGTCGAGAATGAGATGCATGGATTTTTCATGGCGTTGCCAATCATATTTTGCAGCGAAGGAGTCAGTACAGAAGGTACATTGGAAGGGACGAACAGCTCGAGCCTTCTGTTGATTGAAAGTGTTGACAGGCACCGAAGCCTTCCGGCGACGACGACGTTCTTTTCGATCCATTGAGCCAAATGACCCCAGGGAGGATCGATGAGAAAAGGCAGAAGCAAAAGAAAGGTCAGAGCGAGATGACCGACTGGTATCCACACTACTGCCCGAGGCATCATATCTTTTATGTTCTGAGCTTGCATGGCTTGACTCATTGGTGCTAGACCCCGGCCGGCGGCGCACGTGACCAGCCTGGGTCAGCCGGTGACGCGAGGGATCGAATGGAGGGTTGGCCAGAGAGCGCTTAATATCACTGATGGCAGCCGGTTCATTCTCAGGAGGAGAGTACTTCCAACGTTCAATGGGAGTCATGAGAGAGAGATCTTTGGGTTGTGATCCCGGGATCTCAACAGCTTCAGATACGGGGAACTCAGTCCCGTTCGCAGGACGGACTTTGCCGCGGCGTCTCGCGTTGGCGAGCCAGTTAGAGATTTGCGTTCTGTTCAGACCTGTGCTCTGCTTCAATTGGTCTTTTTCGGTTTCGTTGGGATACGGGTTATCGTTATGATCGCGAAGCCAGCCTTTAAGAATGTTCACAGCTTTGCGAGAGAATCGAGCGTTACTCTTGCGAGAGCGCCCGTCCGAATCGTCGCCAAAGGTGCCGTATGAGACTGACTTGAGAGCACGTTTCCCAGTCAGACCACCGGTAGGAATATAGGCATTTTCAGTCACAGGATGTAAAGTCTGAAGGAACCTGCCCGGAACCTTGACGTGGGTAAAACTGCACTCACGGTAGAGTGAGATACAACAGGTACATCCGTTGTTCATCACCCCACGTTTCGCAACAAAACAGTCCAAGCCCATATGCCGACAAAAGTCACAGGGCTCTTGTGCTCGGAACATGGGATAGGGACCGGTGTCATGATCGGGGCCGACGAAGGTCTCTCCGATGTACTGTTCAGCCGCCTCCGGGGCCGGGGTCATGGAGGAAATCTAACGGCTGGTCCTTGCACAGCGAGTCAAAATTGGCCGCCCGCTCCTCGGCTTCGTCAAATTCAAGATCAACCGAGGCGACATCGTCGCTTTGGTGATTTGATTCGTGCGCGGATGAGGCGCCTTCGAAGTCGAAATACTCCATGATGGGCTGATAAACAGCCTTCACGCTCAATGAGAAATTGACCCAGATGAACGCTGTTCAAAAGTAGCAGATCATACGAAGGAAGGGTGGGAAGGAAGAGTCGGTCTGGGAGACGTGAATCTCTGGTCCGGGGTAGACAGGGTAGGGTGAATAATCAGTTCGGGTGGAGTAAAGCAGCCTTGGAACCTCCACACCAGGTGCCGCTAAGATGTAAGTCTCGGTAAATAGGGCCCCTCCAGGATGGTCTTACTCCAGACGGGTCTTAGATATTTCTTCTGTAATGACAGTTCATGGGGGGCTTGTGCCATCTGAGGTTGCCAGATAAGCACAATTCGTTGGTATCAGTCATAGGAAGATGTCATTTTGCCAGCCCTGAAGACTCGTATCTGCATCATAGATAGATTTCGGGGAAGCCGAACAGTCAAAACCACGTTAGTGGTTCCTCCGTGGAGTCGACGAATGATGAGGAAATGGCGGTTCGGAGACAGTGACGGGGTCCGCGGATCAGCAGACGCAGATGCGCGCCCTTCGCATGTCAGCGCCATGCCTAATTGGGACAAGCGGGCCAGCCCTTGACATCCCGTTTTGGCAGGAATGATTCATACTGCCCCGCGATATCGGACTTTTAGGGTCTGGCTCGATCTTTTCTAGCATAATTCATTCATTTTCGAGAGCTGGCTGGTTGATCTTTTAGTCTTTTCATATCCACCTCAGCATCATAGCGGGGCATGGACAGCAGAGCCTGAAACAAAATCCTCCAGTGCTTTATCATTCTATCTTATCCTCTTTCAGAAGTCTTACGCGACCGCGCTCGATGGCCAGGTCAACGATTGTCATTCCACGGAGTCTTAAAATGCAGTGAGGTCTTCTTTCTTTCTTACCAGAGCTACCATATATTATCGACTAGAAATCCGTCTTCCAATGTCAGAACCACATTGTTGCAGCCATCCATGGATGCAATAATAATTTTGCATCCGGAATCTTCACAACTTGCATAGAAAGGCGTCAAAACTAGTTACCATTGTCGCTTGCTTGCGAATGCCATTTGTCGACACACTCGAAAGACTCGCCATGACACCGCTTGTAGCCATTGACTACACCGGGTATGGTTCGGTGGAGATCACCAAGAAATTTGGGCTGAACGGCAGGCTTCCTTCAGATTCGATCGGTTTGTGTCCCAACTAACTTCGTATCGTTTTTCCTCGGTCCAAGTCGATCAAAGAGAGATGCGATGTGACTAATTTGGGCTACTTGCGACATCACTCTGTGCTGACTGTGAGTGACATTCGCTGATGGAGAGTATGTGACAGCCTGCAATTTGAGGCACGAACATTTATCGCGAAATGACTACATCTCGCTTGCCCACTCCATATGAACAAGTGCTTGCCACAACCATTGCTATGATCGTTTTCAACCATTTCACCACCATTCTGCTCACCTCACCAGTAACAGGAGATTATTGGGCTCGCGCCCCCTCTGGACTTTCGCGCACTTACAAAATCGCTTCCGTCTGCAGGCTATGCAATATTTTCCCATCCCAGCCCTGGAATCGGGTTGACCCTATAAACCAGGCGAATTATACCTACTCAACCATCAATGCGAGCTGTCAAGCAAGGACAATAATCAAAGAGGAAGGATCAAGTCTAGTGCTACTGATATGGACATTGCTTAGCTTCCCGAGCACAAATAAGTGTAAAAAAGATGATCAATTTCACTACAGAGCTGGGTCCTGAAGTGGGCATCAAGAAGACTGGTATCACGGCCAATGGCATGGGACAGGGATCTTTGGTCGGGGATGTAAGACCATTCAAGCAATGACAGCTACTTCGTTTCCATTTGGGGATCAGACGAAGCCGTGGCTTGGCCATGGTGATTTTGTGGGGAGAAAGATCCCACTGATCGCGACGTTGATTGAGTTTGTCTCATGGAGAAAATGCAGACATGTATTCAGTCTTTCCGAGAATGATCCTCGTACTCGGGGTATCAGCACCGAAGCAGCTCAACCAGTCCAAAATGCCTTTGTCTTTGACTAAAAGGCGGCTTTTCTGCCACTTCTATAGCACAATCCTACTGAGCATGAGTAGTTCGATCAAGCGAAGTTGAAAAGACACGTCGGCTAGCGATCGCATATCCTCTGTAGTGATTGAGAGCTAATTATGAATCATAGTGGGTGATAGCTTTTGCCAAACAGACTACGTTAGTGAAAAACTTGGAGCTTATAAACTAGCGTGAAGTGGGTCAAAAATTTGAAGTCGTACGTGGTAGTAGTAGTAGTAGTAGTAGTAGTAGTAGTAGTAGTAGTAGTAGTAGCATTTGTAAATTTCTCTATCCCGGAAAAGCTCGCTCTCAGTATATACTGCTATGATGAACGATAACCTCGTGTCAAGGAGGCTGAACCTTGTTGCAATTCCCAACACAGAGACAGCCAATGAAGGCCCTCAATTGTGGCGCCACAACTCCGCGATTCTGTTACGATAAGCCAACCACCTGCTACCTAAATCCGGCACTGCTTGCCTAGGATCGACGTCGTCAAAAAGGTGAACCCCGCGCTCAAATTGTTACATTGGAATTTGACTGATACAGAATTTAAGATGGTAGGGTCTGGCAAAATTAATCATCTGGTCATTACGGCTCCGGCCGCTCGATTCGAAGAAGTTGTCCAGTGGTACACCAAGACATTGTCTCCCTTGGGATACATTGAGCTTCATCGTAATCCCGGGGAAGTTGGACTTGGTCCCGATGGTCATGCAGACTTCTGGATCTCGGCGAAGGAGAGTTGGGCGAAGAGCCCCTTCCATATCGGTTTTACTGCTACCGGTGAGAACGGCAAACGAAGCTTGAGCTTTCATTTTTGACTAAGGGCTGCCACAGATCATGCGACAGTTGATGCATTCCACAAAGCAGGCGTCGATGCAGGTGGTGAATGCAATGGGCCTCCAGGCTTGCGACCACAATATCACCCAAACTACTACGGGGCATTTCTGCTGGATCCGCTTGGAAATAATATTGAAGCGGTAAGTACAGCCTTTATCTCAGCCGTTGAGCCGAATGGCGATTGACCAAGTGATCATAGGTGGATCATGGTGTTGCAAGTGTATAATAGCCGGGAAACACACAAGCTTCTAGGGCTCCTTTAAGGGCATTCGAGAGCTATGGTGTTTGGTCGTAATTTCAAACCTTTTCTGGCCGCTGCTCATCTGAAGATGGTTGAGTTCGCATCGATGGGGTCGTTCTCTACTGCTATCGTGGGCCAGAAGACAGTCATTGATACTATTTCCTCTCCCGACTTTGAAACACCACTTCGACTTGTGAAGGAGCGGCCAATAATGTATTTAATCATTCGTAGGTGGGCACATCAAGGCAACAACAAGTTGTCTTTATCACGTAAAGGGGGCCAATCCGCAATCTTCATTTCTTAAGAAAGCTATGCCATGGAATACCAAATGATCGAAGGGCGAAGTTCTATTGGAACCATCCTCCAAAAAAAAAAAGAAAGGAAGAAGTCTCGGCTTCATTTTCTTTAAGCATTGAATTCTCGTCTTAGCATCATTTGATCTCCTTCGATGCACAATCTTACATCTGGGCTGTTCTCTGCTTTTTCATTGCCTGTCACATGGTCGCTGTGAATGTTTTCGCATAGGAAAAGCAGCGGTATGGGATCATTTTTCCATCTCGGGATACTTGCCTTCCGACTCTTGCTCACGGCACCTATCAAGCTAATAAGTCCTAGTACCCACACTAGCATTGGAGAAATAATCCATTGCCAATGCACTGCAATGTGAGTGACGCTTGAAAATGCCTGTCCATTAGTTGCATTATTCCCTGAGAGGGGAGAAAGCGCAGACTCATCGTCTGCGTATGCTGAGTCCCGAAAAGTTTTTGACATAGCTGCAGCGACGTTGCTCATGGCACATTCAAGTTTTGACGCGTTGTTGACTTCACAGCCAGTGATGTTTCCAAACGCTATAGCCTCGATACAATCAATGCTCGCGTAATTTGTGGTGCCTATACCGCCGTATCCAAACCCGTATAAACCTTCATGATCCGCTTGTACGTAACCAGTGAAGAGTTCCACAATAAATTCTGCAAATGTGATGAGAGAATCGTCTGAGATCCCAAAACTTTGATTGTACTGCATTCCCTTCTCAGGTCCCCACGGAGGATAGAGAAGACCCTTTGATTCGCGGGTATAATTTGTCCACGTATCGAGGGTAGTTTCATGATATACGCCGCGTATAACCTGGGCACGAAGGCTGCGTACTATGGGAGATAGGTTGCATTTCATCGCTTGGTATTTGGTGCGCGTTGTATGTGGCGAACCATTGAAAAGCCCATCTGGAGCAATAAGCTGGATATAGGGCAATAGATGGTACGGGTCATTGGATGATGGCAAAAGTATTTCGCCCATCGCAAGTGGATGACCTTCCGGCGAACCAGATATGTAATATGCCTCATTTCCTCCACCTGGAAGAGTGAGTGAGCAATTATTTGACCCATCTTCGTAGGGCCAGGCATGAGTGGTTTGACAAGTTGTGTTCAGCTGATCTGTAATATCAGTACAGATCGCAGTCATTTCGAGTGTAGCGAGTGGACTCCAGGTACAATTTCCAGTGGTACAGGTATAATTTGGAATTGACCACGGCTTCGACTTGACATTACTGAACAGTGCATTATAGACGTTTGCCTTCAATGTCGGATCCACAAGATCATCCCCTAAGATTGCAGTCAGTTAACACCCAGACCAAAATGAACTTGAATAGCTTACCCATGCCACTCAAACCAATAGAATTAAAGAAGGAGGTATTCCCTACAGTCGCCGATTGCGACTCATCAACAACAAGCTCTGGATAATAATGTATCAGGTTTTGGACAAAGGGATCAAAAGGAAACCGCGAGCATGATAGCCAAGCTGGCAAATACAGCAAAGTGTCTGAATTCATGAGCTTCATGTTTCAAGAATGGATTGTAAGGGAATGACGTACCTTCCTCGTAGACCCCATGTCAGTTCTGCACTTCCGTATAATCCTCGGCTTGCTGAATCGAAAGTGCGAAGATCAGACACTGGCCGCTTCTGTTGAGAGAACCACACCCATTTTAACTGTCCTATGGTCTCACTAATAGTGAACAGAACACATCCTTTAGAAAGAGTGCTCAGCCAAGAAACAATGGAGTTTAGCGAGACATATTTCCAGGTAGGCTGGGCACGGTGGTTGAAATGCGCCAAGACAACAATAATGGCGATCAATAGGCACATGGAAAAAATCATAGCCAAAATTTCCCAGATGAACCAGTCCGAAATCCGTGCCGATATTGGCCTTTTCGTGTTTGGTTTTTGTTTATGGCTCTTATCGATATCAGGAGAGGGGAAAGATGTTTCAGTTGCTGCCTCCGGAGCTATCGTAGCCGGAAGTGTTGTCCGTGGCGCTGTATCTTCATTGGAGTCATTTTCTTCGTCGTGGTTGAGGCGATCGTTGGAATTGACACTTGAGGCAGGCGAATTCGGGCGGGAAGTAGCCGCCGTTTCTTCGGCAAGCTGGCTTTCATTCATCTGGAGGACCGAGGCAAACAATAATATACTCTTCAAGACTCAAATCGAATCTCTTATGACATTACACAGTCCGAACACGCAGGATGTATGGGGAAGAATCTCTTGGGCTGCTCTCACTTCATAAAAGTAGTTAAAGGAGGCTGTGTCGGCGAAATAAAGCTTGAACACAATTTCAGCGCCCGGGTTGGGCCCCCTGCATACACTTTTGACGTCTGTGCTGAGAGGGGTTATCGAAGATCTACATCGTGTAAGTCTGCCTTGTCTTCCACGGATGACACTCATTGCTGAGAACATCGAATTCAGTCGAGTTCCTCATGAAGGCATAGCCCAATTTGGTGGTCGAGCTGACTTCAAGGGATGCCATAAATAATATATGGGGTCCGTCTACGTTAATCTTGGACTCACTGCCCCTAAGTGCTTTTCCTGTTGTGAGGGAAGTGGGTCCGAACCAAACCCTGACGCTCATTTGCTCATTTAGCGTCCCCATTAAGCCTCCTCGTTCGTAAATACCAACATTTTCAGGATACCAAAACACTGCACACTCATCTTATTGCATTTGAAATTAAAGTCGACATTTGACACCAAATATAAGGTCCACTCAAGATGCATTGATCAAGAAAAAGGCAGCTCAAGCTTGTTTGGTGTCCTCTTGGTCCCTTGAAATCACTTGTGAGAGTCACTAAACACTGTCGGTACAATTGGCGGTAATGTATTTTCTAACGGAATGCTCAGCACAGTCGTCGACCGATTATAGCCAAATCCATCATAACCAGGCACTTTATGGGTTTAGCTAAAATCATCTCGTCCCTTCCGATCAATATGGCGATCCTTATACCTTGACTAGACTCTTTCTTTGCTGATATTTCCGAGACTTCTCTGTGCCCTTGAAAAGGATGCACGCAGCCATGTCACGCTCATTTTCCCACTGACCTGGCTCTACCCCTGGTGGCGCTATTCCTAGTAAAATCAAACTTGATCTTTAAATAGAAGCAGACCTGCCTGAAGATTAGTCTATGCAAGTAGCCAAGGACTTGATTCTTTTCGTCTAGGAAATTTGGTTCCACGCAGCCGCGCTGGAATAAGTAATCATGACAGAGAATACGAACTACGCCAGAATATAGCCCTAGTCTGACGACAGGCATATGGCTTGTAGAAGCTTCGTGATGTTGGATTACCATATCTTGAAATAACTGATCTCCAAGCCACCAGCGGACTGCATTCGCGCTGCTTCAATACCAAGTCTCTTATCATAGGTTGAAGTGGACCCCTACCCTCGCGGCATCGGTGCGAGGGTAGAACACTGGCTCGTCTTCTGCTCTGAAACGTACAATTTCGGTGGCATGGTTGTTGACGGGAGAGGAACTTCAAGAGGAAGAATACGCCTTAAGGAGGGGCGGACCGGGTCCGGTCCGCATGGCAAGCGAGTGTAGCGATGGCAGCAATAGCAGCCAGAGCAGCAAAAGCGCTATGCGGAGCTAGCCGTGCTACTATATTGATTGAAGTCCTCGGATCTAGCGTCGGGAGACACGAGGGCATAGAGATAGTTACGTTGAATGAACTATTATCCTACCCCTTTTTCCCCTACTATCGGAATACCGTCTAAGGGAATAGGCTTATAACCTACCTAGAATATAGGTAATAGATACCCGCGCTAGAGCGCTAGAGAGGAGGGTATAGCTACGGGAAAATTACGAGGGAAACGGTGAGTAAAGGCGAGAAGCGGGCTTATATAAAAAGCTTGATGGCTAAAGGGTTGATATTTAGTAGTAATTAGAAGCGGGTTTGAGAATTAGAAGACTAGAGATAGTAACTAGCGACTCATATCTAGCAATTATGGATTTACGGTTAGCAGCAACGACATTAAGCGAACTAGCGAATAGCACTAGATAAGGCGGGCTGTAACATCGAGTCGGACGTAGGCACCGGAATATATAACTCGCAACTTTCTGTATCTACTTCTCTAGCGGCCACTAGCAACTCTGATATATCGCTGTTAGGGGGGTCAAACAGAGCCTCATGAATGTCTCTCTCGCTCTCTCTCTCTCGCACTGGTTGATGATACGTGTGCCAGTGATTGATCATTACGGGATAATTTTCATTATGCACTTGTACCACTTTGGTATCGAAGTAGATCACTGCTTCATTGTTGAAATCCCTATCCCTGCGGCATTCCATGCTTCCGATCGGTTTCTAGTACTGGTTCTGTTGCAGATGCCGACCCGTGGCTCGACTTCAAAACTACTTATTTCTGCGTATTCATCCTACTCGTACTAGAAGACTTTTCTGTCTTTGAATTTTCGGGACATCGATAGTACTTGATAAGAAAGGCTGAATAATTTGTCGCCCATTTTCACAGCGTAAACAAAAAGAACAAAAATTGTATAGGGATGAAATGGCTATACTTTGATCATGTGAGGTATAGCACTCCCAATTTGTGTAGATTTGATTCCCAGAGAGTCTAGTGGCATATTAATAGTCCGCGCTTCTCGCTTGGCAACGTAGGGTGGGTTCCCCCTACTTGGTTTCTCATGTATGTCTGTACAAAAATCCTTTTCCTTGGCTTCAGAATAGTAGGAAATTATTTGACCAAAGAATCTTGTGTTTGAAAAAAAAATTCAAAGCTGTGTGTGTGGCTAGCATATGGTAACAGTATGAACATGTGGCGTCTCTAGAGGTCTATGTATTTGGTCAGGTGGCCACCTGACCCCCTAAGTGAGCTCCACAATTCGGTTAGACTGGACACGGTGTATTTCCCGGAAGTTGATCAGCAGATTAGGACGTTGTACACATAACTGAGCCCAATCACTCCAAAATGTTTGAAACACGTGTCTGCAGACCTGGGTACGCGCCGGACGAACTGACGATTTCTCCACCCAGAGAACCACCAGGATCGCAGGGGTTCCTTTTGCGCCAAAGGGGTATCTCAACAATGCAACATGCCTACCTGCCACGACGGACTTGAAGACCTTATAAGCTCGTTCGCAAAGTGCCTCTTATCCACTCGATGTTCGTGCAGATAGTAAGTCCTAGTGGTAACCAGGAGACTTGGATTGCCGAAACGCGGGGGATCTTCCGGTCCCCACAGCAAGTCGAATAATTCTCGCAAGCATCACGGGGCAATTACTTCAGATTCTGGATCTCTCTGAATATAGCAACCTATTAGGAAAGAGAAACGTAAATGTTTCCACAGTCATCTGACGTATTTGCGCGATATTACCTAACATCTCGGCTTGCCTCGGGGCTGTACTTGCCCGATGCAGCCGTGTTTTCCGTTTTTGATCAGACCTGAGTCTAGAATCGCAAACTTTTACGTGATTTCACATAGATCGCCCAGCATTCTATTTTCCATATTTGCAGCGTTACTGTTGACCAGAATAGCGTCATCATGATCCACGTCCCCCGCAAAATCTTTAAAAGGTGAGTTGTTCCTCAGACTTTCGGTTGATCAGAATCGCAAGCTATTCCTCAACCTTACTACCTCTGGTTACTTGTTCCACTCAAAACAAATCCGATGTAAGTAACAAGACCGCCTTCTCATACCTGGCAATTGCTCATATGGTCTCTTATTCAGTGCTTCAAAATCAGTAGCCTCCCGCCATGTCCATCCAACCACTCGAGCGCCCGTCACAAGGCTGGAAATGCCAGTCATGCGGACTTCCCGGAGTTCGCTTATCCACACGCCAAAATTGCTCCAATGAAGCTACCAGTCGGGCATATTACAAGTGTGTCCCATGCGATCGCTTCCTAGGCTTTTGCCCTTGCACCACGCCAGGAGCCAGGACGACCTCGACATGTCCATGTGGCGAACACAGTGATGACGAATCACCAGCTTTAGAGGACCAGGTGCCTCGTGGTGTCTCCGTATTTTTCACGGGGACGAAGCAAAAATTCAACCCTCACAACCCAAATCCAGGGTTTGACGAGGACTGGGAAGCAAATTGCAGTCCAGGATTCATGGTATCAAGGTTCAAGGCTGTGGGCATGGAGTTGCTTCCCTGGGGCTGAAAATCATTGTTTGAGATAGTTTTCTTTTCGTTTCAAGCGAGTCATGTTACTTATTTCAAGAGTCGACAATCGGTTGTTGCTTTTCGAGGCGACACTTAGGTTTTCGAGTAAAAAGTTACTATCCCCTAAGGGCAACTGGGATGCATAACCCATTAGGCTCGGCCTTCATTAAGAGGAGAACGCCAGTCCAGATCAAGATTTGAATAATACTAATACTATGAAATTTGTGATACGTATCAACAATGTTCGGCCTAAATTTTAAGAATTTGAGTGTACTTTGGTAGCCTTGAGAAGTCTAGCTTCAAAGCTGTTTTGATAATTAAGATCAATTGTGGATCTTAGTTGTATGCCATCTCTATCATACAAGATGCCTGATCCCACTTTTAGGGTCGTGCCACGCGTAAGTTGTTGCTTGGCCCAATCACCTGCTATAGACTTTGAATAAGTATAAATACATGATTCTGAAAATACCAGGTAGAAGGCGATTAACTTGATCTCGACCCGTAAATTGTCTAGGTATCAACATAAAAGCCCAAATAGCATGACTCACTATATGAAAGCATTCTATAACCAGACCAGCGTCGGCAAACAGTACTATTAACGAACTCGTGAGACTAAAGGAATCAAACTCGGGAGCTGAAGGCGGAGCCAGACTGTCCTCGCTGTTGCAAAGTCCAATGAAGGGACTGACAGGTGATGGGTCATCCAGATATAAGTTCACATCCAGCGTCATTGCGGATAATGAACAACCGTCGGCTCACGTACACCTCCATCAAACTGGAGGGTCGCTCAATGCTAGGTAGGTTGCGAAACCTCTTCAACAACTTTTGCAAGCGCGATTGGATCCGTTGTTCAGTTTGTCATTAATATCAACCGCCCCTTCTGTCTCAAGTTCCATAGTAAATGACCGAGGTCACAACCATCAACTCTTCTAAGTTTATGTCAACAATTTGGATTTGTCGATATGGTGCACACACATTACTTCCATTTTGGTGAGACTGAAGCTATTCATGCGTCAGTAGCGTATCCATAATCCAGTAGACAGGCTCTTTTTCCTATTGTTGAGGGATGTATTTCGTAGACCTTTTGACAGATTTGTCCACTCGCAAGGGGACTCCCAAAAAAACATGTGGCTACCCTTGCCCTTGGGAGATAGATTCATCTACCCGCAAGGACCTCCTGTAAGGGACTCGTTTTACCACAACTAAGATAGTGTAAGCATAGAGTTGGTGACATTTTTTGGCCTTTATCTTGAACCAGGCATGGCCACACAGAGACCATTTTGACAGAAATTATATAAGTAAAAGTGTGGCCTTCTTCCACAATCAGTCCGATATGGTGTAGTGGCTAACATCGCCGTCTCTCACACGGCAGCCGGGGGTTCGATTCCCCTATCGGAGCTTATCGAAGTCACCATTTTTTTCTTCACGTGGCGCAGAGTGATCTTGTACAAGAAAGCGGCGTCAGCTCTCAGCTTCTAGTGTGGGGGTTCATCTGTGTCATATGGTTTCTGTGATCCTCCGTCATGGGCAGGATGAGAAGCCGGTGAGAAAGTATGTATGCCAAGGACATAGATAGCCTTTATCCATTTTTGGAGCCGCAGATGTTCTTAAATTCTTAAACAACATGGGATTATGACATGTTGATTGACTGGAACTACTGACTAATCATTAAGGTGCTGTGGTCTAGTGGTATGACGAATCGTTGTGGTGACACAAACGAATCCGATTTAGCCCCGGTTCGATTCCGGGCAGCGCCAATTCCTTTTTTATGTTTTTGTTTCTCGGCTCTATCGAAGCCACTTACACCTATTATTCATTTCCCAAGCTATTGGGAAGCATATGTGGGGGTGAAAATACCCCGGTCTGAGGTAGAATTAGCAAAGATCCATAAATCATGAGTGGAATCAGGAAAGTTTTCTTGTACTTGAAATATGCCAGGATTGTTTGATCTAAGAGATCGACCAATAACGGTTAGCATTATTCTTGGGTAACCCTTTGTAGAGTTTCTGGAAAATGTATCTTTAAGGCCAGTTGTTCCCATTCTCTACTTCCATCCACCATTAATCTATTAATTAATATGTCCGTGCTGGATATACCGTCGTTTGAAGGTCAGTGGAAAGCTAACCCTAGATAGTTGCTGTTACCGACCAAGACGAAGAAGAATTCGTGTATCATTAACAGAAGCAACTAAACTGGAGAAGAAGAAGAAGAGAGAAAGAGGGAAACGAGCATCTACGAAACAAACCCACTTCTATCCCGAATCGGGTTAGACCCACGGCTCCTTCCAGATCACGTTCCCCCTCAGGCCTCTCTCAGGCCACAAGACATTCATGCGTCACAGTTGCAACAATTCTTCGAAATCGAAGCCTTCGAAGCTTCTCCACGCTATGTAGCTAAGGGTAGAAGAGGGTTACTGCTAGTATCAACTATGCAAAGTCTACATTCTAATAAAGATTATGATCTTGGTTGCCAACTGCGTTTAGAGAGTGCAATTCTAGATCACAGCATAGTATATAAACACTGTAGGGATGCTTCCACCTGGTGCGACTTCGCCATCTTTGTTAATCCTGAGGGGACAATCCTGCATGTCCCTCATTATTATGAATAGAGAGGGACATAGGGTAACGCTTCTCTTGGGTAATTTTTCTATACCTAAAAGTCGAGTTGTTACGGCTTATGATGTGACGTCCCTCACAGCTGACTTCACAGGAAGCTCAGAAGCGCTTTGATGGCTAATAAGAGCTGGAAGATAATCGCAACCTAGAAGCTGGCTCGAAATGCATAAGGGATATAATAAGTCTCTATGAAGGGACGAGAATTATTTTATCCAAGCCTCTCACTGGTATTCTGAAAAGGAGACAATTGAAATTGACTCCTACATGTCTTAAGTCTCAACCCTTATGGAAGTGAAATTCTTCTTGGGGGTTGGGTTATGCTGAAGAAGCGGTCGCGCTAGAAGACAATATTCTTTATATGCTCCCTTTGTTAAGAATAGTGATACCGGTATTGTTTCCGGATAACCCGCAATATGTGTATAGCCATAATAGATTGGGGAGTTCTGCTTATGTGTTGTAGCTCTCAAATCACTCTCTGCTTACTCTTTTATAGGATTAGAGGGCATCGTTTAGATGAAGCATCTCCAGCTTGCAATCCATGAGAGCCGTACATCAACTTGCCATATGTTAGAAAGAAAGCTACAGACTAAGTCCCAATCTGTAGCTCTCTATCTGTAGTGGCTATAACGTTCATACACAAATCTCGAGGCTTTGAAGCATCATTCGATGGTATCAAGATTCAGAGTCCTAAGTAACGAATATAGGCGATCGTGACCTGCACTGGTTTAACCTAGATAATTAAGGGAAACATAGGAGATAACATCGTTTATCCCAGAAAGAGCGCTTTATAGTAGGGGCCTGATGACTTCTTGGCTGGCTTGGCGTACCCTTGGTGTAAGAGAGCTCCCCGGCGGTCAAATATTCGCAAGTTTTGATGTTCTATGTGGCTCTCTCGGTCGGTGGGAAGACGAATTCATGGAGGAATAGCCATGGATAGAGGTTCGACCAAAAAGAAACATCGAGCACGAACGTACTCGCACACTCCCGAGATCTGCTCAAAACAGTGACGCCCATAATTACCGAGCAGGATTGTCTCGAATAATAATAAAGGTCTGTTTCTTGCCATATCTCTGGGCGAAGGAGAGTGACAGAAGAAGAAGAAGAAGAAGAAGAAGAAGGAGAAGAAAAATAAGTCATGCTGGCGTGTGAACTACAAGCAGGGTAGTAGCGTCAAATTTGAAAGATTAGGAAGAAAAGAACGAGGCACACTGGATTGAGAGGGGCTTGATAGTCATTTCATATTCCTTTCGATTCCAAATCATATTAAGGATCTTCGTTGCCCAACATGTGGCCGCTGCAAGAGATAAAAAAAAATTAAAAATGAAAAAGAAATTGGCGCTGCCCGGAATCGAACCGGGGCTAAATCGGATTCGTTTGTGTTTCCACAACGATTCGTCATACCACTAGACCACAGCACCCGTAAGATGAAAATTTTAGGAATCCTGAAAATATGAAACACTTTGGTATAATCCTATCTCGATCTGGGGGGGTTTCCCCACCTTTATTCTAGGATATATTTTGAGTAAACTTTCTCTATAAGAAAACTATCATTTTGCATGAAGAGTCAATACATTATACATTATATTGGCTGCAAACTAGCTCCGTTTTACAGCATAAAGAAGAGCCAAAAAAAGAAGGAGCAAAAAGATGATGGCGCTGCCCGGAATCGAACCGGGGCTAAATCGGATTCGTTTGTGTCACCACAACGATTCGTCATACCACTAGACCACAGCACCTTTAAGATAAGAGTTTCATAAACTTTGACATCATAAACCACAAATTTCCTTTACACGTCTCTTTTTTGTGTCCAGGTAGAATCAAATACCTTTATAGGAAGGTATTCTGATTTTGCGCCCCTACTGAATAGGTATACAAGTCTCCCTGGTTTCTGAATCTTCTTTTCAGGCGTACTTTCTATGCAAGAACATGGGGTAAACCCAGAATAAAACTGGGCTGAAAGGTAGACTTGGACGAAGAATCCAAGAAATAGGAAATGGAAGAAGGCAGGTTTATCCATTCAGCTGAGAGCGAAATTCTGGCCCACGAGTAATTTTGGACCAACTTCAATGGCGATACATCCTCCTTAGAGATCTGGTAGTCCGCTCAGGGGCGTGATCAGGAGTGTTTCGTTCCTTACAACCTGATTAAATATAAACGAAGGTGACAACAGGATGGCTACGAGATAGCGTGGTCTGAAATCCAAATGTTGTTACGGACCAAGACGAGAAGAATTCGTGTATCATTAACAGAGCAAGTAAACTGGAGAGAAGAAGAAGAGAGAAAGAGGGAAACGAGCAACTACGAAACAAAACCACTTCTATCCCAAATCGGGTTAGGTCATCGGCTCTTTCCAGATCACGTTCCCCTCAGTCCCAAAGGTAGTCATGCGTCACACCTTCCTAGTCACGTTCCCCCTCAGTCCTCAAGATAGTCATGTGTCACAAATGTCCTGGATTTTTTAGGAAATAGAAATTGAGAATTCTAGGAACAAGCCAACCCAAAGCAACCGCTTCAAATACAATAGAGCAGATCAAGTAGTATTTGCAACGATTCAAGAGCCCATGAATACGTCAGGAGATGGCAGAACGGGACGAATAGGCGCAGTCCTTTTTCTCTGGCTCATATAGTCATTTTGTTTGAGTGCTCTCATCTCAAGGTGCTGTGGTCTAGTGGTATGACGAATCGTTGTGGTGACACAAACGAATCCGATTTAGCCCCGGTTCGATTCCGGGCAGCGCCAATATATTTTTGTTCGTTATTTTTTGGCTCTCTGTTCCAGTTTGAATCTCACTTATGCTATGACATAGAAAAAATGTAGCCACTCTTAATACAAGAAATAGGTTATTAACTCTTAGGAAATTTTATATTGGTGATATGTCCCAAAAGAGAGGGGAAAAAAAAAGTGGATTTGACAAGATGAGTACGTCATTTTGTGCTTGAAGTAGTCAGGATCTGCGAAGTTTTCAGCATCAGGTGCTGTGGTCTAGTGGTATGACGAATCGTTGTGGTAACACAAACGAATCCGATTTAGCCCCGGTTCGATTCCGGGCAGCGCCATTTCTTCTTTTTGTCCTTTTTTGTACTCCAGGAATTTGATTCACCCTGTCGGAGTCTACACTGCCATTTATGTTTTTCTTTGTGGTGCACCTGCCGAAAAGTGACATAGAGGCAGAGAAGACTCGAGTCGTTCTTGGAAGTTTCGCGCGAGGGCGATCTAAGTTCTGACAAGTTCTCCAACTACCTCATTTTTCCAACATTGAAGGGATATCAAATAACAAAGTGGAATTGTATCTGAAAGAACATGGCGAGTGAAGACTTTTTTACAGATGTGTCATAGAGTTAGCTACGACGAGCTGACAGCAGCCAATTTATCGCGATTTCTTTCTCGCCAAATCTCAACCTCGCCACCGCCTCTAACAATACCAACTCTCATTGACGAAAGCATATTATGCGCCGCATTGGAGTGTTCATACACACCGCCGTTGAACATTGCAGTGGCGTCCTTCCCAATGCCCGAGCCAATAAGGGCTTTTCCCCCTGGATGTTCCTTGATGAAATCTGTTACATCGTGAATCACACCGGCGATAGCAACAAGCGCTTTTCCATTCTGAGACTCGGCAACGAAATCATCCCAAGAAAAGACAGGGAGCTGTTCTAAGGGAGTCCCCCAATCAAGCTTGGCTCGCTTTTGGTCAACTTTCTTTTGCAGCTGCTGGACGCGACCTTTTTCGATCTCGTTGGCGCGGAATTGCTTAAGGTTGGTGGCAAGACCGATCTGTTTCCATGCCCAGATTGACCACTTTGTTGGGTCATACTGCCACCATTGGATGGCATTGCGGTAGTCGGAAGGGAACTTTCATGAGGTCAGCGACGAAACGAAAACTTGAGAGGGAGCGTCGCTTACTTCGTGGTGAAAATTATGATAGCCTTCACCGAGTGTCACAAGAGCGGTGATAACATGATCACGGGGCGAATTCCTGTCATCGAATGGCTATGGGAATTGTCAATGAGTGAAGAGTTGCATCGCAACGGTCATGGCTAACCTGATCCCCAAGCCAATGAGCAAGGGAGTTGACACAAAAGGTCGCCTGCTGAACGAAGAGGAACCTCAAGATTCCCGCGTATATCAGACCTCCTCTCCAGTCACCCCAGCCAAGCCCAGCAACGACCATTGGGAACAGCAGGCCGAAAACAAGAATGACTTCACCATAGTGCCTGTGCTGCCAGACCACAATAGGGTCTTGGTTCAAGTCGGAGATATCAGTCCGTCCTTGGTCTTTAGGGTTTTGCTTCAGCACCATCCACATGAAGTGAGAGTACCACACGCCTTTTCGTACACTGTAGGGGTCTTTGACAGTATCGGTCCATCGATGGTGAGCTCGGTGTTTGCTGCTCCACCATCGGATAGAGCCTTGGACTGCACCGCCACCAACACAGGCAAGGAAAATTCTCAATGGTAAGTATCTAGACAGAAGAACGATGAGTCAGTCTCTTTTTTTGCCTTATCTTTTACCAGTCTTGCGAGAATTTTGAAGGGGAAATAAAAAAAAAGACTCACGCCTCATATGATCGATGTGCCCATAGACGGTGATAGCCAGCAGTAATGCCCAATCCAGTCCAGAAGTAATAGACCAACGCCCAGATAGCTGTTGGAAGACGCAGTTGAGTGTAAAATGCAGCGACGCAGCCGAGAGATGGAACGATGAGGATAAGAGTGGTGTTAATCCAATTGACATGGTGATGCCAGTTACTCCATGTGAAGGGCTGTTCACTAATGTGCAGTTTCTGGCTTTTGGACATAGTGCCTGTTATGAATTTGAAGGTGAGTCGTGCTGGGAGTATAACAAATTTATCGGGTTGTGATACTTTTATATTCTTTTTAGTAAAATCCTAAGATGACAGAGAGTCTTAATAGACTCATTAGGCTACTTCGGGGTGGAGAATCCGGAAATCAATTATCGATTACAATAGAATGTGCTTCCACATCCTCGGTCCCATGTGGATGTGACGCGTGGTCTTTGTTGGATGCTAGAATTTGTTGGGTCGTTGGGAACAGCATCCTTCGGTTCCTGTCTCACCCAACATCTACTTGAATTCTAAGGAACAGCACAACATAACTGATTCCAGTTTCATATTGCAGAAAACATCATCAAATTATCTTTTAAGCTTTGTTCTTGGATTATTTAGCCTTTAGAATGAGCCTGTACCGACATCAGATGTGTCTCCAACCGGCTAGCAAAAAGTTCTAATATTCGGGAAGAAAGAAGGACAAGTGGGAAGTTTGGTCATCCTCATCAAAAATCATTTTGATAACGTTATAATCCGATCTTCGTTCTTACCGTGGTTAGCGAACCGTTGGGTTTATGCATCGACTCAGGCCAAGTAGTTCATGTTGAGTGAATGGATCAGGCAATCTGGTATAAGAGCCACGGTACAGTTGAAGACATTTCGCCGTCTACGACTTCAAAGATAGATGGTAAAGTGCTGCATTTTTTTTTTTAATTTTCCACAATCCACTGAGTTTCATTAGCCCCACGATGGCTGAAATCTAGGCTATGCTAAATAGAGAATGCAAGAATTGATTGCGTACTTGAATTCGGGCGGTCGGTAAATATTGGTCATCAGGGTTTTGGGTAGACTTTTTAAAGCAGATGGGGCCGCAAACCGGATAGCCTACTCGCGGAGAGCCTGCGCGGGTACATTCCTCAGAGCGCTGAGGAACCCGGGTCGGGTTCGCCGAACCTCCACACATTCCCCAGCTCAAGCTCAAAGTCAAGTTACACTCAATGGCTAAAAGTAAGTCAATGACGATGAATATCAAAGTCTCAGCCCCGATCTCAGATCTCGAAAGGCGCCGGAAAAAGACCCCGCTCTTATCAGCATATCAGACGCCAGAACGCTAGCATGTGAAAGTTGCTGCACAAAATTGCACCGAAGCATGACATGATCAGCATGACCAGCATAACCGTTATCTGTCAGACTTCCTCGATGAATCTTCTCTTCATCCACTAGTCCTCGCCCTCAGAACGTGAATGGAGTTCTCACGGCTCCCTCTTCTCCCCATCCCGGCTTCGATACGCCGTCGGCTGCCCCGGCTGTATCCGTCGCATAGGGCTGGCGTCGAAGCCGAAACGGGCGGGAAATTACGGCACTCGTCTTCTGAGCCGCACCTGCCTTTGCCAGATCATGGAAGCCTCACGGAGATCGCGATTGAGACGCGGCCCTCAACAGCGAGTGATGATCTGAGTTTTGACTCGTCTGGGGGGTCTAGTCCTCGTGAGGACACCGGGATTCCGACGAAATATGAGACTGAGTCGGGGTTACGGTGGAATCGTGTAGTACCCGGTAAGGGTATCTCAGGGTCTTGACATGGTTGGAATGACTGACAGAGATCTCCCATGGCAGCGTTCAATCTTCTCCGCAACGCAGGCTACGAAGCACAACAGCCACGTGCTGATGGGCGACTCGCGCGGTCACTCTATATTAACGCAATCATGTACCTACTTGATGCCTTGCCATCGGATCTTACTGCTGATGAAACTATCATGATCGAACACCGATTACCACAGTCCGTCAAAGCATCAATAGCGGCAGAGCCACAGATCCATCTCGCTGGCTTGGAGGGTCATGGAGAAGCGAGACCTGGGCCTCCTACTAGGTCATATCTGCATCGGCTTCTCGCGTCCATGATTGTGCAGATATTTCTTATCGTGCGGTTCATCCTGCCTTATGCAAAGTTATTCTTGCGAAATGTCTATGAATACGAGCGCTCCCATCGTCTGACGGAGCGTTTTGTAAGCACGACGTTAGATGCGGCAGATGGACTAGGCAAGAGCAGTGTCCACATTGGATCTGCGGTGTGCAAATTGAATGAAGGGAAATTTGGGACTGTAATGGGAAATGTCGCAGCCTGGTGGGTCGAAGGCATTGCGGGTGGAGTATACGAGGGAGTTGGAGAAGGTATGACTCAATTAGGGTTGTTGAGGCCGGGACTGGAGCTCGATAGACTGGTTTTGCAAGTAAATAGGCCCTAGATTGGATACATGCATAGACGCTATTTGAAGACCAATGGCTGGGTGCCCGCTGTGATCTCTTATTCATTGAATGCAAAGTCCAGTGCTGCGTGTGACAAGATTCTTGTAGTGTCCACGACCTTTATCTCGCAGTCTTCCTCGCTCAAAATGAGCGGAAGCTCGCCCAGAACAATGGCATCGCAGCGTGGTGCTAGCTGCTTTGCGACCAAGATGAGGCCGTCGCGTGTTTGCTCGGTAAAGATGCCCTTGATCAACTCGTTCTGAATAACGTCATGGACATAGTCCTGCTCTACATCAGGAATATAGACCGTAATTATACCTTGTTTGGCAAGTGGCTCATCATAGAGACGTCTTCGGACAGTTGGAGAAGTCCCGAGAATGCCCACTCGCTTATAGCCCTGCTTCACGCAGTGGTCGGCCGTGACTTCCAGAATGCTGAGAACCGGGATCGTTGACTTGGCCAGGATCTCGGGAAACACAATATGCGGAGTATTTGAAGGAATGATAGCAAATTGAGCTCCGGCTTTGGCCGTACTGTTCACCGAGTCACTCAGCACTATGGAGAGGGCATCAAAGTCGTCCGTTTTGACGGCATTCTTGATCCCCTCATAGAGTGGAGTATGCGTAACAATGGGCGGGTAGGGAACACCGCCGCATAGCCTCACGACCGATTTCTTGGTGGCAGACGACGCCACCCTCAATGGTAGGAATGCAGATGCCGATGGTCTTCATGATAAATGTACTAGGTAATTGAAAGAAGATGCCTGGTAGAGATCAAGAGTGTTATGTTCGTCGAGAAGGGGTAATGAGCAGAATTTATAGGAAGCATAGGAAGCATAGGAAGCATAGGAAGCACTGATGATTATCAGATGACCTCGCCGCATTAAAGACCAGGATTGAAAGCGACTCAATGTCAATGTGCATGTAGTTGGTGAGTCAAGAGGTGAAGCGACCCCGAAGCTCCACTGCGATAGCAAGATAAGCGATTGAAGCGATTGGTTTGTTGTCAACATCAACTTTCACTCCCAATCATCATGTCGACTACGAGGTTACCCTGCGTCCCTTCGATTCGAAGGCAGCAGCTACATCTGGAATTGTGAGTGCCATTGCCATTCTAACCGCGCGAACCGTGCTCATCTCCGTCCAGCGCGAGCTTGCGGAATGCGGCACCACCAGGGGTCTACGTGAGCCTGGCACCCAGCGACCCTACGCTCTGGAATGGAGTCATCTTCGTTCGTTCCGGTGAGTGCAGACTCCAATAATCTACAGATCGTGACTAATAGTCGACCTAGGCCCCTATGCCTCTGCCATTGTGCGCTTCCAGATCCGCTTCCCTGACGTGTACCCCGACCTCCCACCGCTCGTGACCTTCGCAACAGATGTCTTCCACCCATTGATCGTACCACTTACCACATATACATTCAGCACAAACTCAGCAAGTGATGACCCTGTGAGCGCAACTGACGAGGAGCGACTACCGCCTGGTGGGTTCAGCCTCCGTCACGGATTTCCTCACTGGTTCGGAAGGGCCAGGCGACGAAGCGGTGTTGCGTCTGGAAAGACGTCTCGGAATGTGAGTGGTACCAGTATTGGCACTATGTCCGGTAGTGTCCAGGCGGCACCAAGTGGCCCCATGGCGGAGGGCAATACGTCCGACGGGCGAGATCCTGTAGTCGGCTCTCCGAGCAATGCCGTCAATGGCGAGGACACAAATAAAAACGACGGCACTCCTCAAATCGCTCAAGTGCCTTCTACAGATCAATTCGCGGAAGCCAAGAAATTTGTGCCCGTCGCCGACTTATTGAATTATATTCGGTCAACTTTCGACGATGCGGAGGTTCTGGACTCTTTGCCATCTGAAGCAGCTGCCAACCCTGGGGCATGGCACGCGTGGAAAGCGCATCGCCGAGGTGGCGCTAGATCTGGTGATTTGAAGCGAGGGAAGCCCGCAGGCTCGGCTCCCCGGCGACTGGCATTGGGATGGCATTTGGGCGCGTCGAGTACAGGACGAGATCGCGGCGAGCCATTCCGATGCGATGTTGTATGGCAATCCTCGTGGCGGTAGCGACGAGATGGTGTGTCCCATTGAACTGGCTATGTTCCGACAGACGCTGACTAGAATAGATTCGCTTTTCTCGGATGGACGATGCAACTAGGAGCTCGGTGAAGGAGAAGATGGAATCGGTGGTGAACGTAACTAAATCTTGACGATTGTTCTTGCCTCAATATACCCAACAATGCAGTTGTTTTCAACATCACTCGCGCCTGCCTCTCGAAAACCCTCGCGCTCAGAATAAGTCCAAGTTTTGCTGGAGACTCTGATCATGCATCATCTACCATTGCCATCATCACAACATGCCCAATACTTTATCGCTCGATTTTAAGAGCTCTGCATTGCTTATCGCATTGGTCCTGGTCCCCGTTGTTGTCCTCTTTGGCACTGTTGCCATAGCTCTTGTCTGCTCCGAGCGCTGCAATTGCCACTTCGCTAAACCCAAGTGTGTGACCCATTTCCCCTGCTGCCGCGGACGCTGGCACCGAAAAAAGCGCCTTCGCTCCGACCTAGAGAACGGCTCCGATAGTCCTGCAACCGAAACCTCAAATGCACCTCTTCAATATGGCCCAGTCTCCACAGCACTGGAGCAGGTCTAGAGCGATCGCCATGGACGACCCTTTCCGCGAGCCTTGTACCGTCAGAAAAGCCAGCGGCGAGTCACGGAGTCGGAGCGTCGGTTCTTCCAGGTCGTATCCTCGCATTCCTCGCCGTCAGTCTTCGCTCTCGGCGAGCTTTAGCAGTGACCCAAATGGACCAGCAACATCAACTCGAACTCCATCTCTATGCGATAGTCTGTATCAAATTCAAGTTGTGAAACGACGGCGATCGGGGGGAAAGGCTCTTCGGGACACGGGCAACCAGGACCTTGGCTCTACAGAGGGCAATCCATCTATCACCAAAGTAATCCGCACCCCATAATTATCGGTCGTTTCCTCGCTGACTTGTCTGTAAGAGCTCGAAGCAGCTGGGTAAGACCCAAGAGAGCAAGATCAAGGTCAAAAATCAGCCTCGCTCGCGGCTTACGGTTCGCTGGAGCTCCGGATCATGGGATTCTCTTGGGCCGGATCTAACATCTGGTTCGAACTCGGTTTACGGCTCAAGGGAGATGAGGCCTTCAACTCCGGACCTAAGGCAAGCTCTGAAACACAAAAATGAAGATGGCGTCGGATCCCTATGTCCTCTGGACCTGCCAATATCTTTTGTCAGCGTGAGATCTATTACCAACCAGCCCCAAATCGGCCTTTTGTCTTCAACATTATGTACTACGGTACAAGTATCTGCCGATGTCAACTCTGTCTCGGTTTCCGAAAGCTCGGGTCTCGCGCCGCTTGATGTGATTATACTCCTGCATAGTGTGTGAGTTCAATTTCTCGTCTCGTCAGTCAAAGATACACAAGCTCATTCACTCACCAGGGCCCAGCCGTCCGTCAATCTCCTGACGCAGATCACTTTTGGTGCTTCCGCTTTGGCTTCAAATCTCATTTCCGATTATGACAGAATTGGTCTCGCATATGTTGATGGGAGGAAAAGCCTCGGCTTCGAGGTATTACTTTCCTTGGACTTCCACTCAATGGACGCTGTCCGATCTGCATTGAATTTGTTTCTTTTGTTCCAACCTCCCAATTATTGCAAAGCGAGTCTTAGCCTTGGCGAAGTCATTGAGCGAGTGTCCGGGCTGTTTCCAGGCTGCCCGAGGTCTGCATTTTGCCACTTGTTTTTCATTTCTGGAACTTCACCGTTGCATTTAGCGATACCTTCAATCAACCAAGCAATCGGGTTCAACACCATCACACCTCAGCCTTGTCTCCCGTTGAACCAAAGCCCTCTTAAGTCCGGATGGCACATATATTATGACGTTGGTGTTGGCAACGCATACCCACGAGGAACCCACTTCATTCGCAAAGTGTCACGAGTCGTTCGGCAGCTTCGTACTGGCATTTGCCCAGGGTCCGTTGTCAACCTCCGACTTTCTATCATTCCTGGCAAAGGTTGCCAGATTTTTTCCGTCATGAACGACTGTCAACTCACTTTACTTCGACCTGGGGAGACCTGGATTGTCCCCGTCAAAATGAGCGTGCCCTCGGCATTCCATTCGATCACTCCTGGTGATCATTCTCAGTCTCCTGCTCACCATCCAGTAATTGAAGAAATGATTTCCCAAATTAATGATCTTCTGATGGAATACTCCTGCGGAGAAGTCATCCAGCCTATTCTGACTGCTCACGTTGAGTATCAGCATTCGCTTCTGCCAGCAACTAGCACTATTCATGAGGAGAGCCAGCTCACAATTATCCGAAGTCCAATTCAGCCCTGAACTCCTCGCTTGACTATTGACAGACAAATATTTTAACAGTTGCAAAATTCAATGAGCTGAGTGTGGGCCTGGATGTTCGGTCAAATGGCAACTCAGGTCTCTCGGGGTAGCTTTCTTGTTCTATTATTACCGCGGTTTTTTATCGGATACGCTACTATAACTCATATTTGTTCTTGCTTTGGCATGTATTACTTGTTCACAAATTATACTGATTGTTCGATCTGATCATTCTCTCGAACTGACTCCATCGCCAGATTAAAGCTAAAGACGACCTTACCTTTGTCCCGAGAATTGACCCCTCATGTACGAGGATAGATTTTCAAAAGCATTCTCCAAGTCTAATTCGTCTTCTTATTTTCTGTCCACTCCGCACAGCTTTGTACAGATCCCGAGGATACTTAAAATCGGGGTTGAATCATTCGGTCGTTACCCATGGGGTATGAGACTAGTGGACTGGTAACATAAGAACTATATTGACAGTACTGGTCCGGTGTGGCTATAGTGGAGAATCTTGCATATTCTTGTCATTCCGCAGGAAACTGTACACGAATCTATTGTGGCGCTGAAAAATTGGCTAAGGTCGGCGCGGTATCATCGGCACTCTCGGCGAGCTGCCGACCCCCACATCGGATCGCCGTCATCATTGAACTCGGCCCATTGGAAGAAGGTGCATCCCTGTTTACCTGGTGCGTATCCCGCATAGCACATCCACATGTATCGGCCCCGAGTCTCCTGCTTGCGCTGTGAGCACCGAAGAATCGCGTGCTTGCCACATTGGCACCGGGGAATGTATCGAGGGTGCAGAGTATCGCGATACCAACGGTAGGTAACATTGATGCGCCGATTCCCTGCGATGGGATGTGGAGAAATCGTTTGCGCAGGGCTGATCGCATGCTTCCACTCTTCCTGCATCTCTGCATGCATAATTAGGAGCGAATTATGCGGTAAGTGAATGGAGATCTGTCCCTGCGCATCTGCACGAGCCGCGGCCTTCTGGTCTTTGCCCTTCGACGATGGAGACTCTTTGCCGCCCTCATCTACCGCTTCGTCTGCGTCTGCCTCGTCATCCCGGGCGACAATCCGGCGTACTCGGAATTCTCGTGCCACCCCTAAGCTAAGACTACCTATCACCGGGTGTGGACCAAGATAGGTCAGTTCGTCTGCGTGGTATCCTACGCTCTCAGTCGGTCCGTCATAGCAGTTGACAAATGCTGCATTTGGTCGCCACTGCTTTGGTGATTGGTATTTGAGTTTCTTTCCATCGGGGTAGATCTCGCGGATACGTTGCTGAATCTCTTCATTCACCTTGGTCTGAACCTTTCGTGATACCGTTCGCAAGTGCGGCGTTGCTTCCCGCACGTTTGCGCGGTAGCTACCGCCGTACGTGTATTCGGAAGTCTGTTGCTTGTATTCCTCAGGCGTGGAAACGTATATACACGCAGTGTGCGGACTTTGTACTGTTCGACTAAATAGTTGAAATTCGTATCTTGAAAAATGGTCCGCTTCATGGAGTAGCTCTTTCAGGAGCCCATTGGCCTCTTCCGGGGAAGAAAGTTGTGAATAATCGTGCAAGGTGTGTGGGCTGCCACGTCCTCGGGGGCGTAGAGGTGCAGGGTTTGGCCTTTCTTGGTCGAGTGAATCTTTCGGTCAGTCAAGCTTTTATTGACAGACTTGAAAGATCCATCTTCCCCTCTCGTTAAAACGTGCGATGACATGGACGTTTGAATGCCGAATGAAGAGTTGGGTGCCGCCCGTCTCTTAGGGTTTGGTGCTTTTGCTGTGGGCCCTTGCGAGGACAGCAACGCTGACGCCGCATCTACGGAGCCCTCGCATGACACAAGAACGTCCAGAATATCATCCTGCTCGACATCCGGGTACAATGATAGTAAAATGGCGAGCTTAATGTCGGTCGAATCCTCGACCTGATTCTCAGCAACCGGCGATGCCTCGAATGATTCCACGCCAGCTTTCTCAGCCAGGGATAATTTTCGACGTTTCCTCGAGACGAACGCGTCCATGGATGCTTCGCTTCATCACGTTGATGGTCAAGAGAAGAAGATGAGTCGTAGCCATCGATAAGCCACCTATCAGCACATGACTGGCTCCGAAGTGACCAATCAGAGTATGCTCTCATAGATATGCTGAAGAATGGCAATTTGCTGATTTGGCAGGCCGCCTCATGCCTGATTATAGAAGGGTTTTTCATTTAAGGTGAGAAGAGGACATAGACATTCATTGCTGCTTGTTCGCCGGATGGACCAGACTGTGGGTTATACTCGTCAATTTTCTCTTCCCTAACTTCTCCCTCCTCGCCACTTGTATGGTCATCGACGCAGTCAGCAAGATACCCATTACCAAAACCTGAGTGTCTTACATAAATGGTATGAAGAAGTGGACGCACTCTAGCAGTGCACAGCGGACACCACTTGTTCAGATACTTCAAAAGCTGAGTAGGAGATTTTGTTGCAGTAGTCACCTTGCGAAGAGGCTTCTCTTGTAGTCTCTCTTTTCTTCTGTCTGTCTTTTCTAGTAAATAATTGCTCGATTGGCCTAGAATGTTGAAGGAAAATCAAGGGTAAAAAAAATGAGGTAAAAAATGGACTCGCGGGGAATCGAACCCCGGACCACTCCCATGCTAAGGGAGTATTATACCACTAAACCACAAGCCCCTTGGATGAGTAATCAAAGCACCAGTGGCAATATCAACAGCTCCCATGTACCACGAAGACAGTCCCTCGCAAGGTAGAGATGGATGCGTCGTGAGAAAGCCCGAATTCACAGGTGGTTCGACGTGATAGGAGAACAAAATTATACCCAGATGAATACTACGCTGAATTCTGACTATTGATTGAAAGAATTTGCAAGACAAGAGCGTAACGATCATGCCGTAGTCCATTTATATATCTGTCCTTCACGATGATATTCAACTAAGTATTTTATTTGTCGAAGACCATCAAAAACCTCAACCAAAGCCGAAAGAGCTATATAAACCCATCCATGAGACACCCCACGGTAGCCTCCGGTTCCATCAGCATCATCAGAATCAATGGCCTTGACATAGGGCTGGTCACCAAATCGTGCGTCAGGGAAATTGTCCTCGATCACTCTGATCCAGCAGCATCCGATGTCAGCATGCTTCTCAGCTACACCAGAAGAACCAAGAACGCTGACCATATATTCAAGCAAATCATCATCCACCATCAAATACACACGTAGCCTACTCGGTAGATTTGTCACAGGGATCGCTAAGGAAGCCTTGAAGTTATGAAAGGCCTCGCGCACGCCTCGCGCACGCTTTCTATACTGCACCCGCTGTACGTGTGTTTTGCATTGAATACCTTCGAAGTGTATGCCTTCTCCATTAGAAAGAGTTGATCAGATGAGCCGGTCATTGTTCGGTGTAATGACCTATTGACGGCGTTGTTAAGACAACGCAGAAAGATACTTGAAAGACGTTTGGAGTCGGGTCCGTAGGATGTGCGGTAGATAATAGGGCCCCAGGTGAGAATTAGGAAGTCGCGCGACGGCCCTGGAGGTATGAATCGTAACCCTGGGGATGATCCAACTCGATATACTTCCTTCTGGAGGAATAGCTTGGCCGAAGTGCGAAACAGATTCGGCCATGGGATCTGATCAGTTGGAGCCTCTATGTAGGACATGCCAATGTCTCCCCCACCCACCACTTAAGAGTGAGGGCTTTCTTTAAATCGAAGAGACGGGGAAGAGGGGGTCCAGGACATTTATATGGCGCGTCATATTATTTTTTCCGGGTTAAAAGTTAAATCGCTGGCATGGTTCTGAGTTCTTGGGCATGCGGATCTGTCACTGCTCCACCACAAGACGATGAGGAATTGACGATATAAGGACAAGACGCTGTCATGGTTTAGATATGGTAAAGCTGCCCTCCAATGGGGTACCTGGATCCTCGACTACTGTAAGTCGGCTATTGACGTCACGATCTCCATCATCAAAGTCTCCAAACAAACAATAGAAGAACGAGTGCATCAATTGTTGGGGAGCCCGTGGTATTTGAGATGAATATATCAGATCTTGCAGTTCTACAGGCTGGCGGAAGTATTGTTGGAATCAGGAGTGTATCCCAGCAGTCTCATGCGCAGGTAACATTGGCCTGTGATCTACCACCTCGAGCTGGGATCAATCACAAGCTAAACACACCAACCCGCACTCCGATCGAGGAAATTCCAGGAAACTTGAGCTTTCTAAAATGTTATGTTCATCCATGCTTTAAAACAAGGTATCCCCAATTCAGCTTCGAATGCCCACAATGAAAGCATGTACTTTCGCGCGGGAAGGGACCGACCGATAAGCGTGGCCCGCGCTAAAACCGACCTCGGCCCATCGCATTGCACTTAGATTCTCCCCGCAATCCCGATGTCAATCCCTCCGACCTCACACCGTGGCCGGGCGACATGGTGAACGTTTCTTTTTGATACCCTAGACTGTTTCTTTTCAATTCTGTTCCGTGATCGCACTCCGATCAGCCCCTCACTATGCTCCACTTCCGCACACAGGGTTTCAACGGTTGCGCGGTCAAGTATTCGCCCTTTTTCGACAATCGGCTGGCCGTCGCAAGTGCAGCCAACTTCGGTCTTGTCGGTAATGGACGGTTATACATTCTAGAGCTCACCGCTAATGGAATTGTGCCGGTGAAAACGTAAGTGGCGTAGAAAACGCTCTCACAGCCATTGGTTTTGATCTCCGAACCTCCAGGCTGACCATCTCTATTCATGATGCAGATTCACAACACAAGACTCCCTCTATGACCTTGCTTGGTCGGAGATCCATGAGAATCAGGTCCTCACCGCATCAGGCGATGGCAGCATCAAGCTGTTCGACACCACCGCCAACGACTTCCCCGTTTCGAATTGGAAAGAACACAACAGGGAGGTGTTCAGCGTCAACTGGAACCTAGTCGCCAAAGATCGCTTCTGCTCCAGTAGTTGGGATGGCACTGTTCGAGTCTGGTCGCCGCACCGTCCACAGTCCCTCCTAACTCTCCCCACTCACAGCTGCACCCTATTCCGCCGCCTTCTGTCCGCATAATCCAGACCTGCTCTCATGCGTAACATCAGACTCTTACGTTCGCGTCTTTGACCTACGCACCCCTGCCTCGGCCTCGAACCACCTCGCTGTTCAAATTCCCATCCATGCATCTCCTGCCGCGTCTGCCCTACCCGGCGGGCCAGGAATACCACCAACTGCAACCCCGCCCGCCGAGGCCCTCACGCACGACTGGAACAAATATCGCCCTACCGTCCTCGCCACGGCCGGTGTAGATCGGGCCATCCGGACGTTCGACATCCGCGCCCCGCAGCAGGGGCCACTAGCCACGATGCTAGGCCACGAGTACGCAGTGCGCAAAGTCACTTGGTCGCCACATCTATCCAACGTTCTTCTGAGTGCTAGTTACGATATGACTTGTCGCGTTTGGAGCGATCGGTCTGATGCAAGCGCGCCGGGTGATGTGGATCTCATGCGCTCTGGCCCGGCGGGTCCGGTTGTCGGCCAGGAACTTGGACGGATGACACGACACACCGAATTTGTGACGGGTGTGGATTGGTGCTTATTCGGAAACGAGGGCTGGTGCGCTAGTGTTGGATGGGATGAAAGTCTCTACGTATGGGATGTGCGAGGCTCAATGACGTGAATGATCATCTAGCATTAAAGAAACCTATCACAATTTTTCAGAACACTGGTGGTTCTGCTGAAAGCATTATGGTATGATATTCCGTAAGGATAGACAAGAGCATTCATTGCTTCACTTTTGTTATATACCATTAAACACAGTGAACAAGGTATCAGTCATTGCATTTCGTAATTTTATGTCCGAGTCGCCCAGCTCTGCATGGTTCGTGAATCCAAAGAATTCCGCGCTCGGTCTATGTATGCATCTGTCAAAGCCCGAACAATAGTATAAGCACTGCTGAGATCAACCGAAAGCCCGGCTCAAGCTCCATGTGAAGCTTATACCGAACCCAGGAAAGCGAGTACCCGATGCCTCATTTCCAGGTTGATGATGGTGACCCAAGGCCTGGGCTCAAGTAGCACCGGGGTCTCACATTAAGAAGTTTTCCAATTTTGACCACAGGCGTATCTATTTGCCTAGACGAGCCTCGGTCTTGTCGCGCTCCTGGTTCCGGACCTGAGCAATCTCTTCCCGGGAGGCGTTGACCGCAACGTGCACCTGGTTGAAGGGGTTCTCCTCGCTCTTCTCGAACTCTTTGCGGCAAAGATCCATACGCTGCTGTCGACGCAGACCGGGATTTTCTTGTTCAATCTCGGGCATGCGACGAGCCTCAAAGGCAGCGTATGCGGCCTTGAATCGACGCTCGGGATGTCGCTCGACCTTAGAAGTATCCTTGTTTGTAAGGGATAAGGCATCCAGTGCATTATCAATACCGGAAGCATGAAGAGCAGAGCCCTTCTTGCTTGTGGGCTCGTCATCCAGCTGGGCGAGATCGAGGCCGCGAGTCTTCTTCTGGGCGGTCTTCGCATTGGCACCCTTGGCCTTGGCGGGCTGAGAAGCCTCTTCCTCTGCTAGTAGGGCATCGCGCTCGGCCTTCTTGCGGGCAGCTTCGGCTTTCTTGGCTTCGGCGTCATCCCTGGATATTAGAAAAAGGATCAGTTAGCTTGAGCCTCATCGTCGTAAACACTGGGACAAGCTCACTTCTTAGCGTTGCTCTTCGAGCCCTTGGACCACTGTTTTTCTTCTTCGACTGCTAGCTTTGCATTCTCAGCAGCCTTCTTTCCAGCGGCGGCGTCGGCTTTCTGTATAGAGATTAGCATCCACACAAGCATGGTGGGGGCGGGGTCAACATACACGAGCCTGACCAGCAGCCTTCTTGGAGTTCTCTCCAGCACCTCCTTTCTTGCCTCCCATTTTGATGGACTGTGTCTTTTTGTGCGAACGACGCTCAAGGAATGATGAATGGGTGGGACAGAAGAAAAGTGGATTGTCTTTAATGACCTGATCCACGAGGTGATTATGCCGGCTCCGGTGCGGGCGGTGACCATTTGACTAATCTGGGCATCCACCCAGACGCTGTAGAAGCTTGTAGAATATCACCTTGATTCTGTTGAAGCTATACATACAGTGAGATGCAAGTAACCATAAATGTTATGTTGCGCGTTGTGGCTTCCAAGGACCTTCCGACTAAATACGTAAGTTGGCCCTTGCGGCTTTTGGTGCGTCTTGTATAGGATTGGGATGATGTCACTGCAATAACCCCCAAAGGATCCCCCAAAGACATGATCACTGGGTTTTGCACATACAGTCCAGCAAATATCGGATTCAAATCAGTGCTGGCTCTTGAATTCCCAGAGAACCATCTGTCGAATATGTTCCATGCCCGTGACCTGTAAAGAGAGGTGTTTCCCCTATTGCGTCACAAATATCATGATCTAATTAGACAGCCCTCGTGTCCCTACTTTTGGGAGAGTGGATGCAGTCAAGTCATTTGATGATAAGTTGAACAGTAAAATGTCCGCTGGAACCATTTTTTCACAAAGCCGGAGACCTCGTTTTTCATGGCCCGGGCTAAGTCAAGACGCTCAATTCTTCCCCTTTTTCACCAAAAGTAGATATAGCAGTATCAATCCACCAGAAGCATATCAAATAGACGCGGCATAAGATAGTCCAAACTGTCTCAACTTTTGCGGTAGTTGCTGTCGTTGCTCTTTTATCCCGTCTGTCACCTGTTTCGCCGTACGCTCGGTGGTCTCTTCGGTAATCCGTTCCGTCATCTGCTCTGTTAATTTCGGAATATTCCAAAAATCAAGGTCGAATTAATTGGGTGTCACGGATGCGTCCTTAGGATCCTCAGGATCCTCACCCTTGATCAAAAGCGACTGCAGAGTTTGAATAAAGGCCGCTGAACCGCCAGATTGCTCTGTTTTCCAGAGTTCAGCCTCAAAGTCTCTGAAGATGATTTGTGTTTCCGTCGGAAGAGTAGACTCCATTTCCATGGCTGTAAGCTGAATAAGCCGAAGAATACCCCTGGCTGATTTCCACCGTCGAGCGAGCGAACGGAGAATGATGAAAGATTCAATGAATGCTTGTTCACTTTGGGCATCCTGTAGATTTTCGAGGAGTGCAAACATTGCAACAGAAGTATACTGCATCGCGGTTCCTGGAATACAGTCCACAGGCCATTGTGATCGGAATTGACAGAGTACTGCGCCGATATTGTGAGCTGCAGAGAACCTCAGAGCCTTGATGTGGCTCTTAGTGGCTAGGTCGCTCTCTTCAAGGATTGGTTTGATGAAGCCGAATATCAAAAGGATAATTGTGTAATATCTCATGCTGTAATACGTATTTGTTAGCTATTTTGGTATTCTTGCTGTCGTAGGTGAGACTCACTGCATGTCCATGACTCCGGGTGTCGGCGTGCAACCCAGACCAACGCATTCAGGGAGGGTTTTAGCCCAGGCTTGCAGTCGATAGTGAAAGGTGTTGACGTTTTCAAGATCAAATGCAGCAGGCTTACCGTCTCCGAAGAAATAATCGCATATATCCCACACAATAAGCATGAGATCGAAAACGCCATTGATCACACAGCCCGTGTGTGCCGGTGCCGGTTCGACTTGGCGGGGATAAGGGCACCAAGTGTCTTCTGGATCATGGCCTCGAGAGAGCCGCTCAAGTTTTGTGGGTCTTGTAGCGATGGCAGGCTTCTGTAGACCGAGAACACTGATTCTGTAGGAAAGTCAGACAACAGGAATCTTTCACAGGACCCCCACGGAGTGTTTTTAACTCACGTGCAGATATTGAACAGCCCAAAAACAGCCGTAGAAATGGCCCTTGCCATCTCTGGAGCCTCTGCACCCGCCTCTGCGATCATTGTGTGACTATTATTCTCAATATCGCGGGCACAGTCCGCAATCTCGACAATTTTCAGCCAGCCAAGCCTGCCTTTTCCCATGTCGGTCAGACTTTCCATTGAAGTTAGTATGATCCAAGTCAGCTGGAAGACAAAAAGACTTACCAGATGTAAATGCTACCTCGCGCTTGGAAAGTTGTGAGTGATAGTGGATCTTCTTCTTCTTTCAGCAATCGCATTGCTTCCTCCAAGAAATGATCTCCTCGTGTGCTTTGATCACCCGGGATGGCCAGGGTTTCGGGATAATCTGAGTATAACTTGACCGAGGATATTAGTTGTGATATTCAACCAGATACTACGAGAGTCATGGAATAGTGAGGGGCACTCACACATGCCATAGCCAAGATACTGTTGACAAGCAACGGGGAACAGAACTTAGAGCCCATTTTGCCGGATCTCATATCTCTCAAAAACAAATCGCGGTCAATCCAATTTGAAGTGCAGTTGTTCCAGGTGAAATAGAGTGAAATTAAGTGCGACACAAAGTCGTCGTCATTCGTCACAGATGTCCACGGTCGCGCGGGTACCTTGTAGAGAGGAATATCAGATATACGCTTAATGTCCATGTACCTGTGAGATAACTCAAACGGGCTGGAAGGAATCTTTGGGCCTTTGGCGACGGCTTCGTTGTCATTACTTAGATTTTGATTTTTCGCAAGATGAAGGCGGATTTTGTCTAAAGGCGCGTTACTTCGAATCAAATCCAGCAAGCTACGGCCCTTTTGCTCGTCCTCGTCACGAATAGTATTCACGAGCTGCATTAGCAAGTCACGGTCCTGCTCCAAAGCTTCGATTCTTCGCTTCAGGGTGACTCGTCGGCGGCCATCATTGTCCGCGTTGAATATGCATTCCGTCTTAGAATTCTGACAGGGCAAGCACGGGATGCCTCCAATACACTATATCGGTGTTAGCAAGATGCTTGCTCGGCGAAGCTGGATACATACCTTGGATTTTCGTTTTTGACACGCCGAACACGCGGTGGTTGCTTTTTTAGAGGAAGCAACATGATAATCCGATGTTTGATGAGGATGGTCATTCGGTGTTGGTGCAAGAGACTGGGCAGGATTTGGCGGACCCATTTCAGCTAGATTGTATGATCGTCTAGGGGTCTCAGAAAGCTGTCAGAAAAACAAATGATGTCGAGGGAGCGGGGATGTCATTTCATTCGAAGATAGCGCCGGAAATGGATTTCCCACACCGCTGCTCGGTTTTGGCCCAATCACGACCGGTAAAATATTTCCTCGCGAAAGGTATGCAGGCTGTATGTTATGAAAGATATACCCTGGAGGGTATTTGTTTGTTGTAGACTCCCGCGATGTTGGCCCCTGCATGAACCTTCTTGTCACATATTCGGGTTCCATCGACAAAGATTAAGACATCCCCCACTAGAACACACAAATTTAGGTATCGAGAGGATTTGGATCATCAAATGCCGAATAATACCGTGTATTCTCGTGGTTTGACGATTCTTGGCTGATAAAGCACAAGCACCGTAAGAGGACATGGCACCCAAGGGATAGAAAGTGGGACTCGTGGACAGGCGACTTAGCTGGCGGGGTGGCGCTGCGCGTGGCGTCGACCACGACGATAGAAATTTGGCCTGAAGATACAGGTGTCGACCGGACGCGGGTTTGTCATCTCAGTCCGCTCCCGCGAAAGCTGGAGCTTTGTCCGCATTCGCAACGCTCTTTTGACTACAACACCAAGAATGGGCTTGTTATAGCTCAAGGCTGTGATATTTCGAGTATCGCGACCAAATTTGACTTTGTGTCTTGGGCACATCCCTCGAAGACCAGCCACGTTGCCCTTTCTCGGTTGACCCGACCCCCCGTTCACCATAATGACGACGCTCTTCCGATTAATACGGAGCCTTTCGCTCCTGCTGCTGCTCATTGGAACAGTGACCGCTGAGCATACCTCTAACTGGGCCGTACTGGTCTCAACATCTCGATTCTGGTTCAACTACCGGCATCTCGCCAATGTCCTCTCTCTTTACCGAACGGTCAAGCGACTCGGCATTCCCGACTCTCAGATCATCCTCATGCTCCCTGATGACATGGCATGTAACCCTCGAAACGCCTTCCCTGGTACTGTGTATAGTAATGCAGACCGCGCCGTCGATTTGTACGGAGACAACATCGAAGTCGACTACAGGGGCTACGAGGTGACAGTCGAGAACTTTATCCGGCTTTTGACCGATCGCCTGGACGAAGATGTGCCGCGCAGCAAGCGTCTTGGCTCAGATGCTGGAAGCAATGTGCTGGTCTACATGACCGGCCACGGGGGCGATCAATTCCTCAAATTCCAGGACGCGGAGGAAATTGGCGCATGGGATCTAGCCGACGCATTCGGACAGATGTGGGAGAAGAAGCGGTACCATGAATTGCTCTTCATGATCGATACCTGCCAAGCGAACACGATGTACACCCACTTCTACTCGCCAAACATTGTCGCGACGGGATCCAGCGAGCTGGACCAGTCTTCATACTCCCACCACGCGGACAACGACGTCGGAGTTGCAGTGATTGACCGCTGGACTTACTACGTGCTCGAGTTCCTCGAGACGCAGGTGACGAGTGCCAACTCGAAATTGACCTTGGGTGATTTGTTCGACTCTTATGATGAATCGAAGATTCACTCGCAGCCCGGTGTTAGATGGGATCTGTTCCCTGGTGGCGAGCCCGAGGGCCGCCTTCGAACTGTGGTTGATTTCTTCGGTAACGTGCAGAATGTCGAGGTCGAGAACGCCAATGCGACTGAACCGGGCTCTCTCAAGGAAGACTTGGCTGAGATTGCGCGATTGGTTGAGAAGTGGCAGAAGCGCGACGAGGAATACTCTGCCATCATTGGCAACTCGTCTCAACAGCACGGCGAAAACCAACCCTCAGAATCTGTACGTGTACGCTTAGGCCCGAAAAAGACAGGGCCGACTAGAATGGCGGAGGATAACAATTGGGGCAAGCGCCTAGTTGGTCTCTCCATTGTGGGTGCTTGTACAGCTATCTGGGTCGCTGGATCGATTCTTGGCCGCTCAGCCTAATGGCCTCAGCTTAACTATCTACTTTCGGTTCATTCATTTGTACATATAGCGCGCAAGGCGTTTCGGCATTGGCTAAGGGGGGGTAGTAGTAGTAGGAGTATTTGTTTTCTTCATCCCGATCTAGTTCGCTTTAGGATATGCCGCCATGCTGCATGCTTGCTTGACCGCAAAGAAGCGAGCCAGACCGGCGGGATATATCAATCTGTTACTGCTACTACCACATCAGTCCATGCTGTTTCTTTTTATCTCAACACCCGGGTTTCTGTCATGAATAGAAAGTTCGCCAGTAACGTCCCATAATCTCAGGATTTCAAACGGGTAACCTAGTAAGACTAAGATAGCAAGGCTCGCTCTTCGTCAAGGTAATTCTATATTGTAGTGGGAGAACTGGTGACATAATGAGCCTATGTGTGGCCTCAGGCATGATTTAATGTCTGAGTGCATAGTACATCTCCAGACACACTTGGAGAGAGACAAGTCATCTACCCAATTCATTCAGGATTCACCCAATTTCTTCTATTCATGATGCAGCATTAAGATTATCCAGCAAGGCCGCAACAGGGCATCAGTACGGCCTCATCCAGCGTCCTCTACACCAGACAGGCAGTGTGTGTGTGTGTGTGTGTGTGTGTTGTCCAGTCTGCATCGCCAGACAGCCATCGAGCCGTTTCCATTTCAATAGATAAATAATCTGAAAAACCTGGAGATTGATTTAAGACAGACCCTTGATCTTGGCTCCTCGGAACGACTCCTAGGGGAAAGTTCGAGCTACAGGGCAAGGCTTCACTATCGACACAAAGATCAATACTGGGATATCGGTCAATAGCGATGGATCAGGAAGCTAAGATGCAGCTGCGATTGATCAGTCTATCGGGTGAGAGGTTCGTCCGGCTCACAATCGATGAAGTGGACTATCTTTACTTGTATCGTCCAAATCCTCAAATGCCTTTTGCGGAGCAAGTGGCCGATATGCAAAGGCCACTTGGTCTATCCAATTCTCCACCAGATTGTGGGCAGAGTCATGCCATGTGCGATAAGCCGCATCAGCAGGCGGCGATGACCGATATTCTAGACACCAACGAGCCGCTTCACATCTCAGATTCGGAAGCGTTTCTGCACTGGCTTTTTCTTTTTTCCATCTTGCGTGGAAGCGACGGAGTTATCCTCGGTGCTAGCAAGGTCCCACAGATTGTGCGGAACGCAAGTGATGTGGTCAAGGGCCCGTTGCCAGTGGAAGTAGTGCACGAGCTTGGCGCGCTATGAGAAAAGCTTCAATGAAGAGAAACTTGATAAGAGCTGGTGTCCGAGAGGTAAAGCGATCATTATATGATGCGACAGAATGAATGCGTGATCTATAGCTCGTCTCGTCTGGTCACAAAGCACTGTAGGTGGAGCACACGTCTCGCGACAGGGCAATATATCAACTGAAATGTCGTTAGTGTGACCCTTGCAAATACTGTGGTGGAGGCCAATTTCATCGAGTGCAAGCAGGGAGTGCAATGCAAGATGCAGATACTCGTCTTTGTCGAGGCGACGGACGGAATCCCGGGGCACGTGCCCGACGCGTCGCGCTCCGCTTTCGTTGCGCTTCAATTCACGGACTTCACTCACGATTCACGGTTCACGTTTGACGGCTTCATCTTTATTTTTAATTCTTCGTGCTCTTGAATTTCGTGATCCATGCTCGCATGTGCTAATATTCCTTAGCTGGCCATGTATCTTCCACGGCAGCTCATCTCTCACCTATATCTCCAACTCCTCCGATCCCACCACCCGCTCTCCCCGCCTGTTCTGATCCTCGTTGCGCTCGAGCCTGATGCGCTTTGTGCCTGTCGCATCCTTACGGCTTTATTAAAACGCGACTATATCCCTCACAAGATTCAACCGGTTGCCGGCTATGGCGATCTCGCGCGTGCAGGTGAGGACCTTGTCCGGCCCATGCAAATCACGAATGGTGGCAGTGGAGGTGTCGTGGTATGTCTCGGTGTAGGTGGACTCGTTGACTTGGGAGAGATTCTGGGGTTGAGTCAACCAGATGACGAAGTGGAGGACTTGGGAGGTGTCGAGATCTGGGTCTTCGACGCGCGCCGGCCGTGGAACCTCGCAAACGTCTTCGGAGGACAAGCTGGAATGGGTCAAGCCATGGCAGAAATTGATGCTAACGCGCGGCGGCGTGGACGGGGCGTGGACAAAGGCTGCATTACCCCTGCATACACGTCGAGAAATGGCGGCATCATCGTATTCGATGACGGTGATATCGAAGAGGAACTCAGCAACGAGCGAGAGGCATACTACGCGCTTCTAGATATGCCCGAGGTGGATGAAGATGACGTAAGTGATGACGGAGATATGGACGACGATGAAACAGTCCCAGGGTCTAAGAAGCGCAAGTCGTGGTCCGGACGCGAGGATGAGGACGAGTCAGAAGATGAAGATGGGCCGCCTCGCCAGCGGAAACGAAGCAATTCGGTATGGGACGTCTTTATCTCGTCCCCGTTCGAGTATTAACGCGTTCTACAGGGCTCTTCTATGGTCTCCTCTCCAAGTCGGCGACGGCGCACTGCTATTAATTCGTCCAATTCATCACGTTCTGCGACGCCTACCGACTCACCGTCACCAGCAGAGCCAAACATGCCATCTACGCAGGCGTTGAAGCGTCGCCTGATTCGAATGAAGAAGAAACACGAAACGGTCTTAGCGAGCTATTATGCTGCTGGAACATCCTACTCAGAACCCATTTCGTCACTAGTATACTCCCTCGCATCAGAGCTCGGTCGCGAAGATAACGATTTACTGTGGCTGGCCATTGTCGGAGTTTCCAGCTTGGAGCTCAGCGGGCGGACAATGACCGGCGTGGGCATCTCAAATGCCTTAGAATCTGGAGGCTCTGCAGGCTGGGGTGGGCAACGCGGAGAACACATTCGCCAGATCTTCCGGGACGAAGTTCACCGTCTAAATCCTCCCGACCCCTATGAGCGAGATCGGGATATCAGAGGAGAGATCAATGGGGTCATTCCCACGACTGCTAGATCTCCAACCGACACGTCGATCCGTCTTTCTCCCGAACCACGGTTTCTGCTTGTCCGACACTGGTCACTTTACGAGAGTATGCTTCACAGTCCTTACCTCGCCACGAGGCTTCACGTCTGGACGGAGAATGGCCGCAAACGACTTCACAAACTTCTGGCCAAGATGGGTATCAGCTTAACACAGTGCCACCAATACTACACACACATGGATATGGAGCTTAAGAAAGTGCTCCGAGGGCGACTTCTTAAGTACGCACCCATGTACGGTCTGGATGGCCTGGTTCCTCCGGAGCCATCCGGCCATGCCAGCTCCCGTGAAGGCTGGGGCTTTGTACGATGCTGGGGCTGGAAGGCTTGTCTGTCTGCCACGGACATAGGCGTCATCCTAGGTGCGATGCTCGAGGTTGGACCGAACGAGGCCTCAGCAACATGGGATGCTAAACGCCTCCCGCGGGCACGAGGCTCCAACGACGAGATCGAAAATGGAGGTGGCTCGGGAGAATCCGATCTGGCCAGTCTTCTTCCACGGTTCTGGAGTGCATACGACGCTCTATCGCTCACCTCCGAGTCACCCACTCTTCTGATGGATGCGCTGCCTTTAGCTCAGCATCTGCACCGTGCCATTCTCCGTACTGGCACGTCGCTGCTTTCGAAGCATCAAATCCGCCATCTTCGGGCATTCCGCATTGCAGTAGTCAAGGACGGCCCCGATGTGAAGCTATTTACCAATCCAGGCGCTCTAACCAAACTGGCGCTGTGGATCGCGGAGGCTATTCGCGTCCAAGAACGTGAAAAGGGCGACTCCAGAATTGGCCGAAAACGAGCAGCCGGTACCCCTCTGGTCCTCGCCGGCCTGGACGAAGACCGCGATCTTTATGTGGTCGTAGGCACGGGCGGAGGTGGTGGCGTGGTTGACTTTGCAGCAATGTCGAAGCGCCAAGAAGAACGCCGCAGAAAGAAAGAAGATAAAGAGAAGAAGCAAAAGGAACGAGAAGATCGCCGGGCCAAGCGCGCCGCTGAACGCGCTGAACGGGACGGCTCCGATGCTGAAGAAGACGATTCGGAAGAATCGGAGTCGTCCGAGTCCGAGTCGGAGGATGAAGAAGATCCTAGCGGAAAGAAGCATCTCGTTCGCAATCGATTCGGCATTGCTTTCCAAGAGGTGGTTCAAGAGACCAGCGCTCGCGTCCGTATCGATAGCTTCGACCATTGTGTTGTCGAGGTCCAAAAGGACGATCTCGGCGGATTCCTTGAAGCACTCAGTTTCCGCAGCGTGGTGGGCTAAGACTCACCCGCACATTCACGCAGTCTACGACCTTGCACTTGATATAGGAATGGTATGGGAGGGACTTCGAACTCTGGTATGGGGACTCATGCATTGTACTACGCATTTCCATGATCATCTTTGCATCTGAGAACTTCCTGGCGTTGTGGTGTTCATCTATAGCCTCTACAATCTACTGTTTCGGGATTCTTTCCGACCTCCCCGCTTCCCCGCACTTTCTCCGATTTCCCATCTAAACACGTAAATAGTGGCCTTCAAAAGGACTTGAAATGCAGTCCTAGTCCTCGATGGGATTCCTATATCGCAATCACACAATGACACCACAGCAATTCCCCAGTGTCTCGCGGGAAAGCACCCTCGCCAAACTCCCCACCGAATACGCTTGTGACGCGCAAGACCAGATTTCCAACATCCTCGCAACAACCCCAATCAATCGCCTCGTTGTACTCGACGACGACCCAACAGGCACGCAAACCTGCCATGACATCTCTGTGCTAACAGTATGGGACGTTCCATCTCTAAAAGCCGAATTCCAGACCGATTCCCGGGGCTTCTTCATCCTGACCAACTCACGCGCCCTCCCACCCGCTAAAGCGGAGACTCTCATCCGCACGATATGCACTAACGTCGCCGAAGCCGCGAAAGCCACGGATAACAAGGTTGATATCGTCCTCCGAGGCGATAGTACACTGCGCGGTCACTTCCCTCTCGAAACAGACGTTGCGCAATCCGTCTTTGGGCCCGCCGATGCCCTTGTGCTGGCCCCGTTCTTCTTTCAGGGTGGTCGCTTCACCATTGGAGATGTCCACTACGTCGCAGAAGGCGCCAAGCTGGTCCCAGCGGGCTCGACGCAGTTTGCGCAGGATGCGACATTCGGATACAAGAGCTCTTCTCTACGGGATTACGTTCTTGAAAGAGCACCCGGTCGGTTCAGCGAAGATCAATTGTATTCCGTGACGATTGAAGAGATCCGAAAGGGTGGGCCGAATGCTGTTTGCGAGAAATTGATGGCTGCGCCGAAAGGAGGTGTCGTGATTGTCAATGCTGCTGCTGAGTCGGATATGCATGTTTTTGTTGCTGGGTTGTTGCTTGGTATGGTTCCTTTCCCTCATACCCTCTGTATCCTTGGCGTGGATGTTGACTTTGTTCTTTACAGCCGAGTCAAAGGGTAAACACTTCCTCTACCGCACTGGCGCGGCCTTTGTCTCAACCAGGCTCGGTATCCGCTCCAAAGCACCCATCTCTGCAGCCGAGCTTGGTCTTCCTTTGCCTCGGGACACAGGTGGGTTGATCATGGCGGGCTCCTATGTGCCTAAGACGACAGCACAATTGAAGGTCCTGACAGATCGACTCGGAATGGATGGGAAGCTGCACGTAATCGAGATCCAAGTCGAAGAGCTCATTGCGTCGCCAGAGACGGCGGAGCAAACTGTGCAGCGGGTGGTCAAGGAGACGGAAGAGTATCTCAAGACTGGACAGGATACTTTGGTGATGACAAGTCGGAAGCTGGTCACAGGCGGTGATGAGCTTTCCTCGCTGAAGATTGGATCGGCTGTTGCGGAGACATTGGTTAGCGTTTTGCAGCGCATCGAGGTGCGACCGCGGTACGTTATTGCAAAGGTATGATTGAGTCTGGACCTGGGATTGATATGAGTGCGCGATATTGACTTTCTAGGGCGGCATTACATCTTCGGATGCTGCTACAAAGGGCTTGAACATCAAGCGGGCTACTATTGTCGGTCAAGCTGCGTCAGGTGTGCCACTTTGGAGATGTGACGAGCCTACATCCCGGCATCGGGGCGTGCCTTTCGTGGTCTTCCCTGGTAATGTCGGTGGAGAGGAGACGCTTTGCGAATTGGTAGAGAATTGGCACTGAGTGTCGTGTATACTACATTGGAGCCCGGAGATGCGATACTGCTGAAGGAGGGCAATCGTGTCTCAACTAGAAATGAACATTGTAAAAAAAATAAAAATTAGAATCGTGTAGGGTCATGGCACATTGCTCATTGGAAGAGCATCGCTTTACTTCCACCAGAAGCTCACGCTGACTCCAGCGCGCAGTCCACGGACATAATGCCACCATCCGATAGGGATGTAAAGGCATTCGCCCTCATGCAAAATGACCTCGACGTACTCGGCGTCTTGGAAACCAGGCCACCTTTCATCCCAGTCCTCGGCAGGAGACTGCTCAATGGCAGCAATGTCCACCTCGGATGTGTTGGACATATCTATCAGATTGCCGTTCTTGATAGGGTCCTCCTCTCCTGGGTCACCGGAAGGCACCATTTCCTTGCCTCGAGGGTGGATTTTCGACGCCGGGGTCTGCGGAGAGTAGAGACGAATATACTTTGTTCCAACAACCTGCACGAGAATGTTGTGGTAAGGGTCATGATGAAGAGGCGAAATTGTCGATACAGGACCGATCCAGGTGTTGATGATCGGGTCCACGGGGACATTTATCATAGAGCCTGTGTCCGATACGCTGCCATCGGCATGATGACCTTCCTTAGGATCCCGGGCACCTTCAGTTTGGGAATCTTCGATGGAAGGTACATTCGACTTGAAGGATGCCTCGACTTTCTTAGCCTGGGCCTCTTCACGGCTGCGCTGCTGAGCCAGATACACAGGCGTACCAGGCTCCGGGCCTGGGGGGAGAAATAAAGCAAGCTTCGGGAATAGCAATATCCTTTCGCAGAGCAGGAATCTGAGCGAGCAAATCATGCTGAGCCAGGTATCCAGTGGGTCGTGTCACGCCGATGTTGTCCTCTTCGTCACTGCCAGAGAAAGAATCATCCTGCCAAACGTAATGATCGACGAAATCTTTGAACTGCATCATTTGCTGTCCCCACTCCGAGTCGGTGTAATCCCTGCCAATCTCGACAGGAACAAGGCGGCGGCCGCCAAAGGTACGCTTGTACCAATAGTCCCGGGACGCCCAAGGGCGTGTCGACATAGCGGGCCAATGGCTCACGGCATTTTCAATGACGAGAGGCGCGCGCGTCTCCTGGATGTGTTTCTCCATGTTCTCAAAGGATTGCTCTTGCACGCGGGGCACCGGGTACTGAAGGCGGGGGTCCGGGAGGGCGTTCGGAGGGAACATGGGCGATATGAATCTTCTGCGCTTAGTAGAAGGCTGGTCGCGTTCTATGAGATCGTCTTTGAGCTCATCCTCCCAGTTGGTAGCCTCTTGGAGGGACAACAACAGGGACTCAATGGTGAACTCGCGCATCGGCGCACCGCTAATGATCAGTGCCTTATCAAGTGTGTGGATGACCTGTGTCAACCACGGAGACCGAATGTCGATTCGGACATCCTGATCCGACTCGCCAAGATGCTCAAGAAGCTCCTTGGTCAGTCGAGACTCGTCAAGGTCATCGGTGGGAAGCTCCCTCAGCTTGCATTCCTGGATGACAACGTAGCATGCCTGGACAATGGAGGCATCGGTGAACAGGCGGCGCCAGCAGTCTTGAACATCGCTGAAGGGGAACACACGTAGCTTGGCGTCAGCGATTTCCAAAGCTTTGGAGGGTGTGTTGAACAGTAGGGCACGAAGGCCTTCACCGCTCTCGAGATCGCAGTTCAAGATCGGGTCGAGTGGTTCAGGCTCCGCGATGGCGGCAAGCGCGGCGCCAATTTGGCTCGCGAGGTTGGGCTTCAGAGCCATGACGTGGCCACAAGCAGGAAAGAGATAGGAGCACGTTTCATTGCAATGCGCTCGGAGAATGAGTTCGTGGCATTTTGGAAAAATTTGGTACGTAAAGAGGAACGGACGACCTGCGGCAAAACAACCAAACCATAGTGTGTTTGTATCGGCCTGTACGGACGTTGATTTCCATTGAGATCTGGGACACCATGATACCAATTCCGGTTTATTTGGTACATTCTGCTCTTTTGTTGAGATAGTTCTAGTATACAGGGTCCTTAATTATGCAATATTCACTCCAAAAACTCCATCACCAGTTTCGGAATGCGAGAAACTCCTTGGCCTTTGATGGCACTGACTGGGACTGCAGTCAACTTTTCTTTCCATCCATCCTGATGGCCCGAAGGATGTTCCTCGGTGCCATTCTGTACAGCAGAGAGGTACTCTTGTAGTGCCCGATACTGGTCCTGGGTGTGTTCCAAATCAGCCTTTGTCGCCACAACAAACCATGGTTTGGTGTGGAGAGGAGGCATGGTGAGGGGAGGTAGAGATCCAGTGGACGGGTAGTTGAGCGGTCGGCTCATTGACTCGTCGTCCGAATGGTCTGGCCCTGAAGCATCCCAATCGATCACCCCTTGTGTTTTCTCCGAGGTAGGCTCGGGTGTACTGTTGCGCATTCGCTCATATTCCCCAAGTTCATGCCAGAGCTTCCGCAGCTCTTCGACTGGATTACCATTGCTGAGATCAAGCACAAAAGCCAAGATGCCCGCACGGTCAATGTGTCGAAGGAATCCAAGACCTAGGCCGCGGTCGAGATGAGCGCCCTCCACCAGACCTGGAATGTCAGCAATTGTGAAGTGGGTGCGCTTTCTCTTCGATTCGACGAGCGGACGACCTCTGTTGTCATCGATGATCACTGTGCCGATGGAAGGGGATAAAGTCGTGAATTCCCAGTTTCCGATCCGCGTGCGACTGTTCGTCAATGACCGAAGGAGCGTACTTTTCCCAGCATTGGGCTTGCCCACAAGACCAACATCTGCAAGTAACTTGAGCTCAAAATCAAGCTCAAGCTTCATTCCGCCCTCGCCACGGGATGCAAACTTCGGTCTTCCCATCGACCGGGTCACGAAATGCGGATTGCCCAATCCACCAGCACCGCCCGCAGCCAAGAGCATCGGCTTATCCATCGGCTGCGACAGATCGAGATAAATAGGTGCCTGAGGTTCCATAGCTGCGATCGCCTGCCTCCGGGGCTTAAGACGAGGGAATTGCACAGTCAGGAAATCAGCAGGATTCGCACCGGGGTGAAGAACCCAGCGATCATGGCGAACTGGCTGGAAATCAATAACCTCGCCGTCTTCATCCACTGGCAAAGGTTCTTCTCGACTCTTTTTCAGGCGAGCCAGCTCCTCTGTCACGGGATCGTAGCGATCTACCTCGCGCACTACAGTGCCGATGGGTACCTGGATGAGGACATCGTCACCCCGCTTGCCTCCTTTGCTTTTGCCTTGTCCATTTTTGCCTCTGCCTGCTTTGATGACGCCCCTGCGGGCAAGTTTGTGTAGACTGGTCAAGCCCTCAACGGCTTGGATGTAAAGACCTCCTCCGCTGCCGCCGTCGCCTCCGTTCGGTGGTCCTTCTTCGACGTATTTCTCTCGGAGGTATGCAGCACATCCGTTACCGCCGGCTCCGGCAAACATAGTCACATGGCATTTGTCTTGAAAAATAAAGCGCGAGTAATCTTCAGGTTCGGGGTTCAAATGCGACAGGTCTGCGGTTTCGTGAGAGTCGTCATCCGGTCGCGTGTTGTCGGAGGTTGTGCTCTGCCATCGCTGGCAGAATAGTACTGGTAGTCGCAAGAATCGGGTCGCAACAAAACTTGTCCGCCCGGCAGCTAAAGGCCCTTTTGGGATGGAAAGGCAAGCTCGGTAGTATGCCATAGTGCTGCTGGTTGATGGGTAGATCCTATTCTTCCAAGAAGCGCAGATCTCGCGCTGATCATTCAACTATAAGCATTCTCCGTTAAGGGTTGTTTGGAGAATATGTGAGGAGGTTCGACACGGACAGGAATGGTCTGATTGAAACTGATCGGAGCGCATTGCATAATTTCCAACGTTGACGTCGAAGCCTGTTCGATAAGAGTCACGTGGAGATAGAGTAGGACCTTATCGCATCGGCTTTGGATCTCTACAAAAGCAGGCAAGGCAATGGTGTATCGGTGAAACTATCTGTGAAGACATCGTCTGATCTTTTGGAACAGATCTGGGGTGCCTACATGTTTCATGTCGGATTATCACAAGTCAAAGTCTGGCAGATAGAAAGTCGGTGTACGGCTACTACATTTCCAAGTAATGCGTATTTGAAACATTAAATACTAACCCTGGCAATCAGGCGCTTTCACAATAACGATGTCGGGCTCGATTTCAAGCACTTTTATTTTTCCCCATCAGGTATTACACATAACGCTCAGCAAAAATGAGACATCGACGAGTCCATCTCAGCCCAACATAAGCCCCAGTGTTCCTGTACCGCGGCACCGCATACAATCCTTGTACATGTTGATCGGAAATAACAGGGTCTATCGTATGCATTAACCGAAATGGTCTTGCACTGTTGGGCTGCAAGGTACCGCTGTGGCTGATACGCCAGTCTATCAAATGTGCATATCAGCCATTGAAACATGACAGAGTTGATAAATACCTGACAGCTAGTCTAGTATGCGCCTGGATGTATGAACAACTGTTCAGCTGCCAGCCTCGCCTCGACATTTACGCTATAGCGGGTCTCATTGCTTTCTCCACCTCTTACGGCTGACAGCTACATGCAATGCCGGTAATGGGCTTTGAATCATTCCAAGCTTGGTGTCATGATGACTCGGCAAATCGCAGATCCTGGCCCATACTACAGATTCGTTCCATGTCCCGCGTACTCTTGATTGGACATGGGCTCGCTCGGTCCCTCTAGAATGACACTGACTCTTCGCTTATCATGATGGGCCAGAGCCAATTGGGGTGGACATGGCCTTGTCGTCTCCTTGCTGCGGGTTAGACCAATGTGAACACCCTGGCCTCGGCTTTGAACGGGCATGAAATGGGTGAAGAGAATAGACGGGATGGTTCAGCTCCACTCAAAGTCAAGGCTGATAATCAGCGGCTGAGTTCCCGAGAAGCGACCTCTCTTGGTGATATTCATCCGACACTGGTTGGTCACAGATGAGCTGAATACTAGTAAAGCCGTGACCAGGTGTTGCTATTCTGCTACGCATATTCTCTACTCTGATTCTCGCTTTACCCCAGCATGAATGGTATGATCTCGAAGTTTAAATAAGGCGAGTCCCGAGTCAGATCTCAAATCGGCTCTCAGACCTCGATGAGAGCGGCTGGGGAGATCTTTGGCTATAGATGATGGACAGACTTCCACTTGCATGCGTACGGGATGTTTTGAGTTAGAGAAGACATTACCGGGTTAAATCTTGTAGCGAGCTTGAATAGGGGAGTTTGATATGTCAACCATTGAGGCTTGCAAGATGACCTTATTGATTCGGAAATCAGGGCAGGCAAAGGTACGAGTGTAGTGTAGTGCGAACGTATATCATGAGTAGACCTGACTCATGTAGTGGGAACAGTGATTGGCTATTCTCCTCGGCTGAGCTGGTGGGCTGTCACAGACAAAAAGGATCATGATCGGCTGTCACATTTTATGACATGCATGTGCTGGGGTCGATCACCTAGGACATCAGGAACCACAGCAAAAGTACCGCATGGGAAAGGACAGGCGGTTGTACTTCGGTTCCAATGTTTGAAGTCGCAGCCTTGTCGAGGAAATTAACATGCAGGGAGAAATGAGCAAGTCAAAACTGTCAGGCTGTGTCAAGCTCTGGTCTGAACAGAGCAATGAGATGAGTAGTACATGAGCCAGCCCGTGGGTCTCCCGCGTGTTCGACATGTATCGAGCTAGATAGTCTAGAAATGGCCCAGAAACCCTCAGACCCGGCATTGAAAGTAGAGGAACTACAGGCTGCGTACATAGGGTTCGAGGTGTCCTTAACCCGTCCTCCGAAATACATATAGGAGTCGTCAATAGAGGAGGAGGGTGAAAATAGTAGAGCGTCTGACGAAAATGAAGACATCTCGATTTGATGGTCTTGTCTATGCTGTGGTTTCCTATGAACTCGCAGGTCGTCATGTATATTTCAATTCTCAGGGCTCGACTAGGCGCAGATCTTCTGGACAAGACATCTGGATTGTATCGTACGGACTGGGGTATAGCGCAAGAATTGAGCCGACACATAATGCAGCCACCCCACCCCCCCCCCCCAAATCCAGGATGAACACACCCTCAATCCGCCAAGAAAGCCCTTAGCAAGTCTAGGTCTGTACCAGGATGACCATCACACGTGACGTCAGCTTACAGACAAATGTACTGGGGGTCAAAGATGGGAAAGCTCCTGCAGGGGCAAGTTTACCCATCACTTTGGAACCAAGCTGATCACGGCAATCTAGTGCCGGCCAGAACCCAAAGTGCCCCTGCACGGCAAAGAGCGTCGAGAGGTACAACAGAGCACAAAGTACGTGTCAAAAGGCGCCGGACCCAGCGACCAGGAAGCGCGAAACCTTGGGAACTCAGGAACGCAGATCAGGAGAACTTAAACATCAGTGGAATTAGGAGACGGAGAGAGGTCCGGAAGATCGACAGAGAGTGCAGGCGTGGCAATCCCAAGGCTGTTGTGAACGCAAGGGTGGATCCAAAAACAGAAAGGTCCATCAGCTCACATGATCGGAGGCGGATTCAATAGTGCGAACATCAGGGCAAGGGAGAAGAGAGCCGGAGCCAGTGACGAGTGAAGGAAGGGAGGGTTTGTTACCCGTCACCGCGGCATCGGATCCTGCATTCCGATGGGGCTTGCCACCAGTGGAGTCAAGGGGGGACACTTCCCATTAGTCGGGGGAGACGTCACAAAGAACCGGGTGAAACGACGAAAAACTTCGAAAAGGTACCTAACTTTAGGTGCGGAGCTAGGAGCTAGGGATCTAGTCTAACGCTAAGGGATTGACCTCCCGTTTATACGGTGCATCCGTGGATTACCCTGGTGGCTATGGAGCCACCGAGCGGCTGGAGACTTTGGTTCGCTCCATCAATTGGTGCGCGGATGCAAATCAATAGTTCCCGCGTCAACTTTCTACAACTTTGGAACACTAGGACGGCGGGCAAATGTTGTGGGAAGCTGAAAGTATCGAAACCTCAGGAAAATTTACAGCCTCGGTAGAAGACCGGTGTAAGTGTCTCGTCACCCGTGGTAAGTCTTGCTGCTCTCAAGTCCAACACTAAGCAGACGGGGTGTGGGAACATTGAATCACTTCACACCTGCCATAGACCAGCTGTACTTTTGTACCCATTGATTCGGCACTAGCTCGAGAATCATCTCTTCTGAAATGGTTAGGCCGAGAACTCCTCCCCAAGTAGTGTCGAGATCTGTGCCTACGCTAAAGTGTGGCGCTTCGAGGTTCATTGTCGACCTGTCAACCCTTATCACACTCCACCTACGCGTGTCAATGTCCCTGGAGTCGAGACCATTCAGTCTATCTGGACTAGTGCGGCAAACCTTCGTGCGATCTGGAAGTTGATGCACAAAGGAGGCGCTCGAGCGTGGAGCACCTAAGTGTAAAATATATCCCGTACTGCCGTACCCGGAATCTCGTCTCTGACCCGCTCTCTGAGTACGATTGAGTTCGACCGTCACGATCGATCGGGACGGGAAGTTACGTATATCTCAATGGAACACATCGCAAAAGCACCAGAAGCAGGGGGACAAAAGCACCTCTTCCAGCTGGCTAGAACAGCAGCCCCCGCTAGTCCTGCGGTTGTCCGATTCGGGCACTTGCGATCGCCCAAGAGACCAAATGTATCAAATGTCAACGCGCGATCTACTGCCTGCATATTTCTGCTTGTCAGTTGTAATGATTGCTCCCTCATCCGAAGGAAAGACCCTTGAAGGGGGAGATTTTGCCTATCATTGTCGCCCCACTTGCACTTTGGCCCCCTTCCTTAGCTCCCACGGTCTTCATCCGGAATGTGAGCACTTTCAGACAGAGTGGATACATCACAATGGGCGGAACCTCCGCGACAGTATACGGAGACAAAAGGCGCGCCCCCCCCCAAAAAGGACCTAAGCATCAGCTTGAGGACAATCGAAGCTGAGCTTTCGACAAAGGTACACCGTACTTCTCCCACAAGAGAATCGAGAATCCGCGGGGGGCGCCAAATACGAACGGATATCTCTTCCACCCTTGGTTTTTGGTATGCGAGCGAGCCTCCAATTTCAAGCCACAGTTTCATGCAACTGTCAAAAACCCGACGCTACGGCTCGGCAGCTGTCGCCGTCGATCATACGCCCGGTGTAGAGGTAAATCGAGCACTCGACCGATCAGGACACTTTAATCGACCAGTTGACCACTCCCATGTCGCGCACCGTGATCCAGTTACTATTTGATCTCAATAGTGGCAATCCATGTGGTGGGGACGGATCCGATTCTTCTCGTAATTTTCATCATCGGCAGGTCCCTTGCTAGTAGCATCAGGTGCTTGGGGCACCTGGCATAGATATCGAGGGGGTTCTAAGGTAGACTTAAGGGTGGAATGAAGGGGAACGGTATTGGAGAATGCCCAGAGATTATGATCGCGACATACGGTGAAGACCTCATTTGCGCCCCTGAAGAGTCGGGGCTTCAAAGGGGACCGAGACATCCGGTCAAACACATGTGCTCGAGAAGGATGGCATGGTATGTCTAGGAAGACCGAGTTGACTTGTTCTGTGCACACCGTCTTTTGAGTTTCGCTCTCGGGCAACAATAATAGAGGTTGGCATATTGATATGGGCCACAGGTGCATGTTCAGTCGGAAACGCAATGATCAGCCGAGATTTGTGGGATGATCCGGTTACCGGCGGCGCTGACCCAAATAGCGGGATGGACATCGGACATAATCAGCGTCGGTTTGGGTAGTGATGTTCGCGGAGTGTCGGGGATATCGCGGCTACGAGGATGCCAACACAACCAGGATCCATTCTCTACAAAGGAGGGTTGAATCTGAATTGTGATGCAGCCAAGCGATTCACCGCCAACAAGTCGAGTCTGATGCATTCTTACCCCACTGACCTGCATGAACAAATCTCTGGACCTTACCGCAGTCGGCAGTACTGACTGGGGTTCCTTCCTTCGCGACATTGCTGCAAGGCTAGAGAAACAAGCTCAAGTAGCCGCTTCATGACATTGGCCCAGATCGAGTCTTCCAGACTACCAACATTCAATCTTCAACCGCCCGTTGGGCCATCTGACTCTGGTTGATGTCATTTTTCTCTCTTTGGGCTTACTGCTGCCTTATCCGAACAGTCCGAATGGATATCGGCGTACACACGATGCTCGACCGAGCCTCAGTCGCGTGACGCATGCAAGGTCTTGTGAATGACTTCCCGTCACCGCTACATGGTTGAATCGTTTGTTCCGAATACTCCCCGAGCTGTCATTACCGCTCCCCGAATTTGAAAAAAGCGCCTCTTCTCTACATGCCTTGCAGGGGGGGAGTATACCAGCATCTCCATTGGTTCGCAGCGCTTCTTACCGGAGCTTGATATTGGTCCCGTGGCCTCATACTACCGTGACACCATTCCGAACTTCGCCAGTTTTCCATTGTTTGCTCGCCCTCGACACTTGGACCTCTTGCTGCACGTATCTGTACGACTCGTGGCCGATCCAGGACTTGCAGGTGCGAGCACAGAAAGATTTAATTGAAGACACGGTGAGGCCTTGGTCTATGCAATGAAGCGGGCTCGTGGTATAGAATAGTATGACGTCGCGCCGAAAGACCCATTTCGCCCGACTTTACCGGATTACCGTCTCACCGGCTTTTCTAAAACTGCCCCGCCTTGGGCTCGCGTGGCCAGAGATTGGAAATGCATGTCCACATCTGTAGTACATTCGGAACACACTGGTATCGTGTACAAGACGATACAATTGTTCCACTTGCCAAAGTTTGTCCAGCTCCTTGGGTCTCTCCTGTTGAATCGGCAATCTACGAGACTCCTTCGATACAAATCTATGCAAATGCTGAAGATTCCCCAAAGCCAATTCGAGATTCATTGCCAAACCGATAAAGTTCAGTCACGCCACCGAAAATTAAAACCCGAACAATACCATTTATTGAACAAGGCAGTTATTGTTTGTAGCGATCGGCAAGCGGGTCCATAGGCGAGAGCCGGAGTGTCGGTGAATTCTGTGACAAGCTCAGGCGATGAGAAGGCTTCGAGAAAAAGCTGTCGCGTCAAAACGGATCGCGACTGGTCGCCCCGTACACCGTAATACTTGACAGGATGATCAGCGCCCCCCTTTCCCCGTTGGCCCACCTTGAATCAATAGCCCGCCCTCTTTCATTCTCAGAGTCTTGTCTGGATAGTCAGAACCTCGCTTTTCCCCGTAGATGGAGAATTGGGGTACATGATTGACGTGTTCTTTAATTTCCCTGCTATGTCCACTGGCATTGCGTGGAAGCATCAGGCATGCTACAGTACCCGACCCCCGGCTTTATTTCTGCGCGTCAGAGCCTATTACGCGATCGCCGACGAACCCGTTGGACAGGATGATAGACAGGGCTCAACGGTTTGAGGGGTGGCAGGATATCAACAAACAGACCTCCATTGGACCGTCTTCACCGCATGTTAAGGATTATTCGAGTCCTGCCGGATTATACGCGAATCAATGCGAAACATGCGGCTACCATGGTTTCCTGTTGATTGTGACTATCTCGTATCCACAGCACTGAGCGGTCCTTCGTCGTGTATAGTCCCCATTCACCGCGGCACGATCCCATCGCGAAGCCCGAAACCTCGAAACTTCGATTCCAAGGTTCCGGAGTTCGGGGAAGGCGATCCAGATGTCCCGAAGGGAACAGAGTTCACCTCCCGTCTGCAACTAGGCTGAACCCAGGTATTTGGGCAAACGGGTCCTACAATTCCGAGACGCGGGTGGAATCGTGGGTCAAAGGAGATACTAGCGCGGCAAAAAGTGACGACTTCAAATTGAGGGAGACAAAGACCAGAATGGACACAGGACACAGGATACTCTCGTTCCCGGTCTTGATTAGACTTGAGACTCATGTCTTACCATTTCGGCCCCAAAGTGACCGCCAGTGGCCTCGGGGGCTCGGGGAGGCGCAGAAAGTAACTTGAGATCTATCATCTCACTAATTCGCACTAAAACCAAAGCTCCGGGAGTAAGTAAAAAAAACCAAAAAGACCAGTCTTGTAAGCGGATCATCCTTGCCTTACGCCATACGGAGAGTAGCGCGTAAACATTACCCCTGGGGGCGCACTAAGGAGTCGCCTCCTGCTGTTCCCCGGGGCCCGGGGCCCGGGGCTCAGGGCCGTGGGTCTCTTACCCATGATTCATCGTAACAGACTAGACAGGAAACGGTAGGTATCAACCGTTATCCTTTTTTCTTCTGGATCTGGGGTGAAGGGAGCTGCGCGATCGAATAAGAGCACAAGGGGGACGAGGAACGCAAAAGACTAGAACTTAGGGTCCTTTTTTTTTTTTGTCTCCCCCGAAATGATCTGATCTGATTGATCGAAGAACGGAATCGTATCATAGCGCTAGACACTCGGCTTCTCTTCCATGATCCCTTTCTCGGAGGTTCTTCCATTGGTTCTGAACAGCCCTGCCGATGCTCCTGATGACGATGATGCCCTCCCTCCCCTCGTACCTCACGTCGATTCATTTGTTCATTGGCTCCACTCTTGTCCTTTTCCTTTTCCTTATTTATCTTTTCTTGTCCTATTTTGTTTTCTAGTCTACCCTTCCCTTTCCTGATTTTTTTTTTTCTTATTATTTTTTTTTCTTATCCAGCCTTGACCTTTGCCTCTGGGTGAATTTTCCGCAATGTCTCTTACCTCTTTCCCCCTTTCAGGCTACATCTCCTACCTAGGTAAAGGATTTTGGAATTTTGGGTTGTTCTATTTCCCTCCCCCGTTAAGATCTCTAATTAAGTTCAAGTTTTCTCAAAATGGTCTGTAATCTGCCCCATGGGATACAGATCAACTTCTCAATGGCCAGATGCCCAGTCGGATGGCCCCGATCCCGCCCTCTTACATTATGAATTACACAGAGCTCAATAATTGAGTAAAAAATTAAAAAAAAAAATATTCCTAAAAATTAAAACCCAAAAAACCCCACTGGACCCACACCCTGTCTTTAATTCCTGATTCACTATGTTTGCTGCCATCTGCATCCTGCGGCTTCTGGTACAGCTGTAACCGAAATTTCAAGCTGTGATGCCGAACGGTCGACGTTTTAGTTTCCTTTGGCGCCTGATCACATCGGACTCCTCTATACATTGAGCTATCCACTGTCGACACCCGTGAGTTTAATATAATAGCTCCCCTTTCCCCTCTGTATTTTGATGGAATGACTCCCTTCCCTCCTCCTTTGTGCTCGTCGCAATTTATCCGCCTGTCTCGCTTTTAAACCCAGTCAGGACTCCTTTCAACTATCCCAAGATTCTTCATAGATCCCTTCCCCATTCCATCTCCCTTCCTCTTTCTTCCACCTACCACCGCTGCTTCCGATTTGGGAATTTCTATTTCTTTTCCGTTTTCATTTTTCTTCGAATAAACTTCCGAGATCCTCAGGACGCGGCTTGTGTCAATCCTCCCTTGCAGGTGTCTCATCATTTCCGGGGACTGTCGGATCTTCCACCCTGCCTTATCGGATTCACGATATAATTCCCAACCGCAGGGGAGAAATGCTGAAGCTCTAAAAATCAAATCGCCTGCTCCTTGCTCTGTCACCAACCCTTCCACATCAATTGCATTCTCTCCCTTTCAACCCTGACGCATTAACCTGGGGTAATCAAAGGGGGTATCAAAAGCACCAACTTTTGGTACTTTTTTCCCCTCGCTTTTTTTCTTGGATCGCAACATCAACATTATTGAGTGAAGCGGGGTCTTTTGTACGCCTCCTGTTCGCTCTCGACTTTTTCTCTCACTCGGTCTCGGCTCTTTTCACACAATGTTCAAACGACCGGCTTGTCTACAAGGCCGTCAGCGCAATGGCGCTGGTGACGACTGGTCTACATTTCCCGTTCGGCAATTGTTTGTTTTAGGTAAGTGAGGTACTTTTGCGTCTCACGACCTCGACGAACTATGTTATGTGCCTGTTCAAGAGTGAAGAGTCTTTATGTGACCAGAACCTAACAATAGCTGTTTAGCTCTCGTCCGCATTTGCGAGCCTATCGCTTTCATGTCGATTTTCCCATACGTGTATCACATGGTGGAATCATTCCACGTCACGGATAATGACCAAAAGATCGCGCTTTATGCCGGCATGATCACCTCGTCTTTCACCTTCGCCGAATTCTCAGCGGGTATGTTTTGGGGTCGCATGAGTGATCGAATTGGCCGCAAGCCCGTGCTCATCATGGGCTTGATTGGAACAGCCATGAGCATGGTCGCCTTCGGATTTGCGCCCAACCTAGCCACAGCCATGATCGCGCGCGCCTTGGGCGGCTTGTTAAATGGAAATATCGGAGTTCTCCAGACCACTGTGGCGGAGATCGTGACGGTCAAGGAGCACCAACCACGAGCATACTCGATCATGCCCTTCGTGTGGTGCCTAGGATCGATCATTGGACCGGCTATGGGCGGTGCTTTAGCCCAACCGTGCGAGAACTACCCGTGGCTTTTCCAGCGTAACACGTTCTTCGACCGCTTCCCGTTCCTGCTGCCCAACTTGGTGTGCATCGTGGTGCTCTTGTGCGGCATTGTGGTCGGAACCCTGTTTCTGGAGGAAACGCATCCCGAGAAGAAGCATCGCCGTGACCCCGGCCGGGAATTGGGCCACTGGCTCATTAGCCTCTGCTGGGGTTCGCGCGTGCAACTTCCGGACGAGTCTGACGTGGATGAGAAGTACTTCTACGGCGATATGCCACCCGAGTACGAAAGTGCCGAATCATCGCCTTGCCTGAGACCCGTGGGTGACGTCGTCTCAACGGAGTGCGACTTGGAGGGACAGAAATCCCCCGCGCCCAAAGCTTTCACTCGCCAGGTCATTCTGACCATTGTTGCTTACGGCATTTTGGCCTAGTGAGTTTGACACCACCCCCGCCTCGCCCTGCATGCATGGATGCAAGTACAATTGCTGACCTCCCTTTCCTGAACAGTCATAGCGTATCTTTTGATCAGCTGATGCCTGTCTTCTTGAGTACTCCCAAGTCTGACGACAACGTCGTCCTTCCACTCACGTTCACTGGAGGTCTCGGTCTCCCAACCAAGACCATTGGCTTCATGTTGGCCGTCCAGGGTGTCTATTCCATGATTGCTCAGCTATGGCTATTCCCATTTGTCGTCAAGCATTTCGGTACCCTACGCACGTTCCGCTTCGTGCTGCTCGCCTGGCCTCCGCTCTACCTGGCGGTGCCCTATCTTATTCTCCTTCCGGCTAAACTCCAGATGCCAGCTGTATACGTTGCTCTGATAAGCAAAATCACTTTCCACGTTATCGCCTTCCCCGCTACCGCCATCTTGCTCGCTAACGCTGCCCCCTCATCCAAGGTCCTTGGGGCTATTAACGGCGCTGCCGCATCTACCGCTAGTCTCAGCCGTGCCTTTGGCCCCACTGTTACGGGCCTGCTTCACTCCAAAGGTTTGGAGAGCGGTCACTCCGTTCTTGCGTGGTGGGCCTGCGGTCTAGTCTGCGTCATCGGTGCCATCCAGAGTTTCTGGATGGAGGAACCCTCCGAGCCCGAGCGATTTAAGAGTGAAGTCAATGAGGCGGAGATGAAGCGTGAAGTCATGTCAGATGACTACGCTGCCCAAGAGTCTGACATTGAAGAGGAGGAGCAGCGACTCCTCTCCTTGCGGTCTAGCATTGATCATGAGTATGCCATTACCAACCTGGACCTGAATGCCACTCGCGACTTTGTCCAATCCCAACACGACAGCAACACACCGAATTCCTGCATATGAATGTGGGATTCGATAAAATAAAAAAAAGGGCATCCATCCTCTTCACTTCCAGAGTCCTTCGGAGAAGGACACCATCGTTTTTCAGCGCTGCTACGTTTCGTCCACCGGGCGCTTCATCTTCATTCTCATTTCAATTTCCGTTTTCGCTTCCCACATGATACCTTTTTTTTTCTTCTTTTTTTTTCTTTTTCTTATTTTCCCGCCATGTCTTGTCATCTTCATTTATCATTCTCAGTAAGAGGGGATACGGCGCAACTGACATAGAGTGGACGCATTTGCGAAAAAAGCATAAAACTTGGGGTCTCCTTCTGTCTATTTCTTTTTTGGTCTGGAGCATTGAACAGGCTATATCATGATGATACTGATGCATCTGGGAGGTTTTTTGAATATCATATTATGTTTCATCGTTGTCGCAAATTTTACTTTTATCTTGGACAGATCTCCAGATAGACTTACGGACTCAATTGAACGACCGTCTCCATCTATACTTTCCCCGTCTCCACATTGGCGTCTACGTAGCGTGTGAAGTCTCACTAAAGACTGCAAGCCAAGGATATGGCATACTACCTCGAATCTGACCGATCATATGACAATGACTATATAGAGAGTGCATATCCTCCCCGAGGTTCCTAGGTCCCTAGTTTTCTAGCTCTGTCGTCCTTTCTACTTCTAAGGAAAGTTGTAACCTCGGAAATCCCCAGATTCCACCTGTCTCGCACCTGTCACCTCTCGTCTCCACCAATGGCAGCTAATGTATCCCGGGGAGATCCACTCGGCACTGGACTCCGCTTGGTAGCACGCGAATGCAATGACCAGTATTCTAGCGTCGCACCGAGCCAATTGTCGGGCAACATATATGCTGACACAGGATACGCCAATGTCGCCGTGCCCCTCCCGATTCTCATAGCTCGAATTGCCAAAGTTTGGGGCACCGAGAGTCCCGAGAGAACCATTCCCGAGGGCAACTTAATTTTTGTCGCGGGTGGCACCTCACTGCTGAATCCCGATCTCCACCAGAACCCTATCCTTCAGCAACTTCTCTTCTGCATCAGCTTTGCGCCTTTGTCCTTTCCGGGACCTTGGTCAATCGTGAGTTCCTAGTGCCCGAGTGCCTGTCCTACTCTGCGCAGATAGATACCGATTTTCATCACCATCCACTATCGGAGGATAATCAGCCTCCGCTTGCGCGCCGCGGGGAGCTCACCATACCAGTGCGGGCCATCTCCTTTTCGCTCCTTGGGCATCGCAAGACTCGAATCCTTGCCTCGAGCCTATTCTGCCACGCCAGTCAGGATCTACCATGAATGTTGATCCGCCAAAAGGAAGGGTACAACTGTTTCCTATCGCTATCTCCGCAGAACTTCACGATCAAGAGATGATCGCAGGTCTGCGGCTCTCGCCCCTCCTTCAACATGCCTAACCCTTCTCCCCCTCCGTCCGCCTCCGGGAAAAAAAAGACCTCACCCTTCCGCCGATACCCCTCCTACGCAATCCGACCCTACGGCCTCAAATAACGGTTCCTACCATCCCGCCCCAACGGTGTCTGCGTCACCTGCTGTATCCACCGCGCACTCCACTGCGACTGCCTCGAGCGCATCTTCCTCTTCCTTCCGTAACGTCTCAGCTTGTAATCGCTGCCGGTTACGCAAAAACCGATGCGATCAGCGTCTGCCGAGGTGCCAGTCCTGTGAAAAGGCTGGAGTCCGCTGCGTTGGATACGACCCTATCACGAAGCGCGAGATCCCGCGCAGTTATGTGCATTTTCTGGAATCACGAGTCGCTCATCTGGAGAAGCGGTTGGCAGAGCATAATATCGAGTTCAAGAAAGCTGTCGCATTCGATGAAGAAGATGCGTTAAAACAAGAGACCGAGGGCGAGGCGCCGGGCACATCCGGCGAAGGACAACCCAGTGGGAACCAGGATAAAACACATTTGACAAATTCTGCGAAGGATGAAACAGTGTCCGACCAGCGTAAAGACGGAGAACAGCGCGATGCCGAAGGAGATGAAAACGAGGAGAATTGGCGCCTACACAATCTGGTTTCCAATATTGGCATGGTTTCGGTGCAAGGGACGTCTGATCCTCGATATCTGGGCTCCACGTCTGGTATCTCATTTGCTCGGGTTGTCTTTGCTGCAGTCAGAAGCTCGATACCTGGAAATCCGGAGCGCGGTCCACTGCGCACTGGAGATCGATTGCCCCAGACAGCGACTGGCTCAGGTGCAGGAACCATGCGCGATTCATTTTTTGGGCTTCAGACGAAACCGATGATGAAACGTGCGTCATTTCCAGACCGGGAGCTCGCTGAGCGACTAGTTGATCTGTATTTTGAACACGCAAATCCTCAAATGCCTATTCTCCACCGTGGGGACTTCATGGAGCTCTTGGATCGAACGTATCAGCTGGAAGAGAAGAATCGCTCACCAAGAGCTCTTTATGTCCTCAACATCGTGTTTGCCATCGGTGCGGGAATTATCTTCGAGGATAAAGCTCAAAGTTCGGATGATGAAAGCCGCGCTGGTCGCGATAGATCCTCATCTACTTCCAAAAGGCTGCGAATGTCTAATCACCAGTATCAGCCGGAGGAATACCACGCGTCTGCTATTGTTCATTTAGAATCGTTCCTCGGTTCTTCGTCCAGTGAAGGATTCGGTGGTTTGGAGGAACTTCAGGCAGTGCTTCTACTGGCCAGTTTCGCTTTGTTGCGGCCCGTGGCTCCGGGTCTTTGGTATATAGTTGGTGTGGCGATGCGCTTAGCTGTTGACCTGGGTCTCCACTACGAAGATGGCGTTGGCCTTGACTCCGGATCGAAAAATGGATCCCCGGTCCAGTCGCGAATTGATGCTCGCGAACGAGGGCGGCGAGAATGGGTCCGAGACCTGCGTCGCCGGCTCTGGTGGTGCGTGTACAGCTTCGACCGTCTAGTTGCCATCTGTGTCGGACGACCATTTGGTATTAGCGACCAGGCAATTAGTACGGAACTTCCATCTATGATGGACGACAAATACATCACGAAATCCGGCCTCTTGACGCCTCCCGATGGAGCCCCTACCTACAAGCATGTTGCTTTCCACTACTTCAAACTTCGCCTTCTTCAGTCTGAGATCCACGACGTCCTTCAATATCAGCAGGCACGTGCCATCCGGAGACGCTCTCCGGAGAGCGCGGCCATCCTTCCTCATGCTGAGCTTACCTCCCCATTCCTCCAAGGCTTCGATTCCTTCCGCTCCTGGCGTCATGATGTCCACCGGCGCCTGGTGGAATGGCATGAGACGGCCCCAACTCGGGCGGATACTGGTGTCAGATTCTCCATTGAACTTCTGGAGTTGAATTACTGGCAAGCCATTATCTTGCTTTACCAACAGAGTCTGACAGTGCCTGCCGAGTTGGCCGGAGAACTGACCCCAGCTGACGATGTCTCGAGTCCATCCTTTTCAAATATCGATGAGGGTGATGAAGAAGATCACGTCTATCTAAACGTTGCTGAGGCTGGACAGAAAGTGATTCGAATCTATCGCCAGCTCCATCGCGTACGACTCGTCAATTACACGTATCTTGCTACTCACCATATCTTCATGGCTGGTATTTCCTTCTTGTATGCTATCTGGCATTCGCCTCTGGTTCGAAGTCGTTTGGTATGTATCTTCTTCGCAAATTCCCACTACCAGCACTGACCCATGTGTTCAAGACTCTCGATGAGGTAGATTTTACTGTTCTCGCCGCCACATCCGTTCTGGGTGACTTGATGCACAAGTGTCCCCGGCCGAAGCCTGCCGAGATGCCTTCGAGCGAATGAGCAAGGCCACGGTTCAGATGTGTCTGTCTACTACCGGCTTCGGATCACAGGTCGATATGACGCGTGTGCATGCTGCCACACATGGTGCCGGCTCTTTGCACGCTGGTCGCACCCGCCAGCATATGGAGCAAAGGCGAGGACATGGTGCGGTCCGACGATCTGCGCAAAGCCGCGCACAAAGGCCTGTGCCAAAGTTCGATATGAACCTGGCAGATCTTTTCAGCGATAATGCTCCGGCTGATCGCTCTCGGGCCGAGAACAGCTATTCTGGACAACCGTATCCCGTTCGCTCAGAACAGGCTGAGTCGATGGGTTCCGGCTTCTCTACCGACAGAGCTGGTCGGTCGTTCGGGCAGCGTACTCCGTCCATGGAGTATCATATGAAATATGAAAACCCGACGTCCCCACAACAACCGCCGCACTTCTACTACGGAAACTCGCCACATCACAGTGGTTCGCCAGGTAGTGTAGCTGCCAATGGGCCCCATGCCGTTGCATCGGCAGACACAGAGGCACAGTCGGGTATCAGCCTCGATTTTCTTGAGTTTGGGTCTGGTGGTTCCGACGGTCCGAATCACATGGAAACGGATCCTAACGCCGGGTATCTGGCTGGTATGCCTCCCCTCGGGCCTAATCTTGGCCAGAACGTGGGTATCGATCTTGGATTCGGCATGGCCATGGATTACCAGCATGATTGGAGCGAAAACCCCAATTATGATCTTCTTGAAGGGTATTTCTTCGGCGGTTCAGGACCAGGCGCTTCCGGTGGTGATGCTTAAAGTTGATTCCTTGTCTCTTCCTACCCTCTCAAATCTTTCCATCTCTGTCCATTTTCTTTTCTCTACGTCGACTCTTACGGGCTGAGTGCTGGCCTCCCTCTCCGCCTCGCCTTTTTTTTTTGACAATCAAAGAATACGAGGTGAACAGAACTGGATCAGGAGATCCATCTCGTGTGGTTTTTTTTTTTTTCATGACTTCATTGTTTGGGATACCATATACTATATATCAGCACTATATTAAAAACCAGAAGATTGAGAATCATTACTAGACGTCGAACTTGGGTCCTTGCCGTGCACGTAAATATTTGAATGCAGAAGTAAGACGTCGAGTGCCTTGGGCAGCAACCGACCCGCCAAAACAAACATTTGAATTGCCCGCTTTTTTTCTTCCGCCAACGCATCAACCTGTCCGGGGACTGCGGCGCTCATCGTGTATCCATTCGGCTGCATCTCGTTGGCTGCTTCACACAATTGGCGCGACGAACGCTTGGACCCAACTGCCTGACTTGAACCTCAGGTGCCCAGTGCCCGCTATCTGCGATTGATCGTAGCCACGTCCCCGATTACTTTGGTCCCTCCTCGGTCCCACCCTCTTTTTTTGTTTCCGGGGAATTTGTTTCCGGGAATATGCCTAGTCGTTGCGATCGCAGATTTCAACCTCCTTGTTTCAAGTGAATCACGTACCACTCAGCCTCGTCGAACCTTGCCGGAGCGGAACCGTGCAGACCACCGACACCCGACCTTCATCGCGCCCATCCACTCTGGTTCTGGAATGATACTGTCCAGGCAGCGATAGGCCCAACGAAGTTAGGCTTCTGGAACGTCACTCTCGTTTTCCTCTGACCCTGAAATCCCCCTCCCGTGCCCTCGGCCCCCGGCCCCAGCGCTCTCAGCCGCATACTTCGAACCTCGAATCCGATTCCTTGAGACTGGTCATGTGTGCGACTGCCAACTATCTACTGGACTATCGATTATGCGCCTTGATCTACGCGAATTCATAATTCCGCCGCAATTACAGGGTCAACATGGTGAAGGCGGACGTCCGAAGGGACTACTATGCGGACCTAGGGCTCCAGCCCAGCGCGGAGACGGAAGATATCAAAAAGCAATTCAGGAAACTTGGTATGTCGTGAATTCGCCAGAACGCAGATCGTTGTGAGACAAACGCAGTACTGATCTAGAGATCCAGCCCTCAAGTTCCATCCTGACAGAAACCCAGGCAAGGAACAGGAGTTCATCGCCAGGTTCCAGGCTATTCAGGCAGCCAATGAAATTCTCAGTGATCCCCAGCAGCGGCTCAAGTACGACACCGATCGATTACGCGCTGGATACGGCAAGGTATATGGGCCCCCGAAGACAAATACAACGCGCAGGCCGGCGCCGACTTACGCCAATACACAACCACCCAAGCCACAACCCCCAAACCAGCCATATACTACTCGACCCCAAACATCTTCCAAGGGACCTTCAGCGGGGGCCAAGCGGTATGAAGCCCATGCACGCGCAGGGCCACAACAATGGAAGCCGCCGCAGGATGAGGCACAGACCAGAGCTGATGCCTTCCGGGCCTTCCATGGTATGAGAAGCAATACATCAGGCTGGCGAGGCTTCGATCCCGAGACGGGACGTGCAACTGCTTCTTCAGGCTCCTCAGAAAGCGCATCGAGGCAACAAAATGCGCCTTTCGGTGCCCAGCGCCCCAAGTCTGCGTATGAGTTCTTCAAAGACAGTGCGAGATCTCAAAAACCCGCGAGTCCCAATTCTCCCAAGAAGAGAAACGGATTTGCGCCGGGAACTGCTGGGGGCGATGAACCCATGGCTCGCAATACTTCAGCATATAACAGCTCCAGAAGCGAGCGGCCGAGCAGCATGTATTTCGATTCTGCGCCTCCGCCGACGGCGAAGAAGCCCACCGCTCCAGAAGCGGCCCCTTCTTTCGCCCAGCGAACTGGTAGTAGCTATGCCACCGCGGGAGGCGAGAAGACTTTCTTCTCGAGCTCCGGACTTGGACGCTCATCAACTGTGCGCACACCCTCAGGATCCTATCGAACGTCAAACTCGCGCACCAACCCATCCAGTCCTGAGAACGGCGAATCCGAAAGCCATCGCAGCGCCAGTCCCAAGGCCAGACGGAACCGCACCTACTCTCTATCTTCGACAACTTCCAGCGAACTTAATGATGATGACAATGACGACATTCACGAAGTGCGACGACCAAACGCATTCAAGCCCAAGGCGGTACCCAAGAGCCGACTCAGACCTAATCAGAAGTTTACCGACTTCTACCGACACGAAAACTCTAGCTCCGGACATGGTGAGACCCTTCCCAGATTCTTTGTTCGTCCCATCGATCCAGTCCTAGCCAGGTCCAGGCATCCAACCTGGCACACCCCGGCCAGGTCAACGTCAGCTTCCAAACCCCCGAAAAATTTCACGGCCAAACCGCACCCCTGATATCGTGAATTCGACCGCTGACAGCTATGTACATAAAGGGCACAACTCGGACAGTGCGGCATTTCCCAAGGGCTCGTATCGGCCGGAACAGGCACAGTCTGTGCATCCAAACATCGGGTATGTGAAATAAACCTTCAGCTGCGTAATTTTCCAGGCTTATACATCCAAAGATTCGATGCACAAAATACGACAAAGCCACAGTCAACCGCATTTGATGGAAACGGCTCCGGCCACAACCTGCATAAGAAGTTCTCAGCGGAAGATTGGAGAGAGCATCTAGAGAACTTCGACTTCCTGGGTGCTAATTCCACTGATCCAAAATCACCTAATACGCACAATCGACCGCGTGCATCAACTCGAACCGACTCCAGGCAAAGCGGAATGTCGACAGGATCGCCTAGATTGAAGTCATTTAGCCCTGGACCTGGGCATAAGTCTCAGCCTCCGATGCCGTCGCAGCAGCAAGTACCTACACCATTTGCACAGGCGAAATTCTCTGCGGATCAGTGGTTTGAGAAGGTGAAAGATATCTCTTGGAATGCTCAGGAGGTCGATAAGGCGCGGTCCTCTTCCAACACACCGCCGCGAAGCCCGAAGAAGCAGGCAAGATCTAGCACGAAAGTTCGAAGTACTCCGCAGGGGGCTAGCGTGGCGACGGAAGCCGATGAAGCTAAAGAGACAATCAATGGCACCACGCCTCCGGAACCTAGCCGGTCAGCACCTGTTGATGTGGAGGCCATGGACATTGATGAGCCTGCCATGCCGGCAAGTGCCATACCTGCCAGACCTCCTGCCGGTGATTCGAGGAGCACGAGCTATCCGAACCTCGCTACTCATGCTACTCAAAACCCTTCTCCTGCAACCACGAAGGCTCAGCCAACCTCTCAAACAGAGCGCGCACCTCATCCTGAGAACCGTACACCGCTCTTCGATCTAGGAAATCTCCGCAACACTGCCCCTTTCACCAGCACAAATAGTGGTGGAATCGAGAACCTTGAAGACGTGCACACCAACCTCCCCTTCACCTCGAGAGCAAAACAACCAAAGACAGCGAAGCGTGACATCAAACCCCGCGCCCTGAACCTCCCAAATCCCCCCAAACGGCCCTGGGCCCCACAACCCACCCCCGCCTTTGCAGGTTCCCAGTATCTCACGCTATCCCGCGACAAATGGAACTGGTACGTCTCAGCAATGAGCACCTACATGCACGACTGGAACAAATTTAACCAACGCATGCTCCTTCATTTCAACACACGCCAAGCAGCCATCGAAACAGGCCTCTCGCCGAAATGGATCAGCGCCGTCGGCGACACAGCCCGCCTCCAGATCGACGGCGCCGAGGAGGACGAGAAGAGCGAGGACCGCGATGAATCTGACGAAGGCGACGATCTTGTTCCTGGTAGTGGAAAGGGCGGGTTCAGTGCCTACCTGCGCGGTATTGAGGAGGATGTCCAGGTGCGGAAGCACTGGGATGTAGCGTGTGAAATGCACCGCGAGTGTATCCTGGATCTTGGAAGGTTGAGGGAATGGATTCGGAATGGGGGAAAGGTTGTATAGGGTTGGCTACAATGATATGGGGACAGAAGCAATGCTGTTGGCATTGTCGTTATATTAGAAAGCTTCTTTTATTTGCATTTTTTTTTTTTGCATGACGAGCATGGTGTCTGTTCGGTGAATACCCTGGATATTGCATTTGACAAATCTAATACATTTCATCCATCCTGTAATCCCTTTTGAAGGAGATCCTCAATGCTTGCCCTGTGGAGTGCGCTTGCTATACCTATCTTTCCACTCTGCGATCCTTTTTTCAAACGTGCAGGTGTCTATTCTGTCTTCTACATCCCTCTCCATCTCGGCGTTCCACAGACTCCGATCCCTGCATTCGCCCTCCCCTTAACCAGTGGACGACACGTCTCTCAATCACATCATCGCATGTCTCGTCAAGTGCAGATTACCACATCAATACCATAGAGTACAGAAGGGCATGACTGGTAGATCGAACGACTGGAAGGGGAAAACCCTTGCCCTAGGTGCCTCAGGCCACCACCCCCGCGGGTCTCGCCGGTAGTTACGTGACAAGGTTACGAGAAAAATACTCCATGAGTCACGGCTTAAAAGAAAGTCAATTCCGACTTGACTTTGGATTTTCCACTGTGAGAAACATCTCCTGTCAATGTAAGTCATTCTGGGCTGTGAACTCAGGGACTCACCGAGACTGACCCGAGCCCAGTTTGCCCCACCATCCGAAGCCGGACGTGCTCTTCTTCCTTCAAATCCCCGCCACCGGCACTTGCGAATCGCGCAGTCAATTTCAATCATTCGCCAACATGGTCTCTATCGTTCTGGGCAGTCAATGGGGAGATGAGGGTATGTTCCAAAGTCCGGAATTTGGAATTGGTATGGAAATGGAAATGCTGATGGCGATACAGGCAAGGGAAAAATTACAGACATGCTGTCGCAGAAGGCGACGCTGTGCTGTCGTGCAGCGGGTGGTCACAGTGAGTGTTTTCCTCTCCTATGCTTCATGCTCGATCGAGATATGGCTAGCCTGGATTGCAATGATTTAACGACTGCGCCATGTACTAGACGCCGGTCACACCATCGTTCACGAGAACGTCACCTACGACTTCCATATTCTACCCTCAGGCCTCGTCTCGCCCTCATGCATCAACTTGATCGGTGCTGGTACCGTTGTCCACGTTCCTAGCTTCTTCAAGGAGCTGGCCCAGCTCGAGACCAAGGGCCTTACCTCCGCCGGCTCGCGCATCTTCATTTCCGATCGCGCCCACGTCTGCTTCGATCTCCACTCCGTTGTTGACGGTCTCGAGGAGGCCGGTCTCGGTGGCCGCAAGGTTGGCACAACCGGCAAGGGCATCGGTCCCTGCTATAGTGACAAGGCTGCGCGCCGCGGTGTGCGCGTCGGGGAGATCTTCGACGAGGAGACCTTTGAGCGCAAGCTGCGCACTCTCAATACTTCCTACCGTGCGCGTTTCGGTGATCTGGCCTACGATGTCGAAGAGGAGATTGCCCGCTTCAAGGTATGGTTTGAAACTAAAAAGATTCTGGCGAATAATCTACTCATACCATGCAGGAGTACCGCATGAAGCTGAAGCCGTACATTGTCGACCAACTCGCTTTCCTGCAGGAGCACAAGAACTCTCCCAACATTCTGGTCGAGGGCGCCAACGCCTTGATGCTTGACCTGGACCACGGCACATACCCCTTCGTCACCTCCTCATCAACAGGTCTCGGCGGAGCCGTGCAAGCCCTCGCCCTCAACCCAGCAAGCATCACGTCCGTGATTGGTGTTCTGAAAGCCTACACCACCCGCGTCGGCTCCGGTCCCTTCCCTAGCGAACAGCTCAACGAAGATGGCGACAAGCTGCAGAAGGTCGGCCGCGAATTCGGTGTGACCACCGGCCGTCGTCGCCGCTGCGGCTGGCTCGATCTCGTGCTGGCTCGCTACTCCCACGCTATCAACCATTACACCGCTCTGAACCTGACCAAGCTTGATATCCTCGATGACTTCGATGAGATCAAGGTCGGAGTGGCATACATCCTGCCTGATGGCACTCGCACCACTGGTTCTTTCCCTGCGGATCCCAACGTTGTTGAGAAGCTCCAGGTTGAGTATGTGACTCTGCCGGGCTGGAAGAGCAACACTATGGGTGTTACCCGTTACGAGGACCTGCCTGCCAACGCCAAGGCCTACATTGAATTCATTGAGCGTGAGATCGGTGGTGTTCCTATCAAGTGGATTGGTACCGGTCCCAACCGTGAGCACATGATTGCGCGCGAGTAGATATTCTGCTGGTAAGTATCTGCCCGTGGTAGATTTTCTCCAAATTCTCTGGTCTCATTTTTTTACCAGTTTAGAATACACTGGGATATGCGATTGAATTTTATATACGGTTTCGACCTTCTCCTAACTCCATTGACGTGTTACTTATTCCCCCTCCCTTCGAAATGGACATGTTAGATGATGAATCGGATATTTTATGATAGAAATAGGCTCAGGATGAAAAATTCATGGAGTTTGATGGTGTTATACAGAAGTGATATTGCCAAATTACAAATCCAATATGTAAGACAAGGACATTCGAAATAAAACAGGGTCGAACAAGAGCTGAGAAGTTGAGAGATGGAGGAAAGTGAAGCACCAAGAGACAGACATATGTATAGTACATGGCGACATCATTGAAGCCCAAGAGTAAAAGACGCCGCCCGATGCGAAGAGGATGGGGAATCTCTATCAATTTTCTTGTGTCGTCAAGTCGGATGCATGGCATGACCTAACGGCGGATGTTTGCTCGTCTTACACAGCCGAGATCATAATCAGAAGGGAGAGCGGCTGTCGAAGCCAGAGGAACGCTCACGACCACCGAAGGAGCGCTCGCGACCACCGGAGGAACGTCCACGGCCGAAGGAGCGGTCGCCGCGATCGTTGTCGCGGTCAAAGCTACGACGGGGCATGCCACCGCGATCATTGAACCCACGGCTGGAGCCACGATCGGAATTACGGGCCCAGCTACCACCAGAGGATCGGTCGGAGTTGCGACGGCCACCGAAGACACGATCAGTCGATGAGGAGCCCTGGCCAAGGCCAACATGGCGCTGTTGTGAGTGGCCAATCACCAACTCGGGGATCTTGGAAATACCAAGGTTGCGGGCAATGTTGGGGCTGACGGCTGGGGGCTCAGGGAGACCGTAGCCGTGGAGGGCAAGGCCATTGAGGATGCGGATAGCGTGACGCTTGCTGGCAAAGCTTTGCAGCAGGGTGCCCAGCTGGGAGCGATATGTGTTCTCACGGGTGATGGGAGATACCCCCTCGACAGCGGCCTTCATCTGGCTGATGGTCAAGGCAGTAGCAGGAGAGAGGTTCTCGAGGCCTTTGGACATGTCCGCCATGGCGGTGGGGAGAGACTGGGTGTCCTCAATGATGGGGAGATCCCCCAGGCGGTCGCTGAAATAGTCATTCTCACCGTCATGGAGGAACATCCAGCCCTCACCGGTCTTGTTGGCGCGGGCGGTACGACCAAGACGGTGAATGTATGTCTCTCGGTCGCGAGGAACACCGACTTGAATTACGTGGGTGACTTCAGGGAAATCCATACCACGAGCGGTCACATCGGAAGAGAAGAGGATGGCCTCGGGGCTCTTACGGAAGGTGTTGGCGCTGTTGGTACGCTGGCTCTGACTGAGACGGGCATGGATCTCCAGCAAGCGCATGCGACCCAAGAGTTTCTGGCTCCGGCTCTCAGTAGGCTCAGCCTTGAGCTGGTTGAAAGCCTCAGCCGCAAGGTTGACCTCAGCAGTCGAGTTGAAATAAACAATCGCCTTGAATGGGCGCAGAGAAGGGTCGGCTTGCTGCTTGACCTGGTAGCTCTTGGCGAGCTCAAGAACCGCGGGCAAAGCATTTTCATAACCACGTAGAAAAACAGTCTTTTGGGGGACACGGAAGTGAGTGGGGACCTCATCGTCACGGACAGTCTTCACGAACTTGAAGTCCGGCTTCATAGTACGCTTGACCATGTGCATCACCTCCTTGGGAACAGTGGCAGAAAACATGACCGTCTGGCGGTTTACCTTGAAGGGATCTGGAAGGAGATCCTGGATGGCTTGGACCTCGGGAGCGAAGCCCTGATCCAGGAGACGATCAGCCTCGTCCAGAATCAGGGTGTTCAGGCGGGGAGCAGAGACACCGCTCGAAGGGTCAGAAAAGATATCCTTGATACGGCCGGGTGTGCCGACCAGCAGGTGGCAGCCCATACGCTGGATCTTCTGCAAACCCAGTCTCTTTTGTGTACCACCAACCGCAGTCTGCACCTTGAGTCCGGTGCCGGCAGCAACCCTCATAGCCTCGGCGGCGATCTGCTCAGCAAGCTCTCGTGTAGGAGAAATGATGAGAGCACGAATGTCGGCAGCACTGGCCTGTCCACGACGGCCGAGGTCTTGCTTGGTGTTGAGAGTAGGGTCACTGAGGATGTTTTGCATCGTCGGAAGGAGGAAAGCAAGCGTCTTGCCAGTTCCGGTCTTGGCCTGAGCCAGACTAGGCATTGTTAGAAGGTGGACTAAGGTAATTGATGACTGAGACTTACACATCGCCACCTTGAAGCATGTGGTGAAGAGACTGGCTCTGCACCTCAGTCATGGTCTTCAAGCCCATGCGTTCAGGGCTGATAATGTTGCGAACAATCGATGCATCAATAAACCCCTTTGTCTGCAAATCGGCAAATTCGGTAATCAATTCTTGTTCCACAGCAGGGGCTTCAGAAGCCTCCGCGGTAGCCGCGTTCAACGCAGGGTAAGAAGTTTGAAAAGATCTGATCAGAACAGGGGAGCGAGTAGCCGGGGCCTGCCATTTGAGTAATTGGGGGGCCCATCGGGATGACAGAGTACGCGGCGCAGAGGCGCGCAGTGCCTGGGAGACACCGAATCGACGAACAGCACCAAACATTTTGAAGGATGTTGATGAAAAGGGTGAGATAAGAACAATTCGTCGCGACAGAAATCGTAAAACCAAAATTTAGATCACGTGTCTCTTATCGATAGTGCCTAGAGACTAGGCCCGAGTAGGTGGCAAATTCAGCGCCGAGTTTGACGGGTGGTATCGGATGTGATAAGAGGCAAGAAAGAGGCAAGGAAAAGGACAATGAGAAGAAAATCAAGGAGCATCGAACACAAAAAATGCTTTGACAGTGATTATATCGAAATATATAATTTCTATATTGGCTGGCAGGGAAAAAAAAAACACTGAAAAAAAGAATGCGTCGACGCCCGGATTCGAACCGAGGAACCCGAAGGAAACGGCTCTCCTATTTGAGAGATCAAACCTTAGTGAACTAAGGCGTTTGAATGGCTCTAGCAGGCCGCCGCGGTAACCACTGCGCCACGTCGACCTTGGATGAAAGAATGGCCTTTCATTTAAACTATATTCATCTCCTCATATACTCTGTTTCATCAACAAGATGACTTCCGCGCATGGTCTCGCTCTTTGTGTTGATTTAATTTGTTTATTTATTACAGAAACCTCCAGTAGCCCTCATTTACTTGAACACATCAGTTTTCCAAAGCTCTGCTACTCTAGAAAATTTCTTTAACCCATGGTTCTCACGACGGAGATGCGAGTATGACTCAGCGGAATAGAGAGCCTGAAAAGGCCGAGCAGAATGTAGGATTGATAATCACTACTTACTTGGCTGTGTGGGCTGACAAACTACCTCAAATTCTCCCCAGATTCTGTAGCTGTGTAGCTAATATTTTCTTCTGGGGCGTGGCTGGTTTGGCAGAAGCTTATGGGGGCTGGAATGCTTAAGAAGGGCGCCGGAGGGGGCTTTCCACCTCTTACAAGATCGTCCATCCTAACCTTGTGTTTTCCCTGAACCATCAATCTTCCCACCGTTCATCATGGCACCTGTCAATGTTGTGATCGTTGGAGCATCCTACGCAGGGCTCAAGATCGCCCATTCCGTAATCGAGCTCCCTGAGGTCAAGATTGTATTGGTCAACCCGGCCACTACTTTCTTCTGGAACATTGCCGCACCCCGCATCGTCGCGAAGGCCAATGCTTTCAAATCAGAACAGTATCTGCTTTCAATTGCCGATGCCTTCAACAAATACCCAGCTGAAAAGTTTGAATTCATTACGGGCACTGCGACTGCTATCGACGTTGCCGCTAAGACTGTTGCGGTGACCCCCAACCAGGGCGAGGCCAGGTCAGTGTCGTATGACCATCTTGTCATCGCTTCCGGAAGTACTACTACTGCGACTACTGGCGAGATTACCGGCTTTTCTATCCCATTTAAGCAGTCCAACCGCGATGATGTCAAACAGCTCATTGAGACGGCCCAACAGAAGATTGCCACTGCCAAAGAGATCGTCATTGGTGGTGCTGGACCTATTGGTGTCGAGCTAGCAGGTGAGCTGGCAGAGGCGGTGGCACAGAGTGGCAGTGCAGCGACAATTACCTTGGTCTCCGCGACGGATCGCGTGCTTCCGATGATCAAGTCGTCGGGCAGCTCTGCCGCGTCGAAGATGTTGAAGCAGAAGAAGGTCAAGATTATTACCTCTACTCGAGTGACTGGCGCGGAGGCATCTGGCGACGCATGGACTGTTGCCCTGGACAACGGCGACAAGCTCTCTGCCGACTTGTATATCCCCACAACTGGTGTGATTCCGAATAACAACTTCATCCCGAAGCAATTCCTGGATGCGGAGGGTTGGGTCAAGGTCAACAAGGAAATGCGCGTGGAATCATCGGAGAACATTTATGCTGCCGGCGACATTACCAACAACTCGATGCGCCTGTCGTTCAAGGCTGCTGAACAAGCCAGCGTGGCGGCCAACAATCTCAAGGCCGATATTTTGGGCAAGGGCGAGCGCAAGACCTTTGATCAGGGCGAGAGCATCATGATGGTTGTCCCGGTTGGCGAGTCTGGTGGTACTGGGCTTGTTTTCGGCTTCACGCCCTTCAGTTTTATGGTCAAGATGATCAAGGGCAAGGATTACTTCATCTCCAAGGCAGCACCTATGCTTGCCGGACAGGCATAGACGAGTTTTGTGGGCCAGACACAACAATAGCGATTTAATGTTTACAATGTTAATGGTGCGACCACGAGATCCCTCGATGCCGACTTGATCAAAAATGTTTCGTACCCGTACGTGAGGAAAAGCAGGCGGCAGGCCTGTTCCCAGCTATATATATATGATATCTCCCATGATCGACCTGCGAGGGTTTTCGAGATTGTTTTAGATTTCCCCACCGATCGAATCTGGCATTAGTGCTTACCGGGTACCGTCTTTAATTATTGGATCGAGCCACCAATCTCACGCCCTTCAACCAGACATACAATCACCAGGTTGGCATGTTTCATAGTGCAACTCTGACTGAGATGAAGCTCGATCGCATCGACCCCTTCAAAAAGCCAAGCCTGCAGGGCATCCCCGCCGCCTCCACCAGATCAGGTAAGTAGCTCCGTGCTTAGAAACCGCTGTTTGCGGGTTCAGATTATTCAGATTATTCATGGCGAATGAATTTCCTGAGAACACGGTTCTCCTACCCAGAATGGGTGTCGCCCGTCGGCTTGGCTCGTTTTCAATTCCTCCGAGCTCCACCACGGCTTTGGCTGTGCCCCGCTCTGAAGTCTCCGTTTAGTGAAACTGCGCCGTGCAAGCTCAGACAGTGGCGAATTCGAGACACTGGTGGCACAAGGTAGTAGTCTCCGATGGATTATGCAAATCCAACTTCAGAGTGACGAAGAATTGTGCAGGGAAGTGGAACCCGGCAACGCTGTTTCGATCGACTATAACCTTCTCGAGAAGCTTCTCCGGGACCCGTCCGCAAGCTGCCGTTGCTTTATAATGATGGCAACCAATTCTTGAATTCTGCCTCGGTCCCCTTCGTTGCCCCGCTTGACAGTCGTACAGGGCTTTCTATTATAAAAGCATTGCGCCTTCTTACTCCAGCTCACGCACCTCATCTCTCACCATACCTCTATACCCTCCCTTTGACATCATACATCATACATCATCATGTCCAACAAGGCTCTTGTCTTCAAGGCTATCCCCAAGGGATACCCCGTCCCCGGGGAGCACCTGACCATCGAACAGGCTGCCTATGATGCTAACGTGGAGACTCCCGCCGACGGTGTCGTTCTGCGCTCCCTTTACACCAGCTTCGACCCCTACATGCGCGGTCGTATGCGCCCTGTAGAGGTCAAGTCTTACGCCCCTGCCTTCGAGCTCAACAAGCCCATCGAGAGTGCCAGCATCTGCAAGGTCCTCCGCTCCAACTCCGCGAACTACAAGGAGGGTGACCTCGTCATTGGTCATGTTGGCATCCAGGAGGTTATCGCCCTCGATGCCCCCAACCTCGTCCGCATCAGCAAGCTCGAGAATCCTCTCGGCCTTGAGGATATTCGTGTCTTCTTGGGCGCTCTGGGCATGCCCGGCCTGACTGCCTACTCGTCCCTGTACGAGATCGGCAAGCCCAAGAAGGGCGAGACCATCTTCGTTTCCGCTGCTAGCGGTGCCGTCGGGCAGCTCGTCGGGCAGCTCGCCAAGCACGAGGGCCTGAAGGTCATTGGATCCGTCGGCTCCGATGACAAGCTCGAGTACATCACCAAGACTCTTGGCTTTGACGGTGGCTTCAACTACAAGACCGAAAAGCCCGCCGATGCGCTGGCCCGCCTCGCCCCCCAGGGTATCGACATTTACTATGAGAACGTCGGTGGCGAGCACCTCGAGGCTGCGCTGGATGCGATGAACAACTTCGGCCGTGTCGTCGTTTGCGGCATGATCTCTCAGTACAACTCTGCCCCCTACCCCATCACCAACATCGCTCAGGTTCTCGTCAAGCGCATCACTATGCGCGGCTTCATCGTCATGGACAAGGGTATGGGTGATGTTTACACCAAGGAGCACCAGGAGAACGTGCAGAAGTGGATCAAGGATGGTACCTTCAAGACTCTCATCCACGAGACCGAGGGCATTGACAACGCCGCCGAGGGTCTTGTTGGAATCTTCTACGGCAAGAACATGGGCAAGGCTGTTCTCAAATTCTAAGTTATAGAATTTGAAAAGTACTGGAAATTGTTAAATTAAAATATTGAAATGCCCGCTACGAAATCGTTGAGTATGACCTAATCGGGATGTCTCGGTTATGACGTTTTGAGGATGTAACTCAGTCAAATCAAAGAGAGAATCAAACAAACTTATATTTACATTAAGCCAAGGAATCATCTTCACCGAAAAGTAGATTGTCTATTAAGCCCCAAAACATCACAGACCGGAAATATAGAAAGTATAGAAGCTATTGAAACTATAGAAGTCTGGATAAATGTTTCTCGCGCGTTCATCGGCCAATCTCGGCTGGGCGGGTGCCCGTCGACCAATCACTTGCCGTAGAATTCGCTGACATACCGAGTCGGATTCCCGAGGTCACCAACTTCATCCTTGTGCGACTCCTACTCTCCCCTCCTCCATTATCAGCAACTATGGCTTCATTCGTGCGTCCGTCACTGTTCAAGCAGACCCTTGCGACCCGGTCGCCCCTCCTGCGCCAGAATGTCGGCGTGTCGCAGATGGTGGCTTTCCACGCCTCTGCTCGGAAGCAGATCCTGCCCCCGTTGCCTCGTACGTATACCCTGTGTTTGGAGTTGCATTGCCGGTATTGAGACCGCGGACTTTGCTGAAGAATACTGACTTATTTTCTGGTCTACAGAGTCGATCGAAGGAACCAGTATGTGACGGCCCGAATCTCCCATGCCTTTGGTCTCGCCCTTCGAGCCTCAACCCCGGATTGCCTTTTACCCCATATCGGCTCTGCTTGGATTTCGGCTGGAATGGCAAGACAGATGGTTCGACTTCATACTAATGTCCGCGATAGTGAACGACCCTGTTCCCGTCCCCAAGCCTCACCCCTCCGAGGGTAGCTATCACTGGACTTTCGAGAGGTTCGTCATACCCTAGCTTCGGGAAAATGATCCGCTGTATGGAAATGGACACGTCTGATCAATATTTGCAGAGCCGTCTCCGTTGGTCTCATCCCCCTCAGTATCGCTCCCTTCGCCGCCGGCTCCCTCAACCCCGTCATGGACGCCATCCTCTGCACCCTCTTGGTTGCTCACTCCCACATCGGATTCCAGTAAGCCGCCCGGCAATCGCACATCATTCCATATCTAACCCCATTTCTAGGGCCGCCATCATCGACTACTTCCGTCCCAAGCGTGTGCCCAAGACCTACTCGCTTTGCCAATGGCTTCTGCGCGCGTTCACTCTGACCACCGCAGTCGGCTTGTACGAGTTCGAGACCAACGATGTGGGCGTCACCGAGGCCCTGCGCCGGATCTGGAACGCATAGAGCGGAGTTTGAAAAGGGTGTTGGTTTCTTTTTATTCTGGTCAGGCGTTCCGCCTATGTATATGTCGTCGAAATTTCTCAGTTGTCCAGCCCGACACAGCTCGGTGCCCTCATTGCCTACAAGAATCATATCTTCTTTATCAATTGATACTGATCCAGTAAAGTGTATATGTATTCATTGATCTAACCGGAAGCGCAAAGGGGTAACTCTGGAGCAAAAGACCTGCTCGACATGAAGCATTTCAGGGCACCGCCCTTCTATTTTATGTTTGATGTATGCCACTTACTGCTCGTCTTCAGCCTCATCCTCCACCAGCGGATCATCGTCCTGCAACTCGTGGTCATCATCCGCCTTGGTCATGACAGTCTCGATAATTTTCAGCGTCGCCTTCAACGGCATCCCGATGACATTATCATAGCTGCCGTCAATCTTCTCCACAAGGATTGACCCCAAACCTTGTAACCCATAGCCACCAGCCTTATCGGCACCCTCGCGTGTGCGCACATAAGCCATGATCATCTCATCTGAAACATCCCCATCAAAGGTAACATCGGTCTCCTCAACATGCGACTCCAAGGCATATCCAGGCAATCGTGCACTCTCCAACGGCGCCATAGCCACGAGCGCCGTGTAAACCTTATGCTTCTTCGCATCACGCAGCCCACGAAGCATAGAGAAGTGATGAGCCTCGGAGGTTGGCTTCTCCAGAATCGTGCCAGTGACAATATTCACAACCACCGTATCAGCAGCCAAGATTAGAGCCGGCTCGCCCTTCTCCTCGTTCGTAATCTCCTGCTGATAGACGGCGCGAGCCTTCTTGGTTGCGGTGCCGAGCACGTATTCGAACGGCGCTAGGTCTTTCGGCAGGTTCTCTTCTGCATTGGAGGGGATCACTTCAACGGGGAGGCCTAGGTAGCTGATGATCTGGCGGCGGCGGGGCGATTGGGAGGCTAGCACGACTCTTTTCGTGCGGAGGTCGTTTAGCACGGGAAGTGAGAGTGGTGGTGGGCGGGGGAGTGCTGCCCCGCGCGGCTTTGGGGGGTCATAGGCTGGTGGGGGGTCGACGTGATCGAGAAGAGCTTCTTTGGAGTCGGACATGGTGGTATGTGCAGGTCGGAGGTTGTGGGAGGGTTTGGTGCAATTGCGGACGATTGACTTGGGGGTCTCCACTGACGACATTCCTGATTCGCGGGTGAACTGGGCACTTGCAGGTTGGTACTGAAGTCTCGGGCGGATCCATGGGACTTTCCCATCAATAATTGAACCTTGTATAGAGTAGTATAGTATAAATTCCAAGCTGATTTTTCGTACTTTTAACACGCAATCTCACTAAGTCTCTTACGTATCATGAATGGCCAATGACCTTTCCAAGAAGCCATCGGATTCACTTGAGAGAAGCATCGCCCCGTCCGTGAGGTTAGAACCGACGGCTTTCACCTAGATTCAAAGGGATTATCAGTGCGATGAAACCGTAGAAAGGTAAGTATTACCATGGAGAATTAAGTAGATAAGAACGACAGCTTTGGAAGTGGCTGCCTGAGATCCGTGGTAGAAATCTCATGAGAGCTGTAGCTACTGTCCTCTCGGCAAGGAGCCTTGACAATTGTATCTCCAGCTCTTGCTCGACATCATTTATCTGGGAACATTGCGTATCTAGAAGAATAACATAATGGACTTGGAAGGATAAAACCTTGGGTGAATTTGATTCTCGGCCCATTTCCTTCTCCGATGGTTCTTCTCCCCCCCCCCCCATGGAATCAAAGCTACAAATCGATTGATAGCCGAAACGCTTGGCTTTCCCTCCTCTCCAAAGATTCAGGGAGGAGCCATATGTTCACAGAAAGTGCCCTAGGCCTTGATTGTCATCAGTCCGCGTCTTCACGCCTTAAGGAACGACCACAGACGGTGTCTCGTATGTCTCGTAACTCCACTCGGCATATTCGAGACGCTCAAAGTAGTAGTTTCCGTGCCAAGAATGCCATATAAATCAGCCCCAGGCTAGCGATAAGGATGTCTCTACCAGTATCACTCTTAGTATATGTGGCGAAATCGATCCTAGGTGACATTGTAAGCGAAGGGTTTCAGACCTTAGCGTATTAGCTACAGAGGCCAAGTGTCCCGAATCATAGCATGAAATTGGCTAAGTACGCACTCTCATGGTAGGAACTGGTCATCCAGTGCGGAGACTAGATTCGAGATAGACAATTCTTATTAAGTCCAGTGAACGTGGGTGGACTTTCAAGCCTTCTGCGCCGGTGTTCCCTCTCAAAACTCGCAGGCGATCAATGTACATTAGTGGACTAAACGGCGCTGCTTGAATACTCGCATGGTATTTTTCTGTCCCAGTACGTTCATGCGTGCTCCGGCGGGGCCAACTGTACTGGAGTTCATATTGATGAGCCTTGAATAGACTAGACTCCGCCTCCCGACCTGCCCAATACGATATGCGAGCCATAATCCGTAAGACATTTCAGAACCGGCTGTCAATGAAAATGTAGGCAGAGAATAAATCTCGGACATAATTGCTTGCAAAATTCCCCACTAGACCTATATCAGGCTGCCCAGGTTTCATCAGGAAGATAGACGAGGAAAACGTGTCTGCTACTTCATATATTCTCCGGGTGATATTTGGTCAAATGGGTAATATACTTGGGCTTTTAGGCGGGTTGGCCAAGATATTAAACGCTAGGCCTTCCCATTTCGATCATTGTAATTGAAGAACAGGAAATTGAGCTCTTCCCGACGTGTGGGACAAAGTAGCTTACGCATGTGGGAGAATGACCTCACATGAAATAAGAGACCGAAAAGAGCATTCCATAGCATAAAATCTGTCTTACTAGGCCGTCACTCTTTCAATAGCGATCAAACTCTGCAATACAAGTTTCGCTCTAAGCGAAGGCGGCGGTGAAATCCGGTTGTTCGGACATAAGGTCTTGGCACTATAGACGCACGAGGATCTGCAGGGTTCTGCACTACTTCGGTCTTTTGATGAAATGCGACGTGGGGCAGTCTGGCTTATCAAGATGAGATTGATACTAGCATGGTCCATCTCACTAGCTGCATCGGGCCTTTTTACTGCATAGGGCGACGACCACCGAAGCACAGCTTGGCAATACGTACTTGTTGTTTGACCCTTGCGGAAACCCACCAACCGATACCCGTCAGAAGTCTCATTGGCTTTGCCTTTGGAATAATCCCTGATCCCTTGATATCCTGAATGGTCGTTCAATGGCAATCATTGGGTGGTAATTTCAGCTCATTTGAATGCTCTGATTGCAGCATTTGGTGAAGAACCCGCCAGCCAAGTTTACAGCTAGCATAGCCCGTCCAATGGAGGTCGTGCCCGTGCCGGTCCAATGCTCGACATCTTGATGGATCTCTAGTAACCTAGAAGGCGGGGCTTTCCCGTCTGTTATGACCGAGTGAAAACAATAGGACCCTCGGGGTAAGAAATTGTCAGTAAATGTAGTCGATCGTCGCCATCCTCGGACCTACAACGGTACCTTTCTTTTCTTCTGCCACCATTCGAAAAAGAAACATAAATATGCGCCTTTCCTCTGCTATTAGCTTTACAGCCCTTGTGGTCATCTCTGCTGCAGCTGGCTGCCCCTATGCTGAGCGTGCTGCCGCTGCCGGTGCTGCAGGCTGCCCTTGCGCAAACCATTCTGCTGTCACTGGGCCGAAAGAGAAGCCCACATTGTCGCACCGCGGGCCAATTGAGGGAAAGAAAGGTATCCTCTACAGTAAGTGACCCTTGGCTTCCTCATGAAGGACTGGACGGATATACTCACGAGTCTCAGTGAACCGTATCGGACCCTCGGGATCGCAACGCTGGGTCTCCAACGCGGACGGTCCCAATGCGACAAAGCTCATGGGCAATCAGACATGGGCTTTTGACTACCACCCCTCTTGGTCTCAGGATGGCGACTGGATCGTCTTCACTAGCGAGGGTCGTTCGCCTGGGCAGTCTGACTTATATCGAGTGCACCCTAACGGCACTGGACTCGAGGTGCTCGAGGATACAGACAGCGTCGAAGATGCGGGTACACTTTCGCCAGACGGTACCAAGGTCGCATATGTATCGACTTTCGGCAATTATACGACTAATATCTGGATCAAAGACCTGAGGACTGGCAAAGCACACAACCTGACCGACACTGCTTCCACCCGTAGCAGCAATATCTGGCCCACTGGACACTTCCGTCCCGCATGGTCCCCCGATGGCCAGTGGCTCGCCTTCAGCTCTGACCGCAACACTGACTGGACTGGACACAGCGAGGGTACCGGTTGGGAACACACGCAAAACTTGGGTATCTATGTGATTCGTGCCGATGGTCGCCACTTCCGCACCCTGCTCCACGAGCAGGGCTATGCATATGGTACTCCTCAGTGGTCGCCAGATGGAAGTCGCATAATCTACAACAACATGACGACTGAGAATACTTACTATGCGCACTGTGTGGCCGAGCAACAGGAACTGGTCTCTTCGCAAATCTGGAGCGTGGATTTCGCGACAGGCAAGGACCGAGTCAAACACATCTCTAGCGATACCTTCAAGGTTGGACAGCACTATATCGGCGACTCCACCAACATTGGCTATCAGATCAAGGCTGGAGAGCTGGAAGGTATCCACTACACCAAGCCTGATTCGACTCACAAGGCCTTCAACCTGACCTACCTGCGTGACCCCTCTTGGTCTCCGGATGGGAAGAAACTTGTGTACTGGATTCCAAATTGGGATCAACAGCCCGCTGAGCTGGAGCTATTCAGCTATGACAACGAATGGCAGTACCGCTACGCTGATGTCTTCCCTATGCATAATACCATCGTCAACCGCATGGCAACAACACAAAACGTACAAGGAGGAGCGAATGGCTCTGTTGTGCACTCAACACCGTTGTACAAGGACGTGGTCGATGCGCTCGACTCTTACGATATTTACTAATCGACAATATGACCGAAGTACTGTGGCTCAAAGAAGGACAAGCTGGTGGCTTCCAGCCCTCATGGAACCCCGACGGCACTGAGCTGGTTGCCGGCTTCGGTGCCTGGTTCTTGACTCGTACCGAGTCCTCCGCTGCCATTTACCGCATGTTCGCCAACGGGACCGGCCACACCAACCTGACTGACTGGACTAACAACGCCGGATACCCCTCCTGGTCTCCTGATGGTTCCGCCATCGTGTACCGCATGTTCAACATGAAAAGTGGTGATCCTATGGGCCTGCATATCCTTAACTTCACTACTGGCGAAACTTCGCAGCTCACTCTTGGCTGGGATAATACCCCCGGCTGGTCTCCTGATGGCGAACATATTGTATTCACCTGCAATAACAACTGGACCGTATCTTATGGTTCCCGCTGGTACGCGGACCGCTTCGACATCTATACCATCCGCCCCGATGGCACTGATCTGACCCAGGTGACGGATAGTCTCTCCAACGATGCCCAGTAAGTCCCCAGTCTATTTCCGTGACTGTCAATTCTATTTGCTAACCTCCTCCAGCGCCGTCTGGTCCCAAGATGGCCGTATCATGTGGAGCACCGGCATGTACGGCTTCAAGGACGAGAGCCAACTCTTCGACAAGACCTTCCAGCCTTACGGTCAAATTATGATAATGGACTCTGACGGTTCCAATAAGAAGCTGCTCACAGATACCATTTGGGAGGACTCGATGCCTTTATTTATGCCTAACGAGTATCTTGAGTAGATCTGTACAGGCGCATTCTTCGATGATTCTAGCTGTTTTTCATATGAAATTTATCACTTCAAACCCGAGCCACTCTATCGATCGCAAAGCCTATCACAGCACATCATCACCCTGCGTACTCGGTGCAGGAGTATGTACTTTTGTCCTCGCGGGCGGCCCAATCAACCCGGCATGATCCCACGTGACTGGCTCCAGCTGCGGTCCTCGGTAGATTAGTTCGCACCGACAGGCCTTTGAACTTCAACGTATAATCTCGTTGCCTGGAACATTCTGTGACAATAGGTAAAACATTATGGATTGAAAGATTCATATCAGCAGTAAAAGCCCTGAGTGGTCCCGTAGCCACGCCCATCGGCAAATTGTTTTGAAAATGTACAATGAATGCAATGATTGAATACAGCCTGCAGGGATACAAGAGTATTGATTAACGACGATAGCCCTGCCTGTGGTGTTGGATGCGAACCAGCGCAAGCAGAGCACCCGAAGTCTCGAATGAGAACGAATCAGACAGGACAGCTCGCTGGCACAGGAACACGACTAGTACTTATTCCTGTAGGCTCAAAAGGCGCAGCGATGATCCCGAGACGGGAGAATAGGATTCGTGGTGGATGCAAAGTTGGTTTTGTGTGTTGGGGCCCGCCCCCGCACCTCGGCACAGCTGGGTATACTACCGTAGATGCGAACCGAGAAGGACTGAAGGAAGGGTAATGCAGACACAGCGGAGGGCGACAAACAGCAGAAAGATGACCGGAGGCTATGTAGGCCGCAATGAATCATCTACCCGGCCGCCCTTTTTCTCGACCTCGGCAATCAGATTTTGGCGCTCTTGAAGTTTCAAATGCATGAACTCGACTGTCTTTTGCAGCACGATGCTTTCGCTGCGACCTTGGCCCTCGAGGCCAGGCACCAATTCCGTAAGTCTGTCGAAGCCCTCGCGAATGGCTGCGCGGCGCTTCTGTTCGGAAGCAATATGGTTGTTCTTCTTCTCTTGGTCGGTGAGGCGGGGCTTGTCTTTGTCTTGACCGGATACTGACTTCGATGCGGCGGTCGGGGTCGATGAAGACCGATCGTCGTCGTCAGGATTCATCTTGAGCCAAGCTTGCGATCCGATGCGTCGCGAGAGGATCTGAATTAGGCCAAGTCGACTGTTTGAATACCAGAGTGAGAGTAAGAGGAGTAGAGAAGATTGCGGAGGAAGAAAAGCGATAGCGATAAGACCAATGTGGAGAACCAGGAGCGGGCGGATCCTTGGCACTCTCCAAACGTCATAAGAGGTCCACCTCACACCACCCTGTCGTCCTTTTTTTTCCGTCTTCCCTCTTCCTCCTGTGCGAGAGTTGCAGATACCTCTATACAAAGGAAATCTCAATCGTCAGGTTGCGGTGCAGCTGCTAGTGCCTACCGACATCCTAGCTCTCTATCGAGACAGTCCAGTCCGGTCCGCTACTGGTACCACTGTACAACATGGCCCACGAGCCGCTACATGGATCATGCTCATGTGGTCGTAACGAGTACAGTATTCAGATACCGGAGGATGTGACCGAGCATGCTGAAGTATATTTTGATACTTCCCGAGATAACCGTATGTAGATCCCGAAGCTCTATCGAGTACTACTGACACAGCGCTAGGCCGATCTCATGGTACACCTATCACAGCCTGGCTTCGCGTACCTCTTGACTGGTATCAGTCGAGCACCCGATCTTACTTTCCGGACGAGACGCATTCCTCTATTCGACGCATCTTCACACCGCACCATGCACCTGACACTCGGCGCATCTTTTGCGGCTTCTGTGGAACACCATTGACTTTCTGGACGGAGAGACCGGAAGAGGAAGCCGAATTCATGAATATTGCAATTGGAAGTTTGTTCAGCGAGGATCAGCGTGTTCTGGAGGAACTCGACCTTCTTCCAGCAGATTCTGATGAGGAAGAATCAGAGGCTGGACCATCCAACGCAACCCTGACACCGGCAATGGACACTTCAGCCTCCATTATTGTGCCCTCTTTTGGCAATCAGGGTCTCAAGCGAAGCTTCCGGCACGGTACAGCCGGCGGAATCCCTTGGTTTGAGGAAATGATTGAAGGAAGCCGCCTCGGCCGGCTGATGCAATCTCGGCGTGGGATGGGCGTCAGTGACGATCAATCCACTACTTTCGAATGGGAAATCAGTGAATGGCACGATGATGGAACTGGTGGTCTGATACAACAAGAAGATCAGGATGGTCATTACATTGGGAAGAGAAAGCGGGGCCAGCAGGTAGAGGTCAAATCGAAGTCGAAAAGGACTTGAGTTCAACGCTCATCTCATCTGATGTTTCACGCTTATCGCGTTTCAGCTAGGCGCTTACTTGTCAGAGATTCAGATGAATCTACAATAGTTCGTTGCCTCCTTTCTTTCTCGATATTGACTAGCCTCTTTTCCTGGGATACCTCAGAACCTCGAAAGGTAGACACCCCGGTCCAGTAGATATACATATTTCAAAATCCGCATGGATGATTACAGAACATGCGTGGTAGTGGCTCAGCGGGAAACTTTGCACAGGACCCCGACAACAGCCGATTCACAACGCTATGCCCGCCTTGTCCTAGAGAACATCTTTTTGAAGCAAGACTAAACTCACCTCGATAAGCTGATCAGAATGCAGTTGAGTAGCTGTTCATCGAAGGAAAGACCAAGTCATACTACCTAATCATGGTCATGATCAGTCCATTCATCATCTGTCTCTCTCTCTCAAACAGATCCTCATCGTTAATCGCTGGTTGCTTGACAGTGGTCGTGTTTTCGATGATTTCATCAATCCCCTCGATACATAACAATTGGGGCAATTTGGCATCTTTCTCAGCGAGAAGTTTCTCCAGTTGCCTATCAAAAACATCGCCCGGAAGACCTTGAGCCTGGGCTTTCATTCACTTCTCATACCCATAGATACAAAGCGCTTCCAAGTTCGGTGGGAGATGATCCACAATAGCAAATGCTGCATCGTCGACCTGATCGGTACCGATTCCTCGCGATAGGTAATAAAGGGTATGAATTCCAAGACTAAGATTCTTCAGTTTCATAAGCCCACGAAGAGAGCAAGGCGATAATTGACCATCCTCCTCCATCTGGAGCTCTAGGAGTTCATCTGCCCACTCCTGCTGATACGCAGGCTTGGATCTCAGCGATCGATCATCGCTATTGCTAAAGAATTGTTGACCAAGAATAGGATCGAAGGTCTCCGCTAAAGAAGTTTCGGCCCCGACATCCAAATCCAGGTGTACCAATGAATCAGCATGTAAGAGGAGCGCCCGAAAGACGTGATCCGGGTCTATCGAGCCTCGGCCACCGACCGCATACGTAAACTCTTCCAGCCATTTGGCCGACTCAATGACCCGCACCAAATGGTGGTAATTTGAATTGGAATTCCGAATGGTGATGCGGATATAATTTGCGGATCGGGGTGGAGGCTCAATACTCGGCGTCTGCGTGCTCATAATCGCGTCGAATCGAATGGCTGTTACCGTGGGGAGCCGGCGTACCAGATTGAGGCTACCGTACAGATCATAGGGTTGATAATAGTACTAGCGATGAATTCTTGTATCAGGATCGACGAGAAATCGGACCCGACGAAGATGATGCAGGAATGGCATGGTCTCCGGCCGACTACTGTTCACCCGGTCTAAGAAATGCTTAAAGAATGCTTAAAGAAATAGTCACTTTTCCGCAGTGTAGTTCCACTGGTTTGGGCGGTCATTCTTGAGAGTTTCGATGGTTCCTGGCCGACGGGGCAGAAATTCAAGGATTCTAATAAGGGCGATACGCTAACCAAGAATGCTGCCAACGCCTGGGCGAGGAACGGAGCTCGTGGGTCATTATGGCTAATCAAAGTCAGAATCGAGGTCTGCTTTGCAAATGTGCCAGCGGATCCATTGAAAATAGAAAGGAGGGGGGAAAGACAAGCTTACTCCATGCTAGCCGGATCCTGCAGTAAGATATTGAACATCTTTTCCTGTTCTTCCGAGCAATCAAAGCCGGCCTGCCTGATTGCCATAGTTAGGCGGACCAGGTCCCTTGGTCGGAGAGATCGTTACCGCGGTTTGACTAGGTATGACTGCATAAATCCATGAGCTAGCAATGTGGATCGGTTCAGCTCTATATGGCGAACATACCCGCCATACCGAGGGGTTTTGAGGATCGATCGGAGCACAATGAATGCCACTGCAAAATCCACAGCTTCTTCGAAATTCAAGCGGCGGTTCTTTATAGTAATAATAAATTTATATCTCTATATTAGGTCTTATACTTAATGTTTAATATAAGTTCTAATAAATACAGTTAGGGATGTGCTTCATTCGACGGTGCGGGCAAAAGCGGCGAGACGGGGAGCGCTAGAACAGAAGGGGACCGCCAAGAGTTGGTAGACACTATCTGGTTGATATGCACGGATATTCTTAGTCCTCTCTTCACGTCGTTCGAAATATCTCCCCAAGCTTTTTCTACATAAGAATTGCTTCCTTGTTCAAACATTTGCCCTGATAAATAGGCCTTGGAGAGTGAGCAGTCTGCTGATAGCCGCTTACACCAAATTCTCGTAGTGGCTGCAAAGCACAAAAATTTCTTCTGTTACAGATACGAGCACCCATTACGGAACGTACAAATCGAAGTAAAAGTAGTTGATTGCGTACTCCAGGCTATGCAACAAATCTACAAAATCAGATCCACAACACAAAGGTAAGAGAAAACACCCTTATATCCCAGCCATGTGGAAACATTGAGGTTTTGATTCGTACAAACTAAGCCCATCTAGGGCTTAGAAGTCCACTGCTGAGGATAAGCAGGCATGGCGGCCTCATCGTTCTGATTGACCTGCTTGCCACGAACACGCAGAGTCATGCCAACACCAAGGCAAACAATGACAACAACAAACTCCTCGAGGACCGACATCACCAGAGTCACAGTTTCACTGCCGTTGAGAAGGCTGAAAGTCGAGTCATGCAAGAACCAGATGAGGAGCGCATAGATGATGCGGACGAGAATGAATGGCGAAGAGATAGCAACGGCCAACAAAGTCCGGCCCTCGCCACGCTCCAGAGAGCCTCGCTTAAGTGCAATGACCAGAAGCATGAGGACCATAATCGCCCAACAGACAAGGTAAAGAATCATCCCAATTTTAGTCTTGATATCGGGGTGCTGGAGACCCTCGGCGGTCATATTAGACGTGATACCGGCGATAGCGACTGCCATCGCGACGATAGTGAGCAGCCTGAAAGCGCGGAAGATCAGATCTGGTAAAGCAGGACGGCTTGTTGTGTATTCAATGGAAAGATTGGCTCGAGAAAGGAGACCGCTACACGCGAGCATCAATGGCGACAATCCAATTGAACTACAGATTGCGGCTGCGGTGAAGAGGCCTGTAGATGGGTTGTTGATTGTTGCCAGCTCGCAGCAGGCGCCGACGATGCGGGCTAGAGCAAATGTTGTGAGGAAAATGAAGCCGCTGTTTGTACGCAGACCATGGCGGTAGACGAGAAATGCGGATAGGAAGATAGAAGGGAAGTAAACTATCAGTTGGAGGATGGAGATGCCGTTGGTGTAGGAGATGGTCATTGTGGGTGGTGCGGAGGCTGTAACTGGTTGTATAGACCCAAGAGTGATTAGGTTCAATGCTGAGGTGGGATTCTTATGATGGAAAGAAATGTATTGAGTTGATGGACTTTATGATCCTGAGGGATTCCAGGTTATATAGATCTACACAACTTCTTGCATGCCTGTTTCATCAGAGCTTTTGGAGGCGCAGTCGATAGAGCTCTCAACATATGCCTTATTGGGAAATTGGCAGCCTTCTAGAAATGTGGCTTGATTAAGATTTCCTGGCATCTATGAAAAAAAGCCTATAGAATATTAGCGACAGGGGAAAAAAATCGTCGAAGCTAGCTAAGCTTTTTCGCAATGGTCACCAAATTGGGTATAGTGCATCCACTTCGCCGTTCAGCTTGGTTACGCTATTCCTCTTTTGGTTGATTCAGCGAGGGCGGTGCTCAGCTGGTGCTGACGGTCTAGGAGGCTTATTATCACCTTGCCCCTCTTAGAGTGACTAGTTGATGCTCATCAACTTACATCATGGTTTATTGCGGTAAGCCGAGCAAAGGCTGCGGCCAGTGCAGGACAAGGAAGATTCGGTGCGACCAGGCCCGCCCGGCCTGCTCACAATGCGTACGGGCTAAGCGGGACTGCCCCGGTTATCGGGACCAACTGTCCTTGATGTTTCGAGATGAGAGCAAATCAGTGGCGCAGAAAGCCAAGGCGGGCTCCTCTAGCTCTTCCACCTCTTCAGCACCATCCAATCCTGAGACAGAATCGGTCACCAGAGCGAGCGCCTCGCATTGCTTCCCCAGACGGGAGTACTGCGTCCGAGCTTACGGTTTCGGTGGATCCGGGCTCAGATAGCCTGGATAACTTATTCGACTTCAACTCGGATCCACAATTTGACATGTACATGCCTGATCCATGGCAAATGCCTCTCGAAATTCAGCCGACCGATGAAGCCTCGCAAATGGAGGCCGTTTGCTACTTTCTGCGGTCTAATGCTATCCCGGGTACTTTCTGGATGAGTGATTTTGTTACAAAGTTCTTGTTGCATCCCGGAGGTACAGTCAGTCAACGGGCCATGCAGGCTAGTATTATAGCCGTTTCCTCGGCAATGTTATCCCGTGTTAGGAAAACAAATTCGCTCAAAGTAATGGCGCGGAAGGAATATGTATCAGCGCTCAATTGGCTAAACACCGCTCTCGCCGATGTCGAGGAGGCCAAGACTAATCAAGCACTGGGGACTGTCGTGCTCCTCGCGATATATGAAGTAAGACGATTGGACGAACTACTCGAAACGGGACTGACGCCACTTGCCACAGGTTGTCACATCGAGAGCCCCGCAGGATATTGATATGTGGACTAATCACATAAATGGAGCAACTGCTCTCCTGGATTTGCGGGGTACCGATCAGCTTAAGACTGAAGCAGGCCTTCGTCTTTTCTTGCATTTGCGGTATCAAATTGTGAGTATTAAAATCTATTCTTCATTTTTCACGAAATTTACAGGAACCAGATCATAAGCTGCATGCAAAGAGATTCTCGAGTACCCGAGTCATTGTTGGAGTGTTCGAAGTTTGCCATGTTCCTCCGACCCAGCGAAGCCCACAGCAACCGATTGGTCATGGTTATTGGTAGATTATCGAACCTCCGTGCAGAGATCCTTGAAAAGACTTTCAACAACGCGGGCGAGATTATCGCCGCCGCTTCAGCCATAGAAGCTGACCTTATCGCCTGGCTCGCGGCTCTGCCGCCTGACTTCAACTACGAAACCCTCACGAAATCACCGTTTGACTTCCTGTTTCAAGAACGATGCCGTGGGATATCCCTCTACGACGATCAATATCATGTCTATCCAACCCTCTGGATCTGCAGCACCTGGAACCAATACCGTTGCGCACGAATCATTGTCAGCGAGATCATCCTGTCCCACATCAGGCAGATTTCAGACTCATCTTCCCTGAGGTCCCTGTCAGATGAATTCAAGACTCACTGCAAAACTCTCCGATCGACCATTCGGCGCCTAGCACTTGACATTTGCCGCAGTGTGCCTTTCCATCTGGGCGCACATTTGAAAAGCGCCTCGCCGAATTGTCCACCCCCGGAGAGCTACATTGGAGGGCTTATGCTCTTGTGGCCCCTATTTCTAGCCGGTGTGGTTGAGAATCCGAGCCATAGCCTACGTCAGTGGGTGGTATCTTGCTTGAGGATGATTGGAAATACTATGGGACTAGACCAGGCTCTTGCACTCATGGATATTGTTGCTTCCGACCCGGGCATTCTTCATCAGGTACTCGAAGAAGACGAAAGTGCCTTGACCGAAGAGTCTTCGTCTTTTCTTACCTCTTCTGTGCCCAAGAAGACGCCCGTTTCACTTATCAATCTTCCCTATTCAAACATTCCTGCTTCGGAAGAAGGAGAGCCCTGAAACGCCTCGCCTTTGCAAAAATGCTTCATTGTCTAAATTCATAGACTTTGTATGCGTCCTTACATTGCCTGTAGAATTTTTCCGCTCCTATGAAGGCGCAGTCGCCAGAAGAACAACCCTGGACTTAGGGGCGTTGGAACGATTTGACGATAATGAAATTCAAACTAGCGGATTATTTCCTCCTCATCGGGTCTATAGAATCATCTCATCCGACACTTCCCGAGAAACATGAATTGTCCATGTATGGGGCAACGCTCTTTCAATGTACAAGTTACCCTTTCAAATTTTCGAGGGTGGTCAGTGCTGCGCCGTTACTTTCATTCACGAGGTGGGGCACTGTAGACTCAGCCCTGCGGTACAACCATTCTGAGTCGAAGAGAGCGTAAAAGAGCCTCTTCAGTGCCCCATCCTCTGCCCAGATGGTTATTTGATTAATCCAACGGGTGGTACGCGCTTGATGAGCCAAGGAGAATTCGCATAGCCCGAGCGTTCACGAACTGTGGATGTGAGCACGGCCCTACTAACAAACACAAGTTTCAGCCTTGCGAGGGCTCCGTCTCCCTAGAGACCCGGAACTAGTCATTCTTTGAAATCCTTTGGGCCCTCTTATGCTCTTTATTGAGTTTCGCATGAGGGGTATGTCAGACCTAGCCTCACTTGAGCTGCGGCCAGCCGCGTAGTCAGAATGCCTTGAGTTCAGCCTTGATCACCGCCCTATGCTTAGGCCCACAGTCAAACCTTTGCGTATCAATGAGATGGTGACAATGAAGTCAAAGACCCAAAATATAAGAGATGATGATTTCCTGTTCCCAAGCCTGGGTCATCATAGTGTACAGATCTTGGTCCAATTGAAGTCTACTACATTCAAAGCATAGCAGTTGCATCATTCACATAGAATGGCTCTCTTTCAACGCCAACCCCCTCCTTCATTGTGGTTTTCCTTCCCAGCAAGTCGACTAGGTCAACGCCGTCGCGAATGCGCCGATGCAATCACCCCAGATTCCAACATGGGGAACAGCAAATCCACACAGGACCCGTCCCTGTACAAGCCCAGATCCAAGCCTAAGCGCAATAGCACATTATTCTCAATATGCCGAGGATCGAAGAAACCCACCAATGTATGGGACCCACCAGCCTACGACGACCAAGACTACAAATCCCCTCACACCCAGGTCAAGATGTCCACAGACTCTGACTCTGACTCAGACTCGCGATACTCATTTCTCAAAGACTTCGATACCATCTTCCTCGTCGATGATAGTTCCAGCATGAGCGGGCCTCGCTGGCGCGAAGCCGAAGAAGCCATCGCGGCCATCGCCCCAATATGCACCCAGTACGACAGTGACGGGATTGACATCCACTTTCTGAACCACCGCACCAGTGGCGAAGCAGGTTCCTACCGCAACATCACCACAGCAGCAGATGTGCAAGAAATCTTCCATAGCGTGCGCCCGCGCGGTTCAACGCCCGTCGGCCGTCGCCTCCTCGAGATTTTAGCGCCATATCTACGGCGCGTGGAGCAAATGCAGAACGGGAATGCGGTCTTTGTGAAGCCGATCAACATTATCACAATTACAGATGGCGAGTTCACGGACGATGCGGAGAGTGTGATTGTGCAGGTTGCTAAGACGCTGGACAATCCGCGATTAAATGCGTTACCGTGGCAGGTTGGGATTCAGTTTTTCCAAATCGGGGATGATGTGAGTGTGCGGAGGTACCTGCAGGAGCTGGATGATGATTTGGGGAAGTCCTGTAAGGCGGGGAACCTGAGGGACATCGTGGATACGGTCCCTTGGCGCGGACAACAAGGGCAGACGCTGGATGCGAATGGGATTTTGAAGTGTGTTTTGGGAGCTGTAAATAAGAAGTTGGATCGCAGACAGGTCTGATCGATTCATTAATGTTGGTGTTGTTTGTTTTTATGTTCCTTCTTCGAGTGCTCGAGTGCTCGAGCCACGAAGAACGAGTTGAATGCAATTTTTGAATATCTTCGTACCTCTGTTGATCTATGTACCGTGAATGAGTAAATATATCGCGTAGATATGGCTTGCCACATATTTGTAGTAGACTAGGATCTCCAGACCTGAAGCGAAGCGACGTATCATCTGCAGTTCATCCGCATTGAAGCGCCACTTCAGGAACCGCCGAAGTGGAGATCCTTGGCCCAACACGCCTAGGAAACACCAATCGTACGTCCATTCTGTGTTTTGACCAGGATCATCGGTGAAATATCCTTGCTCGATGGCGTTGATCACCATGTCATCACAGGTGATGTGTTACATGGCTTTACTACATTGCCAACTATAGTCCACTCGGGCAATATGTACCTTGCAGCGCGCGGCCGTGGAGATCTGCGAACCACGGTACGAGCGGAGAGCACGCCACCATTCGACGATGATACTCTGCCCCTTTTTCAATTTGCATCTGCCTTGAGGTTCCGATCGAGCGCAATATTGCTATACGCCACACGCTATACCCGTCCCTAACGATCTTCAGCTCCACCAAACTTGGAACCTCGCTCATGTCCCGCGATCGGCATTACAGCACAATAATCCCCGCAGCGCCGATCTCGTCACCAAAAATCCCAGTTGTGCTTCCTCGACCTCCGAATGAAAATTGATCTCCGAGTCAACCTTGCCAACACATACCCCAAGAACCCCTGCACGATCCTGGCCCTGAGGCGCCGGGATTCTGACGCAGGAACATCCGTGTGTCGGCGCTACGAGTTCGCCCGTTTCTATTGGCGTGTCTGGAAATTGCGCGGTTCCTGAAGCACCCGCGAAAGCCTGCAGTCAGGCCATGGCAATTGGCGAATCTATCTTCGGCCCTGCCTGACTCTGAAACTGTGACGCCACAACTTTCTTTCCTGCGTGAAACGGCCCTGGTAATAATAGAAACATCTGGGCCGCAGGGTTTGTTGTTGACATTATATTTGGTCCGGATCGTCGATTTCCTTCCCTTACCGTTTGACCTTTCTTTTCTCTCATTGCATTTGGAGCTGTATAATACTGGGGGTGTTCACTTGCGTTGGATCTGTGATCTTTGGCATCGTTCTTTTCGTTCCTTTTCTTTTGGCCTTACTCTGCATTGCGCCGTTTGCATATTATACATCTTTACATTGTTGGCCGCTTGATACTTGCTTGTTTTTTCATCTTTGCTTTGCAATGACATCGACCACCCTCATGACTTTCCTGCTGTGAGTGCCTCCCCTTGGAATGTAAATTCCGCAGGCTGATCTCGTTTAGGATTACCAAGCCCGAGATCCGCTCGATCAAGCTGCTTGGATCATGGGACAATTTCTCGAAGCCTTATGCGATGGAAAGGGACAAGCGGATTGGGCCTGGACATTGGAAAGGATGTCACACCTTCACGGATATTATGTGTGATGGACCCGGCGACACCCCCCACTGCCGCACGGGAGGCTTGAAGATGGGTGCGACCTACTGGTACTACGTGAGTACCCCGAACAATGGCTAAGGGTGGCAGCACTGACAAAAGGCAGTACTTGTTGGATGACGACGTGGAACACTTCAATGAAGCAGAGCCGGTCACAACTCAATGTCCCCTGCTCCCGGGACAACCACTCAATATACTCAATGTGCCAATCATGATGCCCGACAGTCGTTCTCATGGAAGGTCGAGCAGTAACAGCTCGCAAAAATCCGGTTATCGAACTATGAAACCTGAGGACAAATTCATGAATCCGCGGAAGCCACCGAAACCTTCACCCACACGTCTGCAGACCTCCGCGGCGAATCCCCAACCCTTTATGGATCCCAATGCTGTGTCTCCCGGTGGCAGCTTGATTCATCGTAGCGCTTCGCAGCCCACGAGTGCCAAGTACGGAAAGCATACGAAGAACGCACGCTCTGTCTCCCCAGCATTCTCTGAGATTCGTCATGCGTTCCGATCTCCTAACCGGTCTCCCAACCCAGTGGAGATGGAGGGTCATAAACAGGCCTTGTCAAGATCGAAGACTCACGCCAGAACTCCAAGCAAAGAGCGTTTCTTCGAAGACGAAATTCCTGGCATGATGGTCAAAGCCGGTCTGGTGTCGCCCGCAAATATTGCAGAGATCCATGAACCCTCGACTATTCAAAGTCGCCGGGCGATGAAAAGTTCTGCTAGCCCAGGACATGCCAAAGATCTTCTTACAGTGGATACCCGACCGCATCGTCGCCAGAACAGTGCTTCCAAGGGACCCATTGAAACACGGGATATCAGGGACGGTACATCCGGCGAACCAGGCTCTAACGATACGCCGACCCCAACAGGCCCAGACCCTCAGGAAAAGCGTCTTCCTTCGCTTCCCAATACACCATCCTCTGTTATGGATGAGGCTGTTCGTGCGATTGACGAAAGAGACAAAGAAATGGAAAGCCAGGTCCTGCGCAGCCACTTCTCAAGCATTACGACAGTGGCGGACGAGTCGACTCATTCACACCTCCCTGAGCAAAGTCGTTTCTCAGAATGGAGCACCGACACCGAGACCGAAGGCGAAAATACCTCACCCGAGTCGATGATATCTGCATCGACCTTCAATGGACAGAACGAGTCCCCATCGTCGGAGCAGTGGACGACACCAGACCTGGCGCAACACGACACCGCTTTCAACACCGACCCAAACACACCGCACCTGACCGTGCATTCCAAGCCGTCATCCCCAAATTCTGCGTCTGACGATGTCCCAGGGTGGAACCTGAATTCTCTCCCCCAACTTACTGTCTCCATTCCTCGTCTCATGGTTCGGGCCTCGGAATCAACCCTATGGAAATGGAAGAAGTAGAAAGCAACCCTAAACGCCACGCTGCCCTTTTCAGCGCCATAGAGTCCATGCAGGCACTCTCTTTATCGCGTAGCCCAGACGGATCTCCCATCATTCTTCCGGAGATACACGGATCAAAGCGCGAGCATTATGAGATGGACCAACAGACCAGGGACGTGCGCTCGCAGCATAGTAACGCATCGCTTTGTGGTAATCCGACCATGCAGGAGATGTTGGATGAACTCAGTTACCTGAAGAATATGATCCAGGCTGAGATGGACGGAGAACCATTCTAACATGTACATTCGCTTATATAGCTAGATGAGCGCTGGCCGCTCTTCTCTTTTTGCTACCAATTAAGATATAGAATAAGAGAACGCTGTAAACGTGCACATGTACAACTATTTAAGGTAGAAGAGAGAAATGTTAACCGAGGAGAAATTTCAAGAAGCCTGCGTAGACCACGATGACTTCTTCATTCGGTCGTATCTTGTAACATTTAGAAATCGTTTTCGAAGAGAAGATCATAAAGGAGGCCAAAGAAGGCGTGAATGAAAATGTCTCAGAAGAGATATAGAAGGGCTTGTAGGATGGAGTTTGCGAGCTCATTTGCAAATTACTCTTGGTCAGGCTGTAGTTGGACTAATTGAGTTAGTTGAGCCCGATTAGGAGTATAACCTTTCTGGCTGCTCATAGAGCAAGAAAATGCAGTATGCAGAATTCTAGAATTTGGGTCGAACATCAGAGAGAAGGAATGCAGTCAACGCCAACACAACCATCAAGGGATGCCAGTCAAACAATTGCATGTATGATCAAAACGGCAGAAAGAGAACACAAAAACAGGCCATGGCGCGCCCGCGCCGAACCACGCGCCAAGAAACTCCACCCATCAACACTTCAAGACAACAAGCCGTGGCCCTCCCATTTCGTTGCAGAGAAGGATGGGCTGATCCAGCTCATCCGCCACAATTAAAATGGAGGCACCCCAGCTCACCCCGGTCGGAGAGAAGACGCTGCCGAAAAAATGTAAACCCAGTGCCCTCGCCTACTGTCCCTCGATGGACCTGATCGCTCTCGCGACAGAGGATGATGAGCTGCGCGTCTTTCGTCTCAATGGACAGCATGTGTTCGGGGGCTCCTTTGGCGGTGATCCCTACCTGGGCGAGGACGAAGGGGATGGCGAGATCAGAGCTCTCGCGTGGAAGGGCAATGGTATGTTTTCTCGCGACAAAACTGTATGAAATTAACAATTCACCAGGCCGTTTCTTGGCTGTCGCATGCGGTGATGGCTCAATACGTGTTATCAGCGCGTACAGTGGCAAGACTGTTCACCATTACGCGGCGTGTGAGGGGCCGAAAGACGACGGCTCTACTTCTGGGCAGAAGTCACCCAAGGTAACCTGCCTGGGTTGGGGTGTCAACTTCACAGATAGCAATGCTGCGCAGAGACATCTACACGAGTCAGCGGGCCAGGTGTCTATCGAGGATCTCTTAGCACCCAGTGCCCATTCATCAAAAGCAGTCGCCCTACTCAAGGCCGACTTACCTAGAGAATTGTCCATGCTAGACATTGAAAGCTCTCTTCCCAAGTTGAGCACTCTCCCTGCGACTGGAGCTGAAGACGACCTATTTAGCTCGCGGGCTTCAATCGACGCCATCTTCCACTCTTCTGCAAAGGATACCGGCGACTCCGTGGATGTCCTGTTTGTCGGATTCGAAGATGGAAGGGTTCATCTACGCATCTTTGATTGTTTCAAGATCGGGTCATTTCCTATTGGCGAGACTACTGGACAAGCAGAATCCTGCCAGATCCTTCGTCATGCTTCGCACCCGCTAAGCTCAACGCACGCCTTGCTAGCATCGCCCAACGCGAGCAAAGAGCAAAGCCCTCTGACCCTTGTCACTCTAGACCTACGATTCATCACCAAGTCGGGCCGTTATTTGTCTCTTCTCGCGTCGAAGACTACGCAGCTGCAGAATCTGCTTCGATATATCGGACAGGTTCAGCGGCAGATTGAGCTCGAATGGAAGAACGCCCAGGAGTTGCCTTTCCGATTCTTGCGCAGTGTTAATATGGATCTGGAAACAAAGTGCCAGTGTGACTTTACTACCGCGATTTATCATCTGGTCGCTACGGGACATGCTTTTGAGCCGATGAAGGAGTTCCTCGTCGACATTGTTGGAGAACGAGTAAGTTAATTCTGATTCGCGAAGGGAAGCAGTGCTAAACATCTGCACACAGGGACACAAGCGATGGGACAAAGCCGTCGCAGGTGGCTATGAAAACATTCGACGATTGACTCATGAAAATCTCCTTCCAGCGCTAGAGCGCAGCCAAGTACTCATCAGCCGACTTGTCGGATTGTCCAAATTCCCCAAACTTAGTGACGTTCTCGGTTTGGACACCCCAAAGCTCAACGGAATTGTCGAGACGCTCGACTGTCTACAATTACTAGCCCACCGCATCCTCATTCACACGAACGAGGAATTGGACCAGTTCACTGCGTTCTCCAGGTGGCTCCGTCACGAGATCCTGATCCTCGGCAGTGAACCTCTGTCCCAGACTGAGGAAGAACTCCTCGAGAAGAGGGATATTTTCGATGTTCCTCCCACCACCAAGTACATCACCGGTGCACTACAGAAGAGCGTGCTTCGCAACTACATCCGTCAGCTACCTATGTTGGGAATGCCGCCTGTTCCACAACCTCCTGCGGATAAGTGGTTGCCTGATGGCCATGACCGGTCGTTCTATGACAATTTCAAGTCGTTACTTCAGCAACAGCGTCAGATTCAGGAACAAAGTGGTGATAGCACTTCGGTGGATGCTCCTAAGCTTAATGACCTAACGAAGCGACTGGGCATCCAGTTCGAGAAGGTGTTTGCGGAGATTGCACTAACCCAGCGAAGAGGTATCCTGCACCGATCTCCCTTGACGCTTCACGCGGATTGTGATCGGGATGTTCTTGATCTGAAGATGTGTTACGAGGTAAGTCTCTTGATTCAAATCCTATCAAGTTTATGCTCATCATTCCCAGAATGCCGAGGAGAAGAGGCCTTGCTCCATTTACGTCGCTGCACGATCTGTCAGTTCAAAGCCATCGTGTTTGTACATATCTCCCTTCTGTGTTGAAATGGGAACTGACACCTGCCTTGCAGTCTACATCTACCGTACGGTTCTCGATTCGGTGAACGGCGTCAGCTCGACGAGAGCTACATCCGTCGCATCCATCACCCTGGAAGAAGGAGAAGTTCGTCAATTACAATTCGTCCAAGATGATACCCTGATGGTCTTGTGGACAGATGACAGTATGTCTGTTGCTCTAGGATTGCCAAGATATAGTGACTGATTCCGTATAGAAGGATCATCCTACCTGCTGAATTTCCCCTTCCAGCCTGCCTCGGCGCAACAGACATCCGAGAAAGCTAGCGCACTGACAATGATGCCCGATTACACACACTGCGAGACCAAACCGACAAACGCGAAACCGTCAGTGTCGACAAAATCGCTGGATGTTTCTTCATTGATCGAGACAGGCATAGTTCGGCACGCTTTTGCAGTGTCTGGGTCCAAATCCAAGCCCGAGCACGTAGATGTCAACGGACGTCAAGGCCGGCGGGCGGTGTGTGTGCTATATGGGGATGGTATGCGCTATGACGTCTTGGACCTGGATGCAGCTATGGAAAGTGAAGAGGTGGATGAAGGGTTGGAGGAAGAAGGGGAAGAAGAGGAAGAAGAAGACGAAGAAGAGGAAGAAGAATGAGCATAGTCTCGAATGAGTGCATGGGAAAAAAAAGGTGTTTGGCGGTCATAAATCTTCCACATTACTATTTTTCATACTTATCCTTCTCCCGGCTTTCTTTGACACTCCATTCGCAGTAAGCAGGTTCCCTAGGCATGGTCATGAAAGCTTAGGGGTATCCCAATATCGAGCTATATTTGCAAATTACTAAGGAGTGCATTTCCCCATCCCTTGCCTATTACCACTGACCTCCAGCCACAATCCTTTATGACACGTCCAGCCTCTAGCACCTTCTGACCAACTTAGTGGACTCCACTGCAAAAATAGTTGTGTGTGGACAGGGCTAAGGGATCGGTCGCTGGGGCCACACGGTGAACAGTGGAGGCTTCTTCAAGGAGGAAAACCAAAACAAGCAGACCTCACAGAGGGGTTGACAGATTGTGAAACCCACCACTACGAGTCGTGAATCAACTTAGTTAGAATGATAATAAGTACATATACCTTTCGAAATATTGACACCTATCGCGGGCTATTATAATCCCATTGTGAACCCGTCTAGAGCAAAAAGACAAGCAACCGGTTCTGCCTGAGGCGGCGACTCACGTGCCATCCGTCACCCCCGCCAATCAAGACCAGCAGCGCAATGGACTTCATCCCCCCCCAAGGCTCGAATTCTGCCTTTGATCTCCTACCTGTCTAAATATCTTCAGACTCTCATTACCCAGAGTCTTTTGGCTTCAACTTTCCGCTACTCCCCTGTTCTCGCTAAGAGCGTGTATCGAAGGCACCTTCTCCTCGTGATTCTCGCGGAAAGACCTGTGCATGCCTCGTCATATCCACGAAAACACCCCGTCCTTTCCCTCCCACCTGCCACTCCTGGGACTCTACTTCCACCACGATCTAACGGTGGCCCGTGATTCGTGTTCTTGAAAAGTCATTACGTTGTTTATCTGGACGATCAGGAGTTGATTCTTTCCTTGTCGAGTTTCTTTTTTCCCTTTTCTCTTCCCCCCACATCCTCCATCCGTTGCGTCTCCCTCAGACATCATGGATGCTCGTCAAGTGTTGCAGAGCACTCTCTCAGCAGGTAAGTCTGAACTCTTCCCCGTCAAGGACCAAGCTGTTCCAGCCGCTTTTCTCGAAAGCACTCTGTGTGTGAAAGCCCCTCGCTGACCCTCTTTCTTGCGCAGATGCGGCGGAACGTTCCAATGCTGAGCAGCAGCTCGCCCATGCCGCGGAGGTAGACTTCGTAAGTTCGCTCCGTATATCTCGTTCGTCTCGTTTGGTACAAGCTCAGGATGCCTGACTTGCGTACGAGGCGGCCCCTCTCTCACCCACGGTGGTGCTAACGTGTTTTTTTCTTAGGCCGCCTATCTCACCACCCTCGGCCAGGAACTGGCCAACGAAGACAGCCCCCCTCACATCCGTGTCGCCGCCGGTATTGCCCTGAAGAACGCTTTCACCTTCCGAGAGCAGGCCAAGCTGCGCGAGGTGCAGCAGCGATGGGCTACACAGATCCCCTTGGACACCAAGACGCAGGTCAAGGAGCTCGCCCTCAAGACTCTGCACTCCCCAACACCCGCGCCGGAAATGCCGCCGCTACATTGATCGTTTCGATTGCCTCCATCGAGCTACCGCGCAATGAGTGGCCCGACCTGATGAACATTCTCGTCCAGAACGTGGCGAGCGGCACCGACGCTCTGAAGCAGTCCTCCCTGACGACTATTGGTTTCATTTGCGAGTCTCAAGACCCTGATCTCCGTGCTAGCTTGACTTCTCACTCCAACGCTATCTTGACCGCCGTCGTCCAGGGTGCCCGTCGCGAGGAGCCCAACATGGAGGTTCGTTTTGCCGCTATTGCTGCTCTTAGCGATGCCGTCGATTTCGTGCGCTCCAATATGGACAACGAGGGCGAGCGCAACTACATTATGCAGGTGGTCTGCGAGGCCACCCAGGCCGAGGAGGTCCGCGTGCAGGCCGGTGCCTTTGGCTGCTTGAACCGCATCATGGGTGCCTATTACGAGAAGATGCGCTTCTACATGGAGAAGGCTCTGTTCGGCCTCAGCATCATGGGCATGAAGAGCGAAGAGGAGGATGTTGCCAAGCTAGCTATCGAGTTCTGGTGCACTGTGTGCGAGGAAGAGATTGCTATTGAGGATGACAACGCCGAGGCCCAGCAGGAGGGTGTCGAGGCTCGTCCATTCTTCGGCTTCGCCCGCGTTGCCACTCGCGAAGTTGTTCCCGTTCTGCTGCAGGCCATGTGCCGCCAGGATGAGGATGCTGATGACAATGAGTACAACGTGTCGCGTGCTGCCTACCAGGCTCTGCAGCTGTACGCTCAGTGTGTGCAGGGTGATGTCATTCAGCCCGTGGTCACTTTTGTTGAGGAGAACATTCGTAACGAAGACTGGCGCCGCCGTGATGCCGCCGTTGCCGCCTTCGGCGCTATCATGGAGGGCCCCGAGCCTAGCGTTTTGGAGCCTCTGATCAAGCAGGCTCTGTCTGTTCTCTTGGGCATGATGGAGGATTCGTCTGTCTCCGTCCGCGATTCCACTGCCTACGCTCTTGGTCGTGTCTGTGACTGCTGCCCCGAGGTTTTGGACCCCAATGTGCACCTGCAACCCCTTATCTCTTGCCTTTTCAACGGCCTTGCCAGCAGCCCTAAGATTGCCAGCTCCTGCTGCTGGGCTTTGATGAACGTTGCCGACCGTTTCGCCGGCGATGCTGGGTCCCAGACCAACCCTCTTTCCAAGCACTTTGAGGACAGTGTGAAGTCCCTGCTTGCTGTGACTGAGCGCCAGGACGCTGATAACCAGCTCCGCACCGCCGGTTACGAAGTTCTCAACTCCTTCGTTCTGAACTCGGCCAACGACAGCCTCGCCATGGTGGCTACCCTTTCGGATCTTATCCTCCAGCGCCTCGAGCAGACCATCCCCATGCAGCAGCAGGTTGTCAGCACAGAGGATCGGATTCTGTTGGAGGAGATGCAGACTAGTTTGATCAGTGTCATCCTGGCTATTGTCCAGCGCTTCGAGACTGACATCAAGCCCCAGGCTGACCGCATCATGCACGTCCTGCTCCAGGTCTTGCAGACTGTCGGCCCCAAGTCCAGTGTTCCCGATGTTGTCTTTGCTACTGTCGGTGCTGTTGCCAGTGCTCTCGAGGAGGACTTCATCAAGTACATGGAATCCTTCAAGCCCTTCCTGTTCAACGCTCTCGGCAACCAGGAGGAGCCCGGTCTCTGCTCCATGGCCATCGGCCTTGTTAGCGACATTGCCCGTGCTCTTAACGAGAAGGTCCAGCCTTATTGCGATGACTTCATGAACTTGCTCCTCAGCATTTTGCGCACTTCCACCAACCAGCTTAAGCCTGCTATTCTGGAGACCTTCGGTGACATCGCCCAGGCGATCGGCACTGCCTTCAACACCTACCTGACTGTTGTCGGCCAGGTCCTTCAGCAGGCTTCTTCGGTCACCACTAGCTCTGACCTCCCATACGACATGGTTGACTACATTGTCTCCCTGCGCGAGGGTATCATGGATGCCTGGGGCGGTATCCTCCTGTCCTACAAGGGCAGCCCTGATATTGCTCAGATCCAGCCCTTCGTCGAGTCCATCTTCCAGCTGCTCCACATCATCTCGCAGGAGGGTAACCGCAGTGAGGGCTTGATGCGCTCCGCTATGGGTGTCCTTGGGTAAGCTTTCACCTATGAATCTTTGAATGACACACATTGCTAACTTTTGACAGTGATCTTGCCGACGCTTTCCCCAACGGTGAGCTTGCCGCTTACTTCCGCAACGACTGGGTCACCACCCTCGTTCGTGAGACCCGCACAACTCGCCAGTACAGCCCGCGAACCATTGAGACTGCTCGCTGGACTCGTGAGCAGGTCAAGCGCCAGATCAACATGAGCACTGGCATGGCCTAAGTTAAGTGCTGAAAGCTTTTCATCCCATCGATAACAAAGCCGGCTGCACCCGTCCTGCCTCCTAGCGATGTTTCGGTTGGAGGCAGCGGGTGCCGGGCGGCAATCGTTCATGTATCAATCCCACAAGTGAAGCTCCGGGGCGACCTGGGTTCCTTGCATTGACTTGGTACTTTTGATGGTCGGTGGGGATCTGTTTTGCACGTCGCGAGCCTTCTCCAAATGCCCCCATCACCCTGCCCCCCATTCCAGCACGAACTTCGAAATTCCCGCTTACCACCGTGCCCTTGAACTCGTCCCCTCTTGGCACTTGCTCTTCGCCGTGCTATTTCCTCATGATACGCCCGAACGAAACCCGTCCCTTCCCCTTATGGCCTTTGCGTTTTCTTCGTGATACAACCCTTTATCCTTTCTTCTCCTGAAATTCCTACGTTGCTTTTTAATTAGACCAAGACCCCCCTCGCATCCATATAGCATTGCACCTCATGTAGCCCAAGATTCATGTATCCTGTCACCTCCCTCATGTACCGCCCCCCTCCTTTATGTATCCCCCCATATCATGTCAACCCATTCCCAGAGAAGATCCTCTTGCCATGGAAAAAGCTGTTTACTTCATCTTCTCCGCCGTATAATCCACATATAAGCCCACCCCAAGCCCACCTGCACAGGACTCCCAATGTACAGCGATATCCTGTCGGTACTTCTCGGGATGTATCGAGTATGACGAAGCTAATTTTGTATAGTAGAGACTGTAACGGCAGAGGGCCGATTTATCGTGCCTGAGGCCTAAATTGCTTTCCTTATCAATGGCAGATCACGTGACTATAAGGGTAAATGCGCGCCGAAACCCTACCCGCGCACAGTCAGCTAACACCCTAACTTCGCCGACCGCCGAGTTTTTCGATCCTTCAACCCGCTACAACCGACGGACCATTCCTCGAGGTATGTATGCTACCCTGTCCCCCCATCAGCCTCTCAGCTAGTCTGGGAGAGCAATCATTCTTCATCTGCAGGATCTGGACTTTCATGCCGGTTCAAGACCAGCAGATGTATGGATGATACGCATCTCCCATCCGGCAACGGGCTGAAGAACTCCTTTTTCAAGGAAGGGGCACTCTTTGCGCTCGACGACTAGTTGTGGCTGACCTCCGGCACTGTAAACAGATACCTCTTATCCACTTCCTTGATTTGAGAATCTCGATTCCACAACCGACAAAATGGTCAAGACTTCCGTCCTCAACGATGCGCTCAACGCCATGAACAACGCCGAGAAGGCTGGCAAGCGTCAGGTTTTGATCCGCCCTGCCTCTAAGGTCATCGTCAAGTTCCTGTCTGTCATGCAGAAGCACGGTACGTCTCCTCAATCTGGATTTTCGCTGCTTTTCTCGTTCAGTTTTCTGCTTGGATTTTACCCATTTGTTTCTCATGTCTTCACCTTTTGTACTTCTCCCCGTTATTCGGGCTGATAACTAGGCGGATTGTTTCAATCACCCACGACGTTTGCCTTTTAAGTGTCCGATAGATTAACCGCGGAGATCTTACACGTTTCCGAAAGCGCTTTCATTTGCTATTCAGTAATCGGCGACTTTTAAATCTTCGCAACATGCTGACAACAATCTCTTTCAGGCTACATCGGCGAGTTCGAGGAGGTTGACGACCACCGCTCCGGCAAGATCGTTATCCAGCTCAACGGCCGCCTCAACAAGTGTGGTGTCATCAACCCCCGCTACCCCGTCCAGCTCCGTGACCTCGAGAAGTGGGCTACCCAGCTCCTTCCCTCCCGTCAGTTCGGCTACGTCGTCCTGACCACCTCCGCTGGTATCATGGACCACGAGGAGGCTCGCCGCAAGCACGTTGCTGGCAAGCTCCTCGGCTTCTTCTACTAGAGGATTTCGTTTTAGAAAACGAATTGAAAAAAGTTGTTGTTTTGACTGGTCTCGCATGTTCTGGGCTAGGCCCTGGGAATGTAATCTAGATAGCGGATACCCCGACGAGATAGCTTGCAGAGTACATGGTTCTCCAATGCACGGTGATTCTGGTCAGCATATCATTTCGTTGTAGTTGTAAATTTCTTAGGGTAGACTCCTCGTGGAGTGAAATAGTCCACGTTCACCCGTCCTAGTTTTCGGGCCTAGTAGTTGCAGCAGCAATGCTAGACTCGACTCTACTTGGGCCGAGGCACCGCTGCGACCGCCCGTCGGGTGCCCCCGTTCTGCCCTACATGTCCCTCGTTCCCCGCAACATTTCATTTCTCGAAACACAAAGCTCATCATGCCGCTGGATACGATATACCTCACCCGGCACGGGGTAAGTCCTTTGAAGTGCAAGATTTGTGATTCTGGTTTGCCGTGGACTTAACAAAATCACCAGCACCGTCTCAATTGGACGATTGACCTCCGCACCGGCACCTACAAGTCACAATTCCCAACTCCTACAGGCAATCCAGCAGACCCAGCCTTGACGGCGCATGGTGTGCGCCAGTCCTATGAGCTTGCCGAACACATCGCAGGCTCAGACTTCCACCCGAAGCCCTTTCGTATATACTCGAGTCCCTTCTACAGGTGCCTGCAGACAATCCAGCCTTCCGTCGAGGAACTCAAGCGTAAACAACAAGACAACTTCAGCAATGGGCATGGATCGATTGATGCAGCCGCCGATCTTGATGTGCGACTGGAGAATGGACTCGGGTAAGTAAACCGCACATTTCGAAGCTGAACTTTCATCCGCCCTGCACAGATCACTAACAGCTCAATAGAGAATGGTTTGGCCCAACGACCTTCTTCGAACACCCCTCTCATCCACCTCCATCAATCATGCGTGGCCATTTTCCAACTTTGATCGCAGATTCCCGCGAAAAGAAATACGCATCATTACTCATGCCCTCCTCGCGAGGCGAAACAATCGCAGAGCTACACAACCGCGTTGCCACAGTCTTAGAAGGCATAATAGAGGACGTGGACGCTGAAATAACGGCGCTCGAAGCCGATCTTAAACCCGAGCACCGCACGAGCAAATCGATACTTATTTGCGCCCACGCGGCGCCTCTGATCGCCATGGGCCGAGCATTAACGGGCCTCATGCCAGAGGATACTTCCATCGAAGATTTCCATGTATTCACCGCTGGACTGAGTACTTTCCAGCGCCGGGCGACTGTGAAGTCTCCATCACAGGGTAGCGCTCAGTCCCTCCTTGCTAAGGGCACGAAACTGTTCCGCGCCGACACTGTTCCTGAGTGGGAGGGTGGTCGTGGTGTTGGAGGTGGATGGGACTGTGTGTCAAATGGGGATTGTAGCTTTTTGTCCGGAGGTGCTGAGCGAGGATGGTAACTTCTATCCTGATTTTCTGCCTTTTGGTGCGGATGCTAACTTTTTTGATAGGCATTTCAGTGGCGAGGAAGGGTTTGATACGGGACCTATGGCGCCGGCTTCTGAGCCTCCTTCTGTGCAGGTTGACAGATCTGGGACTAAGTTGTAAGTCGATCGGATAGACATCAATGTTACCTCTAGTACTAGCATACTTTTGTATATAGATCCAATAGTTGTGGTATTCCAATGGCTATACCTGGAAATCTGATTCCACGATCATCGTTAAGCCCTTGAAATTTCCCATATAACGATTCAGTCAAGCTCATCCGATATCGCATCACATAATGATCAGAAGAAGATTGTAATAAGATCCACACATCTCCAAGAACGTCCAAACCGCGAATAACCGCAATCACGTGCACGCCCTATGACATGAACGGAACCCTGATCTCTGATCTGATGGCAAAAAAGGCGTAGGGTCTCCAGCTGACTTTAAGAATTCTGAACAAAACCCGCCGGAGTCAAACTATTGATAAGTAGGGACCATGGCGACAGCAACACAGACATTGCCCACAACGGCAATTGAACTACCCAATCTACACCACAGCAAGGAGCGCCAGCGAAACTTAGGGTCCGTCCCAGAATCAGTTGAAGATGACATTATGCGGGAGTCTTTAATTGCAGACTCACAAGTTCCTGATGGGGGCTATGGCTGGGTTCTTATCTTCGCTTGCGCGGTCGTGACGTGGTGGTTTGTGGGCGCTTCTTATACTTGGGGCGTCATGCAAGCGGAGCTTGTCGACAAGAAGGGCTATTCATCCTCGACGCTAGCATTTGTGGGCTCGCTTTGTCCAGCTTGTATCTCGCTCTTGGCTGTTCCAAATGCGACAGTTATTCGCAAGATTGGCGCGCGAGTGACTGCGCTCTTGGGGATATTCTTGCTTGGACTGGGGAGCATTCTCAGTGGATTTGCGGTGGATAGTGTTGCCGGGTTGTTTATGACTTGGGGATTTGTTGGCGGGCTTGGAACTAGTTTGTGCTTCATGGTTTGTCCCTCTTCGCGTGTTGGACTTTGTCATTGATCTTGCTCACGTATACCTAGGTCGTCTCTGTGACTCCGGCGCAATACTTCAAGGCAAAACGCGGCATCGCCAATGGCATCGTCTATGCCGGTGGTGGACTCGGTGGAACAGTGATCAGTTTCATTCTCAATGCTCTCCTTGAAAGTGTTGGCATCGCGTGGACCTTCCGGATTCTCGGGTTCCTGATCATAGGAACCGGTCTGCCAGCGGCGTACCTGATCAAGGAACGAGCCCCGATCAAGCAAGCCAAGATGATTGAATGGAGTCTCTTTAAGGATGTGCGCTTCGCCGTGCTCTTTGCAGTCGGTGCTATTGGTACATTCCCACTTTTCGTGCCGGCCTTCTTCCTACCCCTGTACACGAATTCACTGGGTCTACCTTCCAGTGCTGGAGCTGGTCTTGTCGCTGCATTCAACTTCTGTTCTGCCATTGGACGTTTGTCGTGCGGATTTGCGTGCGACAAGCTGGGCTCGTTGAACACCCTCTTCTTGTCGTTGCTGCTTAGTGCGTTGAGTATTTTCGTGCTATGGCCCGTTTCGACTTCTATCGGACCTCTGATTGCGTTTGTGGTTATTAATGGCGCGGCAAATGGTGGGTTCTTTTCAACTATGCCGACAGTTGTTGGAAATGTCTTTGGTTCCGCTAGAGTGTCGGTTGCCGTTGGCATGATCGTGAGTGGGTGGTTGGGTGGTTATCTCCTGGTGAGTTACTTGATTCAAAGCAGCTTATTCGTATCTTGATTCTTATGGTTTCACAGGGTGCCCCGATTGCCGGTTATATTCTCAATGCCTCTGGCGGGCAAGCAGGCGGTATTGGCGCCTATCGACCAGCCATCTTCTACGCTGGATCCATGGCTACCGCTGCGACCCTTTTGGCTGCGGTAGTGCGAATCAAGGTCGATCGCAGAATCAAAAAGACAGTTTGATAAAAGGAGCAGTATTCAATGGAATCGGTAAGTCTTCGTCTTTTGGTATTTGAGAAGCGGGAATGTCATCATGGATCACCGCAATCCTCGATGTACAGTCCTGCACCTTCCTCTTCATGCTCTTGACAAAGGATGCAAATATTGTTGAATTTCAAAAGACAAGCAATCAGAATCTGCTGATCCAGGCTGGACACATGCGCTCGCGAGGAGCAGCAAATTGACCTACCGTTACCCCGGCGGTCTGTTCAAAGCGCGATTGACAGGTCGGGAATTTCAATTAACGCTGGTCTCATGTCTGTACATGTGAGAAGTAGCGTGTCCGCATCCCGCGCTTTTGGTGCAATCGGAACGTGGCTCGAATTTTCTGGGAATAATTGGGTTCAACGACCAAAGAAGAGTACATTTCTTTTACCTACAAATTCGCGTGAACTTATGCACATACTAGGAGAGTATGTTGTCAGTATCTACCCGTACAATTTCCCCACCGGATATCAAGATGGGATTCTGTCTTGAAGGCCATTGACGGGTATAAGACATATAGAAGGTGTAAAAAAAGTAATTCAGGAAGAAACAAGAGAAAAAAGGGCAAAAAGGTTGGGTGTAATGGCAAGCGAAAAACCAAAAGGCATTTTCAACGGGAAATTATATCATGAGTTTGAAAGTATCTCTTTCAGAAAGATGCCGGCTTAAAAGCTTGGGAAAAGCCCACTCGAGGACACCAGTGTAGCTAAATCTCAGACCTCCTGTGGAATATCGTTATTGAAGGACCTCGTTTATTCTGTTTTTTCAGCGTTGATCTTTCTTTCTAGAGCTTGTACCTAGCGACTACTCCTATTGAAGTAAATGAAGGGTATCGATTTTCAGAAATGCTAACATATCTTAGTCTCACCAGTCAGCGGGCACCGGCACAGGTGCTAGAGGCTGCTGCGGCTGTTGAATATTCTGGTTGTCTTGCGTATCCTCGACACGCACCTGTGTCTCTGGATGTTCCTGCGACGACTGCTGCTGCTCTGGCGCTGGCTCTTGCTCGCGAGCCTCAGCCTCAGCAGCATTTCGAGCTTCCACTTCAGCCGCATTTCGTGCTTCCGCCTCAGCCGCATTGCGTGCTTCAACCTGACGCTCGCCAATACCTGGCACAAGACTAGCAAGAAAAAGCACAAAAGATCTCTCTGCACGGCGGAAATAATCCAAAATCTCCCCTAAGATGTGATTTTGAGGAGGATTAGTCGCAGGCTGGCCCGGTCCGCCCATATGCGCAAGTGTTTCAAGATGGCGTTGCAGTGGCTGCACGATGATGCCGTGCAGCACCTGGGGAACATTCGTGTCGGATAAGGCGGAGATGAGTAGAGCCGCAGTGACGAAAAAGATGCGCGTCCAGGTACCAGGTGCACTGATCACGTAGCAGAAGAAGTAGAGGCGTATGAAGAGCCAGACACGGCTCATAAAACGTCCAATTCCGGGTGGGTTTGCGGCGTTTCCAATCTGTCGACGCTGTTGATTGTTAACAAGTGCCTGGCGCACGATGTTCTCAGCCATTGCTCGATCAGCTGGATTCGGGTTAGCACCGGCTGCAACATTGATATTTGGTCCAGTGGAAGACGAGCTCTGGTAATGATATTGTACGGTTTGATGGGTTGTGCGCGTCGATGCGGGAATTATTATGGCTTTCTGACCACCGGGACCGACACATTGATAGATGGGATGATCATTGCTGTCAGTTTGCACAGTGCTCTGTGTGGCGCTTGGCCTGCTGGCAAAGCCCAATCCTTGGAGGATTGCTTGGTGTCTCTCGAGAATAGCGCGCGGATCATGTAATCCATGAAGACGACGGAGTTCCTGCGCAAGAGCCGGCTGCGCAGAGGATGCAACAGGATGAGGAATATTCAATATGCTTGGTGCCTGTTGACCAACAGGTAAAGTATTCAAAGCCGTCGATGCTTTCCCGGGTGCTGTAGTTGGTTCAGAGGCCTGTGATATGAAATGGAGCGTATACTCGGATTGCTATAATCTGGGTCAGCTTATAGGCAACTAGGGCTGGCAGGTCAACTCTTACATTGACAGGACCGAAGACCTCTTCCAGAGTGGCACTGTCCACCGTGAGTGGTCTTCCTAGGAAGATCAAGCGTGACGTGGCAGGTACATGGCCTAAAATGATTTGTGCTAGCCGGGCTTGCAGTTCGGCAATGGTTGTAGCGAGAGGAACGTTGTGAAAGGTAAAACGGCTCGGCGGAGGAAGAAAAGGACAGAGGACGTTGAGAGTCACAGCCCTTGGGCCCTTACTAGCGTCATCTGGGGTAGCGGACATGCTAAAGAGAGGTCTGTATCTTTGCTCGGGAACGATGGCTAGGTGGGAGCTGTATGAGAGCTAGACGGCAGCTAAGTAAGCTCGTGTTGTAACCGAGGTGGACAGTGGTATAGGATAATAGGTATAGCCCTCGAAAGCACCAGGCGGGATTGGTGAAGTGATGTGTGTCTTTCGGAGATGTGGCAGAAAGCTAAGACTGGGGTTGATAAGGTACACGCTGCTAGACGGGCAACTTCCGCAAAATCAACGTTTAAAAACAAGATCCATGAGAAGAAAAGCATTGAAAGATCTGATGCCCCAACAGACAAGCATAGCTAGAGAATATTAGAAAGAGAGGAGTTCATTAATGAGCATGGCATCACTCCACGAGTGATTCTGCCAGGCGGTCAATCGGCCTAATCGTATTGCCTGTTTTGGCGCGACAAAATTGTTCTCCGCAAAAGCTTCGAGGACGACTGGGTCTCGAGGCACTCATGGAATAAACAGCACTATGGCCAAGCGCCTTATCAACCACTCAGCTCTCTTCCACTGCCATCCCGCCGCTCCGGTGACGAGGGGCGTTGCGTCGATGGAGGTCTTCTCATTCCGGGCCACTGCCTGCCACAAGGCCAGCGTGCGCCATTTCTCGAAGTCATGGAGACAATACAGCAAAGACAACAGCAGCGAAAATAAAACCAAGGGAGGCTTTGGGTCACGGCTTCGTTTCGCTCTGCGGAACACTAAGGTGGAATGGTACCCAATTCCTGTCGGACTCGGCATTGGTCTTCTAGGCGTTCTCCATTTCTACAAGTCGCAACGTGCCGAGCGTGATCGTATCGCCCAAGAAGAATCTGGAGGGGAGTGGGAAAATGGTGCGCGACCGCCACGTCGACCGCGCATCGTACCCACGGGCTCGTGGCAAGTCCAGATCATGTCCACGCTGCCCCTGAAGGCCATGTCGCGCCTATGGGGTCGCTTCAACGAGATTGAACTTCCTTACTACTTACGGGTGCCCGGTTTCAAACTTTACTCTTGGGTCTTTGGCGTCAACCTGAGCGAGGTTGCGGAGCCTGACCTACACACCTACCCCAATTTGGCAGCCTTCTTCTATCGCAAGCTGAAACCCGGCGTTCGGCCACTCGACCCCGACGTACATGCTCTCATCTCGCCCTCGGATGGCCGTATTCTACAATTCGGAATGATCGAGCGGGGTGAGGTGGAACAGGTCAAAGGTTCGACATACAGTCTGGAAGCTCTTCTGGGCTCTGCCACCCCCTCGCACGCCGACCACAGCAACCGACTAATCGATTCGAAAACGCATGAGACTGTGCAAGACGACGAGAATATGAAGTCGGATGAAGAATTTGCTCGTGTCAACGGGATCTCATACACCCTTCCCTCGCTGTTGTCAGGTGACACCGCCCCCAAGAGACGATTCTCGATGGATGCTTCTACCGCCTCCAAAGCAACGTCCGAAATGCAGGTCCAAGAGGAGCTGGCCCTTGGAGAGGGTACTCCGTGGTATGCGCCCAAGACCGCTGCCAACCATGCCCTATTCTACTGTGTGATTTACCTGGCTCCGGGTGATTACCACCGATTCCATTCGCCGGCCCCATGGGTCGTTGAAAGTCGCCGTCACTTTGCGGGTGAATTGTATTCTGTCTCTCCTTACCTGCAGCGCCATCTGCCCGGTCTGTTCACTCTCAACGAGCGTGTGGCACTTCTTGGCCGCTGGCGCTGGGGCTTCTTCAGTTACACGCCGGTTGGCGCGACCAACGTGGGCTCGATCAAAATCAACTTTGATTCGGAGCTTCGCACAAACAGCCTACTGACCGATACAGCGGCAGATTTGGCGGCAGCCTTGGCTGCTAAGCGAGGAGAGCGGGACCCCGGGTTTGCTGAGGCTACCTACCGCCACGCGAGTCGCACACTGGGAGGACATCCTTTGCAACGTGGCGAGGAGATGGGTGGATTCCAGCTGGGTAGTACGATTGTGCTTGTATTTGAAGCGCCTCTCGGCTCTCGCAAATCCTTTGATGCAGGTTGGCCGGAGGATCAGAGACCAGATGGGTGGACATGGAGTGTTGAAAAGGGCCAGCGCATCAAAATGGGAGAAAAGCTCGGGTTTGTGGGCGGAGTATAGATATGTTGGAGATGTGTCCAACAGGACGTGACCTTGGCACGTTGAGAGGTTACACGCACCGGCAGCACAGCAGGCTTCCTTCATTTCTGTGGAAGATATTTGTAATATACCATTTTGCTTCCGCTTGTATTCACCGATCCATGTCAACTCCTGGAACTAGATGAGCAACGAGTCGACATTGTACATGGTAGCGTGGGACGGGCCGAATTATGTGTAGAAGCACGGACCAATCTGATGCCCCAGGCCACCAACGGTGTGCACGCATCGAGCTTCTTGATTCGTCATTGATCAACGGCGAATGTTGCGTCATCCAAGTCTTTCGAACACGAAGTGACCAATCTTTGTGCGCAAGGCACCATAATTTCTGATGTTCGATCTTAGACTTTAGACGTTGGACGAGTTGTACCTCTCTCTCCATCGTGATCCTTGCAGTGACGCCACCTCCCAGGCGACATATCAATCTGTAGCGGAAATCAGGGCAGAAACCTTGAAAGCCAAGATTCTTGCATGGGCCAAGGGAATGCCTATCTTTCTCTTTCCTCTGCGACTTTCCCTCTGAGGTCTCCACCTCTCCTCCATCTTCATGGCCATTTTTACCCTGCCCCGGTCTATTCAGAACAATGCCTTTCAAAATCCCGTTGGGAACCTGATCGCGGCAGGCGCTAACGCGCATGCCAACCACCCTTCCTTTGGGCACCTCGTACTGCTCGTCTTCGAGGCCGTACTGGAAGTGGTGTGCGTGAGCTTGCCCGGTTACATTGCTGCCCAACAGGGCATGTTCGATGCCGATGCTCAGAAGCTTGTCGCAAACCTCAACGTGACTTTGTTCACCCCTTGTCTGAGTATGAATGCGTTTCCTCCTGATCCTTATCGTCCATCTTGCTGATAAGAAACAGTTTTCATCAAACTAGGCTCCCAATTAACTGCAGAGACCTTGTCCGATCTGGCGATTATCCCGTTCATCTTTGTGGTTCAGACGACCGTCTCGTACTTGTGCGCATTCACCATTTCGCGATGTTGTCGCTTCAAGAAACGCCAGTCCAATTTTGTGGCGGCGATGGCGGTACGTCAACGGTCAGGCCCCACGTAAGAACCGAACTGATGTCCATCAATTAGGTCTTTGGAAACTCCAATTCTCTCCCGATCTCTCTCGTCATGTCCCTGTCGCAAACCCTTAAAGGTCTGCACTGGGATCGTGTCCCGAATGACAATGACGACGAAGTAGCCGCCCGTGGCATCCTATACCTACTTATCTTTCAGCAGCTGGGACAATTGGTTCGCTGGAGCTGGGGTTACCATGTCTTGTTGGCACCGAAAGAACGTTATCTTGAGGATATGGAGAGCGACGATTTAGGAAGCCAGTCACGTATTGAGCAAGGTCAGGCGCGTTACACCGATAACCCGGAGCAGACGGACCCGGACGAGCCCCTACTGCGCACCCGTCATTCGGAGGATTTAAGCCGTCCTGTCGATGTCCACGCACATGGCGAGTTCCAGTCCGGCGACCAGACGCCGGTCTCCACGTGTGAATACACCTATACGAAAACGTCCTCCGTCGGTTCTCGTGAGGGAACAGTCGTGGGAAGTCATATCTCCGATGAGCCATCAACTATTGGACCCCCGCCCAGCGGACCCTTCCTGCCCCGCCAGAGCTCTCGAGGTGATATACTTTCATTCCCAGATGTGGAGGCTACCGCACGGGAAGCGCAAGCCGCGGACCAAACTTACATGCAGCGCTGGAAAGCATCTATCCGCCAAAGAAGAGATCGCATGTACGAGTCCTGGGAGAAGAAGTCGGGTTCTCTGTACGGGTGCCTCCCTTCGAAAGCTCAAAAGACGCTCTCGGCGATTACACGTGGAATCGGTCGATTCATGCGTGGTGCATGGGCTTTCATGAACCCACCTCTATGGGCCATGCTTGTTGCCATCGTTGTGGCCTCCGTTCCATCCCTCCAAAGCCTCTTCTTTGACGAGGGCACCTTCGTGCGCAACTCCGTCACTCGCGCCGTCGAACAGAACGCACAAGTCGCTGTCCCATTGATCCTGGTCGTGCTGGGTGCCAATTTAGCCCGCAATACCCTCTCCGAAGAGGCATTGGCGGATATGGAACACCCGAGCGACGAGCGCAAGCTGATTATTGCGTCTTTGGTTGCACGTATGCTTCTTCCTACTCTCATTATGGCACCGCTTCTGGCTCTGCTGGCCAAATTCGTGCCTATTAGCATCCTGAGATGATCCTATCTTTATCATTGTCTGCTTCCTACTCACCGGTGCGCCTTCGGCACTGCAACTGGCGCAGATTTGTCAGATCAACAATGTCTATGTTGGAGCTATGTCCAAACTTCTCTTCCAGAGTTACGTGGTTTGGTACGTTAGCTTTCTTCCATTCTCTCCTCCACTCAGAACGAAGCTAACAAAATCCAGGATTCTTCCGTCCACCCTCTTCCTCGTCATCTGCGCGCTTGAGGTTCTCGAGTGGGCATCCGCCTAGGCAAAACCCCCCCTGTATGTTTAGCAAGTAGGCTCCGGCTTGCATTTTGTTATCTATGACTCTTTTCGGTTGGCGTTGTTCGTGACGTTGCATTCTATTATGGTCTCATGGACTCCACTATTCGTACACCGAAATCTTATGTTATTATCGATTTTTCCTACCTTTTTGCTAACAGAGACCCATTCGCCAAAAATGGATACCACCAGTGATCAGCTCCCCATAGGTGTAGAGATTTCGAGTGCAATCAAATAGGTTGGCTTTCTTACATGGAAAGAAGGGAAAAGACTCATTTGCATAATCTTAGTCCATGTTTGTAACAGCTGCAGATTGGGAATGTACTCTTTTGGGATCTCACAATGATTCGACGAGGCTACTAATAATGATAGAATGTAGTGATTTTTCATACAACCGTATGTTTCGCTAGGCCATTGATAAAAACGTAATATCCAGTATAAAGCCCTTCAAAGGAAAGAGGTGTGAGGGACGCTCCAAGAAAAAGAAGATCTATCGGTAGATCTGGCACATGACTTTAAATCCATCTATACTAACAACGGCTATCTGATTGAGATCCCCCTCGATGGTTTCGGCTCTACTTGTTGATCAAGGTCGGGTACAGTCTGCACTTTTCGCGAGCTTGTCTATAGTGGGTGCGATATAGATAGTGCTGCGCTACTAGCGATCATATATTACTTCGTGCTTTGAAGTGGCTAGGAAAGGCGTTGTCCATGTATGGACGCTCGTCCTAAATCGGAGGACCTACACGTACTGAGGGTCACGTTCATACTTGGCCTATTGCTCTACATTCTACAACATCCGCAGATCAGTAGGCATTCCTCTTCATCCATTTTGCTAGATCAACCATTTAGAATCTCCAAAGACCTTCAAAGTCGAATATAGAAGTAAGTTTAAAGCTGTTTACCACAGATGGAATGAAATGACACCAAGGAAGGGGTATAAGGCAGAGTGACTGTAACGGGTATAGGTATTTCGGAACAGACTTCGAGACAGAATCTCTGTATCAAAATATCGACATCATTTCTTCGTAAGAGGAAGAGTCGCACAAGCAGTAGCTGTTTGCCTTTTTCCTCAAGAATCATCTTTAGGGTGGGCATTTCTTATCATTCCCTAAAACACCGGGCGGACCTGGGCGGACGCCTCCTCGACTTCAAGTAGCCCTAGAGTGGCTGGGAAGTAATCTCTGAACCACGCTAAGTTGGTAGTAGTAGAACAGACCTTAGATGAAGGCCAGAGAGGAGTTATACCGTTAGAAATGGTAGGACTTTACACAATTATATAGAGGTCCATGGAGGTCGCAATCGAGGGTCAACCAGATCATTCCCCAATCCGAGTATACAAGTATGTGACCCCCGCGTCGCCGAGCCAAAGACTTTCACTAATGTTGTCAATCCAGGTAGAGTCATTTCAAACATCAAAATGATGTGCTTGCCGGTTCGTCTCATCGTCAGAGTAGCCCCAGCTATGGCAGCTATGGGGCGGTCCTGACGCAACGTGCTGTTGAATGCGACATCTTTACTCCCCCCCTGTGCCTGATGTGGGATCTCCCGTTCTTACCGATATGCTTCTAGATAAGCACTAGTTTATTCGCTTATGCATGATTTCCAAATATCTTAGTGGTTTGTTTGTCTAGCCTTGGTTCAGTTCTGCTTTGGTATTATCTTGTACAAAATATTCATGCCGCTTTAACTGGACAAGCATCTTCCCTCTTCTCAAGAGTCAACCGATACAGTCACCGGGTGGCACGAAACGACCGTAGCAGAAGTTCCATCATGCAAAGTCGACTTTCATCATCTCGACAGTCTCAGCTTGATGACTCCGACGATGAGGGCATGTGGTCTCCTCTTCAGCTTGCAGCTGCGCAAGGCGATCTACTCGAAGTACAACGGCTCTTATCCCAATCAATGAACCCAAATGAGCCCCCTAAGGGCTACTATGGACAGACAGCTCTTCAAGCCGCCTCTCATAATGGGCATCTCGCCGTGGTCGAGATACTCGTAGCGGCAGGGCAGACGTCAACGCCCCGGGGGGGAATAATGGTGGCCGAACAGCGGTCGTATTGGCCTCTGGGGCGGGCTATCTGAATATCGTTACCCACTTAGTTTCTGCAGGTGCAGAGATCAATTACCCACCCTATCATTATATGGGGCGAACTGCCTTACAGGCCGCCGCAGAGGGAGGCCAGATCGAGCTACTACGAAGGCTGCTCGAACAAGGCGCAGAGGTTAACACCCCCTCCGCGAAGAATCGCGGCCGCACTGCACTTCAAGCTGCTGCATTAGGAGGTCACGCTGAGATCGTGGATATTCTCCTGAGACCATAAAGCCGATGTGAACACCCCCGCCGTAAGGTATCACGGCTTTACGGCGCTTCAGGGCGCGGCTTTTAAAGGTCACCGCCGAATTGTCCGTCAATTGTTAGATATGGGGGCCGATGTGAATGCCCCAGGCTCATATTATAACGGGTATACGGCACTTTCGGCGGCAGCAGAATGCGGCCACTACGAGATCATCCGAATATTGCTAGACGCTGGCGCAGATGTCTCTACAATATCTGGTAATAAGAAATGGACGGCCGCACAGATTGCAAATTTCCGTGGAGAGAAAACCATCACGGAAATTCTCCAACCGACTCAGCAGATGAGAAGACAGTACAAGGCAAATTACTATCAGTGATCATTTCAGTCAAGTGGTCATAACTGGGTAGATTGATCCTAGCTCTGGACTGACTTCGACTAACCATTTGTTCGACAGACCAGTGTCCATCTAAGAAACAAGAGCATCTGTTCAGTTCCACGGTAGATGTAATATATGGGCTCGGATTATTTGAAGGTTGTGAGAGAAGGCTAGATCCGCAGACCAAGTGGATCCCCTAATTGGGATCCGTTTCCTGGTTTTGTCGCTTCAATCTGCGGGCTTGATTTCCACATCGGGTTGGATCCAGACACATCCTGGGACTGACGCGTTCAGCACCTCCTTACAAGGAATTAACTTCAAAAGTCATCATGAACATAGTCTCTTGGAGATCTTGGAAGATCCCCAAGATTCCTGCGAGTCGCAGTGCTGCCCCTTATCATGAATTTCTCACTCACCACCGTGCTCTTTGCAGCATCGGTGCTTGCCCAAACACCACCTACGAGCTCCCCCTTCACGAGAAATAATCTGGGGGTGTCGTATAAAAATGCCACAATTTTCCCCGGTGTCTGGGTCAGCCCAGATTGTGAGCGTTCAGTGTCTGTTGCCATGAGCGTCTACTAACCACCTCACAGATGTCTCTAACAAGCCTATTTTCTACGCCACGGACAATCAAAGGCATGAACCAGACGATCAAACAAAATACATGATCATAATGCTGGATTTGAACATCCCAGATTCCGATGTCACGACAGCTGCCAACTATGACACCTTGCATCCCGGCCTAGACGGTAACACGACGACCCGTCTGCATTGGTGGGGTGGCAACTATACCCTGGGCAGACATGGCCTGTTTTTGAACTCCAGCGATGCCCTCGCGGAATATACCGCGCCTCGACCTCGGGATGCCACCAACCACACCTACACTTTATACCTGTTCGACCAGCCGGAAGTCTACGTGCCCCCTGAGCTGGCACTCAATGGGACTTATTACTCTCAGACGAGCGTGGCCCGCTTCAACTTCACGCTGGCTCCGATTGTGAAGGAGGTTGGTCGGCCGCTTGCTGCTACGTATTTCTTGAGTAGCAATCCGTAGCCTGGAAGATGTGAGGTGATTCTTACTGCTGCGGCGCATCTTGGAGGTACCTTTTGGAGTGGGGTCCAATGGAAGAGTTGTTAAAAATTGACATAGAATCGAATACATGCTTCTGTTGCTAATCACTTAATGGGCGATTGCCATATGGTACGCATCACACATATTCCTATTGACTAGGTTCGCCGACGTCGAAACCTTGACTCGTATCTGAGTACGAACTAAATGCCGTGGTACATGTCGATCACATTCGAAAGTCAATTCGGGTAGGCGCAAGTATAGATCACGAAGGCGAAAAGATACCTTGAAGTAGAGCCACGCTAACCGAAAAAGGCAACCGAGCTTCTGGTAAACATCCAACTTCCCCGAATTTAACCACGCATCACTTTAAAAGGCCGAGTCTAATCATGCCTCACCTACGCCGACAACCAAACCCCCACGATTTGCCGGCATCGAATGGTCCCAGTGCCCCAGGCAGCCTCCGCGCACAATTCCAAACCCCTCCCTCGCGACAAACCCCCTCCAACCCAACCCGCCTCCACGCATCTTCCACCGGCCCGCCAGAAGTCACCCCCGAACCCGCTGCTACTATAGCACATCCCGCGGCACAAACCAGCTTCTTCTCGGTTTTCGGTCGGCCAAGGCTCGAACAACGTCCCCCACCGGTGGTGGACGAGGAGGACGTGTTTGACGACGACTTTGATCCGAATGCGCAGGAAATGGAGCCGGACGAGGAATTCGAGGAGGATTCAAATCCAGAGAATGACGATCAGCTTGAGCCAGAGGATGATATGGAGCACTCAGAATTGGTAGATGAAGACGATCTCGACGAGGAAGTAGATGATGGGCTTGAAGATGACCAGGACGAGGAGATGCACGATCGCGGTTCGTCTATCTCCAGCGCAATGCCCTTTCATGAAACTAACTCACTAAAAGAGAAGTCACCCTCGCCCCTGCCACCCAATCTCCGAGAGATCTCATCTCTCGCGTCCTGGACCGTCTCAACCTCGAAACCAGGCTGCGGCGTCGCTGCACTCCGACACCCGTCCCCGTCCCAATACTGGCAATCAGATGGCCCACAGCCTCATACATTAACTCTCCACTTCTTCAAACTCGTCGCTGTTGTCCGCATTCGCGTATACCTCGACTTTGAGCTCGATGAAAGCTACACGCCTACGAAAATGATCTTTCTAGCCGGTATGGGCGGGAATGACCTCGTCGAATTCGGTAGCTGGGAAGGAGACGGGCCCTGTGGCTGGGTCGACGTACCGCTAGAAGGCGTCGGAGGCCGGAATGGTGGCTGGGTACGCGACGATGCAGTTCGACGTCACCGCAAATCAAAGGGTGGCAGCGACGAGGACGATGAACAAGAACAAGTCGATGACGATCCGTACGCGGGGAACGTGCTAAAGGCAATGGTGATCCAGATGCGGATTTTGGAAAATCATCAGAATGGAAAGGATACGCATGTGCGCGGGTTCCAGGTGTTTGCTTGTGATGATAATAGGCGGCGGATGGCTGCTGCGCCGTCTGCTTCTGCGGATGGCAGGAGAAGGCGAAGTACGAGGCAGTCTTTGAGGGGAAATGTGCTTGATGCGCTGAACGGGCGGAGGGGCAGTGAGGACGTTGATACGGGGAGGCTCGTTGACACATCTGGGCTGGATGAGCCGGATTGGATGGGAGAGCCTGTTATTCGATGATATCTGCGTGGGACGAAGTGCATGATTTATGGCGTTGTGGGCAATCGACGATTGTTGATCGGATTTGTTTTTTGGGAGTTCATGGCATAAGATACCCTTTCCTTTTCTTTAACAATATAGGTTGAACTTTGCATGAGTGGAGCATCGAATTCGTGGATGCATGATTAGCTCAATGAATAGACATGAATCTCCCCCTGTAGTATTTCAAAGTTGTTAGCATGGAGGTCGAGGTCGTATTGAATGTCAGGATGTACAAAGCATCAAACTACATAGAAGCAGGATCGACAAGGAATTGACAAGTGAGACTTCTAAAACTTCCGAAAGGGTATTCAATTTTGTTTGCTACACTCGTATCTCATATAGAGCCACGGACGCTCACAGTGTCGTTGTAAATTTATTTGAGGAGCTTCTCCAGCTCAGCAACAACGGCATCACCAACCTCAACAGTGGTGTTTTTGCCGCCAATGTCGCCAGTACGGACACCAGCCTCAATGACGTTGCTAACGGCCTTCTCAATGATGCGGGCCTCATCGAACATGTTGAAGGAGTACTGCATCATCATAGCGACGGACAGAATAGCAGCGACGGGGTTCACGATACCCTGGCCAGCAATATCGGGAGCGGAACCTAAGCAATATCAGCGAACATCCCCCTGACTGGAGAACGTGAAAAACATACCGTGAATAGGCTCATAGATACCGTTGACACGGCTCTTGCCATCCGGGATACCGCTCAAACTGGCACTAGGCAACAGACCCAGCGAACCGGGAATGACACTAGCCTCATCGGAAATGATATCACCGAAGAGGTTGCTAGTAACAACAATACCATTCAGCTTGCGCGGGTCCTTAATCATAAGCATAGCAGCGGAGTCAATAAGATGGTGTCCGATCTGGACCTGAGGGAACTCCTTCGCCATAACCTCCGTAACAACCTTGCGCCACAGACGGCTGGTAGCGAGGACATTGGCCTTGTCCAGGGACCACACGGGCAGGGGCGGGTTGTGCTGCAGAGCAAGGTGCGCAGCGAGACGGATAATACGCTCAATCTCGGCGCGGGTGTAAGGCTCAGTGTCCATGGCGTAGCCGGAGCCGTCGTCTTCCTTGCGCTCGCCGAAATAGATGCCGCCGGTGAGTTCGCGGATGATGTTGAAGTCGACACCGCGGCAGATCTCCTCCTTGAGAGGGGAGCTCTTGACCAGAGAGGGAGCGGCGAAGTTGCAAGGACGCAGGTTGCCGAATGTGCCCATTTCCTTACGAAGCTTGAGAATGCCTTGCTCGGGGCGGACAGCACCGGTTCCCCATTTCTAGATTGGAATAAGTAGGGGGGTTTGAAATGGTTGGCATAGGATTGGACGTACCGGGCCACCGATGGCACCGAGGAGGACGGCGTCGGCGTTCTTAGCGGCAGTCAGGGCCTCGTCGGTCAAAGGGGTGCCGGTCGCGTCAATGGACGCCTGTACAGGTCAGTGAGTTTCAATTTGTGTGCGTTCACGGGGGTGCGACTCACGCCGCCGAGCAGGTGGTCCTGCAGGTTGAAGGTGACATCACGCTTCTTCTCGATGACACGGAGGACCTGAAAGCGATGGGTGTCAGCTGAATAAGCTACGGACTGATTCCTTTGCATCAAAGGCTCACCTTGATAGCCTCAGCAGTAACCTGTGTTTCGTGGTGAGTTAGTCACACGGATTGTCGTGTAGACCGTCGACCGTAGGTCTATGGCGGGGCGCTAAATGAGTGTAGTACGTACCTCGGGACCACAGTGGTCACCACCAAAGACAACAACGTTGTAGGAAGGCATTCTGGAGGAGAAAATAAATGTGTCAATTGGAGGTAACTCAATCGATTTCAAAGGGAGCTTTAAGAAAGGTGGGATGCGGGTGAAGTCGACCCCGCCGCTCCGAGATCGGCGCCCACGCAAACTGCGCCGCAAACAATTCACGACTCGACTTTTCCAGTGTTTACGTCTTCTACGGCTTCCGACGGCTGCTGTCGGGTTCTTATCGAATGGACTATAGTCTGTGTAGCTGGCATTCTTGACTCCGCGCAAATGGAATCTGGACAGTCTCCAGACTTCAGAAGCTCTCTCTCACCGTTCAAACACAAAGGATATGTATTAAATGAGGTATTGCATTAAGAATATCAGACCAGGCAAACAATGACTAGAAACGACAGGATCGAAGAAATTAAGACCAGAAAAAGAAGAAAACACAACCCCGTGTGTACTGTACAAGGACCCGGAAATTCCAGAGAACTCCCGAAGGACCTTCCTATCGATGCCCAAGACTGACAATCAGGATTTGCAAACCCGCCAGCCCAACCTTCCGAGAGGCCCAGTAGCAACATCAATTTGTTGCTAGGGCCTCTAAATCACAAACCGAAGCTCCAAGACATGCAAGATCAACGGGGAGGAGAAAGACGAATGAAATGACCAGCTACCAATGTGCTAGCTCGGAGGTATAGAAATGCAAATTACTTGCGGTTGGCACGACGAGCCTTCTTGTCGCTCTCGGCGAGCAATTGGCTAGCATTTACCAGCTGGATGACGTTGACATATTGCTTGAACAGCATGACCGGGGCCGAGATAATGGTGATGATCCACGGGATCTGGCTGTCAATCTTGTTGGCGCGCGCCATCTCGAGAGCACCGGCACTCCAGGGGCTGGCAAAGAGGCTGCTAGGAGCAGGATTGGCGGGGTTGCCAGGCTGTGCGGAGGAGGGCATCGCATTGGGGACGGGCTGAAGAAGCGAGGGCGACAGGATCGGTGAGGAGAAAGACAGCAGGTAGATGCCGATGAAGAACGCCTCGTTGAGAGCGCAGCAGGTGAATAACACGGCCTGGGATGTCGGTCAGTAGTAATCAGACAGAACAAATTGGGTAAATATACCTTGCTATTGTAGTACTTGTAGAGGGCCCAGTTGGCTTTGGGATCGATCTTCTTATGGCTCTGGTTGGACCCACCGACGCTCAGTGTGGCGTACATGTGCATATAGTGACTCGCCAAGTCCAGGCAAATAAGACCCTGGAACACGATAGCCCAACGAGGCCAGGCGGAGCTCAAGAACACGAGCAGACACGAGGTAGTGCAGCGGTCAGTCACCATGTCCAGGACGGCGCCGAAAGTGGTCGACTGGTTGTAATGCCGGGCGGCATAACCATCCAATGCATCCAACAGACAGGACACACTATACAGGATAGAGCAGGTGCGAGGGTGAAGAGGCATGTAATAGAGGGACGCGATAGCAAGGACCACGCGGAAGTACCCTAGATTCCAGTAAACACGAGATTCAGTCGAGTATGGAGATAAGACTGCGACTCACCGATGAGATTCGGGGCGAACAAAAAGATGTTCTCGTCCGGCTCTTCACGCAGAGCCAATCTTGACCTCTTCTTTGACGGTGTGCGCTTCTTCGAGGGTGTAGAGACGCTCCCATTTCCCCCCAGCGACTCTTCGCTCTCTGTGCCCTGGTCAGCGAGGACCGCCTTTTGTCGTCGTGTCCGGGCACTCATTGCGAATCTGAAGGCGCTATATTCTGGGTTTCGAAGATAGACAGATAGTGAGTCTGTCAGGAGCTTGTGGGTGTTGGCGGGGTGGAGCGTTCGACAAGGTTGTCGTGGCCGAAACGCGTCTGCGGCAAGTTGATTGATTAGCAACGGCAGATACTTTGATCGCAAGACGGATCATACATCTCAGTCCAACAGTGTTCCCAGATAAGAATGATAAGGAGAGAAAGCGCTCAGACGCGAGCGGAGCTGATCGGAGAAGAGGGATAAGGAGGATAGGGGCAGGAGGCAAATTTCGTGTATCCGATAAGGGATGATAAGCTCACGCGTCGATCTACTTACTTGGCCTCACTGTATGTATCCGGTGAATCTCAAGGAACGTAAAGGGGAATGTACCTAGGATGCAAATGAGATCCGTTGTGTGCAAGAGCGAGAAGCTAGCAGCTAGGGATGTGGAATGATAAATGATTTGAACGGGTCGCCCGGAACCTTGGAAGCTTTCCCCACACCCAACTTGAGCCTTCTCGGGTTGATTAGATAGAACCATAGAAAAGATATTATGGAATCTTGAATAATTTAACCTTTCACGGGGGTTAATCTCGGCCTATTCCATTCCTCCGAAGTGACCTCCCGAGGGCTGCCTGCGTATAGTGACTGCGTGTGGAGGATTTCTAGTCAGCTCATTGGGCGTCGGCCAACAATCTATCCGCTCCTTGTCTTGGTAGAGTTTCGAAGTCTGAACTTGAGTTGTCGGGAATAAGTTGCCTGACGACCACTTGTAGATGTGTCAACTTTCTACCTGTTACATTTAATATGAAGTGGACACCACATAATCATCAAGTTTATATGAGTTTCTTGAAGTCCTGCGTCCGAGCAGGTAGATACAATTGATCATATGCTAAGAACTCTCAGAGAAGAAAAAAAAGAAGAGTAAAATAAAGAAAAGCCCGCTTTCAAGATAAACAACATGGAAACTATGTGCAATTGATCTCTAGGATCAAATATATGTATAGACAACAGCAAAATTTCTACAACATTGGCGAGGTATCACGTCCGTGACCGGCGCGGATCGGTGGCATCCTGTCGCCGCCACTCGCGGGACTCCTTAGTTCCCAAACTACCAATTCCTCCCTCTTGCCGGCGCTCCCATCCACCGAGGCGAATTACCAGGCAGGTGGCATTATCACCTTCCTTGGTAACCTCGGTAGCGAAGCTGACCACATCGCGAGCGCCTTGTTCAGGCGTTCGGGCTTCCTTGACGATATCGACAATTTCCTGGTCGAGAAGTGTACCGCTGATACCATCAGATACCATGACAAGGAATGAATATTCGGCGGGCCCCATTTCGATGCGGCAGAGCTCTGGTTCAGCGGATACACCAATCCGTTTAGATTGGACGTCTCCGAAGGCGCGTGTATTCGCAAGTCCACTCATGCGCTCCTCACCAAACGAGTCGGTGACAAAGGTCGCGGCGTATCGGCGAAGTCGACCGGCCTCGATTGGAGAGGAGGGGTGGTGGTTGGACGTAACGGGGACAGCTTCGCCGCTCTCGGTAGAGCATAGTAATACCCTAGTGTCACCGACGTGTGCGATAAGCAGGCTCGAGGGACCAGCTGGATGCCAGAAGGGAGTCGGACTGGGTGTTGAGATCATGGCAACGCTGCCAGTACTTCCGCCTTTGAATCGAGAACGACCGCCAATCTTCGGAGCTCGGGTCAAACTGGGGCTGTGAAGAATCTCGTCATCGTTAAGCGGTCTCTCGGCCTGAACTAGGTCATCATCTCGCTTGGCAGCTTGTGCCTTGACGAAGTCAAGGTCGGCTCGCAGGAACGCATATTCCAAGATCTCCTCGACGGAGACATAGCCAGGAGAAGGAACCTCCCCGGACTCGGAACCATAGTAAGCGAAGTGAGGTGGCTGGAACCTCCTGAAATAGCCTCCGACAATCCGTCTCCAGTTCTGTACAAGGTTCTTCTCCAAATCTCCGATCCGGTGTCGGTTGCCCTCTTGCATGACAGGTAGCGGGCCGTTGGCAGCGGCTAGCTCACCTCCGCTGATCTGTTGTTGGTTTGTACGAAGGCTGGACTCGACTTCAAATATCGCGGCGGCATCCTGAATATATTCATGAAGAGATTCCTTGAGAAATGTGCTACATTCGGATCCGCCATGTCCGTCAAAGATGCCGAAGTAGAAGACTTGCGGGTCCCCGCTAGCAGTGTCCGCAGCCCTTGACTCGCGCGGTGCAGAATCTCGCCGGATTGTAAGAGACGCAGGAGGCCGTTTCGCGAATGCCGGGATATCAATCACGCCAGCCTGGTATGTGTCTTCATTATCAGGCCGAGTTCCACGGGCCGTGACCGCTCCGAAGTGGTGCTTAGCGTTGCGCAGCGGGATCCGGACAACGGTCGTCTCTCGGTCCACTAATGCTTGGAATGAGGCAGGCGATTGCGGAGTGTCACCAGTGTGAGGTACTGAGGCGGAGCGCGGGAGTTTGTGGAAAGGCGATGTCGGTCCCCGAGGATCCGGGTGCAGAGACGACGACGGCAGATGGGTGACGAAATAGTCACGGAATTGCGGACGCTTCTTCAAGCTTGGTTTTACATCCTGATGATCAGCCTCGGAGCTGAACTTTCGTAACCTTCGAGGTCGGATAAAATCTGTTCAAGGGGAAATATGGTTAGCCCGCGCATTCTCAGCACATGTAGGTTCGGAGGTATAGAGTTCACATACTATAACCGGTCGAGGTCCAGACCCCCGTTACTCGCCTCGCTGAAGTGACGATCATGAATGGCCCATTGACATAAAGACAAGGAAGATGGTGTAGGGAGAATGCAGAGACGAAGGCGCGGGGGACACCTTGCCCTGGCCCGAGCGTCGGCAGATAAGAGGTGCTACCGGCAGATCTATCCGGAGTTCACTTTTGCTTGTAGACCCATAATTCAGATGGTTTTGATCTCTTCCTTGTTTCTTGGCTTCACATTTTACACGTACAAGCAGTGCTACAATTGCTACAACGTTCACTGCACTCAATGTTTGGTCCATGTGTCTACGTAGTGCGAATATCGCCTGAACTATACCAGCTCGATTATGGCTGAACGATCTAAAAGTAAATCATGGATAAGATTACAGCAGGGCTGCTTGGGATTGAATGCGATACAGGCTCCTAAAGACAAGATCATTTCGAGTAATACGACTCAGTGCAGTGGCAGACGGATGACGCGAGGTTGGCACCTACCAATGGCAGAATCATCAAGAGCCGAGAAAACAAGACGGGGAATCTGCTTCAAATCAAACATGCCATGTTAGAGAGGTCACGAGAACCTCGAAGTTGAATCAAGTTATTATATGGCCCGAGTACGCGAAAACAGACTGCTGTAGACGGCGTCCACAACGGGTTGGGCGGTGATCTGTCTGCCGCCGAAGAATCGACCATTCAGTCCCTTGATGGCATTCTCGCCGCCTTGGACACGGTCGAACTTCAGATAGATGTCGCCTTGGGAGTTCGGATCTAGTGAGATGTGAACAACATGGCCGTACTTTTCTTCGCACTCTTGGCGAACGTCATCCTCCAACTCTTTGATCCAAGCCTCTCCTTCCTCTCTGTGGCAATTTATTAGCATTTGGTCATGGTATGAAGAAATACAGGAACCAACTTACTCGCTAGCATCAAACATATTGCGCAGCATCACGCAGCGGCTTGCCTGGTTTACGGTGACAGGCAGCGGCTTCATGTCAGTTTTGGGTCGGAGCATCTTCTGTCGCTCGTGAATGGGAGGCTCGGGTTCATCTGTACGTGCGAGTTTCCTCATCAACGCGTCTCTACTGTAATTGTTGAAGTTCACCCCTGAAACATCTGTGTCGTCGAGAGCACTGGCACCGGTAGATTTTTCGGGTTCTCTGCCGCCGCCGGCCCGGTCAAAGTTGTTCGAGCCGCCGGCTTGGACGCCACGACCTCCGTGACCTGAGAATGAAGAGCCCTGGAAACTGGATTGGTTTGCAGAAGGGCCCTGCGGACGAGTCGCACTCGCATTGGGGGTAAACTTATCGTTGCCAAGACCCACTCGGATGGCTCGACCAGCAAGATCGAATCCGTTCATTTTCTCTAGAGCATCTCGAGCCTGTGTTGGGTCACGGAACCTAGATGGACGGTTAGCGATGCGAATTGAAACTGTTTCATGGACTGACTCACTGCACAAATGCGTATCCCTTGCTCCGACCAGTCTCATCCTTTTGCAGCTGAACAAATTCGAGCTCGCCGAATGGTTCGAAGACATTCTGGAGGTCGGTTTCAGTGATGCTGAAATGAACATTACCCACATAGAGTCTGTGAAATGGTGCGGAGTGTCCAGAGCTCGAGCTGGCCTCCGGGTTACGTGCTTGACGGTTCTTTTCGGCTTCGGTAAGCTGGACGATGACGGGAATGCCTACGAGCGTCTGGCCGGTAAGCTGGATCGCAGCGGGGACGGATTCTTCGCTTCGGAATTCCACGTAACCAACACTATGCAGAAGTTAGATGGTGAATGAACGATAGACATCGAATAGAAACTCACCCTTTGGATCGTCCACTGACACGGTCCTTAACGATTTGAGCCTCCTTGACGGGGCCGACCTTCTCGAAAAAGGCCATCAGCTCTTTTGTTCTCAGACGTGCAGCAAGCTGCTGCACAAAAACAGTTCGTTTGTCCCGCTCATCTTCATTGAGTTCTGGGGCTTGCCAGGACTCCGGCGACGAGGGCTACGACGGCGGTCTCGATCACGGCGAGGGCGTCGGTCATCGTCACGCCCGCCACGACGGCTAGGACGGTAGTGTCGGTCATCATTGGGCGAGCGCGAACGAGTACGAGCGCGACCTCCACCACGGTAGAAGTCGCCGCTGGAGCGGAGGTCATCACCGTTTGCATCACGACGGCGACGTCGGTCACTCTCACGGCTACGGCTCCTCTTCCGGCTTCTCTGACTTCCGTTAGCACTGCCATGTTCGCTTTTCATGTCCTCATCGCCATCGGCATCTCGGTCACGGCGACGGTCTCGGCTGCGATCTCGGCGGCGGTTTCTATCACGGGAAATGGAACGGTCCCGGCGTCCATCCTGGTCTGCGCGCTCATCAGGTTTGGTCGTCGCTTCGGTAGGAGCGGCCGTTGACTCGAGCAACGCTTCTACGTCGAGTCCGGACATTGTGGGTTTGTAGCTTGTCGCTGGTTGTGATTGGAACAATGGTTGGGGATAGGAAATCAAGTCACTAGGGGGGGCGGTCAAATAAGGTCCCGAAAGGTATGATAGGGGAGGAAATCCAAACCCTTCTGCTCAGTCAATATGTTCGACGTTATTAGAAAGCGCTCAGCGCAATCTAATTTAAAAGCGGAATGATGGTTGATTAAAAAGAATGAACCCAAATTGCTCTTCAGTGAAGTTGTATGTTATCCTAGATGGTGGCGCCTAAGGTTGCCGGTCAAGTGCGGCAGAAAGGGCGGCAGGACAATTGGCAGAAAAATCAAAGCGGTGACTGAGGATTAGCGCCACCAGTGTCACGTGAAACATGAAGTTTTACTTCTGCCTGAGGCGACAAGTGACTATAGAGGTTGAAATCTGGAAAACCTTGTGGCGGGAGTAAAACATTGTATTCTTTGATTAGGATTAATGAGTCTCAGGTATACTAATAAGTGATGCTGGTAAAAGGAATGTAAAGTGAATTGACTTGTCATGGCCCTAAGCCCGAAGAGTCACCTATGCATGAAATAGAACCATCCGGAACTCCTCATTTGCCCATGTGTGAGAGGTCATGTACAAACATCTGGCGGTCGTCTCGCCAGTGACAAACTCCGTGAATTCGTAATTAAAAGGGTACAGTCGTCGATGCGGACGTATGCGAACAGGCTTTACTGGGCCTTGGCGCCCTTCGAAGAGGGAGCCTCCAGCTCAGTGCCGAAGACACGATCCCAGAATCGGCTGGTCACACCGAATCCATTCTCAAAGTCAGCGTAATGGTGCTGAAGGTGATACTTCTTGAGCGCCTTGTAGTACATGGGAAGGCTAGACAATGTTAGTCGAAATCATCCGATCGATAGGATTGGGATACTTACTTGCGGTGGTGAAGGAAATAGTGGGTCAGGTCATAGCAGACATACCCGAAGACACCGCCGCAGAAGACCTGCACAGCCGCATACCAGTTGTAGAAGAAGACAGCATGGGCCAGCTTCCAGAAAGGGGCGGCCAACACGACAAACAGGGTCGGCGGCATGACAAGTCGGTATTTATCCATAGGGAGATAGTGGTGGATACCGTGAAGAAGGAAGTGCAGGGTCAGACCAACTCGGTTATCAGGGAGCCAGTGGTCCACGTGGAAGAGGAAGCGATGCATGAGATATTCGATTAGGGACCAGAGGCAAACGCCACTAACCCAATACGCGGCAGCAGCCAAGGGGTTGTTCAGACCCTCCGCTCCGACCATGGTACCATACTGCGACCAGAGGCAGCCACATGATAGGAACGACATACCACGCAGTCTTGCTAAGAGGCTCGAGGAAGTTGCCGAAGAGAGGGGCCGACTGGCCTCCCTTGTAGTGACGTGGGCGGTGGATTTGCTCCAAATAGAATTCCTTTGAGAAGGTGCTGTACCAGAGTTGGGGGAACAGAGGCTTGCTGAGATCCAAGAACTTGTGAGTCTTGAAGTCCTGCGAGTAGTCGGTCTCGACAGAGAGATCCTCCTCCCGTGACATTCCGGTGGTTTCGTAAACGATTCCTTCGCCTTTGCCAACGTTGAAACCAGTGTCCTGGAACTTGCCGGATGCATCTGATGCGAGGAAGCCGACGTGGTAGTCCAAAAGAATTTCGTAGGCAGCCTCGGAGTGCTCGTGGGAGGTTTCGTCCTTCATGATCTCCGCCACGTCCTTGCCGGCATAGTCCAGAATCAGATCACCACCACCAGGATGGTCCTCCACGAAGTCGGTCACATCGTAGACATTGCGACCGATGGTAATAAAGCAGGATTTAGCATTGTTATGCAACTCGACCTCGGTGGGCGTGAATGTTGGTAGAACACGTCCGGGCATTTCGTCGGATCGTTCTCGAGGGGAGAACAAATAGAAGATGGGACACACTGGACACGCAAAAACTGTAAGATTGGCGGCTGTCGATAAGAGATGGAGGGAATGGTCGAAGTTGAAGTTCGCGGATGCGTCGGTTTTGATGGGGCAAAATTAGATTATTCAGGGGCGTGGCGTGACAATCCCTTTTTCCCGCCCCGGTCACTGGGCAGTTTTCTGTTTGGTTGAAAAGACACAACCCCGGTTGGCTGATTTTGAATTTAGTTGCTTGGTACCTGGTTGCAGAACAGAGCTTGATCAGGCCATTCGAGCAGTTGAGCAGAAAAATCTCACGTCCGATGGGTGGGCCAGGCATGTGACTCTTATCTAATCAAAGGCCAGGGTCTGGTCTTGGTCCCTCGGCCCATGAAAGGTCGGGTTGTGTCGTGGGCTCGGAGAACAAGTCAAAATGGTCTGATCGATGAAGAGCCCGGTCCTGAGAAGACAATGCACAGTATTCAGACCTACGATGTCCCAAGATTACCTGTAAGCTATGCTCAATCGAGTCTAATTCCCCATGCCGACAGTTTGGATACTGTGTAGCAAAGCCTTGAATGATGTAGGTGACAGGAAGAACAACTCTACTTCAAACGCTGTATAGCAATCCCTCAGGATGTCTATTCGAGACCTTGCAAGGTTCGAAGGTTATGAATTGTGAGGACATATCACTCCCTCGGGATATGGAGAACCTGGCAAGTTGCCCGGGATATTTAAGTCGCAACGAGGTCCAGTAACTAGACCAAATTTGAGGTCAGGGACACTACTAGTAGATGGTCAATGCATCTTGGTTCACTTTGTGGACGCACATCCCATCCTCGAGTGCACTCGCGTGCAAGCTTTGACTGACGAACAGCTTAGGCTGAATCCACGCAAGTGGCGGTGGGCAATGACTCGTCTCTCCGAAAGTGGACATAACCATGCCCCTGATTGATTTTCGGACATCTTGCGTACATAGTCTAACCGAGTGGAGTTTCTGATGTACATCACTTCCATAATGATAAAGCTAGGTCGAAGCCTCACCGGTCACGCAGTCACCGGTTGGGCAAAGCTCTAGGTTGATGTTGAGGAAAGCTAGTTCGCAAACTAGTGACTTAGTGCGAGCCTACAAGCTACCGCTCCTTACTATCAACAATGGACCTTCCCATTTCGCACTGTGTGGGACCATCCGCATCAACCAAATCGGCAATGGGACCGTCTCCGCCGCCGAGCCAGCTTGCAGTGCCGCGATAGCGCGGATATGATTCGATCTCGGGGGCCTCCCCAAGCCTAGCCCACTGCCAGCTCTCCACTTGGCTAAAGGTACGTTCATGATACGCGCGCCCGCGTTTCTGTTGACCCTCAAATTCGTTAGGGCGACAACAAGGCGACCTTTGGGCAATTCCGAATTGACAGGGATCAGACATGGCGCTAGCTCTCTGGGGTGGAGATTTGCACGCCCCGCTGGCTTTCTGTCTTAAGAGCTCTCTTCGCCAGTCTTTGGCTCATTTCTCTTCTCTTCAATTCAATCATGTCGGTCACGGATATCTCCCCGGAGAATGAGATTCTGAATTACATCCAGCAATTGGCCGAAACGAAGAAGGGCCTTCCCTCGGGTCAACCCGTCTGTGTGTTGGCCTCGCACATCATCACAGACACCGAGGCCCTCGTGCAGTTCGCCGAAGAGGTCGGGCCGCATGTCGCCATTTTGAAGGTCCAGGCTGACAATATTGACGACTGGTCAACCCACACTATCGACCAATTGACCTACCTATCCAAGAAGCATGGTTTCATCTTGTGGGAAGGGAGCCGAGTCTTGAACTCTCTCATCAATTTTATGGGCCGCGACAGTACCAATTGGGATCAACGGAAGATCCAGGCGGATATGATTAAACGCAATTATACAAATGGACCCGTGAGGGTGGGCCGGTGGGCGGGAATAGCAACTGCGTGGGCCCCTGGGGCCCCCGTGGACAAGCAAGAGGAAGACGTCCTCATTCCTACCCTTCGAAAGGCCGCACGTGAGGCTGTCGCAAGCACATACAAGACGATCCAGACGGAAATTTCGGCTGCAGACAGCGAGGATGGTCCGGAGGAAGACGTATTGGAGCAAACACCAACAACGAATGGCTGGCCCGAGTTCAGTTCAAACAACGGGATTTCAATGCGCAAACTATCGACCATATCTGTCACTGAAACCATCGCTCTACAACCCCACATCCAGCCGGAGGATGGCGTTCCCCCCGCCATTACTTGCCAGAGGCTTGGTACTCAGCTTGCCAAGTCCCGGTGGCACCGCATTCACACCCGAGTTCCGCCAAAGCACAATAGCTGCCGCATGCTCGAACCGTGACTTTGTGGTCGGATTTCTCACCAGCGAGCCGTGTTTCACTGAGTACCATGGAAACAACGTGATGGAGCTGGCTTTTCTGGACGAACATCAAGGTGCAAAAGGACAAAACCTGCTTGCGTCATCTCATTTACTGGAAAAGCGCAACTCATTGAGTCTTTTCTCTGTCATCTCGCCCGAATTGGGTGTGAACTTCGACTCCGACCCAGTGCATATGCTCAATGGTGATACGGATGCGCCAGCGGCACGGTCTGAAATTGTCATGAAACTAAACTATATTGTTCGCCAGGCATTGAGGCTTCGTGATGCCAACCGCAAGGACAAAGAAGCCAACAAAGAGGCAATGAGTATTCGTCCCGGGCCGAACATCGTGCATTGCCCGATTGTCATCCTGCCATAATCCGAATCTCGGTGGCCCCTTGGATCTACGACTGTTGATGACCGAACAAACATGAACTTTACGTCCTTTGAAAGCTGTAACACATATCCCATTTTGTTTCCAATGTATAAGCACATGATTTCTTGAGGCTGAGATGGGGAGTTTGTTGGAGCAAAGATGCCTGTCCTGGACACTTAGCATGCATATCAAGTCTCTTGGTACAAAAGATTCTGTCAGCCTTACAGAATACAATACAGGGCTCATTCCTTCCTTATTTTATTATCACAGTTTCCTCTACAGATGAGAACAACACTGCTTCACTAGTCAACCAGATCTGTATTTGTTGCCTTGTGGATAAGGCGACGATCTCGCCACCTCAGATGGCGGGGCACGTGTCACTGTTAGCCACAGCATCGACCGACTGCTCCGGTCTTCGCAGATTGAAGCATCTCCTCAAGAGCCATATTAATTGCTGGTAACCACAATGAACTGATATGCTTCTCGCGTACTGAATCTCGTTCATCATTTTCTTGTGCAGCGCTTTTCCAGTGACTTCATACTGCAGCGGGAAGACTTGGCACACAGTTCTCAAGGGCCAAGGGAACAACGCGTTCAGATTAGAAAGCATTTTTTTTGGCTTCAATGATTCAATACGTTGTATCTCTCTATATCGACGTGATTTCAAGAAGACCTCGCTCATGGAACTAGGGGCAGGACTGCAGTCATGAACTCTGACTACCCTCCTTTAACCCGTCAAGGAGCGCAACTCATACCTCCTGTTGCCGAGGGCCCTCAAGTTCCCCCAAAAGAAAATGGAGCGAACGAGAAGAGAAAGAAGCTGCCCCATCTCAACAAACCATCCAAACGAGGCCCGCCCCACAGCTCAAGCAACCTGTCAATCATTTGTCCCAATGGAGATGTGATTATCGAGTACGTCGAGTCCTCGTCGACCGGCAATCGATACTGGCAAGTATCCAGTCAAGACCTCATGCACAATAGTCCATATTTCAAGGCCCTCTTGGACCCAAACAAGTTCGCTGAAGGCAGACTCCTCGCGGAATACCAACGAAGAAAAGCGCCAAATGGGGCTGATCTGACCTCCAGTGTCAACACGGATGGCAGCTTTAACGCTCTGGATCCTGATTTACCCATAGTCAAGCTCTCTGAAACTCATCTGACGAGACTATGCGGGGCAGAAGCCATCGAATTATTTCTGAGAATCCTCAGCGCAGAGGGCTTGGGCAAGGACAAACAGGTGATTTTCGACAGTGAGCTGAAAGTGATGCCTCCATCAATTATTGCAAAGACAATCGAGATCGCCGAGTCTTTCAGCTCACCAAATATTGTCAAGCAAACTCTCAAAAGAGCTTGGTATATGTTTGGCAGGACTAAGATCTCTTGGAACAAATTTGGCGCCCCCGTGTTGAAGCATACGGAGGAGCGTGTGCGGCAAAATATTGTCATTGCTGAATTCATTGGAGACCATTCGATCGCAAAGGTCATGATGCACACACTGTTGGTCATGGGATCGAAATATTGGGATGGCCGTCCAGAACCACTTGAAGCTGATCATCTTCGATGGCAATATCTCCCCGACGGGGTAGAAGGTAAATGAACCACCTCATAAGCTTATCCCACTCGAATTATTTCACGATTAAGGTTACTGATTTCGATTCTCAGAGGAGCTGTACTACCGGCGACAATGTGTTATGAACACCATCACCGATTTGCAAGCCCATTTCCTTCGCGTCTACGGGGGTCTTGAAGAGATTCCCAAGACCCACGACTTCGTGGTTGCATCAACTCGACCCACCCTGGGCACGACATTCTCTACCTCAATTTCCCATCGTGAATATTTAAAATACCAGTGTCGGGCTGGGTTCGGCAATGGAAGCCAGTGCGATCTGTTCCACTTGGGCCAAATGACTCGATTCTTCGCGCTCAAATCCAAGAGTATTTTTCTGGGGTCTACCTTGATTGATCCCGATTTCAGTCTAGATGAAGACGAAGATGACGAGCAAAATGGGACAGCACAGTCAATAGCCTATACAACTCCACCCTCAGATATAATCTCCCTCTTTGCATCCTTGAAGCAATATCCAGATTACCAAATCGACACAAGCCACCATGGCTGCGGAGTACGACGTCGAATTCTTCCTGTGCTGAACTGTATTGAAAAGTACATTCTGGATCCACGAGGTCTTCTCGGTATTGATTACAGGGAGTGGAAAGATTCCTCCAAACGTTCACAAATTCAATGGGGCAGCAAGACTGGCCGCGAGGGACCTATTGTGGACATCCGCTTTGAAAAGATTGTCGGCATTCACATGCCGTCGCCCAATGCTTCTTTTGTTTCAGCTACTACCTCGGAAGACGAGGCGAGGTTTTTATTCACTGCCAAGAAGCGGAACTGGGAATCCTACGAGGGTCCTTCGCGCCCAGGGGCCTAATTGTTCATCATATCTCTTGTCTTCTTCGACATCTACTACCATCCTATCACTATGCTTGTTCACTATCATGACAAGATCCTAGTGTTGCCCCCGGAAAGACTACACGCCATAATGATCAAAGCCAAGAGAACCAGAGACAAGACCGATCTGGCCGCTCTCTTCGAACCTTGGTCTCACATTGGAAGGCTTGTTCATGCCACGTTGCTATGGCTCTGATTTCTTTTGGTTGCAAATATCAACCCCCGTTTGAAGCCCAAGGCTTCGAATCTTGTATACATACATGCACAATGTGAAGACCCGTTTAGAACTATAGCCTCACCTCAACTTGAAAAATGATGATACGTTGAAATTAGACAAGAAAATCAGAGCTTCAATAAGCCATTGGGTATTTTTCTTTCGTTGTAACAAAACAAAATCGGTTGTGTTATACAGAGATGCATTTCTTTTTTCTTCTTCATTTCGATCCAGTGCATACATAATATTTTGGAATCTGCACAAATCCCACGACAACCTGTGGTCTATTCGCATACTTTTGCTGAAAACTTTTCTCTTACCTCGACATTCTATTATATCCGTTGCACACATTTAACACACAGCGTCGCCGTAGAAATAGCCCATGTCAAGATCGATGTTGGGTCCGGGTGGGAAGAAAGACCCCGTAATCTGGCCCGTGGCTGGGTCGTAGGGGGAAATAGTCCTCGTAGGATGACTTTTCTTGTTTTATGAAGGGGTCCAGCATGTCTGGAGGGTCAAAGCCACAAGGCACTGTCATACCGAGTGGGGAAGTCCCTGACTGCTCCATCGGCGAGCATGCAATTGAGTCTAGCTCTCCGCCAGTGGTATCTAATTCGGCCGCATTCATGGGCAAGATATCCGAGGCTCCGAAAGCGAAGTCATCTACGCCTTGGTCATTAGACAATGCGCTAAGCTCGGCAATGTCGGGTCCAGCAATGTCGGGCTCGTCCATTTCAAGCTCGTCTAGTAGAGAGCCCCCGGAGGATTCTTGCTCGGCGAGTTCGCTTATGTTGTTGTTGTTATTATTGTTGTTGTTGTTGTCATTTTCAAGATTTGACGGGAGACGCTGAAGGAATCCATCGCAGAGCTTCCAGGCTTTCTCAGAAGCATCATTCATCTTAGATAGCGTCGAGAGCCAGTCAACAGCCTTCTTGGCGGCCTTTGAGACCATTGTTGCTTTCTCCGGGACATGTTGTGCACGAAATGAAAGTTCGAGAAGAAGGACAGTGGAAGATTGCATTAGGTAGTGGAGGGTACACCACCAGGGTGTGATTCGATGGAGAAGAGCCGCGTCTGGAGCATCCGGGAATAGGGTCAGCATATGACAGGCTGACTCGACACACTCTGCTGCAGTCTTGCTGCAAAACTCATGTGCCCTGTCACCCTCTTGTGGTGAAGCCTCCAGTCGGCGCAAGCATGGTCTAGTGATACCGATCTTAGTACTATAAAATAGGAAAGCAAGTCCCATGCGTTGACCCAGCGGACAATGAGTCTGCGTCGAGGTAAAATCGTAAGCGGACGGTAGGTTCATGAACCAAGTGTCAATATCCAACATCAAGCTTTGAATCGTAAATTCTGTACTTGCCCAGGGAGACTGCAGTGCCTCAGGGCTGTATAGCTTGATTGTCATGCGCTTGGCGATAGTCGTCAAGGATGTCAGCTGCAAGAAATACAGTGACATACATGGCGGAAGACTCTTCAGGTACTCGGCCTTGGTCATTCTTGTCTCGCACTCTGCAGGGCTGTCACAGTTGTCATCGTCCGTGTTAGAGTCCAAATTGGCTGCACTGTTGTGGAATGACGCTCGGTCGAGGCTATCAGATGCGGCTCGCCCAGCAGCACTGATCATATGTGCCACCTCTTCCTTTTGAAAGTCGCTTTCGTCGAATGGAACAGGCAACGGCGTGGTGCAAGAGCTGTCTATAATGCAGGATGGGCGTCCAGTGATGACTGTGAGGAGATGTTCAACCGTGTATAATGACCACCAGACACGGTATCGTATTTCCTTGGAACTATCCGAAGTACAGGATCCCAAATTGCGCAGGTGTAGACCAAGAGCCAATGCTCCACGGACAGCACTTCCGCAAAGCTTCCATGCTCTGCATCATCTGTCAGAGAAGGTTTCAACAAGTCATGAAGTGACCAACTTACCGGTTTATATGACCAGATGCAATCATATAGAAACAGGCGAGACCTTCAACTTGCAATTGCTGCAAGTCAGGATGCTGCAAGAGCTGATCCTCCATGCTGAGCATCCTCGCTCGTGCAAAATACGACTGATGATCATCTTCTTCATCCTCCCAGTCCGTCTCCGTCAACTGACCATGTTTAGCTGCAATTGCAAAGATCAAGTTGAGAATGGCCAGCCACTTATTTCCGGGTTTCAGAGATGGCTGGCTAAAGAAGACCTGGAACTGGGAGACGAATGTGAGAATTCCAATAATTGGGAACGACGGGTGCACGGAGGTCAAGTATGTATTGAGCAATTTAGTTGCTGTTTCCCGTGACGGTACTCCATAGGTGTCAACTTGCTCTGTGATTGATACATCTGAGTCATCGAGATAGTAATTGGTAGATGCTACCCTTGGCTCACTTGGACCGTCGGCTCGGGGTGTCAAAGTGGGCGATGGCAGACCGTTGTCATCATCCGTGGTGGAATTAGTGGATGGCCATCCATCACACTCGTTGTTGACTTCTTTGCTAAGCCTCTGAAGCCATGCAATCTCAGAGCTTCTTCCAATAAAACCGGTGGCTCTAGTGGTCTCATCTTTGTTGAAATCCTCTTCCGTGTGGTCGATGAACTCGAGAGGATCACCGGATGTAGGCTGATCCGAAGGTTCTTCCGATCCAGAGCCACGAACCGTCTTGTGTTCTCCTGTTGAAGCGGAGCCGGAGTCGGGGTTGAGAGTTAACTCAGAGGCCGAGTCCTGGCCGACGTCAGAACGCGTTCTCCTATGTGCATTCAGAAGGCCTGGTTTTCTTACCACTGCTAGGGCGATGTTCACGAGTTGTTCATCAGACACACCAAATCGACTGCTCAACTTCTTGATGACATCTTCATACGCCTGCACCTTTGATGATAGACTCGCTAGCTGGCTGTTTGGAGAGTGAGATTCGTTAACTTCCATGATCTCGAGACTATGGATACGAATCGATGTATCTCACCGTTTCGACTTCTCTCTTTTTCCGTCTGTGTAGCAGCAAATGATGCCAGCCTCTCGACAGTTGCGACAGCCAGACTTATCACCAGTGCACTTAGTCTTTCTCTGTCGACAGGACTCGCATGCTCGACGAACATGTCGACGGTGGAATCTACCAGGTGAGGTAAATGCCGATTCTGCACCTTCTGCCAGACGCGGAATGGCCATTTTCTTTGTGCCGTGCTCGCACTCAGATTTTTGTAGAGAGGGAAGTGGATTGTCCTGCGCATTTCAGATACATATTAGACCCAGATAGTTCCGGCTCCAAAATATCTTAGAGGAACAAGACATACCACGCTTGATAGTTGACTGCAGGTTTCCGCGTCAGCACAAGATAGTTTGAATAGAGTGTCTTGCTCGGCCCATGATAGAAAATGAATATTGCTCATGGTGGTCTTGCAAAGACGTCTCCTTGAACTTTTCTTGACGAGGGCAAAGGGCAATCAGCAAGCAAGTCAGCTCAGCTATATTTTCTCAATCATAGAAATGACCTTGATCGTTTCTAGGCAAGATCTGAAGCTCGAGCATCGGGTCGATAAACCATAAGACGGCGAGCATTAAGGGAATGTGAAGCCCATGGGGGGCTTAGGCCTATTAAAGAAGGAGCCATCAATTGCGTGCTGCGCTATCCTATTCAGGCTTGTCCGGTTCTGATACGCGCAAAGTCTATGTGGTTGGTATTCAACCATGACGACGTTAAACCAAGAACGACATCTCTGCACAACTGGCCACCGAGTAGTTGAGTAGGGTGAATATCATATGGATTTGCCTCATTCAACCACAGTGCAATGATGAGGCGGTTTTGAGGGTTTTTTGAGGAGCGGCTTTGCTCCTTCGTTGGTCAATTGATCGTACTTTTTGCCTTCATCCAAAGCAACGGATAAGTTGCATCAGAATTCCGACCGCCCTGTTACAGAGCATTGGTCAAACCACTTGATCTGCTCCCAGGGCATCTCCACTCACTGTGTTTGTTGTCGGTTGTTGGAACCGACAGGCTCTCGCTTCCTCTGTCCCAGGGAAGGGATCGGTACTTTGGAGGGACCTGTTTATACAGGGGCCTGTTTATACAGGGGCCTGTTTATACAGGGGCTGCCTTTGCAACCTGAGTCGGCACAGGAAAGAAAGAATATCGATCTTGTTGCGGTCATCGTAGCCTCTGAAAGCAGTACAGCGCTGTATCCTCAATGTCTTTTGGAGATCGTCTGCACCAAGTCTGTTGCATATATTGGCTCGACCTTTCCACGGCTCACTTCCCATGCCCAAGTCCGAGGGCCTAGACTCGAGGAACAGAGTCAATCTGACGTTGAAAAGTGGTGGCGCCAATTTCATCTAGTGTCCCCTGGTTGTGAAATCGAATTCACAAAATCTGATAGGATAGGGGGTAAACAAGCCCATGGACCGCGAACAAGGCACTAGGAGGTTGATGACAGGCAAGTCAGTGCCCAGAGGAAAATGATTCAGGTCAATCTGGTGGGACTTGACTCGGCCGGCATCTAAGATATCAAAGATCATAATCCTGACGTAGACTATTACATGTGAATGATCGAGAATGATCGAGGTAAACATCACCACGCATCTAACCACGAGGGCACACGACAATTGGGAAAGTGGGCGGGGGAGGGGCTACAGCCATCCTTCCAAGAATGGAGAGAGTCTATAGTAAGGTGTGTCAATTTTTTTTGGGTAAACCTAAGACACGGTCCCGGTAGGAGAACGTCTTGTTGAGAACAGTCAAAATTCAAGGGCTTAGAACACGATCTTCGAAGCAAAATGCCAGCATAGGCCACAATCCGAACGTCATTAGTATCCGACTCTATACATCCAACCCCCAACTACTCGATGAGGTAGTTCTCGGCAACGCTGCGAACGTCCTTGGAGAAAGAGGTGCCTTCACCGTCCATCTCCAGTAGCGAGGCACTCAGAACATCGACATCAACGAAAGGTTGCGTCTTGGTGAATCGCACATTCATCGGGAAGAACTGGTCCTCATCGCCGTCGGTTGACTCAAACTCGAAGCTGCCAGAGGGGTTTGACTCATCCACGGCGCCCAGGTTCCAGTCAATGCTATCGCCAGACACCTCGTACACAGCATCAAAGCTGGATACCGCAGGTTCTTCTGAGCCATAAGGAATGGTGACAACGACATCGCGCAGGCTGTCTGAACCGGTGAGCTCGTACTCCACTGTGACAGTCGTCGAGTCGGAGCCCTTGTTCACCCAGACGGTGAAAGTAATGGGGAGAATGTCGGCATTGTCAGCCGAGCTGGCAACACGCCACCTCAGGACACCAATGGCGTTATTAGCCGGGAAGCGCTTGGAGGTATCCTTAAGCTGGATGGCCGAGGTGCTAGTGAAAAGAGCTTTGTCGACATTGGGGTGAGTACGGAACTGGGCACCGTGGGTAGGAACGGCTTGGAGGTCAAGGCGTAGCTTGGTAAAGGCAGGGTCGGTGATGCGAAGTTGAAGGTCCCCCTTAACTTCGAACGATTTCAAGGCCCCCTCGCGAGTGAGTGTGGCGGAGATGGTTTCGGCGATCGTTACCTGGACCGGGTCACGGTCTGAGGTCAGGGATTGCCGGGCAGAGGCAATTTCTTGCACTGGGGTCGAAGTCTCTGTAACCAGCGGGCTGGATTCCTCAAGCTCAGGGCCCAAGTCGCCCCGGACCTTCTCGTAGATATCGGTTGCCTTCGACTTCTTGCCCAGTTGCATGCCCTTGCCGCGAGTAGGAATGGGCCTAAAAGGATTAGTTGTATTAGAAGGGCACCCCATATAAGAGGTTCAATAGAGACATACTTGGCGAACGTCTTCTTCTTCTCCGCTTCGTATGAATCGTAGGTATCGGGTATCGAGGGGCGTGCCGGGGGTGTGTAGACGGGGTAGGATGGTGTGCGAGGAGCAGCAACGCGGCCGGTTCGAGCAGCTTCCTTGCGCTGCATTTCCAGTTGCTTCGCCTTCCTCTTGCGCTCTTCGCTGGCCTCCAATTCTTTGTTCTATAGACAGATTTTAGCGTGGAAGCAGCCCCGCAATTGAGGCTTGAACATACCCGCTCAATGATCTCCTGGATTCTCTCCTCGTGACTTTCCATCTCCAGGAAAGTCTTGATCTGAGACAGAGACAGGTTCTCCCGGTATCCCAACGTTACCAACTCGTCAAATGCGCTCAGCAGCTCGAAGGCATTGCGAGTAATCTCCCGCTCGTCCAGGCTTTTGCAGATGCTGGTGGTCACCTGAGCAAACAGGTGCAAGCTGTCGATATCTTGGAGAATGTTGGACTGGCGGTTGGTGATCAAAACAATGTACAGTTCGTCCAATGGCTGGTACACGAAGCGGACGTTGTCTTGCTCGACAGTGGTGTGTTGAGTTCCAGAATCTGCAAGTTTAGGGAACGAGGCGAGCAGAGCCTCAATGCGCGACCGGGCGATTTCGTGAAATTGGCGCGAGAGGACCGCTTTGCCTCCGCGAGTGCATATCGACGCTGCGAGGACGACCTGATTGCGAGGAGGCTCCGTTAGTTAAGGAGCTCACAGGGGCGATGAACCCGGGAAGAGATGCATACCATGACGAGCGTAGATTCAGCCGGAAGTCTTCAAACGGGCGAGAGAAAGTGCGTATTCCAGCAGAGACCAGTTGTGAAGCGGTAGGCAGAGCCCCTTGTGGTGTTGTTGATGGGACACATCGCCGCCCGCTACTCTGTTCTCTTCGGACTTGGCCCGTGCACCTCCACCCCCCTTCGCTTAGTCCGGCGTCTACTCTCTTTTTTCTCTGTCGTTCCTCAACTCCTGCTCATATCCTGTATCACTCTCTCGATGAACTGGGCTTGAGCGTATTTCGGAAAACCCCTCTCCTTACATTCTTGAACCTTTTAGACCTACCACTAAGGAAAAGTCACTCAACACGAACTTGTGGCACCAACCTCCTTGACGCGTCTATGCTATGACAGCGGCTTCCTCACTACCATTTCCCACCATGGAGGTCCCTGCTGTAGAGGACTCTATGGAGATGGCCTCTCCCTACCAGGCTAATCACGATGACTTTGATATCGATCTGGATCTTATGGAGGACCAAGTCTCCAACATGGATAGTGACATGATGGGCGCAGATGACTATCCCACCTCTCAGCCCTCTCTTTTCAACAACGATGCGATCAATGATGCCGACATGGTCGACGAACCCTCCGAAGGATCCATGGTCGATGCCGACGACATAGTTGACGAAGACGATGATGTTGAAGTCCAGGACGAAGAAGTGACATATGAGGCTGAAATGCAAGAGGGTGACCAACCCGTAGCGGTGGATGCACCGGTCTTACCCACTATCCAAGTTGACGTCTCAGCGAATATTGAGAACCAGACGAATCCCCCCATCCAAAATGCCCTGGAAACGGTCCCGCAACAAGTGACACAGGAAGGCTTTGGTGGCCAGCCCGAAATGACCCCTGTCGAAAACAAACCCCAAGAACCTATTTTGCAGGCTTCGCAGCCAGCCGCATCTGAAGAAGCCCAGTCTGAGAAACCTCAGCAGCAAAGTGCTGAAGTTGATGCTGATGGAAAGGTCGAGTCGCTTGAAGAAACTAATGAAGCCACGGAGAGTAAAGCTTCGGCCGCCAAGGAACCTCTTGCGCAGGTTGAGCCTCCTACAGAGACTCTCGAGTCTCTGCCGGTGCAAGCTTCATCTGCCGAGGCAGATAACGAAAGTGTTGGAAATTCTAAGACTCATACCCTGCTTGGGACTGAACACCACGGTGCCCACGACCACGATGACGAATCGTTGCATCCGGTGAAAGTTCTCTATCAAGGAAATGAGATATCTCTCTTCCCACCTCTTGAAGGCGACTCAGCGGAAACATTCTTCCTTCATGACGAAGACGTCGCTTACGAAAATGTCGGTAGATTGTTCAGCTCTCTTCGTGAGATCCTACTGGATAATGTTGCCGAGCATGAGGTACTCGTTATTGATATCGACTCTCTAGGTATTCAAATAGCAGAGGTGAGGAATTGCTTGTGGTATTGATTCCTAGACCAAGAAGCTAACTTTCACACAGGACTCCTCGCACGCATCCAATATGACCTTGCACCAGATTCTGGACGTTTACCTTCGTCTTTGTCATAATGACGGTACTGATGAACCAGACGCCCTGTACCTTTCCCTGACATCTAAACCGACCTGTCACTCGGAGTTGGCCGCCCTTGTTGCTGCTGCTGACGAAGGCAAGGGCTTGTCACAAATACATGAGTGGTACGGTTATGACGAGGTTGAAGAGGCCAGTCATGCCGAAGATAAACCTGCAAATGTCGAGGAGACTGACGATCCCCGTGATTTTACGAATGCCGATGAAAGTGAACAGGAGACGGCCCCTGAACTGGATGAAGCCACTCAAGACACCGGGCCCTTTGCTGACTCTCACCATGAGGTGCACGAAGCAAGTGGTCCGGATGTAAAGCATGCCGAAATGAGTCATGAACCGGCTGCTGGTGATCGGGAGGCTGAGGGAGAGGCCGATGATCATGAAATAACCCAAGGAGGAAAGGAAGACGTCTTTGCGGAGCCGGCACCCGGTGGCGAAGACCATAATGATACAGAGGGGCACTATGATTCAGAAGCCCAACAAACCGATTCCTCTGCGACCGTCGCCTCGGTTTCTCACCGAAGCGATCAAGTTGACATTGGTGCTACGGCTACTGTTGTGTCGAATGACTTGGGTCAACACGATGATGAAAGCGCTGATGCGCAAGGCTCAGAGCATGAAGATGTTTCTCCATCAGCTGAAGCTTATGATGTCGAAAATCCCGAGAAATTCCAGGATACACATGCCGGCGAGCACGCCATCGAGGGAACCGGGGACCATGCCAACGAGGAACCACATGGCCTAGATGTTGTCCCCGAAGACGAGGAATCCCCGGCTGGTGATATTGATGATGGCTCTTACGAACAATCCGAATCCACTCTGGAACCTGCACAACGGGAGGACTCTGCGAACCACGAGCAAAAACCTGAGCCCGAGGACGATTTGCTTGGTATCGCTGAAGACGTGATGCAGAGTCCTGTCAAGCATCGCCAGAACGACCAACTCAAGCCGACCGAGAGCTTTGAGCAAGAAGCCCCGAGGACGACCTCGCAACCCCTCCCCCTCCCGTCGATGATGGTGCCGAGGACGACGATGCCGACAACCAGCAGTCCGGTAACGGTGACGATGACGATGACGGTGACGGTGACGGCGATGATGACTTTGACGACTACTATCCTCCACCTGATTTAGAGGTCACGGAGGTCACAGAGGCTATTGAGCTGGGTGAAGAAGATCCTTCCCTTACTGACTCCCACACCCTTGACAATGTGTCAACCAAACGGTCCCGTGAGGAGGAAGATGAATGGGACATTGCCGAGGCTACGACCCCGAACTTAAGCGTCGCCGCTCGTAAACAACATCTTTTTGTCTCGCTGTCCATTTTTATCAATTGGACTACCTCTTAAAAAGGTCCAGTCTTTGATTCTCATGGGTCACCGCTGGCTTGGTTCAACAACTTCACCTCGACCTCCTTTTCTACTAACCCTGGATACCAGCAATGGCTTCGGTCCGTGGCCACAGTTTTCACTTGGTAACGATAATCAGGTATGTGATGTTTTTCTTATTCCTTTCCAGTGGTCCTCGGGGTCCGATTTTTCAATTGTTTAATTCACTGAAAACAATTGTCCCGGATTCTGGTGCGTAATCAACACACCCACTTGCCCCTTTCTATCCTGCTTCGCATATTCCCCTTGCGTTTGTGTACCGTCCATTTGCGTGTTTTACGGCGAGATACCATATTTCCGGGTTCAAAAGTTGTGGCGCCATGGGAGTTCAGGATTGCATTCTCTACCATCTCACATAGCGTTCGACTCGGCATATCAAGGCTATTTCAGATATCTGGCAACCAAGAATTAATTTGTTTGAGCGGCTTCTGTGGATTGTTATGCATTGCGGGCGCATTATTGTTATTGCCTAAAACCTGCAACTTGTGCCGAATGCGCGGGGAAGGATTGGTCCAAGTGTTGGACCAAGCTTCCTAGCTTTTTTTTTTTTAAGTTACCCACCTTGTTTAGGCTATGGCCGATGAAAACAGTTCGTAGCAATTTCGCGCGTATTCAACGCCGGGTCGTAGAAGCTCAACCCCTAACTGGAGAGACTCCCAGGTAGTAGGTCCATATTCACAATCCCATTGTACAGAGGCATAGGTCCCACTTTGTACGGAATCTGGGTGAGCATCCTCCATCTCCGGATAGGACCTTGGTTTCTAAGGTGGATAATCTAATCAAAGGCGCCCTGGAAGGTGCATGTGGACCCAACGCTCTATGTATAGACAGGCCGAATGCGGTTGGACTATGAGATCGATATGAAACGACGATCGCCGCCACGGGGAACGCTCAGGGTCCAAGGCCGAGGAAACATCTGCATTCACCTGTGTTAATGTTCTTGGTATCGAACAATTGACCCTCGACAGACACACTACGTCTTCGTATATTTGAACTCTACATCTGCATCTAATTTCAGAACTGACAGAGTCCGTGCTCTGACCCTGCAGAGCCGGCGCCGACCACTTCGCTCAGCCGTTGCCTCTTACGCGTCCCGATCGGCCCAGTCTCGAAACGGAACCCCACCGCACGCAGGCACCAAACACTGCTTCTCACCACCTTGCGACTCGACCACTTTTAGCGACTTTTCATCACACCCTGGATCTCTTGGGCTGGCTCGGTCTTGTGCGCTTCTCCGCCTCGCCTTTCCGCTCTCACCCTCTCTGAGCCTACTCCGCTTCCCCTTCCCTTCGTGTTGCCAGTCGCTCGTCTCCGTCATCACTCCATTGCTGGCACTGGATCTTTTCCGCAGTTGGGAGCAGTGCGCTCCTAGAGAGAATACATCACGATGATTCCGGACAAGTACGGCCCATTACTACGCATTCGAGTCCTGTGGTCAAGGTGGCCAGATGCTAACCTTGGCGTTGCGCATTAGATATGTCGGGCTCATAATGGCCATCATGTCAACAATGGCAATTGGTAAGAAATCTATTCACCAGTCTATCGGACTGCTAGCTAATTGAATCGCCCAGGCACAAGCTTTGTGATTACGAAAAAGGTTCGTTTGTTTCCGCCTCAGCCCCAGCCTCAGCCTCGAGCGCCGAATGCCGACCGAAGATCGAGTCCCTTCAACCGGGCGAGATTCGACCACCGAGTCGCAGACAAACTAGGGGCAGGGATACTAATGCTTTCTAGGGCTTGTTACATGCCTCGGAGCGACACGGTTTCGAGGGTGAAGGATTCTCATATCTGAAGAGCCCAATTTGGTGGGCAGGCGTAATTACACGTAGGGCAGTCCTCTTGGGCATCGCAGAACGCGCAACTGACGAACGCTTGAACAGTGGGAATTGGCGAAGTTGCCAACTTCGCCGCGTATGCCTTTGCGCCCGCGATTCTCGTTACGCCTCTCGGTGCACTGAGTGTGCTGATCGGGTACGTGCCCGCCCTCCTTGCAATGGCCAGCGACATTATTAACAGCCTCCCAGCGCGGTCCTCGGTTCATATTTCCTTGACGAGCGGTTAGGTACATTGGGTAAATTGGGTTGCGCCATGTGCCTCCTCGGATCAGTCGTCATCGTCCTCCACGCGCCCCCTGACAAGCCGGTGGACAGAATCGATGTTCTTCTGGGTTATGCCGTGAAAGCGCGTATGTGGCAACACTCCCAGGGTGGATAGTACATCTAGGCTGACTCTCTCTCCGCGCAGCTTTCCTATTGTACTGTTTGTTCGTGGCCACCTTCTCAACGGTGATGATTTATCGGGTTGCGCCGGTATATGGCAAGAAGAATCCGCTCGTTTTCATCTCGATTTGCTCTACAGTTGGCTCGGTTTCGGTTATGTCCGTCAAGGCCTTCGGTATTGCCGTCAAGCTCACTTTCCTGGGCAACAACCAATTTGTCCATGCGTCAACCTATGTATTCGCCATTGTGACTGGCTTCTGCATTCTTACACAGATGAACTACTTCAACAAAGCATTGAACTCATTTTCGACCTCAATGTGAGTGCGATTTTGGACGGTCAACTTCAAGTCGGCGCTAACAGGACCAGTGTGAACCCCCTCTACTATGTTACTTTCACGACCTTCACGCTTTGCGCCTCCTTCATTCTCTTCCAGGGATTCAACACTACCGATGCAGTCAACACCATTTCCCTGCTCTGCGGATTCCTCATTATATTTACCGGTGTCTACCTACTTAACCTGTCCCGACACGACCCTGATGGAACAAAACTGGTTAATTCCAGGTTCGATGACGATGGTGTGCCAACAGATGGCATCGCCAGCTTCCAGACCCGGCGCTCCATGCAGTCCCGCCGAAGCTCCTCCAGCGCCTACCTGAATGGTCACAGCGATCGCGAAGGCCTCATCCATTCTTACGACGTCGAGAATAATTCAGGAATCGGGTTGCATCAGCTAGGAGAAGATAGCGACGGAGAGCCCGGGCCAACATTCTCCAACAATGAACCCCACCGTACGGCTATCCACACCAAGCAGAACAGTCAGATCTGATCCGCAAGTCTGGAGTGTGAAGTATAGCACACTCTCTCACGAGATTACTGCCGCAACGCTTTTTTCCCGCCACGCACTACTTTGAGCCACGGGCTCTTCTCCTGAGCATTCTGTATTTTTATTGTTCCCTCCCAAAAGCCCGAGACTGAATACTCGGGTGATCTCATACCAGGCACTGGACATTGCCGTTTGAAACGAATTGGATATGACTCTGGGTTCTCTATGGTTGAATTATTTGTTCCTGTTTTTGATTTGTGGGCGAGAGGCATCATTGTATATACCGAGTTTTTCAGTGGATTGATTTCTTACGCAATTAGAGATGAATCTTCAAGTATCGAGTGTCAATCGTAAATCGGACGTATCTTCACAGACTGATCAGAAGTGGGGCAAAAGGACCCGATGATGTAGGTGCCGAGTCAGCTGCTATGGAAAACTTGCATCCGACAGCCCTGCGCTTGGCGGGGATGCGAACACCTGCGAAGTTCACCCTTGAATATCCAAACCCTTCGCTATGCCCGTGTTGCGCAAGCTAATTGTCGTCGCTGCGGTCGATGGCTTAATCCTACACGCGGGCGGTCCGCGGTTTAACGGCAACAACGAAGCCTCCTCCATCCGCATAGACTACAAGACGAACAAGATCACCGCCCTGCCCACCCCGACTCCCGAAGCCTTCGAGGGCCGCGATGCTTTGGAGTCATATGGTCTAGTCGGTACGTCCTCCCTAGACTCATTCACCCTGCACAGAGTCTAATCCGCATTATTAGGCCTATTGTCCGTGGCGTCAGTTTCGTTCCTTGTCTCCATTACCCAGCGCCAAGAAGTCGCCCAAATACAAGGCCACCCGGTTTACTCCGTGACCAACGTCGCTATAATTCCCACATCCTCCCAAGAAGACGCAACCCGCGCAATCACACAAGCCCGAAAAGAAGTTTCACAAGGCGACCCGGACCTCGATCCCTCGTCCGACGAAGACGATGACCCGGACAATGCCACGGACGCTGCGCCAACAGAGATAGGCAGCGCGCCGACTTCGCCAACCCGCGAGAACTTCCACGCGCGCGGCCTCAGCGTCAGCAGTATAGCCGAAGATGTTATTGGTAAACGGCTCCGATTCGGACGGTTCGCAGCGAACTGGCTATCGCGCAAGAATTTAGGCTTACCGAGGCCTGGAGAGCCGGATCCGGAGATTCTGGAAACACCATTTGACGATACCCCTCGGATGTCGACCGAAGGGTCCGAGGTTGGGGATTCTAGTACCGAGGCGATTCTTCCGCAGGAATTTGGGTCTCAGAGTGACTCAAATCAACCAGGGGCTGGGCAGGCTGCTGAACTGTTGCCGAAACTGTTGAGGTATACGAAGCTGCTCTTTGCTTCGCATAATTTCTTTTTTGCATACGATTATGATCTTACGAGATCGTATAACGCACAGGGTCCGAGGAGTGGCCATCTGCCTCTTCACAAGACAGTTGATCCTTTGGTATGTTTTTTTCTTTCCAGATGGATAGGCGCTGGTCACTAACATAGGATCTGTAGTATTTTTGGAACCAACATCTTATGACTGCACTCATAGATAGCGATGCCCACGGATTTGTTTTGCCCCTGCTGCAAGGGTTTGTTGGCCAGCGAGAGTTTACAGTCGCTCTTCCTGACAAGAAAGAATCGGACGGGAGTCCTAAAGAGGAACCCGTCGAAGCTCGTATCATTGGTGACAGTCAAGATGCAGAGGCTGTTGAGCCCCAAACTCCCAAGCAAAACTTCCTTTTGACTCTGATCTCGAGGCGCTCTGTCAATCGGCCGGGTGTTCGGTATCTTCGTCGCGGTGTTGATGATGAAGGCAACACTGCCAACACAGTGGAGACGGAGCAGATTCTTTCAGTGCCGGATTGGGATCCGTCGCAAAATGTCCACTCCTATCTACAGGTGCGAGGGTCTATTCCGTTATATTTCTCGCAGTCCCCGTATGCCTTCAAGCCGATCCCAGTGTTGCATCATTCTGCCGAGACGAACCAGCTCGCGTTTGGGAGACATTTCCGAGAACTAAGTCGGAGGTACGGCAAGATACAAGCAGTGTCCTTGATTGACAAACATGCCGGAGAATTGAAAGTGGGCGAACAGTACGAGAGATATGTCGATGTCTTCAACAAAGCCGGAGGCATTGATGGTTTGCCGCTGCGTCTAGAGTGGTTCGATTTCCACAATGAGTGTCGCGGCATGAAGTTCGAGAATGTCAGCCGGCTGGTCGATCGGCTGAAAGAAACTCTTGATGAATTTGGTTATTCTACCGTGAAAGATGGTTCTATGTTGCACAAACAAGCTGGCATTGTGCGAACAAACTGCATGGATTGCCTCGACCGCACAGGTGTTGCACAGTGTGCCCTTGGTCAATGGGCACTCGAGCGCCAGCTGAAGGAGGAAGGAATTTCAATCGACCTCGGCGGAGATTCTTCAACTCAATGGTTCAATACACTCTGGGCAGACAATGGAGATGCGATCTCAAAGCAATACTCGTCGACTGCAGCCCTGAAGGGCGACTATACTCGCACTCGCAAGCGAGATTATCGAGGCGCCCTGAATGACTTGGGTTTGACACTCTCGCGATATTACAACAACATTGTCAACGACTATTTTTCTCAAGCCTGTATTGACTACCTCCTGGGCAATGTGTCCACGCACGTTTTCGACGAGTTCGCCATGGAACTACAAACCACTGATCCAGGGATCTCGTTGCAAAAACTCCGCCAAAACGCAATTGACACGAGCTGTAAAATCGTGATCAGCAGTCCATCTGAAGAGTTCCTCGGCGGTTGGACTATGCTGACACCACGACAACCGAATACCCTTCGCACACTTCCATTCGAAGAATCCGTCCTCCTGTTGACAGATGCAGCGGTCTACAGTTGCCGCTTTGACTGGGAAACCGATAAAGTACTTTCATTTGAACGCATTGATCTGCGTTCCATTTCTCGCATTCACTACGGCACATACATCACCTCCATCCTGACAGATACTCAGGCCAATGAGAGAAGCAATGTTGGATTGGTTGTCGTATACCGAGATGGCGATGCGAATGCTCTTCGCGTCAACACGCGCTCTCTGCAGACGAACGTGCGCCCCGCTGCTCTTGAACCTCCAAGCAACAACGGTGAATGGGACCTTGTATCCTGGCTCCGGGGCAATAAGCGAGCAACGACTCGCTTCATTGCGTTCAAATCGATGCCTATCTCCAATCCTGTGGCTAGTCCTCGTGCGGGTCCCAACGCTGGCACCGTTACCGTTAAAGAACTTGATCGGGTGCGGGGCATTTGCCAGGAAATTGAACGCGCAATGATGGCTGGCGATGGACAGAATGTTGATTCAGCGTCTGTAGTTGAGCAGTCAGATATTATATCCTTGGCTGATGCCAAGAAACGTACTGGAATCTTGGAGTATCTTGTATATGATATCAAGAAGATGGTGTGGGCTTGAGTGTTTGTGACCAGGGGTTGTTCAGTATCATCTGCTAGCTTACGATGTGTATGATCAGATATTGAGGATGGGCTTGGTTGCCATGAAGACGATATCACATCCATTATTTCTTGCTACGGTCAGGCCTATGCGCTATAGTGTAGCATACCTCATTTTATTTCGCATTCCTCCCAAATAGCTGCTCCAAGTGGGCAGTGGCAGGCACTCTCCGTGTGGGACTTGGGCCTATCACAAACTTGTCGCTGTCCGCGTTCGCCACACGATAGATCCGCTGTGCTCTGAATCGCTTTCTCAGTTAAAACGTTTGTCGCGAAGTATTCGCGAAGTTCGTTCCGTTATCGTATGCCAGCTCAAGCATTTGAGAGGTCACAAGTGCGTAGGTGGAGCCCACGTGGAGATCAGATCGTGCACAATTGTGCAGGAAATATTCAATCGATTACTTTCGTCGCAGTGAAGCTACACGGGCACTGGCGATGGATATCCATTCAGAACTACCAGCCATCCTGCTCCTACCATGATCAGCATTTGGGCGTCTAGCAGAAGCCATAATATTGATAGTATCTACACAGCCGGTAGCTCAAAATATGACCTTACCTCTCTCCCTCGTTGACTGTGGGCTACTTGTGTCTTCTTACAAATTGCTTTACATGCGTTCGAGGGACGTCAAAGTCTACCGCCTTTGCCTTCGAAGATCATTTTTCTGCCGGCAGCACCGCGTGTGGCTTATCGATTCCGTCACTTGAAAGCTCTTTTGTGACTTTTTCTGGTCCTTAGTAACTCTCGGTCACATCCAGGAAGACCTCCAAAAATCAAATTCCTTCGTCTGTGTCCGGACGATCCGAACTCGTTGCTGTTGTGCTTCAAAATCTGGGGGACCAGCGAAGGGGGGCCCGTTCCCACATTCTTGGCGGGGCTCGTTGTACCACACGCACTTTTGCGCCTCACACCGCAGTCGACTTTTGACTCTGCTTCAACATGGATTGGCAACCTCAGGACGAGCCATTGAGGCAGCTGGCATGCTGTCTCCGAGACTCCCTCAATGGCCAGGACGCGGCCATGCGGAAGCAAGCTGAAGAGGTACCGTTTTTTTTTCCGTGCCGCGTTTTACCCCCTCTTCTCAGGATTTCAGACTCGAAGACTGACCAGATTCCTCGCCATGATAGATGCTGGCCCAGGCTACATCTTCGCCGGACTATGTGAATTACATTACCTACCTCTTCTCCACCGCGGAGGTCCCTGCCTGCGTCGGCATGGACCCAACCATCTACAACTTTGTCCGATTCGCTGCTGCCATGAACATCAAGACCAAAATCGCTTGGGGCTACCACACCATTCCCCAGCAGAGCCTGATTTTCATTCGGTCTGCCGCGCTCATTGCGCTTCGTGATAATGATCGTCAGGTCCAGAGAGGTGCCGGCAGCATCATAACGGAGCTTGTGCAGCGGGGTGGCCTGTTGGCCTGGCCTGAAATTTTGCACGAGCTTCTGTCGCTCGTTGGGAACTCTCCCGGCAATGTGTCCATTCCTGCTCAGGAGGCCGCAATGAATGCCCTGTTCAAGGTTTGCGAGGATAACCGCAAGATCCTCGATCGCGATTACCAGGGCAGCGCCCGCTTGACGTGATCATCCCCAAGCTGCTCGAATTCACCACCCGCGAAAGTTCTCGCGTTCGCTCCTCGCCCTGAACAGTCTTCACGTTTTCCTGCCGCACCAACCCCGGCCTTGATGGCTTCGCTCGATCTGTTCCTTTCGCAGCTGTTCAACCTGTCATCTGACAATGACACCGAGGTTCGCAAGATGGTGTGCCAGTCCTTCTCCCAGCTTGTGGAATTTGCACCAGAAAAGCTCATCCCGCACTTGGATGGCCTCGTCAACTATATTCTCATTCAGCAGCGAAACCAAGAGGACCCAGAGCTTGCTCTTGACGCGGCAGAGTTTTGGATTGTTGCTGGTGAGCAGGATAAATTGCAGCAGGCTTTGGCTCCCTTCATGCCAAAGGTCATTCCGGTTCTGCTCCAGAACATGATTTACGATGAAGACGAAGTCGAACGCCTGATGAACGAAGCGGATGATGCCGATGCCGAGGATCGCGCAGAAGACTTGAAGCCGCAATTTGCCAAGGCCCAGGGTGCTCGTGGTGACAAGAAGCAGGGTGAACAGGCCAACGGTGCTCAGAAGCCGCAACCCCAGGAGGAAGACGAGGACGATCTCAGCGAGGGCGAAATTGAGGATTCCGAATTTGGTGACCCTGAGGATGAATGGACTCTGCGGAAGTGCTCCGCTGCCGCCCTGGATGTTTTCTCGAATGTCTACCATAACCCGATCTTCGAGATTATTCTGCCCTACTTGATGGAGACCCTGCGCCATGAGCAGTGGCCTAATCGCGAAGCTGCAGTTCTTACTCTGGGAGCTGTAGCAGATGGTTGCATGGATGCAGTTACTCCCCATCTCCCCGAGCTTGTGCCTTATCTGATTTCTTTGCTGAACGACGCTCAACCCGTTGTGCGCCAAATTACTTGCTGGTGCTTGGGACGTTACTCTGAGTGGGCCTCTCATCTGCAAGACCCCGCGCAGAAGGCCCAGTTCTTTGAGCCAATGATGGAAGGTATTCTTCATCGGATGCTGGACAACAACAAGAAGGTGCAGGAAGCAGCCGCGTCTGCATTCGCCAGCTTAGAGGAAAAGTCAGATGACAACTTGGTGCCCTATTGTGAGCCCATTCTTCGTCAATTCGTTCAATGCTTCGGCAAGTACAAGGATCGCAACATGTACATTCTCTATGACTGCATCCAAACGCTCGCCGAGTGCGTTATGGAAGAGCTGGCCAAGCCTCAATTGGTTGAAATTCTTATGCCCGCTCTCATCGGCCGGTACAACCTTGTTGCGGATGATTCACGAGAGATCTTCCCGCTACTCGAGTGTCTTGGCTACGTCGCTGCTGCATATGGAGATGCGTTTGCGCCATTTGCGCCAAACCTCTTCCAGCGCTGCACTGGTATCATCTACAAAAACCTTGAAACATCCCACGCCGCGACGAGTAACGAGACTGTTGATGAGCCGGATAAGGATTTCCTCGTCACCAGCCTCGATCTTCTCAGTGCCATCATCCAAGCCATCGACCCTCAAAAGAGTGGCGAGCTGGTGGCCAACTCCAACCCACACTTCTTCGATCTGCTCTGCTACTGCATGCAAGATGCTAACTACGAGGTACGCCAGTCTTCATACGCCCTGCTGGGTGACTGTGCCATCAGCATCTTCCCTCACATGGTGTCCTTCATCCCCACCATCATGCCTACTATCATCCAACAGCTTGACTTGGACCTTATCCGTGATGACGACCGCCACACTGGTTTCAGTGTATTGAACAACGCCTGCTGGTCGTGCGGCGAGATTGCTGTGAATGAGAACGCCCCTCTGGCGCCTTATGTCGAGAAGCTGTACCATGGACTTTTGGTCATCATTAATAGCCCGGATATCATCGACTCGGTCAATGAGAACGCTGCCATGGCCCTTGGACGCCTTGGCCTCTGCTGTCCCGATGCAATGGCACCTCAACTGAGCGAGTACGCTGGTCCGTTCCTGAACTCGATGGCCAAGATCGATTTCACTCGCGAGAAGGCTTCGGCGTTCCTCGGCTTCAACCAGGTGGTCATGAAGAACCCCCAGGCCATGGAGTCCAGCCTGGCGGAATATTTCCGGGCCATTGCTTCTTTCCCGAGCAAGTCGCTCTCCCAAGAGGAATACCGGGACATCAAGAGCTCCTTCCAACAGGTTTGTTTAATCGCCTCATCATTGTCAGACTAGATCTCTAACGAAAGTCTCCAGGTCTTACAAGGCTATAAAAATATGATACCCGACTTCGGTTCTTTCCTCGAGCAGCAACTTTCGGCCCAAGCGGCCCAGAAGCTGCGTTCCAACTATCAGGTTTGAGTCTGACAGGACGTCACATCCACCTCTTTCCTGGCGTGGAAGCCCTAGGGCTTCTTCTACGCATCGCTTCTTATCTCGCATCTCTCTCACCACAATCTGGATTTAAGCGACTTTCCTTATCCTCGCTGTATTCTCATCCGCTTATCATGAGTCCGCCTGTAATAAGTGTAAAGAATACAACGAGGGGGGTTAAAGAGGCAATGGGGTTTCTTAGCATAGCGAGAAGGGGCATTGAGACGTCGATTTTGCTATTCCTTCACCTCGTTCTCTGCATACCTTAACAATACCATTGCGGGACAGACCGGGGAGAGGAGATGTGTGGGGACAGAGGACGTGATTTGACTGTTTATCTACGTTATATCTGACGATTGAAATGGGCATAGCTATCTGATGAGCTCGCTTTCTTTCACTTTCTGCATTTCGTTTATCTCCGGGGCCGGTTCCTATTTTTTTTGGGGGGGGGGTTTTAGTTCTTAGTTTCAGCGCTGGCTTCTTTCAATTCTTTTCACATAGATAGATTAGATAGATACACCAATAACCTAGGCAGCATTCCCAATTTCGCATTTTCCTGATTGCCTCCATTTCCTTGTGTCTATACGTGTCCATGTCCATGTGGTTAGTTCATCTAGCGAATGGCTGGAGCGAGACTTGAAAGCCCCATGTAGCATAGCACCAAAGTAAAACCTTAGATTCCACTACGACGTCGGCTAACTTGAAGCACTTTCAACATGATGATGTTTTACTCTTAGCCGACCATGTGCACACCATAACACTTAGTCCCTCTCAAAGCGACCTCCCCAGTCCAGCAAAAAGCGATCTAACGAGAGCAGATGATCAGGAAAAGGGAACCTCAACGATCTACCAAAGACCCAACCCCAAACCAATCTCCAGCGGAGCGGCCCCTCCTCGCTTAGTCGGCGTCTCGAGCCTGAGCTTAACTCGAAAGCGAAGCGATTGGCCACATCTGTTGGGACACCAAGACGCGAGCCTTTCCCGATCGCGCTTCTTTTCACGAAAGTGTCCACCCTTCGGCTCTTGAAATTCTCCCGGTGGCTCAGAGTCTATTCCTGGGTACCCCAGTACTGGGGTCAACTGTTAGTCTTTCCTGTTTTTGGTAAGGATCGATTTTGAGGCTATCGTGGACTTGTGGACGTAGACTTTCCCTAATGTTGACCGTCCATCCGGTTAGGTCCTCTGTCACTGCGCCGGGGGTTACATTATACTCGAAACACTGGATTTCTAGAGCTGATTTGTTCTTCTCTGACTCTGAACTTTCTAAGATCATGGGGTACTTTAATCTCAGCCTCAGCTGTATTACGACCGTCACACAGTGATCACATATACACAGACCTGACAGAGCGATTTACCTCGGTTTCACCATCTCATCTCAATCTCGCTTGGTTAGCATGCACAAGAGTCCAAAGATAAAGATGTCAAATCTTTTAGAATTTTCCGCATATTCTATCTATCCACCACTCTAGAAACAACCCATGTACTTCAATTTCCCATCTTCATTCTTGATACAATCTGCCAGATTCACCACTTCCTCATGGAGGCCTTCCCCGTCGTGCAATCGTGCATGCAGGAGGGGGTTATGCTCCGGATTATCTTGTTCGAGAGTGACATTTGCCGCCGAGCTGGAGAAGTTCTCGGCGCTCCATTTGAATTTGCCTTGGTGCTTTAGCTTCGGGTTTGTTTGAGAATAACGGCTCTGCAGGGGGCTGGAGGCTTACCTTTCACCGTGCCGAGGATGGCGTCTAGATCTAGCTCGGAGTATGTCGCTTCTCCTGAGGGGCGCTGACAGTAGGCGCAGAGGACGTGGCTGTCCTTAAGGTGGATGTTCATGGATGATTTGTGGAAGCCCATTTTGGTGCTGGGTTGGAGGTCATGTCAGGGGGAATCCAGGGGAATAGATGAGATTTCCGGAGCGAGGTTGATCGAGTAAAGTCTACAGGATTAGAGGGAAAGTGGTCTGCTTGATGATATACAGGCGGTGGGCATGTTGCCTCAATGACATCGAGATTGTGTCGCCGGTCACCGTGTCAAGCATACTGTAATTCCCAGGGGACCGCAGCTCTTCAGGGCACGTATCATGTTGGCCTCATTGTGATCTATAACAATTTGTTCTGGGAATGTGATAAGACGACGGAATCTCAGCGCGAAGGTCATTGTGACCTCAGAATGAGATGGCGTCGGGCACTGCGGTGCCCTACAGGGCTCTAGGGCTGTGGGACGCCGTCAGTGGACGATCGAGTTCAGCCTCGAAAGCTGCCTTGTCATTATCTTTACAGCCTAACGGACGCCATTATCTTTTCCGCAGAGGTGGCTTGCCCAGTTGACGCTAGCCGACTTTTATTTAACTTCCGGAGGCTTGGGCTTCGCCAGCAATCGACTTCTGGGGACGGCTGATCTATTTTCAGACTCCTAATAGTCGAAGGGGGGCGACTCCGCAACTGGCCGTCAATACCGTTGCATGGGCCTTTTTAATAGGTCCGGGTTTTTAAGCATGGTCCAAAGCCCGTCATTGCGTCGTGGATACGTATAGTACTGTACTATTGGTGGTGGATCTCTCAGAGATCGACGGAGGCAACGAGGCAGCGCCGGACCCGAGAGCTTGGTACCGGTGATCCTAGTCCGATCGACAGTTACGCTGGACAGTGTACTGTCAGCGAAGGGTCCTTAGGTGCTGTTAATGGTAAGACCCAAGTGTGCGCCTGTGGAGTGTGCCCCACCGTCCAGGATAGCACATTCTTTGATGCCTTGGCGCCTTTCATTTTTAAAGTTGATTAGCGTCGACCGTCCATGGTCCCATGGGCCGTGCAGTCTTGTTGCTCTATGCGGCCACGTTTATGATCCCTTCACTTGGAACTATCTACACTTTTCCATGTGTCGTGCACATCTAATGGATCCGGGGAACGACAGATTCCGGGGTCATCCAGCCCAGGTCGATCCGCTACTTCGCTACCCATCCGGCCGAACCATGAACCTAGAATGAAGTGGACCACAGCATCCATCTCATACGCCATCGTGTTTCAATAGTCGAGAGTGGAGAGAGGACTTCACAACCACACTATCCCCTCGTAGCAGGTATAATTATCCCCCGAGAAATGATGGTAGATGGCCCCCAAATTGACCAGAGCAGTGCAGCACACGCTAGCCATATTTGGCGCCATGTAGCGAGAAGCGAGAGCCACTTGGTTTTGGGCGGGAGGATCCCAATCACTTCCAGACCCCACCGAAGAGCACCGACGGTCCCTGGTTCACGGCATTCTCCGAACCATCCTGAACAGGCAATTGGCCTGGTCCACTGAAAACCAACGGGGGGAATCAATGATCTTGTTCTATGTAGTGACAGCTGCCCCCGAACTTCCAGCTTCCTCTGGACAGATCTGACGCCTGCAGGACTCACCGACTTCTGACAGAGACATCATGCCCAGAAAACGTGGTGACCGGGGTTGCAAGTGGCGGTCGAGAGAACTGCAGAGTGATACAGACGCTGCAGATGACCCTGGGACAGTCCCGGGGCTCCTCGAAAAAAGGCAAGTGAGGCTTCGGTTCCGAATCAACGGGAGCTAACTGCCCCGGGCCCTGCAGGTGAAAGGGAGAGTCGGTCAGCTTCCCTGCATTGCGGCAGAGCCACATTGGTTCATTTTACTTTCTGAGCTTACCGAAGCGTCCATGTCCAGTGGTTCCAGCGCAGCGGTAACTAGGAGAGACAGAGATCGCTGGGATGGCACGATCCATCATAACCTGGGCCAAGGAAAGATTGAAGAAGAGGTCATCCCGAGCGACTGGTCTGCACTGCCCCTAGGCCTAATATCTGCAAATATGTCCCCCGATCTCCAGGTCTGTCACATCTGAAACTTTACACTTCTGCACACTCGGTTGTCTTGACCGGATCCAGTCCCGTCTCACGTCAATTTTCACACGGGTGGAAACGGCGCCTGTCAGGCTGACCCACAGGGGCGAACCTAGGTTAGCGCCGTGATTGACCCCCCCCTTTACCCAACTGGGTATACGGTATTCTTGTCTCGACGTTTCGATCCACCCATTTCATTTTCCAGGGTCCAAAGGATCGAGCCTTGGCCGTGGGAGATCGAAGGCATTTCCCAGGCCCCAGTCATGTGCTTGCCAGTCGATTGTTTGGCCTCTTTTAGATGATCCCTGTGGCCCCTGCACCTCCACCCCCATAGAATGACAAGGGATGAAACCGAACCTAGAGAGTTGACATAAGCAATACCTCATCGTGGAAAGGGTAAAAGAACAGAGAAGAAAAAATGACCATGAAGAACAGGACAAAGAAAAAAGCAAGCACTCGAGGAAAGCCTTCATAGCCACCTTGGCATTCAATTAAATCAAACGTAATCAACCGTCTTTGACCCCATTTCAACGAACTCTTTGGTGAGCGGCGGCTTATTCGTTAGGGCTGCAGAAAGAAAAAAAACACGCCAGGTGCTCCCTAAGCCCACGCCTGGTGAACTGTCTAGATGCGGTCGACGCCGTCGGCTTGGCTGACCCAGACTCTCCTGCTCCGGTGCCCCAGTGCCCCGGTCCGTCTCCCCCAGGGAAGTTGTTATAGATCTCTCTGGATTGAAGATCCCTCGAACCCTCTTCCTCAGAGGCGAAGGCTTACGTCGTGTGGATCCCCAGTCGAACCCTAAAATCGGGGCTAATCCCTCACGGGCAGCTGGATAAGCGTCGAATTAGACTACGCATGTATCTGACCATGGCCCGGGCCCCCCGTTCGGCGCCATTTGCTCCCCGGTTGGACCTAGAATGACCCCCGAGCTGAAGGGTGCTAGCCTGGCCGCGTGGACTGCAGAGGCTCAACAATCTTGGGGAAGGAAGGGCCCTAATTAGAATCATCCGTAAGATTAATCATATCCCACCTGACCGGAGTCTGCGAGTTTAACGATTCCAAGCTCGACGCCATTCCCTTTTCCCTTAATTACAGTTCCTCCCCCTAACGACCCGGAACACTCTTACTTTGATTTGACTCGAACCCTACGCTTCGTATTTCCCACGTGCAAAGCATTCCTGGGTTGAATTTCTTGGACCCTTACAGTGATCGTCTGTAACGGAAACTAGCTCTCCAGCTTATCGTATCACTTTGTTTGTGTCGTCTTGGGTCTACGCGATTCTCCCCCCCACTTTGTCCACTCCACAATAACCGGGCAGCACTTGCCTTCGACTTGACCTGCCCTAAAAACATTTCCCATCGTGACCCCATCCACATCATTCTCCATCCTTGATCAACAGGATGGCTGGTCCAGGCGGTGGTCCTCCACGCAAGAGCCATACGAAGTCACGGAATGGTTGCAAGACCTGCAAGAGGAGACACATTCGATGCGACGAGACATTCCCGCAATGGTAAGTCTTCGAGTTCCCAGCGTCCCAACTTGCTGGCACCTCTGACTCGGCTCCTCAGTCGCAATTGCACCAAACATAACTGTCGCTGTGACTACCAAGATATGGCCTCAACGCAGAGCAGTCCCTCCACCTCACGGCGGGGTCCCGATCTGCTCATGACGCCGGAGATTGAAATGGAGATTGAGAATTGGCATCGAACTGGGGTCCCTCCTTACCCCGAGCTTATGCAGTGTCCGCAGTCCGGATGGTCAATTCTGTCTCGTTCAGATCTACGCTTGATTCACCATATAATCGGCCTGTCAATCGACCTACATCGCCGCCAGTTGAGCAATTGTACTGTGTGGGCGCAGAAGATGCCGAAGTGAGTCTGGCAATTGGCAGTCGCTTCACTTTAATTCTGGCTAATTGGGTTACTTTCCATAGCTTCCTCGCTATTGCACTCTCGAACGACTTCGTTATGAGCGCTATTCTGGCCTTGTCATCATTCCACTTGGCCTTTCTCACGTGCGACCAGGAGACAAAGCAGCTGGCGTATCAACATAAAGTCATCGCTCTGCGGGGCCTGCACACGGCACTCGGGGCGTTCTCGAAAGATAACTGCGAGGCTATTCTTGCGGCATCTATCTTGCTCTCCTGGCAAGCGACAGAACGGTACGTCTCGACGCTCACAGATTGACAACCCCGTCACTAACTTCCCAACTTCCTACAGCCAAAGCTGGGTCTCTCTACAACAGGGCATATCAAGCGTTCTCGAGTCGATGCACCCTTATTGGAAGCAAGAGTCAGAATTGGCTCAGCTTGTCGAGAATCACCGCGCTTTGAGCGCTACGGATTATTCGTTGACGAATGAGGAAGATTATGCGCAGTTGGATCGGACCGTCCGCGCGCTGAAAGCCGCCCAGAAGGAAATCGCACACAACCAAGAGCACTCTCAGCGCCTAGGAGAGTTGATCGAGTTTGTGGAACAGTTCCGCCAAGATTTCCCCAACCAGTCGCCTGAACAGTCCTTCGAGCGGATTCAAGTCTTGCGTCGCTGGCTCTTCTGGCTACCAGCCTCGATGCTGCGCGGTAGTGACTCAGATCTCAGTGCTCTCGTCATATTATCTCAGTTTTACGCCGTTGGTGTTGTGCTTGATCGCTTCTATCCTGAAATGGGAGGCTCATACCTGGGCGCTCTATCCATCGGTCCTATTGAGGAGATGTACCGAATTCTCGCAACAAACAGCGCTAATGATCCGTTCAACCCCGAGCTTCGTCAGGCTATGAGTATGATGGTATTACCACGTCATACTGTGGCGCGATATCGTGGCCGTCTCAGTTGGTCTCCCAGTTCTTCGATCGAGCAGTACTCCCCCGGCCCGCCAAGTCCATATCACGCTCTACCCGAGTATCCTCTTGCATCTTCCTCATCGCCTGCATCCGCTTCTCCTTCATACGCCGCATATACCCCACCTCTCCAGTCTCCTCCCGCTGTCACTGTTGCCGGCTCTCCCTTCCACCTCGACGGCTACGTTACTGCCGCTTCTTCACATGCGCTTTACCCTCCTTCACCACAACTTCTTGATACCCATGACCCGCAACTTGGTCTTTCTGATATGAACCACACGGCTATTTCACATTCCTCCGCATATACCCCTCCTTATGGCAGCGAAGTCATCTGCACCGACATGCCTCGCGCAGGCAGCACGCTAGGCCTGAACATGGAAGTCTACGCCCAATCGCACCCACTCGAAATGCCAGGCATGGTAGCGCCCGAGACCTGCTGGACCTAGCCATCCAAATCTGAAGAAAAAAAAACAAAAATAAACAAAACACCATATCTTTTGTTCGAACTACGAAGTGTGACTTTGGTCCTGGGATCTCTTCTCTCATTTCACCAGTTGACTCGATCTTCCTGCTGATATTCATAATATTCGAGCATGAGCGTTGGTGGCTATTCAGCTCTGTTCTGGAGAAATCGACTCTTGAGTGATATATACCCGGGTTTTATTAAATCCCTTTCGTTGGCATGGAAGCCCCTGTATGCTACTTTTCCCTCCATAAGATCCTCATCTCACACAATTTTTACATTAGCACCAAGGGTCGAGCTATGATATACTCACAGCCTGAAAGGCCACTTAAATCTGATTTGACGTAAAGTTCACCTATGTATACACTTCCCCACACAGCCCGAGGGAGGCTGATGCGAGACGCCCAGCCCAGGCTGACCCTAGATCGCCAGGAACACGCCCCAAACTTCACCAAGTGGGTGAACATACTAAATTTAGAGCGGATACGGGATAACCTACTAGTCTAGTAGATCCACTGATCCTATCAAGCTTTCCCCAGCATACCTCGTATTCGGCTACGCCCACTCCCCACCCAGATCGAACTATACATGCCCGCGCATTATGCCAAGGCATCCAGTGCAATAGCACCAATCTTAGTTGGAGTAGGAACTTCATAACTCTTTCTGGTCATTTGGTCACGAGATCGTTTTTCTGTGATGTGAACCCAACTGCTCAGACAGATGAGAGGTTGCAGGTAACGTATTCCACGGCAAACCCGCCACCCCCAAACACCATAGTAAATGCGAAAAATTAGAACTTCGTATCTCAATGACGATTGATTATTCTACCTGAAGCTATTGCCCTTAGCTATAACCATCTATTTTAAGTGAGATTTATTAATCTTCTAGAAAGTTAGCTAATATTAAACCGCTTTACCAAAAATTACAGGAATTCTGTCGCTTAGTACACGTAAGTAGTATCTACGATAGTAACCTACTATAAGGGCATAGAGGATTGTATAGTAAGCCTAGTAGAGCCTAGTAGAACATAAGGTTATATATGTGACGCATGACTACCTTTGGGACTGAGGGGGAACGTGATCTGGAAAGAGCCGTTAGCCTAAATATTATAGTGTCCTATTAGTAATTATAAGTAACTATAGGCCTTAGTTTATAAATACATTTTAGGGAAAGATATATAAGATATTATTAATTTAATAATAATTATTAATTGCTTTTTATCTGTGAAGAATCTACGTGTTCAGGGTAGAAGCCCTGTCGGTTAGGTAAGGAAGAATGTCTGGACTCAAGTCTGGTATTGAAAGAAGCAAGACTGATTCTTGCTAAGTCTAAGTTATCTGGAAACCCTCTCGTTTTAAGTACGAATCGGGTCCGAGACTTGCTTATTACACTGCAGGGTAAACCTTCACCGCTAGTCCTTGGTATTCCTTTACAAGCTCCTTTACGTATTATATTATTCCGAGGAAAGAATACACAGAGGGCTTTTATACGGTTTCTATTGCTAGCAAAGTAGATAAAAGAAGGAAACTAGGATTCTAGGTATTTTATACCCTAAACGATCTCTTCTAATCTACCTATATCCACTAAAGACTACCTAGTACAGTCAGAGATAAGGTTAAGCCACGCCGCCATTAAGAATAAAAGTATATAGATAGTCACTAGGCGATAAATAAGCTTTTTATATAGCTCATTAGTATATATATTAGTCTATACTATATATAATATGCCGTCACTTAAATCCACGACCTCTTTCCCCCTACTATCATACTAATTGTCTCATAAACTTCACTATTAGCTTTTCGAAGTCTTGAAATAGCGAGCGTAATTAGATAGCTAGTTATCCAGAGAACCTATTTATAAAAGCTAAGGAATCTGCCTGACTATCGTGAGGTCCGACTTATGGCTTAAAAATCATGCTTTTTATATATTAAAGAGGGTGGTAACTTCCTCAGTTTACTGCTCGCTAGTTATCCACTTTGAAACATTCTCTGCATGCTGCCACCGAAATCTAAATGGTTAAAAAAGCTGCTTCTGTTTCCCATACGCTCAGCGACTAGGAACTATGAGAGTAAAGAAGGTAAGCTAAACACTTCCACTATGCTCGCCCTATCGAGGTGGGACTCAATTATGCAGAGTTTATATCATGATACCGATGCCACGTACTTTAAGAGCAGCACCAGCAAAATCTAACTTGGCTATAACAGGCTTTGAGGTTTTACATTTATTTTCAGGCCGTGGTATACTCAATGTTCTCCAAACATGTATTGAATTGTGATAGTCTATATGTCGCTCACTAATGGGTCGGGGCAAATACTCTCGCGCACGCATACTCCTTTCCATTCCTTCACTTTTTCTCCCAGAACAAATTAATATCTTTACCCTCAATCCAGTCTGCCATAGCCTTGTACATGTCGAAGAAACCCTCATTTTCTGCGTTAGGTAGGTCGTTCAAAATTGGGTGGCCCAGCGAATGTTGCGCTACGGCCAGATACTGATAGCCGGGTGTGTACTTTGCAAGTTCTTCTTTGGGGAACTCGGGTACACTTTTGCCATCTACCGGAACGACCCTGTCCTTCTCGTAGAACAATTTGACGTATTGTGCCTTCCACTCATCTTTCTCCAACTTGCAGAAGAAGATGAAGCGGCAGTCACAGTCAATGTCGATAGGAATCCCCTGAAGGGTGAATCGCTGCGTGATTGTAGCTTTCATTTTCCCCACGCCTCGACCTTTGCTGAGGTTGACATTGGCGAGTGTACCATTCTCCCGATGCGCGATAAAGTCGCCATTGTCGCGGCCTTTGATAGAAACATCTATGAATTCATCAATTGGGAGACCGCCGGACCAAGCTGTATAATAAGTTAATGGACGATCGTTTCAAAGCTTCCCCTGACTTACTAGTCCAGACGTAAGCGCCCTCGCTGGTAAAAAGACTGCGGTAATTGTGCCATTCGGAAAAGTCTCTGTAAACTGGCCAACCTTTGCAGAGTTCAACGATGCACTGCCTAGCAAGTTTCTCTTCGGTGCTGCCATTGATATGGTTGCTGTGAACCCGTTCTGTTTCTTGGGCTGGAACGTTGTAAGGTTTGTGCTCGTTTGCAGACATTGCGGCAACAAAATAGAAATGAGATAAAATTGAGATAAAATTGAGAGTTTATAACCGAAATTATTTCGATATCGACAGACATCGAAAATTGCAGAGCGAATCTTAGCTTTTATAGAGCCCCAGAGGAATAAAATGACGATATATCCCAATTATGTGAGATCATAAACTGCGATCAACATAAAGTTTGAATATGGGTCAGCGGAGCCACCAGGTTGTTTGCGGCTTCCCGGAAGCGACGGGATTATGTTCGGAATCTATCCCGAATCAACCTTCCTCCATTTTACCTGAGCGCCAAGCTTGAGACAATGGTTCATATAATCATAACACTCTAGATTCAATGAAAAAACCTGTTTAGAGCCCTATACAGGATCCCTGTCGCAATACCCACCCAATGATCTTGTCTTTAGCCTTCGGTATCGGACCCGCGACTAAAGGCTTTTCGGGAGCGTCGGATTTCAGTTTGATCTCGTCAACTCTTGTTCTATCACAAATTACACTTCAAGATTGCGCCGAGCGGAAGATCAATGGCTATGACACGCCTATGACGTTGAGAAGCCATATACTTGGCCCAATATTTTATCATTATCCGTGCCTTGCGTACCATACTAAAGTGACTGCATTCCCCTCTCGAAACGAAAAACATAACTAGTCCTTTACCAGAAATTTCACAAAATGGCCAAAAGGGTCGACGTGGCTATCGTGGGATCTGGTTCTGCTGGACTCTGCGCTGCTCTGTGGCTGTCAAGGTACAACATTCGTTGCAAAATTTTCGAGAAGCGCGATGGACCTCTTAAGCTTGGACATGCGGATGGCGTGCAATGTCGAACAGTGGAGATCTTTGAGAGTTTTGACATCCACTCCCAGTTGCTGGATGAATCGCATCCTATTGTCGAAGTCATGTTCTGGGCTGCTGAAGACACCAAATCCGGCATACGTCGACAAGGTCGGACTGCAGACCCGCCACCAGGGCTGTCACATCAGCCGCATGTGGTCTTGAAACAAGCCAGGGTCAACGAACTGATGATTGAGGAGATGGGAAAAAAAGGTCAAGGGGTGGACTACGACTCCAACGTCGTAGACGTCATTTATCACAAAAATCGTGATGAGTATCCCATCACGTGTATTGTGGAACAGAATGGCGTACAGGAGACCTTTGAAGCCAAATATTTGCTGGTAAGTACTATGAATTGAACTTGAGAAAAATTTGGTTGACTTTTATTAGGGTTGTGATGGTGCTCACAGCACAACCCGGCACGCTTTGGATATCAAGATGGAGGGAGATAGCACTGATGCTATTTGGGGAGTTATGGATGGTGAGGAATCCATTCATTGGTATGAGGCGTTGTTCTAATAATATTCCAAAAGTGACTGTGCAGACCGATTTTCCTGATATCAGGAAGAAGTCGACTATTCGTACCCCGGAAGGCAGCGTTCTGATCATCCCACGCGAGGATCCTGGTCTTATACGTTTCTATGTGGAACTTCCGCACGGAACCAATTCCAAAGAAGTCCGGCTAGAGACCATCCATGAGATGGTACGCCGAATCATGCGCCCATACTCCTTTGACTTTAGAGGATGCTTATCTTGGTCGGCATATTCTATTGGGCAGCGAGTTGCTAGTTCACTGCATCAGGACTATCGCATCTTCCTTACCGGAGATGCTTGCCACACACACTCTCCCAAAGCAGGACAAGGTATGAATGTGAGCCTCCAGGACGGGTATAACATTGGATGGAAACTAGGCATGGTGCTCTCGGGAAGGGCAAATCCGTCGCTCCTGAAGACTTATGTGACTGAGCGTGAGAAGATTGCTGAAGATCTGATCGACTTTGACCGCCGCTTTGCACGTATCTTTGCATCCGATGTTGACCAACCGGCAACTCCAGAAGAATTTGAAGATGCATTCGTTAAATCCGGCAAATTTACCACAGGTTTAGCTGCAACCTACGAAGAATCGGCGATCACTGCAAAGTCGTCCAAATCGCATTCGAAAACAATTGAAAATGGCATGCGGTTCCCTACTTCTCAGGTAGTGAGATACTGTGATTCAATACCAACGCAACTATTGAAGGTATTGCAATCCGACGGAAGATGGAGGATTGTCGTGTTTGGGGGTCAATTGGAGAACCTTGACAGAGTGAACAAGGTAATAAATCATGAGGATTCTAGGTGGACAACCATTTAATTCATTTGCAGATTGGGCACTTTTTCCTCTCGGCCAAAAGCCCTTTGATGGCCTACAAGAGCAAGCACGATTCCATCGATAGCTTGATAGAAATCTTGCTTGTTATGAAGGGAGATCGGTCGAAGATTGAATTCAAGGACTTTCATCGTGCATTCTGGCCGGAGACGGGAGATCTGAACTTGAATGGTACGTCGCTGTTGGGACGAGAAATCCGTGAGTTCAAACCTAGGTTTGGTACTAATTGGCATAGATTTGAACAAAATTTACTTCGACGATGAAAGCTATCATCATGGTCACGGTCATGCATACGACGCGTATGGCATTGATGCTAAATCAGGCTGCATCGTTGTAGTAAGGCCTGATCAATGTAAGTCTTCTTTCCACAGTACTCGAACATTATCTAATTGATAAAAGACGTTTCTGCCATATATGGGTTGGAAGAGTATGAAAAGTGCTCGGAGTATTTCGGGCAGCTTTTCTGCAAGCCAAAAGACTAGAATCTGAAAATAAGACAAGTCCTTCTGCTTAAGTCTGCCAGATTTGTCTATGTGCCTTCCTGAAGCCGGCCGTCAGTGGTTCCAATCAAATGTCTGTTGTCTGCTTCTCGCTAGAGGCTTATATAATTATTCTTGCTTTAGTAGTAGGTTCCAAGTACAATGTAGTGTTACTCGCGAAGAACTAAACTAAGTACATGAAAGAGTGTCCTTATATATCTTTCGCCTCTAATTCCTGGTCATACCTGAGGTATACCAGTGCTTGGCGATGTACGGCGGTACATCAGGATCACGTGTGTTGGGTTTACCGTCACCTAGTGTTGTGGTGTATTCTCTTTCCTTGTACAGTATGCATATATAAACATTCAAATTTGAGAAGGTAATTTAAGAGGATGAAACTGGACCAGAGCATTAAATTGTTCATCGTTTTAAGATCATTCTCACTGGTATCAGTGAGATACCAATGAGGGTGTGAAGGTGTTTATAGATTTTGTTATCTATATTTTGTATATATCCTGAAGCTTAGTTATAAACTACCGAATGTAACGAAGTTTCTATAGTGCCGACTACCTACACTTTCCGATAGATTCTCTGACCCTAAAGCTAAGATATTTAGACGGAAATACTTAATTAAGGACAGTCGGCTCTTTTGTTTCTGAGCTCTCTATAATGATACCCTTTAATTCTCCTTAGATAATCTAGCAAGGCTCTCTTCTAGTTATAAGACCTTGATAACTATATTCTAGTAGATTACGTATAGGTTATACCCTATTATCCAGTCGCCTCCTAGTAATCTTAGTAGCTATATTTTAAAGGAATCTCAGATATAAAATAAGAGGTAAGAATGTTTAATAATATAGACGTCTCCTAGGTATTTACCTAGACCTATAGATTAGAGATATTCTTTAAGCACTGAGCTAAAAAATCCTAAAGTAATGTTCGACGATCTAGAAAAATAATCGGTGCTATAGATATAACTAGCTCTATTACTACTTATAGTCTGCTAGATTTTATATTTAGTAGACTGCGAGCGCTTAGCCTTAGTATATTAGTCCGGATTTAACTTAGAACAAAGCTTTTGGGTACTATCTTACTATATAACTATAAGATAGCCTAGGGATATTAGGGTAAGAGTAATATATATATATATAGACCTAACTATTTAGTATTTCTATAACTACCTAGCTTTTAATTAAATATAGCCGCCAGAAGTTATTGTAGCGGCGTAAGAGATTATTACGACGTTTTGGGACCCGAAATGTCTTCATATTTGTTTAAGATTTGAAATTAACAAGGTCCATTGAGAATATGCCACGATGGCGAGTACCTCGCATTGATGATGCAATCGCAGCTGGTCGATGGACTCGGAATGTGCCCTAGTTCACGCAGCCATGACTGGCGATATCGCGCTTTGCGGGGTCGACGTCGTGATGAGAAAGCTGATTTGGAGTAATCCAATCAAGTGAATCGATGCTGTTGCGCGATCCCAGGCTTTGAAATGTCAGAACTTCCTGTCAGTCTACGCTATCTTTAACAAGAAACTGAATGTTTTCTATACTAGGCGTCTCGAGCGAACTTAAACTGTCGACTTGGCTTCAAATCAACATGTCCGCCGTGCAGAATAATCTCGTGCCCGCTCAGCCCCATATCCAGTATCATCCTGACTTTGAGAAATATCAAGACCGTACTCGTCGTCGCCAGGAAACTGAGACTCTGCAGGATACTGTGCCGGTAGGGTTCCCTCGGAAGTTGAATTCCCCACTTGTTTGGGAAGGGAAAGACATTGAGAAACTGGATGACTGGATCTATCATTTGAGTGATGTTCAACTCGACGAGATCGACAAGGGTCTACAGAGTTTCAAAAGTGCGTTCGTGGCAACTCCAAAAGACGTTCCAATACCAAATGTACTAAGGACCTCAGCGCGCAATCTCTCCCTGGGTCACATCAGCGACTCTACATTCCCTCTTCCTACTCTTCACTCGGTCCTTCGAGATCTCTCCAAGGAGATCCAGACCGGCCGAGGCTTTGTCGTTCTTCGGGGGGCTACGTATCGATGACTACTCTCGAGAGGATAATATCATGATTTACGCTGGCGTGTCCTCCCATTCTGGCAATATTCGAGGACCTCAGCAGGATACCAGGCTGGAAAATGGCACTTCTCCCATAATCTCGCATATCAAGGACCTCACCGGTATAGTCGACGAGGACAAGATCGGCGCACCATCCAATACTGCCGATAAGCAGGTATTCCACACCGATGCAGGAGATATTGTTTCCCTGCTTTGTCTAGGCCCTGCCGCCGAGGCAGGAGAAAGCTATCTATCAAGCAGTGGACACGTCTACAACATCTTGGCCAAGGAAAGGCCAGACCTCATCCACACATTGTCTCAAGATTGGCCAGTCGATGGGTACGTCGTGAAAGCAGCAAAAACATATACACTAGTAACAAGAAAACCACAGATTCAATAATCCCCAGAAGCCATACACACTTCGGCCTCTCCTCTATCACCAGGCTGCCACCGCAACTACTCCTGAACGTGTTCTGATTCAGTATGCACGACGGTACTTCACTGGTTTTCAAGCCCAGCCACGATCTAAGGATATTCCACCCATCACCGAGGCACTCGACGCGCTGCATATTCTGGCAGAGAAGCACCGCGCCGCACTAGATTTTCAATAAGGTGATGTGCAAATATGTGAACAATCTTAGCATTTTCCACGCCCGAAGTGGGTTTCGCGATGAGCCCCGAAAGCAGTATGTTTGCATCCAACATCCCCATGTCTGAGAAAGTTTCATCGTCCTGACTACCTTAGGCGCCACTTACTGAGACTTTGGCTCAGAGACCCGGAGAATGCTTGGGAGACACCCGAGCCACTGCAGCATCGGTGGGATACGGTGTACAAGGAAGTGACTCTGGAGCAGCAGGCGTTCCCCTTGGAGCCGGCTCTTCGTAAGAATGTGGGCTCGTAGACGCATCGTTTGAATAGTGCAGAGCAAAAGCACTTGAACTTATTGTCTTCGTTGCGGGCCCGAATATTTGAGAGTTGCGTACTAGTAGCGGGTGTGCGTACCAGATGTGAGGAAGGTACTCACCATATCCTATTCGCTAAATGACTGCTTGAGCATTATCTCTGATTCATCTCATTGCCTCAACGGAACTAGTCAGGCTCCATCAGGTTAATGGAAGTTCGATCACCTTTTCATCAGACCGACAGGAAGAAATTTCGTCTTTCCTAGTCCGTCTCAATTTGAAGCTCTGTGAGACTTAGCTGAAATCTCCCATAGGAAGGACCTATGAGAGAGAGGAAACTCGAAGAATCGCCCAAACACTTCATCAAAATAGTCAGGCTGATAGTGGCATTTAGGTCTGATCTACCTTGAGGTCAATTTCTATTCGTGACCTCAATTGACATTTAAGTCCTTGTCTACACATGGAGCTCGGCCGCCCGCACATTTACTGGTGCATCCACTCGCTTGCCTGGCTCGTCCCCTCGCAGCCGATCAGTTTCATCGCCAATTGATCCATCAGCTTCAATCCTCCCAATGATCCCCTTGCTCTGTCCCGCTTTTCAAGATAGGCAATCAAGCCGATGAATGGCAGAGTCAAAGCTCCTGTCACTAAGCTTGCGACATAGCCTTTATGAAAATTCGGAGCAGCCGTGGCAGGGTAAAAGACCAGAGGCCACCAGGTAACAAAAGCGAAGTCGAACGAATTCATGAACCCGGTCGTAATGGCGCGCAGCTGGAAGTCATGACCAGTCACATCCGCCATCCACGAGTACCATACTGCCTGAGGCGCAAAGGTCGTTCCGAGCAGATAAAACGCGAAGAAATACCCCGCATCTGTCGATGGACTTGAAACCAGAATGGATGAGCCAATGACAAAGGTCAACCCGATGGCAATGGAAACTTCCCAGCGAGACTGCAGCTTGTCGGATATCATGGCATAAGCAAGGGTACCGACAATCGCGGTCGCATAGATGCCGGTTGGGTAATTGTTCTGTTGGATGGTCGTGTAACCTCGAGATGCCATCCAGTATGCCATGACGTTATTTTGCAGCATTTGCACGCAAAGAGAATACACTGGGAACCGTGAGTGTGGTGTAATTTTCTAGGATCATGCAGGGGAAACTCACGCATGAAGATAAAGGGTAACAGCCAGAATTGCCAGCTGAGTAGGACACGTTTAAACACGGTCACATCCCACGACTGCTTGCGGAGCGCACCGAGTCGAGTCGCAGCGTGCTCCTTCTCCTCCGGGCTTAGATACCACGCTGCGCGATGTGCGGGCAGATCGGGAATGAACACCCAACCTATGGAAAACCGCGTCTGTTAGTGTTTCCCTTCTGTCACAATGTAGAGTCCGGCGAGCATACCGAATAAGGCGACTGGAATTGTTATCACCGATACGATAATGAAGATCCATTTCCAGGCAGGAAGGCCACCCTTCCCCGCTAGTGTTGCTAGCAACCCTGCTTGAATCCATCCGCCCGCCATCGTACCTAATTGACCGAAAACACAGAAGACAGCAGCTCGAATGCCCAACTCGGACCTCTTGTACCACGAACCAAGAATGAATTGGGCTCCCACACTGGTTTGCAGTCAGCGTCTAGACTTCAAAAATCCTCCGATTGTGTTTGTGGATAAACTTACTATGCAATGGCGGAAAATCCTCCCTCGATTGCATTCAAAAGAATAACCTGCCAAGCATGGGTCATCTTATACGTGATCAAGGTCAAGATGCTCCAGGTCAGATTCGCTGTGACGAAGACATATTTGGGCCGCACGATCGTCAAGAGACTAGTCCCCGGCATCTGGCAGACGGCGTAAACCACTAGGTACGCGGTACTCATGTAGTTGTACTGTTTGCCATGGAAGCCCAGAGCCTCCTTCATGCCGCTGATATAGGCAGAGGAATAGCTCGCCCGAGTGACGCCGAACAGGAACCAGATCAAGGAGAAATATGGGAGGAGGGTCACATCGAGTTTGGCCAGCAGCGCACGATCCTTGGCATTCGAGCCCCAGAGCCATATTGCAAGCCATGTCGTCGCTGCACCCATGATGCGAAACTAGTCTCTGTCAGGAGACGGGAACTGGGGGACTGCGACCGATGCAGTGGCTGGATGAAAGCTTTTGTCGCCCTTCCTATCGCACAATTCTGACGAGCAATCTGGATCAGGCTTGACACTTAGTGTAATACCCCAGAAGATGGCTGCCATCCGTCATCACACACTAGGCGACCAAGACTTCACGAGTCAGGCAACTTTGCCCCTTCCGCCCTGGGAAGTGCTCATCCACCAGATCGGACAATAGGAATGCCAGGACCAGGAGGCGACAGACTCTCCATAGACGGCAGAATCAGGATCGAAGAACTGTCACTGGTGCGAGGAGACAAGGCCCGCAAATCACATGCAGAGCAGATACCTGAGGGGAGTGTTCGAGATTTCATGATCCTTAGCCATCACATTGTTTATCCCTAGAATGAGACTGGGCGAAATACAAATGACCTGCAGGAAATTGATTCAATTTTCAACCATTAAAACACATTCAACACCCGACCTCGCCATTTTACTTTTTTCCATGTCTTGTTTACTCTTCGCTCGAATCGAAATAAAGGGATTCGAGTTCCCGAACTATTTATAAGGTGAAAAAAAATGCTAATTATTTTACGAGAATTTAGTATATCTCCTTAATCTTGCACACCATCCTTGGGCATTCCGGCAAATTTGTCTCCTCAACTGGAAGTACAAATCCACCCCGCCATACTGTCTTATCTTCGCGATCGCAAACCGCGGCCACGAGTGGGTCGCCATCAATTCGCAGCCCCCGCGGTCGGGTTGATCTGGTTTCGACGCACGTTGCACCTCCAACAAACCGGTCGGGCTTTGGATGAATTTGTCTGCTAGCGACATACTACACCAGTCTCACAATGAGTTCACTTGACCTCTCTAGCCTTCTCATGAAATCCTCTGTCTTGCTCGGTCACTTTGTGACATTGATTGATCTTTGGATCAAGCATATCTGTTCTTTTGCAGTGATTTACAGTGGGACATATTTCCTTTGTCTATTCCCAGAATGCTTTTTGTATACCGTCGCAGCTTGGCTGTCTAGCGACTGCAAAAAAGGGTCAGTAAGGGTTCCGCTTCGGTTCGCAGGGTGAACAGAGTCACCGAATAGCTAGCATAGTCCGGGCGCGTGGAATGGCTTGGAATGGTACAGAGTCTTCAAGAGCATCTCGAGAGAAAAGGCAGAGTGAACCACGTTGCATAAGATCTTTAAGACCTGCGGCTAATATGTAGCTCTGGGAAGTTTGTTGACCCCTGATAGGGCCGACCATGATTTAAAGCTACGCATATGCATCACGGGGTGTGAATGATCCTAAGCACTTCCACATCGCAGCTTGCGCTTTGCGAAGTCCTTCAATTTTTCGATGTGTTACTGCGTGTCTTGGCTTTTCCAGCTCAGTGCCTGCATCGAAGTGACTGGGCCAACATAAACCTGGTTAGGATGGTGCATGGCCAGCGGCCACAAGCCGTCTAAGCCCGTTGATTGGGACACCAATTGGGCATACATGTCACCCCAGATCAGACCCCCGAGGATACGCATCTGGCTATTATAGTGGGGCGACTCGTCCGGTCTGTCGAAGCCAACGACCGGATCGAAAGAAGGGTCGATAGCGAGAACAAATGCCGGCGGAGTCGCCTGGAAGCATGCCAGAGGGGGCGGCGTCTTCGGGTTTGGTGGTGTATGATGCAAAGGACGCCGGGTCAATAGCCAGAAATACGTCTCGTTGTAGTTTCAGAGAGATTTTGCTCTCGTTCTCAGCTGAATCGTCGTTGAATGTCTCGTTGAAATGCCATAAGTTGACTATTAGCTTGGCTCTTTCCATCTACTTGAGGATGGGTAGGTACGAACCTTTTGGCTGCCTCAGTGTCACCCTCCGCAAGACTAAGTTCCCTTCCATCTATCCAGTGGAGTTTCAAATATGGCTTGATAGCGTCACTGCCTGTTTGGCCTGTTCCCCAATCAAATATGCTTGTTTCCAAATTTTGAACAAATTCAATCCATTTTTGCTCGGATTGTCCATAAGTCAGACGATAAACGGCCAGCCCATGGTTTTCGATCAAGTCATTCTGTTTCGCGTACTCAATCTGAGCTAACGCGGCAACGATCCATGGCTCCTGCAGCGTGGAGTCGAGCGAATCCCCACGCATCTCTCTTCTGACTTGTTCATGGGCAGTCAATTGATCCATTGCTGAATCAAAAAGGGATTCACCAGAAGTTTGCTTGGTGTTGTCACCGCTTGAAATCCTTTCAACGATTCTCGTAATCATGACCTGGTCACTGACACGCTTCATGTGTTGGGCGTACGCCGGGCCTCGTTCAGTAATGTCCTTGGAGTATATCTCTGGTGGCCCGTTCCCCTTTTTTGGGGCCTTGTAGCCTTTGTAGCCTTCCATTGGTATCATGATGTTATAGTCCGCTCGAATGGAGACTTCTAGCAACATCTGGACCGCATCCCCTAGTTCCCACTGCTTCTCATCTGAAAAGACCGTTTCCTTGTTGGAAGGTTGATATGTAAGAACTTCCTGCATTATTGGAACTCTCAATTCGTCGACATGTTGTCGGACCCATTTGTGTGCGCGTTGAGTGACCACCTCTAGATGGGCAGTCATGTACATAGTCCAAAGATCGGCGACATTGACATGCTCCGCACCAGTCTCGGTCCTGCGCTTATTGATCACCGTTTCGAGCGTTTCGCAGAGATCGTGAATGAGGTTAAAGGTCACGCGAAGGTTCTCTTGTACCTGGTGGGTGTTGAGATACTCAAACACTGCGACTACCGCTGACAGCTGCTGACAGGCTTGGTCGAAGTTCTCACGGAGGTGAAGTTCCTTTTCCTGCCATCTTTGATCGCTCAAGGGCGAAATGCCTTCCCATAGCCGTGACTTGAGAGACTGCATATTTTTGCCGACGCCGCAGAGTCAGCTACTGTCTTCGTGTGAGCCGACACGAGCCATGATACGATCCATGATGGAAATTCCATTGGAGCCTGGTGGGTAGCTGCCTTGCAAAATGGCGATGTCTTCCTCGACCAGATTAGTGACGGAAGGCCGCGTCCCATTTGGAAGTGGATTTCCAAAGGCAAATCCAATGAACTTCACGGCGGTCTGGGGTTCTAGAATGCGATCGACTGCGCCATGGAAATGCCTTGTCAATCAGCTGGTTTCTTGCAGATCTTGATGATCGATGAACCTAGAATGTGAACGAACCGATGAGCAGATCTTGTGCCTGGACGTGGATAGCAGTTATCGCGTTTCCGGGAGCCTCCAGATGGAGGTATGGGGTCCCTATTTCGCTGCTCGCCCTTGTTGAATTGTCATTGCGCGTGAAAGATGTATTTCGGAACCAAGATTTATTAGTTACGAAACCCGCTTTCAATTGCTTTTGATGGGGCCAACGAGCCCGTAACAGCGGTATAAACATCGAAAGCCGCTTGGAAAAACTGGAGTGGATGGTGGTGTCCCGGTCCTTGACGGGGTTTTTTTATTATCGAGCTAATGTAAACTACTATTCGCACGAGAAGTCATGGTCTTGAGCAAAGAGCAACAACAATTCCACGAATTTTGTACGATTTAATTTATCCTTGGCACCTTGAAATGGAAGGAACCCTCACCAAAGTGCTCCTAGCTATGATTGATCTACCTTATCCTGCATGCTTCAATATGTCCTTAAAAATAACCAACTTTTGCAGACGAAACGCAGCAGGAGTATCAGCCACCTGTGGCTGTCCACTTCCTTGTCACATGATACGATGTCCATGTATCACGTGAACTATGACATAAGGCCCACATGCTGGTATCAACAGAGCCGTCAAGCTTCATCACTGTTCGGAGCTGGTCATTCTGGTTATCACCAGCAGATTGTTTAATTTGAATCAGACCGCTCAAGCTCCAAAACACACAACATGGCTGAGTCAGGTGGCTGGACCACTATTGAGTCCGATGAGGTACATTTGATCCCACCGCAGTCTGAGCGATCAACAGCTAATAACCAACAGGGCCTTTTCACCTCTCTCATCGAGACCCTAGGCGTGAAAGACACCCAATTCGAAGAATTGATCTCTCTCGACGCCGACACAATACGCTCACTAGGGCATGTCCATTCCCAGCCCCAATTCTCCCAATCCAACTAACACCGCGCAGCTCCGTCTACGGCGTAATCTTCCTCTTCAAATGGACCCGCGAAGCAGCCGGTGCCCGCGCCGAAGCGCCCCTTGACGGAACCTACGATCCAAGTGCAACAGACAACGGCGTATTCTTCGCCGCCCAAACAATCCAAAACGCCTGCGGCACGCAAGCTATCCTCTCTGTGATTTTGAACCACGACAATCCGCCGGCCCCTCTCCCACCGATCCAGCTCGGCGACGAGCTCCGCTCCTTCAAAGAGTTCACAGCTGGATTTCCACCCGAACTTCGCGGTGAAGCGCTCTCGAACTCCGAAGCCATCCGCACAGCACACAATACATTTGCGCGCGCGAGTCCCTTCGCTGATGAAACGGCCCGGCCGCAGGATGAAGAGAATGCAGCGGATGTATACCACTTCATTGCGTATACGCCTGTGAACGGGGTGCTATATGAGTTGGATGGATTGCAGCCTCATCCTATTAGTCATGGGCCGTGTGATACTGCCTCGTTCCCCGAGCAGGTCATTGAGGTCTTGCAGCGACGCATTGCGCGATATCCGCCCGAGGAAACACATTTCAATCTTATGGCTGTTGTGCAGGATCCTAGGGGACGGGCGAGAGAGATTGGGGATGTGGAGACGCTTGAGAGGGAGGAGAGGAAGAGGGCCGCGTGGCAGTGGGAGAACACATTGCGGAGGTGGAATTTTGTAGGATTCATTGGGGAGATGATGAAGGGAGTGGTGGGCATGAAGGAGAAAGACACGTCTGGGAAGGCATATACGGATTGGGTTGAGGGGGGCGAAGAAGGAGACGAGGAAAAAGTTGGAGATGCGGAGGGGATAGGGATCTGGCAGGGTTTCTTCTTTTTTTTATTTCTATGACACGCAGTTCTGTCGGGGGCGTTGATGACTACATCTGCGAATCTCAAATCTCAGATACCCTGGTAATAGATGCGGGAACAGTGAAATATTAGCTATGTACTGGCATCCAACATCGTTAATCGTCATGCTATGTCTCATACCCCCCCCAATCAATAATCTATAGCCCGCGCCCGTAAATGTTCAACCATGGGCCGAGGCAGCTCGTCTGGGTTGACCAGATGCATCGCCAAAAGATCAGACCAGAAAAATAGGGCTCGGTCCTGCGCGTAAGCGAGGTAGTCAAAGTCTTCCTCGTCGATATCAGCGTCCACCGGGAGTTTCTTGGTCTCCCCATTCTTGTTCTCATCGTGTCCATTCTTCGAAGCTCCGTGATTAGCAGAAGCAGCCAGGTCTGCAATTGCCTCTTCCATGCCTGGTACCTTTGCCTGCACGATACCCCAAGCCACCCACTGCGCGGAGTTCATCACTCGCCACAGCCGGGTCTGGTGCATGAGATCACGCACTTTAGCCTCAAGCTCTTCTTCATTGGATTGTACCTGCTGCCAGCTAGGCCCGTCGGGGGTGTCATCGAGGCTCAGAGGCGTGATGGCAGTTGCGTGGCGGCCGTGAATGGCTGGCGAGGCGGATCCACCAGCGCCTGCTCCAGGGCGATGAGTAAGATAGGTCAAGACGGAGCGCCGTTGCTCCTGGGGGTTGGGTAGAGGCGATTGTTGCAGGCCCACGCACGCTCCTCGTCGTGATAGTTATAACACCACTCAGTCTATGGAAGTCAGAAAAGCTGGCCAAACGGCATGATCTATAGACTCACAAAATGGTTGGCAAACTCATGGCCAGGAGTATTTGCCGAAGAGTACTCAAAATCAATAACAACGAGCTGCTTGTGCTCGTTTGCTGGAAGGAGAAGCGGCGATTCTGAGGCAGGTTCCATGCGGAGTAGGTTGCCATATTGAGTCTATTGAAGTCAGCATCAAGGCATACCAGATTATTGAGAGAACCATACATCGTTGTGAGCAAACACAAGCCGCCGTTTGATCTCATCCATGCCACCGCAACTAGCAATCAGCCAAAGTCGATAGTTGTCCACCGCCTTGCGGAACATAGCCCATGGCACACCGCAGACGAAGCCGCGTCGGCGCCACGGTTCAGTAGCTGCCTTGATCTCGTTTTGTGGCGATTCTAGCTCTTTATCAAGCCAGGTAGTTACTTGCTCGCATCGGTCAACCCATTTATCCCAATTTTTGAAAATCATAGGCCCTCCTTCTCGCTCCTCTTCGAGAAGTTCGATGCCATCGTGAAGTTCTCTCATTCGCTTGGCAATCTGCTTTGCGGTCTCAGGGAGACGAAGCTCTTTCGGTGTCAAGGGGCGGGCGTCGAAGTATTCTTCAAATCGGCCGTTCAGGAAAGTTCCCAACACGCGAGGTCCGATGTTCTTGCGGCCCAGACGACGCAATATTTGCAGTTCCTTCTCACGATCGATCAAATGATCCACTTGGGGGCCATAGATACGCAGCAAAAGGTTCCTGTTGAAGAGATTAGTTAAAATTTATATAACACCTCCAATACTCAAGAACTTACGGTGGAGGCTTCCTTGAGACTGGCGGGCCACCTCGATTCTCAGTCTTTGGAGCAGGCAAGTTCTTCGGCGGCCGCACAACATACACGGCGTTAGTCAAAGCACCGCTGAGTCGAACAACTTCAATTTCATCGGCGCTTTCCATTGGCACCTTACGCCAGCCCCTGAGCTGCAGCGTATGCGCAAGCCGCACAATCTCAGTCCTAAATGTAGTCCAGGCCTCGCGGTCTTTGCTACGCTTCAAAGAAGCGCTGCTAGCGGTAATATCTTCATCTGCGGCATCGTTCGTCATGTAGGCAAGGGTCTTCGAATTGTCGAGATAAGCTTCCACGCCCGGGACGGGCGCTTCGACATCCGTATAATCAGATTCCGAGGCAGATCCACGTCGCAACCCCTTCGGGCGGCGGCGAGATGCCCGCTTTATGGACTGTAGGGCACCGAGCGCATCTGCATTTCCAGGACCTGCAAACTGAAGGAGGATCTTCTCCAGCTTATCCAAAGAGAAGGTACTCTCAGAGCAAGGGTGGGGCTCATCCGATCGTTCGTCCTCAATTGGAACGCTAGAACTGGTGCCTTCTGCGTTCTCAGATACAGCCTCAGCTCGTCGCGCCTTACGTGCCTGTCTCCTGTTCTTCTCATGCTGCAGCCAATCGTATACCTGGTGAAATAGACCCAGCTGAGGATCTTCCGCCGGCTTGTTGGATTGCTCAGTGTCATCGATCGCGGAGGAATCGGCCTTGAAGCTGGAGTGGTTGCTTAGGGCTGAAGGCATGGTGGGATTGATAGGAGGACGGGCGGTGACTTTGGCCACAGGTGCGCGGTACTGCTTGAGGGAGGGTGCGTCAGGTGGGGAGGCAGGAGTGGTCCCACGTGCGTGCAAGGACTTGCGCAGCGAGGGGATGTCCAGGCCCGTTCCCGAAATGGGCGGCGAGTCTACCGGGAGTCAGTAAATCTATGTCCAGGTCCGAGAGAAAGAGAGTTGCGTTTGGAAGATGCCGACGTCACGATCGTCACAATCGGGCACGGCCCGATTGTGACAGCGGGGGATACAAGCAAGGAGCGATTGGTACTGATAACAGCGGAATGTCGCGAGGGCAATTTGGCTCTTAAAATATACAATGTCGACGTCGCAGAGGGAGGGACAAAAGCCTACCTGCTACTTCGGACCCAGGGCCAGCATGGTCTTCGGTGAAGGAGGGCATGTGCGCTAAGCGTAATTGCCCCAGACGCCACCAAGGAGTCGGGCAAAAAGCGCGCTGACACAGTCACGAAACCAGGTACAAAAGTAGGTTGTGAGCAGATCAAGGGCTCTGTTGGAGTCGCAAGGAATCTGAGGAGCCGAAGAGACAAACGTGGAGGTGGGGTGTTATTTTTTTGGGCCCAGAAAAAGCGCGGGCAAGCGAAGCGGAAACGGTCCAGTGGTCAAGCTAAGGGTCCTTGGGTGCACCCAAACTTAGCCAAACAATTGGGAGTAGCCACAATAAGTGTATTTTGAACAACAGAAGATTTTGGAAGTGCCTGTATTGTGGGAAAGGAGCACACGAGCAAAAGAGAAAAAAAAATTGTGGCAAAACGGCGCTTATCGTGCTCAGGTGACTCGTAGCCTAGTCGATCTGCCATTCACGGTCCCTGCACGATAGATGCGGTCTACTCCCGAATCGAAGGAGCCAGAAAGGCTTAGCCGGCTCCGACTGGGCCCATGGTCACCGTACGTACGTTCCGAGACAAGAGTCTCCGCAGGCATCGGGGCAGTCATTCGATAATTATCAGTTAGGGTATGGATTGTCCTCAATCGAGGATGCTGTCAAGATGGCGAAATATTTCCCGTGGCATCAGTCGCATATGGGTGATCAGATTGTTCGCAATGGCGCCATGGGCAAATGCGTGGGTTCTGGTGGTCTAATTCGGAGATTGCGGGCCTGCTCAAGAAAGGGGTGACCCATCCTGGACCGGATCGAAAGGTGGAGCCGTGCCTCAAAGTGCCGAGGTGAGAGTCAAACGAACAGAATGCCATCGCCAGAGCATTGGAGTGTGGAAATTGTTGCTGCAGGAGAGGTGAATGAAGAAGAGAATGGGGGGACAAGCTGCACGAGGGGCCTCAAAATTACCGTACGAGGGCGCGCGGTATCGCATGACGCATACCTGGTCTCAGGCAGCACAGACGCAATTGCCGGATTGTATTCGGTGTAGTGGGTATCTTCATGCTGATAATCTAGGCAAAGTTTGGCAATGGTATCGTTCTCTGCACAAATTCGATCCTTCCCTCTGAATCAAAGTGGTGGAGTGTATAGTGCAACCAACTCCGCAGCATCCCCTCTTTATCTGACCCCGACGACACACTAAAGTCAATGGTGCGATTTTCAGGTTCTGGAATACGCCCCGGCTGGGCCAGCAGATCATCAACATCGGAAGCTTGTTTGGGTAAAAAGGTGGGATTCTCCTCCAGCCCGACGATAATGGACACGATGTGACTGGCTGGGACACTCATGAAGAAGCCCTGGGCTGGCGGGGAGTCTCTCAGGCACTGAATTGCCCTGCGGCGTAAATGAGGGAAGGGACACTTAAGGCCTGTAATGAAAAGAGGGAGAAAGACTCCCATCTCGAACATGAGAGGCGGTTGTTCGCCATCCGAGCTGCGAGTCCATGCAACCGCAATCGGCGCCCAATCGACAATTTGGGCGAACTCGTATTCATAGGAATCGTATATGGAGTGGTCAGGATTGAGACAGGCTTCTGATTCGATCAAGATGCCTGTGTATGTCATCAGAAGCAGTGCAGTGGCACCACCGATACTGGTGTCCTGGACGGGCTCCAGGCAGGTGAAGAGACGATACCATTGACTGAGTCGACTTTTCAGGTGCTGTTGTCTGGTAGCTAAATCCGGTACCTCATGCAGGCGAGCATCGCCAGTCATCCGTAGATAGGCTTTACAATCAACATTCAGGGCTTTCAGTTCCGCCATGATCCCATAGAGCACATCCCTTGCCTCCTCGATTGAAACAAAGGATTCATCTGGCACGGCTAAATTGAGATCCCAGCAAACGTCCGATGCTCCGTTCATTATCAACACCCACGTTCCTATGCGGCGAAAGATAGGCTCCAAAGCGGCACTGGTAGTCGTCGGTGCTGACAAGGCACTGACCATCATTTGAGCTCCCTGTTTGTATAGTGCCTGGGCGGCCATTCGATTTCCCTGCAGGAGCTCGATGGCAATGAACAAGACGCAGCTAATCAGGGAGACGGTCAGATCTGCCACGCCCTGGTTGATTCGCTGCTGTAGACGAGATAGAGAGCGCGAGTACCAGACTAGCGCTTCGTGGTGGTAGCAATGTTTGACCGCCGCTGGGTAGTTGATCAGCTGCTCGGGCGGGGTTTCATGGACTGGAGGCCGCTCGTAGAGCGCACTGAGCGAAATAATCGCATCCCAAACTACTGGCTCACGCCGACAGAATTGCAAAACCGAGCCTCTCCAAAAAGCTCGATCAAGGACTCCCGAGAGTGACGGGCCTGCTTGGTGAAAGTAGTACTCGAACGCGCGTCGCTCTCGCGATCCTTGATTTGAGAAGGACACTAGTTGAAGCTGCGGGCGGCCCGTGGTCCTTGGAGGACTTGGATTGTTATAACAGCATCGCCGGCCGGTGCTGGTACATCTCAGGCAGTGTGGCTTCTCTTCTCCGCATCTCACCCGGCGAATTCTACGAGGATATTAGATACGGCATGACAAGGAGACCTGGGGATTACTAACTTGCACGTGTTGCATCCGGTTTTGGATTTGGTACCGCCGAGGTGACGAGGGCGTTTGGTGGTCATTATGAGATATGAAAGCTTTTGGCGCCACTTTATTCCAGAGATGAATTCAGGGTCGAAAGTGGGGGCAGAGTCTTACCTCAAACACTTCCCTGATTGGTTAGACACATCTATTTACATCGATTCTTTTAAAGTAAATTGCATCTTTTGCTTAAAGCCATCTACATTTCCGTTATGTTTCATTGTCCCAGGGGCTGAATAAACCGGTGAGTAATAGGTGGTACGTTTTCTTCCTCCGCGAAAGGATTCTTCTTGACCACAAGCCCTCACCTACCAACACCCAACCAGACATTCATGTAATTCTTTAAAATCGAAATTACTATTTCCTCTCCATGAGGAGACATGCCAGTTGCAGATCATGTCAAAAATAGAGATTCATGAGCCACGCCTGCAAGACCGCCATGAAAAATCAGCCCATTAGCATGGTCAGCCATTTCAGCTCCGTCCCGCCTCCACATGAAGAGTCGAGCGCCCTCATTAGCGAAGAACTCCCATAACGCTGGAGATGTGCAAATCGTGAGTTCAGCGGCGTCGAGAAACCTGTCAGCAGCCGAGGTGGAGGCTGGGAAGATATTCAGCTCCAGCATACGAATACAGAAAGGTGACATTAACAATTGACATAGCTTATGGTATGGCCAAAGTGCCTCGGTGAAAGGCTAGAAGAACGGACGGACTCTAGCATCCTGGAAGACGCTAAGGATGGGTGTCTAGCTGTTATTCACGTCTTCATTTACTTCTCTTTTCTTTTTGTTTTCCTTGTCTTATTTACTCTCAATTTTAGAGGAAGGTTGCGAACCTCTTTTGGTCGTTGCTCGGACACAAAGATTCGTGGGATAATAGCGTACTCTCTCCCACAATGCGATGCAGAGTCCTCAACCACCTCACTCCAATCTCCGAACCATTCCGCCAATACTTCGCACTGACGATCACCGCCACAATGGAGCCTGATGCCAAGCAAAGCTGGAGCTCACCGCGTCCATGTGGAGAAGGCAACTGAGACATGGTCAGTCGGACTCTGCGGAAGATGGCTCTGAACCCGACGCTATAATTAGGGGACTCAACTCCGAGTACATGCAGCATCCCACATAGGTATATAAGACGGCTGCTCTTTTCTCGTACCCGTCACTCCAAACTTGGTTCCCAAGCTCAGTCGGCTATAAAATCCACCCGAAGCTCCACCATGAAGTTCAGCGCCGCCATCATCACCTCGCTTCTCGCTACGAGCGCAGTGGCTTTTGACAAGTGGCAACGTAAGTCCCTTGACCATTTAGATCCGCTGTAGCACTCAATCTGACTTTGAAAACAGCCTGGGGCAAGCGTGATTATGCCTGCGTGAACGTCTACCAGGGCGTGCCCGACAACTCGACCGTGACGGCTGGTCAGACAGTCCACCTGCGCTTCGACCGCAAGCCCACATCCCACTGCGCCGACCCTTTGAGCAAGTACGCCGCTGACAAGTACAGCGTGTGGCTGTACAACAACCCCGTCCGTAATCTGGACACTATCCACTTCGACCAGCGCATTCAGATCGCTAGTGGAATCAACGGATCCGCTGGTATGGTCGATGTGACTATCCCCAAGAAGTTGCCCCAGGTCAGGGACGGGTCTGTTTGGTACCTGAGAATTGACACTTCGCTTTCGAGTGCTCCCCAGGTATTTTTTCTTCTTCTTGATTTGACGGATTTTGTTTGTACTAACTGGTATTGTTGCAGATGCCCACTATCTACAACGCCGCCGGACCCTTCACAATTACTGCTTAGATAGATTTGTATAGGATTGTGATGTTGACTGAGTAGCGGTTCAAGGTTGACGCGAATGAACCTCGAGTCTCTTTTTCTTGAAAAAAAAGAGTGTGCATAGAATGTGTCTTATTTCACCTTGAGATCAGACTCGCTGAGAAGCGCATTCTATCCTTGTTTGGTTTTAGCCGTCGAGTTTCTTGGCATGACTCGTCGCGTATTTCCCCTTCACCAATGCCCAGCGACAGATTCTTGGGGAGTCATGTGGGTAGATTTTAAGTAAAGTCTGTCCAATGCTCATCTAGCACCATCATTTATCCCTATTTGACTCTTTGCTAGAACAAGCTGAGTCAGACACGCGTTTGTGTCGCAACTAATGCCTAATTCCTTGCCCCGCCTAAGGATCCAGCCATTGATGTACTCAATCTCAGTAGCTCGACCTTTTCGCATATCTTCACGCATACTGCTGGAGTTCTGTGCTGTTTTCTCAATTGTATCCGATACCACAGACTTGAGTGAAGGAACCGAGAAAATATTCCGGTCGAGCCGCAAGCTCTGGAGCTCCGGCAAGTTTTGAAAAACCGTGGATATCTCGTGGAGAAGACGCTCGTGCAGAGGCCAGAGACTTGAATCCTCACCAATACACCCATTTCGCACATCAAGTATCGCCGTCAAGGGGTTCAGGACGCAGTTTGCCGCTAGCTTGAATAGTTGTACTTTGAATAGGTCTGCCCACGGCAAACGTTCACAGTTGAGAGATGGCGCCCGGAGCAGGACATCCATAAGGTACTCAGCCTGCGAGCTCCTTGACTTCTGATCGTCATTATCCACAATTCCAAGAGAAGCAGAACCATGAACTCCGGCCAGAACGGCCTCTGTCGGGGACTTTAAGTAAACACCGTGGCGCATGATGCCAAACATATAAATTGGCCTTGTAGAAGCATCGGTGAATATGTGCTTGTTCAGGTCATCAATTTGACCCATACCATTTTGGAACAAGCAAATGGTGGAATGCCGACCGAGGCGATGCTTGATCGGCTCGAGGGCGGATACTGTGGCGGATGCTTTCACGGCCACGATCAGATTGTGAATCGGGTCTGATGATGGCGTTCTCCCGAGCAATTCGCCATTGAAACCTGCTTGTTCTTGCAAAGGTCCATCTTCGGTCAGTCGCAGTCCTAGTTTCCAGCCTCGCGATGCGAATTCCTGGTACAGAGCCGGCCGATGAGCGAGCAGCGTCACTGGCGGTGGAGTTGGGATGGATCTGATGGAATGGGCCACGAAAGATCCGATACTGCCTAGCCCAAGTATATGAATGGATCGAGTGGGACTAGGCATGATGAGGGGCAACTAGGAGGGGCTTTGTAAGAGAGGACCCCCGGATTCATGTCGAGCCATCCAGATAGTTGCCTTAGAGCCTCAGGTGTCACTTCTAAACGGGCCGGAAATGTCGGGACAAAACAAAATGATCGAGTCCAACGAGCCTCAACACCATCATTACGGTCTATTACCAAACGCTTATCTCGGCATTGATCACTCAGTTGATCTGCAAGGTTCGTTCAGTGGAGAGAAAGCTTATCGCGAGCTAAATGTACGGCTACAGTATGGAACCGCAAGTTTGACGGAGACTCGACTTCCTCTCGTAAATGGCAGAAATGAGATCGACTCTATGGTGCCCGAGCATTCCCCCCACATGCACAGCTCATCAACTGCATCCTGCTGACACACTGACGATTCTCCAATCATTGCCGGCCGGATATCTACTTCCATTTCCGTCACTGAGTCCTTCTTGGTTATTGAGAAATTCGAAGTCTAGACCCGCATATGAGAATTGAGGCCTCTCAGTCCCACGATGTTGTCTTGTACTCTTGGAGTCTGCTAGAGTATGCCAGGTCTACAGGTGGAACCCCCATCTGAGTCCAATACGGCATGCTTTGAAGGGTGGAAATGCATTGACAGCTGCGGCGGTCTCGGCTCAGTTGGTCTCGATCTTGAATCCATCTGAACCACGGCTCTGGGTCTACGAACTCGTGTACCCACAGTGCTCCCGATGTATTTCCCGAGATCAAGAGGCTTAAAGATACTTTACGGCATGATGGCAGCCCGATGTACCTGGCATACGGAGCAAGTTCCACGATTCCGTGTTACCGAGAGCAAAGCGACCAGTCTGTGCTGTTCGTGGCGCACCGTCTTTCCTCTAGCGAGTCCCGGGATGGAAACGTAGGAAGTAGAGTCGCTGTATCTCCGGACGTGGGTCCGTACATCATGACTGTGAAATCTACTAAAGTGATTGGCAATTCACGGACAGCGATTGGCACACCAGGACCAAGGGTTATCCTGACGGCTCATACGGTAGGGTAGAATCCAAGTAAACCTGTAGCGGCCCCTGTGCGTTGCGTGCTGGAGGGCGACTCCGGGGCTCGCAAGAACCGGCTTCTCCCCATGAGGTAAACAGCTCCAACACGTTTCACCTCGACAGGGATAGCTTTAATCTGGCGAATGGGTTCTCGGCACGATCCGGGGACCACGCAGCCACTGAATGAAGGAGGCGGGCGAGCGAAGTGAGCAATGTGCAACTCGGCGGCGCCAAAACCTGCTTTGCTGCCCAGTGGCCCCTCTGATTGGCTGGTCCGACAGCCCGGATATGAGGTTCTGATCATAGAGCGTTGATAACAAGGTCTCTCTGTACCTGTGACGCAGTTGGGAACAAATCAAGTTGAAAAGTCTGGGCGGCGGTGGTTAAGTGGTGTGGGAACCAAATCTGGGACTTGGGAAATTTGGGAACGTTAGGAGTGGAAAAGAAAAAGAGTACGTTACCTTTGAAAGGGTTCAAAGCGGGTGACCTCAGTCTTTGGAATTTCTGCCCCTCCCCCATTTTCTCTTCTCCCCCCTCCGGTCTTCCTCCGCAACTTTGTTGCGCTTCTGGATTTGCACCGATTTCACGGTGCAGCCAAAGTCCAAGACGGCACTTTCACACCAATTGCACCGGCCCTTGTCGGTTCGACTGCGTCCTCCCTTGACATGGCCGACGAACGCGATTTCGCCGTGGACCTCGGGTCCGACGAGGGCAGTTCCTCCGTAGAAGCTGTCCCTCACCCCGGACTCCCGCATCATGCCTCAACCCCTTCCCTCCGGTCTATACCTCGCGATCCATCTACAGGCATGTCCGCCTCATCCACCCATCTGGGTCAGGTCAACGCCGCGCGGCGGGCTCCCAGCACCCCGCCCCGCCCCCGCCCACAGCCCTCGATGAGCGGGCAGCCAGTGGGCGGACTGAACCAGGATATCATGGCCAAAATGAAGGCGTTTTCCCTCTCTCGACAAGGCGCCAAGTTGCCACATACCTCCTCGACAGGAACGATACCCAGCTCCCACGAGTCTGGTGCGGGCGGTGCCATCTCCGGTCGCATGCCATCCAACACCAGAGATTGGGCCTCTTCGCCAGCGATCGCACCGGTGGCCAGTCCAGCATCGCCGCGACCGGGTGGATTGGCTGCCAAGCGTATGAAACCTGGCCTCAAGCTCTCTGATGTCACCGGACCCTCGACCCCGACACCGGACGCGAATGCGAACAGTACGGAAGAAAAGCCCGAGGAGCAGAATGGAGGAGAGTCAGCTTTCAGCAAATATGCCGAGTTTATCGATACCAAAGCGGGAACGTTGAACTTCAAGAACAAAGCAATCCTGCACGGCGGCGGTGTCGAGTTCTCCTCCGGTCACAGTTTCAAGATTTCTCTGGATGAAGTCGATCGCTTGGATGAGTTGGGCAAGGGCAACTATGGTACAGTTTACAAGGTCCGACACAGTCGACCGCATCTGCGGAAACCGGGCATGGGTTTAGGCGGAATTGTTAGTCGGCCATCCGGCGACGACTCTAGCTCAGACAAGCAAACCAGCGATTTGTCCGGTGTGATTATGGCGATGAAAGAAATTCGGCTGGAGTTGGACGAGGCGAAATTCGCACAAATTATCATGGAATTGGATATCTTGCATCGTTGCGTCTCCCCATTCATTATCGATTTTTACGGTGCTTTCTTCCAAGAAGGCGCGGTCTACATGCGTGTGTCGAATTCATGGACGGTGGTTCGATCGACAAAATCTACGAAGGTGGTGTACCTGAGAACATCCTCCGCAAGGTGACACTTTCCACCATCATGGGTTTGAAAGCGCTCAAGGACGAACACAATATCATTCATCGCGATGTCAAGCCGACTAACATCTTGGTCAACACCAAGGGCCAAGTCAAGATTTGCGATTTCGGAGTCAGTGGAAACCTCGTTGCCAGTATCGCCAAGACCAATATTGGATGCCAGAGCTACATGGCGCCAGAGCGAATCGCTGGCGGTGGGATGCAACAGTCAGGAGCACCGAGTGCTGGAACCTATAGCGTGCAGAGCGACATTTGGAGTTTGGGGTTATCGATCATCGAGTGCGCCATGGGACGCTATCCCTATCCGCCGGAGACATTTACCAACATTTTCAGCCAGCTTCACGTAAGTATCACCAGATTTCCATTAATGAAACCGAATTTAACATTCCAAAACAGGCAATCGTTCACGGTGACCCTCCCACTCTTCCGGAAACCGGCTTCTCCGAGGATGCCCATGCATTCGTTCGAGCTTGTCTCGACAAGATTCCGAAGAATCGACCGTCTTACAACATGTTACTCCGACACCCATGGCTCGCACCTCTGATGCAGCCCCGACTGAAGCCGAGGGCCAGGAGGCACTTCCGCCATCAGAAAACGCGACCGAGGGACGTTCATCCTCCTATATGACCGAAGACAAGGAAGTCGCTGAATGGGTCCACAAGCAACTCAAACTCCGCGAGAGTGGGCATTTCCAAAATTCGGAGAAGCCCGCTCTTCACGCCGTGGCTCTGGACAAGGTTGCCACGAGCCCGATTCTCGAAGACCCCAGCGCTCCGGCACCGACAGACTGAGTTCCTTCACTCTCTTTCTGTACTTCTACATTTTGCATTTTCCACGGTTATGATCACTTGATTCATCTGGGGGTACCACGAACGGCGCAGGCGCCGCCTTAGGAAAGATGGATCGTTTCCAACATACTATGTCTGACCCTATGTTTGACACCTACGGATGATACGAGCTCCACGTCACGATGTACGACCATGTACCTGTGGCTTCTCCGTGATCGCGTTCGACTGAGAAGGAAGTTTGATGGGTGTCGATAAGACCTATCTGCTTGGACCTAAACATACGCCATCGAGCCTGGATGGGGCATTGCATGATTTTCTACGATGGTTCCGAATACAATGTTGACACGAGTAATCCCGCACAAATGACGACCAGTAGCTCAGCCCTAGATCAGCCCCCACTTGGCTTTCTTAGACCCCTGCCCACCGAAGCGCCTTTCCCGCACTAGTGATGCGGCGAAGCCGTAGAGTCGACTGTCCTGACTTTGGCTGCCTATGTAGCTGGTCTTCCATCAGAAGAAGGCTAGAACTCGAAATTGCATGTCTTCCACCACCTCGTAAAGCCAGGAGGTCCGAAAGTGGCGGCTATTTTTAGCAAACAGGATCACGCTAGAGCTGTTCCTGATGTGATGAACGCCGGTGACCGCCGTCCCTTCTTCGCGTGCTCCCCACGCCTGTGCTATCCAACTCTTTCCCTTTTTGGCGATCTATCAAACCTCAATTGCATCTCACCTTATCTCATATTCTGTCCATTCATCGTATTCCCCCTCTTCCCCCCCCCCCAACCCTTGACAAAGCACTCTGGAAGCTGGGCAGCACCCCCTCCCGGGCGCGCCCCCGTCAGCATGGGCCAGCAAGCATCCCTTCCGCGGCCGGGGACGAGCATCCAAGTGATCGGAGCAGGCCTGTCACGAACAGGGACAGCGTCATTTAGTCGAGCCCTAGAGATCCTCTTAGGAGGACCAGTCTATCACTGCGGCACGCAGAGCACCCTTGGCCCGCCCTATCAAGTCCAGCTATGGATACAGATCCTCCGCCACTGGCTCTCTGGCTCTGACACAGACCGACCGACCGTGCTTCGTCTGCTCGGTGAGCAAATGGACGGATACGCCGCCATCACCGATGCCCCGGGCTCGCAGTTTGTCCCCGAGTTGATGGAGCTGTACCCGGACGCCAAGGTGATTTGTACTATCCGCGACCCGATCTCGTGGGAGAAGAGCTTCGCACAGGTGATGAATATCACAGGTTTATGGTTCCTTCCGTGGGCTGTCCTCCCTGTGCCAGGGATGATCAATTACTTCAGATATCTGACTCTGCTCGGCGAGCAGTGGCGCAGAATGTACGGGGAGTCTCGGCTACGCGTCAGACATATCTACGACATATCGAGTGGTTGAAGGAGGTTGTTCCGGAAGATCGATTGGTTTTTTTCGATATCAAGGAGGGCTGGGGGCCGCTGTGTCAAGCGTTGGGTAAAGATATTCCGATGGACCAGCCGTTTCCGCATGTCAATGATTCGGAGGCTATTGATCGAATTGCGAGATATCATGTTCGCCGTGGGTTGAAAAGGTGGGCTGTCATTCTTACCGTCGGAGCCGTCGGAGTGGCTTTCCTTTGGCGGAGGTAGAATGGGCGTGGCGGGTTTTTGTATACTTTGATATTGTAAGATTTTTGATAGAGAGAGCATTTGCATATTATCATTATTATCATTAGAGTGGTCTGATCGTTACAATATGCCCAAAAGTCCTGTTTCTGAATCATACAAGGCTGAATTAAATAAGAGCCTCAAGCCGTTCATGTCATAGGTCGGTATGTCGGCAAAGGTGTTAGACGAATATAACAATGGACTTACAGCAACTTCACGGAGAATCAAAGACAATGAGAAAAAAAAAAAAAGGTGCACACAGCATAACTCACTCCTCCAAGAACCGTCTTCCAGAATGTTCCAAAACGCGTCTACTCAAAAAGGCACGCGGAGTAGATCTTAATTGAAAGATGAAGTGGCAAAGACGGGACCCACACCGTCCAACTTCCTATTTGGGATCAAGCGCTGCTGAGGTTTGGAAAGCATTCAACGTACACAACGACTTTGGAACGACTAGAAAATTCTTTCTCTTGAAATGTGGCGGCACACGAACTTACTATTTAGTTCTGCATTTCCCTCGGCCTAGATTTCTCTATTCCAATTCACACCCTCGGCTGGATCGTCCCAACTATTATATCAAAAACGAGTCGCACATGATGACAATTGAAACCATTCAAGATCCAGTCATGAATGCGACAAATTTCGCCCAGAAGTTGCTTCAATCTGCACGCGTTGCTCCAGAGATCTTTGAGCTACGCTCAGACTACCGCGCCCTTTTGATGGTTGTCCAAGGAATCCCACCAGGCCCAAGCGACGAGCACAGCGAAGCCCTACTCCAGGAAGCCGAAAGCACCATCAAGGGACTTCTTTCCAAGCAACCCGTCACCGAACTCCCTCATATCGCCGCATGGCGAGAAACATACAAATCCTTTGGAGCCAAGCCCCAGAAAACACGCAACAGTCTGGAAGCTCTCACGCGGCGGGCGGAGAATGGTCTTCCTCGCGTCAATCGTTTGACCGATATCTATAATGCGATCTCTGTCAAGTATCAGATACCACTGGGTGGCGAGGACCTCGATAAATACGATGGATCGCCGTTCCTGATTCGGGCGACCGGCCAGGAACAGTTTGTGAGTTTCTCTAGTGGAGAGCAGAGCGTCGAATATGCGGCGCCTGGTGAACCGATTTGGTGCGACGATTCGGGCATTACTTGTCGTCGATGGAATTGGCGGCAAGGTCCGCGGACTGCTCTGACTGATGAAACGACTCGTGTGCTCTTTATTCTGGACGCGCTGGAGCCGCTTTCGTCTGATGTTTTGGTGCAAGCTGCGGAGGAGCTTGCTTCAGCCCTGGAAAGCCTTTCGTCGGAGGTCCGAATTTCACGCCGAATAATTGGTGCTGAGAAGACAGCGTAGAGCTGTTGAATTGCATGTGGTAGAAGACCGGTTGTTGCAAGTATCTGTTTTGTATTACGGGTGAATACTGTTCGTGATGACTAGAAATACGTTATAAGGTTCAACTTTCGTTCCCTAGAGCTCTCTAAATAGCTGATTTAATAACGCCTGTTATCTTTTGCAAGTACACTGGTGTCTAATAAGCGTTGGCTGTGGACCCATATAAATGCACTCCTCGTTCCAGAACCTCAATCTCGTCACCGACAGCAACGTATAATCCTGCTTCCTGCCTCTCGGCTTCCTTTAAGCTCTGATCCTCCGGAACGCAATGCATTCCAATATATCCGAGCGCTGACTTGTTACCGTCCTCGACAGTACGGTACCGCACCAGAGTGGTGCTTGGCTGTGGTCTGCCTTTCTTCTTTTCCGGAGACGGGGTATCCGCATCAAATTTGCCCGTCTCCAGATTGACGTTTGGCATCGTGCATCGAGACGTGCGACAAACAACAGACAAAACAGGTGCTACACTAGCGCGTGACTTGGTGTTACCACCGCTTGGAAGAATGCGGTAGCGTTTCCACGTCTCTTCGTCGTAAGCAGAGACGTTCGTGATCCATATATTGGCACGGAAGCGAAGCGCGTCTAGAGGCTGGTTCTCGGGTGGAAGGAGAGCTGACACAGCGTGAACGGAAGACAAGCTGTTGATATTGACTGGCTGTTGGTCTGTGTAGCCGTGCACTGCCGGCGAACCAATGTGTTTCAGCGGTGCGAGGTTTCTATCCGTACGTACCAGAGTATCTGGCGTACATCTCAAGAGTGTAAGGCTTTGATCTTGAGGGATCTTGAGGAATTTCTTCAACTTTGGTAAAGACGCTGCAATAGAGGGTATTCTGCCCATATCAAGGCCTTTCGCTTCCCTACCATGGATGCCGAACGATTTCATCTCAATCTGACACTCGTCTCTCTCGGCGGCAGTCACATGGAGAGGTGCAATGAAGGAAAACTGTGGTATCGCAGATAGATCTCGCGCAGCAAACATGGCCTCCAGCCGATCCACCCAGCTTGGTGTGTCGGGATTTTGGAATGTCACGACGACACATCCACCTGCCTTGACCAGTGAATCATGGGGGTTGCTATCCTTGTGAGGGAGCCATAACTCGGTCTTGATCTGGGACATGATGGGCTTTGTGCGCTGGCTGATGAATCGCCACTGAGAGCCAGCATCAGCATCACTCGTCACGAGTTCTGATGCAAGTGCAAAACATCGGTCGTACATAAACCCAGACTTGGTGAGCAGAGCCCGATTCACCTCGATAGAGCCGCATGATTTGATGGGATGAAGGTATATTGCTTTGATACGCGCTGGTCCATCGAGTGCCGTGTCTTCCGGAGCGGCATACTTTGGATTATACTGATCTGCCATGTTGCTGGTGGATAGACCAACATTTTGCAGATGTCTTAATTGCCGGCGCGTTGTATGAGTATTTCCAGACTGTAAAATGAAAACAATGGCAATGACCAGGGTTAATATGAGAGCCACGGCACCTTGAGTGATTATAGGCTTTTCTAGGCTGCTCAGACCTTTCTGCAACAGTTGAAGCAGCATTGTTCACAATCGGATACCCGTCGAGGGCTTTCAAGAGAGGCCGCTGGAGGATTGGTGTACTCAGGAAATAAGATATATAGATGGTGGTTCTTTGATGAAACTTTCATGAGTTCCATAATAAGTGAAGTCTAACGTCAATCGATGGGATCAGTAGAGTCCCAAACGTCGACAATGAGTCAATTCATCGGCTAGGTACGGGCAGAATGTGACTCGTCACAAAATAGGAAGTTAAGCGGAGTGGGTCTATTCGGTCGCCTAAATCTGACATTTTTAGTTTTTCCGACATCGCCGACTACCGAAGTGATGAGGGGCAGAGACAGATTAGCTTTCCGATCTCTACTTTAAACCACTTTAAATATAGCGCTCTCTCAAGAAATATCCGACCCGGTGAAATAAATACAGTGGAAGCCCGCATTGTGATGGGACGGCACGGATTGGATGGCAGGAACCTTTAGGTCGCATCAATCTTTTATTATTTTGCAAGGATGTGTACTTTAGCACGTCTTGAGCCTTAAATTATCACAGAAGACTTTTTGAACACTTCTGTCAGCATGCGACGCGGCTTAAAGTACTTTCAAGTAAAGTGGGAACAGCCCAGGATTGAGCTTTGATCTGGGCTCGTAGGTTCGTCACGTATCACGCGCTTGCCGGGCCATTCCTTTTTCTTCTTTTCCCTCTTCGGAAGCGAGACATGAGACCAACTACTCAATAGTTCACGACTCAAGCTTCCAGGCGTGGGGGTCTAAATAAAAGACCCGATACAGACAAGAACCACGATAGTCCCGAACTCAAACAGAATCTTTGCCCATACGATATTGAACTAGTGAAATTAAGAACGCCCGGCCATAAAACAAGATTATGCATGCGACGAGTCCCACAGTCCAAAACAGATCAAATGGGAAAATTACTTGGAAAAGTGATGATATCCAAACCCAAGCGGGCCGTTAAGTGGCTGGTGCCGAAATATGATGTCATAGGACGGGGTCTCTGTATACTCGCAACATTCAAGCCGCGATGGAGATAACCAAGACAACTATGCAAGGACTGGTATAAAGCAGGTCTTTGATCCCACAAAGCAAACCGGTCTAAGAATTTCTGCCTCACCCAGCCCTGACACCCGTTGACACCCCTTCAGGGTGGGGTAAAACGTCAACAACCCCGGCCCACGAGTCATCCCCAACGACCAAAGTAATAATTACCTAAATGGTATATGGTCCATCTCGGTCTTTTCATTGAGCATGACGATGCTGATATCTAAAGGCCTCAACCGAACATGTCGTCGACTTTAACAAAGAACACTTCGACGTCCATTGTGTTGATATCCGCGTCCTCGCCAGTTGGCCGTGACCAGAAGACGCAACCGAATCTCGATTTCTGTGAGAATTGTCAAGAGGAAGGCACACGACAAATGGAAGAAATTCAGATTCGAGATGCAGCAATTACCGAGCTAAGGGACGAAATTGCACGGTTGCACAAGATCATCTCGTTTCTTCAGCGGTCTTCGAACACATAGCTTAGGCGATGGGTGGATTAATTTTTTCGAATGATGGGTTCGATCACCCCGATCAAAGTATCTATGGTCGACATTGCGGATATTCCCCCATGTCTGATGATTTTTATGCCAATCCTGCATAGGCAAATCTAACGGAGGCTACTGCAACCTTCAACACCCGCGAAGTGGGGGCCTGAAGCAAGATTGTGATTCTTTTTGCCTTTTGACAATTGAGGCAAGCTATTGGTTTATGAGGAGTTATGGTTATATATATGCATAATGGATTTTGGGGCATCAGAGGATTGCGTTTTAATGAGGTCAGAGACTAGCTTGACCCGGGCCAAACCCCGAATAATATTTACCTAGAAGGTTCTTTGGAACCTACGCCTTCCAGATCCCGAGCAGATCCCAAGACCCCGTAATTCTACAGAATACCCACAGTCAAGAATCTAGGTTTCCAAAGTGAAATTGAACACAAATAATGAGCAGAAATTTGGTATCGGTATATATTTAACACCATCCAGGAAAATCATAAGATCAGTGATTTTTCTGCTCCGGTCCGAACCATGCTCTCATGACATATCTTATACGGGAAAAGCCGAGGCGATGATTAGCTTTCAGAGGAACCTTCAACCATGAATGTCACGAGTCCTTTTATTTGAAATTGATCATACATTGAGGCTTATTTGAAGCTTATAGTACATTGGGTAATCCGTTCTATCTTACACGCAAGGCGAGCCCACCTTGGCAACGTCTTTGCAAAGAATGTCAAATCACGACGCCAGACCCACAAACGCCTTCCTGAGGAGTCATACGAGCTCATTGCGATATCATTATTCGTTTCAAAGTCTCCAGGGAGACTGGTTTGACGAGGTACTCATCCAACCCTGCCATCCGCGCCTGCTGTTGTATTTCGGCAGAAGCGACTCCCGTGACCGCCATAATGCAAGACGCAGGTAGATGATTTTTCTTTTCAAATTCTCGAATCTTGCTCGTGGAAACGAGGCCATCCATGACAGGCATAGAGAGGTCTGGAGAGTTTGGATTAGATGTATTTCTTGTAAAGCGCTATTCCAAACTTACCCATGAGAACATATGAGAAGGGTTTCTTGGACTCCTTGAATTTGTTCAATGCATTCAATCCATTAAAAGCCGTTTCATAGGTGCAACCTAGTTTGTGCATGAACGTCGCTAGGATCTGCGAGACCAAGTGTTAGCCTATAATGTGATTGGAATGCAGAGCAAGAGATGGGAAATCACATACCTTCACGTTTATTTTATTATCATCCACAATTAGAACATGCATCTGCTCTAGTTTGGCAGGCAGCTGTGGTATGAGGGAGTCTCCATTTTGTAATGATGGTATATCTCCAGTGAGGGCATCTTCATTGTATTTCGCATGAAAGGCGTCTGTCGAGTGACTCTCGGGCTTGGAAGGTTCGACTGACACTCTGTTATTAATCAAAGTGGAATTCATCGCTTTGACCACTTTTTGTGGGCCGTATCTAATTGCAAGTTAGTCATGTAGCAAAGAATAACAAAATACTGGAAGCAGATACGCACGGCTGAGAGACATATACAAAGCTGTGCTTCGACTGGTCCTTCGCGATTGGCTTGTTGGGACCCAGCACAATGAAGGACTTGGTCGTGGATCGTGCCAAATACTCGGGATTATCATTCACGAATTGCTGCAATTTTGCGTCCTCAATGACAAAAACATCGCCATGCGCATTTGCCAAAGACTCTGCAAAGGAAACACTCCAGTTGGGTTGTGCCAAAAAGACATTGCTGAGAGAGCTCTGAATTGACAGTTTGCGTTTGCTTTCTGTATTCAAGATCCCCGTAGGCATCTCATTCAGATCTGGGCAATCATTGAAGCCAATTAGGCAAGCTCGGGTGGCTGGAATCGTGTCTGGAATTTCGCCGTAAAAATCTACCGGTCCATGACTATCCACATCATAGCAATGCACGGGAATATAGACATCGACCTGGGTGCCAACACCCATCTCACTCTTGATGTCGATATGACCCCCAAGGAGTGTAACAAGCTTCCGCACAAGGCTGAGCCCGAGTCCCACACCCTCCGAAAGGGAGTCTTCCTGGGAAAATGGAGAGAAGACTGAGTGGCGTAGGTATTCAGAGGAGATTCCACTACCCGTATCAGTCACCGACAGATGGGCAAGTACAGGCTCCGAACCATTCCCTGTACTGACACTGGATAGGGAAACTTCAATGAGACCTTGGTGAGTCCATTTCATGGAATTGCCGAGGAGACTCATCACAATTCTTCTCCATGCACCAGCCACGGAGCGCACTTTCCATCCGTTGTGTCCGTCAATTCGGACGACAACGGAGACTTGGTCCGTATACCTACGGCTCGTGGGATACGCCGGAGAGCTTAGCCAGCCTCTAGCTTCAGACTGAGAATCTTTTCCCTCTGACGTCTGTGAGATGCACAGGATCTCCGTCACTTCCTCTATCAAAGCGTCCAGCTCAAATCCAGTGATCAAGTTTTTTATGTCGTCTTCGGTGTTTTCACTGCTGTGAGGAATTTTTGTTGTCAACCTGTTAATTTTGGTAAAGTCCAGTCTGGCAGACGTTAGATTCTTGAATGCTTAGAAACTCGATATTGGATCGGGCATGACTCACAGATGATTCACAACATCCAACAGCGTCAAGCCACATGATTCAATCATTTTGACCATGTCACCCTGAGCCAACTCAAGAGTAGTGGCCCGCAACAGCTCGGTATTTCCAAGTATGCCATGCAGCGGAGAACGAAATTCATGGCTAATGGAAGATATGAAATCTGATTTGGATTTCTCCATACTATCCCAGTTGACCCTTGCAACTTCTGAGACAATTGAGTTGCTGAAGGCTCGGAAGAAGCCAAGCTCTTCCATGCCTAGGGCACGATGCATATTTCCTGTCCAAAGAAGAGTTCCGGCGAGCCAACGAGATTTGTTCCAATCCCACAGCGGAAAGAACAGGGCCGAATCTGCACCGGGAAGGTGTTTGGCTAACTCATTCGTGATTTGAGAAAGATTCTTCAGTTCGGTGGCGATTTCATCACCTCCACTCTGGTACGAAAGATAATGGCTGTCGTCAATCCGATCATTGAAATTGAATACTTGGCCTTGAGGGAAAGCCGTGATCATCCTCTCCAATAGTTCTTCCGTCAAACCGATCTCATCCTTATCATTGCAGCTCGCTTTCGATGAGCTCCTAAAGGCTTGTCCGAGGATCTCACAGGATGCTTTGGACTCTTGGGATGGCATTCCATCGCGCTTGAGACCGAATTGGATCGACGCCAAGCTGTTACTCAAACCAGAGTGTAATGATTTCGGTGAAGGTTCCCAGACACCCGGGTGCCCCGGGGATTGGCTGATGGACCGTCAATTACTAGTATCAAGAGAATGGTGGTGATGATACTCACATTCCAGAGTTGCTTTGATACGCGTCCGCGAAGAGCACCCCGTCGAGGTCCATGGAATCTCTCAGGATCACACTGGCACGAGAAAAAATAGATGCGATGGACCGGGAAATGATGTAGCTAGGATCTGCTTTGGGTGCTTCCGTTTTGACATTGTTGCCATTGGGGGAAGAGATCTCCTCCGGGTTCCAAAACTCATTCTGCGGCTTTTCAAATAATGGAGTCAAGCCGGCAGATGATCCTCCAAGGTGTGAATAAACCGACGTGGGTGCGGTGGAGCGAGGTCTATCTCTGCCGAACGAGAACGATGATAACTCCGAGGCGATCTGCGATGAACCCTGATCTACCGTCTGTGTTGAGGATCTCGCAACGTCTTCACTTTCAGTATCCGGGTCTGACTGTAAGTCAAGATCCGCGAAGGGATTTGATCGTTTGAGCACCGCTTCAGGGTCTGGGTGGATGGTGACCAGATCAGTCACGCCTTTCACCAGTTTCTCTGCCCGTCGATGGAAATGAACAATGCGGGCTTTCTCTAGGTATTCTGCCACCGCATCTGCCACTTCCTGTAACAGGGCAACCTCGTGATCCCCGAAAATTGACCGCGGCTTGTCATCCACGATGCAATAGGAGCCCAAGACATGACCCGAGGCACTGAACAGAGGCACCTCCGCGTAGAATCGCATGTGGGGCCAATCCACCACGTACGGTCGATCCTTAAAGGCCATCTCGTCTGCGAAGTTGCGAATGATGTATCGGGAGCGGTTGGCGGTGACATTTGCCGTGTCAATCTCGAGCGATGCATCCTGCGCGGTGAACAGTTTGATAGTGTGGGGACACCACCCCCAGGAGAGATTCAATGTCCGATAGCCCAGGTATAAGCCATCGTCAGGCATATGTTGATCCCCGTGTCGGAGAGAGATGGATGAAGTCGTTTCAGCAATGATGTGTTGGTTCTCGCCGTCAATAATAGAAATGAAAGATCGATTGCATCCGAAGCGAAGAACCCCCAGTTGCGCTAAGGCATTGAGTGAGATATCTGGCGATAGATAGGCTGCTCCAGGCTGCTCGTTTCTCGAGGGCGCAGCCCGACCATCCGATACGCCATCGTCATTGGGATGGGTAAAGGCGCAGTAGTATCTATGTCGGCAAGCCTCGGTCAGCACCAGTCGTGAGGACAAAAGTCCCCGCGAGATCAGATCTTTGCATCGTTATACACACTTGGACAATTCTCGGATGCGATCGCGTTCTGTCTGGGAGGTCGTCGGGTGATCGGGCCCACAAGCAGCTAGAAAGGCCATCCTGACTCTGTGGGAGGACGGATCCAAGTCCGATCAATAGGGGACATTGCACGAACAATGCGATGCGGAGATGACGTAGTGTCCAGTCGATGGAGACGCAGAAATTGGATGTGGGGGGTTCGAACCTTTGGACCTGTGAACCTGTGAACCTGTGAACCTTCTGGACTTCTCGAGAGTCCGCACTGGGCGGGCTCTGAGTGGTCGGAGATTATTGCCGGAAAAATCTGCCATTTTTTAAACTCCAAAAGTCAAAAAGTGTATAGCCTCTAGCCTCAAGCCTCGAGCGATGCGAAACCCCGACCGTTGGCCAGACCACTTTGTAGTTCAATCTATCCATCGTGAAACTTTCGGTCCCTCTCGCCCCGCATTACTCCTTTTGATGGTGTCTCTCTTGCCTATCTAGAGTAACTAGAGTAACTAGAGTAACTAGAGTAACTAGAGTAACTAGAGCGCGACGAAGGCCGTGGTATAGTCTCCTATGGTCTCGTCGACCCCACTCCGCACGTTGCATTCTCAGTGCCGTGCCGATAGTACCGTTTCAACAAAGTCGGACATATGGGTGAAGACCATCACCAGCCATGAGCGAGGAGTCCAAAATCAGACAGGGGGCCCCTGTGACGGAGAAGTCCTCGAAGCCAATTGTAGTGAAACTTGAAATTGAAGTTAACTGTGGATTTTATATTCGGATTCTTATTCAGAGTAGGATTGGGATTCTATAGACCCCAAGTGATGCCCAGGGTCGAGACTCCGTCCTGTAGATGGCTTCGTGGGGAATGCACAAGACTGTTTTCGGCCGTTTGGCCCCACTAAAGCTGGGTGGATGATGTCATACGACTCCAATCAGCACACGGCTCTGTAGATGGCGGAGGATTCGGAACGCTACGCGGGCCGAGGGCAATTAAAGGGACCCTCGCGGTCGTGAACTCTTTTTCGACTTTTATATCTTTGACACAGAGATACAAAGAGAGTCCAAGACCCGACCCCGACACACTGAGAGACCGAGAGACCGAGAGACAAGCAAGACGCAAGGCGTATCTCCACTCACGCGACCTCTGCAACCTCTGCAATTGCACTCGTTGAAAGGAGAGACGGAGAAGGGATATCACAATGTTCTCGCGACGGTATGTTCCCATACACATCAGACAAATTATGTTGGAGTGCGTTGGAGGGAAAACATTTACTGACGGGGTCGTCGTGGGGCAGACATGCGCATAAACCCGACCACAATCTAATCAGTCGCTTTAGAAATGAATTTGGGGACCTGGTGTCCAAGCCAGGTCTCCAGATAAATCCGCATGTACCAAATGCAATGCCTCAAATTGTCCCGGATGTGATCAATCGCGGCACTCTTGGGCGAGGCAAGTCTCACCATCCGAGTCTCGTCGCCGAGCGAGTCGCTTGGCCAACACAGGCATCAGGCTCATCATTCGCTTGCCTGGATCCAGGGGCATTGGCACTGCAATTTGGATTTGACGAGCCCCAAATTGCCCCTCATTCTGACTTCTCTGAGAAAGGCAAAATCTTTCACAACCAGACGGGAGAATTCGAGCTTCTGGATCCCTATCAAATTTCGAACAGTAGCTCATTCGCTCAGCCGGAGTTTGATGCATCATTTAAGCCCCCCCCATCGCGATTCGGGCTATGAGACGATGGATAGTTCCTCGGAAGATTTGTCTACGAGTCTCAGTACAAAAATCGACTGCGCTGTGATAGATGACTCTCTGGAAAGGTCCTCGGGCGAACAGTAAGGCCGCCCGATGAAACTCAATACTCTGCGCGCTAACGCACGCACGCTTCAGGTTCCGTTATAACGTCTCACTGCTGGCTCCAACGGCAATGTTTAATGCAGCCAAGGAGGATCCAGTCACCTACCTCAACAAAAGTCAAGTATATTCTCTCATCATCAAAGATATCTATCCACCCCCGGTGGGGTCTGGCCCGGTCAGATACCGCACATACGTTCGCGTATCATTCGACGATAAAGAGCAACGATCAAGGCCTGCCGCGTACTGGCAATTATGGAATGACGGTCGAGCCACGTGCGAGGCGCCTCGTCATGGCGGCAAGCTACACGCAGTGGAATATGCGAATGCATCTCGATCCAACGTCATGAACCCTGATCATACACAAGCTCGTCTGGAAACCGCGTCCTTTGATGGATTCTGCGTCACTTGGTCCGGATATCCAGACACCCGAATACCCCGAGTGTGTGCTCGGCGTACGATTCAATTTCCTCTCGACCGATTTCAGTCACTCGAAAGGGGTGAAAGGGGCATCGGTTCGACTATGTGTAAAGACGGAAATGATGCAACCGGATGACGGCACTTTCGAGCATCAGCCGGAGATATGTTTCTGCAAAGTGAAATTATTCCGGGACCATGGCGCTGAGCGTAAACTTGCCAATGATGCGGCGCATGTCAACAAGACCATCGAGAAGCTCAAAAAGCAAGTATTTGAAGCGGGAGCAAGCGATGGATCGAATTCCGAGAAAACAAAACACTTTCCCATGAAGATTGCGAAACGCTACCGGAAGTCACGACGCGGATCTTCCGAAAAACAGATCACAGGAGGTCTGCAGGCCGAAATAGATGCGCTTCAGCGCATGTTTTTCTTCGGTGCGGCGTGTGAGCAAGCTTGACTTGCGGGGGGATGAATATGATGACCCTGATCTTCACCCCGTTCGGCTTGGCGCTGATTCGTCCTCGAGTCCCAATGATGAACATTCCCCGAAGACTGTGGCAGCAGTGGCCGGTCGTCTTCAAAGAAATGATAGCATGGCTTCAGCACTTGCGGGTATGCAGCTTGCTCAATCTGACGACCTGAAGGGGTCTGTCAGTATGGATACCGCTAGACGCGCCTCAGAAGGCAATCTACCCTGCAGTCGCAAGGATCATGAAAGCCGTCGATATCGACGCGGGTTACAGTCCACCAGAGAATGCGCCCAGGTCAGGTCAGTATCATTGCTAGACCTTCTTTTTTTTTTTTTTTTTTGGCGGCATTCACTAATCTCATCACAGTTGCCTGCTTTTACGTCCGGTTTACCAGAAATGGAAACGATGTATCAGACTACTACCATGCACTCTATCTCACGGAGCGCACGGTTCGGGATTTGTTGGACAAGATTTCAATGAAGCAACAGATTGACCCATTACGTGTTGTCCGCGTGTTACACATGAAACAAAACGGGCTGAGGATTATTGTGGACGATGAAGTTGTGCGCGAGTTCCCTGAGGGACAGGACATGATAGTTGAACTATCCGAGGTGTCGAGCGATGAATCAGATGGAGGCGTGGAACTCACCGGCACAGAAGTCAAATTAATCTTCTAAGGAGCTGACTGGATGCCGAGGTTGATCAACCTGGAATTTCTAACACCCCAATTATCTCTATCTACCTTTGGGCTCCTCTGGATATGCGTCCTCTTCAACTCTTTTTACTACACCCCATACCATATTATGCTAATTCAAAACATCATGACCATAGAGTTCTCGCGGTTCCGTACCCCCTCTCCAGTAGCACAGCAAGTCAATGTGTCACGCCCGATAGAGACCAACCTCTCTACCTCCCTACCTGGTCACATGTCGGAGTCCAAACATGCCTCCAAGGTGTCACTTTTGCCTAGGTAAGTCGCTTGAATTGTAATCGATTCTAGTATGCTCTCCTTCCACCTCACATTTTCTTTTTCCAAAGTATCATCTCTGTACTTTATCACGTAGCCATAATGCATTTTAATGTAATTCGGGACCACATTACTGTGAGGGCCCCCGGAGATTCTGAGACTAGACTGCCCAACACCCTCCCACCTTCCTATCTTCCCACCTTCCCCACCCATAGGTACTCCACGACTCCACGACTCGACTCTATACTCGTCGGGAAGTGACGCGCCAATCGGCGAATCCTCGGCCCTGTTGCCTCCCAAATCTCCCGAAATCCCAAAGACCACCGCCACAATCGTAGCCATGACAAGTAAGCCACAGCGGCGGACGCTCCCCAGACCAGCCACAAACCCAACAAGGATAGCATCATGAGTAGCGTGACAAGGGGGGGGGCCAGTCCAGTCCATGTCACAATATAGCCTCGGACCAACCTGTTCAGTCGAGGCGTGTGCAGAAACCTGGTTTTAGGCTTCCGGGCCCACGATAGTCCGGTCTTGCCTTGTTTTACGTGCATTAGCTGCAGCCGAAAAGCAAGTCATATGAAGCCCAGTTCCAGAGTCGCAGTGCCAAGCCAGGTCCCGCGGAGGCTGAAATAGGCGATGACGTCACGAACATACCCCGAACTGTTGCAAACCTTCTCCATGTCGAACAATGACGTAGGGTGATAGGATCTCCGTCAATAACCAGACTGCTGCTTCGAGAATCGATGACGTGATATGATACCATGATCCGTTTGGACAGATTTGACATAAATAGTCCTCTGTGACCCCGACCTTATTCTTCTATTATCAACTCTATTCAAACCATCTACACTTTTGAAACCCTTTTTTCAAATTTCCAATAACAAACTCATTTCACAATGGAGACCGTCAAGGTTCGTTAGATTCATACATGGTCAAAATCTTCCATGACTGAACTGACATTGCACATTTAGAACGCCGCCAACTACGTCGCCGAGACCGTCCAGGGCACCGGTGCCGAGGCTTCCAAGGAGGCCAACAAGAACGTCGCCAAGGACAACGATGCCAGCATTGGCACCCGCGCCAGCGCCGCCAAGGATGCCGTCTTCGACAAGAAGGATGAGGTTTCCCACGACACCAAGGCTGATGTTCACAAGGGTGAGTGATTGACCTGCCGCATGGTGCATGGTGCACGGTGCCTGACATGAGCGGAAAGCTAACGATCATGCAGAGGCCGCTAAGCACTAAGTGCGTTTTGCACTGATGTACTCAATAACCCCCATCACTATTCGATACCCATTGCCTATCTGATGGTGTGGTTGAGGACAGGGTGGCTGTGATAAGGACATTTTACGTTGATTCATGTAACTAAACCTGATACCACGAATTCACTTTAACGTCTACGAAATACTTCTTTCCCCTTATCACGTAGATTATACCGGACTTGGAGCCTGTAGACTGAAATTGCCTCATGATGGTTAACGATCTGGAGTTATATTTGATGTGTGCATTTCAGATTCTTGAATCATTACGTTTTCGATTAAATGTATATCTCCATGCTTTCACATCTAGAAGACTGAACATCAATGTTTGCTCCCTTGCCACTATATTATATATTCTTACGACTAAGACTCAAATAATTGTATTTCTTTATTCATGTCATCTCATACTCTACGAAATACTTTTTCTCTTATCACGTGGATTATCCATTCCGTATTCAGAGCCTTCATCTGTGAATGAATGAAACTCAAATAGTTGTATTGTCTATTCATATCAACATATGCTCTACCGCATGGTGACAAGCTCTTCGGAAGCAGTAGGGTGAATGGCCACACAGCTATCAAAGTCTGCCTTGGTCGCACCCATCTTCACAGCAACGCCGAAGCCTTGCAACATCTCGCCAACGCCAAGACCAAGAATATGCAAACCAACAACCTTCTCCGAGGGGCCGGCGCAGATGATCTTCATCTCGGTGGGGTTCTTGGCCTTCTCCTCAGGGGACAGGCCGACGTCATAGAACATGTTGGTGAACTTGGTGTGGTAGATCTTGATCTTGTCGTCACCGTAGCGCTGACGGGCTTCGGGCTCGGTGAGACCAATGGAGCCAACTTCGGGGTGGGAGAAGACGACCGTAGGGATGTTTTCGTAGGAGATCTTGGAGGACTTCAGCTCTGAGGGACCGAAGATACGGTTGCCGAGTTGGCGACCGGCAGCAATTGCGACTGTATCATACGTGAGCAGAATTTTCCAATACGAGGACGGGCAAGATTTTGAAACATACCAGGAGTTAGCTCGGCCTGGCCAGTCACATCACCGAGAGCGTAAACGCCCTCGACAGAGGTGTTCTGGTACTCGTCAACGACAATGTGACCGCTGGGGCTCAGCTTGATACCGGGGATATCGATAGCCAGATCTTCGATCTCGGGGGCACGGCCAACAGCCCAGAGAAGCTCGTTTACTTCGAGCTCGGAGCCATCGTGGTTGATCAGCTTGATCAGACGGTCCTTGCCCTTGCCATCGCGAATGAGCTGGATATCCTTGAAACCAGCGTGGTGGCGGTGCATGTGGACACCGGCAGCCTCGTAGCGATCGGTCATAGTCTTCTGGATCATGGGGTCGAACTTGCGCAGGAAGTTGTCCCCACGAATGAACATATGTGTCTCCACTTTGACAGCGTTCATCACACCAGCCAACTCAACGGCGATGTAGCCAGCGCCGACAACGGCCATCTTGGGCGGCAACTCCTCCATCTCGAAGAAGCCATCGCTAGTGATACCGTGCTCGACACCGGGGACCTTGGGCAGGCTGGGACGACCACCGGTAGCGATCAGGATGTGGGGAGCAGTGTAGCGGGCGACGCTGCCATCCTGCTGACCAACCTCAATGACCTTGGGCTCGACGAAGCGAGCACGGCCGTGGACCAGGTCAATACCCTCGTTGCCCCAGTTGCGCTCATAGGCGCCGTTCAAGCGCTTGATCACAGCATCACGGGTAGTCTTGAACTTGTGATAGTCAATCTTGATGCCTTCAGGGATATCGTAACCGTAGTGCTTGCCGATGTCCATCGTCTCCTGGATGGTCGCGAAATTCCAGGTCATCTTCTTGGGAACACATCTGAAGGTTTCAGGTGAGCGCCGAACTTGATTGTTGCATTTAAAATGTCGACGGAAAAAAAGTGCCAATTACTTACCCAACGTTAACGCAAGTACCGCCGGAACGACCACTCTCGACAATCAGAGTCTTTGCGCCGTACCAGCCAGCTGCACGGCGGGCACTTCCACTACCACCACTTCCACCGCCTAGGACGATGTAGTCATACTGCTGAACCTCAATGGGGGCCATTGTGGACGAAGTCGTGCTCTGCGAGACCAGAGACGAGGAGGAAAAGTGACGCGAGATGGAGGAGAGTCGAGAAGTAGGCGCAATTGTGGTGGAGGGCTTGCTGTGGATGGTCGCCAGGGTTCGATTCACGGTCAGTGGACCGGAGTGAATTCGTCTGCGAGAGGGAGACCGGGAAAGGAGGCTGCGAAAGCTGGTCCGGGAAGATTGCACAGGGATGGAGCGGGAGAGCATGAATATGATGGGGGGGTATGTACAGGAAGAGGGGAAGCAGTCAGACCTGACAGAAAATTGGTGACGATACCGCTTGATACGCGGCGAGCTTTGCGGGCCCGGGGAACATGCTTGATTTCTCAGCTCGGGGCCCGGCCCACGTGATTACAAATCATGTCTGTCCGTTGAGCTTCTAGGCTGATATGGGTTCGATAATATTCGAGTATTTTCAATTTAGGTCAAGGGTATAAAGCTAATGGTAAATAAAAAATTTGAGAGACAAAAGGAGTGGAACGGCTCGGCTGGGTGTAGGTTCAGCCCATCCAACGTCTGCGAGTATGAAAACTCAAAAGTATTCACCACACCCAAAGCAGAGCATCGGATGCAAAATGAATCAAAGTCGAAAGTTAAGGAGAATTGAAGGAAGGAATGGGGTGATCAAGGTCTATTTCAAAGTAAACCTTGAAACCTAGTCAAGGTTGAAGATAGAGTGGCCCATGGCGATGAATATCGCGCAGAGACGACCTGTCGCGATAACGAAGGTGATGATGTGGAGGAGAAGGGGTGTGCGAGCATACTTGGATGGTTCAAAGCCATGTGTACACGCAGACCGCATCCATGAACGTATGAGATATTCAAGTATCGGGAGATCAGAGAATTAGGGGAGGTTTCAGTGAAGAAAGCCATTTCTCGGGATCAGAGGTCGAAGGGAAGAGATAGCACTCAATCAAGTCCACAGTTGAGCTGTTAGGACTGCATCCTGATGCATCGGCGTTGAGGGCGATGCAGAGGGAGAGGAGGGGTGCAACGAGGTTTCGAGGAGCATCTTCGGGTATTCGAAGGCATGAAAGGGTTTCCAAGTGTTTCGGAGAGTCAGTGACTTCTCAGCCGTGATTTTCGGCCTCGATCAGCTGCCTGGAGCGATAGTCTGACAGCGGGCAAGTATATGGTGGTCCGGGTGCTGGGGGGTATTCGTGTCTTGATGGTAGAGGATGCGAAGCGGTTCAATGTCATATTCCAAATAGAATGCTCATAGTCATGTGCAAGAAGTGTCCAGAGGCCGCCGACTCTGTGATCTCTTATCTAGTGATTCGGTGTCTACCCAAGTAGTATAGACATCACAACCGAATGACTAGTGAGAATACGCGATGACCGCGAACGAGATGACGCAGATGCACAGCGGGATGAGGACGTTGCGTTCCATATCGGCAGGGTTCTCGGTGTGCTTCATGATCTTGGGTGAAAGATGGAGAAGTGGCTATACTGAGGGGGGGATTGCAGATGAGAGGGGTCGCTGTCTACGAGGCGGAGAGGCCGTTATCCAATCCCCACGCTTGAAATGCTGAAGTAATCGTTGGGCCTCAACAAATGACCGATCACATGATGTCGATTGGTTATTATTGTTCATCTACGCCATGTGGACCTTTCATTTTAGGCAGAGAATCACACCGCAAGATAACTGGACAAAATGGGTTATTTCAAAAGTCACCGCAAAGAAGAATCATGGGCCCCACGTGACTGTGTCGGTACCTGCAGTAGGGTCACAGTATCGGGTGCGGGCCACCGTCAACCCCAGACTCAGACCCGGACCCAACCCTAGACCCATGTACAAAAGTCAGGGCCTAATATGCTTAGATGAGACGACAATTTAAATGCTGAATTTGTTTTCTGATGCTCCAGACATGCAAATATATTCCTTCAATGGGAGCTAGGCTCCTTGCCAACAGCTGAAACGCCTCGGATGATCCCTAAGGAATGCTAGATCTCGCGACGTCAATAAAACTCATGGCATTAGGTGTGAAGGGGAAGTGGCCGAGTCCTGGAATCTACGAGTACCTTGATCCTGCCACACGTCCTGCTGGCCCTTGTTTACCTATCCACATTCAAGAGCCACAAGAATGCAAGGGGATGAATCAAAAACCCGCAACATGCCAAGCCGAACGAGCAACAAGGGCCTCCATGCCTATGTAGGTACCAGGAGATCATTTTGATAGCCAATGGCGCAAGGATTAGGGCCCCCATCTCCCCTGCGCGACTTGAGATTGCTCTTAGAATCACCCGGATATACATTAGCGGATCACCCCTGGTCCAACGTCTATCCCCCGACCATCCACTCCCAGAATTCGACATTCAAACACCAATATGCGTGTCTCCGCCTTCGTTCTCGCTTTCACCTCCATCGTGTCTCTGAGTGCAGCCCAGAGTGCTATTGTCCAGGATGACAGAATCAACATGTCCTGCGACTTCGCGCAGGACAAGTCCGGCATGCTGCAGTACCCGTACTGCTGCCGCGACATGAAGCCTCTGAGAGGAAACTCCAAGGGCAACGAGGCCCTGGACTGTACGTTTCGGTCCCTTTCAAATGGAGAAGGCACTCCAATCGCTAACGTTGGATAGGCGACCTGTTGACAAAGCCTCAGCTGTGTGAGGACCAATCCCGACCTGCTTGCTGCTACACTATCGTAGGTTGATCTCTCTCAATAAATGCGCAAAGGAACTAACATTGTTTGTGTGTGATCAGGGCCCGAAGAAGATCTGTACCTCGCACGTCGTTTTCCAGAACGCGGAGGACGTCTAGGCTGGCCAAGAGAATCATGTTGATAGCGGAATATGATCGGTTCTCGGAAACGATGCACGCGATCCTATTTTCGATGTCAATGTTGACACGATATCGGGAAATATACCAGAATGCCAATACAACCCATTACGATGTCCATAGATGCGATCAATTCTCAATAAACTATGTCATAAGATTTTAAGAGGGCCATGAAAAACCAACTGAAGGATATATGGTGATGCTCAGTGAATCAAACGCTATGCCAATGCTAGGAAATGCTATATACAACTCAACTTGTCAGAAGAGCAGGGTGTATCACCACTAGTCAGACTTGACGTCCAACATTCTCTCGGTGTTTCTGCGGAACAGCTTCTCTGCGAGTCCAGGTTCGTGAGTGCAAAGATCCAGGCACCATTGTGTGAAAGGGCTGATGTCGACACCGGTAAAACGAGTATGAGGCCAGTCCGTGGCGTAGATGACTCGGTCCGGTGCCGCAGAGAGAAACTCGCAGGCCATGGCCTTGAGATCACGCATATGACGGTCCTTGGTGAGGCGGTAAGGGGCGGACACCTTGATGTAGGTGTTTCCCTGGCGAATCAGGGAGATCAAGGAGTCAAACCCGGGAAGGTTGTATGGGTCGAAGGGCAGGGCCTCCTTGGCCCATGAGATCGAAGAGAGTTCAGGGCTTCCGAAATGGTCGATGCAGACGGTGACGCCGAGCCGAGGCACGATGGATTCGAGCATAGGCACCATCTTTAAAGGAACGTACATTTCGATAATCCAGTTCCGAGGCCGCGCAATGTCGGCGTGTCGAAGCAGCTCCTGTTCCAACTCGGTCTGATTCATGACCTTGCCCACAGACTGGAGGTTCACACGGAGACCACGAACACCCAGGGTATGCCACTCATCCAGCGTTTCTGTTTGAATGTTGTCGGGGTCAATCACCACGACTCCGCGACCACGGGAAGGGCCGAGTTTAGCCAGGGCGGCTAGAAGACAGGAGTTGTCGGTTCCATAGATGGATGGTTGCACAAAGACAAGGTTCTCCACTCCCAACGTCGACTCGAAGTAAAGTGCATCTTCCAAGGTATGGGTGGTAGGCTGGTATACTGCCTTCGGAGAAATAGGGAAGTGCTTGGGTTCCACGACGTGCATGTGGCTATCCCAGGATTTTGAAGGTATCCTGTGACCCAAGGGCACGCTTATAGGCGCTGCTGCTGCATTGAAAGAACGCCGGACTAGACGAGACGCCGGGTCATTGGATAGCGATATGCGTGCTGGGCCTCCTAAGATGTCGGCATACGGCTGAGTCGAAGTAAGCATTGTAGTATGGGATAGTGAAGTTGAGTGACATCGAACACCTCGATCGCCGGGAAGTAGACAGAAGAGAAAGAAGGATGCGGTTTCTACGGAGTACAACTCACAGATGAGCAGGTCCTGACGCTGTGGATTGCCCTGAGGAGCCTGACCGGTATCATGCCGCCGAGTTGGGTCATCGGCCAACGTCCGTCACAGTCAGACTCAGGGTCTAGGTCGGCAGAAAAGCAAGGAAAGTGATCATTCAAGAAAACTCTGCCGTGTGCCGTGTTCTCAGTTGCGGTATAGAGGTCTGACCCACCCTCGGCTTCAATTATTACCCAGAAGGGGAGGGCACAGGCGAGGAGGTTAGTCGAGGGGAAGCCGAAGGGCGACGCGGAAGTCGTCCGGGAGGCAGATGGCAGTGACACTACCCACTTGCATCGGCAGAATGCATATCGGGAGAATCGTGGGATGTGCTCTTCATAATTTCCTGAAAGGCTACCACCCAAAGGAGAAGGGACCCGTCCAGCGGAGCCACGAACCACCGAGTGGGCTCCGCGGAGCGATCCGACAGCCGACTGAAGAAGTATGGAGTTCCAAGAAAGCCCTGGGGTTATGAGCGTGTCAAGGGATACGTGAAGATGGCGTTGAAATACCGGAGAATCATCGCTTGGCCGTCTGCCTTTGTGCAGGATCGAGGTTCAAGGTTGCAGAGGGTAAGAGGTGCAAGCGCAGGTGAAGTGCGGAAGTTGACCGAGCGTACAAAAAATCTTAATGCTACGGGATGCCGAGAACGCCTCCTCCCCAGTTCCTCCACTCGCTCCTTTTGTCTCTTTGCCCACTGTCTGCCGATAACTCCGTGCACCTTTCCCCAGATTTCCGATCGCCTCCACCGCAACTTCCCTGGGGAAATAGACCCGTAATGGGCGCCTTTTCCGCATGGCTGGAACCATCGCGTTGGACCACAAGTTCGTACTATGTACTGGTGGTCTGCGTGATAGCGTGCGGCAGTATCCCGAAAGGTACTTTGGTCCCCCCTAGCTGATGCATCGTCATCATTCTTCACAGATAGAGTGCTTACGATCGCAGGGTACGATGAGGGTGGCTACAGTGCTAGCGTCAAGCTAGAGTCATTCATGATCGATTTCAACCTCCTGAAATCCCACTGGAAGAACGACCCAACCGGCTTGACCAATCGAAGTGCAAACATCACCTCCTTCAATGTGCTGGGTGCTGCATTTGGCGCCCTGGCTGGTCTCGATCTCAATGATCGACTGGGTCGTCTATGGTCGTGGCGGTTAGCTATGGTCGTATACATGGTCGGCACCTTCATCCAGGTCTTCTCATCCGGGATCTATGGCTTGTTGCTGTTCGCCCGCATTTTCTCCGGACTGGGCGCTGGTCTTTTGACTGTCACGTCGCCCCTGTATCTGTCGGAGGTGGCACCCAAGGCAACGCGCGGTCTGTCCGTCGGCTTGTACATGGTCGCTCTGCTGACGGTGCTTTCCATGGGTGAGTCTGTTCAATCATTTATCCGGCGCTAAACAAGGATTTTGACTAACTCCACTCCTGATAGGCTTCTTTATCAACTATGGCGCCAAAATCCACATGGCCGCCACGCGTACACAATATCGACTAGTCCAAGCCATCCCTCTGATCCCTGCAGGGATCACTCTAGTTCTTTCGTGGTGGTGTCCGGAAACCCCACGATACCTCGCCTCTAAGCAGCGCCACCAGGAAGCAAAGGAGATACTTGCACGTCTGCGTGGAAAGTCCATCGACGATGAAAGTGTTGTGGCCGAGTTCAAGGAGATCGACCAGCAGGCTAAGGAGCGGGCCGACTTGAAGTCCATCTCGCACTGGGCAGCTTTCAAGGAGTCCCAGACCAACCCCAATTACCGCCAGCGATTCTGGCTGCTCATGACCATGCAAACCATTGCGCAGTGGACAGGTGGAAACGGTATCACATATTACATATCGACGATCTTTACCTACGCTGGTGTCGCCGATTCCACCTCCCTTATTTCATCCGGCGCATACGGAATTGTCAAGTTGGTCTTCACCATGGCATTCACATGGGGCCTGATCGATCTCTTCGGCCGACGCCGCTGTGCTCTAACTGGCTTGTCCCTACAACTGGCCGCACATATCTACATGGGCATCTACATGGGTCTGCAGCCAGGCTCCTCCGACAACAAATCCGCATCTGACGCAGCCATCGCCTCGGTCTTTGTCTACGCTGTGGGCTGGTCAGTGGGTCTCTGCACAATCCCCTACCTGTACGGTACGGAGATTTTCCCGAACCACATCCGTAATGTGAGCTATGCGCTCAGTATGGGTCTTCACTGGTTCTTCCAGTTTGCCGTTGTTCGCGTTACCCCCAACATGCTCACCAATCTGCATATCTGGGGTGCTTACCTCTTCTGGGCTATCATTTGTACCCTCGGTATCATCATCCTGGGTATTTGGATGCCCGAGACAAAGGGCGTGCCCATCGAGCGTATGGATGAGCTCTTCTCTGGACCGTGGTACCTCCGCTGGCGCGCTAAGGTCTCCACCACCGAAGACTACTCTGACTCCGGAGATACCCTTGCATCGCACGAGCAACGTCATGCCACCTTCAAGAGCGATTGAATGGCGCATTTGGAGTTCACATCCTTGCTCTCTTATGAACATTTATCTATCTGGTCGTTTTAGCGGCGTATACATACTCTATCACCCCGAAACAGCTCGCACGCACAATATTCTGTGCATCTCCTGGCGATTGCTCGGCATATAATTTTGACAACCCTATACCCTTTGTATTCTATTTTTGCATTCTGGGCTTGATGCCGAGGTCTATATGATGTGCTCTAGATTTGAAAAGAGCCTAGTGCATATACAATTGCGCTGGACTGGCGCCCATGCTGGTCCAGAGAAGTCATTCTGACAATCTTGGAAATATTTTGCGACTTCCTCTTTAAGGTACTCAATACTTGTGGCTAGGGTAAAAAATCGAAAGCTTTCGGTCAAGCAAGGACTTGATATTATGGGATTGATACGCCCAGGTCAAGTCGAGATGCCCCCGAAAACATGCCACTAATATACATCCTGCATTCGCTTTGACGGTGACAGGATTGACACGACGCTTCGGCTTTAGGTAATACTAAAATCAAAACCCAAGAAATAGGGAATATACCCAGAAAAGATTTGAACGCTCCCCACGCTAAAATTTTTCAAAATCTCCGCCGGGGAATCATCAAGTATACAAACAGAGAGCGAACTCGCGTTTCATCGTTGCCCTCCACTCCAATTCGTGTCAAAGGGCGCCATATTTGCTGTAAGAGGCTGCGCATAGGAGAATGCCTCGAACACCTCGGGCGTGATCTCGTACGAGCCTGGGTCATCTACCGTCATCACGGCGTGGGGCATACCGCCGAGGAGGTGTGTTGGGGGCATCTGCGGTACGTCACTCATCTGGGAGAGATTAAAGTTGCTGACAGGTTGTTGGAAGGTGAAGCCCGGTAGCAAGGAGGTTGATGGATTTGGCGCCGGCGTCCCCTGTGCGCTCAATGTTGCTCTGCTCTGTTGGCGTTGGTGGTGAATACCTGGCGAGACGTGGCGTGACGGATTGCTGCTCGCCGGGGATTGACTTGCGTGGGGTGGATGGGAGGGTTGGGTATAAGTTTGAGGGTTTTCGGGCTGGGATCCCGTGGGAATGTTGATGTCAATTTGGAGTTTCTGGAGCTCTTGATAGACGAGGTTGAGGGCTGTCGTGATGACTGGGTTAGACAGCTTGACTCGTTCTAGGGCGAGGATGCAGAATTTGAGCTTGTCTAGGGTTCCTGGTGCGGCATATTTCAAGGCCTGAATTTCGAGGAGGAAGATCGAGGCTGCCGTGTAAATGCTGTATGCGAGGGAGAGCACGACGTGGTTGTCGCCAAAGGTACGGCGGTAAAGGTCATATAGTGATAGGATAGTCGTGGCCGATGCCATACACTGGACGAGATGGCTCTTGTCATATGCATCTTGCCGTGCCTTCAATAAACCGCGAGAGCAGAGGATGGGACGGTGGAGCAAAATATTCACGGTATGATACAAACAGCTGGCATCTGATTAGCAAGAAAAAATACACGAGTGCTAGCATTAAATGTAAGACATACTTCAGAGTCATGATATGACTTGGTGGGGAGTACGGTGGTAGGTCTGTTGCTACGAGCCTCAAATAGTCAGGGAGCTCATCCCACCACTCGCCTAGGTTTTTGGCTTGTTCTTGAACACAGTCGAAGAACTCGGCCTCGGTGCTCTGACGCATCGGATCATAAATATGAACCAGGATCTGGTTCAGGATCTCGGCAAGCCCGCACATCTGAATGAAGCAAGTGGTTGAGTGGGCCTGTGTGGGCGGGTAGTGTGCGCCATCCGGGAAGGTAACGCCGTGCGGAGTCCAAATCTCGATCTCGGATGTATCATCGACTGGAAGATTGTCAGCATTCATGATAGACGGCGTGGGCAAGAAGAACATACGGATCATGCGTGGCGGACTGACACGGGAGTGCTGCATAGTCGGCGCGCGGCCAAAGTATAGGGAAATAATCTTGTCCCAGAAATAACAACTCCAAAAGAGTCGGTTGCGAATCTCAATGTCTTCGTCGCTGAGGTGTGCCGATCCGGGATATTTCCGACTGTCGATCGATATCCCGAGATCGTCTAAAATGCGAAAGGCCATTCCGCTGTAGAGCCATGCCTGCGTACGGTTGCCACGGCCGCATTCCTGCGCACTGAGTAGCAACAGGACCTGTATCGTCGGGATACCTGCATATCCCGTTCTCAGCGAATCGAAAAGCCCCGTCACGGCCCGTTGGTAGAACAGTGCTCCACCCTCATAAGAGTCTAGGAGCGGACCGACTTGAGGCTCCGCTTTGCACCACCGCACAGAGTGAGACAGCACGGCGTTCATGAGGACATCAGAATAGTAAGGGCCATTGATCTTCATATCACCTGCAAGTGGGTTAGTAGATATAGACGCCAGGTCCACCGAGGCGAGACATACGCGTAAATGCAGGGCGATAGACGAAGTTGAACAATGGCTGAATCCAGCACCAATGGGAATCGAGGAGGTATTGGAAAGGTTCCTGCAGATCCGATCAGGTTGGGGTGGTACAAAGGTTCGAGCTGAGCACATCATACCGGCATCACAGCCATCTGTTCGAATGCCCGCTCCCGCCAGGCATTATTGACGAGTCGCTCCTTGCGAGCCTCTAGTTCCTGGGCGTATTGCGACGTCGACGCGGTCTCACTAGCCACTCCGCTCGGGAGCTGGAACAAACTGGTGGGACCGTGGAAAGAGATGCGACCGTCATTTTCGACATTCAAGCCATCAAATTCCCGAGCAAGATCCTGCGCGTCGTCGAGTTCCGTTTTAATTCGACGACCCGCACTCGAGCTGGACTCGGCCACCGACGCAGGAGAGCTACCCTTGCGAGCCTCTGCTTCGGTATGCCGACCACGCAGCTTCGACAGAGCATCTTCGAGCTGAGCAACCCTTGTTTCCAATTGCTTGGTATAAGACAAGGTTGGCGCCCTGTAAGTGGGGAGGGAAGGTATGTCAGCCACCGGTCGCAACTGGGATCCCGGACCACGCGAACTTACAAGCTATACACACACGTCTCACCCCTCGCCGCGCAGCGTGAACATGACGGGCTAGCTCCGTTGCACTTGACCTGTCAGACAGTCAGCTTCGGCTTATTGGCACATGGGCACACCCATCTCGGAATTTGCCCGATCGGTACCTTGCGCTTGCGACAAGCCTCGCAGGAGAAGGCACTTTTCCGGGGAAGTGCCGACTTAAAAGGCACGTCGGCCATCTCGGAAGAACCCTCTACCACCATCAGTAATCCACGGGGTAGTTTTCATCCCCCATTGAAGATTCAGTTCAGGTAGAAGAAGAGGAAAGGAGGAAATTTTGGCCCCATGAACGTGGGGCTTTGATCGCGGGGAGGTCTATTAACCTTTTTTCTCTTTATTTTTTCCGTTCGGTGGACCACGTTTGGAGTCTTTATTTTGGGATCTTTTGGCTCTTTTGGGCGTCAGGTCTCAGCTGAGTGAGTTAGTCTTGACGGACCAGTGAGCTCGTCAAGCGTACAGTAGCCTCTGTACAGTACAGGGAGATCCGCTTGGGCAATCGCGACGACCGGCCAATTGTAGAGTATGCTCGGCGATGCTTCGGTCAAATGGCCGCATGCAGTCAAAGGTGAGATTCGTTGAATCCGCCGAATGGCTCTGATAGGATAGCGATTAAGTTGATTAGATGATTCGAGAACGAGATGCGGGTCCCGGTGGATCATCGGGCGATCTTCTGTCATGGGCACTCATGATGTAAGGTTGGGCGTGGGCCGATGTGGGATCCAATGTGGGAGGTGTGCCGAGTGAGAAGCTACTGAAGCTATTGAAGATATTGAAGATATTGAAGATATTGAAGATATTGAAGATATTGAAGATATTGAAGATATTGAAGATATTGAAGATATTGAAGATATTGAAGATATTGAAGATATTTGAAGATATTGAAGATATTGAAGATATTGAAGATATTGAAGATATTGAAGATATTGAAGATATTGAAGATATTGAAGATATTGAAGATATTGAAGATATTGACGATATTGACGATATTGACGATATTGAAGATATTGACGATATTGACGATATCAAGAACTATGCAGGTATTGAAAATATTGACGATATCAAGAACTATGCAGGTATTGACACGTATGTCCACCGTATTACACAATCATTTCCTTCCCTTTTTGAACTTGCCCTTGCCCTTGCCCTTGTCCTTGCCGAACATCTTCGGAGCATCGCGCTCGTCCTTGCCCTTCTTCCACCCAATATTGCCCTCGTGACGCATCTTGGCGTCGTCTAGACGTTTCTTGTCCTTGTTGCTGAGCTTGGCCTTATCCTTCTTAACCTTACCCGCGTTGGGTCCGTTCAACTTCCTCCGCACCAATCTTGCGGGCTGCAAGCTTCTGCTGCTCCGTCTCAAACCATGTTCGCTTGGGTCGTGCCATGATCTCTGCGCCGTGCTTCATGATGTTTTCGGTCTTGTTGACCTGCATCTCGGCCTGCGACATTTGCTTCTCCGTCTTCTCTTCCTGTAGAACCTCTTGCACCTCGTCGGCAAGATCCTCTGCTTTCTGGGCCCATTCATCAGCCACCGCGGTCTCAACCACACGGCTGACAATCTTGGCGCCCTGGGCTTTGCCGGCCTTCACAGCGGCCTTGACAACCTTGCGATCCGGTTCAGCAGCGATCGTGCATGCACGACCGGAGCGACCGGCACGGGCCGTACGGCCAACACGATGCAGGTAGATCTCGTGGCTCTGTGGGGCCTCGTAGTTAATAACGGTCTCCACTCCCTTAATATCCAGACCACGTGAAGCAACATCTGTACATAGAAGGAAAGCGACCTTGCCGTCACGGAAGTTCTCCACACTTTTAATACGCTAGAGAGGGAAGTCAGTAAAAGGGCCCTCAACCGAAAATATTGCGAAGCATACCTGTTCTTGGCTCAAACTACCGTGCAACTCGGCAGCCTTCATGCCCAGTAGACCGAAAATAATGCGGACACGATGCGCTTCCTTCTTTTGGCGGAAGAAGATGATGACTCTTCCTGTGTAGATCTCCTTGCACAAGTAAAGGAGACAGCCGAGACGCTTATCCTCGCGACCAGGGCGCAGACGAACGAATTCTTGCGTCAGGGTAACGACAGTCTGCTTCTTGGCATCCACCATCAAACGCATCGGACGGTTCATACCAACACGAATAAGTTTGTCGACAGATTCTGTCATGGTGGCAGAGAAGAGCATAGTCTGGCGTGATTTGGGGATCGTCGTCAAAATCTCGTTCAACTCGTCCGCAAATCCATCCTCCAACATACGATCGGCTTCATCGAGAACTAGAATTTCGAGGGTATCAACGGTGAAACTGGGAGAGTTGCGCATGTGATCAATGAAACGACCGGGAGTAGCAATAATGACATCGGGGCGCTTCTTCAAAATGTTTTCCTGCTCTCGAAGGCTGAAACCACCGATCAGTTGACAGAATGTGACATCGGTGAATGTGGCAAGCTTCACGGCAACATTGTAACATTGCACCGCCAATTCACGAGTAGGCATCAGAATAGTCACACGACTCGTAGGAACCTTGCGAGGACGGAAGAGCAGACGCTCCAGAATAGGGACGATGAAAGCACCTGTCTTTCCTGAACCGGTGACGGCACTACCGACAATATCTTTGCCCAGAAGTGCCACGGGAATGGCCTTGCGCTGGATAGGAGTGGGGTCGGTAAATCCGACGGAGGCCAAGCCTCGCAGACAGGACGAGAAAGGTTGAAGTCTTGGAATGTGCTCTTCGCAGCGGCGGCTTTCTCATCGATCTTCTCTTCGGGAGCGAAGAAGGCTTTGCGCTTCTCTTGTTCCTCGGCATCAACCTCGCTCTCAACATCGGATTCGCGATCGGAGCCAATGTCATCCGGGTGACCAACGGGGGTCGCGACGGAATCGTTATCGGATGCGGCGTCATCATCATCTTCCTCCTCTTCCTCATCCGATCCTTCCTTCTCATCGTCTTCCGCCCCAGACTCGACTTCAGGACCTTCAGCATCACTCTCCTCTTCTGCGCCATCCACACCCATACCGAAACCATCCTCGGCCATCAGCTCATCGTCATCGAAATCAACTTCCATGCCGGCATCAGACTCGTCTTCAGCATCGGAAGCACTCTCTTCCTCCTTGGGCTGCTTCTTCTGCTTCTTCTGAGCAGCAGCATCTTTCTTTGCTTGTCTCCGCTCAATGATGTCGTCGATGTCAACAGCCTTCTTGTCGGAGTGGGGACCAGTCTGCTTGGGCTCGTCCATGCCCCAGCCATCAAAGCCTTCGGTGACGCCCTGGTTGGCCACACCAGCTACATCAAACTCGAAGTCGGGATTCAAGACACCGTCATCATCGGCAACACCAATTTTCTCATCATCTTCCTCCTCCTCAGACTCGACCTTGGCAACAGGCTCTGACTGGTCTTTCTTGTTCTTTCCATTTTTGACTTGCTGTTTTTGCTTCTTGTTTTTGCCTTCGGTGGTTTCGACGTCGCGCTTGCGCTTTTTCGTATCGGCAGATTTCGCAGTTTCATCTTCCTTCTCGAACTCGTTCTGATCCTCGTCGTCGTCAAACCGGGGAACGTCCTCCTCGTCGGACAGCGTCAGAACAAAGTCGTCGTCCTTAGCGGCGCTCCGCTTGTTGCTGGGTGCCATTGTGAAGGCAGCGATTCGAACCGGATTCAACTCAGGCTCCAAGGAAGCCTTCACGACTTCACAAAAAATTGAAAAGTAGTGGAGTCCTTAGTCTCTTCGCCGCAAGAAAGAAATCAACAGCAGAAAAAAAAAAGGTTCCCCGGGCGGTGAGCAGAGACTTGGATGACTAAGGTCAGAGCCGCCCCAGTCAGCTTGGGACGGTCCCGCTTTAGTTCCCTACCGAGAAGTTACTCTAGATGAAATTGCCCTTACAATTCATTTCTGGTCAGCTTTCTATAGATTGGTTGTTGTTTTCCTAGCTTATTCCAGGGCATATGATGAGATAGCGAGTCGCACTAGGTCAGCATATAGTAAATTTTCATCATCATCATCTTTTCCTTCAGGTCACTGCACGCAGTACCATCGAAGAAAGCCTCATGTTTGATATCGACAGCTCCCGTAAACATGTTCTCCTACAGCTAATCTTGAAACAAATCGCAGTCGCATTGGTACTCCCAGAAAGGTCACAGGCTGTCATCGCAGAGGTGTCACTAACGGGCGAGGGGCACGAATCCCCAAGCTGCCCCGTAAGATTTATCCTTGGGTCCATTGAAAGAACTCATAATTCTAGCCAATACTTTGGCATGGGTTCCTCTGAGAATGCCAGCTGCGGTCTCCAGCGTTTCATCCTCGTTCTTTTGAGCCGCTGCATAACTATGCCTCCCAGATATTCTCGAACGCTACAGCTGACTCCCATTGGTGGCAGCTCTGCGAACTCCAGACGCTCAATATCGGGCTTCTTTGGGCTTGTTGCGCCAAGCCGCTTCCGAATTATAATTGTCTGAATGCGGCCACATTTTGCAGAGCCTCATTGACTTGGGTAACGCATTGTATCCTCGAGTTGATGTAGGGTAGTTTGAAAGGCCCCATTGATCCTGGAAAAGCTGAACTCGTCGATGGAAACACGGAGACAAAGTCCAGCTAAGTGCTCATAAAGCGGACTATTGACGATTGAACTGAAAAACCTTTAAAGATCGATTTGGCGCGATTGATATCCCACTCGGAGATGAACGACCCGACGGAGACAGGACCTTTACTTTAGAGAACAGATTGGCTTCCATTCAATATGCTGTTATTCTAATTGATCATATTGCTTTCGGGCGCAAGTTGTTGACCATGTAGAGGGGAGGGCAAAATACGGGTGAGAGCGTGGTATGCGTGCCCCAGCCCGCGGCGGTAAGCCTATTTCCTCACCTCGTCAACCCTTCCGCAGAATCGTATCAATTAGGGCATTTCGGGAACCATGTTGTCAATACTTCGGAAAGCCCGCTTAAAGGATAAGGAGATGCGTATTCTCATGCTGTACGAACAAGTAAGAGGCTGAAGAGTTCTCTGCTGACGGGAATCGCAGGGGTCTGGATAACGCGGGCAAAACGACCATCGTCAAGCGGATTATGAACGAGGATGTTACCACAGTGAGCCCAACCTTAGGGTTCATTATCAAGACAATTGATTTCATGGGGTAAGCGTTCCGATTGATTTACTTGATGGAGTTTTAACGCGGAACACAGCTATAAGCTCAACATCTGTGAGACGAATGACCCCTCCAGTTTGCGACGGGACTAACTGTATCAGGGGACGTGGGTGGCCAGAGAACACTGCGATCCTATTGGAAAAATTATTTCGAAAAAACCGATACGCTTGTGTGGGTGGTTGATGCAACAGATCGTCTACGCGTGGACGATTGCCGTGCGGAGCTGGCCGGTCTCCTCCTGGAAGAGGTGCGCTCCCACTTGAATTCAAATCTCGGGATCTCACTAATAACCACCAGCGGCTCATGGGAGCTAGTCTTCTAGTTTTCTTGAATAAGACGGATGTGGAACAATGCATGTCGGAGCAGGAAGTGCGCGAGGTCAGTACGCATCTTTTGACTTGTGCGAGCCTAAATCGCCGAAACCCCGAACTGACAAATGCCGTAGCGTCTGGGTTTGGATTTAATCAAAACCCACAAGTGGACGATTTTACCATGCAGTGCTATGACAGGAAAGAACCTTAATGAAGGGTTGGAATGGGTGGTACAAGATGCGAAAGACCGACTTTTCCTTTACTAGTCATGTTCGGTTCCCACAGTGGATGGACTCAGCTACTTGGCGCATCGGAGAAATGACTTGATGCCATATGCTCGCTGATATTCACCTAGTCCTCTGCAGTCACCATGGCAATATCATCTTCTATCTTTCGAATGAACTTCACGAGACTTCTTGGAAATATGAAGGTTGATCATTTCTACTACCAGCCCTGTTAGGCTGTCGGGTACACAAGGTCCGTGGGCTTTTGGGGTAAAGCATTTGGGCGGATTCGTTTGGGGCTAGTTACTGTTGGTAAGCTATTGGCAAGTTGCTGTCGTATAGCTTCGCAGGTGCAGGTTCTGTTGGGTTTCAGTATTCTTCGTATATGTCTTAGCTCTTCTGCGAGCTCCGGACGTCCATTCCGGTCGCGGGAAGCCGCATAATGTCCGAGAATGTACATTGCTCAGAACGAACATGTGCTTCCACTAAAGAATCAGTAGATGTTGAATTGATTCCAAAAGCGCTACCCAAGTGCATACCCAATTATTTACTAAGGCCGAAGTCTATTTCTTTTTGCTGAATTCTAGAAAAACAATTAAGAGATCATCAAATCCAACTCCGATACCTATTGCCGGCCCAGGTAGCATGCAAGGTACCAAGTGATAGATCACTTCCTTCACGGGAAATCAGTCTGGTATATGCAGTCTGTGGAACAGAGACACCCCGAGCTCTCGACGCCCCTTAAAACCCCCTAGAAGTGAAAATTCGTTATTGCGGCCAAACCCATGGATCCAGCATGGAAAGCCGAAAACCTGCGGGGCGGAACCTGGAAGCGATCCCGCTCCACCAATTTTGTAAACAAACATGCCATTCTGGCGAGGAAACTGCCGTATTACGCAAGTGTGTTGTAGCCTGGACTGCTAAAGTGTAAACTCGAGGGTAGTCTTATAGTCTGCTTCTGCAGAACTTTGATAGAGAAAAAACTCTTGGTGAAGTGAAGATCGGAGGAGCCAATGATCCATCCCCATTTAGTTTAAGCAGGGCGGAGAACACCTCAGCTCTTGAGTCCCCAACTTCCCACTTCTCCTCCAACCCACTCCCGTCCCTTCAGGAGCCTACATTCTCCCTGAAGAGCTTGCCTATTTGTGGCAACGTGCGACGGGATCATGGCGACTACAACAAACCCTGACGGGTCTGAAGACGTGAACGATTTCCTGCTGCGCATTCGAGAACTCGGTGAGCAGCGCGACAAGGAAGATCAAGAGCGCACCAAGAGACTGGAAGATGAGATCCTGCAGGGTCGCGCAGAAAGACAGGCCCGTCGAGCTGGTATATATGAACCCCTCCACTAGGCCCTTAATGTACCTGGGGTCTGTTTCGAGCTAGTCGTAATGACAGCCCCGCGCTACTATGGGATCCCCAACAAAACACCCCTCCATCGGATGGTATGCTAACACACTTGTTTGCAGAGCGAGCACGATCGATCGCCGGCTCACCATCCCTAAATCCCTCAAGGCTGAGTGTATCGTCCTCGGCCAGCCTTCCATCGAGCCTCCGGAGCATCTCGAGCCGACGGTGCAGACACAAGACCCTGAAACAGCGACTTCAGAATCGACCTATACTCTCAGAAGTGATGAGAGACGTGGTTCGGTGCAAGATTCGGGAATGGAGTCTCCACGAGCGATGCCCACCTTGCAGCGAAGTCGAACGGGGACCTTGTCGTGGCAGCAACGCCCGTCATCTCGGGATTCGCGTGATTTTGGTAACAGATCGCCTGGTTCCACATCACCCACTCGATCCAGTCAATTGCGAAATGCATCACCACACTCAGATGAGAACTTGCCGTCGCGAGCCCAGATTACGAACTCGCTTGGATCGAAAGATCCATCCTGGTTTCGCCAGACCCCAGACCGAGGACTGGGCTCGCCAGCACTCCGGAAGCTAGAGGACCGGCGAGGTAGTCAGGTAGAGTTGGGTATGAGCCGTCAATTGCCAGGAATGAGCCGCGAGTCGACAGTGGAACCAGAAAAAGCGGACGTTGCAGAGGAAATACCTTTGTCGCCGCCGCGGACGGCTTCCACGATTGGCGAGAGCAGCAGCAAACGATACTCAAGTGTGTCTTCAGCCTCCCCGCCAGGTGAACTAGATTCGCCGCCAACTTTAACGGACGCCCCAAAACTTGATCCGACCCTCACCGAGCCCCTCTCAGTCGAATCGGTACCTACTCCACCACCACAACGACGAATGTCTCCGGATCGGGCTCGCTCGACGTCCCCCACGAAGGGTCTCGGTGGATTTGTGCAAAGTGCTATGATGAGGCGATCAGACAGTGTCTCCAAACGATGGAGCGCTCAACTCCCACAGGGACTAAGCAGGTCCAACTCCATCATTAGCCACCGTAATAGTGTTGCGGCCCCCAGCCTGACCGGGAGTATTGGTGATTTAGCTCCTACCACTTCTGCCTTGCAGTTGAACCGGGACACTTCGCAGCTACCTACTCAGCGTCCTGGGTCGAGCTACGGCGAGACAACAGTTCACCCTTCGGAGTCCATTGATAGACCCATGACACCCACGGGGAATACCAGTACCTTCCGCTCTGAGGGCAGCCCGAGCAGATCGGTCCGTTATGGTCACTCCAGGACTGCGAGCACAGCCACTGTCGACAGTCAAAGCGGAGAAACATCGAGCCCGTTCACCTCGAGAACAATGGATCCTAGACGTTGGAGCCCGAACAAGGCCAGTTGGCTGGAGAGCGCTCTGAATCGACCCAATCCCGAGACTCCACGACAGGCAACGCCCCAACAGCCTGCCTGGGTCAGAGAACGTCAGTCGAGGGGTAGTGTTGATATGGGACGGGTGAGGAATTTCAAGGAAGTCACCCCGGCTGGGTTGATGCGAACGCCCCCACCAGGCGGTCATTTCAAGAAGCCTAGTCTTTCTGCTGCCCCCTCAGTATTTGACACTCCCAACGCTGGCAAGACCAAGGAGGCTGTCGTAGATTTCCCATTTCCTACTGTGGAAACTGGAAAACCGCCCACGACGAAGCTTGAAGCAGCCGAGGACAAGCCAACCGAAGGGCTCTCCGAGGAGTGTTCCGAAGAGATACCCGAAGAAAAGCCCGAGACGAATCCTGAGCCTGTTTCTGAACAAGTGGAGGAAGAGACGAAGCCCATTTCTCCAATTGTACCAGAGTCTGAGCCCCCAGAGTCAGAGGCGGAGCCTGTGAAGCTCTCAACCCCAGAACCGACTCGGAAGCTGCCACCTCTCAATCTGAGCCCGAAGCCAAATTTCTCACTCCCTTCTCGAGCACTTTTATCGCCAAAGCCCAAGCAACAATCTCCGGTTGTTGATTTCAGAGCAAATTTGCGAAAGCGAGAAGTCGTGAAGGATAGCGGACCGGAAAAGGAGCCTGAATTCAAGAATGTCTTTGGCAAGCTCAAGAAGACCGAAACTCGCAACTACCAGGCACCGGACGAACTCAAGGGTAATATCCTACGGGGCAAGGCTGCTTTGAATATCACCGGAGGTCCTAAGAAGACCGAACGAGTTGATGAATTTAGACACAGTCTCGTGATGACGAAAGAGGCGATGAAGGCTGGAGGAGGCTCAATCAGGCGAAACACCATCGAGGATAAAGAGGTCCCGACTGAAGTGATTCCAGAAGCTATTGCGAAGCGTCACACCATGACCAAGTCGAGTAGCTTCAAGCGCACGAGTACCGATGAGCCAATGTCTCCCGCCACCAAAGATGCTGGCTCCACTCCAACGTCGCCAAATAAGCTGGCTAGCCCTGCGCGCACTTTTGGAGGCGCCATCGACATGGAGGCGCCTCGAGGACTCTCTCCAACTTTCAGTGAGCCTAAGGCGGCGGTTAGGGATTCGCTTTCTAGCCCGATTCTGAGCCCAAGTCAAGATGAACCTTCCAATGATATAGTGGAGACCATTGAACCGACCATGGAGAAGGAACGAAAGGGCTCCACCGAGTCGGCGAGCTCGATGCGTGGCTTGCCATCTGCTAGGATAGCCGCTGCAGCTGCGGCTGCGAGGGCTGCTTCTCCGGTCATGTCCATGTCTGGACAAGGAAAACTTGCAGGCCGAATCAACCCTGCTTTAGTAGGCTTGCTGTCACGCGGTCCCCTGCCAGCTGAAGGACCCAAGAAAGAGGTTGTCGTCTCTTCCCTTGAAGGAAACGACCCTTCATCACCCGCGGCGCCTCTGACCCACATTACGAAAGGTCGCGCCAGAGGTCCCAAGAGACGGTTGCCCAAGGGAGATGCTTCTACCGCAGTCTCATCTGTTCAGGATACCGAGGTTGGTGCTATTTCGTCTCCTGAATTCAGCCCCCAGACAAGCCCCGAGCCTGTGATTCCTTCGGAAACCCAGTCGGAGAGTGTGTCAAGGGAAAGCTTGGTCATCGATACTGAACCCGCTCAAATAGAGAGCCCCGTTGCCAAGCCCCTTCCGCCAGTAAACACCACAACCACTTTTCAGGATGTGCTCAACAGCGGACTACAGAGGCTGAGGAGTATCTCGCCGATCTCCTCGAGCTTTCCGAAAGACTCCAGTACTCGTTCCTCCGAAGACAGTGTGAGCCGTGATATCGAATCACCGCGACCCGACAGCCCATCGACCAGACCTCCCGTTCCGCCAAAGCCCAGTCCCTCACCTTCCCATTCGCCATCTCCTGCACCCCGAAATCAATGGAGCCAGCAATCGCGGTACGCTTCAGCCTCGCCATCTCCTCTCAGAACGAGCTTCCGAGAGAACGTTCCGGGTGTAATGGTTGCAACCTCATCTCCCCAAGACAAGAGACTTCCTTCTCCGCCGGAATCTTCCAAGCAGCTTAAGTATTCCCTGGGCAAGCCTGCTGACCACAGACTGTCGCGAAAGATGTCTGCTCCGTCACTTGTTGCACAAGCAGCAGATGCTCGAGAGGTGATTGGGAACTTCTTCAAAACATTCCCTAGCTCCCGGGATCGCATGGACATTGATCCGCAATTGATGCTCACTACGCAAGCTGATGCTGCAAAGATCCGAACCTTGAAGCGTCAGATCTGGGAATTCACTGGTGATGGCAAGCGGCAGGAGGTGCCCGTCAACCAGGAGTACGTTCTGTACGAGGGCAGCATGTACCTTTGCGTGCATTTATTTGAGGCGCACAACAGCAATCATTCTGAGGTATACCTTTGGTGCGGTGACGATGTCTCTGAGGCTGCTCTAGACGATGCGCAGTTGTTCGCTCGCAAGGTTGCCCGAGAGAATGGCTGCAAACTAGAGCTCATCAGGCAAGGAAAGGAGCCGGTGCGGTTCATTCAAGCTCTCGGTGGCATCATCATCACTCGTCGCGGACAAAACTCTCGCCATACCTCGTCGTCTCTATACATGCTTTGCGGACGAAAGCATCTGGGCCAGATGGCCTTTGATGAAGTTGACTACTCATTGCGAAACCTTTGCTCCGGCTTCCCCTTCGTCATCTCCGCTCCTTTCGGCAAGCTCTACTTGTGGAAAGGTAAAGGCAGCGGTCCTGAAGAGACTGGCGCAGCTCGCCTGATCAGCATGGACCTAGGCCTAACGGGCGAGTTTGAGGAAGTCGACGAGGGTCAAGAACCCGACTGCTTTTTTGATGACTTTGCGGGATCCAATGAAACAAATCCGCTGATGACACCAGAGTACTGGAAATTGAAGTCGAAGTATGACCACTATCGTACTCGGCTTCTTCGCATTGATCACCAACTCGGCCAGCCAACCCGTTTTTGGGGCATGCGCCGTCCCGGCTCAGGCTCACCAGTCGTCCGACCGAACGACTGTGTGCAGGAAATCGAGCCGTTCTGTTTCAAGGATCTCACTGAACGTGACGTCTTTGTACTTGATACATTCTTTGAGATCTACGTGTAAGTCCTCTCAAACCATTTCACTGTAAATCTGCCTAACATTTTATCGCAGCATCGTCGGCGATCACACCTCACAAAAGTCAGCCGAGTTTGCATCGGCCGTGGTGTTCGCACATGAGTATGGCATTCTAGCAGCTTCACTTCAGGACCGACCCTTTATCCCGAAGAGCTTTGTCGCACTAGGCGGCGTTCCAGATCGGTGTCAAAGTGCATTCCGCAAATGGGACCGGCGATCGATTCACGCGCCCTGCGTGTTCCCTCTTGACGTGGCGATCGAAGCAATTCGCTCGCAGGAGCGCGGAGAATAGTTTTCTTGTCTTGTGTTTCTTGCATTTCCCCCTTTTTCTCTGTGCATATTTTCGGGTTGTAAAGAGAGCATTCGCGGGAGGAGTCTTCTGTACATTGGTGTACTGTCCCCAAGAGGAGCATGGTGGGAGCATCTGGCATGTACATCTAACGCTTGAGATATTTTTTTTTTTCGTTTTATTTTTTTCACGTACAGGTCGTGGCCGCCTAGAAAGGTAGAGTCGACCTGTCAGAAAAGACCCATGAGCTAGTCTATAGGACGATCGATCGAGCCCACCTCAGTTCGGCCTTGTAAACTCCGAGCTCCGGCTGCCGCGGTCGGCTTATCGCGATCTTCCTTTTATACTTCCCCAGGTGCATGACATATCATGTACAATGATGAGAATTATTAAGCCGGCCTCCAGGGGGCATGTAAAGTTTGGAATCAGATCGAAAAGACCCGCAGTCTAGATCGAGCGCGTCCTTTCTCGATGGCCTGACGGGGTCGACGGATCGGGAAATCCCACGATGAGAATCCAGGTGGGCCTTGCTTTTCATCGCATGGCGACATTTCTAGCGTCCCGTTTTTCTTTCTTTAGGCTCTCTTTCAATTTCCCCCACTACCCGATCTCTATTCTATCACAATATGAAGAGGATGTGACCTTTTGAACCAACCATGGATCTCTCGATTTCCCACGAGCTGTCGAAGCTCGATCCCGCGCTTCCATTCCGCGCTTCCACTGACCACCTACACCACACTTGGGCCAAGACCTTTTTCTCCCGACCCGAGCTGTATATTCGCCCTCAGTCTATCCCTGAAATCCAGCAGCTGGTGACTCTCGCGCGCCGCTGTCGTCGCCGTCTTGTCACTGTCGGCAGTGGACACTCTCCCTCTGACCTTACCTGCACGTCCTCATGGCTTGTTAATCTCGATGATTTCAATCGCATTCTGCAGATTGATAACGATACTGGCTTGGTTACCGTCGAGGCAGGCATACGTTTGAATGAACTGGGCATACGGCTGGAGCAAGAAGGGTGGACACTGAAGAACCTTGGCAGCATTGACAGCCAGTCAATAGCGGGAGTCATTGCGACGGGCACACATGGTAGCTCGCTGCGCCATGGACTGCTCTCAGAGTGCATAGAGGCTCTGAGCCTGGTTCTGCCGAATGGTCAGCTGGTTCGCTGCAGTGCCACCAACAACCCGTCTCTCTTCCGCGCGGCGCTCGTTTCCCTTGGCGCGCTGGGAATCATCGTCGAGGTGACTTTCAGGGCGCGACGATCGTTCAATATCGCATGGCGTCAGGAACGATACACGCTGGGGAAGGTGTTTGAAGAGTGGACCACGGGTCTGTGGACATCACACGAGTTCGTCCGTGTATGGTGGCTGCCCTACGAAAAGAGTGCGATTGTCTGGCGCGCCGATGCTACGGACCTCCCACTGCGCGCGCCGCCAAGGAACTTCTACGGCGATTGGTTTGGATACCACATCTACCATAATCTGCTTGCGCTGTCTTCCTATGCGCCGCGCATTCTACCCTGGGTGGAGTGGTTTGTCTTTGGCATGCAATATGGCTTCAAGGCCGGATCCACGGTCACTGAGGCCGTTGAGCCAGCTCGCAAGGGTCTGTTGATGAATTGCTTGTACTCGCAGTTTGTGAACGAATGGGCGCTTCCTCTGGAAAAGGGACCCGAAGCGATCAGCCGCCTCTCTGCCTGGCTGCACGGCGACCTCAAGGCATCGGGAATTCCGTTCCCCACTAAGGGGTTCTGGGTGCACTGCCCCATTGAAGTACGAGTGTCAGACTCGACTAACAATCCCAACCCACGCCCATTTCTCGACCCAACCTGCCGTGATGGACCCACCCTGTACCTGAATGCGACTCTCTATCGGCCGTATCTCCGTGACCCGCCTTGCAGACAGCGGTACTACGAAGCCTTCGAATGGCTCATGCGGGACATGGGCGCCAAACCTCACTGGGCCAAAAATTTCAAGACTCTCGGCCCCTCAGAACTGGGCACTTTATACCGCGACGACATGGACGAATGGTTGAAGGTGCGACAAGACGTTGATCCGGAGGGCATGTTCCTGGGCGAATGGCACCACCGCAATCTGCCCTTGCTCGAGTCAAAGAATCAACATACACCCAACGCAGAGCCGCTGCCTCTCCTCGAGCGGGAGAGTGAGCGCCGCACGCCTAACATTAGCGGCGCGGGCGACGGGATCGAGTGGATTGGAGATCGCCGATGGCAGGGTCACGGCTCGCATGGGGTCGCGGGCGAAACGAGGTACGAAGAGCCGGACCACTCAGCACCGAGTCCACCGACGACAGCCACCAGCGAGGAAAGTTTCGACATGCTTGTGAAAGGCGAAGCTAGCATTCTGCTCCCCGACAACTCCGAATGAGAATCTCGAAACGGACCAACAGCATGTGGTCTAGTGAATCGCCGTTACCTAGAAGTTCTACTGATCTGGCCCGGCGACCTGGACATGACATTGGCTTGACGCAGGGTGAATCACCCGCCTCTTTAAGACCTTTTAGTTTCAAGGTCGATCTGACAGGTTTGGGCCTCAAAGATGATCTCTGAAATGAAGCGGTTCTCGGGCTCGTTTGTCCTCCTTCTTTCACGCCCTTTTGGGATGGCTGGTTCAGACCGGGCCGTAGATAGCACCACTGCACATAGCAATGTTTTCTTTTTTTTTCCCAGACCTCATGATCATCTTTGAGATGAACTGCTTTGAAAAGCCAGTAAAATCGCAAATTGGTGCATGTAATGCGAAGTGTGAAAGTACGCAAGTACCTGCTTAAGTCTGCACGTACAGCATGCGGCAACAGCAACGGCACCTGAACTCCACGCCAACGCCCTACGTGAGTTTGAAAATCAATAACATTATTTCAGATTTCTTCTTCTCTTCCCAAGGCTTTTACAATGCTCTCCAATCCCAGCCCAACGCCCCAAACACCGAGCAGACACGAAGACGCCAAAGCCGACTCGCTTGAACAACCTGGACACTCGGGCACCTGGACCATCGCCGGGGTTCGGGGTGATGCCCTCCCCCCACTCGTAGGATAATGGCGGTCACACACCTGTTGCAGCCTGTGCAGCCAAGCTATCGTTACAGCTACAGCTACAGCTACGAGGGATCTGTGATCAATGAAGATCTACTCGTTTTGATTGGGGCTGCGTCTCTCAGTGATGTTGTCCTCCAATACTAGCGGGAGATCTGATCTCTGACCGGTTGCTCGTGCTTCGCCGTCTTTCCTTTCCTCAGAACGAAAATACAATCGGTTCCAACTGAGGCGGGCGCGCAATGTCCAGGGCAGGAACAACATCCCTAGGCCGAGCTCACCTCAGACGCCCCACGGTGCCAACGGGAGAAGGCCCCCAGGAGCGGGTGACTCTGGGAGGGCAAACCATCCACTGCAGAGTGCAGACCAAAACGCAACCCGGTCAACCCGGGATTACCCTGGGAGTTGGGCATATCACCCCGTACCACGTTTCCATTGGCAAGGATGTCAGGTGATATCGAGGGCCCGAGTGCTCAGCCCTTGGTGCCTTTTGTTGTCAAGAATGGAACGAAGTGGAACTTGACGGCTTGGTTTACTTGAGCCATTGTTTCTGCACGTGCTAGCCCGTGTGACAAGACGTGACTCTCGTTACTATCCTTACTGTACCCTACGTGACCCCCGGGGTGTCATTGCCGCACGGACGAATCTTCGGGGCACTCGCTGCCCAAACCATGGAAAACATGCCGTGAAGTCCGATCCACTGGCGGCTCGGACCGTGTCCATCAAGTGTGCTCACTAAGTGCGTGCGTTCAGAAGCATTCGGGTGTGCTGAGCTTCCTTTGCCTTGCCTGTCCTCCCTCGGTTCCACTTAACGCGCGGGGATCCCTGCCTCGTGCCGACCACAGCCACAAGGTGTCGCGAGACACTGGAACGGCTGCACCGGTTGATATTCTGACAGACCGCTCCACGTCACCCTCTGGTACCTCTGGTATCTATACCGTCTGCCTCTGTCGCGGGGTATGATCATTCCACGGGGGTGTGCGGGGCGAGGAGGGGGTTGGCCCCGGCTCTCTGCAACACACGTTGATAATCAATGATATCAACTCTAGCGGCTGAACTCTCTTGGGGTTCCATATCATCCACCCCACCTGCTTGATTTGAATTCCCTTGCTAGCCAAAGCTTCAACTCTTGTTTTCTTACTTCGTCTTCGCCAGCCCCATTGATCCTTACTCTTACTCGGGTGCCTGCACTCCGCGGAGATTGACTGCAGGTACTATGTCCTGGCAACCAAAGCTTCGCCCCAAGGGCTATCCTCATACCATTGATGATTTTGCTGTGGCTTCATTGACAGAGCTGGAGCATCGCTCGCGGACGAGCGAGGATAAACGCGACCCACGCGTATTTCGGGTCAAGCGCAAGCATGTCCTAAAAGCCTGTGACCGGTGCCGCGTCAAGAAGACAAAGGTTTGAGTCGCGCTTTTTCCGTTCTCGAGAATAGAGGCTGATTGTTGCAGTGTGATGGGAAACAGCCTTGTAACCGCTGCTCAGTGTACAATCACCCTTGCCTTTTCCGTGAAAGAAAGGCTACCCAGACCAAGATCTATTCCCGCGGGTGAGCAGAGCGCTTCTTGATATTGCGATCCGACCGGAATTCTGACGGTCTTTTTTTGGCCTACAGATTTGTTGAGATGCTTGAATCGCACCACTCACTGGTAGTCAAAGCCTTGCAGAAACTATACAAACTCTGTGTCAGCAAAGAGGGCTTCCCAGGCGAAGCACTAGCAGAAGCACCAGATGGCCACCCTCTGACACACGCCATTCTCGACCGACTAGGTCTGATCAAACAAGCCGAGGAGAACGCAGACGAGCCCGACGAAGACTCCGAGGATCTGAGATACCTTCGGTTGCTTTCCACGTCCACCGAATGTAGCGCCACAGCCGAGCCATCGCCGGAGCCTGCCACTCCCCCAGAGCCGTGTCTGACGATAATGTCCCGACCCTCCGTCTGCATTCCAATATCAACTCCCATGACCGCGCGCAGTAACTCTAGCTGGCAGTGGGATATGCAATCCCTTCAGCAGACCCCGTACAACTACGCAGAGGCCGGATATCAAGAGATGATCACCATGCCACGATCTTCTATCGGTGGGCCGGATTTGGCATCGACTGAGAACCTTCCCAACGTGGACCTGACCACCAAATCCTCAGCCTCCAATGGACAGCCACTTGATCAGTCGTTCGCCTATTACCTTGCCGGAAGTTGCAGTACGCAAGATCACCAGGAATCCAAGGCCGCCATTCGAATGCACCCAGGTATCATGCCTAAGGCACATAGTCATTCTCTGGGCAATATGTCCAATGACATCCTTGGTGATTTCCCATTCCAGCCTCAAGATATTCCCTTCTATCCTGGCTTCACTCCAGGCTGGGGCTTCCCCTCGGGATAGATGCCTACATTGGAGTCTTCAATCTTTGGGGGAGGGGGAAGTATTTTTTTGGCCTTGGCTGCCGAGCAGCCTTTAATTCGATTCTCTTCTGTTCACTTCACTTCACTTCTCACTCATAATATTCACTTTCCATCTCTTCTTTCATCTTCCATACAGAGTCCTATACCCTTTATCTGAGGATATCCATATTGGAGCAGGAGCATGAGATTGAGATCTTTACCACTATCTTTCCCTATATATTCAGGGTATCACCCAATGACAGAGCAGGTCATGCATTTGGAAAATGTCAGGTACATTGCCCTAGTCATGCCCGAGCCATGATCATAATCAGATCCCGATCATTTCCCTGCTTTTCCCATTTCCCATCTCAGATCCAGCTGAGATACTCAGCACATCACAATTTAGGCCCATCAATCCCGGCGCAGGTAGATCCTACATCCAGGTTCATAGATTTGCTCTTACTCTGATCTCAACCTGAGGGGGGTCTTGGATGATTTCAGTCGCAGTACATAGTAACGAGCATCAATGAACCGATTAATCAATGTATCTCACTGGGAAGGATATCCAGAAGGATTCCCGGTACTCGTACCCCTACCTGATCCCAGCACAATGCCCCCAGCCTCATCCCGTAAGAAAGTCCATCGGCAAGGGAACATCAAGCACAGACATCTTGACCTCTACGGAATCCCAGCATCAACCCAGGAACCTGATCGAGACAAGCAACATTGAAACATTGGGACACGGGCGCTGATAATTGTGCGCGATGAGAGTCTCGACGTGGTACAGTGCGGCGCAAAGGATCCCAGAATGGGAATACAGACACTCTAGCCTCGATGTACGGACAAGTTTGAACAAGGAGTTTTGAGATCTTCGAGAAAAATGGTTTTTGTATTCCCACGTCTAAATTTCCGGCGTTGGACGGATGCGATATGTGAACATGCAAGCGAAGAAGAGAGAAATACATAGTAAAGCCAAACTACCATAACCGTAGATATAGATGGGAGGGGGGAAAAAAAAACAAAAAGAACAGAAACATGATCACGCCGGATACCCGATGGGACAATAAACATAAAACAGTCCCAGATGAAAAGCTGTGTTGCACTGGTCTGCAGTACAATCCGTGAACGATGGTGACGAGGATCAATCCTCATCTTCCGTCTCTGTGTTGGTGTCGCTAGTATCGCCAGCGTCGCCGTCGGTGTCACTTTCCTCACTGGAGGAGTCGGAAGGCTTTCTGGTCTTTTTCTTCGGCGCTTGGCCGGTCTTGAGCGCGTGCATCTGGCCGGCGATAGAATCTAGACGAGAAGTTAGCAGAGGGGAAAAAAAGGAGTACAGAGAGGCGAAAAAGAAGAACTTACCCTCGTCAGGTTCGCTGATTTCGTCCTCTTCGTCCACGGTTGCTGCCTTGGCTGGGTCGTCAATGTGCAGCGTAATCTCCATCTTGGTGTCTAGGCCCAGATAACTGTCGCAGACCATATGCATGACGAAGGTGAAGTCGCCCACTTGCGGAGGAGCCTGGAACTGCATCTTGAGGGTCTGAACGTTGAATGTGGGCTTGCCAGCCTCGTCGAGAATCGGCTTGTCGAATGTCGTGAAAGTGAATGGTGGAACGGCCATCTTGCCTTGCTTGGCATCGGCCAGGAAAATGTGCCAGCGGGGGGAATGGTCACGGGCAAAGTAGGGGGCATGGGCTAGAGGGGGTTGGATGGTTTCCACCGTGTTCTCGACCTTCTTGCCGTCGACGAGCTTGGTGGCGCGGTTCTTGGCCGGCTTGCGGCCCATCAAAGCGTCCAAATCATCCTCATCAGGGTCAATATCCTCGAGATCCAGCTCGTTCACGGCCGGCACCTCGGTGCAGCCAGGTGGAATGAAGCGGGCCTTCACAACCAGTTGTACCAGACTGCTAGGAGTGATGACCTTCTCGCCCATGACCTTAAAGAACGCCCTGGAAACCTCCAGAACTGGCAATTGTTGTGCAACAGTGATAGCATCCGAGTACTGCTTCTCAGAAAGAAGACCAGCGCCCACAGTAAGGCGGTGCCGTTGTTGCTCAGGCATTCTCATGAACTGCTGAACTGTGATGTGTTCCTTGGTGTGCTCGCCTTCCACCGCCCTAACCACAGCGTCGTTGAAGTTGGGGAGTTGCATAAGCGGGGACGCGCCTGGGGCTAATGCCTGAATCAAGTTCTGGGAGGCCGTGAAAGAACCGATGATCGGTCGAAGGTTGCCGAAAGCCAGAGCGATCGCAGTAAAGGCCTCGCCCAAGGAGAGAGCAATGGGAGCAGCCTCGTACTTCTCCGCGTCAAGAGTAGCATCGCCAAGATCGATTCTGCCCAAGTAAGCCCACAGTAAGGCCAGAGCCTTTCGCCGAGTGGTGTTGTCCATTTGCTTGATCGCCTCACGGTCCTTAGGAGAGAGGAAAGCCCATTTATCAGACAACACATTCCTTTCTAGCTTCGCGAGACCAGCTTCAGCCTGAGCGCCCTTGAGCATATCCTTGAATTCCTCGCCGGAAGACAAAGCGTTGATGATACCACCATCGGTAATATCTTCCTTGTATTCACGGAAGATGTTACCGGCACTGGCGACCAGAACACGCTCCTTGGTGTAGCGCTGAGAGCCATACCACCACTTTCCAACAATATAAGGCAGAAGAACACCCAAAAGGGCACCATACACCAGCAACACGTACTTTCCATTGCCATCCATAACAATGAGCTTAGGAAGAGCAATGCCAATGCTGAAGCTCTGCTTGCCGTCGGGGTGGCCATACTGGAGATAGTTGTTGCGGATCTCTTCGTCGGTCAAGGCCTTGTACGCTTTGGTGAGCTCAACAAAGCGCTCATTCAAGTCCTCAATGGTCTCGTTCTTGGCGGGGTCGGGTCGAATTTTGTCGGGGTGATAGATGAGGGAAAGGCGCTTGTAGTGTCGGGAGATAGCTTTCTCGTCGGCGCTCTGGATGAGTTCATTTGTTAGATTTGACTTTTGCAAGACTGTCCCGCGCTCGTGCTCGAAAAAGCCAACGTACCCTTGAAATGCCCAAAATGTCGTACGGGTCATAAAGTTTGGCGGTGGTTCGGGCCGTGACCATGATCAAATAGACCATCCAGGCCATGACCACGTATCCGATAATCACAGTAATAATGCGCTTAATTCGGCGCTCCTTGCGCAGACGCTTGCGCTTCTGTGCCTCGACAAGTTCGGCATGTTGAGGTTTAAAATCAGATTTAATGCGGGGAGCGGTGTTTTCAAGCTCTGCCATGGCGAGCGATTAGCTGATGGACCTCAAAGTCAACACATCCACGCAAGCTCACCTTTGCTGGGTCGGAGGATGTTATAGGTGAGAGGAAGGGTGACCAGGCCGGTCAAGGTCAAGATGAAGAAAGGGAAGAATTGACCCTAGACGCGCACAAAGCACGAATGTTAGCACACTTCTTCAAAGCTCCATATCCATTCTCAAGCCTTACCTGCTCATCATAGGTATAGTCTGACGACATGCTGCGGCGGGTTCAGGGCGACAGCGGTTGCCGCCGCGTAATTAAAAGATCGTAGAGTGCAGAGGTGAGGGCCACTTGGACTAGGCACAAGTAGGTCAAAGAGGGCAAAAGAAATCTCAAACGGGAGCCAGAATCATGGCCCTGAAGCAACAAAGGAGCGATGCAGGGAGCATTGCTCTTCATGATCTGGTGATGACCGTGTCCTCAAGAACATGCCACCGCCTTCCTGAAAAGGAAATTTGTCTCTTTTTGCGTGAAGGCGGTGAGCAGAGGACAACTGTGCACTTGTCTGATTTCTCCGGGTTGCAAATTGAAGACTAGTTGGGACTTTTAATGCAGGGCATTGTATGGCTTTCACCTTTCGTCTACGTGAAAAGTATATTTTTTTTGATAATTTGAATATATTCAAGCTCCGAGTTTTAAGCTATAAACGAAGTGTGTCGAAGTGAATCGAATAAGTATATCCGCCGAAGTCCTCGCTATGTACAGAAACAATCCACTTCCTCATCTGGGGAGGTGACAGAACAGATTTGCGGTACAAGCAAGTCATGTCACTCACCGCGTGAATCCAGGGACACTCAAGCGCCAACGAAAAGTTGTACGCGAACTCAACCTGGAGTCACGCGGGCGTCATGACTCATTTGCGGCTCGCGAAATCGCGGACCAAGATCCACATGGCCGGGTGTAAAGGGACCAATCCAATGCAGGGCATCTTCATTGCTTCAAGTCGGGGACCCGGGTAGTCCATGTGATCTGGCGTTCAGGGCGTCAGTCGATTTGTGGTGCGGGTTGGCGTAGGTTGCTAAGTCCTATGGCCAAATTCGGCGGTGCTTTTTTTGAGATGTTCGTGAATCATCGCAGTCGGAAAGGCGTTTCATGATTTTTGATTTTTTTGCAGGTTCAGAAAACAGCTGGAAAAAAGAGACATCCAGACGTATCCGCGCACTCAATCTCCAAGAGTGCAGTCTTGTCTCCTGATAAACGGTCAGAAAAGGATCCAAAGACTGCAACACAAAAGATCTACTCACGAGTCGATAAAGTCGAGTCCACCGAAGTACTCCAGCATACGATAGCAGAGACTCAGATCGTCGCCCGGCTCGCCGCCAAAGAGACGGTACTGGGCAGCCTCGGTTCCACCAGTTTTCTGTTGAGGGGCTTCACGGATCTGCCATGCGGTATACCCATATTGCCAGGTAGGGGCGAGGGTCGCTGGCGCCGGAGATCCAGGTGAATTGCATGCAACTGATGGTCGGGCGTATGGACTCGGATGGCTCAAGACAGGCGATGCAATTGCCGGTAAGCTCGCAACTTGATTGACTGATGGTTCTTGACTGGAGTGATGTCGAGGGCGTGTTCGGCGTCGGTTATGTCTCTGGCCCATTCTCAATGGAAAATCAAAGCAAGAACTTTTAAGGAGCGACCTTCACCCCTGGAAAGGATGAGATAAGGAGGAGAAGTTCTTATGGGGTGAGGCAGCCTTTATGTATGGCCTGACAACCACGGGGTATGAGTCGGTTGACGTGAGTCACGTAAGGAAAAATTAAAACGGACCCACAGTGGAGCCCCTCGCAAGTCCGGCAGATCACCAAATGGCCTTAAAAAATGGCGCCAAACCCTTGCACTAGCCCCCCTGAAAGGCGTGCTTCCATGCGTCAGATCCTCAGGTCACTGACGCGATAGCCATTGCGCGATTTGGACCAAGCCATTTGGAATCGCGGGGTCTACCCAAACTCTCCCACATTCAATGAGGTGATTTTCGCAATTGGGCTTACATTTGCGGCCTGGAATGCGTCAGAATCGCTGCCTAAGCATCCAGGAATGACGCAAAAATTTGGGGTCGGCCCAGTCAAAGTCCGACGCTGGTGGGTTTGCCGTGCGGACCGAATCGGAGATCGCATCAGGTTATGAACACACGGGAATTCGGAATAGCGTGGTCTCACCCGGCTTTTCCCCTCTTAAGTAACAGGAAAAAAGGAGAAGGGAAGCAAGAGAGAAAGAATCCAGTAAAAAAAAAAAAGGAAAAAAAAATACAAAGAAAAAAAATCAAAACAAAGAGTATGGACTATCGATCTCGGAGACACTCGCTAGACTCCGACTCTCAGACTGCTGAAAATTCATCAGCACACTCAGTCATACCGAAATCGTAGTGTAGGCCAATGCGATTCAGTTTTGCCGAATTCCAAAAGACTTCTCGAACCTTGAGCAAGGGAGAAGCCCACCACGCTGACCACGCAAACCATGCAGTCCTTGCTGAAACATTCCTTGCCTGGCCGGTGCAGACTCCCCTGAAACGTCGTCAATTTCTACAGACTACACGTGGGTCTCCAGGAAAATCTTTCGGTCTCGACGCTCCCCTTGCAGGCCCGGTTGAATAGGGGGGGTTATGAAAGGCGAGCGGCATGCCTGGTCTGCCTCTGCCGTCAAACTGAAGATCGATACCCGGGGCCGCAGCGGTCCAAATTATACCATTCATCAATATCCGGCCTTTAGCCATGTGGAACCTTTGGAATGGGTGATGGCACTACTTTTCTCGCGCTGACCATGCGACTTCCACGTTCTGGATGTCGTGATAAATACTTGAAACTTGCCGAAGATCTGCGACTTTTTCGCTCCACATCATTGATCATTCCATGCTTGATCTGACGAGTGATGATTGCCGAATTTGATTTTGAGAAGATGATGGGGCTCGCAGATCACTTTCATTACTGTAAACGCTTTCACTAGGGCTGCTCATCTGAAAAAAGGTCTAGATTCAAGAGGATCAGGTCTGCTACGTGTTCTGATTCGCCGTAGGGTATCTACAGTCCACATCACAAACATCGAACCATCTTCCAATTGCCCGCTCTCTCCCAACTCATACGATGTCCAGGTCAAACTAAGTAGTGTCTCACTGCCTTCTAGTGCTTCGGAGCATACAGGGGCACACAATATTCACTCGGAGATGAAAATAGGAGACAAAAGAGAAAAATTTCTGAAGTACCCACAACACTCTCCTCTCTTACTCCACCCGAAGCCACCAAGAACCACAAGTGTCATGAAACAGTTGTGACCGTCCAGTGCAGGCTCCCCTGAAACCGGTCCAATTCAACACGTGGGCCTACATGAAGGCAACCAAGTTGATCTCAATACTCCCTCCCCTTGCAGAACCAGTCATCCGCGTCGATTCCACACAAGTCGTATGAGGCAACGTCATACCTCCCCGGAATTTGCTGGCTGTCACACTGACGGAGGATTTGCGTCTTTGGGGCTGCCCACTCAGATGCTTCCTTTCTGTCTCGGGCTGAACCTGGACTAATAGGCCTCGCTCATTCCATCCTGTGGGAAGCTCCAACTGGTTCACAAATCCAGTTTTGGCGCCAATCTAGACTCTCCCGGCCCCACGCGGCGAGCGTATCTTTTTTGACAGTTTTCAGAGGTTGCTACTGACTCTAGAGGACACAGTGCCCCGGCTGCCGTGGATTAGGAATGTATGCTGTGTGCTGGTGCGCGGAATATTCGCCAAAATGGCTGGATCATCTGCGAAGCATCGCATGCCAATTCTGGTCATTGGTTTAGTGATTGAGACACACATCTGAGTATCATCTGGACACTTTCTAAATTGTGAAAAATTCTACCCTTCTCAGGAAAGACGAATGGTTCCAGGTGTCGAGTCTGAGGCCCGGTCAAGTTCAAGTATGTCGTGGTGAGCATATTGGAATGAGTTCTGGCCCAAGGTAAATCGGCCCTCCTGGCCCTGGACACCTTGTACCTGAACGGGCTGTTTCTCGTCCAGCGCCTCCATTGCTGCCTTACATTCCTCCGGCTGGCTCTTGGTAGAGTCCGAGACCAGGCCTCTCATACCTTCGGCCCCGCGCTAAAACACGATTTCTGTATCCACATTCTTAGCGGTGGGTAATGTGGTTGAATCCATGTGGACCAGAGACGTAGATGTGTAGCGATGAAATACAATTGGGCAAGAAAAGGGTCACGCCAAAACACAGCGTTGCGGGGAAGTTGACCATTTCAAAGTGATCGATGAGAGTGAAGCGTATCAGCGAGGCGCAGATCTGGCGCGGGTATACAAGAGCATGGGCTCTTGAGCACCTTCAATTATATACTGTATACCAAAAGGGAGAGAAATAGATACATAATTTACTCAGGATGACATTGAAATTGCGCGCAAGCAAAAGCAATACCGTGCTATCCTGAGGAAGCTGTAGACCACGTCAAGCGACTGCGACAATACTGTTCTACCGTCCTTTATGCCGGCAACAAGGAAGATCATCAAATCTCCGAGATGCTCAATTTGACGTGGGATTCCGAAGACAATTCTGGCGGCTGGACGAATGCAAACTTCCCCACGCGAACCCTCTATGAAACCCTTCTCTCTGAAGTCGATGCCGAATACTCGCCCAGTGTCCCGTACCATCCTAGCTTACCTTGGGGTGTTCACGGCACGATAGATTGTGGGATTGGTGATATACACCAATGGAATGTCTGGCACGGCTCGTAGGAGAAATATCAGCTCAGGGATAAGCTCATGGGACAACCTGTCTCTGAATTTGGCGCGCTCGGCTTTTCAGCTGCCAAGTCGATCTGCTGTTCCGTTGCAGACCCGACACAGCGATATCCTCAAAGCTGTTTCATGGAGCTGCGTATTGGAGTAAGGTGCATAGCGTCGCTGGCTCTATATATTCTGGAAATCATACATGTGGACACCCTGAATCTAGACAGCTGGATCCATGCTTCTCGAAACCCCAAATTATTATCGTATTTTTGCGGCAAGCTTGAGTAGTTCACGAGCATCAATTAGGAAAGTGCCCCTGAGAGTGTGTTACGTACGATCTTGACCACAATCGAGCAGGTCCGAGCAGAGTTGGGATACTTTGTGGCATTGAAGTGATCTTCACCCCCACACTAACAAAATGCCGTCCGAGGCCGACATTTTCCCCGATTCACCGATCGCAAAAATCGTCGGATAAATAACGGAGACGAGTTTGAAGGCTTGAGCAAAATATATCTCGCACTGGGATTCCCTAGGGCTAAAATACACAGGGATCAACATGCAGGGGCATCAAATTGGCAACTAGCTCACTCTGAACCCGCGTTCGTTGCTTGTTTTCTGAAGCTATGTGAACCTTAATAGATATCCCAAAATACGCATCAGTGACATGTATTGAATGTGCAGCAGAGCATATTATGGTCGATTCCATGTATTTAAAGGAGCGGCCAACGCCTTGCTGAAACTCCTGGCAAGAAGCAACCAGTCAGTTCTCGATCCTCCGTGATAGTCGTAAATTCTCCTGATAAGATGAAGGCATTACTGCATCCTTTGGTCGTTCTGGGGCTAAGTGCCGTCGCCCACTCCTCCAATACCCCTCCCAAAATCACGCCCAAATCGCTACAGAATGAGGCGAACTACACGGCACCCTACTTTCCTTTGCTCGGCTTCGAGCAGTACGCGAACAATCCTATCATGAGACCCGATCCCAATCATGCGTGGGAGTCCGAATACCTCTACAACCCAAGCGCCATCGTCCTCGACGACAAGGTCTTTTTGCTCTATCGCGCCCAGGACAAGCAGAAAACATCCAGCATTGGTCTTGCCTGGTCTAGTGACGGATACAACTTCACCCGGTATGACCAGCCTGTCATCTACGCCACGGAGCCATATGAACGGAGCGGTGGCTGCGAGGATCCTCGCGTCATTCGTGTGGACGGCACATTCTACCTAACCTACACGGCCTACGACGGAAAAACGGCCCGTCTCTGTCTTGCTACATCGACCGATCTCGTTCACTGGAAGAAATACGGCCCGATGCTACCCGATTTCACCGAAATTGTCTACAATTGGCGCCAACCTGTGACGTACTTCTCTCCGAACCCCATCGGTTGGACCAAGAGCGGCGCCATCATTGACGAGAAACAGCCTGATGGGTACTACTACATGCAATTTGGAGACACATACCTCTACACTGCTAACTCGACAGACTTGATCAACTGGGAGGTCTCAGGCTATGGTCAACCATTTGCCCCACTTCTGAATGTCTGGGAGCAGGCTCTAATGGAATCTGGACCGCCCCCAATCAAGACGCGAGATGGCAAGTGGTTAAAGATCTACAATGGGATGTCCACAGGTGGTGTTGGCGGTTATGCAGTTGGGCAATATAGCACCGGACAAATGCTCATTGATCCGGCGAATTCACCACTAGGCCCGCCTATTGCGCGCCTCGAGACCCCGCTCTTGCAGCCGACAACGGCAACTGAGATCACCGGACAGGTGGATAATGTTGTGTTCAGTGAGGGATTGGTGCAGTTCAGGGGCAAGTGGCTGCTCTATTTTGGATCGGGAGATGCGTTCCTGTCTGTTGCACAAACCCCTGTGCAGCCGAAAAACATCTCGATGTGATTTGCTCATCTGGGGACCTATTTGGACTTATGTGGGCTTCTTGTCCATGGTTGAAGCAATTTATGTTTATGCTCCTATCACTTCCACATATCTGTCGAATGCACTTTTCGCATTCTGCACTACCTAGCTTGTCCTACAGAACAGAAACTTATAGTCTTCTCCGAATTTAGAGCCGAGTAGATATACGGCGGGTACTGCCCAGTAAACAATCGCGTTTGATGAAGGGCCCAATATAGGTTACATCTTGTGAAAGTCTTCTCAATCTCTCCAAAGTTCGGAAAGTGAAGTGCTTGTGTTCAGAGAAGGTATCGTAGGAATTCCAACACTTTAGGCTCTATTATCTCTCTATGCTTTTTTTTTCACAATAGAGTGGAATTCAAGGTGATGGAGATGATTTCAACCTGATAGCTAACTTAATGACATTTCTAGTAGTTGATTCAAGAATTTAAGAGAAAAGGAATAGGCTATTCCTATTGTGAGTAGTCTAGATAGCCCCTTTTTCCAATAAACAAAAATTCATCATTCTTCCACACATCTCTATACTCAATCATCCCCTCTGATACCTATCAACGAATCTACATCTCCATCGCATCAATTTCGACCGTGATGCTCGATACTTTCCCAAATGATTTAAGAGTATTCAGGAAAACCAGGAAATCATCGTCCTGGGACGCTCGCGTACGGTCCTAGCTCGGTCAGCATAACATCGACAGCTGGAAATCAAATCTCAGATCTTACCTCCTGATGCAGCCATCCGATAATACCAACGACGGTGGTTTCTTCTAGATTCAAACTTGTGCCGTAAGTTGTACAACCCCGGACTCCACCCTCACTAACGAGAAAACTTTCCATCTTCTTCCAGACTTGCAGTGAGGCCTCGACATTCTCCAAGCTGGAAAGCTCTGTGCGAATAATCTCAACAATTGGTGCTGAAGCTGCATCTTTTGGCGAAGAGCTTGTCTCGAAGAGTTGCAGGTAGGCGGTCCGGTCACCAAATGCCTGATTGAGCTAGCGAATGCCGCAAATTGCTCAGACCGGACGAAATTATGGAATGAATCTGCTGCATTCCATTCTGTAAAGTATTAGAGGTGTTCACAGGTCTACCAACATCTGAACTTACCAAAGAGGAGGAATTCACGGTGAGAATCTCTAACATTCTCTCCATCTTCTGTCAAAACCCATCCTCGAAAAGCGTGAAGTAGACCGGGATTCGGATGGGTCAACCCTTTGCTCAAGGTGGGCCAGTCTTTTTCTAGCAGTTGCAAAGTCGCATCATCAGTTTTCGCGCGTGGAAAAATAAGTTCAATGATCGCCATTGTCAAGATATGGTAGATGTCTATGATCGTTATAATCAAGGGAGATTAGTGGATAGCAGAGGCATTCAGAGCCCCTTATATAGGGTTTCGATAAACAATTGAGTCATTTAATTATTTCCATCTCACAGCGGACCACGCACTGCGGATAATGCGGCGTTCCAGCTCTTGCGGAGTTTGCGGAGTTTCCATGCGGACACTTGTCGGGATGGACCTGATATATGTATCATAGCGGTCGCTCTGGGACTAGAAAACAACATTGTGTCGAACTTATCGACGTTTCATTCTGAAGACAAGAGTGAATCAGATATCACACAATATTGGTTTTAGGTGCGTTTGAATAGGTAAAAATTTGTTTCCATTCTAGAGATCTCACGCATCCGCCGAGTTTTTTGGGAGTAGAATTGCGGTTGGCCGGGATCTCTTGACCATGTCAATTAGACAAGGAAATATCTTATTATTATTCCATTTGTTAAACGCACTGTTCACTATGTTGTCTTTCATGTCGCTTTTGCTCCACCATTCTTCAAAATAAAAGCCTTTGTTGCTGCAATTAGTAATTGATGGAAAATGACAAGCACCTAATTCGGGTTTGTGCCCGTGGCGCAATAGCCATATCCGGAAGAGCTCTCGGCGGACTTTAGGGTTTGTTCGATGCCAGTATTCCATGACTTGGTGCGTGAAATTATGATCGTCTTTGATGGCCCCGAACTTGTCTCTAATAGTCTGGAAAGTACTAAGTTCCCAAATTGGCAAGTAGTTGTGGGTGCCGTAAATGGCTAAAAAGGAAAAACCATGATAAAACACTAAATATGCGCACCGGCAGATTCTTCGCTGATTTCGAAAAACAGAGCTCAACAGTATGTCAGCTTTCTCTGTAATCATTACAATGGCCAGTGCATCGCCAGGTTGTCGAAACTCGATGATACGAAGGACAAACAACGATGAAGAGTCTTTTTTTTAGGACCACGTCGATTCCTCTGTCAATACAAAGCCGCTTTATAAGTCAGAGGAGCTCATTGGTCGACTCACTATCTATTGTTGTTTGCCCTTCAATGTTTTTGAGCACGTCTATCTCGCCTGGGAAACTCTGAAATGGGACTGCTTGTCCGAAATTAAGATGACTCTGCGGACTTCGAATTCTGCAAACACTACAAGCTTGGTAACCAGCTTAAAGCATGTCTGTAACATATGCAATCATAATTTCCCATTGCTGGGACCAAAGCCGCATCAGGTGGCATGCATGATATCTGGTTCGTAAGCCACGGGTCCAGCGAAACCTGATGCGGCTGCTGTGATAGCATCATTTCTGCCGTTTGTGGCACATCTAAATGCCAAGACTCAGCTTTGATGTAGTCAATCACATTGTGGGGAGAGCAAAATGGCGCATTTCCTAGTAAAGAAAGTTCCGCCTCCGCAAATGCGGCGACAGCCTATTTAGATGATAATCCGTCAAAGTGGATAGAGAACAATCCCACCTATTTTCCTATTTATTGGCATCAGATGTCTTTCTTACCCCTCCTACTACGAATTTCGATCACACTCATAAATATCATTCTCTTTGCTTCGCCTAACATAGCAATCTTGTCCAATGGCGGAAGCACCAATTATGAACGGCAACTTTTGCCACGACAATAATACCTTTACCGGGCAATCCAGCGTAATGAAGATGTTCTCATTGAAAGGCAAAACGGCTGTCGTCACTGGAGCAGCTTCCGGCATTGGACTTAGTGTCGCACATGCTCTCGCAGAAGCCGGCGCAGACGTTGCTATTTGGTACAACACAAACGAGAAGGCAATTGAAGAAGCCACGCAAATCGAGGAGAAGTATGGCATCCAATGTATGTCATGGCCTTCCTCCCTCATCGGGTCTTGCTGATAATGATCACCTAGGTCGAGCATACCAAGTCAATATCAAGGATAATCGCAGCGTGGAAGAGACGCTAGATCTATGTGTACGCGAATTTAAAGGTCGTCTGGATATCTTTATCGCAAATTCTGGAATCCCATGGACCAAGGGGCCTATGGTGGACGCTCCTCTTGACCACTATGCGAATGTGACTCAGACGGATCTGGATGGGACTTTCTATTGTGCAAGGGCTGCTGCTACTCACTGGAAGCGACAAAAGACCGAAAACACGGATATTTTCGGAAACCCACTCATTGGCTTCACGTACGGCAGCTTCGTGGCTACTGCCTCCATGAGCGGTCATATTGTCAATGTTCCTCAACTTCAGGCTGCATACAATGCAGCTAAAGCCGGAGTCATCCATCTTTGTATGTTTTTGTTGCCAATTTTTAAGTTGAGAGTTCCTTGCTGACCGTCCCTAGGCAAGTCTCTTGCAGTCGAATGGGTCCGATTTGCCCGCGCTAACACCGTTTCTCCGGGCTACATCGCGACCGAGATTTCCACGTTTGTCCCTAATGAGACTAAAAGTCTCTGGAAGGATAAAATCCCAATGGGCCGAGAAGGCCTGCCTCAGGAACTCATGGGAGCCTACTTATATCTTGCTTCCTCTGCCTCGAGCTACACAACTGGCGCCGATCTCATCGTTGATGGAGGTTATACCCTGCCATAGGTGTGATGGAAAAGCGCAGCCTTAGCATGAGACACCGGGACTCTGAGCTTGAATTTGCATGGATGCGTAATTCTCAAATAAATAGAATCGCATTAAATAGCCTTGCATTCAATGATTCTGAAATATACCATGTTCTCCCCTTGAATCTTCCCTTGAAAGTTTGTACAGCGTTTATTTGATTCATTTCTGATACAAACTATCTGGGAACCTCGCGAAATATTAGCGCTATTATTTCAAGTTTTTGAAATTCGATTCTCGGAATTTGGGACTTAGAACAATGGAGGGGCAGCGGCCGATCTTTTTCCCCATAAACAAGCTATGGCGCGGTCCAAATTCCAGATTGGGAAATTCCGCTGGAGCGGGGCGGAATAGTCAAGTTCAGTCTCATCCCGCACTTTCCCTAGGAATACACACTCGGACCAGACGTCGTATATCACAAATGGCAGATCGAGAGAGGATGTTCACCTTCGTTGCAAATAATTCTGAGGGTCTTCCCTGCAATCGCAAACAAGCTCGCCGAGCATGCGAGCATTGTCGCAAGCGCAAGCGGCGCTGTGCCCATGGACCTAGACTCGCTCCCCGCTTGCCTGGGACACAGTCACCTCGGAAATATACAATAAACGATAGATGCTCGCAGTCTGTCGGACAAGAGGCCTTGTTGACTACAAGTGCGGGAAATACTACCGATACAGCTGAGGCTACGCAACCGGATAGCCAGCTACATGGGCCAGGACCTCGCATCGATGGTGAATCTTGGTTTGTCGGTAACATGGATCCTGAAGGGGCTTTCTTGATAGCAGCAAGTCCTGATTCGAATCCTGGAGCAATTCGGCGGCATGATCTTGGCGTTTGGTTACCAGCGCGAAGTGCCGATTCACAACTTGCGGTCAAGAAATCAAGATCAAGCTTTATCTCTTGCCCTGACCCTTTAATATCTTCAGTCTTTCTGCCCTATCTGGAAGATCAATGCTTGAGTGTACTACCCGCTCCTAATGATATGGAGGAGCTCCTTCGGATACATATGAAGAACATTCATCCTATATTTCCGGTCATAGACATCGACTCTTACAAGGCCATGCCCAGCAACTCTGCGGAGAAAATTCTCCTATTGCAGTCAATTTGCATTGCTGCCAGTATTGACCAAAATGCAAAGCAGTATCTCAACCTACCCACAGTCACGACCTCCCATGCCGACTTCTCTCGGAGTCTCTTAGAAGCAATGAATACGTCAATTGCCTTGGGTCTAGTGAGAGATAAACTGGTTCTGATTCAATCCTTATCATTGACCTCTCTTTTCACGCAATTCTCTGGAGACCGACAGGAATCAGCGGAACTTCTATCTCGCGCTATTTGTCACGCGCACACCATAGGTCTTCACCATCGCTGTCATTCGTCCATGTCCACACAAAAGGAGAAGACTTCTACCAGATTATTCTGCTGCCTCTATGCGCTTGACATACTGAACTCGGCATGTTTAGGAAGACCTGTACAATTTCATCGGCAGGACATTGGTCGCGACCTCTTGTTATCTATAGCCGCCCAGGAAGGCTGTTTCCAACTTTTCCTACGCACTATCTTGCTCATGGAACGGGCTATTGAGATTTATCGGCCCGCGGGAGACGGAGTTTGGAAAGGGGTCTTCCCTTCGTTCGAGGATTTGTTGCAAGAAGTTCGCGCATCCGCTGGCATACCTATGCATCTAACAGGTAAGGACCTGCACCTCAGAACGCAACTTATTGACATTAGGACCTGACGACAATTAAAGCCACAATAGAGGTGCTGTATCATGCTGCTGCCATTTTGTCTTGTCATTCAACAAATCTGTACGGTGTTTCCCGTCCATCGTCAGAGACAAACGTACGCCAAAGTCTCTCGGCCTCTAGAGTCACATACATCGTCGGCGACGAGTTTCGCAACCAATTATCATTATTTCCAATCATTCCATACGCGGTCGCCCTCTCGTTACGTGTGTCTTGGCATAGTCTCCAGCAAAGTAAAGCAGCTATGTTCCAGGCAAGGGCACGGAAGCAGTTCGTTGCAAATTGTGCGATCCTGAGAGAATTAGGAGAGACATTTTACTCTGCTTCACTCATGGCAGATCTAGGAGAGCGTCTAATACAGGATCTGGACAAGAAGCAAGAAGGCGAAGAGCGAGAGAGCCAGGATCAAGTACCCCTGCAAAATACTAAGTCTACCAACAAGTCTGCGGACGTAGTGAGCACGGGTAAGTTCGCAGAGTCCTTCTATTGATGACCTTCATTAACACTATGCTCAGTGGAACCAACTCTACAGAATACGGAAGGCTCCGAGTCTGCCAAATCGACGTATCAATCGTATGATCCGAGTTTCTTTGATCCGATGTCATTCCTGGGCATTTTTGATAACTTCGACCTTGAGGTTGGAGCTACTGGAGGAATGACTTAGGATCAGCTTGAATCTACGAATGATGTAGAAGGTAGCTAGCTATGAATGGAAGTGCATGGTAGTCTGCAGTGTTTTTTTTATATGAGTCGCGGTACCCAAGTGAGACGCTTGGATACTTCCTTGAATGCAAGTAGTTGAGAGGTATACGGCATAATGAGAAATCGAAAGCGGCTGAGCTCTGAGAGACCGGAATATAATCAATCAATGATGTTCAGGTTTTCATTCCAAATGTGTCTATTGATTGCTCTTGTGCGCGTAAAAATCTTCATTTGCATGAAATGAACATTTCGGCTCTACAGAGATCCCCTGATGATGGCAAGCATCTCGTCTCCCTTCGGCGCAGTGGTGAGGTTCTCATAACCGTCAGCGGTAACGAGGATATCATCCTCGATGCGCACACCACCAATGGAAACGTACTTGTCGGCGATATCGAAGTCGATATACCGAGCAAAAGGCTGCTTGCGCGCATTTGCAAGAGCCAAGGGCGAGAAATAGATTCCAGGTTCCACTGTCACAACCATGCCCTCTTCCAGAAGAGGAGCGGATAATGTACAAGGAGAATGGCTTATGGACTGATTCAGGACTGGTCCGTACTGGAATTGATCTAGTGAGGGATGAAGCGCTGTGATTTCTGACTCAGAAACGTCGTGAACTTCGAGTCCGACGTGGTGACCGAGTCCATGAGGAAAGAATATCTTGGATGCGCCGGATGCACGAATTTCAGAGTGCGTACCGTCTTTCAGGACTCCGAGCCTGAGCAGGCCATCGATGGCGATTTCATGAGCTAGGTCGTGTAAAGAAAGGAAACGAGTGCCTCTCCGAATCCGCTTGATGCACTCCTCCTGCATACGCTCGACCAGGTGATAGATGTCCTTGGTATATTGGTTGGGCCATTGGCCGGTAAGCGGGAAGGTTCTCGTCACGTCACTCGCGTAGCAGTTCCACTCAGCGCCGGCATCGAGACAAACAAGAGGCTTGTTATGAAGAGATTCATTATTGCGGTCATAATGGAGGACAGCAGCATTAGGGCCGGAAGCAGCTATAATCTGATATGCTTGATTCCGTGCACCGTGCGAGATGCAAGTGTCTAGAAATAGCCCTTCAATCTCGGACTCATTGTTCATTCGACAAATGCGCTCCAGGATGCTTCTATGAGCCAGTGCCGAGACCTTGTTTGCTTGGCGAATCATCCGGATTTCAAATTTATCCTTGACACCACGTGCTGCATCCATGGCGGGCAGAAGCTGCTCTGAGTCCAACGGTAACTCTTGCGGGAGACCTTCCGGTTTCTCTGACTCATGAATGATATACAGAAGGCTGTTCGGGACCCGTTCACTCAGCCAGGCTTTCAGCTCCGACTGGAGGGAGGAGTAGTATTGGACCCGATCTACATCATAGCGATCTTGCGCCTCTTCTCGATCAAGGGTCGGACCCATCCAAATCGCGCGATGGAGATCAAAGTCCGGTACGAAAAGGGTCAGCTTGTCCAAACCGACATCGTATGTAAGAGCGCAGTCGGGCTCGTCGACGCCACTGAGATAATAGAAATATCGTCGCTGTCGGAACGGGCGCGCTTGATCGGAGTCGCGCAGGTTGATTGTAGGTTGCCCGGCGAGGAAGATTAGGCCGTGAGAAACACCGAGCTTGCGGGCGACATTGCGCGCGTGCTGCTTAGCTGTACACGGAAAGGGCGCTTAGCTTGGGGCCGATACCATGGACGGGTTTCAGGAAACCAAAGGGAGCCCCGCGAGGTCTACACTACAATGGGCGATTCGAACTGGCGAAGCTAGTCCTGGTTTCGTGATCAAGGAGACTGACCTGGGTATTTATCGCAGGAGGTGCCGGATATGGCTAGGCGGATGTGGTAGGAGTCGACGGAGTTGATCATAACGGACTGCCCTGCCAAGGAGGTGGACGATGCACCGGGGGCCTTTGCACGCATTGTGAGGATAGGCGAAGCGATGGGAGGGGCCACTTTCTAGGGCCAAGTAAGGAGCCACGAGGGGGAGCGAGAGGGGAAAGAGGAGTAGAAGGAGAGAGAGAGGCTTATCCAGAGTAGGGATGGCCTTTGACGGTCAGATACCGCCATTGGCAAAATGGACAGGTTCGTTTGCCCGAGAAGTTTAAAAGAGATAGTCTGTCGCGTAGAGCAGACCGACATGAAGTGTCTCTCGGATCCAGAACCTCAGAGCCAGAAGCTAGAAGCCAGGTACATAGGGCAGTGCGCCAGACACCGGAAACGTCTTAGATAACCCAAGTCACTTGGTCTTGCCGCCTTCGCCCACTTCGATCTCCTCTTCTGACATCTGCTCTCAGACCACCCACTTTTGGTCTCTCACGGGTTTCTTTGCTTTTTTCTTTTTTTTTTCCCCTTTCTCGCTTTCCTTGTTCCTGCTTCATCTTTCAGTCAATGAACGATGCAGGGTCTTGAGGCATCGGACCCCGGTGCGCTCGCAGACCTGCCCTCCACGCTGAGAACAGTGATAGGCAACCCGACGACGTCACCGCTCGGCCTCGCTTCCCAGTCCGTCCAAACCGCTCTACAAACCCCAGCATCTCTATCTCGACAGCAGATTCAGGAGAATCTTCAGCATGTCATTTCAACACTTTCCTCCGACTTCGATTCCGGCCGCGTGGTTGCTGCGAGTGGCGAATCCTCCGGCTCGACCGGCAAAGGCATCCTGATTGGGATCCTGTCCGCCTTTGGCTCGGCGGCTATTGCATTTGTCGTGCTAGCGATCTTCTTTTTCTTCAAATATACTCGCCGCGGGCGGATTATGCTGGATCGCATTGGTCGTCCAGGTGAATATGACGACGAACAAGCATTTGCGCGGGAAGAGGAAGCGGCCCTGGAGTCCATGGACGACTTGTCACGGTCGGAGTACTTAAGAGCGAAAGGTAATACCGGTGACACCTCTGTTGATGCTTCTTGTACTGACACTCGATGCAGCCTGGGTTCAGTCAAATCCACCCGAGTCTATGTCAACGGATATCTCGCTATCGCAGTTCCTCGCTATTCAAGAAAAAGGTGTCTCTGCATGGGAGTTCCAGCCCGAGCTAGAGATCGCGAACTGCTTTGTGGAAGGGCGCACGGAAATCGAGTTCTTCGATTCTGAGTGTAGCGTTCAAACGAACCTGCCCATTCCGAAGCAAAACGAAGTCTACTACTGGGAGGCCAAGATATATGACAAGCCCGATTCAACAATGATTGGAGTTGGTCTCTCCACGAAGCCATACCCTCTTTTCCGCATGCCTGGTACGTCCCCCTGCTATTTGTTTGATTCCGAACTCCGGCTAATTCTCTATAGGCTTCCACAAAACGTCCGTTGCCTATGAGTCCACCGGCCACCGCAGGCACAACCAGCCCTTTACCCCAACTCCGTACGGCCCACCCCTCCTCCAAGGCGATGTCATTGGTGTCGGCTATCGGCCTCGATCAGGTGCCATCTTCTTCACCCGTAATGGCAAGAAGCTTGAGGACGTCGTCCACAACTATCGCTCACAAAATCTATTCCCGACAATCGGGGCCAATGGCCCCTGCAGTATTCATGTCAACTTTGGCCAAATGGGCTTCGTGTTCATTGAAGCTAATGTCAAGAAATGGGGTTTAGCCCCAATGACAGGCAGCCTTGCTCCGCCCCCTCCCTACGGAAGCGAACAAGGCAGCATCTTGCTTGAATCAGGCCGCGAGAGCGCCGCCCAGATTTCCCAACGCGTTTACCAGACTCACACCGCAAGAAGTTCCAGTATCGGGCTTCCTCAGGCGGTCAGCCCCGGGCCCATTCGGTCTCCGACCGAGATTTCCCTCGCACAATTAGCCCACATTCCTTCTAATGAGGATGCAGGCGAGGGTTCCAGCCGTATTGGCGCTAACGGAGAAATCGACGGCCCTGTTGCGCCAGTCGGAGCTCCTGGTGATGACGGTGTTCCGCCACCGGAGTATGAGAGCCCAGGAAGCAGTCGCCGTGGCAGTGATGCGTCCACAACTTTAATATTCCCAGTAAGAACGCCCCGTGGGAACAGACAACACCCAGGCAACCCCGACTCCAATGCTCGGGATCTACCAAGCTATCAAGCCGTGGTAGACCGGGCGTTCAGAGACCATGAATGAGGGTCCGTCTGATACTTCGACTTCGATACCTCTCTGCTTTTGAACATACGCCACAGTCTTTCTTTCCGGATCCGATCATGGACGAACATTATACCACATCATTTCTTTTGCCGTTTTAATTAGCGAATTCACGGCTGGCGTTGAAGTAACTTTGGAGGACCGGTTTCTGGGGCATCTCTTTCTTCTCTTCACTTTATTTGGGAGACACTCGTGGGACAAATTGGGGGGTTTCGGTCATTGTTTCCCCAGGCAATGAAGACGTGGATCCCATCCGAGGTCATGCACTACAAGGGCTTTTTCAATTAGTGTTTCCTCTCGCTCTTTGTGTCGTTATTAGTTTATTCCCGTTGGAGGCAGCTCTGTACATTTGTGATCTAACATCCTCAATACCCCGGGGGAACCCGTCCACGCATTTACTGATAGCCGTCAATCAAATCTGGCTTACATCTTCCCCATCATTCCGAGCAAAAAGGAAAAATCAAAGCTTTTTTTTTTCCAAGCATGCGCCGTATCAATCTACCTAGTTTTAACGCATCGAGGCGCAATTATAGATGTGGTGATATCTTGTATGGCAGTTGAAACAAAGTATCTAGAGCTATCGGATTGCGCAACGTCATGGGCCACGGGACGATACTTCGTCTTATCAGCACGTCTACGATATTTCCTGACCAAAGACGTGGAGAAACACGCGCTAGAGAAAGGAAAGACCGTAGACAAGGAGATTCCATTCAATTTGCCTTGGCCAAGTGTGGATCGATGCGCCAAGTTCCGTCCCCCCAATCGTCCCGGAGCTCTGGTCGCCCTCTTCTCCGTCCAGGTATCACCCTCAAGCTTTTCTCCCCTCCTCTCTCACATACATTGTTTCACCAGCCTCTGCGCTACTTTCATAGCCGAGTCTCAATCACAATCATATCTCAGTCGCACATCAGCTCAACTGACTCACAAGACATTGCGTCACAGGACACACTGGTAATCCTGCCGGCGCCAGCGACCTCGCGAAAAGGTGAGATCCGTTACCAATTGACGTGGGCCATCTGGAGCTCGCCTGCAGTAGTATCCGACGCTGCACACGGCGCCCCCCCCTTGCGGTGGTACAAGCTGGAGAAGATCCACACCAGGCGGAGTCTCTCCAGGCCGCAGCTTATCTGCGCCTACACCCTCGAATCTGCGCCAGGTGTATCATACGTATGGTCCGGAGCTAGCGACACGATAGTTCTGACCCTTGTTTCCCGACCGCAACTTTCTCTGTTCGTGGCGCGCGGCAGCTATGCGATGAGAAACTAGCGTCTGCACCGCGACACCTCTCACAACAGGCCGATTCACAACTGCCCACTCGCCTGTTTCAGCTCGGTGATTTCGTGCTTAGCCGCGTCTTGAGACTCGTCAGCCAATTTTCTTGGAGATCCTGTGAGACCTGCATTCGACAAAGTTTGAAGAGCAGGCGGCAAGGTATCTTTGCTCCCTTTTCACCGACTCTGTCGCGAGTCTCGCCAGAAGCGGCTATCACTAGCTCGGAATAATGCCGGAGAAGCCCTCGTTTCAAGTTATTGTTTTGGTGAGTTTCATATACTAGCCACGAGTCACGTGTAGAACCTGTCATTAGGGATGAGCAACTCCGTCTCAGCGTCATTTTGCGACGGATGATGCTCAGCCCATCTCGGGTTCTGACGTCTGAAACCCTGTCACTTGAGCCTCATGCTGACTTGTCTCAGGGCCCGACCGGTGGTCCTCGCGAAGACAATGTGACGGGCATTCTGGTGCGATCAACTTCGACAAAATGGACACTGAACTCGGTGGTCGCCGTCGATGCAGGTACAATGCTTGCCGGCATCATTCGACTCTTGGATAAATACGTCCCGGGGTCGAAGGATGAAGAAGGCATTTTGCAAGATGGCCCCTTCAAAGGCCTGGAATTGCCGCATGAAACAGCACAAGCCAATGCTGCATATATTTTTCGGGAAATTATCGGTGCTGTTCTCATCACACATCCCCACCTGAGACCATATCTCGGGTTTGGCGATTAACACGCCGATCCTGGAGGCGGGAAGTGGGCCGAAACCCGTCGCCGCTCTACCCTCTGTATTATCCGCCATGAAAAATCACATGTTTAACGATGTGATCTGGCCTAACTTGTCTGATGAAGATGGAGGTGCTGGTCTCCTCACTTATCAACGCCTGGTGGAGGGTGGAAACCCAAGATTCGGAAGTGGGGAGGCGAGAGGTTACGTTCGCGCCTGTAACGGGCTCCTGACCAAATGTCTGAGCATCAGTCATGGGCGATGCAAGCAACGTTTCCACCCAGAGAGCGCAGCTCACCATCGTGTCGGGAGTGCCGTCTTTGGTGATCAATTGATGCTGCCCTCTCGTGCTATATCTGTGGACCATACGGATGGAAGGTAAGAGCTTCCACCTCCCCAGATCGCAATACACCACTAATATCTACCCAGCTTCTACTCACCTGCCCGGTCCCCTCGTATTCTCCCTAACAATCCAAAGGAGCCTATCATGGCCGCAGTCGAAAGCTCTGCCTTTTTCATACGCGACCACCGCACAGGGCACGAAATCATCGTCTTTGGAGACGTCGAACCAGACTCAGTAGCCCAAGAACCCCAGAACAAACGCGTCTGGGAGACAGCCGCCCCAAAAATTGCTTCCGGGAATCTTCGTGCCATTTTCATTGAATGCTCCTATACAGACGCCGTCAACGACGCATACTTATACGGCCACATGTGTCCACGCCACCTGACCGCAGAGCTCAAGGTTCTCGCGAATCAAGTCATGGACATCCGCGATGCAGGCAATGCCGATCTGAAACGGAAACGAGAAAGCACCGGTCCGTCGGGTCTCGGCCGGGACGTGAGCCCACGAACAAAACGGGTCCAGAGTATCGCTGGCCAGAGAGGTCGGCGGTTCGATGGAACCTCCGAGCCGAGGACACGCTCTCATCTGCGTGACTCTGTTGACTATAGTTCCGAGGATCCCACGGGCTTAGGTGCCTTTGAGAGTCTAGATCCTCTTACCGAGTTTGAGGCCCCTGATCCAGTCCGCTGGTTTGAGGCAGATCCCCTTCCTCTGGCTGGGCTCTCTGTGTATATCATCCACATTAAAGAGAACATGACAGATGGTCCGCCTATTAGAGATCAAATCCTAGAAGAGCTTCAAGCACATGGCAAGGAGGCTCATCTGGGTTGTGAGTTCTTTATGCCGGATCTCACTGAGGGGATCTGGATCTGAGATGGAATTTATTTGGGTGGAAGCATTCATTCAAGTTCGGGTATGGGCATAGTGTTGCCTGTCTCTTTTTTTTGGTGGTATCTTCGGGGGGGGGGAGAGCTTTAGATGGAAACAGGTTTTGCCATTCACGTTCATTGTAATATTTTAGGAATCACCGAATATGCATCCTCACAATACTTGTTCTCAGTTTTGAAGCTGGATACGACATGAAGCCTGATACCTAAAATCTTAGTTCCCGCAGCCTTCTCAACTTTTCTTGAATGTTTCATCTACTATACGACAAACTCTTCTTGTATGGTATCAAATGACTCGATCGAGCAGAAATTCCTCTACCCATTCGTCTTGAAGGACCGCTGACCAACCGAGATGGATAATAATTCTTTTTCGGTTGGGCTGCAAAGGGTCCAAGGTTCCCTCGCCGTTTTGGATAGTACTTGGCTTCAATGATCGCTTTGAGAAAAATTCAAAAAGGTTGAAGCAGTTCATGATTTGCAGTACAGTCGGAGCAGTTTCAAAAGCATGAGAATATAAACAAGTCACCAAACAAGGCACAGCTCCACTGAGCATTGTTCTCACGCCTTAGCCAGAGCAATGGCGTCCTCCCAGTAGGACTCCGACGACGATGGAGCACGCAGTCCCTTGGCCTCGGCGGCTTCCTTGCTCACACGGGGAGGCTGGTTTTCAGGCAAGTCCAGAACCCCTTCGCCATCACGAGCAAAGTCGATCAAGTCTTCCTCGGTACCCCATTCACTCATTGCCATCAAGCCAATGGGAACACCGCTACTACGGTCATATCCTGCAGGGCAGCTGATAGAAGGACAACCGGTGAAGTTCGCCAGCCAGACATACTCCATGTTCCGCACAGAAGTCTTGCCATCGGACAAGCCTCGAGCAAGGTCAGCTTCACCGCCATCAATGTGCCATCCAGGGAGAGGTGTTGTCGGAGAAAGAATCATCAGACCAGGATGGGTCTTGTAAAGGTAGGCGACATGTGTCATCAACATGTTCCGCAGACGCTGTGCTGCAAGGAGGTCCTGGGCCGTGATTTGCCACATGCCCATGGAGACGAGGACTTTGTTCGGGGCCGTAAGCTCTTTGATCTGACGAGCATCCAGACCGGACGCGATCTCAGCCATGATGGTCAGGATATGGGCGCGTTGACCTTCGGGTAGGTAAGGAATGGTGATATCGATGATTTCGTAACCGTTTTGGCGGTAGTAATCCAGGGCAGCATCGAACACAGCGCGGACCGAGGCCTCGGCGCGGTCGATCCAGTCGAGGACTACACCAATGGTCTTTGCTCTCTTGCGATCGGACGGAAGAGGTACTGGCTTGGGGAATTGCGAGGAAACAGGGTCTTGCAATGCTGGTGCTGGTGCTGCCATGACCCTATAAGCAAGAGCCAGGTCATCGATACTTGCTGCCATGGGTCCGAGGACACCGACAGTAGGTGCAAGGCTCATGGAAGGCGCTCCAGATACGCGGCCGTGAGTAGTCTTCAATCCCCAAATACCGCAGAAGGATGAGGGAATACGAATCGAGCCACCACCATCAGCACCAAGAGCAATGGGCACCAAACCAGCACCGACGGCGTAGCCAGATCCCCCAGAAGAGCCACCACAGTAGTAGTTCTTATTGTGAGGGTTCTTCGGTGTTCCATAATTGGGATTGTTGTTATTCGTATCTATTTTCGAGAGTTAGTGATATGCAGCTCTCGGGGTTTGAGTTTATTTACCGAGACCCAATTCATGCATGGTGGTCTTGCCGATCACGATAGCCCCGGCATCTTGCCATTGCTGGACACACCAAGAAGTAGCATCGCTGCCAGCTTTGAAATCGAGCTTGGTTCCAAGTGTGCGCTTGTACCCAGCAATGTGGACTTCATCCTTGATTGCCACCGGTACGCCATCCAGGGGACCAAGAGGCTGACCCTTCTTGTACCGCTCGGTGGAAGCTTCTGCAGCTGCACGGATAGTATCGGCTTGCGATTCGAGGAATGCCGTCGAGTGCTTTCCAGGAGGCTTGGCGTCGCGACGGATCAGAGGAAGTAGCGTCTCAACGAGCGCCGTCGGTGTCAATTCGCCGGATGAATACAGCGCGCAGTAATCGGCGGACGTGTAATATGTGTTGATACCCTTCCGCTTCTCCACGGTAGGAAGCGGCGCGTCGCTAGAGGCATCCTCGACGGGAATCACGGTAGGATCGTAACGACCGGGGTATAGATGAAGCTCAGGAATTTTTCGAATGACGTCGAAACCAGCGTTACGCCAGAAATGGCTTTGAATGAAGCCGACATTATGAATTCTGCGTCGTGGTGGTTAGCCATGGAGCTCGTAGAGCTAGCTCGGCTTGTCGCAAACCTACAGAGTTGCGCCGATCGCAAGCGTAGTACCGCGGAAGACCGGAATAGATTGGGTCTCGTTCTTGTAAGGAACTTTGGGGCCCTCACGAGGTGGGGGATAGTTCAAAAAAGAGCTACTTTCGGAGCTCATCTTGAGTGGTAAATGAAAGTAAAGACAAGAGTGCGGAAGTTGCAGCTGTTCGGAATGATATCATGTACCTCTGTACCGCGGTCCGCACGTGGGGATCAGCTGATGTAGCTCTAGAACATCAAAGCTGGGATAAGGATCGGAGAACAAAATAGTTGACTAGATGCCAAGGGATGCATGAAGAATATTTTCAAATCACATTCTATGGGTTATTTCTCAGCCTGTATTTATTTCAATGGCGCTATATGCGAACAATATGATACATACAGCTACAGTCGCAGCTTGATATTAAACTTGTCCATGCCCAGGGCAAGAGCAGTTAGAATCGCCGCATATCCAACGAGAATGGCCATAGCTAATGGGTGATCGATATCCAAGGTCGGAACACTCAGGTTCACCACTCCTGTGAGCAGATTAGCAACCAGGAAAATTGCCAGCCCTCCGCGATTAAAGGCTTGCAGAATACGACTGGTCGCAAATCTCTGCTCCTCTTCAGCTTCTTTGCCAATCGATCGGTGAACGGACGGGAAGAACACTGTCTCGATCAGGCAGAACAGCAGAAGCTGGACACTATTGAAGGCCGCAACCCAGAGAACATACGGCATATTGGCAAGGCGACGTGAGACCATGATGTTCGCACCGTAGCCAAATGCATAGGTGGAGTTGAAGAAGAACATGGTTGACCAAAAGGCCGCCTGAAGTCCGAGGCTCGTCAAAACGGAATTCCGTCCCTGTTGTGCAGTCTTGTTTACCGAGTTTCCACGGGGGATGATGCGAATTCCTACACCTCGGCCAGCCAAGAAGATCGCAAGATATCCCACAAACGAAAAGATCCCTTCGCGATTTTTGGAGATCAGATCCGATCCGCGAGGAGATATCAAAATCCAGCTCTTCAGGTCTGTCGATTCGAGAACGACCTGGTACAAAATACAGATGCCCATTGCCAGCGCTTCGTAGGATGGGATGAACGTTGACAGTGTATCAAAAATCTCCACGAATGGAGGCAAGAAGCCGAGTGTGAAGAAGAAGTTCCAATGGACTCCGTATTCCGTGACATGTTCCGCATAATCCAGTCCCTTGACACTCCAAAGGCGAATCAGCCCAAGCACGAGCAAAGGGACCGAATGCCGCACTGAGCCGAGCAGTCTAGTCAAGAAGGCTTTTTTGGGCGATTTCGAGGCCCGTGTTTTCAAGATCGCGCGCGCAGACACCACGCCCGCCGAAAAAACGAATGAGCCCACGCCGAGATCCATCAGGGATGTACCCCAGTTCTCAACCTTTCCAAATCGGCGCGGAAAAACACGGAAATCGACAGCGAGGATAGCGACGCAGGTTATGACCATCATAGCAGCACGATATGTTGTCAAAAATGGATGAACAGGCAGGGACTCTGCCTCCCTCGTATCAATACGTTTGGCATTGGACTTGCGGGGAGGCTTGGCCTTTTGTGGAGAGCGCAGACGATTTTGTGTAAGGAAGAGGAGGACGGCGGGAGAGATAAGGAAAATATTCAGGAGTCCTGGCGCGGAGGAGTAGGCAGTAGTCGCAAACAAGATGGCCAGGACATTGAGGATGAAGTCCGTCAGCAGACCCGCAGGGCCGTAGGGCGAGAAGAAAGATAGTCTGGACTGGAGGGCAGACCAGAGAAGAACAGACGCCTGGAAGAAGAAAAGTCAATTGCGATCACATATGGGGAGAGTTGTAAGAACTGACCGGCGCGACAAGCGACACTGCGTTGATATCCCAAATATCACTGCCGGATAAGTTCGACACGAAGGCCTCCTTGCGAGCCTTGTAACTCGGGTCCATCTTGGGTTATAAAACGCGAGATCGAGATCGAGATCGAGATCGTCGATGGTCCATTGACATGACGGATGGCACGAATTAGGTAGGCGATGGAGAAGATGCCGCGTTGGCCAACACGGTGATCAGGTGATTGCGCCCGACCCGATTCCATGGACGGTCATTGTTTACTTTGACGACATGCTTTTTGACTCGTTTTGACTCCATTGACTTCCACCTATTTACATAGCCTCATACTGCGATGAGACAGCCTTCTGGAAGCATGATTCTAGCACCTTAGGCTCGGTCCTCGGTATGTCGGTAGTACGCATGGCCAGGGCAGCCTGACCGGGGTTCCTTTGGTTGTTCATTGATTACAAACACGGTACTAGCGACAGTAGGGATGCTTCATAAGGAAATGCCTAGAAAACGGAAGATCGGGGAATGATACACGGAGCATGACGATTGGACAAGTCAGATCGTGGAATCTGCGGCTGTGTCATTTCCCGAGCTATAAAAGGCCCAATCCCGAGCATGTCGCATTCTCGCTTCTCGCGGCTTCTGCTTGGCCCTTCCGGAGGCCGTCCAACGCCCACTAGGGTATTTGAGATACGAGCGGCTAGTCCCTGCCTAGTAAGGGGCCTGATTGAGCCGGTCTCTGTTGGAGTCTGCTCAACCTCACTGGCTGTACGCGACTTCTACAATTGGCCCAGCACACCCGACTCTGGGGTCAGGCCGTGGCCGGTGCTTCGGCTGCATCATTTGGCGCCTCTAGCTGAGCGCCCAAAAGCCATTAGCCATTAGCCATATCGCCCCCTGGATAGTCGATGGTCGGACCCGCAGTGATCGGCCAGGGATGCGTGTCTAGAACCACGTTTTCGTCAATGTGGAGTGGAGGTCAGTGCCCGAGACCGTTGATCTCGATTTGGAATTATCGCAAATACGACACGCCGCGGTGATCAAAGTACGAAGTATGGATATTGGGCGCGCCTGACTAGGGTTCGAGGAGGAACCCCAGCCTTGGAAAAAAAAAGGGGGGCAACTCATCCTTGAACGGTTGCTGTTCCCTCATTGGTGACAGGGTTAGTTGACCTGTCCGCGCCGAGAATGACGCTGAAGCACAGGGCCGGAAGTACGAGTTGTGACTTGCGGTTGCTGTAAGAAAAGCCCAACACGTTACGGGGTATCTATGCCCAGAACCTTAGGAAGAACCCATAGTAGAGCAGTCATCTCAAGATCACCTCTGTCAACCCCTCCCACATTCCTTTCGGGTCTATTGGTTTGCGGCGCCAGGTCTTGATCTTCTTGGTCGCTCTTCGATTGGTCCCAGAGAGCACGCTAAATCGGGTCCAGTTGGGGTCCTGGGGGCCAAAATTAAATATGCGGCCGTTCCGTAGGATCTTCCGGCCGCCGTTCCCGAGTGATACAGGGTGACCAAGAAACAAATGTCGGTCTCCACTCTTATTCTGCTGGCATTTTGCAAATAACCAATGAATTCAATCTGTATTGATACCCTTTTTTTCCGGTTAACGCTAGGAAAGGAAGAAAGTGAAAGCGTCATGTAGAGTAACTTCGTAAGGCGGTATGTAAATATCAGAAAAAGGCGGTGATAAAACCGACATTTGTTTCTTGGTCACCCTGTACTAGATTACGGATATAGAGATGGCCATATTATGTCGGCCCTTGACAGATTTGAATCTTTTAAGATTCATCCAGAGAGTGTGAATGGCCAAAGCCTGAGGTGGACCGAGGAGAGAAAGACTGGGATTGAGGTTTGGTGGTTTGAGGATTGAAGCCTTACCGCAGGCATCAATTTGCCTCCCCCCACCCTCAGAAGCAAAGCAACGAAGGTCGAACCTGACAAGCGCCGATCTACAACAGCAAGAAGCCGATGATCTAGTATAAAGTACAGTAAGGTTGAGCCAAAAAGTGTATCGCGGCATTAACTTTTCCTAGACGCGTATTCCCCCAAAACTCGGCGAGGGCTTCGCCGATGGCGCATCTCAAGAGACGCTATGTCCATAGCTTCTCTGTACCCACAGGGTTCGTGCGGATCCTCCCTACCCATTGGCCCACTCAGAGCCAGTGATGCGCCGTTAGGAGCGCCGCATCTCCGGGAGATTGCCTGTCCTTGGGGCCTGGATGTGATGCTAGCGACGATCCGGAGAACGGGCACGTAATGGCGCTGTGTCCCTGACAGGAGACCTTATTAAAGGCTCTTCCCTCCAAAAAGCCCGTCGTCCTGAGCGAGGGACTTTGCATTGGTTATCATTTCCCCTTGCACTCGCGCGACCTTTTCTTTTAGCCTCGTTTTTGCCCCTACTCGGCTCGGCGAACTAGGGGGGGGGGTCGCCCGCACGAGGTAAAACAAAGCACACATTTTTCAAACCCGGGGAGGTTTCGAGCAAATCTCCGGACAGTGGATGACCCTCCATGCTAAGTTTGCAACTTCTTCCTTCATTGCAAGACTCATGGTCACCAAGAACTCTATCTTTGTGCGAGAAACCCGTGTTCAAGACGGCCGGGTCATCGTGCTTGGTCTCGGGTGTAGCCTTGCCCTGACGAGACAGACAATGAGCAGCAAGGACACAGAGGCACCCAAAAGGCGGGAATCCCGCTCCGGGACTCGAAAGGTCTCCCACCTCTCTGCCGAACAACTCGAGAGGAAACGTGCGAATGATCGTGAGGCTCAACGATCGATCCGACAACGAACCAAGGAACATATCGAGCAGCTCGAGCATCAGGTTTCCATTCTGCAAGCCAGAGTAGCAGAGCTACAACCCCGAAGCGAACGATTCGACGAATTGGTCCAAGAGAATGTCGCTCTTCAAAATGAAGTCAATCGATTAAAGCAACAATTGGGTATACCCATTGATCGTCCAGCGTTTCCGGCGGGTGGGGATCCGCCTGGTCTATTTCGACATGGATGGCACATGGATGAAGGGCCCAGCAATGCACCCAACCCCGCGACCAGTATGCTATCGCCATTTCCCGGATCATCCCTCCCTTCGACCGCTCCTCGAGCGCCGTCGGCAGTGTCGGGTTCAAGCCGATCATCTCACCCCCATGACTGGCAGCAATATTCGAATACGCGTTCACCGTCGTTAGGCGACACGTCTGAGTCAGAATATTCTTCTCAACCATACGTGATGGAAGGTCAGTTGCGAAGAGGCAGTCATCTAGTTCCTCCGCCTCTGCCTGTCGCCCCTCAACTCAGCTTCGGTGCGACTGGCCAGAGTCAACAGCCTTCTGAGTCGTCTTTCCCCCAGATTTTTCCACGAGAAAGTCTTGAGACTCCCGTTCAGCTGTCCATCGAACAGCCTAGACCTTCATTTCTTGCTAGCCAACCAGTGGCGAGCGCTGGCGCCCAGCCAGCTCCTGGGCAGCCATATCCGCCCTCAGTGCGCCGTTACCAGAATCCCATGGGCCCGCAGTCAAAGAGAGACCCGCCATATCCCTACCCATGGAACCAACATTCATGAGCCTAGCTTACTGCCGTGAGTACTGAAGAGCGTTGGCCCACCTTCCAGCCCGCCACTGCTCAAACGCCCCCTCAAGCCAAAGTTAATGTTGGCACGGACCAGCTGGATTCTGTAAGTAGTTCATATCAGAGTCATCCGATCAGAACTTCGTCGGCTGACAATTGAGCAATACTCTATAGATCAATCCAATTCGAAGAAGAGACCAGACAAGATGCAACTTCTGGCAACAGAAAAAGGGTTTTGCAAGGCACAACCTGATGGGAAAAAGTACCCGGTCAGACGGACTAGCGCCTCCGATCCCCACAAGCAAGTCAACACATGACGCACAGTCTATACAATTCCCGTCAATGCATAGATACACGGTGTTGGAGAATAATTTGGGCGGTTTTTTTGGTTTGCGAAAACAGAAGAGAGGGGTGAGAGATATGTGACGCCGGAATGTTGCGATCAAGGGAAATGTTGCGATCAAGGGAAGTGGTCGGCACCTTTCACCTTCTGCGCTTGTTCAAAGGGAGTTTGTCAAGGCAGGCCGCCATCGGTCTGCACGCGACTGATTCTATCGGGGCATAGACTCAATGTTATAGACAGAGCTACGAGTAATGAAGAACATGAAAGTCTTGATCAAATTGATGCCTTTACTCCTGAACTGCAACTGTACATAGTAAAGGGGAATGATATACCACAGATGCGCACGCTTCGTGCCCAACTTTATCACAACATTTCGCACTCTAAGGTACCGTTTCTAGTTGGTGTACTGCTTCTGCAGCAGCTTGGCAATGGTCTGCAGCTGAATGTTGCTAGTGCCCTCGTAGATCGCGCCGATCTTGCTGTCACGGAACATCTTCTCCGCGATGCCCTCGCGCACGAAGCCCATGCCACCCATCCACTCAACCGCAGAACCAGCCACGCGACCTGCAACCTGCGAAGCGTACAGCTTGGCCATGGCGGCGTCCTGCACGAAGTCCTGACCGGCTTCCTTCTTGCGGGCGGCATTGTAGACCAGCGCCCGAGCGGCGGCGATCTCGGTGTAGGCTTGCGCAATCTGGTGCTGCATGCCCTGGAATTCACCGACCAGTTGGCCGAACTGCTTGCGGTCGTTCCAGACGTAACTGTATCTTTATCAGCTTTGTTTTCTCCATAATTTGCCGGGTGGATCATCTTACCGCGCAGCGTTTTCCCAGGCACCGAGCGCCAGGCCGGTCATCTGGGCAGCGATACCAATACGGCCCTCATTCAGAATCTGAATTGCGTACTTGTAGCCCTGACCTTCCTCGCCAAGCAGGTTGCTCTTGGGAACCACGACATCGTCGAAGTTGAGCACGCAGGTGCTGCTAGCTCGAATACCGAGCTTGTGTTCCTTCTTAGCGATCGAGAAACCGGGAGTATCCCTCTCAACTATGAAAGCAGTGATGCCCTTGTACCCTTTGCTGGGGTCAAGGTTGGCGAAAACAAGGTACAGACCCGCCTCCTGGGCGTTGGTGATCCACATCTTCGAGCCGTTAATCTTATAGCCGTCGGCGGTCTTCTCGGCCTTGGTCTGCAGAGCAAAGGCATCGGAACCGGACACAGGCTCCGACAAGCAGAATGACCCGACAGTGCCGGTAGCCAGCTTGGGCAGCCAAGCACGGTGGGAGGAAGCATCGCCATACTTCATGATGGCGGTGTTGACCAGGGTGTTGTGAACGTCGACCATGACGCTCACACTAGGGTCGACGCGAGCTAACTCCTCGATCGCGACGATGGCTGCGGTAAAGTTCATGCCCGCACCGCCGAACTCCTCGGGAATTTCGATTCCCATAATACCTTGCTCGAAGAGCTGCTCTACAACGGTGGAATCCATGGACTCGGCTTCGTCCATCTCCCGGACCTTCGGGCCGATCTGCTCCTGGGCGAACTTGGACACCATGTCGGCCATCATCGTTTCGGTCTCGGACATTAAGGTGATCGGCGTCGGAGTGAGGTGAGAGAGATCGGCATCCTGACGGCGGGGCGTAGTTGAGAAGGCATATACGCTAGGAGGGCATGTCAGTCTAAATCTGAAGTCTTGTAAGTTGTCGCAGGACAGTACCTCTGGACAGGGCGGTAAGTAGCAAGGCGCTTGGAGGTTAGGCGAACCGAGGAAGTGCGCGACAGGGGTCGCAAGAGGCGGGAGAGAGAAGCCATTGCGACTAGAATGAGGGGTTCGACAACACAAAGTCAAGGGTGTAAATGTGAGGAAAGCAAGAAGGTGAGAAGATCGATAAATCACAAGGAAAGCCGCGAGCCTCGGTTATCGGCGGCGCTTGGGATTCGCGGGGACTCCTTGTGGGGCAGATCCGGAACCTAGGTTATTCTCTGTCTACTCTCTGTATTCTCGATGTGCTATAATTCTGGATAGACAAAGTTATTATTATCGGGGATTCTTGGATCTTCTATGCTCGTACCAGCCCTGACCTGACGCCCCTTGAAATCACGACCAAGATTAGTTTCATGCCGTGACAATGGCCCTAGCAGACGAAATGTCTTACAAAGTGGAAGTGGCCATAGAAGAAGTCTTGATCCCAGGGTTTACGTTTGCCAAACGTAGCGGTCGATGTCTGAGGAAGCTATGCTGACGGGAGTCGACCAGTCCGATCATCGGGATCTACATACGCCTCAACGTGAAAGGCCCACGCGATCCAAATAGGCTTTATCGCCCGAGTCAATCAAGCTCGAACAAATAGCCACCAGCAAAAGAGAGTCTTCCTCGGGCTCTTTTTTCTTTTTTTTCTTTTTTTGAGCCGGACCCGTCGTGGGTCATGACAGCTCACTAAGTCCGGGTCTGAGGTTCACCAGAGCGGTTCATTGGACCCGTCGCTAGGTGGCTAGGTAGCTGGCTAGCTGCTACTCGCAAAATAACACATCTTCCGCTACAATTTCCAGCAATCAAGTAAGTGGTGTGCTTAACGTGCGAGGGTGAGGGCATATGGGACTTAGGCGACCGTTTTATATTGTCATGTAGTCATTAGCCACACGAGCTTTGATTGAGGCTGCCCATTGCTAAATCTGAGTCACCCATAAACCCCTTTCAAAGCTATGGGGCAAGGACCCACTACTACTTCACCGCACGGTGCGATGCCTGTATCGAAGATGGAAGAACTGTCCAGTCTGCCAAGGCGGGCGCCCTCCATGATCGGAGGGGAAGTGCACTCCGAGTACTGCCCAGGGGCGACTTCGACTATTTAAGCTTCGAAACCTCAACCTTCACATCACCCTTTCGCATCATGGCGCCACTCGTCATCCACGTGTCCGGCGAGTCGATCATCAGTCGGCAACCCGAGCGCGCCGTGCTGCACCTCGCCGTGAAATCTGACGGCCCGGAGCAGGAAACAGTATCCAAGGATGTGACCACCACATCTAACGATCTCCACCATCTCTTCAAGGGTCTATCTCCCAAGAACGACAACGGCTATTCCAATGTTGACGCACCCGTCACAACCTTTTCATCCACCCTTCTCCGCACATGGTCTTTTGTTCCAACAGACGACAAGAACAAGCCGTTAGACCGAGTGCATCACGCGACATCCTCTTTTGAGGTCATCTTCCGTGACTTTAGCAAACTAAGCGAAATCGCTGGAAAGCTAGTAGCGCACCCCAAAGTTGAAATCGATTCAATCGAGTGGCGTCTGACCGATGCCACCAAGAAAGCTCTTGGCAGTGAATCGCGAAAGCTGGCCATTCGGGATGCCGTCCACAAGGCAAATGATTACGCTGAAGTTGTCGGGCAGGAGGTCGTCGCAGTCGAGATCACCGATGGAGGATCTACATCGCATGTCCGAGCCAGGTACATGGCCGCTGCCGCTCCTGCGCCCGGGAGAGGGCGCAGTCTTTTTTGGCGCAGCGACCCAGATGGTCGATGAACGCGACACCGCCCTCGACCTGAACCCCCAGCAAATTGAGTTCACTGGCTCAGTACATGTCAAATTTGAAGCGGTGCAAAAGTGAGACGTACGTCGAGCTCTGGGGGTCTTTCTTTTCCGAGAGATTCTTTTTCCTCTTAGTGCGACCGCGAATTTGTCTATGAAACGAGTCTCATATTTGGGTGAAAGAAAGATTAACGTCGAACCTACTCTTTAATCCAAAAAAATAATTATTTGCACAAATCACCATCCAGCGAGATAGCAGCTTTCGGAACGTACAGTTTTTATTGAGATACTTGAGATACTTGACATCTTCATTAGACAACAATCCGCCCTAAACAGTGCCAGAGACTGCACAGCCTCATCCACCCTTGAACTGCTTGACAATCCAACGATAGGATTGACTCCTTTCTTCAGACACCACACCATTCCAGTCTGCGCCATACTGCAACCCTTCTTCTTCGCCAGGTCTTCCATGCAATTGATTCATAGCGACATCTACCTCGGCAGTTGCACCGATCAGCATCTGAGCGTAAACATCAGTCACCTCGCACATAAGCTGCTGTACTCTATCCTTATCTGCTGTGAAGGAGACCGCGCGCCAACGATGATTAGGGGACAATGTCGATACCGGCAACGCGGCAAAACGGGAATCCCGCGCTCTTCTCGAGATAGCAGTCCTGCTGTGCCACCTATTCTTTTCCAGCGATATTGCTCAAATACTTCAGGGGAATATCTACCAAACATTTCAGTCAAATAATTACCCCACAAAAGACCAAGCCACTGACCGAGCTTGCGCCAAGATAGCGCGCACCTATCTAGATTCAACGAGATCATCAAGTGCCAGCATGATTCCTTCACTAGGAGTGTCAGGATCGAGACCATGAATCTGGAAGACTGACTGCCAGAATCTTGCTGAATTCAGCTGCTGATAAGCTGTGAGACACCCTGCCACGCTAAAGTAGTCGTTAAATCGACATGGACTCCTTAATTAAAATTTACTGCTTCCCAGAGCGTCCGATGGTCTATCGCTTCTATATAGCCTTGATTCCTTCTGCTAATTTTGATCAAGAAGCTTCGATGGCTAGGGATTAAGGTTAGACGGTCGTCAATCTTATTGCCTCTACGACCTAAATTCAGAGAAGTAGGTATTCTCTACCCGTAGGAGGTCACTTTCAGGAAGCTCGGTAATATTATAGAGCTACTTGATACCTATAGAATATCTTCTGGCCACCCCGAGTCATTTAGGAAGATCGGGCTGCTAGCAGCTTGCCAATCGTAGTATCAAATCTGACGCTGTGGAGGGATCACCCTATTCATCCGGCTGCGCACGTGAATGTCCTCCCTTTCGACCTGCTTCTTTAGCTCTCGGGTCTCCGGGCGTGAAGCTTCCACGTGAAGCATGACCGCCTTTTGAGGCGATATCTCTCTTAAAAAAAGACTTGTGAGTTTGCTATCTCGTAATATAAAAGATGCGGTTGCTAACCTGTTTTTGGGCATCCATAGAAGCAAATCCACTATGGTGGCTAGACTGCCCACCCTTCCGAGCGATATTTTCTACCTCTTCATGAGGTCGGTTGTGGAAATTACCGGGGTTGGGATTGTCGGTCATGGTAAAATTGAGTGTCTAAAGTCTTCAGATGATCTGATTTCTTTCGAGGCAAAATCGCTGTTTTTTATACGCAAACGCCGTGCTCAGGCTGTTTCAAGAGCAAAACTTATTCAGATCATCTTGACGTCAAATCAGATATCTCCGCCTCCACTTGCAAAATGGTCATGACTTTATTATGATCAGTCTCTGATGAACTGTTGAGGAGTACGACCAGCTTGTGAAGGGGGCAATGCCAATGCCAAATTTGCTGATCTCGTGCTTTGAGAGAAGGCTAGACCCTTTTCCTTGCAGGAAGGCCACGTCACTATGAGTAAACGCAATATGTTCGGGAGCCTTTCGTGGGACGTCCGGTAGAAGTACGAGACAGATAGCCACCATGAATTAAACTAGGCAGAACACGCATGATTATCGAAAATAACAGACACATTTGTTTCCAAATCTCTTTGGCCGTGAGATTCCCAGTGAAAACACGTGGCTTAAGTGCGTAACAAAAGTCCATGGATTTTTATTCCAAAGTGTCGTCCGTGAAGTAGATTTTGTTGGCTAGACCATCAGAGGTAGGCCTAGTGATTGGTTGGCTTCTTGGCAAATTGCACTCGCTCGCCACGTTGCTAGGTTGAATTCACCAAACTTCAGTTACCGGTGGCGGTACCAAGGTATAACATTCCAATATTCCTCTAGCGTCATTACATTGATGACCGTTCTGATATGACATATAGCAAGAATGGCCCCATAAGGCGACTTAAAGATTAACTAAGCCTATGAATGGTCAAGCTAACCTGAAATCTGTATATCGATTTGGAGCTGGAACCAATGTGCGGCAATCTTATTCAGTTGAAGACCAAGCAAAAGAAATTACTATGATGTATGCTTGAAGACTCGACTAATTAGCCATATTTTGATTATGATGCTGTCGGCAGTAACTATAAGTGAATGATATGAGGGCAATCTGGACCCTATGTGGTAATCTTATGAAGACCTTTGCCATTGGTCACAATGTGGTCATTCCGATATCATGTACCATACAACAATTGGCGCATCCTTCCCTACGAACGGGCCGAAGGACAAAAGGTTATTTCGGAATTCCTTCCAAGAGCGTCACTGTTACAAGAAAAAAAAATCGTAAAGCAGACTATTTTCAAATCTCTCTAATGCATCTAGAGAAGGATCTTCTGTGGAGTCACTCAATGAGACGGCGAAACTATCCTATTCAGTGTCTCGCACCAAGCGATAGAATTAGACTGATTGCATATTACTCAATCTTGAGTCGGCATGTCATTTTCATCTGGCCCCTCGTTGTATTTGTTCGAGGTTCTAGGCTTTGCATGACGGAGACGATCGCCCCTCAAAATATTGGACTTATTGATCGCTTCATTTTCGTCATCCTCTAGAGAAAGTCAACAACCTGACACTATGACATTGATTAAGGTAAATGAAGTTGCCTTACCAAGCTGCTGATCTGAATTGGAATAAGGAGGTTGCATCGGATCTTCAATTTGTTGATCATCTCCCTGAACAGGGACTTTATCTCTCAAGCTTGGATCGGTCTCCTGGGCATAGGTATCATCGGCGAACGTTCCGGTCACGGGCGAAGAATCATTGTCTCTCTCATATCTATCCTCTGCTACTCTTTCGGAACGGTTCGACATTTGTCAATGGCAAAGATGATGTGCAATGTTTCAGTGTTGTTTTCGAAAAGAAAGCGAAGGCGTGCGTGGCATATGTCAGTATTGGGTTGACATCCGATACCCGCTGTCCGGGTCATTTGTTATATACCCAGAGCTCAGCTGTAGTTAGTACTTGTTGCCCGTCACTTCTGACGCATCGAGTACGTAATTTAGAGCCTGTGACAACCATATGTTGTTATGATCCGGTTTTCGAAGATATTGGCAAAGAACCGATCTGAATAACTTGTGAAGTCATAAGCCACGAGGCATTGACTGTTCCACTCAGAATCGCAACTGACAGAGATGTGAAGTCATAAGGCTTAGAGAATTGGCTACTCAACGAGCCGCGAGAGACTCAACCTCGGTCAGATACCAGCTGAATTGAGCCAAAATGATCGGAGGGCTTTACACAGATCTGGAGGCGTTTTCTGTACTCAAGTGCTCTTTTCTCGTTGATTACAGTATGACCATTCTCGGGTGTCGTCTGTCCCACCAGGGTCTATCGCGCGGCTTGAAATTGGATTGTGGCCGGCGGCCATAGAATTTGATGATGGGGAGGGTTTTATGCTCAAACTTGCGGGACACCCGAAAACTCTGGCCGACTTCGTGCCGCTTCGGGGTCTGTTTAAGAATTGAAATGAAGGAAGGCATTATATGCAATCTAGTGGAGACTCTGCGAGCCATATCATGATTCCCATCCTCCCCCCCCCCTCCTTTAGCAGAACCAGCGAGACAATCATACCCAGCTGTGGTGAATGGGTCCAATTGATTGGCTGTATTCTTTCACTGCGTGTGAACTTCGAGCTACATATGAGTCAGTGCCTATATCGAGATTTCCAAGCAGATATCCATGAACAATGAAAGGCGCTGAATTGTTTTAGGTAGATTGGGGGCTACCCAGGCAATATCACCGAGCGCGATAGACCGCTCATTCATGCAGTCAGCAATTCCCCCACTACATTATACAAGCTAGATTAGGTAAATAGCATTTTGATTGGTTGGTTCGCTGTTGGGTATAATTCTGTCTCGCGGCGTTAGTCTCCCGCTTAACGCCCTATCGCCGAGCTCCAATATTACGACGTCATTGAGCAGTAAATAGACGAACTGGGTTCAAGAATTACAAGGCCCCCTCCTCAGAATGCAATCCTATCAGAAAGTCTCAATTATATATCCCTGCCAATTTATTCTCGCAAGAAATATTTAAAGGAACAGGCGGATCTCAATACGAATCACTCCTCTTCGCAAACGAGTACCATTGTTGACATCCGACACAATGAGGGACCTCGCAAGTCAATTCGCCCTTCCTCTCCAAAATAAGCTAGCGATAGTGACGGGATCCTCACGTGGTATTGGTGCCTGCATTGCATGGGAGCTTGCCCGCCGTGGTGCGAATGTAGGGAAGAATTTGCTATACTTCAGTCATTCTATTTGTTGAAAGTGTTTGAGAACAAGAACTTGAAGGCTGACGAGAGCTAGGTTTGTATCACCTATGTCTCGGACAACAGCCAAGTTCCTGTTGAGGAGCTTAGGGCTAAGATCAGCCAACTCCCTCACAAACCCATTGCATGGGCCTGCCAGGCCGACCTATCAACGACGACGGGCGCCCAAGAGGTCATTTCGCAGCTCAAGACTTACATCGGCAGCGATGACCTCCAAGTCCACATTTTGGTTAATAATGCTGCCACCGAGATTGTGGGCAATATGCAGAGCCTAACACTTGAAAATTACGACAAGGTTTTCAACCTGAACGTACGTGGTCTCATGCTCATGACGCAGGCCGTGGATCCGTACCTAGCACCCAAGGGTCGTATTATCAACTTAAGCTCCGTAGGAGCGCGTTCCGGCTTCAAAGATGTCAGTCTTTACTGCGCTTCCAAGGCCGCTATCGAAGGCTTCACGCGCGCCTGGGCCAGCGAGCTAGGTGAGAATGGCACTACGGTCAATGCTGTGGCGCCAGGACCTGTACCTAGCGATATGCTGGACAATATCCCCAAGGAAATTGTGGACATGCAGAAGAAGATGACTCCTATCGAGCAGCGACTTGGTACGACGGAAGAAATTGCGAGCGTTGTTGGGTGGCTGGCAGGACCTGATGCCTCGTGGGTGTCCGGCCAGGTCATCTGTGCAAGTGGTGGCTGGTCAATGTATTAGGTCTTGTAGGCAGGATCAAGAGCCATTCTGATCTCGGCTAAGGCTTTTTCGAACCGCATTTTGTAAATTTTATGTTCGGCCATAAGTATATCGATGCAATTCTGGGCTGAGATCACCATTGCTGCAAAGAGAGTGCAAGAGCCTTCACTACCATTAGTATGCCACTTTAGCACGCGACTAAGTGTTTGTTTGTTTGGAGTAGGGATGATTGTTCGAGGCTATATGCCAGCTCTGAGGTGTGGGATAACAATGAGATTGTTGGATAGCTGGCAGTGTATCCAATCTTACCCAGGCCTAGAGACACAACAAGCTATTACTTTCATTTTTAAGAACTCATTGCCATGTGACGGGAGATATTCCTTCAGTTGAATAGCGAAGGAAAGCGCCCGGACCACTATCGCTATGGAAGACTTATTCGCTACGTTTGCTGTCGTGGTTTGGTCAGGGTGCACGGTTACTTATGTTTAGCTCCTTCTGAAAAGGTAAAGTGGCAAAAGATACTACCATTGATGGCATTAACAGCAAATTCTTCGTCAGCCTATCCTTTGATGTATACAAAGGATTCAATGGCACCGCGAAAAGTATCTTTCTACTTCTGCTGAGGTTGAGCGCTAACATTAGGACCGGAGGATTGACTAATAGCGCTGCTCTCGTGGTCCAACATTACGAGTGGGAAGGCAGCCGCTTCTGGTCTTAAAACGGTCATCTTCGGCGTCATTTTCACCAGTCCTCGGATTCTAGTTGCGAACCCAACGTCTGTGCCATGCATCGTAACACAATAGTCATGAGAGAGTGGCAATAAACAATCATCAGCCATGGAAATAATTGGCGTTGCGCCTCGCAAGCGAAGAACGACGATCTTTTGGATTCTCAAATATCAGCGCTTCTATACATGCCCGTAGTCAATATGCAGAGTCCCAGGATTATGTGCCACTTGCTTCCCATTTTTGTTGCGAAATAAGACCTTAAGAGGTTTTCAATCAGCACACCTGTATCACTGCGTAATTCCTCTGACATACCTTAGGGGGATGTTTGACATCTATCTCTTGAGCTCTCTCTTCATCTGTGATGATTTCTTCCACCTGAGTGTCGGACGAGCTGTCAGCACACAAATCACCATCAAGGTCAACAGAACGACGGGTCGACTGCTGGGCCTACGTGGCAGTGCCGCTTCTAACCCACCTTTCCTTCGTGTGTTCCACCGCGAATTCTTGTGACGACGTAGTCGCCCTTATGGATGGGATTTCCATTCTTGTCCAATACCTCTTCGTGGCCCATATTGACAATTCTACTTTAGAATCGAGAATCTTTTTCAACGTAGATTGTTGAGCAGGGGAAAAGAAGGCCTTATTGCTATGTCGTCAGATATGCGTAGTCATCTTATCACCACGGTTTTGGCAACTTCGCCATCTATGGCGTCATGCTTAGGTAGCGTAAAACCTATCATGTAGCAGTTGCTACCTCCTCTGATCATCAAAAGACTGTCAATCGAATCGTGCTACAATCTTTCCATTTACTCTATCACTCAGTTGAACTCTTCTGAGCTCCTTCCACGTTATTGGAGTTGCTTTAATGTAGTCACTCACTTAGAGAAACATCGTCCCCGCATATTTGCAGACTGTAAGTTTTAGCCCGCTGGCTTTAAGCACACTTGGAAGAGTTCTTTTCGCTGAGAGTGGAAGTACAAGGCGCTTTGATGGCAAACAGCTCCACTCACCTAGAAGCATGCTAAGAGCAGACCGGCAATATGTCTCGATAATAGGGAGCACCAAAATGAAGCGCGGGATTGCGGTATGATTTTTGCACAATTATCACTTGAAGATCCACATCATCCAAAGTCCTACAGCGGGCGGTAGCGGCGTCATCCATTAGTTAAGGCGCTAGTATACACGCATCTGTAAAGCGAATTAGCTTGTCTATGTAAACTTTCTAGCTGTGTATATTGCTTGGTCGCTCTGGTATTGGCCAGTTGAGCTGGAATTACCCTGGTCTTGAGGTTCATTGATCTTTCAATACCTAAATTTGCACTTTCTTGATCTTTCTGAGTAGAACACGAACTGGAGAGAGAGCACTGGCGCGGCTACTTGAAAACATCGTGCCGTTACTGCATATCTGTCACTAGGTATTGGCAAGCGACACGCGGACTGCAGACCACGATGATGCTGTCAAGAGGTAATATAAGTAACAGAAGAAGATCAGATTGATCCGGCAAAAAATTGATTAAAGCCCCGGCAACGACTCAATTGTTTGATCAACCTTAAAATCGAATCGAACGAGATCCTCCTTGAAAGGGATAAAGTAGGTACTGGTCACCCTGAGTAAATGTCAGCTATCCATAAGACTTGACTGAATGAATTGTGTATGTTCCCATACCTGTGATGCTCATGACTCGCTTGGTATTCTTCCAGTGCCGCCCGGTTATCATGATAGCTGACTAAAGCATACTGGTATCCTTTGCTCTTTTCGTTCGGAGTTGTAATTGATGGGCCTCCAACGACAAGTTGTTGGCTTTTGACGCATGATAGATTCTTGAGCGTCTTTATTTGTGAAAGAAACTCTTCCCTGACAGTCTCGGCGACTTCAGCACGAAACTTGAACAAGACTGGTCATCAATCGCGGATATTAGCGAATCTGAAGAATTACCCGCGATCATAGAACATACCGATATGGACAATTGTCATCCTGAATGATGGTAGAAGTAGACTAGGTGTGGGCTTCAACAATCATAGGAGTCGGCTGCTTTTAAGCCGACAATGTAGCGGCGGGAGCCATCCGTCCCCGGGAGTACCAATCCATATCCATTCTTATCCCTTATCTCGAATCTTTGCGTCTCCGATAAAATCAAATAGTCTGAACTAGATACTATCCATAGGTCCATGAAAGATCTTACCTTTCGTTCTCATCATTTGTATGAAGCTATTTGATATGTGAAAGGATTTGAACTCCGCGCGGTCAAAAAACGTGGTTAGTCATCTTCCGGATGTCCCCCGCGCTTGACGGAAGCAACCCGATTCTCCGCTTTGCCGGGCAGGAACTTGGGAATTTACATCCAAAAAAACAATCCGAGCATCATGATTTGACTCATCGCGTACAATTCTATATAAGACGGCTAAAAATGATGGATTCCCCACGTCGAAGTCGAAACCGTGCTGCCTGCCGGCGCTGTCAACGACGGAAAATCCGATGCGATGGCGAGGTCCCTAAATGCACCTCGTGCAAGAAGGCGAATACACCATGCGTCAATGACGGCAAGCAAGAAGTAAACCGCACGTAAGCTTTCGATCTTCTGCAGATACTATGCGTTTACTAATGCGCGACAGATACATAGCAAGCCTGCAGAAACGCATGCAATGGCTCGAGTCAAAGATTCGCGAACAAGGAACCAATGTCGACGATGGCGCACCCTTAGATATCATGGATACTTCACAAGGTGACTCCACTATCCTTGATGATGAAGCAACTGAGTCTGCTGCTGGTGCTGCTGGTGCTGCTGGTACTGCTGGTACTGCTGGCGCCGCTACCTCTGGCTCGCGCCATTCATCTACCCCTGTTCAACAAAGACAGCGTCGGCCTCTTGTCGACTCGCAAAATTCTCGAGCGCAGTCAAAGCAGGCTCACGAGATCGGTCTAGTCTCGCTTTCTTCTGGAGGCGAGCCGAGATATCTTGGCCCCTCGAGCGGTTATTTCCTGGCAAACTTGGTCTTCTCCAACACCGGTCGAAGAGCAAGACTAGCAGGCAATCGAGGCAATGAAGATGAGCCCATATCACTGTCTTCTGAGCTATTCAATCATCCCGCCTGTCTACCAACTCGCAAAGAAGATGCAGTCGAGCTTTCTTCGAAATACTTTGCATCCGTTCATCTCATGTATCCTTTTCTACATGAGCCATCTTACATGCAGCAGATGAACAAATTATACATGGATGGGGAAGCCAACACAAATCCAGCGGTCATCTTTCATGTATTTATGGTGTTGGCTATAGCAGCTTCGGATCTCTCCCGGCGCTTCAAAATTCGCCTACCCGCTGAAAGTTACTACACCGCAGCCACGCGGTACTTTGAGGGTGCCTGTGTCGAGGGCTCTCTGGAGGGGCTACAAAGTCTCCTTCTTCTCATGGTCTATGCTCTTCACAATCCTTCGTGTGGGGTTAATGTATGGAGCTTAAATTATCAGTGTCTGGGAGCGCTTATCGACCTTGGTCTTCAACGCGATGTGCGTACATCCTCGGCATTTCCAATATCTTTCCTAGAGCAGGAGATGAGAACTCGGGTTTTCTGGGTGGTCTATAGCTTTGATCGGACGTTGGGCACTATGATGGGCCGACCCATTGGTGTCCGAGACGAAGCTTGCGAGCTTCGGGTATGTCTCATCTCTCTTTACATCCATTTGCACTTCAGCTGATTCATCACCTAGCTTCCGTCCAATGTCGCCGATATATATCTCACGGAAGTCGCAGCAGATATAGTGGATGGCTCGCCGTCGCATATGACATACTCGATTCACCTATTCAGACTGGCACGGGTGAATTCCGAAATCAAATATGTCTTGCACAGCATCTGCAGGGATCCTCCCCATTATGCTTATCCCCCAGTCATTGACATTCATCAATGGCAAAAAGAGATGATAGACCAGCTTCAAACATGGCTATCGGAGATCCCTCATGTCCCTGGAATGGAGTCGATTGCCAAGATTTGTGAGACTAGGTATCACGAAATGATGATTCTAATCCTCCGACCTAGCCCGGAATTCCAGACCCCTCAGACGAAATACTCGCACAATGTTTCCAGCATGCCGTGGATCTACTCCGGGGCTTCGGAGAGCTATATCACCAGGAGTCACTTTTATACAGTAGATTAATCGTGCACTCCATTCTCTTGGCGACATTAATAATGCTGCACTGTCTATGGAGGCTACCGGATGTTGCATCACATATTCAAATCGACGCCCTGGTAGCGGATACCAGCATCAGTTCGAACATCCTCAGCAGCATTGGCGAGTACTGGATCGAAGCCAAGCGAGCAAGAGATTGTATTCATGACCTTTCGGTCGCTACGATACAACGCTTGATCAAAGCGCGAGGGCTGGACTCTTCCATTTCACTGGCGACACCACGACCGGGTACTTTCAGCGGGAGAAATCTGCGATCACAACAAGCGAATGAAAATGTAACAACGCCCGATCGAGTCGATTCCGCAATCGAGATTGCCCCAACCATGCTTGACGATAATTTTTTCAATTTGGATACATCAACCTGGCTGAATGATATCATGCCAGATGGATTTATGGATCTTACGGGCGCGCCGGACTGGGATAGCATACTCTGGGGGGGTTTTCAATAGCAATTGAAGCCTGCATTGAAGCCTGCATTGAAGCCTGCATTGAAGCCTGCATTGAAGCCTGCATTGAAGCCTGTAGAAAAGGACTGTAAACTATAATATGCAGAGAGCTTCATGGATTGTAATCTTGCTGTTTAGTTGAGGCCTGGAATTGGTGAATCCCTTCAAGTAAAGTTAATTCGCAAAAACGAGGTCTTCAATTCGGAATCGACACGGGGCTAATGAATTTATAGCTTAGCTCGCACGGGTAAAAAAAGAGGAAAAAGAGGAAAAGAAAAAAAGAAATGGACGAACGGCGATTTGAACGCCGGACCTCCCGCATGCAAAGCGGGCGCTCGTACCCCTGAGCTACACGCCCTTGGATAACAGAAATTCCACATGTTGCATACTTAAAGAGCCTCATAGATATCCTCTTTGGACCAGCTTTGGCGGAGTTTGATGGTTTCTCCTACCGAGACATTCCTCTGAGCGAGAACCTAAATGAATATGAGCGAGGGATAAGAAAAAAGTGATTTTGCATGATCATCACTGAAAGTTAATTGCATTCAGTCAGGTATGCAACTGAACTAGAACTAACCAATGGGGAAGATCGGGGAGAAAGCCATCTGGACTAGTAGAACGCAAAACACTCGCTGAATGCTCTAATTATTCTATCGGTTTTCTCGGCGCGATTTCATACTTTCTATGTCTCAACCAAGGGAATAAGTAATTATACCGTGAGTCACTATTATAGCTAGGTGACATTCCCAACCTTTCAATCCTGCGAGCATCATTAGATGGGGAAGTGCATTACAAGTGGACGGACGTACCCACTATCGGGGAGAACTCCGCCTCAACGGGAAACATCCGCATTGCCCCAACATTCTCCACATATAAAACCAATCTCAACTACATCACAAACTCCACGGTTTCAAGAATCAAACTCGCTATCAGCTCCTTGATCATGAGCAACATCAAAATGGCAGAAGTCGATCAAAAACAGCAAATGCACCGGATCAATCACACAGACTTGGAGGAATTCGTCCGCCAAATCCTCATCGCCAACGGTACACCCTCGCAAAACGCATCAATCGTCTCGAAATGTCTAGTCTCCGCTGACCTCCGCGGCGTTGACACGCATGGCAGCAACCGTATTCCTTCATATATGGAGCGCATCCGGCAGAAATGTCTAGATCCCTCTGCCACGCCAAGTCTCCGTCAAATCACCCCCGTCGTAGCCCAAGTAGACGGGCACAACGGATGGGGATTTGTTGCCGCGCACAAGGCAATGAGTCATGCTATTGAAATGGCCCAGGAGTTTGGTATGGGCATGGTCTCCGTCAAGCATTCTAACCACTTCGGGATGTCAGCCTGGTTGGTTAAGCAAGCTCTTGACGCGGGAATGATGTCTCTTGTGTTTACAAATTCTTCACCAGCGCTTCCGGCCTGGGGAGGGGAAGGAGAAATTGATGGGTGTTTCACCTATTGCGTGCGGTGCGCCATCGGGGAATGAAAGTCGGTCTTTTATTCTTGATATGGCGCCGTCTGTTGCGGCGCGGGGGAAGATTTACAAGGCGCTCCGGAGAGGAGAGAAAATCCCGATGGATTGGGCTTTGGATGGCGAGGGGAAAAGTACGGATGATCCGGCGAAGGCGTTGCAGGGGGTTATGTTGCCTATGGGGGGGACCGAAGGGGTCGGCATTGTCGATCATGATGGATGTGTTTTCCGGGGTTTTCTCTGGGGCTGCATTTGCAGGTCATGTCACGAATCCTTATGATCCATCTAAGCCGGCGGATGTAGGACATTTCCTCGTGGCCATTAAGCCGGATTTGTTCATGACTATGGATGAGTTCAAGGGCCGCATGGATTATCTTTACAAGCGGGTTACGGAGTCTGAGAAGGCTGATGGGGTGGAGCAGATCTTCTTCCCTGGGGAGATCGAACAGATCATGGAAGAGCAAAGACTTACAACGGGTATTCCTTTGGCTGAGGCTGAGATTGCGGGTTTGAATAAGGAGGCTGATTTAGTGGATGTAGAGCACCTCAAGATACAATCTGCATTAATTTGATCTCGTGGGTTGATGCCACTTTTACACGATCCTCGTTGAAGTTTCGATAAACCATCTCATTTGAACATCGCGTCCATTGAAACTCAGGATATGTTTGCATTTCTGCTCCCTACAGCGATTGACACATTGCTCGACTTTCTCATGATGTCTGCTTAGTACAACAGGGAACCTACGACGGGATACCAATTCATGCAACATTGTATACTGTATAAGCAAGAGGCCTTTCACAGAGTACCAGACCCTATACAATCCAGTCTGACTGACCAGAATGATCATTCCCAAGAAAGTATCCTTCCAACCGCCCAACTCTCGACAAAGATTCAGGAAGGCACCGCGAACCATAGAAAGGAGTGTTGCAAAAAGCGCTCGAATATATTATGTCACACAACAGTTCAATTATCGTCCACGAGACCTCCTGTATAGGACAGAAGCTAAGAAGAAAACGGGGGCAACGCAATGGGGAAAAATAAAAACGGGGATGATACTCTGAACAGGCCATGTCCCACTTTACAGTCAGAGGTAATAATGACAGGAGAAAGGAACAAGGGGAACGAAAATTCAACATGAAAACAAGGCTGGGAGATGGGATGGGGCAAAGGAGACATTAAGCAAGATAAGGAAATGTATGCTGACAAAGGAAAAGAACATGCTAGATAATCAAACATCCGGCAGATGAACAAGGCGCTTCATGCACGGAATGGGGGAATAAAGCAGGGTATCATAGGTTTAATCCAAACAACCTCGCTGCTCTTTCGAATCGAAGTGGGGGAAGGTATGACACGTTGTCTGTGTCAATTCTCCGAGTCGGATGAGGGTTTTGATCCTTCAGGTTCGCAACGCTGCTTTTTTAGCAAATTTTGCAGGCGATTAAAATTGTTTACCGGTCGTCGCCAGCCCGAGACTTGGCACGCCTTCGGAAAAAGTCCATGACCTTTCGGGCAGCGCCTGAGCTTCCGGAGTGGTGAGAGGAGTCTCGCTCGTACTCATAGGCGTCAGCAAATTTGCGGTGATTCTTCTGCAAGACGCTTGGTCCCCGTCGGTCAACTTGCGTGGATTGTCTAGGCAAGCTGTCGTAAGTGCCGTTGTAGTCGTCATAGTAGTTCGGCTTCGAGGAGTACTTGTAATGAGAACCATTGTATTGGTCATCGTCATTCTGCTGGTAGACTTGCTCGGACGAGATGGCACCAAAGGATTCGTCGGTCTGTTCGAATCGGTTTCCAAGCTCAGCAAATTGTTGGTCAATTTGAGCCTCATAACTCAATGGCTCCGAATCTTTCTGCTCGTGTACCTCGTCCGCAGGACCCTCATTCACCATACTCATAGCCTCCTGCGTTCCGTAGCTGGTTGCACGAGGACGGGTTGACATAGGGCCGGTAGCTGGGCGCTGGCTTTGAGGATCAACTGTTCGCGGCGTTTGTGATGATTCTTCAGGACTCTGAGCGCGACCAGAGAAGTTGCGGAACGAAAAGGAAGATGGCAGAAGGGAGAATCGACGAGGCCGACCTTCCGCCTCGCTCGCCTTGCGGCTATGCGAGTATTGCATGGAACGCCGAGAATCCATAGACTGACGCGAATCTTCCCGGGGCAGAGGATCCTTCATGCTGGTAGGAGGGTACCGCCGGTTTTGTCGGGCACGACTATTCTGAGCCTGGGAGCTGCGCCCACCTAGAATAGATCCTGATCGGCCGAAAAATTTCTCGCCAATGCTAGAAACAGTGCTGGATCGCTTGTGGCCGCTCTTGGGGGGGCTCTTGTCGAGGAGTCGGGTTGAATGCCGATGGAAGCTGCTGGGTGCTGGGGCGACCAATGGATGCACTGGACACCTGAGCAGGGCTTTGCACCAGAGAGAATTGTCCGCTTTTGGGCTGCGCTAAACGACCCTCGGTATTGGTAGCAGTGACCATGGGTGCCACGGGCTGTCCATAGGAGCCCCGCGAAGGGAGACGACCAGTGTGGAAGGATGCCATTGAGCCACCTGTCTGGGGCCGCGTGTTTGAAGGCGCCGGGGCATAGGTGTGTGAGCCAGTAAGGCCGGGGTTTTCCGAAGTGGAACGAGGGAAATGTCCAGGCAAGGGCTTGTCTAGGTTGATGGGCGGCTTCGGAGCAGTTTTTGAGGTCGTGCGCGGCTTCTCGGACGTCACGCTCGCTTGAGTTTCGTCGCGGGTGTGAGGTCCCGCGTTGTCCTGGTATTCTCCTCGGGTTGTTTGCGATTGAGGAGCAACGTATTCGACCTGTACCGTCCTCCGCTTCGCATCCTTCGAATTCTTCGACTTTTCGCTTGGCGAATCCTGGGAGACATCTCCAGCGTGGTGGTTGAGCCCACCAACAGCCACGACTGGAAGTTGGTGTGCTGATTTGGGCGGCTCACGAACCGAGGCACTACGAACAAGAGTCGGTGCCTCCTGGTGCTCGGACGGTACCGTCGTGTTGGCAATGTCTGCAACATCTGTTGTGCTGCTAGTGATATGTGAGACGATGTGAGAGTATTCACTCAACCAGCTGTGGCGAGCAACCTCAAACAAGTCGGCACGCTTCCGAGGATCGGGGACCAGTATCCGCCTCAAAAGGTCACGAGCATGGGGGGTGACATATTCGGGAAAGGTGAGAGGGGTGGTCACGATGTATTTGTAAAGAAGGTTGATGTTGTCTCCATCGGGGTTTGCGGGGTCATCGTCAAATGGGAGGTAACCAGCCAACATGGCATACTGTACAATGTCAGATCAAACCGCGACGCAGCAACTTAAAGAAAACTTACCAAAATGACACCGCAGCTCCACACGTCCACTTTGCGTCCGGTGTACAGGGAGTCACTAACAACCAATTCCGGAGCTGCGTAGCAAGGACTTCCACAGCTCGTCTGCATCAGGTCACCTCGCCTAAATCCATCGGGACCCAGCTTATCTAGTCGCTTCCGCTTGACGTATTCTTTATTGGTGAGGTTGTACTCGATCTCTTCGTCTAATGGGTCGGTTGGGTCGAATGTGTTGGCGAAGCCGAAATCTGTGATGATAATGTTGCGATTCCTGTCCAGCAACAAGTTTTCCAGCTTCAGATCTCGGTGCACAATACCCTTCTTGTGCAGGTAGCCGACACCTGAAATCAATTGTGCAAACAGCCGACGAGCAGAATTATCTTTTAGATACCGATTGTTCAGAATGTAGTCAAAAAGTTCACCTCCAGATGCGTACTCCATGATGATACCGATGTGCCGGTCCGTTTCAACCATCTCGTGAAGACGGACAATGTTAGGGTGTGCAAGCTCCCGCAAAATTGCAATCTCACGATAGATCTTGGGCAATCTGCTGGGGTTGGAACCCAGAGATTCCCTGCGAATAAGCTTGATAGCTACTTGGATGCTGCCGTCGCGCTTCCAGCCAAGCTTGACCTTCCCGAACTCACCCTCGCCAAGGGTTTGTCCAAGAATATAAGTTCCGAATGTGGTCTCCTTTCGCTTGACGGTGTTCCCGTTATTGCTATAATCATGGCGACTGCGATGGCCAGTGCGCGTTTCCTCCTCGGCGGGCTCAGTTCCAGTCATACCGAAGTTTTGCGCCGATTCTTGTGGTGCGATTGCCGCTGCCAGTGCACTTTCTTGTCGCACCTGCTCTCTCGTCCGATCTACGACGGGATCGCTGACCTGCACCGAGTTGATAACCGCGCTCGCCTCTTTCTCCAGAGAAGCTCCCAGGCCAGACATGTTCTCTAGGCCGCGGTCTTCTTCCGGGTATGAGACCGGCGGCGCACCTCTTGACCCCTCACGTGTAGTCTCTTCTAAGGGATCTGCTCGTCTTGATCGGGTTTTCCCGTTACGGTCGTCGCGGGTTCGCTCTCGATTTTCCTTGCGATCGGATCGGTTCTTTCCCTGTCGCGACCCTTTCTCAGACGCTCCGTTGGGACTGCGGCGGCTGTGATGCGTAGACGAGCTCCTCGGGGGAGGGACTGGTGGCTGTCCTAACATGTCCGGGTAATTGGCGCGCGCATTATTCTGAACGGGAGGCGGAACTGCTTGATTCGATACTGGCGATGCGTGGGCGGAGAATGCCAGCTGATGAGTAGTGCTCATAGCCAAAGAAGCTGATCAGGACCGGCCTCAGAAATGGCTACAGAAAGAGCAGAGGGATTAGTATGGTAGATTTAGTCGGCGGGGAGGGCAAGAGTGTTTGCATCACGACTGGTAGCGTACCTTCTAGTGATGCGAAAAGTCCACCAAGGCTTTGCGTCGTATGACGGCGCGACAGACTCGATCGGGCACTTGTCGAGGAAAAGAAGCCGATGCCAATGGCGAACAGCACAATTGGCGCGTAGAGACACCACGTCCTCCAGAGGGTGTTTGGCGAGGGTTCGGGAGATTAAGTGAACGGTCGCACTCGTCAAGTGGAGCACTTCAGCCTCAGAACTGTGGACATGAAACGATCGCGTCAGTTCGAGACCCCTCGTCGGACAATTCTTATCGATTATCGGAAAGAATGTGGCACATCAAAATCGAACAGGGAACTGACAGGACGTCGATCGGAAGAATGGAGGAATGGGGGGCAGGGGGAACGCCAGGACCAGCGGTCGCGAACGAAAGAACCGCCAGATCTTGAAGTTTCACCCGGCACAGCAGGTTGCGACTCAATCGGAGCAAAAAGACGCGTCGCAAAGGCAGAAAAAGGGCAGTCAACGAAAAGGAAGATGAAGATACCTGCACTGCAGTGTTCTGGAATCCCGCGACCCACGACTGGGGGGGGGAGGGGCGCACGTTGTCCAAGAACTGGGGGAGGGAAACAAACGCGGAAGCGAGAGAATGTCTCAGACGCGATTGAGTGTCCACGATCACTGGAATCAAACGTAGAACATCGTCTCAAAGCCAAGGTAAGAAGGCGGACAGGGGGCGCGAGGGGAGAAGAAGGCGGGAGGCACCGGTCGCCCCGAGTCAAGAGAAAAAGGGGTGTTGAGAAGTTAAAGGGAAGGCGCAAACAAGACACAGGGACAACGCGAAAAGAGAGAGTCCAAGGAGAAAGGACCTCAAGATAGAGAGGGTGGGAGGAGGGAGGAGAGAGCAGGCAGGTCAACAGGTTTGGTTTAGTTTCGTTTAGTCTGGGGGAGCGGGTCTTTGGTCTTTGGCCTGTCGGGCTGCAAAATAGTCGTGCTGGATAATGCTATGCTCTGTGAAAATATCCCCTTTTGGTCTAAGGTATATGGACCAATGGTCAATGATCAATGATCTCTGATCTAGGGATTATGCTATAGACTATTCTATACCGAGTACTGAAGAATGTGGACATCAGGATTATCCTCCACTCCATCCACTACTACTACTACTACTACTACAGTACAACTTCTACAATCCCGCCGCGGGACACACAAGATAGCTAGCACCAGATTAGCTGCAGAGCTATCTTCAGCGGCTGCGTATATCAGCCCTTAATAAGGAAATCTCGCTGGTTTCCCCTTGCCTCGCCTGTGATAGAACGAAACGGGTGCGAGGCCCGAGGGCTGATCCTCGCGTGTGCCTCGTAAAATTGGGGGGCGGGGAGAAAACAAATCAAAGAAAAACAATTACAATGGAAAATAGGAAGGTCGAGGTTCAGTAGCCATAGCTTGTCAAGCGCGCAAATAAATTCGGAGGCCCGTTTCAAAAAGGGGGCTTCGCGCCGGTTGTTTCGAATCACGGAAAAGTGGGCTACTCGCTAGGACCGTCGATCGTCATTACGCCCGCACGATCGCGACTTGACAAGATCTAAGAGCTGGGAGCTGTACTTGGACTTGATTTCTGTCTAATTGTTGGCGTGATTGACCGGTTCCCTGAAGAACAAGTCGAATGAAAGGATGACATTCGTCTGATTACAATGACTCGAGGTCCCAAAGGGTCTTTGCGCAAGCTCTAGCTTCGTTAGCTTCGAATCGAGCCCGGTTCCACGAGAGCTTCAAATCTCCATTTCCCTGGGCGCAAACCAATTGAGCCCACGGTTAGGACCCCATGAGAACCAGGGTTGCGCCCCGGACCAAGTAGATCCTTGTTGCTCCATCACTGCAAACGTTTCCAAGATTTTCCACTGCGTAATCCATGAGCGAGTGGATTCGGTTCCTGGGCCTTTTGGGGTCTGCGCTAAGGCTGCTTTCATGGTACGCGCTCCACTTAGTATTTCGGGTCTCCACCTGACGGCACGGCGGTACCGCACAACTCACAGCTCGAGTCTCCAGCTCAACTCTCACGTTTCAAGACCATCGAGGCGAGCCTCGGAACTCTCTGTTGAAGTGGCGGTTGTCGGTGTGGAGGCTGACCTGGATGAGAACCCCCTGATAAGTCCCAATTGGATATTCTGGGTGGGCCGGCCAACTGTCAAGCGGGTGATGCGTTGGCAGCTTAGCCATTGCGCCGGCGCTCATCCAATCGATGCGATACTTTTTTCAATCATCCGACAAGATCATGAGCAATGTGATCCAATGGGCGGAATCGTCCAAATGGTTATGACGCACAGTCAATCGCAGAACGGCCTCATCAGAACATATCGCCGAAAAGGCGCCACTGTCCCCGCCCCCAGCCGAAACTTTGATCCCCAGTGGTGGGCAGACTACGGAGTGCAGTCCTTGGCGGTGATGCATAACATGATACTCCGTAACTCTGTGCTTATTCAGGATCAGCTATGGAATTAACTATCTACATACTGTAGGATGCAAATACACAAAGAGGCAACGCTTGTCAAGTCTGTGGATATCCCCATATTTACCCCCCAAACCCATCGCGGGAAGGTTGAAAGATCAATTGCCGTGAATATCAAGATTTAGCGCTTCCCCCTGACATAGACGCACCCCCGAGTGACATCGTTCCTGATGCATCGTATGCAGGAGGTGGGGTGGGGTTCGGCGATGGGCCCCGGGCAACTGGATCCCGTCCGGGGCCAGAAGGGCCGGCCTCGGCGGGAAGCTGGCCACCATCGCCGCCGCCAACCACCACCTGCTGACCGTCGCGCATTTTACCCACGACCATGCCCTTCGCAACGGACTTGAGTAGTGCACGACGGCTAACGCCAGTGGCATCAATGTACACCAATCCGACATTTTTGATTCCACCGGTCAGATTGCTGGCGACGGTGCCGGCTTGGTCACCGTAGCGGTGACCGACAACTGTACTGGCTGCCTGGGAACCGGTAAGAAGAATGTTTCGAGCACCCTCCTGTATGCCATCGGCAAGAGTTGAGAAGGCAATCATCGACTTGTTCAGCACCCCGGGCTTGTAGTCGGGCGGTGGATTGCTTTTGCTGAAGCCCTTGGGCTTCCCCTCTTTGCGCGCCAACGATGCGCCAATGTTCTGTGCGACCTTCTCTACCTGTCCAATCGTGCGCGAAGAAAGTTGAGCTGCACCATTGGAGTAGGTGCCAATCTTGCGGATGCGTGCGTGCGTTGCATCGGAAAAGGTCAGCGGCTTAGGATTGGGCTTCGTCCGCTTAGTGAAGCCCTCGGCCCCGCTAGTGAGGTAGTTGGCCAGGGAGGTCGATGTCGCAACAATCAAACGAGATGCTGTCGCCGATGTCTGAACGATGGTAGAGTTTTGATACGCCGGGTGGCGCGACATGGCCAGATATTCTTCAGAAACATTGCTGACACTAACCCGGTTGCCCTCTCCTTCGCTAGGAAGCTCAATTCCCACGGGACCTATTTGAGACGAAAGTGTATCATTAGCTGCTGAACAAGGGTGGGACAGTCTGGTGCATGCTCACGTTTAGATCCAGGCTTGACATCCGCATCCTCCACCACGTTATACCCATCTCCCAATTCTCCCACCACGCTTCCATCCTCCTCATCAACGAGTACAATTTTTCCGTGCAGGTCGGACGGCTTGGTATCGGGCGACGTGACGTAGCCTTCACCAGGTGCATAGTCGGCGGGGTTGTATGCGGCATGACGATCCGACTTTCCACTCGAGACCGCGCGGTCGTGGAATGCAGTGCACTGCGCGAGAATTGTTTCGAAGGTGTCGATATCATCTTGCGTTACCTTATCGGGCCCCGACCCAATGCTGGGGAATTCAATTCGAATAAATGCGCCGACATCTGCGGCCATGTCCCAGCGAGGGATAAGATAGCTATTCGGTGGTTGATGGAAAATTTGTGTAGTGGCAGGAAGGGCAAGGTCCAGTTCCGGAGGAAGATAAAGGTGAAGATAGAAGTCCTCCTCTGGTTCAGTGCTGGCACCAGCAGCATATGGCGGCGTAGGCGCTGAAGTAGCCGTTGGGACCATTAACAAGGACAAGATTTGCGGGCCAGAGGGAGTGAGTTCCTGTTCCTCGCCATCTTGAATGTGAAAAGCGCGAATGTTGTTGACGCTATAGAGAAGGCGTGGATCGTGCGAAGCGCCAGACATCGTGACCATTGCTGTGACGAGAACAAAAATAGAACTGCCCGCTGATAACGCGGATAAGGACGATAACGTCGTGATCTTTGAAGAGAGGTCAGGACGTAACGCCAGATGGTCGATACTATCAATGAGTGTAAGAATATCCAACACAACAATGAGGAAAATGGCGTAGGCCACAGCCAAGAACAGGGAGGGGCGCTTCTTAAGTACAATAACTGGGCGCTTAGATAACTGCGATGAGGTCAGTGCACAGCCACCCAGGAACATAGAACCCCGCGCACCGCCACAACGCCACATCCAATCTTTGGAATCGAGAACTGTGGCGAGTGTCTTCCAATGCCCCAATCATGGATCTTCAACCTGTATCCGATCTGCAATCAAGGAATCCTTATGCCTACAATCTTTTCGAGATCAAACCTGAAGCACCCTTTTTTGCCATTCAAGGTGACATGAGCCTTGTCCGGGATGATGGCTTTTTCACGTTCTCGGAGGCTCAGCTGGCAAAGTTCCAGATCGTGTCCCTATCACTTAGCAATCTCGAGCCATGGCACTCGACAGGAGGAAAGACGAAGGAGAGCATGCGGCAGCCCTCCGACTCTGTAGAGCAACGGTTCTCCACGGGAGACTTGGTCACCCTCGTCTTTTTGAACTAGACAAGACCTTTCCTCTGAAGTCATCATCCTAGGATGCACATCATCCTCCGTGGAGCAACACCGCGAAAAATAAAGTGTTGGAGCAGAGGCTTTCTACCAAACCGAGTCAGTCATTACTTTGACTAATATTTCGGGCAGGTCAAGGCTTTGCGCCAAGGATGGTTTCAAGGGTTTGACTATCTTGTTTCGTGGCTCTGGCATAGCAGGCCTGAGCACTTACGGAGGCTTGGGTCGATATTCTTTGGGAATTCCCTTAAGCACATTCAGTATCTTTCAAAGCAATCTTTGGACGTTCCTTGGCTTCACAGATAGTTCGCTGTCAATTACAAGGCCCTTTAAGTAGGAATTTTCTTATTGGTGATACTTTTCCCTCCAAAGGTGCCGTTCCATACGGGGCTGTACATACTTGAATCATCTCTTTCCGACCAATTTCGTCTCAAAGGATGGATTAACCGAGAGCTTGAGCAAATGAACAAGGCAGACATGGCCAGCAATGCTTATTGGGTAAGGCACCACTTACACGCTGCCTACCGCTACCTGGTAGAACTGACCCAGCGAAAATTTGATACCTTTTTCCCTACGAGAATTCTTCCTCCCACGCCGGGGGTTGTTGGCTTGCTAGGTTTTAATGGACCAATGACGCTTCACATATTCAAGACCCCAGGGACGTGGTCTCTAAGTAGGGATATATTAGTAGCCATCAAATCAAATCAAATTGTGTTTGATCTGACGTGATGGTCTCCGAGGCTAGATGCATTTGGTATCACTGCTGCCTCATCGCCTCAGGCATCAAAAGCGGGAAACTGGACCACTCACAGTCATGTCCCTTTTTTACCCGTTGCGGCCGCGTCCTGCTAAACTTGCTCGTTTGTCCCTCGACTATACATGAAGCGACGCAAGATGGGCTTTGATAACATTACCCAGGTCAGTCGTCGGGTAGGTGGCTCAAAATCCCGGGCTGGGTGCAAAACCTGCAAGTACGTTGCTCTTCAGTCCCCACTTTGAGGTAAATCTCCTACTTGTTCAACTGCTGATCATCGAATAGGATTCGCAAAGTAAAGTGCGACGAGAATAAGCCAGTTTGCCGTCGCTGCTCGAGCACTGGGCGAGATTGCCAATATGAGGCTGCAAGATGCCTTTCAGCTCTATCCACGCGTACGCCTACGGGACCGATACTCCGTTGCAACCTGTCACAAATACCCAATGTAGGACAACGAGAATGTCGTGCGTTCGAATACTACTTTCAACATGCAGCTCATTATTTGTCTGGTGGTCTGGGTGCCGATTTCTGGACACTGGTTGTTCCACAAATCTGCCGCAGCGAGCCAGCTATATGGGATGCTATGATTGCAATCAGTGGTCTATACGAAGATCCAGATCAGTGTCTGGACTTCCACTTTTTAAGAAAGCAAGATGACCAAACACACTCTTTAAATGAGCATCGACGGGAAGCTTTGACTTGGTATGCACGCTCTATATCCAGTGTTCGTTCGCAAATCGAACGTGGCAGTGCGGACCCATACATCTCGCTGATCAGCTGTGTACTCTTCATCTGCATTGAAACTATTCAAGGACGTGTTGAAGAGGCACTAGAACTATACAGACAAGGTGTCCAATTGATACTTGATCTACGTGTTCAAGATACTCTTGGTGGAGTCTCCGCCTCCAAAGCTGTGCTCCTGGAACAAACCCTCGTTCCTCTGTTCTTACGCTTGGGCATCGTCTCTCTTACTGTCTCGGGTACCCAGCCAAGTGAACTGTATTGGTCTACTGAAAAGACATTTAGTCGCAGCTTCTCATCTGTCGATCAAGCAAGGGCTGCCATCGTTCTACTGTCTACAGAGGCCATGATTTACGAACGAGAATCAACCATTCATCTCAGAGCTGCTGGTGGAGAACATGCTGTGAGCACAGATATGATTGAAAAAAAGAAGTCTCTCTCAGACCGCCTCTCTGATTGGCTCAAAGGCTACAATAATCTATGTGATAGACTTCGCACAGATCACGCAATCCCAACGGCAACAGAACCTATTCTGCTGGCTTACCATGCTTCAGCTTCTATCATTGTCACAGGATGTTTGACACAATTCGAAACTGTATATGATGTTCATGCAGCGGAATTCTCGCTTATAATTGAGCTTACAGGCCAAATTCTCAGTAATTCAGCAGGGCCAGATGGTTCCCAACCACCTTTCACCTTTGAAATGGGCACTGGTATACCTTTGGCTGTTACTGCGATGAAATGTCGTGATCCAGTACTTCGTCGAAAAGCTTTGGCGTTGCTGAGAATGGCGCCTCCAGTACAAGGATTCTTTAAATGCGTCCCCGTGGCTCTGCTAGCAGAGAACCTGATGAAGCTTGAAGAGGGCTATAGCCCAAACTCGAAGAAGGAGGCACAATATAACTTGCCAGATATCTCCCTGAGCAGCAATAATTTTGCTAGTCCTGCAGTCTCGCTGCACGAAAACCTCGGAAAGAATTCACCATGTGTTCCTGAAGAAGCACGGATATCTGAATATGCTGTATTCAGGCCTCAAAATGGACTTCTTCCGGGTATCAAACAAGACGATATCACAAGATGGGGCCGCAGTTCTGATGATCTTTTCTTGCGATTTACGAGGAATCATTTTGATCAAATTTCCTTCACATGGAAACCATATTTCGAGTGCGTACCTTTGGGATGAGATGTGACCACCCTCAAGGGCCAAAAAACTGGTTTGCATGCTGCCAGGTCAGCGATGCAGTTGTGTGGCGGTTGTTATATTGGTACTCCATAGTTCGAGTCGCTGATTGTAGGACTGCCTGCGTGGACCTCAATTAAACATTAAGAACACACATCTCTTGGCCTCGCCGGTAAAAAAAAAACCATAGTTACACTTTTCATCAGGCCCCCGCGTCTCCACTCGCGTACATCCGTTCCCAGCCACCCTGCATCAAGACTAATAAGATTTCTGAAGCTCTGGTTTCATGACCAAATATCCCATCGATCCGTTCAATTATCAGCTGAAAGTGACAGCGTGGACCACTATTTCGATGCTGGTGGGTTCCCATCACTGCGCTGGCAACAGAGAGCCTCATCCACGCTCGGGGCATGCCCTACGCCAAAGCAAACCAATCCGATCCCCACAGCCAGCCGATCAATGGACAGAAGCCCGCGATAACACTGACCAGGCCTCAATATCCCCACAGCTACCATCGTGGCTGGAGTCGGTCATGGGTCCGTTGACCAAATGCCACAGTTTGAGTGAAGACTGTCCGCATTTGACGAGTATTGCGCCAGAGGATGCCACTGACACCCGTGTCATGGTCTGGCTGCGTGGTGGTCTTACATCTCAGGCGGTGGAGATCTTGACTGCTACCAAACGGTCGATTTGACCAGGCGAGGGGCTGTTTGTGTCACAGTCACTTCCGGCTAGGTGTTTTCGAACATCTAAGCTTGGAGGGCATCGCATCAACGAACTTGGGTCTATTCGACCGACGAGCCGCGCTTCAGTGGATCCAGAAGAATATCTATTCCTCTGGTGAAAACCCGGAAAATGTCACTTGAATCGGGCAATCGGCGGGCGCGGATTCAATCATTGAGGGTACTCAGGGCTTGTTCCATCGCGCGATCCTTCTTAGTCGCCATTGCGAGAGCTGAAAGAGCGCGCACCCACAGCAGAGCAATTACTCACCAAAGATTCAAGGAACATGTCTGCGGAGGAAATGTAAGGAGTTTAAAAGAAGCTCCTCATGGTTCCTGTGAAGACGCAGGTCATGCTATTTGCGCGCCTCTTGGGATTTTATTCATGGTCTACGGAGCAAGACTTTGATCAGAAGCTTTCCAAAGCCATCAAATGAATCTCAATTCTCGCAGTATGGACCGCTCATAACGGCCGTCCTTTCGCAAGCACAATAGGTCCGCAGAGTCTGCTTAAGTTACCCGTTATTGGGCCTTACTTGGAGAGTCTTGGAACTTGGTATATCACCCAAACCTAATTTGAAGGCGTGCAGCAGGACGTCGACGAGCTATTCGTTTAGTTTGGGGGGGGGGGGGGGAAGGAGACACTCCTGGCTCATGTCATTGTATTGACATTCCATTCGCGTCGGGAAAAGACGGCGCTTGGAAAGATGCGTCAATGCCAGCTGGGAAGAATGCAGAGAGAGATTTGGCTCGCCTGGGGTCCCATCTCAAAGACGCGTGGACTAGCTTTGCCAGCAGGAAGAATCTCAAGAGCGGAGTGCATATCAAATTCGGTGGCGAGTATGCCTTGTCTCAGGATTCCTTTGTTGACTGAGATGTTGTATCCTAAAAATTCCCAAAGCTCAGCTCCGATGTGATTGCGTGGACCATGCTCAGGACATTGTCTGAACGAGGAAATGACAAATTGGCATCTCTATTTGTCTTTTTGTTCTAAGGCTGAAATGTAGTCGATATCTTGTTATTTCTTAAAAGCCCCTCCCTTTGTGTAAATTTCAGAACCCTCAGAGGTCGGGGCCCTCGGAATTCTCATATCAATAATTCAAGTTATTACCAAAACACGCTGCGCTTCTCGTGAAAGCTAGGGTAGCGTCTTGGGAAATACTCCATGGTGGACAGAGTACAAAAATTGCATGACTTAGCAAGTCAATGGGCGTGTAGCTCAGGGGTACGAGCGCCCGCTTTGCATGCGGGAGGTCCGGCGTTCAAATCGCCGTTCGTCCATTTCTTTTTGCCCTTAGTTGCTCGAATTGTCTTTGCTGTTTTAATTGGTGGATCTTTTGGCGGACCCACAATGGGCAATATCTACTCTCCCGACTTTCTTTTTGGACCTTCAGTATCTCTGCACGAAGAAATGTTTCTCGTGTTACTATTAGTTCATCATGACCTTTCCTGCTCGCATAGACAGATGATAGGAAATCTTACCTTTTCTTTGTGTGCTGGTGTACCGAAGGATTATGTTGATCCGAAAACATGCTCGATATATTTCGCACAGTCGTCGCCCCCATGTCGACAAGAGCATAAGTTTGCTCATGATCATATTGTGAAATCTTTTCATGCCCAAGCAAAGATATTTGTAAATATACATATTTGTTCCAGATGTTTAGACTGGGTTACTCCTATTGTACAGATTTGAAGACATGAAATTAATAGCCTGAATAACAAGGCAACAACACACAACAGCGGTAAGGCGATGCAAACGCTGCAAACCACTCCGCGAATTTTTGATAAAGATCGGAGGACGCCGTACCTTGTTAAGCTCAGCTTGTTGAAGTATTTCCTGCTTGAAACAAAGCTCAAATCTTGCGCAAGGTCTGAGCTACTGTCATTGGACTGGTTTCTCCAAGATGAGTAGCATGGACTCAGCAGCGGCCCCTGCGCCACCTTCAGAGGCTCAAAATACTTCGGTGGATATCACCAAGCGCGACGCCTCCAATGATGTTTCTGGCAGTGAAGAACCCCCGGCCAAGAAAGCGCGACTCGATGAGAATCAGGCCAGTGCAGAGGAAGATCCCCGATCGAAAGGCATCGCGCCCATCAAGGCAGAGTACGCATGTCCCTCATCTCTACTTTCTTGCCCCAGACTAACACTCGTAAACCTCCTAGGTATTTAATTCCTTCTAAGCCTAAACCTACGAACGAGGCCAGATCGGATGATGCTGCCGAAGGTGCATCCCATGCCGACCGCGAGGATGGCAAGAACGACAAGAAAAAGAAGAAGGCTAAGGGCCAGAACACCAATCGGAGATTTGGTTCGTCCAAGGATGTCAAGGGCCTTTGTACTTCGAGAATGTATAGCGCAGAGTTTTCGCCAACCGAATGTAAGTTTGGCGACGAGAAGTGTCGATTCGAGCACGACCTGCGACTATACCTGAACGAACACAAGCGCGAGAACCTTGAAACGATGGGTGGAAAGTGCCCTGTATGGGAGGCCCGTGGAAAATGTTTTGTAGGGTGGAGGTGCCGCTTCGTTGCATCCCACTCGACTGAACGTGAGACCGCAGATGGAAGGAAAGAGCTCATCCTGTTGGAAGACGAAGAGCGCAAGGCGAAGGCGAAGCCTCTCGTGCCATTTGCCACAGAGGAAGGCCAAGTCAACATTATTTCAAACGACGCCAAGATTGATCTTGCGCGCAAGCGAGAGACTACCCCTCGCTCCAACGCGTTCAATGATTGGCTTATCAAGTCCTCTACAGAACTTGAGAAGCAATTACACGGACGACACAAGGAGGAGGGAGAAGCTGCTAAAGCCAATGGCGAGGGTGAGAGTGACGAGTCCAAGGTAGTGGCTGAGGAGAAGGCTAAGGAAGAAAGAGAAATCAACCGAGCCATGTTTACTGAGCCGCCTTTCCTGCCTTCTGAAAAGAGACGAATCTATTTCGGGCCGGAGACTCCTACATTGGCTCCACTGACAACTCAAGGCAATATGCCCTTTCGGAGATTGTGTACCGATTTAGGCGCGCAATTCACTTATTCGGAGATGGCGATGAGTATGCCTCTGATCCAAGGCAACAAGTCCGAGTGGACTCTCTTGAAAGCACACGAGTCTGAAATGCTCCCCCCCACCGTCATTCCCGGGGACAACATTGTCCAAGGTTACGACAACTCGAAGGATTTCAAGTTCGGAGCTCAAATTGCAGCCAACAAGCCGTGGCACGCTCTCAAGGCCACTGAAGTTCTCTCCAAGTTCACACCCCACTTGCGTGTTATTGACTTGAACTGCGGCTGCCCCATCGACCTGGTGTTCCGCGATGGAGCCGGTTCGGCGCTCTTAGACCACCACTCCAAGCTGGAGAAAATCATCCGTGGCATGAACGCTGTCTCTCAGGAAATTCCAATCACCGTCAAGATTCGTATGGGTACCAGAGATAACCAGCCTACTGCCCTCAAGCTGGTTGAGCGCTTGGTTCTTGGTGGTTATGAATCGAGCATCTTGAATGTCGGGCCCCCGGGTGCCGCCGCCATCACCCTTCACGGACGTAGCAGACAGCAGCGATACACCAGACAGGCCGACTGGGGCTACATTGCCGACACTGCTGCGCTCATCAAACGCTTGAATGAGAAAAAGGACAGCCTCACCGACACTATCAACGAGCCTGATGCTCGCTACATGCCCAATGGCGGCAAGACGTACTTCCTTGGCAACGGTGACTGCTACTCGCATGTTGACTACGATGACCACATCAACAATGCTGGCGTCGATTCCGTCATGCTAGGACGTGGTGCCCTGATCAAGCCCTGGCTCTTCGAGGAAATCCAGTCCGGTCAGTACCTTGACAAATCTGCTTCCGAGCGTCTTGGTATGATTGAGAAGTTCGCCAAGTACGGTCTTGAGGCATGGGGCTCTGATGAGCACGGTATTGGAACCACTCGCCGCTTCATGCTGGAGTGGCTTAGCTTCGCCTACCGCTACGTCCCAATTGGATTGCTGGAGCATCTGCCCCCTCACATTAACGACAGACCCCCTGCTTTCCGTGGCCGCAACGAGCTGGAGACTCTCATGGCCAGTGGCAACTACAAGGACTGGATCAAGATCTCGTAAGTGTCTCCTACATTGAAAAGCCTGGAATACTGTACTAACTTGTCTTTGATAGCGAAATGTTCCTCGGGCCTGCGCACCCCGACTTCAAGTTTGAGCCCAAGCACAAGTCAAACTCCTATGAGGCCGAGGGATAGTGAAAAGTTTTGGCCAAGTGGTATTAAATAGAAGTCAGAAGCAAAAAAGTACTTGTATATAGTAGATATGAGCATGATGGTCACATGAAATGACATAGTTCGTCATCTCCACAATTGGGCTGTTGGTCACGTGGCGGTCCGGTTGATGACGTCTTTGCCCCGAGGCAGGAAAAGTTCCCCATAAAGACCACCTCACACCTGCACACGCTCTGCTGCAACCTCAATTATCTCCTCTGCCCACCTTGACCACGTCGTCTCCTCAATCTCTGGGCTTTTAGAACCCTCTACACGCCGTCAGCAAGCTCTTTGTGCGAATCTGGTCTTTGTTTACACTAGCCAGCTATTACCGAAGCACTCCTAGAACCCCTCCCACCCCCCTTTTGACCAGCCCGCATAGTCGATCTCGAGTCCGGTAATACCGACGAAATTGACCAAAATGACTCTCTACTACAGCCTCGTACGTTCGACCCGAAATTGATGGATGGTTTGCTCCCTCGCTCCCCCGACCGTGCTAGGTGGGCATGATTGCAGCCTAGCTACCCGGAGTTGCCAGACCTGCCAAACATCATCGCGCTACTTGAATACCGCAATCTGACCATGACATGAATAGGTTTTCCTGCTTCTGGTCTTTGAGATGGCCGTTTTTCTGGCTCTCATCGTTCCTCTGCCTTTCACCATTAAGCGCAAGCTGTTCTCCTTCATCTCCGAAAGCCCTCTTATCGCCAAGCTCCAGTATGGCCTGAAGGTAAGTAAAACTCATTCAACCTCTCAATAAACGTATGTAACGAAATTAACGAGACTCTAGATCACTTTCATCTTCATCCTGATCTTGTTCATTGACAGCGTCAACCGTGTATATCGGGTGCAACAGGAGCTGGCAGCTTTCACGAAGGATGGCACCGGTGTCGGGTACGTAACACATCACCCAAAGAAAACATGCATTGAAGAGGTCTAACCAGAGATCTCTACCGCAGAGCTGCCCATCTCGGCACCGACCGTATGGAGGTTCAAGCCCGCAAGTTCTACCCCCAGCGCAACATGTACCTGTGTGGCTTCACCCTTTTCCTCTCTCTGATCCTCAACCGCACCTACACCATGATTCTTGAGGTCCTCCGTCTCGAGGATCGTGTCAAGTTCCTCGAAGGTGACAAGAAGGCTGGCGGCAAGGACTCTGCCCGTATCGCCGAGGCCGGCTCCATTGGCGAGATTGGCGCTTTGAAGAAGGAGCTCGAGGCTAAGGACCGCGATATCGAGACCCTCAAGAAGCAGTGTGAGGGTTTGACCGCCGAGTACCACAAGCTGGGCGATGAGGTATCCTCTTCCAAGACCGACAAGAACGAGAAGAAGTCTTTGTAAAAGTCTTGCGTTGTTTCGGAGACTCTATCGCGGAGAGCAATTCATCTGAGGTCGTAAGGTAGAGTTGTCTGTCGCCTGAGTATCGGGTTGAATTGCTCGATCAAACGTTTCCGTGTGCGATACTTACTCTGACTCGAGAGCTCTTCATATATCATCTCCTACACTACTGTCTTCCAGTGGCTCCAAAGAGGGGGGTTTCAGGACCTCACGACACAGTACCATGCCCGCTGTGTCCTTTATTATCAGCAGATATTGCTACCGGGGTCAGCGAAATGGTCCTGATCCATAATGCTTACTCTGGAAATAAAGTATCAGTTCACTTGAAAATATGTTTTCAATTTGGCCAAGATTAATCTTGAATTACGAAGATTGTGATCTCGGGTCATAAAATCATCTTTTCAATATCATGATAGTTGTTCGTAAATGTTCATGTATAGTGTAGCCATGTGCCAATGTAAATGCGACATTCATTAGACAAGGAAGGTCCAGAAGCTGGGGTAGACCAGTTCCTCCTCGAATATACGGCGCACCTGGGCGAGAACAAAGCGCTCCACTTTGCCAACGTTCTTCAAGACCTGCTTTCCGTCTTCTTTGCGGCCAATCTCACTTTCCACCCGGATCTCTTGGAGCAGGCCGCCTTGTCGCTTCTGGTCTGCGCCAGATCGCGGCCGTCCATCATCACTTGGGTTCCGGCTTCCCTGACTCGCCTCGGAGCCAAGCAAAGCATCTGCATCTTCTGCGGATAAGAAGCAGAAGTGCACTCGCTTGCGTATGTAAGCCACGACCGCTACGCCGTCGAAGGTGATACCAGTGACGTTGAGTTTGAGAGGAAGACCGACGAAGCTGGGCATTGGGTAGTCGAGCAGGATTTCAGCTGTCAAAGACATTCGGACGTCTCCGGCATATTTCATATGGCACAGAACTTGGAAGTCTTCTGGGCGGCGTTCACGCATACGGGATGGGTTTGGGGCCGAGGGATCGGTAGAGGGCTCAGTGGATGGCTGGGGTACATCAGCGGGATCAATGCTGTTATGGTTTGATCCGCTGCTCCCAGCCTGGCCGATTGAGGGATGCGAGGGTATTGTATTTGCTGTTGAAGGTCGAGAGGTCGATGTGTTGGCTTCTATGTCTGCTTCTGCACGATGTTGCTGTGGCGTTGGGCGTGGTGGACCACGCGGTCTCCCCGGTCCCATGCCCGCATCGGACCAAGGGCTTGCGAATGGTCTCCCACCGGCAACATCTGCTAGAGGAGTTTGAGTGCCAGAGAGACCCCCCAATGACCTTAGGTGGTAACCGAGCGTCGATGTGCCTCCAGGAATGCCGGGGGAGCTAGAGCGGGGCAGGAAGTGAGGGTTTAGGTGGTCACCGATGGGAAGCGGAGATCGAAGCGCAGACGGTTGAAATTCTTCGCCCGGGAATGGGTGATGCGCAAGGTTGTGACGGGCGTAGTTTACGGGTATATCGTCTTCATAAGGAGACTCCTTTAGATCCGAATCCCATTGATCCGTGCCGAGCTCCTCAGAGGTCCCGGACGTGTCGTCATCGTCTTCCTCGTAGAAGTCCGCGAAAGGCTCGCAGAAGTCTTTGATCTCCAGTTCTGGACCAATTGTGCCGAAGTCAAAGGAATGAACCTGGACAGAACGGATAAAGCGTGGCAATGCGATCTGCTGGAACTTGTCGTGGACAAATGATCGGATACGCTCCGCTAAAGCTTCCCCGTCCGGACCAGACGTGGCCGTTGCCCAGTCGACTTCGATGGACATCACATGTGCGATTTGAGAGTGTCTTTCAAAGGTTCATGATAATGCCGAATGTGAGCAAGGAGAAGCTCCCGGGGGAACAGAGGAGGGCGTTGCGAGTAGGGCCTGGTGCGTGGTGGTAGATGGTCGGGGGGCGTGTTCTTTGGTCGTGCGAGGAAAGCCTCGAGTCTTCGGCCTCCACCGCCTTCCTGCCTGATAGACATGCCGGGCCGAACCGAGTCCTGCAAGCAATCCTCGGGGTCGATGCCGTCGGGGGTTCTTGGAGTTTAAATATCAAATGAATACAGACACGATTAAGAAAACCCAAGCGTATGTCAGACCAGGGAATGGAGGATCTATAACAGGGATGGGAGTCAGAAGTGGCGGCGCCGAGCAACCCTACCAGTCTCGCCCTCAATACACCCCGTCCTGGACCTCATTCGAGGCATCTTAAATGTACATCCCATCGCCCAAAGACGTCCACAACCGTATTAGATTAAAGACCGAACAATTCAGCCGCCCTTCAAAATCTGTCTCTCCCTCTTCGAGTTCCGGAAACGCCTCCACGGCTGGAAGAAACCATTGCCGCAGCTCTGTATAACAGCGCTCCCCATACTTCTCCCGGTGCTCCTCTGCCGTCATTGCCTCGCCCAGCCGTTAGACAGCCGCCTCATCCATCACCAAGCACGCGCGGTACTTATTACATGCATCTTGCTTATCTTGGGCTTCTACCCAGCCTTCAAAATGCCCCCGCACTACATCCAACGAAGCCCCGTGCAGCGTGGCTAGCTCCTCGATCACGGTTAGCTGGTGGCGCGCCTAGAGCTGATCGTTGGGCGTGGGATCCGGGATTTTCAAGCCGTACTCGTGGAGATCTTCGTAGACTCCCGCCTTGATCCAGGAAGTGAGGATTTCGATTGCTGTGGAATGCGGGAACGGAGCGGTAGGTTGTGCGGTAGACGACCCAGCCCATGTCCTGGAGCATGCGACGGGAGGTGCGGTTGAAGTCGATGGACCTTATAGTCGCTTCGTCGAGTTGAGGCGGTCCAAACATGATGGATAATTGTTCAAGAGATGTGTAGTAGGAATAGAGAGAGATCGAGGGTGTATGTGAGAAAGATCTGGGAGAATGAGTTAACAGAGCAGAAAACAGGAGTAGTCAAGGGTACTTTAGCTCTCCCCACCAGTGTCAGGGCCAGCAAACATGGCGGGAGCTTTCTCCACTTCACGGAAATGAACCTCGGTCAAGTTCAAGAGAACAGGACGTCCGTGAGGAAGACGGCCCTCCACAAAGTCCAAGTGATCTCTTCACGCACCAACAAGATCAAGATAGCCTGGAAAGACATGGGCCGTCTCGCCATCATTACTAAACCTGAAAGAAGGGGTTCTCCGACAAAGATTCACCTTAGTCGCTCGCCTGACGATGACAATTAAACTGTGGATGGATGGGGAACTTTTAGGGTATCGATCCGCTCCTTTAGGATCTTGGCTGGGTCTGATTTTCAACCCAGCAGGGACTGCTAATGAAGATTCAGGAGTGGCCCATTGTGCTTTTGATACTCCAAGGGGAGAAATGTCCCTCGAGAATAGTGATGTAATGCAGGGCAATTTGATAAGAAGAAAGGAAAGAACAGCAGCACAAGGATAACAACCTGCCAAAGTACGACGTTCCATATACGGTAAAAGCTTGGCCATGTTGAATTACTGAATGTGAGATTTGAGAATGATGAACGCTTGGTCAAAGCACAGAATAGTCCAGAAAATTACCAATGGAAAGCACGTTGATTGAGTCAGAAGACGATAAACAAGACAAATGGTCCAAAAATTTCGAGAAGACAAGTATAAGGACAATCAGAAAATCAAAAAGTGACAAGAAAAAACTCAGAAGAAGGCCTCCATATCGTGGTACATGGATATCAGATTATCCTCCTTTTGTTGGAAAAAAACCACACAGAGCATCCAAGTTGAGTAGATGCTCGGGGAATGGTTGCTGAAGTCTCTTCGAGTTCATATCAGTAAAGTCCGAGTCAAGCGAGATGGGAGATGAATAGGCCCACTAACCTTCGTCGAACCCTTAGCCACCGTGCTTTGGGCAGTTGTATTCCTTTCGAGAGCGGAAGTGTTCTTTCACGCCGTGGCAGGCAGAGGTGCCTCTCTTTGCGCATGGCACGTCTTCTCCTTCCTGGAGAGTGCATCCGCATCTGTACAGAAAAATGTAGCGAGAACACATTTTGATAGCTTGTCGAAGTAGTTGAGGAGAAAGTAACGATACGATGGGATTTGTTCTTGAGAGCCTTAGAAGAGTATCTGTTGACGAGTTTGATAGAAAAAGGAAGGGGTTATTGACAGGCTTTATAACTCTCCGTTCGATATTATCCAGAAGCAATGACTGCGCCGAGTACCACTACAGGCAAAGACAAGACCATCCTCTCCCATGCGCTATCAATCCAAATGCGCCGTATGCATCTAGTGATTTTCTGATCACTCCGGAGCTACCAGAAATCTTGGTGATGGGAACGAGTATAGGCTGACTAGTTTTGCCAGAAAGCCTATATCCAACAGAAGGCAATGTTGGCTGTTATGTGGATTGAAGGAGAACCCCCCCCCCAGGCCGCGGGGCGGGGGAGAGGGTGGAAGGGGTTGCTAGAGGTTTTGGGTGCTGTGCACGCCAATAGCAATTCAGGTGTAGATATTTTCCATCTGGTTTAGATTTCCGTTCATTGCTGTAGAGGGCACTTGACATCAATCATACGCCACGTCTCGTATGAATCCAACATGACCCCACTGCGGATAGGGCGCATGGCTGCGCATGGCACCAACAGTCACATATTGAATGACCTAGGTAGCTCAAAACGGTATCCGGTCTGAGAGAGATTGCGAAGAATGGTGTGATGGTTCTTCTCTATGTCAGCCTTCTGCCACAGTCCTTGTAGTGGAGCATGTTGGGGCCACGGCACAGCAGTCAAAAGGGGCTATGCGGCATGGTTGGGCGATTGATGCCAGCTACAACTCGAAGCTTGCCACTTTTCCGTCTTGTAGTATGGAAGACCTGACATGAATAGGGCGCCGAATTATTGGGCTGACGTGTTTGCAGGTATCATTATCTAACGTACTAGAGTGCCGAAGTATAAAGACCTCCGGCTGGATGAAAACCACAAGCTACACTATGCCACACAGTGTGCACTTGGAGACTTGAAATCATGTCCAGAATGAGGAAATCTAGATCGAAAGCCTTACTCCCAGCCCCGGAAGTCCCTTATTCACGGCCTCATAAAGGACCACATAGTCGGTAGTCAAAAAGGCTGCCACAGTTGGTGATAGCTGCGACCATCCAGCAGCAATGCACCGTGACAAGGCATTTACGCCGTGGAATAGCCCAAGAGAAGGTGAATCGCCTCATGGAGCCTGAACTTCGGAGAAACTCTTCGTTGTTTAAGGAAAGTCGTCAATGTTGGGAGTGTGATAGCGTGGGCGGCGCAGTCCTCGATCGTCACGGGCAGGTTCAGAGAACGAGCCGGGCCGGAGAAGGTATAACACGTGTATTCTAGGCCAATGAAATTTTTTTCTAGAGCCAAGTTGATGGCATAGAGTATTCTTGGCAGTAGCACAGTAGGCGCTCTTCCTTGGGATACGGGAAGTGTGATTGAGGCTCTCCAGGCGCCCACACCTAGAAAAGACCAGGAAACTAACTCCGGGCAAAGGTCACCGTGGGGCGGCAAAGCACGGCGACAATTTACAGGCTAGAATGTTTTCCGAGGCCGCATTTTGGCGCCGTTGGTCCAGGCAAGGGAAATTGTTGCAGTCCACAAGACGAAAAAAGGGGGAAAGTACAGGGCTTCGGGCACCGCAGGACAGATACACCACGTGATAGATCCTAGATTTCTAAATTCCGTGGTACTACAATGGAATTACATTTTCCACAATCTCTAGTCTCTGGTCTAGCTTCTATTTCTATTGTTGGTCCCGCGTGACCACGGAATGTCGAATGGCTCTCACATGTGCCTTTTCCCCCACATCCCAAAGTAAACACCCGAGTCGGGCATTTCGGTTAGATTTCACTCCACGCAAAGCCCATGATGTCACTTGCGGTCCCATTTTTCCCCAAAAAGAAAGGCAGTGCGGACGTAGTCGGGATGGGCAGAGGCAGAGGCAGCTACTCCCACAAAAGAGGTCGGGTGTAAGGGAGGGGTTACCGCACTTGAATAAGCCATGGAGAAGCCTGTGAGATTCCACCACCATTGCACGGGTCTTGGCCATTTATCCTGGCTGCGGATCTTCCGAGGCTTCTTCTGCTCGGTTGGCGACGGGGCTTTCAGTCAGTCGGGAAGAGTTGCGCGATCTGAGCGATTGGCCTTTTTTTTTTTTTTTTTTTTTTTTTGCTGCTAATCCGCCAAGCGCATGCATACTTGCCAATACTTGCCATGGCCGCTGGGGAATGATGAGCAGTCCAGGCCGACACTGGTGCGACTCGAAATACCAGGAGCACAGCCAAGAAGAGGCGGAGCGCAGATTAGACAAAGGAAAGGGTGGCAGTAGTCCAATAGTGACATCTTGGCCTGAATATCCCCCTTTTCTAGCTGGAGCCAAGACATGTGAAGGTCCATCCTGGCTAAGCCAAGCATGTTTGGGAATCTCCTTTCTGGGCGATTATCGCGGGGACGGTATTGCATCGGGTATCCACTTGGCCAGATGCGATGGTGCTGGATCGACAGCCACTTCATCGCTGATACCCCTCCAAGGTCCTCTGAAGGAATATAAATTCTGGCCGATTTCGCCCGTTTCTGGTTATTCCAAAACGTTCAACCTTGATAAACTATACCAACACGTCTTATCTAACCCCCTCTTGACTCCATACCACTATCTTCATCCACATACATATTTTCAAAATGTACACTCACACCCCCAACGCCCGCTTCCTCGTCCTTTCTGCCGATAGCTCGGCTCCTTTCAACCCGGAGAACAAGTTCCTCGTGCTGTCTCCCACTGAGTCCGGGCCTGACCCCCGTGCCTTTGAAGAGGCCGTGAGCGAGTCCAACTCTGCCGACTTGGCTCTCCAAGAGCACCACCGCTCCAACAGCTCTTCATCTACCTCGTCGGTGGACTCTCAGTTCAGTGACATCGCCACCCTCCCTAGTGGCTTCCTCTTCTTGGGTCACCCCAACAAGGGTCGAAAGGGCTCCCAGTGATTCAACCACATGTTTCATTTCCCACGCTTCAATTCATAACATGTCGTTACCACACACTTCGGCGACCGATGCATTTTTATCGCTACTTTTTCTTTTCCGTTTTTCTATAACGATACCTCTATCCATTCCTGCGACACCGATCGTGGATCAATCGGTAGTCCGCTGCCCCGGAGGCAAAACCAATGGAAAAGCAAACAGGGGGTGTTGGAGGCGCAATCTGACCTGGGCTCTGGTTCCTTTCGAAACAATGTTTATTGTTCCAGACTACTTTCCAAGTTCGTAGGGGTGAATTTCCAATCCATCACGTACTTTTCGAATCATTCGAGCCATTCACGCTACACAGCCGAGCCACATGGTCAGCACCCAAGTACATGTAGCCCTGATCAATGCCGAGACAATGGAACGCCTTGACGCAGGGAGGTATCCTGAATATTTGCCAAGTATCGCCAAGGTGAATGATTACCCGCCAAGTCTCTATCTAGTTTGATATGCGCCATCTTGGCTGTCTTATCGATCATATTCCATGTGGCACAGGCAAGGGCATTTGTGCATCCTCCAGATCTACAGATCCCTTTTTTGGTCTCGCCACAGCTGCCAAGTCCAATCCTTCTGTGCCTCCTTTCTCTCTTTCATTTTCTCTCCGAGATCACACGTTGATCGCTCTTCGTGCGGGATTGGCCCGGTGTCCAAGACTTGATCTGAACATGGATCAGCTCCCCGGTGAGATCGCGGTGGAGCCGGTACCCCTCATAGACCCAGTCCCGTCTCACCCCTCATCTCCGGTGAAGAGCTGAACTCATGACATGCATTCTTTTCTAGGTCGATAGTCTCGGTGAATATCAGTTGCGTTAGATGATATCTCCATCCAATGATAGATACCCCCTGATCGATATTCACGTGGCTTAACTTCAGATTGTTGCGCGATGACCGGTTTCGCTTGTTTATCATTATTGCGGAATCCGGTGAGCATGCAAATTGGACCAAGCTTGTCGGTCGGAGTTTCGTGCTTGGAACCGACTATCGACCCCGGGAACCTGATCTCGGCGGTGACATTCTTCGGAATCACTTCCCATCAAGGTTATCGCTTATCAGCACGTTCACCCCCTAGATGCACAACCAAGGCATTCTATCCTGGATTGGAAAGTTGGCATTCTGAACGGCTGAGATAAAGATCTGGTTATTTGAAAGGTTGTCGGGCTGTCCTGCCATAATTAATCGCACAGCTCGACCGAGAAGGTAATGACAAGGGATCTCCACACTTGTTTCTCCAGCTCTTTGTTGACGTCTTTCTGTTTGTCTCTTGAGAGGTCTATCCAGACCTCAATTTGCTTATTTCCAATCTATCTTGTTTAATGACTTCTAAATATTGGAGAGGTTCAGTCACGACAGCTCATACAAACCGACATATATTACAGTCATGGTTCGAGGGCAAGAAAGAGACCCTTGGTGTGCTTATCGTCTTCTCAAAGTAGAGGCCTAATTAGACACAAGCCTGCGAGCTACTAGAAGATCTCAGTCCGTTCACTATTCAATTGATATGATTTGTCCACGCATCTCTCCACAATAAGACGCAGCAAAATCACTAGAAGTGTTGCTTCTTATAAGATTCAGATGGCTAAGAAGCTTCTCCCGTCATCTATTGATACTCACAGTCTAGGGAGATTATCTGCGTGCCTGAAGTCACGCAGTCTCGCGACGTTGGCCTCATGAAACAAAGATCCTATATACATGGCTCTTCCCAAGCATGGCTGGAAAAGTCATTGTTGTAGAATCGGCAGGCCTTATCTTGCGTAGGCGCATTCGATAGAACATGCTCAGGTGATCGCAACTGAAACATTGTATAATCCTTCTCAATTTCAATTCAAACCCCCGTCAACCGTGTCCTGACAGCGAGAACCTGTGAACGGTCGCCGCGTGACTTCCCCGCAGACTATTCGACGCTTCCCTGATAAGCAGGTCCATTTGCAGGGACATCCCGCGTTCCCCGCAAAAGCATGCAAACCCACAGGCGGTGGACCCTGCGAGTCGGGAGGACTCGGCCAGGTTTTCAAGCTTGCGCCTGAGCGCTGCATTGAGAGTCATGCGTCAAGGAGGTATTATGCGGGGCTGAAGTGCTCCAAGGTGAGGACCACCATGCGAGGCTTTATGTGTAGCAGACTTTCTGCATGTTCGGAAAGATGGTGCGGATTCACGACACGTGGAGAACTCGGGTAGGCTTCTTGATTTAGGTGAAGTATACAATACGGTAAGTACGCAATCTGGGACGGGGGGGGGTTTCAAGCTAGTCTACCTCTCCGCCAATTCTCATCTTTGGTCCAACCTACACGTGATTACTGGTCTGTTCTAAACTAGGATACAGTTTGACGCCAAGATAAATCAGGAAGTGATCTTTGGCATAGATTCGTGGATTCAGATCAAGGTGCCAATAGCAGCCGTCCACGATAGCTGCGGACTGAGTACGCTGGAGACTAAACTCAATCCACGATGAAACGCACTCATCGGCGTCAGATATCCGGTGGGCTTTCGGCGTTTCGTACAGCCGCTGTGTGGCAGGCACCAGGTATCTATCCCACTCAAGGATGGCACTGAACTAGTGTGGATAGCGCCACTGGGTCGAGGCAGATCGTGAAGATCATTCCATAGTCGCAGACAAGGGCCCCCGCAAAGCGATAGCGCTCGATGTGTTTTTACAAGGTATACAAGACCAAATCCCCCACGCTACCCCGAACTGATTTTGAGGATCGTACACACTACATTACACGCGCGAGCACTTATTGAGCGTTGAGCTATGCGGCAGTTGCTCAAGGGACAGTACCCATGGCATAGTCATTGAGTCGCTAGCGCTCGCTTAGCAGTATTGACATAGAAAGTGGATTAGCGCGCGACATCGCGCGTCAGAGTGGTTGGTGGGAGTGTCGCCCGAGGGTGGATCCTTCCACAGGCCAAATAGAGGAAAGGCCGAACAATGGCCGCGGAGAGACCGCGCGGCAAAGTCACTGTTTGAGAACGTGCCTAGCGTTTCCGGGCTTCGGGGCCACGGAAGAACCGAAGACTACAGAGGTGGCATGCTCCTAAAACAGTGCTCCCGGTGCATAGTATATAATACTGCGCGCTGGTGACAGCCCAGGGGCCTTCGAGGGTCCAGCGGGGCGGTGTGTTCGTACCACGCTTGAGGACTCCGGAAGACGCTAATTGACCGAAGACCGCCCAAATGCTTCTGCCGCCTTTCTAGCGTCGAAGCCAAGACCCGTTGCCTCCCGACCACAGTATGAGAATGGTCGCCACTGTATTTGCCGATCGACTTACCCAGGGTGGCTGGCGTTGGGGATTAAAGGGGGGCAAATGTACGTCAAACTGAGGGAGGCGATCCAATCGATCCCTGGCCATCCTGAGCCATGCCGAAGAGACCGCGATCCCGCCACCCCGGAGAGATCAGTAAAGTTGTGCCCCTTGCAGATGGCCGATAGAGCTCCGATCTATGAAATGTATCGCGATCTCAGACTTCTGGAGACACCGGCCTCAATTGTCGGCAAAATTCCAGGGAGTGGAGACCCAAGGAACCTATTCTTCAGGACGACCATGGGAGATCGCTCTGTAACATGAGTGGTCCGCTCCACCGTGGTGGTAGGATATATCGGGTAATCATAATGAATATCATCTCCATCAGATGGAACGACCCAGTTCATGTGCAGCTATAGCTATCAACGACGAGCTGTAGCTCGGGTGCAAGTAAAACCAGTCTTATACTGTAGGTAGATTTGTCCATATTCAAGAAGACTTCCTCCACTTAGCTCATTAGTCATGGAATACGCCGAGTGTTTCAGCCCCGTCTCGTATTTACCGATCATGACGTCCCACTCTGCATCCGGTGCTTGCAAGCGGTGTGTCGTGGCATCATCCGATCTCCCGTCACCGAGCGATGCTTCATGCCAGATAATTTACCCGGATATCTTTACCCCCTTTCAGACTCCCCTTACTATTGATACTACCTACGACGTGTTGTTGTTGTTGTAGAGCGAGGCCCCTTCATCTGCCATCCGCGCCCCATCACGTGCTGTGTAATACCGTAACCGCGCCAGTCCCGAAGCGGAAGGGTTGCCATCGGTCCATAGTCCCGCTTCCCTTGACATCCTTCTCTTCTCGAGAAAAGTGATCCTTGATTTTGAAGCATCACTTGTCTCTGCCCTATCCGTCAGAGCACGTTCTCTATATACTCCAGTAGCAAAGGGTGTTCTGTCGCCTGGCAAAACGAAGGACCGCCAGACTCTAGAGTGAGCGGGACTGTTCAAGGTGGACTCCCAAGAGCCCGCCAAAACCGCCATCCACCCAAAAGTCCACACCCATCGAGGGGCACTTCAACAAGACTTCGAGTTCACATTCCTATTCTCTTCACGTTCGCTGACCCGACGTTCGCGCTTCAACGCGGTACTATTCCAACATACTATCACCTCCAACCCCTCGGCTTAAAGGCGAGTCTTCACGCAGAGTCAACAACTAAGGATTTCGCCAGACCGAGTTACTGAACAAGGGCCTTTTCTTTTGCTTTTCCATCCTGCATTCTTGGTCACCTACCTATCGCATATCCGAGTACCCGAGCCACCATGACGGGCGCCGCACCCATTGACATCAGACAGACCTCGGTCTCACCGCCGGGGCAGCAGGCGTCGAATCTCACATCCGCGCTGCAGAGAGCCGCCACAGGTGAGCGCACGGGCAGTATATCGCATCATGCCAGTGGTGGTCTCGGCGTGTTCAAGGCCCCGCCACCTCGTAAGGACTCGATCGGTGCCGCCACGACGCACTGGGGGAACGGAACAAAGCCCATCTCGATGTCCGGCTCGGCACGCGACAAAGGTCGCCGCGAGTCGTTGGCCGGGAGTTTGGTCGGTGGTATGAGCTGGGGTGGTGTGTCGGTCGGAAGCTGGATTCGCGACGAGTGAGTAGTCTCTCCCATGAGGGCGGCCCGGGGAAGTCCTGTGCGCTGCCCTGGTCACACCGCAGCAAAGACTGACCTAGAAAATTTTCCCAGCATCATCATGACTGGCACATCGCCCTTTACCTTCCAGTCGCCTTCTTTCCACTCCTCATCATATTTGCCGAAGCTAGAGGCCAACTTCATGCGCGACTTTTCCTGCTGCGGTGTGACGTTACCAACGCTCCATGACCTATTACAGCATTACGAAGAAGCCCATGCGACCAAGTCGCCCAACCAGGGCCATCGCCCAAGCCAGGGTGAAAATCGAGCTGCCTTGGCCGCTGCCGCGATCGCACAGCAACAGAACCAGCAACATGGCAATCAAGGCCGTGGCCTGCAGCCCGATCGAACCCTCGACATGCAGCGCAAGATGGGCCAGAACCCTCTGACATCCCAGCACATTGATCTAGACACAATCGATGATATGGAACTAGACGAGCCTATGGGAGACGATGACGGCACTACTTCCCAGCTGTTCTCGCCTCAGTTACGCGAGAATGGCCAGGGCGGATTTGGTAACTCCAACCAGGGCCCCCAATTAAATTTGGGCATGCTTCCAAACCACCAGGGCTTCAACACACCCTCTCAACCTGGCACTCCTGTCGGATCTGCTCGTCCGCTCTCTCTGCAGAACAACCCTACCGTGTCCTCCGTGAACACCCCCACTTTAATGGCAAACCCGCTTCAAAACTCCCAATTTCGAAACACACCCGATTCTTCGGGACCTGGCACACCCGCCGAAATTGACGAGAGTGTGGTTGGCGGATTTGGCGACCTTACTATGCAGAATAACATGGGACAGAACCAGGGGCAGTATGGGCGCTATACGGGCAATAACGACATGGTAGATCTTTGCATCGACGAGCCGGCCAAGCGACTATTTAGTCCTAGCGGCGGCATGGGCACTCCCAACGCACACTTCAAACTAAGTGGGGCTCAATATGGCCCGAATAGCGATATCGCACGGCGGATCAGGGAACAGCAGCTGCTCGCTGGGGTCCCCGATACCACCTCCATACTCCCTAACGAGGAACCGAAGCCATTCAGGTGTCCCGTTATCGGTTGTGAGAAGGCCTATAAGAACCAAAATGGGCTTAAATACCACAAGGCTGTGAGTATACTTTCCTCCTGACCATTACTTGTGTCACATCTAACGCCTGATGTTTTTTCTTGTTTTTTAGCACGGCCACAATAATCAACAACTTCACGACAACGCCGACGGCACGTTCTCGATTGTCAACCCTGAAACATCAACACCATATCCGGGGACCCTCGGCATGGAGAAAGAGAAGCCCTACCGCTGTGAGGTATGCGGCAAACGCTATAAGAACCTGAACGGACTCAAGTACCACAAATCACACTCGCCTCCCTGCAACCCCGACTTCCAGATCGCAGCAGGGCGCAACATGAACCTCGGCGGTGGAGTTATGCAGGGACAGAATATTAACGTAGCTGGAGCAGGACTCCCTGGAATAGGCGAGGAGGGTCTTCTGTGAACACTGTCCATACAACAATACCCAGCTTGATGCGACCTCGGCCTGTCCCCCGCACACGATGTCATGAACCCAGTCTGGCTTTGGAGTTTTTTTGCTTGATATTTTGGGGATTCCTTATTTGCTTCGGCTTTCTATCTGGGATATTCCTTTGTCTTTCTTGTTTCGGTTTGCTCGATTTCTCCGCCATTGCCCTGTTCGAGCTTGGACCGGTCATAGAGCTTCCACTGAGCGATCAAGAATTCGGCAAGATTTATCTAGAAGACATCTTTTTGTTATTATTTGTTTTTCCCCTATGCATCGAATACGCTGGGATTCAAGCAGGGAAAAACTCGGGAACGTGTTTATATTCTTATTTGGTGCCACTTGTCCCCTTGCCTTTACATTTTTTTTGCATTTGTCTGCGTTCTGCACGGGTTGGCTTTCTTTGGCTTTTTTGTTGGCTTTGTTACCTTTGATTTGTGATCCCAATTTATGCTTTGGGTCTCTTGCTCGACGAGGAAGATGACTTCTGCGAGTTCCGCCTTGACCGCACGCGAATGGGATATGCATGAATAGTTGAGCTGTGCTTTCTTCCCTGGGGCTCTTCGGAATCGGACAGGTGGAACTGAAAACTACAAAAGTGCGGTTCTTTGGCGTCGGATCTTGTAGATATGGTTTTATACACTTTGGCTTCTGTTGTCTATTTATTACTTGACCGCTTTATCATCCCACTTTGAATCTATCCTTTAATTACAACTCAGGCCGCCGTACGTTTACATTGCGAACTGGTGGGTTAAGTGGTCACTAAGAATAGTTGAATCATATGAATCATATGTTTGTGTTTGGTGAGCCTAGCTGCATTGCCGTTCATTCTAGTACAAAACCGGGCATGGGGGAAATCAATAATATCAAGCCCATCCTAGGGTAAGCGCCATGAGCTAAAGCTCGGGTTAGAAAGCAAAAAACTGGATGAAAACCTAAACGGGTCGTGTTCGGCCCTTGGCAGAGCACAAGTAGAGAGGAAGTAGAGCGGAAGTAAATAGCAGGAGATGATGAGAATCGTGGGATGAACTTTGGCTTGCAAAACGCATTTCAGAAGCGTAGATGAGAGGACGGATTTTCGTTGGTGTCGTAGACACGTGATAGGACCTTGATAAGGGAGAAAAGGTATTACAAACCAGACGCAAAAATTCACGGAGATTGCGAAATGAAGATGAGTTCGAAGGTAGGTATTTACCATTCGAACTCGCCTTGGCCCTTGTGGAAGACGTATCTATTCCTGTTAATGGATGTCCGATGCATTTACGGAAACATAACTTACTCTCTACCACCAGTGGTCAGAATGCCGTCCTTCAAAGTGCACTTCCACTTGTTCTTGACACGCTGAACCTTGTCGTAAGTGCACAGCATGACCTGACCTTCTGATTCATCGGCATCATGATCATCAGCAATAAGGTCATCCGGATCATCGAGATCCGAGTTGATGGCATCCTCGTCCTCCTCTTCTTGTGGGTCCTCGGCACCATCAAATTGACCGGGAACTTTGGGTGCAGCAGCGGACATTTGCAATGCAGTTGCTTCCTTGAGACATGCGACCGCATGTCGCGAGGCCGGAGTCGAGGATTTCTGCTCGCTTAAGGGACGGAGAAGACCGCCACCTTCCAGATCGAGCATCTGCTGGTTGAGATGCTCGCGAAGCATGCGATCACCTTGGCCGTTCTGAGCTGCCTCTCTTCGACGAGCGACCTCGGCCTTCCATTCAGCTAGCGAATCGCCAGCACCGTCATTTTGACTGTGTCCAATGGAAGGATAGCCGGGTTCTTGTTTGATATGGGGCATTTGCCCATTGGCATGCATCTGAGGGTATTGCTGCTGTGCGTGAGGGTGGGCCTGGAGCTGGCTCACTGAGTTGGAGGCTGCAGCACCAAACTTAGACTGAATATGGCTTGCAGCACGATCACGAGCTGACTGAGAATTAGGTGCCTGTCCAGACATCTGGTGGGGTACCTGATGCATGGGAGGCATGCCCATCGGCATATTTGACCCAGGCTCAGTCTTGATCCGAGGAGCGCCCATCGGCGGTGCTTGGGCGGGAAGTGTTTGAGAAGCATGCTGCATACAGACGGGGACATGTTGTTGAACATGTTGCTGAGGGGCAGGTCGAGGAGCGTTGGACGGGACGGTAGCTTGCGGAGGGAGAACGGGAGCTTGGATTGGTTGGGGGGGCAGGATCCCAGGGGAAAGAAGCAACGTTCACGGATGAAAGCTTTTTCTGCCAGGTCTATGCATACAATGTTAGCATGGGTATAGTAGAAAAGGACATGGGGTGAACGGTCATGGCTTGGCGGTCTAAGCCCAAGCGGGTAGCGGCGGCCGCATATAAAGAGAGCCTCAAACACTGGTGTTCCCCCATAAGCACCGCCTCCCGCACCGCGCTTCCCCCCGCTTTTGGCCAAACCTGATTCACCATGCCATGTTCCATCCGAAGACACCAGAAATCTGCCAAAAGGTATAAACTCACTTCTTTCAAGTCATTCAGCGTCTTCTGGTCGACACCGCTTTCCTCGAAATCGACCACGGAAGCGTCACAGACTTCCTGGATGACCTTCTCGAACACGGTGCCCTAGATAGCAACTGATGTCAGCGATGATCACTTTATCGGCATGATGTATTGTCCGAGAGGCGTTTCAGAGGTTGAAAATGAGTGAATGTGAGGAAGGTTGTCTCCAAGACCATGTCGAGTAGGTTGTCGCGAGACCGCACTCACCACTTGCTGGTTGGACATGGTTGCGAGCGGGGGTGACGAAGGATAGGGTGTGACAGATGAATAGAAGGCGATCGAAAGAGAGGGAGAGGGCTGCTTGGAGTCGTCGAAAAGCTCGGGTGCTCTAGTAGACTTGGTAGCCTTCCGTCGCAACGGTGAGGCTGTAGGAACGCGGGTGAACGGCCCTGGGGAATTCTGGTCGCTTTTCAATGTGAATGCCAATCTATCCACACCAGTCAAAGGAATACACAGGTAGCAAGCTGAGCGACAATTGAAAGGCCGAAAACCGAGGTCGAAGGGGGATGGGGAGGTCTGCCGATGGTGTTGGGGAAGCGAAGGTTGATCCTCCGCAGTGGAAATGCCTCCGGTTGATGTCGAGGTCACGTGCTCCTCAGTTGGTCTCGATCTGAGTTCCTTGCCTCCACGACTCTATGGCTATGACAAAAACTTGATAATGGTTGTAAGTAACCTTTCATGAATCGCTTCATTTTACGCTTGAAGAGTCTGACACCATCATGGCATTGTGAGGGTCTGGTGTCCACGGACACAAGTCTACTTTGACTGGAGAAGTGGAACTCTGTAGAGTAATCAAGAGCGCCCTGTGTATACCTATTCACAATAATACAAAACAAGCCAAGCTCATCACCATAGTGGAATTGATCCGTAATTTTGATAATGGTGACAGTGAGAAAGTAGTGAGCATAGTTTTGGAAGTCATCAGAGACGGTGCAAACATATGGATACCGAGGACGGCACAGTCGTTGAGTACCACAAAAAAGAGGGTACGGCCACCCACCGTTTATCTTTAGGAAACTTGACTTTGCGAGAATGAGAGGTTTAAAAAAGATAAACAGTAAGTCTGGCATTTTGTACAACTCCAACGCGGAATGAAAAATATGAACCAAGAAAACACTACTTAGCCCGCGTATAAACCCATTGCTCCAGAAATGAAGATATGCCCCCAGCCCATCAATGCTCGCGAGATGACACCATGAAACCGGGTATAAAACAAAAAATCAAACAAACAAGTCATTTAGCGGATAGTCATCGACTTGGTCAGCTGGGCTTTGCTGCCAACACTTCCCTCACGAGATGCGGAGGCACTGCTGCCGGCCTTGCGCTCGAAGACCTTCCAGAACTTCAGGCTCTCATCAGCTGCAGCGGTGGCCAGCATCTGGCCATCCGGGCTGAGACTGCTGTGTAGGACACGGGTCTCGTGGGCGGGGATCTCGACGTTGCGAACCAGAGTCGGGTAGCTCCAGATACTGAGCGAGTTGTCGGGGAACCCACTGGAGCTGACAATCTCGCGGTAGTGGTTGCTCCACCGAAGGCTGGTCACCTGAGAGCCGGTATCGATACTGTTAGTACGGGCACCGGTAGTTGTATTCCAGAAGTGAATGTGACGATCGTAAGAGCCACCGCCAGTGGCGAGCAGGTTTAATTGCCAGGGGCACCAGCTGAGAGCCTTGACTGCAGCACGGTGGTTGGTCTTGGTGAACTTGGGAGCGCTGAGGGAACGGGCATCCCAGATGTTGACGAGGTTATCGTTGCCACCAGTAGCGAGCTGAGCGCCATCAGATCGCCACTCTAGCCCGCAGACCTCGGAGGTATGTGAGACGAGTTCGGCCACCTTGTGCTGAGCAATGCGGACATCGTGGTTGTAAACAAGACCACTGCGGGCACCAGTCGAGAGAGTATGCTTGGACCAGCCCATCACCCCCACACGGGAATCGTGACCGAACATACTCCGGAGCTTGGTTCCCTCCTCAACGTCCCAGATTTGAACCTCACCAGTTCCAAGACCAACACCAACGTAAGCGCCATCGCCACTCCACTTGACACTGCTAATGTAGGTATCAGGAGAGGTCTCCAAAAGGCAATTGACGGTGCCAGACTCAGCAGACCAGACGTATACATTGCGCTCGAGACCAATAGCGACCTGGTTGCCGGAGCTCCAATCCAACAAGTTGAGATAGTAATCATCCAAAAGACCCGGGGCATCCAACACACGTTCAGGAGCGGTTTGAACACGGCGACGGAACTGGGCGTTCGTAGACTTGGAAGGACGAAGAGGACGGTTGTATTGGGCACGAAGGTCAATGGGCTTCGATGACTCTGGGGGAGGGGGCTTGAAGGCCAAGATACGAGTGTTTAGGTTGACCCCGCAGGCGTTGGCCAAGGATGACTCGTACGCAACCGCGTCGGGTGCTGGTCGGGAATACTTCGAAGATTCGTCGTCATCCAAACCAAGATTCTCCAAAGCGGCAGTCAGGTCCTCCTCGGATCCACGGCCGCTGATGTCGAAAGCACTGGCAGCTGAAGCCAGAACACTCGACCCAGATCCCTCGCTGCCACCAGTCTTCGGCCGCTGCTCCTCAGGCTTTGCAGCTCCCGTTGTCACGATACCCTCGCTAGCAGCGCGGTTAGGAATGAAACGATCTCCCGCGTTATGTTGAATGCGCATCGTGGTCTTTCCCGCCGGACGAGTGCGACTGGAAACATCACGACGAGTTCGCGACTTCGCGGGAGAGTCGGGACCAGTACCAGTCAGTGACCAGTCGGAGACGCCCAACTCGAGGTGCTTCGGTGAACGGCGAATGCGAGCAATGTTGGACTTGGGGGATTCGCGGTAGCCTCGAGACGATGCTTTAGGGACGGATGATGTCTTGGCAGTGGAGGATGACTTGGCAGTGTTCGATCTAGCTGTGCTTGTGCTCGTGCTTGACTTGGCGAAATGTGAAGAGAGGTTGCCGCCATAGACGGACTTCGACTGGCTACGGCCGGCTTCAGCAGGGCGAGGAGGAGTGAATGGAGAGTCGTTCAGAGCTTGGGGAGTAGCAGCACCGGACTTGCCCCGAGGAGAGGGGGTCAAAGGCATTCGACCTCCAGCTGTTCTGGAGGAGAAGAGCCCATGGTGGCTCTTCTTGGGAGTAGTCACTGTAGCAGTAGACATGTCTGTTTGAGAATAAATAGTGGACGATGGAGCCAGCCACCGATGAAAAGCGATGAGATATTTTGATCCAAAGTATGCAAGATATTATGCAGGCAAAGGATGAAGTGGGTGAGAAGGGAAAGGGAGTGTAGAGCAGGAATAAATAATGGAGTACAAGTATGAAGCTTCTCCCCCGGGCAACGGTTACCTCAGGTACGGGTGCACTAGTCCACGTTAGGAATAGTCGTTAATGCACATGACGTGCGGGGCCTTCAATTTCAGGCGTCGACCGGCCTCAGGCGATGGGTTTGGCGGGGTGAGACAAAGAAGTTCAAATGTCGGGTTCGGATCGTGATGAAGATGCGATAAGTCTCGCATCATTCTCGGTGTGCTGGAGATACATATTCACCGTTGCTCGATGGCCAGACAAGCCACTCTCTCCACCGTCCATCTCCCCACCAGGACCCACCCACTCAACTTTCGTCACCTCGGGATCGCCTTTTCAATCCGACCCCTAGGAGCCTTTGCTCGTCGACTCAGATGCAGGAGGACGCCTACTTGATGCCGGCAAGTCCTGCCAGTGGTCGTCAGCTCAATGCAGACTATCGGCCCAGTGTCCAAAAGACCGTGGGCCATGTCCCCGCATGTCTAGTCAATGCCTCGGTGACGTACTGCAGCAATGGTCATGTCTACGCCTTCGGAGGATTCGATCAAGATACCGATGAAGGTTTGCTTGCTCCAATATTCCATCACCTTGCCCCTCATTCGCAACAGTGGATGCTAACGTCCAACCCCCGGCAGTCTACAATCACGTGCTTCGTTTGGACTTGAATACACTTCGATGGGACTTGGTAGACAACTACGGCGACATTCCCGGCGTTCGCATGGGTAAAACATTTTTGGAAGATATTTGACGGCTCTCTTCTGACTTTTGACACCTCTAGGTCACACTGCGACTTTATATCAAGGCAACAAATTGATCGTCTTCGGCGGCGAGAATGAACACCGCGAGTATCTTTCGGACGTTGTCATCCTCGATCTCTTGACATTCACCTGGACCCTGCCCGAAATCCAGGGCCTAATACCTCGTGGACGGGCACGGCATGCGGCCGTCATACATGATGACAAGCTGTTCATCGTTGGTGGCATAGCGGAAGAAAACAATCTTGTGCTGGACGACCTCACATATTTGGATCTACAGACCTGGACATGGTCACGAACATGGAGCTTTGCCCAGCGATTTGATCACACGGCATGGGTCTGGGGCAGTCGTTTATGGATTTCTGGTGGACTAGGGCCCAATATGGAACGCACGACGGACATCTGGTGGCTTGACCTAAAGGGATCTCCTTCCCTCGCCGGAATCACCTCCTCCCAAGGTACCGTGGACTCCCGAACTATGCCAATGCCGGTGGCTCATTATCCAGACTCCATTTCTAGCGCATCATCCCAGCAGATGTCTCCTCGATCCGGAATATATGCCGCCAACTCCGCCAGTGTACAGGTCCGCAACATGCGACGTCAGAAACCACTTGCCCCTGGTGCAATCTCGTGCCACCGATTCCACTCTGGTCCGCATGTCCCTGGGCTCTTCTCCGCCACCCATTTTCAGTCCTTTGCATCGGGGGTACTTCTGGATTTGATCACGCCGTCGGATAGAGTCCGGTCGCATGAATGTAACCTTTCCGCCCTCGAGCTGAACTCGCTGCGGTGGCAGCGACTTGCGGATGGCCAAGAGCTCTTCCGACCCGGCTACCGGTGGCATTACTGTACCGTCAACGACACGGGGACGAAAGCGTGGTTATTAGGCTGTAGTCTCGACCTGGCAAATACGACCGGAGCAAGTGATGAGAATCACATGAGTGAAGTCCTCTCGATTGACTTGGAGAAGTACGGCCTGCTTGGCAACGAGCTGTCCACCGAAGCTCCTGAGCCCGATTCTTCCTGGGGAGGGGACACCGCTGGACTCCAAGTCTCGGGACTGGGGGCTGATCTCGCTTGTGCTTTTGACCAGAGCCCCGAATCAGGAAGCGGTGCTGATTTCATCATCACCGCCATTCGTGACGACCATGACCTGATTGAACTTGAAGACGTTGATTACACACCGTCCGCATCACCCTCTGACTCTAAACCGACCTTTGTGGAGCCAAGCCCGTACACCTCTGCGCCCATCCATGTGCATAAGATCATCCTGCAACTACGATGGCCACATTTCAAACGGCTGTACTCTGCGCAAATGGCGGAATATCATACGAAGCGCATGCACATTCCTGAACCCTACTCGGTCGTGCGGGCGTTCTTGTACTATCTCTACACGGACAGCATTGCCGGCCACCCCGAGTACTGCGCGAGTGTGATAGACGTGGCGGGGATGCTGGTTATGGCGAATCTCTACGACATGCCAAAGCTACGCCTGCTGTGCGTGAATCGACTGAGTCGCGAACTCGATGTCGATAATGCCGCCATTGTGTGGGAGCGCGCGGGTCGGACCAATGAGCACTGGCTGATGCGCCGAGCCGCAAAGTTTTGTTTGACACATTGGGGCCGCGTGGTGCGAACCGACGGATTCAAGTCCCTCAGCCACCAGAGCTTGATAGAGTTATGTGAGGTGGTGGATACAGAAGGTCGTATCATCGCGGGGCCGGAGCTGGAGATGGTGGGTGCCTTCGACAGCGCCTCGATGGCCGAATGCAAAGACTCTCAGCGATCAACCGCCGACGAGTCTGAAGTAGAAGGAGATGAAGAAGGAATGGAACTTTCATGACGGATCCGACACGCATTGAATTCCGGAGTTTTTGGGCTTGGGTGGGCAGCCGTGTGCTCTGCATTCTTTCTTCCTTTTTTTTTCCTTTTTTTTTTTTCTTTTGTTTCTTACGATGTCTTACGATCTATGCATCTTTTCAGACGGCTCGGAGTCATCTGGTCAGGAACCCTAAACATGTATATCTAAATCCATGTCACCTATCTGCAAATGCCCAACATCTCAATCCAAGAACCATGCATCAGGAACCTTGGTCCAACCGTAAATCGACGGTGAACGGGCCATGCAGCCGCTCTCCACGAACCAATGTCGGGCGCTCTCTCGGAGCTCCACCGACCACGCTCTGGGCGCGGAAGTTGCTCCGGATCGCGGAGATGTTTCCTGTCACAATAAGGAAGCTCAACCTGGCCCCTTCCTGTTCCAGAGTATAGCTGATTATAACATGGCTGTTCTCCGCCATGATGGCAATCCTGTACATCGCATAGAATCTGTTTCACGTCGCCATGGGTTCCGTTGCACAATCTACTCTTCCCGCCGATTTTCTCTGGGGGTTCGCCACGGCCGCGTATCAAATTGAGGGTGCGGTGAATGAAGATGGTCGAGGCCCTTCGATCTGGGATACTTTTTGCAAAATCCCGGGGAAAATTGCCGGTGGGGGGGTCGGGAGAGATCGCCTGCGACTCATATCATCGCACACAGGAGGATATCGCCCTGTTGAAAGAATGTGGTGCTCAGGCGTATCGGTTTTCACTGTCTTGGTTTGTGTGTCCCATTGAATTGTTTGCGGGGGATATTTTTTTCCTGATAACTCTGATTATAGGTCTCGGATCATTCCTCTCGGCGGTCGCAACGACCCCGTCAATGAGCAGGGATTGCAGCATTATGTCAAATTCGTGGATGATCTGCTCGAGGCGGGAATTGTCCCCATGCTGACTTTGTTCCATTGGGACCTCCCCGAAGAATTGCAGAAGCGCTATGGGGGCTTTTTAAATAAAGAGGAGTTTGTTGCTGACTTTGCCCACTACGCCAGGCTGGTTTACAAGGCGTTTGGCTCCAAGGTCAAGCATTGGATCACCTTCAACGAACCCTGGTGCAGCAGCGTACTCGGGTACAACAATGGGTCTTTTGCCCCAGGCCACACAAGCGACCGTCTCAAGAGTCCCGTCGGAGACAGTTCGACCGAGCCCTGGGTGGTCGGACACAGTATCCTCGTGGCACATGGAGCCGCGGTCAAGATCTACCGAGACGAATTCAAGGCGCAAGATGGTGGTGAGATCGGCATTACGCTGAATGGTGGGTGCTTTGATTTTTCTCCAACACTCTAGTTGAATACTAACACGAGGCCAGGCGACTGGGCTGAACCCTGGGATGCCGAAAACCCCGCGGATATTGAGGCCTGCGATCGCAAGATTGAGTTCGCTATCTCATGGTTTGCCGATCCCATTTATCACGGCAAATACCCCGACAGCATGATCAAGCAGCTAGGCAACCGACTACCAACGTGGTCACCAGAGGACATCGCCTTGGTCCACGGCAGCAATGACTTTTACGGAATGAACCATTATTGCGCGAACTACATCCGCGCCAAGACAGGAGAGCCTGAGCTCGATGATATTGCGGGAAATTTGGAACTCCTGCTGGAAGATAAAGATGGGAACAGTATAGGACCTATCACGCAGTCGCCATGGTTGCGACCATGTGCGATTGGATTCCGCAAGTTGCTTGTATGGCTTAGCGAGCGATATGGATATCCAAAGATTTACGTTACGGAGAACGGGACGAGTGTGCTGGGCGAGAATGATATGCCGTTGGATCAGTTGCTAGATGACGAGTTCCGGGTTCAGTATTTCCGGGATTACATCGGTGCTATGGCCGATGCTTATACATTGGATGGCGTTAACGTGAGGGCTTATATGGCCTGGAGTCTTATGGAGTAGGTTTTGTTTTGTTCCATTGCAATGAGAGTCGTGCTAACGTGAGATTTAGTAACTTTGAGTGGGCTGAAGGCTACGAGACTCGCTTCGGGGTGACCTTTGTCGACTATGAGCATGACCAGAAGAGGATCCCCAAGAAAAGTGCTAAGAGCATTGGCCAGATTTTTGACAGGTTGATTGAGAAAGTCTGAGAGTATGCTCTACTATTTCGGGATATTGGCTTGCGGATAGAAATGGTTGTTTGACACTGAAATCCAAGATTGCTGAAAAACCGATCGCGTAGATCAGGACGTGTGTGTCTGTGTATGTCTGTGTGTGGCCGTGTGACTCTAAAGAGCATATCGGAAGTGCTTGGACTCCATATCCGTCATATCCTTGAACCCGTCCACGACAGCCTGCGATGTGACATCCTCCAATAAGTCTGTCGCTTGAGCGGTAGCGGCATCCCGGCGTGCGTTCTCCCATCGCATTCCGAGGTATGCCACGGCCGACGGCCGATAACACGATTATTCCGGCATAACAGACGAGCAGCCCTGTGAGCGCAGAATAGTAGCGCGGGGCCTCGTGGGCAAAAAAGATATTTGCGCCTGCGACATTTCCAGCTGCGTATAGCGTGAACCACAGACCATTGGCAACCGCCCGCTTCGTATGACCAGCAAAATTTGTAGACAGAAGGTTCCATCAGACGATCACTGGTGCTCCGATAATATACTGAAGCCACGTACACCCGACAAGTGTCCAGCGATGATCAAGATCAGTAAATCGAATACCCAATAGCCCAGCGAAGGGAATCAGGCTGATGACAGCGAGAACAATGCATCTAGAGTTCGGTACATAGGTCGCGACGAGACCGCAGATAGGGACTATGGCAGCTTCAAAAGCCCCCGTCGGTAGCTGAAGCAAAGTAGCATCGATCCCTAAATCCAAAGCCCTTGATCAATGCCGAAGAAAAGTTCGACACTCCACCGTTGAGGCCGCGACCCAAGAGTATCGCTGACCTTCGAGCCCGAGATCAGCATTGAGGGAGTAGGCGGATGCATAGTTGAGCGATAGCTTGTCTAAAGACTTAGTTAACTACCACGCCTCGTAACATGGAGAGGAGGTCTGTCATACCGAGAAACTGAATCACGTATGTCACATAGAGCTGAAAGCAGTTAGGATGAGAGACCAAGTTGAGTGGACGAACCTACCATTGGCATAAGTCTCCAGTCCAGAATACGCAGCACTTGAGCGCCTTCCCGGGCCACTTCCTCCGTGGATAACTGTTCAGCCTCTGGATATAGATTGGCTCCGATATCGTGAACTTCGCCAAGAGTGCAACATCCTTCTCCACTATGGGCTGATCCCACTTTGGCTGTATTGGACCCCATTGCGTACTTGATTGCGATGTAATAGACTGCAGAATGAACGCATTCATGACGGAATTTCCTTCCTAAGCCGACCCTCTCATCCTTTATAACCCAATATGAAACTCTCCGCTATCACTGCCAAGCTGATAATGCAGTGTCTCTTGCACATTGTTATCCCTGCGCAGTGATAGGATCTACAGTCCTGCCGAGAAGATAAGCCCTCAAAGCCTCTGCACTTGATTCTCCGGCTCCAACAGATGAGGAATGCGGAGGACTCAACCCTAGCGGACAAAAAGTCCGCCACCTCCACATCTGGAACTAAACTCCATCGAGTTGCCCATTCAGTCCAGATATCAACCAGACTCAGATCGGACTTTTGGTCCGCTCAATTGCACTGAAAAAAAGACACAGAGCGCCAGATCCAGCCAAGTAACTAACAATGGCTGAATCTTTCAACCTGCTCGATGCAAGCATTTCCGACCTGCAAGATGCACTCTCATCTGGGAGACTCACAAGCGTGGACCTTGTTTCGCGGTATTTACGAAGAATCAGTATCTACGACGCCAATGGCCTTAAGCTAAGCGCAATTCCAATCCTCAATCCATCTGTCTTCGACGAGGCTGCGGCATCTGATGCACGTCGGGCAAATGGATTCCCTCCACGACCACTCGAGGGGATTCCCTACTTGGTAAAAGACAACATCAAAGTCAAAGGCATGACCGTTGCGAATGGCTCGCCGGCCTTTGAGAATCTCATTGCGAACGAAGATGCAGCCTGTGTGCAGCTGCTTAGGAATGCAGGCGCCGTGCTACTCGGCCGCACGAACATGCCCGCGATGGCGTATGGCGGAATGCAGCGCGGTATCTGGGGTCGTGCTGAAAGTCCCTATAATGGAGAATACCTTGCGGCAGCATATGCCTCTGGATCCTCGAATGGGTCGGCTGTCGCCACGACTGCGAATCTGTGCGCGTTTTCTCTCGGAACGGAAACCGTCTCGTCTGGTCGCTCGCCGGCTTCAAATAATGCCATCGTTGCATATACGCCGTCCAAGGGCCTTTTGCCGCTTCGTGGAGTCTTTCCGCTTTATCCGACCTGTGATGTCCTCGTGCCTCACACTCGGACTGTCGCTGATTTATTCCACGTCCTCGATGTCTTGGCTGTTGCTGATCCGACTCCAAGGGGGGATTTTTACAATGAGCAGAAAATCATTTCGATTCCTTCTATTACTGATATTCGACCCGGGTCGTTCTCAGCATTGATGGAGACTTCCGCTCTAAGGGGCAAACGCATTGGCGTCTCATTGATGTATATTGGAGGCGACGACTCCTCTGTTTCACCGATTAGCAAAGTGCAAACGCGCGAATCGGTTATCAAACTGTGGAAGAACGCTCGAAAGACATTAGAAGCATGCGGTGCTGAAGTGATCGAAACCAACTTCCCCCTCGTAACAGAATACGAAGCCAACGCTGCTTCAGGACAGCTCGTCACCGTCACCAACCTCCCGGATGGCTGGGCCGGTAAAGAACGGTGCGAAGTTGTATCACACGCATGGGACGATTTCCTCGTTGCAAACGGCCAGAAAGGTCTCAATTCTTTAACCCTCGTCGATCCAGACACCATCTTCCCACTTGCTCCTGGCTCATTACTCGGTACCCCAGAGGTCGCGAATAAGCCGCGATGGGGCGAAATAGTCCAGTATCCTCACACAAAACCCTCCTCCATTTTCGAAATTCCAGGTATGAAGCAAGCGATCCAAGCACTAGAAGATGCTCGAAAAGAAACATTTGAGAATTGGATGGATCAGCTGGGCCTAGATGCAGTCGTCTTTCCGTCCACTGCAGATGTTGGCGCCGCGAATGCAGACGTCAACAAGGAGGCGTCAATATTTGCCTGGAGCAACGGCGTCAAATACTCAAATGGAAATCGACCCATTCGCCACCTTGGGGTGCCTACCATTTCAGTTCCAATGGGTGTGATGGAGGATACCAAGATGCCAGTCAATCTCACTTTCGCTGGGAAAGCGTATGAAGACAATTGTCTCCTGAAGTATGGGTATGCCTATGAGATGGCATCGAAGTGCCGTGTTCTGCCGCCTCTTGTGCCGGCTCTTGACTCGGATTGCATCTTGGGCGGGAAGAGCTTGTCTCATCATGGTCTGGAGCTTGTGGTGGAGACGCAGGTCAAGAAGGTTCGTGGTTCGGATGTAGTGGCTCAGATTGAGGGCTCTTCGAAGGGCGCCGTGTTGAAAAGTGTCGCGTGCTATGTCAATGGGCACCCGTGTGATACTGTCCTGGTTCATGGGAAATGGTCAGCGAGGACTTCATACCCGGTGTCTGATCGAGATGGGAAGTGGGAGAAATGGGCGAGTCCTGCACTGAAGCAGACTATTGTCGTGGTGATCGGGTATACAGAAGGTGGCTCGTCAGCTGGGAAGCTCGTTCTTCTCTGAAATCGAGTATGGACTCCGCGTTCCATTTATCATTCGATGCAAAACTACGATCTAGCTCGTCATACGAGATCATCTACATTAGAGCAGCAATCGAGTCATAGATCCGGTGTTCGATAACAAAAACACATCATGCTGCAAGTAACCCTGAAATGTGAATGAGAATGGACAAAACATGGTTCAAATGCGATTGAGCGCTTCTGATATGCCTGCAAAAGAAACGACGAGGCATCAAGTTTCACAAGAGTAGAACACAGAGAGTCGCCAGCGGTAAGTCGGTGGAAGGTCGTCCAACTTTGAAGGGAGAAGCAATGAACATCCGTAGGTCGCAAGTCGTGAATCGGCAATGACTTTGCAGCTCTCTGCGTTCAATGTAGAGGCCATGGCCCTATGCTGTGTACCATGTGCAGATACACCGGTAGAGACGCATCAGCCCCTCTTTCATAGCCCCCTCCTCCATTTTTTCAATATCCATTTGTACGTAAGGACCGTAGAAGATGAATTTGCACATATCCAGCATCGTTCGATATTCATCGCCCTTGGATGTCTCAGGCCAATCCTTGGACTGAAGGTAGTCCTCGAAGGTGCACATCAGCCAAATCACATCGAGACGGCTCTTCTCATCCAAACGCCATCTTTCCACGCAGGAGGCACGGTGTGCGTAGTGAAGGCCTTGAAGACGATTGATTGCCTTGAAGATCTGGCGATCTGTGTCGGTGAGTGTGAGGCTGTTGAGTTCGTGGATAATGGCCATGTACTTGCAGGTGGGCATATGTTGGATGACGTTGTCTGTATCTGAGGGTCGCTCAACGATGACAATCCCCTCGGGAGAGCGTTCGACTGGGGGATCGGCGGCGCAGGCCATGTTGGAGTCACTTCGAGGCTGGCCTGTGCTGTTCAAGAACACAAGGATATCATCTTCGCAAGCTGCCATGACTGCTACAGAGTATTCAGGTACAGTTGAAACAGACAGTGAAGGTAGAAGGCGAAATGAGGATCTCAAGTGGAGTCAGAAGATGAGTGAAGTGAGGCCTTATTGAAATCTCAGGTGGCCGTGAATATTCGAACAGTAAGAATACGCCCGTTGAGGATCAAACCAATTACATGCCCATCACAAAAGTGTCCAAGGTTGCCTCGTCCCGTACAAACACCCCATACATCATATCCTCTATCATCCCCAGGATAGCCCGATGTATATATTTTTTCTTCAGCTGTTCCAGGTATGATTCGGCTTCCTCTACACATGGAACTTTCTCCAGCGTCGACGTGTCGGCATCCCACATGACTTTTTGTTGCAAGAACTGGAACATTTTATGATAGGGCACAGCGTCGTCCCAGCGGGCCGCGAAGCAGGAGAAATTCTTTTTGCATGCTTCGGTGGCTCCTGCATATTCGTGTGTTGGGTGTCGTTGCTGGAAAGTATCCATGGATTTGGTAGCCCAAATGAGGTATAATAGCATGATTCCGGCGCGGAATTGGAACACCAGCTACAATGGTCAGCCGAAGCTCATAAGGATGTCTAAAAAACCCCTTCAAAGATCCTTGAAGAGGGAGGTCAGGGGGAAAGAACAGGAATACTCACAGCAGACCAGGTAAAACATAACACGTGCCCTTCCTCCTGGAAATCGCGATACTTCATACAAACCTCAGCAACAGCAGAGAAGATATCCTCAATGCCCTCGTGATCCAGGAAGTTCCGCTTCTCTTCCATCAATATCAGAATACTGTAATCATACAGCTTTGTCATCCAATTCGGGTTGAAGTAGCCACATGAGACTTCCGCAGTTCCATAACGCGGAATGTCTTGTCTCCATATATTCAGAGCCGATTTCAAGGAGGCGTTGAACCCTTCCTTCTCCTCGGAGAATTGCCATCGTGATCGCTCGAGTGATCTTCTAATATTTGATTGGATCTTCCGTAGTCGGAAGAGATGACCTAGAGCAGGATTTGTATTGACAGGAGGTTGGATGGTATCGCCCAGGATACACAGCTGCGAGTGTTAACCTTTCAGTGTCTTACGCGGCAAGAAGTATAAGTATATAGTCACTCACATCGTCATCCACGGCACGATAGGCAGCAGACATTGGCCGATCCCAACCAGAAGCAATAACTTCGTTCAACATGTAACACGTTATGAACATGTTCTCCGTCCAGAACTCCCCAAGAGCAGACTCATCATCTCGAATGGTGCGTGCATATTTGCGAATCTCTGTCATCGCAGCTGTACAGAATGGCAATATTGAAGAAACGCCCGCGGCAATCTCCTCCGACGAAGGAGAATACAGCGCATACACAATCAAAAGAAGCGATGCCTGGACCTGCAACACCATAGATGAATGTCCAATCACATGTGGATAATAGTCCATGGCAGAAGTATACAGGTTCTTTGATCGTGCCAGATGCGCAGGATCTCGATGCATCGAGCTGCATAGTGATGCGCCAATGGAGTAGACCATCCGCAGAAAGAAACACTTCCATTCTTGCCCCTCGAAGGAATCTTCACAATGCCATATCTTCCAAGTAGCCTCGTTCAGAAAAGGCCACTCGCGGTGTGATATAGAAAAGTAAACATTGGTGTAGAGTTCGGTGAGCCATAACGAGTCGTCGCTGATGAGCGGATAAACGGGGCCCTTGTCAAATCGTAAGAAGTCGAGGTGTTCGTTGAATTGGGAGAAAATGTCTATATAGGAGATTTGAGAGGGCGATCGAGATATTCGAATTGGTTGTGTTTCTGGGAATACCACCAAGGCGTTCTCTTCTTTGAAGTCCGTCCAATGCGACTTATTTTTGGTGTCCGGTATCCAGAGGGCCTGGGAAGGTGAATCAACACTTCCCTCTAGTGGTATATCAGTTTGAACACTTGCATCGCACATCACCGTATCAGCAGATTGAGGAGAGTCTTCGAGCTCGGCCACTCTTCTTTCCAATTCTTTCAGGTACGCAAGTGGGATCGTCACACTATCGCCGATCCGGCGCGATCTCGCCGGTAGACACTCGGCGCCTTTCCGGCGACATTCACCGCAGGTAGGTTTCGCATGGTCGCATTTACGCTTCAAGCGGAAGCAACGAGCGCAGGCAATTTCTCTTTGCTTAGGTCGAGACATGGAAGAGGGAAAGATTGCGGGGGTGCGGGGATAACTAAGTTCATATTGATAAGAGGATCTCGGTTTCGGTCCCATTGCCGAACCTGATAGCCACGTCAAATCAAATGCCACTTTCATAGTGAGCAAAGGCAACCTATCTCAGCTATCTCAGATACTTCGGAGTCTCAAACTTCCACACTGCAGATATCACTTCCGAGCCCACTTCCCCATGATCGCATCGAACCCGATAGTCTTGTGTTCAATGTTGAGTGTTTTAAGCATGAACTCCATCGTAAACTCCTGGGGCCAGTTAGCTCTCGCTCGAAAACCAAAGAACATGATCTGTACCTCATCTGTATCATCGTCCTGCGTGGCGGTGCCATTACTCTTCTCTAGGCGATGGTCCGGACAGTCAGGGTGTATCTCCATGTCTTCGTCGTACTTATTACCCTGGTCTTGAGCCTGAAATCCATCCCATCGCGGCGCATCTTGCTTGCACCGTTGTCTCCAAGCTTTCACTCCGCCCATGCGAGCGACACGCTCTCTGGCCCCGGTAAAAACTTCTTCGGCTGCCTCCTGGCTGACCAGACGCCACTTGTCGATCGACATCTCCAGATCGATATCCGTACCCGAGGATTCAATTCGTAGAGCTTGACGTGCAGTCTCGAGTGCCTTTTCCTGCGTGGTACGCTGCGCGAAGAGAGTGCGATACTTCTTCTGCAGTCCCAACAGCTCTGAGTCCAAGTAGACAGATCGTGTGGTCACAACAAGTCGATCCTGAATCGAAAGGTCCCGGGCGGTTGTGAGTGGTTCTGGGTCTGCAGTGAAGGAGGTCGAATGGTGAGCTGGCTCAGGTTCAAACTTGGGGTCCCGGGTCATGTCTGAGAGTGACAGTGGGACAATAGGAACACCTCGAGTGCGCAATGGGGACTTGAATGGCTTCGAGAGAGTAGCTGCAGCGCCAAAGCCACGACGACGCTTACAAGCAGGCTGGTCGTCAGGTTCAGGATCCGACATTGTGGGACAGGTATGAAGGATGGGAAAGGAAGCAGGATGATTTGAAGAAAGATCGTTTATCTACACCCAAAATCGCGTACAATACAAAAATACTCTCAGTGGCCAACGCCGCCTGCTACCCACTGCCCAAATTCAGGGTCCCCAGGCTGCGGGAAAAAGCCGCGATCGTTACCATTATTCGCATTTGCATTCCCTCCATCCGCATTTCCAGCATTCGCAGCATTTGCATTTTGCCGGTTTCGCTGCTGTTGTTGACGGATGTAAACCAGTACGAGAAGAGTCGCTGCCAACCCGACGATGAGGAGACCTTCGAGCATTCCCTCGTCGATGTCAAACTCTAAGTCATCATAGTAGCCGTCTTCGTGGTGATCGGAGTCGAGGCCTCGTCCCATGAAGTCGTCTCCATTTTCTTGAGATTCGTAGAGGTCCTCCCAATATTCAGCTTCGTCATTCCTGATAAAGGCGGCAATCCATTCGCGGAGAGTGAGATTAGGTCTCGCATCTGATGTCGAGTTAGAATTTAGGCCAAATACTACACTGGCGTTTGACTGACCTTCATCATCACGAATGGGATTGATGTTTCCGTTGGTGATCCGATTCCAGTATCCTCGGACCCGCAGCTTCAATAAGCTAAGCTTCACAGGGAGATAAGCCTCCTTGTTGGTATCCAGAGCCAGGTCATAGTATCGCTTCGCCATATGGAAATCCTGCTGGACGGCAATACCGTTCTCATGCATCCAGCCTAGGTTCCAGTAAGCCTGTGCACTACGGTGTGCCTCGGCGGCATTGTGGTAGCAAGTCGAGGCCTTATCAGCATCTGAGACCGTCCCCATGCCAGCCAAATAATAATCACCCATCTTGATCAACGAGTCGATATTGGTTTGTTTGGCAGACCTTGTCCAGTAAATCAGTGCCAGCCTCGGGTTACGAAGTAGGGCGGACCGAGTCTTCTTGACCCATGGCAGAATGGAGTCGAACGAGAACAGAGAACGCTGTTCGTCAAGAAGGAAGGCCACATTAGCCTGCGCAGTTTCGTAGCCCTGCTCTGCGGCCATCATAGCTGGGATGAGGGCGCTCTCCCTGTCTCCAGCCTCGTAGGCCGCATTTGCCTCTGCAAAGGCCGAGTGAAGTATCTCAGCCTTCTCGGCAACCAGCTTGTAATAGGCTGTAGCAACACCACAATGTCGTTCACGACCAACCCCGTAATTTGTCATCTCTGCGAGATAATAGTACGCCTCCATCCAGCCCCAGCGAGCAGCGAGTTCGAAATAGCGAGTTGCAGCGGCAACATCTCCCTGATCCAAGAAGAGAGCGCCGAGTCTCGTTTCCGCTGCCGGAATGTCCTGGTCTGCTGCTGCCTTGAAGTAGGAGGATGCTTTAAAGGCATCCTGAGGCACTCCGTAGCCATAGAGGTACATCAGCCCTATCTCGTGCTGGCAGAGTGCATCGCCATTGACCAAGCCTCGCCTGAACCAAAGCATAGCCTTTTCAGGAGATTGCTTCACACCCTCCCCTCGAAGCCACATCAGGCCAATGTGTCCTGCCGCTTTGGCAGCCAGCTTATCGAGTCCCACGGGCGGGTTCTGTTTGACTGACCCGTCCTCGCTCCAATATTTCTTAGCCACAACCTTAAAATACTTCATAGCCTTCGAAAAGTTCCGAGGAAGACCACGAGCTCCCTCGTAATGCATCTTAGCCAGAGTGTAAGTGTGACTCATTTCGCCTTTCCGGGACATGAGGTCCAGGAACTCCAGTACATCTTCGACACTGGCCTCGGCGGCATGCGACTTGTCCCGTGCATTCATCCCCGAGCTTGATACACTAGCCCCTTCACCATAGATACCACCTTCCTCATCGGCCCAGCGATAAGAGTCCCGAATCATCGCATGTCCACCCGGCGGACCAGTTCGGTAGAAGTCAATCGCCTTATCGGCTACCTTCTTGTAGTAGAAGAGCGCATTTTCACAGCTCTTAGGTGACCCAATGCCCGTGTGGTAGCGGTACGCCAGGGTCATCTCCGATCGAATGTTTCCTCCTTCGGCCGCGAATTCGTGGTACATCAACGCCTTGGCCTGGTCACGTTCGACCGCTTCCCCAATGCCCGTCGCGTACATGAACCCAACCATAGACTGTGCTGTGCTGTTACCTGTCAACCATGCCAGATCATTGTACCACAGGAAAGCCTCGCTGAAGTTACGCGGGTAAGAGAAGTTGCCGTAGAAGTTCATCTCCGCGAGGAGAAACATCGCGTCTGTGTCTTGGTCTTCATCTGCTGCTGCTTTTAATTCTTCCACGGCTCGGATAACGGTTGGATTGGTCTTGCGACCGGTCTTGTCGGTGGCGGGTCCATTCAGGAAGAGTAGCCGAAATGCTTCACGGCCGTAGTGCAAGGTGTAGCCGAGAAGTCCTGAAGGTTTATTGGTGTGGGATGCGGCGGGTTCGACGGCTCGAAGAGTGTTCCAGACATTTTGGACTCGTTCTACAACGAAATCAAGGCTTTATCAGTATCATTGATCGCGTGGGCCCCTGATACAACTCAGGCAGTAATACTCACGGCTTACGGGCTGCGACTTTGGTTGTCCTGTCGCGAATAGGAACTCTTGGTAGTCCACACTGTCTGCTGCGGCATTGGCGGTGGATTCCTCTCCGAGAGGTTGTTGACTGGACCCCGCTGCGCATGTCTGTAATAGCACTGTGAAGCTGTCAGCATCTGGCGACCCTAGAGTCGGGGAGGGGTCGTACGCAGGGCCGTTACGAAGCAGGAGAACATGGTCCTCATGATGCTTGCGGTAGGTAGTTGGAAAGTAAGAGTCGCATTGCGACACTTGGTTCAACGAGAATCAGGAAGGCAAACCCGCGAACAATGCGAGGAGCAGTGATGTAGTTTCAACGGGCCACTTGGCTTGACGGAGCTTCATTCTGCCGACGGTGAAATACCGCTCCACCAGAGCTCCAACATTTCTACAACGTCCACATCTTTCTTCAGTCTACATTAACTTTGATTCTTATTTTGCCACTCTATTCAGATGAAAGAATGTCATTAGAATTCTTTTTTATTCAACTCCCTGGGATATTCTGTGTACAGAACGGGAGTAAAGCAGACAAAATACAAAACCCCCAGTGCGCTCTTCATGCAAAAGAGAAAAGAAAAGGCAAAGCAAAAAATGGCGTTTTCTCTGAGAAAGGAGCACTGCATAGCCCTAGGCATGCCTCTAGACCAAGTCCAAGGCTTCCAAAGGTACCGCAACGCCTCAGCCTCCCCAGAGATTCATCCATGTCACCGGCCGTGGGGGAAAACAAAGTCGTTCACAATCTCGAAAATGGAGTGGAAACTAAAACTTGGGGGGGGGGGGGGCATCTCGAGCAGAAAAGGCTCGCGAGCAGTGCTAAAAAAACAGATACAATTGAACGGAGAACGGCTCCCCAGATCGAAAAAAAAAAGATATTGCCCCAGTCAAGTCCGATAATCTTTTGCTTTATCGGTTTTTTGGTGGTGGTACATGACCGAGCTTCACTGGCGTGGAGACCTTTTTTGTTGTTAGTGAGAGTACTTGGAAAATATTGAGAGAACTCACGTAGGGCTGTAAGCTGGAGAAGTCGGGCTATAGCCAGGGGACGTCGGAGAACCAGAGAAGTTTGGAGAGGTCGGAGAGTAAGACTGGGGACTAGTAGGAGACCACCCAGGTGAAGTGGGCGTGTACTTGGGTGAAGTAGGTGACGTAGGGGACAAGTGTCGACCGCCACCAAGAGCTGGGCTCGTGGGACTGTAGCTGGGCGACGTGGGGCTGAAAGCCGGGGAGGCGGGAGCTGAAGCTTGGGGACGTCGGGCTGTAGTTTGGCGAAGTCGGCGAAAAGCCGGGCGAAGTGGGAGAATAAGATGGAGACGTAGGTGAGGCTCCATATGCAGGCGACGTGGGCGAGTATGCCGGAGACGTTGGGTTAAAGCTTGGGCTTGAAGGCGAGAAACCGGGAGAAGTCACGAAGCCTGGGCTGGTCAGACCGATACCAGGGGACGTAGGCGAGTAGCTTGAGGTTGGCGAGTAGCCAGGAGACGTCGGGCTGGTGTTGAACGGGCTGGTCGGAGAGTAAGCACCAGGGCTGCGCGCGCCCGGGCTGAATCCACCATAACCATCCGCGTTTGGACGATATTGGCTGAAGCCTCCGGGAGTCTCTGCGCCGGGCTGGCGAATAGGAGAGAAGCTTGCGTCCGGATCTCCAGTAACCATGTAAGGCGAGCTGGCCATGGGCGAGCCAGTATCGTACTCGGTAGAAGCACCAGTAGGGCCCATGCCCTTGTCGTCGATCATAGGGCCACGAGGGTTGGAGACAACAGTGTTAAGCAAGGACTGATCCAGATAGACATCAAATTCTCCCGTTCCAGCGGGGGCCATCTGTCCCAGGATCAAATTTTCTGAGACACCACGGCAGTCATCCAGCTCTCCAAAAGCGGCTGCCTCAAGCAGAATTTCCACGGTCTCTTCGAACGAACAACGCATAAGTGCACCGTTATCTGCACGGTTAATACCGTGACGGGTGACAGGAGTCAAGTAACCGCGAACGGTCATGACATCGACAAGAAGAGCCAAGTGACGGTGGTTGACGTAGGAACCATCGAAGGCCAACACCTGAGTCAACTCACGGAGCACAGCAGTACGGGCAGCCTCAATACCGAACACCTCGAAAATCTCGATGAACTGATTGGAGTAGGTTCGAGTAGCATCAACACCAGGAATGGCAAGGACTGGTGCCAGGGAAGAGCCGCTGGTCTCAAGAACCCATTCCTTGCAGAGAGGATCTGACTTGCTGGTGAAGAGAGTGCCGTCTCGAGGACACGAACCTTACTCTTCTCGTTAATGAAAGCACGTTCGACACCAGGGACACCACGGAGAGTCAGAGTATCGAGCAAGTGCTGCTCCAGCTTCTTCAATGTCACGTCGTACTCAACATCGTCATCGTCATCGTCTTTAGAATCTTGAATTTGACGAATGCGGATGACCTGCTCGTCGGCGTTGTTATCACTGAAAATTACAGCGATATCCCGAGGGTAGGCTTGCTTGATCTTCGAGGCAACATCCTGCACAGTAAGACCCTTATCTAGCAGCTGCGGTCGACTGAGGATGATACGGAGCAGCCACTTGGACTGGTGAGCAATGTCCTCGCCAGCTTCTTCGGGGATGATGAAGTAGGACTCGACCATGTCCCGATCATTCTCAATGACAGTAGACTGGATTTCAGGGTCATAGTAGATCTCAGTGGCCTCGGTAACAGAGCGCAAGCTGGTGTGCTCGACAACACTGCGCAATAACTTGGCGCCCTCCTTTTGACCTGACATGTGGCTTTCCTGGTACACAGTCATAGAAGGGGTCTTGATGTTGGTGGCGACGTTGAGAATTTCCTTGAGACGAGGCACACCGAGAGTAACGTTCTTAGACGACACACCAGCAAAGTGGAAAGTATTCAAAGTCATCTGTGTAGCGGGCTCACCAATGGACTGTGCTGCAAGAACGCCGACCATCTCGCCCGGGTTGGCCTGAGCACGTGCGAAACGCATCTCAATGGCGCCCAGGACGTGTTGGAATGCTAGCTTATTCAGAGAGTAATCTGTGACCAGACGGCGGAAAGCAAGACGGCTGCGCAACTGAGCCTTGAATAGCAGGGTCGCGTTCGTCTGAGCCTCGCGGGAAATCGGATCATCACCACGAACGACTACCAGGCGTTCAAGGAGAGCTTGGACTTGGGGAATGACCTCAGCAGGGTGGAGATCACTGATAGTGCCCTCGCGAATCCGGAAAGTGGTTCGGGCCATCTCTAAAATACGCTGAATGTTAATGGGAAGCTGCATCATTTCCTCGTCCTCCTTGGCCACGGTGCGCAGGAACTCGCGATCCTTGAGAATCGCTTCCCACTCCTCGTCGAAGTATCTCTGGACTTCCGAATCACCTGCGATCTCGTTGGCTTGCTCCAACAACTCAGGGCCAATGGTACGCTCAGGATCCATGACATCGACACGGAAGCGTTCACGGAGCTTCTCATCTGAGCATCGGATGATATCGACACGCTGATTCTCGATATGAGCACCATCAAGACCATCCTCTCCGTAGATGAACTGAATAACATCACCAAGAGAGTTGCGGACAGTTCCATCATACTTGACCATGACTTCTTCCAGAGCCTTGACCAGCTTACGCTGGATATAACCAGTCTCGGCAGTCTTGACAGCGGTATCGATCAGACCCTCACGACCAGCCATGGCGTGGAAGAAAAACTCAGTAGGAGTCAGACCCCGGAGGTAAGAGTTCTCGACGAAGCCGCGGGACTCGGGGGAATAGTCGTCTTTGGTGAAGTGGGGCAAGGTGCGATACTTGAAACCGAAGGGAATACGCTTTCCTTCCACAGACTGTTGTCCCACAACTGCAGTCATCTGGGAAATGTTGATAGTGGAACCCTTGGAACCAGAACGCGCCATCTGAATAGCATTGTTCAAATCCTTAAGAGACTCCTCGGTAGCAGCACCAGCCTCGTCACGAGCGTTGTTGAGGGCACGAGAAACCTTACTTTCAAAGGTTTCACGGACATTCATACCAGGCAAGGCCTCGAGTGTATTGTCAGTAGCGCTTGCAGTGATCTCTTCGACCTCACGCTTGCGCTCACGGACAGCCTCCTCGATCTTGTCAATGGTGTTCCGATCAGGGATCGTATCACCGATACCGATACTGAAACCATTGTGCAGAAGCCAGTAGTTGACAATTCTCTGGGCACCGTTGAAGAAGTTGACAGCAGTGTCCGGTCCATACTCGTTGAAGATGGTGTGAATAACACCACCGCCGCTAGCACCGACGGTCTTCTTGGAGAGCATACCGTATAAGAGCTGACCACCGTGAATTAGCAGGCCACCATCGTTAAGGGGGCTGAATTTCTCGGAGAGTGGAGAGCTGTCCTTGTCGATACGCAGAAGGTTGAGACCAGTAGGGAACGCCATACTAATCATCTGCTTGCCGGTCCATCGCGGGCGAGGCTTCATAATGGCGGGAGGGGGAATGGCGCCATCCCAGTCCGGAACCCAAAGCATGATGTTCATGACCTGATCCTTCGAGAGGAAGACATCGCGACGGCAAATCTTGTAAATACCGCAAAGAGTATCTTGGACAATACCCATAAGGGGACCGTTACGCTGAGGAGAAACAATGTTCTTCGGAACGAGAGCAAGCTCAGCAAGCTCTGCACGGGCCTCCTCACTCTGCGGAACGTGCAAGTTCATCTCGTCACCATCGAAATCGGCGTTGTAAGGAGATGTGACTGAAAGATTCATTCGAAAAGTTGAGAAAGGCATGACGCGAACGCGGTGACCCATCATGGACTCCTTGTGGAGCGAAGGCTGACGGTTGAATAGAATAACATCGCCGTTGTCAATGTGACGCTCCACCTTCCAGCCGTACAGCAGTTGCTGAGCACCGGCACGCTTGGCATGGCGAAGATCAATTCGCTCGCCGTTGTCACGCACGATATACCGGGCACCAGGGTGCACATTAGGGCCATTAGAGACCAAGTACTGCAGTTTCTCAATGTTGTACGGGGTCACGACCTCCGGATAGGTCAAAATCTTTGCAGTGGAGTAGGGAACTCCAACCTCCTCAAGAGACAGGTTGGGATCACCAGTAATGACGGTACGTGCGGAGAAATCGACACGCTTACCCATCAAGTTCTGTCGCAGGCGACCTTCCTTACCCTTGAGACGGCTTCGAAGAGCCTTGACTGGTCGGTTTCCCTTCTGCATGGCCTTCGGTTGACCAGCAATATCGTTGTCCATGTACGTGGCAATGTGGTACTGCAGCAAGGACTCGAATTCACGAATGACGTGCTCGGGAGCACCCTCCACTTCACATCGCTGAACGTTCTGGTTTGCACGCACAATCTCAGCAAGCTTGTAGGTTAAGTCATCCTCACCACGAGAGCCGCTTGTGGCCCCCATCATGACGCTGGGGCGAACAGTGGGGGGCGGAACAGGAAGAACGGTGAGGAGCATCCATTCCGGACGGGCATAATCATTGCTTAGGCCCAGGATGCGGACGTCTTCGTGGGAGATGTTTCGGAAGATGTTGAGAGCCATCAAGGGGGTGATGGTCTTTTTCTCGGGCTGTGCCATCTCGTCCTCCATCATGGCCTTGCTGGGCTTCCATGTGCCCACAAGAGAGATACCGTCCTTCCGAACGGTGGGCTGGGCATTACCGCAACCACCGTGGAAGTGGCCCTTCTGGGACTCCTTCGCAAATTCATCGTCGTCGGGTGTTGGGTCGGCCTCACAGACTAACACGTCCTTGGAAAGTCTCCAGATATGGTCGAAGCGTCGTTTCGGGTCTCGCATACGAAGGGCTTCCAAGAATTTCGAATCAGACTGGTATCAGAGTCAGCAAAACTTTGCCACATTAGATTTGCCATCCCAGAAGGGATGACTAACCGTGTTGGCTTTGATCTTTCCACAGTTGTGGCAGACCGTCTCCAGAAGCTTCTTGATCTTTGTTAAGAAACCTATAAAGGACTCAAGTCAGTACACATGGTCTCCTGTGATGAGGAAATGTGAGTATTTGTCCACCTACCAATGTGAAACACAGGTGAAGCAAGTTCGATGTGGCCAAAGTGACCAGGGCACTCCTTGGGTCCCTCCTCACAGGTCTCGCAGTTATACTGGCGATCAATGGTACCAAGGCGCGGGTCATTGATACCATTAGCGCGAGGGCGCTGGCGTTGTTCATCCTATAGCGTTGCAAGGTTAGAAGTCAGGCGGACCGCAAAATTTGCGATTTGAGGAGAGGAAGAGATCAGTAGGCGCGTACCATAGTCTCAGGATATAAAATGTTGACCACACTCATGCGTTTGATTTCCTCGGGAGAGAAAAGACCAAACTGAATCTCCTTGATGGTGCGCAAAGGCGCCTTGGAGAAAGGAAAGAAAACGTTCGACATTGTGGTGGTAGTTCTTGCGAGAGCACGTCGGGATTCGGTTTTGACGGGTCGGAAAGAGGAAGCGCGGACCTGGCAACAACGAAAGAAGTGATGTCGTTAAAAGCGCAAAAACTGAAGGGACTGGCGGACTCGACGACTCAAAGTCGGTTTAGAACGAGGCAACGATGAAACGAAGGTAGTTGGAAGCAGCTGGCCGGCTGAGGCCTTTGGCAGCCCTTGCCACGAGGGCGCCGGCGACCTAGAGTCCCCGAACGTCACGAAGCCACGAAAAAGGGAGCGAAAATAGGCGCGCAGGGGATTTTCGCGTAAGATAAATCTCCTGAAGAAATATCGCGATGCGGAACGCGATATTCTTGGATGGCAAGGGGATGGGGGGGCGTGTCGGGGAGGTTGAGAAGGAGATGGTGAAGGTTGCCTCACCCGTTGATTGGGGCTCGAGTTTTCCCTGCCTGCACTTAGCGCGCCAGACCTGTCTAGAGGGCATCTTTAGGGGAAGCGGTATCTCTCGGCAAAACTGATATCTCCGTTAGTCGCCCCCGTGTTCAGGCTTAATTCAGGCATCCGCGGGGACCACTTTAGTGCCGTTGCTGACCGCCTTGGATTTCTCTCCGTCCGAGATTCACGCACGCGATGCTCTATACAATGTGACAACCGCTATAAGTGGTTGGTAGCCTAGGCGAGCTCGAATTGATCTGCCCAGACTCAGGTTTGTACTGGATGCTTGGTGCCGACATCCTGGTGGTGCTCCCAGGCTGGGAACTTGATCATTGACTTCGGCAACCCTGTGTGTCGCCGCAATGAATCTGTCCCTCATTGACCCGTTCGTCCTGGCCCAGGACTATCCGGATACGTTGACAGAGACGCTCAGTACGTACGGTCATACTTAGCAAAATATCCAAGCGCTAATAAAGCCAGAATCTGGCCATGCGACATGTCTACGGTTCAATCACACTGGCGACTATCTAGCATCCGGACGGGTTCGTGCACAGCAACTACAGTTGGATAGAATGGGAGGGCAAACAAAATAGAGGCTGACATTACGCTATAGGTGGATGGTACTGTGGTGATTTTCGACATTGAGACGAACGGTGTGGCGCGCAAGCTGCAGGGTCACACACGCCAGATCCAATCAATAAGGTATTATCTCCGGATCCCTCTGATGAAAGGCGATGCTGAACCCCTCAATAGCTGGTCCAGAGATGGACGTTATCTCCTCACCTCATCGCAGGACTGGAAGTGCATATTGTGGGACCTACAAGACGGCTCGCGTATACGAACGGTCAGATTCGAGGCACCAGTCTACATCGCCGAGCTACACCCATTCAACCAGTACGATCCCCTTCTCCCATGCTGTGTGACTCCACAGAAACTAACGTCTTCCTTGTTAGTCTCCTTTTTGTGGCCTCTCTCTTCGAAGACCAACCCGTCCTTGTCGATGTCTCCGGCGACAAACCCAAAAAGCGAATTCTCCCCTCCGCACCCCTCCGTCCTCAATCCACAAACGGTGAAGAAGTCGATCCAGCGTTCGCCGCAAAACAAGCAGCACAAGACGCAAAACACTCAACATGCGTCACGGTTTTCACGTCATTTGGAAACCACATCATTGGAGGGACATCAAAGGGATGGATCAACATCATCGAGACAGAAACCTGCAAAACGATCCACTCCATGCGTCTCTGCAATGGCGTAGTAATCCTCCTCCGTCTCGCCAGCAACGGTCGAGACCTCCTTGTTAACAGCTCAGACCGTGTAATCCGCACAGTCCTACTGCCCGACCTATCCCAACTAGGCATCGGCCTCGAGCCATCAAGCATAAAACTCCACGTCGAGCACAAATTCCAAGATGTCGTCAATCGCCTCAGCTGGAATCACGTTACATTCTCATCAACCGGTGAATTCGTCACCGCCACAACATTCATGAATCCAGACATCTATGTCTGGGAACGCAGCCACGGATCTCTCGTCAAGATTCTCGAGGGTCCACGAGAAGAACTCGGCGTCGTCGAATGGCATCCCCTCCGGCCAATGGTAGTCGCTTGTGGTCTGGAGTCTGGTTGTATCTATACATGGTCAACAGTCAGTCCACAGAAATGGTCCGCCCTAGCACCTGACTTCGGCGAAGTCGAAGAGAATGTGGAGTACGTCGAGCGCGAAGACGAATTTGACGTCCACCCAGCCGAACAGGTTCACCAGCGTCGTCTCGATCTAGAAGACGAGGAGCCCGACGCTGTGACACTCGACCCGGTCAAAGTTGACCTTGACGCGGAGACGGGCAATGTATTCGGCGTTCCTGTCCTCATGGATATATCCGACAGCGAGAGCGGAGAGGATATCATTGCCGTTGGCCCTGGTACCATGCGTCGACGCACACCTGGTGGAGGGAATACAGGTGACAAGGATAGCCAGGCTGGCGCCAATGGTACCTCCCGAGGTGCAGCGCGAAATCGTCGGCGGTGAAAGACATCTATGGTTACGTCTTTCTCTTTTATCTGGTCTTCGGACCACACGAAAATCCATTTGCATCGACATGGCGTTTGTGATTGTGAGGCAGGGTATTTGGCGTTGGGTGGTTCAGGATTTGCTTAGTTGTTGGTGGAGTGGTGCACTCACCCACCTCACGCATTTGCAGTGGAGACAAGAAACTTCAAATACCGAAATTCCGGTATGACACTCATCATTTCCGTTGGCAGAACGCCTCAGTAGCTTAAGAGAGTGCTTGTCTGAGCATTACTAATCAAAAGCATGCTACAAGATCACAATGAGTAGATAGACGTAGATCAAGGCTATTCTATCTTGGGTAGGTAAAAAGGTATGGAGAGATTGCCTGGCGAGCTAGTCGACCAGAGATCTAAAGCGCAAAACCTGGGTATATCAGAAGCCGAAATGTAGTAGACTCGGCAGAAACGCCACATGAAATGCTGAAGGAACGCAAAAAAGTGAAAGGGAAAAGTATGTCTCTCGCCAAGACACGTCGAGTGAAGATCCCTTATGGGCATGAAGTCGTCCACTGAGCCGGTCAATGGATATCGGATCAGGGCAGAACTCTATTCGAAAAGAAGCCCAATAGTTGCAAGGTGCAACAGAGCAGTCGTAAAGTCACCTTTTGGAAGCTGGCTATAAGTCATGAGACTTCCAAAGATGTTTGAGAGGACTCTGTATACGGGATCCAGCAGGAAGCGGGCACAGCTCGCCTTGATGGGAGTTGCTGTTGCTCGCAAAGCTCTGAATCCTGTTGGATTGATGACCTGCATCATTGAAACCCTTGTCTCGCCAGGTCATGATGGAGGTTTTGTGACTGAAGGTATAATGCAGTGATCTATGTCTTGTGGACAGACACAGACTAGTTGGCGAGCGGCTTGCGCGCCTGGTAGATATGCAAGATGTTGTAACAATGAAGATCCTTATTGAAAGCCTCCGCCTTGACATCCTGTGCAAGGCGCTGAATTTTGTCAAGAGGCCAATCGTAGACGCGACTGAAAGGAGCCAGGCTCAGGGATTCGACACTCTCCGATATGGCAAGGTTGTACCAACGAGCAACCTTTTTCTCATGCTCATCTTCGTGCCAGGGGTTCATGGGCAGGCCTACCATCTGGTGATCAATTTCCGTGAAGCCAGCTTCTTGTAAATTGCGAATCGTCTCGCGTGAGCTGTGCTCCAAAGGTCGCTGTCTGTCTTCCGTTGCGCGCTTCAATGCAGAATACCAGTGTCGAAGGGCAAGACCACCCAAGGACCTATCATCACAGCGCGGCTCGAAGTCGATCTCCACCTGCTCAAACCAGGCGCCCGGGCGAAGATGGTTGAAGACACGCTTATAGAGACTCGGCCAGCTCATGACGCTCCCGCTGCCCATCTGCATGTGAATCAGGTCCCAGGAGTCCTCGCCCATGGCCCAGGGACTTTCAAAATCGAAAGGGGCGTAGAAATCGCAATTCTTCGGGCGGTTTTGCGGTTGGATCGGCGCAAGGTCAACGCCGACTACGAAGGAATCGGGGTACTTGTTGGCGACTTCGATGCTCCAGATTCCTGTGCCACAGCCGAGGTCCATTATACGTGAATTGCTTGGATGGGGTGCGTATATTAAGCCGTCTTGGGCGCGGGCGGTGGTGAGGAGCTTATGAAAGATATCGAGGCGATCTTGCTCTTCGTCGTCGCATGGAAGCATATAGATGCCCTTGCGATAGCCATGGTACAAGCGACCGTTCTCTGAATATGCTGGGTATTTTTCGGGTATCCTGCGATCGCGTGAGGTCAGTCACTGGGCCCTCCATCGAAACTATTTGGACGTGCAAATGTGACCCAAGCTGGCGAAACTTACTTGCGATTGGAGATTATGACGGGAGGTGATGAACGGGATGCATGCGAAAGCTGCGAAGAATGAGACGCGACCGAGCCATTACTGGTGAAGCGCCCCATTGGACCACGGTGGTCCCTTTCCGTGGGATCTCGGTCTGTGATGGCATAGATATCCATGGCAGTAGAAGTCTGCCTTGAGCGAGCCCGCTCGCCTACTGGTACGGACTGAGCATGACTGTAGTACCTCAAGTGTCCAACATCGCTAGTAGCCGTCGACTCAGACTTGTACCTCTTCGGCGGAGGTGGGGACACCATTGGGGGCAGCCGCCGGCGAAACCCGTGATCGTGTTCGTCTGAAGGCATCACCGGATATTAGACCGAGCGTGCTCTAATGTTGAGGATGCGCTCGCAACTCCAAAGCTAGAGCGTGGAGGGAGGGCGTTCGATCAATGATCACATGTGAATGACAGCATCGATCGAACTAGCCGAGAGAAGAAACCAGAAACCAGAAACAAAGGAAACCAGCAGCTGAAATGCAGCAGCATGCAAGGGTGACCCATATAAATACTCCGAGCCGAGCAACGATCCGCTGAGCTATGCGCGAGGATCGGGGGGGGAAAGCCCAGAACCAAGGACGAGTTGGCCTTTTAAGGTTGTGTAGCCGCTGGGCTGGTTCGGTGGGGACGAAGTAAAAAAAGGTCAAGGGCAGAAAGACTCTAGGGGGGAAAAAAAATAAAGGTAGGAAATGAGGCAAGCGACAGAAGTACAGGGGCCTTCTATACCATTGTACCATTTCCCCCATCAGCAAATGCCCAGGCTCACCAATGCCCGGGTACCAAAATCCCAGCCGATTTCAATCGCCAAATCACCCAAACCTCTCCAGACCCTCGGGTTCGACCGTGCATTCACGGTGCAAGTCAAATTGGATCCCGGATCCTCTTTGAATCTGGGTCACTCGAGACTCCTTCCCCTCTTGTCCTCGAGCGATCCAGTCTCCACCGACGGTCCGCTCGTCCCGCCTGGGCCTGGTCCAAGCCATCGGGCATGGTTCACCTCTATTCTCGAGCCATCAACATGACGAGTGTCGGGTCAGGTCTCCCCTGTCCGAGCTGATCATCCCTGTAGTGTTCCCCCCTCTCCAGACTCCTGGGTCGCCCGATGCAACGCTATGGATTGGCTCTCAGTGTTCTCTATTCAGCGTGTGGTCGGTCACCCACTGCCTCGGGACCCTCCTGACTCGGTCCAACACCTACGCTAAGGACTATCACGTCTTCGCCTGACACCGGCCAAGACTCCCTTTTTAGCGCAAGCTTAGCGTTTCAGCACGTCCCAATGGGTTGTCGCCTGCAATAACCCCCCCCCCAATGGTCCCAGCCGAGGAAAAGAATCCCATGGGATGCCTGTCCAACACATCAGTTCCACCAATGCCCCGAACCAGAATCGTCCACGACTCTGGACATGCGGTCTCACTGCCCGGGCTTGTGGATCGTGTCCCGCTCGGGGGACCTCCGGGGCAACTAGCTTGGGGTTCGCTGACTCTGTACTGTCCTTGCAGACGGAGATTTGCAAATCACGGACCCCACTTCGCTTACTGCATAGGAATTTGCCTGGTGACCTATCGTTGTGTCGATCCGATCCAGTGCCTCGGGTCGCTCCTGGTCGTTCTAAATGTCCACACATCTGAGTCCGCTTCTTCTTCGTCTCGCGGAAGAGGACTGGTTGAAGAACCGGAGAATCCCTACATGAGGCCACACAACCACACGGCTGCCCAATTTATAGACCTGAGGCATCTCCCACTCGGAGACCTACAATGCGTAGTATATGGAAGAACAACCTATTAAGAAAGCCGATGAAAACAGCCGTGGAAGGCTGAAATGGTCCTCAGGATAAATGCACAACGATACAAATAGAGAAGACCAAGTAGCTCGAGAATCGAAGAATCCAGTTTGGAGCTCAATGGCGGTCGGTGTACCTGTAGTCACCGCATTGTATACAATGCGGTGACGGGAAGCCCCACGTACCAGGAATTTTTTTTTTTTTAGCGCCTGACCTCCATACAGAGAACCACACCGGACATTTTCAATTAGCTGTGTGTTGCGGCGATCGACACGATTTATTGGACCTCAGATATTGCCTCAATATCCTGAGACTCCCGCGCAAGTGCTGATCCACTGCGCCTCTCAGCCACGGGCGACACATTAGCCGCGTACGGGATACGGCGTACGGCGTACAGTACAAGTCTATATCGCTCGACCTTTGGAAAATGCATACACTTCAAGCCGTCGCCTCCTCGTCCCTGGGTCTGCCGGCTGATAATTATATTTACAGCATCGCGGCTTCTGCGGGATGCTTCGCTGCTATCTCGTCCGATGATTCACTGCGCGTCTTCGACGCTTCGAATCTCGATAGCGTATCTGTGATCTCGAACAAGACTCATGATGGCGTCTCTTCACTGCGCAGCTATACCGCTGGTGAATCCCAGCTGCTGGTCACTGGAGGCCGCGAGGGAAAGGTGAAGGTATGGGATGTTCGGTCCGGCAACGCGGTGGTCGAGTTGGAAACGGGTAAGTCGGTTTTGGTTCCTATTGTGTCTTCCGGCTTTTGTCCCTGGTGGATTTGGAAATGTACCTATACTTCCCTGCGGATCTGCTGGAGGATTGGCAATCGGGCAGGTCTCTCGGTGTCGGGATATTCCTACGTCATGGGTCCACAGACGGCCGTAGAGATATTTCATTTGGGGGGTACATATGGGCTAATGGGTCGCGTGTACAGCGAGAAACGCTCCTGTGCTTTCTGTGGCTTGTAATCCGGAGACAAACTCGATTGTTGCGGGTACGGAGCTCGTGTCTTCACAGGCTGTTGTTGCATTTTGGTAAGTGCTTTCCCAGCCTCCACTGGAGCAGCTCTGGCAAGATTGTTCCGGAGACGATCCATCTTCCCATATCCTCCCATGTGTCAGAAAGGCAAATTCCTGGGTTCATGGTTTGAGGTACTTACTCAAATAGGGATATCAGATCACCCCAAGCACCCCGTCTCCAATATGTGGAGAGTCACAATGACGATATTACAGAGGTAAGCGTGTACAAGCCGGCTACGAGTCCCTGCGCCACGATTGATCTCGAGACAAGCGCTAATCAGACGGTGTCCTGCGTGTCGTACAGCTTCAATATCACCCGACCCGCAGCAACATCTTACTATCTGGTAGCACAGATGGCCTTGTCAACATCTACGACACAACAGTAACAGACGAAGACGAAGCTCTTGTCCAAGTCATCAACCACGGCTCAGTCCACCATGCTGGCTTCCTATCCGAGCGCACTATATTTGCGTTGAGCCACGACGAGCATTTCTCCGTGCACCCAGCCACAGACCCGGACGATGCTACGCAGGGGCCTGAGCCCGTGCATTTCGATGATGTGCGCGAGCCACTGGGCTGTGAGTATGTTGCTCAGCTCTGCATCGGCAGTCAAGGGCCATATATCGCGGCCGGAAACAAGATGTATGTATAGCTGAGAGCGGGGAGGCTTCCCGAGCACGTATCTTGAGTTTGCTGCTAATCCACTGTGTAGTGATCAGCGTTTGGATCTAGTTCCGCTTGTTTCTAGCCCCTCGTGGCAGTTTGACAAGGACAATCTCTGGCGTCTTCCTGGTGCCCATGGCGAGGAGGTTGTGCGCTCTATCTACTTGGATGAACAGGTCCGTTTTGACATATTATTTTTTCTGATGGACTTGAGGCTTACAATAGGTTTTTTTTTAGAGTCAATCGGTTTTCACTGGCGGTGAGGATGGGTACGTGCGCGCATGGAAACCCGCAGGTGGCGAGGAGTCCCAAGGTCAGGCCGGATCTGGGAAGACATCGCGGAAGGATAAGAAGCAGAAGGATCGTTTCAAGCCGTACTAAGGCAGACGAATGCAGCTTCGGCGATTATCCTCGGTTTTGTAGCATTGGGATATGTCAACAATAGACAGTAATCAAAACTTCCAAATACTTTCTTCCGACTATGAACAACTCTCAAATACCATTAAATAATATCTAAAATTGAATTGACTTACTATGGTTAGTTATGACATATCCTTTTTTGTGAGGATGGGAACCATGATGTACATGTATTTCATGCTCTCACCATACATTCAAGTCCTAGTGCTAGACGCCCAGAGACTCTACAATCACAATTTGGCTCAATGGTGCGTTTAGCTGGCGAAGAAAATGTAAAACACTCCAGTACTTTTAAATAAAGCAAAAGACTCAATGCCAAGAAATTTTTTACAGACCCAAAGGCCTGTGAAAAGGTTGCGCTTCATACCTGAGGAGGGTTACTCAAAACAGGTTAGCGGGTCATCGGAGCTCCTGCGCTCTTTTCGGCTTCACCAGATCCTCCTCCACGCTGGACCACTCCAATCGCGACGGTCCACGCTCTACACGCCTCGGGTACCGGAATCCTGATAAGCGGATATACGCCAGTAATGTTGGCAGATGCCCTTCGGCCTATTCTCTAGTCGATCACATTGAAACGTCGCCGACCGACCAATCTCTCACTCCAACCCACCGCAGCGCTCTGTCCAGCCTCTAAACCTTGCCATTCACAATGGCTTCTCCAAGCCAAACACAAGGCTCTGCGCCAGCCACACAACCTCTCACTCCACCCGCAGAGTCTTCCTCAGCAGCCAACGGCGTCTCCGCACCGGCCGCATCCCAAACGCCCGCCATGCCATCTACAGCCCCTACCACATCAACCGCACAACAACCACCACCCATTCCTGGAACATCGCTCCAAGATAGCGGCAAGTCGCGGCGTCCGCGCGATGTCCGTCTCGTACATATGCTCCTCGCCTCGCTCGGCGTAACAGCCTACCAAGACCGCGTGCCTCTCCAACTCCTCGACTTCGCCTACCGCTACACCTCCAACGTCCTGCAAGATGCAGTGCATCTCGCGACGGAAGGCTACGCCAGCGCTGTCGAGGGCACAACGGGAGGAAAAGGCTCGTCTTCTACGGAAGTCAACAGTGTCTCATTGCCTGCGCTGCGGCTGAGTATTGCGTCTCGACTACATTATCAGTTCCAGACTGGGCTGCCGAAGGAATTTTTGATGGATATTGCATCTGAGAGAAACCGAATTGCTCTTCCTGGTGTCTCTCGGGGATTCGACGCGGCTGCTGCGCCTAATGGGACGGCTCCGGGGTCTGCGAATCAGAGTGTTATGATGGCGGGCATGAGGTTGCCGCCTGAGAGATTCTGTCTTACGGGGACCGGGTGGAATTTGAAGGACGAGTGGGATAGTGAGGGCGAGGAGGAGGTGGAGGAGGAGGAGAATATGCCCGATGCGCCTCAACAGCAAGCCAAGGAGGGTGCGGGTGCTAAGGCGGAGGATGAAGGGGATGAAGATGAGGATGGCAAGATGGAGGATATCTTCGGTGAAGATACGGCTATGGGGGGGAACAGGCGAGGGAGACGAGGACCAGAAGATGAATGATGCTTAAGTTTAAGCTGGCTCTTTTTCCCCCTTGTTTTTTATTGCGTCAAAATCTGGGTTGGACGGTGTTACTGGTGCCTGGTGTTGTGCCATTTACAAACACTTAGAAGGGTCGCTTCTGCAACCCAGAGAGAGTGTTGGGCCTTCTTTTCATGCCGAGGACTTTGCAAAGCTTGAGATATACACGAACTGACGGGTCACAAAGTGTCAGTTCCAGAGAATATAACGGAGGTGATGGATAATATGGTCACTGAAACCAAGCATGCTTTCAAGTTCTTATATACTGTACATAATCGAGTGTCACCCCGTCATCCCAATTCGGGATGAACATGCAACAAATGCCCTGAATAACGCCTTGTTTTTCCCGTTGTACGCCGTGAGGAGAGAAGACATGTGAGCTCCGCATCTAGTCATGACCGGGCGGGAACTGTCGCCTGGGATCCACCCGGACAAAAAGTGCCCAGAGTAGGATGCTCATAAAGCGATAAAATGCTGAGCAGAGCGACTTTCATCTCAGCAGTCCAAGCCGAGTCCACTGAATCAAGAAAATGAACCCAGACGTCAACTCAAAAGAGATATACACCCGCGTGAAAGCGGTGGTCAAGAAAAGAAGAAGAGAGAGGGATATCAAAAGTAGAGTCGATCACCTCCCCTGAGCCTGCTGACGTTGTCGCTCCTCATCTGCCCTCATCATGCGAATGACCTCCTCGCGGCGCTGCTCAACCTTGGCCAGGTCCACTTCCTTCGCACGTCTCCGCTCCTCGTATGTTGCGAACCACTCCTCGCGTGCTCGGTCTTCTTCCTCAGGATTGTTTGCATGAGCGAGCATACATGAGTTCATGGCAAGGCGCTGTTGCCGGCATACCCAAGTAGCGGTGACAGTTCGGTTGACGGCGCATTCGGCGAAGGCTGGATGTGATTGAGTTAGTCTACCTCTTCCGTGGTTGATGCGGAGTGTCGGATAATGCACTCGGTCCAGTTCGACGGACGTGAGATGATGAGTGATAGAGAGAGGATTGAGCTGTGACTAAAATCCAGTAGGGATTGTACATACCCTTGATTTCAGGAGCGCAGTGGCTACGTACGCGCTTGTAGTAGAGCTTCTTGACTTCTTGTTCCTGGGCCGCTGACAGCGGCATAGGGTTGCGGAGATTGTATTTGCGAGGCGTCGACGGTGTTGATGAGGTATCAGTGGATGCAGCTGATGTAGCCATTGGGAATGAGAAGCTCGATCTTGCGGATCGAGGTCAAGATAGGTGTAGATCGGAGGTAGATGAGACGTCGGTGGTTGGGGGTGGTTCGGCAGTCCGGCTTCAATGGCCAGGTGACGAGAGAATTATCACTGAAGTAAAGCGACAGAAATAAATTGAAGCTATGACTTCACTTGGAAGCAGTTTTTCGCCCACGATAGAGAAAGGCTTAGAAAGTGGGAGTCGAGATCTGTTGATGCGGAGCGCGAGGGACCGAGTGACGGGCGGAGAGCCCAAGGCGGAAGCAGAAAAAAAAAACTTCCGTACAGCCACCAACTTCCATACCACTCTTACTACTTGAACTTTCGACTCCTCTTTCGCAGCCTAGAATCTGTGCCTTTCTATTCGAGTATTTTCTTTTCAATTATATCTTCACTGCCGATACAGCAGCCACACAGCCACACAGCATGTCTTCCATGCGCAACGCCGTTCAGCGGCGCAACCACAAGGAGCGTGGTCAGCTTGGAGGACGTGAGAAATGGGGTATTCTCGAGAAGCACAAGGTTGGTCACATCTCTTGCCTCTGCTGGTGTTGGAATCTGTGGCAAGCAGCGCAGAACCTTCAGAAAATTTATTAATTGTCGCAATAGGATTACTCACTTCGTGCCAAAGACTACAACGCCAAGAAGGCAAAGCTCAAGCGCCTCGAAGAGAAGGCGCGCGATCGCAATCCCGATGAGTTCCACTTTGGTATGATGGGAGACAAGGACAGGACACAAGGACGACATGGACGAGGCACAGTTGGACGAGACTCTGCTGCTGCTCGCGGGTTGAGCCACGATGCTATTAAGCTTCTCAAGACACAAGACAAAGGCTACCTGCGAACAGTTGGTGAGCGCATACGTCGGGAGATCGAGCGCTTAGAGCGTGAGCAGGAACTGCAGAACGGCATGAACGAGTCTCTTGGCGTGAAGACCCAACAGAAGAACGAGGAAGACGCCGATGAGTTTGATGGCTTCGACTCCGACCTTGACGATTTTGCTTTCAGTGCCCCGTCAAAACCCAAGCCAAGCAAGGTGGTGTTCGCCGACGACCGAAGCGAACAACTGACTTTGAAGAAGAAGCGTATTCAACATGAAGACTCTATGGACGAAGATGAAGACGAAAAGCCTACCGACACTAAGAAATCTGCCAAGCAGCTTGCAGCGGAGCGTCAAAAATTGCAAGAGATTCGTCGGGCTCGTAAGCTCCGAAAGCGGGCAGTTGAAGCCCGAGAGAACAAGCTGAAGGCGCTGCGCAAGCAGTTCTCCGAGATCGAGGCGGCCGAAAGAGAGGTCGATTGGCAGCGGTCGAAGATGGATAACTCCGTCGGAGGCACCAACAAGAATGGCATTAAGTGGAAGATTCGTGAGCGCAAGCGCTGAGCGGGCCGGAAGCGCCCCGTTACGAGTTGACGACGGCAAAACTTCTACATCTCCTTTCATGTACATAGATACCAGCATATCGCTCTGCATAGCGGATTTCACGCTGCTTCATTGTGAGCACAGCGTCGGGCTTACAGAATGAACCTCGTTGGGCCCAGGCTCGGTGACCTCGCTCTGAGCCTTTCAGTGACGGATCACCAACGCCTGAGCATTGGGCCAGGACCCAGACTGCTACATCACATCGGCGCGGGAATCGAGAACAGTCGGCACCCAATACTGGGTGATCGAACAGCAGACACTATTTGAGCCAGATAATTTTGAATCACTAAACATTCGTCTGGATCCACATGCCCTCTTTACCTTGAGATATTCTCAACATGGACCAGGTCTTGTACTTTCACCTCCCTGCTCAAACTTGAATACATAGGCTTGTTCCACACAAGTACGCTGATCAAGTCAAAGAGATCTCCATAGAATGTAATGACCCACATCGGCAACGACAGATCCGTTGGAAGAGGAACACTATTGACTTTGGTTACGCTTGATTGGTATCGTCTAAAATTTGCTGTATATTTCACAACGATTTGTAAAAATTGGTTTCAAACGACAGTGACTTAGACCCGACGTCCAAGGTGACCAGGGCTGGAAGAATTAGGACTATAGGGAATAGATCGACGAACGAAGTAAAAACGTTTGGCTCCCTCTTGCCATTCACCAGTCCGCGATTGTAAATGAACCATCCTAGTGGAATAGGAGACTAAAGACTCAAGCAACAGAATACGTCAGTCTCATTTCCCATGTCGAAGGGAGTAAAGCACTCCGACATAGGAGTAATTCCGGATCGCTGATAGGCGCCCACTCATCTGATTATAAATTGGCCGCTGACTAAGGTTATCTTTTATCGGTGACTGTGAAATGTCGCCACCCCTCACTGTACCACATTTTCTCTCCCCTCCACAGAGGTCACTCTCCAAACACTCATAATGGCGCCCTCCTTCGTGACTATTGATACAAGCGACGACCTCGACATGACTCCCGCTCCTTCGAAGCCCGTCGATGCCCCACGTACTCTCCTCCTCGCTCCCCCCTCCATCGCCACTCACGAGGAGAAACTACGAGCTGTCTTCACCACCTTCGACCGCCAATCCACAGATCTCCAAATGCTCGACCGCCTCTCCGCAGGCTTTGTCTCACTCCCCACAAACACATATGACACTGTCCTAGTCCTCACCGATTCAGACGGCTCACGGCGCACCGAGGCTCTCGCCCTCCTCACCCGCGATGTATATACCGCCCTCGTGCCGTCCATGAAGCCAGGCGCAAAGCTCCAAACACAAGATAAACCACTCGACATGTCCGAAGCCATGGAAGCTGTCCTGGCCGGTCTCATACAGACCGCCTCTGGCTTCGAGAAACCCAATTACGAACAAGCCTCAGTTGCCATTCCTCTCAAGTTCGGCAAGAAAAAGAAGACAGCCCCGCCCGCTACCCCCGCCATGGGATTCTCAGATGACTTTAACGTGAACAACCATGACCGGGATGATGATGACGAGTTTATTAATGAAGACTCTCTTCTTGACGAGGACGACTTTTCGAGACCCATTATGCCGCGTACGTCCATGTCTCCTTCTTTCCAATTATTTCAATGCCAATTCTAACTTTCACAGCTCCAGAATGCCAACCGAAGACCGGCCGCCGGCGACGAGCCTGCAAGGATTGTACGTGTGGTCTCGCTGATCGCCTAGAGGCTGAGGATAAGGAGCGCCGCGCAAACGCAGACAAGAGCTTGAACGTGATGAAGCTGGGTACAGACGACCTTGCCGAGGTAGACTTCACAGTTGAGGGCAAGACAGGCTCGTGTGGAAGTTGTGCACTTGGAGATGCCTTCCGATGTGACGGGTGCCCTTACATGGGTCTTCCTGCATTTAAGCCCGGACAGGAGGTGCAGATTTTGAACGATGTCGCGCAATTGTAAAAGAATTGTTATGGTTTAGGGTTGGCGTCATTTGCATCATCGCTTGAGCTCGAGGCTATGCTTCGGGGCGTTGGATTCTTTTTTTTTTCTTTTTCTTTCTCGGTTCATACAAAGATACCTCGCTGGACTTGGTCCCTTCGATAGTCCTACCAAATACGCTGGGATTTGACTCATACTTTTTTTCCGCTCTTTTTAGCCGTAGGAAAATTCTAATGGTGCGATCAAGTTACGTGTATATCTGATATCATTGGGTATCACCCTTAGGCGTTAAAATGGAACCTTAAGTGGGCCTACGTACGAGGACAGTGGAAGATGCTGATCATTTAATTGCCGCTATTTTGGTTTCATTGCACATTGCATCATGATAAAAATTGAGACAGAGATAAAGCCAGGTGCTCACAGTCTATGAGCGGTCCTTTTGCATGTGAGCGACACGAATGCTGACAGCCCGCTTGTGGGCATCCAGACCCTCGACAGCGGCGAGAGTCTCAACGGTCTTTGCGAGACTCATGAGACCCTCGGCAGTCAGGTTGGAGCTGGTGATGTGCTTCAGGAAAGAGCCTAGGTTGACGCCGGAGTATTGCTTAGCGTAGCCGTAGGTGGCTAAACGGAAGATGTTAGAAGATGAGATGAGGGGTATTTGGGATAGGAAAACATACGCAAAGAGTGATTAACACCGGCAGAGTAGTCACCAACACTCTCGGGGGTCCAGGGACCAATGAACACGCTACCAGCGTTCTGAACCTGCTCGACGATGGCCTCGGGGTTGTTGACCTGCAGGATCAAGTGCTCGGGAGCGTACTCGTTGCTGAGAACCATGGCCTCGTCGATATCCTTGACGACAAGAGTGAAAGAGTGTGCAAGAGAGCCGCGGACAATGTCCATGCGAGGAAGGGCCTTGGCCTGGGCATCGACTTCGTCCTCGATGGCGCGAAGCTCCTGCTCGCTCAGGTCGACGGCGATCAGGATGACCTGGGAGTCGACACCGTGCTCGGCCTGACTCAACAAGTCAGAGGCAACAAAGGCGGGGTTGGCGGTCTTGTCGGCGATGACAAGAACCTCACTGGGGCCAGCGGGCATGTCGATACTGACACCGGCGGAAGTATCATTGGAAACGAACATCTTGGCTGCGGTCACGAACTGGTTACCAGGACCGAGAATCTTATCCACCTTGGTGATGCTCTCGGTACCGTAAGCCATGGCAGCCACCGCCTGAGCACCACCAGCGAGAACAATGCTCTCAGCGCCGACCTTGTGAGCGACGTAGACAATCTCGGGCGAGATGCTGCCATCGGAGCGAGGAGGCGAGGCCAGGACGATCTTCTGGCAGCCGGCCACCATGGCAGGAACACCCAGCATCATAGCAGTGGAAGGCAGCACGGCGGTACCACCGGGAATGTAAAGACCAACACGTTCAATTGGACGCGAGAAACGGGAGCAGACGACACCAGGCATGGTCTCCATCGTCAAGGCATCATTGCTTCCCTTTTGGGCAGAGTGGAATCGGTCAATGTTACCAATGCTAACATCAATGGCCTCCTGAACCTCGGGGGTCAACTTCATGAGCTCAGCGGGGAAGGGAGCCTTGATGACTGGAGAGGTCAATGAAGTGGCCTTCTCGAACTTGTGAGTGTACTTGAGTACGGCGGCATCTCCACCTTCACGAACTTCCTGAATAATAGGCTTCACCATGGCAACAATGGCATCGTTGGACTTCTGCGAAGGACGCTTCAGGAAGGCCGAGACCTCGTCAGCGGGGGTAGAGGCTGTAATGACACGCTGCATTTCAATGCGGGTGGTGCGATCCTCTGTCGCCGACTGCGCAGGCGCAGGCGCAGCAGCAGGAGCAGCAGGTTTGGACTCGGCAGGGGCCAGACCAGCCTTCTCAGCCCAAGGACCCTTAGCGTCGCCCTTTCTCCTCTTGACCTTGAGACTTTTGAGGTCGAGGTTGCGCTCGATGTCTTCCAAGGACACACCAGCAGCAGTACACCTAGCGAGAGCGAAATAAAACAGATCGGCAGCCTCAAAGGCAATTTCCTCCTTGGTCTTTGCCTCGCACAGCTCCTCGGCCTCCTCCATAACCTTGGCCGCGACGAGTTTAGGCTCATTGAACAGGCGTGCGGTATAAGATCCGGCGGGAGCATTAGCTTTGCGTTCGTGAAGAGTCTTCTGAAGACGAGAAAGACCAGTGGAGGCACCGAAACAGGACTCAGTACCGAGGTGACAGAAGCCTGAATTATGAGTCAGTACGATTAGCTAGAGATGGAGAGAAGTGACCATTCATCTTACCTCGTCCGGTCTGCTTGACAACAAAGACCAGGCAGTCAGCATCACAGTCATAACCAATGCGAATCAGTTCCTGGGTGTCTCCGCTGGACTGGCCCTTGTACCACAGCCCGCGCTTGCGGCTTTGGTAGACACCGGTGCCAGTACGGATGGCTTCTGCAATGCTCTCATCGCTACTCCATACAAACCCTAGACAGACTCCCCGCTCATCTGTCACTGAGGTCGCGTAGAGGCCATTGGATTGGTCAGTGACCGCGCGTGAAGCAATTAATTTGGCGGCAGAGATTTGACTAGCCGCATCCCGCTCGACGGTCAACGCTTGAGAGGGAATGATAGCGATGGCATTTTGCTCGATAGCTGATTTGACTGAATCCTCCGAGATGACTTGATTACCGAAAGCAGTGTACAGGCGAGGAGAATCGGAGCTGATATTCAACTTTGTGGCAGCGGCGGAGATCGAGGCGGGAGCAGTACAGACACTGGCCTCGTTGCGCTCGGAGGCATTGGCAGCGATCCACTGCTGGAGAGTGTCCAACTCAGCATCTGAAGGGGCATTGACGAGCAGACGTGATGACGGGACTGATTGTTCCTGGGAGAGTGCGGTCAATTGGTCGAGGGTGATGAGAATCTTCGCGGCACCGGCGTTGAGGACATCGACAAGATCGCCGGCGGAGGGGATGGTAGTCGCGTCAACAAAGACATCGAGGTGGCGGAAGTTCTGGCGCAGGAATTGCTCGGCCTCGGCGAGACTCGAGACCTTCACCGACACTCGCCCGAAGTAGGCGATCTGCTTGATGGAGAGCCCTGAGGTGGGGTTGGAGGGGCACGAGATAAGGAATGGCGTTGCCATGGCGTATATTTGTGGAAAAGAATACAAAGGGAGGGAGTATAAAGGGATATGAAAACCCCTTAGGAGTTTGGGGGGGGGGTTCTAATGCGGAGAGTGGAAAAGGTGGAAGAGTGAAAAGCCGATGACTCTTGTTACCTTTTTTTCGGCGGCCCGCTATCTGCAGCCGCTGATTCATCTCCGCTCCCGGCCTCGCCATTTACTGTCCAGCGGTCTACTGCTCTACCCTCAAGAATCGGAATGATGCTTAAAGTCTGATTGGTTTGAGCGTTGGCCAAGGGTGCGAAAGATAGCTGCATCCTTCGGTTCGAATTATTTTCCATTACAGCTCATATACAATTTTGTAGGCCGAAATGACGCCATCACGGTATTCCTGGAAACCCTTAGGCAATGAATCCAACCTGTGAAGAACCTTGGGCTGGTTCGGCCGAACTTTACCCTGCTCCAGCCACAGGGGCAATCCATCAAACAGCTCACTAGATAGCTCGTGATCGAAACCCTGGACTTTTCGTATACTAAGCTCCTGGTCTACTAGGTCTATATTGGAGACTTGCCGTCCGTGGGATTTTGAGGCACATGCAAGACCTTGATCTAGACTTGCCCTTTGCTAATATAGGCACTGGAAGCCGTTCCTGGACCAATTGAGGCTCTCCCGAGCGATTGCGGACGACGAGAGTTTTGGATGTTGCTACGATACTGCCGGTGCCTTTGAAAATCTAATTTGAGTCTCTTGTAGGTCACTTCCGGAGATATTCTGTGCAATGAAGTGTGCTTATAGATCCAGTCGTCTGTGGGGAGAAGGCTGACAAATGTGCCCCGCCTTCAACCCAGGAAGTGGGAGCTACTCCAGCGCTTGCGCTTGCAGATGCTGGGCTTGATGCTTCAGTGGGCATGAAAGCTTGCACCCTCTGGATATATCCTCTCAAAGACGTGAAACGAGTCGTGCGTGTCTAGGACTTGCATGCACATGAGCCTTCGACAATGACGAATTTCTCCAGGGTTCGTCAAAAGCCAGGGTCCCAGCTATGCTCCTGATTCTAGGCTGAACTTTGATCTATTGTCACATTTGGGTCGTCCCTGCTGTCACAAGGGCTGCATATTCTAGTTGAGTCAGTTCTCAATGGTGTGACTTCAAGCACCAACTTAAGCCCGTCTTAGTTATCGAGAGCCCGATCCGATCCGGTTTGGGGTGTGCCTTGCATAGAAGGGGGTCGCTCGTCCCGCATGGGAATCCACGTGCGGAGCATCGAGCATCGCAGGTCGTCTAATAGCCCTCGCTCCAACGGACCCGAAAATACAAGGAATGTCCAGGCTGGTTTGGCTCGCGCTGGACCTTTTGTTGCATTGATCAGGAATGCCTTGAACATACCCAATCTTTCCAGGAAGTTTGAGCTAGTGTAGTGATCACAATCAGATGCTCCAGGATATCCCGAAATGGATTGGCTTAGTGCTAGCGCGGGCTCCAATGAGCACGGATCAGCCTCCCCATAGTGGCTACCCGCCATCACAGGCTAGAGAAACACAAAGCTTCGGACAAAACGCCATGAGGGGTATTTTCTTGGCCTTGTCAGTGCGACTGCATGATTCGGCTTCCTGCGCCACGAATGGAATAGTGCGTCCGGGGCCCTGACTCAACTGTCATTCGTGTCGGTCACCCGAGATGAAGATCCCGGGGAAGCTCGAAAATTAAAGCCACTCATTGCGCGTTCCCGGAGATGTGTGCGATAGGTTTCGAGGAAATCACGCTCAAGCTTGGTAATACTACGAAGCACGAGGCCGAAGTCATGGCATGGTTTCATCGGAAGGGCCAGGTTAGGAGTGCATACCTCCGAAGCAAGAGGCATCGCAGCACAGCAGTGGGGCGGTCCTTGCAGATCTCCCCCGTCAGGAGGGAAAAAATGACGATAGGGGCACTGCAGAGAAAGGGATCGGAGTCCAGCCCAGATCCCTACGTGAGACCCCCAAGTTACCAGAATGCAGGTAAAGAAGACCGCGTGTGACGGCTTCCCCTTTGGTTCATGGTCCTCCCTCTCCATTCTTTTTTTTTCAATCCACCTTTATAAAGTCGCTTGGAAAGCTACGGGTAGTCTCTCTTTCGTGATCCGGCTGACTCTCCTATTTGAATCCCTGCGTCCCCCGCTATTATTATTTATTTCTACACGCGCCGCGGTTCCTCGGGCCAGACTTTGCGCTAACGATGCGCGCTCCTTCTCTTTTGCTAGCTGCAGTGGGCCTGGCAGGTTCAGCTGTTGCTCGTCCTTTTGGTGAGACCGAGGCCGTCCTTGGTCAACAATTGCAGAGCCAGGAGAAGGCCGATGCCGTGAAGGAAGCCTTTCAGCATGCATGGAATGGGTATATGAAATATGCATTTCCTCATGACGAGCTGCACCCTGTCAGCAATGGATTCGGTGATTCCAGGTGAGCACTTGACGCGACACACAAGATCTGGGGCATTGCAAACCAACAGTCAACAATAGAAATGGATGGGGTGCCTCGGCGGTAGATGCGCTCTCGACCGCAATTGTCATGGGTAATGCGGATGCTGTCAACACCATTCTGGACCATATCGCGAAGATCGACTACTCTGAAACCTCCGACGGGGTCAGCTTGTTCGAAACAACCATTCGCTATCTTGCCGGCATGCTGTCTGGCTACGACCTGCTCACCGGCCCTGCCTCGGGTCTGGTCAGCAACACTGAGAACGTAGACAACCTTCTCACCCAGGCCAAGAATCTAGCAGATGTGCTCAAATTCGCCTTCTCGACCAATTCCGGAGTTCCATATAATAATCTCAACATCACATCCCAGGCAAGTGACGGTGCGACCACCAACGGCCTGGCAGTGACTGGAACTCTGGTTCTCGAATGGACGCGTCTCTCGGACCTGTTGGGCGATGAATCGTACGCCGAGCTCAGCCAAAAAGCAGAGTCGTACCTGTTGGCACCCCAGCCGTCAAGCGGAGAGCCCTTCCCCGGTCTTGTGGGCAGTAACATCAACATCAGCAACGGCGAATTCGCTGACGGCATCGTCTCGTGGAACGGTGGTGACGATTCGTTCTACGAGTACCTGATCAAGATGTATGTGTACGACCCCAAGCGGTTCGAGACATACAAGGACCGGTGGGTCCTGGCAGCAGAATCGGCCATCAAACACCTCACGTCGCACCCGAAGCCTCGTCCCGAGCTGACTTTCCTCTCTTCGTACAACAACGGCAACTATGATCTGAGCTCCCAGCACTTGACCTGTTTCGATGGTGGCAGCTACTTGCTTGGCGGTTCCGTGCTGGGTCGCCAGGATTTCATCGACTTCGGCCTCGAGCTTGTTCACGGTTGTGAGGCTACTTACAACCAGACCTTGACTGGCATTGGCCCTGATTCTTGGGGCTGGGACCCCGCCAAGGTTCCGTCGAACCAACGGGACTTCTACGAGCGCGCAGGCTTCTACATTAACAGCGGCTACTATGTTTTGCGCCCCGAGGTCATTGAGAGCTTTTACTATGCCTACCGCATCACCGGAAGCGAGGTGGTAAGTATCAAGTTCCCCATTGATCTGCCTCGAGCGAACTAACAGGAACAGTACCGCGACTGGGTGTGGAACGCTTTCGTAGCCATCAACGCTACCACCCGTACAGATTCCGGCTTCGCTGCTGTGACAAATGTCAACGCAAAGAATGGCGGCTCCAAGGACGATAATCAAGAGAGCTTCCTCTTCGCCGAAGTCATGAAGTACTCATATCTCACTCATGCAGATGGTATGTTACACTTCCTACCGAAAATCACAACAAGTTGGTACTAATCATGTAACAGATGCCGAGTGGCAGGTCCAGCCCGGCGACGGGAATACCTTTGTCTTCAACACAGAGGCGCACCCCATGCGCGTGAAACACACCTAAGACCTGGTCACTTCCTTCCTCGATTCTTCAGTAGATTTACATCTATCGCGAGGTTTAAATGGCTTCGAGTATCTTTATCGTGAATACACCTACTTCGGTCCCTCAAGCGCAAAGTCGATTTGTAGGTAAAACGCATGTGAAATAGGCGTAACCCAGGCCACCATTGAATGATTGAAGACAATAGTATGTCACAGTCACGTTTCACTCACCCTCATGTGTAGACAGCAGTCAAGCGGGGTTCTTCTCTTTAAAAGCGTCGCGGCAGAGTGAAATATCACAGAAAGTCTTTAACTTGCTGATACGTCCAATTCCAGAAGTTCTTGCCCAGTGTCTCATCCCAAAGGTCAGCTCTCTTGCAGTCCGCAATTTTACCATAAGGAATGACTGGGAAGCAACGTTTGTCAGCGGCATATTCGCATATTCGCATATTCGACGAAGAATACGATAGAGGAATAGAAAGCCTACCCCAGCAGCCATTGTTTCTTTCTGTGATGCTCGGATGTAGTCCGGCAAATAGTTCGGTGTATCCTCCATATATCTGAGCCGGAGACACAAGTTTCTAGATGTCGATGTTAGCAAGTTAACATTCTCAACGGCCGAGTCGAGGGACAGGTCCTTACAAAGAACAGAACCAGCCACCAAGGCGAAATTCGCACGAGGTCCGTCATATAGATACCCGGATCGACAGACTGCGTAAGTACTTTAGCAACCGACATCTTCGCCCATTTTCCTTGAGCTTCACATACCACATGAACAATGCCTTCTCCAGATTTCGCATCCCGCCGCGCAGCTTCAACAGCATACAAGACATTCCCATATTTGCTTCGGCCGTATTTGACCATAGCACTTTCATCACGTTCATAATCCATATTGTCTAGATCGATAGCAGGGATGGGAGCATGACCGATAGCAGAAGAAGCCAGCCAGACGACCCGCACTGAGCCTCGGGAAGCAATCTTAGCAGTCTTGAGCAGTATGGAATACAGACACTGGGTGAAGAGGAACGGCGCAATGCAGTTTGTTCCCAGCTGAAGCTCGTATCCCTGGACCGTCTTGGAACCCTGGGGCGGGAACCATGACTCCAGCATTGTTCCAATGAACATCTAGACGGGTTTCCTTGGCGAGAAACTCATCGGCACTTTTTCGGATGGGGGTTAAATCATTTAAATCCAAATGCAGAAATACCAACGTGCCAGTGCATGAGGGGTGACTGTCTTTGATCTCAGAAATGGCTGCGTTGGCCTTTTTCTTGTGAGCGGGCTGCGATGTAGACCGTGGCGTTTTTGGCGTAGAGGATGGACGAAAGTTCTTTGCCGAGTCCACCTGAGCTGCCGGTCACTATGAAGACCTGGAAGTGTCACATCGAGTGAGTTCTGACTTGAAGTTTTAAGGGGAGCATTTACCTTTCCGCTCAAGTCGGGGGCTGTGGCTTCGGTCATTGCCGCCTTTGGTTTATTGAAGAAGCTGAACATGACTCTGATGTGAGTATCTTAGTATATCCTGCAGAGAGAGACAGGAGGATATTCGAAAGTTTAGCTAAAGTCAAATAAGATAAAGGTTCAAAGCCAGTTCCATATGATATACAGATTTGTATGGAGGGAACAGGAGACTCTCGCAATCAACACATGTTCAATTTCTCAGTCCAGAGCGGCATGAATGGCGGTGGCCGCTAACGATCTAACCCGGATCAGGGAACGGGTGCGCTGCAAAGCCTCGATACGTAGAATCGGCCGGAGACTCCATAGCCGGACTCGTTACTTCGATTTCATAAATAGAAAGGCAGGTTTGATGCTTAGGTAGCATCTAGACATGTGGAAATGCAATGATGGAAAATAGGAGCGGAATGATTATGTATTGTGACAAATGATTTGTAGACGGTTTGTTCATGGGGAAATTCTAATATCCCACCAAACAAGGGCCAAATCAAACGCCATGAATGCAATATGAATACGCATGAGTCACAAACTGTATGAAAGGCAGGCTTCAACTTCAAGTCTGCAAACAGATAGAGTTGAATAGGGTATCTGGTAGCCATGGTGGCAATGCTAATGCTGATTCCAGCTCCAAAGGGAGCTCATAAAAGGGTATAGGGCGTGGTTGCTGCAGCTGCCATCTGGCCTGTGGCCTATAGCAATATTAACCTCTGAGACACTTTGCTCAGTCCCGAGAGGTCTTGGTCCGTATAGGTAGAGACGTTGAGTCAGCCACCTGAGCCAATGGATCTGCGCCCGGAATGGCATCTTCCTCGCCGGTGGTTTCCACGTTCTCGAGGTCCTGACCGCCCTCAATGGATTCCACGATCGATCCCGCTGGATTGGAGAAGGCTTCGGAGGCCTGGGAGATATAGCTTGCGGCCATGTCGAGGCCCTCTTCTCCTTCTTGAAAGTATTCACTGCCTTCGCCATCGCTGAGCTCGTCCTCGTAGTCGTCCTCGTCTACGTCTTCATCTTCTTCGAGAACCTCGTCTTCAACGGGTTCGTCCTCCTCGTCGTCCTCATCTTCGCTATCGGTGGAGGAAAAATCATCGAGCTCTTGCGGCGTATCTCGCCAATATGTGAAGTCTGTATATTCTTCGCCACCAGACTGAACCAAAAGGCTAGTCGGTGGGAAGAAGTGATCAAGTAGTTCTTGCATGGTCACGTAACTGCTTTTGTACTTGTTCAGGCTGAGCAGGTCAAGAGAAACCTCAGCGTTCGAGTTGATGGTGAAGATCCGCGTGGACGGAATGTTGACAGATCGATAACTCAAAGCGTCCGTCAATCGGTTTCCGAAGCCGGCACAGAAAGGATTCTCTTTTCCAGAAAACAAATTCAAAATGTCGCGCAAACACGCCATCTTGAAGACTTCCGGCTTTCTCAAATAGATCTCGCGTCTCAATGCTGCCATCGTACGATCTGGGCTGCAAATCACGGGTCCTCTGGGGAGACGGTATCCGTCCTGATTAACGCCGTACAGGTACGCTCGTGTAGTATCTGCCTGTCCAACGGATCGACTGGTAAGGTACATGATGTTGTAACCGTTGTTGACGATATCAGTGTACAGTTTGGCGACACCTGCATGGGTCCAGTCTCGTCCTATCATGTTCAGAACGTGACCCAAAGCATCCGATCTGGTTATCAATCATTAGCATGAAACGATTGGTGACAGAAAGAGCAGGTTCACTTACTTCGTGATGGTTCCGTCAATGTCAGAAATAACGATTGGAACATTACCGTTCCATAAGTACATGCTTGCTGTACAGGTGGCCTTATTAACGCTGAAGGACATGAGGTTGGCGCCATGTTTCAAATTCAAAGCCTTGAGCTGGTCACTCGTCAGTCGCAGAGTCTTCGCGTAGTTGCGAGTCTCAACTGCGAATGAATCACCCATCGGCGACGCCGGAGGTGTAGGAAATCCAGGCTGTACATCCGACTTGGTCCGGTGGTGACGGACTCCCAGTGATGGCTCCAAAGTGGGTCGTTCTCCCTCACTGTGGTATCCAGGGTCGGAGACTGCATCCTCATTCAAAGCCGGGTTATGCCGCATGGAGTTGATGGTAGCTTTCCGGTCCGCCTCTTCCTTGGCCTCTTCGCTGCTATATATCCATAAGTTCCCGTGTTCATCCGCTCCGATGAGAGCACCGATATCGTAGCTCCCTTCCAATTCTTCTGCAAGAATCTTGCGGGCAAGAACTTCGGCGCGGAGCGCATCTTCCTCGTTACTTTTATATCCCGTCATGTCTAGCATCAGGTCTCCAGTCTCTGTGATGTGTGACGGGATGTTGGACCCGGAGAGTTTTTGGGACAGGGATTTGGCTCGAGACATTGCTTCTTCGGGAGTGATCGCTGGTGGGCTCCGTGGGCGGGCTTTTTGCTCGACATCTTCTCCTTCAGCAGGTCCTGGGCCATCAGGGGACAAGTCTCTTGCAGACTTTAGGAACGCTAGCGGAGAGTAAATCCTCCGAAAGCGAATGACCGAGTGGGGGTTTGGTGAACGAGCTGTCAGGCGACTCATCTGGTGACCGAGACACGGGAGTAATAGTGCCTGCGATGAAAGAATCAAGTCAATAAATGTAGCCGAAGAAAATAGTTGAGATTGATTAGTACCTAGATCCGTAGCTGCCCGCACTGGGCGGGATATGGGATTTGTTGGAGGGGTCTTCGCGCCTTCCGACATAGCATCCCCGCTCGCTTTATCGAGGTCAAGGAATTCAGGTTCTGGGAGAGCTGCAGCGACATCTTCGCTGGGAAGTGGCGGGCTACTCGCGGGAGAGACCAACGGCGAGGTCTGTAATGACGCAGGGATCTCGTCGGTGGTTTCGAACACGAAAAAAGCCTCCCCGCCTTCCCCTAGTTTCATCGCATAATCTTGTTTAACTCCATTGACCTTGAATTCCACCTTTTTCTCGAACGGACGTAGAAGCGAGAACTTGCCGAAGCGGACATGAAAGGGCGAGCAAGCGAGGGTACCTTGAGAAAAAGCAAGTTAGTCAAAGCATGAGTTAATGAGATATATGAACTCAACATACCATCCTCCTGCTCTATGACGATCACATCAATGGCGCCGCTGAGGGTCGCTGGATTGATGGAGTTCCATGTCTTGGAGACGGAGCCGCTGATGCTCCGCACGTACTGCATCTCGCCGGGCAATGGTCAAACACCCTAGGCGATGGGCTATTTAAACACAAAAACAGAAGAAAAGAGCGAACGCTAGAGATTGAAAGCGAATGTCAAGGCCTCGACGAAATAGTCGATCTGCAGGAAGAGGGGAAAGAACTAGTTGGGTGAGAAACCGGAAGTTGGAGGAATCGCCGCCAAACCGCCCATGTGACACTCAGCTGACAAGGAGCATCTGCATCACCCACGCCACGGAAAATGCTGCTGGAATGGATAGAGTAGATTGAAAAGAGGGAACTTGTCGTCGAACTATGGACACCCTAAACACACTAAATGCCGGCATCCTCGGGCCTTGTTGATGAACCAACACATATTCAACGCCCAACAGATCTGAATGACATAAGCATGGCTTGCCTCGGTCGCCGGATAGTCCCCGATACAGACTAGCGGCCGATCTCACGCTAGTCTCATTTGAGAGCCCTGACTAACTTGGTCATGTGATATGTCCCACCGACTCGGAGATCCAGAGTTAGTTGTTGCTTCCAACCTTACCTTCTCCCCGTCCCCGCTGCCCGCGTCCATGGGTGCTTGACGCTGGGATGTATGAGCCACTATATTTTGCATTTGACGCATACCCTACTGTGGTCCCCCGAGTTAGGGTGCGAGGTGTTATGGCTCTCTTCCTAGCGGTCTCGATTCTATGGGCCCTGATCTGGTAAGTCTTCTATGTTGCGCCGGTCTTTTTTCGCTTGATTCTTATGGTGCATAGGCTCCTCTATCGTGCGTGGCAAGTCTGTCAGACTTCTAACGAGGTTCTGGTGGAGAAATTGGGGTTAGACATCCCGCCTCCACCAGAAGTGACCCTTGAGGAGATCACGGCCCGTGAGATACGCCTTGCCTGGAAACAGCCGGACTTTCACAATTCAATACACAAGCACATAATTCAAGTCAATAACGTCAAAGGTACGTCTGCGCCTCTTCCCAGAAGTTGCCGTTCAACCGGCAAGTGCTAAAGTTCGTCAGTGGGCGAATCAAAACGAGTCGAAACCGCCGTGGAAATTTTGAACCTCGTTCCCGGAAGCATTTACCATATCTGCGTTCTTTCTGTTAGCGCTGCGAATTTTCAAACCCCAAGTGCGATCCTTCACGTTCGAACGAAATCTCTTCCTCTTTCCCGTGTCCAACAAGATGCTACCAATAGCGGTCCGACGATTCGAGCCTCGATCCCGAGGTCCACGGCTGGCCTACCGACACCATCCGCCCCAGTCATGTCGCGCGAGCACAGTGCCGGTCAACTACCTGGCAAACGGCCGTCCGCAGGCCGCAAGTTATCCCCCGCCGCGGGATCGATCGACCATGCGCACGGCTCCGACGAATCACATAAGCACAACAACAGGAATGACCGCGAACAAAGTCTAGAGAATCTAGCAGATCGCCTCAAGTCTTTACAGCAAGAAAACGACAATCAGGAGAAACAAGCAGCCGAAGAGGAAGAGGAGCATATTGCACTGCTCAAGGACCTTGAAAAGCAACGTGATGATCTGAAAAAGCGCGTCAAAGAGAAGGATGAAGTCAGCGGGGATTTGAAAAAGCACGTCTCTAAATTGGAAAGCGTCAACCGCACCGTACAGAGCGAGAAAACCAAACGCATGAGACTTCTTCAGCAGAAAGAAGCCGAGCGCAAAAAACGCAAGAACGACATTCTCCGGTGGCAGGAAAAGATCAGTCGTATGGCCAATGACGTTGCGCAGACTAAGGAAGATAAGGCACGAATGGAGGAAGAAACCGAGTCTCGTGCAGAAGAGATTCGACAGAAGATCGCCAAGGAACAAGCAGAGATGAAAATCATCGACGACGAGATTCAGGACAAAGGAGGTCGAATCAAGAAGCTTGAGGACGAAAGAAAGGGGCTCCAAGGCGGCGAGAGTGAGGATGGCAAGGAACTTGATCGGATTGACCATGAGCGTGCTCGCCAGTGGGAGCTGAAGCTGAACACGCTGCACTCTCATTACGCGACTCTGGTCAATCTTCATGCGCAGGCCCAGCAGCAATACCAAGAGGCCCAGGAACGGCTGAAGTGGCTCACCAGCCAGCGACCTGGCAGCTCGGCGTTTTCCTTGCCAGCATTGGATCTGGATATGTCCAATCATGCTACTATCCGACCTCGTCGTCATCGCAGCTCGTTGACGAGCAACGTTTCTTCTCCTGTGAACTTCCCTGGCGTTGAGACGACTTTCCCTGCTGGAATCAATTACAACCCACCTTCTACCAACTCGCCCACTTTCGCTCCAAACTCCTTCTTCAACATCAACAATGGAATGGCTTTTGCCGGCCTTACCGATCCTCCGGAGATTATGCGATCTGACATGGAGGCGTCTTTCAATAACCCACAAATGAGTCCTCGTGCGGATGCCTTATTACCATCTGACCTTTTGGGCGACGAAGAGTCCCCAGAATTCCCACGCCCTATCACTCGTCCACGGTTTTCGTCGATGGGCACATCGACTAATCCGCTGGATAGCTTTATCCATGGTCCAGTCTCGCCTGTCTCTTCGGGAAGCAGGCCCGGTAGTATTTTTGCCAGTCCTCTTGAAACGCATCACCGACAGGATTCCGATTCACAGCTAACTCACTTGTCAGCTGCTGGCGAGGCTCCAAAGAGTGCCTCAAGGAGGCTCTCTGGTCTGTTTGGATTCCATCGACCTCGTGGGAAAACACTGGCTGACGAGCCGCCCATGTTGGGTACTTTGAAACCGGGACAAAGCCAGTCTTTCCCACGCAATGTTGGTGAGCTGGATCCAATTGGCTCGCGCCGCCGGAGATTGAGTTACACAGGCAACTGGGCGAATGCGATGTCGTTGTTCCCTCGTAGCAATACGACAGGAGTGACTGCAGATAGTTCGTCTGATCACCCACCATCCCGTCGCGCTGCGCTGTCGAGTATCTTTTCTTCCAGCAAGTTCGGCTTCGGTAGCACTGACAGCCGGGGCACTGCCGATATGAACTCAGGGTACAATCAATTCAGCCCGCGCCATGATCCGATTGATCCATCATCTCTTCTTGGTGGTGTTCGCCGTGGTTCTCTGTCGCCTCGGCCTTCGTCGACCTTTTCATTCGATAATCAGAACTATCTGCCCCATCCGTCCACGGATAATCGTCATTTCGGGTGGCCTTCGGCGGAGCAAATGGGACATCGCAATAGTCCGCTTGGTTTGGATTGGGCCTCACCGTCCACGTGGTCCAGGGCTCCGTCCCGGCGTCCTTCGATTCAATATGGGTCTTCTGGCCACCTCCCTTTGGGATTGACTGGTGAGCCTGACATTGTCGAAGACTCATATGACCGCCATCATCGACCTCTTCAAGCCCCGATCGGTACCCGTCCGTCGTCGTCTCACCGACCGATCACCCCGAATCCTAAGCTCAACCCGGCAGCTCCCACATTCAGGACCATCTTTACGGGTAAGAAGTCTGACAAGGGCAAGGATAAGGACAAGGAGTCCGACGCCTCGTTCAATCTTCACGGGGAGGATATGTCTCCGTCCGAACCTCGCACATCCCGCTCTCTGTCTCACTTCACCGGTGAATCCTATGAATCCCTGGAGCGCATGCCATCCAGCACGTCTGTTGATAATGCTTCCAAGGAATCATTCATCCGCAAGATCACCCGCAAAGGCAGCTCCAGCAAGTTTAGTTCCTGGAAAGATCGCTCTGGACTGTTCTCTAAGAAGGGCGATTCCTCTCAAGGTGATATTGATGAGGATGAAGCTCAGCTGGGCAAAAGCGTGGACAGTACTGTCTCTAGCGTTATTTCTGGAGATCGATCTACCCGCAGCAGTCTTGGATTCTTCTCTCGCATGTCGCGACGGTCGGATAAAGCAAGCGAGACTAGTGAGGTGACTAATGAGCTGACAAGTCAAGCTGGTGATGAAGAGATCCCAGAGGTTGCTGAGATGTAACCCACTGGAGTCTCGTCCCTTTCTACTTTTTTTGAATCTGGAGTATATACCTCGGTTAGCCAAAGATACCTGCACGGGAATTTACATGGAAAATATGCATCCAACTATTGACTTTAACTCCGCTGGGATTTCCACCGTCTTAGTCTGTCCTAGTTTCCAAATACCGTAGTATAGAGACCATTCTCGTGAGATTGCGTAGCTCTAGCGGAGTAAATTGGCCGGTCATTGTGTGCGGGTAGCAATCGCCGCACAAAATGACTCGTTCTTCAAATCCAGTCTCTGCAACTCCAGACCCCCACCGTCCGAAAATATGGCAAACTCCAAGTAAGTAGTGTTCGAGTTCTCTTATCTATTTGAGGAAATTAATTTCAATCAGGTTCGAGTATGTCAAGGACTTCGAGCAGCCGGACATCCTACTCCCCAATACGTGGATTGTGGTACGAATCGATGGCAGAGGTTTTCACAAGTATGCAAGCTTTCCCATGTATCAGAACCTATGTTCAGTATCTCATGATTTTCCAGACTATCTGATCACTATGAGTTCATCAAGCCAAATGACCGCCGCGCGCTCGATCTCATGAATGCCGCCGCTGTTGAGGTCATGAAAGAGCTGCCGGATCTATGCATTGCCTACGGGGTCAGCGATGAGTTCAGGTTCGTTTGATATGATTTTCCCAGACTTTCATTCATTTATTAAGAGATGATCCCAGTTTCGTCTTCCACCCTACTTGCCAGCTTTTTGAGCGGCGAAATGCGTAAGTCCAGCATTCCTTTGAGGTTCTTCCCCTACGACGAATACCGTCAGTCTCAGTGCTGACTGATAATTCTTTCAACATTCAGGAAACTTGTGACTACCATTGTGTCAACCTTCACAGCTCATTACATCTATCTGTGGTCTACCTACTTCCCCGCCAGGCCGCTCCAGCCACCGTATCTTCCTTCCTTCGATGGACGGGCAGTTATCTACCCTTCCACACGGATCTTGCGGGACTACATGAGCTGGAGACAGGTTGACTGTAAGTTTTCCAAATGAAGCCGTCCTGCTCGGACTAGACTCGCTAAGTCGTATGTACCAGGTCATATCAATAATCTCTACAACACAACTTTCTGGACAATGGTCCTACAAGGCGGGATGAGTAACACAGATGCAGAGCAGGAGCTCAAGGTAGAGTCATCCATCATACAAGGTATTTTGTAAGATGATTGTTAACTCGATACTAGGGTACTGTCTCTGCGGACAAGAACGAGATTCTCTTCAAGCGGTTCGGCATCAACTACAATAATGAAGAAGAGATTTATAGGAAGGGAAGTGTTCTATACCGACAGGTGAGTGTTTGGTCTCCTTTCTGGCCTAGCTAGCTCTCATAGGGTTGTCTTCTAGTACGAACTCCAGGAACCAAAGCCATCCACGGGAGACGAAGAAAGTGCACCAGAGGTAAATAAGTCAAGATCTCAACAGGACAAACTGAAGAAACTTCGTCGGAAAGCACAGGTCGTGGTTGATCACATCGATATCATCAAAGATGATTTTTGGGAAAGGCGGCCTTGGATTCTATCCAACAAGCCGGGTACACTTCCAGCGCAGAATCAAGTCTAGGGAAAAAGAACAATTGACAATGAGAAATAACTGGTTCGATTCTATTCCTCGCCAAACGAAAGGGGTATCTTGATCACGAGGGTGGCGCCAAGTAAATGCCGTATGCCATCTATACATCCTGCTTTTTGTTGAAAATGCAATGCGCCTGTATGCAAAATAAGATGCAAATCAAGCCTTCTTGTCTTTCTTAGACTTCTTTTTGGAGTCGAGGTCTGCACCCTCTTTGTCTTTCTTGGGTGTTTTCTCCTTCTTGTCCTTCTTCTCCTTCTTTTCCTTCTTCTCTTTTTGGATCTTTGACGATGTCACCTCGTCAATCTCCATCATTTCCTCCTGTTGATCTGATTCTGTCGACATGGGAGTAGGGGGAGTAGGATAATACTCTTCGGCATCCGATCGCTTCGACTTCTTCTTCTCCTTCTTTTCCTTCTTTGCCTTGCGTCTCAACCGACGCTCCTCCTTGCTCTCCTTTGTAGAGTCACTAGAAGCAGAAGAGGCGACATCCTCGCCCCCCTTCATCTTCCTCCGCTTACTCTTTTCCTCTTTCCTCGCAGCCTTCTCCTCCTTCTTGGCACGACGATCAACGTCGTCATCTACATCGCGCTTCCTCTTCATTTTCACGAGAGATTGTTCCGAAGCAGCCTTGGTCTTCTCATCAATCGTTCCAGCCAGACACTCGCCACGCACGAAATTGCGGTACAATTCGCTGGTCAGCGCATTGTTCGTCTTAGCCGAAGTAGCCTCGTAACTGTCGTCGCCGACTCCCTTGAGCGCGTCTTCAAAGCCACGCAGCCACCACTGGTTTGTGGGGTCTTTGGTGGTTTTCTTGCCCACGCCGTGGTTATTCGCTTTGCGCGCGACAAGGATGGGTCTCGTCAGGCCTAGACCTCCATGCGCGCCTGGGCGTTGATTTGGGTTCAGGGGATTACCGGGGCCGGACCAGCCGTGGCGAATGAGGTATGCTTGGGCGTCCATTGTAGGGAGGTCGTGGAGGGGGGGTGCGGCCTAGGTGGTGAGGGAGGGTACGCGGAGGTTGATGCCGGGCCCGGAGGGTCGCAGAAGCAGGATCTGCGGGTTTATAGGTGACTGCACAGTCAAGTGCTTAAGTATTGGTCCTAGGCCGGTTTTGAAGAAGAGAGTATTCCGAGGAGGGGTGTCGCGAGGAAGATCGGACCCTGTGAAGATGAACAAAAAAGTCAACGGATAAGCAAGAAAAAAAATGCTTCCTTTACGATAAGGGATGCATTTTCTTTGATTATATTACATAGCCTGGCTCATCTACTATAAGCAAGGTCGCGTGGTCTAATGGTTATGATTTCTCGCTCACATGGATTTTCGTGTGCTTGCCTCGGTTTGTCCCGAGAAGGTTCCCGGTTCGATCCCGGGCGCGACCATTTTTTTGCCGACACAAAATACTTTCCAGGAATGAATGACTTCAGCGCTATCTACATTTTTTTTTATGACCTTCGTGTTCTTCTCCAAACAATTGAAAGGCTATTCTTCTGAGGTCAATAGAACATCGCTATGGCATCGAACTATGGCACTGTTTCATTCAAGATCCTGGCCAGAAAGCAAATAAACAACAAAGAGACTTGACCGACAATTATATATAGTAGTATTAAGAAAGCAGCTGAGGCAGATGGATGACCCCAACATTTGCATTTGTAGGTGTAGATCTGATCACAAACGTTGTTCAAAATTTCCGAAAACCTGATCCAAATAAACCCTGTAGAACACAAGTCCCTAGCTCTCAGTCTCAATGCGACAGAAGCAAGACGATCTAATAGGTACATCCGCCATAGCCAAAGCCAGCCTCAGCTGTGGTGCCAGAATCCGCGCCTCAGCAGCCCTACCGACTCTCAAAAGACACTCATGGTAACCATGCAAAGCCCAAACATTATTGATATGTCTCAGTGCACGAGGCAACGATTCATCGATACCCAGATCGGCAGCATAGATACCCATCGCCTCCTCGACACGTCCCTGTTCCAGCAATAGTGCACCCAGAGCATGCCGAGCAGGCTGCATCCAGCCCCAAGGTTCATCGTAGGGTAAATTATCATCGCGGTCCACTGCATCCCGCAGACGGGAAAATGCATAGTCGTAGTTTCCACTACGGTATGCGATTTCACCGTCAAGCATCGCCTCCCCGACGCCGAGGATATCGACGCAGGTATTGTTGAAGATAGTTCGGGAAGAAGGTACTAGCTTCATAGCCGCCTGGAAGTTGGTTTGCTCCTTCTTTGCATCATCGACACGGCCAGTAGCAGCGTAAGCTACCCCCTTGGCATAGTGAGTCATGGCCGTGGTAGTACAATATAGAACTCGGTCCATTGGAATGCTAAGCGCAATGATATCCTCCCAGCGACCAAAGCGGACAAGAGCATGCACGCGCGTCGCTATGAACCCTTCAAGCCAATCAGCTAAAGGGGGTGACTCTACACGGAGAAGATCCTCTGTGATAGACTCTGCCAGTTGTGTAGCAGTATCAATGGCAATCTTCGACTGGCCGCCCAGCATAGCAGCATACATCCGGAAATGGTAGTCGTGCGAGCGATAGAGATTATAGAAATGTCCCAATTCCTGATTACTTAGGAACTTCTCGTCTGCGCGGATGGCAGAGGTATTCGATGCTACTGCGCGGCGGTAGTCGCCGCATAGAATGTCTAGATGAGTTGGCATGTGCTCTAGGTGGCCTGCGTCTGGGACCAGGCCTCGGAGGTAGTCTGCTACTGGGAGTGCGGTCTCCGGGGTGGCAGACATTTCCATGAGATGGATGTACAAGTGTAGGAGACCTGGGTGTTGGAGTGCGTTGTCCCGAGTCAGAGCGCGGTCGAGCGCTTTCTTCACATCGAGAGTTCGGGCGCCGGAGGAAGGTCGGCCGGTTTTGAGGTCCCATAAACTCCAAGGTGTCAAGTTCATTAGTGCATCGGCATAGAGAGTCACAACGTCCAGGTCATCTGGAAAGTTCTGGTACACTGATTCCATGGCCTGGGCGTACTGATGATTCCACTCTGTACAATCATCGACAGGCTCGTTCTGCGGATAGCGGTATTGTAGTGCATCAATCAGAGCCCGCTCCACGGGTGCTGCCGTAGCCGCATGTTTCTTCGCCAAAAGCACCGCACTGTGAGCACGAGTCGTGGTGGTTGAGAGATCTTCTCCGTCGAAGAGTTTCCACGGTTTGTTATAGTTGGGACCCAAAGAAAGGGCGATCCCCCAGTATGCCATGGAGCACGTAGGATCCGCCATCCCCGCTTGTTCGAAGCAGCGCACCGACTCTTGGTGGTTAAAGGCATATGCCCAGATCAGGCCTCGGTTGAACCAGGCCTGTGCATCTTTGCTGGTGGTGCTGACCGTGCGATGGAATTTGCCAAGGTCGTAGTACTCCAGAGAAGCCGATTGCAAGACCGGCTTCCGTGTTTGGTACCAGATCCCAGGGGTCTCCAAAGCACTCATGGTTTGACGCGGGCGTTGACAGTGGCACATCGCGGGGATTCCATACGCGGCCAAGTGGGGCCACCTTAGTCCTTGAGCTTCACATTGATTTTGAGTCCTTGACTTGTATGGTTCTACTTCAATCTACGGTGTTTCTCAACGATCCATCATTGAGGACAATCTTGAGACTTTCTTTTCGTGCTCCCAATAGTCATTGGATCTTTGTTGAGACTTCCTAGTTCTTTCCTTTCTTGTTCTTTCCTAGGTCTTATGACATTTGAGGCGAGAATGACCCTGGCATGTCGCGACCGAGCCGATCACACTTGAAAGAGAGGACGAGACAAGCCGCAGTGGAGAATGCGGAGATTGAAGAAGGGAAGTCCACTGATCCACTGAGCACATTTGAGATGATCGGCACGACTTACCGGAATGGGCCAAATGTGCTCGATCTCGCGCAGTTGACCTTGATGGAAAAAAAAAAACACCTTGGTGGTTGCGCCTATTTATTATCTTCTTTTCTCTATTGAGTTTGCATATACAGATTCGTGTATAGCACTTCTCCTACTCTCCTCTTGTCGATTCTGCCTGTACAGAGCCTACAGTGTAAAGCACATCGGATTTCCTTTCTATTCTACTTTTCCCCTTCTTTCTCGAGCCTTACATTTGCATCTTTCCAGCATCAACATGTGTGGTGAGAGCAACCGCCCTACCTTTGGCGGCACCATTGCCGTGCTTTTCCCGCGGGACACTCGTCTGCCTTCAAATCCAAGCTCGTTATCCTCATCGCCAGACTCAATCGTCTCCTCGGCATCATCAACCTCGACTCTCTCATCCTATTCTCTCTTCTTCCGAGATGCAGAGACCAAGGGCCGCAACACGAAGGCCATTCTCCAGATCGACGATGAGGAGACCTTCGAAACACTGCGTGGTTGCGGACAAGTGAACATGCGCATCGAGTGAGTTCCCTTCTCTCACGAACCCAAAAATTATGGTAATTCTGACCATACTATCAAAAGGAAATATGGAGACCTCACCACGTCTTCACCAAATACACCACCACTGCACCAGTTCCAACTTGACCTAAGTCGGAACTACGGCCTCAAACCAGGCCACCGCCAAACTGAAATGGAGTTTGAGCTGCCCGAACGGCTGGACCTGGGTGTCTCAGAAAAGGGCGTTGTGGGCCGACAGGTGACGATGAGAGAAGCCGGCGGAGCGATTCTCGGGGTAGGAATCGTGGGATACAACTGAGCTTTCCTTTATTTCTTATGACTTGTTGATACACCATTTGCACATTTTATCATCTTAATTCTTGAATTTCTAAGCGCGATCCCGTAACGTGGATACTACTTCGATGATTGGAGGAAGGATAATAGGACTGATACTTTTCCCAACTTAAAGCTTCAACGGGTTCTCCACGCCAGCTGTGTAGCGCTTCTCGGCTTCGGCCCAGTTGATGATTTTCCAGATGCCCTCGACGTAGCTTGCCTTATTGTTGAGGTACTAGGATAAATGAGTAAGAAGTCCAGGCCCGAAGGATCCAGTCAGAACTCACCTGGAGGTAGTAGGCGTGCTCCCACATATCAATGCCGAAGATAGGGACATCACTACTGGCTACGGGATCCTGGTCCTTGGTGGTAACGATCTCCAGACGTCCCTTGGGGCCACCCTTGCTGACCAGCCATCCCCAACCGCTTCCCTGGATGCCGAGGAGCTCGGCACTGAAAGCTTTGGTGAAAGCATCGTAGGAGCCCCAGCGAGAGTTAATGGCGTCACCAAGTGCAGGTGCAGCACTGGCTAATTGATTACCAGGAGTACCGGGCGGCGTCAGGTTCTTCCAGAAGAGGGAGTGGTTGATGTGCCCACCGCCATTGAACTTGATCTTTTGTTGCAGGCTGATCAGAGCAGGGACATCATTGGTCTGTGTTGCGGAGACCTGAGCCGAAAGAGCGGCGTTCAAGTTATTGACGTATGTTTGATGGTGCTTCTGGTGGTGAATCTCCATGATCTGCTTCGAGATGACGGGCTCGAGAGCCTGGCCAGTGAGCTGGGAGTTTCCAGGAATTTGATGAGAAAGTCCTGACTTACATCGTAGGCGTAGGGAAGAGGAGGGAGGGTGTGAGTCTGGGCCATGGTGGATGTGAAGTTGAAGAGATGAGAACTGAGAAGTGAAAGTGAAAGAAAGCTATAAGGGTGTGGTCTCCAAGGTCCTCCAGAGTACCCCTCTTAAATCGATCACCAAGGTGACCAAGGTGGGATGTCGACATCACCCACCTATGCTTTGCACACGTTGTGAGCGAGTTTGCGGAGTTTGCGCGGATACTAGTTGCGAAAGATTGAGCACGTTTCGGGCCCACCGTGCCTTATACACCCTCTGATTCGGCCGTAGTGGGAAACTTGCTACGATGGCCTGTGTTTTCGCTTGCATACAACAATGGCAGTACTTTTTCTGGCATATAGCTTGCCATTCGGTTCATAGTCCATCACCAATGGTCGTCGATCATACAGTCTAGATCCTCGAGAAGAAAGGCCATCGTGCATCATTCACTAGGGCGAGAAGGGCAGCCTCCTTCAACCACTTCATCGCTGCAGCTCCACAAAACCACTACAATCTAATAGGTACATCATTCAGATAATAACCTGAAGCTTGTCAAGATTGAAGAAATGTCGTGGAAGAACCGCAAAAGGTCCATGGTGATATTAGTAATCACCTCCCCGGTTTCCAGTCCAGGATTTGCGGGGTCTCGGCTGCAACGACTTTGGAGAGCCTCGGTCCAAATCGAGTATAACAGCCGGATATGAACTTCTCCCCTGAGCTCCAGCTCAACTCGCAACAACAATGTCGGCCACAGAACAAGTCAAATTAGCTGAATTTTCAAGCATCTTCTCCCTCGAGGGAAAGGTCGCCGTCGTGACCGGTGGCTCGCGCGGCCTGGGACTGCACGCTGCTTCGGGGTTCGTATATCCATCCTCAACTGGCAATTGCCGATGAAGTTACAAATTACATCATAGATTCTAATCTTTTGAAAAACAGCCTTCTACAAGCCGGTTGCTCCAAGGTGTACATCACCTCCCGCAAGAAGGATGCCTGCGACGAAGCTGTCGCCGCGTTAAACGCCCTGCCGAACAAGCGGCCCGGCGCCCAAGCCATCTCCGTGCCAGCGGATAGCTCCCGTATGGACGAGCTGGACCGACTGGTGGCCGAAGTGAGCAAGACAACCGATCATGTCGATATCCTGTTTGCCAATGCCGGCGCGACATGGGGCGAGAAATTCGATACGCATCCCGAGAAGATGTTCTCCAAGGTCATGGATTTGAATGTGAAGAGTGTCTTCTACACTATCCAAAAGTAAGTTTTTTGCAATGATGGAATTTCCAACGCTTGACCTGACCAAGACAGGTTCACCCCCTTGTTGACGGTCAAGGCGTCGCGTGCCGAGCCCTCAAGGGTCATCATCACCGCCTCAGTGGCTGGTATTGGCATTGGTACCGTTGGTGAAAACGCCACGCCTAGCTATTCTGCTTCCAAGGCGGCTGCCATTCACATTGCGAAAAATCTGGCTGTCGAGCTTGGTCCGCGAAACATCCTGACTAATGCCATTGCACCGGGTTTCTACCCTTCTAAGATGGCTAGTGGTCTGATTGAAAAGAAAGGTGGGTTGAAGGAGATTGAAGAGTACTCGCCCAATGGTCGTTTGGGCAAACCGGAGGATATCGCGGGTCTAGTTGTGTTCTTGGGATCGCGGGCTGCTAGTCACCTCAATGGAGCGGTGATTACCACTGATGGTGGTTCGCACCTGAAGGGAAGATTGTGAGGGATAATTCTCCTATATAGGCTCACATGATATCAATGCATGTCTCTACGATGATTTTCATGGGTCGGATGATTTTTCCTAAAGTTCATCAGGCCATAACTATGTACAATGTCGTGGGGGTTATTTAAAGCTTGGCAACGAGAGAGCCGCCTCCTTGCACTGCCCGATCAACGATTTCCATGGCCTGGAAAAGTTCATAATCATGCAGCTTCGGTGTGACAACCTGGACACTGAGCGGTGAACCCAAGTACACGCGACGGTCAACTGTTTTTTTCGTCCCCTATCGTTCATTCCATTAGTGAAATCCGCAGAGCAATCACCCAAAAGGAAACACTTACATAGTTTCCGATTAGCTTGATCCCAGCTTCCCAACGTAGGCACATCCATGGCCTTGCCCAATTCCAAGTCAGACTCCGCAAATGGCCGCACAGGTACCGTGCCAGCTGGATAATCCAGCATTACAAATGTCGATGTATACCCAACGGCATTGTACCGATCTAGTTCGGGAACCGGGTGTGGTGCGATGGGACACACAATAGCGTCGACTCGTCGAGTATGACCCGCATTCAAAGTCCACATCTTAAGCATCTCTTTCTCAATCTCCGCACGTTGAGCCTGGAGCTGTGCCAATTGCTTGATGGTGAGTGCCTTGCCACGCTTCATGCGGCCTTGCAGCCAGGGGATCAAAGCTTCCCCTTGGCCCTCAACAAGATCAAGCATGGTGGAACCATCATCCACGCCCATGAGACGACCCGCGAGGCCCTGGCATTTGGGCAGAACAGGAGGAACGGGAATATCGACGACTTCGATACCAGGAGTACGCCGTAAATGCTGAGCCACTTCATCTAAGATGCGGGTGATTGGGGGCAAGGGAGTGACAAGGCCATCTGTCTTGAGGATACCAATAGTGAAGTTTCGTGGAGGAGCCAAGGAGATTGGGACAGGGGGCGCAGGCCAATAGCCCGGAATACAATCCTCACCAAATAATTCCGCACGAGCACGATCTCCGCCATAACGGCTGCGAGATCTGCGACCGAGCGGGCTAGTGGACCGGCAACTGCCTGCAAGGCGATCCGGCCCTTACCAGCAAGCTGACCACTTTCCTGACCACCGTAGGGTACGCGGCCTTGGCTCGGCTTGAATCCATAGATTCCCTGGCACATTGCAGGTACTCGGATGCTCCCGCCAATGTCGGTACCAAACCCAACCATCGATCCGTGCATAGCGAGCAGGACACCTTCACCACCGGTGCTACCACCTGCCGTCCATTGACGATTGAGTGGGTTGAGTGTGCGACCGAAGAGGTGATTGCAGCTATCGAGTGTCGCGAGAGTTTGGGGGACATTTGTTTTGGCGATGACAATGGCACCGAGGGATTGGAGCAGGTTCACGAGATCGGCGTTGACTTTTGCGGGCTTGAATGCCAATGCAGAAAGACCAATACTAGAGTCGACGCCCTCGATGTGGAACGAATCCTTTACTGAGACGGGAAGACCGTGCAGAGGACCGACGGGATTACCGGTACGCTGGAGATGGTCGTCCAATTCCTGAGCTCGGCGAATGGCACGATCGAAGAGGGGCTCGGTCAGGCATCGAGTGAGTTGCTGAGCGATGGCTGCTCTCTGGAGTCCTAGAATTAGTTTGTCGTTCTTCTAGAGACAGGGTATTTTGGAGGCTTACCTTGCAGAACCCACGTACCACCTCTTCCGCCTTGAATTTACTTTCGGTCATCATGGATACCAACCCGCGGACATCGTATTTCTCGGTAATTTCGAGTTCCTTAGAGCTGAGAAGCCCACAGGTACGAGGGATGTCCATCACATTGAACCGGCTATACTGCTTGGGACCCTCGGTGATTGACTCAGCGATTGTGAGCATCCCCCGGGGGAATGATGTGTGCCGGCAGTCGCCATTCTTGAGGAATAGCTGCAGCCAGCTCGGCTTGCTTGCGCTCGGCAATCGCCACGTAGGGTGGTTGTCGTGAGGCCATGGTGGGTTGTAAGACGAACAGGGGAGGCCCGCAAAGTTAAGCTACGGTGGGGTAGGGAATGCGGAGAAGCTTCGGTCAAGATTTAGCCTCGGTTCAGGGCAACACTCTGATTTATTGGAATGAAGTCTCCTATCTGAAACTAAAATCGTGAAACATCCCTTCCAAAAAGACGATTCAAAGTCCACCTGAACGCCACTCGGAACTTGTTTCGCCAACTAATAGTCATCGAGATGTATGCCATGTTCCACATCAAAGAAGCCATGCGCCCCGTCAGTCCATGGGGTAAGTATTTGCTGCGTGAGCTGTGAGGGTCGTGGGGCATTTGCATCAAAGCCTTCTCGCTTCCAATATACGCCATAGTGCCCAAGTTTCTGAAAGAGAATGGCGGAGTGTCATCCAAGTCCCGCTTGTTCAGATGCGAAGCCAACCATTTGGCTTCTTGGAAGGTCGCCTGTGCAGTCGCAGGAGGAGCACCAGTCTCTGGGGTGGCATTGTCGCCCAAAGCAAAGACATCCTTTAGCACTGCTGTCTGTCCATCTTGGTTCTGGAGTTGTACTCGAAGATGGCCGTCGACGAGCAAGGGACTCTTGTTAGAAATCTTTTTATATTCCCATGACTGACTGAGGGCAGTCGATAAGTTCAAGCTAGAGTCCATGGTATGAATAGACTCTGTTGGGAATGCATCGATCTTGCTCAGGGTGTTATTGACCAACCTGGTCATCGCGTTGCCCGTGACCCAAACACACATGCCGACGCCCACGGCGCCCTCTTCTTCAGTGTCCAATGTCAGGCACCGCTTGGGATCCATTTCATAAGGAGGAGGAGCATCCGGTGGGCCCCAGCGTAGGCCCTTGACATGGTGAGATGTCTTGATATCAATACCCTCGCCCTTCATCGTCTCCATGGCATATCGCGCGAGGGATTCGTCAAACATCGATAGAACTTTGGGCGCAACATCATAGAGACTGAGCTTAGGAATCCCCTCAAGAGCCGGATACAACTTCATCATGTCCTTGTAGATAAAGTCTCGCAGTGATGCCGCCAACTCAGTACCGGTGGGTCCGGCACCTACAATAGCGAAATGAAGTAACCATTTCTTCATCTCCGGGGTGGTAGTCGGCAGCACAGCGAGCTCGAAGCATTCGCGCACGCGCCGCTTGACTCTTTTGGCATCTCCGACATCTTTGAAGAACAGTGCATTCTCCCGGACTCCCGGGGTCCCAAAGGTGCGACTGACGGCACCGACGGCAATGACGAGTTTATCGTAAGGGACCTCGAATAATTCTCCCTGCTCCCATGCGCGCAGCTCTTTCATCGGGTGTTTTGAGGTAGTCTCGACACCGTCATCAACTTGTCTTTCATCATCTTGAGTGCGGGATGACTCGGTGACACCACTTCGGACCACGGTCGCTTCACATGTAATGGTCTTTTTCTTGAGGTCAATGGCACGGGCGGCGGCTTGAAAAAAATCAATCTTGGCATGTGAATCGCGCACAGGCTCAACAATGTTGGAGAAATCCAGGGACCCACTAGCGGCGTCGGTGAGAAGAGGCGTGAATACAAAATAGGACCGTGGAGAGATCACAATGGGTGAGTAAATCTTGGGAGAGAGTTTACGCGACAAGGTATATCCGCCCCAGCCAGATCCAAGAATTACTACGCGCTCCTTCTGGTGATCTAGATTGGGTATCGCTTCGGAGTGCTCGACGTGTGTTGCAAGAAACCTGAAATGTCCATTTGAGTGAGTCAAGAGGTGTTTGCATGTCGACGATCGGACATAGACAGGCTGAAGTCGCGCGACACCCAGTAGCCTGGAAGGCATGATGATCGGGAGTGATTGTGAGAGAGGGTCAAAATGGCATTGGTGAGCAATTCATAATGGGATTCTGGGATCTATTAACGACAGGAGCTTCCAGGTCTGTTTTACACTTCCGGTGACCCATTCATGATGATCTCATCGGTTCATCCTCGGTAGCCTCCATCCTGGAACAAGCCCAAGGGAAACATCGGGACCCGCGGGATAATCTGGGATCCGGTATCCACTCGGCTTCGGAATCCTGAGCTCCCGTAGACATTCTATCATCTCTGGTTGGGAGTGTTTGTTCTTCAAGGGGAATATCGGAACCCTTCGGAGCGATCGGTGAGAGGTACAGGCACGTGTTACTAGTGTCCGTCGGGAGATTCAGGCACGGAGTTTCGCCATCCACATGTCATGAAAGCTTTGCATTTGTTTTGAGAAGCATTGGACATTAGTGGTGAATGTGGTAGGAGACGAAGTAAGAGGATTGCTGGAATAAAATACCGTCACGTGATATATACGGCTGTGCCTTGATGCCCCACAATCATACGACTGCTATCAATTAAAGTAATTAAAGTAATTCAAGTGCTAAACAAGATCTAGCATGAAGAGACTGATCGAACGTCTCGCCGTTACTTTGAGGGAAACCATGGAAGCTTTACTCTCCTCGACACTACACATAGTAAAAATTTCCTCACCGCAAAATCATCTTCATGTGATGGAGGGTTTGCTCTTTTTTATCTGTTGGCTCTGCTTCCTTTGTTTAAACTCGTTCCATCCTATAATTGGGCATTTGAGATCTCACATGGAAGCTATAATGCTCACTCATCTATCATGTGCAATACCGAGAACGCTATAAAAGAACCGCAAAACTAGTGGTCTCGAGTATGTTGGAAGTCCCTAGGCCCGCCGAGGTAGCATCTATTGTAATGAGAGCAGAATCTCATCTATCGAGTATTGAAAATATGAAATGTAAACTCATCTGTCTACTGCACTACTCTTCCCCAGGTTGCGCAGGTGGTGAATATATTTGCTAGTGTAAGAAATCCAAAAATTGAGATATCCAATCATCTCGTTCTTCTTGTCCTCCAGAATCATTTACAACCAATGATCTGCATAGCCAAACATGCCTGAGCTTCAAGACACGCGGTCTCTTTGACATTTGTGATTGTGGCGCGTAAGGGTGGCGCAAGCCGATGAGTCAGAATCTCGGATATAGGCTCAGATCTCCCGATTAAGCTAATTCCATCGCTACTCCGCGTAATTTTTTGCCTCCCCGAGCTTTGAAGCTTCTAGTTTCTTCGGAGATGGTATCCTGTGGTGTGATTACTCACAGTCGATGCTATCCTCTGGCTTCTGATTGCTCAAGTCAGTTATCAGGGTTTCGGGTCCCTCCTTCGGACGTCGGGCTTTTCAAGGCAACATGATTGTAATGGATTTGTTCTTGCAGAGGGTGGGTGGCTAACTTGGGGAGTCGTCACCGTGGCAGCCTGTGTTCATGATGTATAAAACCAGTTGAATTCCTCACCGTGGAATCTTGATCCCATCATTTCGGTCCATTATTCTGAACTACTTCATCTTCTGATCTTTTTTCAACCCAACTGTCTCTATTAAAAACACGTCTTATCTTTATACTTCAACTGCAACTTTGACTACCGATTTTAATATGGCTTCCATATATGATCTCAACCAACCAGCAAATCCGTGGGATCAGTTCATGACTGGCCTTGAGGATCACCCTTTCTTCGCCGGTCCGGGTCACCGCCGTGGTCCCCCTCATACCCATGCACACGGTGGCCGAGGTGGGCGTGGTGGTCGTGGACATCACCACGGCCCGCCAGGCTTCTGGGGAATGGGCCACCATGGCCGCCCTCACCACTGGGGACCGCAGAACGACGACAGTGCCGATGCCCCTGAAGCATCCCGCTCCGCAGACCAAACTGTCGAGCCAACCCCAGGCCCATCGACCGAAGAGGCCAAGATGCCCTCTGGCGAAAAGGTCGTTGGCTCAGCTTCCGAATCTGAAACTGACGGCGACAAGCGTGGCCATGGCCGTTGTGGCAAGGGAAAGCACGGCAAGCATGGCATGGGTCACGGTGGACCTCACAAGGGCAGAGGATGCGGCAAGGGTCGCCATGGACCAGGCCATCACGGTAAGGGCTTCCACGGTCCTCCCGGTGGTGGACCCTTCGGCGCATATGGCCATGGACGAGGCCCTCATGGGTTTGGACGTCACGGCCGAGGCCGTCACCACGGCCCTCCCAGTGCCAACTTCGACTTCCTGCGCCAGCTGGCCAGTCAGTTCGGGTTCCCGGTTGATACCCCTGAGAAGGATGTCGACTTTGTTCCATCCGTTGATGTCTTCGACACCCCTACCGATTACATTATGCACGTCACCCTCCCAGGCGCCAAGAAGAATGATCTTAGCATCGACTATGACGCCGAAGAGTCTGTTCTGAGACTTGCTGGGGTCGTGTACCGCCCCGGTATGAGCGAAGAACTGCACCAGGCTCTGGCAATGGAAGAGCGATCCCGCGAGGTCGGCGTCTTCCAGCGCGAGATTCGCCTTGGGACGCGCGAGGCCCCAGCCTTTGTTTCTGTCGATGAGATCACTGCCAAGCTGGAAGATGGTATTCTGACGGTGATTGTGCCGAAAATCAAGTCAGAGACCGAGTCCAAGAAGAAGATCATCGTTGAAGACGGTGATGTCGTGAATGAGAAAGACGGAATGCATGTTGATGAAGCGACTTTGACTCCAGAGGGAAGCGACGAGGAGGAAGAGACTAGGGAATATGTCAAGATCCCCGTGCAGTAGCCGGGATCTGGTTTGTGTGATTTGTGCATTTACCTAATTTGTCAATGTTATCATTTTTAGTTATTGTTGTTATCTGCGCTTAATGAGCAAAGTCCGCTCCGTGAGTGGCATGAATTCCACATTTGCCTCCCTCTGATCTATTACCATACTTAGAAAATGCTTGCTCTCATGGCATCTTAGTAGAAGAAAACGCCTTTTCGAACTAGATGAATCGGACTGATGGGCCGTGCGGGGCCATTCCCGATCGAGAAGGACTTCGATGCTGTGGCTGTGTTATGATCAGAGGCCCCTGCACCGCAACGTCATGGCGAATTTCCCCTTATTTCTCGAATTGGCGACTCGAAAACAGGCTCAGGAGATTGGATGATGGAGAATCCTAAAAACACTCGCTGGAAACCTCTCAATCTTCGCATGATACCCGAGGTGTTGATCAATTTGTCCCGTCATCAAATCCCCTACTACCCCTGCGACTTCCAGTCTAGAACACAATGACAGGGCATCCGTTGAAACGCAGCTTTACAGCAGCAAGTCTGGACTATCTGGGGGCACGGTATGTTGGTGCAGGCCCCGAAGCATGCAGCTACACAACACAAGCCATAAAGATCCCTATGACCGATGGCGTTAAGCTGGCCGCTGACTTCTACGCACCTGAATTGCCCAAAAACCGTAAGCCTGCGGGTCTAATTATGATCCAGTGCTGTTATGGTCGAGGCTCAGGAATCTCGTTCATTAACGCCCGCATCTTCGCTGCTCGAGGCTACCAGGCTCTTTTTGTCAGCACACGCGGCACCCATGGTTCAGAGGGAACGTTCGACCCAGGCAGCAACGAACAGGCCGATAGCCAGGATATTGTCGCGTGGATGCGCCAGCAGCCTTGGTATCCTGGCTCCTTCGCGACCCTGAGGTGCGTCATATCTCGGCTACAGCCAGTGGGCGCTTTTGCACAACCCGCCTGCCGATTGCGTCGCAGCTGTTATCCCAGTTGCGCCTCATGATCAGGCCTGGCATGCCTGGGGGACCGGGTCCTTTCGACTTGATCGCGTAGCCTGGAGCGACATGATGTCTAGGGCTGATGACGAGAAGGGAAGCTTTCTCTCACGGCTGGCAAATATGCCGGGGTTGAGCATTTTCCGATCGTCGGAGCTTGAAGAGGCTGTGGCTGGCCTGCCACTGGAAACTAGCTTGCAGAAATACTTCGGCGACAAGGCCCCATGGCTCTTTGAGTACTTGAAACATCCCAACGTTGAGGATGACTACTGGAAGTCACGGCGACACCATGTTGCTCTTGAGCGTGCGAAGATCCCCATCCTCCTAATCAGCGGCTGGTACGACACATTCACGTCGCAAACAATGCACCAATTTCAATGTCTCTACGACCGAGGCGTAAATGTAAGCCTCGTGGTCGGCCCCTGGACTCATGTTCAAGGTTCGGGTCTATATTCCATGCCCGAAATACTAGCCTTCCTGGCTGAGAATGTTGCGAAAACCGAGGATGCGCGACCAGGTCGGAAGGAACCGGTATCCAATGCATGTCGGGCCCGCATCTTCATCACAGGCTCCCAGGAATGGCGCTCAATGCCTACCTGGCCTCCAGACACTCGACCGAAGACCTTGTTTCTACAAGAAAACAACGGTATTGGAGCAGAGCATCCTGTGCAGGACACAAGCCCTGCTTCCTTTGTCTTCGACCCCCTGAGGCCAACCCCTAGCATTGGAGGCAATCGGATGTCTTCTGGTGGACGCGTGGACGACAGCGCCTACGCAGACAGATCAGACGTACTCGCCTTCACGAGCGAGCCTCTGTCTGAAGACCTCGAGGTCTTGGGTACCCCATCGGTTTGTTTGATGCACAGAAGCGACCCACCCATTGCAGACCTTTTCATAAGGCTCAGTGAGGTTGACGCCTGCGGCGTGTCCCACAATATAACTGAGCTATATCGGGCGCTTGACCCGTTGCGTGACATGACTAAGCCACTGACCCTGAATCTACAAGACTGTGCTCATCGATTTAAAGGTGGCACGCGTATGAGGCTTATTGTAGCGGGCGGTTCATTCCCAATGTATGCAAGAAGTCTTGGAATCGAGGACCGGCTGCGTGGTGATAAGACTATTCCTCAGAAGCATACTATCACTATCGCTGGTGGAGTATCGCAGCTTGTGCTGCCTGCTGCTTCTCTTGTTTGATTGCCAATTTCAAGTACCATTCTGCGGTGGTGGTTTGCGGTTCGCATCTAGAAGGCAAGAAAGACCGAGAAAGGTTCTCTGGTGTGTTTTTCGGTACAAATACCATGGTATCGTTCAGATATGGTTCCGCTTTGACATCAAGCTATAGCAGATTTTGAAAAACAAAAGCCTTTTACCTAGTCCAAGTATTCATCAATCGCGTCCAGAGCTGCCTGCACCTTCTCCGGAGGAGCGGTTACGTGCATCCGGACGAACCCACGGAAGTCCTGAGCAGCCGCCAATCCAAAGGCGAGACTTCCAGGGGCCAGCAAAACGCCCTTCTTCTCCTTCAACCTCAGACAGAATTCAACATCGTCGACAGGGGCTCCCTTCGAAGAGAATCGTACGAAAGCTGTCGCTCCTGAGCTTGGTTTGATCCACGAAACACCTGCGTGTCTATTGACGAAGTTTTCCAGGAGGCTGAGATTCTTCTGAGCTATTGCTAGATGCTTCGCCAGAATTTGAGGCCGGCATCGATCACTCAAAGCCTCCGCAGCGATGACCTCATCAATGCTGCCTACGGCCATCATCGTATAGAGACCCATATTCAAACAATCGGAGAGAATTTTGGCGTTTTTCGTTGCGATCCAGCCTACTCGGGCACCAGATAGTCCCCAGACTTTGCTCATGGAGCTGGTGACAATCACCGTGTCAGACTCTTCCGACAGCTCCACAAACGAGGGCGGGTTTGTCGAGTCGTGGAACAATGGGCGGAAAATCTCATCAACCAGAAGGATTAGACCCTGTTCACGGGCCAGGGCGACTATTGCGTGTTGCATTCCGAGACTCAGGGTAGTACCTAGGGGGTTATTGGGGTTGTTCAGCACAATCATTTTCGTGGTGGGCTTGATCATGTCCTTCAACTGCTGTAGATCTCCCTGGGCTTGATTGTTTAGATCAAGAGCCCAATATGTGATGTTCTCTCCAACAGTGGCTTTGGGGATAGACAGAAGCTGGGTATATGAAGGATACATGGCAACGACATGATCGCCAGGCTTGAGCAGGCTTTGGAAGACAAGCGAATTGGCACCTGTTGCTCCATTCGTCGCGAGGATGTTCTCTGCCGTGACTCCATCGTAGAGACGGGAGATCTCCTGCCGAAGACTTAGACTGCCATTCCTGGGCCTAGAGTCAACTTCAACGACTCCACAGACAGATTGCGGGAAGTTGTCTGCTTGTCTGAGGAAAGCTCGATCAAGTCCTGAATGGACAAAGCGGGACTTGCACTTCCAGCCAAAACAAGAGATGCGTCGAGGGAATGCTTCGAAATCCACTGGCTTTGGTGTCAGCTAGGACATGAATGAAGAGTTGACGCTGTCGCGCACCTTGGGAAGCTCGAAAGACTCAATATGATGCATCATGATGACAATGTGTAACAGGATGTAGTGGAAAAGGACTACAATAGGCGCAGTCATGCTTTTATAAAGAAAACTGTGACGCATCATCCTGAATCACGTGCGGTGCTGTCAAAGGGCGTGATAGCGGACCATTCCCGAGAAGCAGATGCTTCCCCAATCTGGTTCTGGGGGCTGCATCCATTCTATGAAGTTATCACCACGCAATCTTTCTATATAGCTGGAGAGCCGATGGTTCCCTGTACTATCCAACCCATTGAACCGAGACTGAACAGCCTTCGACGTTTCGATTTCTTCAATCCCCATGGTACCTATGACTCACGGGGGTTTCTCCCAGATAAAGGACCGTACCTGGACCTTGGTTACTGGCGGCCCTCTCTATAAGAATTGTCGGCGGCGCAACTATCGTACGGTATTCCAAAGTCAATAAGAAGAAGATATCCAACTTCTAGATTGACCGATTCAAAACCCACCGCCTCGGCCAAACCAGCCACTCCTGAAATCCGGGATGCATCTTAGCCTCGATATCCTTCAACAGCTCACGGCCCATGCCGGTCATATACCAGAAATCATTCACGATATGAAGCAGTACACAATAATGAGCCAGCAAAACCAGAGCAGCGGGGTGGTGTGAGATCAAGTGATCGTGAAACCGCTTTGACAGCGGATAGGCCCAGAGAAAGACCATGCCGGTCTCTACGTGCGGGCCTGCTAGTTCAAGTTGGCGGACTGAGACTTCAAAGAACTTCATGGCCACTTTGTAGTCTTTTCGGATATCTACATTTTCTTGTGCAGATTCGTCGCTATTGGGGTCTTGATGAGGGGACTCAGATGGGGTTTGCGGGAACGGATATTCGTCGATGAACTTATGAAGTCGAGCGACTTGGGTCCAAACATCCGGGGGAAGTAAAGATTGAGCAAGTAGAGCGGGGCTATTAGGTAGGAGTAATGGAATCAGTTGCTGGCTCTTCACAGTTTGAAGTGAATGACTGCTTACCTCGAAATGATGGGATCATCCTCGAGCCAGACCGAATTCACGATGGGACCAAGTTTTGATTTCTGGAGAAAGCGCAGAAATGGCTTCATCACTGCTTGGAATCCCTTGACACTGGAAAACATTTCTATCATGTCGTTTAATGGAGAAGGCAAACGATCTGCATTGAGTCGAATTGTGGCCGATGAAAGATGCATACAGATCATTGAGGAAAAGCAGTACACCGGTTGCCAGTTATCTCGGTCAATAGGTGATGATATGAGCTCTCTGAATTCTTTCAGACCAGCGGCAAGGTGGTATGCCGAAGCCTTGGTATATTTGTCTTTCTGGGCTGGATAGAGGTACGCGCGATGAATGGCAGCGATGGCCAGAATCCCGTTCATGACATACTTGTTTGCGTACCCCTCGGTGGGTATAATCACCCGCCAGACATAACGTACGTCTTCTCGACGAGTGAGGGTATCGCAAGTCACAGAACAGTAATGGTGCATCAGTTCCGCTACCATCCCCCAATCTTCATAGGTCACTGGCGCATCATGATTCGATCTGGGAAGAATCCCTAGCAAGTCAAGTCTATTCGGAGACCCAACTGCGTCCTCAGGAATTGCTAGTTTCACAAGGAAGTCGCCTTGCGGAGTCGGCGCTTGGCTCACAGGATGTGGGAGTGAAGATGGCTGAGCATGCGCCCGCGACTCCGACGCTGGGGATGCACTGAATGTCGGTGTTCTATATTGCTCGGTCCGAACCACAAAAGTACATGAGATACCATGTTTGACGCAGTTGGTACATGGGTATCGCTCATCACACTAGAACTCGCATCAGAGGATGTCGAACGTGGACGAAAAGGAACACACCTTGAGTCTCCGCCTTTTGCATTCGGGACAACCGTTACGCGACTTGCGATGGGACCTGCGCGGGCCCATGCTGATACCAAAGCACACGTTCTAGAAGAATAGAGTGGGATAGCGGCGCAGTTGGATGTTGTAAGAACACGGATAAGAAATCGAATACGATTTCGATTTCGAATTCGGATACGGATTCGAATTCGAGGACCCACCGACCCACGCTTGGCCCTGAACCGCTTCAAATGCGCGACTCGCCAGGCATTCCTATTTTATTTCAACAAATAAAAAGCTCTTTGATGCTCAATTGTGGGCTGTCTATTTTCAGCTTCGGTATCCTAGATATTCTACACCAATGACACTTCTTATGTTCTGAATTGAATCACCCACCATAGTCTTGGATTTTGGCCCTGGAGTAGCTTGGATCTAGTGCGAAAGGATCCATGCGAGGCTGACACGGCTAATTGTGGCTTAAGTAGCAGTCAACCCACATTTAAACCCCCCAGATCCCCTATGTTATCAATATATCTTGATACCGTCAAGACCCCTTACATCTCAAGATGCAACACGATAATCTCTATGGCTACAAGCCATCCATTGCGGCCGGTGTGATCTTCATCATTCTCTTCGCTCTCACAACGGCCTATCACATATTACAACTGACGAAAGCCAAATCCTGGTACTTCATTCCTTTCGTAATCGGAGGAATTTGTAGGTTGCCTCAATGAAGCAGACTTGACCGCAAGACGCTAATGGGTGACAGTCCAAATCATCGGCTATATCTGCAAATGCCTCGGTCATGATAACCTCACATCCGTGACTATCTATGCTCTGCAGTCCGTGTTGATCTTGCTCGCCCCGCCGTTATACGCCGCATCGGTATACATGGTTCTCGGGCGACTTGTCACGTACCTACAAGCAGAGAAGTCAAGCCTAGTCCCTGTCAAATGGGTGACCAAGCTCTTCGTCGCCGGCGACGTTTTCTCTTTTATGCTCCAATCAGCCGGTACGTCAACGCCTCTCTACTATTCACTATGATAGTAATCACTCATATACCTACAGGCGGTGGCCTCATGGCCGGCAGCTCCAGCAGCATGCGCACCACCGGATCCAACGTTGTGATCGGTGGTCTAGTGGTACAACTCCTATTCTTCGGCTTCTTTGTCGTCGTCGCAGCGGTATTCCATTATCGCATCACGAAATCCCCAACAATAAAATCTACAAACGAGCGCCAAATGACACGAGGCCAGGGCTGGCAGCAGCGCAACTGGGTGACTGTCCTAATGGCTTTGTATGTTGTTAGCGCGCTCATTTTTGATCAGGTCGATTTTTCGCCTCATCGAGTACAAGTATGGGTTTGATGGATATCTCATGACGCATGAGGTGTTTGGTTACATCTTTGATGCACTGTTGATGTTTGTTGCCATGGTGGTGATGAACGTATATCATCCTGCTGTCATTCTGGGCAATGGGAAGGGGGAAATTCTCAAGATTCTGAAGAGATGCAGTTGCCTTATCGGTGAAGGTAATGCTACCACAGTGGCTGTTGTTTGAAGTATGTTTCCTTACGACTTCTGTTTGAACGGACAGGAGTAAGGCGTATTTTGATTCAAAGGCATTGTAATACCATGATGAACACGCGTCAATCTCTGCACACTCCTTCTTCTACCAACGACCCAATTTCATGTCACCTTTGGAAGGTTCCAGGGTTTAAGTGACACTGGTCTGCGTCACCGAACTAGGTAACGGTATCACTGTATGGAGATTCTCAAGATCATGAAAAAATTTTGTGTTTCATTCGTGTCCCCCTTCATTTATTATTAAGATGAGGCCAGCAATAATAGTCCCGTAGCATACCCACACCGCTTCAACACCGAAGCGGTGTGGGTATGCTACGGGACTCTTTAGACAGGGCTGTCAAATTTTGTCCAAACATTAACGCGTGCGACCCCCAGTATCAAGCAGATCATATCTCATAGAATCATGTATAGGGCCTATAATCTGCACTACGACGTAATTCATAGCTTTTCCGCATATTTCCATGTACCAGCCCATTTGCATATGGATCTAATCTCCTCGACACTCCAGTACCGCGAGTCGAAACAGGCAGCAAGCTAGGCCCATAATCCAGCTCACCGCTCCGACGCGATCGCGCCAAGCTGATTATTTTCTCAAACTCCAGTGTCTGGAGCTGAATATCGCGGTCTGATGTCGGTACAGGCTCATTCTTGCGAGATAGCCAGCGACGTCCCATGCGAAAGAAGTCGCCGATGTCGTCCACCGAAAGAGCCAGGAAGACAAGGGGGATGGAAATGGCGAAGCCAACGCCGAAGGTGTATTTGGCCACGTATGGGAGGTTCAGATTACTGAATTCTTTTAGGTTGATGGTGAAGATAGAGGTGATGAAGGATAAAGGCAGGAAGACGATTGTGACGATGGTGAAAACCATAATTGTCTTGCTTTGGCGGGTGGTTCCTGCTGCCTGGTCGCGAGCAAAGCGGGCTTCAAAGGCATTGGCGTGTTTTTGCTTGAGGTCGAGTAGATCGGTGATGGAGTGGTAGATACGTTCAGCCTGCTTGTCCATACGCTCAATATCTTTCAAGTGCATGTCGATCATGCGCTGCTGGTCCTTAAATCGTTTCTTAACTTCGTGTTGGGAGCGGTGCTGCCCTTGGTAAATCTCGCATATCACTTCTTGAAAATCTTGGAGGACGTGCTTTTGGTGGTCGAGCACAGTGCGAATCATGTTCAGCTCATCCCGAATATCCTTAGCCTCTGCAAGAAGATCTGTCTCTTCGCCAATGTCGAGGAGTCGGTCGACAAAGAGTGGCTGGCCATCGTCAAGATAATTTTCCTCATTCTCGGCCGGATGATCCTCTACAACTCCGTCACGGGCATGAATTGAGCGAGCGGAGCTGTGAGAGAATTTATTCAATTTACGGTGGCTTTTCAGCCAAGCTGACGCCTGCACAGATGCATGATTGAACCGGTTGAAGAGCAATGTCTCTCTATCAGTTGCTATACCGATAGAGGATTCAAACATGTCCAAAAACTGGAATTCATCATCGCCAAGACGGTGTCGATCAAAGACTCCCGAGCATCGGTTCGTGATAATGATAGCAAGGTCGTATACCGATTTGACAGGGTCACGGGTTTTGGAATTGATATCCTCAATGATCCCATCCAACACGTTCAACGGATCATTTTTAGGTTGGTCCCATCGCTGCGGAAAACTGGTGACAATAAGGCCTGTCCCTAGTACCCACATCCATAGCTGATCAACCATGAATATTTTGGGCTCCGTTCCTGGCCCATCACGGCCGGGGCCTTTGGTCTGGTACCGGTAGACAACCTGGTCTTGGTCGCGGCTCTGGGTATCAATATTTGGGTAGAAGAACTGGTCAAGTGTTCGGCGGACATGGAGAGAAGTGGTCGAAGCAGATAAATGCGCATCAAGAAGCACCTCATCTTTGATGCGAAGTTTTTTCATACTCGGTTGAAAACTCAGGGTCTCAGCGCGCTGGATGGCATCCTGCATTTTCTGTCGCCGTTCGGCGGTTTCGAAATGCAGATATGGCATAAAGACACAAACATTGCATCCGGGAACGAGGCCTTGGGGGTCTTTACAAAGAGTTGATAGGGTCAATTGGGCTGATCGAGCCAATTTGTCACTTGAACCCCATGGGGACTTGATTTTAGTCTCGCACTTGGGAGTTCCTGGATTGCTGCCCCCTTTGCTTCGCTTCTGGCTGCGGTTACCCTTTTTTTCATCGTGTGAATGTGATTCGACGCGGTCAAGTTTACTGCTTGATCCTTTCTGTTTGCGATTGATTGTGGTGTCCACCGTACTTAATGAAGGAGCATATTGCGAGTGTTCTTCTGGTTTTTCGTCCTCTTTCTCCTTCTCCTTCTCCCATCGCCGCATCGTGGTTCGCGGTGTATTCTGACACAAAGGCCGCATAAAGTGCGAATGAATCTTTTGTCCGCGATGTTGATAATTGAAAGATTTCTCGAGACCTTTGAAGCCATCCACATCGTGAGCACCCTCCTCAATAAACGACTTGGTCATAAGCGCTTCCACCCAAGCCATGTTATTTGCTGGCAGGTGTATCCATCGGAAGTCAGTTGCACGACTGTCAGCAGGAATAGTTGTCACAGCCTGTTTCCTTGGATTTTCAGGATCCCGGCCATATAACAGATTGTAAACAGACATCTTCTTAACACGATTCTCGTTGTGGAAGTTGCCAAAGTCAACAACAGTCGCATCGAAGGCCTTACTAGCTTCCTTGACATCGTCGGAGAGAGAGTCGACGTTATTGAACGGAGCGAGGAGCAGGACGATATCTTTGCGTTTGAATTGAGCTGCACGCAGGAACGGAGTACTGCCAAAGTTGTCCCGAACTCGACGTTTCAGATCAGGTCGCTTCAGAAGACACTCCACCACCTCACGATGTCCACCTTGCGCCGCAAGATGCAAAGGTGTGACACCATTCAGTAACTGACTGTTGATGTGAGAGCCTGCGCGCACAAGAATAGAAACAATAGCCTCGCATCCTCTCTCACAGGCATTATGAAGCGGCGTCCATCCTCCATCACTGCAAGCATTTACAGCAGCCTCATGCTGCAACAAAAGTTGCACGATATCAGCCCGATCATGCGCAGTAGCAATATGCAGTGCCGTCTTCCCTCTCATCTCTGTCGCATCAATTTTCGAACCATCCGGTCTCGTCAAAAGTAACTGTGCCAGCCTCCAATTTCCAGTCGCACAAGCCCAATGCAGTGGGGTCCTTCCCAGCTCGTCTTGCCCATTTGTGTCAATATGACAATCGGGCCTTAACAACAACTCAACAATCTCCTCTCCCCACCCCCACCTACACTCCTTATCAGCCGCAAGATTGTGTAGAGCATTTCTCTTCCGATGATCAAGAACATTCACATTCGCCCCGCGCATGATCAATAACTGCAAGATATCCGCACGATTAAGCCACGCCGCAGTCATTATCGCCGTCCTTCCGTCCTTATCCTGACTGTCAGGAGATGCCCCATGATCGAGTAAGAGCCGCACAATTTGATAATGGTCGCGCTCGACCGCACGTAAAAGCGGCGAGAGCCGATTCCCAGCAACATCCGTCTTCGCGCCCTGCGTTAGCAGAAACTCGGTTGCGTTGACGCAGCCTCGTTCAGCGCTGCGCATAAGACCCACGCGAAGGAAATTATCACTGAACTGGCCATATTCGTGGGCGAGCGCGAGAACTTTGAGCAGGGAGTCGACATCATCATTTTCCGCCGCCCGTAAAAGCCTCGGCTCTAAGCGCTCATGACCGTCGCTGGTCATACTGGAGGACCGGGCCATTGTGAGGTGCGTTCGATGTCGAAATCCGCTGGATTAATCCATCGCGGCGCAAGGGGCGTCTGACTTGCGTCCAGCGGAAGATGGGGCGGAGAGGGCGAGAAAAAATAAAGCTTCCTCAGCCACGGGCTGAACGAGTGCATCGTTCTATTAGGTAAGGGTAGATCTGCGCTAAGGCTGGTCTTGGTGCATTTTGAGCTGGCGGTAAATTTGGCCCCCGTGGGAACTGCGGCCGGCTTGTGGCTGCGCAGACTCGTATTCCGTACATGGTCGGACGGTGCACGGATGTTCGCTAGATCAGATTTTGGCGGTAATCATCCTTGGAGTAGGACAAATGAATGTGGCAAAGGGGCCAAGAGGGAAAACATGGACGTAGTCAAGCTTTAAGTGGGTTTGACTTGGGTTCATGGGGTTCCACGGTTCATTGCCTTCGAAGAGGAAAAAGCAAAACGAACGCAATCTATGGCTACAACTAGGGTATAGAAAACCAACTCAAAGAAACCATACACTCCATTTTACAGATATTAGAATCTAATTACCATCGGGCTGTCTCCGTATTAAACCATTACGATAAGTAGGGATGAGTCCAGAAAATGAAAATGAAAATGAAAGAAAAAAGAAGATACAATCCTCGCCCGGAAATGCTGATGCTTGATATGATCCATGCTAATTATTACTGCCGGGACTCTGCTCTCCCGGTAAATTAAGAGGCATTTTGTTTTCGCTGCCCTGTGCATAGCGCCGTTCCAGCCCAATGGTTCATGTCACAAATTGCGCCTGTCAACAAACACGAAATAAAGAAGGAAATGAAAGAGAAAAACCGAGGCGAGGGCAAGATGACCGTCGCTCGAACACCGGAAAGAACCAAAGCCATGAAACACTTTTTAGTGCTTCTTCTTGCTCCCCTTCTGGGGCACTTCCTTTAGGATGTCGTCAAAGCTCATGTTGGGGTTGAAGTGGCTCACGGGGCGCGCAGGAGGCTCGATAGGAGCAATGCCAGCAGGTAAAGGAAGGGCTTCGAGACCCGGGTAGATGGAGTGCCTGTGCTCAGCCCGATTGGCGGTACCGGGAGAGCGTGTGCGAGGGATGACGGGAGGAGGCGTTAGACCGCCGTGGGCAGCTCCCATTAACGACGGGGGCGGCTGTGCGTCAGAATAGGAGCCAGCAGAAGACTGTTGACCCTGGTAAGGCGAGGAGATGGAGGATTCATTCTCCTCGTAAGCGTCCTCCATTAGTGGGGGCTCAATCAATTGACCAGCCTCGGCCCATTGCTCGGCCACCTGCCAGCAGTGACTGCGGCGGTAGACACCTTCCACTCCGTTGATGACCACATCGGAGGGAAGTCTCACAACACCAGCACCACCAGCAACTCCAAACCAGCTGCGGGCAGTCTTGGTGTCATTGTGAATCCAAGGAGCTCCGCCGCGAGGAGCGACACAGAGGAAGTACTCAACACCCTCGGTGAAACGAACGTCGGGAACATTCACGACGAGCATGGGCAAAGACTGAATTACCGCATACAGGAAGATCCACTGACCACAACGCAAGTCCATCAGGTCAGCACAGCTCTTTCCGCTGGCAGCGCGACGTTCAAACTGCATGAAACTCTCGATGAAGGGAGTCGGGCGCATGGCCTCGCGGGTATAGGATCCCATGAGGACTGCATTGATGTCGGAACTCTTGAGCTTCTTGCTATTTTGCTTGGCTTCCTTCTTCGCATCGAGCGGCTTGCGGTGCAGAGGTTGCACTGAAGGCAACTGCGGAATATCGAAAGGAATCGGGGGCGAGACAGGGGGGGTACTGCGATCGTACTCGCTAAGCACTTGGCGGATGGCGCGAATCGTCATATCCTTGGGATCTGTAGAGCTGGCGTCACCACCAGCGGCAGAAGAGTCTATTCTACGCGTTGTGAGTGCTGTACGATCCACCAGAAGGTCGTAGAGGTCGGTAAAATCACGGTAAAGATCCAGGAGGAGAAGACGGTTCAAACCACTTTCCTCGAATTCATTCTTCTTGGACCGAGCCTTTCGGGGCCAAGAGCCATACTTCTGGCGATAGTATCCCATGGTGAAGCGACGGAAGTCCATGAATCCGGTCTTCCAATTCTTGAAGCGTACGACCTTGCTCTCAGCGGAAGTCGTCGAGTTCGCGATGCCGGAGAAGACTGAGGGGAAGTCAAAGTCCTCAAGTTTGCCATAGAGACCCCGAAGACGAGTGTCGAGATCAATGAAGCCACGCTCAAGTCGCTTCTGAGTAACAGGATGGATGAAGCCAAACTTCGGGCTTCGCAGCTGCTTGATCTCATCCAGCTTTCCGACACCGTGGACGAATCCTTCTAGGTAGAGCGGGTAGTATCGCAGGCGCTCACCAAGAACAATGGCCTCGATAGTCTTCTCACGACTCCTCCGCACATCGGCCAGACGCAGTTCGTCACAGTAGTTGCTAAAACTGGAAGTGGCAGTTTCACCGAAGTTCGATCCATCAAGATTGGAGAACTCGAACCGAGCGAGCAGCACGGCCACATCCATGAAAATGCTAAAGAGGGAAGATGACTTGGGGGAAGCGATGAGGGACTGACCCAAGAGGAAGGCGAACAAGTTACGGAAAAGGAGTAAAGCCTCGGTGTCGTCTGCAGACAACCGACACTGCGGGTTGGATACGTCGCTGTTCAATGGGATAGGCAAGTAGAGGTGCAACTCCTGCTGCTCATCAGGACCATCCTCAAAGGCCATTCTTTGGCTGCCCGAGCTATCGTTGTCATCGTCTTCCAGGTGGTCTTGCGGGGTCAGGGGCGGAGACATGGGGTTCTGGAGGGAAAGAGTGCGAGTCGGTTGCTCCAGGCCGTTGGTTTTGGCGTCAGTGCCGCGGGCGAGGAAGGTAAGGAAGGAGATTCGGCGAAGATAGTCGAGTCTACCTTGAATGAGGCCGATCGGCCGGTATTTTGGGGAAGAGATAGACATAAGTGTCACCTTCTTCATTCCACAGCTCAGAGACCTGAGAAACGGGGGGACGTCAGTATTTGTGGCCATAACGATCAAACCAGTCCCGTCATACCTGTTCACCTCTCGTGAGGGGTCCCATATCATACACCACTTTTTGATCAAGCCCAGCAATCCATGCGCTGGGCAGCGTGGGGGCAGGGGCCCGCTTGTCCACCGAGCTTGCCCGCGATCGCCCTGCCATACCAGGCATCCAACTTCGTCGTTTTGATGGCGTACTCGGGCGGGAGTCTGGAGTGGAACCCGGAATGGCTAAGCCGGCCGAACTGGAGGGCCGGCTGAAATCGCGACCCCTGCTGCGAGGGCGGCTGTCGACAGGCGAGCTGGGGGCGCTGCTGGCGAGGTCCTGATTCACGGTCAGGAGTGATGGCGGGGGCGGAAGGCTTTCCAGATCGAATTGCTCCATTTGAGCGGAGTTGGGAACTGTCCTGGGTTCGGAAAAGGCGGCATTGGGGGTTGAGACATGACGAGTTGGCCTTGAGCTGCTGCGTTTCCTGCTGCTTGTGTCGGAAAATCCTGACGAGGCAGGTGATCCTGGTCCACTTTGATCCTTGTGTCCTCCCAGCGAAAACAAGGACGAGATGCGCTTCGCCGATTTAACGGGAGCAGACAACATCTTTCAAGATGTTGAGTTGAAGGGGATAGGGTGGAGGGGTGGAGGGGATGACTGAGAAGTGGTCGAAATAGAGACGAGAAGACCCTTTAGTCTGATAGCCGGTGGGGAGTGAGGTCACTTGCTCTACGTGGAAGAATGAAAGCAGAGAGCAGCGAAAGGGGACAGAGAATGGATCGGCAGGAGGGATTGCAAGAATGGCAGAGGAGATGTCATGGAATGAAAGAGGAAGAAACAGGATCAGGGGGGGGGGTTTCGTGTTTCAGGAGAACAAAGAAGTGGGAAAAAAAAAAACAGAGGATGAAGTTAAGAGATAGTACGGAGGCCAAGTAAAATGACTTGCGACCATAACGGAGCACCTTCGATCCGGTTCTTTTTGCCAATAATAGCTTTGCTGCGGATGATGGGTTCCTTGGCTGTGCTGTGGTGGACCCCCCCCCTCCGAAAAATATGAGCAAGAAAGTCAAAATCCAACAAAAAAATATAGAACTAGAATTACAGATTCGAAGGCGTGTAGCTTATTTTACTCGCCGTAGTGGCATACAGATCAAATTTTCGACATTTTTTTTTTTTTGCGTAGGGCTTTAATTCCAATTCGTTGTGGCTTGCACTGTACTGGGTGAGGGCTACGAATACTGAATACGGAGTCAGAGTACGCAGTATAGCGGGTAGCCGTGTATCTGACCTGACGTGGCATGCACACATAACTGGGAGCCCGACCAAAAAGTAGCATGCGCCGTCGACCTGCGCATAAAATGTCTTGCATCAAGCATCTGCTTGCCCCTGATGGCCTTAGTCCAATTGGAGCCCATTTATATGCCACGCTCTGCCGCGCGGATCCGACTGGGGACTTCCCAGTCAAGCGATGAAAAATGGGGCGCTTTACGCTAGTCATGTCATGGCCTTGTTGGGTGCCAAGTCGAACATAGACGACTATCCACGGACTTGAGCGACTTCACCTACCCTCAGGTACTCCGTAAGCATAGTCTGGTGACAGAACCTCCTTGTGTACCTAAAAATCTAGACGTCGATTCTAGAAACCAAGGTAGTAACTGCGGTCCGTGTTCCTGAACCTCTTTTCCCCAGCGGAGCTGGGGCGGTTCCGCTCTCGCTTCCAGAAACATCCCGATTTCGGGTCCCGTAGAATGGATCCCTGGAGCCATCTGCGATAATCTGACGTCGATTCATCCTACCAATAAACATTTCCATCACTCCGGAACAATGGCTGTTCCCATCGAGCCCATCGATTTACTTTGCGGTTGGCCCAACCCAGCGCTCCTCCCCGCCCCCGATCTCCTCCGCTCCGCCACAACCGTGCTGACCGACCCCTGCATTGCGCATTCCGGTCTACTGTACGGCCCGGATGAGGGCTATGAGCCTCTTCGTGTCCACATAGCCAAGTGGCTGGAGAACTGGTATCAGCCTCGCGAGTCTATTAACCCGCATCGTATTTGCATCAGCGGTGGAGCCAGTCAGAACCTCGCGTGTATCCTTTCCGTCTTTACCGACCCTCTATACACCCGAAATGTCTTTATGGTCGATCCGACCTACCACCTCGCTGGCCGCATCATGGATGATGCCGGTTTCGCCGGGCGAGTACGTGGGGTACCGGAAGATGATCAAGGATTCGATCTCCAGTTCCTCACCAATCTGCTGGACGAAGCGGAGAGACGGGCGCAGGCAGAGGGAAATACGGAACCGGTATCGTGAAGATCGCATTCGTCATGTCTTAACATCGCATGGTTTCACATCTGAAGTGCCTACTGACCTCTTCTCCCAGAAACTGAAACCTGCTCGGCCATGGCGCAAGATATACAAATATGTCATCTACGCCGTCCCCACATTCGCCAACCCCTCCACCAAAATCATGTCTTTACATCATAGGGAAGAATTAGTGCGCTTAGGTCGCAAGTATGATGCGCTACTGGTGACGGACGATGTCTACGACTGCCTGCAATGGTCAGCTACGCGCGGGGAGGAAGCGCCGATACACGCGTGCCTACCCCGACTCGTGGACATTGATCGCTATCTAGATGGCGGCCTGGCAGACGAATGGGGCCACGCAATTAGCAACGGTAGTTTCAGCAAACTGATCGGACCCGGGGCTCGCACTGGGTGGGCGGAGTCGACGGAAAAGGTTGCGTACGGATTGAGTCAAGTGTAAGTCTTCACCGGCCATCTTTAATTCCCGGTATAATTGATCGATCGGTTCATATAAGCTGATCTCACAAATGTCAGAGGGTCGTCTCGGTCTGGTGGAGCTCCCTCACAACTATGCTCAACTATAATCGATCAACTGCTACCATCGGGCTTCCTTGAAAAACACATCTCGCAGGTCCTACAACCCGCATATGCAGAACGGTATCACGAACTTTCTACCGCCATCCAAAAATATCTAGTTCCACTTGGAGTCAAGGTTGCTACACCGTCTACAGAAGTCGCGGGCGGGTATTTCATCTGGATTACCCTGCCATACCCGCTCCGCGCGGCAGAAATCGTGGCGAGGGCCCAGAAGGAACAAAATCTGCGCCTAATGTGTGGCGATGTTTTCCAAGTGGCTGATGAAACGTCGGGTCCAGCAGATCGCTTTGGAGACTGCATTCGCCTTTGCTTCGCGTGGGAAGAGCGGCGTCATCTGACTGAGGGTGTGCGTAGGCTCGCACACGTCATGCAGGCCGCTGTATGAGTCAGTGTAGTATACGATTCAATTGGCGTCTTGGCTAAGGGTGAACGATTCGTTCTGTGGGGATACGCGTGTCTTGCCCGAAAGCAGCAACGATATATAGCAGAACTGGTAGCGCTATGGAGATGAAAATTCCATAGCAATAGCACACCAATTTCTATAATCCCATACTAAGGCTTTCTGACGTCAAATGGTTGGAAGTATATTCTCGAGCTGATCGCCGAGATTCACATATATATCACCAACACCCGAGTGCTGGATCGATTGCTGCTGAAAATGAAACACATGGGCCCGGATTAGTCAGGTCCGATTGCCGACCAAGGAACCTCTGTTTACGCCTACTGCCAGGTACATCTGTTCATCGTATGCGAATCGATCAAGGTCCTCATTCATCATTCGGCCCAGTACAGTGCGATCGGAGATAGCTGCACATCATTGGGCCGGATGTTCACCTTTGCCCTCGCTCGAACTAACCTAAGGCACTAACCTTCTTGTAGATGCGGGTCGCTTCCTCATGGGCCGGCAAAGCTTGACCGAGGGGGCGTCGAGCCCGGGTTTAGCTAGCTCTAGCCTCAAGAGTCAAATTCCACTCTCGCCGGGACAGTTTTACCGCCCACTTGAATCTCGTCATCAGGAATCCTACTGAGCTCTTCCGCGGTGCCGCCTGTCTAAGAATGTCCATCCATTACGGCTTGCGCCCCCTGACAACCACCAAGCGGGCCAAGATATCCAGTTTGTACGCGCCGTGCTAGGAGTCAGGATCGTCGAAGACACCATCTGGGCGAGTCGTCGCCAGTAGTGAGCATTATCACTGGTGCCCAAAACTTTCGCGCCAGTCTCAACACAACGCGCGACTCGAGTCACGTCGAATAGAAGCCTTCGATAAGATCAAATTAACTGCATGGCCATGGAAAGGGGGGCTCCACCCAAGGCGAATAATGCGGGTTGCCCTGCTTCCATTCCAGAGTTCCTGAGCCCGCGCGTACTTGATTGCCCTGGGGAACCGGGAAAAAACAACCACCACCCGTCTAGCCATCCAGGGCGACGACAAGCCGCTCCCATGCGACAAGCAGAATCCTAGATAGACGGAATGGAGGATGCGGCATACCTTGTTTGGATTTTTCCATTGTGTGTATATAGTGCGTAGAGCACCCAAATGCACATGACGGCTTGGTTTTGGTACTTTTTCTCTCTCCAATTTCTGGAAAACTATCTTCAGATCGATAACTTATTTCCAGAAGCTACGATTCCGTGGCCACTACTTCTCACTAGAGCCGACCCGTGCTTCATTTTGCGACGCGGGCTTACACTACCGGGTAATCTGCAACACTGGGCCGGACGATCGTCTCGAGTAGCGTTTCACCGTCGAGAATCACGTTTCAAGCACCGCGCCATATACGTCCGTGGGGTTGTGCGATTGGTGGGTGTCGGTGGATCTCAGGAGGTGCGAGTGTGTGATTGGAAGCGACTGAGGGGATTCAGGGACAATACATGCAGAGAACGGTTTTAATACTGCATTCGTTACGATAAGTCAATCTCCCTATTTATCAGGGCGCTTCTTTTTCACGACCTTAATTCTGTCGATTTTGTTGTCTTTCATTCTTCCTTGTTCTTGGGGCTATTGTTTCCATTATTGCCATTCACTCCTTCACCCGCGAGTCTGGTGCCTATACAGTCTGCTGCAGTGCGGCTACCAGACAGTGCCTTCATTCATTTCGCTCTCTTGGTGAAAATAGCACTTTCCGCATTCTCTTTATCTTTCTCATTGTCTTTTCCGCTCTTTGCATTCTATATCACTCCTTGTCGTCAGCTTCTGGTTCAAGCGTCGACCCGGACTCGCGCTATCAATCATCATCAGTACGGGTTACTGAACTGCTTTCATCTTCTACAGATCTCTGTTCATTTTTTCCTCCCTTCTTCTCTCTTTTACGATCCAAAAAACTTCCGCTGCAGGTCCAGCGTCTGCCATCAAGATGGCCAACTTTCAATCCTCTATTGTGGTCTTTGTGGCCCATCTCATTCTTCTTCTCGGTCTCCCGACAGCCCTGGTTGGCGCCGTGCCCGTGACGCCCAACACTAGGGAACTCGCAATTTCCGAGCGCTCTTCTTCCGCCTACTGGGTTGGTGATATCAAGCGCCAGGGTACCGTGCCATTCGGTCTCAGCAGCGACTACCAGGTTTACCGTAACGTGAAGGATTTCGGTGCTAAGGGTGAGTGAAACACCATACGGATGGATATAAGGTTTGTGCTGATATGTGACCATAGGTGATGGATCCACCGATGACACAGCTGCTATCAACAAGGCCATCTCTTCTGGGAATCGCTGTGGAAAGGGCTGCGATTCTTCCACCACGACCCCAGCTCTGGTATACTTCCCGGCCGGTACCTACGTGGTCTCGAAGCCCATCGTTCAGTACTATTACACCCAGATTGTCGGTGATGCTGTCAACCTGCCGGTGATCAAAGCATCCGCCGACTTCGCTGGTATGGCTGTTATCGATGCTGATCCCTACAACGACGATGGTAGCAACTGGTACACCAACCAGAACAACTTCTTCCGTGCCGTTCGCAACCTGGTCATCGATTTGACTGCCATGCCCAAGGGTGCTGGCGCTGGTATCCACTGGCAGGTCGGCCAGGCCACTAGCTTGCAGAACATCCGCTTCGAGATGATCAAAGGGGTGGTGCTGCCAACAAGCAGCAAGGTGTCTTCTTGGACAACGGTTCTGGTGGTTTCATGTCTGACCTTACCTTCAATGGTGGTAACTACGGCATGTTCCTTGGCAACCAGCAGTTCACTACCCGCAACTTGAAGTTTAACGGCTGCCAGACTGCAATTTACATGAACTGGAACTGGGCCTGGACCTTCAAGTCTCTAGACATCAACAACTGCGAGGTCGGTTTGAATATGTCCACCTCGCCCTCTAACCAGACTGTCGGCTCCGTCATGATGCTGGACAGCAAGCTTACCAACACCCCAATTGGTATCGTCACTGCCTGGAGCAAGACAAGCATTCCTATTGGCGGTGGTACTCTCATCCTGGATAATGTTGACTTTTCCGGGTCTACAACCGCTGTGGAGGACATCGATGGCAGCAGCATCCTGGCCGGCGGCTCGATTGTCACCAACTGGGTCCAAGGCAACACCTACGCTCCCTCTTCCGCTGCCAGCAAGCGTGCTTACAGCCCTGATGAGGAGGATGACTCTGACGCTGTCACCATTGTTGAGACCGTTGTACAGACAGTATTGGCTTGCCCTCTTTTGGGAAGTGGCTCTGTTACTCCCACTCTTGCTACCAATGCGCCTGCTCACGTCGGTGGCTCTTCCACCGAGGCCAAAATCACTCCTGCCCTGCCCACTGGCTCTGGAACTGCCTATCGCTCCATTGTCTCGAACGCTGATATCACTGATTTCCCTGGCTTGGACATCAGCTGGCTGTCCATCTTCGATGGATCATCTGTCTCCATCGATATCCCTTTTCCATCCATGATTGACATCAGTGATTCCACTGCTGATGTCTCTTCTGTTCCTGCTGTCACCTCGTCTGCCGTTCCCGTTGAAGTCTCTACTCCTGCTGTCACCTCGTCTCCCGTTCCCGTTGAAGTCTCTACTCCTGCTGTCACCTCGTCTGCCGTTCCCGTTGGAGTCTCTACTCCTACTGTCACCTCGTCTGCCGTTCCCGTTGGAGTCTCTACTCCTACTGTCATCTCGTCTGCCGTTCCCATTGGAGTCTCTACTCCTGCTTCCCCCGAAGCCCCTGCCACTCAGACTCCGTCGCCGTCGCAGTCCACTCCTGTCTCAGTCGTCGAGTCTTCTACTTCTAGCGCTGCCGTTCCCTCGCAGTCTAGTGATACTACCTCCGGCAGCTCCTCCAGCAGCAGCGAGGGCACTTGCGGTGCCAACCAGGCTGTTAGCAAGGTTCGCACCCAGAGCACCATAAATTCTCAGACCATGCCCTCGTCCCTCCTCAAGGATGGTGCTGTATTCGAGAAGTCTAAGCCCCTGTACGAGAACCTACCCGCCTCGTCCTTTATCAGCGTCAAATCTGCCGGTGCCAAAGGTGACGGTTCCACTGATGACACCGAGGCTCTCCAGAAGGCACTTGACAGCGCTACTGCTGACCAAGTTGTGTACTTCGACCACGGTGCGTACGTTATCACTGATACCCTGCGGGTGCCCAAGAACATCAGGATTACCGGTGAGGTCTGGCCTATGATCATGGCCTACGGTGATAAGTTCCAGAACGCCAAGCAGCCCGTTGCTGCCATGCAAATCGGTCAGAAGGGTGATGTTGGTTCCGTCGAGATGAGTGACCTCGTCATCACCACCAAGGGTTCTTGCCGAGGTGCTATTCTCATGGAGTGGAACGTCGCTGCTGAGACCCAGGGTTCTGCTGGTATGTGGGACGTCCATATTCGTATTGGTGGTAGCGCTGGCACTGAGCTGCAGAGCGACACTTGCGAGAAGACTCCTGATGTGAAGACCCGCCCCAACGCTGATTGTATTGCTGCCTTCATGCTCCTCCACATCACTGAAACAGCCTCTGCCTACCTTGAGAACACTTGGATGTGGACTGCTGACCATGAGCTTGACCTGTCCGATCACTCCCAGGTCAATATCTACACCGGTCGTGGTATTCTCATTGAGTCTCAAGGCCCCGTCTGGCTTTGGGGTACTTCCTCCGAGCACCACCAGCTGTACAACTACCAAGTGTCCAGTGCCAAGAACGTCTTCATGGGCCTTATCCAGTCCGAGACACCTTACTATCAGTCGAACCCCTCTGCTCTGACCCCCTTCACCCCCCAGTCCGCCTGGAACGACCCCGAGTTCAAGTACTGCACCACCGCCTCTTGCCGCAAGTCCTGGGGTCTGCGTGTCCTGAACTCCTCTGATCTCTTCGTCTACGGCGCGGGTCTCTACAGCTTCTTCGAGAACTACGCCCAGACATGCCTCAACACCGAAGACTGTCAAGAAAACATGGTCGAAGTCGATTGCTCCAACGTCCATATCTACGGCCTGAGCACCAAGGCTGCCGTGAACATGGTCACCTCATCTTCCGGCAAGAGCATGGTTCTGGAGAAAGACAACACAAGCAACTTCTGCTCAACTATTGCTCTCTTCGAGCAGACCGTCTAAAGACCCCCCAGAACCATTCTTTACTTTTCCTTTCTTGATCTCACTTTCCCGCCATGTTTAACCCACTACACGGGGAACCACTTATTGGGGCCCCGATTTGTCATTATTTTCTCGGTCAGGTTGTTTGCATCGGTTTTAGATGGTAGGAAGGCCTTTTGTATGAGGAGGAACGCTGATTGATACCACCGGAAACTCTTTTGTGATGAAAGTTCATAGATGTGCGATTCAATGATATTAATGCCATGATTATGGACGTTCTCTTTCAAGATGTAATCTTTGTAAGCGATTTCTCGCCTGCAGGCATTCAAGATGTCGAAAAACCTTGGTATTTCCCCGTGGCTCAAGTATCCGACCTCATTTCGCGCATGACATAACTTCGATTTAGTCAATCTTCCACTTTCATTAATAAAGTCCGTGGCTTTCCCGCGTAATACCTGGCTTCCAGAAAACCTAATTTCCTGCAAGTTTTTTTTCTAGCCAACTTACACGTCTTCAGGCCAAACGTCCAGATCATTTAGGGCACCGGAAGCAGATGATCTCCCTCCTTCGCGTCATCCCACCGAACCGGGAAAGAAACAGCTTGAAAGGCCAGCTCCAATAATTTTTCCGACGCTCAAATTGTATATAGCAAAGCAAGGTTGTAATATTTCGAAAGTTGCCCAAAGCGTGGTTGGACTTGAGCTTCACACCGAGACCTCGTCTTTCACCTTCTCTTTTCCTCATCTTACCATCTGTCAGCGGTCCTCAACAAGCCCACCAATTCATGAATACTGTTTTCGATACCTACTGCCTCATATGTATACGCCCAACGGCGGTGTGAGACCTCATCCTTGCTGCTCAATTCCCATTATAATCAGGGCTGCACTGGCGTCTTGCGCGATTCTTCCTACGCGAACATTTTTGCTCCAAATCAACGAAATAAGAAGAGTTAAGGTAATCCATTATGGTAGCCTGCCGTTTGTATGCCAAAGTTATACTTAAGGCCCATGTAGAAAAGTTTGGTTGTTGACACATGGCCCCGCAGCTCCTCCAGTAAAAGTTACTACCAGTAGACCCACTTAGCCTGGACATATGAGGCAGGTCCATCCCATCTGACGGTCAAATATGGTGTAGTATTCATGACTCATTTACACCTCACGCGTGGGTTAAATAGACCTGACATCCTTCTCATCCCCTTCATAGCTCTTGTAAGTGTTCCTCGGCACGGATTCAATATACGCCGAACAATGCAGCCTGAACCGGCTTCCCACATTGAGCTATTTACCGCGACAGAGCTCCTCGCACAGCAATGGCTACGGGATCTAACCCGTATGATTAATGACAGCTATCTCGTCAGTCATACAGAGCAAATCCAATTCGATGCTGGGAAAATTCGGCTGAAAACCGATTCACGGCTCTCTGAAGAATTAGGCAGAGATGGGTTCACAGCTGTTGCATTTGAAAACTCGGAGGTGATTGGGACAGCGAGTATGAAACCGTGGAAAGACGACGGGCTCTGGAAGCCCCTTGATCACTTCGCTGTGAATGAAGCAGGAGACCAAATCAATGACAAGATAGACGAGACGCTTAATGAAATCGCACTCCCTGGAGACTACGAGCTCGCGCTAGTGGCTCTTCCACCTGGACCCCGATTCCGAGGGAAAGGAATAGCAAGAAAGCTGGTGAAAGTGTGCGAAGAGGAAGTTTTGCGGCGGCGGAAAGCCACTGGAAATAGCGGATCTGCTGTGATCATGATCCGTGTGGTCCAGGAAAATAGCGGGAGCTATTGGCTGAAGCAAGGGTTTATCCCCGTTGGAAAACAGCCTGGACCCGAGGCTTGGGAGGCTTCGATGCCCTTCACTATGTGGGCAATGGTGAAATATCTCCAGAGTGAATCTATGCCCATTTGAACATCATCGCATAGCCGTGGCGGGTCTCGATCGACCTTTGAAACCACGCCACTTGGGTCAGTCAGCTCTCGAATAATTTGTACCATAGATGAGCCAAATATCACCATCATGTATGTAGAAATATTGGATATATCTATCTGTACTGTTTGACAGTGGCCGATACGGCAAAGGGAGTATTATCCCTGCGAAGGGGGATACTGCTGAGTGCCACAGCCGCACGGCTGGACCAGAGGAAAGCGTTCCCGAATGAGCAATCATCTTGCCTTTTGGCATGGTTATCAAAGATGGATTGAAAACAAGTCAAATAATAGTAAATTAATATCTGGAAAGACTGCAGTAAAGCCTCAAAAGAATGTTGAGGAGGACTAAGAGAATAAAGTCTGTCAGCCCCTTGGGGTTCATCTTCGCGGTCAGGTTGACCGAGGTAGCTAGCCGTATAAGTTGATAGTCATCTGTAGGTACAGGTACAAGGTTATATTTAGATACCTCGAATTTCATATTTGCATTCACTCGATGTGTTAATAATAACTGTATGTCCCAGTGCGACTCTGGCCCCTAACGATGCATTGGATTTCTTGTTTGACTCCCTTGGACCCTTGATTCATTGACTGCTTTCCCATTCTTGAAAAGACTACGCGCACTATTGCCAAGCTTCTCTGCCAACGCCTTCTGATCGTCGCATTCCAACCCTTCGTGGCCTTCTCGAATGTAGTTGCTCAAGTGGCTCCTGAGTTATTCCTAGTTGAGTATCACCACATTTTCCGCGTTTATTCGACAAAAACAGACCTTCGCGTGCCATGACGCCGCCGAAGTCTATTTAAATGGCAAGAGACCTAGAACCGCGTCTATCCACTGTAACGATCAAGCGACACCCCGACGACGACACCGGGCCCTTTCTCACCACGCCCGCAGGATATCGTCTGAGCCTTTCACCAAGATGCAGTTCTCCAAGGTTAGTAGCCCAACAGAAAAGCCAAGCCAATTCTTACAGATCCAGACTCTTGTCTCTCTGGCCGCTCTGGCCCTCGGCGCTCACGCAGCCATGCCCATCGTAAGCGTGGAGTTACAATCATGGGAAGGGAACTGCCCCGCTGGATACCATCCCAATGGCGCGCCCAAGTTTAAGGCAGCTCTGACCGCCACTCCGGCGACCTGCGACAAGGCCCCGGTGAACCGCCAGTGGGATATCGACTTCTTCTCCTTGAAAGCTGTCCCCGACACAAAGGACGCTTTCCTTTGCGAGGGTATCGAGGTTTACAACACGGATGATTGTTCCGGTGAGCTACTTACTCAACAAATGATACGGAAGAGTTTGCTTCTACTCTGACATCCGTATCTTTCATGCACCTGTCATACTAATCTAAATATTTACGACAGGCGACGTCAAGTACTGGTTGCCCTTCACTGACTCTGCGGTCGAACAGGGTATCTGCGCACCCTACGATAACCTTGACCATACCTACCTTTCAGTCAAGTTGATCTGTAGTCACCACGGTGGTGCTGCTGCCGCTGCACTTGCTAGCGTTTCTGGCAGTTCCAGTGGTTCCGAAAGCTCCGATGCTATCTAAACTAGGATGTGCAATCAGGGCAATGCGATACAAAGGGCTCGCCTTTCATAACGTAGACACGAAACTTCTCCTGTTTTATTTTATCCTGTATCTTAGTTATAATCTAGGGAACCCCGTCGTGCGGTTGAACTGAGAATCATATACATTAGGCGGCGGCTAGCGGCAAAACCGTTTCATTCCGTAATAATTATTTGTAGTCATGATCCAAGGTTGTTCCAGTCTTCTGAACATCCAGAAGCGACGGTCACAATCTCACAGGGTATCATGATTCTCCTGTAGCAATCCGCTTTTGCCTTATTTCCTACGAAAATTCCTGGCGTGAACGAAGCATTAAACAGCAGTGAGGGAAAAACAGTCGGCCCGCCCCCTCAGTCATTGCAACTGCCACATCTCACCAACCCTTGTCTTTCAAATCCACATCTCTCGTCCTGCATGAATAATTTTTAAGATCAGCCACTGCATACGTTCCCACGCCGCGATCATGGCGGGCCGGAGGATGATTCCTTGGCTATACGACCTCGTCCTGTGGCTCTTTACCTGGGCCCTGGACCTCTTCTTCCGCGAGATCTACCCCCGCGGAGCCTGGCGGGTCCCTGAAAAAGGTCCTGTATTGATCGTTGCTGCCCCCTCATGCCAATCAATTTGTCGACTCAGCCATCTTGATGCATCTGCTCAAGTCCCAGGCCCACCGGAGGGTCAGCTTTTGATTGCTCAAAAATCCATGAACGAGCCTTATATCGGAACCCTTGCATCTTGCATGGGCGCGCTGCCAGTCGTTCGCTCTATGGACTTGACCAAGCCGGGAAAAGGCACTATTTATCTCCCCGATCCCGAAAATGATCCAGCCTTGGTCAATGGGATCGACACCGATTTCACACAATCTGAATTTATGAGTGGCGGCTCGCTCACCGTCAAAGGTCCTGACGGACCCCAGACTGCATCGATTGACGAGGTGATCAGCTCAACTAGCCTTCGTCTTAAGAAGCCGTTTGCCTCGCCACTTTGCGATGATCCGGGTCGCAAGGGCCAGAGCTTCAAGATAGCACCCCATGTTGATCAAAGTCAGATGTTTGATGCCGTTTACAAAGAGCTTTCTAATGGAGGCTGCATTGGCATTTTCCCAGAGGGAGGTAGCCATGACCGCTCGAACTTACTACCCCTCAAAGCCGGTGCTGCTTTGATGTCGCTAGGTGCTCTGGCCCGCGATCCAGACTGCGGCTTATCAATCGTGCCTTGCGGGATGAATTATTTCCATCCTCACAAATTTCGGTCAAGAGGAGTCATCGAATTCGGACGCCCGATTCACGTTCATCCCGACCAAGTCGAAGCATTCAAAGCCGGAGGGACTAGCAAACGTAATGCCGTGGGATCTCTCCTTGAAACCATCTATGAGGGTCTCGAGTCTGTCACCCAGATTAGCCCTGACCATGAAACACTTATCCTGGTCCAATCTACCAGGAAGCTTTACAATCCCATCAGCAAGAAAATTCCCTTGCCGCTCGTTATTGAGTTCAACAGGAGATTACTCAAGGGTTACGAAGCAAACCATGATGACCCCCGCGTGAAAGCTCTCAGGAAAGCAGTGAAAGAGTATAACAGACGCTTAGAATCTCTCGGAATCAAGGATCATCAGGTAGAATGGGGCAATATTGAAGAGAAGCCTTGGTGGCTGACCCTTATTACCTTGTTCTACCGCTTGTGCAAGCTTCTAGTATTGAGCTTTGGAACGTTGCCAGGCGTTTTATTGTTCTGGCCCGTCTTCGTCGCTACAAAAGTGATTTCGGAGAAGAAAAGACGGCGGGCGCTGGCTGCGTCGGTAGTAAAGCTGGCCGCGCATGATGTTATGGCCACCTGGAAGTTATTGGTTGCCATGGGATTAGCGGTAAGCCTCACGTCTCTGATTCAAGTGAAACCTCTAACATAATTCTCCAGCCGACCCTTTATGCTTACTATACGATCATCGTCACTGCGTGGCTGCGATACAACAGACAGGACGGCTATTACTCGCATTCTGTACCCGTCTGGATGGTGGCGAGGACATACGTGCCCGACGCAATTCCTCTTTGGATGTTTGCGATGGGCTTTTATGCCCACATGGTTTTCGTCAGTTACGCCGCTCTTCGCTTCGGTGAAGTGGGAATGGATATCATCAAGAGTCTCCCGCCGCTTATTGTGGCGCTGAATCCGCTATCCTCCACCTCGCTGACCAAGCTGAGAGAGCATCGCGAAGCACTCTCGGAGCTAGTCACGGAGACTATCAACGACCTTGGATTCGGCATTCTGCCAGACGTTGACGCTGAAATTCCGTCTGATACTTACAGGCCCGATGCCTATCAATCCCGCCTGAAGAGCATGCCACCGAGTGAACCCAGTAGTCGCGAGCCCAGCCGTAGCAGATCAAATGGCCGAGCTGGTGGTCCGCAGCTCAAGGGACTCAGTTCTATCAACTCAAAGGGTGATCTCGACTTGGAGCATGTTGATCGAAAGATTCAGACACAGTTGAAGGGACGTGGAAGAAGATCTAACACTACCGGTGCATACGAGACGGGAGAGTCAATTTTGAAATACAAGATGACCAGTGGGACAAAGGAGGATAAGAAGAAGAGATGACATAACTCCTCAGTGGGTCAGTGATCAATCTTCTCTCCACTTTTACCCTCAATACAAAACAATCAGAACTCTCATTGTACCATTTGAAAACAAAACAATTCATCATAACGTTTTTCATACATTGACTCTGCCGATGTTTTCCTTCCGCACGTATACCAATTGATGTTTCTCCGCGGCTAATGAACCCCTGCCAAAATCATCATACGAATGTCTATCCTTGGCCCATCAAGTCGCCCACCCGGCGACTGACATGATACTCCAGTGGCCCAAGGCCGATCCAGCCTCCTGAGAGATCGATAGCCCTGCTTTGGAATGTGGGAAACGCGGTTCAATGCCTATTTGGGCAATCAAGACGCGCACACGATCTTGGATCAGCGTGGCTCTTCCCCCTTTTGGGTCTGGAATGCTCGATGACTTTTCCAACTGGCTTCTGAACAGGTCTTTGACACCTTCCCGCCCCCCAAGTATGACGCTGGACGCCATTCTTCGTCGTCAGGAACGCCGTTGCGCGTGCAAGCCGCGTTTCACAAGCTATATCGCGGCCATTTGGTCATTCTTACCCGCCATCTGAATATCCTAGGCCCAAGACGCATGGAATGACGCTGCATATAAGAAGCTGAACGTCTTGACTCTCTAGTTTGGCACAGGACCTCCATCCAAGACAAACCTGCAAACCGTCCTGCAAAGTTGTCTCGATCCTAGCAACTCCAGTCCATTCACACCTTCCAACCATGTATTCTTCCATCCTCACTCTTGCCCTCCTCACGACTCCCATCTACGCTGCCACTAGTGCGCGCGTCTGGGCACACTTCTACCCCAGCTGCCCTGGGGATCTTTTTTCCGACCTTGCCACCTACGAAAACTATGAAGAAACCATCCCATCCATCGACATCAAAGAAGGCGAGTGCGCCAACATTGGCGTCCCCTCCTACGAGCATAACCTCGTCAGCTCCATCTCCGTGGACGCAGAGCTTCTCTCCCGCGCACACAACGGCTACTTCTCATCTGATACCACCAATTGCAACATCACCGTACACGAAGTTCCCGAGTGCGTCGAGCCACCACTGATCGTCCAGGAGATCCACAACGGCGTTGAAGTCAGCGAGTGCGAGGCCCGGCGATTTGCTGCCTTCAGTGAGGTGTGGTTACGACTGGTCTGCGACGACGCCGGCAAGGAGTCCCTCGAGAATCAGGGCCAAGATATCCCACGTATCGATGGGACTGCCAAGAGTCAACAGGCCAGCAATGTCCAGACTCCCGGCTCCAATTCGAATTCGTGGCATGTGGCGCAGTCCGCTCAGTCTGAGCGCGAGCCTGAGCAGGAAGACCGTGTAAACAATGCTGGCCATGCGGAGAGTGAGAAAATGGTGCACAACATCATGGAGGAACTCGCGCAGAAGCACTCGCACTTTGTTTCGGGTAAGCATCATGCTACCCAGAGCAATGTATCGCTTCACAATGGCACTGTCCCTGGCAATCACACTATCTCGCGGAGAAAGTTGTCTGTGCTGCGCAACCGCGCTAATCGGTTGTATTAGTACTGTTGATGGTTTGCGAGCTTGGCCTCTTCTCTTTCTTTTTTGCGGTTTGTGAAAATGTTCCGGCTATGGAAATAAGTTAGAATTATGTATAATAGCATCAAATGTGATATCATCTTGCTTTAAATACCCCTCCACATCTTTTACATTGAAAAAAGAGAATAGATGTACATAGCAAGCTGCTTGTTATCTGTTTGGTTCAAGGCTACTGGGGACGGAGGGTGTCCGCGAACTAAAATTACAAAAATATTCACAAGCTTCAAAGGGGTATTTCAGGGTCTCATTAGTTTCGAATGGTATTGAATGTACAATACTGAAAGCTGCCAAACTAGAATCCAAAGCTATCTAGTAACGAGTTGGCATCAGGCTCATGGAACATCGTCGGTGGAGGCTTGGGCTTGGGCTTCTGCTTGTCCTTGTCAGCAGGCTCAGTTTTTCTTTGTGTTCTCGGCCTGAGTCCTAGTCAAGCGGACAGGCATATCGGCCACAACGAGACTGCTCCGCCGGCGAAGCAGTTTCCGATAATCAACTCCATCCTCGTGAAGTTCAAGGGCTGGTTGGTTCTGTAGTGTTTTAGAAGTAGGTGGCGCGCCCAAGAACTCCCAGCGGCGAACCAGGTCCAAGGCAAGGAGATCGCAGCCCATGCGGTCGTAGAGGCGGGCGTTACGCAAGACAAACTCCCATTCCTCGACAGGTCGTACTTGTGACGCACCCTTGAGGGTTTGTAAAGTCTTCTCGCGAAGTTGTTGGTAGAGGACGACCAACGCTGGGTCGTTGGAGAGATAGGATTTGGCTTGTAGGGTGACATGGCCCGGACTTCCGGGAGACGCGGGTGTGGATGCCAGGAGTGTCTCGACTGGCGAGATTAGTGCCCGGACTGCCATGTCTCGTCTTCCCAGCATCCAGAAGGCCCATGACGCCATCCACCGGTTGCCTTCTGAGGCGGCTGTGGGTAGAACTCGCTCTTCCAATATTTCCTTGAGTACAGGGCCATTATCTCCTTCGTATACTCGGGCGATTGCAATTGCAAGCTGGATGTCTCCCATTTGGGTGGCGACGACGTTGACGGCATCGCGAAGGCGGTCGGCGAGAAGGAAGAATGAGGCAGCATATTCAAACCGTCGTTTTCCAAGCAAGGCATATGCATTCTTAAGTGCAGATGTTTTCCAGCGTGGTTCCTTGAAGTCATTTGCTAATAATCGCTGGGTAGCGGCTTGTTCACGGTGCCAATGAGCGATGCGCCAGAGACCCTGAAGAATGTTCTTCTTTCCGAGAGCAAGGTAGTAAATTGTACAGTCAACAGGATTCCTCTCCTCTGTCTTGGTGTACTCATTTCGAGCAACGACCTCGAGTTGTGCCTTCAATGCTGTTGAATCGATCAACCACAGAAAGATGCCACTTTCTCGAGCAGCCTTCCAAGTAAGTTTGCCGTTGAACTGTCGCGAAACTAGATCTGAGAGAATGTCCTGGCTCCCACTTTGGAAAGCCCAGACAATCTCTCTCCACGAGACCTTATCCTTATTCGCTATCCCTTGACTTCTTCTTAACATGTGCTGTCGGAAGAAGAGAAGGTAGCGGGCCGCATTGTCGTCCATTGACCGTCTGTGCTTTTCTACCATCGCAACACACTGGATAGTATCGACAAGGCGGAACTGCTCATGGCTGGACAACTGTGGTAGCGCGATTCGGGCAAGGCTTTCATTCAAAATGGCCGCATTTTTTTCGTCCATTACAGACGAAAGCTCATCCTCAACGGAGGCATCGACATATGAAGAGCGCATCTCTTTTGAGCCAGCGAGTGAGATCTATGCTTGTTAGCATACTGATTCAAGCTAGTCCGAAACAAATCACTTACATCTTCTTCATAGAAGTGCTCCAGTGGCATGTTCAGGAAGCCGTCCAATTCATCTCCCTCGACGTAAAACTTCAATTTTCGGTGAAGGTTCATCAAAATAGAATGCACCAGGCTGGCCTTGCCAGCAAGGATGCATTGTGCCAGGAATTGTGGATGGAAGACTGGCAAGGGGCCATTTAAGCGGCTGGCAACGTTGAAAAGATCAACAGATGACAGTCCCTTGGACGGAATGCGAAGTTCAGTGACAAGTCGGTCTCCCACATCGATCTCTTTGTCGTAGACAAACAGCTGGTTGCCTGCACCAATGACCAAATGGCCATTCGTGAGCCAGCAAGAGTCGCCAATGGGGTGAGGCGTGAGATCTCGAATCCAAATTTCCCGAACTTGAGTCCAAGAGGGTTGTGAGTCTAGGTAATCGTAGCGTAGCTGTGACAAGAGGACAACCTTGTGAGGAAATCCAACAGCCAGGATAGACTGCATGTCGGGAGTTGATGTCCAATCCAAATCTCGAATGATATCATGTTGGGCGAAATGCTCTTCGAATTCAAGCTGGGCATTGTTGGTATCCCAGATAGTGAGATGAGTTCGGTCCGCATCGACCAAGGCGGCTTTGCGGATAGTGCTTCCACTCGCCAGCGATGGATTCACAATGCCCGTATCAACAGTCGACTTCAACAACCACTCAACCATCGTATTCACCCTGTCAACTTTGGCGCTCCATGTCCTTACAACTCCGCTGTGCGTATAAGATAGTGCAATATCAGGAGCAAATGCATCAAAGGATCCAGAAGTCTTGGCTTTCGGCCCTGCAGGGTCAACTGGTAGAATATAAGCCAAGTCCTCTTTCAATCCCATGTCAAACTCGCAAAACTTCCGGAGCTTGCAATCTGGTTCTTGTTTTCCTCGGAAATTTCCATCGCCAAAGCATTGAATTTCCCACGCTATGCCGTGCATATCCGCTCCGATAGTCGCTACATAGGCGAAACCGGTAGACGCCTCAGGTGTGGGTATCGGAAGCACACAGAGCGGTTTGCTCGATAATGTAAACGGCAAATGCGCGATTCTTTTGGAATGGTACGAGGAGAAATCCCAGAGAGTAACCCCGTTATGGTGGAGGTTGACAAGAAGACTGGCATTCTCAACCACACAAGTTCGATGGATGTGTTCGTCAGATAACAACAGACTCTTATGGATCAGCATGGACCCGGTTTCGCGTCTCCTTTGCTTCCAGATCATAGCTTTGTTCTCGTCTGTCCGAGACACAAGTGTATCGCCGATTGCATTCCGGACAATCTTCTTGACAGGGCAGTGTGGCCAGACCAAGACGCCCTTGGGACAACCCGTTTTTGATGAGGAGCTGGGTCAAAGAGAACGTCCACCTGAGAGTCGTACCATTCAATTCGGCCGTCAAAGTGGTGGATGACAATACTGAGCTTGTCGTCGGATGTATTGCTCTGAAATACACAGATTTGAGCGTAGTCTTCGTTTGCCGACAGGCTGGACATGAACCCAAAATCCAAGCCCTCCACATGAAGAATGTTGAAGACACTCAAGTTCGTCTTAACCTTGGACCCGACATCTTCCAAAGCCCAAGCAGACATGTGGCCTTGACCGTCGATTACCACACAGATTTCCGGGCTCGACTTTGCGACTTCAATGAGGTGCTCCAACGCATGGTTCTCCTTGTTGCCCGTGTCTCTTTGCACGGCCCGCTCAGTCGCAGAGCAGAAGTCGCGGCTGTCCAGTATGAAACCATATCGTCTCTGTGGCCCCCTATCCATGCTGGCTGCATCTCTAGGCTGAACTGATTCATCCATATCAATTTCCGCCCAAAATTGCAATGGGAATAATGCATGATGGTCTGTCACAGCCCATACGCGAATCTTATTATCCGCACATAGCGTGTAAAGCACATTATCCACCGACTGTTCAGGGTGGCGGGGCAATCGCCAATGAATTCCGGTCACGACATTCGGATGAGGCAGATAGGAGACCTCGAACCGCACCTCGTCCGCACCGAAGGCTAGCCGCCTCCAAACCTTTGCAAGTCTGTCATAACGTCCAACCGTCACTATTAAGGCCGAATCGGGAGAAAAATGCGCGAATTTCACTGGACTCGCAAGCTTTCCTTTCCAAACTAGTCGTGGCTCATCATAGATAAACCAGAGGGCAAGGCGGGAGTTGCCCACAAGCAACTCGTTCGCGGAACCCCACGATAGGGTATAGACCGATTCGTCGTCATCGTCAGCGCGGAAGGTATGGACAAGAGACCACTATAATCATCCGATCGTGAGCAATTCTGTTCATCTCATGTACGCGCTACTTTCCTCCCGTGGGCAGAGCTGACGAGCCGGTTCACATAATGCGCACCTTTAGAGTCTCGCCCTGGATACCGTAGGGCTGATAGATGAAGACATTCGGTCCTCCACACACAGCAATCTTCCCGGAGGCCTCATCAAAGGCTACAGCTTCGAGCTTTTCGGTATCGTCGACGTAAATGGTTTGAAGGAGCGTCTGCGGACCGCCGAGGATAACTAGCGCGTGGCCGGAGATGTATGCCTAATATTGACGCGCGGGGGCACTTTTTAGCAACGGACATAAATGAAACATTATGGCAAATATCCAAGCTGCAGCGAACCATGGACAAGCTAGAGGTAGGGGTAGAGCCTTACAACGACACGAAGTCCATCCGACAACGCAGTGCTGAACGACTGGAGCTTGGCTGGGGGCCTCCCCGGCAGTACCGCTCGCATGGAGGCGGGTGAATCGAAATGTGCTCGTTGCGCTTGAGACCTTACACCATCGCCAATTTTAAAGAGCAGCAGAACTAGCACAGAAGGGCGAACCGAGAAACAATCTGAGCTGAGGTTGCGGTTGGTTATGCGCAGGGGATCGAGCGGGAGAGCGTGTCGATTACGCTACCGCTCCACTCGGTGGGACCGCCGTGGTCTCACCACCTTGAATGGAAGAACAACCAATCTTAGACTAATCAGCTCTTTCAAAAGAACTAAATTGAGAGAACGATATCCTAGCTGACTTTGAGAATCGTTGACATTAGCTACACTTTTGTCTAAGAACAAGGCTACAAGTTCCTCGGATCTACATCGCATACTGCGGCAAAATATTTAGTGGTGGTCATCACATTCAATCATGTCCTGAAGTACATAGCATAGCCCAAGGCCCAAACAGAGCCGCAAAAATCCACCAAACCCTTATATGCAGCGCCGAATGATATGCATGATGGGACGAAACATGAACACAATAATTGCAAAGACATCGAAAGTATCGTCATGGCTGATGTACAAACCTCCAAAGTATGAGCGCTGAATTTGAAATCATATACCGAAGAATTGGTTAGGGTCGTCGATTCGCTGATTTGCGCCCGTCTGTGGGAGACTCGGGAAGCTCGTCGTCCACGAATCGAACGCTCGTGCCCATCGAGCTTCTGCGACCTGTGCGTGGTCGCATGGAAGATGCTATTTGGGAGGTCGAGGCAGATGCACGGAGGAGTCGACGGGCGAATGGAGTATGAAGAGGTGTAGCAGGGGTGGTAGACATCTGCGCGAGTGCTCGGGCACGAGCTGCTCGCTTAGATGGCGAGTTCATGTAGTTCGGTGTGGTAAGTGGAGTTGCAGAGGCCGGCTCTTGTGAAGTCATCGTGAAGTCGGTTAGCTTGAAGGGGGTCTCAGACGGATTCTGAATCCACGGATCGAATAGAGCTGATCCGCCATCAGCGCCTCCAAAGTTCGAGGATCGAGCAGGTGTCATAGTAGGAGGGCCCGGAAATCGAGCGGGAGTCAGGGCAGGGCCAAGAGAATCTCGAGCCTCGAGTTTGAGTCGCGCTTGTTCCACCCAATCTCGTAATAAATTTCTTGCGTGCCTTCGAAGTGTTCTTTCACGCATTGCCTCCGCAGTCTCAGCGGTGTTGCTCAGTTGGAAAACACGAAGGCTGAGCTTGCGGAATAAGGCACCCGCGTTGCGGAGGACATGTGAGCGGTACATTGAGTCTGCAGTGTCTTCCATTTCCCGACGTATCACATAGGTCTCGGACATTTGGATCAACTGATTGAAGGCAATCTCGCGGAAGTAGTTCCAGTCCGCATCTTGGCAATCCTGGGCTCTCTGGAGCGTTTTTTCGTGCCATCGAGCAAAAAGTTCAGAGACAAGGCGGAGCACTTTTTCACGGTTCATGGCTACTGCCTGTTGTTCCATGCTCATTATCCTTTGTGTCTGCATTGACCAAGTTGATATTGCCTTGGAAGCCAGGCTGATCTTGATCTTCCGTCGGATCATCGCATATGCTTCCTGACGCCGACGTTTAGCAGACTCCAAAGAAGCTTTTTTGCCAACGCTTAAGCGACTTTTTCATCAAAAAGTAGAAGTCCGCATTGCGAGCCCATGCCTCCAATTTGGCTATTTGCTCCCGTTTCGACCTCCAAGCCATAAGAGACTCTTGTGCGAGGCGTGGAGCATAAAATTCAAATGCTGTGTATTCTCGCTCGCGCTGAAGTCGAACCTGCTCCCGCCAGAGGGTGAACTTAGCCCTCACTAAGTCTTCTGATCGATGGTCTTCATGATTCTCGGCATGGAAAAGTAATCGGGTGTACGTGTCCCGGGTATTAGTCACAAAACGAGTAAACACTTCGCGCTTGATACGCTGCTCGTGTATCCTGCGCATCAACTGGAATCTCTCTGTCAAGATCCACTTGTACAAAGTCTCCATCTTCAACCGCTCATCAATTCGGGCACGGAGCGCCAAACATCGAAGGGTGTCGTTCCAGGACGTCCAAGCATTGCGTTCGGCTCTGAGTCGGTTCATCTTCTCTGCCTGGTCTGCCATGCGGGCCTTGAAAACCCATCTCGAGAGGGCATTCTGAAGGATTCTGCCGTTCACCATGCCAGATACTTGAGAAGCAGCGGGAGCCAGTCGAGCTTGAATCTTCCAATCTTTAAATGTCTTGCTCAAGGCCTGGAAATGTTGAGAATTATCGGCTTTCTGTTGTGCAGAAGCAATTTCCTTCGACCTTCGAGACCATACTCGAAGCGCGGAGCCTAGGGCGGAGCGTCTGCAGTGGATGTTGATTTCATGGTCGCGCTCTCGGTTGGTCCGGAAGCTCCGAAGCCAGTACAAGAGGGATCGTCTTTTAAGACGATGATCGTACCATTCAGGCGCTCGCCGTTCACAGAAGCCCCAAAACCATTGCCAATACGAGGCATTCCGTAGATGAGCGTTGTGAACTGTGACCGCTTGAGATTCTGCTGCTTTGAGATCTGAGATCCTCTTTCGCCATTTGCTGAAAGGCTTTCGAAGCGCGAAACGCTGTGCTTTCAATTCATTGACTGCGGTTATTTCGCGCCAGGCATTGAAATACTTAATACTCAGAACATGCTGCCGAGCAGCGGATGTACGGGCGACCTCTTCAGACGTCAGCTGAGCCCAGTGGGTAAAGGCTTTTGTCATTAGGTACAAATCACGCGCACAGCTAGAACGCTCTTCAAGATGTTTGAAGAAGCGCTCAGTCCTAGCGGTGTGGCGCTTATCTTGAATTATTGCGCGCCAAGGTTCAAATGCTTGTCGGAGCAGGGTGTTTCGGTCATGGTTGATCGCAAGGGTCTCCCTGGTTTCACGGATCTGTCGGTTTCGGAATGCTCGCTTGAGCCATTGGGTCAGGATGCGGCGGCATATTGCTCGCTGTCGGTACATGTTGAAGGTAGACGCGTCCCGAAGCAGGTCCGATAGTTGAGGCCGATATAGAAGCTCCGGTGGTGCCTCCACTTGTTCGAATTCGTCATGCTCTGCGGGCTGCGGGGGAACAAACTTTGATTCTCCCGATGCAAAGCTGTCGGAAGAGGTGATCGAGGGTGAACGTCGAGGTTTTTTGGAAGTTGTCATTCTCTTCGAGCGGTCGTGGTCAACAGCTGATCGCGCTACCGCTCCGTTGGTTAATGGCTTCCCTTCAGTGTCCACATCTTTATGTTGTACAGAGTCAAGTCTGCTTATCAAGCGGCGCCCAACATCTAGAAATTGTGCAATCAAGTGTGTTCGATCTGGTGATTTCGGTGCGCCGTTTGGGGGCTTCGGTTTTGGTGACTGCTTTGGCTTCGAGAACTCAGCTTTCCCGATCTGCAGGCGTGACATTGATGAGCGTGAGCTCGGGCGCTCAATCAAACTTCTTTGTGTCGCATCATCACCTATATCAACCGTAGTATTGAAGGATGCACGTCTCCTTGGGGTGATCGGCGTTCCATTCGGGGTAGGAAACAGGTCGGTATCTGTAGGTTGTGTGCGTACGCCGTTGACCGGAGGGTGCTCACTCTCTTGCGTTTCGTTGAGTTCCGTCGAGGGATCCTCTCCAAACTCCATCACAATTCCCATACGTTGCAGCGCATTCTCGAACTTGTCGAATAGGGTAGCACCCTCGACACCTTTGCTTCCCATCTTGAACAGAAAGCGCAGGCACGCATGGCCTGGGTCTGCGCTGGGACCATGTTCCTTAACAACCTCGTCGTATGCCGCGAAAAGCGCTCGGAACGGGAGTTGCTCGACCTCAGGTTTCCCCTCGGCGCGACTGACAACTTGGTAGAGGAAACCGACGTCTAGCACCGAGTAGCGCATCAGAATCACACAAACAAAAGCAGGTAAGACCCTATCATAAACATACCATTATCGGAGAGAGAGGGGGTCTCTTCGGTCACGGAGTGCCGGTGAGAAGGTATCGGAGGCATCGAAAAATCGCGACCTACAGCGCGCTTGTCGCATCTGGATCATAGAGCCGACGCACCAAATGGATCATCGCGAAGGTGGTGGAATCATAAATTTACAAGCTATGCGCAGCGACAAGTCTGCAGCTGAATAGAAAAATAAGAAAACGATTGGAAGTCAAAGCCCGCAGTAATCGGAAGCAGCACGACTTGTTATGGTGGTCGCGACAGAAACATGCCCCAGCGACACGTGACCCTTATGTAACCATCGCGCATTCCTCACGTTTCCTCTTCAGGATTTCAATCGCCTCAGCTACTCTCTCCTTTCATCGGTTGTGTATTCATCACATATATTCAAGATGCCTACCAGAGTTCGTCCAGTCGAGAAATTTGCTAAGGCTACGGCTCAATGCTCAGTCGAGGTCCGACATCACCCTTGAATTGAACATTAACGGAGCTAACCGGTCGGGCAGGCCGCAGCATATGGCAAGTGTGTCGTCTCTGATTACAGCTCGGTACACAAGGACATGTGTGCCAAGGAATTCATGCGGTTGAAAGACTGCTTTTTGGTGAGCAAGCTCGGTTTTTGGGGGAAGTAAGTACACATAGCTGATTCCTTCAGGCGGCTTCGAAAAAGGCCAATTAAGAGCCAAGTCGCTTCCTTTTTCCGGATTAATATGGGGAGTTTGGGCATCGCGGGCGCATCATTATAGGTATCATCCTTCTGTATTATTATGATCATCACTTGAAGGCGTATGAGACTTCAAGATTGCTAGACCTAGTAGGACTTCGGGAAGAGTTTATATGAAGGCTCATAAAACATGTACTTCATTCATGGGATCAAAAATCGATGGAAATTGTAGATATCTATCTACATAATCTTTTTCTTTGAGCTGAGGGCTCCCTCTAAATGCCCGATCTTCACAGCTTGACCAGGCGGAGCAAGAAGGTAGCATTCTGCACCTCCTGGTCCTCTTGAGCAATGGTGCTCGCCTCATCAGCAACAGGGGGCTTGCCATCAACTAGAGCACGCTCATCAAGAGGACGACGCACGGCTTTCTCGATAGCCGATGCCTGAGACCTGAAGGCCTCATCGAGGCCAATGTTCTCGGGGTCAGAGAGAATGGTGTACTCCATCTTCACATCATCCGTAGGAACCAGACCGGCCTTCTTGCGGAGACGCTGCACTCGGTTGATAATCTCACGACCAAGACCCTGATGCGCCAACTCGGGGTACAGGTTAGCATCGAGGATAGTCATCACATCGGCATCCGTGTTAGTCTCTATGCCAGACGAACCCGAGTCCTCCTTAATGCCACGCTTGACAACGAGATCGCCCTCAACAAGTTCAATACCGTCCACAATGATCTTCTTATCAGCGACGTATTTCTTGACGTCCTCGCTGGACAGGGAAGGTAAGGCCTTTTTGACCTTCTGCACGTCCTTCTTAAGCTTCTTGCCCAGTGTGGGCCAGTCAGCGTTGACGCTGTATTGAACATTGTACTTAGCCTCGTCGGTCGACAAGACAAGATCAAGAACGTTTAGCTCCTCCAGAATGTAACCCTCAAGTGACTTGACATCATCGAGGTAGCTGCTGATCCTGGTGGATAACCACCAGGGACTTGAGAGGAGTCTTCAAGCCAATAGACTTGCGCTCACGGGAGATACGGCCAAGCTCAATGACCTTCTGCATGCGCGCAACTCTGCGCTCGACAACCTCATCGAACAACTCCTGGCGCACTTCAGGGAAGCCAAGGAAGTGAACACTGCGAGGATCCTCAGCACGGAGACCCTCCGGGATCAAAGGAAGAAGGCGCTGGTAGATATTGTCGGTGAGGAAGGGAGTGAACGGAGCAAGACCGCGGACTAAGGTGTAGAGAACCTCAAACAGAGTGTTCAGAGCATGCAAAGTGTCATCGACACCGTTCTCACCCTTGAGACGCTTGCGGTTGAAGCGGATGTACCAGTTGGTGGTATTCTCAATCAGCTCCAGCAAGCGAGGGACAACAGTATAGAGGCGGTAGCCAGCCATCTCCTCGTTGACAAAGATGAGCAAACTCTGGCAACTGGCCAGGATCCAACGATCCATAACGTTGGTGTTGGTAGTCTCGGCCTTAGGGTCGAAGACAAAGTCAACATCAGAGGCCTTCTTCAAGAGAGCCACCTGGCCCTCAAAAAACTTGTAGCTGTTCCACAGCGGAAGGAGAACCTTGCTGACAATCTCTTTGACGCCTGATTCTTTGAATCGAAGAGGCTCGGCTCGGACGACGGGGGAGTTGATCAGATAGAGACGCAGGGCATCCGAACCATAGCGGTCCATAATAAGGGTGGGATCCGGGTAATTCTTCAGTCTCTTCGACATCTTTTTGCCATCCTCCGCAAGGACGATACCATTGACCACACAGTTCTTGAAAGGCAGCTTGCCGAAGAGGTGGGTTCCGAGAACAGTCAAAGTGTAGAACCATCCACGGGTCTGGTCCAGACCCTCGGCAATGAAGTCACCAGGGAAACTCTTCTCAAATTGTTCCTTGTTCTCGAAGGGGTAATGTTGAGAGGCGTAAGGCATACTGCCCGACTCGAACCAACAGTCGAACACTTCGCTAACACGGCGGAGCTCGCCCTTGCCCTCCTTGCTCGGAATGGTGATGTGATCCACTTTGTCACGGTGGAGATCAGTAAGCTCACCCGTGTAACCACTCAGTTCTTTGAGCTCCTCAACGCTACCAATAGCAACAATCTCCTTAAAGTCTTCACTGACCCACAGAGGGAGAGGAGTACCCCAGAAACGGTTACGGGAAATGTTCCAGTCGCGGGCATTCTTGATCCAGCTAGAGAATCGACGGTCCTTGACAAATGACGGGACCCAGTGTGACTCTTCAATACCCTCTAGCATTTGAGGGATGATAGGAGTGATCTTCACGAACCATGAAGGCACGGCACGGTAGATCAGAGGAGTGTCAGACCGCCAGCAGAAGGGGTAGCTGTGAGTAATTTGGCTGTCAACGAGGATGCGACCAGTACTCTTGAGGTGCTTGATGATGCCCTTGTCGGCAGCCTTGACATGCTGACCAACGAAGTCTCGGACCTCCTCAGTGAAGCAGCCTTGCGGATCAACAGGGTTCGGAGGATGACGGGTTTCGGTAACAACGCCATGATTCACGGCGACCTGGTAATCATCCTCACCAAAGGCAGGAGCCTGGTGAACAATACCAACACCATCTTCGGCGGTAACATATTCGTCATTCAACACGCAGAAACCAGAGTCCTTGAAATCCTCGTAGAAGTAATCGAAGAGAGGCTCGTACTTCCATCCCAGCATGTCTTTGCCCTTGATACGGTCGACAATCTTGAACTTGGCCTTCTTAGGGTCTTTATAGATAGTCCGGAGCAAGGACTCAAGAAGAATATAGTTCTTCTTGGTGGCCTCGTCGTAGATCTTGACATACTCGAAGTTGGGGTGGGCACACAAGCCGGTGTGCGAGGGAAGGGTCCACGGGGTAGTGGTCCATGCAAGCAGGCAGGTATCGGGGTCTTCCAGGAGGGGGAAGGTCACGACAACGGCAGGATCCTGAACATCTTTGTAGTTTTGCTGGGCTTCGAAGTTGCTGAGAGGTGTGTTGAGGGCGGTCGAGTACGGCATAACACGGTAGCCACGGTAGACCAAGCCCTTGTCAAACAGCTGCTTGAATACCCACCAAACGGATTCCATGAATGAAGTGTTCATAGTCTTATGCAAGATGCAATGGTTAGCAAAGAAGCGTATCGAAAACATAAAGCAAGCGCACCTTGTAATCGTTGTCGAAATCGATCCAGCGACCGAGACGCTCAATAGTCTGACGCCATTCGCCAGCAAATCGCATGACAATAGCCTTGCACTCTTCGTTGTACTTTTCAATGCCGATCTTCTCAACGGCCTCTAGACCGGACATGCCGAGCTTTTTGTCAATCTCGTATTCAATGGGAACACCGTGAGTATCCCAACCAAATCGGCGTTCAACATAGTAGCCCTTCATCGCCCAGTATCTGGGAATGATATCCTTAATTGTGGAGGCCAACAAGTGGCCATAATGGGGCAGACCGGTTGCGAAGGGAGGACCGTCGTAGAAAGTGTAGGGTTCACGGCCCCGAGAGAGCTCAACCTGGCGGTTGAAGGCATCAATCTCCTTCCACCGCTTGAGGATAATGTCCTCCTCGGCGGGAAAATCGATCGACATTTTGAGTGTTGGTTGCGACCAGAAGTTGAGGGGTAGACAAAACGAGGGCTGGCAAAAAATGTTGGTGGGGTGTGAGTCAGCCCCTCCGCCCACCGGACTGAAGGCGGTGAGCTTCTTCTCGCAACAAAGAATGGCATTGTATAGAAAGATGGGATGCTTTGCAAGTAACTCAGAGGGTTGGTCTCGCACATTTAATGAAGCACTAGGATGATGCATTCCAGAGCTGCCCGTGCTATATACAAACTGGACAATACATCCTCTATTCCTCCTCGTCGTCCTCATCCTCATCCTCGGAAACTTCTTGTCCCAAATCCTTGAGCCGTTGCTGGAGAATGTTAGTCTCTCTCTTACAAATGATGAGTCAGGGTGCCAACGTACCTTGTCCTCGTTCCTCTTTGTCTCCAGATCACCAAAGACAATGAGAAGGTCATCCAGTTCGGTCTGAGTAGCTTGACGAGCCTCGTCCTTTTCTTTCGCTTCCAACTGGGCCTTCTCAAGCTGAGCCTGAATATTCTGGAGCGCGTCGGTTGCCCTCTGAGCCTGCAATTCGGCATCCTTTGCCTTACGCTCTGCCTCTGCGGTACGCGCTTCCAATTCCGAGAATTTGAGCTTGGAACCTTCGCTGGCTGTCTCCTTATCTCTGCCCAACTGTGCCTCGGCTGTGACCAGCTCTGCTTGGAGAGTCTCCACGGACATTTTGAGCTCAGCTGTCTCGGATTCGTGTTGACCCTTGGCCGCGGCTATTTGCGATTCTAGATCCTCAATAGTAGTCTTGAAACCCGCGACCTCCGCCTCGTGCTTCTCATTGCGCACCTTGGCTGCAGAGAGGTCTGACTCCAGGCTATTAATCTTAGACTCAAAGCTTGCAACATCCTTCTCATAATGGTCCCTGGCTGCCTTAGCGGCGGCCAATTCAGACTCCAAATTTCCAATGGTGGTTTTGAAGCTCGCAATTTCTGTGTCATGCTGTGCCTGGAGGATCCGAGAGTAGAATCAAGGCACTGGAGCTTCTGGGTAAGTTCTGAAATCTCTCCTGCGTGACCTTCTTTGGACTGGCTGGCAGTTGATTCCAGCTCGTGGATCGTCTTTCTCAGGCCATCAACCTCGCTAGCGTGCTCTTCTTGGATCCGAGAGAGTTGGAACTCTAGGTTCCGCATAGTCTCCTGCAAGCTAGCGACCTCAGCGGCATGCTGTTCACGAACATTCGAGAAGTCAGATTCCAACTTGCGAATGGTCTTTTGTAAGCCAGCAACTTCCTGGTCGTGATGCGCCTTCACCTTTGCGCTCTTCTTTTCGTAGTCGGCCGAAGCCGCCTTCAATTGATTATCAATGGCACGAAGCTGCTCTCCGTGCTGCTTCAGTAGCTCGTTCTTGGACGCTTTGTGTTGTTCTTCCAGCTTCAATATCGCCTGCTCGTGTGTCTGGAGGAGAGATTGAGTCCCCTGCTGCGACTGAGATATCTCGGCAGAGGCAGACTCCTTCGTCTTGCGATGGTCCAGCTGCTCCTGGTCAAGCCTGCGTTGGATGCTCACAAGCTCGCTCTCCAACTTCTGGAGGGACTGGCTCCGATCATCAAGTTCAGCACGTAGGGAGTCTACAAGCTCGCGAGAGACACCCTTCTCAACCCCATTGGCCATGATAGAGACTTCGAAGCCAGGTTCTCGGTCGATGGCCCGAATCAATCGGCTAAAGTTGTCTTTCAGGAATTCAACAAAAGAGCGATCGAAGAATACCTCAGGAAGCCCGCCGTCAATTTGACCAGCTGCCGTCTGAGGAAGAACCTCAAAGTCCCGGACCAAAGGGCATTCGCGCAGTTTTGTGATCTTGTCAATGTACTGCTCTCTGCCAAGCTGTTCGAGAAGAAGCTTGTGTAGGGTGACTCGAGGGATCGGCGAATCTTTGGTAGAAAACTCGTAAATAATTCCAAGCAAAACAGTGCATAGACCGGGAATCAGCTTGCTCGGAACTCTTTGGTGTTTGATCTCTTGGAGGAGGGTTTGAATGCTACTCCCTTCTCCGAGGAGGTCATTGACAACATCCGGGTCTTCAAAGAGCCAGCCACAGAGGAGCATCAGGTATCCAACAGTAATTCTTTCGTCATCACCTCGTTGCAGACCAGTGATCAAATTGGCTACCACTGACTGTACACTGGTAACAACCTCTTCGCCACTTTCAGCATCGCCCTCTGTAACTTCCATGGCAGTGGCTTTTGCCTCCTGGTCATCCGAGATGAGGTGGAACATCAACACACAAGCCATCCAGACCTGGTATGGGTCTGCGTTACCCGAGATTCCGGTGCCGTAAGCAAGACAGACATGATGTTGGGGATGCGGTCCTGGCCGCTGAGATGTCCATCGATGGCTCGACGAAGAACATGCATACGAATACCAGTGTGGTGAGCGAAAAATGCCTTCATACACTCACAGGCCGCAAGACGTGCATCTAGCATGTTGTTCGGTGAAGGTTGAAGGCTTAGTTTCAAGAATGCTTCGATAACGTTAATTCGTTCAGGCTCTGCTGCATTGCCATTGGCCGTCGGGTCATGTGTAACAGAGCCCCAGATCACTTCAATGTCACCAAATCTTTCCTGCAACGGCGAGTTTCCTCGGATGAGATCAGCGCAGGTAGAAAGCGCCTATCTTGGTCAGCACCATCCACAGGTCAAAAGTACAAATTTGGTCTTACCTTCGCGGTAACATTGACACTAAATTTCTGGCCAAAGGCAATGCTTAAAACCTGCTCCGTGACACCACTCTGCCAAAAGGCTGTTTGGTTGATGGGCGTACTCATACCACCCCGAACCAGGAATAGCTGAATGATGGCCAAAAGACCCCAAACATTCTTGTCTCGTTGCAACATAGTCCATTGCGCAGGAGGCTCGTCGTCCTCTTGCTGACAATCAATGAGAAGCTTCGTGATATTCTTTGCGCAGCCGGTCTCCCGGAAGAACGACTGGTTTGAAACATTGAAACGAAGTAAATTCGCGAGCAAGGAAAGACAATCCTCAACCACTTCTGTACCATGTGTCATAGAACCCTCTGCGTCAATTAATGAAAATATTATTTCAAAGGCGTTTTCGAAGGCGACCAATTTTTGCAGCTCCTCGGAGGCAGGGGTCAGCGCGATGAGAAGCACTAGGCCTTCTATAGATCAAGATCGGTTAATCCCACTAACGCAAGCCGATCGAGAGTGTTCTCGTACCATTTCTAACAGGCTCTCGGATATCCGTGAGTACGCTGACCAGCTTGGAAATGCCCAAAGGCGCCGTGAAGATGCACTCTTGTGTTCGTTCCGGTCTCGCACTGCAGATGTGGGACATAAGTTGAAGGGAATATAGACGGGAGTAAAATTCTCGGGTTTCGAGCAGGTCTAGAAGAATTGTAATGTTGTCTTGTCTCTGCTTGTATGTTAGATTGTTCCATGGTTGAAACGTTTGTAGGTCGCACCTGTGTGAACTCATCTGCCAGCCACAGAGCTACTTCATCTGACGCTTCAGGCTGTAAAGCAGTTAGCACCTGCACAGCGATGTATCAGCGGCAAACCAATCACTGACGCTCGTCTCGTCTGGCGTAAACAGCATCAAAAGAGTCTCGAGGACTACTTTGATGGTGTCCACATCTTCCTGATCGTTGCGCAGGCTGTTGATCAACGAACGCAGACCTCCTGAAGCTACCGATGCAGGGTAAGTCTTGCAAAGCTTCTCAATCCCTGAATAGCAGCGCGACGATCTTCCAGGAGAGTTGCATTCTGCAAACGACTGCTGAGTACATCGATTGTGTCCGTTGCCGTTTGTTTGGCCGGAGCTTGCGACTCGAGGATTCGGAACATCTCAGCTAGATCGCAATCTCATGGTTACCGCCCGGGGCACAAGAGCTAAAGAGCATCGAAAGGAGGATTGAACAGGGAGAAAGTAGTTGTGTTGTCCCAAAATTAAAGTAAAGCTGGCCGAAAGTGACCAAGGGGGCTAAGAGGCCGATCGTGGCCGGAAGCGCTGCAAAACGCCGACCGCCCGGAAATAATAATTCGCAGTCGCAGAGACTTCCGCTTTCTCTCGACATCCACTTTGCGCCGCAGGTGATTTTTTGCGGTTGCTATCGCTTGAACTTATTTATTGTCCTCTTCTCATAGGCGCGACAAGACGTTTTTACGTTTCTCGGCTCAAGTGAGTGAGCCACTGCGCAAGGCGTCTTCCCCGATCTGCAGACGACGCATTCGAACGCCGCGCTGAACCCAACGAGATCTAGGGGACTAGCTGTCGCATCGCCAAAATGGGTGTCCCTGCCCTGTTCCGATGGCTTTCCAACAAGTATCCCAAGATCATCTCCCCAGTGATCGAGGAGCTTCCCCAGGAAGTGAACGGAGAGGAAATTCCCGTTGACGGGACACGGCCGAACCCTAATGGCGAGGAAATGGACAATCTATATCTCGACATGAACGGCATTGTTCACCCTTGTACCCACCCGAGGGCAAGCCGCCGCCCCAGAATGAGCAGGAGATGATGCTGGAGATCTTCAAATACACTGACCGAGTGGTCAACATGGTCCGCCCGCGGAAGCTTCTGATGATTGCAATTGGTAGGCCCATCACCTGATGCCCCTTTGAATATCTTGCTCAGCGACTAATTGAGAATACTATGCTAGATGGTGTCGCACCGAGAGCCAAGATGAACCAACAGCGCGCACGTCGATTCCGTTCCGCCCAGGAAGCCAGAGAGAACGATGAGAAGAAGGAAGAGTTGCAGAAGCTGCTCGCTAGACAAGAAGCCAAGAAGGGTGGTGACCAGGTTATGCGGGAGGAGGTTGTTCAGAAGACTTGGGATAGCAATGTCATCACACCTGGAACCCCGTTCATGGATATTCTTGCTGCTTCGCTGCGGTACTGGATTGCCTACAAGCTCAACACTGACCCGGCTTGGGAAAAGGTGAGAGTCCCGTTCCATCTGCATTGTTCACGGATCACTAACGTTAACATTAACTAGATGAAAATCATTATTTCGGATGCTACTGTTCCGGGTGAGGGTGAGCACAAGATTATGGAATTTGTGCGGTCCCAGCGTGCATCCCCTGAACACGACCCTAACACTCGCCATGTAATTTACGGTCTTGATGCCGATCTCATCATGCTGGGTCTCGCAACCCACGAGCCTCACTTCCGAGTTCTGCGTGAGGATGTCTTCTTCCAGGAATCGAAACCTCGCACATGTAGGTTGTGTGGCCAGGTCGGTCACAAGGCTGAAGAGTGTACCGGTAAGGCCAAGGAGAAGAGCGGAGAGTTCGATGAAAAGCAACACGCAGCCCCTCTCAAGCCATTCATTTGGCTACATGTCTCTGTCCTTCGAGAGTATTTGGCTGCTGAATTGCATGTTCCCCAGCAGCCCTTCCCATTCGACCTTGAGCGGGCCCTTGATGATTGGGTCTTCATGTGTTTCTTCGTTGGAAACGATTTCTTGCCTCACTTGCCTTCATTAGACATTCGTGAGAACGGCATTGACACACTAATCGCAATCTGGCGTGACAACATCCCGGCCATGGGAGGCTATTTGACTGAAGATGGACATGTCGCTTTCAAGCGAGCTCAGCTTATATTGCAAGGCCTTGCCAAGCAGGAGGACGCGATCTTCAGACGCCGTAGACAGGCTGAGGAAAGGAGAGCAGCAAACGAAAAGAGACGCAAGGAGCAAGAGAAGGCTCGTAACGAAGAGCGATCTAGCAAGCGAAGAAGAAGCTCCCCCCAATACGACAACAGCCAGCCTCGTGGTGGCGGTCCTGCTGGCGGCGATAACGCCCCGCCGCCTGGTCTGGAGCTTATTACCCCGGGTCGTGGACACCTCTCCAAGCAGACCAGGGAGTTGACCCACAGTATGGTGACCAATCGCGGAGCCGTATACCGCGCCAACATGGAGAACAAGAGCGCTGCTGCTGTGCTGAAGAGCAAGCTTATGATGGGAAATCAAGAGGAGCCTGCCGCTGAAGAGAATGAAGAGGCATCCAATGATGCTGAGCCGACATCCCCGTCGGTTCTCGGCAAAAGAAAGGCCGATGAGACATCTGAGGATCAAGAAGCAGGCACTCCGGGCAGAGACTCACCCCCGCCCCCGCCGCCTAAGCCTAAGGAGGACGAAATGCCTGAGGACACAGTCCGTCTTTGGGAACCTGGTTATGCGGATCGGTACTACGAGCAAAAGTTCAAGGTCGATCCCCAGGATCATGAGTTCCGCCACAAGGTTGGACGTGCTTATGCCGAAGGTCTCGCTTGGGTCTTGCTCTACTATTTCCAGGGGTGTCCTTCGTGGGACTGGTACTACCCGTACCACTATGCTCCCTTCGCGGCAGACTTTGTGGACATTGGAGACATGGAAGTGAACTTCGAGAAGGGCACACCTTTCAGGCCATTCGAGCAGTTGATGGGTGTCCTGCCAGCATCGTCCAATCACGCTCTGCCTGAGATCTTCCATCCTCTCATGAGTGATCCGGACAGTGAGATTATCGACTTCTACCCCGAAGACTTTGATCTCGATTTGAACGGGAAGAAGTTTGCCTGGCAGGGTGTGATTCTGCTTCCTTTCATTGATGAGAAGCGTTTGCTGGCTGCCATGGAGAAGAAGTATCCTCTTCTAACCGAAGACGAGCGGAGTCGCAATACTCATGGTCGTGAGGTTCTAATGTTATCGGATCAACACCCGTTGTATCAAGATCTTGCTGCCAACTTCTATTCCAAGAAGCCGGGCCCCGCGGAATATAAGATCAACATGCGTGTGAGTGAGGGATTGGGGGGATTGCCGAGCGCAGTGACACATACATCCCCCACGGGGCCCTCGTGTCACCCTGGAAGATTACGGTATGCCAAGTCTAGATGATGACCATTCCCTCACGTAAGTCCAGTTCTGAACTTTATCTGTCATACCAAAGCTCACAAGATTCTTAGTGTCAACTACAAGATCCCCAAATCTTCTCATATCCACAAGTCCATGCTTCTCCGCGGAGTGAAGTTTGCGACGCCGATGCTGAACTCGGCTGATATTCGCGCGACGAAGGGTCGTGCCCAGAACTCCGGTCGATCCTTTGGCGGAGCGCCATTGCATAATGGCCGAGGACGAGGTGGAGGCGGCCGTGTGGACTATGGAGGAGCTTCAGACCGTCCGAACCCCTTCGCCGCGCATCTCGATCCACGCTTCGCGAACGGACCCGCGCCTCCCGGCTGGGCTCCTCCCGGTCAAGGCGGTGGTGACTACTCCCGGGGACCACCTGGGCCTCCTCGCGGTGGTGGAAACTATGGCTATAATCAGGGCCACCAAGGCGGCTATGGTCAACAAGATCAATACAACCAGGGCTATCGCGGAAACAACGGCGGCTATAATGACAGCCGGGGCCGTGGAGGCTACCGTGGAGGAGGCGGCGGGTACCGTGGCGGAAATAACCAACACCGTGGTGGCCGAGGTGGTGGTGGTTATAATCGGTACTAGAGGGAAGTCAGTTCACAGCCCTCTCCCCGAATTGTTCACTACTATTCAAGACAACTGAATGAGGGCGTTTGGCGAACGGCGCTTTAGTCTCCTCAATTGTAAAAATAAGGAATGTAATTTGCTTTTCTGCTTCAATATAATCCAAGAATGGTAGAGCATAGTTTCCGAAGTCGGTACCCGAGCTCATAGTGGTTTCGGTAAATAGTTGAAATATGGCAGCCTCACCGTGCTTCCAATTTGACGCGCCCTTCTGCGTGAAACGAAAGCCTATGCGAGGGACACCATATGACATGGACCTCCCACATACGCCGAGAAAGATTTGCGGTGCTAGTGGCTCCCTCCGACTTCGCGGCATTTGGCTCACCGCTAACCGCATTCTGACTCAGTGCGGTCCAAAGAATTATTGAGTCACCTCTCGAGTACAAGCATCTTCCTGGTCGCAGGGTGTTCTGAATTTTCATACTCGGGGCACAGGATTCCAGGTGAGTATCGTCCACTTACCGTCACACCGTGAAATGCAGTTCAATTCAATTATCTGTGTGCACCTTGCATCGCTAGCTCCGACAGCGGGGGGATGTCGCAGAGATCAATTGCTATACTAACAATTCCTAGAATGAATTGAGTAGAGAACCCGAAGCCGCAGAATTTGACACCACCTCATATTTGCCCCGTCATCATGACTGAGCCCACCAAGATCAGCATCTTGGGTCGGGGAGAGCATCGTCGCTGATTTTGGCCTGTGGCGTAATTACGTCGCAAAGGACCTGATTCACGGCCTGCCCTCGACCACCTATGTCCTTGTCACTGACACCAACCTTGACTCCATCTATAGACCTGGATTCCAAAAGGCCTTCGAAGCCGCCGCCGCCTCCGTCTCACCTGCCCGCGTCTTCTCGTCTACAATGCTGCGCCTGGCGAGAGCTCAAAGTCACGCTCGACAAAAGCCGACATTGAGGATTGGATGCTGAGCCAGAGCCCACCATGTGGCCGTGATACCGTCGTCATCGCGTTGGGTGGAGGTGTCATTGGCGATCTTACTGGGTTCATTGCGGCCACCTACATGCGTGGTGTTCGCTATGTGCAGGTCCCCACTACTCTCCTCGCCATGGTGGATTCGTCAATTGGAGGAAAAACTGCTATTGACACACCGCTGGGCAAGAACTTGATCGGCGCCATCTGGCAGCCTTCGAGAATCTACATCGATCTCGAGTTCCTGGAAACACTACCCACGAGAGAGTTCATCAACGGCATGGCCGAGGTTATTAAGACTGCCGCCATCTCAAGCGAAGAGGAGTTCACTGCACTGGAAGACAACGCGGATGCTATCCTCGCCGCTGTACGCAGCGAGAAGAAACAGGGCCGCTTCGACGGTATTCGGGACATCCTGAAGGCAAGAATTTTGGCCTCGGCCCGCCACAAGGCTTTCGTCGTCTCCGCTGATGAGCGTGAGGGTGGTCTCCGCAACCTACTCAACTGGGGTCACTCTATTGGTCATGCGATTGAGGCCATTCTGACCCCTCAGATCCTCCATGGTGAGTGCGTTGCCATCGGTATGGTCAAAGAGGCCGAGCTGGCCCGTCACCTCGGTGTTCTCAAGGGCGTCGCTGTGGCTCGCATCGTCAAGTGTATTTCCGCCTATGGCTTGCCCACATCAATGAAGGATTCACGAGTGCGCAAGCTGACTGCCGGCAAGCACTGCTCTGTTGACCAATTGCTGTTTAATATGGCTCTCGATAAGAAGAACGACGGTCCTAAGAAGAAGGTCGTTTTGCTGTCTGCCATTGGACGTACCTACGAGCCCAAGGCCAGTGTTGTCTCGAATGATGACATTGGCGTCGTTCTGGCTCCTAGCACCGAGGTGCACCCCAGAGTGCCCAAGACCCTCAATGTTACCTGCGCACCCCGGGATCCAAGAGCATCTCCAACCGAGCTCTTGTCCTTGCTGCACTTGGTTCGGGAACTTGCCGTATCAAGAATTTGCTTCACTCTGACGATACGGAGGTCATGCTGAACGCTCTGGAGAAGCTGGGAGCCGCTACCTTCTCCTGGGAGGAAGAAGGCGAGGTTCTCGTTGTCAATGGTAAGGGCGGCAAGATCACTGCCAGCCCTTCTGAGCTATACCTGGGTAATGCCGGTACTGCCTCGCGATTCCTGACCACCGTGGCCACTCTTGCTACTCCCAGCACCGTTAATGAGAGCATTCTCACCGGTAACAACCGGATGAAGCAAAGACCCATTGGCGACCTTGTCGATGCTCTGACCGTGAACGGTGCGGACGTCGAGTACATGGAGCGAAAGGGCAGTCTGCCCCTCAAGATTGCCGCCTCTGGCGGTTTTGCCGGTGGCAAGATCAATCTGGCCGCCAAGGTGTCCTCTCAGTATGTGTCTTCTCTGTTAATGTGTGCTCCCTATGCCAAGGAGCCAGTGACCCTGAAGCTGGTTGGCGGCAAGCCCATCTCCCAGCCCTACATCGATATGACCACCGCTATGATGAGATCTTTTGGTATCGACGTGCAAAAGTCGACAACCGAGGAGCACACTTACCACATCCCTCAGGCTCACTATGTGAACCCTGCCGAGTATGTTGTTGAGAGCGATGCCAGCTCTGCCACATACCCTCTGGCCATTGCGGCCATCACGGGCACCAAGTGTACTGTCCCCAACATTGGTTCCAAGTCGCTTCAGGGCGATGCTCGCTTCGCTGTTGATGTTCTGCGACCTATGGGCTGCTCTGTCGAGCAGGATGATCACTCCACCACGGTCACTGGTCCCGCGAGTGGCATTCTTCGACCACTTCCAAATGTGGACATGGAGCCTATGACTGATGCTTTCCTCACTGCATCCGTCCTTGCGGCTGTTGCCCGGGGTGAGGGCCCCAACCACACTACTCGCATCTATGGCATTGCCAACCAGCGTGTGAAGGAGTGCAACCGTATCAAGGCCATGAAGGACGAGCTAGCCAAGTATGGTGTGGTTTGCCGTGAACATGACGACGGTCTCGAGATTGACGGCATTGAGCGCTCTACTCTTCGTCAGCCCTCCGGTGGTGTCTACTGCTATGATGACCACCGTGTTGCCTTCAGCTTCAGTGTTTTGTCACTTGTAGCTCCTAAGTCTACTCTCATCCTCGAGAAAGAGTGCGTCGGTAAGACATGGCCCGGCTGGTGGGACACCCTCAAGCAGCTCTTCGGCGTCAAGCTCGAGGGTAAGGAGCTGAAGGAGGATGAGCTTGCCACTACCTCTGCCGAGGAGAAGGCCAGTGCATCGGTCTTCATCATCGGCATGCGTGGTGCTGGCAAGACCACTACAGGCAAATGGGTTGCTAAGGGCCTCGACCGCCCCTTTGTTGACCTCGATACTGAGTTGGAAATGGCCGAAGGCATGAGCATTCCTGATATGATCAAAACTCGAGGCTGGCAGGGCTTCCGCGACGCTGAACTGGATACTCTCAAGCGAGCTATGAAAGACCGGCCTAATGGCTACGTCTTCGCTTGCGGTGGTGGTGTTGTCGAGATGCCTGAGGCTCGCAAGCTACTTACTGACTACCACAAGAACAAGGGCAATGTTCTTCTCATCATGCGTGATATCAAGCAGGTAATGGACTTCTTGCAGATTGATAAGACTCGTCCTGCTTACGTGGAGGATATGATGGGCGTGTGGCTTCGCCGCAAGCCTTGGTTCCAGGAGTGCAGCAACGTCCAGTACTATAGCCAGCACTCAAACAACACAGAGCTTGCTCTAGCCTCAGAGGACTTTGACCGCTTCCTGCAAGTTATTACCGGTCGTCGTGATAGCTTGAATGAGATCAAGAAGAAGAAGCACAGCTTCTTCGTCTCGTTGACGCTGCCCGATCTGCGTGATTGTGGTGACATCCTGAGCGAGGCCTGTATTGGATCGGACGCCGTCGAGCTGCGAGTTGATCTATTGAAGGAACCGGCTTCCGACAGCGAAATTCCTACCGTTGACTTTGTTGCTGAGCAGATGTCGTTCCTCCGCCGCCGTGTTACACTACCTCTGATCTTCACCATCCGTACCAAGAGCCAAGGTGGCCGCTTCCCTGATGATGCTTATGAGGCTGCTGCTGCGCTCTACCGCCTGGCGTTCCGTTCAGGATGCGAATTCGTGGATCTCGAAATCGCATTCCCCGACGAGATACTCCGGTCCGTGTCTGAGATGAAGGGTCATTCCAAGATCATCGCCTCCCACCACGACCCGGAAGGAAAGCTCTCGTGGAGCAACATGTCCTGGATCCCATCGTACAACCGTGCTCTGGAGTTTGGCGATATCATCAAGCTTGTGGGCGTCGCCAAAAGCCTGGACGACAACACTGCCTTGAGGAAGTTCAAGACCTGGGCCGCAGAGGCGCATGAAACACCGTTGATCGCGATCAACATGGGTGACAAGGGCCAGCTTAGCCGAATCCTGAACGGCTTCATGACCCCTGTGTCTCACCCGGCCCTGCCTTTCAAGGCCGCTCCTGGTCAGCTGTCAGCGACTGAGATCCGCCGTGGTCTCTCATTGATGGGTGAGATCAAGGCCAAGAAGTTTGCCATCTTTGGCTCTCCTGTGTCTGCCTCTCGATCGCCCCCCTCTACACAACACTCTCTTCGCCGAGATGGGTCTCCCCCACGAGTACACCCGTCTGGAAACCAGCAACGTTGAGGATGTCAAGGACTTCATCCACGCCTCTGACTTTGGCGGTGCTTCTGTGACCATCCCGCTCAAGCTGGACATCATGCCCTTGCTGGACGAGGTCGCTCAAGAGGCCGAGATCATTGGCGCTGTGAACACGATTGTTCCCATCGACAACGGCGACAAGCCCCCTCGTCTGGTCGGCTACAACACTGACTGGCAGGGCATGGTTAACTCCCTGCGCAACGAAGGCGTCTATGGCTCCAACGGCACCGAGAGCGCCGTTGTCATCGGCGGTGGTGGCACTGCCCGCGCAGCTATTTTCACCTTGCACCACATGGGCTTCTCCCCGATCTACGTGGTTGGGCGCTCCGCCAGCAAGCTGGAAGGCATGGTCGCCACCTTCCCGACCAACTACAACATCCGTATCGTGGACAACCATACCCAGTTGGACAGCGTGCCCAAGGTCGCCATCGGCACTATCCCCGCCGATCGTCCTATTGACCCCAGCATGCGTGAGACCCTCTGCCACATGTTCGAGCGTGCGCAGGAGGCCGATGGCAAGCTCATCGGCAAGTCGATCGATGAGCAGTCGCCCCGTATTCTCCTCGAGATGGCCTACAAGCCTTCCGTCACTGCGCTGATGCAGTTAGCTTCTGATGCCGGCTGGAAGACTATTCCCGGACTTGAAGTTCTTGTCGGTCAGGGTGTGCAACAGTTCATCCACTGGACTGGGATCACCCCCCTTTACCATGTCGCACGAGTCAGTACTGCTCTTCACCCACGATTCTTGATGTACAACACTAACCAATTTCCAACAGAATGCTGTGATGGGTAATGTGTCCGCATAATCACCATGTTCGCTGGAAACTAAGCTACTGAATCTTTTGAACAATTTTTGATGAAACAAAAGCATCAGGCTCGGATTCTCGTCTACTGGCGTGAAAAATTTCGGTTATAAATAGCATTATCTGTTTCTATTTCACAGCTTTCTCCAGTCTGTAGATGTATGAAGTATGCAAGTCGTCACAGCTCAATCTCTAGGTATCTATGCGACCGTGGAGCCGTACGCACCAAATGCATCGTGATTTCCAACAATGACGTGACTATAAATCAGGGCGGTTTAAATAGGGATTTTGTAAAGTACGAAGTGCTTGCCATCCATCTCACTGAGCCTTCACCTCGGGTCTCTTGGAAATGGTCAGCCAAACATCGCGCCAGTAACCAACACCACCCTTGACCACGAATCGAGGCATAGGCTTGTCCTTAACAGGCTCGGGCTTGTAGCATCGGAAGAACTAAACTCCCGTTAGCTTACTATCTCCTCAACAAAGACAAATACATAGCTCAGCGTTACCTGCAAAGGACCCTTGAACAATTCCATCAAGGCAATATCCCTACCAAGACACACACGCGAGCCATAACCAAACGCCATATTGTACTTGTTGTACAACTTAGCGTTCTCGACATCCAACCAACGCTCCGGCTTGAACTCCTCTGCATCCTCGCCGTACAGAGCCGGATCACGGTGGACCAAGTACGGGTTCGCTGTGATCTCCGTGCCAGCCGGGGCGAATTTGCCAAAGAGCTCGATCCCAGGCTCAGAGACGTAGCGGGGGAAAATGTTCGGTGCAGATGGGCAAAGACGCATGGTCTCCCTGACACATGCGACAAAGAAGGGCAGGTGTTCGAGGACTTCGTTGTATTGGGGCATTTCGGAGAGGAGGCCTTTGCGAGAGGCGGAGTCGATTTCCTCCATCATGCGATCGTAGGCTTCTGGATGGGCCAGGAGATATTGGATCATGGCCTGGAAGGCGGTTCCGGTAGTATCTGCGCCGGCAAGGAGGACGAGGAGAACCTCGGCGCGAATATACTCCCGATCCAAGGGCTTATTGTCATCGGTGCGGGCTTCGAGGAATGTTTGCAGAAGGTCAGTCTGCACGATCTTGTTGCCGCTGTGGATATCTTTGAGACGCTCTTCGATCAGACGGTCACGGAAGCGCATGAGGACACCGATTCCTGAATCGTCTTGGGTGTTGCGACAAGGTACTTCTTCATGAAGGTGGTCTTCATCCATGAGGTGAACGGATGCAGGCGGGCTAGGAGACCAAACGCTGGGAGGCCATCGTGGAAGCTCTGGATCAGACCCCCAATGTCTTCTCCCTTTTCGATGAAGCCGAAGGGACGACCGAACCCGATCTCGCTGATGATGTCGTATGCCATGTACACAGCCCAAGAGGCAAAGTCGAAGGGCTCGCCCGTCTTGACGAAGGTTTGATCGAGCTTGTTGCTCCACTCGCGGATGCGCGCATCGATGAGAGGCTCCATTTTCTTGATGTTGGTGAAGCTATACTGTTTCTCGAGTTAGCTTGTAGCGTTCGCGATGGTCGTTCCAGATACCACTTACGGGACCAGCGATGTGTTTCCTGGCCTCAGCGTGCTGCTTGTGGGATCTCATATTGAACAAGGACTCCTTTTCACCGAAGCTACCGGTGATATAGTGGCCGGTCTTGTCGGCATTTCGGTGGTAGATTTCAGGGAGTTTGGAATAGTCGCTGACTAGCAGCAATGTTGGGGTAATGCGAACCACGGGGCCTAGATGCACAAATTAGAGATGTTTTTGAAAGACGGTGAGTTTGGCAATGAGATTACCATATTTCTTGGTGAGCTCGTGGGTAGTCAAGTACTCTGTCTCCTGTAGGTTCTGCTTCGCAATCCAGAGACGAGTCACGGAAGCCCAGAAAGGACCGGGAAATTCCCTAAGCGGATGGAAGAAGCGGTAATAAACGATCTGTGAGATGATCTTGCAAACAATATATGCGATGAGCCCGAGAACAGTATTCGTGACTGTCAACAGTGACAGCGCATTCTCGGCGAAGCCCATGATCGCTCAAAAGTAGACTGATGAACAAGGGCAGCGAAGGAGGAGTGTCAGACACGAAACTTGCCCACGCGATGAGATAGTAAGACGTCAGAGGCCATTGGCTCGAGTACATCCACGTTCAAATATGCCGTTGACGGTCATCATCATCTCGTCCACTCTGATTTCCTCGCTTTGCACATAGACCCGTTCGGGTTCCACAGCATCGTTGATCGCCAGTGCTATACTGCGCTTGGGTGGCCCCCCAATCTCTTCCATGTCATTAGTAAACCTTGTGGTCCTCGAGTTCCTCCGCTACATCATCACGCTTAGCTTAGATGGTCCAGCTAGTCGGCGCGTAAGACAAGAGACTGGCGGATGGAGCAGCGCGCACGTCCTTTGACGCATTATAGAAGACATTCAAGCCCCCGATTCGAGAAGGCAGAAACCGTCTCTACACTTAGAGAATCGCGGACTTCCACTTAGTCTAGGCATCGTGGAGTCGTGTAGATCGTCGACGCTGTTTTTCCCTGCTTGAGCAACTCAACCGGGAATCTTGGCCGGATTCCGACATGGACGACGGATGGCACTGGTGGGGCCTGGCGGGGCCTTGACGGAGCCGTGGCGCTCTCGAGACTCTAGGCTTGAGCGATGTCAAAATCCATCTTATACTTAAAGATATGAGCTATCCACGAACGAGTGCTTAATGGGCTCGTGTTTGATCGGATACTTGGCGAGATGGCACGTCCGGTTGGGCAGACTGAAGAACACGTTCTTGTCGTACATTGCAAACGCGAGTCAAATCCATCTGGGGACTTTGACCCCGTGTAGATAGCTCGTGTGTCAGGCGGTATTCTCCACCATGATACTTGTTGCGTTAGCGGTGCAACTAGACAGGGGAGTTTGCGGGTTACGTAAGCTAGTGAGCATACCCGGAAGGAATGGTGCTTGCAACGGATACAAACTCCTTAGTCGATCATTGTGCTCGGTTCATGACCCGTCTCTCCGGAAGCGAGCCCGGGGAGTGAGGAGAACAATGCTCGCGATTCGCAGTCCGCCGTTGTTCCTTCTTGTTTCAGCATAGATCATCCCGATCGAAGCCCAGGCGCCTCCGTCTACAAGTGTCTGGTCAATTTGAGAAGTAATTGGGAAGTACTAAGTCTTCCAGATCTCTGACAAATTCTAAGGCCATGAATCGCTTGGTGCTTAAGTAGGCGATGTAGGCCGAGCGGCGTGTATCCCAAGCAGGAAGTTTTCTCGTGTGTTTAACCATGGCGAGCATTGTCATATTCTGTAACGGATAGGCTAGGATATTCTCCGATAGACGTTGAAATACCATGTTCTCGGTCCTATGAGCCTGGACGCACTGATGAAGTCGAGATCAACAAGACTTTGCACGCCAATTTCGCTTGGAAGTAACGCCGCTGCATCGAACAAAAGAACGACCCCACTGTGGCCACAATGAACGGCTCGGAAGGGGCAGATGGGTCATTGTGCAGATCGGGTGCCTTAGCTGCATAACTAGCACGATGTTGGCACGGGAAAGCCCTTCTCGGAACATTGCGAGGGATCTGGGCTCTCGGGGTGAAACGCCAGAGCGACGATCCCCCCTCTCCGCCTCACTGGCGCTGACTTGACGAGCTCTGAGTCCAAGTCTGGTTGTCCCTGTGTCAACATGAGCTGAAAGGGCCACAATAATTCAAGCAAAGACTTTTAAACTATTAGACTCGTCGCGGCATCCCGTCACTTGAAGTTTGGTGCCCCGTGGTGGCTGTTGCCACCGTACTTTTGATAATTGAGATCACTCGCCTCTCCTAGATTTTCATCGAGATGATAATACAGTAACCGGTAGATCCATGTCGAGAGAAATTCCCTTTTGGTTTGCAAATCCGAGACCCACGTGGGCACTGTATTATCGTGGATTTCTCCTCGATGGGATCTCATCGTGATCGCGATGGGCATCGTACAGCGGTGACCCATAGGTGACTAGGACCAAAGTAGCATATTTCACCCCCTTCAATTCATGGTGATGACCTCTCTTCTAGGGCGTTACCCCATAGAATAATGAAGCACACTTGAGCCCTGAGATGAACACGGGATGTACGGGATGAATCCAAACACAAGACGTCGACCCAACCCCTGCACGACCCACGATCTTCACGAGTCTTTGAACCAATCTAGACAATTTCTGTGGAGGTCGTCCACCAAGGATTTCCCAGTAGCTCTCAGACATGTTGGTGGATCCGGCGTCGCAGGCCTCAGGGCTCTCGAAACGGGGGACGGGGTCACATCTCCGCGTCTGGCAAGCAAATCAGATTTGATACCTCATTGGATCCACCAGATCCTTTCTCCTCGAACTTGAGAAGCGGCTTGACATCAGCACGCTTGACCTGCTTCGCGGCGCGCGGTGAGACCTGACCCTTTGCCTTCTTCGAGTAGGCACTTGCAAATCCTTCCTATTTTTACTGTCATGCAGCCGTTTTCCTGCTGTCGAGGTGCTGTGGATCCGGAAGCTGCTAGGAACATGTACCAAGCACTAACTACCCAGCGCGGACTTTTTTGGCCCCAGGGGTCTGTCGATGCGCTTTTGACAAATACGAACGGTGGTACTTGTCTTCGCTTTGTCTCTTTCTCCTGTTCCCTTCGCTTTTTTTTATTTGGGGTATCTTCTGTCTCATATCTGTCCTGGTGAGACTTTCTATGAGACAAGCGAGCCTGTTCTATGCCACCACCCCGGGGGGCTCATTGAATTAATTGATTCGCCGCTACCATTCACTCATTTCATTGATCATGGCAGGCGACCATGGTTCCCAGGGCCCTGTGGTGATAGGTGTTTGCATTGCATTCGCTATTCTTACGTTTATTGTCTTGTCTTTGCGACTCTTTGCACGTATTTATGTGTTGGGAAAGATGGGTCTTGATGACTGTAAGTCACCACTCACCCTACGGCTCTGACGGAACTATGCTAATTGCAATAACCATAGACCTCATCATTGCAGCGAGTGTAAGTTGATACTTTTATCAGTTCAGTCGAAGTCAACTAACAAGCGCAGCTTTTATCATGGGCATTCATTGCTGCCACAATTGCCGGTGAGTATCTTGGTTCTCTATTCGTGGACAGTATTCTGACGGTTCGAAGCGGTTCAAAATGGGCTAGGACAACACTACGAATATACCGACAAGTCGAAATCGATTGACTATTCATTTGTACCGCCCTTTCCCTACGTCTTACTTTCCGCCACTAACTTTCCTACAGGCCGTCTGGCTGAGTTCAATGTTCTACCTAGCTACTCTGGGCTTCGTCAAGACGTCTGCATTATGGTTCTACACCCGGCTAGGAGACCGCACTCTCACCCGCATTTCCTACGTGATGATGTGTGTCATCATCTGTCAAGCCACCTCCTTCGTTCTCGTCGCAGCCTTCCAGTGCCAACCCATCAGTATGGCCTGGACCGGCACTGCCCCGGAAAATGCGTCAACATCAATGTTTTCTACCTCGCTAACGCGGCTCTCAACATCTTTACGGATCTTCTGACCTATACCCTCCCTATCCGAGTCATCTTGAAGCTGCAGATGCCTCGCAAACAGAAAATTGTCCTTGGATTCATCCTATGCCTAGGTCTCTTGTAGGTTTCTGATCCCGCACACTCGGACTCATTTCAATCTCTGATAAGCAACTTCTAGTGCCTGCGTCTCCTCTATCATCCGAATCACCTATATCCCCGCGATGCTCACTTCGGCCGACTACACCTACGCCATCAGCGGCGCAATGTATTGGTCTGTAATCGAATCCAACGTCGGTATACTCGCCGCCTCCATCCCATCATTCAAAGCCATCGCCTCGCGCTTCGTGCCCCGCTTCATTGGCGAGTACAGTAGCGGGAGAAAGTCATACGGCCCCTGGTCCAGCACCGCGGCTGCCCGACGGTACGGATCTGGCTTCGCCAAAGTCACCGACCCCGCCCACATCACCATGAACACGTTGAATGGGGACAAGGATGCTACGATAGGTACGCAAATAGGCGCGATTGCGGACAATTCCAGTGAGGAGCGTATCATTGTCCCTGATGGTAAAATTTTTACGCAGACAGAGATTGAGACGACGGTTGAGTCGACTGGACCTTTGGATTTGATCGGCGGACGGGTTCGGCAGTCGAAGCGAAGCTTTTGGGGTTAGGGTCATTTTTTTTTTTCACTTCCTTTGAGGTTGCGGGTCTGTCTCAGATACCCTTTGCTTTCTTTTTTCTTTTCTTTTTATATCGTGCTGGGATAACCCGGTATATGCGCACTCATTGTATCAACATCTCTTCTGTATATACGAGCTACCCGATTCAATGTTATTTTGGAAGCTTCTTGAGACATCGATGGGAACTTCGAGAAAGAATTGTGCCATGAAATCATCCCATCTCATTCAACATTCTACTCGTCTTTTAATATACGGCCGGTCACAATGCAGAGGTCCTACTCTCCTTATCTTTTTCAATCTCGTGGTGTGTTCCTACGCGTCGGGTTTTCAAGGATATCGTGGCATAGGTTCTTCTTTTGAAACTTCTATTCAACATATAAAGACAAACAATTCATCCTCTTCATCCTCCTTATACTAATTCCCGTCCACCAATGCCATCACTCTGCAGTAGAAAGAAAAAATGTATCATTTTTTTAATCATTTTTCGAAGGGACAAAAAAAAATAATTATCTCAGGTTATCTTGTAGGAATAGCCGAACGCGGGGGTCGAACCCGCAACCTTGAGATTAAGAGTCTCACGCTCTACCGATTGAGCTAGCCCGGCAGGGCTTGGTGGTGGGCCTAGGTTTGAGCTAACCATAAAAAAAGGAACACTCCCCACTCCGTTTTTAGCGTGGCAAAAAAAATATATCTCAGGTTATCTGTAGGAATAGCCGAACGCGGGGGTCGAACCCGCAACCTTGAGATTAAGAGTCTCACGCTCTACCGATTGAGCTAGCCCGGCAGGGCTTGGTGATGGGCCTAGGCTTATTAGGCTCTATGAAAGGCAATTTTCAAAAATGCTTACCTTTCCAATGACCTCGACTTTGCTTTTGTTCCTCTCCGTGCTGTATTCATCGATCATGCTGATGCAGAAGAGGAGATACTACTGACGAACCATTTCCTAAATTCAAAATATCCGAGAAATATCTAGATTTGGGGGGAAGAGGGACGATATCAAGGGATATATATTTTGTACAGTCAGCTGGGTTGCTTCAACGTCGTTGTATCATTGCTCTCATGACACCACCAAGTGTCTCCGCTGAAACACCTGGACACGTCGCCAGGGAATACTCATCAACCCTTCGAGATTGCACATTGAATTTGAATACACTGTCATTCTCGAATGGCTTCATCGGCAATGATCCATCGATTATGTCTATGTACATTGGTACTTGCATCTACTTGATGCACAGGTTACACGACTTTGTAATGACTCGACTCAATCAGAAAGTAAATATTGCAACTCCTCTTTCGCAAGTTATTTTCACGCACTTAGCTCTCCAAGTGAAGCCTCAGGCTGTTGTGGCTTGGACCGACTATCGGCCCGGGGTGGAGCCTTGGGCATCTATATCGAAACCTATACCCCGGACACAAAGCGAGTATGTTTTGGACTCGAGCTCGGACTCGCCGACAAGCCCACCAGAGATGTCCATGCCAGGGACCATTGCAGCTCTGCATGGACCACGGTCTCCCACAGTCTGCACGTAGTCTTCAGCTAGGGCTGTTACCACGTTGCAGGTCGCATAAGGTTGACATGGATTGGCCACCGAAACTAGCCGCGCCACACAGATCTACCCGAGTCCGAGCCTATCATGTACGAGCGATCTGGCCTTATCCAAGTCACCGGGATACTGAATCTGAGCCTGGTTGGGTCGAGCTAGGTTTGAATTAGCTCCAATCAAGTCTCAGATGATCAGAGACACGCAAGCCGGCTGGGGAACCCGTCGAATGGTAATCACCGAGTACCCAAGAAGAGCATAGACCTCCGAAGCGAGATCGAGTATATACGAGACTGATTCACAGTCACCCATTGTTTACGCCCCGGGCTATGTTTCGATCATGTGCCGATCACGATGGACAAGATTACTTTTGGATAGGCAACCACGCTGGCATGCCATCCCTTACTTAAGACTCATGTCGATCACGTTCCAGAATAAATTTCTGGATTTTCTCAGTATGAGTCAACCCCGGACCGTGGAACGTGTGTGTATTTCTCAGCAATAGTCATCCGGTGCAAAGTGTACCAAAGCAGTAGGACGATGCAGTAGGAGTATAGCGTATTCCAATATGAGATAAAGCGTACCCACGCTAATCCGGGTGGAGTCGGAATACCACATCTCTTGACGGAGCACAGTGAGCCTAGCGTTCACCAGACCACGACTCGTGGAGTATGCACACCAGATGTAACACAGAATGTCGAGAGAAGATTTGTTCCTTAACACGGAGTCCATACTCCCGGGGCAGGTCGGGAATTCGGCACTAGAGGTTTCTGGGAAGGCTTCTGGAAGCTCCTAGTGCGACCGTAACTTCCTTAGCGGCGTATCCGGCCTTACGAGCTTTGTGGCTGAGCCCTGCAAAACCCTCCTGGCCAATCATTTGCAATGAAATCTCTGCCTGCATTAGTCTGTTCTAATTCTGCTCCTGTAAGTCAAATCTGGCGGGACACACGGCATTTCTCGGTTTTAGGTCAGCACTCTAATGAGAAAATTTTTTTCTCATCTGCTGTAGTGCTGCAGGGGCTCGCGTGCCAGATGTGAGCTGACTTGGTATATTCCTGAAAAGGAAGGTCCTTTTCGACATTCCTATTCCGGGTACTACGTCGTAGACTGCGTAAACATGGTCTACACAGTCGCAGTAGGTATCATAGACCCGACAAGGTGGGGGGGTGGCCTAAGTGAATCGCCTTTTCCCCGGACGCAACCACGTTTTGCTCTTTTGTTTAAATTTATTTATTTATTTTTTTCTCCCCAAAAATAACGTACTCGGCCTCAAGAGGTCTGGAATCCGTACTATTCGTTAGTGAGCTCGGGGGTGAGGGTCCAAGGTGAGGGTCCAGACTTGTGTTCGGCTCGGCACCCCGGATCCATTTCGGCGTGATCGTGCAGCAAACGGGCTAGACCGCGGTAGAAACTGAGGTTCAAGGAACCTTCTTCGGCGGCTGACAGCGTATGAGCCGTATTCCAAATGGTGTTTCCCAAAAATCAGACGGAGCAGACCATCTCGGACGAGATCTGGAATATCTCCGGTCGGGTTTCTCGGGCCCGGCAAGGCTACCAGGCTCTTCACACAGGAACTTACTTGATCTGGTACGGCAACACAGACCTTGCATGGCAAGTATGGCGCTAAGTAGCCTCACCCGTACCCCCCCCCCGGTGTCACTCGGGCCTCGTGTTGCTCAGCACTCGCGGTCCGCACTAGTGGCAGTCGCAAATCATGGATCCGGCAGTTGGCTAACTCTGAGTCAATCTTTGTCCATAGTTGTTTTCGTGTATCCTGGCCTTTTTGTTTCATTTTTCTTGATTTTTTTTTACTTTTATTTTTTACTTATTTTAAACCGTTGAATGATGATATTGTCTAGTCTCCTTTCTATATCATAGTCATTCAAATATTCATGCCTTGAAGCGCAAGTAAAGAGGAGTCATACATGAGCCATGTGACCCAACCCCGGATGTGGGACCCAGGGTCTCGTAGCCGAAGGTCTCAGGTCTTCGGTCTCCGGTGCTCCCCATCGGAGTCAGCCCAGAGGTCACGGGACCCGCTCGCCTGATGTATAGGGTCAGCTGACAAGAGACTTGGGAAAATGGGAGGAGATTCTAAGCGAGTAAGTCCTGTGTACCTCGGATACAGTAGCTTCTGTAGTACGCGCCCAACTTTTTCAAAGACCACCTGCCCAAAGCAGTACTTCCCCAGAAGAATGTGAAATGCAAAATGCGGGTGCCCACGGTGAATCGTGGCGCAGTCGTGGCTAGTACCCGTCGCTAGTACGCAGTGTACAGCGTACACTCCCGGAACCTCGGCTGGGAAGACTAAGATGTGGCACAGCCCTATGGCCGCTTCAGGCTAAAAATGGCTGATCGGAACTAGTTCTCGATTTGGCACCGGGACATGCAGGAATCTTCCAGGCAGAGTTTTCTAAGCTAGTGCTTGTAAGCGACGGAATCTGGTTCCCTTTTGTGACTCGAGGCAGCACAGTTCTTTTTTTTTTTTGATTTGACATGAACGCGCATCCTGTATCCTACGGCCCAAAGCCTATTGCCCAATCGTATAGAAAACAATACCAAGCGGTGGATTTGTGGCTGATCCAAATGAAGCCACGGCCCACCTAGGTAGCAAGGGTTGAAAAATGGGCGATCGTGCGAAAAAGTGGGTCCGAGAGCGAACGTCCCCCCAAGTGGTAGGCGTGGGTAATTTTTGGGGGTAATTTTTGGGGTCCTGGGTGACCGTGATAAAATACACTAGCGTACGGTAAGAATGAAATGATCTTGCGGACACGCCGATTGGGCTTAAATGACGTCGAGCTAGCGTGCATCGCTCGGCCTTTTATAGGAGCGCTTTCCCTCAGATGCCCTCCACTTTCTTCCCATATACATCTCGAATTCTGATTATTTGCCATTTATAATCAGCTCGCCCTTTATTAAGACTCATCATACCTCCGATCGAGTCATCCGTCCGAACCGAACTCGTCCTTCCAACCAGACTAATAAAGTTCACCTTCAACCACTCGATTCGTCACGAGCCTCTCGACGTTTCCAGACTCTTCGCATACTTCGATCCAGACTTGGTCATTCAGCCCAAACCACCGGTTGGCACGGCCACAATCGCCCAGGGATTTCTCGGAAACTGAGCCGCTCCTATAAAAGCTTGCCTCCCCCCGGTGGCAACATTTCATTTACCCACTCTCTGACGTCCTATACGTGATACCATAATGCTTATGTATCCACGTAAGGATCTCATCACCGATCCATACAACCCAGAGGACATCATCATACAAGACGATCAATATTCGCAGAGCTTCGACGATAACTCGCATTATCAGTCCTCGCTACAACCGCCTTTCCACTATCAACCTCAGTTTGCCTCTCCGCCTTCATCCGCGCCTTCCTCTCCCACCTTCTCCTCGCCCACCTTCTCCATTCCTTATCCCCAGGCGGACAATCAGTCCTTTGGGGCTCCTTCGATGACCCCAGCTTCTTCATACAATCCGTCTTTCGATATCCAGGGCTCCGCCTCACCTTGCCAGCAGTACCTTCCCCAATATCAGCAATATTATACGCCCATGTTGGCGCAACAGCCCATCGCCAGCAATCAGGGTTGGGACAGCAACCTGCAGTTGCTGAGCCCGGCACGCATTTCTTACCCCCAGAAGCCGTCGCCCGGTCCAGCTTCTTCACGATCTGTGCCTTCAGGTCATCCGGTCTCGCCCAACATCAACTCTCACCGACGATCGACGAGCAACTCCAAGCCGCTACCCACACCGTCTCAGACTCCGGTCCAGAATTCCTTCCTGGCGGCTCCTTTCCAGAACTACGACCCATCGTACCATGATGCTAGTCACGCTGAAGCGGAGTCTGCTATGAGAAAGGCTATTTTGGATCAACAGCAGAAGCACCAGTCATCCCCCTCTCAGCAGCAGCAGAGTGAGTATTCTTTGGCTCCCTCGGTTTCGACCATCAGCCACAACTCGCCCGTCACCCCGCAGACCAGCCTGGAGGAGCTTGACGAGTCGAAGATGACCAATGGTGAGACACGATTCGCTGATGTGGACCGTTGGATGACCGATTACTTACAATTTGACTCAGAATATGCCAACGGCAACAGCGGAGGGATTGGTATTCCCAAGCTGAATCGGACAATTTCCGATATTTATCAGGACGAGCTGTATAACCCCAGCATCATGGCTGCTCCCCAGATGAACAAGCCGATGAACCAGAACATGCTCGCTCCACGCAATGTCATTGCCGACCGCCTCAATGCTGCTAATCAGGGCCACCTGACATCTCGCTCGGGATCCCCCTTGGGCGGTATGAAGCGCGAGCACTCACCCTTCCGTGCGTCCTCCCCATTTGCGGGCGACTTGAACGCTCCTCTCCCACCCCAGATGGCGACTAGCGTGCCCATGACTCAGAACATGGGCATGTCCTCTGGCAATCCTGGTGATATCAAGACCATGTCCCCCAAGGACGCGGTCTTGGACTTCAACGAGGGTGATGATGCGGCCATGCCTCCTCTGTTCACGCCCGGCCAGGGTGACTTTAATCTGGGTGATGCACTGGGTCTGCGCCGCGAGAGCTCCGGCTCCATGCGCCTACCGCAGAACATGACATCCATGGAGGCATTCCCCTCCCAGTACGCTACCACTCAACCTCAATTTGGATACCCCCAGCAGACTCCGCGCCAGCCGATGATGCAACAAGCCGACTTCCCTTCCTCGCTTCCTCACTACGAATCCAGTGGACAGTCGTCTGTGGACATGACTTCTCAGGCTCATGCCAAGCTGCCTATTTCCTCGGGCATTACCCGCCCGAGTAACACCTCCTCGGACGCGGGTACCTACACTTGCACATATCACGGATGCAGCCTCCGATTCGAGTCTCCCTCTAAGCTTCAGCGACACAAGCGGGAGGCCCATCGCCAGACCACCCCCGGGGGTCACTTGATTACACGCGATACTTCGCTTCGCAACTCTCAGGCTGGACCTCACAAGTGCGAGCGTATCAACCCTTCTACTGGAAAGCCCTGCAATTCTATCTTCTCGCGCCCTTACGATCTGACTCGCCACGAAGATACAATTCACAATGCGCGCAAGCTCAAGGTCCGATGTCACCTGTGCACCGAAGAGAAGACCTTTAGCCGCAATGATGCTCTGACACGGCATATGCGCGTGGTGCACCCCGAGGTTGATTGGCCTGGCAAGCAGCGCCGTCGCAATCAATGAGCTCCGACATTGATCACTCTTTGCCTTTAGACTCTGTGTGATGTGACGTCACCCCCTCTCTCCCCCGTCGGACCCACTTCAGGTCGCTCCCGGTCGGGGTTCCGCCCGTTGATTGGCTGCTGTCCACCACCGGACCCACCACATTTGACGTCAGCAATGTCAACTCCCGATCGGTCGTGACGTCGATGATCGGGGCCTCATGCCAGATGACGCGGGTCTTAACTCTCACCCCCCCTAACCTGACGTGTGCGGACCCTTGCACCCATGCTATTCCATGCTTTATTCCTGACGCATTCTTTTCTGGGAAAAATATCCAGGGAGGTATTGGCGTGTACCGGGCGGTCTTGTGTGTTTCTTTCGCTTGCGGCTTTTCATGTCTGTTACGAACCCCATTCGATGTATTATTATCATTCCACCCTGTACGATTTGACGTGATGATGTCTTTTTGCATGCGATTTCGCGGTCCCTTCTTGCATTGGCTCTTGGTGTTGTTTTTGGGCGGTCTTGTACATGGGTTCTCCGGTGCGTGAACGTACACTGGTTTGTACAGTATGGATATGGACAAAAAAAATGTGTGTACATTATGGGCTTTGTATAGCTTCTACCAACGGGTGAATACATCTGAACATTTGATACATTTCTTTTTCCTTCACGTAGCCCAAAAGTACGAAGTATCTAGTACTAAGTACCAAGTACCAAGTTTTTTTTTTTAAAGGTACAAAAGGGTACCTCCATCTTTGACAATCTGTAGGGGGTTTCCATTGTGGAGACAGGTGACGGTAGACAGTCCCCTGTTCTCCAATTCACGAACCCTTGCCCAAAGTACATCTCACTAAGCATTCAGGGCCCTTTCTGAACATAATTAGCAAAAGTATTAACCTGAAACGCCCTCCCAAGAAAGTGACCCGCCCCCCTCCCCGGCTTCCCCCCCTCCCCGTCCCCGTCCCACCTGCATAGATCATCTCCCTAGCGCGCCCGCGGCCAACGGCAGCAGAACCCAAAAAAGGGCGCCCAATCTCCATCATCCTGTCCCATGCTTTCCCTTCTTCCAATCCATCTCCACGATAGCCCCGGGATGCACCTGAACGGTTAGCTACCCCCTGCACTTCCCCCTTCTGGAACAGGAAGGGATATGTTCCCTCCCGAGTGGGGGCTTGGCTTGCACTTCCCAGTCGTAGAGTTGTAGCCCCGTCAAGCGCTCGTCATCCGCTCGTTACATAGTGGGCTTGAGTGGAAGGGTTTGGGGGAATGATGGGCGCCCCCCCCTGGTTTCCCGGTGAGAGTCACTTGTTTTTGGATTTTCGCTTGGGCCCTATGAAATCATCTTGAACTCATTGTGACAAGAGATAGGCTTGGGGGGGAAAATCAGGTCTCGGTCCCTGATCGTGTTGGGGTGATCTTTTGTTGTATGGGGAAATATTTGAATTTTTGTGTTTTTTTTTTTTTGGATCATGGGGAGATACATTTCTATAGTATTTGGGGGTACTTTTGAGTACTTTTGAGTACTTTTGAGTACTTTGAGTACTTTGGGTACTTGGATACTTGAGGACTGGGAACTTGAGAAGAGAATTGAATTTTCTTAGTCAGACGGCCCTTTCTTCTTTGTACTGTACGGAGCTGACGGATCGACAGTACATCAGAATCAGGAGACACAGACATCACTTTAGGAGTGGAGTCAATTTCGTTTTCGTTTCGACTAAGACCCTATTCGCGGCTAGATGAAGGAAACGAAAGCCGGGGTACGTAGGAGGACAATTTGCAGCCATTGATTGGGCTGCAGAGGTGTCAATTTTAAGAAGTTGTGGGTGGAGGTCATACAATAGGGTCCCCACTGTGGCTTGGGATCGTCGGTGGGAAATTCACGTATTATCTTTACATGGACATTCCCTTATCGATCATTGCTTGTATGCTGTATTTCAGGGCTGTGGCGGTGCGGTGACTCAGCGACGTGGTTGGATTGAGCTTAGTGCGTGTGGGGCGCTTAGGCTTAGGGTCTTGCGCGGCTGGCATGTGGCTTGAGGTATGTGGGTGAGGATTGCGTGGTGGTGGGTGAATTCGGACTTCAGAGGGGTCAGAGTTGCGGTATCGGGGACTGCTATTATTAGAGCGTTGTATGTCTGTGTGGTTTGATCGAGTCTTCAGATTATTGGGTCCCAACCGTGTACTCCCGAGGTATCGGGCCAGTGTGACAGTCAAGTCCAGATAGTACCGGCAGGCATGGGAAGTCTTGAAGCCACCGTGGGCCTGAACGCGAAAATCCTGTCGGGTTTGTTGTAACGGAATATTGGAAGGGATTGCCTAATCGGGAAATGAGGAAGCATCTAGAAAGACGTTGTGCCTCACTATAGTTTTCCTTCGTATTTCAACCCTGAATCAAGGAAATCCCAATTCCCAAAAAGTCCCGCTCCGTAGTAACTAGTAGCTGTCTAATGCAAAAGTCTATAGTCGTCCAACTGCGATAACCAAGTACATCACACCAGAACAACTTAACCAGCATCCGGCCGCATCCGGATTGCAAGAGTCTCCCCAGCAAGCCCATGAACACTCCGTCTGACCCCAATGCCGCGCTCAACCACCCGCTTCATCTCCTGGCTTCCCATGGCACCCGCATACTCCGCCGCACTCCCCCAGTCTCCTCGTGCCTCGGGATCAGCCCCATGCTCGAGAAGCCAGCGTACCCTCTCCACAGCCTTCGCCATAACTGCATACATGATCGGATGATGCTTCACCAGCACCGATTCTCCCCTCTGATTCACATCCGCTCCATGCGCTACCAGTAACGCCATCACGGGTATCCGGCTCACGTCGAATTCCTTGCTGGCAACTTCGCGGGTACTCGCACCAGGCGTACATGCACCAGAAGCGTAGTGTAACGGCGTTCCATTTCTGATCTCGGCGCCGGCGTCGAGAAGCATCTGCACGGCCTCCACGCTGCCATGTGTAGCAGCTGCTTCGAGTGCGGCGCATGAAGCTGGATCAGACTCACAATTCCGATCTCCACTGAATCGCTGCGCGCCGAGATTTGGGTTTGCGCCGTTTTCGAGGAACCAGCGGAGAAGCTCGATGTTGGTCACCACTTTTGGCAGTAGAACGGATCCGTAATAACCCGGTGAATTAGGTCTCCAGCCATGTTGTTGTAGGATCTGGAAGAGTTGAATCTGGAGATTTGCTGGTGCGTCTAGGATGTGCAGTGGTGTTTCACGATCAAGATGTGCGCCATGTCTGAGTAGATCCCAGGCAACTGCGGCGTTTCCTACTCTAAGGGCGATAGTCAAGCCGTGATGAAGTAAAGCGGGGGAGATATGCTCTGGTGGGACGACAGATTGCGCTGTGAAGAAGGTTCCCTGGCTGCATGCTGTTTCGTAGGCGACCATCCACTGTGGCTTGGATCCCATGAACCCGATATCTGTGGGCTTTGTGATGGGGGGGGCCGTCATATGAGGAGCGGACCATTCCCGACATACGGTCCATCTCTTGGGGAAATGGTCCATTGGGGTTGATTTGGCTGAGTTGCCGCTGCCTCGAAATCATGTTCATCATTTGCTGGGCGCGAGCTTGCTCTACTCTTTGAGCTTGTTGCATGTCAGGAACCCCCATGGCGCCACTCATGGTGTTTGGTTTGCACCTGCGTGGACCAGGCTATGGATGTACTGCTGTGCTTGGTGAGATGGCAGCGTCTTTTCGCCCAGCATGACCGATCAGTCAGGAACAGTGAAGCTATTGATTTAAAATGAACCACGATTCATAAGCTTGGAGAGATGCTTTGAGGTCCGATCATCGGGCTTGAGCCGCACTTCCACGGCCCCTGAAAGGACCGGGCGCGGCGATGCAGTTGATGAGTCATCTTCATCTCAAGATCCAGGATAATATTCAGATAATCATGGTATGTTGGCATTCTTCGAAGATCACATAGCATCCAAGGGTCTGGTGACGTTGTAATGCAATCTTTTGTGGATGAAGTCGATTTCTTTGGTACTGTGCGGGTCTCGGAAAGTCTTTCTCGAAGTATAAGAGGTATGAAGATCTTCCACATCTCCGATCAACATGATCAATATCTACGCATTGTTCAATCACTATGACGAGACGAATGCTATTCATGTCATCGTTCATACAAGCATCAACACCTATGCTCAACTACTCTTGTTTCTCTTCGGGCGCTCTGCCAGGCAACTCCGCAAGCTGAGTATTGATACTCGTGATATGAGACCCAAAGCTCGCGGTTGGGGTACTGACACTGGAATCCAGTTCATGACTCACGATCGGAGAATCGGCAGACAACTCAGCTTGACTAGCCCCCGGCAACTCAGTCCTCCGCCTGGGGTTGCGCAATCGTGCCCAAGCAAACCTATGAGGCACGGACTCTTCTGGAGCTTCGTAGATATTGGTCTCTTGCTCTCGTGCCTCGGTCAATGATGCTACACCTCTTTGCTTTCTCTTGCGTGAATGACCAGTAGCGCCAGGCACGCAACGATGGAAGCAGCACCTACGCAGCATCCTACCACGACACCGGCAATTTGGCCACTAGTGAGGTGACTCACTGGTCGCTTCGGTCGTCGCGCTGGTCGTATTCTTCGCGATGGCGTTTGGTTGTCGGGACAAGGCTGCAATCGCTTCATTACTGAACCCCTCCGACGGCTTTGTCATGCTAGCTGAGCCTGTCGATCTTCGAGGTTGTTAGCTTGGACCTAACCCATGACTGGATGACAAAACTTGCCCGCCGCCCATGACATTGTAGATCTGAGATGGAATGGTATATTCGCCTGCACCTGGGTGATACACTTGCCCCCATTGGGTACTGTTTAGATTAAGTATCGCCACGCTCTTCGTTTCCCAGTCACATCCCTGTGTGATGGAATCATATCGGATGCCTCCCACCGTCAACATTTGCGATCTGGCGACGAGATGACAGGTATGTCCATAGCGTGGCGAGATTCCTTCGAGCAGTTTGATCCATGTGAATGACTGAATCGTGAGCACGTAGGTTTGATCATAGACTCGATCCTCGTCTCGGCCGCCATACATGTATATGCCGTGGCTTGAGTTATCTGGTGCTGCCGCTAGTACCACACAATAGTCGGTCCGCGGGCGGGAATGGAGCTCGTCGTGGCCTGTGTATACCAGGTTCCGTTCGTAGCGTCATTGTCAATTGATGCGACATCGAGGAAGTCGACACTTTCGAATGATACCTTTGCAAATTGAGCAAATAAATTGAGCACGAACTTGATGTTGAAAAATCACGTATGTCCCCATATCCGATAAGTCAGTGTTGTTAGTTGGTTTCGTCACTCCGCCCATTGATACCAGCACACCGTCGGAGCCGACATTCGGCACGTACCACCGTAGAGATAAATACTTGGGTCATCCTCAGCACCCGCGTATAAGGCACCGCGAAGATTGTTCGGAGGTTACGTGCCCGTGCTGGCATCGGCCGTTTTATTGAACGCTGTCACTGAAATATTCACTTTCCAGTCCCATGTCTCGTTCAACGCGATTGCGATCAAATACTCATCTGTCGTCATATTAACATTGCCTTTCGCGGTTGCTTCAGCTTCAAACGAACACATACTGTATCCAATGATCGGGTTCGACTTCTGCGCTCCTCCATTGTTCTCTGCAAATACCTCCAGGCCGCCATCAATGTAGAGTGTGTCGTTTTTCACAGCGGTTGCGCTTGATTGTCAGTGGTTTGCAATTTTTGATACTGGTCAGACCGACATTGGTGATACACTCGCTGGCAGAACCTGTTGATCGGATCGATGAGAGACATTGGGTTGGTGGATTCGGTAGAGTTGGAGGCACCGAAGACTCCATGAGCAAGAGCGAGGACTGCTACAGCATCCAGAATCAACCACATCGCATCTTCGGGATGGAAATCTCCGGGCGCGATCAAAGTAAGAGCATTATAGATAAAACACTCGGCTCTTGGCCAGAGTAATAAATATGGAGGGCATTGCTGTCGGCTCCCCGCGATTGAAGAGGGTCAGCCACCAATGCAGTCCTGTATAATTGGATCATTTCAGGTGTAGTTTCCTGCAGAGCCGGAATAACAGCGTTGACGGCATGCACATTGTTTCTGTACAATATGGATCATATGGACCCGAGACACTCTGATGCAGTATCTCGGTCGTCGGGGTGACTCTAGTCGCATTGCTCAGTACGGTCGGCATAAGCACAGTATCATGGTTGCGAGGGGTAATCTGGCTGTAGGGAAGGGGAGCGGGGGGGGGACAAGACAGTCCACCTGGTGATAAGCTTCGATGTCAATGGTTGCTGCTTGTGTGTTGGATTGGACTTGGTTGTAAATGCCCACGATGCCGATAACGGTTGAACCCCAGTTGAACCTCTCGAGGGGGGCTCAACTTGGGATGCCGAGATTCAACCACCTCCCATGGCAACACATCAGCCCTTTCGATGTCAAATAAGAGACATAGTTGAAGTAGCCGTGTAGTATCATTGGGTTGTTCTTTCTGGTGATTTCGCTGGGGTGGTGATTTGCAATCTCCATCTTAGTTGTGGTTGTTCAACGCCAAGCAAAGTTGAACCCCAGTTGAACCCTCGGTCGGGCTTTGAGCCAAGCGCTGGTGTTCGACTGCTTCCCATCGTACCATTCCAATCATTCTTGTAGAAATCGGTGGTTGGACTTAGATAAGTAACAGTTAGTCACGTTCCGGTTGTTTTATTTGGCAACCCCATTGTGTCTGGTCGATTTTCATAGGAAAGTCGTGTTCCTCAATGTGGTTACATATCCTATGCACTATATACCTCCACGACGTTCCCACTCAAATCAAATCCACCGCAATACTTGTTCGGACCAACATCGGGGTATTCAGATTTTCATTTTTTTCAAGCAAGCAAGCAATCTTGATTCAAAATACCAGACTCAAGCTGGATGATGCTTAATTGAGACCAGAGTCTTTCACACATCCAGAGAAAGAAAGGAGTCAAGACCACCAAGCTCATGCCGGTGTACAGGGTACGCAAGACGTCTGCTACATCAAGTTTGAACCAGCCCTCGCAAGACACTCTATACAATTAGGCAGAGAGGGAGAGAGGGAGTTAGAGCAATATTAATCAGTAAATGATATTGAGTGTATACTACGCGGAGATGGATCTGAAGTTGCGGGTGGTTGACTGAATTGGAAAGTGGACACACCCACGCGCCGGTAAGCAACATCGCGTAGCAAGACCGGACGGTACACAACAACGCGTGAATAATACAAAAAAGCCCTAATTACAGGTAACACGATCGCTTATTTGAATGTTTAGTAATTGTATTGGTATCTGGACCACTTCTGAGCGAAGTTTGGATCCCGCCATGAAGGCGTCAGCCGTATTGTTAAGAGGCCGCTATGATACAGGTATGGCCGACCCATAGGGACGCGAAAATTGGTAGTCGTGTAAAAAAAGCAAACCCAGAGACCCATGACGATTGTAAAAAATCAGAGAACACCCCAACGTCCCATCATACCGTGAAGCCCGGAAAAAAAGTGAACAGACAGACAACGCTTAACCACCGAAACCGTACAGGGTGCGGCCCTGGCGCTTGAGAGCGTAGACAACGTCGAGGGAAGTGACGGTCTTGCGCTTGGCGTGCTCAGTGTAGGTGACGGCGTCACGGATGACACCCTCGAGGAAGGTCTTGAGGACACCGCGGGTCTCCTCGTAGATCATGGCGGAGATACGCTTGACACCACCACGGCGAGCGAGACGGCGGATAGCGGGCTTGGTGATACCCTGAATGTTGTCACGCAAGATCTTGCGGTGACGCTTGGCGCCACCCTTGCCGAGACCCTTGCCACCCTTACCACCTGAAGAGAAGACGCGTTAGAAAAGACGCGTCAAATGAGCGACGAGACGATGGATACTTACGGCCAGACATGATGAAGGTTATTTAAAAGTGGTTGGTGTTGAGGAGAAGGTGTGGAGTTGACTTTGGAAGTCAAAGAGGTCGTCGAGTGATGGATGGAGGGGGAAAATTGAGAAGGGGAATGGGGCATGGGATATTTGTATGAAAGGACGGATGAGACGCGGGGAGTTGGAATCACACGCTAGTGAGTGGATCGACCAATGGGAATGCAGGATCCAGACGGACTGGCGTGATCTGCCGGGTGCCCCAGGCCGAGATGCCTGCCTGCAGAAGGCACTCTGATCATGATTTCCTATTGATCTCTAACATACTGATCAAGATCAGACAGCCGATCAGCATACATTCCTCTGGGCTGGGGAATACCATAGACCCTTCAGATCTGTCTCCCAGCCTCCCTAGTCATGGAGATCAAAGAAAGAACCGGATGGCATTCTACAGGTCTGATCCTGGCCTCTGATTGGCCCAAGCCCGGCCCCTCGCTTAGATACTCGGGTAGGCCAATCAGAAAGCCGGAACAAAAGACTCAGCGGTGCGCACCTTTTTCGTGATCCGAACAGTGGCTCTGTGATTCGCCGTCCCTACCTGTTCCAGATCACCACCCTTCCGGCTCAGTACAAATACCTTCCCCCGCCCGCCTCCTTCTTCCCTTCTCCATCCATCGACAACCCTCATCGACCAACTCCATCTTTTTTTCAAATTTCATTCAGATTCTATCGAATCTCATTCAAATAAGATGGCTCGTACCAAGCAGACTGCCCGTGAGTTCCTCCAACCTCATCGTCGCTGTCGCTGTCGTCGTCGCTGCCTGGAAAGGTCGTGCCCAAATCGGGTTACCTCCGCCTTATCCAGGTCGCGGTGACGCGTGACGCGCCCTCCCCTCCCAAACGGTCACAACATCATGCTAACCTCCTCTCAGGTAAGTCCACTGGTGGCAAGGCTCCCCGTAAGCAGCTCGCCTCCAAGGCCGCCCGCAAGGCCGCCCCCTCCACCGGAGGTGTCAAGAAGCCCCACCGCTACAAGCCCGGTATGTTATAATAGGTTCCAATTACGCATGATCCAACATGGTTGCTAACAATCGTCATCAGGTACCGTCGCTCTTTCGTGAGATCCGTCGCTACCAGAAGTCCACTGAGCTCTTGATCCGCAAGCTCCCCTTCCAGCGTCTGGTTCGTGAGATCGCCCAGGACTTCAAGTCCGATCTCCGCTTCCAGTCTTCTGCCATCGGTGCTCTGCAGGAGTCCGTCGAGGCCTACCTCGTCTCCCTCTTCGAGGACACCAACCTCTGCGCCATCCACGCCAAGCGTGTGACTATCCAGTCCAAGGATATCCAGCTGGCTCGCCGCCTCCGTGGCGAGCGCTCTTAGATGCACTTCTAAGAGTGGTTGTTTTTTCTTGACACTTCCGGGATGGCGATCAGGGGTTTTGCTTTTTATTATTTCATGACTATCGGCGATTAACATGATGGGTCTGTTTTCAAATATCAAATGGGTCTCGGAACCGGGTTGTTTCTGAATTTGCTTTTTTCTCACCGCGTGATCAATGCTACTTGCCATTCCTCGCTGGGGCCCCGGTGAGATGGAAGTCATGGGCATGTACATTTAGTTCTTTTAATGGTGTCTTAGCGCGCACCAGCTCATGACATAGACGCTGAAATGCGATCTTCTATGATTCAACCCACTTCTGTCCTTGTAAATCCTACAAAATAAGACGCGTTTCACTAAACTAACACGGTCGCCTTCACCTGTTGTCGCGACCGGTAGATGGCTATCAACGTAAAGATCCTCACTCCAATGGGCTAACTCTCTTCTCGCAATTCCTTGAACTTCCCAGCCGCCGCCTCGGCGTGATCATCGTATTTCTTGTACCCTTTCTTTGTGTCGTAGCTTGTATCTATGATGGGAATCAGGACGATGACGCTATTTACTATTCAGAAGGAGCAGGGAATCCTCCATACAGAATGAAACTTTACACCTCCAACTTGCCATAAAGACTAGGAGGCTCTATCTTTGTCTAATATGCTGCACAGGCTGTACATGCGTCAACGATATCCACGCATTGCCCCCCGCGACACCGGTATCGAGGGGTCCATCTCCATGCCCGCACCTCGCTGCCCCGCGACCGCAACGGGAATGCATGCCTAGGCAACCATCGATTGACACAGAGACCCCAATACTGATACAGACGTCTCCGTTGCCAAATTATCAATTCAGACGATGAAGCATACCTGAACAGGGCGTCTGCCTGAGGCTCTTGGACCCTGCAGCCGCAGGGTCTCGGGCTTTGGGTCTAAGCTCCAGACGTCATCGGCAAATAAGTCCCAGACACCAGATGTTCTATCTCTGATCTTCTGGGCTACAGTAGTCGGAGTGGAATAAAATTCAGATCAATCGATTACATAACATGAGGAGAACCTTTGGATATAATTTTCATGTCGATAACATTCAAGATAATCTAGATCAGACCATCTTCAGGTCAAACCAGTTCACGAACACAGCTCACCAAGTGGGGGGGACCAGCGCCGTCGATGGCCATGTATGGCCTGAGGCAAAAATGACTCAGGCACTGACGAAAGATTGACCATTCTGATCCGGACAGAGTTTTGCAGCCCAGGCTTTTTGCCACGCGGCGTCGTGGTTCGGTCGGCGATGCCGTACGGCGGATACGGAATGGTTCCTGATCCCGAAACGGGGGTTGGAAATAGGGGGTTAATTGGGATCGGGGTTAGGGATTTATTATTAAAGCAGTCATTGGCCTTCGGTACGGAAATCATGCATTTGTAAGATAGTTGGGAACTGTAGAGTAATTATCCCGGGTGTCTATATTGGAGCCGGGAAGGGGTGGCGAAATGAATTTTGGTGATTCCATGTGTGGCCCGATTTGCGTGATGACTCCTGGCCAGTGGTACGTTGGTTGACTTGAGCTCTTTCAGGTTTCTTGAAAGAGTGCAGGGCGCGTGATCAGAACTCTGAGTCATAAGCTGGTTGCAATTGAGTGCGTGCGCTTCCCAGGGTTCAAGGATTCGAATCATGAATCGACTCTCAAGTAGTGGATGCCTTAGAAATCTGGCATCAAATGTATCTTGGTGTCGGTTTCTCGTATTTTCCTTTGATCCTACGCCCAAAGCTTAAATAATTGATCTCATGGTAAATGTAATGTATCGTATACTGAGCCTGGTTATCTACAAAATTGGTCAATGTCACATTAGCAAGCCCAACTCCCGAAAGTTTTGATACCTTTGCCGCTGCCGCTACCTGCAGTACCAGAGTTTATCTAAGCCCCTTGACCCCATCGTCGGCTCGGATGTATCCCCGAGATGGATCTGAATAGCCTGTGGGGTTGTTAGGCAGCAATAGACAGATTCCACTACCTAAAACGAGACACGGGGAGCCTTGTAGGGAGAAATGACGGTGGAGGTTCAATTATGAAAAACGCTACATCTTGCGCACAAAGATTGCACAAGATGTATCCAATGCGCCCAGATCAGACGGCAGACGATTGACGTAGAAGACCCACTAGAAGGCGTCGGAAAGCAGTTTGTGATTGATAATCTTGCTGCGGTCGCAGCTCAACCCCGAAGATTAGGAGTTGACACCTCAAGTCCGGCAAACCGTAATGTAACAGTTTGGGGCTCTTATACAGATCGGGAGAGCTTTGACTGGAGATTACTTAGACCTTGGCCCTTTGGAGGTGATCTTGGATCAAGATACTAATTTATTCTCGCAGAGTCATGTCAGCTCAGCTCAATTTTTTATCCCAAAGATTCCTCGTGCACACCGTGAACAGACAGAGTGTGAATCTCATCAGGCGACGAGAGTTTCATGGAGCGATATGTCAAAGCCCTGGCTTCAGGATTCGTGCCGACCACCCGAGTAATGCAGATATTTATGCACAGTGTGCATAAATATCGTACTGAGTCATGCATTTCGCGTAGTTTGCGTCATGTTTCATATTTTTCACATTGAGATTGAATTGTTCACGGCAAACAAATCATCATGGCAAGCAAACTTCCCTTTATGAATCCGCGACACAAGGTGTTCCCAATCTCCATCACACTTCAATCAATGTAGCTGGATGAATAGTATAGTCTCGGGTTCAGGGCGGCCCCACTGACCCGGTTTTCGAAAGCTCTAGACTTTTCTCTCGATGCGTCGAATAGGGCAACGCTCCATTTTTTCTCGTTTCTGGGGCGCTATTCATGAAGAACATGCAGTATTTATGAATGCCACTGAAATTTAATACCAAATCTCGGCCTACGTCCGCACTAGATCATCCCAGTTTAGTTTAGAAAAACAAGCGCCACGAAACTGGGCATTCGTTCAGATCGTATATTAAAGGGGGCTATATCCTGTAACCGAGCTTGACTTGGATCGCTATCTGCATATTTGCCTCCATAATCCTTATTGCACCCTACCCCTCACCCACCCTCCGTGGAGACTCAGTGTCCTGATCCGGCATCTTTATTCCCCTCGTCGGGCCACTCCGCAAACAATTAGGAACGGTCCACATACATAATCCACAGGGCTCTCCGCTCTTTCCTCCACCTTTGACACCTGTTTGTCGCATTTTCGGTATCAAGTGTCGACTATACAATACACCGGTCTGTCCACAATGGCGGCCGACGATCGGAACCATGCTTCTGAGAAGATCGAGCACAATGCTCCCACCAAGATTTCATACTTCCGTCTTGTCTTTGACCAAGGCGTCGTGACACAGGAAATTATCGATTACCCTTATCCCGGCTCCGGTACAGAAGACGACCCCTATGCAGTGACATGGCTCCCCGATGACCCGCGCAACCCTATGAACTTCAGCGAGTTCAAGAAATGGTCCTATACGATGCTTGTCGCTATGGCGACACTTGCGGTGGCGCTGGTTTCTTCAGCCTATACTGGAGGTGTTGAAGAAATTATGGCGCAATTCAGCATCGGAGAGGAACTCGCCACGCTCGGTATCTCGCTTTTCGTCTTAGGTTTTGCTGTAAGTTTTCCCAAGCAGCAGCAAAAACGCCTTGAGGCCATTGACTAACTCATGTGGTCTAGATCGGACCGCTGCTCTGGGCTCCTTTGAGTGAGCTGTTCGGCCGCCAGATCCTTTTCGTCACTACCTACGCCGCCCTCACTGCTTTCAATGCTGGTACCGCCGGTGCCCAGAATTCCTGGACCCTGATTATTCTTCGTTTCTTTGCTGGTTCCTTTGGATCCTCGCCTCTCACCAATGCCGGAGGTGTCATTGCCGATATGTTCCCGCCAAGCAGCGAGGTATGGCGATGAGTGTCTTCGCTGCAGCACCTTTCCTCGGTCCTGTCCTCGGTCCCCTCATTGGTGGCTTCCTCGGTATGAACGCGGGCTGGAGATGGGTCATGGGTTTCCTGGCCGCTTTCTCGGGTGCTGTCTGGATTATCGGGTCCTTGCTTATCCCGGAGACCTATGCACCTGTGCTTCTGCGCAAGCGCGCCGAGAAGCTCTCTAAGCTCTCGGGCAAGGTCTACCGCAGCAAAATCGAGATTGACCAAGGCAAGGTCACCTTGAAGGAGTCTTTCAAGATTGCGTTGTCTCGCCCGTGGATTCTCCTGTTGCGCGAGCCTATTGTCTTCCTGTTGTCTTTGTATATGGCTATTGTCTACGGCACCCTCTACATGATGTTTGCCGCTTTCCCGATCGTCTACCAGCAAGGACGTGGCTGGAACCAGGGTGTCGGGGGTCTGGCGTTCCTGGGTATCATGGTGGGCATGTTGGCTGCCGTTATTTACAGCATTTGGGACAACAAGCGATATATCAAGACCCAGGAAAAGCATGGCGGATTCGCCCCGCCGGAGGCCCGTCTCCCGCCTACTATGATTGCTTCTATCTGCATTCCTGTCGGCCTGTTCTGGTTTGCGTGGACCAACTACCCCTCCATCCACTGGATCGTCAGCATCATTGCTGGTGCGCCATTCGGATTCGGAATGGTGCTTGTCTTCCTCGGTATCATGAACTACCTTATCGATGCCTACACCATCTTCGCTGCCTCCGTACTGGCCGCCAACTCGGTTCTGCGTTCCCTCTTCGGTGCCGCTTTCCCACTGTTCACTACCTACATGTTTGAGAACCTTGGCATCCACTGGGCGTCCTCGATCCCTGCCTTCCTCGCTCTGGCCTGCGTGCCCTTCCCTTTCCTGTTTTACAAGTACGGTGGCGCGATCCGACAGCGCTGCAAGTTCGCGGCCCAGTCAGATGCATTCATGCGCAAGATCCAGGAACAGGTCATCTCCATTCCTGAAGAGGAGGAAGAGGAAGTCAAATTCGATCGCACCGAGGCCCCTGTGCCGGAGGGATCGGTGTCCAGCGAGTCAGATTCCCATGTTGACGCTCTGCCGACTGAACGCACCCGCAGCCGTGCTTATTCGACTGCTTCTGCTCGCACTGGCACAAGCACATTGCATCGGGTCCCCACCTACGAAGGCAACCCGTACGATGTTGACAGAGTCAACACTCGCGAGTCCTTCAAATAATCTATACCATCACCGCAATATACGCGCCCTCGATAATCTTAGTGCTTATTTTTTCTCACCACTCACGCCTAAAAACCACCTTTCGCACTTGGTTATAATTTCCGATTTGTTGTTTCTTTGCATCGTGCGGTGTACCACTGCCTGCGCGCATTTTGTTGATATTTATACCCTGCTTTCCCCGCGGGGATGACTTTATGTATTTATGGATCTTATTGCATACAAATCCGGAGTATCTGGTTCTGGCTTGAACAATTGATCTTTTCAATACAAATACCCGTAGATGACTAGTGGAGCGGAGTTATACTTAGTCGAATTACGGCACTCGCCTTATCCGATTGCCGATATGCCGAATCTATTATGCGCTCCCTGTCCCTGATTGATTTTGAATCGGACACAAATCACAACTTGCCTATGATTTTTCTATATTCTGTTCACTTTACCAGTTGTCCCCATTCGCAAACGACAACTTTCGGAGACACATTCCGGTTATCGCTGTTTTCGTGCTTATCGCCACGATCGGAGCACCACCCCGATAACTCGGCCAGTTTCGATTGTTTTTTTCACTCATTTTTCCCTTGGTGCCACGACGATAGACAACAAACTATAGATGCGCCTGTCTGAGTCTTGGATATGAGTCTCTTCCAGAAGGGACTCAGCGCCCACGCGACTGCGTTTGCGACCAGACCGCGACCGATTACTCCAAGAGTCCAATCTCCGCTACGGCGAGTGCGACAGCCACGCCGGCACAATTCCTCGCACTCCAAACCCGAACCAGCCGCGGAGGGGAAGATCGTTGAAGATGGATTACCAATGAACAATACTACAACTGGGAATTCCTCTCAGTCTACTTCTCCTTCTTCGTCCTCGTCACAATCGTTCTCAGTTACACCCCCGGCCCAACCCGTCAACACTGCTGCTGGTGCGGCCGGTGCAGCGACTTCACCAGCTACAGCGACTGCAGTGACGAGAAGAGGATTGCGCGATGTTATTAGTGCGGGCCCGCTGGGACGGTTCGGGAGGTGGTACTCTCGTGTGCAGGAGCGCAAACCCTACTCGACGCAGTTGTACAGTTCAGTTGTCATTTATCTATGCGGAGACTTGAGCGCGCAGTTTTTTTTTCCCTTCAGATCCGCCTCCGTCAGCGAAAGGTGAGCAGGATGCGTCCAAGGACGAGGATGACAAGGAGGAGCGACATGGTGGATATGATCCATGGCGAACGGTGCGCCACTTAATTGTTGGAACGGGATCTAGTATCCCGTCATATAACTGGTGAGTCAATCTTGAGGGAATTCAGTCCCGGAGCAGCCCATGTCATCGATATAAGCGACGAATGACTGACTTGAGACATTAGGTTCATGTTTCTCCATAATCACTTCAACTACTCGTCCAAAATCCTCTCGGTCTTGACCAAGGTTATCGTGCAGCAGGCATGCTTCACGCCGGTTTTCAACACATACTTTTTCAGCATGCATTCCCTTCTGGCTGGTGCATCTTTAGAAGAAACCTGGGAGCGCCTGAAGAAAGCTCTCCCCGTCAGTATCACTAACAGCGTGAAGCTTTGGCCGGCCGTGACGGCATTCAGCTTCATGTACGTGCCGGCGCAGTTCCGCAATGTTTTCTCCGGAGTCATTGCAGTCGGCTGGCAGACTTACTTGAGTTGGTTGAATCAAAAGGCTGCGCGCGAGGTTCTGGCGGCTGAACTGGCGGCTACGGAGAGTGCGTCTGTTGTATCGAGGCCGATGACTGGGAATATGATTGCTGCAGCGGGTACTGCATGAGCGATAGAATTGTGATTTGTTTCGGGCATTTTATATAGACTCTTCAACATGGCATTAGCGGCGTCGGGGTTGCGATTTCCCTCAGAGCGATGCGTTTTGGCCTAAATCCTGTTTAAACGAAAGAGGTAGATTTCCATTCTTCAATCTTTAATTCAATGGTAGAACTGTAGAGTGTATAGACAACGATGTGACCCTATAGTAAGGCGGGTAATCCTAATGCGATTACCTCATCCGTTCACGCGATGACGCATTCCGCGTGTCTTTCAATGCTGATCGCTCAACTTCGCATGCCATACAGGATATGAGCCCTTTCCACCGTCGCAGGCATGTCCTGCCCACTGCAAGGATCGCAGCCTGATACTCCAGACTCCAGTGACTACGGATCTGACTTCACGCCCGACGAAGAGGAGCTGCTGAACGAGCTGCTCTCGAGAGCCGTCGCGGAACCTGCTACTGTCGCCACTCCTACTCCCACATCGAACTCTATCTTCTCAGTAATCGAAGACTCACTTACAGTCTCTACGCCTGAGCCCACTGATATCGAACCCCTACAAACGGCTATCCTCGCGGCGCTCGTCGCGGACATTGAAGATGGCGTTGAGGGTCCCCGTGGCGTCCGAGTGCCTAAAGTGCTGGGCCGGGAATCGCCTCGTTCGCCGTGGAAACAATCAAATGAGCGGCCGTGGACTAGATCTACGTCCAATGTTATGGCTGGGAGGTCAAGCCAGGAAGCAATCCACAGGTACAATCCGTCTGGTATGAGCGTTCTCAAAATTTCTCAATTGGTATGGTTGATATGTTAGACTAACATGGCGATGTCCGAAGCGTTTAGTGGAGCATCCTAGTTCAAAGGAAGGTAGAGAACGGGAAAGAGAGCGTATGGCAACGCGTGAGCGTGAATGGACACAGAATGAGCAGGCGGCTGCTACGGTAGATCCTCGATCACCTGTAGAGCGATTCCGACGACCGCCTCACAAGGCTTTCTCCGTGACGGATCTCGTTTCGCCTGCATGGTGTGAATTACAATATTGGTATACCTTGACCAAGCATGGGAGGAAGAGGAGGACCTCTGCTATGAAGAAGGGAAGTGTCGTGCACAAGACTCTCGAAGATGAGATACATACGACTATACCTGTGGACATTACTACCAAGGAGGATGCTTGGGCGCTGAGGATATGGAATGTGATCCAGGGACTACGCATGCTGCGTGAGTTTGGCGTCACCCGCGAGTTGGAGATTTGGGGCCTGGTCGATGGGGAGTTGGTCAATGGGGTTATTGATCAACTTTCATATGAATGCCCCGAATCGGAGCTCGAAGCCACAGCGTCCAATTACTATTCAGAAGCGGCCACATCGCGGGCTGCTTTGCCGAAGTATCAGATGTCCCTTTCTGACTACTTACTGTCTTCCTCACAGGGTGGAAAAAGACTTTCGGACTTAGGACGAGAAGAATCTATGGTTCACGCACCGGCTGAAGAATCATCGCCAGCCGTCTATAATTTGCCCAGGATCTATATGACTGACGTCAAGACTAAAGCGAGTGGCTCGGTTCCTTCGGTTAAGAGCACATCTTTCCGTCCCACTCTTCTTCAATTACAGCTCTATTACCACATGCTGAATCGCCTTATCACGAGCGACGATGTTACAATGGACTTGCTTGCAGCACGCTATGATCTGGATCAAGAACGGCCTTTCACTGAAGCTTTCATATCTGAAGTCGGAGGGCTCAATGACGAATTCTTCGACACAATGTCTTCTCAGAAATTTGACATTGATAGCCCTCCTACCCCAGAAGATGCAAGAAGAATTGCTCAAGGCTCCGAGATTGGCTCAAGTCTTCAAAAGTCTAGCCAGGGCTCAACTAGCATTCTCGCGACCCATAGTACTCTGTCCAGTCTCTGGGGCTACATGAAAGACCAAATCCGTCTCACGTTTCTTCCATCGACCCCACAAACGGAGCCCGTGGCCCCGTCTATCCCCTCGCATACCCAGCCAGAATTACTCGCAGAATATCCGACGCTCTTATCGCCAGTCTTAACGGCTCGGTATCTGTCCTCGGCTCCCACTGCGGATCTCGAGCGGCGGGTTCTGGGCAGCAGGTCCTTCCTCTATGATCCTGCGACTATGACATCCTATATAGATGATCAGATGGAGTGGTGGCGTGGCTCGCGTGACCCTCGCGGCGTCAACATTATGGATGCATGGAAATGTCGAATCTGCGAGTTTCGCGACGAATGCTCCTGGCGCCAGGAACGGGAGTTGGACTACGCCAGACGCAACAGCAGACGAGCTTCTGCATTTGCTGCCTGAACCGAACCGGTTCACACCTCCTCGCAACTGGCGATAATCAAACTCGCTGTTCTCACTCCTACAAGCACATCAACTGCTAGAGCAAGGCTCATTTCATTTAATTCCTGTACCATGAGATCATGGATCATATAGAATAATAGAATAGAGACCATGTCACTTCAAAGAGGATAACTCCGGACATTTTCCTCCTTTTCAACGTCCAACCCACATTTAATCTGCTCCTTGTGCTTCTGATCCAGGTACTCCAACAATACTTCCTCATACTTCTCCTTTCCCTTATACCTCGAAACATCATCTCCCCAACTCCGGATAGCAGATGCCAGCCGCCCAGGTACATAGGGCTCCTTCACGATCTCTGTGATCGGCTCGAAATACGTCCGAATCGTAAACACCACAGCCCCAGACTTTGGCAGCCGTCTCAAGCTTTGCCTCTCAGATCGGAAAAAGTGATTCTCAATCGCCTTGTTCTTCTCCGCCGTATTCCACGATACTGTCTCTGCGTCTTCAGGCCCGATACTGTGCGACCACGCTAGACTATCGTCGACCTGAATGAAGTAATTATTCCGCACAACGGGCTCTTCGGGCTTCAGTCTGCGGAAGAAGTTCATCATTCCCTTCTCCAGTTTCTCACGGTACTGAGGCACATCGCCAGATGTGTGGATTTCTGAGAGTCGCATGCCAAATTTGTCGCTTAGACGCCAGAATCCGGCGAGGAGGATTGCACCGGCGAGCAGGTAGTATTCGCCGTCGGGGCGCTCGAACATCAGCGCGAGGTCGTCTTGGACGAGACGGGCTGCTATTGCCATTGGGTCTTCAGCGAGTGGGCGTTGGCTTATGTTGAAGGTTTCATGGGTGACTGTGTTGGTTATGCCCGTCGGTGTTTTTTGGAACATGGTTGGGTAGCGCTCGGGAAGGTATTCGCATCTACTAGTTTTGAGCTTTCTTTCGGTTTACCGGTAGCTTTGGAAAGAGTGGTACTTACAGCTCTTCTAATAGCTCAATGGCTCCATTCATGGCTTCTGGTGCTGTACCGTAGCATTTCTCGCCACGTTCCTCCAGACGCTTCTTCTTGTCGGCGTGGTACTTGAGATAATGATTGTCGAGCTCTGGATGAAGAGATTAATTGATATTCGATACGGCCACTTATGATAAAGCTTACCGATCCATTCGTCCCAATTCATGCTTCGGAGACCTAATGTCACAAAGTATTTGCTGGTCAATATTAGAGGTGGACTTCGGACCAGAAAGCTGGCTCACTTACGGGCCATATCTGAAAGGTCGATATGGGATCGGCTTGGAAGTGTGGACATCCCAGCCTGAGTATGGTTGTGCAGTTGGTCTTTTGAAGTCAGATGCAAGCCAGGCTATGGATCATATTAGTTGAATTTCCCTTATGTAACGAGCATAGACTTACTCCCCGGCACTCTGGCGATTTTTCCCCTTGAAGCTGGCTTCTCTAGATCCGGCGAGGCAGCTCTAGTCGTCTGACTGATATTCATCCATTTTTGAGAAACACGCACAACGAGCCATGCAAGACAATTGAGTATGAGGAAAACGCCGACGACCTGCTTGGTCGGGACTATAGAAAAGAGAACTCCCTGGAGCGACTCGGTCGTCATAATCATAGCTGTACAAAGAGGCTTTCTCTTTGATCTGGAGAAAATGGGTAGAGACGTGGCTTATTTTACAGATTCATGTTCCAGTCGCATACCCAGTGGACTCTAGGGCAAAGGGAATAAAGTCGAGCAATCTCAAGATAGGAGGACCAATGTAGGATGACAACGACTGCCGATACTACTTCTTATCAGATAAAGAAGACTGATAACTACCCATTCTCCGTCTAGCTGCCGTAATTGTTAGCCTGATGCGAGTAGGCCTCTTATGCTGCCGCGAACGAGGCATAGCAACCGTCCGGGTATGTGCATCGCGGGGTTCGAACAGAGGGGGGGCTCCACGGCTTCTAGATCAAGCGGTTTGATCCGGAGACGGCAAGTGATTAGACACTATGAACCTATGAAAGGCATTGATCACATACGAGAAGCTTGACTGACTCCGCAAAATAAGAAGTATGATTGAGCTATCTACAGGGAGGGGCTGCTTATCATTTGGAGGGATTTCTTCTCCCGATCGGGTAACGCGAAACTACGGACTTGTTCCCCGCAATTCAGACGTAGATTGTCATAAATGAGTAGATCGTTGATTGAATAAAGCCTTCATCCTAAGATATACTACCTATACAATGCTGGCGTCGGCTCGCCGTTGCAGGAGGCAGTACTGTCCCCACTTCCGTTGAAACTGCGCGGGTATGAAAGGAAGGTTGGGAACCCAGATTAACCGACCGAGTAGTCCCGTTTCAGACGAATCGAGGAAGCTCTGACAAGAGAGAGGCTCCCATTGGGACTTGTCGAGCACGTAGTGAGGTTCCAATTCGGTTGTCGGGCGACTGGGGAAGTAAGAGTCCACCAGGAAAGAGCATTGTGAGATATCAGTCTGTGTGCTTGATTAGTGTGGGAGAGACGAATGAAACAACAAGCTACACATACATATTTGCTGGGATCTTCAATGTTTAGATCGTTCATGCCAGATGGAATCTGGGAGGCGCCATCTAGGCGAGCAAGATAGCTTGGCGCATCTGGGAACTCACCAGGTAGAAGACCTCGGAACTCGCTTCGGATGAACTTGGCGCGCATATCATGTGGGAGAAAATATGAAGACGGGAAGCGATACCATTCTTTACCAAAGCACACAGAAGTTCCTGTCTCGGCCACATTCACTTGCTGCAGTGGCTCGAAGACCTTCAGTGGTGCGTTGTAGGCGGTCACCATTCCCAGGATGCGGAGCATACCGGCATTGAAAGCCATCAAGATTACCGCCATGATTGCAGCAAGCTTCAATTTCGCCGGCACACGACCAATAAGTTCCTTCCTATTACTAGAGCCGAGGTAGCTCAGGACAGTGTGGAATGCGAGGGCCGCGTTGAGAGCCAGGAATGGATATGCTGGATACATGAACCGCTCCTCTTTGTGAGGCTGCATGGTGAAGATGGCAAACCACATATAGAACGGCGCGACTAATGTGATCGAGCGGAACAGCGCCTGAAAAGACGTGCCAGTAGAGCGGAATACAGCCTGGATGAGCAAAAGAGGAGCGGACAGCATGGCCAGCACAAACCAGACATTGAAGTTCAAAAGTAGATTGCGGATATAGAAAGTCCATGGCTCTATGCCAAAGATTTCGGGTCCTTTGTCGTCACCACCAAATACATTATAGGCGACAATGTTCCAGGGCACTAAAGCAATCTTATTGAAGAAAGCGTAGTCGACCGCAACTTCGAGGGCCTGTGATTGTCTTAGCAGAGGTACGAATAATCAGCCTGATGACGAGTCTAGTGCTCACCATGATAGAAAGACACCTAGCAGCGCCATGGAGCATTTTAATAGTTAGTGACCCAAGAGACCCAGAGATCAAGCAAATGATGACCTCCTCGGCAAGAAGAGGCACGAGGAGGGCACCAGCAAATGGCCAGCCAACAATTGCGCCGAGGCCGAACCACATGATACCCTGTGCAGTCCTCGGTCCACCTTTGAATTCCAAGAAGGCCGCCAGACCAAGCATCGATGTGTACATAGTGAAAGTGGACGGCAGGAAGGCAGTCGAGGCGTGGAACACACCCGGGCTGAACACTGTGATCATCAGGAAGATGAGGCCGATGCGGGGGTTGAGGGATCGACAGATCGCAGAATACAATCTGGTCTGACAGGCAGCACAAACAATAGCAAGGAAGACCCGAATCGTATAGAATTCAGCAGCCTTGGTATGTACCATTAACGATGCCAGCTTCCCCACGACGGCATGAAGCGATACGTAGAGCCAGCTTCGAATGGAGTAGACGGGCGAATACTCCCATGTTTGCAAGCCATACCCATGATCCAGATAATGTGCAGGTTCCCAGAAGTTGAACACCTCATCGCAGTCCTGAATAGGCGAGAAAAAGGCTGCCAGGCCATTGGCGACAGACATAGGTAAAGGGCGACATTCAACGGGAGGTAGAAAGGAGGCGGAGGAGGGCTCAAGAGATGGATGTGTTAACCAGCATTCCAGTTTAAGTTCTCTTTCTACATACCGAGCTTTTGTGCGAGGTTGAGCAAGTCCTGCTGGAACTCTCTCAGGTTCGGCCATCTTTGCGCATTGGAGATGTTGAAGAAACACGATAACGCGATAACGAAAGCTTGTCCGGCGACCGCAACGGCAACTTTGGCAGATCCGAAAAAAAGTTGCCCGCGCCGCTTTTTCTTGGGTTTCTCTCTACCGCAACATTTTTTGAAAATTTCTCCTGTCACTCCTTAGCCTACATGATGAGTGATCATCAGAACCCTGCGAACGGGTCTGTGGACTCCGGCGACGCCCCTCCATCCAAGAAACCCTGTTTGATCGATACGCCACCCGTCGGCACTCCGGACGAGGGCAGTGATTTCTATAACACTCCCGTAGGATCGGGGACGCCTGTGATGAAAATGAATGACCTTACAACTGCGACTACTACTGAACCTTTACCTACCTCCGAAGCTATCCCGATGATCCCTGGACTCGGCCTTGTCAGTCCAGCCGTTCAGTCTCCAAACGAGTCGACTATGCAGGAAACCAATGTTTCTGCTGCCCACCAGGGAGACGATGTCCCAATAGAGACCGAAAGTACACAAACAGAAGCCAAGGACTCTGCTGCTTCTTCGGAAGCCATGGATGTCGACGTGAAGGACGAGCGATCCAAAACCGAAAATGCGACTGAAGCCTCTGCTACACCGGTGGAGAACGAGGGACAAGAACAGGAAGATGGAGATGTGGAGGGGGAACACCCAGAATGGGAGGAAGACTCTGACCCGTACGTTTCGTCGTCGGACAGCTCGTCCTCAGACTCAGACAGCGACGATGAGGACTACCCCATTTTGAGCCCCGAAGAGCAGGCCCGCATTTTGATGCTTGCCGAAGGTGGATCTGACGACGAAGGCGACGGCAAGGGCAAGAGCGGCGGTGTCATTCGTTCGGCCAACGAGGTTGTGGAAGACGTCCTGCCAATCCCGGAAGTCACGATTACTCCCGAGATGAAGGTTGTGCTGCTTGGAAGAATCCAAACTGTCATTGACAATGCAGTCTTGATTGAAGCCAATACCTCTGGTGAATACCAAGTCCTCGAGTCAGGCTCTTTGCTCTGCTCCGAGAACCGTGAGGTCATTGGCGTTGTGGCCGAGACTCTTGGCAGAGTCGAGAACCCTCTGTATACTGTCATGTACTCGAACGCCGAGGAAGTACACAAGAGGGGGGATTGTCAAAGATATGTCTGTCTTCTACGTGGAGAGCGAGTCTACCTTCGTTTTCACACAGCCACTTAAGGGACTCAAGGGAAGCGATGCCTCGAACTTCCACGATGAAGAGGTTGCCGAGGACGAGATTGAGTTCTCTGATGATGAAGCTGAGGCTGATTACAAGAAGAGATTGAAACAGAAGCGTCAAGAAAGGAAAGGAAGCCAGAGGTGGTGGTGCCGGGAAATCCAAGAGAGAAAACCCCGGCCCGTCCAAACTGAGCCAAAGCGAACTCAATTACGACAATGAAGAAGGTGAGGATGGTTACACTCCTCTTGCTCGCCCGAAGAACCTACACGAGATGATGGGTGCCCGCGAGGCACCAATTGAAGGAAACGAGCGTGGACCTGCTTTCCGTAGCGAAAGAGGCCGAGGCCGAGGCAATGACCGTGGCCATGACCGTGGCCGTGGTGGTCGTGGAAGAGGCGGCAGAGGCCGTGGTGGCTCTTTTGAAGAGACCAGGACCGACGCCCTCAATACCAGCAGAGTGGCAGCTCAAACTATACACAGCCAGCGGCAGCTCCTCAAACCCAAACTCAAGGATACGGCCAACCAGCCTACACGCCTCAGCAGCCTGTCTACGGAATGCCTCAGTCATTTGCGTACCCACAATTTGCTCCGCAACAGGGACTGTACCCCCAAGGTCAAGCCCCGACACAATTCCCCTTCCAATTACCCTTCCAGCCACAGGCTTTCCCTCAACAGCCTGCCTTCCAATCGGTCCCTCAGGGTGCGCACATCAACCCTCAATTTTTCCTTGCCGCATTGCAACAACAACAGCAGCAACAGCAGTACCAACAGCAGTACCAACAGCCTCAGCAAGCTCCTGCTCTGGGCCAGGGGCAGAACCCGACTATGAACTTTGATCAGGTCAAAGCCCAGTTGGATCTGCTACGGAATCTGAGCAACCAGAATCAGAACCAAAATCAGAACCAGGGCCCACCTCCTTCTTAGGTTCTAATGGTCGAATTCTCGTTTTGTTGGCATGATTTTAATATCTGAAATTTGCATAGGAGCGGGTCTAACGTGTTTTGCTACGGGTTTATTAAAAAGTTATGATGAGTCCTCTTATAAGATTTCAGGCTTCGTTAGTGTATCAGATATAGAGTACATATTTGCTGCATACATGTATGGATCGCCCAATAGCTATGGAGAATGAGATAGCTTTGGCTGATCTCTGGTAAAGCAGATTTGGTGTAGTAAGGCGTAGTCTCAGAAACATTGTGTAATGTGGGTATCTTAGAATTCGGCGGGTTTCACGCTCTTAGCCATAGTCCAGAAATTCTCCATTTTGGATCGCGACAGAGTTTCCCTAGCAGCCGAGTCGGATTCGCAGACTCGAGCACCGAGCCATCTCCTGAAAGCGCGATTCTTGGCCTGGCCCTCCCAAAGAAGAGTGCATGTGTTGTGACTGAAATCGCGTAATTCTCCCTTGTCGTCTTCGGTAGACAGCCACAGGGGCTCACCTTCGCTTTTTTCATTGGGAGCGCCCGGCCCGGGATTTTCAGTCCAATCAATTCGGTTGAGCATCAGCTTGCGATAATTTTTGATGGAATGTTTACCGCCCTCAACAATCACCAAATTGAGCTTTGGATGGATGATGCAGATTCCTGTCAAAGCATTCTGCTCAGCGTTCTTGCTGATCTTAAATCGATTTCGGCCGCTCGCCAGATTGTCAATTCGGTAAACAGATGTGTGAATACCGAGTTCGGCATCCCTCTCCTGCTGTGCTGCCAGCTTCTCTTGCCGTTGCTCCTTGGTCAACTTGCGTTCTTCGTTCATGTGCTCGTGTGCCTCTTTGCGCTCCGCTATCTCCCTGTTCACACGAGCCTCAACGGCCGTGGGATCTTTAACAGCTTGTTCACCCAGAACCCGCATGAGATTAGACTTCTTGACTTTCGGGGGCGGCGCCGGCTCCAGACCCAGTCGGATCTTTGCTTGCTGCTCCTTCAGTTCTGCCATGCGGCGCTGTCGACGAATCTTCGCCTGTTCTTTTGGCGTCAAGAACATGGGTTTTTGAACAGGTTGGTGCTTTTCTTGCGGCGGATCGAGGAGTACAGGATGTTGGATATAGCGAGTGATGATAGTGTCGGGGGTGTCGATCTTCAGGTTTGCCTGGTCATCAATGGCGGTGTAAGAATCACCATTGACAAGACCTTCATCCCACCATTCAATAGCCGGCGGAGCAGATACTAGATAATTCTTTTCCACATCCATGTCCTCGTCAATACCGGCTTGGCGTGCTCGCTCAGCGATACGCTTCTTCATGGCCTCCAACTGCGCTTGACGGCGCAGGGCCGCCGCCTGCTGGATGTATTTGCCCTTCTGATTGAACACGAGCTCTCGAGACTGACGAGGCTTTGCAACAGTAGCCTTCGGACCGAGACTGGGGTCAAAGTAGGGGTTGTTTTTGATTTCCTCGATTGATGGCCCGGACAGATCGAGTCGTTTTTTATTAGACATATCCTTCCCTGGCTTGTATTGTTGGCGGCCCTTTCCACTACGAAACTCTAGCGGAGCATCGGAAAGCAGCGCAGGATGGAGACCGACGTCGAGACCTCCGCGAGCCTTGGATAGACCGTCATCGTCGAAACCGGCAGGTTGCTGGGACGGAGGGGCAGCAGGTGGTCGTTGCGGCGGTGCATTGGCTCTTCCAGTAGCTGCTGCTACTCTGGCCTTCATTTGTTCCAGTCGAGACATCGCGGGACTCTGGGCCGGTGGTGTCGGGCTGGGACTCGCCTCTGTCGGAGGAACGGGGGACTTCGCGCCGCCATGCGCGGCTTGCAAGCGTGCACGCACGGCTTCTGCCTTGGCTCTGGCTTCAGCTACCATCTTTGCGATATCGACTTTTCCAGAGGTGGCCCCTCCTTGAGCTGGCACTGGCGAGCCATCATTAGAACGGGTCCTTTTCTGAGAATTGCTTCCATCATTCTCGGGATGGGGTCGCTTCAGCATATTGCCCGAGCTATCCGCCATGGCACTGTAAGCGAGGACTCAGTCCTCAGGATATGAGTGACAAACAGGACGAGGGAAGCCGTGCGGGTGTCTGATGAAAGGTGATGATCCAATGTTGGTCGCGGGAGCCCAGCATAGGGTGAGCGGTGGAGTGGGGCAGAAAAAAAAGTTGCTCGAATAGTTTCGCTCATCCGCAACCCGCTAAGTTGGAGACTTTTTACGGAAGCCGACTTCGCACCGCCAGCGTTTTCTGTCGCTCCCGGAGCTGCAGGACACAATGGCGACCTTCACCCGTCCAGTCCCCTCGAGCGTTGCCGGGGTGGACTTCACCGTTTACTCCGATGAAGAGATCAAAAAGCTATCAGTGAAAAGAATTCACAATACTCCGACTTTGGATTCTTTTAACAACCCAGTCCCTGGTGGTCTTCAAGATCCTGCTATGGGTGCATGGGGCGACCATGTGTAAGTTATTAGCTTTATTGAAAACTTTTTCTTGTGCAATCCTCTAACACTTGTTTGTGACGATCAGCTGCACAACTTGTCGACAGAACTCTTGGTCATGTACCGGCCACGCCGGCCACATCGAGCTTCCTGTGCCCGTATACAATGTCACCTTTTTTGACCACATCTATCGTTTGCTTCGCGCACAATGTGTTTATTGCCACCGTCTCCAGATGTCCCGCGCAGATGTCAATCTCTACACCTGCAAGCTGCGCCTTTTGCAGTATGGTTTGACTGAAGAGGTCGCCGAAATTGAGCTCATTGGATCCAAAAAGGGCGCCAAGTCTGGTTCCAAGAAGGATAAGGGAGACGATTCGGACGATGAAGAGGATGACGACGAAACCATCATGGAAAAGCGCATCGCCTATGTCAACCGCAGCATCTCAGAAGCCAAAAAAGACGGCAGGCTGGATGGATTAATGACCGGTGCAAAGAATCCCATTGCCGCAGAGCAAAGACGGGAATTGGTCAAGACCTTCCTCAAAGATATCAACGGCAACCGGAAATGCTACAACTGCAGCGGGTATGTTCCCGAATAACACAATGCTTTCACGATTTCTAGTCTCTAACTTAAATCTTGATGCAGCATTACTCCCGCCTATCGAAAGGACCGTTACAACAAGATTTTCCGGAAGGCTCTGCCTGAAAAGTCCAAGCTTGCCATGCTCACTGGCGGCTTCCAGGCCCCCAACACCTTGATTATGCTCGACCAGGAGAAGAAGCGCAAGCCCGAAGTAAATGGTATCCGAGCTGAAAATGTTGTTTCCGAGGTTCACGGTGCTGAGGAAGAGATTCTCCGTGGGGCTGCTGTCACAAAGCAGACAGCGCAAGCTGCGTCCGGCCAGGAATTCATGACTTCCTCGGAGGTGTACAGTGCTTTGAGACTTCTTTTCGAGAAGGATGGCGAAGTTCTGCAACTCGTTTACAACTCTAGACCCGCTCCGAAGGGGTCGAAGATGGTGTCTGCGGACATGTTCTTCATCAAGAACCTTTTGGTCCCACCAAACAAATATCGTCCCGCTGTTCAGCAAGGCCCTGGCGATGTCATGGAGGCACAGCAAAATACTCCCTTCACCAACATTCTCAAGCAATGCGATCTCATCAACCAGATCAGCAAGGAGATTCAGAATGAAGAAGAGAAGGCTCTGTCTCGCGCGCGCACATACAGTGATCTCCTCCAAGCCATCATTCAGCTTCAGGATCACGTCAACGGATTGATAGATCGCGAGCGAACCGCTGTTACCGGCGCGGCCATCGCAAACCTGCCCAATGGTATCAAGCAACTTCTGGAGAAGAAAGAGGGTTTGTTCCGCAAGAACATGATGGGTAAGCGTGTCAACTTCGCTGCCCGTAGTGTTATCTCGCCAGACCCGAATCTTGAGACAAATGAGATTGGTGTGCCGCTTGTCTTCGCGAAGAAGTTGACCTTCCCTGAGCCTGTGACAAACCATAATTTCTGGGAATTGAAGGAAGCCGTCATCAACGGACCCGACAAGTACCCGGGTGCCGCTGCGATTGAGTATGAGACAGGCCAAGTTGTCAACTTGAAGTTTAAGAGTCTTGATGAGCGCACAGCCCTTGCAAACCAATTGCTCGCACCCTCAAACTGGCGCATGAAGGGCTCGCGCAACAAGAAAGTCTACCGCCACCTTACCACCGGCGATTACGTCTTGATGAACCGTCAGCCCACTCTCCACAAGCCCTCTATCATGGGTCATAAGGCTCGTGTGCTGCCCAACGAGAGAACCATTCGCATGCACTACGCCAATTGTAATACGTACAACGCTGATTTCGATGGTGATGAGATGAACATGCATTTCCCTCAAAATGAGCTCGCTCAAGCTGAGGCGCGTATGCTGGCAGACGCTGACCACCAATACTTGGTTGCCACCTCTGGCAAGCCTTTGAGAGGTCTCATTCAGGATCACATTTCCATGGGTACTTGGTTCACCTGCCGTGATTCATTTTTCGACGAGGAGGACTACCACCAGCTTCTTTACAACTGCTTGAGGCCCGAGAATTCGCATATTGTCTCAGATCGCATCGAACTGGTGGAGCCTGCTTTCATCAAGCCTAAGTATCTCTGGACTGGCAAGCAGATCATCACAACAATTCTCAAGAACATCAAGCCCGAGGAACATGCCGGTCTCACCCTGAAGGGCAAGTCTTCTACCCCTGGTAACCGATGGGGAGACAACAACGAAGAGGGTGACGTTATCTTCAAAGATGGAGAATACTTGTGCGGCATTCTCGACAAGAAGCAGCTTGGTCCGTCTGCCGGAGGTCTCATTGATGCGGTGCACGAGATCTACGGCCATACCATTGCTGGAAAGCTGATGAGTATCCTTGGCCGACTTCTCACCCGCTTCTTGAACATGCGAGCCTTCACTTGTGGTATTGATGATCTTCGTTTGACCAAGGAGGGTGATCGAATTCGAAAGGAAAAGCTCAGCACTGCCGCTGCCATGGGTCGTGAGGTTGCTCTGAAGTACGTCACCCTGGATCAGACTTCCATGCCTGACCAGGATGCCGAGCTGAAGCGCCGACTGGAAGACGTGCTCCGCGATGATAATAAGCAGAGCGGATTGGATAGCGTTTCTAACGCTAGATCTGCCAAGCTGTCTTCTGAAATCACCAGTGCTTGTCTCCCTGCTGGTCTTGCCAAGCCTTTCCCGTGGAATCAGATGCAGTCTATGACTATATCCGGTGCCAAGGGTTCCGGTGTTAATGCGAACCTGATTTCTTGCAACCTGGGTCAACAGGTCTTGGAAGGTCGTCGTGTGCCGGTCATGATTAGTGGTAAAACATTGCCATCTTTCCGGGCCTATGAAACGCACCCCATTGCTGGCGGTTATGTTTCTGGCCGTTTCTTGACTGGCATCAAGCCCCAGGAGTATTACTTCCACGCCATGGCCGGTCGTGAAGGTCTGATTGATACCGCCGTCAAGACCTCTCGTTCAGGTTACTTGCAACGTTGCTTGATTAAGGGTATGGAGGGCTTGCGAGCCGAGTATGACTCTTCTGTTCGCGAGTCATCCGATGGTTCGATTGTCCAATTCTTGTACGGAGAGGACGGTCTCGATATCACTAAGCAGGTCCATCTCAAAGACTTCGCTTTCCTGGCTGAGAACCACATTTCCGTCTCGAAGCAAGTTTCGTCTGAGCTGTACCACAAATTGGCCAAGGAGGACGTCTCGGAATGGCATAAGGACGCGATGAAGCAGGTCCGTAAGACCGGGAAACTTGATGCCAAGGATCCCGTTCTGGCTCGCTATCCCCCTGGAGGTAACTTGGGAAGTACATCCGAGGCATTTGCCAAGGACCTGAAGAAGGTACGCATGGTTTTCTGTTACTTGCAAAATTTATTGCTAACAACTACTCTGTCTATAGTATTGGGAAAGTAACCCCGATGGCTTGCTCAAGGACAAGAAGAAGAACATCGAGGGTGTGGTTACCAGGAAGACTTTCGATGCTCTGATGAACATGAAGTACATGAAGTCTATTATCGATCCCGGCGAGGCCGTCGGTATTATGGCCGGTCAATCTGTTGGAGAGCCTTCGACGCAGATGACACTGAACACCTTCCATTTGGCTGGTCACTCCGCAAAGAACGTGACTCTGGGTATTCCCCGACTCCGTGAAATCGTCATGACTGCTAGTGCCACTATCATGACGCCTACCATGACTCTCCTCTTGAACGACGGAATCCCCAACGCCGATGCCGAGCGCTTTGCTAAGGCCATCAGCAAGCTCACTGTTGCTGAGATCGTTGATAAAGTGCGAGTCAGCGAGCGTATTGGCGCTGGCCTTGGCCACTCCAAAGCCAAGATCTACGATATCGACATTTCCTTCTTCCCTGCCGAGGAGTATTGCAAGGAGTATGCCATTGAAACCAAAGATGTGCAAAACGCCCTCCAAAACAAGTTTATTGCTCGCTTGGTGAAGCACACAAGGACCGAATTGAAGAAGCGCAACGATGACAAGACCGGCAAGAAGGTCTCCACTTCTCAGCCCGAGATCGGTGTCTCTGTCGGCAGAGTCATCGAGGGCCCAAGTGGTCCCGACCGCGAGGTTGAGCCCGCCGACGAAGATAACGAAGATGATGAGGATGACGCTAAGCGTGCCCGTGGGGGTCAGAACCGGAGCAACCAGGTGTCTTATGAAGGTCCTGATGACGACGAGCAAGACATTATCCATCGCCAAGACACGCCTGATGAGGATGATGATGAGGCTGAAAATGGACAAAACAGACGTGACGTGGACATGGACGATGACTCCGAGGATGACTCGGACGACGAAGGCGCCACGGAAAGCAAGAATATCGAGGAAGATGTCAAGAGTAAATTCGAGGAGATCTCCAAGTTCAAGTTCGACCCCAAGAAGGGTACTTCGTGCAACGTCCAGTTGCAGTACGACATCGAGACCCCAAAGCTGCTGCTACTTCCCATCGTTGAAAAGGCTATTCGTGAAGCTGTTATCCAGTCAGTTCAGAAGATTGGTAACTGTGTCTTTGTTGAGGCCGACCCGCTGAAGGACGAGCCTGCCTGCGTCATGACCGATGGTGTAAACTTGATGGCCATGCGTGACTACCAGGACATCATCAAGCCGCATTCTCTGTACACCAACTCCATTCACGATATGCTTAACCTCTACGGTGTTGAGGCCGCCCGCGCCACCATCGTCCGCGAAATGGATGCCGTTTTCAAGGGTCACTCCATCTCCGTCGACAATCGTCATTTGAACTTGATTGGTGATGTGATGACTCAGTCTGGTGGTTTCAAGGCCTTCAGCCGTAACGGTCTGGTTAAGGATTCCACCTCACCATTTGCTCGGATGTCTTTCGAGACCACTGTCGGTGCTCTAAAGGACGCTGTCCTTGAAAGAGATTTCGATAACCTACAAGGCCCGAGTAGCAGAATCGTTGTTGGTCGTTCCGGTACAGTTGGTACTGGTGCATTTGACGTTCTTGCTCCTGTAGCATAGTCGGTTTCTTGCTGGAGTTGTTTCGCATCTGGTTTCTGTGCTCTATCACCTGTATATTTTCCTGCGATTGTTTGTATCCTGAGATCTTGTTCCATTTTGCCATCTTGACGTGTCGATGATCTGGAGTTCTTGTTCAGCGGAACACAAAAGTGCCTGTCCCTGTTCATATCAGCATATCTAGTAAAATAGAGTTCTATTACTGTTGACTTCACTGAGCTTATAATTCCTTTAGCTTCTAGGTTCTATGAGACCAGATTCTTTTATTACCTTAAAGAGATGTTTTGAGAAAGATTGATAGGTTTCAAATAATTCATCCGTTTCATTCAACACCTCCCCATGCTATGTTGTTTCCGTATTTCCGTGCCTTTTGCCAAAACGCCCCTTTTCCTTGCCAGCCCACCACGGCGCCGATATGTACCCTAAAAACTAATGAACATGAAAACAAGGGTTTACTGTGCGTCGAGCATCATCATATCCTGTTCAATATCGTCGTCATATTCATCATCAACGACTTCGAATGCGGACGAGGTGACCCCATCTAATTTGTGCCCACTGGTGAGCTCTTGTCTCATCATCCGATCCTCTTCGGTTTTGCGTTTCGCCTCGTGACGTTCAATGTCAGCTAGGCTCCAGGTAGAAATACCCTCCTGGTCCTTGGACTTGAAAGGCTGGGCCATAGTACGCAAGAAGTTCTTCGCATTCGAGACAGCCATGTCTGTACTGAGATTTGTTTCGCTGTCCAACATTGCTTGATTGATCCACTTCGGCAGCTGAGGTCTCTTTCTTTCGAATCGGCGGTCTGCCAACACCATGACTCCGTAATCGTCTTTACCTCGAAGCACGCGACCCAGACATTGTGCAGCATGTCGCATTGCGTCGAAAGACAGGAAATCATTCTCGCGGATACGATAATTCTCTCGCAGGAACTCAAGGCGGGCTTTCAGAATTCGAGATTCCGTGTACTGGAATGGTACGCCAATGCACAGAACTGCACGGCCATAATGATGGTCGAAATCGATACCCTCGGATACCTTTCCTCGGGCAACACAGAAGAGAATCGCTCCACGACCATTGCAGCAGGCAGTCCGGTAGGTTTCCAGGGCGAGTGAAGATTCCTGAGCATCAGGGGTTTCCACAAGAATCAACTTGTAGTTCCAAATCTGATCCAAAATGCCCATACCCTGCCACATACTAATGATGGACTCCATGTACAAGTAGGAAGGGAAGAAAACGACAACACCATCTGGAGTGACGCGTGAAAACTCGGTGACAAGTGTTCCATAGTTTCGCACCACACCGGGATCGTTACGAATACTGAAGGAAGACGACACTTGAGCCTGATCAGAGCCTCTGGTAACAATCATCGGCAGAAATGACCGTCGCGCCAAGGTCATACTGTACGACTCTTGCATGACAGCCGTGAACCCGAGCATCTTCGGGTACATCTCCAATGGCGACAAAGTTCCCGAGGTGATGATAACGGAGCTGAAGCGGTCGAAAACAGGCTTGATGGCAATGGCAGCATCTAAGCATGTAAAATGCAAGATTGGATTTGGCACTGTTGCTGCTTCTGATTCGAATGGCTCGAGGATGAGAACGAATCCCTTTTCATAAGTCGCGACGAGTGTCGCGAAAGTAGCAATTTCTTGTAGTGGCTGATAATCTTCAATATTAATCAACTCGAGAGTCCGCACGAGGGATGTCAGGCGTTCTGCACAGAACCGCAAGGGTTTTCGTTCAATGTAAGTTAGATCCTTCAAATGTGTCAAGAAGGAGGGCGGTGTCTCTGAGATAGTATGCGTCACTTTCATCCGAGTCTTCAAGTATTCAATGAAACGCTTCAAGAAGGATATGAAGTGCTCCGCCCGGCGAATATTTCCTGGAACCGCTTCTTTAAGCAGGTCATCTGGTAACACCGGATTGGAGATGAACTGATCCTCTTCACGAGCTTGTTCTGCTTGCTGCAGTCCTTCCACGAGCTTCGAATATTCGTTTTGCAATTTTTCGGCATCCGTGCTCTTCATATCTTCAATTTTGCGTTCCAAGTTGGATGCGCCTCGAGTAGCTCTGCGGAGAACATCCTCGCTGATGTCGATGCTGAGCGACTCGATGCAGACGTTGTCGATGTTATGCGCCTCGTCGAAAACCACAATACAATCCTTTGAGAGTTCACGAGATACGCGTTCGGCAATTTTGGGATCGAGAAGGTAATGGTAGGAGTAGATGATGATGTTGCAGTAAGGCATCTAGATGCTTGCGTTAGGACCGAGACAGAGCCGTTTGTCATGCCAGCAGATAACATACCATGCGACGGACAGAGAAGTAAGGACACTGCTTATGTTCCTCTCCATATCGTAATATACCATCGAGAGTGAAGACGCCTGGAGGGACAAGGTTGTGCGGTTCGAGAAGGTCAAGATTCTGATGTTTGTTAGTATTCTTCAGGGGTCCATGGAACTGGCAACACAAACGTCATGGTAAACACAAAGGTCAACATCCTCCCCGCGCTCCTTCTTCTCCTTAACAAAGCCGGCTGTCAAGCTTCTGCATCTCGCGTCGACCACAGTACCACTCTTCTCTCGTTTCACAGAAGGGTGTAGACACAAGTTCTTTCGACTGGTTAGTCCGAGGCCGCGAAACTCTTCTTCGTGTCCAAGTTCAGATGCGCGATGTTTCATTAAGGCCTTCAACTCTGCCAACGCCTTTTCAATTTCGGACATCGTTCGTGAGCAGTAGATAAGCTTCCTGTGTTCCGGATAATGCTGTTGGTAGGCGACAATCAGTGAGAGTAGAGAAACCGTCTTGCCTGTTCCAGAGGGCATCTCCAGAACACAGTGACCCCCGACATCGAGGGTCTTCTTGAGATCGCACATGTAGGCATATTGCTCGGGGTAGATGCGCGGGTACGGGAACAGCACCGGAAGGTCACTGAAAGAGGTTGAGGTTAGTCGTGAGTTCAATATCAGTTGCGCGCAAGACAACGGGATCGTACTCGATGAAGAACTTCATGGTGGCTGATGTCCCCGAAAAAGCAGAGCGAAGAAAAGAAAGTGTCGAGCTCCGATTTGATCATTGCTGTCCCAAAGAGGAAAAGACACGAGTCATGTGATTTCTCTATCGGGAGTCCGCCCGCCGTTGATATCACTTTCTCTCTTTGTCAATGTTTAACATTCATTGTGACGAGAGGTGTGATTAGATCGTCGAAGAATTGCTACATATTCTGATACCCTGTCCAAGATCGATCTTTCTTTCCGGAGTTGGGCTGGTCGAATTTCAAGGCTCCCCCGCTATTCACTGTGACCTCATACCCCACATGAGCAAAAAGTTCAAGTCGCAGGCCTCCAGCAGTCGCGCTGCTGCTAGCGCCTTTGGATCTTTTGGTGGGTTCTCCAGTGCTTTTAGTAGTAATGGCCGGGAGCCGTCTGCTCTCACATACATCGCGGAACCACCGGATCTCTCTCGCATCTCAGACCAGCATTTGGTGATCGCATTCAAAAACTTGTCGAAAAAAAGATGATATCACACGAACAAAGGCTCTTGAAGAGCTCAAGGAGCATATTGCTTCTGTGGAAAAGAACCGCGGAACTCTGGATGATGGCTTTCTAGAGGCATGGGTATGTGCCTCTTCATCTATAGCGGCAGCGAAAGTTAAAGCTCATATTTGCAGGTTAAAATCTATCCTCGAGCTTCAATTGACCTGTCTCGACGGGTCAGACAATTAGCTCATCTCATACAAGGCTCAATTGCTAGTCTTGTCGGTAAGCGAATCGCGCCTTATCTACCGAAAGTTGTTGGAGCGTGGATCGCAGGACTCTACGACAATGATCGACCAGTTCATCGCTCCGCGTTGGATTCCTTCACTAAAGCTTTCTCAACCGAGGACAAGAGAAGCAATTTGTGGAAGGTGTTCCAAAGCTCCCTTTTGGATTTTGTGGACGATGTCCTTCTTCACCAGACGGTCTTGACACTGAGTGATGAACGAACCGTGAAACGAGATGATGCCGAGGCAAAATATGCACGCGTCGTGGGAGCTGCGCTCATGCTCTTCAATCGCATCTTAGGTATTTCTAGCTATATTGTCCAGCGAAGCGTCAAGAAAACTGACAGCATTTTCCAGCTAATTCCGCAGATGAGGAGTTACAGAAAAATCTTGCCGAAATAGAAAACCTCCTGGCTAGCAAGTCTGTATGGGCTTTTTGCAGCCATGAGGATCCCTTTGTCCGCCGATCTGCGTATATTCTGCTGCGATCAGCTTTGTCCCGAGAGCCCGCTTGGCTGGACTGGAAGGTTGCTAGTTCTGCAGTCATAGGGAAATCACTCTCCATTTCCCAGTTGGGCTCGGCCTCTGAACTGTCTGAGACTCTGCTGCTTTTGACTAAGTCGAGACCCTCCGTATGGACAGAAGATTACTCCGGCAAGACTTCTGCATCCAAGAAACTTCGACAATATATTCAAAAAGGCTCTCAAGGTGGCCATGCAAGTTTTTGGTCAAATCTTGATCAGTTGCTCCGGATTGTACCCCAAGAGGTGCTCGCCGGAGCTGACAAATCATCAAGTGATGAGAAAGTGACGCTTAATAGTGCAATGACTATCACAGAAGCCCTCCAGGAAGGTCTTAACTCTTAGGGAGGAGCCTCGTCAAAATCTCACTGTTGGATGGAAATCTTACATTGAGATTGGGACATGGCTTGTATCTCTTGTGCCCCCCGAGCAAAGAGCAGAGCTTATCCAGATGAGGCTTTCTCCAATAGTCGTGCAGTACGTGCGACCTGAGTCTGATCATATCCAGTGGTCACTCCCTCTCCAATCAGGCGAAAGTATCAGTGCTGATTATCTTGCCCTTTTATCCTCCCACGAGCACACCGAGGATTTACGAGCCATGTGGATGAAGCTTTCGGATGAGCTCCTCGAAGCGGTAAAGTTGTCATCACCAGAACAATCTAAGGACTTCCAATCATCTCAGGACGCGATCTGCGCGCAATCAAAGCGTTTCTTTGCTTTGGAACCTGCCCTCCTCGCACGGGTCGCAGAAACACAGAACGAGGCACAGGTGCAGGCGATCTTCAAAACGTCGAACTTTTCTCTTCTGGAGGGTTGCTTGCAAGTCCTACGTTCGCGCAATGGCAAACCCTACGGCGCTGCTGGAGTCGTACAGGAATGCGTTCGCAGCATGCCCTCTGTTGCCCAAAGGTCTGAGGAGCTTGCTAAGTTTGTTGAAAAGGATGCCCCGGAACTCCTGTTTTCGCCCTCGGCAGACCGCCTCATTGCAATTATGTTGGCATGCCGGGAGTGGGATGGGTTCGCTGCCAGCTTTGAAAACGTCGTCGAGCGGGCTATGGAGCTGGAGCCAGAACAATCAAATACCGATGTCCTCCAAAGTCTGCTCTCTGCACTCAACTTCAATGAGATTGGGGGTAAAGCCAAACTTACGTCTGTTGTCATGCGGGCTTTGAATGAGGCTTGTAAGGGCAGTCAAGCCCACTGGCCGATTATCACTGCCGTTCTTCAAAATCAGACCTCTCGAGGTGAATTGATGGATGGTATCTTCCTATCGATCATTGATTCGCTGTCCCTGGATGAAACAGTTTTCAATGCTTTGGATGGACTTTCTCGCCTCGGAAATGCTGTACCTATGGCCGTGCGTGAATTCCAAAGTGGTACACACGGCGCTAAATTGACTGGGAAACTGTTATTCCTCACCGAGTCTCCCTCTGAGGAGGTGGCCCACATGGCCGAGTCAATTATGAAGACATTCAAGGAGACTTTTGTTGGCGATACCAGCAACAAGTCAAAGATTGAGATACTCCATCATGGGCTTACTGACGCAAACGAAGAGTCTTTGTCGTATGTGTTACATGGCCTCCTCTTATCGGATTTGTACTGACTGTTTGCTAGGATCGAGTCTCTGATCGCCATTGCGGAGGAGCTGCTCCAGGGCCTTGAGTCCGACGGGGCTGCCTATAATTTGAAGGATATCTTGCCATCTCATCGCTCATGGGAGGATGTGTTAGGACCTTTCCTTCAATTGCCACCCCGGCCGTCGACAGCCATCACAAGCCCGCTGGGCGGTGCAGTTAGTTTGGTTCAACGCGATCTCTCTGATTCATTCAAGGCCATGTTGCTTGCAATTCCCCGAGACTCGGCACGTTGCTCAGCTGCATTCCGTCTGGCAAGTTTTACGATTAGAATTATGTCCTCCAATGTTACCAAGAGACTGGACCAGGAGAGCCATGAGACACTATTCTACTTCGTCCCCCTGGCCGTTCAACTGATCGATGATGACCTCAGTATTGAGAACTGCAATGGAATAACAGGCCTAGAGCTAGCAGAGCAACGCGAGGAATACCTGGAGATTGTCTTCAAGGGACGACAGTTAGTTAGTGACTGGATTCGCTCAAAGGAGTCAGTGGCTTCTTCAGACTTGACTATTTCTTCTCTTCTGGCATCCTTCTGGGAAACCAAGCTGGAGGCACTCAACATGACTGCCGCCATTGATTATAGGATCGGCGAGGCATTTGTCAAGATCATGGCTTCCGCAGATTCATTGGACACGTCCAAGTCTGCTGATGACGTTGCCAGAATTTGCAGAGAGGCACGTACTGCCAACAGCATCCGGTCGGCCTCGTGGTTTGCTATCCTCCGAAGCTCGATACTTTCCAACCCCGTTGGAAACCGGATCTGCAATGAGCTGATTGCGGATTCGATTGGGCTCAAGCCACAAGATACTTCCTCGAGTGGTACGTGTCCATGTCATCCTACTTACGTCCATTTGCTCACAGTCTCTAGGTTTACGAAAGCTTGTACTCCTCAATATTCTGCTGTCTGGGGAAGAAGATGTCATCTCGACCATTCCAGCGCAGCGAGTGGTTTTCCTGGTCAAACATCTGCTGGAATGCCTTCATTCTAGTATCGAGCTCTTCGGACTGAAGGCCGAAATTATCAAAACTCTGTCTTTCGTTATCCCTGGTATCGCCGAGCTCTATGGATCCCATTGGGTAGATAGCATGGAGGTTTTGAGCGCGATCTTGGAAGAGACGAACGGGAGCGAGAATGGCCTTCCCTTACTCGTATCCTCTTTCAGACTCTTCGCTCGTCTGAAGTCCATGGCCGAGGGCAAAGATAGTAACGATGATCTCCAGGAAGCTTGGTCTGAGCGAAAGACTGGGTTGTTCAACAAGCTGGCTTCCACCATTGGAAAGTTTGGTAAGAATTTCAAGTCCCTTCTGATGTCTTGTCGAGTGAAGTCTAACGCGGACCAGACTCATCTACCACATTCCACCAACCTCGGGATGTCGCTGTTGATATTTTGCAACGCCTGATCAATGTTATTCCTATCGGGAAACTTGAGGAAGTCAGCGGAGTATTTGGACTCTTGACGGCGCACAGTCGCGCCGTCCAACGCACAGCATACACTCTCCTGCATCGTTATGTCCCTCAGATTCAAGAACAGGTATCCTTTGACGTGGCCCTATCTAAGACCTCAGTCAGTCTGCCTGATGAACTTGTGTCTCTCTTACTCGAGACACCAACAATGAAGGGAGTATCAATGTCATGGGGAGATGATAAGATGTGGACTAGTATGAGATCTTATCTCTTGAGCTGGAAGATAGTTTTTGATCACTTCTCCAATGCGGTATGCTATGACTTTCTCCTCGGGCGCTTGTTAAATATCCGGCTAACTTTTTATCAGTCCCTACCCGTCCAAGAATACTACACCGCTAGTATCAAGGAGAACGACATCCTAGTCCCGCTTCTGGAGTTTACTTTTGACTTCCTTCAAAAATCGCATGGGAGGATCGCAGATGCATCTAAGTTTAATGTGCTATCCTTTGAGCCTGATCAGTCTGAATCAGCGGAAAAGGAAACCGAATGGCTTCTGATCCATTTGTACTACCTTTGCTTGAGACATTTGGCCAACATGACCAAGAACTGGTGGATCGACACCAAAAAACGGATCAAGGGACCAGTCGAAGCCTGGACCGAGAAATACGTGGGTAAAAACCTAGCCTTGGGTAATCTTCATAACTAACCCCATTTCCAGATCTCGCCCCTTGTGATCGGCGACTCTCTTCACGGTGTCACCGAGTGGGTTTCCACCCAAGATCCTGACGAGGAACGGGCTTTGAGCGTTAGAATTGCGCCCAAGACAGCAGAAATCATCGCCAGCATCCCCGTAGATGAGGAATCACCGCCAGTTTCCATTTCGATCTCGCTCCCACCAGCATACCCGCTTCACTCTGCCATTGTCGTCGGCCGCAGTCGAGTGCTTGTAGATGAGAAGAAGTGGAAGAGCTGGCTACTCACCATTCAGGGCGTCATCATGTTTGCCAACGGCAACCTGGTTGATGGTCTGCTAGCATTCCGTCGTAACGTCCAGGGTGCCTTGAAGGGACAAAGCGAATGTGCTATCTGTTACTCGGTCATCTCGACGGATATGCAGACACCGAACAAGCGCTGCGCGACGTGCAAGAACACCTTCCACTCGGTGTGTCTGTTCCGCTGGTTTAAGAGCAGCAACCAGAGCACTTGCCCGCTGTGTCGCAACAACTTTGTATATGTTTAGTTGCATTTGTCAATTTTGATAGACGATAGAGGATTCAAAAGATACGACTTTATGTATGCATGATTGCACAGTAGATATCTTTGCGTGGAAAAATGAACTTGGGCGTGACGCCATTCCGCCGCGGGGCTTCCCCACTAAACTCCAAGCTTCCTCCCATGTCACGTCCGTCATGGCTGCGCCTAGAATTCCCAATCTGAACACGCTCCGTCGAGGACGTGGTCGAGGTCGCGGAATAGACCGCACTGAAATTGGTCATGGCCACCCGACTAGCAAGGATCGCATTGTGCAGGGCACCGACAATGACGCCAGCGTCTCCCGAATGAGCGCGGTTGAGCTGGGATATCTCGACGACCCGTACGCATCAGCTTTTACACCTCCTGAATCCGCAACCAGGAGGTTTCCAATCATAAATCGAGGTCAATCCACCATACAAACCCCCAATGGAACTCAATGGGGCCATTTCTGACTTGGCCATCGGCCACAAACAGGGACCTACGTTCGCACCACCGCCATCGACAAGCTCGTCGCCCGCTTCCTGGGTCCCTACTCCCCCAGAATCCCCAAATCACAAGAAACAAATTATCTCGCTAGGTGCGGGCTCAGATACACGAATCTTCAGACTCTTCTCCAACCGCCAGCCCTCGGACATAATCTACCATGAGCTAGACTTTGCCGTCAACACGACCACGAAGATTCGTGCGATCCGATCAACACCTTCTCTACAGCAAGCACTTAGGCTTGATGCCTCTCCAGATCGCGTGACAGTATCCGAAATGGGCGACGAGCTACACTCCCCTTCGTACCACATCCACCCTGTGGACTTGCGATCGCTGTCGGCGGGCAGCTCCCTTTCAGAAACGCTTCCGGGCGTGGATACAACACTGCCAACTCTGTTGATCTCAGAGTGCTGTCTGATCTATCTCTCCCCAACCGAAGCTGCACAGGTGGTCTCATTTTTCACCGAGCATCTTTTCGGGCCCATGAATAAACCAGCCGGCGCTGAAGAGGACGCGCTACCAAATTCGCAGACTCCTCTTGGCTTGATCCTATATGAACCAATTCGCCCAGACGACGCGTTCGGTCGCACTATGGTCTCTAATCTTGCGACACGAGGTATTCAACTCCAGACTCTCCATAGATACGCCTCATTGGAAGCGCAGCGAGCACGACTACGCGAACATGGGCTCGATAGTGGCCAGGCGGTCGCTGACATAGATTTTATTTGGGAACGCTGGGTCAGCGAAGAGGAGAAAGAGCGTGTTGCCAGTCTTGAAATGCTAGATGAGATGGAAGAATGGCGCTTACTTGCACGGCATTATTGCATTGCTTGGGGATGGCGGAACGGAAATGATGCCACGGCCTTTGGTGGGTGGACAACTATTGAAGCCCAACCAGGTCATTGATGTTTGAATGTCAATGTCATGAAAATATAAACGTGTTTACCAACCGAAGAGAACTGTACTATGCCCCTGTCGCAAAGGGTCCTCTTGTAAGATATTTAGTGTCAGCGTTATTTCGAATGAGCTGATGTCAATTTTTTCGTGATACCTTATCGCTTGTAGTGATCAGATTGCATAATGGAAACATTGTCAAAAAAGGGACTTCAGGGCCTAGGAAGCGGGTGGTATAGAAATCAAAACAGCTAAAAAAGAAACTCTCCCTCGGGGAATCGAACCCCGGTCTCCCGCGCTTATCGGTGTTAATGACAAGCGGAAATCATGACCACTAGACCAAGGAAGACGTGATAGCCGAGTTACTGCTCGGCCACTTGGGTGGTTGACGAAGTATCAAAAAGCGTACTATGATACTGATACCCCACAATCTCCTCGTAGTAAGTGGTCCGCAACAGCAGCCATCTCAATGGAAATTCCTGCTTTGGGGAAAAGTAGCGCCAGGAATAGTGTTGCGGCATCTTTATTTGATCTCAATCCCCCCTGATATAGCCAATTACACAAAATAGCAGAAGTCCTGGCGAGTTATACTCTTGCCCTCTTTGTCCACCACGCCAATCCGTTGGCTAATTACTTCGCGGCCGGTGCCGCAGTTCGAGTAACAACGGTAGCACCCACCACATTATCTCGATGAGCGGTTTACAACAGCTGGGAATTGTGTCTCAAACCGCGGGTTGATGGCCCTAGTGGTAATTCGTGTTTCATACTTTAAACATATGCGGGATTTCCGCCTTCCAGTCATCACGTTTCGCGTGCAAGACCTATCTACCCATGAGATACGATAAAGACAGCAATTGACAGGATGTCTCATATTGCGCACTCCACATCGGAAGGACGTCTGGCCGACACATGGCTAGTGGCGCAGACGAACTGGCTTTCGCAGTAGACTCGGCTTCATTGGGTGTCCCAAGTCCCTCAACCTCATAGAGGGCATCTAACGCGAAGTCTCACCGACCGGGGATGATTTGGGGCTGTGACATCTCTCTTCACATGAGAGATAAAAAGCCTATAAATTGTGCCCCGGTGAGTGCGACATGGTGGTTTTACTTGCCTCATCTTTGCCAGCTCACAGACAAGAGCTTACTTAGTTCTCTTGCGATGGCGAAGCCGGTGACGTCTTGTAGCTGGCGAGCTGCCGGTGAAGAGGCGGCTGATCGGATCATAGCCCCTGGACACACTGCCAGTGACAAGCATCGGGGTCAAAAAGCGCAGAGGCGTGCGAGCCAGCGAACGATCGATCCCAAGTCTGTTATTCCTATTGAATATCGGAGCCTGTATCGTTCACCTTCATCTGGTCTTTGGATTCAATGACCGACTAATTTGAGTTAGTTCCTTCGAAATCGAAGACGAAGGTGACAGAAAGCGGCGGGTCAAACGCCAATGAGACAAAGAAAAAAATGGCAGATGGTGAATAACTCTTTTCCCTGTCAAGAAGACGACCTAAATTGATATACCTGATCAGAATGGCAAAATACCGATTGGCATACACTTGCTGCTGCGGAGGTCCAGAAATGCCTTAACGTCGATGCATCAACGGGTCTCACCGAAGACTCGGCGAAAGAGCGACTGCAGAAGCATGGTCCGAACAAAATTGCACCGTTGCCAAATCCCTGGTTCTGGAAGATCCTCGGCTACTTTTTCAAAGGGTTCGGATCAATGCTGCTCATCGGTGGAATCTTGGTCTTTATATCATGGAAGCCCTTGGGCCAGCCACCTGCGGTTGCAAATCTGACTTTGAGCATTGTCCTGATTGCGGTCTTCGTCATCCAAGCGGTGTTCAATACCTGGCAGGATTATTCGTCCTCCCGTGTGATGGCCTCAATCACAGCCATGCTGCCAGAATTATGTCTGCTTCTTCGCAGTGGTGCGCGAGTAGAGGTCTCCGCTACACTCGAACGATGCTCCCAAGTCTTGTGCCCTGATGGTGAAGTTAGATCCCTGAGCAAGGACGATCTAGCAGCGATAAAAATCTTGAAAGATCAATGGTCTTCTAAGGGCAAACGTGTGATTCTACTTGCACGGAAGCTTCTCGCCAAGGACAGCATACTGGCTAAGCCTACTTCCTCGGACTTTGAGTCCCATATGCTCCACGAAGCTGGGAAAGGTCTGACATTGGTCGGCTTGGTTGGCTTGATTGACCCACCACGGGCTGAAATCCCAGAGGTCATTCGAATTTTCTGCGTCAGGCCCAAATACGAGTCTTTGTGGTTTGTGATTTGCTCGAAAGCATGGGAAAATCAATGTTGACCAAGAGGCATAGGTCACCGGCGATTTTGGATTGACAGCACTGGCTATTTCCCGTCAGTGCGGCATTGTTACCACCGATTCGGTACACGATGCATCAGCTCTTCGGAAATGTCCGACTACAAGCAAAAAGCACGTCGATGCATCCCGCTCCGCTTTGCTTGTTAGTGGTCCGGACTTGATGACTCCGAACGAAGATCAATGGGGTCAGTTGTGCAAAAAATATCCTGAGATTGTGTTCTCTCGCACTACTCCGAATCAGAAGCTACAAATTGTTCGTGAGATCCAGTCGAGGGAAGAAATTGTCGGCATGACAGGAGACGGTGTCAATGATGCCCCTGCCCTCAAAGCGGCCGATATTGGCATCAGTCTCACCAGCGGCTCAGACATCGCTATTGAGGCTGCTGACATGGTCCTGCTCGATTCTTTCGGAGGAATTGTTGAAGCCGTTCGATACGGGCGTGTGGTTTTCGACAATCTCAAGAAGACAGTCGCCTATCTTCTGCCAGCGGGTTCATGGTCCGAGTTCTGGCCCCTGTTTTGCAATCTGGTCTTCGGGATCCCTCAAATCCTGTCATCTTTCCTGATGATCATCATTTGGTAGGTATCTTTCCCAGGAAAGTTTCCACACGCAGCTAACGTGAGGTTCTTCCAAGTTGTTTTACAGATTGTGCCGCTGCCGTGGCCCTAGCATACGAGGTCCCGGAGGCAGACGTGCTCTTCCGCGCGCCTCGGCATCCAACCAAAAATCGACTGGTCGACTGGAAGCTCCTATTTCATTCATATGCGCTAGTCGGCATGATCGAGACAGCTCTTTCATTTACCATGGCCTTATGGTACCTACAGAGGTGCGGAATTCACTTCTCTGAGCTGTGCTTCAAATTCGGTGATCTCCCCCCCCTGGGGTTGATGCTGATTACTACACAGCCAAAGTCAATGAAGCAAGCTCGATCTACTTCATCAATCTCGTCATCATGTGAGAATCGATCTCTTGAAAAGCGAGTGTTTCGAATTTGGCATTAATTCTTCCTAGGCAATGGTTCAACCTGATGGCAGTTCGCACGCGTTCTCTTTCGATTTTCCAGCATCCTCCAGCATTCAACAAGCTGACACAGAACCTGTATCTGTTCCCTGCCATTGCATTCGCGCTTGGAATTTCCGTCATTTGGCTCTATATTCCTAGCCTGCAGGTGGTCCTTGATACCTCGGGTATTCCTGCTGAGCACTATTTCCTCCCCGCTGCTCTGGGCCTGGGACTCTTGTGTCCGGATAAAGGAAGTAAAGCCGCTGTTTGACGTTGGCCTCGGGGGCTTTTGGCCAGAATAGCGTGGTAGTCAGCTCTGCAAGGAAAGCCAAATAGACTCAGTGTCAGTGCACCATAATGTAGCTTCCCATCAGAATTTTGAACAGATATATTCTGTGACGAATGGATGGGCAACTGGAGTATTGGGGGCAAAATTGGAATGAATCCGAAACTTATATATTTTGGGAATTTACACTTGCTTGATTGAGTAGGACAAATATTAGTAAAACTATATACGCCTGCTGCCCTCACCGGGTTCTGCACAAAGGCGACCGTCGTTCGATGTATACGATTAAATGGAGACGTGATAATTTTGAAAAAATCTGGCATTTATCCAAATAGCATATGCCCATGGAAATAGAGAATAAAACACTTGAAGAAAAAGAAACGTCGCAAAAAAGAAAGAAGCGAGCGACGCAGGGATCGAACCTGCAATCTCTAGAACCGAAATCTAGCGCCTTGCCATTAGGCCAGCCGCCCGCTGATTAATAACTTCACTAAGTTTTGGGATCTTATTCTCCAATTGTAAGTCTAGATCCGGTCTCCCTTTTCAATTCTTTCTCTTTCACTTCAATCTTTATAGCCAATTTTAAGTATTCAGTGAACAGGTAGAAGTGGCACCAGTAAATTCCTCCTACGCACGCTCAATCCTTCGTGTTGGCTGCTAAAGGGTGAGAGGAATTGCGAGCTCCCGCTGGATCGCTCTTTCGCGGCTCACGCATCGGTCTGTCATGGGACTTCCGTTTACTCACTTTCCTCTGAAAGCAAATCCTCATTCATGCTTCCATCCGTCGGGCTTAAAATCGCCATTCAGTAGATCAATTAATGTCTCCTAGGACTCGACCGCTTCATTCCTTCATTATGAACGGTCGCTCTATGCAGCTACGAAAGTACGGATCCGAATTCAAGAGAAGCCTCAAAAATTTGCTCGTGGGTATCATCCATGTAGATTGCCAGAAACTCCCGCTATTTACCATGACGCGAAAAGGCAAGTAAAAGTCCAAGAAAAAACGCTTATAGAGAAAAGATATTAGATCTGCACGAGATTGTCAGTAATATGATAAGTAACCGTGAGTTGGTATACTGACTAGTCGCAAAGGAAGGCGAGCAGGTACGCGGGCGTTGTGGAGAAGCATCGCCACTGATTTCTGAGGTGTGGCTTGGAGTTTGCGGTAGGCCTCACGAATGTGTCGAGGTTCGATTCGGGTGCGGCCTTCCTCGGGCGGATCGAACAGGCCAGTCTCGCGCTTGCGCTTCTTGGCGCTGTCGCCGGCGTCAGGACCGCCACGGTTCTTCTCGTGGTCTTCACGCTCCTTGACCTTGAGCGCCTCTTCTGTTAGAGTCTGGACGATTTCGAAAGTAAGGAAGCCCAGGATATCAACGATGTCGTCGTTGGGCTTGGACTCGGTCACAATACCAAAGCCTGCCCACTCGCGGAAGCGCTTGCTCTTGCGGTAGGTGAAGGAGGCCTGGCGACACTCGGACCAAAAGACGTATTCCTCTTTCGTCATGTGCTTGGTACGCTCGTCGGCGGCAGCCAAGCGCTGCAGAGTGGCGTAGTTCTGCTCTTCTTCCTCTTCGTCTTCTTCGTCTTCGCGCTCCGGTACCTGGACGGAGAAGAAGCTGTTGGGATCCCATGCCAGCCCAACCTTGGCTCTCTTGTTCTTTGGCTTGGCAGCAACATCCTGGGGACCAGCGACCACACCAGCCGCATCATCGGCTGCAGCAAAATCGGCTGCATCGCCACCACCCTTGTCATCAGAGTCCTTGACGTTCTTGCGCACATCCTTCCAAGATAAGAACGTCCGGAGACGTGAAACCTTGGCTTTGTCGTGCCGAATCAAGAATATCAGGTCATCGGTTGAGATTGATCTCGATCCCCGCCGCGTAGCAAGTGCAGTGCTGCGGGTAAGCTGCATTGGGCTGTCAGCGATCAACGATAGGTCAAGTGGGAGCAAATCTTACAATTTCGATGACCTGCTGGCGAGTAATGTCTTCAATTAACGTCGTGCTTTCGATAGATGGTTCAGCAGTTTCTCCAGAGACGAACATCATCTGGCGAATCAGGTCAGTAAGGGTCCATTTGAATATGAGCTCGGTCTCGTAGTTTTCTCTCAGTTCGACGGTCTCGGTGTCTTCACTGTCCTCGGACGTTATCACCGGGGTAGGCACGAGGGATTCAGAGCTGGTCACGTCGGAATACTCGACTCCACTGTTGTTGGCTTCGTCTTCCGCCTCAAATATCAGGTGTCTGACATGAATAGGCAGGACAGATTCCATGGTCGAACCAGAAGGATGACTCGGCGTTGACAAACTGTCCACACGCGGTGGCCGCGGAGACGCCGTTGAGAGAGTTTTTTAAGTTCCAGCCTGACTCGCTGTCGGCCCCATATTCCATGTCTCGAGCATCGGGGCCTCCGAAGATACGGCGTTCTAGGCATTCCTCCGCCTCTGGAACATTGCTTCGATCTCTATTGAAGACCATATTACCAAATTTCCAGACCCAGCGAGGCTCATTCTCGAACATATTTGATGGAGCCAGTGACCCAGCCGATTCGGTAGTGTCATGCCTATCAGGCAATATGCGAATGATGCGAGGGTCCGGTTGGTTTGGATCAGAGGAAGTCATGTCGAATGACCACCCAGTCAAGGTACAGGACCAGAGATAACCCAGTGTCAATGTGGCAGCGAGCAGCACAGCATCTCGAAGAAAGATACAATGGTCTGTACTAGAGAACCAGAAAAGTGCAAAGAATGCGGGTTGATAAGTGAGAGATTAAGATGGACGAAAAGCCAGAAGAGAAGTGCAATGCAGGATCTCAAAATGGCAGCCGCCGTCTCAACTCTCCCACTTTCGCATTATCCAGGGATCCCCAATCCATCTTACGATAGAAGGACTCCATTATTTCAGGCCAAGAATCCCAAGACAGTAGCGTGTACTCTCTCTCATGCCCAGCATATTGTCCAAGGTATGCCCTGATGCCTATTGAGGATGCGGTCCAGACCCAGAACCCTACAGAAAGTGCATTTCCAAAGCTAAGACAGCCAACGGCGCCAAAGTCATCGAGAAAAGACACACTCAAAAGACCAAGAGACTCATGCCGCCCAAGGACCGAGACTGAGATGGGGTAGAACTAACCTGCTGGATCTCCTGCCGATACTTCGGCTGGCGTTCGGAACTCATAGCGACAACCCCGAAAATCAACTCAACACAGGCACGCAGCGAATATTAGAGATAGAATTATCTTGATATAACCAAATATGAACAAAGTGACGCAGAGGCAGAGCAGGAGAAGGGTTTCCAATTCCAATCCGGGGATTTGATAGCGATAATCGGACATTCACTTCCTCCGCATCCAGGCGGTGGGAGTGATTCTGCCGAAAGTATTCTGCCCCGCGGTGATTTAATTTCTTCATTTCGATATCAGTCTCTCTCATCCCTTCATTTATTCAATTCGCCATGTTGCACCTTGTGGGTCTCGGCCTTGCCGATGAGAAGGATATTACTGTCCGTGGGTTGGAAATTGTGAAGAAGGCCGACCGGGTCTACCTTGAAGCATACACTGCTATTCTGCTTGTGGATAAGGCCAAGCTTGTAAGTGGGCTTCTTCAATATGCCTTGATTTTGCGTCATATCATTTGCAATTGGCATCTCCATGTGCGCAAATGAGTAATTGGCTAATTGACCTAGTAGGAAGCATTCTATGGCCGCCCAGTCATTGAAGCGGACCGTGAATTGGTAGAGACCGGCAGCGACGACATCCTCGCCGGAGCCGATAAGGCAGATATTGCGTTCCTGGTTGTTGGCGATCCCTTTGGGTGCGTTCTTGGCCTGTGTTATTTGACGGGGTTTTTAGGCTACTGACAAGACTCAGCGCAACCACTCACACCGACCTCGTTCTACGTGCACGCGAACTCGGCATCCAAACCAATGTCGTCCCCAACGCTAGCATCATGTCCGGTATCGGATGCACCGGTCTGCAGCTGTACAACTTCGGCCAGACAGTGAGCATGGTCTTCTTCCTTGACAACTGGAAGCCCTCGTCCTTCTATGACCGTGTTCGCGAGAACGTCCAGATTGGCCTGCACACCCTCGTGCTACTGGATATCAAGGTGAAGGAGCAGTCTATGGAGAATCTTGCGCGAGGGCGCAAGATTTTCGAGCCCCCGCGTTACATGACCGTTGCACAATGTGCGTCGCAGATGTTGGAGACCGAGGAGACCCGTCAGGAGGGTGTGTATGGACCCGATAGTCTTGCTGTTGGCGCTGCGCGGGTTGGTGCTCCGGATCAGAAGATGGTTGTCGGCACACTAAAGGAGTTGGCCGAGGTTGACATGGGTGAGCCGCTACATAGCCTTGTACTGCTTGGTCGGCGGACGCACGACCTGGAGCGCGACTTCATTCGGCAATTTGCTGTTAATGAAGAGACCTTTGATGCCAGCTACGCTAAGAACTATGGAGCATCTTCATAAGCTTTTCTTCCATGGATTAACGATTTTTCAAAATGCACATTTACTCTCTCTAGACTATTTGTCTACATCTACTGAATATTATCCGGGAGAGTTAATAGATCGTCTATTATGAGATATAGCACAAAGACGCTGCCCCAGTAGACTGTCACTGTCCTGATGCATCTCGTCCTATATTGTCAGGTCAAAGACCCGATCTCTATATTCAAACGACCACGGGTGTCCAATTCCAAAGGGAAAAGCGATGGCGATAGACGAAATCACATGAAAGATGAAATCAGACAGACAACGCCGCGATACGATAAACGAACATGTATGCCGCAAGAAGATAACAATGCAGGTAAGAAAATGGTATACAGGCGAGGCAAAAGGCAGAGCAAACCGCAGGCAGGTGGGAGAGGCCATATATTACAGACCTCTCATCTGTTTGTCGCGGGTACAGACATTCAGCGAATGGCCCGCAACAGTCAGGGTCGAAAAAATCACAAGAAAACAAAAACCCATAACCCGACCGACACCAAAAGACATGCAAAATGAGCTGAAGCAATGGACAGTTCAACTGGAGATGAACAGAAAGACTCGTATCACATCACTGATGGCCACGGTCGAATTCGTCTTCCTCGCCAGGAAGGATAATCTCGTGACCAGAGCCCTCGTACACGAAGATGGCAGCACCGCAGCCAAAAATGGAGACAAGGGCAATAAGCCACCAGGCAAAGCCAACCATACCAATGTCCAGACCATAGCCGTACCATGCACCCGAGAAAATGGGCCCGATAGTTCGAAAGGCAGATGACACAGACTGCCCGATACCATGGATGGTGCCCAGGACCGAAGGATGCGGTGAGCAGTTGTTGAGGAGAATGATGGAGGTTGGGAGGGTGAAAGTTCGAGCGGTGACCTGACAGAAGAGGACGACGATGATCCAAAACCAGACCCAGGGTCCGTTGGCTTGTCCGGGAGGCGGGATGGTGGACGGGGCCAGCGCAATGTATGGTGCCAGGGCGTAAGCCAACGGGAAAAGAGACAGGAAGTATTGGTAACTCTTAACTGTACCAAGCCGGCCGTTGATGGAGGGATAGATGGTGAATTGGAGGAACATGCCGATGACACCAACGATGGCAGTAGCGAAACCAACACTCTGAGGAAGCATACCAAGACCACCAGTGAAGACGAAAGGCAGGCGCTGGGTGGGGGAAGCGGGGTCGTTGGCGTCGTAGCGGGGAGTAGAAAGGAAGAGGAGCCAGAGGTTGTTGAAGGCACCCATCTGGAAGTCGAAGAAGGCCTGAGCGAGAAGTGTGCACAGTACATTCTTGGTCCAAATTCTGCGGAAAGGCAACACACGCTTGGCACGCATGGGTTTGGCCTTCTCCTCCAGCTCGTAGCTCTCCGCGCGATCCACCTGGCCAGCCAGAAGGGGACCATCCTCCTCGTAGTCACGGAACGGAAGACGAGAATACAGTGCGGATGAGGTACCAACAGCCTTCTTCACACCGCGGGCGAGGAATTTCATCGCGAACGAGCCAAGGCCAGGCTTGCCCTTACAGGAGAGCAAAGTCTCTTCCAGACCATAACCGACCAGGCATGCGCAACCAGTCAGGAAAACGAAGTTGGCCAACATGGGCAGGGAGTAGGGGTACTTCTCCAACCACTGCACACCATCCGCGCCGCCAAAGGACGAGTTAGGTCCGAACAATCGAGGATAGGCTTTCACGGGATCGGCGAACATGCCGCCCATAACTATAATAGTCAGTATGACCGATATCAGACTCCACCAAGATAGGAGCATAACTTACCAGGACCGAAAAGCGAGGCAATATTGAATCCAATAGGAAGAATCAAGAAGGCGCGCGAGTGATACTTCTTCTCCTTGACGTTCTCCGCAATCATGGTCCGAATGATACCAACGGTACCGTTGATCGCACCACCGAACGAACGCCAGAACACGGCCTGCGCGAAAGACGTAGAGAAAGCAACACCAAGACAAGAGACAGCAGTACCGACCAGGCCGACCAGCAGCACGAACCGGCGACCACCCCACTCCGCATCGGCGACACGGCCCCAAGGAATGGCCGTCGCGAACTGGGCGGCGGTAAAGGCACCTTGGAGAATACCAGCCTGGGTCGCAACGTCGGAGTCGGAGAGGTTCTCATCGAAGGACTTGAGCTGGTAGAACATGTAAGCCTGCAGCGAGGCGATCTGTAGAAAATCGAACACGCGGCACAGGCCGAGGAGGGCTAATTGGCCCTTTCGCGGAAGGGACATCCAAGTGACGGGGGCGGGACGGGCGACGGGCTCGGCGAAGGCGGGGAGCTCGCTCTCCTGCATCGCCAACATCTGCTGCTGACTCTGGGAGCGGGAGCGCATATGGCCACTCTTGAGGGCGTGGGCGTCTAGATCCATCGAGGTGTTGCGGATCATATCTGGGGCATCGGGGCTGGAGGAGTCTGGAGAGGAGGGACCCTCGTCGACAGAGGCGAGGGATAGATTAGATTCGCGACGGCGTCGTTGAGGAACTTCGGAGGATTCGCCGCCGGTGCCCGTTATATGGTGATAACCACTGCTCCAAGAGGTCGTACGCGCGTGGCGGGCATGATTCGTCTTATGGTTCTGGGACCTGGCCGGCATGGAGGAATGTATGAGGTAAGCGAGGATGGAGACGAATTGGGTGGGAATCGACGACGTCAGGTTGCGCCCCCTTCGGTTTCACGTATTTTATGCTGTAAAGAGGGTTTGAATAACAATTGAGGAATGACAATTGAAAGGAATAGAAGGAAAGGAAGAAATTAGAATCCAAAGAGACTGAAAGGCTTGTAATTTTACTCTGCTCGGCTTGGCTTGGCTTGTCGATTGCCATTGAGTTGAGGAAAGGAAATTAATGAATTAACGTGCTTGGATTTTCCATACGAAGTACAATTCAACGAGGTTCCACTAAGTGAAATGCGCGTGTCTGTCGTGATCCAGTAAAACCTGGAGCTGAAGCTAGAGCTCGAGCTATATCAGGTGAAAGACTCTTCTATCCTCATTCTACAACATCATCTCCATTGCTCGCCATCGCGATGGCCCTTCATCGCAACTTCCCAGCTCGTATCTGGTAAGAGAATACGGAGGGATACGACATCGTTACCGATCGACAGAGACGGGCTTGCGACGACCGCTCCACCCTACCAAGTCCACCGATTTCCCTGCCCTGGGCCATCACTCGCCCGTTCAGCCCGTGCGTGGCCGTGAGTTCTTGGCAGTCTCTCAAGGAATCGTGGTGGGGGACCTATCATTGCCGCTTCTAGAATTGTCAGTTCGGACCTTGTGTTTGGAACTGGCCTACGTAAGTCCCTGCCCCTTCTTGACCTCAGCGCGTTGGCGGCTCTAGCGGGGGAGATGCCCTAGTTACTAGTCTGCGGTAACAGTACCGCGTAAAAAGCCAGGCAAATTGACTCGCTCTTCCCTCCTCATCTCTACTGAGATTGATCTTTCGAGACATCACATCATGTAGCGGATTGGATATCGGTGCGACGGTCTCAAGCGACAGAATCTGCGTTTCAGCCCCCGAGCTTGCGTAACGGCTACATTAGATCTAAAGAAAATTTCAGGTTTTCGTTTCTGTTGTGTTTCGGGACAGGTGTCATGTTCTCGGAGGTCTTGGCTTTGCTTGAGTTCCGATCGAAACAAAGGACAAATGGGATGATAGACAGGGGGCCCCTCGTCCTCTCCCCCCCCCCCCCTGCAGTCGCTACGGTCTGCTTCTATTTGCGGTAATGGATTCGCGTTCAAAATCCCCTCGATGTATCGATGCAGCTAACTCGGTACACTGCGTACAGTCATCTGTACACTTCGGATGGACCCGATCTCCACAAAGGATGCAAATTGGGAAAGTGTCTGCTAAAATTGCCGGGACGCGTACGTTCGCAGCGCACTGCGAAGAAAAGGGTAAAGTGCCGGGTAGGTCGGCTTTAAGCAACTTTGGGCCTTGGGCTCGGGTATGCGTATTTTGGTATCGTTACGGGTCTCCAGTTCAAATCTTCGTTATCGTTTGATCTTGTAATTAATTTTTTATGTGTCTAGATAGAAAGCCATATCCAGTAGGATGTAATTATGTACAGGGCCGAGCGTAACCCCCCAAAAAGAAACATGATCAGCCAGGCAATGCAAAAGTGGATATACACCATGAGAACAAAAAAATTGATCTGATCCAGAGATCAACAAAAATAGGAGCCCTTCAGTCTTCTCGCCCATGTCCTTGTGGACTGCGATCTGCGAGCGCGAAGTATTTCGTTTCGGTACCTCCCGTCCACCGCCGCCAATGCCACCAGGGACGATTGGAGCTCCGTGGTGAAGGTTTCCGCTCAGCCAAGCCGTTCAGCGGCTCAGATGACTCGTCCTCCTCCTCCTGCCGGTCCGGCCGGCGTCGCTGATAAAATCGCCAAGCAATGTACGCTCCAGCGAGAAGGGGCAGAACCACGGCGACCGTGGCACCTAATATTACTAGTCCTGTTTGAGAAGGTGAGCAAGTGGCGTTACAGAAAGACACAAAAACAAAGAACAACATAGAAAAGGATAAGACTTATGTCCGTGTCGCCATCTGTAGTGGGCAGCCACCGGCTCTGTAGTGTGTGGGAAGCTGGAAGGATAGGTCCAGATGGCCCCATCATGATCAGGCTCGACCCACGGCACAGTAGTGACGCCCACGGGTGGAATGAACGGCTCAGCCGCATCCTCGCCGGGGAATCCATATCCAGGTGCATCCAGACAAAACTCATCTTGACAAAAATCGCGGAGCTCTGGCGAAGGAACAAAGGTGTACTTGATCTCGGAGTTGCCCAGAACGGCACCGTTGCTGTCAACTGCCTCGGCACGAGTCCAGAGGTAGAAACTGTCGTGGGTATACTCAGTCTCAAACCCGGTCTTGTTCACCTGGTCCAAGAGCACATAAGGTCCGGTCATGTTGTTGGCTCCAAAGAATCGCCAGCTCTGGACGCGCGTTGCGCCATTCCAGCTGACGTAGAAGCTTGTCGGAGAATAAGGTTCGGAGGTGCGAGAGTAAGCCCGAAGAGCGGGAGAATCGGTGGGGTTGCCTTCCCACTCGAACTTCTGGGCACGATAGTTCATGACGGTGTCTTCGGCAAAGGACGCCCAAAGCAACAAGTTGCCTTCTTCATCGTGCTCGGACACGAAGGGATTGTTGCCCCATCCGATAAAAGCGTTCTTGTTCGGCAGGCGCTGTAAGTTACCCTGACTGGAACTGACCAGATCATTGATATGCGGCTTGTAGTCGCGAATCTGCAGAGCAGTATTCTCCACATGATCGATGAGAATAATCATACCGGCCGAGTAAGGATGCGTCCGGTTGTATCCATTAAACCCGTTGTTGTACAAAGACAGTACCGTATGTGTCGCGTTTTCATACAACCAGCGCGCATCGTGCTGCTGCGAGAAGCTGAAGTTGATATTGCGGAATGTCGGGTTCGATCCATGCAGTCTCCATATCACCGAACCGTCTTTGCCAGAGATTTTGTAGATGGCGCATGTGTGGCGCGAGGAGATCAGATAATCACCGTCATCGTTTTTATCGATCGAGTTGATGTGGAAGTAATCCCACGGCTCGCGCATATTTAGTCCTGTTCCTGACGTGTCCGTGTGTGCAGGCCAGGTGTAGCTGTTGGACGGGTCGACATGATCGAGGGAACGCCATTCGAATATCACTTTACTGGTCTCGGTATCAACCTCCTGGAAAACACTCTCCATTAACCATCCCACGCCAGTTTTGATGTTCCATGGAGTCATATCGAATTGGCGCTGCTGGTATACAGTCATCAGGGCGGTCTTGCCGTTGCCGATCGGAAGGAACTCGTGCATGTCGCTGGAAGCCATTCCGCCACCGGGCTGCACCGAGCGCACGATGCGGTAGGTGTTGTCTAGAATAACGCCATGCCCGCGACAATATCCTTTTTGCTGGTTTCCTTGGAAGAAACATAGGTGGTCGGCGCCTTTGTATTTGCAGACGTGCATGCCATGGGCATTTCCGGGCCCCGAAACGCCCCAACCGCTCCATACCAACTCCTATAGAAACGTCCGTCAGTATACCATTGCGCGCGCCTCCCCGGGACTGGTTCCAATCATACCCCTGAGTTGTCGAAGATGTAAGGACCCGGATTTTCAGCTTCATAGGGTGCGATGAAGATGTAGCCGGGGCGAGTTTGCTGGGGTCGCTGTACTCGATTTTGAGGTCCGGCGGGTAGATGTCGGGTCTCTGCGATCGAGGTTAGGCATTGGGAATAAGGCTCTACTCCTCACGGTTCGAAGGCGACACTTACAGACTTGAAGAAGGAGACCTGCTCCGCGGCCACTGCCCAGGCGCATAGCAACAGGCCGAGGAGGAGCGAGGAAGCACTCCTCGAGGAGTAACGGTAGGCCATAGCGATCAACCTTTACATCACAGGAACGGGACAGATGTCTGGTTAATGCAAGGAGAAGAAGCTCGCAAGAATCCATGTGCGGGAAAAAGGGTACGAGTACGGAGCCCATTTCAGTCAAGATGGCGGAGACACAGCGGGGCGCCGCGCGCAGCACAGCGACGATTGGCCGATAGCGCAACTGATTGACGATTCAGATTGGACTCTCCATTGCTTAGCTCATCGTGCCGTCTTTAGTCGTATGCTAGTTTATTCTGCCAAGAGGAAGTATGCGGGGACCTCTGTCTGCTTTTTGTGGAGTGGTGAAAATACTCCTGCGAACCTTTTTAGTTTTTAGAAAATCCTCGAAAAATTCATAACTACGGCCTCGTGGGCTATCAAGTTCACTAGTCCGTCCGATCTTCATTTGCTCCAAACAAGGTTCACCCTGAACGATCGGTAACGATGGTACGGTATTTGTAATTCGGCCTGTCCAAGGCCACGTCATGGCTCGCGACTAAAGGCTGGAGGCGCTCAGACCGGGTCTAAGACGATTTCACTGAATTACTATTATCAAGGACGTGACAATATATTTTTTTTGCTGGGATATTGCGCTAGCAAGCATGGGCATGACCCAGACCTCCAACAGGTGTACGCAGCCACACACGTATATCGTGAACTTCTTGGCTCGATCGGGGCACCCGCCACGTGCATGTGGCTCATCGCTCCAGCTCTTTGCCCGTACCCTGGATGGACGCGCGGACAGTGTGCAGACCACATACATTATTTTTAGTGTTTCCAGTTTCCGATCCCTTGTTCCCATAGATCAGATGAGCCCGGTGGAATCAAAATTACGGTTACTGCAGGACCGCCCGATGCAAACAGGACTGGGTCCTAAAGTCGAGCTGGAGATTGGGATGAATGTTAGAGTAACAACGGGGTGTTTTTCCCCGTAACACAGTGTCAATCACGGTCGATCAAGGCGCACAAAAAGAGCCCGAGAATATTTTCAGCATAAGATTGTAGAATAAATCGGGTCAGATCGACCATAAGCTAAGAGGTCCCCTGAAAACGAATTTACCTAATAGAAGAGGGCTCAGGATGTCTCGTTTTCTACGCAAGTGGACTACGTACAGTACATAGGACACTCTAAGTAGCATAGTCTCTCTGCTGGGTGGGGCTTTCCTTTCTTAGCTGCCGCCGCTTTTAGGAGGACGCTCGGAGTCAGGCTCACTGAGTACATTTTAGTCAGGCCTCAGGCTAGTGACAGGTACGACCGTGGGGGCCGCCTCAGGCACTAATATCAGGCAAACGGGGTATAAAGCTTTCCCAATATCAGAGCTCTCAGATTCGACAAGAGCAGGCTGCAAAGCCACAGCCGCACGTAGAGTTGACGACCTTAAAAGCGCTCAAGGAATTAGATTGTGATGTTGTCCCTGACCTCCTTGTGTACCAAGAGGGAAAGCAAGGCGAAGATAGTATCGTTTCGGGAGGTTATTTCACTGATGGGGTCTGTGATAAAAGTCCCCGGGAAGTCCCTGAACGAAGAAGAATTCTGGAAGCTAGACCTTGAGTTATGCTAAGCGATCCACGATAAATTTCGGGAAGCCTCTCCGTAAATTTATAGAACTCTCCCTCGCGTGCTCTGAATTTAAATTGACATAAGAATAAGAAAGCCGAAGAAGTATGATTTCCTACCGCGTATGTCAACCATGTCGAAGATCATCTATGACAAGGCCACCGGGAAAATGTACGCTCTATCCGTTATTGAATACCGCACACTATAAGATGACACCAATTAGGCATTTCTCAGGGGTTTCAGGGGCAGGCCATACTGATACAAACGACGAGTGGCATAACAAGTACTACGTTCTGTTTAGTTTGGCCAAGCCATCTCGGGCCAAGGATACCATAGGGTGGACTTGGTGAACAGGAATGGTCAACTTGATGATCGTGCTTTTTGGATGCGAATTGTGGGGGGCAACCTCGACAGTGGGGAATACACCTGAATTGGACTGACATGTTGCATTTTATTGAGGCCGTTACTCAAGTCGCTCACCCATCACTCAGTTAAACTCAGTGAGCAAAAAGCGGCAAGGCCTTAACACTAAATCGGGAAGGGAAGGCGAAGAAGTGGCAGAGAAAACCCGATACGTAGGCGGAGAGGGGCCGTTTGCAGCAGGAATCGCCACATCCATTCACGCCAAGCCGCTAATCAAGCCAAGCAATCTCCCTAGCGTTTGGTATGTGCGCTGCGTGTACGCCGTGGGTCTCTTTCAGGAAACTTACTCCGGTGTGCTAGGGGCACCGCCCCGACTGGAGTTACGACTCATGATTCATGATTCATGATCCAGATATTCAAAAATACCCGCTTGTAGTTTCATTGATGTCAGATCGTGAGAATGCAATACCTTGTGTCCTACAGGGTTTCATGCCGGTGGCGAAGCTACGTGGACTGAACCACCCCTTGCTTTTATGTCATGCCAAATGATGGAAAGATAGGAGTCTTGTTGTAAATTTGTGGCAATGACGCCCTTTGATCGGAAGCATCATGTCTGTCCATTCCCCGTAGGAGAATGTTCCAATGTGGCTTGAAACTGAGTCATGCAAAAGAAAAAGTGTGTCAGAAATGACGAAAAGAAAAAAAAACCCCCCCAAAGATTTTCCGATGTTTTCCAAAGACCAAAAAAAAAAAATTATTGAGGAACCAGTGAAAAATGAAATATATACCACCAAAAATTACCAATGGCCAAAATGGATATTATAAGCTGCAGTGGCCAGTTCAAATAGAAAATAAAAAGGGCTCATGACCACGTCTGTCGCTCTCTTCAGTGGTGCCTGCACGCACTGGAGAGTGACGAATAATGCAAGTGGCCCCGATAATTTAGCGGGTGAAGCGGGTGAAGTGCTTGAAGGCCATGGTGGCTGCGAAGCCAGTAGCCAGGAGGGTACCGCCAACGGTGACGGCCTGGAGAGCGGCGTTCATCATCTGGTGACGGTTGCGGGTGCTGCAGCGCTTGTAGAAATCGGCCATGTCGTTACCGCGGGGGAAGGGGGGTGTCGGGAACCTCCTCTTCGAGAAACTCGCACAAGGGACCCCAGCCGTCGTTGATGTTGTACTCCAAGAGACGCTCCTTGGGGACGAGGCTGCGGACCTCGGCGACGTGCTCTTCGTACACTTGCTTGCCCTTGCCGGGGAAATCTCCGCGGAAGAAGGTCTCGAAAAACTTGTTGAGCATGGGGTAGTACATGCCGGCGGCCCAGCTGAAGTTTGACACGAACTTGTGCTCAGGGTCGCTGACGCGCCAGTAGACAGTCTTCATGACAGACGCGTGCCAGGGGTCGACGTCCCGGGTGGTCAGAATGACCTTAGCGTTGGGGTAGGCCTCAATCAGCTCTTTTGCGAAGGCACAGGCAGGCCAGTCACAGACAGCCTGGCAATCGCCCAGAAGCTGGTCCCATTCCTTGCGGCCGAATTCACCCTCACCCTTGTACTTGGCGTTCAGGGCATCGTGCCACATGAGGCAGTCCGGGGGGGTTCTCAACACTGGCGCACATCATGTGGTAGCACTTGGTGTAGCCCATGCGCTCTAGGGCCTTGCGGAGAGCTAAGGAACTGGTTAGCTTCATAATTCGACCGGAAGTGACGGAGGCTGCTACTCACAGGCTGTACCGGTACGGCCAACGCCGAGAGCCAGCACCTTCATGGGCACAGTGCGATGGCACTTGCGACGGTCGATGTTAGTGTCATCGGTGAAGATGTCGGTTATGGGCTGAGGCGGCAGGTTGTCGGAGAGAGCAAGAGACATGATGGGTATATAAGGAAGTCCCGGAATGGATGAGTATAATCGGATGAGACTAGAAGAAATCAAGGAGTGGATGTGCAAGAATGAGGAGCACTGGGTGGGTATATAAAAAGAAGGGACAGACGGTAGAAAAAGTCTAGAAGGGGGGGAAATGGTGGGTTGCAAGAGGGATGAATGATACGGTGATAAGGGGGCGGGAATTCAAGGAAGCAAAAAAATTAAAAAAAAAAAACACCTGAACAGATCCTCACTAGATCGATTGAACGATAAGTAGAAGAGTGGACAATTGTCAAGCGGCTTTGCGCCAATTATGACAGATGAACCGGACTTTTAAAGAGAGCAATGAGACCCCGCGAGTGGCAACGTTTCCACTCGTTCTGTCGAGTCTTGGCTCTGTCAATCCTTTCCCTTGCCATGGTCCGGTCTCTGGTTGAACGAAGTATTTTTGTTGGTTCTCAATCACATGGTTCGGATCAACGCGTGTCCACCCACGTCGCCTGTCTCAACAGTGTGCAATGGCAGAAAGCTGGATGGACAAGTTTAGAGCAGAGAGGCGCAGATGGTGAAGACGTCACAGGCTGAGCAGGGGATTCTCAGGGGAGGCACCAATTGTGGAGGTCCTGGCAAGCCCAGACTCGTAATTAACATGCCAAGCCTCGATGCGTACGCAGTCTCGATACTCGGGGATCATCCTGGGTTTCTGCCGGCTCTTTGGAGACGATCCGTGCCCTTAGTGGGCTTGATTGGTGGGGCTCGGCAGAGGGCAACGCGTACATTTTGAAAGGTGGAGCATTCCGAATTAGTGAATCGAACTTTTGTGAACTTCTGAAACTCAAGGTGCATCAATCACATCGGGCCGGTGAGTATCATTCAGATGTGAGCCTTCGTTGCCCTTGCATATGTCAAACATGATGGTCAGGATCCAACGGTCGCTCGTTGGCAATCAGTGAGAAATTGCCGATCAGCATCAGGATACCGGATCCAGGGGCACGAGGTGCCTGGACCCAATGTCGGGTCCAATTCACGAGTTTGTGGCAGACAGCTCCACTCGGCTCCGCAGATTAATTGTATTAGGCGAGTGTGCTCGTGGTCGAGACCAGAGCGGGATGAGTTCCACATGCCAAGAACATCGAATATACCGGTGATCAATGCGCTTCCTGCTCAGGGTGTGGTCTGATACAGGCCGTACCTGATTCTTCTCCATAAGGGTCAAACAGTCAAGGTGTGCACGGAAGACACCCGACCGAAAAGGCTGCGGCCACAGCGCCGTCAGTGCCACCAAATTCTGGCGAACTTGGTCTCGGAGATTGCAGCGCTGGGAAAAAGCGGCATTGCCCCGTTAGTGGCTCCCCTGTGCTGATCGTCCCGTCTTGCTCAGGTTCTCGGGTTTCAGGGTTGAGAAATCTCTCAAGGTAGGAAGTGGAGGGCTGATCACGACAAGGGTTGATGCGGTGTGTATTGAGTACTATGTAAGTTCAAAGATTGAGGCCGTGGTGCAGTAGTGGTCCCGTGGTGCGGTCGTAGTACGATTAGTGTCTTGAGGTAGAGTTGGCCGGACGTCGTCCTGACGCGGGTGTCATCATATTCGAGTCTCATCATTCTCGACCCGTGGTCAAGCAAGTATGTGTTCATTCAACGTCATTAGTTGGGAAGCAATTGTTATTGAGCAAGGGACAAGAAAAGAAAAAGAGCCAAATTTGACTCAGGGTCCAGTAGAGAGTAACGTGCAATATATGGTGTGTGCCAAGCCCACAATGTCGAGTTCGCCATCGCTGAGCACGATCACCTCACACGACCCCACGAACATTTGAGACGTTCTATGGAACCGCGATGTTGAATTAAACATCTCGATCCGATCTGAGCTTAACCTGCGGTCCGTTTGGACCAGCCCTGGGCATCAACCCCGCTGGAATGTGGCAGACGGCAAAGATTTCGGCAGTTGATGGCTGCAGCCTGGTGTAGCCCTAAAGAGACCCTGACATGTCAAAGCCCGGTGATTCAGGGTCTACACTCTTCGTGGATGTTCATAAGAATACGAGCCTTGGCAATGACACCCAGTTGGTTGAAGATTTCGACATTGGTCCCCAATATGGTAACAGTTTTCAGATCTATGACATCTGCTCTCCTGAACGCCCCAAAGCACGGAAAAAATACATTCATTGCGGCGATAACCCGTGGACTGATAACCCCCTGAACTCCATGCAAATGACTTGTGTGTTGATGCCATCCGAAATGCATCAATGTCCAGGTCCATTCTAGTCAGGACTCTGAATCAAGCCCCTCGCGGACCCTTATTCCAATTTATCCAGATGTTCAAGTCGCGTGAGGACGACCTGCTTGCTCGTCTCTTCGATCTCGCCTGCGAGAAAGACCTCGTCGAGAATCGCGTAGACCTGGACCGAACAATCAGCATGGGGGATTTTTGCTTGGCCCAACCACGAGCTGCATGCATGCGGGCAGCAGTCCGTCTTCTGTCCATCCAAGTACGCACCTTGTAGAAGTTGAAGACCAAATCAAGCTCACACACATTGCCGAAGAACTGATCCAGCACTTCGACGAAGAAGTGGATAGCTTCGAGGTACGCCAACTCGTTGTCATTGGCGTCCACACAGACGCAGAAGAACAACCCGGCGTATCGACGATAGACAATCTTGGTGCTTCTGCGAAACTCGACGAAGTTCGATTGGTATTTTTGATCTCTCGGTGCGACAAGACGATGGACCTAGGCGGTCGTTAGCGGGTTGCGGGTTGCAAGTCGTGACTGTCGGAAGCGCGGGTACAGACCTCGCCTTTGAGCTTCACTTTCTCCTCATCCTGGAGCATTGTGAGTAAATTGTACTTGTAGATTAGAAAATTGCAACACTCACACTGTACGGTGCGTACCACTTCGCCAGGCGCGTTTTGCCCCTATACCTTCATCAGCATTGTGTACGCCCACCCCGCTGCTCCCAACATCACTCACTGGCGATTCTGGACAATAATAAATGAGAGAACCATCTTGTATACCAGGAAATCGCCTGGCGAGCATCTGTATGACCCCACGGTTCAGTCTTGGGGTGTAGCTCTGGATATTCTCCGCAGATTCCGTTATCGCGAAGCTCCCCTCCGCCATAATGCCGTGACTCACCGCCTATTTTACTATCAAAGTGAAACGCGTGATCGGTCGCAAATAGGAGAAGAAATGAAATTTTTTCTTGGAATATAATACAATTGAATGGCACTCTCGACAATCAATTACCTCGTCCAGCCAGACGAAGTCTTCAATGAAAGTAGCGGCGATCCATGGGCTGGTAGACGATCTTTCAAGAAGATTGTGTGCAACGAATCAGAGAAAAGAAATGGGAAGGTATAGAAACAGGCGTTAGGCATAGAAGTCGTAAAATCTGTCGTAGCCGGGTCGGGCAGACGACAAACGTTGGGTACAATGGCCCAACCCGGAACGTAGAAGAGTGGCATTATGTCCACTTGCGCACATGGCACGGGGAACATGCGATGGGCGTAGGCCGGAGGGTTATGAAGTGGTCGTGCCCATGCGATTGAAAAGACTTGTCAATCGCGCCTACAACAAGATCCGGCATTAGTAAAATACCTTGAAGAGAATGCCATAGGTCAACCATACCGTATAGCTCACCGGAGTCGCTGGTGACGCCGGTGTCGCAGGAGTCCCAGGCTCGGTGGCGCTCTGTTCACTCTCGGCCACATAGCTCTCGTCGTCGTCATCCAGTTCAGAATCAGGATACCACCTATCAGGATCCCCATTATAAACCATAAACCAGCCAATATGTTCCCCGGGCGCAAGACGATCGCGCAACGCCTCTAGCGCCTCCGTCGCGTCGTCCGTCATGCCAGAGCCCTGTTCGACCACGTCCTCAATATTCATGTCTGGCCCTGCGCCCTCGGGCGTACTGCCGTCAGGAATTGTCACGACCTTGGTACTGACATAAGCAAAGGGCTGAGAAACGGTGGTGCTGGACTCGTCGGCGGGATCGTAGTACTCGATAAAGCGTAGCTCTGGTAGCCGAGGCATGAGGTCCGATTGTGTCCGCTTGAGCGATTCTAGTACCAGCTCTGTTGTCAATGGCTGTTGGAGGTATTCGGCGGCGGCTTCTTCTAGATTGTGTAGCACGATGTACACACGAATCCCTGTAAAGCCTTCTCGGGGCCACCGGAATCCGTGAAGCATATAGACGGGCATGGAGAATAAGGGGGGGAGGGGGCAATCGGACCGGATTGGCAGAGCTGGGGGGAGATTCGTCTATTAGATTGGCGGCATAGTTGGAGGAAGTAGAAGTGATGTATCCAATGTGCAGACTCGTGTTGAATCAAGGGTCCCACCTTTTTAGTCTAACGGTCCGACCGTTGAACACAAAACGCTGTCAGGTCGACAGGGGCTTCCCGGCTCTTGTGTTGTGATTCTAGGACGACTTGCATGGACATCGGAGTGTGACCTCGGTTCGGGATGTTCGACAAGTGTACTCAATCCCCGGCTGGGAGGGTGAACGGTGTGGGATCTGAGATCGCGCCCCGATCGAGTGGGCGATCGAGATCGGTCGTGAGGCTTGAGGCTCAATTCTCGGGTTTGTGACGAAATGCATAACCCATACTTTCTAATTTCTCCATTCAATTGCTACATGACTCACGGTTTCTCCAAGCCGTAAAGTCGCCTATGATAAAGAGGAAAGGAAATCATGCAATGAAGAGGGGGACCAGTTCGGATTGCCACTCGAATGAGCCAAATTAGCGCAGGGACCAAGTCCAAGAAAAAGACAAACGCCCGTGCAGAGGAGATGCAGATGCAAATGCAGATACCCCGGAAAAGCTTCGACCATCTTGATCAATTTCATGGGTCTCATGCACAAATTACTACTAGCGAGGCAGCCAGACGCCAACACGGGACGCCGCAGATTCAGGGTTTCTTCTTGAGATCTGCAAATCTTCGCGTCAACTCGTCAAGTTCAGGGATCCCGTTGCTGTTCTTTCTCGGTCCCGCTTGACCTTGGGCAGGTTTCGTATCACCCTCCCCGGGGATTTTCACATGCGGGTGTGGGTTATCAGTTCGGGGCGCGGGCGGCGCAACGCTAACGGGGCTTCGGCCTGCTGCGAGTCCGCGTGGGGGTGTGGCTTTGTTCAATTCACTAGTCTCTGAAGCGCGCCTCATTTCGCTTAGCTCTGGTCGGGATGAGGCCTGCTTGCTCGGCGTCGGCGGTAGGTCACCACCCTGGTCGGCATCACCTTCGTCCTTCGAGTCCACGAACTCCGGTGGCGCATCGCCAAGGTCTGCTTGTACGTCCAGGTCTTCTCCACCGCGAGGCCATGCGACACCGTATGCTCGTGCGATCTCCTGCAGGTAGCTCTCGACAAGTTCTTGCCCTGGTGGTCGGACGCGCAGCCCTTTCAAAAGTCGATCCGGTACCTTGATAGAATCCACTTTGTTGTCCTGTGCCAGCGTCATGAACTCCTTGCCGTATCGTTCACCCAGCATGGTCCGAAGCATAGTGAGCTCGCGCAATTCGTGTGGGAAGCGATGCCAGGCGTAAAAGATAGCAACCGCGGCCTCATCGAGAGCAGTGTCCATATAGGGGTCTTCCTCGTCTGTCAATGGATCTCCAGAGACTTCGCCGGGACTGGTAGAAGCTGCGGGACTGGTCTCCTTCTTTTGAGACCCCCCAAGCCAGCCGAACCCGAATCGCGAGCCGCTGCTCTCAATGGGTTTCACTCCGCCAGCTTGTGCCATACTGTGTTTCTTGTACTGTTCCTTAGCGCGCAATCGTGCGCGTGTCCCCGACTCCCCGAACGCAAGTTGATCCAACACATTGGCCCGCGCAAGTAGCAGCTCACAGTAAAGCTCCACCATTTCCATCACCTCGACTGCAATATCGGTCGCGATAACATTCTCGACACGGATGCGTGCGGAGGCTTCGCGACCTTCACTGAGGAGTTGGGAAAGCTCACGACGCTGGACGACGGACGAAGCGGTGTCCTTCTTTTGGAGGAGGCGGAGGCGGGGGATAAGGAGGCGAAGGGTAGATACTAATCTGGTCTATGTTTTCGTTGTGTTAGCTTTTGTGATGCTCGTATAGTCTGTGCGATCGTTTCAGGGAGCTCGCAGTGGCGCGGCATGATGGAGCCATGATAACAGTGCGGGGTAAGTTGTAGGGAGCTTCCGAAGACTTGTCCAGACGTGCAGCCTTTTATAGAAGACAAGAGAAGTGTCGGTGATACTGAGGGCAGACTCACTGTTTGCGCCGAAGGAGGCATTTTTGGAGAGTGTTTGGTTGAGGGAGAAAGGGGAATGGTGAGGTGAAGCGGGGGTTGGACTTCGGCTCCCGTTAGATCCAGTCCGCCCTTAAGGCATTTGCTTCCAACGCACTTTCTCTGCACGACTTCAAAATATCCAACTTATTTAACTTGATCCCAGGCCTATGACCTGGAAAACAACTATGTGCTTCTAGCCTTGACTAATCCCGTGAGCGGTTTACACTAGGGGTGAAATGTCAAATCTGGATGACGGAAACATGGAATTAGACATGGAAACCAATACTGTGTCTCATCATTGAATCCTCAAAGCCTATCATGCTAAGATCTAGGGAGTGCATGAAGTTTCTTTAGGAAACAGATTTCTTTCAAGATTGAGAGTTCCTATCTTTCATCTCCCCACGCTCCTTGACTTGCTGCGCGATATGTGCTCCAATATCCGAACCCAAGCCATTGAACCCGTCAATCACGCCCTGACGATCACCCTGTCCCATCTCTTGACTCATCTTGGCTTTACCCCCTATACTCTCAATCGTCACTTCAATGCCAATGATAGCCTTCTTCATGATATCGATATACCGCTCAGGGGCATCCGAGACACTCCAAGGACCAGGTTGCCCGTCCTGACCAGTATAGCCCATGATTGAGGTCTCGCACATCTTGGAAAGATCATCAATCTGTCTCGATAGGTATTGAGAAGTCTCCTCTGCAGCTGAGTCGTAGTAGATTGTAGCTTTGCCGTAGACTTGGGCCGCAGCGTAATTCCATGTCGGGACGACCTTGGCAGTCGCCGGCTTAGTCTCAGTGTAGAACTTAGGCGTGACGTAGTGATGGTATTGGTTTGTGAATAGGATCATCACGTCCTGTACTAGCTTTGTGGTGTTGGACGCGGACGCAGACTCGATCATGGCTTTGCTTTGAGGGTTCGCGCGGGCCATGTGGCCTCGTAACCGACCTTTCACGGGTGCCTCTGGATTATCGCTGATCTCATCTAGTAACCATGGGATATGGCTGGATTGAATGAATGGATGAGATGGTGATGAGATGGCCGTTGTGAGGACACCCAGGGGATTCGCCTTGATGAATTCGAAGAGAGCCTGAATGGAAGACTCTGCATGGACTGCGCGCAGGTACATGACTGCGTTGAGTCGAAGAATAGATTTAAACGTGAGTCCGAGTTGTCTAGGGCTCTTAGGCTTCTTATTTACAGTTGGGGTCTCGGGGTGATAGGGTGACTTTCGTGCAGGCTATCATTGGTGCTCTCTAGTTGCGGGGCTTCTGGAGACTTCTTGTTGGCTCTGCTCGCCGAGTCGGGCTCTCGTCTCTTGTTCATGTACAAAATGCAATTTATTCACAGTCCATCAGCACGCCCTTTTGACCATCTAAACCCAAGGAGGAACTTGTTACGAGAATTTGGTGGCCATCCATTGATGCAATGACCAATCAGAACCGTGGAACCGATGTCCGTTTTAGGAAGTTATCGGGAGCGGGGCTCTTAAACGACGAACAACGTGTATATAATTGCACTTCGGCCTTTTGAAGCGGTCGAACATTGTTTTCAAACTTGATCAAAACTGGTATAATGGCACCTCTAGAAAATAGCCATCCGGCGACCCAGGCGCTTCACGCCGATGACCGTTTGAATCTGGTGACGGACGTTGCGCCTCCCATTCACCTGTCCACCACCTTCAGATACTCGCATGATCCGAACGAACTAGTCCCATCTGAAGATCCAGTGGTGAGTACAAAGTCTCTGTAGTCCAGTTCCGTGACACTGACTCCTCACTAGGCTGAATTCGACGGGACAAACTACGTTTATGCTCGAGAGTTCGCCCCAAACGCAACTCGATTCGAAGCTATCCTCTCAACCTTACTCAAGGGAAATGCTGTGGCCTATGCCACGGGTCTGGCTGCTTTGTATGCCGCCCTCACGCTTCTGAACCCGCGCCGAGTATCTGTCGGCGAGGGGTATCACGGCAGCCACGAAGTGATCTCCGTCGTCTCTCGTCTCTCCGGACTGGAAAAGCTTCCTCTTGACTGTCCTGCCGAGAGCTTGAATGCGGGTGATGTCATTCTACTCGAGACACCAATCAATCCCCTCGGAACCGCTTTCAATATCGCAGCGTATGCCGAAAAGGCACACTCTCGAGGTGCTTACCTCATAGTTGACAGCACCTTTGCTCCTCCCGGCCTGCAAGACCCATTCCTGTGGGGAGCGGATCTCGTGATGCACTCTGGATCCAAGTATTTCGGGGGTCACAGCGATCTACTTTGCGGTGTCCTCGCAACAAAGCGGGACGACTGGACCAAGCAGCTGTTCGAGGACCGAGTAGCTTTGGGCAATGTGCTGGGGAACTTGGAGGGCTGGCTTGGAACTCGCAGTCTGCGCACAATGGAGGTTCGCGTTCAACGCGCAAGTGAGAATTCTGCCAGACTAATTTCCTGGCTCCACAACGGTTTGAATGCGTCGATGCCGGCTGCCGGATCAGAAGAAGCTACCATCCAGGCTGTTCTGCAGAAAATTTATCACGCCAGTCTCCAGTTTGAGCCGTGGTTGAAGTTGCAGATGCCCAATGGGTTCGGCCCCGTCTTTGCGATCATCTTGACCAGCGAAGACTTTGCTCGAGCGTTGCCCAGTAAGCTGCACTTATTCCAACATGCGACGAGTCTAGGCGGCGTCGAGTCTTTGATTGAATGGCGCGCAATGTCCGATTCAAAGGTAGACCGAAAATTGTTAAGGATCAGTGTCGGACTGGAGAACTGGGAGGATCTCAAAAACGATCTACTCCAGGCATTTGTGGCCCTCGCAGGAGCGCGATGAGCTTGAGAATGAAAGAGAATAGAATCAAACCGAAAAGCACGGCTATTTGCTTCATGTCACGGATTCATATCCAGAGCCAGTCGCGCCCAAGGCGACCAATGTTGAAGATCCATTCTGACCGATTATCGCCTGGTGAGCTTTTTTGCTGCCAGTACTCTTGCAAGATGTTTGTCGCGTTGATGGCATTTAAACACCTAGTGATTTCCCAGAATCTCTCCATGCAGCCAACAAGGAAGTCTCTCTGGGCCTGCCATTGAGACTCCAGGCCTGCAACAAAGATCGGCCAAAGAACACACTTGAACATGGCCTCGTCGTTCTTCAAGGAGTCAGCCAGGCCTGAGAGCTCGACGACCTTATCGTCTTGCTCTGTAAATTCACCTGTCACAGAGTCCAGGATACGTGTGCCGTAGAGGAGAGCACCGAGCTTGTAGGCTTCAGATAATGTGCAGAGATTAGCAATCTCCTGCGGGGAAGAGGCTCGTGATTCCTGGACCTTCGATGCCCAAGCATAGCTATCAAAATTTCTAATGAGTTCGAGTAATGCTGTGATACTCTGAATGTGGATTTCGACAGATTCGCTGTCGAGTGGCCTAGAGCCTGCAATGCTGTCTCTTTCCATGGAAAGTTGTTGTATAGCCATCAGAATGTATTCAGAACATCCAAGGAACGACTTCTCGATGGTCTCTTGAAGCTGGGATTCGTGCTGATCAAAAGATGGCGCTTGAGATAGCATTTTCGGGCGCAAGAATGCAGCACCAAGTGTTTCAATTCTGCGGGAATATCAGCTGGTTAATAATCAACGGATCGAGGTGAACCTACAGATAAATTTGCTTCATAATAAAATCTCGAATGTCTCGCACTGTCCCCCCAGGCCCGTGATTGATTACTGCCTGATCCTTGAAATCTTTGTAAGTGGAAGCGATCAGATTCTTTGCGCCTTCCAGGTGGAAATTCCACCCGTCACTTCCAGACTCCAGAAGATCCAAAAAAATTAATAAGAAGATGCTAGCCACGGTACTGTCTTGAACAGAAAGTCTCTTGTCGCGCAAAGAGTGCGACAATGCTTCCATAGCTTGATGCTTGAAAAGAAGCGCATCTCGATTCGCATTGATCAGGCTGGGCGACGTAGGATTGTCGAGTTGGTAGAATGACTGACCGGTGTTGGCATGGTGGCGTGCTGCCAGCGCCAGGAGAGCTTTCATCAGCACAGGATCTTTCATGCCCAGAGGGATAAGGCTCCTGAAAGGATTCTTATCGCTGTCATATACAATGAAGAGCTTGCAAATGCGTTCATCGTCTGCCGAGTCCGTCAGTAAAATAGATTTGATATACGGACAAGAGAGGAGGGACCAAGATACTCACAATAATCAATGTAGTATTTGGATGCTTGATCCAGATTGAATTTAGAGGGGTCTTGCAAGCTGAACGGTATACTCGGTGCAGTGCCCAAAGTGTCTATATGATCATGAAATGGATCGTCAATAATGGAAGTCCGCATAACCCAGGAAGTGATGCCAAGGATCCCTCGAAGTAATAGCCAATGATATTAATCATGACCGGCTGGCTCAACTTACTATTCGATCTGTGTAGACGACCCTGAGAGGAACGAATTAACGCGCGCCTCGCCTTCGCCGACACCGACGCATGTTCTGCCGTAAATGAAGGACCCGCATTCTCATATGATCGACCTTGCATCTTCCCGCGGATGGCGACACCTTTGACCCATCGAAAGGGCCGTTTGTCAAGACATTCCAATCCGGCCTTTTCGCACTTGACGCAGGGCACGCCAGTCTGATCGCACTGGATGCGCCGATTGCGGCATGTGTAGCATGGACCAGGGACAGCTTCCATCGTGCATTGTGCTGGCGGCAAGTCTTGATGAGGCAAAAGTCGCGGATATGGAGTTGCTGACTGAGCGGCATGCGGGGCTGATCACCGAGGCTCAAGAGAAGCGATAACACTGGTGATACTTCCCTCCTTTTCCATTGGAGCCTTCTGAACGACCTCCTCAACCAAACTTCTAATTAACTTGGTGATGCCAAGTGCATTGACCATCAGCCTTCAAAATCTGGACAAATCTTCTGGCTGCTGAACCTCTCTACTTTGATATGAGCACAGCGTGTGCACCTCACATGCCTACAAACTTTTCCCTAGCGTCAACAAAACGGCGTGGGTCTTTGTTGTGCACGGATAAGCACGTCTGGTGCAATCACTAGTAGCCTGGATGTGCCTGAAGTTGTATCATGTAATCTTTCCTCTCGTCCGGGCGGCTTCCGCGGAGCGCGGGCGAGCGCGTCTGTCACGAGTGCAAGCAGCTTGAATTGGATCGTGGAATAGTTCTAGATAAGATGCGCTTCAATGGTCTTGAGGGGGGGGGCGCGCGCGCTGTAAAGAAGGAGCTGGATCTCGCAAATACCGCGCTCGTCAAAGAGCGGAAACCAAGAGCCTAATCTGCATCAGCGGACATGTGGATATGCTATGGAGTCGATCCTGAATCTCCTCAGATCGGACACTATTCTACAGAGCTACAGAGAATACGGATTTGAGGAGGCTTGGAATTTGGTTTTGAGCAGTACTGCCTGCTGCCCGTTATCAAGAAGCCGTGATTAAACTGTTGCTCGAACTCGGGATTGCTAAGGGTAAACCCGCCAAGGTACTTGATAAGGCGCCCCTGACTATAGCGTCTAGAGCCGAGCTTATTATAGTCTTGGAAGTAATCTGGGAGAAAAAATTTAGAGAAGTGAGTCCAGCTTCAAACTATGATGACTGCCAAGACAGCACAAAAGCTGCGGGGGCGGGATATGCACAGTGGGGTAATTATTGGAGGGAAGCCAAAGTTGATTCCAGCATGCAAAATCCTTTAAAAATTGCAATGCTCCATGTTCCCTCGTGGCGCTGGTAAATTTCCTCGGCAAGAGGGGACTAGCCTGTCCGTCCGTGGACCCTTTACCCGCCGGCGGAAGGCAGATTGCCAAGGGCGATCAGATCATGCCTTAATGGCCAAGAGGCTGTCGCTGATACTGCGGAAGTGTTCTTCATGTTTGGTGTTGCAAAAGATTCCAGAGCGAGTCGCCTTTACGGGTCTTCAAGACGACAGGAGCGCAGGACTGTGATCTCCTGTATGGCACAATGAAAGCTGGGTATCGTAGAGAACGCTGCAGTAAAGCTAGGCCATTTACTTGATGTGCCGCTTCTGCTTCTTGCCTACTAGCGAAGGAATTACCGCAATTCTACGATCTCCCTATTGACCTCTCCGGAAAACAAAAGTCAGACAGAAATGTGGCTAGACGATGAAATTTCAAACACACGTTGAGTTGTGACTGGAATGGGGCTGCAGGCCACAAATATTCAGGCACAGACGATAAGATATCTGCAAGGATGGCACGCATATCACGAAGACTCCAACGCGGACTATTGTCGCTCCGCAGTACTAGGGCAGCGGCAGTGGGTGTTGACAGTCTTACTAAGCAGACTTTACAGCTTGGTTGAGTACTAAAGGTTAAAAGCAGAACCCTCGCGGAGATATCCTTGAATATGGCCATTTGCATGGTGTTTGCAAACCCGCCTTTAGCTCCTTGTGGCCGATACCGGATCCAATTACGCAACAGTGGACGTAAAAGAGAGGACCATCGAGAAATTCCAGCGAACCAAGCCCGAGATCGTAGTTAGAAGAGGGCAACATTGAAAATCATGCTCGGAAATCTCCCGTTCAGCTGGTGAGGGGACCAAAAGGGAAGAGTTATGTCTAACCGTAAAGCCATTTTGGCATAGACCCATATCTATACGAGCCTACGATTGGCCGGCTCGGGTTATGACATCACCGGCGGCGGCCGTCAGACACGCGATTTCCATTTTGGGAAGTATAGAGCTCCCTAGTCTGATCGTGGTTCATGGTTCCATTTCTGTCGTGTTTCAGCTACCCAGTACTATCTTTGGATGCATGGGACGAAAGGTCTTGGCAAGATGAGTCTACTAGAGTCCCTATATCTTATCTTGTCCGCACAATAGCCGTTCAATTGCAGAATCCCAACACTCTTTCACCTGTACACGCCTTCGTTCATACTCGCACATTCATTCAATATACGCCCCCACTGATCCATATGCGCTCTATTGCCGCATCTGTCCCACTTACACCTTCGCTGAAGCCTATATACTCTGGACCAAATGGCACCAATCATCGAAGCTGTATCTCAAATGTACGTCCACCGCACCACCACCCAAACCCTATCAGCAAGATTCCAGACCATTGAGACTGATATCTATAGACTATTCTCACGCTCTAATGTTATCGAAATGGACACCGCAAATACCCTTATCAAGCGCGATAACGCCTCCGACCGCTTCTCCCTTTACGTTTTCGCCATTATAGTCGGCTGCATCGCCATTGTCCTCATTGGATGCGGTATCTATACCATGTATAACGGAGACGGTGAAGTGAGGCTCCAGGATATGCCATACGAGCAACGAAAGTACATGCATGAAGTGCGACAGCGCAATCTGAACGGGCTCGCGTGGACAGCTAGACGGCCAGACATGATTGTCCCGGTTGAAAGGTTGAACAATTGAGACGGATCACTTTAGGACTGGAGCATTGGCATTTTTATGATGAGATGGAAACATTATATACGACCTCGGGAAGGCGTTCAAATTACGGATTGGAAACATGGCATTGAAATGACCGTGGCATCTGAATAGTTAGTTCGCATACAAGTCATCCGACAGTCGATGTTCTAGGGTAATTATGTATTGGTAGGATTTGAATTGCCCTACCAAAAAACTGCCAGGCCTTGGATGTCCACAAGATACAAATGAAGAAATTAGTCTACAATAACCTTCCCCGGGGACCCCTGGCCACATAAAGATGTGACATCACACAGCATGCATCTCGAAAGTAGAACAAGAATCTGAAGAAGGACAAAAAATGTGTAGATTTGAACCCCATTTTTCTATGACCAAACAACAAAAAAACCATCCAAAACTCGCTCGGCTCCAACAAAAACGTAACCGGTCGTCGAATGTACACTGAGAAGAAAAAGGCCCAATGCATATAAAAAGGGTAAGGTATATCCAATAAGATAAAAAAAATGGGTGCTGAGGAGCTAGTAAGAAGAGCAAAAGTATCATCAAGCTTGAGACGGCAACGTAAGACGTCGTCATTAAAATGGGCATCCGCGCCGTGCGCGAATGATGAATAGAATTGTAGAAGAGGGTATCAAGAAGTGGAAGAATTGTAGAAAGAATCGAATACATGCATGCCTGCTGTCCGGGATCCCGCGGACAAGAATTCTGCTGTATGTTACACAAGCCATGCATGCACTTGCTCACATTTGTACAGCAAGGACGTTTGACCAGTGGAGATTTAGAAGTTCATGAAAATGGCGGCCACGGCACTGAGGGCAATAGTCATCATGGAGACAGCAGTGCTGGTGGCGGCGCCGGTACTGGTGGCAGAAGCCGAGACGGCACCGGTGGTGGAGGATCCAGAGTTGGAACCGGATCCCGAAGACGAAATCTCGGAGGCTCCAGTGGGAGCAAAGACGTGAGGACGGTAGGTGTAGCTCATGGAGGGGCTTGACTTGGGCAGACGAGTGCTGGTGCTAGACGAAGTGACAGTCGAGGTGGGAATCACAGTGGAGGTCGAAGTGGAGCTTGAAGTAGAGGTGGGAGTGGGGGTAGAGGTAGAGGTGGGAGTGGGAGTGGATGTGCTGGTCGAAGTCGGGGTAGGAGTCTCTGTGGTGCTGGTGCTGGTCGAGGTGGGAGTAGGAGTACTAGTGCTGGTGCTGGTGGGAACCGCAGTACTGGTGGAGGCCTCGGAGCTGCTGGAGCTGCTGCTGGAGCTGCTGCTGGAGCTGGAGCTGGAGCTGGAGCTGGAACTGGAGCTGGAGCTGGAACTGGAACCGTCGCTTCCATCAACGTCAAAGACGATGATATTGGCCTTGGAGCCCGCGGGGACAGTGACAACACAGCCAGTGGCGCCGCCAGCACCAGTAAAGACATCCTCAGCGCTCATCTCGTTGACCTCCATGGTAGAAGGATCAATCTTGCAGGGAAGACCGTTACAGCCGCCACCCTCACACTCAATCTCAATACCGAAGGTGGGCTTGGTGTTGCGGAAGGGGCACGTGGTCTCCAGGTAGATGGGGTTCCAACCAATCTTCAGGTAAGAGCTGCCGTCGGAGACAGTGTTGCCACCAGCAGTGTAGGGCGACCAGTTACCGACGGGCTTAGCGTTGGTACCCCAGACACAACCTTCTTCAACCGAGACACCAGGGGCGTTGATGTAGTACTGAGCGGCAGTCTCACACCAGTAGGACATGCCGGGGATGGCCAGAGTAGCAAGCTCTTCAACCAGAGTGGGGATCAGCATGGCTTCGTTTCCAGGCAGCACAGTCTGGCAGAAAGCCACGGCCTGGGAAGCCTTGTTCTTGGCAGACATGGCACCAGTACCATCCTCACAGTAGGGCTTGTTGGGGAAAGGCTTGTGGATCTCGCCGTTCTCGTCACAGTAGAGACCACCGTTCTATGATAGGGTTAGCGATCTGGGCGCCCCTTGCATTGATTGCATATGACATGTAGATCCGGGGCAAAAGATACTCACCATGGACATCGGATAGGTGTAGGAGGTGGCCTCCGGGTCCCACTGCATGGAGACCTGACCGGGAGGACAGGCATAGGGGCAGTAGTTGCCGGGCTCGCAGGGCTGGTTGGGGCTCATAGCCCAACCGGCGTTCTGCTCATTGGGAGTGACAGCGACCAAACCAGCATCGGTAGGGAACTGGCACTGTCCGCTCTTTTTCTGGAGCGTAGTGTTCTCCGGAACGGAACGGGCTTCCTGGTGACGAACATGGGAGTGGCCATGACCATGACGAGCAGCCTCGGCGCATGCAACGAAGGCGATCAGCGCGACTGCGCGGGACGAAGTCATCTGGAACTTCATTGTGTCGACAGAGTGTAAAGAGCGAATAGATGAAACGGATCAAACGAATGACTGGCCAGTAGGCCTGGGGAGACACAGGACGCAAAGCTCACAGAGAATGAGGTCGAAGGAGAGAAAGTCCAAAAAGAGCGAAACCCAGGAAAAGGCAACACAGCCCAGTTCCAATGCAGGCACCAGGGGAGGAGCAACGACACTAACTGTAAGCAGTATGAGATTGGGGGTCTTGTTGGCTCCGGAGCAGGGCACCAGGTACGGAGTGGCAGTGGAGAATCGTGTGAGAACAGTAGTTAACAGTGGATCCCAGTGGACAAACCGTGGACAAACCGTGGACAAACCGTGGACAAACCGTGGACAAACCGTGGACAACCGTGGGCTCAGGAGCAGGAAGCGGCCCCAACTCCCAGACCCTCAAAAAGATGAGCACTTCGAACCCTACAGTACAGCGCGAGCAACGAGACGCCCCTGACCCTCGAGACCAACCATGTCTCCTGCCGGCTGCTAGCGGGAAGTCTGATGGAGCCACCAGAGTTAGAATGCCGCTAACGATGGACTAAACACGAACTAAATACGAACTAACTGGACTAGCGTCAGGGGCACTGCTGATATCCTGATATCCGCCAATTATGCGATTTTCTTCCCCGGCGGTTCCTGCTTGGCATGTAGATAGAAAGCCAATAAGCTCATCTGTTTGCTCCCCATGAACCCTTTCTCTTCGTGGAGCACTGCTGTCTTTTTGGATGATTATAGGCGAGCAAAGGCTGACTATAATAGATCCCTGCTCGTTTGCCTCGTGTTATAAGACATCAGACCGTGCTATGTGCTTAAAGGACTGTCAGACTCGGCGAAAAGGAGAACTTGAGAATTTTAACCGCCCCACATCCACTAGAGGCATCGGCAACATCTTTCTTTCCTAGGATCGCCGTTCCACGGCCCTACGGAGTCTTACTGTAGCACGAGAGCCTGTCAATCCTCATCAAACAGGCCCCTCGACCTGTACAGTACTGCTGAGGTCTAGATTGTTGATCATGATGGAGTCCCGGGGCGATCGCCCCCATGCCCCAGCCAATGATGACCCAAAGTACCTCCCCGGTAAGCAATCCTGGGTCCTACGCGACCAACACTAAAGAATTAGCTATTGGTTTTTTTTTTCGAGTGAATTTCGAATCGTTTGCCTAGGAAATTGCCGTGACTATCTTGTGATTGTGATACACCCCCGGCTTGACAAAGCTTGGCTTGCCGATGCGCGGTGACTGCTCTTGGCAATGAGAACAATTTGTGCAGATGTGTGTCTAAGGACACAGTTAGAGGGGGGGGTTCTTCCTCTATCTTGAAGAAAGACGAGCCTGAGTTGAGCAGAAACTTGTCGCTTGGCCTCTATCTCCGTGGTTCGAGCTCATTGTGCCGAACTGTTCAGCTGAAAACACAAATAATAGCTGAGATTAGCGAAATTTTGTTTGTCAGCTGGCCCTCTAGCTACTTGTATGATATCCAAGGCTCGCGGAGTGAAACAAGTGGGTACTTTCGTGATAGTGAGCCTTCGTTGATGCATAAGCAGATTCAAAACATGGGGACAATCTGCACAATGCATGCGCACTCTCTAAAACACAAGCCACTTCCCTAAATCTCCAGTCACTGGCATCGTGTTATCCTAGAATGGCGAAACGCTTCACTGTCAGTCAGTTCAGTCATTGACTGCACAGCTTTATTCTAGCCTACTTTAGCCCTTCAACGGGGCAGCCATAACTCAAGTGCCGTCGAAGCTCAAATTACAGGATGAAATGAACCAGGAACTTTGGTTCAGTGATTGTCCGTCTATTGAACGACGGGTCAATGGCTTCGAGAGAGATCGACAAGTGATAGACTCGGGTGCCTATCTAGGAAACCCAGCACGCATGGTTCGTGACCAGAAGGAGATTTCGAAACAAGAAAGCTTCCGTGGAGCTTCCAAGTACATCAATCAAGAAAGGCGATGACAGCAACACCGTGGTCGCCTGTAAACTCTTCAGATTTGGGGACGCTGAGCCATCAAAGCATTCAAGACAACCATCATTCCTGCATTTCCCCTAAGTAGTAACCTCTCAGTAGACTCCTACCCGTCAACCTCTACAGAGGAAGCACCTCTTCTTGGCCATTGTGGCTTCAGCTTTGTACGCGATTCTGCCACTGGAGCGATCATTTGCTGAAGTCAAGTGGTCGTCTCTTCTCGCATACTCAGTAGACGAATTTCTCCTGACTTGCTGCAAGGGCTGTGAATTGCTGTGCTTTTGGCTTGAAAGGCGGCTCAAACTTCAGGTTTGATGTGGGTACCATGTATTTGACATTTGACAGGTCGCATTAGTCAATGCCTCACCGCTACATTCATTTTCTCCAACTGATGATCAGCGTTGTCGTGGAACTGCGATCAGATAGACCGCCACGTAAGAAGACGGGAGAGGCTACCCCCCTCACCTTCTCCTGGGCCTCGTCAAACATAATATTAGAATAGGGTGTACAATCTACGAGGTTACAGTGGAGAACGCATGGAGGATAATTCGAATGCAGTTGGATTGGAGTAATGAAAGACTTGGAAGATTTCAACCCATAGTATGGCGCACTGCGTCCGAGGCGACCTGTAGAGGAAAGCTAATAATTTACGGTCTGTTGAAAGTCGTGTGAAAGACTAGAACCACACCCGTCGAAGAAAGACGCGCCGTGCTCAAGGTTCAGTTTGAGACATGCTGTTCCCTTCAATTATTGGGAAGCTGTCATGAAACTCGAGAAGCCCATATAAAAATTTGTATAAACGATGACGTCTCGGCTGGATGATCGTGACCGGTGCTGTACGGCTTGTTTGAAGGATCGTGGACTCTGCATTCGTAACACCATGCTTCCACATTGCACTCCCTGCAACAATATCAAAGTCGTGAAGTCACTTGCTCGTCCCAACGCCTTCTTGGAGCTAAAATCGTATGCTGGCTTTCAAGCTATGATGATGTGCTTCGTGAGGAACTCCACTTGTATATCTCCATCGTCAACCTGCAGCCTTTGGAATCATCGCGGCCAGCCAACGATCCTGGCTTGGTTCTGGGCATCCAACATTGATAGAGACGGCTAGTATCATTCACCGTCAGAGGTCAACAATTCGGACAACAAAGGTAGAATCTACGCATAAGAAAGGGGGTAAGAAGGTAGATGCTCATTCTCAGAAGAATAAGCGCTGGGCGTTAGCCGCTTCCTTCCAAACAGATCCTAGCCGCGCGGAAAACTAGAGACAAGTTGATTCGCTACTTTGCTATTGTTGGGTGCGCTTCTTTATCAGCCGACATTGAGTCCCTGGGTCCCTCATCAGGAGGGGACTACCTCACACAGCGCCAAGTATGTTCTATGCCAGACCTGGAGTAAGACATTGTTTTGAGTGCAGAGCTTCTCTATTGCAATCTCCATTACAACTAGAGGAAACTTGGCTAGCCGGATATCCTGGCAATCGGGAAGTAGAGGTAAGAAGGAGCCCCGATCGTGTAAAACAGTTTTTGAAGTCAGTCAAGGGTACAGATGAACAATATTACTTGTCTCGCGTTCCCAGTGTCAGCGCCCCAATAATCAAAGCTTTGAAACCAAGGGACCTTAAATTCTAAGGCAACCCAGGTCTCTCTGTACCTTCACGATGATGATAGGGATACATTTGATGGGACAATAGATACAAGCCGTACTAGTAGAGATCGCGCGACATATAATGACTACTTTTCGTGCTTAATCTGAGGGGTGATTGCTTTTCAAAAGGAGTTGGAAAGGGACAACAGGAGTTGCCTAGGGTAAATTTTAGGGTGAACTTATTGGCGGGTATGTTCAGTCATTCGTGGCGTGAAGCCCCAGCTGCGGCAGCCGAGTCAAAAAGAAGTGGCAGTCTGAAGAAGAAGGAATAATCGAACAGACATCCCGTCAAAAATTGCTCTCTGCTCCGCACTCCAAACATAGAATCAGCTGCAGCTCCGGGAGGCACTGGCTAGCTGAACGGGCTCCGGGAGGAATCTCAAGGCTCGATATCATTGGAAGTAGGCTATGACGTGGCAAGAGTTCGTCGCATTCCGATCGAACGAAACCGAATACGGAGACCCACGAACTGCTGTGCTCAGACTCCTGCAGGGTCAATCACGGTGATGACCATGAAGTTCTTCCCGAACGTCTCCTGCATACGAAGTGGGCCGAGAACACGAACCCCCTCAGTTCACGGCCCGAACTCTCGACAGCCCTTGAACGGGCTAGCTAGGAGCCACGACTTGTGGAAGCCAGACTTGGATAGGCCAATTCCGGGTCAGGCTTCTCTGGAATGTCCGGCCTAAACATTGTGGTTGGTGGGCGAAAGGATCCACGAAGGGGGCAAATAAAAACAGGTGTTTGCCCAAAAGGCCGGAGTCTGCAGACTAATACCTCGGTAATACCCATTACGACCCAAAAAAACGACCAAGAAACCACCATCTTTCATGATAGCTAGCGCAGACTTGATGAGGTCTCTGCTCACCACAGTCTTCAGCAAATGCCCTTTTCACTAGACAAGATCTGGTGTTCAAGTGCTGCCATGTTTCAACGGCAGAATGGCGTGCCGTGGGGCCATTCCTGGAGATCCTCCGATACTTGGATCATCAGTACGATGAGTCTGGCCTTATTCACCGGTAAGTGGCAAGGCGAAGGGGATGGGATAATCCGTATCCGCCCAACTCTTGCTCATCTGCTGTGAAATGTAGATGAACTGCTGTTTGCCTTCATGATACCGTTGCTACCTACGGTGCTGGAGCATCGAATTGGCTTGGCACCATCTCTCACCCAGAGATACACGTCAATCTTCTTGACTGAAGGCGCCCTTGTGTCTGTGATCTCAAGTCCATTCATTGGCTCAATAGCCGATGCAGTATCTAGTAAAAAGACCCTGTTATTGTCGATCCTTGTACTGGCCTTGATCAGTATCGCTTGTCTCTCACTGACAACCAACTGTACGCACTTCTGATCTTTCTTTTTCTTTTCTTTTCTGTTGGTTTTTGATTGCCATGTCCCAAATGACTAACCAAACATGCAGTGATATGGCTATTTGTTGGTCGCTTCTTCCAATGCCTTGCTAGCAATGCTTTGTGGATCGTAGGTATGGCAACGATGGCCGAAAATATTGGCTCTGAGCACATGGGCAAGATTGCCGGTCTAAGCTCCACGCTTACAGCGGCGGGCACCACTGCCGGACCTGTGGTCGCAGGTCTGTTGTTTGAAGTGGGAGGCTACTGGTGTGCATGGGCAGGCGCGGCCAGCTTTCTCCTCGTCGATATTATCATGCGTCTCATAATGATGGAAAAACCCGTCAAACCCCAGCGCGTGGCCGAAGACCTGGAGCGAGAGCCACTCTTGAATGATGAGACACCTGCTACCAATGGCGAACAGCTCAATCTTTCAACTTCTTCAGAGGTTCGAGGATGGCAATTTTACGCTTGTCTTTTTCGCGAAATGCGTTTCTCCGCAGGGATTTTCTGCTACTTTGTGTTTGCTTTACTGATTGGCTGTTTCGAAAGTACCCTGGCGGTACATGTGCGAACGGCATTCGGTTGGAGAGCTCTTCACGTTGGCTTGCTGTTAGGATTGATTCAGGGACCTGGCATGCTACTGGCAGCCCCCGTAGGTTGGATGAAAGACAAGGTGGGATCGCGGACTCCAACAATGGTGGGGTTTTTCAGTCTGGTACCGTTCATCATACTTTTGGGAGTCCCTGGCGACAGTCGATTCCAGTGGGTTGAAGCGCTTTCGGGGAAGAGCCTATACGTTGTTTGCATGACCTTGATCGGATGCCTGATGTGCCTTCTCAATGGAGTGGGGTCCATGGAAGCAACTGGTAAGTGAGCCACAATTGCAAAAGTAACACAAGCTAACAAGAATACCTGCAGAAACAATTGATGCTCTTGAAGCCCGTGAGCCGGGTAAATTTGGCTCCAATGGAGGTTATTCTCGCGCTATGGCCATGACAAGTATGACGTGGATGGCTGGACTGATGACCGGTCCACTGTTGGCGGAGATTGTGGTGGAAACCTTTGGGTACTTTGAACTGCAGTGTTGTCTAGGTAAGTGGTCCACGAAAATTCGAAAGATATGTTTACTCATTTTACTAGGGGTCATATCCTTTGTAGCAGGCGTTATTGCTTTGGTTTTCTTGGGTTCTCGGTCGAAGGACTCCGAGTAGCACGACGCATCATGCTGATATAAGTCGCTATCTAGAGTTTGTAAGATCATTCGGGCAATTCAAAAGAGTAGTTGGAGCCGGCCTGAACAGCTATAATGTGACAACTTTTGCCTGGAAGCGCCCTGAATTAGATACAATTGTGTACGCCGAATACCTCCATACAATCATCGTGACCACAGCACCCCAAGAAGCAAGTACGACACCAGTCTGGTGCTGAGGCGTCAATACCACAAACAAAACACCACAATGGAAGTGTCCGTTGACGATCAGCTTCCTTGGCTAATTCGTGTCGATAATACTTACTCTCAGACCCCATTATGTATTGATCGAGAGCCTTCCGATTCCCCGCTGCGCTGTCGAGCTTGGGGAGCCAACGGACCCAGGGTGAGCGACGTCGAATTGCTGCCATCACCCGGAAATGCGCAGAGACATCCCTTTTCACCGCTATCATAGCTCCCAGGCCACGCACAGGTTCGTCATCCTCACAAAAAGTCTTTGCGTGGTCACGTACAAAAGTCTTGATCGCTTTTTCGATTTCATCGCTGCGAGCTGGCCAATCTTCTGCTTGGGCCATGTTCAGAATCCCCAAGGCTTCAATCAAAACTGGAAGAGCCACCGGACGACTAGTTAGAGCTCTCCAGAAACGAATACTCTGGAGCATCTGAGACTTTTTATTAAAGCCGAGAGATTTCATCATGGCACCATCGAAGTTGATGGAAGCCCCGCTGACGCATAAGCCCTTCCCAAAGACTACCAAGTCCGGCTTTAGATCACCTTGGGAGTATTCGGGTCTTTGGCATGCCCATGGCGCACCACATCGGATCGCCGTCATGGCTTCATCCACGACGAGGAAGAGCTTTGCTTGATGGCAAGCACGTTGCAGTCGAGTAAAGACTTCAGGGGGGAAACACTGATCCATCTGAAGTGTTAACCAAGTCGACAATCACTGCCATGCAGCCTCGCTGCTTTGCAAGAATGAGCTTCTCTAGGAGGATATCCGGAGACAAGTCTTCTTTTCGAATTACCACCGGGGCTTGGCCCGTCCCGATAATGTTGTATTCCCATTCAGACGACACAAGGGCCTGAAATTATTAGTTGTTAGGCCTCCACGGGCTCAAGAAAAGAGGGACCTACCAAGGGTCCAAATGCCCCACCGTAAATACCCTCCACAACAGCAAATCGGGGTGATGTGACATGTACATCAGTCCACCCCAGCAAGTTCCGAACAAAATCCTGTATTTTCTCCGGCTCTGGATCATCCTTCAACATGGGAGACAGCTCGGGAGATTCAATCACAAGAGGACTGGTCGATGCCGTATTCAGAATTAGGGTGGCCAAGGTCGTAGGGACCAAAACATCACTGACATGAGCGTGCAAAGAGATGGGCCAATACCCCTGGAAGAAATGATGGAATTTCTCCGTGTATTCGTTCAAGATCGCATGATATTGGCGCTCAACCGAGCCAGGATCCTCAGAGTATCGCTTCCAAAGCTCACGAGCCCGACGATCAGCGATGAAGCCGCGCATTGAATAGTTTGATCCCCAGCCACTGTGGAAATCGTGATCCAATGGAGGTCCGCCATGACACGGAAGCAAGCCATTTTCCTTCATGGCGATGGGATCCAGATTATTCCTTTGGAATGGCGTATAGAATAAGGACGAGGATTGAATCGAAGGGCAGGTGAAACTTCAGCAAGAATTGTGACACAATTCGTCAATGGAGGGGGTCTTGGAGCTTTGGAGCTTTTGAGCTTTTTTGCATCTTGTAGAGGTGGACTATGCACACGATGTCCTAGTACAACTCTCGTGCGGCAAGGGGAACCGTAGAGCCGATCCTAGTGGACGAAGATCGTTCATGACCATGAAACAGTACCGAATAGAATACACAATACCGTATATAATACACGATGCATACGAGCCACTGGGCACGAACCACGCACCACTATCATCATGATCAGCTCTAGACTCCTCAGGACCCTTTCGTTTCCCTGCTCTGTCCGGCTGTGTCGATCGCATGCAAGTTTTATTACGATTCAGTTTCAGTTTCTATTTCATAATAGTCCATGTCAGATCGCCAGGACTTCTCCCTCTCATGTAAGATGTAACTTCCCAGGGGGTTTTCGTCATCCAAGGGATCGCCCCCCGCGAAAGCGCCTAGTTCAATCGGCGAGGAGCTGCAGGCCAAGCTCATCACCCCTTTGGCGAATGAAATTGACGAGATTGGGAATGTGTCGAGTAAGACTGAGCTGCACGAGGTGTGGAATTCCCCAAAGTCCCTTTGCAACTGCGAGTGACATAGCATCCCCACGTTTCCCATCAGTCGCCAGGATTCTATTTTTCCCTCCACCGCGACATCCACATTTGACCTCGCCCCGTCATCTTTTCTCTTTTTCTCACATCTCCATTTCGTGAAGGATGGCTCCAAGTCTGGCGGATTTGGATTCCCCCCTTCGGCATAAACGGCCGGGTAGAAATTCACTAGCTGTCACCAAGACTGCTGGTTCATCTGCGGAACCCAGTGAGCTTGACTTGGGCCAGAGTTGGTGCTCACATGGAAGTCTGGTATTGCAATCAACAACGAAGTCAACCTTTCTGAAGGCTGCATGGATTCTCACTCTCCGGTGCTTCCAGCCAGAGGAGTTGATCAGCATAAAGTATGATGAGGGATCGACTCTCGAATCTGGCCCGGGCAAACCGATGGTCTATACGGTGCGAGTGAATCCGGAATGGAGTGTACGCTCGCTGCTGGATGCTATAGAGGCCACAGAAGCCTTCGCAGTGTCGAGTTCCATACAATCCTATGGCGCCCAACTTTCGCAGCTTCCCACTTCCCACCATGTCTGTACTTCAGCACTCAGATATTTGGCCGCGCCAGAAGGAACCCCTGTGCCATCAAACTCAGAAAGTGAAGGCTTTGAGGTAAGCTAGTCTTTGAATCGCTTGCGACATTGCTTGCGGCATTGATGTTCTATCTCTGACGTTCTATCCTTGTTCACTATCCAGCTCATCGTGATTGAGAACGACAAACAAACACTCGCTACCATAACCAAGTCGGAAAGAGGCGCCAAATCTCCCAATTGGAGTATGCTGTGGACCTTTCAAACCGTCCTCCAGCAAATCACAACTCATCCTGGTAGTTACAAACTCGAAGAAATTGACTACTGCACGAAATGGCACTACAATAGAATCCAGAACCTGACGTATACCAGTGGAACTTCGCATTCTAAATGTCTACATGATTTGATTGTGGAAAACTGCCAACGGTACCCAACCAGACTTGCAGTTCGCTCATTCGATGGAGACTTGACCTACCAGGAGTTGGATGATCTCTCTCTCCGACTGGCAATTCATCTCGCTCAATTGGGTGTGCGACCTGAAACATTTGTCTTGAGTAGCTTTCAGAAATCAACATGGGCAATAGTAGCTCGATTGGCCATTTTGCGCGCAGGAGGAGCGTACATCTCGATCCACGCCAGCAATCCACCGGCCTATCTCAATTCGGTGATCCATCGCACCAAGGCCAAGATCATGTTGAGTGATCCTGTCTTCGCCGATCACTTCCGCGATCGTATTGAGACGGTCATCGCCGTCACTCCTGAATCGCTACAAAAGCGTCCGTTGAGAAATAGACGAACATCTATTATTTCCGCTCAGCCTTCTAATGCCTGTACGGTTTTGTTCACCTCTGGGAGCACAGGTAGGCCCAAGGCTATTGTACAAGAGCATCGGTCCTACGCCTCTGCAATCAGAGACTACGCGCGGAATCTGGGGTTGAATCAAGACACAAGGTTTCTGCATTTTGATGATTACGCTTTTGACATCAGTAATCTGGAGTTCCTGGTTCCTCTCATTGTAGGAGGTTGCTGCTGTGTCCCAGGGCCGATGAAGACTGTCCAGGATCTGGCTGACAACATTCAACTGCTCAACGCCAACATTGCCTTCTTAACGCCTACCGTTGCCATAAAAGCAAGCCCCAAAGCTATGAGCAGTCTCAGGATCCTATGTGTCGGTGGAGAACCTCTTCCCAAGGATCTTCTGAGCAATTGGGCTGGAAGTTCGACAACCCTCATCAATCAATTTGGTATGGGTGAAGCAGCGGTCTGTTGTGCCTATAACGATGATGTACATGATCCTAATAGCTCGCCCGCGACTATTGGAAAGCCATCAAGCGGTGCCATTTGGATCGTCGACCCGATGAATCCTGCGAAATTGATGCCTATTGGCGCTGTGGGAGAAATTGTGATCGAAGGACCCCATCTTTCACGGGGCTACCTTGACCAGAATCACCAAGCATCGGACCGCACGAAACCAGCTGGCTTTCTTGAAGAGATACCACCTTGGCTGAGCAAGCTTCATCCCGATCGACGGTCCGCCCGCTTATATCAATCAGGAGACCTGGCACGATGGACCCATGATGGGAAGATCGAGTACATCGGCCGCAAAGACACTATTGTTAAGCTTGATGGATGCCGAATTGATGTGATTGAAGTCGAGCATCTTGCTAGGAGATCTCTAACACCCAAGGATGCCATTGTAGTGGACCTTCTCGGCGTCATTGATGGCAAAGATGACCCTTGTCTAGCGGCGTTTCTATACCTCAGCGACCATCCAAACAATTCCGAGACGGCAGAGATATCTTTGGAAGACGCAAAATATGATCAAATGGCTTCCGAAAAGGTGACGCAGATCAAGAAAATACTTGCAGAGTCCCTCCCGCTCTACATGATCCCGACCTTATTCTTGTTGGCTACCCGGGTGCCGCGGACACCTTCAAAAAAGACTGACCGCAGAATGATTCGAGTCTTGTCGACGAGTTTTTATGCCCAGGAGCGCAAAAGAAGAAGTAGCGCTTCGTCTAGTATTGGAGACGCACAGCTTCTTCCTCCGTGAATGTGTCTGTCTTGGCTGAGAACAATGAACTATGTAATATAAGCATAGTATTTGAAATTAAACGAACAGGAACTTCGACAACTCGGATGCATGTTTCGAAAGAGAAAAGGAAATGGCTGGGAATTCAAGCTTTAAAAAACACATCACGTCACCGTTCGGGGTGTAAATGGGCATTCCCGGTCCCATCTGTAAGATTAGTGCCTGCGTCAAAGTCACCCAGTAAGTCTTAGTACCCAAAATAGGTTATTCAGGATTATCTTATCTAGCAAGCCCTTGCAGATAGCGCCTTTACTGTTACAGGTTTAGATCGTGGCAGCCTCCTCTCCGGTCTCGCTACTCATCCAGCGTTCAATCCTTTCCCCGATTTCTGATCCTAGTTTTCACGACCGCAGTAGTGGATGTACCTCTGTATATTTCAAGTGTGTCTAAGGCCTTTACGGGCATACATGGTCCCCTGGGACTTCAAAGTCAACCATGTTTAGGTTCAGCTCACTCAAACCATTGAGAAGCCCCGCTACATTCCGCCTGATCATCGATGATATCGGAGTGGACGGAATTGTTAAGCGGACGCTCAATGTTCTGGGAAACAATCCAGTATTTGTCTCTATTGACATTGACGGTTCGTGATTCACAGATTCACGGCAAAAAGTGATCCGGGCACTTCCCTGGTGATCATCTGAGTGCAATTCTGGACCCGGGAAGTACATCTACGACTGGAACGCCCGGGACTAGAGACTGGACGGCGTGTGAGCTCAAGCGATACCTCAAGAGCCCTCAAAGGGTTGAACTTGGTTGGCGCCAATCTTGTCGAAGTCAGTCCGCCATTTGACATAAACGCGGAAATGACCTCCGTGGCAGCAGCTGAGTTTATTGTCAATCTTTTGATTGCAATGGCTAAAAAAGAGTCTCCTGATTGTAAAAGACGCGGCAATGGCAAGGATGAGCTATGAGTGAGGATCTCGCACCCGTGAAGTGGAAGCCTTATTGTTGGCTCGGTGTATCTTTGTTATAGAGACCGTTCCCCCCAAAAAAAAACAAAACGAAATTGACACATCAGGATTCTCAGATCAGAAGGCTTTACAATTTCAGTGCACGGTTCACATAATAATCCTCAAAAGATTTCATCTGTCAAAACTGCACTAATCTACATCAGGCTAGACCGTCGGCAGCCCATTGACCCTATTCTCATCGAAAGTGGCCGAGTTGATCTAGAATCACTGCCCAGCAATCATCATGGCGAACCTCTTAGACCTTCCAAATGAGATTGTTCTACTCATCGTCGACTATTTGCAAGCAGGCATTCAGCAAGAGAAAGTCCAAGTGCCGTTCTATAGGCTCGCGGACGCCCACCGTTACGCCATCGACCATGATCCACCACGTATAATTGGATACCTGCGCTCCTTGATACTCCTTTGCCGTCGTTTTCATGCCCTTCTAACGCCAATATTATACCGTGACATCCTGGTCCGCGACTACGCTTTCGGTGGAGCGAGAAGACCGCGAGACCAGCTCAATCAGACCCTCGAGCAGAATCCGGTTCTCGATGAACATATCAATTCGGCGTTCATTTCATGTGCAGGCCCCCATGATGGTGACTCGATCTATCCCCTCGTTCCCTTCTTCTGGTACGCCAGTATGCACTCACTCACCATTCACCAATTCAATGACTGGGTGCCCCTGGAATTTGACGATGATTCGCACGTTGGTACCTCACCTGTGGAATATCTAAGACTCATTGACTGTGGAGCGCAAGAAGAGGCTCTTGCATCTGTATTGAGCTGGCCAGCGGCTTTGAAATACCTTCTTTACGATGTCGAGCAAGGCGAGTGGTTCGGGCATGTCGGGGATGAACCTGCCAAAGAGTGGACGGCTGCTGCTTTTGTGCGCACACTACACTCACAGAAGAGCACACTGGAAGAGATGGTCATGACAAGGCCGCGTCTCGTGCACGAAGGTCTCAGGCAATGGGCCTCGTATCAACCTCAGCGAGTTCACGGCCTTGAAAACCCTTCGGATTTATCATGTCTTTCTCTGCGGATGGGATGATCGTGTCGGGGTTTGGAGAGACTTGCCGCCCAATTTGGAGGTGCTGGAGGTATTCTACGACGATACAGACCTCACGGGATTCCAGAATGAGTATGACCCTGATCGATATGATACCTTTCTTCCTGATTTGATCAGGCATAAGAGGACACATCTTCCGCGTCTACATACGGTGACAATTTATTCACCCGAGAGACCCGATGCTTTTGACGATGAGGGCCAAGATGAACAAGAAGATCTACCGAGCCTCTGGGAGCTGCCACCTTTGCTAGCGTCTGAAACTGAGGCCGCTGGGATAACGTTGAAAGTTTGGCTGGGAGTTGACGATTTGACGAATTGGGACAGCACTGAAATTTTCTGGTCTCTGACAGACTGACTAGTGCATATTCGCACGTAGTATATCAATGACATTTATTGTACTGCAGCTGAACATGTATCGACAAATTGGCTCTTCTTATCATGATAACATTTGGCGCTAGCGCTGATCTACCGACATGGGCAAGAGAGGCTCAATGCTTTCGTACTAGTAATCCGTCTTCTAACAGGAGGCCTCTCTGTCTAGTTTCATCAGGATAGGTCAAAGCGAGCTAGGCTAAACCCTTGCACGCAGATCGAGATCTTTTCTTCTCTAGTCCTTCTGATAGAGCATTTTCCATGTTGAATAGAGGAAAGCAGCAATATGTATGAGCTAGGGTGACGATGGCATCCTACTTCTACCTCAGCCAAGTCGTTAAGTAAATACACCCTGCGTTCTTCCCTTAGTTCTTTCCCAGACGAAAGTCAAGTCAAAACAAGACAGAGGATTTAAATATTTCGGACCATATTCGTCAGACAAAAATCGCGATACGGCATCAGATTGGTGTCAAGAAGCGGAAAAAAAAAACTCTTCGTTCATTCGGAGGTTTCCGTCACAAGACCAGACAACGAGGACAAAATTTTACGTGTCCCATCATCGTTCGTTAATCACGGTACTGAGGGCCATTCACGTGGTTGCCATTGAGGATAATACATGTCATGAGCAATGTATGGACAAAGACATGAAATTGATTCGCTATGTAAAAGATTCCGTCGGATCAACAACAATTAGGGCCTATCCCGGGAACATTTTATCTCGTGAAATTCATGAACACGGGTATACAAACATAAGATCATGTAGCTTAAGAAGACGCATGTGTCCGGCGCCCTAAAATCAATCAGTATGGACTTTCACACATTGTGGATATGGAGTACTCACACTCAGCCAACTCCTCCGCTGACAATTCCCGAATGCTGTTAATATCGGGGACATTACCCTGAACAGCGCCCTTCACCGTGTCGACAGCGCGGCCGAGTATTCCCTTCTTGGAGGCAACGTGCGTCGCAAGCTTGGCCTCCAGCTTGATAACACCAATACGAGGGTCTGAGGGGCCACCATCATGCACGCCATCGCCCATATCACCGATCCATGCCTTCAAGGCCGGTGAGTAGTATTTCTTCACAGATTCTGGGTCTGGGATAACGGTGGCTGTACCGGAGATAGAGGCCCAGGCGCCGGAGACAGGGTCCAAGAAGGACATGTTGACTTCCTTAGGGTGAGCAGTAAGGTCCATAGTCTTTCCCGAAAATAGATTGGTGTGGAAAATAAGATCAATACCGCCGTGCTCCTAAATTTCCCTGAGGTCAGCTTTCTCGGTTCCAAGAAGTAGATCAAGGGTCACGAGTCACAAACCTGGGCGGCTAGGGCCATGCATCGCGAAGCCAGGTATTCTCCCTCTGACTGATGGGTCGTCAACATGCCAAATTTGATCTCTGCGATAAACTTCGCCAGCTCCTCGATCTTCTGGGGAGAGGCGGGTCCTCGAGACTCTTGGACTTGTAGGGGTCCACCGGGTGATTGCCCGTGGCGGTGTTAATGGTTCCTTCGGCAGACATGATTGTGTGTTCTTAATTGAGGGCTCAAAGCTATATGGGAGTTCGAGATGGACACATGAAGGATTAAATAGCAATTCGATGCGGAGTATGCGAACACGTCGATGTGACGTCAGCGATAAGATAATCCGGATTAGAGCTCGACCAGGAATCAGCTGCAGTTCGTCCAGACTGGTCCAGCTCGAGAATATCCGATGCTATGATCGTGTTTCTCCACTGCGGTGTGCACCTCCTGGTTTCGGCGGGTATGGTGTGATCTGATCTGGCCCATCTTACTCCCGTCAAGCTCCCTGCAAATCTGGTTGGTTCATCTGCGCTGTACACTGCAGCGTTGACATCAAACAGGTCACCCCATTAGTCAGAGCACCGTGCAGATGAATGGGATCCCCTCCATTTCTCGGCAGGGGTGGGGGAAGCTCTCCTGGAGTACGGGTGGCGGTGAAAATCCGCTCTCAGCCTGCCCCTCGCATTTCCGAGGTCTTCAACGAAAATGATTTAGTTTGAGAAGGACCGAACTACTTGACCATGAGGATCGATATCGACTGGCGAGCTTCGTTGTGAAGTAAGTCAGTGGGATGTCGCTCTGCTTGTCTCCATCGTACGTCCTGTTGGCGTTGGTTAGGCAATGAAAAGACGAATATAGACCCCGGAAGTTTTACCTCTGCGCCAAACGCCATACAAATTCCATCAAGCAAGCAAAAAAGCAGATTATCAGAGCTGAATTGAACAGAGTCAGCATCGCCAGCCCCGGCCCTAGCAAGGATCAAAACAAGCAACAAACCTTCACGTCCCAATACCCACAACATCTTGGTCACCTTCCTTGGGCCTGAACCCTTGAGCCAAGGTATCAAGACCTTGCGACATGTTTGACCATCCACGACACAGCAACCGCCTGGGGTCTGGCGGCATTCTAGGTGTCGTCGGCGGCGCTCCATGATTCGGCGGATACGCCAGTTGCAAAATTGTTCATCTGTGCGAAAGGAGCACTTTTCCATAGGGCATTCGAGCTTGCGCTCAAAGCGTTCGACGAGCCAGTCTACTTTCAAGTGAACGCCGGTGTAGATCAGGGTATTGAAGTGGAAGCTGGTATGCTTTAGTGCCAGAGCGTCTGGGTAAGAGAGATACGAGGCAATCTGGGTATGAAGCTCTGCCGGTAGGCTCATCAGACCCAGGCGAGGTCTGGACTCTGTAGAATCGGGGATGGTAGTAGGCTGCTCCATTTGGTGTTGTTAATGAGACTCAAGGGGGGGACGTTCCGTCTTATGTTTCTCAAAGTCTGTGCTTTCAGTGGCTGATAAGTTGGTGCCTTAAGCACCTGCCACGTCGACGTTTTCCTTCTCAAATCAAGACTGATGTCTATTCTGAATTTCAGGCAGAAGCAATAGTGACACGGCAAGTCGATTGGCAGCATACCGTTGCGCGATCAGTTGTTGTGAGCAGGGCGAGGATCCGATGATACTATTGAGAGCCCACCTTCACAATATAGGTGCCAAGTGGTAGACTACCTTAATGTCAGGCTCCAACCGTAGGCGACATCTTGAATACATTTTCTGTAGCACAACAATGCAAAACATAAACTCACTTTCTCACTAATCTCACAAGCCTCAGCTCTAATTGTTACGACTTACCAGCCTTGACTCAAAGTCGCTTACTAATATCGGCACGGGTCTATCAACTTTGATCTTCTAATGATAGCATGGAAACCTCCATCCTTCCAACACCACAAACCCACACAAAATGCCTCAACCAAACGCTACCGGTACACCGGCCTCGGACACCGAGTTTCGTAAAACATGGGATCGCGAGGAGTATGCGAAGAAGGCGGCCGACCAAGAAGCGAAGCGCAAAGCGGAAGGCAAAGCCCGATACGAAGCGAAGCTCCTGGGCAAGAAATACCACGCGCCAGTCGACTTTTCCTCCCTGGATGAGACAACCGCCCGTACCAAACGGCTAGATGTCGCGTCGATGGTGGGCAAAACGACGATCGTGCCGGCCGGAGCCTCGATGGGCAAACGAGGCGCTGGAGCCGGATTCTACTGCAAAGACTGTGACCTTACCTTCAAGGACAATATCCAGCTGGTGGAGCACTACAACAGCAAGCAGCATTTGATTGCGACTGGTCAGAGCGGAGAGGTGAAACGAGCTACCGTGGAGGAAGTGCGAATGCGTCTGCGCATGCTGTCACATAGGAAGCGAGTACGGGAGGAAGAGGAACGAAGGGCGTGGCAGCTTGATCTTGGAGAGAGATTGCGGGAGCGAGAGGAAATTGAGGCGAAGGAGCGTGAGGAGAAAAGACGCAAGCGGAATGAGAAGCGTCGGAAGGGCAAGGACGATGTCAAGCAGGAGGACAGCTGGGAAGGAAGACTGGGAATCATTGCGTAATGGAGATTTTGAGGGCGCACAATCTACTTATGATACCCATGGCGTTTCAGAGTCTGGTTTTATTTTCAAATTGTCCATATAAAGGTGTTCTTTCGTGAGGAGCATTGCATTGCCAAAATGTTAACATATTGAATCGTCCCATGACTCCGACAAACTCCTAAACCCCGGCCATGGCCTCCCAAATAATGCTCGCTTAATCCATGCACTCAATGGCCTCGAGGCGTTGCATCGCCCGGCCACCTTCCTTCTCGAACTGGCCGACGAGCCGTTCACATTCTCTCTTCAGGCGCTCCTCGCCGTTCTTTGCATTCCACATAATCCACTCCTCTACCGTCATCTTCTTCTCCGGACTGGTCAAAGTTCCTTTGACGGTCTTGAACATACTGGCCAAGTCGGCATTCTCTTTATCATCGGCCTCCCCGAAGAGAACCTCATCAATGTCCACAGGCGTCCAGGGATGTGCGGATGGCGGAAATCCAGCATTGGCATTGCGCTTCGACGGAGACGGGGTGCGAGCAACCAGTGGGGTTCGGGGCTTGAGCTCCTTGGATGCTGACGGCACAGTTCGACTGGCTGTTGAAGGTCGGGATGAAGGGGGATGGTTTTCAGCATCGGATGACTGGGGTGACATAGATGGCGTACTCATACGAGCCGTCGGAAGTGGTGACACTGCTCTGTTGGATGACTGGGAGACACGCAGAGGCTTTGATCGTTCTTTTCTGCCAGACCCTTGCGATTCAGAGAAGGACTGTGCAAGATGCTCCTCCTGAGGAATGTCACTGAACCGTTTCGTCGTCTTTGCTGGCACTGGTGTCCTTTCGTGGGCGACAGATGGCTCCGGTGAGGGTGCCCGGGGTGCTGCAACCATCTCGACTTGGTCGGGAATGTCATCTGGCGTTCCGAAGACGTCGTCCTCGTCTCGAGATGGCGATCTGAGGTCTCTCTGCTCTTGAACCGGCTCTGGGGGAGGTGTTTCTTCCGTCTTCTTGGTCTTCTTGGTCTTTTTTGCCTTGACATCCTTCTTTGACGACTTCTTCTTGATGACTTTTTCTTTGGGCTCCGTCTCAGGCTCTCGTCGAGACTCAGGTTCCTTGTTTATGATTTCCACCGAGACAAAAGATTCGTGGCGATCAGAATCACGCCGATCCTCGGCTGCAGACTTGATTTCGGACGAGTCTTGGGTAGCCGGAGCCTTTAAAGATTCCTCCTTCTTGCTCTTCTTGCTTCCTTTCTTCCCAGATGCCTTGGCTGGTCTTGGCTTGGGAATTGGTTCTTCGTGTTCCTCTGGCTCCTCCGGGATTGGGTGATCCTCTATTTTACAGACATCCAGCTCCGCAGGAGCATCTGACGGTAAATCTTGGCCAAAATAGGGTTCTTCTGGCTCATGCTGGGGTTCGGGTGACTCGGCAGCAGCCTTGGCTTTCTTGCCACCTTTGTTCTTCTTTGAGACAAGAGGCTTGTCAGGCTCTGGTTCCCGCTCTTCTTCTGCAGGCTCGGGGATATCTGCGTCAAGGCCGGCTTCTAATGCGGCTTCCAACTCTGAGTCCCGAGGCACGCGCGTCTTGGACGTAGATTTAGATGAAACAGACACATCGGAGGTCTTGCGACTCTTGGATGTGCCCTTCTTCTTGCGACCCTTCTTGACAGGTCCCTCTTGAGGTGCTTCGTCCACTAAGCCCGCATCCGCCATGACATGATCGTAATCATAAGCTTGGGAAACGCTGCTGCTGCGCGTTTGTGTCGCACGTCGCTTCGCTGGTGGTTCTGCAGGGGAGGAGACTCATGGAAGTCTTCTTGGACTGCTTCCGGCTCGTCATTACTCACCTCTTCACTGACTCGCTTATTTGCCTTGGTCCCACGCTTGGGCTTCACTGGCTCAGGCTCAGGCTCAGGCTCAGGCTCAGGCTGTACAAGCTCGATCTCGTCGACATCCAGCTGGCTTTCTACCATCACATCCTCCTTCTTGCTCCTAGAGCTCTTGCTTTTGCCCTTAGTTCCCTTTTTGGAAACTTTCGGCTTGACAGTTGCTTGGGACATCACGCTCTGGTCCATTGATTCATCGACATCCATTTCAGGAGCTTCGGATGTGGTAGTGGCAACGGATTGGGTCGAGAGTCGTGATGATGCTTTGGAAGTACGGCCCTTCTTTGATGTGGACCCTTTACCCTTCTTAGCAGGAGGTTGGGCGAAAACGAAGAAAGAACAATCCGAGGAGCGGCGAAAGTGCTCATCACTAGACATATTAGTTCCCTCCGTATCAGGAAACGGCGGGGCCGCGCGACTTACAAAGGATCGTCCTTGGGCTCCCAACCATCGAGCGAGAGCTTGCAGTAGGGACAGCTAGCTAGGTCATTGCTCTCTTCGTTCGGGCAGAAGTACCACCCGCCCTCGACCATCTGATATCCTTGTTAATATGATGCCAGATGAGAAGCTCACTTCATCTTACCTTATCCGATTGACAGACCCATCCGCGTTTGCCATCATGTGGCCAGGCCGCTCCGAATGTCGCGATTCGGGCTTGAGTAATACGATCACTGGTCGGGTCTTCGATAGTAGCCGGGTTCGAGCTTCGCTGCTGAATGTCCATTATGATCGCCCAGCCGCAGTCCGGCGAGTGCTTGAGGTGTTCTGTGATCGGATTGTCCTCCTCCTCCCATCCATCCAATGCGCGATTGCACTGGAAACATGTTGTGTTGTCGGGGTTTGTTTCGTAGGGTTTGTAGTAGAAGCCTGCATGCGCCAGCTAGAGTCTCGATGTCAGTATTCTGTCGCTACAATTCTGGTTGTTCCGGTCTTACCTCGGCCGGTGAAGGGCTATGGTGAGGCCATCCGATCGTTTTGGAGCTTTTCGTGGTCGAGGATCGCCTCTCGGGTTTAAGCACGGTGTCGAAGCTGGCAAGGCGCGCTGCAAATGTATCCATGTCTGCGCTCATTATACAGCTATGCAGGAGGGACTTTCGGTCCCTCAATCTGCGTCAGACACAGGGGCTCCGGTTGTCGTTAGAGGCGAATTTGTCGATGTTGATTGCGGAGTGTTTGGTGTGTTTACTTCCGTTGTTATGCTAAAACGCGCATTCACGTGATAATTTTAGTCAGCCCCGGGCGACGTCAGACCCGCAACAGTTCGGAGCCAGCGTGAGACGAGTTCAATTGAACGTCTCCCCGCCCATTGAATTCTGTAAAGCGCACTCCATGGTGGGGAACGCTGTTATTTTTTGACCGCCTTATTTTGAGCCCCTGTGCTCCGCTCCTTTCCTTCCGCTTCGCAGACATGCGTCCTATTGTACGGTTCAAAACCCGAGACACTCTGGCTGGTTGGATTTCCGTGCTGATAATCGTGTCTCGTTCTAGATGGTTTCCCCTCGAGCCGCTGGCATGAGCGCTCTCTGGCGGTCTAGCGTCCGCTTGTCACCTCTACTGAGGTTGCCCGTGTCGGCTCGCTATGTATCAATTCCATCTTCTCCGAACTCCGACTCTCCTTTCCGCCAATCTACAAAATCCGACCTTTCTACGTCAAATTTACTATACAATGTCCCTTCTGGACGGCCATCTTCCGCGTCTTTCTCGACCTCTCCCTTGCTATCCGAGTCGGATTGGGACCATAACCCGAACCTAGCGATCTCGAACTTCTCCGAGCTCCCATCGAAGGACTTTGGTGTGAATCAGCATATGATTATCAACCAGGAATTCAAAGAAGCTCTTCGGCAGATCCTTTGGCAGTTCCGGGCACCTATCCGATATGCGTTTGCATACGGATCAGGTGTCTTTACGCAGACTGGTTCCGCCGTAGCCGGTTCAACACATCCATCTCCCCCGGCAGCCATCAAGAAAATGCAGCAGGGCTCCGGAAAAATGATTGACTTTATCTTTGGAGTTTCATATACACAACACTGGCATTCATTGAATCTTCACCAACACCGCGACCATTATTCTGGACTTGGATCATTCGGGTCATATTTGGTCTCTCAAGTGCAGGATAAGTTTGGAGCAGGTGTATACTTCAACACACACATCACTGTTAATGGAACCTTGATCAAGTACGGTGTGGTCAATTTGGATACCCTTTGTACCGATCTTACCTCGTGGAACACTTTATATCTCGCGGGTCGGCTGCAAAAGCCGGTCAAAATCCTGCGCGATCACCCAAAGGTCCGCTTGGCGAACCAGATGAACTTGCTATCGGCTTTGCGAGTTGCATTGCTGTTGCTCCCGGAACGATTCAGTGAGTTCGAGCTCTATAGCACTATCGCAGGCATTAGTTACATGGGCGATCTCCGGATGGTGCTTCCAGCGGAAGACCCAGGGAAAGTGCGCAACATTGTTTCCAGCCAGATGGCCCACTTCCGAAGACTCTATGCGCCACTGATTAACAACTTGCCGAACGTCACTTTCAATGACCCTCGCACCAATCAGAGCGATTGGATCGACGATCCGGATGCTATCCTAGCCATGGTGCAAGATATGGACCCAGTGAAGCGAGGAAACATGGTCCGCCGACTTCCAGAAGCCTTCCGTGAGAAATTGTACTTCCAGTATCAATCCCGATACCAGATTCCGCGCCTTGAGTTCGACAAGATGATGTCAGAGCAAAATGACAAGAACGCAGAAATTGTTCGTCGGCCCGAGGGAGGTCCTTTCGAACGTCGGATCGCCGCTGATGACCACCTGCAAGAAGAGGTCTCAACATCAATTATGAAGACTATCCGCTGGCCCAGCACGGTTCAGACCATCAAAGGACCTTTCACTGCGGGTATCAGCAAGAGCTGGAACTATCTAAAGGAAAAGCGAGAGAAGCACAAGAAGGCTCGGGCCCATGATAAGGCTCCAGTTGGCAAGCCTGTCACCAAGGGCACGAAGAAGGAAGAATGAACGCCCTCTTGGAAGTATCCCGGCGCAGACTGCTGTGGCCCGGACAAGGCATATGCCGGCGTTGTAGGGGACATGTATTAAATCCATGAATTTGCTATCCATGCATCGTTAGAAATACATATTTCAGTCACAACAACTTGATCTCCGACTGTCAGTGGATACTGAGACTATTGGCAAGGGAAAGAGTATACACATTCAGCTGAGAGGTCGTTGAGAGCGCCGAGGCCTACTTGTGGGGACTGAACGGACAAGCTAACGAGAGGCTTTACACAAGTCATCAAACCATTCACATAGTCAATTGATTCAAACAGTTGATAATACTTCTCGGCGCATCTTCAACTTGGCGGGTCTGAGTCACGCATTTCTGTTCACTGTGAGTCAACCTTGGAGCGCTTCCGCTTTCTCTCCGACAAATTCCCCGCCACCCCACCAACTTTGCACCTCGACATCATCGTGTTTTAGCCTCCGGCACATAAGTCACAATGGCTTCAAGGACGTCTCCATTCAATTTGGCCACATGTGCCCGTCCTAATATTTTGAAATTGCAGCCCTATCGTTGCGCAAGAGAGTATGTCTTCCATCTCCAATGTGGCTCCGATGTCGCGCTAATTATTTAGTGACTACAAAGACGACGGCACAAACGTGCTTCTCGATGCCAACGAGAATTCTTATGGCCCAGGATTGGCTTTGAACAGTGAAGGCGCATTGCAGACGTCCCAGACTGGCGATGCGACAGGTGCTTCCAAGCCCGAGATTGACTTCCTGGGCTTGAACCGTTACCCCGATCCGTGAGTGACTCTGATCAATCATGAGCTACTAGTGAGATATTCTAACAAGCAAAATTCTATATAGTCACCAGGCCGAGCTTAAGCAGCTCTTCTGCAACCTCCGTAATACCCACCACCATACACCCAAGACCTTGCGACCCGAGAACCTCTTCGTCGGTGTCGGATCAGACGAAGCGATCGATGCCATGCTCCGTTGCTTCTGCGTCCCTGGCAAAGATAAGATCCTAACATGCCCTCCGACCTACGGAATGTACAGTGTGAGCGCACAAGTCAATGACATCGACATCGTCAAGGTGCCGCTGGATGTGAACAACGGCTTCCACCTTCAGCCGGATAAGGTCAACGAGGCGCTGTCCGCAGATCCGTCCATTAAACTCGCATATATCTGCTCGCCGGGTAACCCAACCGCCAATTTGATCCGCAAGGAGGACATTCGCAAAGTGCTGGAGCACCCGACATGGAACGGAGTGGTCATTGTGGACGAGGCATACATCGACTTCGCCGAGGAGGGCTCCAGCCTGGCCGAGTGGGTGAACGAGTGGCCGAACCTGGTCGTGATGCAGACGTTGAGCAAGGCGTTCGGTCTCGCGGGTATCCGTCTGGGTGTCGCCTACAGCAGCCCTGAGATCACCAAGCTGCTAAATAGCCTGAAAGCCCCTTACAACATCTCCAGCCCGACGAGCGCCCTGGCATCGGCGGCATTAACGGGTCCCAACCTGGCCGTCATGCGCCGTCACCGTGAGCAGATCGTCGCCCAGCGCGACCGCCTGCTTCGTGAGCTACCGCAGATCCCCGGTGTAAGCCGGTTCTTAGGAGGGTATGACGCCAACTTCCTACTCGCGCAGATCACCAATGCAGAGGGCCGACCGTGCAATGTCACCGCTCTAGCAGCTTACGAGGCAATGGCGGAGAAGCGCGGCGTGGTGGTCCGATTCCGGGGCAAGGAGCACGGCTGCGAGGGATGTCTGCGCATCACGGTCGGCACAGAGGCAGAGGTGACCAAGTTCCTGCAGGAGCTCCGGACCGTGCTGGCCGGGCTGCACGGCGGGGTCGGCATTCAGTCACTTCGGGACGAGGCGAAACGGGAGGATGCGGCGGCTGCGGTGGTTGGGTGAGCTTGAATCAAGATGCTAGAACATAGATAACATGAATAGAGCACGGGCTTCGGGGGAAAAAACCAGAATCCGAATCAATAGTATTAAATTGGGCTATTCCCTGATGCTTATCGCGGGTAATAATTGGTTGGTCACAAGAGGCATGGAGGTTTATCCCAAAAAAAAAAAAACAGCCTCCACGACTGGGGCTGGGGTTAGCCTCCCAAATTCTGGTCCTAGTCCTGGTGCTCGTACTGATGCTCGTTCAAGTATGACTCGGCAACGGGGGTTATCTCGCCAGGTGGCGAATCCTCAATCCTAGATCCTGGTATGCTCGAGCAAAGTCGACTACGGAGGTTATTATTGGAAGCGCCCGCACGCTCTAGTGTATTGTCTAGACTCCCGGAGCTCAGAGAAATCGTTGAAACTCAATCCCACGTTGTTCAATCAACTCCGTATCTCTAGGCATCACTCCACGCCCAAGTAGAGGACCTCAATTAGCGTACCCAGCTTAGCCCCGGTCCTCGGTACCTAGCTCGTTACGGGAACCTTGCACGTGTGTTGCTCGATTAAAATTGCCTTCGAGTTGTCATTCGTACCCGGGGACTTTAATCACTTACACTTTCCTCGAGAGAAGTTCGAGCCAATCTCAGATACATCAATGCGATTAGCGCATCCTTTCCCACGGATGGGTCAAAGCTTCCGGACTCCGTAGGCCCGCGATAGTTTGGGACGTACACCGACTCAAGGCGGGGACCCTGATACATCGAGTCGAGTTTCCTAGGTGGCGCGGATGCTAAGCCCTAGACATATCTCTCTCTCGCTCTTCCTCTTCCTCTTCCTCTCTCGCTTATGCTTGATTCCAAAGGTTGCTGGCGCTGACTGGGGCCAACTGGTGAGATTAGCGAGAAGCATGTTACTGGCTGCTGTTATCATCATCTCCTGGTCAAGAGGTTTTGCTTTTCCCCGGTCTCTTGCCCTCGTCAAATCTTGATTTCATATTTACCTTTTCGTAGTCCCCGCAGTCTCTGATGTGCCCATGTTCTTTTCCCCCTCCCTGAAGTACTTCAGACCGTTCTCCCCATCGAGACGATCTTAGTTTCCGATCGTCGTGCATCCACTTCCCCACTGTTCTATCTCTCACGTGCGTCATGTAAAGACATCTGCTTCCCTCGAATCGACGATTCAACCACCTTTTTACCCCCTCCCTCTGCGGAGGCGCTGGGATCATGGAGCCGAGAGGCCTCTATTCTCCGAATGTCCCCGACTATGAGTCGCGAACCCAAATTAATCCGACATTGTTGATGAGCTGGTGGGCAACGGGCTTCTCGCTAGCTATCATCGTTGTCCGACTATGTGGTCGCTACGTTCGTCTCGAGCGCTTCTTTCCTGAGGACAAGATGATGGTGCTCAGTATAATTCCACTGTCCATTCGCATGGTCTTGGTGCATTTCGTCTTGATCTACGGTACCAACAATGTTAAAACGGACGGGTTAACGGCCGAGGAGATATCCAAGAGAGAGATCGGCAGCAAGCTGGTGTTGGTGGCTCGGATATTTTACGCCATCTTGTATAACCTCCCTCCCCCTTGTGACCCTTGTGAGCGACCAGCAGCCGCAATACTAACAAGTTGCTTAGTATTTGGATGGCCAAATTAACCGTCTGTGAATTCTTTAAACGAGTCACCGGTATGGTCTGGCGCCGCTCCGTTGCCATCTTCCTCCGCCTCATCCAGTTCTTCCTCATATCTACACTGGTCGCCGTGGTCATCGCGACTCTGGCCGAATGTCAGCCGTTCTCCCACTACTGGCAGGTAGTTCCTGACCCCGGAACTAGCTGTCGCTCTGGGTACGCCAACCTCATTACAATGGGCACCTGCGATGTCATCACCGATCTCCTCCTCGTTGCCTTCCCAGTTCCGATAATCCTCATGGCCCAAATACCAATGAAGCGCAAGCTCGGTCTCGTCGTCCTCTTCTGCCTCTCTCTATTCTTGGTCGCCATCACCTGTTATCGAGTCCCCAATGTAATCAAACACGACGGAGCCCAACCCTACCGCTCTCTCATCGCATCTCTCGAAATACTAGCCGCAACAGCGGTCTCGAACGCCGTCGTGATCGGCTCATTTGTACGCGACCGCGGTGTCAAGAAACTGAAGTATAAACGCACTCAGGGCTCTGCATCCGTCAGCGAAAGCATGGACACTAGTTGTATGCGCCGCAACACCGTCATGCAGCACCAGTGGGGCAGCGACTCAGATCTAGCTGCAGGCGTGGGTATCCGCTTAGATCCCAAGCTCCATTCGTCCGTGACATCGGTTGTGCCTCCCATGGCAGCCCATACTACTCCCCTCGCCGTGGCACGGACAGGATCTATAGACCCGGCATGGTCATTCCACCAGAGCCGCTCTTCCGACGACCGGATATCTGCAGATGACAGCTTCGACATAAAAGTCAGCCCCCACGAATACATTATGACAAACCAGCCTCACGAGGCCCCTGCAACCCCGGCATCTTTATCCCGCCGGGTATCCTTCTTTGATGTGGGCGGGTTGTTGGCACAGGACCAGTCACAGTCCCATACCAACACATCGCGTTCGAATACCACCTCCCCGCCCGCTAACACCGAGAGTCAACGGTTCCGTCGTGGAAGCAGAGCTTTCTTCGAGGATCTTGGTGTTTTCTCACCCCGTTCTCCTACCTCTACCCCGTCACGCCATATATCATCTGCGGCGTCGGGTGATGCTCAGTCTCCTCATACTCTTCCTATATACCGAGCTTCGTCCGACGTCTCAAACAATGTGCCCGTCGACGTGGACGTCGAGTTACAAGACGTTGGAGGGCTTTTATCATCAAGACATAATTTGAGCGTCTGACTGACCCGGACGCAGTCTCTTACATTTAATCATTTTACTTGGGCGGCTTTTCTGACTTGGTTGTTGGGAGTTAAGCTTTTGGATTCGGATATGGATTGGACGATTGTTCATGGGTTGGATTCACGTAAGGCACTGTTTAATTGTCTATTTCTCTTTCTTCCTGGAGTTGCTCATACCCCACAATGTTGTTTTAGTTTTCTGCTTTACATCGGCCAGCATTGGCGTTGGCGGTGTCTCCCTTCGTCTTCAGCATGGAGGTGGACTTTAGCCCTGGAGCTAAGTCGATATTGTATACCACACAACTCGAGACCATGAGACATGTCTACTACAGAGAAGCCATCTTTCAGGCTAATTCTCAAGCTGACTACAACATAATCTACCCGGAGCACGTAATATAGACATCCAAAGCATTTAATCTAGCTTGAATAGCAAACACAACGGAGATTACTATGTAAAATCACAGATCAGAAATCCCCGCCCCGTGGATGTTGGAGAAACTTCGCCTGTACGCCATGCTGCCCATAATACAAGGGGACCGACTTTTTTTTGTGTTCGTTTATGGTGCAAGAAAACTCCGTGTCCAATCCTCGGTGCCCTGATCTGTTGCCCCTGTAGTGCTAGAGCTTCTCTTAAATAGAAATGGAGCAAGACATGGCACCAGCAGGAAACCCGTCAGGAAGGACTATATGCGCAATAGGGTATGGGGTTCTCGATACCTCGCGAAAGAGAGAGAAAATTCCTTCGCAACGGAAGAGAGAGAATTAAAACGATACCGGTCCAGGCCCCCTTAAATGACCCAACGGTAACTGGCATAACGACCAGCTGTCTCGGACTTTCGGATGATTTTGACGACCTGGCCACGGCGCAGACCCAGGTACCGAGCGACAGGGTCGGAGACCTGCATGCGGGGCAGCTGGGACTCCTTCAGGCGGTACCGCTCCAAAAGCTTGCCCTTCTCTTCAGGACTGAGGAGAACGTGCTTGGGCACGAGCTCATGGCGGGTGATGTTGACCAGCAGATCCTGCTCCTGGAAGTGTTCGCAGATGCGACCGGGCACACCGCTCAGCAGGCGCACGGCAGAGGGCGAGATCGGGGTCTGAGTGATGAAGACACCGGTGTGGAAGTTGCTCTCGTCGACGATGTGGTTGAAGGCGCGCACCTGCTTAGTGCCAACGCCGGAGGAGTCGGGGCAGAAGTCGACGTAGATCGTGCCGCAGTCGGGCTGGGGGTTCGGGTTCGATTTGCTCGGCAGAGGAGTGTATTTCATCTTCATGTTCTCAGTGGGGCGGGCTTGGATTTTCATCTTGGTGCGACTGTTGGAAGGGAGGACAATGTTAGTCGAGGACGACACTGACAATGTGGTATACTATCTGCTATTCTTTCATGCAAAATCTTCGGAGCTCGAGGTTCACATACTCAGGGTAGCCCATAGGGTCAGCATATTTGTTACGGAAGTCGTTTAGTGAGAGTTGAAGCTCTTCGTCAGACACCTCGTAACCCTGGTTCCAGCGCAAGCGCCCTGTTAGCTTCCAGTTATCCAATCGCGAAAGGCTCGCCATGATCAAGGTCTTACTCGGTCTGCAAGCATCTCGTAGACAGTCCTCCAAGTGCGCCACAGGCGCGTCATCTCTCGGTCGGATTCTCCGCCATGCTGAGCAATTTCCCCGTCCATTGTGACTTAGGTGGAGGTGAAAGGGCGTACTGGAAAAAAAGTGCAGCGGAGGTCGGAAGATAAGGTGAAGTCAAAAAATCGGCGGGAATATTCTGCCAAGCGACGCCAGGAAAGCGGAGAAACCAACCGAACCATTTTAATTATTCTAATCGTTTCCCCTTTCCCCTCGTTGGCTTTTTCTCTTCCCTTTTTTTCCCTTGGTCTCAATTCTTTACTTCTTTCATTCGTTTCTCTTGCATATATCACAATGGCCAGCCCTGCCCCCGCGGAGCTCAAGGTGAAGCCCTCCAAGCCCGATGAGGAGGCCTACAAGGCCAGCCTCGCCCAGGCTGAGAAGGAGCACACTGCGGCTCAAGAGAAATTGGTACGCAACATTCATATCTCATCTTCGAGAGCGGCACTCGGTTCCAAGTGACATTGGGGTAATTGCGCTTCCTCTCTTCCGGACAGAGGCGTGTTTGCCCTATGTGCCACCTACGTGTCCACTCTCTCATCTCTATATAGGTCAATCGCTAACATGCGCAACAGAACCAAATCAAGGCAAAGCTTGATGTCGCCAAGCCTAACAGCTCGGACTCTCCCTCCGCGAAGAAGCAGCAGGAGCTTCGCGCCGAACTCTCCTCTATCCGTCAGAAGCAATCCGGCTTCAAGTCCTCCCGCTCCAGCACCCAGGAGAAGATCAATGCTCTCGAGTCTACCCTGAAGGCCCGCATTGCGGAGCAGAATGCCTCGCGTGGAAAGATGTCCTTCAAGAATGTTGAGGAGATCGACAAGGAGATTGCCCGCCTCGAGAAACAGGTCGACTCTGGCACTCTGCGCCTGGTGGATGAGCGCAAGGCTTTGTCGGACATCTCCATGATGCGCAAGCAGCGTAAGTCCTTCGCCGGTCTCGACGAGGCCCAGAAGGGTATCAACGATCTTAAGGCTCAGATCGCCGAGCTTCGCAAGACCCTGGACAACCCCGAGGCCAAGGCTCTCTCCGACAAGTACACCGAGATCCAGAAGCAACTCGATGAGATTAAAGCCGAGCAGGATGGTGTCTTCAAGAACTTGAATGCTCTGCGCGACGAGCGCACCAAGCTCCGCAACGAGCAGCAGGCTAAGTACGTCGCCATCAAGGAAATCAAAGACAACTACTACAAGGCCCGCCGTGCCTACAAGGAGCACGAGGACCAGATGTGGCGCATCCGCCGTGACCGCCAGAAGGCCGAGCGTGATGCCTTTGAGCGCGAGAAGCGCAAGAAGATTGCCGACAAGAAGCTCGAGGAGGCTTCCGCCCTTGCCTACACCGACGAGATTTTGACTGCCCAGGGTCTTATCCGCCACTTTGACCCCGCCTATGACTTTGCCTCTCTCGGTCTGGATGACAAGAAGACCGAGGGCAGCAACTTCCGTGCTGGTATCGGCCGTACCGTTGACGACTCTGGTCTCAAGGGTATGAAGGTGGTGAAGAAGGACGACGAAGAGGACTACTTCGTCGGTTCCGCTGGCAAGAAGGGCAAGAAGGGTGGCAAGAAGGGCGCTGCTGCTGCTGAGGGTGGCAAGTTCAACATGAACGTTGGCATCATTGAGGACTTCGCCAAGGTCAAGATTGATCCTCCGATGAACCAGTCTGATGTCCCTGCTGCTGTTGAGAAACTGGCTTCCAAGATTCGGGAGTGGAAGAAGAACCAGGCCAGCAAGACCGAGGAGGTGAGTTTCCGTCAATAAGTATTGGAATATTGATCTCTGTCAGCTACTAATCCACCTCACAGAACATTGCCAAGGCTCGGGAGGAGATCAAGCGCCTTGAGGAGGAGGAGACCAAGATCGCCGAGACCAACGGCGCCACAGACTTGAAGAAGAAGCCCGCTCAGGCCAATGGTGCCCCCACCGCCGACGCCGAGCTCGCCCAGGAGAAGGACGCCGCAAACGATGCCGCCGAGGAGCTGAAGAAGGCCTCCATCGAGGACCAGGCATGATCGCTATATTGGGATTTTCACCTGTGGTTGTCTGTTCCTAATTACCTCCCGTACAGTGTGAAGTCTAGCATTGCGTCTAGCATATTTTCTTTTTTTTTCCGTCTTTCGCTTTTGGCTCATTTTCATTATCCTCCGCGTTGATACATGGACAGCGTTTGCTCTGTTTCCAAAAGCCAGAATTTTGAGATGTTGTTTCGATGGGCTATTCCCATAGATGTTTGTAGCCTTTACGGAATGATCATCATCCTTTCTCCAAGGCAGATGACTCAGCTGCCGAGCCCCCCGGACCAAGGAACTGCGCCACGCTCCACCGTACTGCAACGGGCATCCGCGCGTCTCTACAAAAATCCGGAAGCGTTCTTGGCCTCGAAAATTCTTATATTCGACTTTCTCACTGTGCAATTCTTTCCCCCCCAGGTTTCTTCCTCCAACGAGGTATCTCTTTAATTCACAGCCCGCATTCTTCCCACATTCTATACCTTACCCCAGATCGACAACTCTAAAGCGGATCCATACCCGTCCAACACCGGAAAAATGTCCAACAAGCCCGTACGCCTCTCTCACCCCCACACTTCTCTTCCTATGCTCTTCTCTTCCTATGCTTTGAGCCAGTGCATGCTAATGTATATTCTAGACCAGCCCTCCCCCCCTCCTACCACCCAGATCCGGCTACGCAAGCTCCCCGCAGCCTCAAGGCCAGGGCGCCGCAAACGATTACTACGGAGGCGGAGGCGGCCAGGGTTATTACCCCCAGCAAGGATATCCTCCACAGCAGGGATACCCTCCACAGCAAGGATACCCTCCACAGCAAGGATACCCTCCACAGCAAGGATACCCTCCACAGCAAAGATATCCCCAACCGGGCTATCCTCCGCAACAGGGCTACTACGGACAGCCCAACCAGATGTACTACCCTCCGCAGCAGGGATATCCTCCCCAGGGCCACTTCCAAGGCGACCCTGCTGCGTCTGGCGCCGGCGGCCTCTGTGCTGGTATTATGGCTGCGCTCGCATGCTGCTGCTGCTTGGATCTCCTCTTCTGAGAAGGCTTCGGAAAATTGTCAGGACCAAGCAAATTCTTGCTTACGCCGAGGCGCTGTGATGCACCTCGGACCTTGACTATGCGACAAATGACAAGATCTCTAATTGTGGGGTTGGTGCATTGAACGAACCCTGGACTTGATGTATGATATGGTCTTCTTTCGTCGACTGGCGTTTCAGTGTACTTGGAATGGGGTTCCTCTGTGAGTTTAGTAGCTTTCTTTCAAGGCCGGGGGGAAAGGATAGGTGGTGATTACTCCTCGCTAGTAACTATTTCTATTTTTTTTTTTCGGATGTTTATGATCGGCACAAAAACAAGACCTGGCGTTGAGACCTGGCTTTGAGGACATCGTCCTGAATTGGTGTACTTTTCTGATATGTGTAATTGTACATTTCACTCGTTCTTTTTCATTTGAATTGTATTTGTTACTTTGAAATTCGAAATCATCATCGGTATCATGAATACAACGCTGTAAATCTTGAAGTTGACCTCGTATAGTGCAATATTATAGAAATCATGTATGTAAAAGAAACGCAAAGCATAACACATTAGGGTATCGCAGATGCAACAAAAAAAAAGGAGACTTTCGACCATAAACAAGAACAAGCCAACATACTTTCAAGCTAGAACACCTATCAGTAGTCCAGGCTACCATGCGAGCTCCCACCGCCATATTCAAGAGGATCAACTCTTCTCACACCGGATCGATAACTCTTCGGTCGTCGCGGCGGTGACATGGTCGATAACCCAGACGATTCCTCTTCAATCACCTCGACGAAATCCCGGGAATCATGTGTCGTCTCCGTCCCAGTCATGGACTCCTCAACAATGACACGATCTGGAGCACGGCGACGACGGTACTCATCGCGCCGATCCCGCTCTTCTACCACTTCGATTATGTCGCTGCGTCGCGAAGATCCCCCGCGCCGACTGCGCACGACGACCTCTTCTTCGTCGGTGATCGAGGAGGCGCTGCCACGCGCTAAGCCGCCTGGATTCAAGGCTAGGAAGGTCAAGTATAGAATGAGGCAGACGCCGCCGACGGTGCCGAGGACGATGCCTGCGACTGTGCCTGGTGCGGGGCCGGAGTATAGGCGACCGTATGTTGCCGGGATGGAGATGGTTGTGTAGCGTTTTTGGAGGTTGGAGGTGAGGATTCGGTCGTCGAAGCCGAATGGGGACGTTGCGACTTTTGTTGCGTCGAGGTCTGCTACTGGTAGTGGGAGGCCGTTCATGGTGTCGGTGATGTTGTCTGAAGTGGAACGGGGCAGGAGGTATATCGTGATGAGAAATTTAAAGATGGACTGTGGGTGCTCGCGTGGAGCGGTGTAGGGGAGATGACATGGACTTGGGGAGACTTTGAGAGTTGAAAGTGAGATAGAAAAGGAAAGAAAAAAAAAAAAAGGCCAGGGCTGGGAGGGGAAGAGGCCGGGGGAGGGGGCTGGGGATGTACCTGTGGAGCCGCGTTGACGCCTGAGATGATCATGGCTTTATTCAAGATCTATCAAGTGTGATGTCAGGAATATCTTCGCTTTGAAGAGAGGTGGATCTAGTTCAAATAGATTGGCTTTGTTTACTTCATCGCCCGATCCAACCGCTATCTCGGTACCGCCGGCATAGGTGTCAAGACATCGAGGTCAACACCTAGGTTTCAAGTAGGCCTTAGCTTAGGCAATTACCAAGTCTCACTTCGCTTTTGATGGTCCCTTCGCTATCTCAGTATCCGTACCAAATAATCGAACATCTATCGTCGCGATCTTGATATCTTGGGTGGATATATTCGCGTATCGTATCGCGGAGTTGAGCCCCACTGATAACGATCGGGCTATGTGGTAATTTGGCCAAGCTTACAGTTCAAGCCTTTTTTTGAATTATTTCCCTCTCCGGGATGTACAAGGTCAAGGCTCCGCATTCCCAGCCAAGGGCCCCGGTCTCACAACTCTCGGAGTATATGAACTCTGCCGAAACATGAAGCTATCATCTCCGTGATCCAATTACAGACATACACATTGATTGAAGACCTCGATATTATCTGTGCTGCTTCTGGTGTAAACCTTGCTGTTCAGTTACTTTCTACTAGAGGGTCGTTCTCATAGGTTGTGCTTAGAGAGACAGACCCTACCCAGACTAGAGCCGATAGGTGCGAGAAATTGAAAACGGAGGTAACTCACGAGGTGACAGAGAATATAGCACTTCCAACCTCACCGGATGCTTCAAATGGATGATACTTTAATTGAGAGTGAACGACTTTGCCTGAGGCCGCAGGTTGAGTGATTCTATGCTTGCTTATGTCAGCAGAACCAAAAAAAAAACAGCAAAGGCAAGCGGGGAAGTGGGTCCGGGTGGGTCTCAGTGGCACCTTCCTCAACTATACCCGTTTGAAGCTCCCGGGCAAGGACAACTCTTCGTGAAAAGGGTAATATGCTACTTCCGGGTGTGAGTGGCGTAGTTGGAAATCCAATTACTGCATTAAAGCGAGTGCCCGGGTTCGACTCCATCGTGGTCGGAAGGAAATCCCTGCATTTCATAGTCTCTGGTCCTGGCCCCGCCAGAGTTGAAGTTTCTTTTTGTGTGTATTCAGTCAAATCGAGAGATCTACTGGCCCTTTTCAGATACAGTACACGCAAAGTGGAGCTCTCAGGGTCCACTACTTTGGGTGGAGCCGAGTGGAGTGAAGTGTGTGTTAAACGTGAGGTTATTCTCAAGGTGTCCGGGACTTGCCATTTGGACCATCCCTCCATTTCCCAGTAGTGTTCAGGGTGTTCTGGAACTCTTTTAAAAAATCTTTATCACGTCATTGACTCTTTTTTCATTCCGAGGTCTAGGTTTGAGGTTTTCTAAGCAAACCTCAAAATACAAGTAGGACTAAACATACTATTTCACGATGTCAACAAGCCTCGACAGTAATCATTTCCCCGGAAAAGAGCCAGCTACTGCAGCTCAGTGAGACTGTGATAACTCTCACGTGCCGTTAGAGTCCAATTGAGCTGAAACAAGGCGAGTCGACTCAGATTGAATTGTGTCGCTGCTTCCGATCCTTCCCTCACTCTTCTACGCGGTCCCTCACACGACTTCTCTTCGCACACACCATCACCTCCCTCACATCGTTACTATTTCGTTACTCTATCGCACCCATATCTCTTACAGTCAGTATGCCCCCTGCAGAAGCCCACAAGAAGGGTTCCTCCATGAAAGAGACCTCAGCAAAGAGGACCCCGACCAAGGGAACTCCCAAAAAGATAAAAGCCCGGTCTAAGGTCACTGTCGCCGATCTGTCCAGCAAGAGCACTGAAGCCATCACCTTCCTCTGGGCTGCTCTACAGCATGAGCTCGGAAAAACCGGCAGTGCCGTGAGTTCCTCCCGAAAGACGATTTGTCCGCTGCGGCACGTTCTGAAGTGGGACTTTCACATGGCCTATTCTGACAGCTCCCGATTACAGGTGGATTACCAAGCCGTCGGTGATGCTCTTGGTATCACTAAATGCGCAGCAACCTTCCGTTACTATCGCATTCGTGATGCCTTTGCCAACGACGCCGAGAACGCCAATAGACCTGAGCAGGAGAGTCCGCAGGAGAGCCCGCAGGACCTTCCCTCCAAGAGATCGCGCGCAAGGGCTTTCAAGGGTAAACAGAACGATGGCGGCGATGGAGACACCGAGGTCACTGAAGTCAAGTTGAATTCCGATACAGTTATCAAGAATGAGAAGTCCGACATCAAAACCGAGAAGGAGGAAGCAATAGAGATAGTCACGGATGAAGACATCGAGCCTGATGCTGATAATCGCTACGTCAAGATGGAGGAAGACGTTGACTTCGAAGCCTAGGTGGATTTCGATGCACATGCCTAGGGGAAATATGAGAGTGTATGTCATGTAGGGTCCAGTAGGTCCATTGTGGCCTGTTGCCTGCCAACCTTCATGAGAAGAATCAATGTTACCCTTTACGAGCATGAATATGATGATATTCTGAACACTGGAACATCAATCACTTTTGGGCATTGACGTGTTGAAAGGCAAATCGAAGCACGGCCCAGCATTATCTCGACTAGAAGTAACCTTCTCCAATCCCGGTCGAGACATCTCGCGTCGGATCATGTTTGCCAGCTCATCTTGGCTCTCAATGGCAGTGACGGTCGCGCGTCGCCGCATCAAAGCCCCGGGCTCTTGCTCCATGTCCGATCCTTGACTTGTAGGGGTCTCCTGGCTCATTGCCTCTCTTCTCAACGAATCTCCAGTCTGCTCTGCAATGGCCGCGGAAATACGATCCTGGAGCGATTTTTCTTCGACTTCTTGCTTCAGCACTGCGTAGTGAGACCGGCGATAGACTCCGATCGAGCTAAGTATCAAGCCCAGAATCTCGTAAACGAACAAGACCGGCAGAGCGTAGTATAGTTGAGGGTTGCAGCCTCGTGACCAGATGTCAATCAAGATGTTGAAGACACTATGCGCCGGCAAGGCATAGCCCCATTTGAAGAAACCTGGTGACAGTTCAAAGGGCAGTAAAATAGATGTTACATTCAACACAATCCAGCTGATCAGAGCCATAGGCACGAAAGGGAGGCGAGATCCAGATCGTGAAGACGTCGAGAACAAGAAAATTCAGATGCGCAAAAAGCCACAGGGCCATCCAGCTAATCATATATTGTGAGCCACCGACATTCCAGCCGGATCGAAATGCCCATATTGCACCAGTCACACACAGCGAGCCCACGAACGTATACACGCCGGAGATGATCTGGCGTACGATCGCAACTCGGTGAGGTGCGATGGTTGTGTAGAGTTTGAATTGTAGGTAGAGACCGTTGACATATCCCAAGTAGAAGAACTCTTGAATCAGAATCAGAATGATGCATAGAGTGTTGTAGATCAATCGAGAGCCCTGCGTCGTTGGTTGGAAATCGACCGAAGTCAATGTCCATGGGTTGGAATATGCAGATACGGCAGCAGAGTCGGAGCTGTTCAGATTCTTGATGGTCTGCGACGCGGTGTCTTGGGAACACTACTCGTGCAGCTTCCGACAGCTCCTTCATGCTTTGGTATACAACAGAGTCAACCACGGTTGGATAGCGCGCTTCATTCCACACCACGGTCAAAACATCAGACTTGTTGTAGGAAGACGCGCCTGATCCACCAGCCAACGCGGCAGTTAAGCGATTTGAGGCATTGGCCGTCGTGTAGAGCCCACCCCAAAACTTAATGTCGCAAACCGCATTTTCGACAGTGCGTGGATCGGGATATGTTTGTGAAGACCGCTCGAAGAGGGTCGGAAACCCCGGTCCCTTCAGCTGCTGATACGCATCTCGGACGGCGGTGCCGATCGCCCCACCATCGTAATCAACAAACAATATGTCAATGTTATGAATGTGCGTGCTCTGCTGGAATAGCGACGCGAACAGGTAACAAAACAGTCCCAGGAATAACAATTGGAGCAGAAGAAAGTTAATAGCCGCCGCTTTCAACAGGGCCAGGCGAAGGCGCCGAACTGAAGGGTCATGAATGCTGGGCCGAGGCTGTCGCGCCTTTGGATAGAACGCCATCTGGTCGGTGATCGAAGCTTTCAAGGCCCATGAAGCAGTTGGAGGGCGATGAGGCGCAAAGAGTTGCGAATGGTGAGTTTCTTGTCAAAAAGGATTCCCACTTGGAATACGAGATCCGCCACTGTAAGTGAATCCGCCTTGAGGTGTCAGCTCAATCGGGCTGCATTGTCCTGGTATGAGATTGGGAAAACAGTGCGTGTCAATTATTGCACTTCTCTTCTTTTTTCTTTTTTTTTCCTCTGAAGTCTGTAAGTCATGGGCTCGGAAGGTCTGGGAGTTCCTTTCCACGGTTCTCATCATTCTTGCATAGCGGTTATGAGTGGTGGACCACGAATGCTAGAGTCTTGACGTAAAGGACGAAACACGTGGAAGAGACCATTTTAGATCAACACCGCGCTGGTTGTTTATCACTAGAATTCCAATTTCATTGATTCTGATTCAATTCAGGTCCCGTTTCCACGCTTGGGGGCGCATCAGCACGGGTCGGTACTATATTTGGACCTAGCACCATGCGAGCATGCACGTCAGCTATCTATGCTATTGGCGTTGTCTATCGACTTGATCGATTAGGGTTGCAAAATATTTGCAAGGCACGTATTGGTATTCATGGGGCAAAGGTTTTAATATCTGGAGACTCTCAGTAAGGGAACACAGTGTGAGCTCTAGATCGTCTCCTTTCGGCTAGGCGACGAGATCCACCTCCTTTGCACTTTGAGAGCTCTGAACAATAAAGTCCCAATTAATACACGCCACTGCGAGGCTTGTACTTGGGCTGATCCACCGACTGAATTCCACTCAATGCAGTGAGCACAGGAGTGGTACTGACCAACTCCAGGCTGTCCAGCTTAGCACCTTCATCTCCCTGGGCCCACAGGCTCAATGCAAGCCAGTTGGTACCTTGGTAGTTCAGAATACCCTCAGGGACTGGATAGCTCAATTGAGGGCCAATGTTGTTGACGTACTTGCCATACTGGTATCCATTCACGTACAATTGGGCACGGTAGGTCGGGGAGGAGAAGTAGTGTTCGCGAATTCGAAGTACAGTGGCACGTCCCAGCCCTTGGGCAGATTCAAATCAAAGCTGGTGCTATAGAAGCGGATACCAGCCTTGGACAGACCGTCGAGTGGGCTGCTCGATTCCCATTTCTGGGTGGGGGGGTTGCGGCTGGTGGAATCCTTGACGTTCGGCGTAGAGACCACCCTCATTGAGAGGACCACGCACCTTGTCCCGGTAGTCCTCCCCGCCAAGTTACCGGTCAACTTCCAGGTGATCGCGTTGGCGGAATGTCCAGAGAGCTCATAGTTGAGGATACCGCGGGGGTCCTTCATCTCATCGGAGCCGACGGTCCAATCTTCGTCCAGGCCCATATTATCAACAACCACTGTGATGACATAGGACTTTCCACTTTTCAAATTTGGCAAGGTATACGTTGCGTTGTAGCTGCTGGCCACGCTGGTTCCGGCCCACGAGCCCACATGGGTCTCGTTGATCCACACCGAGCTGCCAAAGGCTGTGCCGCCCTGGGTTTCCAGGAAGAAAGTCTTCTCATTGCCATTGGCGACGAAGTGCCCACGGTAAATCAGAGTTCCGGTGTGGAATCCATAGTCAGACGAATACAACGACGTGGGGGTCTTCAATGGACTTCCGATATTGTTGTTGGTAGATTTGTGGCTGGCCACGGTCCAATGGGAGTCATCATACGAGTTCTGGATTTCCGGGAGAGTATCCATAGATTTCCACTTCAGATCCTTCAAGGAAGGAAGGTTAATCTTTGGTGCGGTGTACTCGACGTTAGTTGACCAGATGCCGTTCTTGTCAACCTTGACAGAGACCTTGTTACCGTTGATGACCAAGTTTTTGGCCTTGGAAGGAGCACCGATAACCTCAACTGAAGTCGTGGCGTTGAAATCAGCTGTGAGGTGAAGGTCGCTTCCCTTCATGTATGCAGTACGTACAAGATACCCGGCCTTGACGATGATTGACGAGGCAGTGTTCTCATCAGATGCAAATCCGGGGGTTGCGCCAGAGGCTGGCACCTGAGGCACCCAGTAGTTGTAGGCAGAATTACGATCTGGATGTTATCAGGGTCATGTTTTCAGATGACGCTTCCTCTCCTTTAAAGACTTACCGAGCAAAAGGACCTTCAGGTTGCCAACCTTGACAATGCGACGAGTGGATGAAACATCCCAGCCGATGACAACAGCACTACCCTTCTGCTTGAACGTGACGCTGGAAGATGAACCCTCGATAACAGAGACACTAGACTTGGAGGAGACAGCAAGCTCATGATGCTCATTAGGGCCACCATAGACAACGAGGACTTTCTCATCTCCAAAGTCCTTCCAGGTGAAGACCTCAGCGGTCGAGTAAAGAATTTTAGTACCAGCCACGTCGTAATCTACAACATGGATCTTCGAATCACGGCCACTGAGGGTCAGGCTTCCGCCTAGCTGAGGAATCGTCAAGCTACCGGCACTGGTAGGTAGTGTAAGCTTGTAGCTGACGGATTCCTGGCTGGAGTAATCAGTGTGCCTGATCACAAAGAACGACGGGGCCGAGCTATTGCTACCCAGCAAGGGCGTCACAGTCAAATCGGCAGTGCTGGCATAAGTCCCTGTAGTCGCGTTTCCGGGACTTGCCACCAAATAGGAAGGCGAGACCTTGGCAAAGTTTCCAAGCAGCTTGAGTTCGCTGTACTTCTCGCGGGTAATGTTACGAGATTCAGTGATTGCCGAACCATAGTCGTAGGATGTGTATCCACCCGGATGACCCAGGTTACCCCAGTTAGTACCACCGAAGATCTATGCATTATTAGCTTTAATTGATTCAGATCAAGCAGGTTAACTCGCCATATATAGGTTCATAAAAGCAACACCGAAGCTGAAGTCATTCTTGTAGAAGACCCGTTCAAATTCGTTGTTCAGAAGCGCGGCGCAAGACGCGAAACTGCTTCCTCCCCAAGGATCGAAGGCCCCGCCTTGGAACTGCAATTCTTTAGATGATTTTCATGATTTCATTACATTTATCGTAGCTGACCTCAACAATTGAATATGGGGTTGACGGGCTCTGCTCCAAATGAAGCTGATGGAAATTGGTGGGAAGGTCACCGCTGGGCCAGGTCGAGGGGTTGGCGCAATCAAAGCCTAGAGGATAGCTGTCATGGCCGTAGATATCGACGGCTCCTTTGCCAGAGCCGGGGACATTGTGACCAGAGGGAGAGGCATCATTGCTAATCAAAGGAACCACAATACCAGCGTTGCGGGCTTGGTCCTCGACATACTGCATATAGGCGGCATCGGGGAAGCCTTCGTATCCACAACAAGCACCAGTGTACTCATTCTCTGGCTGGAAAAGGATAACAGGTCCACCATTGGTGATCTGGGCCTTGGCAATGGTCGAAGATACATGGGACATGTAGCTATGAAGGATGTCAGATTTCATAAACTCCAAGATTTGTCCGTGCCTTTGAACACCGACTTATCAGTTGCTTTCAAGTATTCCGGGTCACTAGTTCGTAACGTGGCATTGATGCGCTGCAACCACCCTGGGAAGCCACCTCCAGAAACCTCGGCATTAATATAAGGCCCAGGACGAGCCAGTAGGTAAATTCCAGCTTCCTTGGCCGCGTCAAAGAATGGTTCGAGGTCAAAAATGCCTTCAGCGCGGTACTCGCCCGGCTTTCCCTCAAGAAGCGCCCAATCGACATAGAAGGATACGCAGTTGAACCCAAGGGCCTTGACCTTCTGGAAGACGTCGATATAGAGCGTCGAAACAGGCAATCTACAACAATTCTCATTAGACACGATCTTTGTTGTTCAATTGAGTAGCCTAGGCACCTGAACGGATGGAACTCTCCGCTAAATAGCATGATTCTCTCGCCATTGATGAACATCGAGTGCTCATCCCAAGTCACCTAGTCCGCGTCAGTACCAGTCAGTCCTAAGCAATGGGTGATCCACCTACATATTTCTGTAACAAAGCCCGCTTCGCAGCATCTGGATGCTCGCGGATAGTGAATCTATCCAATTTGTGACCCAAAGCAGCACCCGCGGCCTGAGCAGCCAAACAGGCCACAGCCCACGTAGACAAGAGCTTCATGTTGCGCCTAGTCTTGGAAACAATAGGACTGCAGCTTGAGAAAGCACATTCCAGGGATCGGCGCCCTTTCATATACAGTCGCATCCGAGAAGATCGACAAACGAATCAAACAAGGACTACCTGGCATGCCGTATACTCCGAGGCGCAATACCGGAGGCGCGCCACTTTTCCCAAGTTTTGCAGCCTTGACCTCCCCTATGTTCCGTCATCTCGTCATAGCTAGGGGCACCGGAGCGGGGGACCTCCAACTTGAGGTGCTGCCGATACTCCACTCGTGCATGGATGTCGCATAGCAGAGCAAGGTCATCGCAAGGCTAATGGAGGTACTGACTGAATCAGGGAAAGCGGAGTGATGATCCAGGGCTATGCGGGGTTCCCACCGCAATTTTTCCGCTTATCGTATAGTCGCTCTTTGGGTTTGTCCGAGTAGATGCTTGAAACGGTGCAATCAAGTCGCTGATGCCCCTGAGGCAGTTGCTGATCGGCCCTGGGCTTTCAATTTTGCCAACTCTGCTTAGATACCTTAGTATGCAGGGTCTCTTGCGCAAACATCCGGAATAATTTTCTGCCACGATCGTCTTTGAAACATATGCATTGACTGGTGTTCCAGGACAGACGAGTTTTTTGTAGTTTGTAATTCCATCATCTCTAGCTTAATCTAAAGCAAAATTAAGCCTGCGGGGAAACGGGTCCAGAATTCAGCCGACAACAACAACCGATAATTCTCCGAAGAAATCTTACGATGCAGATCGTGAAGGGCTCGGTCAATCTCCGATGTGACCCCGAGATCCTACGCTGGAGTATCTGAGGTCACTCAAGCTTTGGTATACTGATGAAAAAGGGCTACAAAAGAAATGGTCTAGTATAGGCCTCCGCGACTCTTTACATCAAAGGTATTCAAAGCCAATCAGAGGGATTCCTGGAAAAACGAACATCAAGAGGTTTAGAAAGAGGTCTAGAGAGTTGCCCAGAATGATGTTGGAAAAGAGTAGAAGAATCAAGTGAAGAGGCGCATTTTTAGATTATCCTGTCGGGAGGGCTGTAGTGCAGCCCGTATTCTCAAAGCGGTAAATTTCCATTGCTTTTGGTACATTCCGTGAGCGTACGCTCACGGGAATTAAAAAAAATCATGAATGTAAAGTATCGATCATCGCTATATTTCCAAGTTCTTAGACCGTGGTGTTGAAGCGGTCCTCTTCCTCCCCGTCTTTCGTATATGTCTCGCGTAATTCCATCTGCTCCTGCTCATCTTGGCCGACTTGGGCGTTCTCGTGCTTCAACGCAACATCCTCAGCATCAGCGGTGCTTTCGACAACAGGAACAGGACGCTGGTTCTTGTCTGTTTTGTTGATGAGCGGGGTATCGTCGTTGAAAATGCGCAGCAACATGGCACGGCGCTCCTCCTTGGGAAGCATGAGATTCAGGGAGTACATCGAGCGCCAGAGAGGCAGCACCATTCGCTCGCTATAAAGTGGGTTAGAAATTGTATCATTGCGTAAAGGTTTGGGATAAAAGACATACGTGAGACCACCAGCCTTTCCGTTGGGCTCAATGTGCAAGATGCTACAGCCCATGGGAATATCCTTGACACGCTCGCCAATCTCGCCCAGCTTCTTCCAGCCGTCATTATCAATTCTGGGGAACATCTCCACAAGGAGTGTGCGCAGAGTCTCGCGCTCGGTAAGAACCACGGCGCGGGCAGGGCCCAGGAAGGGTGAGATGATCTTCAGACCATCGGTCTGGATGCGCCAGCGGCAGACATTCTCCCGCTGAGCGTCCTGCTTCACAAACATCTTCACACCACAGTGAACAAACTTCATGCCGCCTCCCTCATTCATAGTAAGAATGTCGCGGGCAAGAGCACTGGTATAGTAGACAGTTCTTGTCGGGGTGCCCTCGGCGTTGCGTACCATGAAACGGTCCTTGGGGAAACGCTCCGACACCTCGTAGAACTTGTAGATAGGCTCGAGCTCTGGGTGATTGCCATCAAGGTACTTGAACGGCTCCTCCTGGACGATCTTGTTCTTCTTCTTGGGGAACTCAGAGCCCGAAACGGGCTGCGAAGGAGTCGCAGTTGTGACAGGGGTGCTATCACTTGGAGTGTCAAAGTGCTCCGTTGCCACTGATGGCGCAGGTTGGTGGACCGGACGGTCACCAATCAGCACTTCACTACCATTGTCAAGCTTGGTTCGCTTGGCGGGAAGCTCATCCTCCAGGTCATCAGCATCACGCTTGGTAGCCTCGGTAGCATCAAGAGTAGCCGAGTATGGAAGCTGGTGAGCGGCTTCAGCGACAGAGGCGTTCTTCGCGATTTCGGCGTCGGCCTCAGCGTCGGGAACGACAAGATCGTCCAAGGTCTCCAGCTTCTGGTAAGGCTCTCCATTGCTGTTCTTGCGAGCATCCAGCTCTGAGGCAAGAGCCGCAACCGAGGCCTTCGGGACAGTGTTGGTGGTGTCCTCCGGCTTGGCGCGGATCTCGGAAGTTTTCTCAATGACAGTGATAAAGAAACCGCCAGTATCCTGCATGTGGGGATAGACACGCATGCAGCGCTCGAGTGGGAGATCGGCATGCTCTCCGGTTTGCGGGAACATGCCCTCGGAGAATCTGGCGAGACCGGTGGTTCCCTCCTTCTCAATGTGCTCTTGGACCTCCTTCCAGCTGTCCCACATACGACCTTCACGGTCCATCACCTTCCAGTTGCGAAGTCCAGGAGCCCGCTTGAGGCCGGGCAGCTCTTGGCTGCAGTCAATGATCTTAACATTGGCAGAGCCACCACAGCGAGCAATCGCAGCAGCGACAACAGCCTCGTTCTCAACAGGGTTAATACTGCAAGTAGAGTAGACTACACGTCCACCAACCTTCAGCATCTGAAGCGCGCGGACCAAGATACGGGCCTGGGTGACGTGAAGACCAATAGCATTAGCAGGGTTCCAGTCCTTCCAGACACCATAATTCTTGCGAGCAGTTCCATCACCGGAGCAAGGAACATCGGCAAGAATTCGGTCAAATTTCAAGTATCGGTTCTTCTTGCCATCAAGAGAAGGAAGCTTGATCGACGGGTACATGGTGGCATCGTGGTTGGTAACAATCAGATTGGGCGAGGCGAGACGCTTCATCTGGTGAATCAACATGTGAGCACGCTTGTAGTCGCTGTCGTTGGCAATCAAAAGACCAGTGGTGCGGCCGTCGTCGTTAAGACCCTTCAGGGCCCAAGGGCTCGGGTCCGGCAGTGCCTTCCTTGATCTTCTTAGCAGCATCCATAATGGAGTCTTCCTCGCCAGCATGGATCAATTCCATCAGCTGAGCAGACTTGCTTCCAGGTGCAGCGCACATGTCCAGAACAGTCATTCCGGGGCGAACATCGATAACGAGAGGAGGAATCATGCTGACGATCTCCTGGCGACTGATGTTTCCGACATCGGTCTCTGCAACGAGGAACTTCTGGAAGTTGGCGAAGGGAGCGAAGCGGCGAATGACTTGCTTAGGGGTGGACATCGACCAAGCAAGCTGGTCGGGTACCAAGAGACCGGACGAGGAGGCTCGACGAATTCGTCCTCATACTTGATAGAAGTGATTTCGGGGATGTAGAATTCTTTGAGACGTTCCTGAACAGCAAGCGCATGTCTGTAAAGGAAGGGATAATCAGAATCGCGTATTATTCCCAGGAGAAGTCGCAGTCCTTTTGCGAAAATACAAGACTTACCCGCGCGAACCAGTGAAGCGGAAGCTGTTTGGAAGATCCCGGCGCATATAGTCCCAAAATGTCTCCAGGTCTTCCTCAGGGATAATCCCAGACTCAGAGTAGTAGCGCTCCATCTTCGCATTGTTCCGGCTAATGTCCTGCCAGTTGTTGCTGCGACGGCCGCCGCCGCCGCCGCCTCCACGACCTCCACGAGTAAACTGTGAAGAAAATATTCAAGTCAGTATGATCGGCACTTCAATTAAAATGAGAACGAGCTCTGAAATACCTTTCTGCCACCTCTTTTGCCCATTGTGAATGTAGCTTTGCTGAGAGATGCAGTCAAAATCGTCTCTCCTAAAAAATGTCCGTCTCAGATCACTTAGTCAGCACAATCGTGGGGGCTAATACTGCATATTATCACCGCCTTTGTTATCAGGATGAAAGTAGTACTAGGACTGCTCAGAGTCGTCTCTTCGGACTAGACAGGTGTTTCGTACTTTGTGCAACTCAGCGGTCTTCCATATCTACGTGACAGCGGGAGATTTGTATGGAACAGTACTATTGAAACACAGCAAGAGGTTTTGGCTTGAGACAAAAGAAACAAAGGAGATAAGTTTGGTCTGCCACACCCGGGGTGGCAGACTATATAGTCTACTATGGCAAACCATTAATTGCTATTTCACACACAAATCAGGGTCTAACAGAAACCCAAGGCAATGATTGATAGTACATTCAAACCACGTCCATATGGGCCCGGAAAGCCCGAGCACCAAATGGTCGTCTAAAAACCAGCAGAATTTTACGACAGGTTGCGAGACATGTCGTTGCGGATGCGCTGGTAGTCGAGGATACCCTCAATGCTGCCGACAGCACTCATGGCGACGTCCTGGTCCCAGAGCTTGCGGGTGGCAAAGTCCATAACATCCTTCTCGGTGATCTGGCTGACGGTTCGCTCAATGTCCTCGGCGCTGAGACGGCGGCCGGTAGTGATGATCTGGCGGCCAATGTCCTCGGCAACAGCGGTAGTGCCGTCGAGGGACAGGAGAATGGAAGCCTTGAGCTGGGCCTTGGCACGCTCGACCTCGGCGGCGGAGACGCTGCTGCAGAGGCGAGACCACTCACGAAGAGTGAAGTGGATCAGGTCATCGAGCTGGGTCAAGTTCTCGGAGACAAGGTAGATACCCCAAAGACTGTAGAGAAAACAAGTTAGTTTATCTGCGCCAGATCTTCTAATGAACGGTCGCAAAACTTACCCAGTGTCGCTGTAGCTGGTGGAGAAGGACATGAAGCTGTTAGCGAGGTGGTGGTGGCTGACGTGGGAGCTGAGCTTGCTGCCGAGGAAGGGAGATTGGCCCATGGCACGGTCCCAGTTACCAACGATGGCCTGGGCAACGAGGGCAGTGAAGTAGTCATCATCCTTCCAGCTGACACCCTCGACGGCAAGGGCGATGTGAGCGGAGGGGATGGTATCATCACGGAGACGAACCTCAGAGCCGATGAACTCGGGGTGCGCTTCTGCTCGGCGGTCAGGGCCAGAGCAGCGGAGGTCGGGGGCTTGTTGGGGAGACCGCCAAAGTGCTCCTCAGCGAGGCGAACGAGCTGCTCGTGGGGAATACCACCGGCACCAACAAGGACCATGCGGTCAGCAGTGTAGTTGGTCTTGATGTAGTCGGTCAGGTTCTCGCGGGAGATGGTCTGGATGTTCTCCTTAGGGCCGAGGATGGTGCGACCGAGGGGCTGACCCTGGTAAGCGGTGGCGTGAAGGTGGTCGAAGACAACCTCCTCAAGCTGCTTGTCAACCTCCTCCTGCTCGCGCAGGATAACGTCGCGCTCGCGCTCGATGGCGGCGGGCTCGAGCTTGGAGTTCTGAAGAATATCGGAAAGAATGTCGACAGCCTTGGGGACATCGTTGTTAAAGGCCTTGGCGTAGTAGACGGTGTTCTCGCGCTACACAGTTCGTTAGTTTTGTTTCGATAGAGGCATGGGTTGGGTTTTCCGGCCATACCGAGGTGTAGGCGTTCAGGTGAGCGCCCATGTTCTCAATCTCGAGTTCCAATTGGTGCTGAGTACGCTTGTTGGTGCCCTGCAGAATGTTGTTAGAGAATATTCGGATCGACTGGGAATGATCGGAACGGACCTTGAAGGCAAGGTGCTCAAGGAAGTGAGCGGTACCATTGGTCTTGTCAGTCTCTGACCGGGAACCGGCATCGATCCAGACACCGACAGTGGAGGTCTGGGCCCATGGGGAGTGGTCGGTAGCAATCTAAGACGTGTTAGTGAGGATGCGACGCAATTGATCCGGATTTGCAGGGCGTACGGTGAAACCGTTGGAGAGGGTGGTCGACTGCATGGTGGACGGCAGAACCGGGGAGGCAAAGCCTCGCTTCACGGGCTGGATGGACTTGAAGGCCGCACGGCTCCGAAGAGCCTGGTGCAAGTTGAAAGCCAGTCGGCGGGAGGCCATTGCGGACAACTGGAGTGGGTGGGAGGGGGATGGGGGGGATGGAGAGAAGAGCTGGACTCGCCCTGAGGTTGAAGTTCGGAAGTCAAATTGTTCGCCCAGCTCGCCAGCCAATCACATGACCCGCTTTTCCAACTGACCCATTTCGTCCCGATTACTTCCATACGTCCTCTCGATTGACGACATGACCCTTGTTTTTACCACCAAGGAAGGCTTGCTCATGTTATTATACGCTGTGCAAAGGGGACACTTGATTGTACCATGCAATTATTGAGTATGGCAGTACGAACTGTTCCTTTCGTCCTCCATGCACGTCCTCCGAAGTCGCTCCTATCATACAAATCGACTAGCAAATTGTCTAATATTCTCCATCACGGGGATATCTGCAGAAAATCCAAGCTTGAACGCACGATCAGTCGAGAACTGAGGAGTCCACGACTGCACGATCTTGTCGGTAGCCGCATCATACTTCTCCTCCACCAACGCCCGTCGCTCCTTGCCACCAATTTCCTCCAAGGCATCCAGCATCTCTTGGACACTAACCTTCAACCCAGGAAGGTTGACTGACCGTGACTCCCCGAACGCTTCCTTAGGTATATCGCGCGCGTGGATCAGGTTCTTGATGATGGTGTGCGGCGAGCATATCCACATCTCAGTGTCCTTGCCTACGGGTAGAATAGCCTTCTTGCCATGGAATGGCTCACGTATTATATCACTAGCAAAGCTGCTTGCAGCCTGAGTGGGTGCTCCGGCCCGAACAGTCACTGTTGGTAGTCGCACGCAGCGGCCGTCCAAGAATCCGCGTCGGGAGTAATCGTTCAAGAGCGTCTCAACAATGAGCTTCTGTGATCCATAGGAAGACGAAGGAACGGGCGGAAAGTTGGTCTCATCGATGAGGAAGCCCGGCGGTGCCAGGCCGTAAACTGCCAGCGAAGATGTGAAGACTACCTTCACCCCAGGCATAGTAACACGTAGTCTGTCGAGGATGTATCGTGTAGAGTCGAGATTGACTCGAATACCAAGCTCAAAGTTGGCCTCGGAGCCACTTGACATGATGCCATGTAGCAAGTAAATAGTCTCATATTGGCGAGAAGGGCTGATCAATTCGTCCACCTCTTTGGAAGAAGTCAAGTCCGCTCGAACACATTTCAAGCGGTTTGCATACTTTTTCGCCGCTTCAGGAACGCTGGGTTCGACAACATCGGTGATTGTCACGCTTGTTGAAGATGGCGTGTTTGCAAGGAACGAAGCTGCCAGTTCCTGTCCGACATAGCCACCGGCACCAGTGATGAGAATAGACATGTCGCAGCTGTTCCGGTATTCAAGAATAAAAGTAATAATATAGAGGTATCAAAGAACTACTCATTCAATTGTGTCCAGGATCCACCGGCGCATAACTTCATTCCCAAATGCCATATCCTGTCCATTATTTATAGTCCTCTCCCGAACGAACCCCGCGGGCGGGCAACGGAATATGATCCCCTCCCCCACGCTCGGTCATTTCGGCTTGTTACTCTGCGCCAATGACAACCGTTGGTCTAGACAAGCCAAGCACGGTACACCAAGATCACGCACCAATTCCGAGACTTTCGCCGTGTCCAAAATCGCCGATGCTGGGTCTCGGTGAGAAATCCGATTGCCGAACGGCCCACGGCGGAAATCCGAGACGTATGATATGACCATAGGTAGCCATGTAAAGGCCAGAAAAAGCTCAAATCCAGAGATTGACAAATTGTGTATTTCAAAAAACCTTCCAGATTCCGAGTACTAGTTCTTATTGCTAGTAGAAGCACAGGTGTCAAAGGGGTAGTCTTCCTGAGCATACTCATTTTTATCCTTATCCTTCTTGTCATCATTGTCATTGCCATATCCGGTGCCATATGCTATTGAGGTGACTTGAAGCATGACAATAGATCTGGGGGTCGCCCAAAGGCATATTCAATAATAAAGGTGCCACATGCGTAACGAGCATAGCTCACTTCGGGTGATAGAGTGCAGTGCACCAACCCTGCTACAGGGCCTCAGGAACCGCTCAGGCCTATTCCAGACGGCATCTACATCATCAAGCACATGATTGACATTCCAGTGTGTGCATTTTATTCCAAAAGATGGAACCTAGATTTTGTGACGCAAGCAATCGTACATGGGCAGAGAAAACCAGTCACAGTGGGAAGAACAGTGGATACATCGCAGAACACGAGACGCCTGAGAAAAAGAAAGAACGGAGCATCAAGAAGAAAGACATGACCAAGAATTAAGCAACCGCTTATGAGCGGGTGTAGATACCACCGACGATACAGTGATCACGCTCGAAGGGCTCGAGGGTCAGCTGCTCCTTGGGCTTGATCTTCTCGTCACGCATCTTTTGGACCTCGCGAGCGAAGACAACATCGGGGGCGGCTGTGCTGTCGATACAGTTGGCCTTGATGGAGATAATGGCACCACCGCCATCCTTGAGGAACATGTGGGCGTTAAGACCAACGATACGGGCCTGGTCGGGCTGGGCAACATCGGCAAAGATGACATCGACCATGGGCACGAGCATGCGGTAACGGAGAGGGTGACGGGCATCCTCAACAATGGGGATAACGTTGGTGCGGTGAGTGGCCATGCCAATCAGGTCACGACCAGAGCGGTGAGAGAACTCAACGGCGTAGACGTTACCGGTAGGGCCGACAATATCAGCGACGTGGGAAACGGAGGTACCGCTGGCAGCACCAATGTAGAGAACCTTGGCACCGGGCTTCATGTAGATGTTGTCCATACCACCGAGGATACCGGCAGCCAACTTGGAACGGAAGGGGTTCCACACACGGTACTCGACCTTGGTAACAGTGCCATCCTCAACGGCGGGAGCCTCGACGGAGATACGCTTCTCACCGTAGACGGCCTCACCAGGGGTCAAGTTCTTGGTGACAAGCAGATCCTCCTTACCACCACGGGCAACGAAGACACCGGCGTGACGGTGAGGCTCCTGTGTGCAAGTACCGATCAGTGATTGGTTTCTCTCGTGCTTTTGATCTTCAAGAACTTACAATGATAACCTTGGCACCGCCACGGGCACCAGCAGCACCGCCACGACCACCGCGGGGAGCACCACGACCACCACGGGGAGCACCACGGCCACCGCGGCCACCGCGGCCGCGATCACCACCGCCACGACCACCGCGACCACCAAAGCCACCTTCAGGGAAAGACCGATTAGCGACTGGAAAACGCTAACTTATGGCATAGAAGACGGATTATGATCAGAGCAAGCATTCTTGCCGACTCTGGGCATCGCAGTAGACTTCTGCACTTCGGAAAAGATTGGAGTACAAACCTCGACCACCTCCGCGACCACCGCGGTCACCACCACCAAATCCACCACGTCCACCACGTCCAGGGGGGACCACCACGGCCACGAGGAGTGAAGCCCATTTTGTTTTGAAGAGTTGTTTGGGTTGTATAGGGGAGAGATCGAAAAATACGGGAATTGAGCTTTGAAGTGCTCAAGCCAAGTGCTGTCGAAAAATGGAGGGACGAACTCGAAAAGAGATCGAGTCGAAAATCAAAGAAGAGAACTCAGTAATACAAATCACTGAGGCAAGCAGCTGGTATAAGATTGACCAGAGATGCTTAGTCGCGTGCGGGTTAGGACCAGTACTGCTCGTTGATGCGGTCGAGATTTTTTTGCGCCTGCTGGATCTTTCAGAAAATCAGAAAAGCGCTAGGCCTGATAAGGATTAGCGCCTTTCGCAGAAGTTGACTGATTATGTCAACCGGATAGCGAGATCACGTGACAGTGTCACGTGTGACCCTTAGCCCTGTATCTTCCGGAGGAGCATTGAGAACTATTACAAGGGAAGATGCACGCGATACTCCTTTTATTAACGCCATCGATGTCCAGAAGTGATGGGATATCAATAATAAAATACTAAATGGACCAGCATGACAATACCTTTCGTCACATCCGCCTGTGGACAGTGTTCGTCTATGTACAGAACAGTGAACCCCTCCTAGTTTCCGAAGAAATAGTAATTTGCAGCATACTGGACCTCGAATGTCGACGGCATGCCCTTGCAGGTGTCTGGTGGAGACCCAGAGGCAGTGTCGACCCGATAGACCTTCTTGTAATTGCCAACAGTCCCAGTGGTCGTTGAGAGGTACAACCAGGCAACGGCCCCGTTCTCGCCCTTGACTGCACTCGAAGGCGCATTGATTTGGCTCTGCTTCTTTGTCATGGCAATTCCATATTGCTTAAGGGTTGTTGTGTCCAGATTGAACTCTGGAGTGGTGGAGTCATAGAAAAAGTGGTGGCCCATCAGCTGAATATTGGCTGGGGGCATAGCAGCATACTCGTTTGCCGGAAGAGCGATCTTGTAGGCAATGTTTGGTAGCATCCCCATGAGGTCCGGGTAGTTGGCAGCAATGCATGTGGCGTTGTAGAGGTTCGCGACAGCCCCGATGGCTACCGGCTTGGAACTAGACGTGGAATCCGCACAAGTGTAGTTCTATGGGTAATTAGTGACCAGGAGATCGAATCATGAACGGTGCATACGTACTTGCGTACCTCTTCCTAGTGCAACATACATGGGTGTCACTCCTCGGGACTGGGAAGTCCCGAAGCAAATGACGGCAGCGAGATCTTGGATGTGTCGCAGGTAGCAGAGGGTGTCACGTCGTGTCTCACATCGTCGATGTATTTGCTGACTTTGCCATAGAATTCTGCTAGCTCATCTGAGAAGTCGTAGATATTGTTGAAAATGTTAGATGGGCCAGCAGAGGATACTGCGACCATCGAGAGTAGGATCGGTGCCAGGCGCATGGCTAATGGTCTTCTGTCGTGAAGGATATACGAGTGGAGAGGTGGTTCTATTGATGGGAATTGAACAGTGTAGAGATGTGTCAACCTTGAGCAGCACCAGGCTGTTCGTAAGGTGTAGGGAGGATGGGGTAATTAGCGGAAAGGAACGACAATTGGAAGTATTGGCATGAAGATGATGAGTCCGTCGCAAACAGGGAGCACCGGTTCATATAGAGTCGGTGCTAATTGCAATCTTGCACGGTTCCAAGCATACATCAAAGATAGTAACACTGAACTCGCTTGAAACAATCTTGATTCTATAAAAATAAGTCATCGATGCACGCTGCAGGTACTAGCAGGGATCAAATGCTGACTGAGCCCGTTCATTGGTGCAGAGAGCGCCCAGTGCTGCCGCCGCCAGCCTCTGCAGGGCCTCATTCGCTCTGTCCACAAAACAGATTCGGCCAGATCGAGAAAGCGATGGCGCTAAGCAAAACAGCGGGCTTCTCGTTGGGCGGCACCGTGGAGGTGCTCGGCCAACTTTGGGGGGGAGTCTATGCGAAGACCCTTCCTATTTCTCCGAACTATTAATAACTCGGACCCTAGCTCCCCATGTGCTCAGACGTGATGAGCGTCTAGATATGCATTGTGACTTGCCCCTGTGGGTTAGTGTGCAGACTTGGTAGTCAAGGACGCTCCCTGAAGAAATAGGGCGGCTGGATGAGATTAGGACGAATTGACAATCGACGTGTTCGATATCTAATTGGATGCACCGGGGCATGATTTGTTGCAAGTAGAGCTGTCTTGCTTTCGGGTAGCCACCCGAATGATCATTGCGGGGAGGCTGGATGAGAGCTTACCCTCCACATTTGTGGCATTTCCCACTTCTGGCTCAACCCGAGCAGGTTACAATCACTGGGCGCGTAGCCGACGCCATCAGCGCCATCTTACTCAAAGCGAAATCTTCAAGTCAGCCACTTCAACTATCTTTAACCGATGATCCACATCACCTGGCTAAAGGTATCTTTACCCGAACGAAGAGGGAATGCGTAACTGGTTTCCACGGTCAGATCCCGATATATCTTGTGAGGGGTAAGTGGCACTAGCCACGATACTACCTTCAATGACATTCATCTGAGAATTGAGGGAAGAGTACACCTAAGAAGTGATGAGTTGGAGCTATTACCCCACATTCCAAATTTATCAGTTGAAATGGAGTCTCTTCACCCCATCAGGATTGCCAGACGCCGGCGATCTAATGTGCTGATCAGCCTGCTGTGTTTCATTGTTCAGATTGCTTAATTTTCGGCAGTCTCTCAATAAGAAGCCCGGGTGGTCTAGTGGTATGATTCGCGCTTAGGGTTCGACCTAAGCACTCCTGCGCGAGGTCCCGCGTTCGATCCGCGGCTCGGGCCTTCATTCTCTTTTTGCTTCAATTCCTTGCGCTTTGGTTTTTTATTCCCTTCTGCTAGACAGTCCCCGACCGACAGCGGTGGGAGAATAGCAGGCAGAAAGCTCACCATTCATAGGATATCATCAAGAGTGACTTGCTTCCTTGATTGTTGAATCGAAGGCAAGAATGCACACTCGCATGTTAGCCTGAACCGCTTCCCATGACACAAGTAAAAGTGCCTACCCTCCGCGTCCTCTCGTGAGGGATGATTTAGATCTTCAAGCGCCGAACCTACGTCACGAACCACTTCAGATACCAGATGACCCTGCGCGAAGTAACCATCTTGCGCTTCTTCCAAAAACCCTTAGGGATAGTTGAACCATCGTATCATGTGCCATTGGCAAACACCTCACAGGTAGGTAGTGATGAACAGGTCTGATACAAAGCTCGTAGTCATTTCCCGGGCCCTAATAGACTGTACAATCTGGCTGACTAGGAACCTCCGAACAAGAAATGCAGAGCAACACTAGGCCCGTTCGCCAGAGCGGCCCACTCATTCATTCTCAACGCCAAAATCGATGACCAGCCATGCTACAAAGGAAAAATATGAAAACTCCATCCCCTAACTTTCGCTGTTTGAACATCAGAAAAAAAAACAGGTTCTTGCCCCGCAACTTCAACTATCAAGGGTTTCAGCCTGCATGGTTGAAACCCTCCTGCTGCCAATCATCACCATGCAGCTGACTGCCACTGCCACTGCCAATACCAGACCCACTACCACTACTGCCATATGCTGCTGCTGCGGCGCTGCCCACAGCACTCATGGCACTATGCTTTTCGATCTCTGTCGTGCTCATCATGTAGAGTACGACAAAGAGAAGGACATGCAGAGCGAGGCAGTAGCCTGCGAACAGGTTTCGACTGGTTCGATTGGCCATGATGATGCGAGTAAGCGAGAAGACAATTCGCTCGGGAAGGCTCATGCGCTTGTACGCTCGCGCCGATTCTCGGCCCTTGAAGGCAGCGAACGGCGAGATCCGTGCCTCGTAGGCATTCTGATACCGATCAAGGGAAAGACCGGAAGGGGCATCTGATGAGTTATAGACAGATGTCGAGCTAGGCGCATTCGCATACGATGAGGCAGATGTGGATGCACCCTGGCCACGGCTGTATGTGGAAACATACCGAGTCTTCTCGTACAGGCCCAAGTTGTCCTTCTGAAGAGATGCAACTTCCGAGCGAAGGGACTTGACTGTGGCATACGTCTTCGATAGCTCTTCTTCCAGCTCCGCATTCTTCTTCTTGAAACGATCACGCTGCGCTTGAATCATGGGAAGAAGACCAGAACCTCCCCCCACGGCTTCTCCGGCACGAATAGCATCCATCGTGGTGGCGGATGTGGCAGTCTGGTCGAAGCCAGAGATAATTGACGAGGTGGGAGATGATGCACCCCGACGGGCTGAGTGGGGGTACCTCGAAGTAAAAGTACCCGCTATAGACATGGCCGACGATGGGAATGCGTTGGCTGCCTCTTGTTGCACCTGAAGAAGATCATTTTCTAGGGTTGTCGATAGCCCTCGGGACTTATCAAGTTCGCTTTTTGTCGTCGCAAGCTCGCTACGCATCGTCTCAAGCTGTTCTTGGATATCGCGTGTCGAGACCCGTAAGACTGCCAGCTCATCGTTCAACTTTTTATTGCGGGCAAGCAGAAGTTGCTCAAGCGAGTTCTTCTCTGGAGCTTTCGTGGCAGATCCATTAGCACCCACTGCATCACTTTGCGTCGTCTCTGGATCATCCTCATCGTCACCTGCCGTCAACTCAATCGACTTGATCATCTCCAACTCTCGACGAATATCCTCGTAGTCAGCACACTTATCGAGACGCGAGCGCAGTTCATCCCTCTCGGCTGTGATTTTAGCGGCAGTTCGTTCCGCTTGTAGGAGCTTTCCTTCCCAGGAGTGTCGGGTTGAGTCCTTGTCAAATCGTGCGGCATCTAGTTTCCGTAGCAAGGAAGAATTTTCGGACTGAAGGCGCTGATATTCAGGATCATCTTGAACCGAGATCGGCTGACCAGGATGTGAATGAGAGACAGCTTGGGCCAATTCTAGCCGTAGCTGCTCGTTGCGTGTTTCGACATCAGCCAACCTCAAGCTGGTTTTCTCCAAATCAGCAGAAACGAGTTCCAGCTCAGCAGCAGTAGCACCGTTGCGAGCTTCTTCATTATCATCATCCCCGCCCAGCCGCTGAGAGACCTCGTAACTAGCTTTGAGCTCCTTAATCAAACGCTCCTGGTTTTCGACCTTCTCTTCCAAGCTCCTCTCTTTGGCCTCCCAGTTGTTCGTCTTTTCCATAAGGACAGCTTCCCACGATGCTTCAATCTCCTTGGCTCTGGATTCTTGGTTCTCTTCGAGCTTCTTCCTCGCAGCACGCTCCTCCTGAAGGCGCTTCTCGCTTTCCTCCTGCTGTCTTGTGAGCCGGTCGACAGATTGTCGCAATTGATCGCGCTCCGAGGTGAGCTTTGGGACTGTATCTTCGGATAGAGCAAGAGAATCGACAGAAGCTTCCAGAAGAGGGTAGGGATCGGGTGCCTCGGATAAAGAAGAATATAGTTGCAGGAATGAGGACGAGGACGTTTTGCCCTGGTTGGTCAAGACATCGATAAAAGATTGATAAGCTTTCAACAATCCTTTAAACTCAGACAATTTGGCCTGCTCCTCCAGCTTCTTAAATTCCTTGGTTTTTTGGGCTAGATCTTTTCTCTGTACCAGAGACTCCCGCTGCTGTTCAACAATATCGGAAGCGGTCGCATCAAGTTTAGCGATGGTGCTGGCAAGGTCGATTCCTGGCCATACAATGTCAGTTGCGCCCTGCTGGGGATCTTGTGATTATACCGGGTGACATACCTCGCCAGGCTGCGATTGCGCGTTGGAACTTGTTTGTCTCTTCGGATAGCTTATTGTCAACAGGCTCAGATTGACTCTCTTGCCGCTCTTGGGCGGCAAGACCCTCACTAATGGCGAAGGAATCCATATCCAGCGTCAACCGAAGAGGACTGCACGGTCACCCCACACCAAATCGCAATCTGCCAAGTTAAGATGGGGGGGATTCTGCGGAGTTGGAGATCAGGACACGCGGCGCGCAACGGGCCGAAGTTGTTCCGCAATGTATGCGCCTTGTCGCAAGTGACAGGTAGATGAATATGTCATGAATAAAGCGAGTTCAACCAAGATCTGGTTTACAGGAAAGAAATCGAGGTTTCGAAAAGCTCCAATGTTCCGACCGATGAGAAGCATCCCGTTCCTGATCTAGCGGCCCCTGATGGGAAGCTTTGGCCCCAAACATCTGACCGCCTTCCAACCATCCTCCTAAGCTGGCGGGGAGATACCACCTTGAAGCTAGCCATGGCTTCGGTCGATGGAGCCGGCCCTCGTAAGAGGCGGAGAATTGGTCCCCTTGGGACTGATCCCTATATTTTACGGTCCCTTTTCGATGATGTACCGCTGGCAACCGAAGACAGCTCCGGCGTTTACATCACTTGTGTCGAATACTGGGGTAAGCTATGCCAGCGCGGTTGGCAGCCTTCGATAAGAATTCTCTTACTAACCTCACTCTATAGAGGAGAATCTGTACATTGGCACTTCTGCAGCCGAAATCCTGCACTTTGTCTGCCTTCCTGCTGCTTCCGACGCACCTAACGAGCCTACGTTTATACTGGCATCGCGACTGCCTATCCCATTCCTGAGCGCGCCCTCAGACAGCGATCAAAGAGGTGTTCAGCAGATTCTCATACTTGCGTCGGTGAACAAAGCTTGCGTTCTCTGCAATGGCACAGTCACGTTCTACATGCTCCCAGAGCTCAGCCCGGCCTGGAACACCAAGGTTAATCACTGTCGCTGGATTGGCGGCCTGGATCTCAACCGAGACTTGGGGTCTAGAGAAGACCCAGTTGTGATGATTGCCGTACAGAATAGAATACTCCTGGTTCAGATCGGAGATGAGCCGAAAAGCATCAAGAAGATTGGATTCCCCGGTTGCCTAGTTGCGGCGCGTAGAGGTACAATTGCCTGTGCCGCTGATGGGCACTCTTACTCGCTCCTAGAGGTGGAACACCAACAGAAGATTCCACTTTTCCCGATATCCTCATCGAACGAAGTATTCAATTCTGGGCAGGTTGAAGATATGACGCCAGGACCCCAAACACCGTTGAAACGGTCGCCTTCTTCGTCATACCCAAGCTCCCCTCCTAGCGACCCTCATGCGCACGGAAGAAGCACCAGCCTGAATACCTATGTTGGAATGTTGCAGCCAAATGCGCAAATACCACAGCGTGAGAGATCACCGGGAACACCAGATCCCTTCGCACCCTCGGGGACCTCTCGGCGATCAAGCTCTGAAGAAAGAGACGATAAAAATGATGAGCAGAAGAAGAAATCGGACAGTCCTGAAGCGCAAGCTTCTCCTTCCGATAGCTTGAAGCCATTGCCGCCTATACCAGCGAAGCCAGTCACAAAGCAACTTCTGCCTCACGTTGTCTCTCCGACCCCCTCCGAATTCCTCCTGGTGACTGGAACGGAGGAGAAAGAACCCGGTGTGGGCATGTTTGTAGACCTGGATGGTGAAGTCGTCCGAGGCACGATCAATTTCCATCGATACCCCAAGTCAGTAACGATCGATGCTGGCGAAGATGAGCAGTCTCTCCAACCTAGTGAAGATGCCAGGGAGGAGTATATTCTTGCTGTCATTGAATTCGATGATGATGGACAACGAAGCCGACTGGAAATTCAAAGATGGGACGATGATCCCGCAGAGATTGAACGACAAAGGAGATGGCTCGACATACCGTCGCCTAGCGAAGCCGAGTCAGCCAAAGTCGGCCTTCGACACACAATCAGCCCTAGCCATCTCGAGCTCGACGATGTAGGCAAGCTCCTCAGAATGGTCCGCCTCAAGACTCCACTGCTAGCCCCCCATGTACCCGCAGTAGATTCGAGAACACACGCATCGATCGAACATTCACAAAAGGAGAAAGAACTGTTTGAATCCCAAGAGTTGACCGATTGCGAGGATTTCAAGAAAGGAGTGAAGGATTGGGAGACCCAGCGGAATTCCGAAGAGGAAAAACTTGCACATGGACTGGGCAAACTCCGAAGCAGTCTCATCGTTTGGTCGGGCTCCAAAATATGGCGCCTAGTCAAGAATCCTCTTGTCGTTCAGCTTGAGGATACTCTACAGAAGGCCCTACAGACAAACGAGAGCGGCCAAACAGCTCTGCATAGAACCTCTGTCATGGAGTTGATGTTGTCTATTCAGGACCTTGAGCCTCGGACTGAGTCTGAATTTATCGGCTTGGGCTATTTGAAGCAAAAGGCTTGTTTGCTCTTGTATGGAGATTTGCTCTCCATGCAGCCTAAGAACCATGGAGACCCCATGGTTAACAATACTGAGCAAGCGTTGTTGGCAGGTAATTTGGATCCCCGGATAGCTCTACTATTCATCCCTTTGCTCCGATGTGAGGTCCTGCAAGGACCTCAGGGTATTTGGATTCCTGCTGGGCTAGCCAACATCGTCGAAAAGTACATTCAGCAAATTGAGAGGATGCCTCAAGAGACATCTGGGCCAGCCGTTGTCCATAGCTCTTTGCTGAATATGTTGAAGCGTTACCTTTTCTCGTGGCAACAAAAGAGGGGATACGGTAGCATATCAGATGAGACCTACGTTCTGGACAGCACTGATGCTGCGCTGCTTCATCTGCTACTGGAGCAAGACGCCCATTTGAACGCTCAGCAACGGAAGTCGTCTCCTATCCGTGCCGATTTGAACAAGCTCGTCGACAACTGGAAGGGCAATTTTGAACGGGCAGTACAACTGTTGGAGCAGTACAAGCGACTTTACATCCTGAGCCGCCTTTATCAAAGTCGAAAGATGTCCCGCAATGTACTTAAGACATGGCGGAGAATTATTGACGGTGAAGCCGATGTCGGCGGGGAAGTGAACGCCCAGGGTGTCGAGTCCCAAATGCGAAAGTATCTGGTGAAAATCAAGGATTCTCAACTGGTGGAAGAATATGGCGCCTGGCTCGCTGGACGGAACCCGGCTTTGGGCATTCAGGTATTTGCAGACAACTCTAGCCGAGTGCGACTGGATCCTGCAGACGTGGTTTCTCTGCTCAAGGAGCGAGCGCCTAACGCAGTTCAGTTCTATCTGGAGCATCTCGTCTTTGCAAAAAGCTACACCCAGTATGCCGACGATCTCATCTCCTATTACCTGGACGAAGTGCTTTCGGTGCTTGAGTCCTCTTCAGACGCACGGACGTCTCTGTCCGATTCCTACTCCACGTATCGGGCCCTGCGTCCTCCCAAGCCCACTTATCTGAACTTCATTTCTGAAAACACACCAAGTGAGCCCTGGTGGCAGTCTCGACTTCGTCTGCTCCAGCTACTGAGTGGCACCTCTGGAACCCAGTTCTCATCCACTGCTCTTCCCTCCGGAATTACATATTCCATCCCTACTGTGCTTTCCCGCATTGAACCATTTCAGGATGAGCTCGTCTCCGAGAGTATCATCCTCGATGGTCTACAGGGCCACCACCGCGCTGCACTGCGTCTGCTAACTCATGGTCTGGGAGACTACGACTCCGCAATCCGCTACTGCCTCTTCGGCGGTCCGCGCAGCTCAATATCATCTGCTGGTGTGCAGCCTGAGCTTGCTAACCACGATCAACAGTCCACTCTCTTCCGGCATCTGCTAGATGAGTTCCTTCAAATCCAGGACTTGTCAGACCGCATTGAGCGCACAAGCGACTTGCTGGCTCGATTCTCGGCCTGGTTTGATGTACGCGAGGTACTTGATCTCGTTCCGGAAGACTGGAGTGTCGATATCCTCGGAGGATTCTTTGTTCACGTCTTCCGTAATCTCGTTTCGCAGACCCGAGAGGCACGTATTGAGCGGGCTCTCAGCGCTGGTCTCAACCTGCGCATCGGCGTGGAGTACATTGATAGCATGGAGAAATCCGGAGTTTGGGTGGAAGATCGAGAAGGCGTGCGACGATTGAAGGATGGAAAGATCCAAACAGAAACCGGACTGCAAGATGAAGTCGCAGGAGACGACGATGACTTTGGCGACGTGGTCACTGCGTCTGGGGAAGTGGGCCAGTAGATCACTTTTAGATTCATTATGTACAGAATTATGTGCGGGCGCATCATCTATGATACCTACCCAGTTTTACGATTCCTATTTGAGACCGCCTTTTTCTTTCATCTTTGATTGTTGTGGATATCATATTTCTGATAGAGTAGGTCTTAACACCATGGCGGTTTATCCGAATCCATAGTGCATGGCCACTATCATACATCATAATTCAGGCCAAAGGTGAAATGTAACAGCTTCATGTTGCATTTCACTACCCTCATAGCTCTGAAGAGCGTTGGCTCCAAGTCACTCAAGAATGAGGGCGTATCAAATTTTGCAGTGGGCCCCAAACGGACCTCTATTAGCCAAGTCAACGAGACCACGCCGCTTGAATTGCTTAATAAGGATAGCATGGAAATCACTCCTCAGGCTGCACGAACGGGTTGGGGATCTCCTCGCTGCCATCAGCAGGCGAGATAAGCACGATCAGGGTGCCCCGAGCCACAATCAAGCCCAACGAGCGGGTGGTCTGGTTGCCTTCGTCATCTGGAGAGACGTCAATATGCAGAAATTGCTAACAGCAATTGATGAGACTTACCGCGCATAGACTCCTTGACGTCGTCGAGGACGAGGTTCATGAGCTGGTCATAGCCCTTCAGGGTACCAGTGACTAACGGGGGGGGGGGTCAGCATCTAGAACATGTCCATAGGGTTCATTTGAAAAAAGAGACGATTCCAACACACCTTCACGACCGCCATTGAACTTGACCATGACCTCCTTGTCCATGTACTTGTTCAAGTCAAGGATGTTTTTCCTTCTTGGGCTTCTCCTGTGCACCGCCACCACCGCCACTTTTTTGCTGAGGCTGGCGACCACCACGACCACCACGGCCCCCTCGGAACGAACCACGTTCGGACATTGGGGATTGATTTGAGAGCGGTGAAGGAGAAGGGGAGGGGGGGGGAAAAGGGAGTTAAACCTAGAATGGAGAAATGGAGGAAAGGGAATACAGCGTATGGCCCGCGGTCACTAAAATGGTGAAGGGGGTGGGCAAGTATGAGGGATTTTCGGCGGGGGGGTTCACAGGCTCAGAGTGGACGAGTGGACGAGAGTGGACTGATGAATTGTCCGCCTGAATCCCGCTGGTAAATTACGCTGTCATATTACCGGGGGCGGTGGGCGGAGGAGGTATCCAGTACGCGCGGACCCCAGGCATCAGCGAAATGCACCTCCACAAGGCCCAAGGCTTGTCGGGTGGGGACTCCAGCCTTAAGAGGCTTGCACGAATCCCTGAAACTGTAGGATACAGGATACAGACTGAGATGTTCCACCCACGGCGCACAACCTCCGTGGATACCACACTAAAGGTGCAGGCGGAGGGTGCCAGCGCATTCCAGCGGAATAGGCCGGCGGGACTCCGCCGTGTATAGGTACCGTAACTACCAGCGCGGGCGTACGAAAGCCCCGAGATCAGGTACAGGTACTTGTCTGTAGGCCCCGTTCGTTCCGGGGGCCGCTTTTAGCACCTCCCTGGACCCCGGTACTTCTTCCCCTTCTATTTTCTCATGAAAGTTTCGCCCATGTTCACTCCCATACGGCTCCTTGATCCTTAGTCCTGCGCATCCCGCGCTCCCTCCCTCTTCCTTCCAGCCGCACTGGCTCGCGGCCCCCGGCGTCAATTTCCCTTCGGCCTGACTACCTTGACTCCTATTTCAAGTACGTCTCTAGGACGAATCTCGCCATGGAGTCACACCCGGTGGCTGAGCCGTCTAATAAACGGCCTCGGTCTCCCACGGGTGAGCACCAGCTACATCAGTCCAAGGTGCTCAAGACGCACTCGAACCACCTGCAGATCAACTACCTCGCACGCCAGTACCCGGATAACCTGCCCCTGGTCTCCGCCGAAGATACCATGCCCGCTATCATTCACCTGATCGGCGAATATGACGGCGTACTCCACCGTCACGAGAGCATTGCCGGAAATCTGGGCGCATGCCCGCTGGGCCCGATCTTGATCAAGCGCTTTGAGCGCCTGTTCGATGGGCCCCCGCGCGTGCTCAAGTCACACGGCAAAGACGGCCCTACGGTGACCTGGTTGGATGTGGTCGAGTTCGCCAAGAGCAAACCCGAGCAGTTCAATTTGGAGAAGCAGCGTAACGGCATCCGAGTCTGCCAGTTCTATACCAAGCAATGTCGAGTAGAGATTAGCGAGGAGGATTTCGTTCTTATTGCCTCCGGCATGCCGCAGAAAATGATTCCGCCCCAGCCTATTATCGAGGATGAAGAGAAGGAGCTGGGCGCTTTAGAAATCCTTGAGAAGAATCTTCAACACATCATTCAAATGGCTGACCAAGGTAAGTGCTTTCTACGCCAGCTTATATTAAGTGATATGGTCTGATTGGTTTCGCATATAGTGTCTGCCAGAGCCCGTCAGCTCAGCTATCGCCTGAAGAACCGCCGTACCGCAATTGTGAGCCGGAGAGAAAACGACGCTTCTTTGCAATCGCGCAGTGCGGCGGATGTCTGGCGCGATACCAGTGGTCACGCTGCGATCAATGGTCGTTCATCCAATGCATCACCCTCCGGCTTTGTGGCCGTCAACTCAAACCGGCAGGAGGCCGAGACCGAAGAGAATCCGCGATCGCCTCAATTTATGTTCTCCCATTCCAACACTGAGAACGTGACCATCATCAACGGAACCTCAATCAAAGGCGCATCGCCTACCACTCGCACTGAACTTATGAAGAAATTCTTCACTACAGCTGATCGCCACGCGCGCGGCTACGAAGATGCTGCGGGCCCAGTCAACCCTCAGACTCAGCCTCAGCCTCTACCCCGGCCACGAGGCTCGGATCCGGCAGATTACAGCATTATACCTGCTTCTACGACCCCAGTGGCCATTCCCGGTACACCGTCTTCGTTACTCCCACCTCCAAAGACGACGCCCAGCGAGAAGGATGACGGGGGGCCTTTCAAGCTAGAGATGGTCGCCCGCATGGAAGAGTTGGGCCGCGGAGAACGAGTCATCCCGCCCTGTGACCGGTGTCGCCGTCTCCACATGGACTGTCTCAAAAATTTGACAGCCTGTATGGGCTGCACTAAGAAGCACGCCAAATGCTCTTGGCGCGACGTCAAGGAAGACGAGATACGCGCGGCTTATGGTGCATCCGCGCTCATCCCACGCGAGCCACGCGAGCAGCGGGATGAAGAACGCAACACCCTCCCTCCTATTCAAAGTCTTGCCTCTCCGGGCTCAAGCGGACCAACACACGGAGAGCGTGCCCCGGAGGGAATTGCATCCATGGACCCACATCACTACTACCATAATCGCCGCGAATCAGCACCTGGGGCTCCACACATCGGCCCAGGCTCCGGAGCTTCTCATAACCTTCCCCCATCGTCTAATAACTCCCCGCGGAGAGCGATGAGTGATGAAGGGAGTGGCCGAATTAATTACGAACAGTCGCACCACGAGCATCCACACCATGGACACCCACAGCATCGGTCCACTCAAGACGACGACCCTGACGCGAATCAGCGATTGATGCAGGCTATCCTGGACACGGTCGATCACCACGCCCGTGTGGCGGCGGCCGTACAGGAGAAAGAGCGCGGCGCTGAGCGGTCCGGGGATGCTGGGAATGATCGAGACGCGGACCGTGAGCGAGAACGCGAGCGAGAAAGAGAACGTGAACGTGAACGGGATCGGGATCGGGATCGGGATCGACGTTTGGTCCAGGCTTAATCTTTATCCCGAACCGTGTATATTTTGCTATTTTGTTGTACAGTTGTGAGCGATGGCGAACCGGAAGGTATTGGGGGATTTGTCTTTTCAGATTACACATGTGCATATTATATCCATGAAAGTTGTTATGTCCCATCCTATGTCTTACAAGCACAATTCTAAGATACCTCCCACCACTCTGATCGCGGAAGAGGATCCTTGATATCTCTTCCCAGCTGGAGATCCAGGGCGTTGACATACTGCTGCGCTTCCTTGTCTTGGATGGCCAGTCTTTCAAAGGAGTTAATGTTTTCGGACAGCTTCCACTCAGGCAGGACTTCATACTCCGAGGACCCGGGGTACTTGAACAGATACTCGAATCCTTCCCCATTCTTCTTCCGGACGTAGTTGTCCCCCGTCAGCCAGATTGGGCGATACCTCTTGCTTTTCTCATGGTCTTTGGTCTTTTCCACCCGATATCCCACAACCGGATGCACTCGCTCAAATGTTTCGCCCAACTTCTGACCTTTATCAAGGGCATAGCGGCCTGGTGTACGCAGTCTAGATCCATTGACAACGTACACTAGTCCAAAGCTGTCCGGTAAATCGCCCAGTCCCCAGGTATAGCTGCGGTCTTCCATGTGAGCCGGCTTATCACCCGGGGTCAGAGGGTGTCTGATCGACGAGACAGCCCACTGACTAGTGCGCTCAAGCCACTTGCCCCACGACTCCTTTTTCAGTCTTTCAACTCTCTCCTTATACCAGTGAAGCGCGGTATTGATCTTAGCGAGTCTAGTCTGACGAGCCAATTGCTCCTTCTGCAAAGTCCCTTGATTGAGAGAAACAAAGCCCTTGATCTGGTCCAGCATCCAGGCAAAGGTAATGTTGGACATCTCTTCCATGTTTCCCTTGTTCTCCAGGGTCAGAGTGGAGCCACCACCGATATTGACGTGCACACCTGGGAACCAGACTTGGAGTAGCTTCGAGCGTTCTTTTTGGCTTTCCTCCAAGTCGAGCAGTTTTCGCGCGGCTTCGTTCTTGTCTTTGATTACTCGTTTCAGATCTTCGAGGGAGGGCCGCTCGGTTGAGAGGAGATCGAACCAGGCTTTGGATGCGGCTTCCCATGTCATTCGTGCCCTTTGGATTTCCTCGAGCGTGGCTTTCGTGATAGTTGGCACGTAGAATAGAGTCGGGGTAAATGCAGCACGATGTTCATCCAGAGCTAGTGCTTGGAAGGCGTTCTTGATATCTGCAGATGTTGTCAGTCATTTGGGACAATGTCGGGGGAGAGTCCAAATCCTACTGGGAGAAAGTCCAACATTATGCCATTCGGGCTTATCGGTTCGCGAGATCCATCGAGGCACTTCATACCCGAAGAGTTCGGGGAATCCCAGCGCACCCACCGTCTCAAAAACACCCACCACCTCGACCTGTCTTGACTCCGGAGTCTGAGCCCACTCGCCCCGACCCGTAGACTCCCAAACGACATGATCACCCTGCCTTTCCTCCGGCTGAGGATCGGCCGGCTTCCCATCATGCCAGTCATAGTAAGCATCACTGCCATAGAATCTATCCCCCGTAATAGCAGGATGACTCTGCTTGTAAAGTTTCCACACTTCTGGGAAATCCTGGATATCGGTCTTCGAACAAATACCCAAATCCGAAATCAACCCCGCAATAGCGCGCGCGGTATACGCACCACGCGAGAAGCCGAAACACAAGATCTGGTCGCCGGGGTTCCAGTTCAATACACAGAAATTGTATGCTTCGATGACATTCCCTTCGAGATCTTTCCCTGCAGATACATGGCCGTTTGAGTTCGTGCCGACTCCGGAGTCATACCAAACTACTTGTTGCCAGGGGAGGTGGTCGTCGTTGTCGATGCCGACGCTGTTGATTGCGCGACAAAGGCGGGTTACGTTGGATGGGATGCTCTCTTCGCCGGAGACGGCCGACTGACCGCTTCCATCGCAGCAGATGATGATGCGCTTGCGAGATGGGGAGAATTTGGATTTGGAGATGTCGCCCATTTCCCCAGGGCCGTGGCTCATAGCGTATGGGTGTAAAAGAATAAGTGTACTAGGATCTCAATATCAACGCTGGTCTTGATCGAGGGAGACATTGGATTATTTATGCCGAAAGGGGCTTTCAGCTGAACACGCATGGCTCAGCTGAGTGTCTTGGAAATCAACTTGCCTCTCTCCGTCTTGTCGTAAGAGTCGCTAAAAATGACCGATTTCTATGAAGCGATCGGGAATCATAGCCCCTTTTGGATTTGAATTCTAAAATACCCACCACACACATACATACTCAGGTTGTCTAGCAAGATCGTGATAGATAGATAGATAGTCTTTTTTTTTTTAATTATAGAATGACGCTTTCGTGAACTCTCACCGTGAAGCTTCCTAGGCCGGGACACGGCGATCATTAATACCTGGGGTGGGGCTTTGGTGCCACAGCTGCTTGAGACCGTCAAGACCGTCAAGACCGTCAAGACCGCGAAGAACGTGGTGCCAACTCAAATTCATATCCTGGTTCGGAGGAAAGACATAGATACAATAAGTCGGGGATATCCGTGTGGCGCACGAGAAGCGAACCATCATGAACCTCTGGCCAGAATTCGGACATGCATGGACACTCCAAGAGTCTTGCAGTGACTAGCGCCTTGGCCAATGCTATAACTCAGTGCTTCTTTGACCGCTTTCTCCTCCACCCTACTTTACTTAAGAGGACAGGCCTGTGGCTTAGCACCAATGGTTTCTTCCTTCCGTCTATTCTCAGCTAGTGGGTCATTGAAAGCTCCATTTCCTGGGGCTCAGTTGAACGCTAATCATCGCGGTACACAAAGGCCTCACGCTTCTCTGGGACCAAGTTTAGCTTTGGAAATTTTCGCGCTAGTCACATTGTGAACATGGTGATGAAAAAATCAGGGAGATTCACCAGGGAGAGTTGAGGGTTCCTTTGTTCTTAATGCCTCGACCTCGGCTTGACCCAAAATTAAGGAATATACTCTTCCAGATTATCTCATAGGCCGGAAAGGACCCTAAGGTCTATTCTATCTTTCTTATGGATATTTACATTGTCGTACGTTGAACACAGGCACGAAGTGGAACGCGTAGTTCCCATCTACCCCGGATCCCCCCGCAAATGCATGTTAGAATCGCAAAGCCATGGAATCGGCAGAAGTCAAAATTGCCTGCCGAGAGCTCTGCGGATATACATCAAGCGTTGCCCCACCAGACCGCTTAGAGCATGATGACCAATGTGACTAAGGCAGGAATAAGGCTTCACGCGGAACGTGGAGAAGGCCGGCTATATTCTCTTCCACCGGTCAGATGCTGAGGCTAACGCTTGTTAGAGCCAAGGCTTATCCCTGGTTTCGCCTCAATTACACTCACATTGGACATAGAGAGGGAGAAGGAAAGAAAATGAAGGTATGGAAGAAGTACGGCGGAAATGGGGGGAATCCCGGTGCCAGTTAATTCCGCTACGCTGAGTGAGCGGGGGCCAAGTTTATTGCGGGGGTGAAGCTCGAGCTTCTAAATCCGAACTTTCAAGTCAAAGACCACCCTGGATGACCCCCGCCGGAACTACCGACAGAGCGTAAATCCGGTCTATGAATATAAACGCCTACCCCAGATCTTTCTTCCTCTCGTTACTCCAGACTCCATAAACCAGCTCCCGTCGCAATGGATCCCTCCCAAGTCAAGATCCCGCCGATGAAAGACCTCACGGTCGACAACATCACCGAGAATGTGATCACGATCAATTCCCTCTGCGAAGATCAGCGCATGAAATACATCCTCGAGCGCCTCGTCACACACCTCCACGACTTCGCCCGCGAAACCCGCCTCAGCAGCGACGAATGGATGACTGGTCTCCGCTTCCTGACCGAAGTCGGCCAAATCTGCACCGATGTGCGTCAGGAGTTCATTCTTCTCTCCGATGTCTTGGGTCTCTCGATCCTCGTCGATTCAATTGACCACCCAAAGCCCCCGGGCTCCACCGAGGGTACGGTACTGGGTCCCTTCCACACCCACGACGCCGAGGAGATGCCGGCGGGCGAATCCATGTCTCACGACCCCAAGGGCGAGCCCCTGCTGGTCGTTTGCAACCTCCGTGATACCCAAGGTAAGCCCATCGAGGGTGTCAAGATCGATATCTGGGAGACCGACTCGACGGGCCACTACGATGTGCAGTATGCCGGACGCGAGGGACCCGATGGGCGCTGCATTATGCGCTCGGATAAGGATGGTGTCTTTTGGTTCCATGCTATTACGCCCGTCCCATACCCGATCCCTCACGACGGACCCGTGGGCAAGCTGCTGAAGAAACTGCATCGTCATCCCTTCCGCCCATCCCATATGCACTTTATGTTCCAGAAGGAGGGTTATGACCACTTGATCACGTATGTGGTTCTTTTCTTTTTCTTTTTTTCCCCCCTTGTTCCCAGAGACAATGTATAAAATTGGATGTGTTGTACTAACGCGACACTAGTGCTCTGTACCTCCGCAATGATCCCTATGAAACCTCCGATGCCGTCTTCGGCGTCAAGGATTCTCTCACCGTCGACATTGGCAAGGCTGGACCTGAGATCGCCAAGAAGTATAATGTCCCCGAGGGCCATGCGCTGCTCACCTATGACTTCGTACTCGTTTCCGAGGCCGAGACGAGCGAGTTACGCGCAAAGAACTCCAAGATTGCCCTTGATGCTCTTGGTCGGAAGGTGAAGATCGTGAACGGACTGCCTGTGCCGGATCTGGATTAAGCATGGAGTTGAATTATTAAAGAGGACTCAGGATGGGATAAGTGCACACGATGGCCGTACGAATTTGACTATGAAACTATGACACGAATTGAAAATCTCTTGACTTTCCAAATTTTCCAAAGTTTCCAATAATGACACCTTGAAGAGTTGCGATGAACGACCCGAATTTCACGGTTTTAGGGCATGTGAAGTAGCATAGTCTCATACATCACATGTTGCATCTCATACAGTCGGACCTGCTGGTTTCCTTCCTCGCTGAGTGGCAAAATGGGCAAGATGAGATCGTGATGCGCATGAAATGCCCGGAAAGAAAGATGATTGGCTTTCTATTTTGTCCGCCAATTGCTCTTCCTTGATTGCTTTTTCTGTGCGAGGTTGCAGATGATCCAAGTACCCAATGTCCGCACCAGTAGAGTTGTGCACTGTCTCATCCCTACCGTTGAACAAGGATGCAGTGCGACCCTGCCAGGAAGTCGGAAGTTGGGGAAATACTTTTAATGATGTTGATTTCTGCAGATTTCTGTTAGAAATCAGCAATCTTAGACCATCTATCACAAAATGCGTGCCTACGTGTTACTATCAGTGGTAGCTTCCTTATGCTCTGCTCTGGTTCTTCCAGATCAAGAGATTCTTGCGGCCCTTTCAAAGGCTTTCCCAGGTCTCCAGGAGCATGAACACTCTCAGTCCTTCTCCACTGGTGTAGGTAGCCAGCATGTTGAGCCAGATATCGAGACATGGTGGGAAATGGTTTCGGCTATGACTCGGGACAGACATGACTCTGCCGCTGATCTATTGTTGAGTCTGCTGGGAAGTGATCTTAGCTTGGATGGTGCTGTCAGGGTTCCAAAGGAGAGGAACCCTGGGAGTGATGGCACTGACGACGATGAAGGTGGTGGAGGCAACAATAGGAAAGACGATGATGAGGATGATGAGGATGATGAGGATGATGAGGATGATGAGGATGATGAGGATGATGAGGATGATGAGGATGATGAGGATGAGGAGGATGAGGAGGATGAGGATGATGAGGAGGAAGATGAGGATGATGGGGACGACGAGAGACCGGACTTTCGCTGTCAAGCAGGTCCAGAAACAAGACTCCGACCTGGCTATTCTAGACATCCAAGGCTAGGATATGCCCGGCTCTTGCCCGAGGATGATCGTCGAGCATGTCCGCCCGAGGTATTCTGTTCAGAAGACCACACCATCTGGGAGCTGATCAATGAGAGCGCGAAAACCTCACGACTTGCGAGCCTCATAGAAAACAATGACGACCTGGTCAGCGTGCTCAACAGCACTGCAGCAAAACACACTCTATTCGCGCCAACAAACAGAGCCCTGGAGCGACTGCTTCACGAAGAGCCTCCGACCCATCTGCTGAAACAGATCGAGCACTACCATGTCATCTCTGGTCTCTTCAAAACAGACAAGCTTCGACGCCACCAGACACTGCGAACCGCACTGAACGAGTCCTATTTAGGCGAAAACATGCCACAGCGCGTGGTAGTGAATAAACGCCGGAACGCCCTGGTGCTGAACGGCCTCAGCCGTATTGTAGCAGGCGATATTGTGTGTCAAGTCCCAGATGCCTGCAGAGAAGCAAATTCATTAACGAGTCCAGCTCGCTAACAATGGTATCATCCACCACATCAACAACCCTCTTTTACCACCTCCAAACACAAGTGCCATTATCGATCTTCTCCCGGCCCACTTCAGCACTTTCGCTCACGGTCTCGAACGCACAAAACTCACCAAGTACTTCTGGAAAGACAATCGCGCCGGCGGAACAACATTTGCCCCTACAAACGCGGCATTCGAGCGCCTTGGACCTCTCGCAAATGCCTTCTTGTTCTCTCCACAGGGTGAGCAGTGTCTGCGGTCTTTGCTACAGTATCATATCGTGCTGAATCAGACCATGTACTCGGATGCGCTGTACGCGAAGGGAAATGTGCTCGAATTTGGAGGGAATGATTCGAGTGCTTCAGTCCATGTGGGATTGCCGACGATGTTGAAGGGTCATACTTTGAATGTTGATGTGGCGACGAGAGGGCCTAGGGTTGAGGTTAGGGTGAATGGGTTTGTTCGGGTTGTCGGATTGGATCTGGTGGCAAAGGATGGGGTGCTGCATGTATTGAACGAAGTGTTGCTTCCATCGAAGAAGGTTGGAGGGAAGATGAGACGGGATGATGGAGTGGACAGAATTGGGTTGGAGTGGTTAAAGCAGCAGCTGGGAGGCTGTGTTGGAGAAAAGTCGGCGCGCATGGATCTGTGATAGTGAGATGTTTCCCGTGGTCTACTTGTGTGCCAGGTTGAGATTTGAGTTTCTTCATTCTTTATCTTCTGTATTTCCATGAGATATTGCGGGTGTTGCCGTGCCTGGCAAAGAGAAATAATAACGAGATTACGCAGACTTAAGGACCTTGCTGATGAAAGCAAAGGGGAAGACCGGATCCATTGCGCGCCTGTTTATATATGAATCCTGGAGGTATAACAATAACGGTACCCAAGAGCCATCGTAGTCATAGCCGTAGACCAATGCTATCATATCAACTTAGTGCATTCTTCTTGTCGGCTTCATCAGTGCCTGGAAGGAGGACTCGAGAGCCTTCTTGACTTCCTTGAAGCTAACGATGAAACAGCTCTGCTCGTCACGGCTGACCAGGGTGACTTTTTCGTCAGAACCGGCATCGAGCTTGTTCAGACATGCGAGGATGTGTCCGAGATCAACCACTGGCTCGCCCTGGGGGTCCACCTGGTGGAAGACGTAGTCCCGGAAAATCTTCAAAAAGTATCGCTCCCCGCTCTCAGACCATTGTCGGTCATGCTCGTATTCAGGTCGCTCATTGACAAGGTTCAATTTGGTCATGAGACGCACGAGGCGGCCGTTCTCAAGCTCACGGCTAAGATCAGACGTGAGCTGATCGTCAAGGTGAAGTGCTGAATCAAAAGTTGACATCAACTGCGACGAGATACCCGTAATAAAGATGTCGATGGTTCGCTCCGCATCTTTCTGAAGACCGTTGAGTAGCCAGAAGACAGAGTTCTTCATCTGAGGGCTATAGGCACGAGTGAAATGTTCCATAGCTTTAGTAGGGTTGTGCATCACGGTGGGAGAGTTGGCCCCCAAAGCGACGATCAATTGCCCGAAGTTGACAAGATCCTGCCGCTGGAGATCCGCAACGGTCCGCTGAGAATCAAACTGAACGACGTCCAATATCGAACAAGCGTTGAGACGGATTCGATTCTTGCCGGTCAACAATACTTTACTGGGCTCCAGCACTCTTGCCGCAAGGCCATTGGTGTGAATGGCCTTTAACGCATTGGCAATCTGAGTCATGTAGCCCCAAATAACCTGCTCAGGAATGTGGGTGTTGTGCCGAGTGCCCTGGAAGCGGTTCCCAGCACCCAAATGCTGCTCAGCCAGCGTTTTGGAAAGAGGATGGTAGTCGGTGACGAAAATGAGCGAACTATCCTGGAAGCTTCGGCTTGTAAAGGCGTCATGGACGGTGACCACACTTCCACTGCACACGCGCTTCCAAGCCTGGACGGATCGGATGGCCTTCTCGTTGGTCAAACGGAACCCTGCGCGAGTTAGATGATGTTGCTTGGTAGGTATGATAAGCTCTCGTACCTTCAAGCCTTCGGAGGGCGTAAAAGTTTCCGTCCTTGCTCGACTGAGCTTTATAAACCCAGCTCGGATAGCCGAATGTTGCTGCATTCTTTTGGTGGCTAAGGTCCAGCGGGACTAAAGAGTGGAAATAGTCGACCTGGGCGGGAAGTGTTGTGTCTGGGAGAAGTCAGATCAATTTCAGATGAGCTTTGGGTATCTGATCAATGTACTAGGTAGGGTTTGCAAGGTAGCTGCAGCCTTCTTCTGCAGTTCCTCGCGGAAGTCATTAGGGAGAAAGAGGTCGTGAACGTTGCGCTGGTAGCCCAGAGTATTCTGATTGTGAGGGCCAATTGGCGCATAAAGATGATACTGGACCTGCGCAGATTGTTAGTCATTTCCTGTCACATTCACATGGGAATCATACAGGTTGTTGGAAGCCAGTCTGGCTTGCGAAGAAAGCTCCACCCATTGCGGCAGCCCCGTCGTGGGCGTACGGATTACCTGCAACGGGGCCAGCTGCAGACATGGGAGCAGAGGTGACAAAAGGATCAAAGCCAGCAGCAGCAGCAATAGCACCATTTCCATTACCCTGAATAGGTCCCTGGCAGTAGCAGTTAGCAGCGATCAAGTCCAGGCTGGAGCTGCGGGGTTTCGATGTGCTTTGTTCGGGGACGGGATCGAAATCATCTGCCAGCGCACTCAGGCTCCGACTGGAGCGCCAGCGCAAAGATACCGGCATTTCGTAACTGAGCAAGCAGAGCCCCGTGTTTGGAATTTGGCGAAATCCCGGTCGCAACTCAGGTAGCGACATAACGGAAGGAGCAGCTTACCACGTGAGCACCTTCAAAACCGCCAGGCACAAATTCCTGCACTTCAGCCAACGTCCAGTCGGGGGTTCCTGGTTCCTGCCTCATTGTTGGGGTACTTGTGTTGGAGCCTTGACCTGTCAGCATACATTACTCCGAGTTCGATTCGATGGACATACGCGACGCCGTAGGTCGGGGTTGGAACGGAGCTGCATTTGCAGCTTTTGGGGAGATAGGATTGGATTTTTTTGGGCCGTTGCCGTTTCCAGAGAGAAGAGATGGGGTAAAGCTGGGCGAGTCCACGTTGAAGCGTTTCTTGTTGCTGCATACATTCGTTAGCATGTCCTGTGCATGTCTTTTGGAAGATAAACAGTACGCCTTACCTATCGGACTGATTTGCAGTGTTAAGCTTATGGGGGTCATGATTAAAAGCACAACCTAGATAGAGGACCTCCGGTCAGACTGAGCAAGAAAGATACCCTAGCTTTAGTGTCGTTACCTTTATCTTCGTAGCGGCATCGGCCATAGATGGTTACATTGCGACATAATGTATCTTTTGCGTTCTCTGTTCCAATATCTCCAGTAAGCGATGTTCGCGGATCGTTACCCATTTCTGACACTTTCGTCTACTTCGTCTATCGAGGTCTATTCCCGGCGCGAGCTCATCGTGACACACTCACCTCGTGTCTTCATTTTCGGCGATCCAGTCGTGCGACGGGAATCGTCGAGTGGAGGTTTCGCGGACGAGGCCATGGTGGATGGCTAATACCGGGACGTGACAGATCAGCGCAGGAGGATCTCCATTGAAACGGGACCGAGGACGATGCGATTGAGGTGATCGAGAGGAAGCCGCATTCCTGCGAGACACCTATACACTCGGCGCGTTGATGGAAGGGCGGACCAATGAAGGAATCGACGGGGATCGGAAGTATATCAATATCTCGGGCAAACACCATGCATGTAAGAATAGGAGGCCCAATGCCGGCACCAGATGTCCACCAAAAGCAGATCGAGCAGAGAACGGATGGAATAGGAGGACGCGGGCGAACTCGACCCAAGGGGCCGCGCACGGGCCAGGCGGTCAAGCGATAGCCTGGCACCGTTATCATTTGAGAATATGGAACCCGGACATTCTATACTTACCCAGGTCAATGCTGGTGTTTTTTTCGCCTTCAGTGCTCTGAATAGAACATGTCTCGTGGAATTGACACCTTCAAATCTAAAAGCTTGGAACATTCGGACCTGATCATCTCCATCGGCGCATGTTGTCCTCAATATATATATATAGACTCTCTATTATTCCATCAGATGGAATCTTACTCTCTATCCATCCTTGGGAGGCTGTTGTTCAATGCACATGACCCAAGTATCTCACCTACAGCAGGTACATTACGGATACCACCGCATCACTAGGCTAATAGTATTGATAGATCCCTCCCTTCATTGATAGCAGGTCCCGGGAGTACCTTGCCTTATCGTGACAATCCCCCCGGATGATGTAATATGCCGAAGGCCCCTCCAGGGCTGAACAGGCCATCTTTTCAAACCAAGGGCTGAAAATGTGCCAACAGACATACTCAGTCATTACCGACGTTTAAATACATATCTATATTCAGCTTCTGTAGTTACGTAGAATCCTGTCCCAAGCTCTGGACGATAAGCGTGGTCCGGTCGTATGCAGGGAAGGCGGTGACCCGGCAGTATACATGTCCTTTCAAGTGCTCCGACAGCGTTGTCTCCTCACCTACCCACCATGTCCGCTGCTGAGCTCGACCTCGATCAGCTCTCTCCTAGTGAGAGAACGGCATTGGATACATATACATCTGTTACAGGTCAGGATCTACCAGAGGCCATCCCGCTACTGCGTCGGTCACAATGGAACGTCCAGGTAAGTGCTCTTCTCCGAGCTCCGAGGTAGCTTGCTCATCCCCGCATAGATAGCTATCGCCAAATTTTTTGATGGCGAGGGACCCGACCCGGTTGAAGAGGCCCGAGAGGCAATGCATTCCTCTCCACCTCGACCGACTCGTCGAACCCAGAACTTGATGTCCGATGACCTGACGGCGCAATTGACGCCTGTTGCACGGTCCGCAGACCTGGCCCCGCGAGTCGATACTCAATCCGAAGACCACCCTGTCTATCGCCCTCCCTTCATCTTGGCTCTTCTGTTCACCCCCTTTAATCTCGTCTACCGACTACTCTGCAGCTCATTTCGTCTCTTCGGGACGCTTTTCCTTTTCCTCCCGCGGCTTTTCAACGCTACAGCGAATCCCGCTCTTCAAGGCGCACGAAGAAATACTACGGGTCGTCGATCACTCGGTCCGAAAGATACAGCGGCTCGTTTCATCCGCGAATTTGAGGAGGAGTATGGAACACACTCGGTGCCATTCTTAGAGAACGGATACAACATGGCCTTGGAGAAAGCTCACCGGGACTTGAAGTTCTTGTTGGTGGTTCTCACATCGCCCGAGCATGATGAAACGAATGGCTGGGTGCAGGATACTCTACTGGCACCGGAGGTCGTGGAGTTCATCAATGACCCGCAAAACAACCTTCTTGTGTGGGGCGGCAATGTCCGAGACTCCGAGGCATATCAAGTGGCCAATTCGCTACGATGCACAAAATTCCCATTTGTCGCATTGACTGTTCACACACCAAATGTCTCATCGACTGCCATGTCGGTCGTGGGCCGCATCGCAGGCAATACTGCGCCATCTGAATTTGTAAACCGACTTCGCACAGCCATCTCGACGAACCAAGAGCCATTGGAGCGCATCCGCGCCACACGTGCCGAGCAGCAGGCGTCTCGCAGCTTGCGTGAACAACAGGACTCGGCGTACGAGCGATCGCTGGCGATCGACCGGGAACGGGCTCGCCAACGCCGGGAAGCGGAGGCCGCCCGACAGAGAGAAGAGCAAGAAGCGGCCGAGCGTCAAGCGGCTGCAGAAAAGAGAGAACGGGATTTGGCACAGTGGAAGCTCTGGCGCGCACAGTCCATCAGCGCGGAGCCAGGGACCGATGTCAAGGATGCCGTGCGCGTAAGCGTGCGCTTGCCATCTGGCGAGCGTATCATGCGGCGGTTTGCGCCAGAGGCTGACATTGAGGAACTCTACGCGGTGGTGGAATGTTACGAGGTGCTTCAAGATGAGGCTCGGCCCACGAATGTTGTTGAGCCCGAGAATTTTGAGCATACGTACGGCTTTTCTTTAGTGTCACCAATGCCCCGAGCTGTGTTTGGGGTGGAAGAAGGCGGATTGATCCGTGACAAGATCGGTCGGGGAGGAAATCTATTAGTGGAACCGATAGAAGAGGTTGACGAAGAAGAGTCATGATAGTCTAGGATAGTGCATGAAATCCAATCAAAGTTGACTCGTGCGAGCGAAACTCAAAGAGAAACCCCGCTTCACTATGCAAGGGCCTATCAGTTTCGGCTACAGCTATGACCTACCTCGAGACCAGATTCCTTCTTAAGTAGACTCGTCAGACCTGGCACAAACTCGATGAAGACGGACGAAACATGCACAACCTTACCTCGAAACGGACAAAACGGACGTGCGTATCCATGTGTCAGCACGGATCGGAACTCCACACTCCCGAGGCCACGGTAAAAAGGAGTCTCGGAATGGGTCTTCCCGAGTGCACTTGAAACGTGACTCCACGTGTCTCCGTGCCATGCATATAGTCCCGGTGTGGGTGTCCCACGCTACAAGTCTACTGCATGCCTGGTCAGTGGGACGTCGCTTAGGACAACATTAGATGAAGCTAGACTCGATATAGTTATACGTACTCTTGGCTCGAAGATTCTAGCTAACCGTACCCCTACTCTCCGGATTCTAGAGTTTAGGCAGCTCCGCGGCCCCGGTTGTTTATCACCGTCGGAGGCGAAAACTTGATCCTCCCGGTCCCTGTAACGCTCCCGCTTCCGAACAAACTTCTCCTGAATTTTTTCCTTTTATTTATCTTTTCTCTAGTAAACTTCCGTCACTCTTTTATATTCTCCTCCCCTATACGCCTAATACTCTCCCTAATATCCCACCATTCGCTCTTAATCCATTTCTTATCGACAACACGTCTCAGTGGATGGTCATCCTATAACTCGTCTATCACTGGGCTTGCGACCCCACTTTATACAGATTTATACGCCCCAACTTCTAATCAGTCCGGAGTGTGCCCATCATGTCGCTCCTAGGGACTATCAACCCTAATGTTGCCGGGACAAGCTATGAGTCTACGGCGGTCTCGAACGAGGTCCGTCACCACGACGCCGCAGGCAGTGTCAGCACCGAGGAAACCTCGTTTGAAAAGACCGGCGAGATTGATGAGGAGATGATCGAGGCTGAGGTCACCAGCCTCGCCCGTAAGTTGACCCGGGAGTCTACTCGCTGGGGGGAGGCGGAGAACACCTTTCTCGAAACAAAAGAGGAATCGACCCTCAACCCCGCCAGCCCAAATTTTAAGGCGCGCAATTGGATGAAGAACCTGCTTGCTGTCAAGTCTCGCGACCCAGAACGATACCCCGAGCGCCAAGCTGGCGTCGCTTTCCGTGACTTAAACGTGCATGGATTTGGCAGCCCCACGGATTACCAAAAGGATGTGTTCAACTCGGTCTTGCAGATTGGAGCTCTAGCTCGCCTAGTCACCGGCACTGGAAAGCAGAAAATTCAGATTCTGCGTGATTTCGACGGCTTGGTCAAGAGCGGCGAGATGCTTGTCGTTCTGGGCCGTCCCGGTTCCGGTTGTTCGACCTTTTTGAAAACTCTTGCTGGTGATATGAACGGTATTTACAAGGACGACAAGTCTTACATGAACTACCAGGGTATTTCCGACAAGAAAATGACCAACCAGTTCCGTGGCGAGGCTATCTATACCGCTGAAACTGATGTCCACTTCCCCCAGCTAACGGTAGGAGATACCCTGAAGTTCGCGGCTCTGGCTCGTGCTCCTCGAAACCGCTTGCCCGGAGTTTCTCGTGAGCAATACGCCACACACATGCGCGATGTCGTCATGGCTATGCTGGGTCTCTCGCACACCATCAACAGCCGTGTCGGTAACGATTTCGTGCGTGGTGTCTCGGGTGGTGAGCGCAAGCGTGTCAGTATTGCCGAGGCCACCCTTTGCGGTAGCCCTCTGCAGTGCTGGGATAACTCCACCCGTGGTCTGGACAGTGCCAACGCTCTCGAGTTCTGCAAGACCCTGAACTTGATGGCCAAGTACTCTGGCACCACCTGTGCAGTCGCTATCTATCAGGCCTCCCAGAGTGCTTACGATGTCTTCGATAAGGTGACTGTGCTCTACGAGGGTCGCCAGATCTATTTCGGCCGCACAGAGGACGCCAAGGGCTTCTTCACCAACATGGGCTTCGTTTGCCCCGAGCGCCAGACCACCGCCGATTTCCTGACCTCCCTCACAAGTCCTGCTGAACGTATTGTGAAGCCCGGCTTCGAGAGCCGCGCTCCTCGTACCCCTGATGAGTTCGCCGCCGCCTGGAGGAACAGCGATGCGTACAAGCAGCTTCGTAGAGAGATTGATGAATACGATCAGGCTTACCCTATTGGCGGAGAGTCGCTGCAGAAGTTCATTGAATCACGCAAGGCTATGCAGTCCAAAGGCACGCGCGTTCGATCTCCCTACACACTGTCTGTCATTGAGCAAATCAATCTTTGCATGAATCGTGGCTTCCAGCGCCTGAAGGGCGATGCAAGCTTGACCTTGTCTCAGCTTATCGGAAACTTCATTATGGCCCTCATCATCGGTTCCGTCTTTTTCAACTTACAGGATACAACTGAAAGTTTCTATTCGCGCGGTGCCCTTCTTTTCTTCGCCGTCCTGCTTAACGCTTTCTCCAGCGCCCTGGAGATTCTGACTCTCTATGCGCAACGTCCTATTGTCGAAAAACAAGCCCGATATGCCATGTATCATCCGTTCACCGAAGCTGTAGCGTCGATGCTTTGCGACATGCCATACAAGCTTCTCAACGCCGTAACGTTCAACGTGACCCTTTATTTCATGACCAATCTTCGCCGAACTCCTGGTGCTTTCTTCACCTTCCTTCTATTTTCGTTCGTGACCACCTTGACCATGTCCATGATCTTCCGCTCTATCGCGTCGTATTCTCGAACCCTCTCCCAGGCTCTGGTGCCAGCCGCCATCTTGATTTTGGGTTTGGTCATTTACACTGGTTTCACTATCCCGCCCACTGACATGCTGGGTTGGTCTCGCTGGATGAATTACATCGATCCCATCGCATACGGTTTCGAGTCTCTCATGGTCAACGAGTTCCACAACCGAAACTTTACCTGTTCCAGCTTCGTTCCTTCCTACCCGACCGCCGACTTGGCCCACCAGGTCTGCTCTACCAAGGGTGCTCAGGCTGGCTCAACTATTGTGATGGGCGACAACTACCTTCGCGAGAGCTTCCAGTACTACAACAGCCACAAGTGGCGTAACCTGGGCATTATGTTCGCTTTTATGATCTTCTTCATGGCTACCTACTTGATCGGCACTGAGTACATTTCCGAGTCCAAGTCCAAGGGTGAGGTTTTGCTCTTCCGTCGTGGTTACTCTCCCAAGCGCACCGAGTCCGATGATGTTGAGGGAGCTCAGGTCGTGTCCTCTTCTGAGAAGACCAATGAGTCGCCCAAGGAAGTTTCTGCCAAGATTCAGAGACAGACTGCTATCTTCCACTGGCAGGACGTTTGCTACGATATCAAGATCAAGAGCGAGGAACGCCGCATCTTGGATCACGTCGACGGTTGGGTCAAACCCGGTACTTGTACTGCCCTGATGGGTGTGTCTGGTGCTGGTAAGACGACTCTGCTTGATGTACTGGCTACTCGTGTCACTATGGGTGTTGTTTCTGGCGAGATGCTTGTCGATGGCCGTATGCGTGATCAGTCCTTCCAAAGGAAGACCGGTTACGTCCAACAGCAGGATCTTCATCTCTACACTACTACCGTCCGTGAGGCTCTGCGTTTCAGTGCCATCCTCCGCCAGCCCGCGCATGTCAGCCGCCAAGAAAAACTGGACTACGTCGAAGAAGTCATCAAGCTTCTGGGAATGGAAGGATATGCTGATGCTATCGTTGGTGTTCCCGGTGAAGGTCTCAATGTTGAGCAGCGCAAGCGTCTCACCATCGGTGTCGAGCTCGCGGCTAAGCCCCAACTGCTTCTCTTCCTTGATGAGCCCACCTCCGGTCTTGACAGTCAAACCTCATGGTCTATTCTCGATCTCATTGATACCCTGACCGCCCATGGACAAGCCATTCTTTGCACTATTCACCAGCCCTCTGCTATGTTGTTCCAGCGGTTTGATCGCCTTCTCTTCCTTGCCAAGGGCGGCAGAACGGTCTACTTTGGTGACATCGGCGAGAAGTCTTCCATCCTTTCCAGCTACTTTGAGAGAAATGGCGCACCCAAGCTGCCCCTGGAAGCCAATCCTGCTGAGTGGATGCTTGAAGTAATTGGTGCCGCCCCGGATCTCACAGTGACATTGATTGGCCTGCCGTGTGGCGGGATAGTCCTGAGCGTGTCAAGGTGCACGAACATTTGGCTGAACTGAAGACCACCCTTTCCCAGAAGCCCATGGATGAATCGTCCAACGATCCTGCCAATTTCAAGGAATTCGCTGCTCCCTTCACTGTTCAGCTCTACGAGTGCCTGATCCGCGTTTTCAGTCAGTACTGGCGTACTCCCGTCTACATTTACTCCAAGGCCGCTCTCTGCATATTGTCCGCTATTTACATTGGTTTCTCCTTCTTCCACTCTCCGAACAGTCTACAGGGTCTCCAGAACCAGATGTTCAGTATCTTCATGCTGATGACCATCTTCGGTAACCTGGTTCAACAGATTATGCCTCACTTCGTTACCCAGCGTTCTCTGTACGAAGTCCGCGAGCGTCCCTCAAAGACCTACTCGTGGCAAGCTTTTATGACCGCTAATATCCTCGTCGAGCTGCCTTGGAACACACTGATGGCTGTTTTGATCTACGTCTGCTGGTATTACCCCATCGGCCTGTACCGCAACACTACCAGCGAAACCTTACACGAGCGTGGCGCGTTGATGTTCCTCCTCATTTGGGCCTTCCTTCTCTTCACCTCGACCTTCGCTCACATGATGATCGCCGGTATTGAGCTTGCCGAGACTGGTGGAAACCTGGCCAACTTGCTCTTTTCTCTCTGCCTTATCTTCTGTGGTGTCCTCGCGACCCCGGACAAGATGCCCGGCTTCTGGATCTTCATGTACCGCGTCTCGCCATTCACGTATCTTGTGTCTGCGATGTTATCCACTGGTGTGTCTGGAACGGAGGTTGTCTGCGGAGATGTCGAGTGGCTCCACTTCTCGCCCCCGTCCGGTCAGACGTGCGGGGAGTATATGGCTCCTTACATCCAGAGCTTTGGAGGAAAACTCCAGGACGAAACCGAACTTTCCACCACCGAGTGCTCTTTCTGTAGCATCTCTGACACCGACACTTTCCTTGCCGCCGTCTCGAGTTACTACAAGGACGCCTGGCGCAACTTCGGCATCATGTGGGCGTTCATCATTGCCAACATCTTCCTTGCTGTTTTCATCTACTGGCTGGCTCGTGTGCCCAAGGGCAACCGCAACAAGACCAAGAGCTCCTGATTCTCACTGATCTTTTCTCTTTTCTCTCAATTTTACTCCCAATACTAATGGGTAAGATCTTGCATATACTCTTTCATGTTAAATAATTTCCTTTCATACCTGCTAGATGCTTTTGCTTGCCCAGGTGCATATTTGTTTTCTCGCGCATGAGGATAAATTGGGTGTTTGTTCCCCTTTCTCATCGGCTTATATATCGGAAGTCTTTTGGACATCAGTCTTAGAAATGTACATCGGTAATAAAGCAATTCCAGTGCGTCCTGCACCTATGATCATTTGAACTTCTAGTCAGATGCTCCGGTATTTTCAAGTTGTGACAGATGCCAAGGCTTCCACTTTCCGATAAATCCACCCCGTTCATAGCAGAGGCATCATCTTCAAGCCTGAGAACATTTGAGTTGTCCATAGCCCTACAAGCATTCAACAGGAAAGTAGACGATGTTAGGCCTGATTCTTTTTGAAGAAAAGCTCAAAGCCAGGAGATGACTCAATGCAATGTATACCAAGGCGTTGTTACAGCTCAAGAGCTCGTATTCAGTATCTTGTTGCGGAGCTCTGCGAGTAACGTATTAAAAATGTACTTGATGTCAAGAATTCTGCCCATACTCAGCTTGCCGAGATTACTACAGTCAGTGAAGTATACCTTTGATTGATCAAAAATTGCGATTCGACCGGACCCGGCAAAAAGTAGTGGCCCTTGCCAGATTGTTCACATCTATTCCTGAAAACAGCTTTAACCAGGCCAAATCAAGGTAACCATTCAAGAACCCACTGATGAAAGAGATAATAGAAACAAACAAACAAACTCCACCGACGCCAGCGCAGGAACGACCATGGAACTCAACAATCAAGAAATTTCTAAAGAAACAGATTCTACCATGTAAAGGCCTCCTCCGTGAAATCAACCACAGCCCCTTTCCCAATTCTATCTCTTGTCGCAGCCCGCACTTCATCCGCGAACGCTCCAGGTCCACAGACAGAAACCACAGTCGCACCCACGCGTTTAGGAAGAATCTCATCGAGCACGACATCGGGACGACACCGACCCGATAGCATTTGCACCGTCGCAGACGGGGAGATGATATCTGCAGGGCGTCGTGGTTTCGATACGAATAGTTTGACGACAAGGATGTCGCGACGGCAGGGCATGCGCAAGATCTGGTCCATCCACTGGCTGACCCAGGCGAGGTGATCAGTTGAACGAACAGACCAGATGAGATAGATGCGTCGGGTGGCAGCGCGTGATGTCGAGGCGCGTTCGAGGAGGTCGCGCGTGTATAGCAGGTGGTGCGTAATGCCTGCACCGGCGGAGAAGAGCACGGCTGTCCCGTAGCTGGGCATGCTAACTGGGTGGCTGCCGTAGGGACCTTCGATGTACCCCGGAGCGCGGAGGATTTGGTCTGGTTTGCTGCGGGCGAGATCGTATAGGCGGCGGGTCATGCCTTGGCGGGCACTGATGATGAGAGAGACTTTTGTCGTTTGGGTAGGTGGATCGAAGTAGGTGTCCGTTTCGAATGATTGTTTCTCAAGGGCTGAGGGTGTGACGGCTTTGGCATTTGTGCCGGGTTCGAACCAAGCTATTGAGAAGGGGTGTGACATCCACCATGATACGCAAGGAATATAGGCAAAGACATGGCAGCCGGGTGAGATGTTCACGCGCTTTGGGAGGTGGAAAGTCACTCGGCATGCTTCGCCGGGAAGGGCCTGGACAGTCATCTTTGTGCTACCATTGCGGGATGAGAGGTTCAGGTGCGCGAGTCGGAGGAGGCGTATACAGCGCTCCGTGAGCCAGATTACCGCGATGGCATGGGCCCAGCTCCGCTGAGGAAGACTATCCAGACTCAGGTGAGCGTATACACCGATGAAGGCCAATAATGCGGCAAGCTGGTGAAGATGAAGGAATGTCTCATAGAACGCATGGCGAATAGGCGAAGGAGAGTGTAAGACGAGGAAGATCATCGCCCCAGTTCCGACCATTCCCCAGGCGAAGAATGGGGTGTCTCTGATGCGTACGAGCGTGGCGGTGAGATTTTGTTCGTCGCAGGCGTTCACTGCCCAAGCAGCTGTGTGAGTGATGGCTTCAAGCACGACGATGCGACCCAGCCAGCGATGGATCAGGTTGTAAGTATCAAAGCTGATGTGCAGAATAGCGATGAGAGGATTGTTACGGGTTGCCAAGAGGAACAGTGGTACCATATTCAGGACCGCTAGCGTCCCCGAGCGCCCACGGAGCTCTGCGACCAGCGCAGCTTTCTCATTAACACCATAATCGAGGTACAGACAGTAAACCACCTGACTTGCCAGGTAGAAGCTTATCAATATGGTCTGGAATCGAGAAGGCAAGGTCCCCATGCCGATTGCAGAGGAGAGCTGGACTTCTCGGTTGTGCCTTTTCTTCCCCAGGGGTGCATAGATGATCTGCTTCTTGGCGAATGGCCACCATGAAGATTGTTCTAGGCTCCAAAAGTTCTGTTCTCTCTTGCTAGCTGACAAAGCGGTGATCTCACGAAGGTAGGAATGGCTGATCAGGGCGATTCGGCTACAGAACAAAACGAATGCCAGAATGATGACCGAGAAATAGATGATTCGGGTGATGATCACATCGCGAGGCACATCAACACCTCCCAGTCCCCGAGAGTACTCATAGATGTAGGTCGCATTGATTCCATAGGATCGTGCCGCAAGTTGCGGAGAGGGCGCAGCCATTGGTCTGCCCCTGACGCCTGTCGAGGGGCTAGAATCCACTGAACGTCAGCCTTGAAACTTCGGACGGTCTTCAACCCGTGCGAGGAGTAGCCGGCTATTCCAGAGAGATTTTTCTGGCGAGCTAGTAACGAGAAATCAGACCCTGAGTCTCCTATGTAGTTGTGTGACCGATATCTCGTTGATGGGGAGTCGAAAGGGAATGCGAAGATCAACGGTAGTGACGTTGAGGCAGATAGTATGAGATCACAGGTGAGAACAATGATCCAGTACCAAGGGGCTGAGCGGAAGCTTCACACAAGCGGACACAAAGAATAGTTGTCTCTCAGAGGCCCATTGTAGTCTCTGTCTATCGCTCGACCAACAGTTTCAGGTGTTGACAGCCTTGGCGCGATATATTGAATTAGAGTCGATATTGCAGCTCAGTTGCTAGAAACCTGCAAATTTCGGTCTCAACAGATGGTTGTTGAAGTCTAGGAAGAAGTTAGCAGATCGTCAGAGCAGATTCCTCGTTGCTTCCCACTCCAAAGGCATCGTCCAGGGCCGTGGAATGCAACAAGGGGGGAGAGAGGGGCCGCCCACGTTTTCTGCGGTCTTGTTTCCTTTGCGGAGGCAGATATTGGAACAGACAAATATGGAAAGACAAAGAATCTAGGAATCGATGTAGTCACAAAAGGAAGAAACTGTAAGCGTTCAACGCTGTGCAGGAGAATTATAGATGGAACAGGCAATCGAAGAACCAGCCGATTGAGACGGATAAAGAAAGAAAATTGCCTGAGACGAACACCCAAGACTCCTAGGACTCCTAGGACAGGGGCACAAATAAGAGGAAAAAAGAATCCTCCCGATGGAGCCATTCGACAGCACACATCCGAGGCCGCTCTACACTGCAGCCACTACCGGCCTTGAACTTCATTTCCTCGCTGCGCACCGACGCTAGCAGAGCTGACAGCAGCCTATCGGTAGGGCTCCTCGGACCAGGGGGTCATTGGTGTTTCCAGCATGCGCACTGTCCCGATGCCAGGATGCAGGAGTGGTGGAGTTTGGGGCTGTGATCCCTGCAGATCTGCGACCGGCGTGACGCCCTTGACTACGACTCGTGGAGCATAGAGTGTGTCCAGGGACTCATGGCCTGGAGCTTGAACCCACTTGTGGCCAGTGCCTCAAACGATGGCTTGGCGGAAGGGTTTCAGAGTTGTCAATCAGAAACCACCATCTCTGTAGCTTAGTGGGTGTCAGTCCTGTGGCGCGACGCGAGATTGAAAGAAATGTTGATATCTGAGTCGATTCGCATACTGTTGTATATTCCATAATCTCTTTGTGCTGAGTGCTCTATCGAAGCACCATCATGGGCAGCAGCGCATGATGAATGGATTGTTTCAAATCTTGAAGCGAACCTGGGAGATTGGCGCCTAGTTTCCAAGGCCCGCAATTGACAGGTGATCCACAGCTACAGCTTCGAACGACTCCCGCCACGAACATCGGCATCTCCGCGTGAAATGCCCCGGAAGCGAACAGGATGCGGATGGGCTGTTCAAGAATTACCTAATGAGTGGCTTGTCACCAACCTATTCGGGTATCTTCGCCTATCTTGGCTACCTAGATATGGCAATGTAGGAGGGTCTCTTTTGTTTCATATTAGGTTGAACGCCAAGATGGATGGATTCTTTCTATGACTCGAAAAGCTCCGGAATTTTCCTTCAAGGCTAGCGGGTATCTCGGAGCGCCGCTGCATCATGTTCTAGTCCTGCGTAGTATTCTATATACAGACATCAATCATAAGATTCCGGGCTTACCGGCCCATCCAGCCACCGTCGACGGTAATCAATTCTCCCGAAACGTAGCTGCTGGAGCCACTGGCCAAGAAAATCACCACACCCTTGAAGTCCTCCGGTTTGCCCACCGACCGGCGGGAATACGAGCCATGATACCGGCATTGCGGTTGGAATCGTTGATCAGCGCAACATTCATGTCGGTGTCAATGTAGCCGGGCGCAATGGCATTGACGTTGATACCCTTGGACACCCACTCATTGGAAAGAGCCTTGGTCAGCTGGCCGATACCACCCTTGGAAGCCGCATAGGCAGGGACAGTGATGCCACCCTGGAAGGTAAGGAGGGATGCGACATTGATGATATTTCCGCGATGGCCGGATGGAAACTCGGATACGTCCCGAGAAAGCAAATATGCGCCAAATTCACGACAGAGGACGAAGACTGAAGAGAGATTGACTTCGATGACCTGAATTCGGAAGTTTCGATTAGTGCTATGTTTTAAAATCCACAAGAAAGCTCTATAAGTGACTCACCTCATCCCAGTCCTCATCTGGGAACTGGTGACTCGGGTGTCGCCTTTGGATACCGGCGCAGTTCAAGAGAATATCGGGCTTGAATCCTTGGCTTGTCACTGCCGGGACGATATTCTTAACGGCCTTACGATCAGACAGCTCCGCGACGTGAATGTGTACTTTGCGACCAATTCGGCTCTCAATTTCCTCCTTCGTAGCCGTATTGGAGGCGTCTCTTTGCACCAGAATGATATCGGCCCCAGCCTCCGCCAGGGCAAAGGCCATAGCCTGGCCAATGCCGCGAGTGCCACCGGTGATGAGGGCAGTGCGCCCGCTAAGAGAAAAGAGAGATAAACCAGTTGCCATTGTGTGATGTGTAGAGAAGCAAAAACAACGGAGGGGTAATCAACCCCAAATAGTAGCTCTCGATGACGGTGTTTTACCCCACGCGCGGGGCGGTGTAATCGGCTATTTCCGTTGCCGATTCAGTCGCCGACGGCCATTGACCATCTTGATCGGGGGATACCGCGATATAACGGAATTATCTCCGGAAAATGTCAACCGAGAACAATCTTTCAGCCCACGAATGGCGATGTAGCTGGAATCAAAATAACAACGCATTTGAAAGGGCACAGTATAGAGACAGGATTGTGTAGACCGAAGATTGGCTTCCCCACATTTTGAAACCTTAGTAAGAGCTCCGAGGACCTCGAGCTTCCTACTGTCAGTGGGTCAAATCGGCATTTGTGTTCCTCATCTACCCGGGGTAACCATGTCGCAGAAATCCTAGCGGCGAGAGATGGAATCTCCATCTGATGCGCCCTCTAAGCGGGCCGATGTCGTCAAGCGCGTCTCTCGGGCATGTTTACATTGCCGTCAACGCAAGTCGCGATGTGACCTGTACGCCCTTCCCCGGATCTGCACCTGTGTAATCCCGCTAATCTCGCGCATAGGGATACCAATGGAAATCCTGGCAAGCCGCCGTGCCAACGCTGTGTGCGCGAGCATCGCGAATGCGTCCTCGGTGGTTCCAACCGAGGCGGACGCCGCATTCGCAAGAACAAAATCAAAAATTTCACCCCAGCGGCCAATCCATCGCCGAGTAAGGAACCGGAGGGAATCTTCAGTCCTGCGAATTCGGATGTGCGCCGTGCGCCATCTGCATCTACTGTATCGGTAACTTATCCCGGACCGGTCGTCTTCATGCCTCCCAACCCCCCCGGCTTCAAGCTCCGCGGTTGTGGAAGACGATGATGCTTCAATAGGATCTGTTCCGCGTAACCCATCTGATGCCTGGCAATGTCTGACAGGTATCGCCACCCATAGCGCCCCGGCTCCTGAAGTGCACGGCCACCGTGCACGGTCGGAGTCCGGTAGCTTCTCCGCATTCAATGGCCTGCGCAACGGCGTTGTATCCGATTTCAATGCTCCGAACACTGGTATCAGAGCTTATCGGTTGGTTCAGTCACGGTCTTTAGATCCTGGGACTGTTTGGCAGCTTGTTACTCGTTATGCAGAGAATTTCCACCCGTACCTTCCATTAGTTCCACGGAGATATTTTGAGCGCACTGCACTTGACGACTTCGCCAACAATGAGAAATACCTACTCACTGCTGTGCTTACAATTGCCTCTAAAGATCTTGTCGACCGACCCGAGATTCATGAATACTGTTCAAAATACATGCATGAGTTGATCTCGGGTATTGCCGCTGGCGCAGACTGTGATGTCGAAGCAGTCGAGTCTCTTCTCTTACTAGCCGAGTGGGAACCACAAGGGCTGCGACCTCGCGTCGAGCGCGTGGGTCGCGGAGAAGAGGACAGAGCTGCGTGGATGCATGTTGGACTCGCATTGCGCTCGGGTTATTTTATTGGATTGGATCGAACGTCCTTCCGTGGGGATCCATATGGAGATCAAGAGACCGAGTCTCGTCGAAGATTAGCCTGGGCTAGCTGCTATGTCTCTGATCGATTGATCTCTGTGCGCATTGGCCGTGCTTTCTGGTCGCGTGGTCCAGGTCCGATGACTGGCCTTGTTAGCCAGGATTTTCCATCGCTACAGCCAGCAAAAGAGGGCGATGAGGATTACTCCAAGATTTTCCAGGCTATGTTGGATCTGACACAGCTGTACGGGAATGTGCACGAAGTTTTATATTCTGGGATGCGCACCAGCAATCAAATGATGCTGATGGGAGACTATGTGAAATATGTTGATGATTTTCGACTTGCTATTCTGCGATGGAAGTCTCTTTGGGGACCTCTGGACTGTATGATACCCATTCCATAAGTGTTGACGCTTTCAATCTGACCATATATAGGCTCAGCTCCTATGAAGGCAACATTACAGTTGTCATACGAATATTTGCGGCTATATACGACTGCATTCGCATTTCAGGCAGCGATTTCCCAGTCCTTGGCCAAGCCGAAGACTGGTGCAAACTCACATCGGGAAGAACTTCGGTCGACTTTCAAGAATGTGGCTTCGATGCAAGATTCTCGTTTCATCTATGAGTCGGTTGATGCAGCCAAGGCCTATTTGACCATTCTCGTGGATTCGGTAGATCCTGAGAGACATTTACATTTCATGCCACTCCGCTTCTATCTGTGAGTCTTCTCTCGGGCTTATTATATGAACTTTCGCTGATCAAGTTCTAGATATGGCATCTACTCTGCTGTCTTTCTATACAAGGTAGGTCCATCGATACCTAGATCTGAAGCAATTTGCTAACCCCCTTCAGGCTCGTTCTTTCGGAATGATGGTTCCTTCCGAGGAAGCCAAGGTCCAAGGGCTTGTCGCTCGAACTACAGAGGTCCTCAAACAAGCTAGTGCTGGCCCCGATGACATCGGAGCCCGCTACTCTCACCTGCTGGAGCTTCTGTGGAAGACAAAGCCGTCAATTTCAACAGCAGCCACAAATACCCAGCAGAACAGCGACTTCATGCAAACAGCTCTACCAAACCCCGTCTCTGATACCTACATGGATTTTAGCCCGGCCAACGACTTTTCCTGGCTGGACCTGGAAGCTGTGGGTGATTACGTGTCTGGAGACCCGATATCGGGTGGCCTGCTAGGTCTGGACGCTTTCCAGAATTCGACCGATCCTTACCAGCCTGGACAAGAAAGGCCACAAGTTTGGCAGCAATCTGCCTGGCTGGGCGATATGAGTAGTAATCTTCTGTTTTAGGCGCTGGTCAAGATGGTGACCAAAAGCCGCCGGGCGCTACGGCAAATGATGCGGGGCTACGGAGCTCCTCTCGGAGAACACCCCGACCATCGCGGGGGGTAACCGAACCACATCATTCGATCTTGGCTCTCACTTATTGACACAGCTACTTCTCAAATATTTCTTCTGTACAATGTCACTCAACGAGATCCGCGGGCGTCTAGCCCTAATCACCGGCGCATCTGGAGGGTGAGTTGAGACCAATTTACAATCTCCAGCCCCGCATGATCAATCGAGCTACAGGAACAAGCTTGCTAACATTGTCATTTAACTGTTAGAATTGGTGCAGCCTGTGCGCGCCAGCTCGCTCAACATGGAACCCACCTCGCCCTGACATACGCAACCAACCTTGATGCAATGAACACGATTGTCGCAGACATACAGTCAAAGTATTCCGAGAGCAACCTCCGTATATCAATTCACAAGGTTGATGTCGGATCTGCCGATCAGATCGAAGCCATGTTCCAGCAGATCGACAAGGAGCATGGCCAACGGCCAGATATTCTCGTCTCCAACGCCGGCTATGGCAAGCGATTCCCCAACATCTGGGAGATCGAACTTGAAGAGTTTGACTATACGCTCAATGTCAATCTCCGTGCATCATTTATACTGGCCAAGGGTGTTGTGGAGCACATGAAGAGCCAGCGCTGGGGACGCATTATTTTCATGTCCTCAATTGCTGCGCAAGGTGGAGGTATTAATGGATGTCGTGAGTTAGCCTCTCCTTTTCACACCGACTACATTTTAACCGAGTCATAGATTACGCCGCTTCCAAAGGCGGCCTCACAGGCATGATGAAGAACCTCTCAACTCGTCTAGCCGAGTTTAACATCAGCGTCAATGACGTTGCTCCTGCGATGATTGGCGACACGGGCATGATCCCCAACGCTGCCGCAATTCCCGAAGTCGCAGCTGGCATTCCGCTACAGAGACTAGGCACACCTGAAGAGACAGCAAATGTGGTCACGATGCTATGTAAAACTGGGTATATGACAGGCCAGAGCCTCCTGCTGGCTGGGGGATTGAAGTAGGCTATAATTAGCATTGGAAGGAATTTTTAATATAAGTGCTCATCTACATGCCACTGGCGCCTTTAACGACCTTCATATAAACTTTCCATCGACGGTACATCACGTTTCATTCAAATGCATATACACAATTTTGATTCTCACTATGCACATCATCCCCTATTCTCACAATGGGTATTTCCAGGTCGTCATCATCGTCATCAACATCACAAAATAAAACTCCACAAGACTTTACAGGTGGCTCTCGGCCTTGTTCTCAATAATCACCTTGACCACAGGGTTACCGCTTTCATCAACGCCCTTTCCAGCGAGCGCGAAGGCACGCTCACCTTCCTCCAGAGGCAAGCGGTGCGTCACGACCTTCTCCTCCACGGTATGTAATTTCCCGCTCGCCAACAATGCAATGGCTGCCGGGTAAGCGTTGCCATCGTATCGGAAGACACCAATGATATCGACCTCGCGCAGCGCGGCGGCGCCAACAGGAAGTGTCTGGATGGGGTTACCCATGCCGATCTGGACGAGAACACCTCCTGGTGCGGAGGCGTAGATCCCCGCCTGAACGCAGGCGGGCACACCGGTGCAATCGTACACGCGGCTGAAGCCAGAAACCTCGGGGCTGCCTGCAACATTGGCAGCCTCGGTGAGGGTAGCAGCGACGCGCTGGGCATTTGCAAGCGCATAGGCTGTCTGGTCGGCGTGGGGAGCATCCTTGGCAGGGGGAGGGTTGGCAGAGTCGCTGCGGGGGATGAGGGCAGTCTTGAGGCCGAGGCCAAGGGAGGCGGCGATCTCAAGACGCGAGGAATCAATGTCTGCGACGACGATGGATGTGAAGTTCTGCGAAGTAGCTAGGGCCGAAGCGACGAGTAGACCAATGGCTCCTGCGCCGAAGACTAGAGCAGCCGTGCCCTCGCCTACGCTGCTGGCAATTTCAACCTCTTCCTTGGTAGGTGGGTGTGAGCGGCGAACGGCGTGTAAGCAGACGGCCAGCGGCTCGACGAGTGCACCGCCAGCGTTGGAGACATTGGATGGCAGAGGATGGCACATGGAAGCCGGGTGGTTGGTGCGCTCCATGAGGGTACCGTCCAGATGGGGGAACATCTTTGCGCTGCTGCGGAACTGCATGTTCTTGCAAATATTGTAGCGACCCTGCTTGCACAAGGCGCACTGGCGGCACGGTAGACCGACCTCCAGAGCGACGCGGTCGCCGACTTTGAGGTTGGTGACGTCGGGGCCGACAGCCGTCACGGTTCCAGCGGACTCGTGGCCCAGGCACATCGGTTCGCGCACGACGAAGTCGCCATTGCGGCCGTGGCTGTAGTAATGAAGGTCGGAGCCGCAGAGACCAGTTGCCTGCACGGCAACTTGGACATCTGCGCCGGTGGGAGCTGGCACTGATCGTTTCTCCTGCAATTTTGTTAGCTGCGGGGTTTGTAGTAGAGCAGGGCTTGGAGCCTGAAGCTTACCAAACGTAGATCCTTTGCGCCGTGGAGGACGAGAGCGGTAGCTGATGTTGCTGTGGCCATGGTGAAAATTGTGCGAGAGATGAAGAAATCAATTTAGCAATCGCAAATTGTTAAAGGCTGTGACATCGGCATCTGACTCCGGACAATCGCATTCCCTCTTCCCCCACTTGACAATCGTGGGGGAGATGTGACGCGCTGGTGGTAACGTCGAGTCCCACGGAGAAAGTCCGGAGCGGCTATTGATCTTAAAAGAGCAGGTTTCAATAGCCGATGTACTGGGGCGTGGGGGTTCCTATTGCATCATTTGAAATCGTACGATGAAGAGAGATGGAATGAGTAAAAGATGTATAGCTATTTCATTAGACCATGTGTAGCTACTTGAAAGAATGTCGGAAAGCCACGTTGGAAATATCATATAGCTTCATCGGTCAACGTTGAAACCCCCAAAAAGTCGGACGTGTGACTTCAGGTCTTCTCCACACGACAATCGGTCGCCGCGGATAACATGCGGGGGTCCAAATTTGTCGCGAAGCTCCGCCAGAATTTCAGGCTCTAGCCATTTGGCACTTACGTTCTCTTTCATCTCTGTCAAATCGCATCTTTGCACCACAGCTGTATACCCATCCTGAAGATTCTAGGTATGGTTCCGTTTCACTAGCTAGTATCATGGGCTGCATCTAATCGCATCACAGAATCTACAAAATGCCTTCTCAAGCTGCACTCGTCATCGGAGACATCATCCACGCGCGCAAGGAGCTGGAGAGCCTCTCTTCAATCCTCACTCTGAAGGTGAGATCCGTATGTTCATGTGATCATCAGTATGGTCAGCTAATTCCATGGACAGGAGTTCCCTAGTGGCACCCGCGAGGAGTTCATCGCAAATTGCAAGGCGGGCCAATACGACGACGTTGTCGCAATTTATCGGTCCAATACTTCTAATAAGGTGTGTAACTCGAATTTTTGTCGCGCAACCTTCCCGCATTGATATTCGACCAGTATACCGGTCCCTTTGACGCTGAGATGCTCGCCGTCCTACCCCAATCATTGAAGTATATCTGCCACAACGGAGCTGGATACGACAATATCGATATTGCGGCTTGCACGCAGAGGAATATTGCTGTATCCAGCACTCCCGTCGCAGTCAACAATGCTACCGCCGATGTGGGGATCTTCTTGATGATCGGCGCTTTACGCCAGGCCTATGTCCCCATTGCGGCTCTGCGCGCCGGTAAGTTTGCATACTCACAGCGATAGCCTTAGAAATGGACTTGGAAGCGGAAAACGCTGACCGTTCTACTCGTAATAGGTCATTGGCAAGGTCAGACTACTCTGGGCAACGACCCTCAGGGCAAGGTCCTCGGTATCTTGGGCATGGGCGGCATCGGACGAGTAAGCAGTCCCATTCGAAGAGACTGGCACGACTACTTACTAAGTGTCTAGGAAATGGCTACTCGGGCCAAGGCCTTTGGCATGAAGATCCAGTATCACAATCGCTCCCGCCTACCCGCCGAGCTGGAGGCCGGGGCGACTTACGTCTCCTTTGATGAGCTTTTAGCCAACTCCGATGTGTTCAGTTTGAACCTTGCGCTTAATGCTTCTACACGGCACATCATTGGAGCCACTGAGTTTGGCAAGATGAAGGACGGTGTAGTCATTGTTAACACGGCGCGTGGAGCCTTAATCGACGAGAAGGCGCTGGTCGCAGCACTCGATTCTGGAAAGGTATTTAGCGCCCGCATGATAATTCCACAATTAGACCACTAATCAATCATGGACAGGTGCGCTCTGCTGGTCTGGATGTATACGAGGAAGAACCCAAGATTGAACCCGGTTTGATTAACAACCCCCGAGTCATGCTGCTGCCCCATATTGGCACTGCGACCTTCGAGACTCAAAAGGAGATGGAGATATTGGTGTTGGATAACTTGAAGTTGGCGATTGAGAAGGGTGAGCTCATTACCCAGGTTCCGGAGCAGAAGAAATAGATTTAGACTTAGACTACACAATATCAGTACGTGATTAGTTAATGCGACTTGGGAAGATTTCAAGATTCACTTTTAGCCTCAGGCAATAATCCAGACTGACTGTATGACTAAGCAGAATGGTCCACCATAATGCCACATCACCCAAAGCGGTTAGTGTTAGGGCTCGCTTAGGGCCCGCGTGCCAAGAGCGAAAAAAACCGCACCAAACTTGGTGTTCTAGCGTTAGCGGTCGAAGACGAAAAGCGACAACATCAACCCGACACCGAGGACCATCGACTTCCCCTCGTCAACTCCTTCAAGATGGTGAGTTATGCCCGCCCCCATCTTCAGATTCTCCGAAATGCACCCTGCAGAGTCCAGTCTCTGTCCAATTCGTCTCGAATTTGGGATATGCAAAATCTGCCGCTTCGACGAGAATCACCACCTCCCCGGCGCCCACATGATTGCTGACGACTGTCCTTCGCCCTACAGGTCCGTTACGCCGCCCAGGAGATTTCGAACGCTAAGAGCGCCCGCGCGCGGGGCTCTTACCTTCGCGTCAGCTTCAAGAACACCCGTGAGACCGCTCAGGCCATCAACGGTATGAAGCTGCAGAAGGCTCTGACCTACCTCGACAACGTCACCAAGAAGTCCATGGCTGTCCCCATGCGCCGCTACGCCGGCTCTACCGGTCGCACTGCCCAGGGTAAGTGCCCTCGAGAAATTTTACATGCTGGATTCTTTTGGAGGCAACGGTTTCAAGAAGTTACATGGGGGACCAAGTGCAGGCATATTGCTTAATATTTCGACTGTGTGAACTTTCTGGAGACTCTATGTGTTGATCTTTGGAGGAATGATGGGGTCGTTTGGGGCGCCACCGTTGCTGCTAAAATTTCAGTGTGGGATCGGACCGGGAACAAATCGACTGACAATTTCGGTCTACAGGCAAGCAGTTCGGTGTCTCCAAGGCTCGCTGGCCCGTCAAGTCCGCCGAGTACCTCCTCGACCTCCTCAAGAACGCTGAGGCCAACGCCGACACCAAGGGTCTCGACACCTCCAACCTGGTTGTCCAGCGCATCCAGGTCAACCAGGCTCCCAAGGGCCGCCGCCGCACTTACCGTGCCCACGGTCGTGTACGTTTTTTTCTTTCGAATGAAGGTTTTTTTTTCTTCTGAGCATGTACTAATCTGCTTCTAGATCAACCCCTACATGACCAACCCCTGCCACATCGAGCTTATCCTCACCGAGGCCAACGAGGAGGTTGCCAAGGCTCCCGCCAAGACCAAGGCTGGTCTCACTTCCCGCCAGCGCGGTGCTGAGCTCCGCCGTGCTATCCAGGCATAAACGGATCGTCGGGATGGGGATTGAAAAAGGATTGCGGTGGACGGATTGACCGGAGTTGTGCGCGTCTGTATGTTGGAACGGAAATGATACCGGATCATACAGGATTTTCTTAAGGTCATGGCACCAAATACAAAAAGTTTAAAGCGCGACTCCGGTCGATGGACTTAGGTTTCTGTACTGCCCGGTTCGATTCATGATACAACGTGGTTCTTCTTCTGTGACTTGTCCAAGTGTATCGTGATACCAGATATGTTTCATTGGCACCGGTCTGGCGTCTGAAATAATTTTATACGTTTCATGATTCAAGACGAACCGGTCGTTTTCGTAAACAAAGCATTAATCAAATCCCCAGAACAGTCCCCGACTGTTCAACTGAGCCCCAATCAACATGGACGATAAGGGGGACGTGCGGGGTTGGAGACGTAGATACAGCTTAAACTTGCACAGCGTCTTTGGGGGCCCAATTCACTTCAGATACACCATGTCTCGACTATCCGACTACCGTCTTCTATGCTTTGATGTATATGGCACCCTCATCGACTGGGAAAGTGGCATCCTGGCCGCTTTGCAGCCTATACTGGCGCGCGCTCATGCCCACTTCTCGCATGAGGAGCTCCTCGCAGTCTTTCATGAGCTCGAGCATGAGCAGCAGCGCCTGACACCAGACATGCCCTACTCACAGCTCCTCTCAACCATCCATCCCCGGCTGACCTCGCGTCTCGGTCTGGATGTGCCAAGCGAGGAAGAAAGCAGACAGTTTGGCGAATCGGTGGGCAGCTGGCCCGCCTTCCCAGATACTGTGGACGCACTCAAACGCCTTTCCAAGCATTACAGGCTCGTTGTCCTGTCGAACGTCGACCGGGCTTCTTTTGCGCAATCCAATGCGGGCAGTCTACAAGCCTTCCCCTTCGATCTGATCATTACGGCACAGGATATCGGCTCCTACAAGCCAGACCGGCGCAACTTCGAACACATGATGCGGGCCGTGCAAACTGACTTTGGAGTTGAGCGAAGCCAGATCCTGCAGACCGCGCAGAGCCAGTTTCATGATCATCAGCCGGCACAGAAGGTGGGGATCAAGAGCGTGTGGATTAAGAGGCCGGGGCCCTCATGGGGAATCAGGACGATCCCATCTTTGATTGGCGCTTCAACACTCTGGGGGAGATGGCAAGTGCGCTAGAACAAGAATCACAAGCTTAGACTTCTCGAAAGAGTGTTGCTGCCTGCGACTCAAGGGAGACGATGCTGCAGAGACGTGGACATAAGGCTTGGCAAGGTCAATCGGGTTGCCTCAGCCACACTGCTGGCATCATCACTAGTTGATCTGTGGTTTCAAGGTTTCATTCAATGTTTCATGGTTGTGCATATTCACTAAAGACAGGAACTTCAATGATATCCATCAATGGTCAAACTGGGACGGGACACTAGACTGTCGAGACAAGCGGACTGGGTCGGGTAAATATAGATGCGCAGGGACCGCAAAAAGAGTCGCAGAATTGGCTCATGGAAAACGCCAAACTAGAATCGCGGATGATTGACATTATGCTCGGGTACGCAAACCTACGTAGGCTTCAGTCATCCCTTTTAGGATTTGCCACACCGACTCTCCTTCCGCGTTAAAAGCTGGCGCCTTGAGCTCATCTCCCAGCTTGAAAAAAAAAAAGCACGTCCGGGCTCGAGCATAGACCCTGCGCTACCCTGCACTACTAGGCGAATTCACTAATTCGGACCCAACATCTTCTTGGCCCCCGGTCTCATCTAACTCCTTTCTATTGTCCCCTCTTCACGTCCTGACTCTACACTTTGAATCGCATGATGAAACGCTTTTTCAAGCGACCAGGAACCAGTGAGTGTTTTCTTCCACACCCCCGCAGACACTGCTGACCGCCAGACTCCGGCGCGAGTACCCCGGATCGCGCCGAGGACTATGCAGAGGACTCGCCTGAAGGCATTCTCCTTCGAGAAATCGTTCGTCTACACATCGCCGATCGCATTGCTTTTCGCTAATTTCATCTACAGGCCACATTCTGTGAAGCTCCTATCAGCGGGCCTTCGGTACGTAAAATCGCAATGGCCAAAACAACCGTTGAACACTTCTGGCTGACCAATTCTCCTCCAACGATTAGGGCAATGAATTCGTCCACCTACCCAAGATCGTCGAGAGTGCCGAGTCGAGTCCCGCCGCCGCGAAGGAGGCTGCTGCCCGCATTCGCAGATACTTGTCTACGCCGAACAGCACTCCGAACAGCACCCAGTACAATGCGATCATGCTCATGCGCATTCTCGTGGATAATCCTGGCCATAGCTTCACCCGCAACTTCGATGCCAAATTTGTCGCCACCTTGAAAGATCTTCTCCGCTACGGCCGGGATTGGCATGTCCAGCACTACCTGCGCCAGTATCTAAATACGCTCGAGAATACCAAGGCCGACGACCAGAACCTTCAGTTGCTTCTACAGATGTGGGCAAAGGAGAAGACAAAGAACAATCGGAACTTTGTAAGGAACGATGACAAGGGCAAGGAGGGGTCGGAGTAACTGACCCGGGTTGGTAGATTGACCGATTCCCCCAGGCAGGCAACCACCAGGCGCCTGCGGAATATCCATCTCAGATGAATCACCCTCTCCCTCCTCCACCCGCCAATCAACTACCAGATGCAGGCGAACTCGCAGCACGCGTTGAGGAAGCTCGAAACTCAGCGAAGCTGCTCACGCAGTTCGTTCAGACAACGCCACAAGCCGAGCTCGAAGAGAACGATCTCATCAAAGAGTTCGTCGACCGCTGCCGAACTTCCTCACGATTGCTTCAATCCTATATTCACGCCACCAACCCATCTCCAGACGAAGACACCCTCCTCACTCTCATCGAGGCCAATGACGAGATTTCCGTCGCCATGTCGCAACAGCAGCGTGCCATGCTCAAGGCCCGCAAAGCCCGCGGCGCCATGAGCCCCACCCCATCCAATGTCAACAGTGCTTCTCCAACCACCAGCGAAAATTTAGCTTCTCCTAGTCCACGTCCCGCCTCTTTGGATCCGGGCTATCGGGTGTCTAGAAGCCCAGAGCAGCAATCTGCCCCGCTCGTCGAGCTTCCTGCTATGATGCCTGAGACGGTGATGTCCGGAGGGCGACCAAATGCACCAAGAACCAACACTACCGAATACAACTCTGCCGATTTCGAGGTGCAAAATCCCTTCGCTGATGATTTTGCCTCGACTGAGCCCAATGAGCGGCGTCAGCATCCTTTAACATCGAATCCGCCTGAGACGAGGGTATCTTTCCAGCCCTCAGAGCATGGGCGTTGAGTGTAGCTACTAGTACATACTGTAGCTGGTGTTTGATACCCCGTTCTGCCTCCCATCATATGCTACATAGGGCTTTTTTTTTCTTTGGTTTGAATGCGATTCAGTGAGAGCCATCGTCTGCTTGCCGTTCATTCAATGTGATACCTTGGGTCTTTAGTCAAACTTTCTCTGGATTAGGGAGGATTAGGGAAGAGTCGTACTTCAATATTTGCCAATCGCGTTCAGAGTAATTGTGATTGGTACTTTCATTGGTACCACGCTTCTCCTAAGAGACCCAGCCCTGAATATACCCATCCTCCATTTGAGTTGGGTCTCAAATATATCGATAATTTCCTCGTACTTAAGTAGCGACTGTCATGTTGGCCAGAGACCATCTTTATTCTTTTATCCTATATAAGATCCTTATATCCTATATTTCATATATACAAAAACGCCGACCGAAAATTCTATCATTTTAAGCCTATCCTTAGAGATAAAATATTCTGAAGGGGCAAATGATAGTTTCGCGCTAAAAATAATATATAAGCTAGAATCCTGGGTCCCCTTCAAGTGCGGGAGCTGACGGGGACCTAGGATTAGTCATAATTTTCTGGGTCCCCATCAACTTTTTCTAGGTCCCCGCCAGCTGGAACCCGGAAGCTAAGATCTCCAAAAAACGCGAAAATTACCTAATAATGCGTAAATTCGATATCTCTATACAGGGTGACCAAGAAACAAATGTCGGTCTCCACTCTTATTCTGCTGGCATTTTGCAAATAACCAATGAATTCAATCTGTATTGATACCCTTTTTTTCCGGTTAACGCTAGGAAAGAAAGAAAGTGAAAGGCGGTATGTAAATATCAGAAAAAGGCGGTGATAAAACCGACATTTGTTTCTTGGTCACCCTGTATCCTAGCCACGGGCGCGTCTCTTAAGGTCGGTAATCTCGTATATAGCGCCTACCCTAACTAAGCGTCTTGATAAATCCTAGGGAGTAGTATTAATTCGCTAGATCGAACCCCTTAATATTCTCTATATCTTACTTACTACCTATATAGTAGAAGTAAGGATGGATATAATAGTTTAAGGAGGAGAGAAGAGGTCGAAAGGGGGAGGTCGGGTCTTCCATGTCGGGGCAATAGAGGGAGAGGTTATATAGAGGTGTATTAGGGCGCTAAGCCCGGAACAGCAGAACTAACCAGATGTAGTAAATCACAGGTCCCAATATTACTTCAAACGTTGTACCTGACGCACCTACGTCTTCTAGACAGAACATTGATTGACGTAGGCACATCGTCAGCAAATAGACCAATTCTCCAGCAATCATGTTCTCCTGTCTTTGTCACTTTTCCGCCGTGCTATCAATGTGAAACTGCAACTATCCTTGCTCGGCGCGTGGGCCAGCCTTGGCAAGCCTTCACAGGAATACTCGGTCTTGTCCCGGATGCAGCAATTCACTGATCCAAACAAAGCCGAAAAGGAAAATGTCCGAGGTTTTGGGATCTGGCAATATCTCCGGTCTCACCAGGCGCCTCCCTGTGGAGGAGCTCTCAATCCTTGAGTATGTAGGAGACGGGGTCAAATGTTTCAGAGTGACCACTAGGTGCATTTGTCCTCAATGACAGCTCTCAATTTGGTCTCCTACCATGCCCCTATCCAGACTACTGTCTGCAGTTGATTGCAAAGGGTTCTGGCAGAATCGAGATCGACCGATGCCAATGCCAGGCGGTCCTCTATATAAACGACCCAGTCCCAGCGCTGCCAGGTCCTGATATCAAGCTGGCCTATCTTTTCGAAGCTTCTCATTTTTCTCTTTACCATTCCTTCTCTCCGGTCTGGGACCGTGCAGTCTTTTCCACACTCGCTATTTACTTTTCACGGTACTGGTTTACCGACTTTCATTCCTTCGCCGGTCCCTCCATAAACATCCTTCCGAAATGAAGCAGTACACTTCCGTCGCGGCTCTTGCCGGCCTGGTCTCCTTGGTCAATGGCCACGGCTTCGTCACCAGCCCAACTGCCCGTATGCCCGGTGCCGCCATGAAGGCTGCCTGCGGTGACCAGGTTGAGGTCAACCAGCTGTCTGACAACTACGGCAACATTCAGGGCGAGTTACAGGTCGCCTCCTCCCAGAGCGATTATAACGCGGGAGAGTGCGACATCTGGCTCTGCAAGGGCTACAAGTTCGCCGATAACAAAGACAATGTTTACTCCTATACCGCAGGCGAGACCATTGACTTCACTGTGGATATCCGCGCCCCCCCACACCGGTGCTGCCAATGTTTCTGTCGTTGATACTGCTTCCAATACGGTCATTGGTGACCCGCTGATCTCCTGGTCTGTCTATGCTTCCGTTGCTACCGGAGTTGCCCCGAACAACACCGATTTCAGCGTTACCATGCCCACCGATCTTGGTTCTCAGTGTTCTACTGCTGGTGCTTGTGTGCTCCAGTGGTACTGGTATGCCGAGTCCATCGACCAGACCTACGAGTCTTGCGTCGACTTTACTGTCGGCGGATCCAGCTCCGGTGCCGCGGAGGTCAGCTCTTCTGCTGCAGTCTCCTCGTCCGCATCTGCGCCTACTTCTACTTTGGTTTCCTCTGCTGCTGAGACTTCCGCTGCTGTCGAGACAACTGCTGCCGTCCAGACTTCGACTCTTGCTGTTGTAGCTACCACCACTTTAGCCACTCAGGCTCGTGCCTCTGCCGCTCCCTCGGAGCAGGCTCAGTCGATCACCACCAGTGTGACTGCTACCGCTGTTGCTTCCAACTTGTCTATTCCTACCAGCGGCACTGACTCAGAGAAGCTTGGCTGGGTCGAGAGTGTGTTCAACTACCTCGTTAATGGCAACTAGATGTATTTAGAGTCCCGCTTTCAAATTCATGGGCCTACGGGTCCTATATAGAGCTAATAATCATATCCAATGCCCTTTTTGGGGCGTTATATGCCAATCCACATTTTTATAAATATAAAGAGAAAATTAATTTTGGGAAAGTTCTGCCTCAGGACCTAAGTTACTTGGTGTAACCAAATTCCGGTACCGCTTCGGGATGCGCCAAGAAGCAAGATTCAGGAGATATGCCATAAGCCGTTCGGTCAATGTTTCCTGGTCAATGCTTGCAAAGAAGGTACAGAGATAACTCCAATTCCAAAAAAGGGAGGAGACATGTCAAGCGTGACTCCTCTCCAGGATTCCTTTGGGCATCGACTTTTAGATGAGATACAGTTCGGTGGAAAGATCCGCGATCCGATAAGATAAGCATAGCCACGCTGTAGTTTTTTTTGTTCCTGTCACCTTGAGCTTTCCCCTCTTCTGTCCTTTCGTCCCCCTACATTCCCTATACATACCGCCAATATGGAAGAGCATCTACGTCAAAGTATCTCCAACCACCCCTCAGCGTTCCAGCTGCACAACAGTTCGCCCCACCGATCCGAGAGGATGGCGCGCACGCAGCACGAAGCCACCTCCACGGCCCTGGAACTCCAGGAAATCATGCAGAACCGCCGTGGTAGCTCCGACGAAGAGGGCATGCCCCCGCCTCGCTATACTGCTGACATTGACCCGTTCAAGCTGGCATCGAAGCTGAAAACCGATGAAGAAATCCGACAGATCAAGGCCAACACCTCTCGGAAACGCGACAATGCCCACAGCGTCAAGGTCATGGAAAAGGGCAAGCAGGCCATCACTGCTCGTAAATTGCAGGGCTTTTACGAGAACCAGAACGAGAACATTGAACGGATGTTGAAGCCGGTCGAAGAGCATGTTCGCGCTGCCCGTGAGCTCAACAGCGAGAATAGCCTTAAATATAAGATCGCCGTCTACGCCAGTTTCGCCGCCAACATCATTCTCTGTGTTGTGCAAGTGTACGGTGCCGTCTCTTCCGGCTCCCTGTCCCTGTTCACCACCATGGCCGATGCCATCTTCGACCCCATGTCCAACTTGACCCTTTTGCTATGCAACAAGGCCGTTAACCGTGTCGACTCCCGCAAATTCCCCGCCGGCAAGGCTAGGATCGAGACCGCCGGCAACATCTGCTTCTGTTTCATGATGACCGCTGTCTCCTTCATTATTATTGCCTTCTCCATTCGCGAGCTGGTCGAGGGCTCCGACACCCTGACTGCGTCCTTCCACCTTCCCTCCATCATCGCCGTCGCCGTTGCCTTTTGCACCAAGCTGGGTCTTTTCATGTACTGCTTCACCTTGCGCAACCAGGTCTCCCAGATTCGCATTCTGTGGGAAGATCACCGCAACGACCTTCTCATCAACGGCCTCGGTCTGGCAACCTCCCTTATGGGAAGTAAGATCCGTTGGTGGATTGATCCCATGGGCGCTATTCTACTGTCCGTGCTCGTCAGCGGGCTCTGGCTGCACTCCGCCTACGGCGAATTCCAGCTTCTCGTCGGTGTCACCGCCGATACCAAGATGCAGCAGCTTATCACCTACATCTCTATGACCCACTCGCCCCTCATCACTGCCATCGACACCGTCCGCGCGTATACTTCCGGACCTCGTCTGCTTGTTGAGGTTGATGTCGTCATGGATGCCTCCGATTCTCTCCGCGCTACTCACGATGTTGCCGAGGAACTGCAGATGAAGCTAGAGTCCCTGCCTGATGTTGAGCGTGCCTATGTTCACGTCGATTACGAGACCACCCACAAGCCCGAGCACTTCCTTAAGAAGGAGCTGTAAACACCTGCGATAGATGCAATCTACTATTCCCTGTATTAATAGCGTAGCATATTTATTGTACATAGCGAGTTTCTGGCGTTTGTTGAAAAGTTTACCTTATTCTTGTTGGCCGAACGATTATGTCATTTCAAATTTCTTTACAAAATCTCATCTCCTAAGACAAGTCAAGATGGAAGTGTGTCCATCTCAGGACATCCTCGGAGCACATTGACCCGCTCAAGCGAATCCAGAGTCAAGGTCAATCGGGGCTTGAGAAACACAAGGAGAGAGGGAACAATGGAAAGCCCAGTATGATGACCTGGAGGGTGAACCCGAAGGTGAGTTACTATTTGCGTAAGCGACTAAACCACCGCTTGATACTGCGATCGTAGATGGCGCGCTCTGTCTGGCCAGTCTTACCCAGTGGGTCTTCTTCGACGAAGTAGCGACACCTGAATTTCGGACTCGTTATGAACTCGCGTAGGTTTCAATGGCATGGTGACCAATCGATGAGCTGCCATATGTAAGAGGATCAATTCAATAACTAAAACAGACCAGGGCCAAGTACAAGTCCTCGACATCAAAAACATACATACGCGGATAGAAAATGCCTAACTACCAAAAGAAAGTTATTTGCAAGGAAGCCCGAGGGCGAAGAAAATAAGAGAAAAAGAAAAAGCAATATGAAAAAAAAAATTGGTATATACTCCAACACTGAGGGCTCCATATGGTTGTCATCAAAGTGCGTAATATCCGCCGCACGCGCATCAAGCAGCCACGTACTTTCCACTGACCAGCTTGCGCGCAGTTGGAGCTTCCTCCCAGACAGTCGAAGCAGCTCTCTGCGCGGCCTCGTCCGCGAAGGGATCGACTTCCTTCGGAGAGGCGTCAGTGACTGCCCGGCTGATGCCGAGTCGGGAGCCGGCTGTGATTGTGCTGAGTTCGAATTTGGCTTCGACGTTGCCTTTGCGTGGGCCACTGGTCGAGGTCGAGAACCGGACGAGGAATTTGCCGTCTTCACCGGTGCCCGGAGGATGCACTACCAGTTCGGGAATTCTCCAGGTGACGGTAGAATTCTTGCGGCGGAAGGTGGCACCTTGGTTCGGGTGCATGACAGCACTGGCAGCGTGAGCGATAGGGGTGGTGGCATCTTCAGCGGAGATATCCAAACCGACTGTCAGGACCACGTTTCTGAGAATAATAGGCTCGCCTGACTGCGAGATGAAGGATGGGTTGAGGGTGTAAAAGATAATGGCGCTGGCTGTGGTCTCTTGAAGGTTCCAGGCTGGCTTGAAGATGACTGGGCAATAGGCGGAAGGGTCATCCAGATGTACTTGGTATTTAAATGCGACTGTAGGCATGGGCCGCGAAATACTGGCCAGCTGGATGTCATACTGGCCTCGATTCTCGTCGGTGTTTTCATGGACAAAGTGCGGGTTAGCGGCCACCTTCTCCAGTACTTGGAAGTTGTCAAGGCGGATGCGTGTCGCTTCTATCGGAGGGCCGGGCGAAGGGTTGTGGGCCAGAGCAAGTTCGCCCACCACGAAAGATTTGGTAACAGTGCCGTCCGAGAACCAGGCGTTCACAGTTTCAATGATAGAGGCATTCAAGCCAGATTCATAGAGCTCGGGGTGCATTGTAGGTACGGGGCCTTGCATAGTATGTCCCGAGCGAACAGACGTCGTGTCCGACATGGCTTGGTCCTCCGCCACACTACTGGGAGACGCAATGTGCCTGATAGGCGACGAGGGGGTGTACATATCGGGGGCGGCCGAAGTCGTGGCCCCTTCAGAGGTGGGATTTGGGACAAACACCGTGTTTCGAACATCGCGGCGGCCCCGGATGGTGCCAGCGTTCCGTCTGACGTTACCAGATTGCTGAGCGCGCTATTGTTAAGTTAGCTTGAGGGCTGTCGGGTTGAACATATTGGACTGACCAGTCGAAGGGTATTGGCCATGTCATCCATTGCTTGCTTGGCCTGGCTCTCATCTTCAAAGATGGGCTGGTCGCGGATTTTCAAGTTCATGCCGGGATCTTCCAAACTGTGTAAATGACTATATTAGCAATCGTTCCAGGTAAAGTCTCCCGTGAAAGACGTACGCTGCCTCCCTCTGGGCGCGAGTTATCTCGTCGATTGTGGAAGGACGCTCAGTGAAACCTTCCGAGTCCACATGTTCAGCCCCATAACTCGCAAAACCCTGGGTCTCTTGGTGGGTGCCATTGGTACCAGTCGGCTCGGGCTGAGAGACGTGAACCGGTGTGACAACATTCGTCAAAGTGCGATCGTGTGATACATCCGGAGTCTGGGCTGGTTCTTCTTCCGTCATAGAAGTCCCTGGACGGTCTAAAGGTGTGCCAGGAGGTGATTCAGGGATTTGCATGTCTCTTGAAGAATCGCTTCGCTTGAAGGGCGCAAAGGGACTGAAGTGCTTCTTCTCTGCCTTTCTGTCGTATGTTCCAGCTGATGGTCCACCGACACTCTTTCGCCTGTTCATGACAGTACCGAGTCGTCTCAGGCCTCCCAAGGGAGTCTGCCGGGGTTGAGCCTCTGGAGCTGTGGGGAAAAAAAAAGTCAGATTCCCTTCTTTTCAATTATAAGAATTGGGAGCTTACCTGGGGGGTTTTGGACAGCGGCAGCCCTGTCGGATCTTTCCGATCGCTGGCTTGCCGCATCATCCTGAATGTGTGGTGGAGGTGCCAGTGGTGCCGCGGTTGACGTCGTTTGCATAGGCGGAGTTGTAACAGGAAGAGCTTCCGCCTGAGATGTCTGCCTGCGTGAAGGCATAGGCGAAATAGGAACACGGGTCCCTGCCACTTTCGCAGCAAAGGTCTTGATCTCATCGGCGGTTTCCACGTTGAGTAGCACGTTCAAGCAGCTCTCTGCAGCTTGCCGGCCGCGCTCAACTTGGTCCACCTCGTGTGTCTCAAGCTGGGTGAGCACATCCCGAAGGTGGTTAAGTCGGCCCTCATCAACCGCTTGAAGCTGCTCGAAGACGAATGGAGCACGCGATTCCCATTGCTGGTTGACTTCCTCGGCCGCGGCGATGGCACTGGCAAGCTTGTCGGCGCCTTTCGTACCCTTGCCCTTGGCCTTTTCAACCTTCTTCTGCGCTTCCTCAACACTTTTAGCGAGCCCCGCCAAGTTACTTTGAATTCCAGGCATCTGCTGCATGTCGCGATTCTTGTTGCTATATTCCCTTAGCGGTCGCTCCACGTCCTCTTCGATTTTGTTCGCAAGAGTCTCGTGGGATACAGCCAGCGCCTCGGTGGAATTGAGAATGCGCTGCCAGGGGATTTGGAAGATACTGTTTCCACATCAGTGTTGCCCATTGGCAGTGTATCGGAGCTCACGGCTCTCGGAATCCTTCGACTTACCCGAGCGCAGCACCATTGTCGAGTTGCGGGCGATGCACCAGCTTTCGCAAGCTCTGGGCATAAGACTCTTCAAGCCGACGACGTTCCTGTCACCGTGTTAATTCTATTTTTGCGCATTCAATTCGACGTCAGGTATCGAGAGAGTAATGGATGGACGATCGTACCTGAAGAAAGTCCGCGATATCCGAATGGATCTTGTTGATGACTCGGATGCGGTCGCTCAGGACGGTTGTAGCTTGGCCAGGATATAGAGTGGCCTAAAAATGGGCGACAATCCCACGATCAGTATGCGGAAGTCCACGGGGAAGACCAGAGAGCATCATACCAGCAGCGCCGGATATTCCTGTCGTGAGAGGTCCATTGTTTCAAGTTGACCGGATCACCAAGGGCACCAAGCGCATAACCCGAGGCAATGCAGCAATCAAGCAAGAGTAGGGTCAACGTCGAGACTGGAAGATCAATGCATGGAAGTCCGGGGTTGCAACGATCGCTGTCCTCGGTGATGACGATGTGCCCCGATTGTCACGTGACACGATCCACACGTCAGTTTCCACTGGATCTTGTCGGTCCTTTTTAGTTCCCCGAGAGGTGTCATCATGGATTGGAGGAATGGTCTAGGCTTTACGGATCGACTCAAAGTCATCCAATCTCTGTAGGTAGAGCACTCGCTCTGTAGACTAAGACTGATCTGACCTCCTAGCACCACGGCCTACCAACAAGGTTCTTCTGCCTCTGCCTTCACGGAGGCACAAACACAAGCTAGGCGATGTGAAATTGAAGCCTACGAAAATGCCGTTTCCAAGGTTCGTTGCGCAAATGTGAATGTCTGCGGCTGCGCAAACTCATTCATTTCAGGAAGACTACGACGGTATTTGTCAACGGGCAATTGATGCTGCCGAGACCGCATCTGTAGCACCAGGGACTGGCACTGATAACTTTCATGATGTATCCCAGGAGTCGGAGACGTCTGACGTCCCAACGGGTGAAATACTCGGCCAGTACACATCGTGTTTCCATCACTTTGACGGGCTGCATTCCACGATATACAAGTCGAAAGCTGACGACGGTACGGTCCGCGCCGTGAAAGTAACCATTCCGCATCTCATGACAGCTCCTCATGATGCTCAACGAGAAGCTAGACTATTGCGTGAAGCCCATGGTCCCCGTACGATTCCGCTGATCGAAACTTTCCGATTAGACGGAGGCAGACTGGTGCTGGTGTTCCCTTTCCTCCGGTATGACCTGGAACATCTGTTTCGACGGGACATCGTCACCGCTACTCAGACTCGGTCAATATTGCATGATCTATTCCAAGCACTTGCCCACATTCACAAGCTTGGGATCATTCACCGGGACATCAAACCATCGAACATCTTGATGGACTCCCCCCGATGGACCCGCTTACCTGGCAGACTTTGGCATTTCCTGGAAAGAAGGAGACCCCGGATCGGAGCCATCTCACGAGAAGATCACGGACGTCGGAACCACCTGTTACCGACCCCCCGAGATCCTATTCGGCGACAAGACATATGGAACGGCTCTGGATCTCTGGGCCGCAGGTTGTGTGGTGGCCGAAGCGATTGGGGTGGGACATCGAGCCCTATTCGATTCCGGCCCCGTGGGTAGCGATCTATCGCTCATTGTGTCTATATTCAAAACACTAGGAACCCCGGACGAACAGATCTGGCCGGTAAGTAAAATAGAATTCTCAGGTCAAGGACGACACTGGAAACACGAAATAACCCGAATGTAGGGAGCGTCAAACCTGCCCGACTGGGGAAAAGTGCAATTCTACGATTTCCCGGCGCAGACCTGGGACGATATTCTGCCAAGGGCCTCCTCCAATGGACGTGATCTCGCCCGCCAGTTGCTCTGCTACGAGAGTAGCGAGAGAATCACGGCCGACGAGGTAAGTCCACCGCGACCGCGCGGGTGTGTGGCGCGTGAAGGACGTTGAAAACTAATTTTTCTCAGGCACTTGGACACCCGTATTTCTCCACATTTTAATATCAAAACAAACCTCCTTGCATCTGGCCCCATTGAGCCTCCCTATTTCATTAAGATTCAGATCATATCCAAACACCCACCTGGAGACGGGGGAAGGTAATTCGCGTGCCGATTCGCACTTCTGTAGCAACCACGATCTAGACAACGTGATGAGTGGAACTCCCAACTGAACCTTGAACTTGAAAAGATCTTCGGCTGCACCGGAAATTGCGAATTGACACATCGGGCAATGAGAATCGGGAACATGGTTTCATCCCGTGCCCCGCGTCGAAGCGAAGGAAAGTCGACCACGTTTGGGGGGTCTACGGGCGGCGCTAGTCGTTTAGTGAAGGGACCGAGGGTCTCCATCATCGTTCAAGATCTTGTTAGGTAGGAATGATTCTATCCCAGACTGGGGAAGTGAGACAGTGCCGGCTTCAAGCTTCCGCCAACTCACAAAGTAGACTGATTCCTCAGTTTGTGGCCTCGGGGGAATTCGAGTCCCTTGGGAGTTTCCCATCTCGTGTTTGGGTTCATTTCGTATTTAACGTGACCCCTTGGAAACCAGGCACGGTATACTATACACCAATCGTGGCATTAATCTCACCCTCAGATCTTTAATGAATGTGGTTAGCGCAGGGCATGGCGGTAATACAAATACCACCTGCGTGTGGAGCAAGGGTCTTCTGGATGCAATCATTTCCCTACAATTGTAGTTCTTCACGAGCGCTGGTCTCTCTTCTCCCGTTGCACACTCTACGGCCTGGCAGTCGTTGTCCTTTCGTTTTCCTGATCTGGTTATCGGCGGTGCTCGATTTCCAATCGTCCATTCTTTCTATCTACATTCCTCGCAACCACCGACGCGACACTCGGCAGCCCACTCGCGTTGGAATTCTGGCCTGAGCCCGGAATTTACACTGTTTAGGGGGCGAGCATCGCTCGTCTATAACTCTCTTCTGTACTCGACTAGACCTCTATAGCATCAACTTCGCCATGGTGCACGGGCATGCCCACGTTCATGAGCACCGCCCTCACGAAATTGAGATGCGGGGCTTCCTGGACGAAAGATCCAACCCCTTTGAGGATGCCTACGATGCTATGTCCAAAAGCTGGAAAGACGCGTTTGATACCGACGATGCTACCACTACCGCCAAAGAAGATACCGCTACTAAGACTGCTGCGAACGTTGGTGTAGGTCCCGCAGTGGCAGCGACCAGAACAACCTCGTCTGAGACCATGGAGAAACCGACCGAGGCGGCCCCTACTACGACCAAGAATACCGAGAAGCATGAAGCTACCACCACTAGCGAGAAAGAGGCCATCAAGACCGTGACGCATACCACACAATCCACGGAAACTCGCACTGAGGAGCCTACCAAAGAGTCCACTAAGACCACAGCTGAGGCTATTACCTTCACATCTTCTGAGGATAACAAGACAGTTACCAAGATTGAACCTACGTCGACCACAAACATCAGCTTTGTAACCTCGGTGACCTCTACGGCTGAACCTACCAAAGATGTAAATGTCCTGGCTGCGACCAACACTGTCTCGGCCACCAATTCGGCTGCATCAGCTTCATCTACTTCGCTTAAAAACGAGTCCGAGGGAATGTCCTCCGGTGCCAAGGCCGGAATTGCCATTGGTGTCATTCTCGGTGTGGGTGTGATTGCTGCTCTGATCTTCTTCTTCATCCGCAAGAAGAAACGCGCTCAGTCCTTGGAGGAGGAAAAGGAGAACGAGAAATTAGCGTACATTCTCCCGCCACCTTCCCCAGTCTCGAAGCAACTGAATGCTTCAGCTGCTCCGCGACTCAATGTTCGCCCGATCACTCAGTTTGCGCCTGACCTGAGCGGCAATGGCGACTTGAACCCGGCCTCTGCTGCTGGCGTCGCTGCCGGTGCCGGCACTGGGGCAGCAGCAGCAGCAGCTTCTCGCAATCTTACCGGGAACTCGCCGCCTTCGACCCCTCCCAAGTCTGCCGCTGGCTCTAACCCGTTCAATGACCCCGTCAATCCATTCAGTAATGGCAACGACGTTGCTGAAGACGCGCCTGGTATCGGACAGACCGCCGCAGGAGCTGCCGCCGCGGGAATTGTTGCTGAAGCCGCCGTGGCCAACGAACGCGCTCCCTCTCACCCTGGGTCTTCCCCGAGCCCTGTCAGTTACGATGGCGAGTCAGTTGCATCTGCAACATTCGCTGGTGATGGTGCGGCTGGAATGAGTGCCGTTGCGGGTGCCGCTGCTGGCACAAGCCCTAATAATGTCCACCGCGTGCAAATGGACTTTAACCCCTCGATGGAAGACGAATTGGGCCTCCGTACTGGTGCACTGGTTCGAATGCTCCACGAATACGATGACGGATGGGTAAGCGGTTCTAGAAATAAGTATGACGAAAGCAAGGACATACACTAACATTTCTTACAGGCTCTCTGTATCCGTCTTGATCGGTCTCAACAAGGCGTGGCTCCACGGTCTTGCCTTTCTGCGCGCCCTGTGAAGCCTCGCTCGCGTCCTCCTCCTGGAGCTCGCGGTCCTCCAGTCATGGGTCCAAACGGCCGTATTCCCTCTGGTCCGCCGCGTGGACGCTTTTACCCCGGTGACGCTCGGCCAAGGTCCCCCGCTGGCCCTGGATACGGCCCTGGTTATGGCGGTCTGCCGCCTCCCCGCCCATACCCTCAGAGCCGCTCTGCATCACCCGTCCAGTTCCCCATGCCTGGCCCAATGGGCCCTTCAATCCGACCAGTTCACCGTTCAATGTCACCTGGCCCCGGTGTCCGACCAGTCCCTCGGTCCTTGAGCCCCGGGCCCAACGGACCTGCTGGCATGCAGCGTCAACCTGTGATGCCAATCAACCAGCAACAGCGTAGTAACAGCGCCAGCAACTTCCCTCCCCCAAACGTGGGCCCTGCGCCTCCGCAGTCTCCCAGCCCTCTCGCTGTGGCCGAGCCTCCAGCTCCAGCTCCTACCGCCGAACTCCCCGCGCTTCCCAGTGCGCACACTTCTCCCGGATCGCAGGCTCATGGGGGACCTCTTCCCTCGCAAAACTTCTAGTCCGCAATCTGATCCATGAAGATACCTCGTTTCGAGTCCACGAGCCCCCGCAGACCGATACAGCTACTCTTGTCTGATCAATATCCCCCTGGAGGGAAATGAGTGCCTCGTATGACTCGACTCAGGCTCTACGTCCGCGACGAACGAATTTTCATTTTGTTTTTTTACTACATATACCGTGTTTTGAGATTTGATGCCCCCCTGTACCACTCCTCCCCATGCGTATGCGTCCTCCCTTCTCAGCTGGTGACTGCTCGGCGAAGCTATTGCCCTAACTTTATGCATTTGTTTACTCTGCTTCAAGATTTCCATGCATGTTATCTCCCCCATGGATGTTTGCAAATCTCACGAGGTTGATATGTTGTGATCCCCTGATCTCTGTATTATTCTGGGTAGCGTGGGATCTATTGGATATCGAAATCAACCCTGATGCTTACTTGAAAACAGCCTGCTATTGATACTTCCGTATTGAGTTGTCGTCCAGCGATGAAAATACTAGAGTGAAAAAAAGACTTACATTGCCCGAGATGCGCCAGAAATCATAGCACGTCTATCTTGTACACAATTGTGGCCAGTTAGGTCATTTGACCTTACGTAGCTTTAGCCTCAGTACGGGCTACGGCCATTCATACATCATCATCATCATCGCATCAAGCTCACGTCGCCACCAAGAATGCAGGCTTTTCATGCAGGTCGCTTTATAGGCCTCCATCTCAAACTAGAGATGAGGCACATGCCCGCTAGCGAGAAGGAGATTCACAATACTCAGAATCCCCTCGCCTAGAATCAGACCCGACGCCAATACAACAACAGTCGAAGAAGCGGCGTCCGCTTTCTCACGTTCCTGGGCGGACGAAGAGTCCTCTTGTCCTCTTTGCACTTCTGTTGAAGAACCGGGATCAAGCCCATTGCTGCCCTCAGCAGACACCGGCCGAGCAGGAGAAGCGTGCTTTCGCGCCCACCACCAAGCAATGGCACCACCAATGGCCCTCGCCAGGGTGAAAGAGGGAACATTGAAAATGCCAACCGCCACAGCAATACCACCAGGGATCCAGTCCCTCCAAGCTGGCGGTTTACCATTCTGCGCAAAGGCAGGAGACGCAGCCACGATACGGACGCCTGTTAGAACCATCCAGATAACGCCTGCGATAGAAGACGCCTGCCAAGCCATTTCGGGTAGGCCCTGACCTGTGACCAGGCGCGCGGTAAAGATCCAAACGTATGCCGTCGGCGTCTGGAACATGTCTCCAGGAATTTCGTAGACGCTGACGTACATTTTGTAGACAGCTGTAGATAGTACAGCGCCAAAGATACTACCGATCATTTGGCCATAAAATTGAGCTTTAGGGCTTGCACCGAGGAGGTGGCCTGTCTTCAGGTCCTGCATCATATCACCTGCTTGCAGGGCACCGGACTCGGAGACGGCTCCCGCGAGCAGGTTCGTGACCAGCGCTGTGCGTCTAGAGAAGTGCGACGCTGGTGTGGCCAGGGAAAAGAGGAGTTGCGTGAGTTTGCTGATTCCAGATACTGGGTTCAGATCTGTTTCGCCAAGGGCTCGCACGCCCATAATGGATAGAAGAACTGCGATGAGAGTCGCGAGACTTGATAAGGCCGGGGATATGATGTCTCCGAAAACATAGTGCATGCAGATGACGTTCAAGATAAGGGTTAACGGGAGGAGAACCACCACTGTGCGGGTTGAGATAAGCTGTGACGGAGGTGCATCCTCATCTTCTTCGACAACCGTGGCGGGAACAGCATTATCAGACCAAGAGTTGCCATTGGAGTCCAATGAGGAGTAATTGATGTAGGAGTGCTGGTGAGAATCGGAAGACTGCAACCGCAATACAATCCACCCACCGACACGAGTGGATCTGAACCAAGCCATCCAGGTAGGAGCGCAATTTACCAGAGGCTTGACCACAAGCCAGCCGAGGCTAACGAGGGAGTCAGCAAGCATAATTGCTAAGGAGATCCACACAATCCATGCTTTACTACCGTCCTCCCAGCTGTCCACGGGTCCTGGCGCCCACCCGCGAGCGTTGGCCAGCGGAGAAAGGATACCCCATCCTAAAACCGCTCCGAAAAGCATATGCATACATGTTGATGGGCCCATGATGATACCCTGACCGATGTATGCAGGCGATGGGTTAAGGGTCCATAGCCAGTTGGAGGCGAGACCCACGCCGAACAAAGGAATATCGTGGACTAAGGGGACAAAGTATGAAAACAGTGTCTGTATCAGAATTAGGTCAGCTCGTCAGAAATATGATAGAGAGAAGTACTCACGTAGACACCAGACACTACGAAAGCACCGACCAAGAGGCGCATCTTCGACCTCCAATCTTTTTGATGGGCGGCTTGATCTTCAGTGTCGACATCTTTCACCAGCAATTCTTCCTCCTCTTCCTGCCTAAGAGCAGCTTCGCTAGAGTCCTCCGCTTCAATAATCCGATCCTGAGGCTCGAGCAGCGTCTTTTCATCCTTCCCAGCTCCATGCAAGACCTTCAGCATCAATGCCGAAGCAGTACCACTCGGAAACTTCAGTTTCTCCCGCACGATGACCTCCTTCCGCAGCGGAACAGCAAAAACCACACCAAACAAACAGACCCCCAAGCTCCACACCACTAATTTCCAGAAACCCAGCTTCAGGGGTCCCCCCCTCACCTTCCCCACCGTCCCCATTCGGCCCATCCTCGCCTTCTTTCAATAGAAACTCCAAAGCGGGAATCACACCCACGAATCCACAGCCAAGAGGCATAGTCCCCACAGCTCCAGCGACAGTCTGAATCAAGACATTCTCAATCGGCGTGAATGGGAACGATAGATGGTTCGCCAAGACCTTGAAGACTGAAAACCCGATCAAAGCCGACGGCATAGCCATAGTACTAATCCAACCCGTCTGAAGGCCGAAATATGTATTTGAAAAAGTGATCAAAGCACCTATCAGCAAGCCGACAATGAGCGAGCGGGGCGTGAAGCTCTGTGCGGAGGTAGTTGGTCGCGGTGCGGAGACCGGGTCCGGGTGGGAGCGCGAAGATGGCCGGCTCCCTGCGTCGAGCTCGAGCTCAGAGACATCGTGTGCCATGCTGAGAGTCTGGTAGTTCATCGAACCAGTGGATTGGTCATGGAGAGTTGCTGAGAATGAATGCTCGGACTGATAACCCCGGATGATTAATGCCGAGTCACTGATAAGGTCGCCTCATGTGACCCGCTTTGCCTCTTATCGGCGCTAAATCTATAGAGATCTTTTGGGGGTCAATGAAAGCTATTGGAGGGTAAACAGAGCTTGGCATCATAGCAAGAGGATTCCAATGGTCCTTTGAAGTTGCTGCTTAAGGGCTCACTGGATATGAACCATAATCGAGATCGTCGATTGCTTCGCATAACTATTACAAACACTGATGTTGATCTCCTAGAGGCCATTTGCGTAAGGGACATCTCGATAATTAAATACTTTCTATGTGACATGTAGTCTCCCATCTACCTACCTCAGAGTCATTGTAACATGTCGATAGGGCTGTTGCGGCTAGCCCCTTACAATATAGGCTAGGTCCACCGTTGCCGAGGCTGAAGAAAAGATACCTGTAGGTATAACCCGGCTTGGGTAGGGTAAATCCCTGAGCCCCCAACAGCATAAATTGTCCCTTTTCTTTATTTGATTCACCTTCTCTTTTCTTCATCATCTACATTCCTTCTCTCGCACGCTCTTCTCTATTTATCCTCCTTACTACGTCTCGGCACCATGGCCAAAACCACCGAGATTGGGTCTCGGAAAAGACCTGACAATGACAGTGTCAACGACTTCGCCAAAGAACACATCACAGGCGGCTGGCGACCTGGCATGGATCCCAAGGTTGACTACTCGGGACATTTCGAATTCGGCGGCTCGCTTGGATGTCTCGCTCTCATGACAGGCTTCCCGACATTGATGTACTATATGTGGATTGGAGCCACTTACTACGATGGGAAACTACCTCTTCCTGAAGATGGACAATCTTGGATGGACTTTGGAAAGCACTTATGTCGTCTTGTCTATGAAGGTGCCTTTCCGCACTTCAGGGCCTGGCGTATCTACTGGAGCTACATTATCTTCGAGGCTGTATGTTACGTTCTGATGCCCGGCTTTACGTGTTATGGCAAACCTCTCCTTTACTTGGGAGGAAAGCAGTTGAAGTATCACTGCTCGGCATACACCAGCTTTTATCTCACAATTGTGGTCATGACTGTGCTGCATGGAACCGGTTTGTTCCCCATCTACACTTTCCTTGATGAGTTCGGGCCAATTCTTTCCGTTGCCATCCTTTCTGGCTTTCTCGTCAGCCTTGCGACTTACATATCTGCCTTTGCTCGTGGAGCTCAACACCGTGTCACCGGCTATCAGATTTATGATTTCTTTATGGGTGCCGAGTTGAATCCGCGCATCTTTGGAACGCTGGACTTGAAGATGTTCTATGAAGTTCGAATCCCTTGGTTCATCTTATTCGGTCTGAGCTGCGCTGCTGCTGCTCGCCAGTATGAACGTTACGGCTACGTCTCTGGTGAAGTCTTGTTCTTGGTCATGGCGCACTTCACCTACGCCAATGCCTGTGCTAAGGCAGAGCATCTTATCACGACAACATGGGACATGTATCAAGAAAAGCTTGGGTTCATGCTGACCTTTTGGAATATTGCTGGTGTCCCGTTGTCCTATTGCCACTGCACACTCTACCTCGCGAATCATGATCCGTCCACGTATGCTTGGAACAAATACGCCTTGACCTTGCTCTTCATCTCATATCTTTTCGTCTACTATGTTTGGGACATTGCCAACAGCCAGAAGAACTCCTTCAAAATGATGGAGCGAGGTACATGGTCCAAGAGAAAGACTTTCCCTCAACTGCCCTGGCAGGAAGTTCACAACCCCAAGACCATTGTCAGTAAGAATGGAGATGCGATCTTGGCTGATGGAGTCTATGGTCTCGCTCGCAAGCTGCACTACACATGTGATATGTTCTTCGCCATCTCCTGGGGCCTGATTACTGGCTTCAACAGCCCTTTCCCATGGTTCTATCCAGCCTTCTTCTGTATCATGATTATTCATCGGACTATGAGAGATATCAGCAAGTGCCGGCACAAGTATGGGGAGGCGTGGGAAGAATACGAGAAGCAAGTCCCATACCTATTCATTCCGTATGTCATCTAGGCTATGGAGCGCGTGGAATCGTTGGAAAAAAAGCTGTTAATCATTCAAAAATTAATGGGTGGAATGGCCAATCGAGCCATTCTGACTCAAATGTACTCTTAAGTGATCCTGAACGAAAACTCGGTGCCTCGGAGATAATTCAGGCAATTGCCCCCGAACCCTCATTTCATGGCAAAAATTGATCGGAAAAATTCCTTTTCTCTGACGAGATCTTTGCTTTCCCACCGTTTTCCCTAATCCCTCCACTGACTGGGCATAAGCGTCATTCAGTGGGCCTGTAGTGGGAATTGGAGGTAATTGAGGCACTAGAATCTCTGACCTTCATGGGAGACCTTTGAATTTACAATTGAAAAAAAAATCCGAGTCAAGAAGGCTTATATGGTCTCTCATATGGTTTCAACAAAACATAGCACAGTATCAGACGTGCCGGGGGAATCACTGAACGAACAGAAAGATACAATTGAAAATGATACAGGGCAGGATTAGACAATGATACCATTTCACATCCTTGCCGCCCTAGTAGTCTTGTCATAGAAGTCCAAGGTCATAGCTGCCAAGAAGCAGGGAATGTCTTTTCTCTCCTCAACCCAAAACTTGATCAAGTGCTTAATCTCCATAGCGAAGAGACTGTTCGGTCCGCCAGAGATCTTCATTGTGCCGTTCTCACCGTCGAACACAATCGAGTTCTCCCCGCCATCGCCCATGCTACCCGGCCACGGGAATCAGAGGCACCGCTATCGCCATGACGATAGGCGGAGGAAAGATGAAACATTGACGTGACACGGACGCGGCCGTTAGGAAGGAAGTCAAGCTTATAGCCGAGCAAGGATGCCACGGCTTCGCGGAACTCGGAGGATTTGGCTGTCCAGATTTCCTTGAGTCGGCGCATGCGCTTCTCTTTGTCGGCGACGATGGCTTCCATGTCCTGCATCTCAAGCTTGAGGCTTTCGAGTGTACTAATGGGGACGACCTTAACGCCCGTGTGTTCCCCACGCAGCTGGGCCAGGAGATCTCTGTTCTCGGACTGGAGCGTTTTCAAACTCGACATCTTGATCTTTTCCGCTTCAGCTGTCGGGTTGTTGCGTAGCTCGAGAATACGAGTGCGAGATTTGGACTTCAAGGACTTGATCTGAGACTTGGCAGCGTCGAGCTCCTTCCGGGCAAGAGTTGTTGATTGTTCCGCTTGAGACAACGCTTCCTGTAGTTTGCGGTTCTTTCGAGAAAGAACTGCCAGTCGCTCGTTCTCGGCGTCGCTTTCAGCCGGTGACAGAGGACGCTTAGTCCCTCGAGCCTCGGCCTGAGCTTCATTTTGTTGTGGTGCCTCTCGCTTGGACAGCTCTTCGTGGGTCTGTTGTAGTTCCACACGGTACTCATCCACGATCTTCTCGAGCTGTGCAATTTGTGCCGACTTCTGCTCGTCAAATGTACCCTGGTCGGTATTCATTGTCTCTTCCTCGGCGTCGAAGGTCTTCAGCTGAGCACGCAAGTACTCAACCTCTTTGACTGCCAAAGCCCGCTGGCGTTCTAGTCGCGAGCGAAGACGGGCCTCTGCGCCTGCTGGTACTCCCGCTGAGCCACTAGCTGCACGGAGCTTCTCTAGTTCTTGGCCAAGCTGCTTCTTCTCACTCTCAAGAACTTGGAGAGCCTCATCCTTCTCCAGAGACTGGGCGTCGGCCTTTCCGAGCTTGTCAACGAGAAAAGCCTTTTCTATCCGCTCTTGGACCAATGCCTTCACCACTGCCTCTGGGGAATCGAACTCTGCGGACTGGTCATTATCCTGGAGCAAACTATGCCAAGACTGACGCTCGTCTTCGAGCATCTGTTTTTGAAATTGCAAAGTGCCAAGTTCTGCCTCAAGACCCTTCATCAGCTGCAGCTGGTTCTCGAGGGATCTTTTCTGCTCCTCGACCACCTCGACATTCTTCTGAACTTTCCGGAGGTGGCGCAATTCTGCATTTTGGTCTCGATTTGTCGATTCCAGCTCCCGTATATGGTTGACCTGGTCCGAGAGCTCCCGCTTCAGCACTACCAGCTCTTCGGCACCGCTCCCCTCTGCCTTCAGACGAATGTTCTCAGACTCCAGCTCGGCGACCTCGGCCTCGCGTTCAGACAATTTCTCCTGAGTTGCTTGCTGTGAGCTGCGGGCCGACTGAAGATCATTTTGAAGCTCTTCGATGGTCTTCTGTAGAGATGCTCGGACCGTCTCTAGCTCGTTGATTTGATACTTGAACTGCCGGTCCTGGTCGGAGAGTCTGGCTTCAACGTCGCTGAATTCCTCCTGGATATTTTGCTTCTCATCCTGCAGGCTTCTGATCTTCCGCTCCAGTCCCGTTTTCTCATCAAGAGCCTGGTCTTGCGCTTCCTTTAATTCTTTGGCTAATGACTCGCTCTTGTGTGTCGCGCGTTGGCTGGCAGCTTCGGAAGCCTGATTATCAGAAGGTTAGCTTAGATTTACCGCTACTGATTCCTGAATGCACCAACCTGCGCCTTTCGGAAATCCGCATCTGCTCTCAGCTGCAGGTCTCGTGTCTCTTTCTCGTGTCGAAGAGCCTCCAATTCTCGCTCTTGTCTAATGTTTTCCAGTTCATATCTGAGCGTGCTCACTTGAACGCGTAGCTCGTCTTTCTCGGCATCTGAGGCTCCTTGTTAATATGTCGTTGGTCATGACTGCCGCTGAGCGGGAAGGGTGAATCTGACCATGGACGGGCTGGTGTGATGAAGTCTGAGGATGACTTGGTCGAGTTGAGTGTCGCATTGATTTCTGTGCGCTGGCAGGAGTCGAAGGTGATGCAAAGCCAGCAATCAATTGCGACGCCGGACGCGTCGACTGGCTGTTGTCCATGCTGGCGATCGTATCAATTTCTGCATGGAGATAGAATCAATTGGGCAGACTCACCCGACGTGGTGCTCGAGGGGATATCACCTACTCCTCTCAAACAGCGAGAAAGAAAACAACCACGGACGCAACCTTTCAGAATTCCAAGGCGGAGATGTTAGTTTGTACATACACATCGGGAGCTCTGACCGCCTTCTTACATGGGCATAGCCCCGTACATACCGGATTGGGACTAGCGTACCTAGCGCCGAAATTTTATTGAAAGTCGATTATTGTCTTCTCTCTGCACACCTTTTTTTAAACATACCCCCCACATTTCCCTCCTCTCACGAAGCCGACATAATGGGCAAGGACAAGGTCGAGAAGAAGGAAAAGCGCGCTGAGAAGAAGGAGAAGCGCGCCGAGAAGGACGGTGTTCACAAGGCCGGCAAGAAGGAAAAGAAGGACAAGAAGGACAAGACCACTCTCGTCGATGCAGTAGAGAAGGAGATCGCCTCCCAAGTCCAGGAGGACCTAGAGCAGGCTGTCTCCGTTGTTGACGATGCCATGGTTATCGACGGCGAGCGCCCCATTGGTGCCCTCGTGCCCTTCGCCAACCCGTTGGTCGAGGACAAGCAGGCCAAGAAGGTTCTGAAGAGCGTCAAGAAGGGTAAGTCAGACATAAGCACCACAATCTCACATTTGAACTGTGTTATACACCGAATAATTTCAATTGGAATGATTGGAGTTAATTGCACGATCTGCACGGTCTTTTCAACACGGCCGCGCAAATTCGTCTTCCACCATTGAGTCAAATCTTTATCGAGAACCTCTGTACTAATCACACCACGTTTAGCTGCCGTCAACAAGTCCCTCAAGCGCGGTGTCAAGGAAGTCGTCAAGGCTCTCCGCAAGTCGCCCATCCCCGCCGCCAATGCTGCCATCGATATCCCCAACGGCATTGTCATTCTCGCCGCCGACATCTCCCCCATGGATGTCATCTCTCACATTCCCGTCCTGTGCGAGGATCACGGCATTCCCTACGTCTTCGTTACCTCCCGCGCTGAGCTCGGTGCCTCCGCCGCCACCAAGCGCCCTACTAGTGTCGCTATGGTCGTCCCCAAGTCCGCCAGCAAGAGCAAGAAGTCCGAGGGAGACGACGAGGAATTCAGCAAGGTGTATGAGGAGCTGGCCAAGCTTGTGCAGAAGGAGGCCAAGGGCATCACCGTCTAAGGAGTTGCCATTTTCGTCCTTTTGCTTCTTTCCCACGTTCCTGATTGCTGTGGGTGTCTCGTATTGTACAGGTTTTTGTTCCAGTCTGATAGGACCGTGCATGTCTTTGGGGGTCCGGCCTATGGGTATTTATTTCTTTTCCATATTTTGCTCTGCAGTTTCGGCGTTTTTATCCACGGTGTATGAAAAAGGCAGGAAGAATTCCAACGAGAAATCACCCCACAATGATCCAAATCGTATGAAGCAGTATACCTAGTAATGCTTGTGACTTGCAAGTGGGCCAGCAACTGCAATTGGATGCGCATGAAAGTGTTCACCTACCTCGAGATGGGCACTAAGCCATAACACACATCGTGCGATGACTAAGTTGATGCGAATGGTGTCTTTGGTCAAACTCCGCGGAGGTAAAGGTTGGGTCACACAGCTTGACTTGTCCTTCAATCCAGGGCCAGTCTGAGGGTTGAGCACCCCAGGCGGTTTCACGGTTAATCTGAGCCAAGTTTGAAGTGGATGAAAGCCCACCGCGTCCGCCTATGGCTACAGATACAGTACCGGTTGCACAACACAGCAAAGGTCAGGACAGGTACAACAAAGAAGAAACTAGGGACCAAGCGCAACTCTAGCCGATCAGCCTTGCATCAAATCCGCGCTATCAATGCAGTGGCGGTATCATTCCAGGGTGATCAATCTGATCGATCCCCTCGATTTCTTCAACAGGCCATCAAGGGATGCCTCTAAATACCGACCCTCTGTCGACTCCGTAGGTCGCCCAATCAGCGACTTATCTGACGTGAGTTCACTAGGCACACGGGATGTTTCTCTCCTTGTCAATCCCCTCATGATCCTTTTGGTAGGTTGTACTTAATATCTGGGGCCTGGGACCTGGAAGCGGGGCCCTTGCGGTTGCCCTACCCAAGAATGATATAAGTTCGCTCATCTCCTGCTACAATACAACCAGACTTTCCTAAATTTTATTTCCTGGCCTTTAATCGTAATACAATGTTGGATTTCCGCCCACAATACTGGTCGCTCATTGCGATTCTCCTCGCTATTATTCACCCTTCCGCATCCTACCCAATTGTTCGCACCCCCAACTGGATCAAAAAGGGCCAACATTCGGACTTAGCAGCGAGAGGAACCCGGAAATTCTTTGAGAAGAATGCATACAGTTACGGGCCTGCGCTACCGCAGCTTAAGTCTCTAGGGGTCAGTGTATCGCCTATTTACATTACAGATCAGCAAATGACAAATTATAGACACCCTCTCATAATTTGGACGAAAGCACAATTGAGCGAGGGCCTCCAGGTCGCCTGTACAAGCGCGATACATCATATGGGAAGACCGTTGTATCAGTCCTAGTACCCGTTGCGCCAGACTCTTTACCACCTCCGCCACAACCACAACACCACCGCTACGATGCGAACGGCATGCCTCAAGAACCATCTTTCGAAATGAAACCCTATGCTGATGATGAGGATCACTATGGAGAAGTCATGAAGCATCCACAACCCTCCAGCGGGAAACAGACTAGTCACACAACAACATTCTCATCTGCGACGTTGAAACTAGCATCTGGTAATTCCATCTCGTTCTTTTCTTACCGAATTTCACTGCCTTTCTTGAAATTTGCGCCCGCCAACTTCCCGCAATATCCACTTCCGAGAATCTTCACGACCGTCATGGTCCTTCTTGCTATGGTATGGATTGCAATTTTCATGATCGGACTGGTAGAATTGGGCAACTATCTATGGAAACGAAGGGCTACGAGACAAGCCGACCGGGATGAATATTTAAGTGAAGCGTCAATTGATGAGTCGGAAGAATTGATCAAAGTGCAGATGAATGTTATGGTCCTTCCTCGACCTGACACGGATCATGAGGAGGAGGCTACTTCACTGTCAAGTAGATCCGACTCGGACTCTGGATCAGACTCGGAGAGGGATGACTATCGGTTTTGAAATAGCGTTTTCATCCAACGTTTGTTGTTAATAGATCTGGCTTCAAATCAGCCTCGTCAATGCTGTCAAACCTGCACATGTGGTAGGCTGTGTGCATAATGTCATTTACATCGCTTTCGCATCTTCCAAACTGCCGTAACCGCCTCAATACTACGTGGGAGGAATATTTCTACCTTGGATCGCCTTTCGGTTTGCCATGGAAAGGGCAATTTACCCGATCGAGGGACGCGATGCAACATAGAAGATAATCCAAAAGATGATATTATCTGTACCGATCCCGTACCGAGTGGTAATGATTCACTATGCCGGTGTCACGTTCCCTATTGCCTGTTTAAGTAGGACCCTGATAGTCACATGTAGGCCAGGAGAAGGAAGATAAGGCTTTACATCAACACTCATACTTGATTGCGTGTCACTTGTGCATGAGTAGTAATGTGACCCTACAGGTCAGGCGCACAATTCCTGTGATTCGAAAATAGTAGACGCACAAAAAGAAGAGAAAGTCACTGTTAGCTTGTGCTACCCGGATTATTTCAAGTCCCCAAGTCCTACGTCCGAATTCGTAGCTTTCATGACCACTCTCCACCCGACACCAACTTTACATCAGGCAATTTGACGTAAACTACTCCTGTGCTGGCCAACCTCTTACGTGATCGCGAAGAATTAAAATGACAAGTTCGTGAATCGTGGTCTTAATTCTCGTGAATATCTATAATACAGAAACCACATTCCCTTAATATCATCGTGAACATGAACAAAATGACACGCTCGCTTGCTCAAATGATTAAATCAGGATACTTTTGGAGCCCTTAGATACGCTGCTCATCAAGAGCCTGGAAGGGTTGCTGGTTATCAACACCACCCTTTTGGTGGGGATGGCCGGCATCAAGACCGCTCTCAGCGTTCATGCGCTGGAACTTGTTGATGGCAGCACGGGCAGGATCTTGATCAGACCCAATCTCGGTAGTGAAGCTAGCGTTCTTATCCTCGGAAGAGAAACCACCCTCTTGGATGTTACGGCCATCAGGCTTGGTGTGCTTGTAGCTGTCGGTGACATCGTTCACGTAAGAGGGGGCCTGGCCAGCGACGTGGCTGTGGGCACTGCCGCCAGCAGTGGCGTGCTGGCCAGTGTGCATACCCATCTGCTCCTTCGCAGCGGTAGGGCCACCGGCATAGCCAGCCTGGGAGTGGGCACCGGGGAAGTTACCCTGGCCGCCGAGAGCCTCGGGGTACTTCTCCTGGCGCTCGCGGTCCTCACGGAGACCGCCAACGGGAGCGGAAGGGAGCTCAGTGGCGCTGGATGTGTTGGTGTTGTTCAGAGTAGACTTGCTACCGGAGACACCGATGGGCTCGGCACCACGGTTCTCAGAGAAGGCACCACTCTGGCGAACGGACTGAGCAGCGAGGGAGTCGTTGGCAACAGGACCAGAGGGCTCATTGATGGGCTGCTGGGAAGCAATGGGGTCGGTGGTGACCTTGGTGCTGCGGGCACCATGAGGAAGAGGAGTACCCTGGAGATCCATTGTGTTTGTTGTTGAGTAAAGGAGTATAGAAGAAGGAAGTTTACAACGTTGGTGAGGGAATTGGGCGTGTTTCACGATAGAAAGATTATAGTTTGAATGAGATTTTATGAGAGGTAATGAGGCGACAAGCGAGCTATATAGGATGGAGACGGGCGAATATCAAACAGTCCTGCAAACGACTGTGATATCAAGAGGGGACATATCAAGGCAGGTGATGTCACACTTACGAACATTGCCCGTAGTTCGAGTCTAGGGATAACAAGGTGGTCAAAGTAGTCACGTCAACCATCCATGGGCAGTTGGGTTATCCGGTGGCGGGATGGAGACATGGAGAGAAGGGACGGTGGAGTAATGCTGCGTCGTTGATACCCTACGTCCATTGCTTCGAAAGCAATGGGCTCGTCACAGAGGGCCCAGTCTCCACATTTTTTTTGAACTGGACTTGATTCACCGAGTTTGTCGATGCCCCAGCGTGAAGTCAGCAGGATGGCAAGGATCAACTCAGATTTGATAAGGCTGTGATGTCACACTTACGACGGTAGCGCAAATCGATGCAAACACCAAACTTGGATTCTCTGACAAATCGGATTTTAGCGTCTTGATTATGAAACAGAATATTAAAAATTATCTTTAATTCTCCGATTGATTGATGACTTCGTCCTTTTTCAATGAAAAGTTCAACATGAAGCCGATGAACGGTGCTTGTGCCTGGTGTTCGCACAGTAGATAGATCGACGCATCCAGACTGCGGTCGACTTTCCACCAATCAGAGTTGGCGGAACGATCTGCTCATCTTTCACCAGCACACGACGTCCTTTCAGTGAGCACACGACATTCAGAATTTACACTTCTGTTGGCTTTGAGTTCTACTTTGGCAGATAAACAATGTGATAGAATCGAATTGTATCATTCATTCGCTCATGGCTCCGTTAAAAATAAAGAATAAAAATGACTATCATACAAGATGGATCCAGTCCATAAAAATACATTTATCGAGATTTGGCATCAGAGGGAAGGTGATCGAGACCCTCCTTGCCCTGGCGGCCAACGTTACCGGAAGGAGCGGTGGGGACATGCAATTCTTCGCCGTTCACACGAGCGCTGCTGGAAGCAGTGGCGGGGCCGCGCAGGGCGCTATCGTTGTCACCGGAGATGGGCTCCTCGAGACGACCGCTGCCGACATTGACGGTACGCTGGTCGGCGGAGTTCCAGTCACTGGCCACGGGAGGGTCCTCGGGCAAAGGCAGGTTGGCCTTGGTCTTTTCGATCTGCTCAGGCTTGTTGGTGTTCTGGTCGACGATGGACTAAAGACGTATTAGCGAGGAGATTTGAGATAAGTCGAAGAGCAAACATACCTTCATAATGGAAACATCGGAATCGGCAGGGGTCTGGCCGCCGTGCTGCTTGGAAACGCGCGACTCATCCTTGCGGAGCTCCTGGCGGGTGGTGTGGAAGGTGGAAGCAGACATGTTGGGAGAGTGTCGGAAAGGTATTGGTTTGGTGAATTAATGAAACACAAATTCGTAGTGTGAAGACTTGATGCTGACGATAGAGATTAAGACTCTGACGGTGGCGTGCAAGAATTCTTATACTCTTGGTGGCATCTCAAAAACGTCACAACCATTTGGTCAATGTCGGGAATGACGACATCGTACCCTCTTGCCCCATGGATGTCCTTCTCCACTGCAACCAGGGACAGCTTGGAACGATGGTGTCAGTGAGATGTGTCGGGTTGTTGTCTGTGCTCAAAATTATGCAGATCTGTGGGTTCGGCGTCATAGCACTGGGGCCATTTCGAGGCTGGGTGGCCATGCATTATTCAAGTGGATGCTGGATCAGATATCCCTCAATCTCAAGATTGTCCTTCCTAGCAGTTCGAAATCTGAGACTTTACATTAATGTACCGATGTCATAGCCCCGCTACAATCTGTGCATAATGGAGTCTCTTCCAACCTCGACCAAGGCATGCTACATCATCTACTGACAAGACCTGGCATGAGCAATAATTTCTATTGTGGTCCCAAGAACACCCCAAGAGTGTCGTCAACGCCCATGCGACTAAGATGGAAAATTCAAACAAGCTGGGATCACCGGGAATCGAATGTTTATTGTTTCTCAGCTCTACAAGCCTTCTTTGCACCAATACAGCCATTTCTGGTCTGGTGGTACAAATCTTGCGGATGTTACTCAGGTCTTGATGATCTCGGTGCCATGTAAAGCCTTCGCCCGATGATGATACGTCTATCAGAGCCTCTTATGGTGCTAGACTATTAGCATTGGAGGCGGAATTTTGGGGGACTTCGATTTCTCGATTGGTAACTCTACAGTCCCTTGAATCTGGGATATAATGTAAGCAGTGAGGCGAGGGAATCACGTTCGAACATCTGAACCTGACCACTATTTTGCTCTTTTTGGGGTTATCCAAGTCTAAATCAATCACGGCTGAGTCAGTCACCCTCATTCAAGACGTGCTCGTAGTTTATCTTCATGTTAAAATTTTCGACTTTATAATAACTCATTAGCAATATCTTGACATCAATACGGTGAGACCTTGGGTCTTCTGGTCCCTGGATCGCTGTATACTCAGCGGCGGTGCAAAGGCGGCCATGACTGGCAGAAATTCTTATCGGACAGTCTCGATGAGCGTGAAGTTACGGCCTCGCGATTTGGCGACCGACTACGTGAGGTGCTGTATTTCTCCTGTCTTCTCCTAGCGCTTGCGACAATTCAGTATGCCTCGCGATCCGCTTGTTGGTCTTGTGGGCAAGGTTAGTCCATCTCTTTCTTCTCACCTTACACCCCGCTGACCATGCGAGGGGCACAGCCGTCAAGTGGGAAATCCACGACATTAAACAGTTTGACGGACGCTTCTTCTAAAGTTGGTGAGTAAAAATTAATTCTCGATTCGCGTCAATCGCTAAATTCTGGTCTCGCAGGAAATTTCCCGTAAGAACAGCCTATTCGCATGTCCCCGCGTTATCAACGCGCTGACACAACCCGCTAGTTTCACCACCATTGACCCTCAGCGAGCCATCGGATACCTTCAGATTGAATGCGCTTGTCAACGACACAATGTTTCGGATCGATGCCAACCGAACTACGGTGGCTGTCATGAGGGGCGCCGCTCCGTGCCCATTGAATTGTTAGATGTGGCTGGTCTCGTGCCCGGAGCGCACCAAGGTCGCGGACTAGGCAACAAGTTCTTGGATGACTTGCGACATGCCGATGCTTTGATTCATGTGGTGGATGTGAGCGGGACTACCGATGCTGAAGGGAAGGCTACTCGGGGCTACGATCCTTCGGTGGATATTGAGTGGCTACGGTCGGAGATTGTACGCTGGGTGCTTGGTAACTTGATGGAGAAGTGGTCAGTCGACAAAAGACGGACGAATACATGTGGGGTGAAATGCTGATGTTTGATCCCAGGGGCTCCATTAAACGGAGACACATTGCGACGAGTCTGTGAGCTTTCCCCGTTACTCGGGACCAGCAACTAATGTCATTCCCAGAGGCAAATCCCGTCGACACCCTACAGGGCCAATTTTCCGGATACGGAAGTACCTCAACGATCGTCGCGCGAGTGTTGGACAAGCTCGCTTTGAAAGAACCTCTTGAAGAATGGTCAGATGATACCGTCAAGCTTATGGTCGAGACCTTCATCGACGAAAAGTTCCCCACAGTGTTCGCCTTGAACAAGATCGATCACCCAGATGCGGATAAAGTACGTCACTTCTATATCAGTGATCTGGGCTCTGCTAATATCCTTCAGAATATCAGTAAGATCGCCAAGATGCAAGATCCTCAAAGTATCGTGCTGTGCTCGGCAATATCAGAGGTCTTCCTTCGCCGATTAGCGAAGCAGCAATACATCAAATACGTCGAAGGCAGCGAGTTCGTGGATACTAGAGAAGACCTGATTGAAATGGGGGATCCAGATGGAGGAGGCCTCAAGGAGATGGACGAGAAATTGAAAGCGTGAGTGTATCATTCGGGTGGTACATGCTTTAGCTAACCCTGATTGAAACAGCCGTGTTGAGAATTTAAAAGATATGGTTCTGTACCGATTCGGATCCACTGGTGTGGTACAGTGTCTGTCTCGAGCAGCAGAGCTTCTGGGTCTCGTTCCCGTCTTCCCAGTGAGGAACGTCGCGACTTTCAGCTCAGGAAACGGGTCTGCGGTATTCCGCGACTGTGTTCTAGTCAAAAAGTGAGCAGTGTAGCATACTAATCAAGAGTTCCCTTTAGCTAACTTTCGCAGAAACAGCACAGTTGGTGACGTGGCTCGGAAGGTGATGGGCGACGTGCCGATCAGCTACATTGAAGGTATCGGCGGCACTCGTGTATCGGAGGAAGATATCGTCGCGGTCGGGAAGCACGATGTGAGTTTTGTCTACTCCCCAAGGTCCTCTGAAACGAGACTAACATCACTTGAAGATTCTTTCATTCAAGGTCGGCCGGTAAAGCAGTTGCAAATTATGTACAGTTTCGTGGGACGCCAATGGAAACGCCCTGACGATGCCACTTATCAAGACCCCATCTTTCAAGACCCATCTTGTAGAGTGCCTGCCTTACAACGACGATTGAATAGACAATATTTCGAAATCAATTCCCCTTCTACATGAGAGAAATCGGATCAGCAATCTGGACCATGAAACGAAGAGGACAATTCTTACCCCCGCGCGCTCGTCATTCATTCCAATGATCGGTTCCGGAGCAGCAGGATGCTCATCCTTGGCCTTCCGCGCATGTTTGCGCCCGCCTCGCTCGGTAGCTCCCTGCTGTTTCGTGTCGTCCTGGATACCGGCATTTACATCTCGTTCCTTGAACCCCGAGGCTGTCGCCGCAGATGTAGGGTCATTGGTATCTCCCTGTCGAGCTCGCTTGATGCTCGAGTCCGTCGGGTCTGCTCCTTTCCAATCCTTCAAAAGCCCGTACTTTCGACTGAATTGACGGGCTGTTGGCGGAGCAAGTAGCCGGGTGCGCATGGTTGATCGGACTGGCTGGGCAAGAAGCATGTTGCGTAATTTCAACGCGAACGTTGCAATGTAACCTTAGTATTGTGACTTTAAAAGACGGCAATGAGGCTTCTAAAGATCACTGAAGCTCCGTTGAGGGTTTTTGTGTAAGTTGGCTCCTGATTTTATTGCTGGTTGCGGGCATCCGTGCTATGACGTCGTCATGCTGCAATCCGAGGAGGAGCTACCCTGGGACTTAGAAATAAGTGAAATCAAGATCACCTTTGAACTTTTAATCAAGATGGGGGTGGCTTTCAAGAAAGCCCCACTCTTAGCCTGCTTAATACGTAGGTGACTGTACGCGAGTTTATACTTTTTGAAAAATTGGAGAAGAAATATTCCTATAGGAGCTACATGTACATGATGTCGTATTTTTTTTATCCACGAATAATACAGGTTCGGAACAAACAAAAGAAACATGAAAGAATAAAAGCACAATCTCGAGTCCTATCCCAACAATCAATATGCTATTTCTAGCGAGTCGTGTCCGGGATAGTAGGCACATCCGCATCTGCCCCGGTCATAGTCTTGTCAGGCCGGGCCACATCAGCCACATGTTCCGAAGAGCCGTGGCCCTTGTCAAAAGAAGCACGAATAATATTCGGGTCGGCTGGGAATTGGAACTTGGAGCTTTTCCACGGCTTGACCTTCATAAGATACATAGTATCGATCTCTTCCAAAGTTCGGCCCTGGCCCTCGATAACGGCGACGTAGACCAAGCCCGCAGCTAAGAACAGACAGCCGGCAAAGACATATCCGTAGCGGAAGTCGATGGCGCCGACGATGAACGGAGTGAAGAAGGCTAGCAGGAAGTTCCAGAGCCAGTTGGAGGCGGTGGCGAGGGACATACCGCGCGCACGGTACTGTGAAGGGAAGAGTTCGGCGATGATGGTCCATACCATGGGGCCCCAGGTACTGGCGAAGCCGAGAATGAAGAGACAGGCGAAGACGACCATGGCCACACCGGCGCTGTGTGTTTGTTCGGGATGATCGATGTTCAAGGAGAAGTGACCAACCGAGGCAAAGACCATGAAGCAGACGAACATCCACAAAGCACCAATGATAAGAGACCGGCGACGACCGTAGTGCTCGATCAAATAGAGACCAAGGAAGGTACTGCCAAAGTTCACGCCGCCCAGAATCATCTGCGTCACGTAGCTGTTCTGAATACCAGCACCCCGGAACACCGTGGTCCCGTAGTAGAGAAGAAGTAATTGGCACCTGTCAGCTGCTGTAGAGCTTGCAGCGAGACACCAACAACAACTCGCTTCGCCATCGTCGGTGCTTTGAAGAAAGTAACCCAGCCGATTTTTCCAGTGTTGACTTCTTCCTCATATTTCATCCTGATCTCTTCGAATTCGATTTTCAGGACACGGTGGTTCCGGGGAAGCCCGTAGATCTTGGAGAGGTTATTCACAGCTTTTTCTACTTTATTGTGGCGGTAGTCATAGCGAGGACTTTCTGGGAAGAAGAGCATTCCCACGCCCAGAATGAGGGCCCAGAGGTATGTGATTCCCATAGGAATACGCCAGGATCCAGTGTCCGTGCGTTTTTCGGTGCCGTAGTTAATACAGTTGGCGACGAAAATTCCGAGGGTGATGAACAACTGGTATGTACTGGTGAGTGTTAATATCTGTGTTCAGTACGATCATTTCCCAGAACATTCAACATACCTAACCAGAGCTCCTCGGATATGTCTCGGTCCTGACTCTGCCTGGTACATTGGCACCAGCAGAGACAACGCACCGACTCCAAGACCCGCTGTCCAACGTCCAAGTGCAACCTGATACCATTTACCGGTGGGAGATGAAATTTGTACAGTGACACCAGCCATGAGTATCACACACCAGCCACTGATTGACCACTTGCGTCCCACTCGATCAGCGATGGGGGCAGCAATTAATGCTCCAATCAAGGTGCCGATGGAGAGCTATTCGGTATTTGCAATTAGAAGAGACGCGTGCAATGAGGGTATATCCACTTACCAGAGCAACAATAAGACCCGAGCGCACGTTGCTGAAGTAGTAGGTTCCATCCGAGTTCCGCTCCCCAAATCGCATGAGGAAATTTTGCATCTCTAGGAACCCAGAAATTTGACCGGTGTCATAACCGAAGAGGAATCCGCCCATAGACACAAAAATGCCCATAATGAATGACCGCAGCGTGAAGAGTGGAATAGGAGTGTCCACGGTAGCGGCATCACCTTTCTCGCGATCTGTAGGAGATATCGATTCTCTAGGCAGCTCGCTATCAGGAAAGACATCCTGAGGCTTTTTCTTGAATACGTTCTTGAACATGCTGTTGGTGACAATTCTCGTCTGGGTATAGTCTGACGTGCTAGGGCTCTAGCTACTTTCTTTTTGTAATCGTAAATGAGCCACGACCAGCCCGCTTTATACTTGGCCTATTGGCCACGACGCCAAGGACCTGAATAACAGGCACTCCATAGCGCGTGGTCTTGTGTGGAGAAGAACCCGGTCATGTCGGCCAGCCAAATTGATCGAAAGGGACATGATGACTCGTTGATTTGTGAAGCGAGCATACTCCCATGGCAGGAGAGACGGCCATCTCCGTTGGGAACGCGAGAATCTGGGGAAGTGGGGAATGCTTTTGGTAGGTGGCTCTCGTGGATCCGTGGATGGCCGGGGCCGAATGAGCTAGGTGGCGCAGACCCATGTACCTTGTTGGAGGTAACGAATCATAACGTATACCAGTGGACGCATTGGGGAGACAAGTCATGGCGTCTGGTATTATCTATGTCGTGAGAATAGGTGGTAGCCATGGTAGTTGCAGGATGGTTGCGCCTCGGCGGCCAACAATTCGCTGGGTGCTCATCCGGAAGCTACGGCTTCGCCGGTTTCTAGGACATGACTCGTCTGGAAACACTCTCCAGATCCGGCTGCATCGTGCCGATTGTATCGGCAGGCCGAACATTCTTTCGGTCGACCGTGTCCTGGCAGGATGGCCCTGGAATGACTAAGAAGCACGTAAGATAGAGATATTAGAGGTGAATCCAATTCACGAGGCCACTAACTATCACCAACTCAAGCAACTAGAACCCAAAGAAAAAAAAACCATGAAACGCCGCCCGATTATTTCCAGGTATCATCGCATTCACCAAAACCAATACTGACATCCTCTTAAATTAACACCAAAGTGAATCCTTCGCCCAAAATCAGACGGCCAGCCGTCGGTCCCAGCCATGAACCAAACTGAATTCATCATTGTCTTCCTTGAGAGGCATTGAAATTGCGTGAAATGGATCAATGAAATTCATATCGTCAGGACGAACCGAGAGGTCCGAGTACGGATTCATGTTGTCGTCGGCACTGCCCATGCTCTCGCCGGAATAGCTAAGAACACTCTGTGGGGGCTCCTGTGTTGTGGCAAATTCCCCACTACTCGCGGACCAAGCCTCAGGGGATAGATCATTCATGTCAGGAGGAACCGGTACCACGTGTGACGCATCATTGAGCTGCTTGCTGTCGCGATTGTACTCGGCTGTGATAGAGGCAAATGGACCGGGGTCCTCACCGCACTCCTTTCCACCGTAGATCCCGGTGAAGATGTTCGAATATCCTCGGTCCATGTCGCTTAGGACGTACTCCCAGTCAGCCATCGTGATGGCCCCGTTTTGATGGTCAGACGGAGTAGAGCTCGACATGGCGCGTGGATAATCGTATCCAATAGATGAAGACATCGTCCGGGGAGTTGGACCAAGGTCCAGCGACGAATGCCCTCGGTCGGCATGGTATTGGTGACCTACAAATTGATCCGGCTGCGATGAAGGAAGACTCGTCCAGCTGGGAGACCGAAGTGACTGAGCAGTCGGAGGAGTACCACCAGAGATGGTGTTGCGGCGGGAGGGTGAAGAAGTTTGCTTCGGGGATTGATCCCCGAAAGCACCGGTGAGGCGAGACTTCAAGAACTGCAGATGTTTCTTTGGAGACGAAGTAGGCTTGTGGGTTGGGGCCATCATTGCCTGCGATTCACTACCGGTGATGGCACTCTGGTTCATGTTATCCAGGGAAACTAGAGCTCCGGCCAAGATTCCAAATTCGGTCGCTGCCGTCGAGGAACTTTGCCCAAGCTGCACCTTGACAGTAGTAAGAAGCTTCTGACTCTCCTTGGCTAGCTTGCTGTCCCGCTTCAGACCCAACGTTTGCCACAAAAGTCCAAGACCAGCAGAAAAGACCAATTCCTTTCGGTTGATGCTGAAGGAAAGGCAAAGTCGCCGTTCATCCAATAGCTCGAGAATCTGCACAATGTGCTTTGAAGAATCAGAGAGCGCGAGAACGGATGGGGAGCGAAGATTACCTTCAGCGAAGCACACAGCGGGACGATGAATCAGAGACCGAATGAAATAATAGACAAGAGACAGAAGTGGCGACCGGCTGCTTATAACATTTGTACTGGGCTTGTCCTGAGAGAACTCAAGACGAAGATGCGGGGCCAATGATGACAGCCAGTCATCCAGCTGACCTGTCAGCACATGCAATTTTGAAACATAGACGTCGTAGGCTGACTTTGCAGGAAACAAGTCATTCAAAACCTTATTCAGAATCCTCGAGACCGAGAACAGGGCAAGAGCACTGGAGATGCGAGTGGATTCACCAGGGAGAGTGGGTAAGAAACCGGTCTCGGTGACATTCTCGTCATCCACATCAATAGGATACTCAGTCTGAACGTCGTCCTCGTGCAAAAGAGAAGGCATTCCCGTCAAGGCAGAAGAGAACCGATCCAATACGTATTGGCACCAGAAGACCTTCTTACGGGTTTCTCCCTCCAACGGGTTCAATGAAGTATCATCCATGTTCTGGTGAAGACCCAACTGGTGGCAGATGTCCACACCAAGAGCGCGATAGCGAAGCAAGCTGCGGTAATCGGCTTTGGTCATGCAGTAGATCTGGGCCAGAACAAAGCACTGCAGACTAGCGACAGTAGTGTCGCTTACAAATGAATCGAGAGCAACGGTCCAGTTCTCCTCAAAAAAGGTGGGATCCTGGTTGGTCCTCGACTGTAACTAAATTAGCTTTGTCGATTCTACGCGGTCATATGCACTCACATTTGACGACAATGCAGCAATACCGAAGATCATATTCAACTGTGCCATTGCATGAACATCTTTTTTCAGCGAATCAGTGTTATTTAAAAATTGTTCATAAGCTTTCAAGATCGTTGGGCGATGCACCACCGGGTACAACGGAGCCCACTCCTGAAAGAAGATATTAATGAGCTGGTCCGAAACCAGCCGCGGAGGTGTCTTCAGGACCTGGTGGGGAGAACCGCGAGCCACGGGGGCAGACAGTCTGGTCAGTGCTTTAATTGGAATTCGCGACACTGATTTACCCTGACTGACAAGCCTGTCGGTGAAAATACCTGGTTTGATCAGCTCACCATCCGAGCGAGAGAAAGCAGACACGACATACCAGCAAATCCTTGAGTGCTCGAGAGGGCTGTGTAAGGGTTATCGGATGATTTTTGAGTATGCGATCGCTCGACGTGGACAACTCCCTCCGCCGCATCCAAGCCAGGAGGTTTAATAGAAGAAGGCGCCGATGGAGACCGTGAAGACATGGCTCGTTGAGAAGGCGACGAAAATGAGTGAATCCGCGAGAGAACATCGATCTTCTCATCCTTTTCGTCCAGGAGATCCTTCAGATCCTTGACCTCGGTTTCGAGGGATCGTACACGTTCCTCCAAGGACTCGGTATAGCCACGCGGGAACGCGCGGCGGCTCAGTTTATCACTCGTTTTGCACTCGAACCCAACATTGGCGCATTGGGTACAGCATGGTCGCACGCCGTCACAGCGAATCTTTTTACTTCTGCAACGATCACAGGCCTGGGCGATCCGACTTTGAGTGCCGGTGCCACCGACCTTGATCACTTTCATGGGCAAGATACCGGGCATTTCGACTAGGCAGACGGGCACATCGGCCGCCGCGGTCGAAGTTTGGTGGGGTTGATCGAGGTTGAATCGAGGGCTGCGTCAGTGCCAACAGGACGAAGAGCTTTCGAAAGTCAGCGAAGTAGGATGAGTTCAGAGTCTCGCAACAAGACAGGAGGGGGAAAGATCCCATGTGTTGGCTGAGTCAGGCTGTGGGGAAGTGCTGACCTGCACCAGAACCAATCATACTGGGATCACCGTGTACCGGTCAATACGCTGGAAAAGCTAACCATCCTCCCCTTTTTCTGGTGCTGCGACCCAGATGATGTCGTTCTCCGCGCTGATCCATTCTATTGATTCGCTCGACCAGATGTCATCGTGCTTCGAAACCGGTCCCCCCGGATTGTTCAGTGCCTGCAACTCCCGATGATCTTCCTGATACCCCGGACCCCGCAAATCCTTGGCTACGGCTGTACTGATAGGGTGCAGATTGCGGTTCCGCACTGCGCAAATGAGACTGCATAAACTTTGTTTCAAAAGGAAAAGGACTATAGGCCGTTTCGGCTGTGAAGCCTGCCACTCCCCCAGAGTTGTCATCTCGCTGGACGCCCCGGATCTTCATTGGAGACCCTCGCGCCATAGTTGCTCTCACTCTGTCGCCTGATCGACCGTCAAGGACCCATGGTTGTAAGGTCGCTGGGTGCAGTCTGTCAAGAGGTCTCAAAAAGGAGACGGCACGAATGATGCCCGACTGGGGACCCACGCATCTGGAACTCCGCCCTGTCTTAGGCTGATCCTCTCCATGTCTGTGACTCCCGTGCTCCGATGTTCGGCGGCAGATTTCCCCTTGGGATCCTTCGGGGACTTACTACATGTGTTGTAGTGGCGAGTATCTATGCGCAGGGATCCCTGCTCTGGAGATCCCTGCAGCCTCGGTACAGAACCCGGTATTTGGAAGATGGGGAACACCAATGAAATTGGGTGTATTATTGAATGAAACATCATTATATCATGGGGCAAGGTGCGAAACACGAATAGCGAGTTTTGGCCGAGAGAATCGCGAGATTGGGTTGAACCATGGGTACTGCTTGGATCCACAGAGCCCACCTAGCCGCAGCCGGGGACCCCGGCCTCTTTAGACACCGAGGATTTGGCTCCGATCAACGGGTCTCTACGGGTCCTCAATTGTGTTCGGGACCTAACGGTCCAGGCTGTGATGCTGCATCCATCGTACCAAGGTACCTTGGTCCCGAGGGGAGATTCCACCCCTGCTTAAAAATAAGGAGTTCTTGTCTCATCCAAGGAAGAGGTCCATTCTTTATTCTTCAGATCGCTTCCGATATACGCCGGTCGGAACCCCGCATGTAGTGGCTGGATTCGACTAGAGTTCAGGGTCGATCAGTTCAGCATTGCAGATCCACACATATGGCTGTTTAAGTGTGATGAGCTCCGGTCAAACGTCATCGGGTTCACAATTTCCCATGGTCATCGCCCTAGCTGCACCCTTCGTCTTTGAATCGCTCATCCCCCACAAATGGCCCCGAAACTATGAGCGACGTGGGTGGATATGTAACTTTATTGAAGATCCGGGGTCTGTTCGCGGGTCAATTTCTTGCTGCGCGCGCTGCTTAGCCCAAGTCTAAGTCTTAATTATGTCATGAGAAATCCTCGACTTCTTCGGCCTGTGACTGCTGAGCGAGATACGCAGTGACTGACTCGGATGCAATCAGTTCCTCTCTCTGCCAATAATTGTCAGTAACTTTTTTTGGTCAAGAGTTTGCTGATGGACAGTAATGCAACTCACCTGCTTTCCAAGGTCATTGACAGCCCGCGCCAGTAGCACTGCTTCGAGCCTTCGTAGTCGCTCGATTAAAGCAAATATGTCGGGCCTGAATAGGTTGTGGAAAAGTTTTTCATTCTCGCGAAGGTTGTTCAAGACCTCCTCTGTCTCTTGGAGAATAGAGACTTGTGCCTCTAATCGTTCAAGTACCAGCACAACTGCACGAAGCCGGAAGATTTCCCACGCCGGGTCATTGGCTAGGAGATCGCGAAGTTGAGTCGGTGCTCGAATTTTTTCGCCCTTCCAGATAGTTTCTAGCTCTCTTGTCCCCTCTGTGGTCTGAGTGACCCTAATTTCAAGGCCATCTTCCTCATTCACACACGCCCACCAAACTAGAGGGCTATCCCAAACCGTCTGGCGTGAATTTTCATTTGTATCGTGAGTCATGGCAACCCGTATACCAGGGGTCTCCCGACAGATCATTTTCTTGGCAATGGCAAGAGGATCATCACTTGGTGGTGTCATATCAAAAGTTACCTGCTTTGCCTCAGTTTGACTGTCATCAAGGAAACCGTATGAGAAAATCATCTCAGACGCGGGCTTCTCATCGCCGTATCTGACAGTGAGTTAGCTCGTCGACAAAGGCCAAGGTTCAATTGATCATAGACTCACGAGATAGTCGCTTCATCGCCGGGCTGTAGACTCTTGCCCCAACGGAGCTGCAGAAGCGCATTACCATCCGAGTCTGCCTCGTAGAGGGCATTCACTTCCTCTCCCGAGGCGTGGTTGGCCATGTCGACACAGGGAACCATGGCATGTCCACTTCCGGGTAAATCCACCATGCGCGACCGGTACGCAGCATCAGCATACTTCAAATCATCGAGGGTCATCTTGCCCGTGCCTTCATTCCACCAGCACAACTGACACCAGTCTATGTGCTCTGTAGAATGCCTGAGATGCTCAAACTCCCGCTCCAAAGAGCTTTCCTTGGCGGCCACTGCATCTCCGAGCGAAGTTCCCCTCAGCAGTTCTTGCTCTTCGGCAGAGTAAAATGTAGGCAGTGGGAAACAAGGCGGTAGGAACTTGATGTACTCTGTCCATGGACCTGAAACACCTATGTGCTGGGGCATTTCCGGACACGAGTGTGTCAATTGGACCAAAAGGAATATCATGATTGCACCTCTCGGGGTCTGACAGATATCAGTAACATGTCAACGAAATTATCTTGAGAGTTGGATAGCAAACCCTTCCGAAATCGCCAACTGCTTCCAACACATCCCGAAGATGATGATCGGATTCGGAGTAGTCATGAACGGTTTCCAACGACAGGACCAGCTCCGATGGGACCCGCAGAAGTACTACTGGCGAGGTATCACTTCCATCGCTGGATATTTTCTCCATTGCTACAAGAGCATTGCCCCTGTCTGCTCCGCTCTCATTCGAGCCAAGTTGCTGGAATGCAACGCCGTTGGCATCGATCCCGTTGAGCTTGAGCCATGCCGGGAGTGATCCCAGCGGAAGGTGTTCCCGCTTCATGAGGGTTACTACTCGGTTTTCCAAGTATTCTTCAGTATGAAGCTTTCAAGATCCGTCATTCATGGGATCAGGGTTAAATGCTATTGTTCGGGTCGTGACATGCCAAGGTCGGTCGCGAGACCAGTGTGATTAGTCACACTTTAGGGCCTGAGGCAACAACTCCGTCCCAAGAGTAGGCAAGTAGATCACAGGGTATCAAGGCCTGCCAGACAACGCATTATTTTGGGAATGGAAGGAAAAGAATGCAGATATGAGGAGCTTGACCCACAGCCCTGCAACTGTGAAAAGGCTCGCTGGTTCTCATTGTCTCAACTCTGCAACTTCGTCATTTCCTTGTTGGATGGGAGTGGATGGTGCATACTCGGAGAACCTTCTAAACGGCTTCAATCGTAATCTTGCAACAAAGAATGGAACGAAATTTAATTTTCGGACTTTGGGCACCAATTCGTCTCACGAGCCGAGCTCTATACTGATGTTCTCTCATCTACTTGGTCAACATTTCAGGCAGACGGGGCTGCAAGCATATTTCTTTGACCATACTTCCACGTATATGGCCCTTTTTCAACTGGAGTTTGTCACATTGATTTGATTCTCACTTTCGAAATATCACAGTACCAGCTAGGTGAGCTGAAACTGCGAACGACATCTTGACACTGGGACTGATGAAGCTGCAAGCGATGTTGGATACATTCTCTATTGACCCTTTTCATATCGGTCCACCTGTTATATCCTACTCCTTATGCTTAGCCCTGATCAGAGCACCGTCTAGATAGCGAGTCATTTCCTCCACATCTTCGAGCTCACCCACCCAGCCGATATACTGATCCGGTCTGGCAATCAGCATCAAGCCATTCATGCGATCTACCCCCCACTTCTCATACCCATGTCCATCACAGTCCCGATCCCACACACATGCGTCATCACACCATATTTTATCATATTCCCAGCCCATGGTCGTATCCAGATCACGCAGGATTTTTAGGGAAATCGAAGTACTCGGTCTCCTTCCAAGGTGCGCTGTGAATCGTCATGACATCTATGGGGCTGTTGAAGCGATCCGGGATCGCATTATATCGACTCAAAGGCGAAGTTTTTCCATCAAGCTGATCAGACAGAAATCGGCATAGAGTCTCAATCCGTTGCTTCTGCGTTTCATTGCGGACGTCTCCAGCAAGAATGACCAGTCGGAAGCGTCCATCACTCTCCAGAACTCTTGTCGTCCACTGCGTGTTTCCATCTGCCTGCTTGCGCAGCTTGACTGGCGGGAATCTCTCACCCGGAACCAGACGATGGCCCTGGCTAAGCTTGCCCTTGCTATCAAACTGGCAGACCAACAAGCTCGCACCATAAAAAGCTTTCAAGCCATCTGCGAAATCTTCAAATGCCTCAACCACCTTGATCATATTCTCTGTCTTATCAGAACCTCCTTCTGCGCTTTCTTCCGGTTGTTTGTGATCCGTGAAAAGACCAGACCAGTGACGATCGAAGTCAAGCAACATCTCAGCCAAACGATGACGCTCAGCATGATACGTGCTAAGAATAGCTGGGCTAGCCACCCCTGCTGCAACCAAAGCAACCTTCCAGCCGATATTGAATCCATCCTGCATACTCATGTTCATACCAAGTCCTACCTTGGGAGAATGAGTGTGCACGGCATCTCCGGCAAGGAAGATACGATCATCTTTCGCGAATGTAGGCGCAATCCGCTGTCCGATCTGATAAGCAGTCCACCAGTCACAGACTTTATAGTCGAATGTGTACGGCTTCAAGATAGCTTGAACCCGCTCTTTGATCATCTCTGGTGTGATTGAGGAGCGGCTGAAACGGGCACTTCCAGACTTGGCAACGTCGACAACATGTACGGGTACGTACAGACGTACCAGGCGTCTTTCACGAGGGATCACAAGCATTGTGCCGGATGTGCTGGTTACAGTGCCCAGGCGGCGGATGTCCGCTAACGGTCCCAGAGTCAGTTCAAGATCTATGAGCTCGGTTACAAATCTTACGGAAGTCTGTAATGGGGATTATATCAATCACGCCCCTAATGGATGTCAATCTTGATTTTCTCACGGAAAAATTGCCCACTCACCAAATATCATCCGTACTCGATCCCTCTAGAGGAATATCGATCTGCTTTCGTGTCCAGCTGTGGGCACCATCGCATCCAATTAGATATTTGGCCTTGACGAGCTCGGTTTTCGTTTGCCGACTCTTGCTTCTCTGATGCAAGTCATGCAAATCATCTGAGGGTATATCACTTTCTTTGAGCCCGCCAGGAACAGAATGCGAGCTTCCTCCATCAGAATTGTTGGAGGGAGTCAATTCGTTCTCACTGAGTGTGCGCACTTTGACTGTGATAGGGAAGGCATTCGGGTCATCTTTGACAAGTTCGTCGTACTCAAATGACTCAGCGATGACACCTCTTTCAACCTCGAGATTCGAATGCTGCTTAATGTTGTCAAGGAGGAACCTTTCAATTCGACCTTGGCTCAAAAGCATGTTGTGGAAAGGGGACTCGTTGACTTTAGAGCTACAGAATGGACCCTGACGAATCAAGCTTCCATTTGGACCAGGAACCTGTTTGTCTTGATGTCAATTGAAGTTCTAGGCGTGGGATGAAACCGTACCCAGAAGTTAGCCTCCACGGCCACATGGCCTTCATGCTGGACGCGATGTTGGAAGCCAATACTATCAAATAGTTCGAGAGTCCGCACGCGCAACCCGTCTGCGTGGCCGATGAAAACCTTGGTACCCTTTTTATCGATGATCCGAGCTCGCACGCCGCAACGAGCCATCCAGTAGGCTGCCATCAAGCCAGAAGGCCCGGCACCGATGATGAGTCTGTTAGATTAGACTTTGTTTTGCAAGTGTGTAGCTTGGGCGATATCTTACACGTCTGTATGGGATGCCGAGGCATGATCGTCTTCGGTCATGTTAACTGTATTACTTTTCGGTATAAAGGTGGCCCACAATCAGCTTAAAGGATCTTGATGGTGTGGTCAATTCTAATGGGACAAGACGCAACGTTCTTATATTTTATTGTCTTGATTCTCGTGAATGACCTTCCTGGTCTTTCGCTGTGGTACAGAAATCAGGCAGTAAGGTTGGTGCAGTGCCCACCTGCAAGCTGACATCTATTGCTTCTCCTCCTAGCTACTATAGTTGAAATCAGGCCAAGGGTCTTTTGTGGCGAGCTGTCGAAAAATCTATTGAGTGGGCTTACCTGCAAGACGAGTCCTAGCTTGTAAAGCAAGATTCCGAATGATGTAATTACAAAGACCGCCAAAGTTCCCATCCATCCCAAGTCCACCTGATCACGCGGTTTGAAGGCGGAGCTCAACATTACTAACCATAAGCTGCTCGGTTTAATAGAGGTCGCGGCTGTGTCCACCAGGTATTTAGCCGTGACTTTGGACAGGTCATTCGCCAATTGAAACCTGGTTGCGATTTTTACCGTTCAATTAAGCTCCATTGAACATCAAGTGGCTACAAGAACATCTATCCCATGTACCCATGTCATGCTAGGAAGATCCTCGGGTTTCATGCAGCAACGCACGGGGCTCTGTCACCCGAGAAGCTGCCAGCCAAGACCGCTGAGTCAAAGCTGACGAGGACAGTGAAGTGGTAGCACAGTTTCATCGTAGATCATCGAATGCATGATCAGACTTCTTACAAAGAGCTCTAGATCTAGATCTCCATCAAACCGGACGACTCTCTCCCGTCCAATTGTTCAGATGAGTAAGCGCCCCTGGCGGCTACGCTGTTTCTGGCACACCGGGTCCCCCAACGGAGTGCAGGATAGACCCCTCACACACTGCTCGCCAACAAAGTCGGATTGAACTAATCAGGGAAACCGGTGCCAATGCCATGTGCTCCTTATGCTTCGTAGAATAGGCTGTTGGGTCGACAGGCCCGTTATATACAGCGGCTATGGAGGGATCGGCTAATTTCGTGGGACCGGAGCAGCGTCCTCCGAGACGGGACCTCCCGGTGAAGATGTGGACATAGGCCGAACGGTTGGGAGCCCGGCAATGCTTCTCATCCCACCGCAGAAGTCGAAGAAGCGGTAGTGTACCCTAAACGGAGAGATTGAACCCGAGGAACACCCTTGGGCTCGTGCCTCTCTCAATTACGGAGGAAGGTATGCATGCGAAGTGATGCAATGGTGCTCATACTCTGCAATTGCCCTCAAGGACGTAGAAAATTGAAGAAGCGAAATAGAAAGAAAGGAATTAGAATGAGAGTCCAAGCATCGGCCCTGGCCTTGCCAAAAGGTTCGGGAATGAAAAGCGATGCGAAGAAAGCGGCCGGCAGCGGAGGACTGGCCTTTTGCCCCACCACAGCGTCATACCCACTGCCCCTCCCCCTCTCATATTTTGAAGCCATCTCTCTCTCTTTCTTCCTTCTCATCTCCCATAAATTTTGAAAGTCAGTATCTCATCTTATCACCTCCTCATTAGCTAACCTCGAGCTAGTTACTGCCAAAATGGGTTTCACTGATCTGGACCAGTTGGCGATCAACACCATCCGCATTCTCGCGGTATGTCCTCTCGCCGCGTCTGCTAAGGTCCCTCAGGTGCAATTGGATGGGCTATCCGCCTCATTCGCACTTGCAGACCAGTGGTATCGCAAAATTCCATCTGAATAAGAGCTCACTGACGCTTTTCTCCCAGGTTGATGCCACCTCCAAGGCCAACTCGGGCCACCCGGGTGCCCCCATGGGCATGGCCCCCGTGGCTCACGTTCTGTTCAACAAGTTCATGAACTTCAACCCCCAGAACCCCGACTGGGTCAACCGTGATCGTTTCGTTCTCTCGTATGTGTTTCAGACTCCTTGATACCTATATCCCAGGAAACTGCCGGAACCCTGCTCTCCGGAGCAAATCACCACCGCAAGAACACCCACCCTGACCATCGGATAGGAACGGCCACGGCTGCATGCTGCAGTACGCCCTGCTGCACCTGTTCGGCTACAAGCTCACCATGGATGACCTGAAGAACTTCCGCGTAAGTGTTCTTAGTCCAATGTAGTACGGGAGTCCCGAGCTGATTCCTTTCACAGCAACTCGACAGCATCACCCCCGGTCACCCCGAGGCTCACGACACCCCCGGTATTGAGGTCACCACCGGTCCTCTTGGCCAGGGCTTCGCCAACGCCGTTGGTTTGGCCATTGCTCAGGCTCACACCGCTGGTGTCTTCAACAAGCCCGGCTATGAGCTCCTCAACAACCACACCTACACATTCTTTGGTGATGGCTGTGCCATGGAGGGTATCGCCTCCGAGGCCGCCTCCATGGCTGGTCACTTGCAGCTCGGCAACCTCATTGCCATTTATGACGACAACCACATTTCCATTGGTAAGTGATCGACCCATCGCCTCCCGCCAACAGACCCGATCCCTTACTAACGCTATCTCCTAGACGGTGACACCAAGTGCGCCTTCACTGAGGATGTGATGAAGCGCTTCGAGGCCTACGGCTGGCACACCGAGTGGGTCAAGGACGGTGACAACGATCTTGCCGGCATTGAAGCTGCTATTCGCAAGTGTCAGCAGGTCACCGACAAGCCCTCCGTTATCAAGCTCACCACCACCATCGGTTTCGGCTCCAAGCTGGCTGGTACTGGCGGTGTTCACGGTAACCCCCTCAAGGCTGATGATGCCGAGAGCGTCAAGGCCCGCTTCGGCTTCGACCCCAAGCAGAGCTTCGTCGTTCCCCAGCAGGTCTACGACATGTACCACAAGCACGCCGCTGAGGGTGCCGCTAAGGAGCAGGAATGGAACCAGCTCTTCCAGAAGTACCAGCAGGAGTACCCCACCGAGGGTGCTGACCTTGCCCGCCGTCTCTCCGGCAAGCTGCCCGAGGGCTGGGAGAAGAGCCTCCCCACCTACAAGTCCACTGATGCCGCCGTCGCTTCCCGCAAGCTGTCCGAGGCCGTCCTGGAGAAGATTCACTCCGTCATTCCCGAGCTTCTGTCCGGTTCCGCTGATCTGACTGGCTCCAACAACACCCGCTGGAAGAACGCTGTCGACTTCCAGCCCCCCCAACCTGGGCATTGGTGAGTGGTCTGGCCGCTACCTCCGCTATGGTGTGCGTGAGCACGCCATGGCTGCCGTCATGAACGGTCTTGCCGCCTACGGCACTGTCATCCCCGCCGGCGGTACCTTCTTGAACTTCGTTTCCTACGCCGCCGGTGCCCTCCGCCTGTCGGCCCTGTCTCGCGTCCGTGTCATCCACGTCGCTACCCACGACTCCATCGGTCTGGGTGAGGATGGTCCTACTCATCAGCCTATTGAGACTCTGGCTCACTTCCGTGCTCTGCCTAACTGCATGGTCTGGCGCCCCGCCGACGGCAACGAGACCTCCGCTGCCTACTACATGGCCATCACCTCCAAGCACACCCCCAGTGTTCTGGCCCTTACCCGCCAGAACCTGCCCCAGCTTGAGGCTTCCACCATTGAGCGTGCCACGAAGGGTGCTTACGTCGCCGTTGACACCCCCAACGCCGCCATCACCATCATCTCCACCGGTTCCGAGGTCAGCATCTGTATCGAGGCTGCCGAGTACCTCCAGAAGAACCACGGCATCGCCGCCCGCATTGTCTCCGTTCCTTGTTTCGAGGTCTTCGATGCTCAGGACAAGGATTACCGTCTGTCCGTCCTGCCCGACGGCATCCCCGTTCTGTCTGTCGAAGCCTGCTCCACCATGGGCTGGGAGCGCTACTCCCACGAGCAGTTCGGTCTCAACCGCTTTGGTGCCTCTGGCCCCTACAAGGAGGTGTACGCCGTAAGTTTTCCATCTCTGTTCCATCTATTCTTCCCATCACTAACGACTGCCAGAAATTCGAGTTCACCCCCGAGGGCATCAGCAAGCGCGCCGTTGCCACCATTGACTTCTACAAGGGCCACAATGTGCGCTCCCCCGTCAACCGTGCTTTCCAGCAGATCCTGTAAAGCGTGGCTTAATGCTTCAAAATGTTATGATTTACTAGTTAAGGAGCGACAGCCCTTGAACCCAATTTATAAGAATGCGATAGAGCGTCTGTCGATTACCACCTATGACTTGCATCGTAAATCGCATTGGACCAAAGTAGAAGGGATCAATGACCTACAATAGCCCTCACTGATCTATCTAGACATAATTTCCAGCATTTTGTAAAAGGAAGACTTTCTTTGTAAGGATCGAATTTCACCGCTGCATCCCGCTGTGGCGCTGTCGTATGTCATCATGCGGTTGTTCGTTCCGGAAATTCTTGCCCTCAGAATACTGCAAGTGCCTCTATTCTAGACCGTTGTTCAAAAGAGCTGATCTTCAACCTTCCGAGCATGAATGATGATCTAGTATAGTCAAAGCGGCGACAAAGGTTGTAAGCGGGACGATGGGGGGTTGGGAGAAGGTTCGGGCAGAAGGACTCGCCTGGTGGAATGGGATATCATTAGCTATCGTTGCGGTCGATGCCTTCTTTTGCCCTAATGTAAATATTCCCGGGCGGTTGCAGGAAGACGCATCCCGTACTTCAAGAGAAACTTAATAGCGCAATATAGTGTGTTTACGCAGGTCTGCAATACGTCCTCGACATCTCTGGAATAGAAATCACTCCTTACTCCAGCACTGCTGCTGCATCTCAATAGTCCCCCGCAACATCACCTCCTTTCTCTGCCGTGTTTCTTCCGAAGTACAAGGGCCATATGCCTTCTCCGTCTCTCGAACAACAACATCCCTCCACTTCTCTTCGCCTCCCTCCGTCTGAATATCAATCTGTCCCAGAGACCCCCAAACATCCTTCATAGTCGGCGCCAACTTGTCCAAGAACCCACTAATACCACCCTCTCCACCACCAGCATGATAACTCTCAAAAACACCACTCCCAGCCCACCTCGGTCCCAGACTAGAAGTGACAATCGAGTCCAGATCTCGAGCCGATACCACCCCCTCTCCAACAAGATAACACGCCTCCCGCATCAGCGCAAAAGCAAGCCTATTGCCCACGAACCCAGGAACCTCCTTTTGCAGCACGACAGGCCGATAATACTGTCCTTGGTCCCGCGAATCCTTCGAACCAGGCAGATGCGAAGGACCAGGCACAGACTCGAAATAAGCCTTCACAAATTCCACACGCTCCGATCGCGTGTATTCTCCAGGTACAATCTCAACAAGAGGCATCAAATGAGGCGGGTTAAATGGATGCGCAACAACCAACCTCTCCTTCACATTCTGCTCACACTCCGCAACCTGCATTGAAGCTGCAATCCCAGAAGAACTACTCCAAAGATGAGCCTCCGGGTCCGCAAACCTCGTAACCTCCTTCCAAAGAGCCTGTTTCGAGTCCAGTTTCTCCGGCGTCTGTTCTTGGATGATTGTTGCGCCGTGTACGGCGTCTTGAATGGATGCTGCCAATGAGAGGCGGGACGATTCGATCAGAGCAGTGATTGCATTTTGTGAATCGGGTTGGGATCCTGATAGAGTTGTGTCTAGGAAGGAAGGGAGCTGGGCGCGAAGGAGAACTTCATAGTCTGGGCGTGGGTCGAAGACGGTTACTTTTGTGTCGGGCCGGCGGAGGTGGAGGGCTAGCATTGAGAGACCGATGGTGCCTACTCCTAGGAGGGCAATATGGTGTCTGTATTCGGGCATTTTTAAACGAAGGATTTCAATATTGAACATGTGCCTGGAAGTTGGAGACGTTATAAAGAAGTGGTAGTAGTAGTGGGAGGTGGGGTGCGGGGTGTTTGATACTATGAGATTGGACCTCGGGATTCACAATATGCCTTAAAGCTCCTCTATGCCCTCAAAGACGTGACCGATTGCCAATTGTCCAGGCGCTTCTTGGTGGTCTAGTTCATTGAAATGAAAGCCACAGGACGGATGTCCAGCCATGTTGTTGAAAAATGTCTGGGAATCCCCAACTGCTGGTGCCCGCAGTGGGATGAACGTTGGAGCCCTACTAGTTCCGACTCACAGATTCAAAGTCGCGGAAATCTTGGAATTGCCTGTCTTTGAGGCCTTTTTCTTTTCTTGAGATTCTTGATTTTAAACACTATTATCATAGCTATGCGGAGATTGACACGAGATTTCAATGTGATCTTCGAAGCTTGTGGGAGTGAATGAATGGCTGGGAATTGGACCTCCTCAAGATCTGTTTAATATCACTATCACTGAGGGCTCTATTATTTTGGAGCTTCTCTAGAACCTACAGACTGGCATATCATGTCTTTCATCTGAATTTACTCATTTGTGCCAGGTGAAAGCTCCAAGTTTGCTGTTCTTGCTTTCTGTCTCTCTCGAGTGCCTGCAAATGTTGCACCTAGATATTTCATGCTCGTTGGAATATTGGTATATTGAAAGGTCCCTCCTTCCAGGTCAAATTCAACTAAGTTGACTAAATTTTATTACAACACTACACGAGAAGATTACCCAGAAACGAGGTTCATTCATCATGATATATTCATCTCTTCTTTTTAATTTCCAACCAACATTCATCTAAGCACCAAGAGCCTTGCGAGCAAAGTTAGGCAGAACGAAGCTGGCGCGGTGGATGTCCTGGTTGTAGTAGCGGCACAGGCGCTCCTCCTCCTCGCGGGTCCAGGAGCGAACAGGCTCACGAACGTTGCGGGTGGCGTCCTTGCAGCAGACCATGAAGCCGATCTGGCCGGAGGGGTAGGTGGGGATGGTGGTGTAGGCGTACTCGGCGACGGGGAAGACCTCACCGCAGGCCTTCTTGAGGTCAACGATCAGGGGAAGGTGGAGCCATTGGTTCTCGGCTGTTGGACAAAAGGCACAGTTCCGCAAAACCGAGCCCGTAGAGCGGGTTGGTTGGCGGATAGTGCGATTCAATTAGCCAATTTGCTTCTTCATAAATAAAAAAAAAAATCATAACAAGGAAGAGAGAAAGAAAGAAAGAGACATGGACGGATTGACGAGTACAAGGGAGGAGATGGGCAGTGGGCAAGTTGGAACAAAAGAAAAGGGAACGAACAACCTTGGGTAGTAATAACACCGCCTTCGCGGAGAGCGTCACGGAGAAGCTCGAAGTAGGGCTTCTGGAAGAGGCTCTCGGCAGGGCCCTCGGGGTCAGAGGAGTCGGTGATGATAACGTCGAACTCGTTCTGCTTGGCCTTAAGGAACTCGAAGCCGTCACCGATGTGGGTGGAGACCTTGGGGTGCTGGTAGCTGACGGACATGCCAGGGAGGTACTTCTTGGAGAGACGGATGACGGCCTCATCGATGTCGCACAGAACGGCCTCCTCGACGGACTCGTGCTTGACGACCTCACGGAGGACACCACCATCACCACCACCGATGACGAGGACCTTCTTGGGGTTGGGGTGGGAGTTCATGGCAAGGTGGGTGATCATCTCCTGGTAGGAGAACTCATCGCGCTCGGTACACTGGATGACATTGTCGAGGACAAGAACATTGCCGTAGTCGCTGCTCTCGAAGACGAGGACGTCCTGGTACTTGGACTTCTCGTGGTGCAGGACCTGGTTGACCTTGAGGCTCATGGCCTGGCCGGGCCACATGGAGGAGCGCTCGGAGAACCAGCCATCTAGTGGAGTCAGCGATAGAGGTTCACCGAAGGGGAGGTCCTGAGGAGGGGTGACGGAAGTGGGATGTGGGATGTGGGATGACGAGGCGGGGCAGTGACAGCTATATGTGCATTTGACATGGAGATGGACGACATACCCTGGATAGTGGGGTGAGGGATCTCGCTCATTTTGTAAGATAGACGAGTGTTAATTGATAAAAATCGGAGAGGAGAGAAAGGACGAAGACTTCGCAGCATGCGAGAAAAAAAGTAAAAGCTGCGCGAGTTTGCCTGTTTTGGGCGATTTTTGCCAAGTCCCCACTTTGACCCAGACAGGCAACTGAGGGGAGATTTCACTTGGGCTATCACTCTTGGCTCTCGGGCAGCGATCGGGATGGAACAATTGGAATCGAGTGGAATAAGAATGAGAGAGAGAGAGACCAAAGGCTGTCGGAGCTTTGTTGGACCCTTGTTGGACCCGTGTTGAACGATTTCGGAGGCAGGCCAGACTTTTGGGCCAATTGAAGCTGTTCAAATCACGCTGACCAGTGACACCACCCAGATTATAGATCATATACTACATCAAAAAAGGCGAAAACTCTCTCGAAACTCGGTTGAGAAGCATAGCAAGACCCATTGAGAGACATAGGAAATCCAAAATTGTCGATTGCTTTCTAGTTACTGTACAATTGATACAGCTGCGACAGCACGGAGTGTCATCTCGTGCCCCGGTATAACCTTTTCCATCCTTGGTTTCAACGCAATTAGAAAGGAGCTATTTACTCCTCACCACCACCCTCAAGCATACGGCCAGGCTTGGAGTTAAGGTAGTCGTTGCTGTGGAGAGACGTTAGCCTCGCCCTGGGCACGCAATTCCGGATTATAGGTAGGTAGATCTTACCGCTCAACAGCCCAGTTCATAGCCGCGTAAGCAATAATGAAGGGAGGGGCGACGTAGAGGACCTGGCCACGGAAACGGCGGAAGACGTTGAAGATGGCGGCGTGGAAGGCACCGGCGAAGGGGCGCTGACGGTTGGACGAGAGGGCGTAGGTGGCGATGCGCTGGGGGGTCGGGCAACCTGCAGACCAACTGTGTTAGTGTCGAGTCCAGTCGCAAATATTTCTCCTGTCGTGAGAGCCCATGTCTTCACCAAGTCGAGGTGATTGTGGTCGGTCGGTATCTCGCACGCGCATTCAAGAATTCAAGGAAGGCTGATCAACGTACCGAACTCGCCCCAGTTGCCGATGAAGCTGCAATTCGTTGTTAGCATATGTGCTGGTCAGAATCCACTCCAATGATTCAATCGCATCGTTGGAGTCTGCTGTCGGGTCGTGGTCCGTGGCGGTCGCCCGAGCGGGTGCATCCGGACACAGACACAGGGTTTGGGCGGCCACGGCACAACAAAGAGTCGAGGGAAGCACTCACTGGCCGTTCTTAGGATCGACAGCACCACCCATTGTGAAGATGTGTGATTGAGTAGAAGGAGAGCGAGAGTGTTGAGGTGACGGGGGATACGGAAAGGGAAAAGACGGAGTCGGGCAAAGTTGGACTACGGGCGTTCTCAGCGGCCATTAGGCAAAAATGACTAAGCACATTTTCGACATCATCCATCAGTCTGGTGCTATTCTGCTTCCAGGTGATCTCTCTACCCACGTTATTCATCATGGCCAACGCCCTTCAGAATATCTACCGGCTGGCCGGCCCCGTGGCCGTCGGTGCCATGCTCTTCAACGCCTCTCTCTACGATGTCAAGGGTGGTTCGCGGGCTGTCATCTTCGATCGACTGTCTGGTGTGCAGGAGCAAGTCGTCAACGAAGGCACACACCTGTTGGTCCCCTGGTTGCAGCGGGCTATTATCTACGACGTGCGGACGAAGCCGCGCAATATCTCGACTACTACCGGAAGTAAGGATTTGCAAATGGTCACATTGACGCTCCGTGTGCTGCACCGTCCGGATGTGCCGCGGCTGCCCCAAATCTACCAGGTAAAAGTTACCACCGAGAATCTATTCGATGCAGAACTAACGAAGCAATCAACAGTCATATGGTACCGATTACGACGAGCGTGTTCTCTCCCTCCATCGGAAACGAAGTCCTCAAAGCCATCGTGGCCCAGTTCGATGCCGCCGAGCTCATCACGCAGCGTGAAGCCGTCTCCAACCGCATCCGCACCGACCTTCTCAAGCGCGCTGCGCAGTTCAACATCGCTCTCGAGGACGTCTCCATCACCCACATGACCTTCGGCAAGGAGTTCACCAAGGCCGTCGAGCAGAAGCAGATTGCCCAGCAAGACGCCGAGCGAGCTCGATTCATCGTCGAGCGCGCCGAGCAGGAGCGACAAGCCAACGTTATTCGCGCCGAGGGTGAAGCCGAGTCTGCCGAGATTATTAGCAAGGCTGTCGCCAAGGCCGGTAATGGTCTGATTGAGATTCGTCGTATCGATGCCAGTCGTGAGATCGCGCAGACTCTGGCTGCTAACCCCAACGTCACATATCTGCCTGGTGGTGATGGCAAGGAGGGCGGCAAGAGCACTAGCCTCTTGCTGGGCCTGCGCTCTTAGGATATTGATATTAGGAAGTGAGGGCTAGCGGCGCCCATTACTGAAATGTACCATTTAATCGCTCGCCGTGTCCGAGGGCGTTCTATCGACAGTGCATGTTCCCCCGAGGCGCGAAGTGGCTTCGACCACTCTTTTTTCTGACCTGTAGCAATACCAATACCTCTACTCCAAACACTTACCTTCTCATTCCTCCGTATGGTAGAAATTATGCTCATGAATCATTATATACCGTATGTCCCCTCCATATGATCCTACCCTAAGTCAACCGCTTATACAAATGCACCTGGTACCGCATATCCTCCAAACCCGCTCCCTCGCCAACCTCATATCTAAGCCTCGTGGTATCTCTCCTCCACCATCTCGAATCCTGCGAAAGTACCCGCTCCCATTTGCCCTCCGCGACAGAAAGCAGCGTATGATCAAGCAAGAACTTCATCGGGTAATTCCTCTCCTGCGCAACCCCATCTTTCCCCAACTTCAGACTCGAGTAACTCCCCGGGCTATCAACAACAAGCAACACCGCCCCAGGCGGAAGCAACTCAGTCATCCGCAGAAGCAAGCCAGTAGTCTTCGCCATAGAAGTAGAAAAGAGCTCGTTGAGCGTGAACATAAGTGTCACCAGTAGAGAAGGCGGAGTCGTCGCTGTAGCGGTCCCATGCAAGACATCTTTCAGCTCAGGCTCCGAGATAGTAAGGACATCAGTCCTCAGAAACGAGACAGAAAGCCCTCCTTCCGAAGCATTCGACCCCGTCAATGGCGGCTGATGCTTCGATGATCTCGGAGTAGGTACATTTGATGAACCCATCGTTTTCTGAAGCCGGTCGATTACACTCGACCAATCGGCAATATCAACAGCCACAACATCAAGAGATGCAGGCTTCGGTGGTTCTGTCTCATCACTACTCTTCAACGAAACCTTCTCAAGACGATCCCCTAACCCCTCAACACCGTCATGCAGGTCCCTCCAAACAGCGCCAAGTGCCACGATCTCGGCACCAGCGCCACCACCAATAGACACAACCCGCGTATTGGCAGTCAGACCCTGCTCAGCACGCATGTAACGAAGAACAGCCTTGAAGATACCCGCATAACCGAGCGCGCGCGCAGCACTCCATCGCAGCGCGTAAACGCGCAGGAGAGAATCATCCGCCTCTGTAAAAGCGGAGTCGAAATCGCGCTGGTATAGATGTGTTTTGATAGTTTGCACAAGTGATTTTGTGTCTAATTGGGCTCCTTCAGTGGCATCTGGACGCGCATTGTCTGGCTCGGAAGCGGCGTCTAAGGTGTCTGTAGATTGGGTGGATACAGGTGACCGGGTGAACAGGGCTGTTTTGAAGACGTCTAGTAGAAGCTGCTGGAGGGATATGGGAATGGTAATTGAGAGGTCGATTGCGCTGGAGTCATGGTCTTCAGAGTTGAGTTTGCAATCAGTTTGCTTTTTTTGTTGGCGGGTGCGTGGTGCAGCTGGCTTTGGCTGGTTCTTCGGTTCGAGACCCTGGAGTCTGGGCTGATAGGGGGCGTGGGTCTTTTTGCGGTCACTCTTTGCTTGAGGCATTACTGCTTTTGGGGTATAGACTGTCGTATACTAGAGGACTTGGTGGTATCCCGGGAAGTGCTGGAATGCAGAGCAAATGTGGGGGGAGGGAAACTTTTTGGCTTATCGGCTTATCAATGTCGAATTGCCACTACACCAAACCAAATACATACAACACATAGGTTCAACCACACCATGTAATAGAAGGAATCAAGACTCGCTTGAAGCGCGTCTAGAGTAGAATTCTCGGTGCAAAGAGGAGAAAGAATAAGCAAGGAGAAGGTCTGAAGATAGCGATCGTAGAGAAGGTCAATCAACCCGGGCGTCACACACACCGGTACATAAACGATGGACAAGAATAGAGCATATCATCGGGGGCCAGCTATTGCATCCCGAGAGTTAAAAAGAATTCGTAATGACACGTCTACAAAGAGACGGAAGGTAGCAAAAGCCGCCGAGAAGAACAAAAAAATCCACAAGAAACCGGAGCCAAATATGTACAGAACCGGAAGTGCCCAGGCAGCGTTGTAGGCAGAAACGGAAGAGAAGCGAAGTGAGGAAAATAGGACTCTGACAGGATATCGCTATGCCGAGATTTTGCGCCGGGAAATCAAATAAATGCATCAAGAACCAAAGAGTTAACTCTTACAACGGTCCTTCGGAGGAACTCGCCTCATTGTTGGGTTTCTCCTTGTCTCGAACTTTCCAGAAGTGCATGAGTCGACTGAGTCGGTGACCCTTCTTCTTGGAATAATCGGGTGCATCGCCAGGGGGTTTCTCTTCGTGGTGGAGTTTGCTGCGTTCGGCATTAGGACCACCAACCAATTTCGACAGACTGGCCAAGCTAGACCTCTTTGATGAATTCGCTTGACTGGAGCGCCGATGGACAGCAGCGGAGAAAGACGCAGCTCGATCCGTAGAAAGACGAGCACGAGGGAAGAACGAAGACGAGAAGCGGTGCATGGTGTTGGTCATGGTCGATGCGCTGCTGGTGAGAGATGGTACATCTTCAACCGAAGCGTAGGGATATTCCGAAGGGAGATGATGATACGAGTGACTCGAGAAGTTACGGTCATTGAACGAACGTGGAGCATCTGGTGATGGAAAGGAGGAATTCGAAGGTGAGACACCTGCAGACAGGGAGAAGGGAGGGATACTGGGCGGCAGCTCGTGAGGGGATGTAGCCGGCCGTTTGTCGACGGCGAGGAATCCGGGAGAGACATCAGGACTAGGAGGAATTCGCGGTCTGGGCATGCTCTCTTCCGCTTTTAGAATCTCGATAGAGCTCTGAGGCGGACCATTATACGGATTCTCAGCGTCATGCAGTGGATCGACCAGGTGCCGTTCCAGCGCAGGAGTTTCTGGTTGACCGGCGACTTTATCGTTCGCTCGAATGCCCAGGCCAGCTTGCTCGGGGGAGCTCAGGGGAGAGCCGGCCTCGGGCGCCCTGGTCATCGTATCTGCGGTCTTCGCGGTCTTCGCAGTGCCCGCAGTACCAACGGTGCTTGCTGTGTCACCACACTTGACGGATGAGGTATCCTCCTCTGGCACTGCAGGAACACGAACAATTTCAGCCGATGACGCTCGACCACTCTGGGCCGGGGTATCTCTGCCACTCTGTATTGGTGTCATGCGGCCCCTGGGAGACTGGCTTGCGGCCAGGAAAGCATCCTCTTCTTCTCCTCGTAAAAGACGTCCGGCGCTTCGGTAGTCACACCCCCAAGTCGGAATGGACCCAGAGAACTGCGATCGAATGGCTGCATGACAGGAGCACTCTCGGTGCGACGATGATATCGCATCTCTGGACCGACAAATTCTCCACGTCGCCCACCACTATACATTCTTTGGGTTGCAAGAGAAAACTGGCTAGGAGCGCCAGCACTCTGTCGCATGTCGGGGGTATTGAAAGGACCCAGGGCGGCGTCAAGGTCAATGATCGGGCTGCTCAACATGTCATCTTGTGCGGTCTGTTCATAAAAGCTTCGCGGTTTCCATGATGTTTCAAGACTGGGGACAGAGGCAGGCACAGGCGACGGAGGCTCCTCACGGACGGACTCCGCGGTTGCAAATTTACCCTCGGGATTGGTTGGCGTCCGAAGGACAACAACATCGTCATTATCAAAGTCTACATCCAAGACAGAGCCAACCTCCGAATTGGTCCGCGTAAGCATAGGAGGTGTCAACGCAGGTGGCCTCTTCTTGTCATCGACCTCTGCCTTTGTATGTTTCTTGCCTTTACCGCGAGTTAAGATAGCACCGGCCCACGAGCGAACACGCTTCTTCGCCTTCTTTGATTTGCGCGATTTCTTAGGAGGAGTTCCATCTCCTTCATGTTCGCTGCCGCTAGATTCCGAGCCATCATCAGAACAAGAACGGCGAGACGTGTCCGTCGAGTGTGCATCGTCGGTCCCATTGTTGGAGAGCATGGCCTCCAGGTTCCCCGTCGACATGCTTTTGCGTGATCGAGAGTGTCCAGTCGACTTTGAACGCTTGACAGCGGGTACATCCGGTACATTTTGGCTTTGTATCAAGTCGAAAGCCAGGGATGCATCGGCAGTTTTGGGCCGCGGCTTGGAGCTGCGGTTCTGTGTTGGTCGCAACTGGACAGGCGGGGGATTCTCGGGCTGCTCAAATCTAACTGCATGGTGGTTTGGAGAGTTCTCATTAGAGACCGCTGAAATAGCCGAGACAGGGCGCCCGATCTCTTCATGCTCATTGCTCGGGGCCGGCTGGACCTGAATCACGGCCGGGATAGGAGGCACAGGGGGAACTGGCGGAACAGGGGCAAATTGAGGGGATGCTGGAGGTGTTGGACGACCCAGGCTGCCAGCGGAGTACGATATTGGTCGAGAAATGTCTTCATGGCCATTGTCGAAGAGCCGGTCGCCCGGAGTGCAGGGTGCACTTCCCGCGGTCACATTGGACGCGAGCGCCTTATTGATGGCGTTAATGTCGACACCAGATACCGCCGCTGATCGACGGTGCGCATGCCCACGTCGGCCCGGGCCTCTTCCAGGGAGCGATACCGACGGCGCGCTCGGCCGTGTCGGAGATGAAGGTTCTTCCCGTTTGTCGTCCCCGGGAGGTGTTACCAATTGGTCGCCGCCAACATATTCACTGTGTCGCCGGCGGTGACCACCCGCTCGAGGATTATGTGCCGGTGTAGGTTGTAGAGTTTGATTGGACCCAGGATTGAATGAAAATACTGGCAAGGCGGGAGGCGCACGCTCAGAATTGCTCATATCAGGGTCCCGGGCGGGGAACACAAAATTTGGATTGGGCAATGGGGCCGGCATGCTCATGCGATGGCTGGCATTGACGTTCGCTGGGGCTGAAGAATCGAAATGCTGCGGAAACCCCGACTGGGACTGCGGGGGGAGGGAGATAGATGCCATGAATGCTGTGCTGAATTGATTGAATGAAATGAAGAGAAGATCACGGTCGAAAAGATCCAGATGGACGAACAGACCCCCAGACCGTTCGACTTCCCCGCAACGACTGTGGAAAGTCTCAAGAATCTGGAGGTCTCTAATTACCTCGAGGGAGGGTCATTTAAATCTTCCGCACCAGGCAGGATCGAGAGGAAGGCGAGAATAGTGGCGATGGTGATGGTGATGAAGAAGGCAATGGCGAAGGCGAAAAAAGGAATGGACGGCCACGACGAGGGCCACAGAGGGGGAGAGGGAGGAGAGAGAGTCGTGAGGATGTGAAAGGGACGACGGCGAGAAAGCGAGAGAGAGAGAGACAGCCTGGGAGAACAACAACCCAGGAGGGGGCCCTTACCGTACACGGTAATACCCGGACCGAGCGGGCCTCTGATGGGCAGGGGGGGGAAATTACTCTCTCACTGGGCTTACAAGGCAGCGTCGTAGCCTCTCTGGATAGTGCAGTATTGCAGTATTGCAGTATTGCCGTAGTGCAATGGTGCAGTAGTGCGCAAATATGTCTAAGGTGGTATTCGTATTTGGAATCTTGAGTGAACAGATCTACCCTTGCGCCCTTGACTCTTTACATAAGTATACAAAGGATTACACTTTCCACTCCCCTCGCGCCAGGATGACAGGAGTCCGAGGAAAATTCTGACAGGGCCATTGTGAAGGGCTAGATCCTGTCATCGAACCCTTAGAACACAGTGTGGAATGTGAGATCGCTTCCTGGAGTAGAAGACGTCATGACTTTGGTTGCCACCTAGAAACGGATCCAAGGACCCAAGGACCCAAGGACCCAAGGCCAGCCTGTGAGTAGTTCGTACAAGGAACGCCATCTGATGGGGCCGTACGGTGCCTGTTACAGGACCAGACTAGGCAAATCCAGGCAAATCGCAGGCAATTCTTCGCCCAAGGAGGATCCGGGGGGCTGCGCGCCAATCACGGACCTCACGCGTCCGGAGAAAAGTGGACTTTGCAGGCACCAACATCTGGTCCACGCCAATCGCGGCGCGGCCAAATCTCGCTTGACGCGGTGGGTCAGCGCCACGCTGAGATTTGAGCTGTCGTGGACGATGCACACTTGCGGAGTCTGAGTCGATCTTGGGGGGTTCAACTTCGGTGATTCTGTGGCTCGGTTCTTCCAGTTGTATGTATCACTTGAGGGCCCATTGCCCGGGAGACTACCAGTTCAGGTACGTCTCCAGTAGTCTCAGTGCGGGTCAAGGCCTCGCAACAGATGGATATAAATAGTTTGAAGACAACATTAGCGCCTAGACAAGGGGGGAACAACGGCGACCAAGCCGAGCTGAAAGATTCCCCTGGGACTAGACTCAAGGCAATACTGAAACAATGTGTTCTCCCCCCTAGCATCCGACTGGGGGTTGATTCACCCGTCTGCCAATTATAGTGCCGGGTTGACCTGCACAGCAGCGGAAGATTGGCCGGGGCGCGTTATCGGGAAAAACGGGGGATCCGAGATACGGCAGGACATAGTGGCGACGAACCTCTATGACATGCTGCACAACAAGTGGATCTCTTTCGGATGAAATATATCCCGTCAGTTTGGCCGAGTGGTTAAGGCGATGCACTAGAATTATCTACTGAACTGATCACAGTTTGGCAATGCATTGGGTTCGCCCGCACATGTTCGAATCATGTAGCTGACGTTTCATATTATTTTTTTTGACATCGTCAATATCATTGTCCTTTTTGTTTTTTTGTGACTTACCATATCCTGGCCTCACATCATTTCAGACACCTCCTGTCTCCCTCCCCCTTCACACAGAAAAATGAGAACATAGAAGATAGCAAAAAGCCTTGGCACTTGACCAAATGTCAATTTTGGGAGTCTGCACCCAGCCAAGCACCCCCACAACAACACCCGGTAAGCTACAGATAGGCATCCGGCATCCCGGGTCTGGACACAGAAAAGGGGCTGAACAGAGTCCGATCGGCACCCTGTAATAGACGCATAAATTACCTGATGACGAGTCCTTCTGAATGATCGGAGGGGGCAATTGCATTATCATTCACGAATCAGATCCACTTGACACTTGTACAGCACTCGTATAGCTATTACGGACTTTGTACCGTAGTCGGTATGGTAGCTTTGCTGCTCTTCCTTGTTATTAATAAATGTTAAAGATCTATGACATGCAGGGTCTGACCTCATCCGACACGATTGACCACCCGGGAAAACCCAATCACAAGTCATCCATGAGATATATTTGTCGTAAGAGACCGTGCCTATTCCCCATCCCCAATCGGCTGGATCGAGGAATTACTCATCTTGGAGATATCCTGCACGCCGATAAATGGCCTCATGTTTCCATCGTCGCTGAGAAGAATATATGGTCGCCTCTTTATTCAATAGCTTACACTCGGTCCATCCGTGAGATGAACCGTTGTAATGAAAGCAACCGTCGCGTGGTAGTCCGTTTCCCAATCCACGACCTCGCAAACGCACGATGGCCGACATTAGGCCCATTTTCAAACCCATCATCCGGGAGCAGGGCACGAACTAGCATTCAATAGTTGCCACGCTTCTCTGTCCGGATGAATCGATTTTCACAGGTGATAAAAGCCGGGGTAAATTCAACCGGATCGTAGGTCAAAATATAGCGGATGTTGAAGCATAGAGACCGAGAAGAAACAATGGCCGTCGTAGATGCTACCCGTGTATTACTTCGCTAGGTACTGTATTCGATGAATGTTAACTATTTCCGTCTGTATGATAGCTTGGTCCTCGATGGATAAAGATTCTACCCTGGTTGAGTAATCATAAGATCCCAGCAATTGATCATTCCGGACAGCTTTTTGGAGTTCGAAGCAAAGGGTGGAGAGGTTGTTGAAATTATGTATAGATCCATAGGTGCATTCACCAAGTACATTGTATACTATCCCAGCGGGACTTGACCCATAGCAAATGCCGGTATATCCTGCAACTTGACCTAAGTCTGAATATATGCATATGCCCATCATAGAAACTCATACTAACTTACACAATCTATAAAATAAGAAATTGTCAACACAATTGATCGCGGTCTCGTCCAGCGGCTCTCCATCAGGCTTGACCAAGAATACCTCTTGGAAAGATGGAATATATTGATGACAGAAGGAGATGGCACGTTTCCCTCCCACCATCCTTCCATCGGACCGCTCGTATAAGAAGAGTAGGCCGTGCAAGCCAAAGGCTCGACCTAAGCTTCGATACATTTGAGCAAATTTGGTTCGATCTACCTTTATGTGCCGCAACAGTACAAAGCTACCACCAAGCCAAAATCCTGCTCTTAGCAAACGAGCCGCAAGAGTCGACAGCTATTCGATCGACTGTTTCCGCACGGTTGAGATCATTTTGACATGCTCTTAAGGAGGTTGTATACCATGCCTGAAAAATATGTGGTATTAGTCCTGCAAATTCGACAGATCCGTTCCGAGTCAATTCTGTGCAGGCTTTGTTCGTTGCCGGGTAGGTCTTTCAGGAAGAGTATGAACAGGATGCGGTCCTCGAATTACTGTCGGGCATTGAGCGAGATCTTGGCTGGACTACGAAGTACCATGTCGCTAAGTTGAAAGACGAATGGACGCGAGGAAAGGAGGGCAATCATATCGATCGGGATGAACAGGGCTATGATCTTAACTGGATCATTTCCTGGCGATGTGATTTGCACAGCTCAAAAGTTTGTCGTTTAGCCGGTATCCACATATTATCCAAGGAATTGAGAGGATCTAATTGAATTTGGGGTTGCGATTGAAGATTCTCGGCAAACGTGAAAGCAAAAGTACAATATAATCTGAGAAGAGGCTCCCAAGAGACTATTTAAAAACCACGAATCGCCTGGAAAGACATTGTCTAATTTTTTAGTCCATGGGAAACCAACACAATGGTAGCTGTCGCAACCTCGACAATGTGTACCTTGCCAATGGCGAACGACATAGACCCTTGGAAATATTCATGGAAGATAAGAGACCAAAGCAAGGACTTAGTGAATCGAGAGATCAACAATGACTGCGGGAAACTTGAAAGGTCTATTATTAACAGGGGTTGTTTCGCATGAGAATTAGAGAACGCGTTGTGACTCTGGTCTTCCACAGGAGCCTTAGGTATATTTCGTTAGCTGTACACTCAAGCTTCCTGATGGTTCACAGCCCGTAAAAGCACGATGTAGATGGTGGGACCAGTATCTAGAAACGGAAATGTTGTCGGACGTGGAACTCTCGGGTCCCTTTCCGCCTAGGACCTAAGCTTGTTGTGAAGTCTTCACAACTATCACAATTTGACAAGGGAATGAGAGAATAGAACGGGACTCCTTAGGGCTTTCGATTAGCTATGCAAAGGAGCATCCACTGCAAGATAAGAACCGAACGTACTACTCCAGGGCTTGCACTTCTCGGCTTGATTTCCAGTCTTGGAACCGACAGCATAATGACCCGCTTCCCCAAAGAATTAGCGGACGGTTCATAACACCTGTCGGCAGGCCTTCCCTTCATCATTCCTCTCTCCGAAAGAAGATCTACAGCCTCATCAGACATGAAGGAAAGGATGGAACTTCTTATTGAAGCCATCTCATTAACATTTGTTTGGGTCGTGGGCCCCAGACGTAGTTGTTGTGATCATCACCTGCGATCAGCAGTAACTATAAGAAGAACACACTCCCCCCCCCCCTCTTCGGCCAGATGACCGATTCCAATTCTCCAAACCTCCATCTTCACCCAGAAGAACAACATGGCAAAGTCACTCCGTCTCCAAGACAAAGTCGCCATCGTAACCGGTGCATCTTCAGGACTCGGTCGAGCTATCGCCGTCAGATATGCACGAGAAGGCGCAAAAGTTGTCTGCGCCGACTTGACGCCAACAGCCCGATCGCAAGAAGAAGCCGAGATCACAACACACGACTTGATAGCCGAAAATGGAGGGCTTGCGATATTCGCGCAAACTGACGTCGGAGACGCGACACAAATGGAGCATTTGGTTCAGGTAACCGTGAAGGAGTACGGCCGACTTGACATGTAAGAGCCATACGTCGGGGATCACCGACTTTCTCTTATTTAGACTGATCATTTGCTTGCACAGTCTGGTCAACAATGCTGGAATCAGCATCGAGGCACGCGCACCAGCTGTGCTACATTTGACGGACGAAGCTACATGGGATACGACGATGCGGGTGAACAGCAAGTCTGTGTTCCTGGGCTGTAAATATGCTCTTACGCAGATGCTGGCGCAAGAGCCACATTCTTCGGGGGATCGAGGATGGATCATCAACATTTCATCTATTATGGGCATGATTGGAGGCCCGGAGAATCGTAAGTTGGGAGTAATGAATTCACAAATTGTCAGGACTAATGTCAAGCGCCAATAGCTTCTTATTGTGCATCAAAAGGGGCAGTCAGCCAGTTGACGAGACAGATGGCTCTGGATTATGCGCCTCATCGAATCCATGCTAATGCAATCTGTCCTGGCTGTGAGTTGCAAAACAAACGATTCACCAACGATCCGATACTGAGGCTGACATCTGCTGTAGATACCCAAACTGCCATCTTCAAGGAGACAACCACTCATTTGACTCCTTGGTCGGACCTGAACCGCCGACATCCGCTGAAAGGCCCGGGTCTTCCAGACGATATCGCCAGGATGGCTGTTGTTTTGGCAAGCGAAGATGCCAGCTGGGTTACTGGAGTTTGCTTGCCGGTAGATGGAGGATATACGGCTCGGTAGTATTTCCGAGGTTGATAGCCATTTCTGCCCAGATATGAAGAATTGAAAGCAGCTTCAAAATTCTATATGAACAAGATGCTTGATTGGGTCAAGGGAATCGGACTTGGGCAGACTCGTCCTTTTCTAATACATGCTCCTCCGGGGTTTCAAAGGGGAAAATGATCCAGTTCGATCGAACAGAGCAGAACTGTACACGAGAACAAGAATGATTGAGCAGTCGCTAAAACAACAAGACAAAAGCCACCTGGGCATAGAATAAGCGTCAATGACGCCATTGGTCTATTAGTCACTGTCCGACTCGACCTGATCGTTCTCGAGGCGCTTCCTTCGCTCTTCGCTCAATTCTCGGTATGTGCTCCAACTCAAGAGGAAGAATGCGACCATGATGAAAATACCGCCAATGATAGCGGCCCAAGAGAGCGGCTGTCCGGTGCGGAACCAGTCCACGATTGCGACGAGGAAAATCGTGAGGAGTGCCGCGACGGATGAAAGGACGGGTGAAGTAAGGGAGATGAGCACCAAGAATGACCCAGAAAATGCTACATATGGATTAGCTTCGATTCATGAGCGTCATGGAGAATGGTACTTACTGGCATTGGCACAGATGGAGACGAGAAGCATCCAGCCCGCCTCACCGGTGGGAAAGCGGAAGGTCTCCCAGCCGAGAATGTGTAGGATCGGAATAGGAATCCACAGCACCAAAAGAGTAAAGCAGCCAATCATGCTGCCAACGGCGTTGGCAAAAATAGTTCCCCGGCCGGGGCTAGTGCCCTCTGGAGGACAGGCGAAGCGCTTATACAGCACCTCGTAGAGTCCGTAGAGGATACTACCAACGCCGATAACAATGTTACCCAAGAGTCGACTACTTGCTTCTTGGTCATCCTTGGTTGTACCTCCCTTGGAGACCTTCTTGTCTGGCCGATCACCATATGCGACTACCAGGACACCGACGATGGCAATGCCAACGGCGAAGACCTTGTCAAACCGCAATTTCTCATTGAGAAGAGGAATTGAGAAGGCGTAGGCAAAGAAGGCAGAGCAGTTGTAGATCGCAGTCAAGTCGCTGGCTGTGGTCATGTTGACGGCGACGTACCATGAGCCACCGGCGATTGTCAGCGCGGTGGTCACGAAGGCGATAGTTTTCACCATGTATGGGACGGGAGAACGGTGGGAAGAGCGGGAGCTCAGATGGACCTCCTGGGTCTCTACCATCTGGGCAGTGGTCTTGATTAGAAAGACATGTCGACGCCAAAACGCCTCCCATGATAGCTTGCGTTTTTGAATTCGAAGGATCAGGAGCTGGAAAGGCCAAAGCAGTGACCAGGAGCCGTGAGTGATATATCTGTCGGGGAAAGGACTTGGTCAGTCATGATTCTCGGTAGGAGAACGGGGTGCTTCTTGGTTTGATCTATCCAGGTTTGGTGCCGGTCAAGTCCAAACTTACAGCATGCAATAAGGCTTGTTCCAACCCAGTTCGTGCTGAATGTATACAGCCGTCTCTGTCTGAACGACGAAACTAGCCAGACTAAGTAGGAGAAAGCCCGCGGCAATCATGTACTTCTTTCGAGTTGCTTCGGCAGCATCGTGTTCAGGGCTTTTACTCCGGATGGTAGGACGGCGGGTGTGATGCAACATGGGCCGGCCCTCTGCATCCCCGTTTCCAAGACTAGATTGCGAGAGGCGGCCACGGCGGTCATCTCTGAGTAACGGTTGCTGCGATCGGCCATCCGTCGGACGGTGCAATGGGGGGCGGTTGACAACCATGTCGTCGTCTGAATCTTGGGAATAGCGACCCGGCTCCGGGGTGGTAGATACCCGCGATTCTCCAAGTTCAATATTATCCGCCACAATGTCGTTCTCTTCGACGGTCGCTTGGGGATCTCACGCGCCTCCTTTTGCGCTCAAGGTGGCCGTCTACCCTATTCCTGATAACAGATAAGAACTGGAGACTCTGGCAAAGTCTCTCTTGTTCAGAGATCTAGATCTGAGCTGAAAGTACCGGTATATCCAATCCGCAAGATCTCGCTCATATATCCAGAGTACCGGTCACTGGGTGATTCGCATGCGGCCAACTTGTCGGAGTACGTAAGATTGCGGCCACGTAGGGGAACAGGGTGCAGGGGCCAAGGCGATAAGAGTAGTGTGACCAAGATTTTCTTCGCAGACGGTGCAATGGAAAGATTCGACTATCGCAAGTGAATAAGAAATTTAACCGGGAATTGCTTGGAGACAAGCTGGGGAACTCTGCGATGTTCAAGGAATGGACGCCTTCGTCATCACGATATTCCGCATTGGGGATGGCACTTCCACGTGACCTGTCCCTGAGCGGGGAGCTAGTACCATCTTAGACCAGCGCAAACTTAAGATAGCCATGCCTTTCTCAGGTGCTGATGGAATGTGACCAAAAATAGCAGCTGGTGAGACTGTTTCAGACCGACTGATCTTGTTCAAGGACCAAGGCATCAGACAACCCAGCTGATCTAGGTATATCACGTTGCTTGTAGCTGCTGCTTGATGCAGCTCCCTGACAAGATAGAGTATGCAGTCTAGAACCTTAAGATCAGGACAAGAAGATTACTCCAGTAAGCCTACATACACCATGAAGTGTCGTGACTGATTTACTAACAGTCAACCCTAGTATATTCTCGGTCCGACGTACTAGATGCATAGCATTCACTTCTAGGAACCTCGTTCAGGAGCCCTCCCTTAAGCCTTCGACTTGGGCTTGAACAAAGCCTCCTGGGTATCATATGTGTACTTGAGATCCAGGTGCCAGTAATTCGGAGATGTAGGCTTCGTGATCAACCACGCCTTGTCAAGAATCTTCACCACCTCCTCTGGGAGCGGGCCCTTCTGCAGGTCCCGCAGGTTGGTCTCGAGCTGGCCGAAGCTGCTAACTCCAATCAAGATACCATCCCGGCCACCATTGTCGATGTTGAGAGCCGAGTGGTAGCGCACCCAGCGCAACGCTGTTTCCACGAGGGTGAGACCATGTTTCTCAACCACAGGCTCGATGATTTTCAGAGCATCAAAGTTCGCATCCTTGAAGTAGCGCTTGCGGTAAAGAGCACCTGTGGCACTAGTATCACTGTATCGCCCCTCAGCGGGTATGTCATGAGTCTTGAACTTTCCGGAAAATAGACCACCAGCAATCGGATTATAGATGACAATATCGAGGCCATAGCGGCGACAGGCTGGGATCAGCTCAGTCTCAATATTGCGAGCTATTTGGATAACAACTGTGAGCGAAAGCTTCCAACATACGTGAGAGCCACGCTAGTGAGAGGTCATGAAGTAGGGGACATACTGATAGCATTGTACATGGCCTGGAAGATTGTCGGACGCACCCAGCCCTTCTGAGCGCAGAGAGTAACAATCTCGGCGACCTCGAAGGCCGTATAGTTACTTAGACCCAGTTGGACAAACTTTCCCTCCTTATGAAGCTCATTGACAGCCTCAAGAGTCTCAGCAAAAGGGACTGAGCGATCTGGGGCATGGAGATAGAAGATATCAACCTGGTCGGTATCCAACTCCTTGAGGGAAAGCTCGAGCTTCTCACGTAGGACGGCAGGCTTGTGCGCGCCGGGTTGATGCGGATACCATTTAGTCGCGAGTGTCAAGCCCCGGCCCTTCCAGTTAGCCTTGGCAGTGAAGGCTTCCTGCTCACCACCCACGTAGATACGTGCGGTGTCGACCTCATTGAAGCCTTGCTGCTGGAAATGATCCAGGCAGCGATTGTACTCGTCAAGTGAGGTGATGCGGGCACCTTTGTCCTCACTAGGACCAAAGGTCATCAACCCGAGGATGATTCGGGGCTGGAGATTCTGTGTAACGAGAGGCATTGTGAATGCTGAGGAGTTGAAGAAATGAAGGCGGGGGAGGGGCTGCGGAGTCAACCGATAGCGGGAGCTGCCATCGCGCAATGGCCGTGCGGAATCGACCGCACTACACTGCGTGCGGCCTTCATCTTTCCTGTCTATCTCTCCTTCTGTCTCAAACCACATTCGACGCAATGGCTGCATCGGACGATGGTGTATTTCGTATCTTGGTAATCAATCCCAATACATCCACGCATATGACAGAAGCTTTGAAACCCATCCTGGACCGACTCAACTACGCCGATGTGCGTTTCAAATATTTCACAGCTCCAAACGAGACGCTTACGATCAACGGCACTGTATACGAGCCCATCGCAAGCATCAATAATGGCGAGCAATCGGCCAAGTCGGCGCTGAACTGCACGTCTGCTCTTGAGCTCGTGCCTCAATATGATGCCTTTTTGGTGGCATGCTACTCTTGCCATCCTCTGGTGGGAATGTTGCGACGGCGCATCAAAGAGCTTGAGCAGACCAATGCGTCACGAAAGAAGTATGTGACGGGCATTTTCGAAGCTAGCGTTGTTGCTTCCTTGTCCCTGATCAGCGGATTTGATTTTGTGAGCTCGGAAGCTCTGAAGAAGAAGCAGGTTGAAGAGACATTTGGCATCATAACGACCGGCAGTGCATGGAAAGATGAGCTCAACGGAGCTGTGAAGGAAATGTTGGTGGGTCAGGGCTCATCTTCGCGCTTCGCGGGTGTTGAGACCACGGGGCTTACGGCGGTCGAACTGCATACAACCGCATGGGATGAAGTGAAGAGAAGACTCATCGATGCCACTCAAAAGTTACTGAAGAGTGCATCGAGCCCTGTTGGTGCAATTTGCTTAGGCTGTGCGGGCATGGCAGGCATGGAAGAAGCAATTCGGGAAGGTTGTATTCAGGCCTATGGGGAGGAAGGTCGTCGAGTGAGAATTGTTGATGGCGTTGTTGCAGGAGTTGGGAACTTGGTGACAGCCTGTAAAGCGGGATTCTGAGGACATCAGTGGCAAAGCCAACTTCAACAATACCTTCTTCGTGCTTCTACGGTCTCTAAGAGGTAGATCGCCTAAAGGAAAAACATGGACAACATATATGCTAAAAAAAAATTAGAAAGGCATATCCTTGGAGAGAAGTACACCCTTCTGAAAATCGCAATAAATGCCAAATTATCCTTGAAATGTGACGGAGAAATGACTTTCGGTGCCCATTGTTGATGTCCAACCACACTGATGCCTGAGGCTAATCACTGCCGGCCAAAAAGTTCCCCGCGTCCAACGCGGCTACGCGTGAACCAAACCATATCGACGGCGCCTGGCGACAAAGATGCCTAGGTATGTGGCCCAGAAGATCTACAGATATGCAAGAGTCTCTCGAAGGTCATGGCGTTGACATTCTGCGATCCGCAGGGAAATCATCACGATCCAAGCCGGCCAGTGCGGCAACAATGGTATGAGGTCTCCGGAATCCTCGCCCGATCTTTCAGCTTCAGGATGACCTATACCCCGGGGTCGACCTCATCGGGCTGATTGATGCAATTACGAATAATGCACGCGTGTCGCTAACCTCGCCTCTTCATAGTCGGCAGTCAGTTCTGGCAACAGCTGTGCCAGGAGCACGGAATCAGCCAAGACGGAAACCTAGAGGAGTTTGCGACCGAGGGTGGAGATCGCAAGGATGTCTTCTTCTATCAGGTGAAAAATAACAAAGATTGAGCGGGCTACATGGTCAATTGCTCGACTCGGTACAGCAGCCGAAGCTAACTGGCCTCCGACAGAGCGATGATACCCGATACATTCCCGAGCAATTCTCCTCGACTTAGAACCTAGGGTATGGTTTCCAATTTGAAGAGATGAGCGATGCATCATCTAGAAGATCGGCTAATGGCTGAGAATACGATAGGTCCTCAATAACATCCAAACCGGCCCTTACAAAAACATCTACAACCCCGAGAACTTCTTCGTTGGACAACAAGGCATTGGAGCAGGTAACAACTGGGGCGCTGGCTATGCGGCGGGAGAAGGGGTTCAGGAAGAGATTTTTGATATGATCGACCGAGAAGCAGATGGAAGTGATTCACTAGAGGTATGAACTTCTCGAAGCGGGAAATCATGCTTGAAGCTCACTTCTGAATGCAGGGATTCATGTTATTACACTCAATTGCAGGAGGCACAGGATCGGGATTGGGCAGTTTCATATTGGAGCGGATGAACGACCGGTTCCCCAAGAAGCTCATTCAGACATACTCCGTCTTCCCGGATACGCAATCGGTGGATGTGGTTGTCAACCCTTACAACAGTCTACTTGCGATGCGGCGATTGACACAAGACGCCGACTCTGTGGTACGAACCCTTGTGAACGATCATTGAGTGACTGGAAAACTAAAGAGCACCAGGTTGTCCTGGACAATGGAGCCCTCTCAAGAATTGTGGCCGATCGACTTCATGTGCAAGAGCCTTCTTTCCACCAAACTAACCAGCTTGTCAGTGTCACTCCGACCTCGTTATAGTAAACTCCGAGCTGACTGGTGCAGGTTTCAACGGTCATGTCGGCCTCTACGACCACACTTCGATATCCAGGCTACATGCACAATGACCTAGCAGGAATCATTGCCTCGCTGATCCCGACGCCACGCAGCCACTTCCTACTCACCTCTTACACACCATTCACGGGCGATAACATCGAGCAGGCCAAGACCGTTCGCAAGACCACTGTTCTGGATGTGATGCGACGCCTTCTCCAGCCAAAGAACCGCATGGTCTCCATCAACCCCAGCAAGGCCAGCTGCTACATCAGTATCCTCAACATCATTCAAGGTGAAGCCGATCCCACCGATGTACACAAGTCTCTGCTGCGCATTCGCGAGCGTCGCCTTGCTTCATTCATCCCCTGGGGCCCTGCCAGTATCCAAGTGGCGCTCACCAATAAGTCACCGTACCTACAGCACACCCACCGCGTGAGTGGTCTCATGCTGGCAAACCACACCTCGGTCGCCACTCTGTTCAAGCGTATTCTGAGCCAGTACGACCGCCTGCGCAAGCGCAATGCCTTCATCGAGCAATACAAGAAAGAAGCGCCTTTCTCGGACGGCCTCGGCGAATTCGACGAAGCGCGCGCCGTGGTCATGGACCTAGTGCAGGAGTACGAGGCCGCGGAACGGGCCGACTACCTGGACCCCGGGGCCGGAGAAGGACCAGAGATGGGGGCATGAGATGCTCGGATGCTCGATGCTAGGAGAGTCGGTCTAATTCTTTCATTCATTTTTATTTATTTTTTGCTTTGGCAGGGCAAGGGGTTCGGGCGCATTAACGGGTGCGTGCGCAGGGCCACCGGCGTTCGTGTTCTTGTTCTCTTTTTCATCTTTGTCTTAGTTCACTCTGGTCAATCCCATTTTTTATTTTTTTTTTTCATCTTTTGGGGAAATGAGTCTCGTGGTTTCTGCCAGCACATAACTCTCTCTGGAACACGTAGCGTGGGAAGTGGAAGTGAATTTCCGGCTGATCCACCAGGTGCAACGGGCCGGCGATGTGCATGCAGGCTAGTGCCTTCCTCAAAAGGGTCCCGATGTGAAAGGGTGGGTAAGCCTTTTCTGGTGCTGGCGCAGATCGGACGTGCAAGCGCTCACTACGTGGTTCTAGGATGAGCAATGGCTGGTCGCAGATCATCCGTGCTTCGTTAGGGTGGATTGGCTGGGGGTGACTCGTCCCTTCCGGCGGTGGACAAGTGTTTGCGGGGGGCCCATTGCTCTCTTTTTGAGTTGGGTACAATCACAGTAGTAGCAGTAGCAGTAGCAGTAGCAGTAGCAGTAGCAGGTAGCCTGAGCAAGAGCCAGAGCGGTGGGCAGGTTTCCCCGATCCCTTTGTAAAGTGGTGTCTTATCTGGCCAAGCATATCTCCGGGACTTTGTCTCGCCACTCCGAAGGGTGGATCTCGGGTAAAGGCCTTTCTAAAGTAGTCCAGGTCATGCCTGACTATACACGTGATGGCATTGGAGTCAAGTGAGCCGACCGCTCCACTCGATTCGATAGTAGCTGACCGTAGACACATATAATGAAACGCCGAGTCCTAGGATCACCTCGCGATGAGCACGGACGATGGCTACATTCCGATCATTGGGCCTCCCTGGCCTGCTGGGTCGCGTGTGCCGAGATGCAGCTGGCGCAGAAAGGGGCTAAACTCCATAGTTGACGCAACCTGAGGGTCCTGTAGACGAGAGAGAGAGAGAGAGAGTACGCGGCGAGAAGAAGCGCCACTCCGACATTCGGGGTCACCTATTAAGGACTGGTCAAAAAGGGGGGGGGGGACTAAGGTGTAATGCTAGGCAATGCCAGGCATGAACGGGGTTCGCAATGGGTTGAAATGGGTTTAACCAAGTGGCCCGAATGGAGCCTATCGAAACCTTTGGACCCGCTCGCCTCCACGCTCAGCGATGACTGATTCCGTCACTCCATGGACTTCTATGGAACTGACTCAGCCATTAGACTCCGACCATTTAATATGCTGGATCCGGATCTTGCATCTTTAACTTTTTTTGCCTCTCTCTCTCTCTCTCTCTCTCTCCGTCTCTTCCGCTTCCCCTTTATATAGAAAGCGTCCAGCCCCCCTCCGTGGCTAGTTCGTCTTTCATATTCCGTCTCCCCGTCTCCACCTCAAGGGTACGTCCTACACCTTGTTACCCTCATCCCTATTCATACTTAGCTCACCAATTTCTCGCAGCTCGCAGCTTCCGTCTCTTTCTCCTCTTCCCCTTATCTTGAGGACCTCGTTCATCTCGCCACATTCCCATCTTCACGTCTCTCGGTCTTTCCGTGCTCGGCGCTTATCTCTCTCTCCTCGTATCCGATTTCCCACTGCAACGGTCACACCAGTGATTCAGCACCCGTCCACGCCGATCTTTTGCACCGCGGCCTCTTTGCCTTCTCAACCACCTCACTTCATATCCTTTTCCATTCATCATGGCGCCTCGCAAGCCCCGTTGCAACTTCAAGGAGTGCAAGGAAGCCGCCCAGCGGATCGTGGGCGATTGCAGCTTTTGCGCCGGTCATTTCTGCTCCAAGCACCGCATGCTGGAAGCCCACTCATGTAGCGGTCTGGAAGACTGCAAGAAGGAGTCCCATGCTCGGAATGCCGACAAGCTGAACAGCGAACGAACGGTTGTCGTTAAGGGGGTATGAGACCTCTCTGAGTGATTGGAAATCGAGAATCGAGAAACCCTGGTGGTTGTCGCCATTCAGCTGGTTGAATTTTAGCGCGGTGTTCTTGTTCATGTTCTGTTCGGTTCGGTTGTGACCATCTTTTTCTGCCCCGGGGGCCGGTTGTTTGCCTTGTTCCTCTTCCTGGGGCCACGGCTCCTGTGTTCTCCTTTCTCTTCTCCGAGGGTGGCTGTTTTCTGTTCTACCATCTACATGGCGTTTTGTTTTTCCTCCTGGCTTCTTTCCAATTATTCATCCTTGGGAACCTTGTTTTGCATTCGCCTGGCATGATATTTTGGAATCTGCCTAGTCTTTTTGAATCTTTTGGACTTTTTCGGGACTGCCTCCTAGAGATCCTGCGGGACTCCCATAGGCAAGTCATTCGTTCTAGCCTGTTTATTTGGAATTTGATATGAATATACCATTTCGAATTGGGTCCTATGATACACCTGTCTTCTGTAAATTGTAAAATTTGATAACCTGTGATTTGTATGCTGTGTAGTCTGGTAACCTGTAACCTCCCTCAGCCGGGTCCAATCTTCGGCCTATGCACGTAATTAGTACCATCGCGACAAACAGAGGAACCAACACACTTACATGTCGTGATGCTCACTCAGCCTGCTGAGATACTTGTTCAGCTCTTCGACTCGCTCTTTGTGCGTCTTGATGCCTTCCTTCTGAAGCCTCTCACGCAACTACTTTTCGTCAGCCCTTGAACACAAGACTCCAGTGACGCAATCGAACCGCTGATCGTCAGCAAAGAAAAGGGCACATACTCGTTTTCGCCTGATTTCTTCATATTTCCTCTCGGCCTCGGTTTTCGCGGCTGAGCTCTGCGACTCATCGTCCGCAGCGGGGGATTTGGACTCCGCATCTGGTCTTGCTTCCGCTTCTCGTGGTTGATCCTCCTCGGTCTTCTCTTTCTTCTTCAGGCTCTTCTTCTTTTTCTTCTCCACGCGGCCATCGTTCACTTTGCTACCCTTGAGCTTAAGCTTACCGCCTCCGCCAGTGGAGTACTCATCTGGCGCCATGAGTGGGGGAATGTGAGAACAGATGATGGGCGTGCGGAGTACGAGGGAAAAGAGAGGTTCGGCTGGAGCGCGTCCTGCCCCTTCTTTCTAACGGAGACTTTAACACGCTCTACTCCCCGCTGGTAATGACACAAGGATTTTAGCGAATTTGGGCTCGTGTAGACCCGCGATGAACGAGGCGGGACAGCGATGCGCAATTGGAGAAATGTAAGTTGAAGTCGGGTCGAGGGCGGTGGGCCAATCAGAGGCGGTGGCGGAGACTATCTTGAAATTTCGGTAAAAAAGGTGACATTTCGCACTGATGGCGACTACGTTCCATGGATCTAAGAATAATGGTACATTCAAAAGACAAGAGGGACTATCGTTGTGTTCTACATGCTCAGAACTGGTCGGAAATGTCGGTGAGATAGGCGCACTGGATACTTTTCCAGGTAGCCGCCCCAACCGAACTGATCTATGGCTTATCTTGGTAGACTTTGAGTGATAGTCATTGGCATATGCTCATTATTTATAAATTCTATTTATTAATTTTTGATAGTCCTGAGTTTAATGAGTTCAGTCAAAGGGAATCGGGCGCAGTCCAGATCCACCCATCCGTTTGCGCATTTCCGCCCCTGCAGCTACCGTGCTGGGTACCTTGATACCACAGCAGTCTCCAAACCAGTCGGCGTTCCCATGGTCGTGGGCATGATCATGAGCATGGTCATGCCCATCGTCATCGTCCTCGGTGAGCTCCCCCATGCCCTCAGCAGCGGGCAAGAGACTGCCAAACAGGAAATGCTGCATGATGGGCAGTTTACCCAATACCTCTTTGACAAACATCTTCTTCATACCGCTCTCGACCTTGAACCAGTTCTTCGCACCCGAGATGTCATCCAGCATGGGGCTGTGCCATCGGAGACCTTTGACAGTCTTGACGCTGTCCACCCATCGTACCTGGTCCAGGTAGAGATACCTATCACCTTCCTCATCCAGCATAGCAGTGTTATGAATTCCCAAGGGAGTCACGTACGGGTGATCAATCAGCTGGCTCGCACCGAATAGAAACGGTAGGAAATGGTAATCATCTAGACCCCAGACACCATGAGACCCCGCAGGCTCCAGGTAGTAAATCGACTGGATATCCCGCATAAGATGCAGATAGTCAATGTAAACCTGGCACACCACGGCGGGGAAGTCTGCAGCAGGTAGACGCCCCAGCTGATAGAGAGATAACAGCCACATCATAAAGTTCAGCTCGTGGCCTGAGCCGTAGTCTAACCGATCTCGCGAGCCCAACGAGTGGATCAGATATGTCGATACCTCGTCGACCGCTGCCGCATCACTAAGTTCCAGGAGATCGCTGTGCCACGATGCGCTCTGAGCGGCGACATCGTCGAATAGGGTACGGAAAGCAGGGTTACCAAAACGCGATCCACCTTGATCAATGGCCGGATGCTTATCGATTAAAGACCGAAGCTGACCAAGCACAGAGGAGATTTTGGAAATGGCATCGGACTCCGGTTTCTTTGAATCGGTAGTGGCTCGACCGCGCACGGAGTCGGAGAGCCCAAAGATAAATGCAAGCACGAGGTTGTATGTAGGGGAAGAGGTGAAGATCTCATGGTCTTTAGGGGGATAGAATGCGGCGAACGGGGCGAGAGTACTGATGACCAGAGAGGTCTGGCGGCGTGGGCAAAGGAGGGGTTTTCGGAGTCGCGTCTCGACTAGCAGTCGATGATCGGCGGTTACTTGACCGCAGCTCTGATAGCTTTTTGGACAGGTCTACCTTGCCTGCATGGGGTGATAATGAAGTGGGAGCCATGTTTGAGGGAGTGAGGGGCGCAAGTAGCAATCTGATCATGATACGACAGATGATCGCCATTGCGGCAGAAAGGACCCTCCAGGGCCACCGCCTTCTCAAAGCGGATCCAGATGACGAAAATCCCCTGAAACGGATTAGCGTGGTGGAGATCCCGGAACAGAGAACATGTGATCTTCCCCGGAAAACCACGAGCAGATCTCCGTCGCTCGGCTGAGGTCACACTGGACGCACACATGGTGGATGAAGCCTCTTATTAAATTCAAGGCAAACTGAGATATAGGGAAACTCCGTCACCGCTCAACGCATCCCTCTTAGCCATCTTGCCCCGAGATCAGTCGACAAACATTCGATCTTTCCCACTCCAGCTTGGTTCCTGGCGGCCCTGAGCTGCATAAGCCTTGATTATTCAAGGCTATCTGGTGGATCGTACCCTCAAGTGGCTTACAACGGCATGGGCACGCCATCATGAATACATCCGACCCATCGGCGACGTCTCCGGCGGGCCCTAGCAACGTCGGGCAAGTCAAAGAGACAGGCTCTCAGTTGTCTCGCTCGTCAACCCATGCAGATTCAGGCCTGTCATCATCTGCCGGCAGCGGCGGGTCCCGCTCGAGCCTCGGGTCCCGAAAGCGTGGCAGGAACCAGCAGACCCAGCAAGCGCATTTCAGCGAATCCACTAACCTCTTCAATGCGCCTGGCTCCGCGACACGCAACTATCAAGCCACGGAGACGCCGGCACCTCCATATGGACTACGTGACCAACCTATGAATGCTACGACGGACCACTCAGCACCGAGCAATGGCATGAATCAAGCTAATGGCAGTTGCAACTGCAACTGCAACGCCCAGAACCAGCCGCCTCAGACGTCAAATGAGCCATCACAGTCCTGGAAAAGCCGTTTCATAGATAGATTCGGCGCCTTGGAATTAGAGAACAAGGGCAGTGTTGCTCGTGACCACCTGGCACTAGGTATGCTACCCAATTTCGACAGAGCTGAAAGTGTATAGAACGTACTAATCAGTAATAGAACGAACGTTCCTAGCCTGGATGCGCACATCTCTCGCCTTCGCCTCAATAGGCATAGCAGTGACCCAACTCTTCCGTCTGAACAGCGCAAATGAAACAACACAGACAAAATCACTCCACGCTCTCACCAACCCACCATCCGTGCTCGCCCACTCATCCTACGGCATCCTCGACACGGTAACCACTCCCTCATCCCAGAGTTCCTCCCGCCTCCGTAGCGTTGGAAAACCCCTCGGTTCAACCTTTATTGGCGTCTCTATTCTCATTCTGATCGTCGGCTTTCACCGCTACTTCGAGAGCCAGTACTGGATCGTTCGCGGCAAATTCCCGGCTAGTCGGGGCAGTGTTGCTCTAACGGCTTTTCTCGCGGCTTCGCTGATTATCGCGGCGCTTGCAGTGATATTGGCGGTCTCACCGAGTGCTATTGAGAGCTAGCTCCGTACTCGTGTATATGTCTTCTTTTCCTTTAGGTGCATTGCACTGCGTGATTCATGTCAGCTATTATACTAGAATTTTGGGACGTGTGAAAATATCTAAAAACCATTTCTAAATGTCTGTCTACGTACAAAACCCCCTTTATCGCATGCAGGGATCTAGAAGTGGAGCACATGCGCGATCTTAACATTCTTTGGCTAAGGGCTAAAATTGAAAGAATGATAACCCAAGTTAAGGCCACTAATCTCCTGAACCGGCAGCCATCATATCGATCTTTTTAGATGCTGGACTGCTATTGTTGGCAGATCTTGCTGCTTTAAACTATGAGGTGATGCGTGAAATTCAGGAGAGTTGCACCCTAACCAGAGTCTGAAAAGACGCCGTCTTTGCCACGTTGGGACACTATAATCCTAGCCTCAATGAACGCGGGGTGTTTCCTCTGAAGAATATAATGAGATTTTATATTAGGCATTTCAGGGCTGTATGGGGCTATCTAAGGCTGTGAGGCATTCAAGGTGGGAGAGATGAGATGTTCAGTCAAAGATGCCGGGAGTTTTTCATGGACAATGATGACTGAATCGAACGGAGAGAGCCTGCAGCCGTTTAATATTACTTCTTTTTCACCTACACAAAAACACCAACAGTCGATAAAAATTGTTTCTTTCTTTTATGTCAACAGCCCCAAACTCACCCGCACCAGACCAGTCTAGGCACAATATAGAGACAGGGAGACATTGCAATAACGGGGGAAGGATATCGACAAGGGTGAGGGGGCAAACGACACAGAAGAAACGGGGCAAAAACACGGCTTGCAGGAATGCGGAAGTAGTGGGCAAACGCAAAAATGAGAAAGGAACTAGATACAATCGCTTATCGAGGACCGAGCTTGGCCAACGCGCGGGCGCCCTGTTCCTGCCACTCCTGTTTGGATACCCACATGTCGTCCTTGTCGGCGATCTATAGAACTTGGTTAATATTTGGGAATGAGAAATGTGGGTAAAGAGACTCACGAGGTTGGCAAGCACGGCACCACCTAGGAAGACCATGTGTCTCCGTCGTGGGGGATCCTCAATGCGAACCTTGAATTTCTGCGAGGTTATTAGCGATGTGTTTGGGGGGTTTTTTTTTACGGGAAGTAGGTATAGAAACTCACATTCAGACGCTCGGGGTCACCCTTCAGAACCTGAGTAAGCCAGAGCTGCTTCAGCTCCTTCTCCAATCGAGAAGGCAAACCAGGATACATGCTGCTACCACCGCTGAGCACGATGGCCTTGTATAGACTGGACCGAATGTCGACATCGGTGCCTTGAATAGTGTTGAAGAGCATTTCAGCCATACCGGGCTGGTCAACATCCACCAGGTGAGGCTGGAAGAGGCATTCGGCGGCCTCGAAGCGCTCACTGCCCACGCGGATGACACGACCATCAGGGAGAGTGTAAGATTCGACGAGGACGGTAGTATCTTCAGACAGCTTTTTGTCCAGCTCGAGGTCGTAGGAAACGTAACAAAGCTTCTCCTTGATCTGGCGGACGGTCTCGAAATCGGCGGTTCGGTTGAGCGCATAACCGCGGCGCAGGAGAAGGGCAATCAGGTTGCGGGTGACGTCGCGACCCGCAACATCCAATCGCTTGATGTGATGGTTCAGCACGGTCGACTCGTACACGGGAATAACGTGTGTGACACCGTCACCGGAGTCAACGACCACACCGCTGCTCAGACCTAAACAGACCATCAGCATTTCCTCTCAATTCTCTATACGCGTCCGGGAGGCCGTTCATACCCTGGGCATACAGTGCCAGCACCGCCTGGATCGCAACATAAACACCTCCGAAGTTGTATCCCTCGAGCATGACCTCGGCCATCTGCTCGCGGTTCTTGAGGGGGGTTCATCGGCGGCTCGGTGAGGAGGATCTTGCGGCCTGTAGGGTCGATCTTCATCTTGTCGTAAAAGGTGTAGTTCCACAGATGTTGCATGTCATCCCACTTCTTAACGATACCATTCTCCATCTAAAAAGCCCGCCAGGAGCTGCAATTAACACCACGTTTCTGTCTGCGGAGAGGGCGGGGTAGGAGACGGTGAGGGCAGACGCCTTGTCTGGAACAGACGTACCGGGTAGCTGATCTGAAGCATCGATCTAGCAGCAGCAGCTTCATCTCCGCACATAATATCCTTCACCACGATGTCGCCGGCCTGTTCCTCCGTTCGCAAGATAGGCCGCCCCACTATCGAGGGGAACTGGTGCTCTGGGAAGTTCTAAAGGCGCCGCTCGTGTTAAAAGAGATTCAATCGCAGATGGCTTGGTTTAACATACCTGGGCGGCATAGCCGACCTTGAGAAAACCGGTTCCTCCATCGAGGACTGCGGGCTGTTAGCTTGGGAGCTGGGGGGTTGACACGCGGTCGCCTGGGGGTTCCGGGACAAGTACCAATGGGCATTTCCGCCATGGTGGTGGTATGGAAAGGACAATGCTATCAGAACAGATTCTGTGCAGGTCCGAGCGGAAGGAGTGGAATTGAAGGTGGAGTGGAGGACGCGGAGAGAGTTGATGTCGGTAAGTGAGGTCTGTCGCCTGGCCATCATCATCGTTAATTACGTGACCGTACCGTACCTCCTATCCTCCCCAATTGCGGGGAGCGAGCCGCACTCTTTACATAACATGACTGCATCAGTAAGTGTTATCACTCTCAAGCTGTAAATCTCACTATAGAATGAGAATCAATTTGGTCCTCGAGATTTTGCGTTATGATAAGTATTTAGAGGCACGATTCATTGTACTGTGAGGCTGAAATTGCTTATTCAGGAGAGAAGGGAGAGCGCTGTCAACAAGCCAAGAATCAATGCAAGGCAAATAAGCCCTGAAATGTATTCAAAACTCTTAAGCTATGTAGCATGTCAATTGGCAATCCCGATCGGTCCGGTAGCAAGTAGAGACAGCTCTCTAGCCCTTTTGGTAGAAGACAATGCACCCTATCGGCCGACTCCGATATCCTCGGGAAACGGCACGCGCTCCACAAGACTTCTTCACCTCTTTATGTACCGAAGAGCAGGTCATATCACCTGAAGACAGTCGTTTCTCGACATCTAGATCGAGTGATTGCACCGTCGGTATCGAGCTCTCCAAAATTAACCGGGCGTTTTATCAGCAAAACACGATAATAGCAACTTTTCACCGAGCTACCACATCTTCAGACACAATGACACAGATCGGCTGGGTAAGCCATCCACCCATCCCTCAGTTTTCAGTAGATGTAGCTAAGGCGCTCCTAGTATGGCCTCGGCTCCATGGGCCTCGCCATGGCCAACAATTTGCAGCGGCACCTCGCCACAAAGAACGCCTTGAGCCTTCTGTACAACAACCGTACAATGTCGCGCGGTGCATCTCTGAAAGCACTTGGCGGTATCGCCGAAACAAGCTTCGGCCAGTTGGTCTCGCGGAGTAACATCATTTTCACCATGGTAGGGTCCTGGACTTTCCCATGTATGACCTGCAGATCACTGATTTCCGCAGGTTGCAGATGATACTGTGCTGCAAAGTCTCCTCTCCTCGGCCATTGGGTCAGATATATCCCTGAAGGGTAAGATCTTTGTGGACTGCTCGACTGTACACCCGCAGACGGTTAGCTCGGCTGTGGCTCAGTTGAAGGAGCAGCAGGCCTCGTTTGTGGCGGCACCTGTCTTTGGTGGAAACCCTATTGCCGTGGATGGCAAGTTGGTTTTTGCGATTGGAGGTCCTAGAAGTGCTACTGAGACTGTCAAGCCGTTCATCCAAGATGTTATGGGTCGTCGTGTCATTGAGTGTGGAGAGGATGCTACCAAGGCCTCTTTGCTCAAGATTGCTGGGTGAGTTACTTGGGTGCATTGCCATTGCTTCGAAGATTGTTCCTGACTTGGGTTTAGGAACATTGTCACTGTGAACATGATGGAAGCTGTTGGCGAGGCTCAGGTCTTTGCTGAGAAGACTGGACTTGGAACTGGGCCTATGGAGGAGCTTATTGGCGAGGCGTTTGGCCCTGTGGCTGGCGGATACTCTAAGAGGTATGTCCCTTAGACTAGCAGGAGACAGCAGGTTATAACATTCCTAGATTGACCACTGGGGCTTATGCGCCGCCTCTAGACTCACGCCCCGGATTCGGCGTGTCTCTGGCCATCAAAGACGCTAAACACGCTATGAATATGGCTGAAGAGCAGGGCGTTAAGCTCCCAGGCCTCGCGCTTGCTCGCAAAAACATGGAAGATGCCCGTGACTACGCAGGTGAATGTCTCGACAGCAGCTCTATGTACGGAATCTTGCGGCAACAGGCTGGTCTTGAGTTCTGGAACGAGAAAAGCCGCAAGGCTTGAACTGTGCTGTATTTTCATGGAAATTATTAAGCTTGGTGAAGAACTTTCAGATCGTCCAACAACCTCTTGACCTTGAAAGCACCCATTTCAGGGAAAAAAAAAAGAAAAAGAAAAAAAAAAAAAAATTCAACCAACGTTCCAATCGGTGTATCTATTCCAAGCTTCCACGGCCAGAACTGTGCGAATTTTTGGTATTTGTAAGATAAAGGGGTTATCACATCACCCAAAAATGCGGTTTTTTGAAACAGCAATGCAGCTAATAAGTGTGGGTCTCATCTCACCAGTCAAGAGGAAGGTAAGGGACACGGTGTTGATGGCTTTTGGGTCACCTCAGGTCTGATCCGCGTTGCATCGACCAGACTGGGATAGGTCTCTGCAAATAACAGACCCAAAGACCAGTTGTCAAGATTTCGCATGTGTCGCTCAAAAACGGGGTTAATGAGTAGCTCGTCCGAGTCACCGGCTGACAGCAGGCAGTCAGTGGCTTCGTATGGCCAGTTGACGGACAAGCCACGAGTGAACGGAATGAACCAATGCTCGAATGGGTAATCCTGGTGGGTTGTAGAAAGACGCTCACGCATTCGGGGCCATGGTATGTAGTCCATCCAGGCAGGATGGGCCTCAAGAAGTTGTGTAGGACAAGGCCTGAGCCATTCCGGCAATCGGTCATAGTTCTCTTGGGTAGGATAGATCTGCCACCGCATGAGAAGGAACATGGTGTAGAGCACGGCAACTTGCTCCGGCAATGAGGAAATGTCGGGGAATGTGCGAAGAATGTCTGTGAATACCTTTGACACCGGGTGCGAATATGCACCCTTCTCGGGGTTCAACAGTGAAGAGACGCTCGGGTATGGTGGTCCAACAAGCTTCTGACGTGGGATTCCCTGCGCCGCCTCGCGTTGCCGATTATGCAGAAAATCCAGTAGGATGCTGTCTAATGGACATACAGGACCAGTATTTTTGATAGGGGAAGCGAATGCACTTGTCGCCTGGTTGGATGGGGGGTGACTCAATGGTTGCAAGTGAAGTGGTGAAGGGGTGGCCGGATGAGTGGCCCTGATGTTTTCAGAGCTTCTGCGCCGAAGACGATCGATCTTGGGAACATTCTGGGAGGGATCCAAGAGGAAATTGAAACCTAATCGTTCCTCCACGCTGAAGTCAAGCCCATGGGCGACGTGATGGCGTTGTGAATCCAGCACATTGCGGAATGAAGTTGTCTGTAGGGCTCCATTGCTACTGTTGCGGCGACTCCCTGGGGCGGAGGCTGACCGTGCAGGAGAAGGTGTGTCAAGGCTTGCAATAGACTCGGCGTAAGGCTTGTCGACTGGGCCTCCCGCTTGGCTACCGGGTGTCAAGTGTTCGGAATCGAGGAAGTAAGGAGTATTGGCCGGGGGTGGGACGGATGTCCGCAGAGAGAGAAAAGTCGGTAGATCTATCACTGTCAGCAAGGGTACACAGCATACAGAAGAGCTTTCGACTCACCACTCGGCTCCGGCTTTGCGAGTAAAGGTTGGATGATGTCCATCGCCGCCTTGAGTCCTGCGCGTAGTTCTCTGTTCTCCGACCGAATACGCTCATTGTCTTGAATGGCAGCCTGCAGATCGAGGAAGGGCTTTTGAGACGAGAGGTCCCGGACTTGCTGTTCCAAAGCTTCAATGTGCCCCTTGGTGCGCTCGCGAATCGCGCGCTGCGCCTGGCGGTCATTGGCACGTTTCTTCGCCAATTGATCGGGAGTGAGATTGTGTACACCGCGCGACGACGTGCTGTTCAGCTTGCGCTTTCGCCCGACGGTCGTGGACGCTCCATTATTCTCAATGTTTTCTGTGATGACCGATTCGAGGCCAAGCGATGTTGAGCGCGAAGGAGCGGGTGAGCCCTCTTGTTTGGCGGTAAAGTGGGAGCTACCCTCGATTGCCGCGACGCAATCGGAGTCAAACGGAGCGTGGCTGGCCATGGCCTCACACACGCGCTAGCGAGTGACGAAAGCCATACACGAGAGTGATAGGGGTGGGAAGGGAAGATGAAATCAGGAGCTGAGCGTGTCAGACTACGTTATCAGGATTGGCACTGGGGTGGGTCGAAATCGCAGTCGATGGAGACGGGGAGAGAGTTTCCAGTGCGCGGAGGGGCCGTTCTGGCATTCCCGAACCTTGGAAACTGAAGCACATTTGGCAGACTTGTTCGCAAACAGGTGGTCTGATCTTGTTCTTCAATATTCATGTTCATTCATTCGTGTTCCAAATCTATAGATGCGGCTATCATCGAGAGCCTCGCGATCCATGATCTACAAGGCTTAGACTCTCAAGGTCCACTCCCCACTGTGTATTACACCTCCATTGATCCCAGAATAGACTATACCGTATAAATGTAGTAATTTTGCTGGCGCATAGTTGGCGGAACCCAAAAGACCGTATTTCGCAAGGAGTAAAAAGTTCATGTACAAGTCAAGATCATGAATATGCAAGACAAAGACTGGTCGTGTCGATCGTACAAGGTATAGACAGGCCAAAGGCTCCTGGGCTAGGTTGGGGGAAAAGATTTCACATAGAAATAGGGGAGTTATTGAATCATATGGCCCATTTTCGAAATCTATGAGATTAGAGTCAGTACTGTCTTTCGAGCTCAAAAGTCTGCAGAACCAACCTTGGTTTGTAAGTAACCCTCAATCTCGGAGCTCTTAATACCGCGTTCGCCGCCAGTTCGCCAGGCCAAAGGAATCATAGGAACTCTCTCCTTCACCAACACTTCCCGATTGGGGCCTTCAATAGCTCGCACCTTGTCAGGATTATTTGTGAGCAAGCGGATTCCGTCTGGGTTGGTGTCCGCTCCACAATCAAGATCCACCAACATGGCCGTGGCCAAACCATAGCTTCGCGCATCTGCCGGATGCCGCAGCAAAAGATTGGCTTCGACGGTATCAGACCCAAGGTCCTGCAGATTATACGCTTTCAACTTCTCTCCGAGACCAATGCCTCGACCCTCCTGTCGTAGGTAGATAATGACACCCCCTGCGGACTGTGATTGTGGAGACTGCAGCTCCGGTGCTTTGGACGAAAGATCTGAAACGGGGAGGGACATTAATCGCGCCGCTTCATCCAGCTGCTCACCACAATCGCATCGGGCCGACCACACTGTCTCTCCTGTATAACACTCAGAATGAATGCGCACCAGTGGGGGCTCCATACGGCGCGGCGATGAATTTGATCCGGCCTTGCCGTCATCTTCCCAGCTGCTGACTCGGCCCGGGTGCAACTTCCCTACATATGCGCCTCGGATCATGCGATCCATCTCGGTCTCCCCCGGGTGAACGCGGTCGAGACTGCGACTGCGAATATTGTTTCCAAATACAATAGCCAAGTGCTCCTTATTATCCAGGTCATTGTGGTAGAGGTGCAGGAACATCTCGGCGCCGTTAGAGGTCGGAATTCGCGCCCGCACAATACACTCTACCCGCGGGAGCTGCTCCAGGAGCTTAGGAGCTTTTGCGTGTTCATCTTTGTGCTGGATTGCAGCTGATTGACTCTTGTGAAGGAGGTCTGTCGGATTGGTGGCAAAATCCAATGATCCGCCGGGAGTCACAGGTGGGGTAAACGCGGGCGATAGGAATGATTGCGGTAACGTAGGAGTCTGTTCACCTGTTGCAATCCCGTCTTCCTGGCTCGCATTGTCGGATACAGGATCTGTTTGGGTGAGTGCGATAGAGTGCGGGGCGAGTTTCGGAGAGGCGTGCGCAGGGAGATTCGCCATTGCAACGGTTGAAAACGCAGAGCCTGAGGGAGTTCAGACTTCGTCTTGTTCGGTTCGGGGTACCGTATCAAAAATATTGAAAAGGAATGTGCATCGGTGGCAATTCGAGAAAGATCACGGCCGAGAGAGCCGTGTCGTCAATCCGTCACCCTCGGCCCGCGCGGGGCTGACTCATCGCGCTGTCAGTGCTTACTCTAGCAGCTTCCATCGCTTAGGCAAATCCTGGTAAGCGCGATTCACTAGAGTGGAGGTATACAGATGTATAGAAGTTGAAAAAAATCACAGTTCCATTGCTTATTTTCAATGAGGGATGGCCAGGGAAATCATCTGTTTAGTAGCCATGGGTCCTTTGAACTCCAAGTAGCGCCTCGCTAAGGGTATATCAGTCATATCAGATCATGGGAACGTCGCCGTGAAGCCCGATCTACTTGGTTGGAATGTCCAAGACGTAGCGACGGTCAACTTCCATCTCCTTGTCATCTTCCTCTCCCTCAAATTTGAGGCGATAAGCCTCCTTCTTCGCCCCCATCACCTCCGCGCGGTAGAACGTGGTGGTATCAGGGTACCTGGCAAGGACCTGTTTGCCAACTGGAAAAGCAGACATCGAGGATCCCATCGGTGGGATTGGAATGAGAGACGATGCGGTTGTCTTGTAGACAGCACCCTGCTCGCCATTCTCATTCGGCTCGGGGTCTTGGACCTCGTACCATCTACACCGACGCTGTCAGTTTTAGGGGCTCCTTCACAAGTTGCAAACAACTGTACCGTTTCTTATGTCCCTCGCCAGAGATGTTCTTGATGATACACTGAATACCCTCCCCCTCCACACCCTGCTTATTCTTATTGTGCTTGAATACAACCTGTGCACCAACCTGGAGAATCCCACTTCGCTCGGCCGCAGTTCCCTTGGTTCCCTCGCTTCCTTCTTCGATCTTGACTGCCACACCCTCACCGCGGCTCTCGCGTGCTTGAGTGCTTGACACGCTCGCGCTACGCGGGACCCCACCCTTGGAGCGATTCGACTTATCGGCGCCTGAGGCACTTGGGGAGTCGGCAGCTGAGCTATCCATATCGGACCTCTTCTTTCGAGATTTGGATAGTGCGTTTGAGCGACCACCGGGGGGCTTCGGCTTCGGACGCTCTCCGAAGCGCGGTGAGGAGTTCGAGGTTCTTGATCACGTCGCAAGGCTCATCCTGCATGATCGCCCGCTCCTCTTCACTGAGTTTCTGACTTTGGCGCAGCCATGCGTCAAGTTGGTCGTGGTCGTTCATAGTGGGTCCTTTCGAGGATGAAATCTTAGCTGCCTTGTATTGGAAGACTCTCGCGAAATCCAATGCGGGGGAGGTAATCGATGAGTTGGATCGAGCTAGCGCATGAAATGAAAGGGCACACTTACTGCCATCACGGGTAATCCTGTCTACCAGGGTTTTGATCTGCACAGATAGAGAAGCTTGTTGGTCGAACTTCTCCTTTGACTTGCGGATGTCCTGGCATATGCGAGTCCACAGCTCCATTTCCTCGTTGTTCCCTAAACCATTGTCGCGAGGTCGAGGACGATTCCGAGACATCTTGTCCGGTCTAGCAGGGTATTACTATCTGGGGAGGATGGATTCAATGGGCCGTGACTGGAGCGGGGAATAGCGCGATCGCGGTCGTGACTCTTGAGGATAAGTCGAGCTCCCGTCGCATCGACTCGGGGATAAGCCAAGGCGGTCGGGGTAAACGCGCGCCTAATTCTTGGCAGACTGCTTGTTCGTACATTGCGCCTAGTCCTTTGGTACTAAGTAATTACATTCTAATGTTCAACGGACATTGATATCGCTTTTGGATGAAGAATGGATCCCATGGTTCGTGATGCGGGCTGAGCTTGAAACACGTCGCGAAATCCCAGCCTGTGGCCGCAAGCGGCAGCATTTCCATCTTGGGCACGGCATAAACGGGTGTTTAAATCGCAGACTCGGCTTTGGAGGAGGATCAAAACCCACGCCGGGCCCAGTGACAGTGCCGAATCCCTGTTTCATCGCCGGACCCTTGCACTCACCTTCACCGAGAGTCTTGGCGTGGGGAATCTGCGTAATAGAAAATCACCGAGGCGCCCCTCACTTTTCCCAAGAACAAACTTTTCAAGATGCAGGTTCCATTGCTCCGTCTGCAATGTGGTAAGTCGGCTTGATATTCCTAGGTCTACTTGCACTTCTAACCCATTTCTGCAGGCGTCAATAGCTACGACTGGGGGTAAGATTGAATGTGTTAACTTGAACGCCCCGCACTAAACCCCGTCATAGGCAAGGTTGGCCAGGATTCGGCTGCCGCCCGCTATGCGGCCACGACAGCCCCAGCAGATTTCTCAATCGAGGCTGAGAAGCCTTACGCAGAGGTACGTTAGGACAGAAAGCTCCGGAGGTGTCAGTTGGCTCATCTATACACAGCTATGGATGGGCACCCATCCTAGCCTACCCTCCAAAGACGTCGAGACCCAGCGCACCCTTCTCGATCTCGTTCAAGACAATCAAGCTCTGATGTCTACAGAGATCACCGAGCGCTATGGAGGCCGTCTTCCCTTCTTGTTCAAGGTGCTGTCAATCCGCAAGGCGCTCAGTATCCAAGCCCACCCCAATAAGAAGCTGGCGGAACAGCTCCATGCGCGCGATCCTAGAAACTACCCTGGTTTGTGCAGCTTTCAAAACTTCAGGCGGATAGAGCTCCGAGCTTACGATATGTTATCTTAATGCAGATGACAACCACAAGCCTGAGATGACCATTGCCGTGACACCCTTTGAAGGTCTGTGCGGATTCCGTCCTCTGGCCGAGATCACCCACTTCCTCCAGGCACTCGAACCTCTTCGAAAGCTCATCGGATCCCAGGCCGCGAGCGAGTTTGAGCAGGCTGTCAAGGGCAATGAGCAGTCTGAGGACGAGGTCGTTATGCAGCGGAACAAGGATGCGCTGCGCTCGGTGTTCACAGTCCTGATGGAATCTTCTCCAGATGACATCGGAAACGCCTGCAAGGATTTGGTTGCCCAGGCTGAGAATTCGCCAGCGAGTTTCGCTTGCCTGCCGGGCGATGTTGAGACCAACCCCAGCAACCCAACCGAGTTGGCTGAAATTATCAAGCGCCTTGACGGCCAATTCCCCGGGGACATCGGCTCGTTCGTTTTCTTCTTCCTCAACTTCATCAAGCTTGAGCCTGGTGAGGCCATGTTCCTCAAGGCTGATGATATTCACGCCTACGTGTCCGGCGACATCATCGAGTGTATGGCATCCTCGGACAACGTCGTGCGAGCTGGCTTTACCCCCAAGTTCAAGGATGTGCCCACTCTGACCAAGATGTTGACGTACTCATACGCTCCCATTGAGGAGCAGAAGCTGCGACCCACGGACTATCCTTATGCCATTCTGAACGCAACAGCGTACTCCAGCGCCTCATCTGCCATGCTCTATGATCCCCCGATCGAGGAGTTCAGCGTTGTCAAGACTGATTTGAAGCGAACAGGGGCTAAGGTGACCTTCGACCCCATCGCTGGTCCTAGCATCATGATCTGTACCCGCGGCAAAGGCAAGATTACTGTGGGCAACAAGACTGAGGAAGTGCACGAGGGTTACGTCTTCTTCGTTGGCGCCGAGGCCGAGTGTATCCTCGAAAACACTGGCAGTGGAGAGGGCGAGGATGATGTCTTCACGACGTATAAGGCGTTCTGCGAGCTGACCGGTAAGGAGGACATGGTCAACGGTCACTAGACCATCAATTCTAATCGCGGTCTACTAGGCCGATCCGGCTTTAGTGCCAACCTGTGATGTCCGTCAAAAGTGTCTCGCATACGAACCTGCATGTATTATGACGGGTCACATGAATTTTACCTTGTTTGAATGGGCGAAGCGAACACAATGGATCTTGATGTAGATGTACTCTGTGAATCTGTAAATCGCATAGACTCTCCATCATTTCTCTCGTCGATGTCAAAACAGAGCTAAGAAGTCCGGTACTGGATCACCAAATAGCCGAGAACGGACGGGGGGCCCCACAGGAGCAGCCGAGGCTAGAACCCGAATCGGCGATCTGAAGAAGCGGGGAAATACTGTGTCAGAACCAGGACCCTAGAGATAGTGCCATGAACAACTTCATCATTTTGACAACTCAAACCTCACTGAAATATATCAAAGAATCATGGCCGACTCCAAGCCCGTTGACGTGCCCGAACTGGGCTTCTGGGAAAAGGCAGATCTCTCTCTCGCTCAGCTCACCATCGCGACCAATGCTCTCATGGCAGCCATCACAGGAGTATTTCGAGGTTCGGCCAGCCCGAAGAAATACAGCCATCATATCACGGCTGCCGCTATTCGCCGGATGTGTGATCGCACGTCCGATCGTCAGAAGCAGTACGTTTCTCGAAGTTCTGGGGAGAGGACTTGGGAGAAGTTCCATGAAAGATGGGGAGAGCAGAGAATAAAAGGGAAGCTGACGATTCCACACTTAGGGCTATGTTTCCTCCGTCAACCTCTGTCTATACTTCCGTGATGCAAAAGCGCGGCCTCGAGCCAGAGATCGTCTCTCCCCCACAACACAGAGGGTTTCTGGCTCGGTAGTAAGAACGCAAAGAACGTCGTTATCTACTATCACGGTACGTCAGCAGTAGCCAGTATCGAGCTTTCCACGTGTGGCGCACGCTACACAAATCGAAGCTTTCCCGCAAAGTCAATCTCTAACGATGTCGCACAGGCGGCGGCTTCGCGATAGCAGCCATCCCACCCTATTTTCGAGTTCTGGCTTGACCTACTTCAAGTCGTCAACGACAGCGGTCACGATATCGCCGTGTTCTTCCCCCGCTACACTCTCACTCCATACGGAACATATCCGACACAATTGCGCCAAGCCACCGAAGCTCTGCGGTATATTCTAAACGAGACAGGGCGGTCGCCAGGTAATGTGGTCGTGGGCGGCGACTCGGCGGGTGGGAACTTGGCCATGGCGACACTGCTACATCTGTCGCACCCACACCCGGAGATTGAGCCCATCTCGCTCTCAGAGCCACTGGCAGGCGTATTTGGCTTTGCGCCGTGGATCAACTTCAGCCATGAGGGACCATCATTCAAAGAGAATGAATGGAAAGACATTCTCACACGCAACGTGCTGAATAATTGGTCTGCTTCTTATCTCGGCGGCAAAGTGAAGGATAACTGGAATGAGCCGGATAAGGCGCCTGCGGAGTGGTGGCAGGATGCGAAGACGGAGCGCATCTTGATCTTGGCTGGTGGTGATGAGATCTTGCTTTCACCGATCGAGCAGTTTGCGAAGAAGATCAAGGTATGTTTGGTTCTTGGCGGATGTGAATCGATGAATCGCTAATTTTCTCTTGAGTCTGTCTTTCCGAACACAACCTATGTCGTCGGTTACGACGAGGCTCATGACGCGCCCTTTTACACCGATGCTGGGTCGAAGGAGGGAACACAAACGAGCAGGGAGCTGCGTAAATGGATCGCTTCTCGTTTGTGATGCTTCTCTCGTAGAAGTGACTTTTCCTCTCAGTCCTGAGGGTATCATTTGGAGCAAGTGGAGCCATTCGGAAAGATAAAGCGTAGGTGTCCGAGTCTTGGAGACTCAGATCGTTCGTTCATGACAACTCAAATTCTTCGATTTTCTACAAATATAGAGGCCATTCAACCTAGTGAGTCATCAGTCAACAGTAGGGAGAGAAAGGAAAATTAAATAAGTGATTGAGTTGCAGACTATAGACCAAGGAAGGCGCGATGGGTTCAGACACCTGGGACTTGAAGTACTCATTTCGCAATTTGGTTCACAGTCCATATCAACAGGTCCCTTGGATTAGTGGTCATATCGTTCGGTTTTGACTCTAACTTAAGATCATTCCGAAAGGTCGCCGGTTCAATCCCGGCAGGGACCTCATCTTTTTGTTTTTGTCCCACTTTCCTCTTCCCTCTTCCTCTTTTTTCTTCTTCATCAACCCTTCTTTTTCTATAGGGATGTTGTAGTAGTTTACTTTTATTTCTGAATTCTGGCAATAAACAATTGCCTCAAATTTCATCACTGAAAAGTACTATCATCATGACGCAAACTCGAAGGCTTCTGTGACGTTCCATTAAATATCTCTCCACATTTGCTATATCCTACTGGTGCACATGAACTAATTACCAACTGAAAACATAGACTCCTGCTATTAAAACATTATCATGTTCAGTGACGGATGATACTGTACAACTGTATAATATTTACCGCCTCTCGATGTGCTTACTGATGACACAATATAAGAAAATTTGCTCTGGCTATTGCACTTAAGGGGGTCGTGTCAACTCATAACAAAGCAGGATATCAAGCATCCCAGCTCCAAATAACAGGCTTCGCAAGCAGAAATTACACAAATCTAGATCGCTAGTATTCCTCCGTCCTCTAAGACGACACCTTAGGCGCGTACTTGGACGCCGCTGCGTCGAAGAACTCGCTCTTCTCCTGAATATCGGCGAGAAGGGCATGCGAGGGATGGGTCTGCTGCAGCCGACTACAAAGTAAGAGTTAGCTTGTCTATCTGAATCCAAAAATTAAGGGGACAGGACACATACGACTCTAGATCTGCGGTTTGCTTGCCTGCCAAAACATTCAATACGATAGAATTGGCGATCAACTCGGCGTCCTCGGGGTATTTCTCCAAAGCGGCGGTCAGGGCAGCTTCAGCTTCAGGTAGACGGCCCAGGTGAAGTTCTGCGACGGCCTGACCGACAATTGACAAAGGGGCGGATGTGGTAGGTGCGGAGGCGAGTTCCTCGTAGACGTAAAAGGCGGACTGGTACTTTTCGCCACCCTAATAAGACAACACCCGTCAGTTCATGCATATGATAGAAGTATGGATTTGAGTAGGGGTGCATACCACTCTCAATCCGACCCACGACTCGGCAATGTTGACGAGGAGCGAGTCCTGCGCCCAGCGCTTGGCAGCCTGGACCTCCTTCAAGGCGAGGTCGGTACGGTTCTGCTGGAGGTGGATTTGAACGATCAAGGCAACTCTACAGATGACCAGCCAAATTAGCGCCTTGCGCCATGTTGCGCATCTGCAACGGTGGTCAACTTACGCCTCAAGGCTACCCTGGTGTTTTGCCAGCAGCGCAAGGGCCTCCTCACTGTGGTCCTGTGCCTGCAGCACCGTGGCACACACGAATTGAACAGTAGCATTATCCGGGTAATTCTCAGCAAGATCATGTGCGAGCTGGAGAGCGGCGTCGGTTTTGCCCGTAGCCTGCTGGGCTAACGCCTTGATGGCGGCGAGATCGGGGGTATCCTCTTCGCTGGAGATGGCGGAAAGAACCTCGGCGGCCTGTCCCTGGGCAATCTGGGCGCGCAGCTTGAGCACGCGGGCAGGGAGCTGGTTTTCGGGGGAGAGGGCGGCGGTGTCGAAGTCGATCACGAATTGGTATTGGCCGGAGTGGAAGGCATTGTGGATGTTGAGGAGCTCTGAGAGAAGGATGAGTGAACTGAATGAGCAAATCTGGGACATTGAAAAGCTTACCGCCCTCTGCTGAAAAGGGATCCATCTTGTAGTTAATTGGGAGGGTTGGAGGGGAAGTGGGAGTGTTGACGTTCCTGGCAATTGTTAGCTGGCTGTTTCGGCGCACAGGCAACTCGGCCGACCGCCTTTTGTATACTTCGCCCTTAATTACACACCAGTGATACTGTGAAGTGTGATTAAAACTACATCCTCCTGTTCTTTCTAAGTGTTATTTTTCATGTTTCTCTACACTGATCACCCAGATAACTCTCTGTCACTAATTAGAGGTCTCCTTTCACGGGACCTTCGGGACTTCTAAGACCTCGTGGCCGCCTTTTGACGTTGATTCGCGCATCTCTTTGGACCGGCTGTACAGAATTGCCGTGACATTATCTGGCATAGACCAATTTATTTAATATCTCTAAGAGCTTGATCTCTACGAGCTTGAACTGGACAGAAACGTTACTTTGATTGTAGAGATTCGAACATCATTCAGATGGTCCGTTAAGTACAGGATTCGCTCCATCACAGGAATGCCCCAGACAATATTACATTTAGTTGATCTCCCCCGAACGAGACCATAGACAAGACCCTTAATAATGGAGGCTACTCCGTGCCCTCGAGCACAATTTCTTGGCACGAGTCATATTCTTCTTGAGTTCCTCCGCGATGAGTTTCCTCACATCAGCCTTTTCCACTGTCACATCCTCGAGCTCGGACTCGTTGTCGGACGGTTCGCGCACTGATTGACGTGAGAAATAAATGTCATTCTCAATATATGAATCAAGTGATGTATCAGCAAAATTACCGAAGGGGCTGAGATCCTTATGTTGAGTTACGTGGATGGTCGAGTCGTATGAGATACTTCGAGTCCGTTCTGGCGTGGTCGAGAAGGGGACGAGTGTTGTGTTCCCTCGGATCTGAGTGTGCAGGCTGTAAAGAGAATTGTCGGGGCCCTTGGCGGGCATGACAGGAGCGGCCTCTAGGACAAGAACTAGCTGGGGTGGAGTGGGAGGTTTGGGCTCGACCGGCAATACGCTATCGACGGTGGAGTGGACTTCAAACAAACGCGGATCAAAATAGGCCTTATTTCTGGAGAAGATCTCCAGCAACGACGAGGATTCGGAAGCTGATGCCATGATCGATGTTCTTAATGAACTTTGTGACTCCTTGTAGTATATAGAGGGGTTGAGAGGAGTGAAAATGAAGCTGTGTGAGATTATGCCTTATACCTGTCGACAGTGAGACAAATATATGAGCAATAAGTGAAGCTTGGATGAATTCTAAGTGAGATTCGAGATGAAGGAAGGAAGAAAGGTGGAAAGGCGAGAGACTGGACGAAAGGCAGGAATATGATAGTAGCTCCGCATTGTTTCTGGAGTCGGCCATCTTTAGGAGGAAGTGATGCTCTGGCCTTGTATGGTTTCAGTCGCTACTTTCCCTAGAAAGGGTTCCCAGTCAAGTACACCAATGGGTGGCCATGTCGGGCTTTTACCCGCCGCCAATTTAGGCACCGCAAATAATTAGGAATACATATATATCAAAAGAGAATTGCCCATCTGGTCAAGCTCGGTTCCTATGGTGCCGTACCCCGGATTTTGAATCGTGTTCCGGAGCGGTCTAGTTCGCACGATTAACAGCGAAAGTACGGATGCGCGTATGTTGGAACCTTGGAACTACCTAACGCTTTCGTCGGCGAGAATTTGCTGACAATGCTTCTCTTCATCTTGTCTGCAACATAATGATCTTCTGCTAAGCCCTCGAGTATCGTCAAACATTCCGCGGGTATCGTACAGTAGGCTACTCTATTCCCGAACGATGATATATGCGAATATTGAATCAGTGCTGTGAGTTCACATTTCATTCTCGCTGTGGGACAACTCGGTATCGCCAAAATCCAATCTCTTGACTCACCAAGGCTGGTTTGACCAGGAACGAACAATGACTCAATTTTAGAACTGGAACCGGCACGGCCCTGGGACTGCCCAGAAAGTACTCAGAAGGTCCATCGAGGAGCTTCAAAGAGCAACATTCATCTTCAAGACCTCACATAGGACCGCGCCGTCTTTTGAGCGTTTTGGAGTGATGTTACTGTTGTTTCAGAGCTTCGGCGCTTGGCTTTTTGCATTCATCAATCGATGACTTCAGTTGGTCTTTCTATGCCCACCCATTTAAGGTGAAGGAATCTCTGTCCGTCATGACAGTATTGCGTATATTCAAGGTGACTAGTGATGCTCCAATGGGCCTCATCACTACGTATTACGGAATGTTACTTCGATGTGATGGGAAGGTCTCACAGCCCCGAAGTCGTTAGATTGAAAGCAGAGAATAGCATACCAGAAACAAGAAAGGCAAGAACCTCAATATCTAGAAACGCCTTTTACTCTCTCAAGATATCTGGTCATTTAACCCAGTAAGTCAACTCCGAATGCAATTATGGGTGTGGGTACATGGTGATCTTGAGAAGCAAGAACCAGAAAACCCGGAAAAAGGTCGCTCTTCAACTCTGCCACCTGAAATGTCCTTCCTTCAAAGTCTTCACCACTCCCAGGGGCATGAACTCCCGACTAACAGCTGCCAAGCCACCATAAGTGCTGACCATCTCGTCGGAGTATGATTCTGCCACCCAACGCCAGTAAGGGGTCATACAGTCCCAACTAGATGAGATCGGGCCACTACCCTCCCCCTTCAAACTAGCCTGGTTCATTTTGAAGCTTGCAGTAGGGGGGACACTCTTCTCTTCCGGGACCTCATTCAGCAACTTGTATGCCCTTAGAAGACTGGAGCTGTATGTCTCGGGATACTTGGTGAATTCCTCTAGGGACCAGAACGGTAGGGGCTTGCCGTCCTCTCCTCGCCTGATAAAGCTGGTACAGGGGCCATGCTTTTCAAAGTCCTCCTTGGCTGTTTGGTAGAGCATCTCGTCCTGCAAGTATGCTTTCTGGAGTTGTCTCTCAGGCTTACGTGTAATGTTCTCACGCATGGCAAGCAGCCGAACGAACGGGTTGAGGAGCCCCAAGCCGCCCAGTTCAACAGGGTAGTAAAAGAAACCCTCCGGCAGGTCGTGGATGTCAAACCGCTCTGCAATCACCCCTCGCAAGTAGTTGGTAACTCCCCCTTTAGGTTCCTTGGCGCCCTTGGAGAACAACGTTCTCTCGATACGGCTGAGTGTGCGGATGGCCATGTCAATATGATCTCTTCCGAAGCACATGGCGGGCTTTGCGAAGTTGTTCGTGAAGAAACGTCCAAAATAGCTGTTCCATGCCTCTACCCAGGAAAAGATGGTCTTGCAGGATGAAAGCTGTAGGTCAAGTTCTTCGATGTGCTGGTTTACTTGAGCTTGGTCAATGACGAATTTTCCCTGCTCAGCGTCCATGACCAAGAAACCCCAACGGATATCACCGACAGGAAGAACCGAGGACTTTTCAGCTTTGGCCTTATCCATAAGTACCGTACCAGTCTTTTCGCCGCTGAATCGCAGGCCCATCACATTGGCAAATTCAGTCATCCCTAACCACGCCTTCTCGCACGTACTTCTTGAGCCCCAGAACCAGAAGTCATCGTGGAGTCGATACAGAATACCGCCGTTGGTGCATTGATTGATTGCATAGTCCATGCAGAACAGGATTGATTCCCCAAAGCAGTCCGAGAGGGTGTGGGTTATGGGAACACCACGTTTGCGGACTTGAGTGGAAGGATGCAAACCATCTTGAACAAGTTTGAGAGGTGCCTCCAGAAAGACCTTGAAGAATTTGAGCCACGTCTCTGGAACGCCAAAATATTCCATTACGGCGAGGATTGTCGCATGAGGCAAACTAGGGCCAAACCACTCATAGTCGGATCTAATAGCAGTGAATTCTCCTCGTTGGCTTCTGTGAACGAGAGATTCGGTCACCAGGAGGTGAAGTAGTGAATGCTTTGTATCGAGAGCACTCTTTGATTGAGAGTCGTCGTCATAGCTTCTAGCCCCATCATCGGTTGATTCTGGTAGCTGGCTCATGAAGTAATCTTTGCAGTAAGTTTCTTTTCGCAATTCATTGATGCTGTGGCCTTGGGCCTCGGCGTGAATCTTGCTACTATGAAAATACTTGCGCTCATCTTTGTATCCGTCCGGCACATCGTCGTTCATAGGACACCATGCAAAGGAGTGTAAGAACTTGGTGAATATTTTCCGCAATGTAACAGCCCACCTCGATCCAAGGTACTGTAGGAATAATCCATCGAGAAGGTCTTCGTCCATGAAGACTCGATATTTTCCGTTCAACTGACGGCGCATCTCAATCGGAATACCATCAGATCCCCAGTCCCAGCTGTCAAGAGAAGCCAGACGCATGTTGAGTACATCGACCACTTCTTGTGTGACCTCGCTGTTTTGCATGAACTCTTTGAGAAGGGTCGACTTTTCGGCGCTGAGAAGATCGGTATTCATCAGAGCCTTTGCAACCCAGTGGAGCTTATCGACATCCAGCCACTCGGCTTGTGAGGCTAAATTGTTCGCAAATTTCATGATACTCTCACGGAGCTCTTTGAGGGCCTGTTGAGACAACTTTGTCTTGGTAAACAAGGCATCAAGGTACGTCCGAACAGAGTCCTTGTCAACGTGGTCGGGAGCTGCGAAGACCAAAGACTCCCACTTTTCTCGCTGCTCATGCATCTCTGCTCGACCTACGCTCTCAAAGCTGGTGTCGGATTTTGTGACTTCATCGTGGGCGCTCTGATCCCTAGCAGGAGACGTATTTTTCTCGTCCAACTGCGTCAACCACTCAGTCACCAGCCTACTGTAGAAGGCTGCATGTTCATGCTTCAGCTCCAAGTAGCGCAGCTCTTTCTCCAGAAGTGTGATCCACCCAAGTAGGGTAGCCTCTGTGATAGAGACGTCATATCGACTCTGCAAAAGAAAGCGGCGAATGTTGGCATGATTCTCTGCCTGAATTTGGCCCACAACGGGTGAGGTCAATTCTAGATCGGAGTAGTCGTCTGAGTTGTTGCCCTTTAAGTAATCGTCGGACGAGCTTAATGAATCGAGATCCAGGTCTCGGGTCTCTTGGTCCGGGGCATCTTTGGAATAACCTTTCAGGCGCGATAGTCCATCCAGAAGGATGCGTAATCTAGTAGATATATCAGAAGCAGCATTGGCGTCTGCGAGGATCTCCTGTTTGCGCTTGTCGAATAGCGTTCGCTGCTTCGATAGTTCCTTGATTTTGGTGGCAGTGATTGATTTGAGGGTTTGAGGAAGTGCTCCGAGGCTCGACATGACGAAGTCAACGAAACGGAAAAGAGAAACTTCTATGTCCACCTGATGGATGCAATCGGAAAATGTCAAGGAATGAGTGAGGCTGTCAAAGTAAGTTCAGATTGTAGTCCCGATGGTTTTAAGTATCATGGGAGTCGATTGCAACCAAGCCTCAAAGAGTCGCCGCTTCCGTGACTCAGCGCTGGCCAAAGTGCAAGCGGGGATCAAACAATTTCAACCTGATTGTTGTGCACGGATGAGATTTACTGAAGATGTGAGAGGCGGTGATGCCGGGAACCCAAAAAGGAAGTCCGCTGTGGACACGACTTAGCCTCGCCCCACTGTTCACAGGGGTTTCGATGTTGAGTAAGTTGCCATTCTCACGAAACTGAGTAGAATAATACAATTGTATGACGCCCTACTATAGACTAACTCTAGCCCTTATTTAGATCTTCAATGAATAAATCAAGGTAAGTGAGAGCCGACGTGGGTAAATATTGTTATTGACATGATACAATCAATGAAGCACATTGGCGCATAATTTGAATATGGAATCAATCACAGGCCCGTACACTGATGCATCGAGCAAAACAGAGTGAAGGATCTGCAGAACCGGTCCAGTCAGGACTATCCATGTACTCGGGCCCATTGGACCTGGGTTGAAGTATCGGCAGCTCAATTGCCACTGACCTGTCGGCGTCAATCATGTAAAGGTGATTGTGATGCGATCCGCTCATTCATAGATTTGATTCTCTTCCAGCTTATTGATCGAGGTTGACTTTGAGCTCCTAGAAACCACTCCGAACCGGTGGCTTGCTGGGTGGAGCTATTGTCAGCCTAGTGCACGCCACTTTCCACTATTGACTCGGAGCCCCCCTTGCTTTCCCTTTGAACTAGCTATTATGAAAAAGTCACCTCTATTGAGAAGGCTGAACCACCTGAGTTACCGTAACTTCATAAGATTATGACATGATCTGATGCTCGATGCGCTTTCAACGTGGCCAAAACAGGATCCAGACCTGGGTTTGATGATATCGATTCCAAGTCTGTGTTCGATCTATGAGAAGATTTCAACTGAGGAGGTGCAATTTTTCAAGTGTGATGACTGACAGTTTATTCAACTCCGGTGAAAACTTGATTCTTGACGTGGTCGATGAATCAGTGGACACGTCAAATCTTATTTTGGAGTCGTCTTCATCATGGCCTGCCACTGTAAATCGCAGTGAGCCGCCCAACAGGGCCCAATCCCAAGGGAGTCTACGCGATGAAGCGGCCCCCTAAAAAATGGGGTCAAAATTAAAGGCGTGGGCGCCAAATGAGAAAACATATTCATGGGAGATTGAGATATGAGTAAACGTAAATTGGTTCCAGCAATGATATTGCTAAGTTGCAGTGACCCGCGCGTAACCCCTCTCTGTTGTCTTCCCCGAGAAGTCACGAAGCATGCCTCGTAGTCTCGCCTTTTCCTGCTCGCCTCCAAAAATAACCTCCACCGAGCCAGAGCACAACTTCAGTAACTCAGCACGGCCGAGTTCAAAATGTTCAGCAGCAAGAAGATACTCATTCGAGACAGGGCTACAGAAGAAGCCCACATCATCAGTCTACAAAGACAGAACTTTAATTAGCACAGAATAACAACATTGACTCAAAACAGAACTCACACACAGAGCAATGGGACATTCCTCGTGCCTCCATTCTCCAAAATGGTGATCCAGAAAACTCCCCTGAATCAGCTTCGCATGCACATTGCACGACAAACAAAGTTCCAGCCCAAGCCTTCGCCGCGTAATCTCCCTCTTGAACTCATCAGGCACGTGGATGACATGCCCAAGCCGGTCAGGCTGGAATGAAAGCAACGCAGCTAGCTCAGCCGGGCTGCCGGAGGCTGGTGTTTCGGCAAAGTGCAGCGTCAGGCCAAGGCCGTGAGATTTTGCGCGGGCGAATGCGTCGCGGTAGAGTGTGACGTCGCCTTGCGTCGGATTACCGCAGAGGTCGACGCCGACAACCCCGCGCGGCTTGGTGGTTATTGCAAGGTCGATGATGCGCATTGCTTCGATGGGGGTGGTATTGCCGCGATCTAGAGCCAAGATGAGGAACACAGACATTTCTTGGTTCCCGGATTTGAATGTCTGGATGGTATCCAGGACCGTGGTTAGATAGTCTTCTGAGGTGATGTTTGATTCTGGGGATGCTCGAGGAATCGTTCGGAGCTCCAGGTAGCGCACTCCATCAGCGAGGAAATCTTCGAGGACGCTGGTGACGGCGTATGCGAGACTATCCAAGTCGTTGCATAGTTGATAAATGAGTTTGGAGAAGACTTGGAAGAAGCTGTGGCGCAGTGTTAGTCGCTAGAATTCGAGAATTGCGCGTGACTTGCGTTTGAAGAGTGTAGTCGACCTTGCCTGGGGGCATGAGCACGAGAGGATCCTCAATTGGGAATTGAGGATTCTTTGCCTTCTTGCGTTTCCAGATCTCGTGCAAGCACTGGCGACTAATGCTTCCACTCAGATGGGCGTGCAGCTGGAATGGAGGGGCACTTGATAAGCTTGCTACAAGGCCGCATTCTGAACAGAAACACTCATACCTCTACTTTGGGCAAAGCCTTGGTGAAGGCGCTGTTGACTGGCGCAGATAGATCCATGATCAAGTTGATTCTGCTACAGACAGGCGGCGTTGAACGGCTTCCTAAGCGGGGAAAGTACAGTGGGACACAACAATTCGAGACGCTATCGTCCTATGTAGTACGCGCAACCAAACATATTCAATATCTTCTCTGGATTTAATTATTAGCTGTCTGAATATCATCGTCAAGGGATCTGCCTGATCTGCCAGATCCACCCATCGAATTCCCGTAACCGTGGGTCTGCCCTCGTATCCGGGGACGCACCACTGCTGCCGGCAGTACCTGGAGTTCAACGTATCGTGGTTTTCCACTCCCGCGCCATGCGGTAGCGAAACCAACGGTCTCTGAAATGCGAGACATTGACCCACGATTTACGAGAGCCACTAAGAATAGGACATTGCCTATTTGGCATCGTGTCCCACAGTGCCATTTTCACGAGGGCGACAAACTGCCCCAAAGAAAACTTCATGATCGCCACGTTAAGATTACCGGGATGCTAGCCATCCACTCGACAACATCAAACCTGATTTCCAAATGATTGAGGTATGTGTGTGTGTGTGTGTGTGTATCAGGGTTTCGCATAAATGGCACTTCGGGTTCCAGATAATGATATGAAAAGTGGAGTGGGGCAGGTCAGGAGAGCAACGGAGAATTCTCTTGACAAAGCACTATCTGAGCGCACCCTTAGCTAGTTTGATTTTTTATTACCCTCATATCCACAAGCTCCTTGATGACTTGATCTGTGTTATATACGGCTTCTGCGTATAGGGGCTGGTAATCGGAAACGCGGATCATCCTGATGACCCGATTGACCGGATCGCGCGTTTCAGAGATGCGAACCAGACTCGACCCAATGCATGCAATAGATTCAACAGGGAATAGAACAAGATACTAAGAATAGCGACCGAGGCTTGACTGCCGCGTATCAGAGATTCCTGTAAGCATCCTGGTCAATACCGTTTCTAGAGAGGAACCTGTTATGGCCAAGATCCACCACTCATATTTGATACGGCTCCGTCCTCGCGGTCACCGTTGGAGCTTCCAAGATGGGATCAAGCGAGATTGCCAAGCCTAGCATTGACAACGGCTTTAAGGAAGCATCCGACCCGTGCCGTGTGCTTCGTTTCAAAGGCTATGCCGTCGAAATGCGCAAGAATCAGACGGAAAACCCAGCTGAGGGCGCTGTTGACCGGGGATCTTATGCATCTTGACGTCTGGATGATGCATTTCCTATAATCTACAAATCAGATCGGGGTGAGGCTGAATCTTTCGATGGAGATTCTGGAAGCCACGTTGTGCCCTGGGAGATTTTGTGTGGGTTGTGGGTCGCGCAGATGTGAAAGTCCACTTAGCTTTCAGCCCCCAGATTCGCGATGGGTACCTAGTGTCCACTTTTCTCTCCGCGGATGGTAACTCCGGTCCCCAGTAAGATAACTTGGGCTTGTACCGGTATAATGGTTGATTCATGCCACTCTTCCATTGTACTGTCGATCATGATGATGGCTGAACTTTGGGTTCATCGGATTCCAGAAGTGGCTTGAGGTGCCGCGCGGGGCAGAGATGGACTGACTCGGACCTGCCGAGCTGCTCCATCAAGTATCTCAACATAACAGAATATCTGGCTCGGTCGGCCCTTGGTGATGGCTGCGACGCTCGTGGCTAGCTGAAACAGCCGTTTTCGGCATAATAGCATTGCTAAACGGGTACCTGGAGTACATTCAAACGCTGAGGAGAATCACCTAGGTGCCTCGGGATGGCTTGCGGGCACAGCCCTGTAGAGTTCCACATCGAGCAATGCCGAAGGAGCCGCCCAGCCAGAACGGAGTGAAGTGGATAAGTCCGGATATCTGGGTCTCAAGAAACCCCTCTCGTAGAGGCGGGTTTTCGTCTCAGCCCTGCCAATCGCGCCATTGCTTCGCTGGCAGGTTCAATGGGGCAACAGGCATCACGCGCCGTGCCCAAGACGGGAGGAGCCATGTATCTCAAAGCTCTTGGTTGCCTGACTCGTTGCAGAATCATATGGTGTGCTGGGCCAAAAAAAAGTCTCTTGAGCCTGATGAATGTCCTATTTTACGGAGCACCCCGTCTCTGGCCGCATGATTGATGTGTGGAAGCTCCAAGTTCCGGGGATCCAGCGTCCGGAAGATGTCCAGGAGAAGTTGCATATAGCTTACGAGTGTGATAAAAGTCCTTTGAAATATCATCATAGAAAGTGGGCTTGGCGCTTCTTTCGCAGCCTCAAGCGATGAAATAGCAGCTGACGCCCTCCATTAGAATTTCTGATATATAAAAATTCCAATAAGGGCGAACAAGGGTCGCCCGATATAGGTTACACACCGTCGGCACGACCCATAATCCTCCCCTTGCAGAGTTGCACCGATCGCTTTGAACAGGGGAGTCGAAATTGAGTCACATGGCCACACAGAGCTCTTGAAGCGCTCCTGCGCTATTGCAATTCAGACTGAGCCACTCCACGCTAGCAGAGGACGGCTGGACGGAGCTGCTGCATCCGCCCTGGACAACTCTAGTGCATGATGGCTGGACGTGCTAGTGGAACACGGGCGTGTCTATTAGGCATCGAAAACGCATCGAAGGATTCGGACGGGGCTTGAACCGAGGGATGACTGCAGATGAGACAGATTGGATCATTCAAGCCGTGTCGGTGTATTGTCATCGTATTGCGACTTTGCCCACCTTGCGTGTAGGGATGTGCAGCCGAAACACTGGGTTTTCACAACTGTATCTGTGACCTAGTGTGGACCGGGAGGTGAGTAAAGGGTGGGTAATATTCGAGGGGAAAGAATAGGTTCTTATCCCAGGCCGCATCTACATTGATTGGTCAGTTCACCCAGTCACCAAGGCAATAGAGTTGCCCAATGTGTGACCGGAGTAGGCCTTTGGAGACGAGCGAAGGAAACACGAAAATAAATGTCGAATCAATGACACCCGCCCTGGCCCCCAATGAGGCGCAACGGTTCCAGTCAGTTGGGACTCTGAACGATGTCCATGTAAGTAATTGGAAAACTAGGGGTGAAGGGCCCTAGAGACGGTGTAGAGACGGTGCTAAGGCCTCTTCGAACATGTCGGAACAATTTTTTGGATTCGCTTCTGGAATACCCATTCCACAGTGAGATCGGGTCGACGGAGGCCACAAAGAATCTCGTTGGAGTGGAGATGATAAGCCCCTTCCTTCTCCTGAAGATCAGACCCATCAGAGACCCGATTAGTGAATTTCTCATTTTCATTTTTTCATTTTTTTTTTTACTCTATTTCGTTTTGCCTCTGATTCAATGTCCACTAAGTTTGAGTTAGGGATGAGTGTACCCCTTGGTTTCAATGGTGAGTGGCTGACATTAAATCCCCTGTCACCCATTAGCTTGAGCGTTTCTGTAGGGTTGGGCCATCGGGCTTGATTTGATGTTCCTGGCGTATTCCGTAATTTTAAGTACCGTGCAGATACCAGTTCGGTATGGAAACGGCACATGGCTTGTAATTCTGTACTCCAGGTATTACGGGGATGAGGCTTTCGCGTGCACGTCTTCATGATGTCATCTGAGCACCTGAATTCCTCATCCTTTGCTTGAGTAACGCATTAACTTTATTGAAAAGCATGGTGTAAATGATGCAGATGTCTGGAAGAACAACGCGTCCTCGAAACAAAATTACGGGCGAAACAACTCCAGCGGTGTAAAATCGGGCACTACGGTCCTAGTTTGCGACGAGCGCATCAGCTGAGTCCCCGCAAGATCATTTGAAAGCAAAAGGGGGGGTTTCTCTTCGCTTTGTCCGAGAATGTCGTCCCATAGGGCAGGGGCTAGAGAAAGCGGGGGTTATTTCGGGCTGCTGATCGTAGCAAGGTGCGGATGCGAGATTGAGTGACTGGTATTACTGACATGCTCATCAACTTGGTAGCTCGGCTCCTCGATCAAGCACGCTCGACCTGAGTTTCCATAGTGGCAAAATCTGTAATTGTGCAATCTTTAAATTTTACCTTCGGAGCTTGAGCTTCTTGCATGTTATAGCATCAGGGAATGTGACTTCTATGCTAGGAGAGATTCGAGCATGTCTCTAACTAAAAAAAGGCATACGTCTGCAAGATAACCATCTAGCCGAGTTGGGCGGTGAATACGTAGGCACGTAGGCACTCAATGACGCCCATTGTAATTTTCGATACAAATCTTGAGAACCCTGTCAGAGTGGATCTAGTTCACGAAGGCGGAACGTTAGGAGTCCCCACTCAAGCCAATGGAAGAACCCAAGAACCTTGGAAGGAAAACCATCCTAAGACATTTCTTTGGCCGTAGACTATCCCCAACTAGGCAGCTATGGGTTCCTTCGAGTGGGCTGTACGGGGCGGGCAATAGGTTTCATTACTTGCGACGCCTTTTTAAGGGTGATTGATGAATCTTGCTGTCATGTCTGCTGAAACCGGAAAATCAAGGTCACGGGAGCGAGCGCCACGCTCTAAAAAGACAAAAATTAAAATTAAAATAAAATCGAAAATCGAAAATAGATTAGGGCACGTCAGAGCCGGGGGACTATGAGATCCGTGGAAGCCGGCTGTAGGGATTAGGATATGCAACAAGAAACGTAGGCCCCTCTTTGATTTTCCCTCTGACGCGATCATCAGCATGCTCGACAACCATTGACACGGGATTCTTACTTATCCCTGCTGACTGGCTGAACATCACGAAGCAGATTAATTGACGGGCGATAGGGGCGGTCTGTGACGAGGCACTCTGACCTCAGCCCGAGCAAACGAGATCACCGTGCGGACGATTGACGAATGTCCGGGCCCTTAAGAAAAAGCTCCTCCCTACTGGATGCCCTGCTGGACAAGTAGATGAAATTAGACGACAATGACGATATAGGATGATACGGTCAACATTGATCGCTAATACGGTCCAGGGACCCTGGTCGTGATCTTATCGAGTTGCAAACCGCCACAACCGCCCACGATAGCGCACGGATCGATCGGAAGTGAAAGAAAAGCCTATGAGATGGGGATCGTGAGTCACTCGGCTCATTCCTAGCACGTGCGGTCTTCGGAGTCGAATTATCGTCCTCCCATGTTGGGATACGCCATCCCGGGAGTTCTATGATCACCATCATGTTCCTCTACAGATCGCCGAAGAATTTCGGTGCTTGCTGCACGTCTAATGCACGGTGCCTGCTGATGAGGTGATTGGTCTCGGGTGGGCGTGTTGCTTGAGATGATGCGCTAACTGACACGCTCTATGCAGTGGAGAGGGACTCGTAGATGGTCGGAAAGCCGAAATCAGGGAATTCTGAGCAGTACAGCATCGCCAACGCATCAAGTAACGCGGGGCTGACAGCGACCCCGCAGAGGGTTAATCAGTGCTATCTGCGAGTCTACATGGCTAGCCCTAGTCCGTATCGCGCGAAGTACAGAGACAGTTGGACCTTTTGGTATCAGCTGACGGAGCGCGAAAAAACGTAGAGTTCTGAGACACATCCAAGAGAATAGAAAAACAAAAATTCAGAGATCAGACCGCTTGATTCACGGAAGAGAGAAAGAGGGGAGACCAGAAGGCACTAAACCAGTTCGTCAGAGAACGGGCTCTCAAACAGAGCGACGATCTCTCGCGTTGGCTCATTGCGGGGATCCACCAGCCCCATTTGCACCGTCCAAAACGTTTCACTGCCACTGCTCCAGCCTCAGGGTTTCGTTTGGGTTAGGTACTGTATTCTCGGCTATGGGGTTGAGGGTAATGACGGTGAAGTCCTGATCCGGTCTTCTTTTTGCGGTGTACGGGGTATAGTATACCCCACCGACGGAACAATGATGTGCATCATGATCGACCTGTGGCATACACGCCTATCTCCCTGGGACATCAACCGTTGAACGAAGGAGCGCATCCCTGAAGGTCAAGCAGGGATGTTGAACCTTGTCGGAGTTCATTGAGTATTCTCCAGAGATCAAAACGCAAGGATTCGCGGGCTCCGCATACTCACATATTCTTTCCCGGCGCCCGGCGTGTCGGTACATTGATACCCCCATAGAAATTATGTGGGCCACGGTATGTAAAGTGCGACTAGGACTATCGACGACCATGACTAGTATGACTCAAAAACATGGCTGTGGGGGAACTGGAGCCCGGCACAATGTCAGACTATGGAAGTCAGAATGGAATAGACTGCCTTCCTAGTCTCCACATCGTGCGAATTAATCCTCCGTGAGCTCCGCCATAGGAGGTTTCTCCCCCCTACACCGTGTGCTCTGTTTCCCGTCGCCCTCGTGTCGCTCCTTTCCGTGCATCTGAAACACTGATCGGCTCCCGGTTGGCCGATAGCATTCCCCAGGAATTAGAGGGATCGTCCAATGACACGGATAGATGAGATCTGCCCATTCGGGATGTGCCATCATTCCGCATCGTCATCCCATTTCCTACCCAAACCGGCCTCTGTGCCCTGATAGGCGGCATAGAGTCGTACCTAATGATACCCGGGGGTGATTGCATCTTGGAGATTGTGATCCTGTCCAGGGCCGTTGCTATGCGTTGTTCGCGTTCACCTACTAGCGGTGTCCGTATTTAATTGGGGCCTCTCTGTCCCTCCGCTTAACTTGGGCTCCGGGTCTACTTTTCTTCAAGAAACCGTTTCTGGCGCTCTCGCTCTTCCACACCGTGAGTGATAAGAGACCAACACTAGGCCCGCCCTCTGTTCACGCTTTTACCCTGCCTCCAAAGTCTCTATCGAAAGTCAGCCACGTGTGGCTATCACACCAAGAAAAAAAAACAAAGGGGAACTGAAAAGAAGGAAAAAGAAGTGAAACGGGGATACAATCCACTACGTTACATGACACGTACTCGGTACTGGGAATACTGTACACAATACACCAATACGCCCGGTTATACCGTACAAAGTCCCCACTCCAGCTTCAATTCCAACCCGGAGTCGCTGAGATTGATTCATTGATTTAATTATTTCTCTGCCCCCTTCTTTCTTCCACACATTTCATCAACAAAGATCATCAACAAAGAGGACGACGCTGGCTCTTGTCCTTCTTGCATGATCATCGCGAGTACGCTGCAGCAAGTCTACATCCCGCCTCACATATTCTAGTGGCCACCACGTAACCCTGCAGCAAAAACTGGATCAGCTCACAGCGACGACTAATCGACACTAAAACCACAAAATCCAACATCAGCGAGTCGCCTTGGTCCTGTCACCCATTCATTTTCCTCTTTGGACCGCCTGCATTCACTGCGCTGGCAGTGTCGCAATTCCCAATCTTCAAATCGCATTCGTCTGTCTTCGCGCAAAAAAGTTCCTTGCGCCCTACAAACGGGTACTCCCATCGCCCACTGCGTTGCTAGTTCCTGTCGCCGCCAATCGAGAGCTGTACTTCTCGCCTCAGATCATACCCCGGTTCCTCCATTGTCTCCTAATACCCTCGTCGCTACCGCCGCCTATTTCCGAACACGCGACGGGACCACCTCTGGGGCTCTTTTCTGAACCACCGGGATTGAACCCGCATATGCGCCAGTTTCCGGCCTCTGACCTGCGTCTCGTTTCCCCTCCGTTACCGAGCGTGCGCGAGCTGCTGCAGTAGCCCCTCCCAATTCCCTCTTGGTTCGCTCACTGGTTGCGCGAGATCAATTGGTCCATTTCGCAATAGCCACCCCCCCTCTCCTTTCGTGCAGGAGCAGCAGCTTTCCCCACGGACCGGCAGATCGACAAGTAGAAGAGAGGGGTCACGTTGTGGTATCATTGGAACTTTCTTTCCCGGCAATCAGCTCGGTTCCAAAAGAAGAAAGTGAGACTTGCGGACCGGAACCTTGGACCCGGAGATCATCTTCCCGTTTGATCCTCCCCCAGGGTGTGACGTCTATCATCAGTATCAGTGGCTAGCATCGGAGCAAGCTTCTCGGGGAAATATCCGCCCATTGCGCGGGGCCACTGTCTGTTGCAATTGTTATCTGGGTTCTTTTCTCGCCTCAATATTCCCTTTCCTTCCCTCGGCTTTCCTCCGTGAGGCGCTCTCCGGCCAGGCTCTCCGCGTTGCATCCTAACCAGGCCAAGATGCAGAGTTCAAGAACGGGTCATCTCTGCTGAGGACGTGGCTGAATCCCAATCACCTTTTCTTACTGTGTCGAGCTAATCCTCTTTCTGTCTTCCTGGCTCGGATCGCTTTGAAAGAGTTATCCTTGCAAACCTTCAACGGCTGGCTGGTCCTCTGTGCTGTTTACTGATTCGCCATTCAAAGAGTCCAGGTGACTCTGACGTTGGTACCGTTTACGACAGGCTGAACTTTTGTTCCTATCGACGACAGCTGAGCTGGCGATAACGAGATAGCCGCCATGGCATATGCAGCAAGCTCACCTTCGGCTCTGGATGCCGAGACGCAATCCAGCTTAAAACTTTCTTCTCTCGGCCGCTCTACCTCTTTACACCATGTTGTTACCTCTTTACCTTCAGGACCCACTCCCTCCTCCGCACCTTCATTCACATCTTCACCCTCCTCTACACCCGTCTCAGCTTGCCCTGGTCCGGGCACACCATACTCATTTACTCCCGCCGGTACTCCTTACCAATTCGCCAGCGAGGGGCCTCGTGGTCGAGGCACTGGTTACCCTCTTCCCGTTCCCGCACCCCTCGAGCTCGGCGAAGCTATGATGGCGGTCCCCGAAGCGCCTGGTATCCTTGATCCTTCCACTACTAGCAATAAAGCTCCTGGTCTGATGCGAAGGATCTCGCGCGGCGCTGCCAACAAGCTTACTCGGAGAAGACAATCTGCCTCGCAAAACGACAAGCGAGACCGCAGCTCCGGCCCTGTCATCATGCGCCGACGCAGCGACAGCAAGACCGGACCCCAACCACGAGATATTGCCTTGGACTCAAGCAATGAAGATGACACTAGCGAAGCTTTGGACGGCCTTGGCGCTTGGGCTGGCTCCGAACCGTCAAGCCTTCGGAGCGAAAGCCGAATGATGTCGGCTAGCGAGGTGGTTGGTACAGCTGGCGTCGCCATTGCTCCCAAGGTGGATTCTGCGTTGCAGCGTGGAACCGTGTTGACCAAGGTGACCAAGAAGCACCGCAAGCAGGTCCGCTTTTTCCTGGACCTTGGTGCTGCGAAAGTGTTTTGGGACCTTTCAAATCCCGCCAAGCGTTTCTACATTGACGACATCAAAGAAATTCGCGTCGGCGCAGATGCACGGAATTATCGTGAAGAGCATCAAGTTCCAGAAGATGTCGAGCGTCGCTGGTTTACCATCGTCATCGCTGACTCGGAGCGCTTCAAAGGTCGAGCAGTCAAAACCCTGCACTTGATCGCTCCCAGTGATCGCGTGCTCGATCTCTGGACCACCACCCTCGAACACATCTCCCGATATCGGATCGGCCTCATGGCTGGACTGGCTGGCTCCGGTCAAAGTGAGGCGGTCCTTCAAGCCCACTGGCAGCACGAGATGACTCGCCTGTTTCCCCAGGGCATGCGACCTGGAGAAGAACCAAGTCTTGATTTCTCTGCCGTGGAGAAGGTTTGCCGCAGCTTGCACATCAATTGCTCCAAGAACATGCTTCGCGCACAATTCAGTAAAGCTGATGCTGCCCGCAATGGAAAACTGAACTTCTCCGAGTTCAAGGACTTCCTCAGGCGGCTTAAGGAGCGAAAGGATGTTAAAGAAATATTCAAGAGCAGAACTGCTGACCATAAATCGGGTATGACTCAAGAAGAGTTTTTGACTTTCCTTTGTGATGTTCAAAAAGAGGATGTTGATTCCGATCGCGATTATTGGGTTGCCATCTTCGACAAATTTGTTCGGCGATCTAAGCGGACCCCTTCTGATGCGTCAGACATCAACATCCCTCCTCCGGCCGTAATGGACTTGGATACCTTCTCTGGCTTTTTGACTTCTCTCAACAACGGCATCTACGCCTCCCGTGCCCCTCAGTCGCGGTTTGACCGGCCATTAAACGAGTACTTTATTTCGAGCTCTCACAATACCTACCTGCTGGGTCGCCAGGTCGCTGGAGCTTCGAGTACCGAGGCTTACATTAGTGCCCTCCAGCAAGGATGTCGCTGTGTCGAGATCGACTGCTGGGATGGTGCCGATGGGCGTCCAATCGTGTCTCACGGACGAACTTTGACGACTAGCGTCCTCTTCGCCGACTGTATTACTGTCATCAACCGATACGCCTTTATCTCCTGCGACTTCCCCCTCATTCTCTCTCTCGAGGTGCACTGCAACCCCGAGCAGCAGCTGGCAATGGTCAAAATCATGAAAGAAACCTTCAAGGATCAGTTGGTCCTCGAACCTCTGATGACCAACTGCTACGTATTGCCGTCACCAGAGGACTTGAAGCGCCGTATTTTGGTCAAGGTCAAGACCTGCGACGAGACCTCTTTGAGCGACTCTCGCACGGGGACTTCTACCTCTGTCGGTACTGTCGGCACGCATGGGCGTAAGCGCAGTGCCAGCACCCCCTTCGTTCGACCGACGCCGCCTGTCGATATCAATCTCAGACACCAAATTCCCTCACTCTCTAGCCCGCCCTCGATTGGATCCGTTGACGGAAATGGCCCTTTGATTTCACAGGACCGACGATCGCTCACTGCCACAAGCTTGAGCAGTGGCACCGAAGACAGTGACGGTGCATTAGTGTCAACGCACAGTGAAAAGAAAAAGCGTCGCCGCCAGAAAAGCAAGATCACTAAGCCTCTCTCTGATCTGGGCATATATACCCGTGGCTACAAGTGGCATAGCTTCTCTTCCCCCGAGAGTCGCAAGTACAACCACGTCTACTCTTTCGCAGAGCGTTCGTTTGAGAGCATCTGCCAGGGCCATGATAACAAGGTTGCGCTGGAAACTCACAACCGGAAATACCTTACTCGTGTCTATCCCTCGGGCTTCCGCCTCCGTTCTTCCAATTTCGATCCAAACAAGTTCTGGCGCCGTGGCGTGCAAATGGCTGCCCTGAATTGGCAGACCTATGACATTGGCATGCAGATGAACCAAGCCATGTTCGCGGCTGGTACTGATCGCACCGGCTACGTTCTCAAGCCTGAGAGTCTTCGGCTCGCTCCGCCTGAATCAGATGGCCCGAAGCGTAAGATCGAACGTAAACTGATCAGCTTCTCGGTCGATGTCATCTCAGCGCAACAGCTTCCCCGTCCCCGCACTATTGGACTGGAGGATAATATCAATCCGTATGTTGAAATTGAGATGTTCAGCGCCGACGACCGTGGCCAAAGCTTGGTATTTGGCGAGGGCGGTATGGATGCTTCTACTCGAAGTGGTATGTCTGGCATCGGATACCCTCACCGCCGACGCACCAAGATTGAACAAAGCAATGGCTACAGCCCCGTGTTCAATGATCGATTCAAATTGTCTCTAGAGACTAAGTACCCTGATCTGGTATTTGTCCGGTGGACAGTCTGGAGCTCCATGGATGGCCGCAGTGCAGGCAATAACAACAGTGTGCAACTGGCAACTTTCACTGCCAAGCTGACCAGCTTGTCACAAGGCTACCGCTACCTGCCTCTCTATGATGGAAGCGGTGACCAGTACTTATTTTCGACATTATTCTGTCGCATCTCCAAGATGGACCCCGTGCCTGTCCAACGATTAGATTTGGAGGAGCTTCGTGCGGAGCGCATGGGTATCCTTCGCCAGATTGGCCAGACCGTCTTCAAGCGTTCCTCGTCCACTGATCGCGAGAAGGAGCTTTATGACCGAAGTGATCCCATCAGTCCTGAAGACAAAGACAGCTCTCCCAATCTCACACCAACAGTTTCCACAACCTCAACCTCATCATTCGTGCAATGATTGGGCTTCTTCTTATCTCGCCTGCCGAACCATCCCACGTTTTAGGCACACTCCTCTTCTCGGCTCTTGCAAGGCCACTCTTTTCTTGCATTCGATGAGCTTCTTTTATCACGTCTCTGTCTGTTTACTTGTTGCCATTGCTATATCCGTCGCAGCGATACCCCTTGTTTTACTCTGAATCATGTGTATATTGCTATCTGTCATATTTCCTTTGTACCAGCAAGGCTTGGATTCTTTTTCTTTGTATCCGGCAGGGGTGTTCAAATTCGTCTCTCTGGGTTGATTCATCATTTTATCGAGGCATGGGAACCCGCATATGGGACATCGGTTTCGGAACAGCCTTTTCATTCATCGCCCATCGCATTTGCGGGAGTCAAATTATCTCGGGAAAGGTCACTGTGGCTGGTTCACCGGAGCACATCATCACATTCTGGCATCTTACGGTATGAAGGGACATTCAACGGAATTTTTCTATTTCCCTTTCGCATTCGGGTTCGGTATATTTCCTGGGGTCTGGAGGCGCCTTATCTCGTGGCTTTGCTACTTTTTCCACACTACAAAGCCAACTTTCACTTCCTTACGTTATTATCATTACGAAGGCAGAAGCTATCTTCTCTTGACCAGGGTATTCTGACCTGGCCTTCTATTTTCAATCGACCTAGTATACGTGTGCTGGATTACACCTATGCCTGTCGTTGGAAGTCTCTTGTTCTCCCTTGTTTGTATTACATTTTGTCTCTTTCATATAATAGATCACGCGCTGGGTCGCTTTAATCGGTTCATACTTTCGTTGATTTTGGCATTCATGGGTCCAACTGGGTTATAGAACAATCTCCACACATTATTCTTCCGTCCATGTCTGTACTCTTATCGTGTCATAAGACTCATGGTTTGCACCCAATCTTTGTCAAGAACTCTATAATATTCAGAATTGTCTTGAATTTTCTTAAAACCGCCCGAGAAAGTCCTAAGTCTCAATAATCATAATCTTGAATGTCATCGCGTCATAACAAGTCCGAGTAAATACCCTTCCTACTATACATCGTATATATGGGGTATCTTTGGCCAATGAGAAGAAAAAACCAAATGCATCAGATCTTCTTAGACGCAGAATTCAGACCCTTCTGATCATCCACCGGCAACGCATCCGTAGCCCAGCGGTTTGCGCCAATAGTATGTTCCTCATCGCTGATCTCTTGTCCATATGCAACCAGGATGTCGGGCTCGGTATCGATATCAACCTCATTCCACTGGTCACTCGTGGCCGGGACAGGGAATAGCTTCGTCAGGATCCAGTACATGCCACCGGAGACAATCACGCCGGAGAAGTAGTTCACGTTGTAGATGTATTCTGCGCCAATGGGGACATCACAACCGACGGCACCGGCGAAGCCAACGATATTAATTAAAATTCCACTGAGATAGGCGGCGTAGGCGCGCCAGGAAAAACCCATCGTGTAGAAGTACGGGTCTGTTTTGCTGGCGCTGTATAGGGCTTTGATGTCTAGGTAGCCACGGCGGACGAAGTAGTAATCGCAGATCATGACACCGGCAATGGCGGATAGGAAGAGAGAGTAGGCCGAAAGGTACGTTGTGAATTGGCTTGAGCCGATGACTAGGTTCCACTGTGAAGAAAGGTCAGAATTTGTGCTTCAATTTGTATTAGTAGGGGCAGGACGTACAGGGCACATGGCCAGACCGATGGCGGCACAGATATAGCTACCACGTCGGATGTTCAGGTATCGCGGAAGCAGGGCAGTCAGGTCTGTGCCGGCAGAGACTGAATTGGCGGAGATGTTCGTTCCTAGTTGAGCGAGGGTGAAACCAAGGGCGATGATGAAGATTCCGAAGCGCTGTCCTGAGCTGGCTCCTTCGAGGAAGTTGCCTAGCAAGTCCAGCGGGTTCCAGACTGCTTCACCATAGATGACGGACGAAGACGAAGACACGATAATTCCGATGAACGAAGTGATTCCGAAACCGATAGGAATGGTGAGCAGCTGAGACCACAATGCATCCTTAGGTGTTCGGGCAAAGCGTGTAAAATCAGGATCATTCATGATGAGGGCTGCAAAGTTCCCGATGCAGGTCATGATTGCCTTGACGAATGCCCATGCCAAGGCGCTTCCGTGGACTGTGTTGGGCTGGTGAACAATCGGGCCGATACCGTGAGCTCGCGAGATAGCCCAGCCGAAGAAAGCAATAGCGGCAATAGGCGAATAGATAGCCTTGACGGTGAATAGGTGGCGGATCTTGTGCACGGGGAACCAGAGAGCGGGAAGAGACCCAAGCCAGAAGAGGAAGAAGCTGAGGAAGCCCTTGGTATCGACACCGGCACTGGCAGAGAGGCCATTGTGTAGATCCTTGTAGCTAGGCCAGATTGCCTCGATCATCAAAGTGACACATTCACCTGCAAATTGTTAGCATAAGTCTCAGTCGGGATGAGGGAGCTTTTTGATGGGGGGCATACCTCCAATATAACTCTGCACTCCGTACCAGATGATCGCCATCACGACTCGGTTGATCACAGGCCACAAAGAGCCCCAGATTCCAAATGAAGCTCGGGCTGTCACAGGGAAAGAGATGTGATAGACAGCACCGATGCGACCGGTCAGACAGACAAATCCAGCCGCGATAAAGTATCCGATCCAGACACAGATCCATGCCTGCCACCATGAGAGGCCGCCCACGATCATCGAGGAGGAAATCATCCATGTATTCTGTCGCATTATGGAATTAGACTGCGAACTATATGTCGCATTTGGCTTTTGAGACTTACAATGTTGAGGGAGTCGGCAATCCAGAAAGTGACATAGTTCCACCATTTCCATTGGCGACGTTCGGGATCAACTATAGCAACATGGAATTTCAGCGATCAATTTTAATCTTCTGGTAATCCAGTGAGCTCCCGGATCAGAATCTTACCTGGTCGCAGATCCTCGTTTGTCAACATCAACTGGGCATTAGAGAGCCCGGGCTCGTGAGAGACGGCCGCTTTTTCGAGAAACCATCCAAGTTTCGACATGACGCTGGGTGACACGGACAGATGTAACGGCAAAGGAACGGGGATGAACGTGGGGTTGGCCTAGGGAGGTACAGAGGGATAGAGAGAGTAGAGTAGAGGAGTAACGAGTATATAGAATATATAATATAGAATATAGAAATACTGATTCTGATCTGAGTTACGGGAAGGGAATCTCGGATCATGATATGATTTCCAGGGAAAGCCAAGCCACAGACCCGAATCCTGCTACGTCGTACCCCTGCTAGACCATAAGATAAGAGAACAACCGGAGTGGCCACCCGGGGACGATCGTACTATAATCGGGCTCCATGGGCGATATCATGCCCCGACTTTAAAGAGGCTCGAGCACCCGAAACCAGCGCCAGCGACAACCGCAGGCCGCCTATCACTTTCCTTTTGACTGCGTTGCTCGAGTACGGCGACTATCGCTGATAAGCTCCGTGTCCGGGGCCCACTTCTCTGGCTATGATTGGCCCGATGGAGGTTATATCTAATCATGATGGAGATGCAGATTTGTCGTTGACTCGATACCATCGAGTAATCTCTTCTATCGGTCACGTGGACCTGGGGTAATGCTTCTTCCTGAAGGATGACTAACGACTAGCTACAACCTATTTACTACTGTCAAGAAGCTCTCATATTCCCATGTGGGTCGTGTTGATGGTGTGCTCAAGGGTAATCGACGGACCATCTAGGGACTAAGGACCGGGACACACCGAGGGGCTGTATCTCTTTATACGAAGCTATACGCTCTTCTGTCAGCCTTCCACTACACTGTTCAGTTTTGGCAGAGACCGTGTCCTTATCTTCAGTGATCTATTGTTCAAGGCACAACCAAGGAACATTTTTTTTTTGCATTGGATGATATACGAAGCTAAAGAGCAAGGCAACACTGCCGAAGGCACCAGAAGACTCCAAGCTGCTCACTGGCATAATCTAGGTTCATTGCTTTAGCTCCCGGTCACCAAAACCCCCCCACTCCTGTACAAATATCGTACACAATGAGCCCTGACAATTTCTACCGGCGCAAAGCATCACGGATGGGCGAATCGCCGCGACGGAAGGATGCTATATCATTGGTTAGTTGACCGTTCTATCAGTAAAATAAAGAGACGCCTAGGCTGAGGGCTATCTCGAGGGCGCTGTTCCTAGGTGTCGGCCTAGGTAGGCTTCTTCAGAGGTGTAAAAAAAAAACTTGCACGAGAAGAGCAAGCCGGCTCAAGCTATGGCAAGCTCAAGCCACACCCGGTACCACCTTAGCCAGATAAAGTCTCCTCGAGAAGCCCGCGTGGTAGCGAAATCCAAGACAAGGCAGATGTAAACATACAGTCAGCTTCCTCCCAAGCACGTCCAGCACCGAAGCCGAGACCGACCCAGGCAGGCCAAGCGCGGCGCTTGAACAGAAGAACGGAGAAGACAACACCGAAAGATAGGCCGAGGGAAGACTTGATGATCATCGAAGAAATGGCACGGTCCCACTATGATTGGAAGTTGAATTAGCCGTCTGCTTCCGATTATTTAGAGCGGTGTCCCATGGCTTTGTCTGTGAATAGAGTCGATACCAGACAGGACCTAGCTTGGAACTAGACGGAGCTATTTCTCAGGTGTTCGTACCTTCTCGTTGAGCAGAGCCTCACTGACGGGCTTGGTGACCCGCGCGACGGGCCGGGACTCGCTGGAATCGGCCATAGCGAAGGGTCTAAGGACACAATGGTTTAGCAGAAGAACAATCAAGAATATGACTATTGACAGGTAGCTCACATATGAAAGATGGGATTCTGAAGGAGGGAGAATAGGTCAATAGTGAGGAATGCAAGGAGTTTCGGGAGTTGCAGGTCAAGGTCGGGCAAAGGCGGTCGGGCGTTTCGCCGCGGTTTTTTTCTCTCTTTGATCTCTTTTTTTTTACCTTTGTACATCGAAACCCCTCACGACGAATCGCCTGGTTTCAGAATGCCTTTCATTGCGGAGGTAAGTCTGAATGTTACTTAGACATTCCTATAATTCTCCACTGTATCTAACAAAATCCTTCAACAGCGCTCGGGCGCGTCGCAAGAGGCGCTTCTCCGCCTCGAGAAGGGCGGTGATTCACCAAGTACTCAACTACATGAAGCAGCGAAGATTCTCGGCGTCGATTTGGCGCTTTGTGAAAGTCACCCGGAGACTCGCCGCACTGGCAAAATGCAACTGAGCGCGACTCCGAAGGCCGAATGGACGCTCCGATGGCTACTGAAGCGACTGAAGAATGGCAAGAATTATCGCGTGGACCCGGCATCCTTTCTTTTGCTCCGACAGCTCATCGACGTGATTCCTCCAAAAAACCTGGCGACAACTTTGAAAGAGCAAAAGTTCCTCTCAATTCTGTGTGACGCCGTTGCGGACCTAGAAGCCGACATCTTTGTGACAGTGGGAAGAGGGCAATCGATCGCCAGTTTCGACTCTGACTCGAGCCATACACTGGTCAGCTCCCCCGCTCAGGAGGACCAGAAAAGCTCCAAGGGAACAAAGAGGAAGAGAGTGGCTCCCGAGAATGACGAGGATGCTATGGATGTGGACGAACAGCCACAGAACCCGGCCTCGTGCTTCCTCGCATTCATCCGGGTTCTCGATTGTCTATATGGGGTCGTGACACTGGCTCAGCAAACCCTCGGAACGGATGAAAACGCCAATTCGCACCTGAAGCTGGCATTGCGAGGCGAGCCGGCTATCGTGGCTAAGTTATTGGGCAGGTCTTTCCAAGTGGCTGCAGTGGCTATCACGCAGTTCTCTCAGGCTGGCAAAACAACCGATCTTCAACATTTGATCTTTGTGCTCCCGGCAGTTCTAGAGCTGTGGGAGTCAAGATCTTTCCGTGACGATGATACACTCAACAAGACAAGCAACGAAGCTTTTGCGAAGTCTTGTTTCGCCCACGGACTGCGGCTTCAGCTTTGTCTCCGGGATACCAAGCTAGATACTGATGAGAGAGCTCACCTTCTTCATTCGATTGAGCGGATCCTCGCACTCCATGTGCTACTTCCGGCCCGTGAGGCCTTCTTCGAGCGTGGTGGCTCCGGTATTGACTACTCCAAGGAAGAGCCAGACTGGAGTCCTGTTCAACCAGTGACGGATACTTTCAGGCCCATCATCCGCGAATCTTCGGCTATCCAAATGTCCCAAGGCGAACCTAGGGACGTATCTTTCCACTCCTCATGGCAATCGATCGAACTTCTCCCCGAGTTGTTCGATAATGCAATTCGGGCGGTGCCAAGAGACATCTTCCGCCGACAGACCCATGAGGCTCCTTGGCTCGAGACCTTGTTTGTGGCCGTCGCAGAATTGGCCTATACCACTGCAAAGGAAGAGGACCCTGACACCCATTCTACTCGCTTTGTTTCGGTTCTGGAAGAGCTTCTCCGAGTAGCTCTTGCCCGCAACGTGGGCCTTTCTTTGCACACTGTTCTGACCCATGCCCGTTTTACTGGTCTCTACGAGGAAGGACTAGACCAAGTTCACTGGAAAGTGACGGCTTTAGCCATCAGTCTTGGTGTCGATATCTTCTTGCCAAACTCTGGCCTGTCTGATTCCCGCAAGCTTTTGGATGCCTTGCTTGACAAGATCATGCTCCAGTGGTACCACGGCTCCCCTACGAAATCACAAGATTACAGTACGATCAAAAACGAAGTCGCCATTCCCCTCATGCGAGGCTTTGCGGCAGCGAGAGACCTAACAACTTTCATGGACGTGTGGCGTAGCCAGCTGATCAAGCTGGAGGACGCTCGTATGCAAAATGACAGTCTGTCGAAGTTTTCGGTATGGGAAGACGATGACCTATGTGATGCTTACAGCGAGTTGATGCGAACTTCGCTCACTGGCACCAGTCTCTCGGAACAGGCGCGCTCTGCTGTCATGAAGCTTCGGGCCGACAGTGGTAAGGTCTCCGAGTCCTCTGAGTCGTATGCCGACTTTGTTCTCATGGAGGCTGGCTTTCGAGGGAGGAAATTGGCTGCGGACGATCTTGAGGAGACTATGATTACTCTAATTGAGACACTGTCAGCTACACTGTCCTCAAAGCAGACCATCCACTGGCGTTGGCGCTTATGGCGATTCGTTCGAGTCTTTCTCGAGAACAACACAATGACAGCGGACGGCAAACTTCCTCAGGCAATCAACCTTCTACTAGGCTCTGTCGCAGGAATGATTCGTCGCAATCATAAGAACTTAGACGGCATCCCTCTCGCCGCGCTCGAGGCTTGGGAGGCCTATCGGTATGCCTTGGTTGCTATCAAGGGCAAGCCCTCAGATGAACAGCTGGAGGCATTCACCGATATCTCCAAGCGCGTCACTGACTTCATTGTATCTGTGTCGACGGAAAGTGCTAAAGAGTCCATGAATACACCCTGGGATGGCCGAATTGACACACTGAAATCTTCAACGACCCTTTGCTTGGCTTACTTCATGGCCCTTGTGAGGGTGCCCGAAGCCTGGGAGCGTGTCCCTTCGGAGAAACGCTCTCGTCAGCTCGAGCACATTCTTTCCATGGCCGCAGTTCAATACCGGGCATCATCGCCGCCGCTCGAGGCCATCGCTGATGATGCGCGGTTCCTTCAGGCATGGACGAGCGTTGTGTGTCACGAGTACCTGCTCGGCGTACCCTTCATTGTGTCAGACTTGGTACAGATTCTCAACCAAACCATTGAGAACGACCATCACAACCGTCATCTCTGCGTGGAGAGCATGCAGAGGATCCCGGCCGCTTTGATCACTCGCGGTCTCCGAACAGCCATTTTGAACAAATTCAACAGTATTTTGCTTCATCAGGATAGTTCTCCCGAACTGACTGTGGGTCTCCTGACTATGATGGCGAAGCTAGCGGCCATGCCCAAGTGCGATGCGATCGTGACGGCCGAGTGGGAGCCGATCTCCACTGCTGCCCGAGCTATCAATCTTCAGGGTACAGAGGTTGATCTTCAGATCATGAAAGCCTTCCGAAGCTTCCATCATGCGGTCATTGCCAAATTATTAGTGTTGAAGGAGGACAACCGGATCGAAATGACCAAGAAGCTGTTCGCAAAAACATCCAAGCAGACTTCCAAGTTGCGACAAATAGATCGGAATTCCATGGCTGACTTCCTCCTTCGTCTGAACCTGTCAGAATTGTGGAGTCACCGTAAACAACTGCGCGAGGCATTCCAGGAGGATGAGCTGGCCGCCTGTCGCCAACGTGTATTCGGGCTGATTTTGGCAGACATGAAGTCTGTGAAGGAGCAGTGTAAGAAGCATAAGTTGGAGGAAACCATTACCCTCATCAAGACCATCGATGCTCTGGAGGACTTTGAGGACCTGGTGACGAACAATATCGAGGTGGAGAAGTTTTTGTCCAAGATTGAGCAGTACATGGAGATGTCTATCGACTCAGCCCCATCTCGGTTGATTCGTCGCCGTCTTCTTGCTAGCAAAGGACCCGAGAAGAACATCACAAAGCCAGTACTGAAGTGCGCCGAGACTCTGACATTGCAGTCGCTTTACGCTGAAGACCAGCAGCTATTTATGCGGGCCACAACCGAACGTTTCCGTTCTATGACCCCGGAGAGGATCAGCCTAGCAATCCGCGAAGTTCAGGAGCTTGGTCTCACTGGTGAAAATGCCGGTTACAAATTGCTGGTGATCTACCTAGCTCTGATCTCGCTTCCTCCAGTCGATGACAAGGAGAGCTCAGCAGCCCAAGAGCTGTCTCAGCTCGGCCTTGATCTTACAGCTGCTCTCCCTAAGTGCACCTCCATCACTCAGTTTTGCTTGATGACCGAGTGCCTGTCTCTTCTGCTACGCACTCACACCCGCAGTCTCGGGCAGTGCAACGTGGATGGAATGCTCATGTCCATCGGATCGTGTGCTTCTAAAGTCGGCCCCCATATCTCCCCTGAATATGCCCCCGCCATCTACACGCGTCTCTGCCGCCTGATGGGACTTGTACTGGGACTGCAACGGCTCAAGATTGGCGGTCGCTTCCACCTCGTGGTCAACGCCATGCAGCGCCTTCTATCCTGTCTGTTCGTAACCTCACGCAAGCGGTCTCGGACTAAGACACAAACCAACCTCTCGCATCCCTTCTGGCTTGCCCCGCTCAGTGCCTCGGACACCACCCACTATACTCGACTCCTCACTTCCCTTTGCGACCCCACTGTCTCCGCCGTGCTCCGTCCCCAGGCCGGTGCGTCCCGCGAAGCGCTCACCGACGAAACCAAGAAGGCAAAGCGCATCGCGGGTCAATACCTGCAGTATGTCGTCACGGCATACACCAGAGTATCTCTCAATGTAGCGCTCCAACCGGACGTCAAGGCCGCACTGATGCCTGGTCTCTACGCTGCACTCGACGTGATGTCCAAGGAATCAATGCGCGCTCTCAACGCCGCACTGGATATGTCAGGCCGCGCTGTCTTCAAATCGCTGTACGATGACTACGTGAAGTTCGGAAAGTGGAACAAGGCGTGATCCAGATATCTCTTGCATGTTACCCGGTGTCGATGTACAAATATTCTTTTCATTCCTTAGGACTTATGATATCCCTGAATTGCATGATGACTCTATCATCTCTGGAAATCTTTGGTATTTCTAAGCCGTACTGAGACCTCTCTAATCAACGTCCATCCCGTAAAAGCCGAGATCCATGATCAACGCGTTAACTCCGAGCCCGACCCCATCACGGCCGTTAGCATGGGTCATCTTGTGTCTTATGTGAGTCACTCGTATTCGTAGCCTCGCGGCACGACTCATGGACTCGCATGCCAAATTGGTTCGGCGAGCCGCTAGCGGCTCGAACTACAGTGATAAGACGGGGATGGAGGCCTCAGGCGTGAGTGTGGCTGATATTGCAGCCTGAGGAAGGCATTCGCGGATGCCAAGATGAAGTATACAGCAGCTTAGATCATCTACAATCCAAGATGCTATTTCACGCCACTGCGAAAAGACAACAGTCCTGACCCGAGTTCGGGCTACTACAGAGACCCTCTCACCCTCTGCTATCGCGAAACCATCCCGAGAACAGAACCTTTCCAGGAATGGCGTTCTTTCAACCAGCGGCCAGCAGAAAAGGTCGACAGGTCACAGAGGCAAGTAAGAGATGTGTTGTACAATTTGGCCTGTTACCCTTTTGGTAAAAATGGAAATTTTAGCTGTTTAATAATTTACGTAAAACCCACGAATATATAACGATACGAGAAATCATTAAAACATCCTACAGGAAGGTTTTTCAAAAGACCAAGATAAATAGACAGGGCACGATATTGGAAATGGCGACAGAATCGCAACAGACGCCGGGGTATATGAGGCTTGAAACCCTCGAAACATTGAAAAAGAGAACACCGCCCGGTTCATCGCACTGTCAAGCAAAACGCCATAATACCCGATTTAGCTTGCCCATGTAGCAAACCGCGGGTGAAACCACCCAACACAGCCGAGTGCAGATGCAGAACTAGGAGAATGGTGAAAAGCACATATTTAATATTCGGGACCCGTTTGTGAACGCCAACAGATGCAAGTGAATCAAGTTGTAGAGAAGAGAATCAGTATTGATTCAGTATTAATGAATCAGACTTGGGGAGCGGCAGGTTCAGGGACGGGGGGCAACGACATGGACTGGGACTCGACGGGCCCGGGCTGGGGAATAGCCTGCTGCAGGCCGGCGACGATGCGCTCTAGTTCTTCCAGGCGGCGATCCTTCTCCTGGACCTCGCGGCGCAGTCGCTTAACCTCATTGTGAAGCTCAGGACCAGCCTCATCGGACTCAGGAAGGTCGCCGTTGGGCGAGTCATGCCTGCGCTTGATGCCGGTGGCGGGCAGTGAGTTGGCCCGGAGGCCTTCCAACTCATTGGCACGTTCCCAGGGCATGTCGACCATGACCTGGGGGGTGCCGTCGTCGGCATGCATGTGGCGACGTCGAAGATGTTCTCGAAGATTCTCCTGGCGGGTAAACCCGTTGCCGGTGCTTCGGTTGCAATCGGTATAGGGGCACATCAGAGGCTTCTTAGCGTCGGTGTTCTTCTTGTGGACCTCGCGCTGGTGGCGTAAGAGGCCACCTGAGTAGGTGAAGCCTTGGATCTTGTCGCAGCCGGGTTCGAAACATTTGTAGGGACGATCGTGTTTGTCCATGTGTTTGCTAGAGAATCAAGTTAGCATCGAGAATAGAGCGCGATAGCGACAGTGAGGTCAACTTACTTCCATTCACACGGACGGCGGAAGGTCGGGGGCGCATTCTGGCAATCCGGGTGGTCGCAGTAGATCTGGCCCTTGGGGTTCTTGGGGGGATCGCGGGCGCGTCGGACAGAGAGGCGCGGGCGCGTGCCCTCCATGTAGCTCATGGGCTCATTCATTCTGGCAATTGAGGACAGAGTCTCTGTAGCAGAGGCAAGGGCAGAGGCAGCAGTAGCCCCGTGCGGAGCTTCACTTCGGGGACTAGGATAGTCAGATCCGTCTCCCATATCGCGTCGACCCCACACTAGCTGAGGGGATTTGTGATGGAATGAAGATACCAGCCGGACGCGTCAAAGATCAGTCAAGTCCACACTGATGAAAAGAGACAGGGTGGAAAGAACAATAGAGAGAAGATGAATCCGGATTTCAGAAAGTGGGGGAAGAAATGGCGATGCGACAGGTTGAAGTAGATGTTGTAGATGGAAAGAAGGAGGATGCCTTGGAACCTGAAAAATTCGGCACCTGCGGCTTTCTTTTATACGCGAGCGGTGACACCGGGGTTTCCGCCACTGTGGCGCAGGCTCTCCTAACACTCGTGCAGACGCGCTTCTCCGGGCTTCTCTGCTCTTGTCGCGGCGTTGCCGAGCTGACCTGCAGATACCTGAGAAATCTCTGCTATACTATGCAGGGACAAGCCATGATCTTATACTCTTGATCCACTGTCAAGCCTGACAACACCGCGTTTTGGCCACCCGTTCCGACGCTACCATGACTCATACGTCGGGAGTTACCAATGAGAACATATGAACACGCCGGTCTGCCTGTTTTCCGCAACTACGCATTAGGTACCCAGTCTTTTCCAAGTCAGGCAGCAACTCTTCCCTCTTCCGGTTTGAATCGCCACTGACAAATTGATGTGGCGGTGAAGTCACGGGATCCAGAGCTTCCAGTCACGTGGATTATGTCAGCAGCGTAGGGCTCGAGTGAGGCAGTACTTAGGCTGCACAGGATTGACGCTCGTTGTGTGGGCATTCTGCTGGCTGTATGCAACCTATGGACCGAGAGACTGCAGATTGCTTGCGAGTCCTCAGGCTATGCTGTCTATTCATAGCCCAAGATTCGTTTGCATGTTCCAGAAACTCATCACCGTGGCAGTGAGTATAGTTTAATCGTTGGACACAAATAGGCTGCCGAATTCGAGAGATCTGCACTCTCAAACTAATTCAGGACTTGTCAAATTGAAAGGAATAAAAAACCGGTGCAATGACAACAAAAAAAAAATGTTAGAGCTTCGTATCTTCCACATCTGGGCTCTGCAGCTGGTCCAGCACCCACTCGATTCCCTCCATAACCACGTCAGGGCGAATCAAATGCACATTGTGTCCACAGTCGGGCAAATGCACCAACTTGGCATTCGAGGACAGCTTCAGCTGCTCCTCTTTCAGCTCCTGATCAAGGGTATCCCACTGATCCAAAAGCTCACGAAACGCCTGTCTTTGCCGAGCTGTTCCATTCCCAGCCTTCACGCCCTGTTCATAGATCCGCGCATAATCCCTAGCACTATTACAGCGAATCACACTTAATGGTCTATCTCCCATCGCTTGACACTGAAACTGGTTTTTTTGGGCCAGTGTGCGACAGACCTCCACATAAGAGTCTGCCTCCGCCTGTGCAGCCGCCGCGCCACGAGCAATGTCAATCGCTCGCGCTCGCCACTCGTCTCGGGATAACCGTGAATCCTCTCGTAGACCAGTAACCCGGGCCCAGTTCAAATCTCCGAGTACCGCCATGATATTCTCATCGGGGATGATGAAGTAATCACATTGCCTTTCCGTCGCCCCTTCAGCCAGAACCATGCCGGCAACCTCGTCAGCATAAAAGTGGAGGAACTCGCGGGCAAGGATAGCCCCAAAAGAATGCGCAACTAGTAGAAGCGGTGGTTTCAACCCCATGGCATCGAGCAGGCTGTGTAATTCCCGCGCATGGCTCACGGCCGTACTCCGTCCTGGACTGGGCTCACTATGCCCGAGTCCCGAGCGATCGTATAGTAAAACCTGAGATCTCTGCGAGACGAGGGGAACCAGGGCTGTGTAAGATGATGCGACATCGCCTGCACCGGCAATCACGATGATGAGTGGATCCCGTGGTTGACGAGGAGGTCCACTAATTGAGGTGTACAAGCGGTGCGTGCCTATGGAGATCATGGCTGATGCTGCGTGCGCGGACCAGCTTGGTGGCTGGATCTCCATATCTTCGGGGCCTCTTCAGAGGGCGAGTGAGGCGGGAAGTGAGACGGCGTTATTTTCGGGTGCGCTATAGATCTAGATCTAGATCGAGCGGGACGCGGGGCGCAGGGGCAGAACTTCCAGTTAGCCTAGGTAGAAACACAGGTTAACTTCTGAGTCTCGGAAAAAGGACTGTGGAAACTGGAGAAGATCAACATGGACGTCTGGAAGTGCGTCGAGATTTGGACGGTGGCTTATCCCAGGAACGGCTAAATAGAAGTCGAGAAGGTACTGGCTGAACCGATCGTTAGTGGAGCGTAAAGACTAGGATACATGGAAGTCTCTAGCCCCCCGTCCACTACTCAAGCGGCTCTTTGGACTGCAGAATGTATGTAGTTACGTATGAATAGCTCGATGGTATCTCTTTGAATGGCCTCTGCCTTGTTTTGACATCGGAGCTTGCGGTACTTTCCCAGGCTCGGGAACACGATGTAGACTCGGAACATAGCCTTCAAGCTAACGACCATAGGCTTGGGTAAACTGGAATATACTGAAATCAATGCAGATTATGCAACAGCTTGACCTAGAAGTTTTTCAATAGGAGCATTCACATGCTGAAGTGGGGGAACATTTGCCCTGACCTAAAATCAGGGGCAATTCTTTGCTTTCTCTTCCTTGTCCCAAGTTATCATAATTCATAGACTCTTCTATATTCTCGTCGGAACGGTCTATGTCAAATGCTACAAGTTTACTTGCCCAGCGATCTTAAAAAGGCATAATAGTCTCGATTCAAAGGCAATATGGTAGCTAGACGTCTGAGAGAAAGACCGCTTGGAGGAATCGAGCCCGGAGGACAAAGGGAAAACTTAAAGGCTGCCCGGTAATTGGATTCCGGACTCATCGGGGCCGAAGATGGATGGCTAGCAATTACCCTTTCAGGCTTGTATCCTGGAAGGATTACCTGAAGGCTAATACCAGTCAAGCAAAGCCGAAAGCCCGCTGACCACGCATGATAAAGGATACCACGGCGATGATGATGTTTTAAGACCACGAGGAACGCTTCTTCAGAGTGAGGGGCGTATGACCTCAACTGGCAGTCCGGAAGCACTCAAGCGCCTTGAAAGTAGCGGATCGACCCTAACCTCACAGATCTGATATCCCGATCGATGCGAAAAGACGGACGGGTAAGACGCTGGTGGAAGGAAGTCTGACATATCGTGCGAGACTGCTTCACCGCTGTGATGAAAAGGGGGCGAATCTGGGAGAGAATGCCCTAGCATACAACGTATGAGGTGCGTGCCACTCAATCGTAATTTCCGCCGACCTGACTAGCGAACGCAGTGGAAACACTGCGCGCGTCATCATCATCATGAATGTTGTGGCCCGGAGGGCCGCGAGGAGTGACGCGAATACTGGCAGAGCTACCGCCGAAAATGCTACCATTGTCGGGAGCGCCAGGCCGATACGGCTCACGCCCACCAGATTCTACGTAGCGCTTGAGACGGTCAGACTGACTAAGGCTAGGCTGCTTGTTCATGTCATGGATGCTCAGGCGGTTGAGGGTATCAGTGAGGCTGACGCCACCCTGATCGACGCTGCGTCCATCGGCGATGCTTCCATTGATATCAGACTCGGTAGCCGCAACGGATTCCCCAGCGACACTGGGGGCGCCCTTGGCACGACCTCCATTGGGACGGCGACCGCCGGAGATCGAGGGCCACTGGTCAGCAAAGTTCTGGAACATCGGCGGGTATACGGACGGAAGGCCGACGCCACCCAAAGCAGAAGAGTGGACCGAGGACACATCGTCGGGGATATAGCCAACCACGGAGCCCGAGTCATGATACTCGTTGCGGTGACCATTGCGGCCATTCGTCGTGCCACTAGCAGCGTTAGAAGCTTGATTGAACGACATCTGGAAGCGCTGGGGACCCCGATAGGCCTGCTTGGGTCTGCTGAATTGAATCAGAGACTCCTGCAAGTTGGACAAAGGTCCCTCAACGAGACAGTGCGCTTCTTTGAAGTGCTGCAAGAGGCAGTTCCACAAGGGGTGCTTGGACAAAACCTTCGGGTTACCAAGAACGACTAGACCATAACGAGCTCGAGTAAGAGCCACGTTGAGACGACGGGGATCGCTTAAGAAACCAATGCCCTGGTGATCGTTGGAACGAACACAGGACAGGATAATGTAGTCCTTCTCTCTACCCTGGAAAGCGTCCACTGATGCCACTTCAATTTCCTTGTAGTGCTCCTTCTTGAAGGTGCCATTTGCCTGCATGGAACTGACGATGTAGCTTCGCTGACCCTCGTACGGTGTGATGATACCAATGTCCCTGGGCTGAACACCAGCCTTGAAGAAGCGAGTAACAATCTTCTCGACATTAGTGGCCTCGGTGCGGTTGAGGTACGAGGTACCAGAGGCGGAGATTTCTTCATTGCCAAGGTTCGACCAGAACATCATAGGCATGTCAATTACAGGCCATGGGAAATCCACATCACGGCGAAGTCGGTCCTGGATCGTGATACCATTCTGAAGTGAGCCCTCATAGAACATGTTCGACGGGAACTCAGAGAGACACGGGTGCATTCGATACTGGACATTCAAACGAATTGGTGCGCATCCCAGGATAACGAGACGCTCAAAAAGAGACTGATTCAACCCAGCCTTGGCTGCCTTCTTGTTCATGATGACAGGACCAAGCTGCTGGTGGTCACCAACCAGCACGACCTGCTTGCAGCCGAGAACAAGGGGGATCATGCACTCTGGCTCAGCGGACTGAGTAGATTCATCAATCAGGACCGTACGGAACTTAAATTTGGCAAGGCGAGGATCGCCAGCACCAACACAGGTGCAGCAGATAACATCTGCGTTATTCAAAATCTCGCGCTCAGCAGACCGAGTCAGCTGCTTCAATCGCTTTTCATCTTGACTAGACAATTCGCCTAGTTCGCCCTTCAGCAGGTTGAGCTTTGCCAGTTCGATATTGCTATCGTTCATGCGGACTTGCTCATGCAGAGAAAGGAAACCAACAGGGGATTCAACATCCTCGCGAGACTTGGCAGTCACTCGCACCGTCTTGAGGCCGGTGCGGTGGATGCGCTCACAAAGCTGATCAACCGCAACGTTCGATGGAGCACACACCAGCACCTGACCACCGTTGAGCTTGGCAAGATGGTAGATGATAGTGGCCGAAGTCACAGTCTTACCTGTACCTGGAGGACCCTGAATCAAGCTCAATGGGCGCTGCAGAACGCTCTTTACAGCATTGATTTGACTACTGTTCAGATCCGGGAGACCGGGAACACTGTATTTCTTGGGAATTTGAGTCTTCATAGGGGCTGCGGCAACTTCGTGGCCTAAAAGACGATGGAAGATGTAGCCTGAAACACTCATTTCATCCACAGCAAAAGTCTTCATGGCAAATTGCATGCGATCAAAGGAGGTAGACTTCCAAACATAGTCCGCGGTGAAGTTGTGGGTGCATTCGGTTGGCACCGACTTGTGGTCGCCCTTGGAGCGCAATTCAATGGTGACTTCGTCAGACTGGTTGTTAGGAATTTTGATGACATAGCCAACTCCTTCCCATTTAGAGCGCAGTTCACCATTGTACTTCAAGCGCATCTCATCACCGACAGCCAATTTCACATCTCCGAGTTCGAGCTTCGGCAGAACGAAGCTTGCTAGGTGCTTGTTGTTGAGACCGAGATCCCAGCGCACGATCAGGCCATCCTGCGACTGAGATTCCTTCAGTTTGCGGTCGTAGTCAGCCTCAATTTTGACAAGAGGGCCAAAAATGTTCTGGTATTGGAAAGCATCGTCGTAGCGCAAGAGGACTGGCGCAGGCTCGTCATCCACGGCTGTAGCCTTCTCCAGATCTTCCAAAGTTGCCTGAGAGTTCTCCTTCCACATTTCCTCCAGCTTAGCAATCAGCTGAGGACTAAGGTGGCGAGCGCGGAGCTGTTCTTGATCTGTGGGTGCACCAACGAGCCACGGCAGGAAGGAGCGGTCCTCGATCAGCGGCTGCCAGCGAGAGGTATCCCAATTCATATCTTTCGAAGACGGCATAGCGGCGCATGGCTGTCGGCAGAGAAGAACAACGACTGTATCAGACTTTGCAGGAATGAAACCAAGTAGGAAGACGTTCTTTGTACCGCAGTTGTAGCATTCGAGGATGGTATCACCGAGGGATGAGGCTGGGTGCAGCTGGACTTCCTTGTGTCGAGCACGGACAAGGTGATTGACGATGTGTGAAGAGGATGTGTTACCACGAGCGCTGCAGAACCATTTGTTGCATGAAAGACATTTCACAACGCTGCTGGGGTTATGGATGCCACAGTACCTAGAAAATGTCTCAATTAATAGAGTGAACAGAAAGGCAGAGACGATTACTTACGCGCACGCATGGGCAGGAAGCTCCTTGTCTTCATCCGAGTGTCCGTGACCCTTCTGGTTTCGGTTTGCCGGGCCACCGACGTTGCTCTCCAAATCGTCGTCCTCCATGTATTCGGATCCGTCGTCTTCATCATCATGTCGTCGGGGCCGAGCTCGGCCTAGAGCCATCGAGGTATGTTCATCCAGCTCTGCCATCACCGACGGATCATCTGCCAGGCCCGGAGGATAGTTGTCCATGATAGAAAGCAGGGTTGTAAATTGGCCGACGGGGCAAAGGTGAGGATTGATATCAAGAACGCAGTCTTTGAGAGCCAAACATACGGTGAATGAGCATTCAAGAAGTCCAGATCGTATGCAAGAGCGTAAAAGTCGATGCAATCCTCCTGTGCGGTTCTTCGATCACCCGAAGTGTGTGCCTGAGGGGGGGCAAAGACACGATGATCTGCAAGGACGAGTGGTGTTAGAAAATCCAAAGACTAATGGCATCAAAGCACTCACGAATCCAGCTCTTTGTCACAGAACACCGACAAAAGAGAGTGGAAGAGTTGGGAAGGACAGAAATGTGTCTCCGCATTTGCGATTCTCTATCGGTGGGATCCCACTACGGTGATGTGTGCGGACCAACTACGCAGCCCCGGAGATTAGAAAAAAAAAAGTTGCCCGCCATCAACCTTGAAGATCATCTCAAGTCTATGATTCCACAAAGATGCTGGTAGGTATCGCTCGCTTATGCCTGACTTATCCAACATATGCTAATGCACAGTAGCGCCGTCAAAATCGTGAACGTCGCGACTACCTTTACCGCAGAGCTCTGCTCCTCCGCGATGCCTCTATCGCAGAAAAGAGAGCCCAGCTGAAAGCCGCACTGGCCTCTGGCAAGCCTCTCGACCCTTCGATCGCAAATGATAAGGCTCTTCGGGAAGACTTCAAGTACGATGAATCGAAGGAACAAGATGCTGATATGGATGTCGACGACGAATACGCTTTGACTTCCGGCGTCATTGATCCTCGCCCGCTGGTCACCACCTCCCGCTCACCTTCTGCTCGTCTCGGTGCTTTCGCCAAGGAAATTCGTCTTCTCCTACCCACCGCTATCCGACTTAACCGTGGTAATCTCGTTCTACCCGATCTGGTGTCCAGCGCTACTTCTGCTGCTCTGACCGACATGATTCTGTTGCACGAGCACCGTGGTACACCAACCGCGCTTACCATTTCCCATCTTCCTCATGGCCCGACTGCGAGTTTCTCTCTTCACAATGTCGTTCTGCGCGCGGACATCCCCAATGCTGCCCGCGGTACTGTTTCCGAAAGCTATCCTCACTTGATCTTCGAGGGCTTCAAGACCAAGCTGGGTGCCCGTGTAGTGCAGATTTTGAAGCATTTGTTCCCGCCTCGTGAGCCTGGAAAGGTCGGCAACCGTGTCGTGACTTTTGTCAACAAGGAAGACAGCATTGAGATGCGGCATCACGTCTTCGTGAAGACTGGTTACCGGGACGTTGAACTTGCTGAAGTCGGCCCCCGTATGACTATGCGCCTCTTCGAAATTCGGGGAGGCACTCTCGAGAAGGGCTCCAGTGGAGACGTTGAATGGGCCCTTACGCAGTATACAAGAACAAGCAAGAAGAAGGACTACCTTTGATTGCTTTCCGGAATTTTTGCATTACGGTGTCGGATACAGGTGTGGTAATCTATTGGGCACTCCATTGGCGTATTGGTGTTTTTAGATCGACTAAAAGGCTTTTTTAGCCATCTCATGTTGTTTTACATTTTGAATATTCACATGCCCTATACGTTGTCAACAGTGATGGTGGCCAGAAAGGATTCAATATACTACGAAACCTTGTCCAACGGCATGACTCGATCTTCTTCTGCCTTTGTAATCAATGCCGTAGCCAAACTCAATTATGGATTCATCAATCTCATAATCATTTCTCTTTATTGTATTCGAGATCAACACCAAATCTCATGCAGGGTGTCCGAAGGTAGCGAACTTTCTACTTCTAGGGCCAGGATGCGCCTAGGCTCATTGATCACCCTGAAGTCTTCCAAAGGACATAGATCAATTGATACGTGTCAAGTATGTTTTGAGCTGAGATTTTTCAAATCTCTTTTAAGCCTACTCTTGTTACACACCGGGACTCTACTTTGGATATTCCATTTTCAGTAATAGTTTCAGACTTCATCATGCTGTTATCCCGCTAGAATGACTGCAAAGAATGTAAGGACTTGCTAATTCTCATTTCGACCGTGTCATTCCATGAGAACGATGCATTCTCATGATGCATCATAGATATAAAAAATTTTAAGCTTGTTCTTCCTTGTTAGATCCTTCGGTTGAATGGGCCAGTGGCTGATAGGCTTTGATCCAGTTTGTGAAAAGGCTGGTTGTGTCCTCGTATGAGTACCAGCCCTCAGGCGCAGGATTTCCATCATCATCCAGCCTTGGTGCCGGGATCTGCCCATTAGATCGATTCTCCCATTCTTTTCCTGTCTGCGCAAGGAAGAACTTTTTGAATGCATTGATAGCTAGGGACATGTCTTTCTTCGGCGATGCAAGTTCGATCACGTAAGAGGTGCCAAGCTGGCTGTATTTGGCATATGTTGAATAGCATGGGGGGTTGGAAAAAGACTGAAAAATCTGCGTATGATCAGTCAATCTTCCAGAAAGATGGTACAAGTTGCACATACTCCGACTCGGAATTTACCTCGAGGGCGTGCAGCCACATTGTGTCGCACGAGCTCTGCATCCCAGGTCTCGCCGGCTGTATCAGTGAATATCAGGGCTTTGGCTAGAAGCATAGCATCAGTAACCGGGAAACTTTATTCGTAAGAAGATTGAACGTTCACGCACGCATAATTGTATCCTTGCTCTTTCGGCGTGTGGTGGTTTTGGTGACTCTGTTTACAAAAGGATCTTCTGCGGTTTATAAATTTAGCAGAACGAACTCATAGTCTTCAGGGGGACATACTGGTTGTCCTTTTCACTTTGGCATTTTCCCGAAGAAGTGTCGACCATAGAAAGGGTTGCTCCGGCTTGGGCCGTTTGGAACGTGACAGCAAAGAATCCTCCAGCCAGTCAAAGGACACGATCTTTACTTTATCGGACCGCTTTGCTTTTTCAACTGTGATGAAGTCAGTACTGCTTGGAACAGCGAGGGGGTAAGCTCACTTTCTTCTCCATTTCTGAGGTAGACTTCTTCGGACACAATGAGGTGGGTAACCTGGCTGTTGAAAGATCGGTGATATTTGCCACCGTTGGCTTTCATCCAGCCAGAAACTTTGTCCGAGTTTTCGAATGACCCGATGACATGGACTTGAATTTTGTCAAAAGTTTTGCCCATCTTGTCCATATAGTTGTAAGTGTTAATGTGAAAAGTGAGAAAAAAACTGCAATGATAGAGATGTGACTCCAAGGCTCTGCAATTGGACCGTGTGTTATTTGTGAGGCGTGAAGATAGTTCGACTGAGAGTCACAATTTAGTAAAAATGTGAACCTAAAGGTTCCAAGTCCGCCGAGCCAGCCGATCGAGATCTACTGCAGTGAATTGGAAATCCGCTTCATTCGAGTTGGGGTTCGGTTGGCGTAGAAATAGGTGGAAGAAAGGGATGGTGAAAGGACCGCCGCTGACATTAAAACGGTCTTGATTTCTGAGCCTCGAACGGTGCACGTTGACAAGGACTTCTTGTGCCACGGCGGGGGCACCGCTCTGCATAGTCCATCTTCGGAGTACCAAGTCGTGAGATTCCTGCCTAACAAGAATCGTGATCACTGATAGGACCTGGCCATGGGACCCCACTAACCAGTTCTCGGCATCTCTTTGAAGCTGTACATCAGACTCTGATCGGGCAACTTCAATAGTGATTGTGGGCGAACCTCGATCTCTGAATGCCATGGGAACAATAGAATCATCGGCCTCTTTGATGATTGTATTTTGACCAGGATGCAGACGGCGGCTTTCACTCCGTGGGAAATTGAGCTCGTCAGATATACCCTGTCGCACCGCCTTCTCAGTGATGAGTTGAACGAGAGCCGAAATTGCCTGTTCGTGTGGTGCGGAATGCATCTTGACGAGTAGTGATTGAGAAGATGAAGAGTACTCTTTTACGGATCGCAGGATTCTCTTGTCGTTTTCGTCGTTCTCGTCGGAGTGGAGGAAGTCACGTTGGAACTGACCATCGCTGATGTTTGTACACAGAAGGAACTCATTTTTGGCAAAGGGCGGAGTGAATTCGTGATCCAAAATAGCCAGAAAATTGTCCCTTCCGTTGTACGGATACTGAGGAATTATTTCCTGAGAGAGCCCGTCGTTTTCGCCGTTATCCGTCATGTTGACTAGCATCTAATAGGTTATAATGAAGATGTTTGGTCTGATGATTGAGTAGAACAGGAGTGTGGTAGGAGCACAAGGTAGTGAGGATTACGACAGAAGTGATCATTGAGCAACAACAACTTATTACGTTGGGACAGGCCGGTATTTATGACGTCGTGGATATTGTCAAAATCCTGGAATGTCTGAAGTAAAGATGGAGTGAGAAGAGAAGTCACACCATCACCCGAAAATAATCTTGTGAGTTAAGGTTCAAGATTCAGATCCGCTAACAGATCACGCACGGACACTCTTAGCAGCCTTCACGAAAGCACGAATCTTGTCCAAATCCTGAGAACCATTGGTCTCGACTCCAGAGCTGACATCCAATCCAACCACCTTCGACCCCGACTCGCCAAGCTTCCTCACGGTGTCGACCACATTATCGGGGTTCAATCCACCGGCCAGAAACACTCGCAAACCCATGTCGCTGTCAAGGACTTGCTGAATACTGGCCTTCTCTAGGAGCTCGCCCGAACCACCTGCACCAGAGTCCAACAACGGAATATTGTGGTATGCACGGCGTGCAATGCCAATGTCCCCAGGTGCAAATTTGTGAATGACGGGAACGGGAATCAAGCGAGCCCATTCAACAGGCTCAGCGCCATGAAGCTGTACAATGTCGAGTCCAAGCTTTTGTTGCTGGTCAAGAATGTAGGAAAGAGGCTGGTTCATAAAAACACCCACGAGCAATGCGCGAGTTGGGTGCCGCAAGACGCCAGCGGAATAATCAAACCATTCCAAAGTAGTAGCCTTGGATAGTTGCTCTGATGTCACATTCTGCTGAGCTCCAGGACGAGGTGTTGACTTGATGACCTGAGAGATTCGGAGAGCCACGTCATCCGAGACAGTTCGTGACCGCCCGGGAACTTGGATTATACCAATCAAGTCGGCTCCAGCTTCGATGGCGGCCTTGGCGGCCTCTTCAGACCGAGTCCCACAAATCTTCACCAGTGGGGGGTATGTTGAAGTTGATGTAGCCTTTGATCCACCCAGCAAGTGCGCCACAAAAGCAGAAGTGTCGGTAGCCCGCATCAAAGCCTCTCCTACAAGAACAGCCTTCACACCCTCCTTCTTGTAAGCCTCCACATCCTTAGGGCCCATGATACCACTGAGAGCGCAAACGATGGTAGACTCGGGAACTTGATCCATAAGGCGGCTGGTAGTTCCAAGATCAACCTCGAAACTAGTGAGGTCGCGGTTGTTGACACCGATGACTTGAGATCCCAAGTCAACTGCAATTTTCATCTCCTCGGGTGTGTTGACTTCGACAAGGGGCTCCATCCCGAGGCTCTGAGAGTACCGGTAGAGGCGTGTGAGAAGCTCAATATCGAGCATCTTCACGATCAAGAGAACTGTATCGGCACCAGCCAGTCGTGCCTCGAGAATTTGATATTCATCAAACACAAACTCCTTCCGCAAAAGGGCTGGACGGTTAGTCATCCCCTCCAGACTCTGACGCACTGCTCGAAGATCGTCAATTGTTCCTTTAAACCACTCGGGCTCTGTAAGAACAGAAATGACACTGGCACCGGCTTTAGCATACTCGCGAGCTTGAGCCGGAGCACACACATCTGCCGAAATGATACCCTTGGAAGGAGATGCTCGTTTAATCTCCGCCATCAATGAGAAGGGGTAATCCGACTGTCTCAGCCGCTCAGGGAAAGATATTTGGGGCGGCGCGATGTTCAAGTCGTAAGCAGCCTGCAAAGCCTCTGGTCGCAAAGCGGGGGTTTTCTTCTGCTCAGCAACGGCGTTCCTGCGGTGAGCGTAGATTTTATCCAAAATAGATGCTTTCTTATCGACCGGAGCAGGAGTCGGGGCAGCTACCGTCGCACCATGCTTGTTCCCGTTCCAAGTACCCGAAGTCAAGGTGAGGAAGTTCCTGAACATCTTCCGTCCATACTCAGTGAGAATACTCTCAGGGTGGAATTGCACGCCTTCCACGGTGAGCTCCTTATGTCGGACTCCCATGATAATGTCACCGCTGCCGTTCTCGAGTTCGGCCCACGAGGACACTTCAAGGGAATCCGGGATGGTCGATTGAGTTCCGGCGAGCGAGTGGTATCGAGTGACGGAAAGAGCGGTAGGCAGTCCCTCGTAGACGCCCTTGGAGTCATGCTTCAAGACCGAGGTCTTGCCGTGGAGAATCTCGCCGGTCACATCGACCTTGCCGCCAAAGGAAGAGATGATGCATTGTTGACCCATGCACACACCGAATATTGGCACCTTTCCGCTGAAATACTGGATCGCAGCATTGCTTATCCCTGCGTCTGTTGAAGGGTGACCGGGGCCGGGACTAATGACCAACTGAGTAGGCTTCTTTGCAATCAAATCGTCTACGGTCACTTCATCGTTGCGGAATACAGTCACTGTAGCTCCCTCGAGAACCAGGTATTGGTAGACGTTCCAAGTAAAAGAGTCGTAGTTGTCGATCAGAATCACATTAGAGGCGCTGTCTAGCTTCGCAGCTTTGGTGGGATGGTGGGGGGAGTGGTCAACGAGGTCCGCCATGACCGTGGAGGATGCCGGAGGGGCTGGGCTTCCAAGACAGAAGGATAAAGGGTATCAAGAGACACGAATTGCAATTGACTGCACCGTTTCCAGCTCAGAAATTCTATGTCGCAGCCAAATCAATGCGGAGTGACTCAAAGTGACAAAAGAAGCAACTTTTGTCATGCTTCACCGCCCAACGCTAGGCCAAGATAGGAAGTGCGAATTGTTGACCGCTGAGCGCGTGAAAGAAGTGAAATCTTCCTGGAGCTTTCCAACAGCTATAGCTACCTCTGACCACCTCCTACTTTTTCTCCTCGCCGTTACTTCCTCCACTCTGGTATCTTGGGATTTGATAATGTTCTAATTTGTCACGCCAAATGGCTCCCATCCCGGAGGCCTATTTTCCGTCCCTGGACAAGTGCTTCTCCGGGGACGTTCAACTTTTGTACGCTCAGCTCGGCCGTCATCCTACTGATTACTAATTCGTCGCAGGTCCTGGAAAAGAGCTTTCCTCTATTCCAATGATCCAGACGGTCATGCCGATAATGGCGGCAATGTCTCAGCCTTCCTTTCGCATCCCGAAAGCACGGAGTTGCTAGCCCAAAGTGTGATCCCTTCCTCTAGTCTTTCCGCCAAATCAAAGTCCGAATTCGAATCTAAAACCGCGGCAATCCACGTTGAAACGAATACCAAGACCTCGTTCGATCTCAAGGAGATCAAGGCGGACGCGCAATGGCTCAGCGAGAAAGCACGAATTGACGAGATTGCGGCTCTACGCATCGTAGTCCTTGAATGGCAGAACCGTCCTGCTACGCGCCTGACAACGACTTTTTCGGCAGAGGAGGCCACGAGCCTCCAAAGCGCTGCGGGTACAGACAACCTTCGTGTGTCCGTAGCTGGTCCGAACTTGGCGAGCGTTCTCAGGCAAGCTGCGGACAAAGAGGATGCATCTACTTTCGATACGGAAGTCAACCGACGCTTACGATTGCGGAGCCTCTATATCTCAGAGAGAAGTCATATTCTGAAGACTTACCGCAAGCTTCTTGTCTTGTCTCTACATGATCTTGGAGGCGAACCCGCCAATAACAGCACCAATGAGAGCGAGCGCACTTTGGCTTTGCGTAAACTAGGAGGGACACTGTTTCAGAAGCGGTCTAACGGAGAGGGACTGAACACATTTCTGACTGATTGTATCACCGGAATCCGCAAGCGACTGAAGGATCTGGAATCAGATGGCGGCTGGCTAGGTGCAAGCGAAAGTAGTCAGGAGATAGAGGACATCTGGAGAACTACTCTCGTTGAGGAGATTGTTCATATACTGCAAATTATGTTCCATCAACTTCAGGCATCGAGTGAGGCCCCGGCTGCCAATCTTGTGATATCTTGGGTCAAATTAATGGCTGAACATTCCTTCCTGGAGCCGTTGCAAGTGGTAAGTGGCTCCTACCTACTCAATTGGTGAATACTGATCAGCGTGCTAGCCGTGCCAACAACCTCTGGAAGTCTTGTTACCGCTTCAGGCCTTTACCTCCCTAGTCACCCTGGCCTTCTTGAAATTTTCCCTTGCCATTGAACATATCCTCAACGGATATGAATCGACAGCCTTTCCTCCGGGACAGAAGCCTTATTATCTCTCCAAGGAGGCCGTATCTCAAATCACTGAGATCCTCCTAGGCGCATACATGAACCTGAACACGGCCAATCCGGCTGCTTTGATCTGGGGCGTGGTTCTTCAAGCGTTTGCTGAGGCGGCTAGTGTATCTCGAGACCGGCGAGAGCAAGAGCAATCCAACTCAGCCAGGGCTGCATTCCTGGCAAAGACAGAGAATACGGGCCTTTCTCGAGGGATGGAGCCATCACTTTATGAAGAGCTTCTCGACTGTGCTTCAATGCCTAATCATAGTGCGGAAGATGCGATCGCTCATTTCTGTACTGATGAACTCGTCGAATCGGTCTTAAATGTGGTCGTCACATTGTCTACCAAGGCTGGGTCCATGTCAGCAGTCGATGATTACTTGACAGATCAATGGGTCCGATTGCATCTTTTTGATATTATTCGAGTTGCATTTGACCGTGTCGAATACACACCTGAAATACTGGAGGCTACTTTGGCCATATTGACTGGTACTCCCGATAATCTTCGGTGGAATAAAGCGGCCTCCCTCGGTCCAGCCAGCGATCCTAGGTCTGTATTTACTAGTGATCGTGTGTTGATGGCAGGTATTTTTGAACTCGCACGGTCTCGTTTCCCCTACGAAACAGTTCCTTTCCTCAGACTCTGCCGCGCGCTTGTGACTCCACACGAGATGAACGAGGACGGCTTACCTCTTATCGTCGAGGAATTGGATAACATGAGCACTTTCACTCAAATCGTTTCTCCGGGTTTCCAGGGATACGAAACCATCCGTGAGGATGAAAATGCGAACTGGGTTTCCCTGATCAAGTCGCTCCCGATGTTCGAATCGGCTTCTCGCAGCCTCCAAGGCACACAGACGAACAATGCTTTGATTGTAAGTGGCTCATCAGAAATCCCAACTTCGACAATCGGCCAAGTCATTTCGGAATCAAAACCTGCCATCATTATGTGGCAGCATCAATATTCATGCTTGAGCTTCCTTGGAAGCTGGTTAGAAGAATGGAGTGCAAGCGGCGGGTACTCGTCGGATTGGAACGCTGCACCTTGTACAGAGATTATTGAGCTCCTGGCGGATCTTGTTGCCGGCGCTAGGAACGCCCACGCTCACGACACTGCGGGCACAGGTGCCACGAGAATATTGGAGATGGCTAGCGACGGACTTTCCAAACAAGGCGATATTATTTCGGTGGTTTTGGACATCTTCGAACGCAACCTGCAGAATATCCGGTCTCGAGGTGACCCGGCAAGTGCGTTGGATCCTATCATGGCCTGCCTGCGATTCATCCAGGAAGTAATCAAGATTCTTCCAAGTCGAGTGTGGCCATTCTTCAGCCGCAGTAGCTTCATCGGCTCGGACGGCAAAGGCGGAATCATGACTGCCATCGTTTCAGCCATGGAGCTTCCATCTGGAGAATATCCATTCCTCCTCAGCTGCGTGAACCTCCTGATAGCAGCTATTGATGATGCCGCATCTCGAGCAGTGCTCAGGAAGAGCCCCGGCAGCGTTGCAGGCAAGTCGACGATCGCATCCGATTGGACTGCCGGTATCCCATCCCATGTCATGAGAACCATTCTGTTAAATTTCACACGAACTATGGTTGAGATTTTCAATAGCAATGGCAACTGGCGTTTCAACCTCCCAGAGCAGCAGTTCCACCTTAACGCGATGCTCGCTTCTGCTTTCGACCGAATTCTCTACTATGCCTACGGCGTCAATGATTCCGTGAAACCGGAAGCCAAGATCACCGGCGTCTTCTCTGACTCTGCGACATATATCTTGGATCTGCTGCGACCTCGATCATCCGCTGATCTCCCCTTCAACCCACTTCTTCGATTAATCTCCGACGGTCTGCAGACCCCACCTACCGTTCATCTTCGCTACCTCACGTTGGTTGAGAATCAGGTCAAAGCCACCCTAGGCCTATGCATCAAGCTCGTCCAGGCAGCAAGACTTACACAGCAGCCTAGCTCACTTCTAGAGGAGCAGCTCTTCAAAGCCACGCCTGTCCTCGTCAAGCTGTATGCGCTGCTTGACGCGTACAGGTTACCTGTTGTGTCTTTGCTTGAAATTCTTATTTCTGTTGCTGCTTCGGATCCGGACAATGAACCGCCATCTCTTGTTGGTCATCTCGGAGCCGAGGCATCGTGCTTGTTCCTTGATGTGCTGTCACAGCTTGACAAGCCACTCAACGACGAGGCTCTGCTCCTTGCTAATTGGAAATTGCTGTCAACATTTGTCAGCAAGCGTCAGCAGTGGTTGGCAGTCTTCATTCTGACCGGGGCTTCTCCTCGACAGACATTGAAGAAGTCTGGCAAGTCCGGAGACCCTAGCATGAGAGGTGTGCCATTCTTGCAAATGGCGCTTGACAAGCTCGCCAACATTGAACACGAAGAGCCCCAGATGGCTCTGGCCTTGCTAGAGTTCGTTTCTCGCGCCCAAGAAAATTGGCCATGGGCAACTCCGCACCTGAAGAAGCATACGCAATTCTTTAACAGCATTGTGAGCTACGTCTCAAAATTGAAGATCTCTTCTTTACCTGTGATTCAACAAATTTACGCAACCCGCATTGCTGCTGTTGTCGCAGATATTTGCGCTGTTTACTTGCACGCTGCAAAAGAGATGGGAGATTTCAGTTTCGTGAAGACCCTTATTCCCTTAGTGCAATGGTATTCTAAGGATGCCGTGGAGGTTGATGCTTACAATTCTTCCCTTCACGCGAACTTGAAGAAGAACTTTGAAATGCGATATACCGGCTGCAAGGTTGTTGACTTCAAGAGAACGCCCCTCGTGCCTCGCGCATTGGGACGTGATTACTATTATGATCTTGCAATGGGAGAAAAGCTTTTGTCCTACGACTTTGCCTGGTCTGGATCTCGCAATCGGGGCTTTTCCGAGGAATTCGAACGAGCCAACATCAATCTGTCGCTTGTGGAAGCGCAGGTGGTAAGTGATTTGTTGATCCTGTACAACTCGAACCTTTTCTAACACCGGAACAGACACTTCTCAACAGCTGGAAATTCTTTGCCATCGAGCATTGCGCTGACTTCATGCCCGACTTCGCCATACAGAAGTCAATGGCTGTTGTGGCCCAGAATTGTCTCGAGGCCAATATACGCAGTGTTCCCCCAGAGGCCATCTTCGAGGAGATTCAGCAAGTCCGCGTCGATTTTGCTCAGGCCTTATGCCAACGGCTGGTGCAGGTTGATGCCCGTGGAGCCGAAGCATTTGCATTACTTGAAGCCGTCTACAAAGCCCTGCGGGATCGACACTCGACTTATGAAGATGCACTCATCAGCAGTGATATTGAATACTATCGATCCCTGCTGAATGTGCTGTTCCTGGCCCTTCAGTTCCACCTGGATAAGCCATCGCGCACCAGCCCTGAAACCCTGAGCAAGCCCGCCAAACTTTCGAATGACCTCACTCTCATTGTAGAGATCGTCAAGGTGGTCGTTGCGCAAGGCTTCAAATCGCTCACCACCTACCTGCACGAGGAACCGGACAAGTGCACGCCCAAGGATTTCGCAATCCTCGTTGCTATTCTTCAGAGCTGTCTCCAGGTCAAGAACTCCGAGCGTCTCTACGAGCACATCACATACCACATCCAAGATAACGACGTCGCTCGCCATGCCACCACTTTGTACTCCTGGGCCGACCAGCTTGCAATAGGTGGTGACCCCATCTACGGCGATCTCAGTGTCTCTGTTCTCGTCAAATTGTCCACCTTGCCCATGCTGGCCGAGCATCTGGCCGTGGAAGCCGTACTCATGAGACTGTCAACATGCCGCCTGTCCAACGGCCTCCGTCAACCCAAAGGATTCGGACCATTCGATGCTATTCCTCGACTGTACACAATCTGGACCGGTGGCTTCCTTCCACTGTGCCTGAACCTACTATACAACGTCATCCGCGCGGCACCAGAAGTGGCCGCATTCCTCAACCAGTTTGAAGGACAGCTCAATCGGGCATCCGAGTGCTTCTCTGTCGGCCACCCCAGCGTCAGCGTCGGAGCCTCACAAAAATGGATCAGTTTGAGCATGGCCTCGGAGGCATACTCATTGGCTCTGATTTCTTATATGCTCGATCGTTTCCGTGAAGCTGGGCCCAGCGCCGGCCTGGATGCGCAATCTATCAAAGAACTCAAATGGGACAAGTCCCAGGTCAAGGAAGACATTGAAGAACTGCTGGGTCGCCGATCGACTCTGCGCGGACGTATTGTGGCAACGACGGAGAAGGAGGCCGAGTGGTCGCGACAGAAACCGCTTGATGCCTCCTCGGGGACCGAGAATCGATTGGAAGAGAAGGTTGTAGCGGAGCTGAACGCAGCGGTTGCTTGTTTGGGCGGCGAGGAGGAATCATGATACTCATGTCTTTTTACTGTATTCTGGGCGGGTCATTTAGGTGTAGGTAGCTGATTATGCATTTCGCAGGTCCACTGGAGATGTTCTGCGTGTCCTTTTGTCTATGCCCTGTTCATTCTGGCTCTGTGTAGTAACGGACTTGGTTCAGTTCAGTTCCGACTCGGGGTAACATAATATATGACGTCGTTGGATTTGAGTATACAAAGTTCGACACGGACAACAAGGGGCCACGATGTCTTCCGCAACCCATTTCCAAAGTCCATTTTTATTCTCTCTTTCGCTTTGTCTTGTATCAGTAGAGGAAGGGATCTTTGTTTTCTCACAACTCCATGGATTGTCAACGCTCGGCACAGTTCATCCGAGGCATTTCTTCTTCCCCGCATATGCATAACCGATTTATGCGGGGGAAGCTCCGATCTATGAATACGCTTTTGCAAGCTTGGTTCAATCTGCACTGGCTATATGGTTATATGGAAAACAGCGGGGGCTTTTCCTTCAGTGGTTCTTTATATTCTCAAAAGCAGGACCGGATTCCCACGCATCATTGACCGCTTGAAGATCTGACCATGCCATACAAGTCTCGCTGGACGATCGACGTCCCCAACACCCACCTCGCTTCTTTGCTCCTCAAATCCCCCACCGCCCCTCTATCCCAGACACAACCATGTTTCCTCGAAGCAGCTCGCCCGGACACCCACTACTTCACGCCGCATGACTTCCGCCTCTGGAGCCAGCGATTCGCCGTCGGGCTCCTCAAATCCGGCCTGCAACCTGGTGACCGAGTCCTCCTATTCTCAGGCAATGACTTGTTCTTCCCCGTCGTCCTCATGGGCATCGCCATGGCGGGCGGCATCTTCACAGGTGCTAACCCAACCTACGTGGCCCGCGAGCTAGCCTATCAGCTCCACGACAGCAGCGCCACGTACCTCATCTGCGCGAGCATCAGCCTGGACACAGGTATTGAAGCCGCCAAGCTTGCAGGTCTCAGCCGGGACCGGGTGTTTGTCTTCGACAACGCCATCTACGACGGTGTAGGCCAGGCGCGATCCGGATGTCGGTATTGGGGGGATCTGGTCGCGTCGCCCGAAGAAGGAGCCGGGTTCGCGTGGGACGAACTCTCGACTCCGGAACTGGCTGATCGGACCCTTGTGCTGAACTATTCCAGTGGCACGACGGGCAGACCGAAGGGCGTGGAGATCACGCATAAGAACTACACGGCTAATATGCTTCAATATACGCATCTCGGCACGCTGAACCCCGACTATGAGGCGCGGAGGGCTCGTGCGCGCTGGTTGTGTTTCCTGCCGATGTATCACGCAATGGCGCAGAACATTTTCATTGCGGCGGCGCTGCATCGGGGGACGCCGGTTTATATCATGCCCAAGTTTGATTTTGTGCAGATGCTGGAGTATACACAGAAGTACCGGATTACGGATTTGATTCTTGTTCCGCCGGTGGTGGTCATGCTGGCTAAGCATCCTATTGTCAAGAAGTATGATCTGAGTAGTGTGGAGGTGATTGGTAGTGGTGCTGCGCCCTTGGGCAGGGAAATTTGTAGTGAGGTGGAGAAATTGTGGCCGGAGGGGAAGATCAATGTCAAGCAGGGATGGGGGATGACCGAGTAAGTAACGCCTTCTTCTCTTGTGATCACGCCGAGCTAAGCGGTTTAGGGCAACATGTTCTATATTGGGGTGGAATCCGACAGAGAAGAGCTATTCGGCGTCCGTCGGAGAGCTTAATGCCAACTGCGAGGCGAAGATCATGGCTGAGGACGGCGTCACGGAGATCATGGAGCGAAACCAGCGTGGAGAGTTGTGGGTTCGCGCGCAGAATGTCATGAAGGGTTACTGGCGAAACCCTCAGGCCACACAGGAGACTAAGACGGCCGATGGCTGGCTACGGACGGGTGATATTGCCTATGTAGACGACCAGGGCAAGTTCCATGTGGTTGATCGGATGAAGGTATGTCATAAGGGAAAGCCCCCGAACTGGAAGGGGGAAAATTGAATAAAAGAAGATCAAGAAAAGATACAAGAATCTAACTTGGCTGCAGGAGTTGATCAAAGTCAAGGGCAACCAAGTGGCACCCGCTGAGCTAGAAGCACTGCTCTTGGAACACCCCGCGATAGCAGATGTTGCGGTGATCGGCGCTACGGTGTGAGTTATGACCCTTTTTCCCTTAACTTTCTTCCCGATCGATCTCCAGACGCTCTCGGGTTCGTTGTTTCTTTTTTTTTTTCATTTTTATTACTTTGACACATAATAATGGAAGAAAAGAAACAATGATGAGCGACCGCGCGCGTATGTCGTCTTGAATCCGGGCCAATCTGCCACCGCGGAGGAGATTGTTGGATTTATGGACGGCAAGGTCTCCGCCACGAAGCGGATTACTGGCGGAGTTGTATTCCTCGACACGATCCCGAAGAACCCATCGGGAAAGATCTTGCGCAAGGCGCTGCGTGATCAGGCGGCGGCGGAGCTGAAGGGAGCCACGGCCAAGCTTTAGATCAAGTTTCGAGACGGGTCATTAGTCCCTGGGTACCTTAATCATATCATCCATTCTCCGCCGATTCGAAGTGAGGAATATTTTGAGTTGTACATATGCAGGTGGCGATCCTCTCGCGGAGATCCGTGGCCTCGGGGAGACTAGTTCCCAAAAAAGGCTCCAAACCGGATCCGACTAAAACACAGTCACGTACTGTAGCCGAGCGGTGCATCGTGTAACGTGATTCGCGGCGCGGAACTGAATTAGCGCGAGGCCCACGACACTAGCCCCAGTCGGGAAGTACACGCCCAGCTGAAGCCATCGATCGGTGATCAGAACATCGGGACTCGTTCCAATATGGAATCACTCTCCGCAACTCTACCCGTGCCTTTGGGTCGATATCCCCTGTCCGTCGAGGCCTCGGGGCTTTCTTTGGTGAGGGACGTAAAAACCGGGCCCCAGATGCAGATCTCGGCTCTGTTGGGGTGGCGTCTGGCGGCTCCAGCTGAACATCGTGGCTGGTTCATGTGTAGCTGGAGGCATTGATCTAGTTCTGTGGGGTCCCGTGTTTACCCACTTCATTTCATTTTTCTGGCTAGTGAGGGCGAGGGGCAAGAAATGAGCGAGAAGGCGCGAGTGTGAGAGTGACTGTGAATGTGTGCATGGGTGAATAGGTGACGATGTGAGAGCCTGGATAGAGTATCGGTATGCTGTAGTGGGGAGGGGCGCACAGCCACCTAGCAAAGTAGCAACGCCTCATCAGATTGGTACTTTTCTGCTCAGATTCATCATTCGTAAGATCGTGTATCTCCAATCATATTGGATTCTACGTGTGATCTATCGCCGTGTCAACCTGGTCAGTGTCATGGCAAACCGAGGCGTCGGGATTTCTACGAACTGCAGATGTGTCGCGAACTTGGACGTATAGATCTCGAGCCCCGCCAGTCGGACCGTCGATCATAGTCTTATGTCCTGAGTCCTAAGGCCCCCCCCCGCCTCCCTCCCTTCCAACATTCCTATATTATGGCCTCGGGGCCCGTCCGTAGCGCTAAAGTGTTTGCAAATTTACGATTTCCCCATTTCCCTGTAGTGCCTGAGTGCCTCAGTCGTTCAAGTCCAGTTCGCTTCCACTGTCAGCCTCGTTGCATGCATACAATCCCTCGAAGCCCAGGTTCGCTCGCATCAGGCTTGATCTTGGACTCTACCAATTCCGCAGCACTGGAGGGAAAAATACCAGACGGGGGTCCTCCACCCGAACGCGATGAAATCAGCAGGACCAGAATATACTCGATCTTCAGTCCAACCGGTATTCCCCTCCTGGATCCTGTATGGAATCAGTCTCTTCATCCTGGGTCTATTTTTGGCCGTTCATTACATCAGACGCCGCCACCAAGCCCATTTTGTATACCTCGACGAGCTCGACCTGTGGTCTCCATCCTGCGCCATGGAGAAAGCATTGATCAAATCTCACTCTTCACCCTCGGCCTGCGATATCTTGATCCCACTTTCGCGGAATGGCACTTTTCCAAGTAGTGGAGCCGTCGCCGCCATGGCGCGAGAGCAAATGCAGAACGCAGACGCATGTTCACCGGGGGCCTCCAAGGCCGAGATCCCGACCCAAGATGAACAAAGTGATAGTGAGGCGAGTGGGTCGGTGCAGAGACGCGAGTCTGCACAGCAGATGCAGGAGGCGGATACCAGCGGGGTGCGGACTTGGAGGCGTCTGATCGTCGAGTATAGCTAGTTGCATGCTGGAACGCATGATGTGCATGTCTTTGGTTCTTCGTCCTGTTTGCTTAGCCCGGCGGCTTTTTTGAGGTTTTGAGTTCATTAATTTTTTTGTTCAGGAATGATTTTGTGTTATTTTTCCATCGCGACGTGGGACTAGTTCAATATATTTGTTAGATATTCGTTTCCATTCATGGAGTATGATTGCTCTTGTTGAGGTACTTTGGTAGTGATCTTCAATTCGCCTGATTAGGTGCTGAGTCATCGATGACGGGGCCTGGGAGTGGCATCTTCGTTTACTTTATTTCCGATTGCATCGACACTTCCCAACCGTGTCGCAACCATGACTGTCATTGCTTTTCCCTCGGGGAAAGAATCTCCCGATATGATGCTGCTCAATGTTGCTCGTCTGTTTACTCGCCTCGAACATAACCTCCTGTCTCCCGGGTCAGAACTCCGCACCCTACGCGGGTCCGAGTTTCAGCGCATGCGAGTCACAAAGGTAAGATAGCTCACCGTCTTCGTACAAAAAAGGTGATGGAGGACTCGTATCTTAACTAATATTCTCCGTAGAATGTCGAATACGCGCGCACCCTTCTTTCCCAGCTTGAACGCTCTCTGCCGCAATTGAAACAACCGGATCGACGACACGAGGCGCAAGTCGAGATTGCGCGAGATAGAGAGCTCTTAAAGCGAATTCAAGCTGTACTAGACCAAGAGGATGCCCGTGCAGATAACGACGCCGAAGTCGAAGATGTCGAGGACGACGAGTGGAGGGACCTGTTCTCTCAGCCCGTCACGGAAGTGGTTCCAGTACAAGCACAATCCCAGATCCAACTGGATCGGAAACCGGATCAAGAGATCAGGGAATCCCAACTGACTACATTGCCTACAACAACCACTTCACAGCCAGCCCCCACAGCACCAACAATTCCCTCAACACTTCGCAATCGCCACAACCAAGAAACGCCTCAGGATACGGCCAAAGCAACAGGCCGCAACACCTCGCCGAACAAACTCAAGTCCAACGAGCAAGCACTCGCCTCAGACCGTATGGAACAAGAAGACCTCACCAGCTCGCTGCTCTCACTAGCCAGCCAACTGAAAGCATCATCCCACTCGTTCCAAGCCACGCTAGAGAACGAGAAGTCTATACTCGATCGCGCCGTCACAGGTATCGACAAGACGTCAACGACAATGGAGGCAGCGGGACAGCGGATGGGAATGCTGCGCAAGATGAGCGAGGGAAAGGGCTGGTGGGGACGGATGATGCTGTACGGGTGGATTTTTGGACTGTGGCTGGTCGCTGTGTTGATAGTGTTTATCGGACCGAAGTTGCGGTTCTGATAGTCTTTTGTTTCGTTGAGATACCCTAAACTTCACATATATACGCATCCTCATGCTATTCTAGGCAGAGCCGAAGCCTACTCTCTATGCCTGCACTATAAAGGATTGCAATGGCAAGTCGTCGGAAACCCGAAGATTCAATTTCTGAACTCTGACTATAACCCAACGACCGACCTGGCATGACACATGAGAAGAGACATGATAATCCGTGTATCCTGTCCACAGTTCCCCGTGCCCATTGCCCAGATGGTCGCTCGAGGCTTCCAACGGACGCGAGACTAAGGAAACGATGGGGGGGGGGGGAAACGGTATGATTACATACAAGATCGATAAAAAGAGATAACGAGGGGTAAGGGGGTGCAAGCAAGAGATGATAGGATATCCAGCATTCAAATCAGACAAAAAGAAAAATGAACAGAAAAAAAAAAGGGGGTGAAAGATAGGGAAAAAAAAAGACAAAGAGGAAAAAGGCCACGGCTGATATACCGGGGCAAGAGAAGTTCCTATTCCGCATCGTCGAGAGCAGAAAGCGCCGGCTAGTGATCGTGTCCGGAAGCGCAATTAGAAGACACACAAGAAGAAATGGTAGCAGAGAAAGGAAATGTTCAACGCCGGAAACTGGGAACGAGGCTTTTGATCACATCCTGGCGAGATCCGTTTAACAAGCCGAAGAATAACACATGCGATCTAAGTTCAACTGTCGACACCCGGGAAATTCATTAGATCAAACCACAGAGACGGAGGTTCTCCTGGATGATGATATCTGCACATAATCAGTATATGAGTGGTTTGTACGGGGAGATCGGGGTGCCTTACCGTTCACGGCAGCCATAACGAAGCGGATCTGGGTAGTGTCGGTGGCGCAGGTGAAGTGGGTGTAAATCTGCTTCTGCTCGGCCTGGTTCAGGGACACAAAGCGGTTGAGGATGTAATCGCAGGCAGCGGCGTAGTCGGCACCACCCTCATAATCGGGGAAATAGTTCTTCATCGGGCTGACGGGCAGCTTCTCCTTGAAGCGATCGATCTTGTTGAGGAAAAGAATGATTGAAGTCTTTACGAACCACCGGGAGTTGCAGATGGAGTCGAACAGGGTCAGGGCCTCTTGCATACGGTTGACGGTCTCGTCCTCGAACAGCAACTGGTCGTACTCGGAGATGGCGACCAAGAACAGAATGGTGGTGACGTTCTCGAAGCAGTGAATCCACTTCTTACGCTCGGATCGCTGACCACCGACGTCGAACATCCGGTAGGTCAAATCGCCAATGATGAAGGTGGTCTCGGTGATACCGGTAGTCTTGACACGCGAACGGAGAACATCCTGGTCGGTGGGAAGGTAGTCGGGCTGGGCAATGCGGTCAATGGCATCGAAGTAGCTAGAATAAAACAATTAGCACGATTGTCGCCAATTCCACTCGTTGCCCGATGCGACTAACTATTTAGCGGAGTCGTTCAGCTGGTATTCACGCGAGCGCTTGAAACACTCCTGAACACCCGTGTCGCGCCACAAAGCGCCGATGGCGTTGCCAACCTCCGGGGGATGCTGTCACCCTCGATCTGGGCGGGCTGCATAAAGATGGTTTGAACGTGGTACTCGTTGCGCGCATCCTCCAAGGGCAACTCGAGAGACTCCATGGCCTCGAGGATGACCCGCATGGACTGAACGGTGTTGCTATAGATGATCTCCTTGAAGGATTCTCGTTCGTCGCGCGAGTAACCGCCCTCGTGAATGAGCTTCATCTGTTTCAAGATCGTGGATTTTCCAGACTCTCCGGCACCTATTATCCCTTTGTCAGTCGACCGTTCTTGAACCGGATTCGCGCCTATGTCGGCTCGAGTCGAATCTCATACCGAGAAGCAACATCTTGATCTCGTTCCTTTGCAGCATCTTGTCGCGCTTGAGCTGGTTCTCAATCTCCTCGTTCCGGGCCTTGCCCTCCTTATCCTCAGTGCTCATTCCGCAACCCATGATGACGGTAGATGTGTTAAGAAAACACAAAAAAAAACGAAGGTGATGCGGAGGTGCGAGCCGATCGACTCGTTAAGGTTCGGGATCGATTACAGGGACTGTGTATGTGAAGCAAAGCGTTAGCGAACTTGTTCTTTCCCTCGAGTGAAAGATGGCGACTGTGCAATGGAAGGACTCTGCGGACAGGTAGTACAGGGCGCAGAGTGCCGACGTTTCAGGATGTGTGTCGACGCAAGGGTGAGACGGGGACCACGAGAGCCAGGGAGTCAGATATGTACGCACCGAGAATATCCCTTTTAAAAAAAGAAAAGGAGTGAGGTAGCAAGTACGATATGAACGAACCCGAATTGGAGAGAAAAGAAGGGGAGGTTCGAGGTCGATGAAGGTAAGGGGGGAGGGGGCAAATTGGGAAGTTTCAGCAGGGAAAGGGGATACACTAGTATTACCCGCCCATCAGTGGCAGCCGCTCTTTGTTCACGCCGGCGAAACTAAGCCGTGACCATACGGTGACCACTGGTCGACTTTGGCATCGCGTTGGGTGAGTTCATTGGCTATTAGAGAAGTGGAGAATCGGGGGCCCATCGAACTTCCCCTTTTTTTTTTTGTTTTCTTACCCTTGTCTTTAGCTGGAAATCTTAGTGTTTGGGGTTTGGTGTTTGGTGTTTGTACATCTGGTCAGACCCATTATTAAGTCATCCCATATAGGTCTAGCGAGTGTGCTACCGACTTTCGTTGCGTCTATCTGCTCGTCCATTTTTCCCGCTCTGCAAAAAGGGGTAGGAAGGGAAGAGCTCTGCAGATCACGGTGGATCCAAATGTTAATTGTTCGCGAGAATTGTTGAAATCTCTACAATGTACTCCAGACTCCGTAACCATGATCATCCACGAGACTATGGTATTCTCGGTCTCGACCCGCAAATGCTGACTGTAGCTCTGCATGACGCCGTCGGTCCTCACTCGGTAACGTAGGGCATCCGATATGGTCAGCCTGTTTCTAGTTCTGTTTCTGTTTCTGTTTCTTTCAGCCTGGGACAGGCTGTAGGAAGATGAAAGAATCTCACGGTCACATTCGGACTCAACCCGGTGCAAGCTGGTGCGGCGATTCTGTTCGAAACCTGATATCTTTGGTCTTTGAAGGCTCCACATGGAGTCTGAGCACTCCGTGTCGATCTCTTTGGTTGCAACACACAGCGTCCATTACCCCATAGACGTAAATCAGCCCTTATCCGGGAGCCGAAATGTTGTCGATGTAATGGACATGGGGCTTCAGTCCACACACGCTGGCCGCAGTGGGCACATGCGCTTCGCATGGGGCCCCCTGGACGGATGGAATTTCTGGAATGTCTGGAAGTTTTGCCCTCTTACACGCTATCATGCCATGACCCACAATCTATTGCTTCTAGGCGATTTTTGCCGCGCGCCATGCCCTTGCCCTGATTCCCTGGGGATACATAAGGAGACATGGAGATTTGGACATCAGGAGATTTCCACGTTTCAATGCTCCGAGACTGTGAAGCTATGACCGTAACCAACGCTTCAATCAAAGAGAAACTTCTGAACATGAGAGTCTCCTTCACAAAGAGATGTCAAATACTACCATGCAGTCTGCTATCCTATCCTAGGCTCGCATGTATGAGTTCGACGCAGTGTCAGAACTATTACATACCTCATTTGCCGTGGAGACATTTCTGGCATCTCAAAATGGTTGAAGATCGCCCTCGAACTTGACATGGTGGCGTTCGTGACCCGAAATGGTCGAAGAATAGACATGAAGTCGAGGCGGTGCGTGCACATGTGGTTAGCTCAGTGTTCCAAAGCTTCTCTTCAGCCGCACAAAACCGTCCATTCCTATACAACCATTGTCGAAAGGATATGTCCGTAATCTGCGCTACACGCAAAGGCCGCAATGACTTCCTCGCTATTCCACTTGATCTGGAGGTTTTTTTTTTTTAGTTTTAATTGGGAGGAAGAGATCCCGAAGAGAAGACCTAGAGCAAAGAGATTGGGAAGAGCCTACAATCCCATGCGTGACTGGTACCGCAAGGGACGATGGAAAGAGATTCAATAGATGCCCTACGGTGATCTTGCATTCTACTGAATCGACTAACACCAAGACGACTAGTTGCTGAGCTTGATCAGAAACCTGCGAATCGCGATGAATCAATTTGCAATATTCTACCTTATATCGCATTGTCGCACAACTCTTCTGTCGGTCTATAATCGCGCTATCGATCACTCCACTCCAGTCACATCATACTGCGGATAGGTCTGCCTTGCATTGAACTAGCGACCTATGAAACTGGTGGATCCAAATATATACAAGCGTGTGAGTTCGATACTGTATGCCACGAACAGTGGGAACATCAAGGGCTTTGACAGCAATAGACACGGGAGAGAAATACCAATGTCCCAAAAAAGTTATAAGCATCCATGTTCGATGTTCGAAATGGTATGGTGACGAGACCGCCATGTGGCCGGCGTTTATATAGTGGATCGAGAGGATCCCCGAGTCCACCGGACTGGCAATAGCGCAAAGATAGCGCCCTGTTTCGCGGTTCACTGGTGGCCGCTGGCGCCACGATACCGACCAGCGGAAATTGGACCGTGGAAAGAGTTTGGCTATTGCAGTCCTTTTTTCTGTTGATTTGTACCGTATACCCGTGTGGGAGAAAATTGCCGAACCAGTGAAGGTGAGCACAGTTCAACATAATGACATGAACAGTGGTGAGTACAACCCTCTTGACGTCAGGAAATCAGATATTCACGCAAAATTTCAATTATTATAATAATTTATTTTTTTTGGAAAAGAAAAAAAAAACAAAAAAATGGGACAACTGACAACCTTCGTGTATAAAGAACCAGGTACAATACACGGATACAAGGAACCCTTTCGACCCACGGAACGAGCGATCGGGGCCAAATCGAATCGCAGCAATCGAATCGCGGATCTGATTTTTCGGGTCCCGGTTCCCCACTCTATCTTTTCCTGGCCATCACCACTTCTCCGCAACACACCATGTCGTACGAAATGTCCCATCTGGGCCCGAGGGGTATGCGTCGCGTTTAAATTCTCCCTACATGAGCTAATTGACCAGCCTTCAACCACGACCAGAGTGGTGACGCTGAGAAGGAGTACGATCGGCTGCGCGACCTGGCGCGCCAGGAGGCCTCGAAGCGGGGACAATGTTTCAGCAGGGTACGATTTGCACGCTCTCGGTCTTCTGCTCGTAAAGATCATGGCTAACTAGGCGTAGTCGAAAGAAGCTTATGCCAATGGTGATGGCGCGGCCGCAAAGCAGCTCTCCGAGGAGGGCAAGGCGCATGGTCGCAAGATGGAGGAGTATAACAAGCAGGCGTCCGAGTTCATTTTCCGCGAAAACAACGCCAGCGGACGCGTCGCGGAAGACACAATTGACCTGCACGGGCAATTTGTGGAGGAGGCCGAGGAAATTCTGGAGGAGCGCATCCGCTACGCCAAGTCTCACGGCCAGAACCACTTGCATGTGTACGCTGAGCCTGATCCATCACAGATCCTTTCCCAATGTCCCCAACTGACACAGCCATTAGCATCGTCGGCAAGGGTAATCACTCTGCAGGCCATGTCCAGAAGATCAAGCCGCGCGTTGAGCAGATTTGTCGCGAACTGGGTCTCCAATACGCCACCGAGGAAAACGCCGGTCGTATCTACGTCAACCTGACCGGTGGCGAGGCCGTGATGCCCCCATATCAACCGCACCAGCAGACCCAACATGGCTCCCACCAGCAATACCCCGGTCACCAGCAGCAATACCCATCTCACCAGCAGCAATACCCATCTCACCAGCAGCAATACCCATCTCACCAGCAGCAGACACACCATCAACAACAACCGCAGCAGCAGGACGAGCTCGAGCAGGTTGTCAATCGGCTGTTGCCCAAGGTTATGCGCAAGCTCGAGAAGGCGTGCTGTGTGGTTATGTAAAGCATTTTGCCTTGCAATGTTTGGAGGGCTTACATATAGTGCAAATAGGGCATTGGTCCCGTCCTCATTTTTAATAAGATTAGGTCCCCTGATAAATGCATAATAAACTAGACTAGAGGCAGGAAGTCACCTTACCAAATGTCGTGCTTTGATAATAGCGTGGTTCCAATGCAGACTTGCCAGGACTTCTTGGCTTGATTGTTGCAGCATGAAGTTGCCTGTATAGGCCCGAACCTGAAGAGAATTATCAGGGGCCTCCACTCTTGATACTTTGGTTTAGCCTCGAACTCTCCCTGTGCACCTCTACAGAGCTCCCTCTGTTCCTTGTCTGGGAATCCTGGTTCATGCCTTTGAATAGAAGTGAGGAAATACATAAGCCAGGGCCGCTAATGTGGAATTGTTTCTAATTTGTTCCTGCCCCGGCTGTACCAAGATGCCAAGCTATGCTGCGGCTCTAGCGTAAATTGAAAGGCTCGAATACCATTCTTGATATGATCGTTGCTTCGTATAAACATCATTGAACATAGCCATCTTGAGACCTCAAATGAACGCAGGGGTATTCCAGATATATGCCACTAACACCACCTCCCGGTACGGCAACTCAAACTTCGTTCCTACTGTGCAACTTCGTCCGACAGCGTGGTCTCCACAATTTTATGCAACACTGCACGCACCATCGACCCGTCCCCGGCACCGTTGATGCGGGGCGTGGCGTCGATCATCTCGACGAGATTCAAAGCTCGATCGCGAAGCTCGGCCACTGTCTGCCGCGTGTGCGCGAAGCTGCCGGTGCTCTCCATGTAATGCACAGCATGGCGCTTGACCTCGTCGTCTTTGGTCTTCTGCTTCAGGATGCTGAGAAGCTGGTGATTGGAGGGATTGGCGCGAATGCTGTGAATAATTGGGAAGGAAAATTTGCCCTCGGTCAAGTCCTCACACAGACCCTTGTTTTGGGTGTATTTCGTGCTGGACAGGTTGAGGTAGTCATCGCAGATTTGGAAGATCAGACCCATCACGTTTACTAGGCTCACGCAGTCTTTTCCAGTTCTACTCTCGGCTTGCATTAGCTTCACGGCTAGGCGGAAGAGGCCCCCTGTTTTGTTGCCGACCATCTCTAAGTACTCGTCTTCAGTTGGGCACGTGAGGGTGTCACGCCAAAAGAGATCCATGCCTTGGCCGCGATGGAGGTTCAGCAGCTCCTTTACGTAGATGTCGATAGCGGTGGGGTTATTCAGTTGTTGGATCTCTTGGAGGGCGAGGAAGTAGACGTAGTTGGCGGAGTTGATAGTTTGAGCTGTGCCGAAGATATTGTGCGCGACGGGAATTCCACGGCGGAGGACTGAATCGTCCTCGACATCGTCGATTCTGTATGGAGATATTAGTGAGCAATAAATCTAGCAAGAAGCGTAAATAGAAGAGCTTACAGTAGCGAAGCTGTGTGTAGCATTGTCACCACCTTGGAAATGATCGCCAAACTCTCGGAGGGTACCTGGAGCCAGGAATTGAATGCCTCGATCAGCTGACGACGCACATCCTTGCCGGGATGCTGGTGCATATAGTCATAGGGACCCATGAGGATCTCTTCATTCTTTGAGGACCACGTTCCATCCTTATATTTCGTGCCATCCACGCTGGATTTGTTACGCTGGTGTCTGTGCTTGGTCTGTCCCGTCGAATCTTCCCCGAGCGACGTCCTGTGGCGGTGGGAGGGCGGACTGCTCGAACCATTCGTAGCCCCTGTAGAGCTAGTCCTTGGGGGAACAGGGTTTGGTGGTTGGAATGAGGGATTCATGGTGCGGTGTAGAGACGGATGAGGGGGAGATTGGGAGGGGCTGAGGGGTTGTTGACGCAGAGAGCAGATGACATCAAGACTAGGCGCCAACGTGAAGATAACACTATTTTTGCGAGGGTCAGCTGGTACCAGGCACGCGTAGTGAGAGTCGATCAGATCCTTTTTGTTCTTTCTTTTTTTTCTGTGCCCTACAACTCACCATTCTGAGTATTCGGAGCTGGAATGACTCTGGCCCTGGTACCTCCGATGACTAATCGAGCGTTGTGAGGCCGCAAGGCCATCCCGCCAAAATCAATCAATCACGAGGCGATGCAAGGTCGAGCGGGGTATAGGCGAATAAAAAGACATATCACATTTTGATAACCCCCATGTAGCATCAAGGGAGACATTAACGAGAAATAGAATGATGGCCTGTAAGGTGATGAGGTTTGCTACGGCAACAGACGCCGGGGACACCGAACGTCCAGCTCGCCCTGTGACGACAAGGAGGACTAGCGGCCAGTAGGACTTCCCCAGGGCGTAAACCGGTTTTTTTTGCAAGTGTCAAAAATAAGCATCTATTGACGCCATGGTTTGATCTGCGCCTAGAACCTCGGGTCCGATCTGAAAACCGGAACTAGTGGTGGTTCTAGGGTCAAAAGTGCCTGGCAAACCGCGGGGTCGTCCGGGGCAACCGCCTGCGTTGGCCTTTATTTATGTTGGGAGCGGCCCGACTGACCTCATCGGCTGTCACGGACCACTTTCGATCCCGATTTTCTGCCAAAATCCCTTGATATGTTCAGCAGCTGGCTGTTGTCCTGCCCTGGTCAACAGTTTTCATTTATTCTTCCGTTCTTCTCTTGATTCATTCTGACTCGCGGTTTCTTTTTCATACATCCTCATGGAGACTCTATTGGCTCATTCCTTTGATTATCTTTCCTCATACGAGCCCAGCAAGGTCCGCAAGGGCCTGCGCCAGGTCGAGGGCCTGCTCGCGCAAATTTGTCTTTCCAAATCAAGACCTTCCACCGATCGACGGAAGTCCTATCTGGCCGTCGAGGCGCAGCCGGTGCCGAAGGAGCTATCCGAATTGCGCGATGACCCAGCATTTAGGGAATTTTTTAAATTACAAGAAAGCTTCCAATGGAATGGTAAGTCTCATCGGCTTGTTTAATTTTGCTTCGTTTGTTTTGTGCCATTCCCCACATGCATACTGATCTTTCTGCGCACAGTCGCGATGCGCTTAGTATCCTGCCTAGAGCACCTGCTCGGCCGCGGTAGCAATGGCACCAACGATATGCTCATCGTCTGCACTCTCGATCTAATCCAAGGCGCTTTGCTCTTGCACCCACCATCGCGGACTCTATTCGCGCGTGAAATTTACATGAATCTTCTCCTCGACCTCCTCGACCCGATCAATTGTCCAGCCATTCAATCAGCTACTTTGTTGACCCTCGTCACCGCTTTACTGGACTGCCCCTCAAACACCCGTACTTTTGAAGAACTCGACGGTCTTCTCACCATCACATCACTGTTCAAGCAACGCGCCACTTCTCGTGAAGTCAAGCTCAAATTGGTCGAGTTCCTGTATTTTTATCTCATGCCTGAAACACCGATCCTGGCCGGAGGCAGCCCACCGGCTCTGCAGCGCAGCCCCAACAAGCTCTCCGCCCGCCCATCGAGCTCGCATGCATCCGCGGCAGGCGGGGCCAAGATGATCCGCGACACACGCACTACCGACGAGAAGCAGGCGCTACTAGGCCGTTACCTGAATAACGTCGAGGATCTGGTGGAGGACCTCAAAGAGACCGCACCGTTTGGAGCAACGGTATATTGAATGAATTATCTGAGGCGATGACTGGACTCCCGCCCACGACAGAATGTGTTTGATGACCGCATTGATGTGGTTGACTTTGATTTGTTTTCTTGTTCCCAGCCAGTTTCCTTTTCTTTCTTCTCTTCATTTCTTCAGTCTTGTTTTTTGATTCCCACGAGCTTTTCTTTTTCCGTCCGGTACGGCGTGAATGTGTGGTCTAGCCTGATGCTTTTCCCGCTCTTGGTTTCTTGTTTTGATTTTTGACTCTCTCTTGTTTCCAGCCTTTCTTCGATTTTAGTTCTTATTTTTTTTTTTCAGGTGGTCTTCCCGTCTCATCTAGTTTCTTGTCTCTCCAAACCTGGATTTGCGTCGTCTTCTCGATGGGCTTCGGGCCTCATTTTCCTTGTGTGTCCTTGATGGCCACATAACAGTGTACGATTCTTCTCTGTTCCTATTTGACTCAAATCTTAAAAAATTAAATATTCAACCATACCCCTTTTCGCGTTTCCGTAAAATGTCGTGTTCGAACCATTCTGAAATAGGTCAGGTTGAAGCCATTAGATTTGTATGACTTGGGTTGACTCATTTCGGAGGTGACTCGACGTGGATTTGAGTCGCGATGCTGGGCCGGTAAGGTGGAGAAGATCGGACCATGGAACACACTATATCCCCACCTGCCTCCCTGGTTCCTTGAAACAAAACGTGGACCCCAGAACTAGTCAAGTCCCGTTACCGACGCTTCGACTACATGACGAAGACTATTCAAGATAAGCTGGCCGAGCACTCCAATTCAGGAGATCCTCAACTGTTTCAATATGTCGGGACGGTGGAAGCATATGATAATTGGACGAAGGCAGGTTTAGAAGCCAACGATCGAAACAACTTCTCATGCAGGGTAAATATGCAGTGTACTGAAACTACACACAGGCCCATGACACAGATGGAAATATCGTTCAACGCCTCGACACATTTGAGATGTGGGCCCTGCTTCCTCAATTCTTGGACAAAGTGACTGCGCGCTTCTCCACTCAGTCGCAATCATCTTCGCTGAAGCTAGTCGATTTCGGGTGTGGTACTGGCAGAAACACCATACAGCTGCTTGAAGAGTTGTCCATACTTCGGGAGAGCAGCGAAGCTACTCCTTTCCGGGAGGTTGTGGGTCTTGATGTGTCACCGGGGATTCTAGAGGTAGCGAGAAGCGCTATTCAGACGGCCGTGAGGGAGAAGAATCCGCATATACTGTGTTTTTGCTGGGAATAATCGATCTTCTGCAAGGTGCATCATCACAGGCGCAGGTGAAACCTCACTGCAGACGTTGGGTGCTGTGGGAGTCATTTCTACTCTCGTGCTAGAATACATTCCTGCGAAGGAGTTCTTCGAAGCAGCGGCAGCAAGGATGCTACCCGGCGCCTATCTAATGGTAACCAACATGCACGCGGATATGGGTGCAATTCGCCAGGCGCGGTTCACGGACCCGCAGATTGGGATTAAAATCAGACCCACTAGCTATTGTCACTCTGTCCCTGAGGTGCTAGCGGCGGCCGAGAAAGCCGGATTCAAGGCTGAGAACTTACTTAGCGAGGAAGGAGAATATAGTGTTCTGCAAAGGGCAGTTGATCAGCAATTAGGTAAGGCATTGGGTGCACAGGCGAAGAAGTGGGTTGGGATCAAGGTCTGGTTTGGGGTCTGTTTCAGCAAAATAAAAGCAGGAAATCTCTGCCTGAGACTCGGTGGAGAGTATGATTCCTATTCCTGATGCGGGTAATAATACATTTAGAAAAACTGCAGCAGTCTTTCCCGGTGTTGTACAAGATTGGGGTTTTCTCGGAGTAACTGTGCCAGGCGGTTCTGCTTCCACCCCATGCCCTCGTCCAGGATCAGATGTGTGTAGGCGAATGCGCTGGCATCAAAGAGACCTGGCTTGGATCGACCGAAGAAGTGCTCGTCCTCTCCAAGCAGGGCGGACAGAGCCTCGAATGCGCTTTTTGCGTCGCCTTCCAGATCGGCCGCATCAATGTATTTTGATGTCTTGAGAAGCTCGTCGCGGGCTGCTTGTTGAAGTTGGATACCTAGCGCGGTGCGGACGATGGTATTTGTTGTAGCTGGAACCACGTAGAGTCGGCGTGCGACGGCCTCGAAGTTGTCGTTGTCGAGATATAACATGTATAACTGAGTGGACGTGAGCAAGTGTGTTTCGTTGATCACCCAGGGATATACAGGAATAGCATACCCAAGCATTACGTAACCGATGGTCCAGCAGCGATGCGTAGACTTCAAAGCGGAGGTTTAGTTGTTGCTCCTCTTCACAGTGGACTTGTTCAATGGCCCACTTCTGGAGCTTGTGCGAGGGGATGGGACCGGGTGCGCCTGCGGGGAGAGCGGGAAGGAGAAAGGGCAAGGCGCCGGTGGGCGATGCATGATTGTTGGAGGGGGTGACCTCAAAGTCGATTCCGACGAATTTCAGGTAGGCCTGCGTGAGATCAGTATAGCTGCTTCGTGACCGTGCTGGGCAGATCTCGTACCTGCCATTTGAGACATTGAGGGTTAAATGAAGGTCGACCATGGCGCGCGCCCTTTGCGTCGCTAAAGACATATAACTGGTTCTCGTGCCGTCGGGACGGAGACCGCAGCGGTAGGTCGTTGGGGGATACGTGGTCAACGGAAAGCGGTCGAAAAGACGTTTGATGGGGGCTGGAACTGTAAAGAAATCATGCACAGCACTAGGACCGGCAGAGCTGGTACTTTCCGGCTGAGGGCCCTCACTGCTTTTTGGCGGCATCGCGACTTTATGCAGGAGAATCGGAGCAACCAGGGCCTCGCCCACTAAACCGTGACGATTCACAGGAACGGATGAACCTGAAGGGCCGAGACCCATCGGCAGCCCCCACCAGAAGACACCAAATCACGTGACACCGGATTTATCCAGGCTCCGACCATCCGCCTGTACTTGAACCACTCAATATCGGTGGTTTAATGGTTGCGTAACGGCGATTAGGTAAACCCTCCCCGCATCATTTTTCCTCTCTCATCTTTCCTATGTCGTGCCTAAACCCTTCGGTATTCGTCCCCTCACTTCGCTCTTCTGTCGTCACCTCACCGATGCTCATAGTTCATCCCACGTTTTCCCATCGGTCTCGGTGAACCGTCTCACACGCCGACTCTTGGACCCGGTTGACCCCGCTTTCAGTCTCGACCTTCCGGCGCCACGAAAGACACAATATCTTTACTGATATTTGTCCCCAGAAGGCTTGCAAGCAATATTTTCTTTCTCGACTTACGGTCCCGCGCCAAGAGCTGCGTTAGCGGACGGCCTTTGTGGTACTTAGCACTTAGTATTCAGTCATCGGCATCGTCATCCGGCGATCGTTGCCGCTCTCTGATCACACCACCCATATCTTTGGCCTGCGATAATGCCTCTTGATGAAGAGGGTGCCAAGTGGTCTTGGTATGATTTTCCGTAGAAACAGTCAGTTGCACATGCGCTGACGTTCTTTCTATAGCGAACCATGCATTCGCGGCCACCGATCTTCAAAATGTCAGCACTTCGACAGACTGATGATGAAGGTACCCAAGGCTGGACGGCCTCTAGCCAAATGTCCCCATCCGAAGGGGACCTGCAGTTGCCAGAAGACGTTTGCCTTCATGGTCCGAATCCCGAAAGGTCAGCAGCTTATGCCCTTTCCTGCCGAATTCCGCTAATGTATGCCCAGGCTCGACATGTTTATGCCGACCGCTATACAAAGTCCCTGCCAGCACAGATGAGTCATCACAGTCCACCCCAGCACCTGTACCTCCAGTTTCGTCAACTGCAGCGGCCAAAATTCAGAAATCAGGAAGACGACAAAGCCTTTTTCAAGCTGCACCGGGCAACCTTGCAAAGGCGCTGGAGTCTATGCCGGACAATCTCAAATTCGAGGATGGTGTGGTCAACTACGCGGCAACCATTGCTCAACCCTCCGATCGGAATGACTCGCTCTCAGCTATTCAGTCGACCAACAGCTTTTCACCTACACCCGCTTCTGATGGACCTACCCCGAATGGAACTAGCTGTTGCTCCAAGAAATCCCAGGCCCCACCAGTGGCTTCCAACAGCGGAGGCTCTTGCTGTTCTGGAAAGTCTAATGCGCCATCAACGTCCAATACTTTCTTCACTGGAAACGGGTACAAGGCGAGCCAGCCCACTGACTGGAACGACATGTCATATATGAATTTCTCGGCGGCCCAGATGCCCGCTTGGCAAAACCCTATAGACTCTACTCAGCCCCAATTCATGCAATCGTTGGGGATGCATAGCGCCCAGTCCCATCCACTTTACACGAACGAATATGCCTCTCATGTGTCTTCCGCTCCATCGTACTCGAACACGATGAGTGAAATTGGGACAACACAAACGGCCGTGGCTCAATTTGCTGCGGACCACTCCCGGAAGTCCGCCTACATGCACTCCCATACCCACCATGATGCGGAGTCTTGTCATGAGTGTAAATGTGGAGACGATTGTCAATGCTTAGGCTGCGCGGCCCATCCCTTTAACAACACTACTCGTCAGCATGTTCAGGAGATGGGTGTTTTGATGACCTTTGATGGTGATGAGCACATCCCCGAAGACATGGCCAACGCCTACCCGCCTCCATTCCATGGTAATACTCCATCGACTCCAATGAACTTTGGCTTCATGCAGCACAATCCCTCCATGGAAAACACTGGTCAGCAAAACAACTTCGACCCGTACTCGGATCCAAACTCCGCCATTTCTTCTGGCTACTCCTCTCCTCTCCGCGCCAGTCACACATTGAACCAGCAATTAATGCATCCATCCGAATACTACACGTTGGAGTATCCGGTGGGAATTCCCTCAGCCTGTTCGAATATGACTGGAAGCTGTCAATGTGGAAACGACTGCAGTTGCGTGGGCTGTCTCACACACAGCGGTCATAATGGCGTGCCTCTCGATGCATCGATCCCAGAGCCTTCTATTGCTACCACAACAGAACAGCACCCTTCGTCCCATCGCCATACCTCGGTGACATCTGTTAGCCACAGTTCGCATATTCCTGTGCTTGACAATATTTCTGTGCCATGTCTGAGTCCACGCACGCTTGAGACATCGATGATTTGAGTCCACCGTGATGACCAATTTCTCTTCTGGACCCCCTTTACCCCACCGTTTATTACACGATTTATGATGTACAATGATACCCTTTAGATATCTCTGCTCTAGAAAGCCGGCTGCAATGTCCGCTCGCTATATGGAATGAAAATCTTTCCAGTCGCTTTTTCGATACTCTCGGCATTGTATCCTCCCGTTCCCTTTTCTAATAGATATAGACGCCCCCTTAGAAAAGCCTCGTTCCATGGGGTTGAGTCCCTCCCGCCTTCCCGAGGCCTGTGTCCCATGATATGATACATACGAGATCGTCACGTAGTTAAGTTACTTGTTTGAAATCTTCATACCAATAGGCTTTCTTCTCAAATCAAGGTAGCAAACTCATGAACTTGACAAGTATGATAGTGGGTCTAGGAGTGGATTCTATCGCGGTTTCGGAAAGCAATACTACATTACATAATCTTGACACTATTCCAACCTCTCCTATTCAGCCTTACAGTGAACTTATCATTGGCCAGGAGTTGAAACCGCTACAACAACTTCGCTAGCTAATCGATTGAGAAGGAAGCGCTTTGAAGTTGCCGCGAAATCTTCTGAGCTCCAAGCTAATGGAAATGACCACTCGTCTTTGACGGGTTCCTTCCACACATGAAGCAGCGCACATCTCACGGCAAAAGCGCTGGTGCGGAAGGAAGCATCTTCTGTTCATAGAAGACTGCTTTCCTCCTGCTGTCGTCTACAAATTCGATTATATCAGCTGAAGCTAGCCGATTGGCGTGCTTGTACACCATGCCAGACCTATTTTCAACTGACGAGGCACCAATGTCTCAGGACATTCGAGCCCATTATGTGCGCACGCAAGAATACACATCGACACCAAAGTATCCGCCCGGGTCCGCAATTGGCTCCGCACTGGGATACTTTGGCCATGAGAACTATGAAGATGACAATGATACTGTCGTCGTTGACAACAAGATCTTGAACTCTGCCACACATCAGTTTTCCGAGGGTGACTTTGTTTGCCCTGGCTTCTTCAGTCTTACAAATCTCGATGGCTTTACGCGTCGCTTTAAATGCAACCAATGGTCTTACGAAATGCGCCGCCAAGCACAGCCGATCTTTCCATTCCTATCCTTGGGCCCGTCATCCTGCCTCAGAGACCGCGAATTTCTCCGTTCTCAGGGGTTCACTCTTCTCCTAGCAATCCGTAGCAGCCAGTCTGCTCAAGCACGTCTGGTATCGGGGACAAGGCTGCCGCTGAAATCGGTGTGCAAGCTGACACCATTGATGTTCTCGACAACCAAGAGCTGATTTCCGCTTTCCCCACGCCATTCGTCGTATCAATGATCACCTAGCGGGGGTGGATGTTGATACCTCTGGCGAAATGGAAGCATTTCAGACTGGCCAAGCACCCATGAAGAGAAAGGTCCTAGTCTTTTGTGAATCCGGCAATGAGCGATCTGCCGCGGTAGTCATCGCCTATATGATGGCGATGCTCAATATGGATCCAGGACAGGCCCTCCACTTGACTCAACAGCACCGCTTTTGTGTCTCGATCGAGGATCCACTGAAGCGCATTCTCTTTTCATTTGAGTCTATCCTGTCGGCGAAGCGTGACGTCGAGCGTGTCAGGCGCTCGAACATGCAGACTGGAGCTACAACCCTTGCTCCTCCACCAGTGCCCCCTGTTCTGCTCTCCAAAAAACGTAGTTTCGCGGACCATTATCATGAAGATACCGATATGGCCGACGGTGACATGGAAGTCGACGGGGACAGGGACTTCTTCTCTGAGCGAAGACCCGTTGCCCCCTTTCAGGACCGCGTGGTCTAGAAATGTTACGATCATGAGGACGCACAGTGGCTTGCTCTGAAATCTCCATTAGCCCTTCGATTTGTGATCTCAACTTCTGTTTGCTGGAAAATATCCTGTTAGTGCTACTCGTTGCTCTATACACATTTCTTGGATATTTGACCCTCCACATACTCTTAAAATTTCCCGTATTATAAGTATCATGGCATCTGGTAGGGAATGGAACTAGCAGGAACCATAAATGTTTCTCCAGGCATATCCAAGGTGCCTTGAGCGAGATGTCTAGAAGTGACAAGAAGAAGTCAAGTGAGAACTTTGGAAAACTTGACGGCGACGAGGCTAAGGGCATGTGAGAGAACCGTTTGTTAAGCTTTTACGATATATCGTCCTCATCGTCTCTCACGTCCACCATTTCCCCTGCGTTTCTCTCACGACGCTGTTTTCAAAGCTGCTGCATTCCAGCCTTACATCTTTCAGCCTTCCCCATGCTTTGCCGACCCCTCGGCTACGGCACTAATTATCATGGATGATACTGTTCATTACGACGCGAACATGGACCCGACGTTCATGACAAGTGATGATGAATTCGATGCCTGGCCAGCGAGTGTCAACTCCTGGAAAATTCCCGATCAATTTGTAAGTTCAAGACACTTCTTCCCAACAAGCGCTCTTGAAGAAATAACTGCTGACGATAAGGTCATGGTCATCCAGGCTCGTGCTGGTTCCCTTGTTCTCGGTGACCTGAAACCTTCTATTCAGATCGAAATCATCCACAACTTGCGTGAGGAGTTGGGCGGCGCCATCGAAGCTGCCTGTACGAGATTGAGAATTACTGATGAAGAGAAAAATGATCTCATCATGTACAACAACCTGTACAATCGCAGTCTCGAGGCAGAAAACATCACGGTGCTGACGTACAGGAAAAGGCAGAGAGCAGCATTGCAGAAGCTTGATCAAGGTGTAGCCGCGTGTCTTGTTCAGAAAGACTTGTCCAATATCTTCAAGACTACTTGTCGGCAATTGTCCGACGCAAGGGCCAACCTCGGCGTAGAAAATGTCATGCACGCCCAAGCATCGGATGTCCTGCTGTCATACGAATTTCTAGATCGCATCCATCTTCCCCGCAGTCTCGCTGGTACCTGGTACAATGGCATTGAAACCCGCCTCAATGGTCATTACGATTATCCCACTCCTGAGTCTGAATCTTGGGAATGGGCTGAACATTGTTCAAGCGCCAAGTCGATCTGGGTAGAATTGGCGCGACGCGGCCTGCATCCGCTAGAGAAGAGCAAAGATATCTGCTTACAACGAAGGCCTTTGGTACCAAGAGCTCAGTCAAACCGCTAGCCACTTTGACCGACAAAGGCCAAAGACACTCTGGCACCTCGAACGAGGAAACACCGTTCTGGCACACCCGAGGCCCCCCCTACGAATGTGACGGACTCTGAAGCTCGTTACCAGTGGAATGTGACTCAATCGAAACTCGACCTGATTCAACATGAGAAAGCCTTGTTAGAAGCTGAACTGAAGGAGACCAGGGATCGGGCCGAAAGCCCTCATTTTGGTGCCTGTGCTAACCCCGAAAACCCTTGGTACTTCACCTTGGATGAGGACGACGATGTTCTTGAGTGGTAGATGTGATTTCTTATTTCAACAATCTATGCCTTTCTTTCATGCATCAAGTGGACCATTTACCATTCATGTAATTGTCTTTAGATATAGTAACCCCAACTGGGCACTCCCTTCCTGCGTTATGAATGCCCCTAGGACGAAATGAAGAATGTACATTCACCAGTTCCATTGGAAACAAGCTTAGCTGGAGCGATTCTGACTTGACATCATTGGAGTTGCAGTGACTTTCAGAGATCAGAGAAATTACATCATTTTCGAAACATAAGCTGTGCATCCGAAGTAGACGAGTTCAATCTAGAAGTGGCCCGTGCCCGACGCGAAAATCCGCGTCCAACACGCGCGCGGCGTCCTATCGTCCATCTTGTGAACAATCCACAGCAGAATAGGCTCATGCGTTTCGTGAAGCTCGGGAATATTGATCACAGCATAACTGTACCTCTTTGATTCCATCCGTTGTACAGCTAAACCTTGATCTGGTTCCAAGCCTCATCCCTGGGAATGACGTCTGCGCCATCCGGACCCTGATCGATCGCGGCTTCTACTCTCGCTCCTTTCGCAACCCCGGTTAGGCACAATGTCTGCCACGAACTCGCCGATCCCCTCGACTGACTCACAGGCTGACACCCTCCAGCCGGAGTCAACCGTGCCGTCTTCGCCTATGACCGATCTCAATATTCAAGACACGAAGTTTCCTTTGGAAGAGATCAATGACAAAGATGAAGATGTTCAGATGGAGAGGGCCAATGGCGGAAATGAGCCATCAGGGTCTGTTGAAGATACTGAAGGGATGGATACAAAGTCAAAGGCCTTAATGCATTTGTTGAAGACCAGCTCGGTAAGCTAAATCCTATATCTGGATGTTTGCCTACGACAACTCTCTCATTCTTGTCTTCCTGTAGGTGTTCGTCGCGATTATGTCCGAGAAAATGCAAAAGCAGCAGGAAGAGGCTCGTCAACAAGCGGCCAAACAGAAGAAGCCTCCCGCAGAATCCAAGGCCAAGCCTAATGCCGCACCCGCCGCTCGTCGCCAGACTCGGAGTCAGGCCGCGCAAGACTCCACTGCCGCGGATAAGTCTACTGGTGATGAATCTTCAATATCTAGTAGGAGGAGAGGCCGATCGAGAAAGAGTGCTGAGAACGGTAACACTATCTCGAGCTACTTTCAAAAGGCCGATGTCGACATGACCGAAGACAAACCGACTGTGCAAGAGGCTTTGGAACAGGCCGCTGACGATTTTGAGGCAAATCCGACCGCTCTTGGCGAACAAGAGCTTGTGGCAACTCAGCAGCCAACGTTGGTGACAGGCGGTCGAATGCGAAAGTATCAGCTGGAGGGTCTTGAGTGGCTCAAAACACTATGGATGAACGGCCTGTGTGGTATTCTTGCTGATGAGATGGGTCTTGGCAAAACAGTCCAGTCTATCTCGATGATTGCTTTTTTGAAGGAAAATAACGTTTCAGGACCATTCCTGATTGCGGCCCCCCCTCAGCACATTGAGCAACTGGGTCAACGAGTTCAAAAGATGGACCCCAGGTATTAATGCGGTTTTATATCACGGATCAAAAGACGAGCGTGCAGAGATCCGAAACAAGCATTTGAAGATACGCGACCAGATGAAGATGGATTTCCCCATTGTGTGTACCTCGTACGACATTTGTATCAATGACCGAAAGTTTTTGGCTCAGTATCAGTGGCGATATATCATTGTGGTATGTGCTCTCGCCGTGACTGTCAGCTCGTCTCATGCTAACCAGGTCTATAGGACGAGGGACACCGCCTCAAAAACATGAACTGCCGTCTGATCAAAGAACTGATGTCCTACAACTCGGCCAACCGACTCTTGATAACTGGTACTCCGCTTCAGAACAACATTTCTGAGTTGTGGTCATTGCTGCATTTCCTTCTTCCCGACGTTTTCAATGACTTGAACAGTTTCGAGAAGTGGTTCGACTTTTCCTCTGTTCTCGACGACAATGGACAGGCCGAGCTCATTGAACGACGAAAGCGAAACTTGGTCTCCACGATGCATTCAATTCTTAAGCCCTTCCTTCTTCGCCGTGTCAAGACTGATGTGGAGGACTCATTGCCGAAGAAGCGGGAATACATTTTGTATGCTCCGATGACCCCTGAACAGAAGGAGCTCTATCGAGAGATCATTAGTGGGACCGGCCGACAGTATCTCGAAGGGAAGGCCTTGGAGCGTCTGACGGCCAAAAGTCAAAGTGTCTCACGTTCCTCGAGTCGGAAACGTCGCCGCGAAAGTGACGAGCCGGACTTCTCCAACAAGACTCACAAGTCGAGTGAGTCCTCTACTCCGACCAGAGATACCAGTGCTCGCAGTACACCCGCCCGTCGGCGTCGTGGTATGAAAAACTACAAGGAGGACTCCGACCGCGAGTTTGACGCCAAGCTGCGGAGACTTGAGCGCGGAATTGAAGATCAAGATGAGACAGCTGAGCCTAGTGAGAATGAGCTCGAGGAAATCGAGCGTGCCAAAAACCTGAAGCTTGCCAGTACGTTACGGCTCGAATCACCACTGCTATTGACGTGTTGCTGACAAATTAATCAGAGAAGGAAATCAGTCAGAAGAAAATGCAAAACCCGGTCATGCAAGCCCGTCTGGCGTGCAACTCTCCCCACAACTTTTACTGGCCTTGGACAGACGCATCGTCTGCCGTGGATGAGTCGCTCGTATCATCCTCCGGTAAAATGCTTCTTCTTGATCGATTGATCCCCTGCTTGCTCAAGAAGGGACACAAGATCCTCATCTTCTCCCAGTTTAAAACTCAGCTCGACATACTGGAAGAATGGGCCGCCGAGTTGCGTGGTTGGAAATGCTGCCGCATCGACGGAGCCATCGCCCAAGCAGATCGCCAGGAGCAGATCGAAGCCTTTAACAAGGACAAGCAGCACAAAATATTCCTCCTCAGTACCCGTGCTGGTGGCCAGGGAATCAACCTCACCGCGGCAGATACTGTTATTCTATTTGATTCCGATTGGAACCCACAGCAGGATCTGCAGGCTCAAGATCGTGCTCATCGTATTGGTCAAACCAAGCCGGTCATCGTCTACCGACTGGCTACCAAGGGTACTGTTGAGCAGACTCTCTTGGAAAAAGCAGATTCCAAGCGCCGCCTCGAGCGTTTGGTCATCCAGAAGGGGAAGTTCCGTTCCCTACTGGACCCGAGTGCCACTGCTCAGGACATGGAGGAGCTGCGGAGGGCCCTTGGCGAAGACGAGTTCGAGCGCTTTGAAACCGGTGCCGATCCCGAGTCTATTTTGTCTGATCATGATCTAGACACCTTGACAGATCGCAGCGAAGAGGCTTATCTCCGTGCCGAGAAGGGTCTCGAGCAGAGCGGCCCCGCTTTTGTTGCTGTCGAGTCCAAGCGTGATGGTGGTGAGTCCCTGATGGCTTGAGCTCTAATCTTTCTGTTTACAAATATCTTTCCTGGAAATGTCCCGGCGATGCGGCTGTATCAACATTTGTCCCTTCGCCTCCACCACCGACCTTGGAATAGTTCAACCATCCCATGGGCGAGCCAGAGGTTCTGGGTGGAGTTGCTTGTCTTGGGCTCTCTGGGCGTCGAGCAGTTAAGATACCTGAATTGTACAATACGTCGATGATAATTTGCTAGAAATACATGACAGTCAATGCAAGAAACAAGATCCATTGTGCGCCTGCGAGCTCCGTGCTAGGGACATGGCTGTACAAAAGGACAGAGGATAAATTCAACAGACAATCAACGTCTGCGCTCACCGTCGAGCCCGTCCCTCTTCAATTTCTGCACGCAAGTCCGCAAGAACACCCTTGCGCTGGGCTAGATGACTCTTCAACCCCTCAACTTGATCGCCCACGGTCTTAACGTCCTCCCTCGCGCGCTCCAGGTCTTGTCCATCCTTCGAACGACCCACACCTTCGCGCAATTCACGAAGTTCCCGCTCCTTATATTCCAACAACTGCAGCGTCTCCTTCTTAATGAGAACCCAGTTCGGACGACCATCGTTGCGTGGTCTATCCCGCCGGTTCTCCGAAGCCTCTCTTGCAGAATGAAGCTTTGCCTCAATCTCTACCAGCTCCCGGCGCAGACGAACCTTCTCCCATTCTTCATCTTGGATTGTTTCGCCGAAATCAGTTCCTTTGGGCTGATATGAGCCTTTGCCGCCAACCCCCAGGCGGCTCAGATATGTATCGCCAAACTTGGCCTTGCGGCCAGTCCGTGTCTCTTGATTTCCATCGGCACCGTAGCGCTGTGCGGGTGCGTTATCAATTTGGTAATCGATCTTATTACTCTCGAATGAGGAACGTAGCGATGCAGGGATGGTGCGCGGGATGCGGAAGCCTTCGTGGCGGTAGTTGAGGATGTGCAGGAATGCAAGCGTGGCGTCCTTGTTGATAGCCTGGCCGGCAGAGGGGTTAACCAGGTTCCATGCGGAGCTGATGTCGGTGTCGGGAACGTCGAGGGAGTCGTAGAGGGGTTGTAGGGATTGGACTGAGGCTCGAACGTTAGCGGCTTGCTTCAGATTCACGAATATTCACTATGCGAGGGGACTGACAGGTAATCTGGCCACGATGGTCGCGGCTAGAGCTATAGATTTCTTCGTACTTGGACTTATCGGCGGGCTTCATGTACCAATCGAAGCCGTCCTTCAGTCCGAGGCTATCGTCCTCATCTTCTATCCGCTCGAATTTCTCGAACCCCCGCTCAATGCGCGCGTCGCGTGAACGAGATGTGACTTTGATTCGGGGACCAGCCAGTCTGGCAAGACGGCCGGAACGTCTTGTAGTTCCTATGTTCCGCCACGTCAGGCCCCCGATCTTGGATCAATTCAGTATTTGGAAGGTTGTACATACGCCATTGACGAGATCGAATACCAAGCGCATGGCGACGCAGAATTCTTCGAAATCAAGCTCGCCATCGCCGTCGACATCCGCAATGTCCCAGACCTTCTCAAGTTGATCATCACGGAGTCGACTGTTGCGCAGCACGGAAGCGGCTTGTGAGCTGTTTAGGTGCTGATGACCGTTTGATAGCGAGGCAAAGATTTCCCAGTAGCGCTCGATCTTCCATTGCTCGATTTTTTTGGCAGACATGGTGGGATTGGGGGGTTGTGATGAAGGTGGAGAGGATGGAGAGTTGGGCGAGGTCGGATTTACCCGCTGTCCGCTTTCAGGGGACCTGAGGTCATCGTTGTTTACCCCATGTCGTGTACTTCACATCATTACACAACCAGTCTAATTCCATCGATTACAGGGCTCTATTGAGAATGGATCTGCCAGCATATCAAGATATGGTACATCAATTGTTGAGTGAGTCGTTGCAGTCGAATACATTCCATCAGCATTCTCCATCAAAATCACGAAGACCTATAAGTTCTTCTTTTCGTCTGACTTCGCTTCCTTTTCTTTCTCTTTTTGAGCTTTTAGCTGCTCACTGACCTGGACGATGGCCCGCTCGGCCTCCAACGCCAGCTCCGGAGCATCCAGTATCGTGGCAAGCTTCTTGGCATCGGACATCTTTAAGAGCACGCGGTCCTCGCTCTGTTCGAAAAGATCGACCATTCCGGAAGCTGGGGTATCAATTGGGGCATTATCCAGTGTGCGAGATGCCCGTTTGGCGTAAAGCTGCTCTAAAGCCGGCAGGGAAGTAGGCTTCAGAAGATCCTTCTCTACCAGAAATTCAAGGTGTCGCGAGCCATTTAAAGCTGGCAATTGATCATTAGCGTCTCAAGCTGACTCCAGTGTCAATATTGACTAACCTCGCCAATGCGACCAGCCTCGATAAACCAGGTAGAAGAATGGAATGTTAGGGACCCTGTAAAATCCTCGTTAGTAGATGAAGCGAAGAGCTTAACAATGCCGCAAGAACATACACTGGAATTAGACCCAGAGGCGCTGTGACAGGAGCAAACCCGAAACTCCACAGCATCTTTTTTCGATGGAATTCTTGTCGGTCTGTAGCGATAGCGCGCAATATAGTTGGAATCTTCTCCAGTCGCACGGAATTGCCTGGGAAGAGCACTTCGATCCTCTTCTTGCCATGATCTTCATCAATACGCTTCTGTGAAGCCAGAGATGGTATACTTTTGAGACCCCATTCTTCGAAGGGAATTCGCTGCTGGACTCGATTGCCCCATGTCACCAGGTACTTCTTCCAGCCCGATTCGGCTTCTTCCCAGCTTGCCCAGGTCTGAGCCGCCTTGCTTGTAGCTCGATCGAGTAGTGATAGCTCTTTTGGGACGTCTTTTCGGAGAGGGCGAGCGTAGATTAACGCCCGTCGAGTCGAGATTGGGATCAGGAAAAGGCGCATGGCCGCGGGGGTCCGGGAGAGACGAGTTTGAAAAGACTGACTATCACAAAGGATAGAAGATTGAATGTGAAATGCGCAGCATGGAACCTGGGAGCCCCAAAGTACCGATTGTTGTAGGGTTTATCGAAAGAGAGGCACAGGTTGGAGCACGGGGAGAAATGGTAAGCAGGGGGAGACGTCATTCCGCGCCTGGACGAACCTCGTTTTGGATCGGACATAATCTTGGATCCATCATCTCTTCTCTCCACGTCCTGCTCTTGACTCGTCAATTTCGGGTGTACTTGCTTCGTGCCTGGAATTGGGCTCTTGACTGGCCCTCAGTCCTCCCAGATCTCCCTTCCTGATCGATGCGCATCTCGGGTCGAGTCCTACAGCCAGCGTCTAATTCCCTTGCTTGCCATGGATGCGACGAATAGCTTCCAGCCCGATAGCGGTAAAGGGCGAATTTTCGATGAGACCCTCTCTGAAAAGGTGCCCTCGGGCTTTGGATCGTCGAATCTACACTCAAATCGATTGACTGTGAACACCCAAGCCGGCGCCCTCCGCAACACACCATTCGACTCACCAGCCACAGCGAAACGAACAACAGATGGCCAGCCACATGAAGAGCCCGCCAGATCGCAGCATTTTTCTCTAAGGACGCTGCCCGGTATGCGGAAAACCTGTGTACTAGGAGTCAATTTGTCGCTGACACTTTTGATAGCTTGGATTCGATCGGTCGAAGTGGTGGATGACGGAGAAGAAGCTCAAGCTAGTGATCACCTCTTACCCTCCCAACCGAACGATGCACGCGTAGCTCAACATAATCATTCTCCTCATGCAACCTCCCGGCAAGAATATTCTCTCTTCGATGAGAGTCAATCACCTTCGCAGACCCGTGAATCCCGCTGGAAAACATTTTCGCGCGCCATCCAGTATCCACGAGAACCTAATGGGGAGATCAAAGAGGTTACGCCAGAATGGATGAACGATAATCTTGGAGATTACTCGGGGCCATGGCGAGGCAAGCTTCTTGAAGGGGATAGTCCGGAGTACCCATTACACAACAATGGACGCCGGGAAGTCTGGTTCAAACGCTTCCACAACCAGTTGCTTAGAAGCCCTATTGTGCCGTTGATTCTGCGCATGACAGTTTGGAGCTTTTCACTCTCGGCCCTGGCTCTTGGTGGATCAATTCAGCATATGGCTAAGGGGCGACATAGTGAAGGTCCGTCAGCGCTTATGGCAATCATTGTCGACGCCGTGGCCCTGGTGTACCTTCTCTACATCACATTTGATGAGTATACCTCGAAGCCACTGGGACTCCGATCCCCCTCAGCCAAAGCTCGGCTAATTCTGCTCGACTTGTTCTTCATTGTCTTCGACTCCGCCAATCTTAGCCTAGCCTTCGACTCCTTGTCGAATGTGACGGGGTCCTGCACCGAAGCAGATATCAACTACCAAATAAGCCCTCAGAATAACGCCATCTGTGCGCGACAAAAGGCCCTGGCATCTGTGCTCTTGGTTGCCCTCCTCGGCTGGCTCATGACATTCGCGATCAGTGTTCTAAGGTGAGTCATAATGCATGAATAAAGTACTATTGAACCCGACTAACAACTCTACAGACTCGTCGAGAGAGTGCAACGATGATAACAGTGGGACTGCTCCCTTTCGGGAATACTTATCATTCTCGATTTGCAAATGTATACACTCCTCTTTGCGGAGTCGAATGCGGGTCTATAGACCAATTGCTACACGTGCAGAGCAGGGCCATCTTCCCCATACAGAGGGTCTTGGTGGAACCACTCCAATTTCTGGATGCCCTGCACTTTTGCTTCTTCTCCCGGCCGTCCATAGCACATGTCCCACTCTCTTTGCGGAGGGTATGACCCAACCATTTTGAACGGCACATCTCCCTCGTCTGCCAGCAGTCGGTGCCCCACTCCAGCAGGCACGATGATCAAGTCACCGCGATGAACCGTCGGCTCGTAACGCCCGGGGTTATCTTCACCTCCAAAGCACAGGCGTGCGCGTCCTGCAACGGCCCCTAGAACCTCGTGCGTGGTGGAGTGGAAGTGGGTCTCGCTATACATGGTATAAGTCCATTTGGGAATGACTACCCCAATTGATCTTAGGCGGCGCGTGAGCTCCGCGGCTGTGGCGTTGAAGGCGTCGTGGTATACCATGAGGGGCTTTGATTGAATTGAAGTGTTTGGAATTCGATGCCATGAAGGAATTTGTCGACATGTCACTTGGATTTTATCTGCCGCAGTGAAGGCCATTGTTGTTGAGAGCACGTTGAGAGTGTACAGCGGGACTCGCACGACATCACAGACGCAATGACGTCATTCTGGATCTAGATGCCTCTCAAGATCTGGTACGCAAGAGTGGCCCAAACACCCCATGCCTGATTGGAAATCAATGTCTATCAGCAACGAACTCTTGAAGCGGTCTTTACCTTGATGCTTGTTTTAAGAGATGCCAGGGATGCATGACTTTGTGGGAAGGTGAATGAACTGGGAGGTATATGAAGAGTAACCATATTAAAGCATACTTTGTCAGCCTTACGAATGTGACTTAACGAACAGAGCCTGAGAGGTAGCTCAAACTATTAGCAAGATTCACAGGCGAACAATCAAACAAATAAAAGTTTCAAGGAAATTCTGTATAACGCGACATGCTCGACAAGTTGGCTGCCCTCACCGCTTTCTGCAATCGGCTATCCCCACGCTCACCCTTCTCTCAGCCTCATCTTGCCGCCACATCTGCTTGACCTCTTCACTGTTGCTTCTCCTCTTCTCAGCATCGTCTTCTCGTGTGTTTTTCTTCCCAGATTGCTCCTTTCCCACTGACACACGGGTGTTTCACTGCCTATCTCTGGGCGTGACTTGTGGCGCACTTATCTCCAGCCTAGGAGAATCGCGGAAGTACGTGACCTTTGGTAGTAGCGAGGATGGTCCTCTTTCTTTAACGAAATTCGCTGATCGTCGTGTATCTTGGGCTAGAAAATCCTACCCCTTCCCTTCTCGCCTTACTCAATTTGCCCCTTGACATCATGCCGCCTGCAGTCCCGCAGACTCCTCACAAGGACGACCTGACAGAAACGTGAGTCGTCAGACGGATAAATCTTGGGCACATGGACTGACGCCAGCGCAGATGGTCTTTCTTGGAGTCGGGTATAGATAGCGTCATGCTGAAGCTTGACGAGGGAGTTGACATGAAGACTGTGAGTGACGAATGACAGCGGCTGCACCTGAAACCCGCTTTTCCTCCAAGATACACTAGAACTGACATTTGCTCTCGATTGTAGTATATGGCTCTTTACACGTTTGTTTGACCTCCGACCATGTGTCGCTCATCCGCTTATAGCTCATCTATAGGGCCGTCCACAACTTCTGCACGTCACAAAAGGCCGTCGCCAGCAACCAAGGCCTGCAAGCTCACCGCGGAGGTTCGTCTCTCTCTGCGTCCCCTACTGGAACACTGTTTTCGTTTCCAAATGAACGCATTTCCACCGAGCAGAATGGCAAACTAATCAGAGATCATATATCTTCAGCGCACCTACTCGGCGAGGAACTTTATAAGTTACTGGGTGAATACCTCTCACGCCATCTGAGTGCGGTACACAAGGAATCCCAGGGTCATACGGACGAAGCTCTACTAGCATTCTACATTCGCGAGTGGACCCGTTACACCACCGCCGCCAAATACGTGAACCACCTTTTCAGTTATCTCAATCGTCATTGGGTCAAGCGCGAGATTGACGAGGGCAAGAAAAACGTTTATGATGTCTACACTCTCCACCTTGTGAAATGGAAAGACGACTTCTTCGAGAACGTCCATGGCAAGGTGATGGACGCGGTGCTGAATTTGGTTGAAAAACAACGGAATGGCGAAACCATCGAGCAGTCTCAGATCAAGAGCATCGTCGATTCCTTCGTGTCGTTGGGCTTGGATGAGAATGATAGCAAGAAGTCGACATTGGAGGTTTACCGCCAGTACTTCCAGCGACCGTTCATTATCGCCACCAAGACATACTACGAAAATGAGTCCCGGCAATTTGTGGCAGAGAACAGTGTGGTGGAGTACATGAAGAAGGCAGAGGCTCGACTCGACGAGGAGAAAGCTCGTGTGGGTCTGTATCTTCACCCGGACGTCACCAAAAGCCTTACGGATACTTGTCTGGATGTTCTCGTCACGGCCCACTCCACCCTGCTTCGTGATGAGTTCCAAGTTTTACTGGATAATGAGCGTCAGGAGGACCTTGCGCGCATGTACCGACTCCTGTCGCGTATCAAGGAAGGGCTGGATCCATTGCGTACCACTTTTGAGAACCACGTGAGGAGGGCCGGTCTGGCTGCCGTTGAGAAAGTTGCATCCGAAGGCGAAAACTTCGAGCCCAAGCTGTACGTTGATGCCCTGCTCCAGGTCCACACTCGGTACCAGAACCTTGTCGACGATGCTTTCAATGGCGAGTCTGAGTTTGTGCGTTCTCTCGACAACGCCTGTCGCGAGTTCGTCAACCGTAATCGCATCTGCAAGACAACCACCACTAAGTCTCCTGAGCTTTAGCAAAATATACCGATTCTTTGCTCAAGAAGGGTTCCAAGGCTGCTGAAGAGTCCGAGCTCGAGGAGATGTTGGTGCAGATCATGACTGTCTTCAAGTATATTGAGGACAAGGACGTTTTCCAAAAGTTTTACTCAAAGATGCTTGCGAAGCGACTGGTGCATGTCAGCTCAGTGTCCGACGATGCGGAGACTTCAATGATCAGCAAGTTGAAGGAGGCTTGCGGTTTCGAATATACCAATAAGCTGCAGCGCATGTTCCAGGATATCCAGATCTCGAAGGACCTCAATGCCAACTACAAGGACTACCAAGATAAAGTCCTCGATGATGATGACCGGAAGAGAATGGTCGATGCACACTTCCAAATTCTTGGCACTGGAATGTGGCCTCTCAACCCACCAACCACTAATTTCACCGCCCCGCCAGAGATCAACAAGACCGCCGAACGCTTCCAGAAGTTCTACTTTGACAAGCATAGTGGCCGTAAGCTAACATGGCTGTGGCAGCTGTGCAAGGGTGAAGTGAAGGCAAATTACATTAGAAACACCAAGGTGCCATATACATTCCAAGTATCGACGTTCCAGATGGGCATCTTGCTTTTGTTTAATGAGACCGACACACTGGGATATTCTGATATCCAGAAGGCCACCAACCTTGCTCCTGAAATCTTGGACCCCAATCTTGCCATCCTCATGAAGGCGAAGGTGCTCCTGCCAAATCCTGAGGGCGGCAAGCCTGAGCCCTCCACCTCATTCAGTCTGAACTACAACTTCAAGAACAAAAAGGTCAAGGTCAACCTTAACATTCAAATCAAGTCCGAGCAGAAGGTAGAATCGGACGATACGCACAAAACGATAGAAGAGGACCGGAAGCTGTTGCTCCAGGTTTGTCTCCCTTCCCACTCCCGACGGTCGTAATTTCCTGACCTTTCCTACCAGTCTGCTATCGTCCGCATCATGAAGTCCCGTAAGAAGATGAAGCACGTCCAACTCGTGCAGGAAGTCATCCAGCAGGTTAAGGCCCGCTTCCCACCCAAGGTTCCCGACATCAAGAAGAACATTGAAGCCCTCATGGAGAAGGACTACATCGAGCGTCTAGACGGGGACGAAATTGCCTACATTGCTTAAAACTACCTCCCACTCCTTCTCTTCAACTCTCATCGCATCATCACATCCTCTTGCTTGAGTCCTTTCTTCATTTCTTTTTCTCGTTTCCGCCTTGCTCGTTTTCACTAGTCCTTCTATCCTGTCCCTCAATTTTCTGCCACAGGCAGAGAGAGGCCGCGGGTAAAGCTTGACATGGACTGGGGAGCTTTGGCTATGGCTTGGGATGATAGGGAGCCCGGAGCACAAGATCGTCGCATTATGTTTATTTAAAGTCCATCTTTCATCATAGCGTTGAGATGACAGATCAATGATAACCCGGTAATCTCGTCAATTTTCTCTTTCTGAAGATCGCAGTTTCAGCAGGGGTGACTGGTCCACGGGTGCCCGACAGTATACTTGTGCAGCTCTAGTACTTCAATCTGGAATGCGTCGTCGCGAAAATGCAGCGCGTTCATTATCTTTACCACTTTCCTCCAGCTACAAAATTGATCGTCTGAGATATACATGGATTTAGGGATATTGGCATAGATAGTCCTGGGTATGTAAATACACACACGAAACACAATATAATGAGTATGAACAAATGCAACGATTTGCGAACCGGTGTGCCTCGCTGGAATGCCAAGTATCTAGAGGTAATAATGAAAAGATTAATATGTAGTTCTCACGGTGATCACTATGCACTGGTTCCCTTGGCTGCCGGGGCCTCATTAGCCTCCCCAGGAGCCTCGGTCGAGTGCATTTCAGCGGTATGGGAGTGCGCGGCCTGGGACGCGCGCTCTTCTGGGTTAAGGTCTACTCGGAGCCCCTCCGATGAGAGCGGTACCGCGCCGAATCCATCAGCATCATGGGAAGTCTCAGATGACTTCTCGGGCCGATGTGCGAGGTCTGCTTTCTTCTGCGCTTCCGTTCCGTATGCTGGGAAGCCTTGGGACAGAGGAGACTTCGGGTAGGGAGCATCAGAGGCCTCTGAGCCCGAGCTGGGGAGGCTGAACTCGCCACTGTCGCGGCGTAAGATGATATTGCTCCATCTCTTTCGGCGGCTGAGGCTGCGCGACAGACCCTCCGCGTCTTCGCTGTGGCGTTGCATGGACCGGCGGCGGCCACGGTCAGACTCTGCTTTCTCGGTGACTGCTGGCAAAGCCGGGGTGGATGGAGAAGCGACCACGCCTGGGTTTGGGTTGGGGGAGGAGCTGCGCTTGCTTGCCACTCGCGGCGCTTCTCGCTGGCCCATGATCCCCATGAGCTGAAGTATGCGCTGGCCTTTTGGCTGGCTGCGCTGACCGTGGCTTGTGCTTGGCCTACATCAATAGAGGGTTTTTGACGGGGTGCGAACCAAGCACCGGAGGCATCAGTGGAAGAGTCTGGAGAGGCGACTGACGGAGAGGCCGGGGTCTGGTCCATAGAGGTACGCTGGGAGGCCGAGGTCAAAGCCTTTTCCTCGTTACGCTTGCGTTGGGCTTCGCGCATAGACTCAATATCGGACCAGAAGCTATTGAATGCGGCGCTGACTTTCTTTTGACCGGTGCTGAGATGGCGGTTGAGTGCCTCTCGGCCCTCACGCACTCGTTCATCAAGGTGAAGATCCGCGACTTGCTGAGACACTCGTCGCTGGATGTCGTCCATCGTCAAGCCACCAGCACTTGGGTGCTTCGGCTCAGTAATAGAGAAAAGGAGTGCGTCCGATGTGAGTTTTGAGAAAAGAGCGTAATTCGACGTCTTCTGCCATTGTATGAGGAATTCAGGATTGAAATCAAGCGCAGGATCACCCTCGATATTGAAGTTTTGCAATTGTGCTCTGCTTCGGTGAGGTGAACCGCCGGAGGTGATGGAATTGAGTTCTTCGTGATACTTCATGGAAGACAGTAGTGCCAACAAGTACTCCTCGAATTGGAGTCGGATAAACTCTTCCGAGCCCATAAAGCCCAATGTTTTGGGTTGTGACGGGTGCTCCTCGTCCCATGTTTCATTCACGATTTGAGTAAGCAGATCAATCCAGCGCCGGTCAGCTACAGACAAACCCAAAGCTGTGCGCAGGCTTGGTGATGAGATGTTGATGCTATCTTCATCAAGCTGTTTGTAAAGGGCTTGGTCAATCTGATGTTCACGTAGATTTGTAGCTTGTGTTACTCACGTTGATTAATATGTCGCTGTAGCGATCCTTCTGTTGCAGGAGTAAGGAGTTTGTCGATCCCACAACGTACGACTTTGTGCCATCATCGGCTAGCAGATCCAGTTGTTGGAGAGGGGATATAAGGACCGAACATGCTTCCCTAAATTGAAGTCAGATGTTCGCCATTGTTTCTTCTTCGCGAGGGGCATGGGCTGTACGTACCTTGCCAAAGATCTGCAATGGTAGGCCCATATATGCCAATACTAGAATCATCAGTATATCACCCTCTCATTTACGCTCACGGGTCAGGCATACAAGAGGTGCGGTCACTCGTCTTGAGCGAAGTCGGTTTCTCAACGGTCTGTGCATAACGGTCGAAGGCCGGGTCCGCACAGTCCTCCAGGCTGTTGATGAGACCTGGTATTAAGGAGATGAGCGAGAATTGAATCATGCATAACCGTTCACAGCGAGTGCCAAAAAAGAGCATCTATAACGATTAGTCTGTAACTGGAACGGATGCTTGAAACTTTGCATACCTTAGGCTGCAACAGTAAGCCCTTGAACAGGACCAGCGTCTGGTGCTTGAATTCATGGATCATTTCTCGGAGAGAAAGTCCTGTGTGAAGATTAGTGAAAGCCGTACGAAATCACATCTTGGTAGAACTAACCCAGATTCTGGTCTCTCGGGTCATCGTTCTGCAGACTGATGACCAGACCCTCGCGGAATTTCTGAAGGAGCCACATTAGACGACTGGGTCTCTATTCATATACTCGTGCATGACCATACCCTCAATATATCGATATCAGAAAAGTCCCTGGAGATCCATGTCTCAGGTTAGCCACTTTCGCCCTCAATTGACCAAGTCTCTCGCCGTGGGCAGATGAAGACATCATATTTCTTCACGAAGAAAAATATCTCCCAGAACTTTAGAACATACTTTTGTGCAAACCATGCCGAGGTCACCACGGAAAGCTTCTCGCGCAATTGCCCCACCCGCTGAGGACTATCCGTGACCACCACAACAGCCTTCTGCACTGTAGACCTAGTCACATCTGCTGGGCGATTGACCAAAAGCTTGGCATCGAGCTGGCGCGAGCAAGATATGCCGAATAGGGAGGTAGCCAGGTCTGTGGACGTTTCCTTGCGACGGAGCGTGAAGTAGGAGAACTCCTCCGTCGAACTAGAACAAGACGCGATTCTAGTCAGTCTATCTGCGCTCATATGCGATCGCGACGGGGGTTCATACAGATGCGCGCCGTCGGACAGGGCCATGAACGGCAGCAACGACCAGTCATTCTCGGTAGCCGGGTTTGTACCTTCGTCGGCGATGCAGTGTTCGATCTCGGGACCCCTGGATAACTCAATCAGTCTCGTCTAATTGCAGAGATGTGCTGGTCTTGCACAGAGGCTAGGAAGTACTACATACCGTGCATGGTGGAAATCAATCACCAGCACAATCGGGTCGAGTTTATGTTCAGCCATGGCGATCGGGTGAGGCGGGGAGTGTCAAATTGGTGGGCCAGAGCCGATGCAAGGGTCATGGACGATCTCCGCAGGCTCCAGTCCCCATGAAGGTAAGGTCATAGAAAGATCACGATCGGGGGGGGCTTGCGATCTCACAGGGGAGATTGATAATGTTATCGCTCACGTGTTGATTACGGGCGGTGTGAGCCCCGCGTCTCGGTCTTTTAGTGGTTTCTATGGTCCGAGTTTGGGGGCTTTATATGATGACTATCAAGTACCAAGTGCAACACCGCTCAAGTTCGTATGATTTCGCCTCACCAACCTACTCTTGACGACGCCGATGAAACTATGGACAATTGGTTCCAACGATTAAAAAAAGATCAAAACAGACAAACACGCCGAAGTTTGCAGAAGATTTCCCCAATAGATATATGGTTCGGGCCCCGCGTCATATGGAGGACCGAAAACAAAGGTAAAAATGTTACTCATTAGGAGGCCTTGAAATTAATAGTCTATGCGAAAGACTGGGGATAGTTTCCCTGCACTGGGCCCTGAACCAGAGCCTGTCCAGCCTCGTTGCCCTGGTCGATGTTGTGGAAGTCGAGAATTTCGGAATACCTGGTGAATTGTAAGCAGAAGGGTCAAAAAGAGACTCTGCGATGCACCTACATCATAATCTTCCAAGTATCAACGGGCAAATCAGCATCGTTGAAGGACCAGTCGAACTTCTCTTGGGCGACCGGTTCGTCGGTGGGGTCGTGGTAGGGCGCGAGGTACTCGTGGGCCAGCGCCTCACCAGCGCGAACTCGCTTCTTGGGATCGAACACAAGCATCTTCTCGAGAAGGTCGACCGCTGTGGATTGTCAACAAATAAGAAATCATGGGCATCCCAGAGCATCACGTACCATCCGCATCAGCATTCTTGAATTTGTTGGCCAGGGATTGGCGCTCGCGCTTCGGGAGGGACTTGACGAATCGCAAAGTCTACATCCATAAGAGATTAGCCCAACCTATACTCGCAATCTGGGAAACAAAGCTCACGTTTTCGCTGCAGATGGTCTGGATCACGTCGTCCGGAGGGGTACCCAACAGCTCGGTAATGATAGAAAATTGGTTGACGTGGTCCTTTCCGGGGAAAAGCGGCTTGCCCTCCAGCATCTCGGCGAAGATGCAGCCCGCACTCCAGATATCCACCTCCACGTCGTACTTTTGCCACGTGAGCATAATCTCGGGAGCCCGATAGTATCGTGTTGACACATAGCCGGTCATTTGCGGGTCCTGAATACGCGCCAGACCGAAATCGCAGATTTTCAAGTCGCAGTTTTCATTGATTAGGATGTTGCTGGGCTTCAAATCACGGTGGACCACACCCGCGGAGTGAACATATTTCAATCCACGCTGCGCATCGTCAGTAAAAATGTATAAAGTTCGCTCTTTTGTGAGTTGCGCTTACCAAGATCTGGTAAAGAAAGTACTGGATGAATTGCTTCTCGAGAGGGCGAGAAGTCAAGAGGCGGTGGAGATCTGTGCCCAGTAGCTCGGTCACAAAGTAACTACAAAAATTAGTGGGCGGTCGCAAAACAATTGCGGCGGGGAATTGAAGAAACGTACATATCCTCGAGAGGGGAGATAAAGATGTCGCTCAAGCTAATGATCTGTAGCGGGGAATTCAGTACACAGGAATTGAGGCCCTTGCATAGCGGGGAAGACCCACGTTCTCATGTCGAAGATGCTTGAGCAGCTTCAGCTCTCGGTAGGTTCGCTTAGACAGAACGGGCGTGCTGAAGGGCTTCATGATCTTCTTGACCGCCACGGGCTGGCCGGTCAATTGGTCGCGCGCCGAGCTATCGGTGGCACATTCCCATTAGCCTGGAGGGTCGTCGCAACGCGATACTGGTAAATAAAACATACCAAACGAGCCCAAAGGCTCCCATGCCCACCGGCTGGAGGTCCGAATACCTAAAAAGCAGATCTTAGCAAAAGCACCGATGGCGGGGCAACAGGCGAGGGCGAACCGGCTGGTAATCTCGAAGGTGGTACCGAAGATCTGAGACCGCACAAATTCCGCCATGTTGAAGGATTGCAAGCAATGCGCTGGTAAAAGAGAGGAAGTTTTCTAGAGAGCGCGAGAGTATCAGGAAAGGGGATATTGTGTGGGAAGGGCCTTTCTCGGTGAAAACCGCAGAAATCAAGGACGATGACGTCCGCGACGGGCCAGGCAGGTTTCCGAACAGGCTGACTAAGGCACCCCTTCCTACGGGTTTCGTGCTTCGTGCCTGCCCATAGCCTCGACCAGTCTCTCTGCTCGGTTGGATTCTCATTTGACTTCGGGTAATAGATACGGGTGACCTTCTAGATGGAAAATTTTCTTCGATTACCCCTTCCTCACTTATGCTGGCCCCGAGGCATCGTGATCTGGTGCTTGCTCCACCCACCACGCGGCTTTGTCTAGACTGGGTCCATTGGCGGCAGAGTTTCTTCCGTTCAGCAGGATGGGACGAAAGGGATTTTATAGTACCTAGCTGTGTGTTATTGACTACAGGGGCAAACAAGGCCACCAAAATTCTTCGCTGAAGATAGCACTCGATGAGAATTATCGCGCTTAGCCCGGGCTCTCAACCCACCTGCCGTGTTGTGCGGCTGTCATTCGCGGCACGTTGCCCCCATCAGGAACTTTGGCCTCTCTAAAATCATTTGGGTAGGCGTATCCATCCCTCCTTACTGGGTCAAGACAAGATAGGCCTGGTGCGACACCCGCTCTCTGTGCAAGCTAGCATCTGAATGCGGTCTAGATCGAGATCTATCACGTGAGGAAGATCTGTATCTCTCCACCAGAGGCTCAGTGACAAGGTGAGTGGTATGAGCCATTTACAAATGCTTTGATGCACAGAGCTCAGTATCATGACGGACGGGTATAAGAAAAACTGGAGGCTTGACTTGTTTAGATGAAGCCCGACTAGTGGTTCACCCAGTGCGAACTAAGACATTTCAACCAAGGCGAACCTTGCTACTACTAAACAAATGCATTTCTTAGGCATCTTTCTCTGGATCTCGTGTGGTCAAGACTAAAGAATGAAGACGTGAACACAGAATACCAGTTGGCCCAGGGCCTACCAAATGGATGCAGGGCACCCATTTTAGCGCTGAGGGGAAAAATCTGGGAATCTCGGAAATATATCGACGGGAACGTTCTGTTACCCCCCTGCACATCCCTATACGGCGATATTCAGACTCATGCCCGAAAATTCTCTATACCGCATTTCAAGTCTGTAGTCATCTATTCCTCGAGGACTCGGTATCATATGCACTCCACGTAAGAAACGTGGGGAGGGCACGTGAACTTGGCTGCCTCAGGTGCTGAGGCCCCATGTGCGTCACGACTCTCCACTTCGGAGCTCCGGTGGGTTACTTTACCGTTTGTTTCCTGTAGAGATCTTACCTTGGGGTGTATTGAGAGACTCAATCTAGAGTATCATAGATCTAGATCATCTTTATCGTAGTAACCCGGAAGGACTCCAGCCTCCGGCCTCCGGAACTTCAGGGCCACGTCTTCCATGCTGTCCCGTCAAGTGGGAATTGCCCGGCGCCGCCATGGCCCCTAAAGGTCCGCATGTATTAGGAAAAGCCCGGGTTTAGCCCCAACGGAGTTCAAGGACGGGCGAGGCTTAGAAAGAAAAATCGTAGAAAAAATAGCCGTGTACCCTGGTAATTACGGGCACGATGTAAGCTCAGCCGTACATGTTTTTTACCCCCGTAATCACCCTTCTGGCATATCCACTCCCCCAGCATGACGATGGTCGTACCGACTTGACCTTCCTCCTTCAGCTTCACCTTTCTCCCGTCACGCCCAGCACCCTCCTCCCTCGTGAGCATTTTTTTGAATATTCACACCCGAACTTCCGGTCTCGCCAGCTCGTTACGATCCCGCCTCCTCTTCAAAACCAGCGACACCCTTTCGTCCGCTCGAAACCCCCCTCTATCCCCGCCTCCAACGTTCACCGAAATCCAGTACCCGCAATCTTGCTTGTCGCAAGCGTCCACGAAACTTCTCCGTGTTCAGGCTGCGCCGATTGCGATCTTGTGCGTGACAGGTGGCTGTCTTCTCATCCCAGCAAGAGGCCGCGGCCGTCCCGTCGGGCTGACACCTGTCGCCTCTGCGCGCCACAATTTAACACTCGCTCCCCGCTGGTTTGGGAAAGCTGAAGATCATTCCTTGAGTCATGGGGAGTTGTTTTAGCTCCGAGTCCGCGGGGGACGCGGAACAGAAGAAGAAAAGTCAGATGATTGATCGGAAACTCGAGGAAGACTCTAGGCGGTTGCGCCGGGAATGCAAGATCCTCCTCCTGGGTGAGTGCCTGGTGCGACTCTTTTCGATTATCGTTTCCTTCGTGCGCAGGGACCGGAGCATGACTGACACCTTACCGCAGGCTCCGGCGAGAGTGGCAAGTCCACGATTGTCAAGCAGATGAAGATTATCCACCAAAATGGCTACTCAGTCGAGGAGCTGGCTCTATATCGACTGACCGTTTTCAAGAACCTGCTTGATTGTGCCAAGGCTCTGATTGAAGGATATCGCCTTTTCGATCTCGAGCCATCAAGCCAAAAGGTCAAGGACTACATCACGTTCCTCGAAGAGTACCACGTGGACCCTGATCCCAATACGCCGCTTGATTCGAAAATAGGAGATGCAATCACATATCTATGGAATGACCCTTGCACATCAACGGTTCTAGAGCGCCAAAATGAGTTCTACTTGATGGACTCTGCACCATAGTAAGCGCATGTTCTCTTACATTTGTCTGACCTTGGCACTCACCCGTAACCAGTTTTTTCGAGGAAGCCAAGCGAATAACGTCCCCGGACTACACACCGAATGTGTCAGATGTGTTACGAGCGCGAACCAAGACCACTGGTATATACGAAACACGTTTCACTATGGGTCAATTGAGCATACAGTAAGTAATCCCACGCCAGCCTCCAACTCCGGTAGCTCACATATTTCGCAGCATGTTTGACGTGGGTGGCCAGCGCAGCGAGCGGAAGAAGTGGATTCATTGCTTCGAGAACGTGACCTCCATTATCTTCTGCGTGGCTTTGAGTGAGTACGACCAAATGTTGCTGGAAGAGAGCAATCAAGTAAGGATAATCCCTGTGGCCCTTGTGGCCCAGGCATGTGCATTGATGCTGACATTACTCTAGAACCGCATGATGGAAAGTTTAGTTCTCTTCGACTCTGTGGTCAACTCTCGATGGTTCATGCGGACGAGTATCATCCTCTTCTTGAACAAGGTTGATCTCTTCCGACAGAAGCTCCCACGCTCCCCATTGAGCAATTACTTCCCAGACTATTCGGGCGGTAACGATGTGAACCGAGCAGCGAAGTATCTTCTCTGGCGGTTCAACCAGGTGAATCGCGCGCACCTAAATCTCTATCCACAGTAAGGATCGATCGGCTCCGAACCACATTGAAGCCACCGATTGCTAATAATTCGTATAGCCTCACTCAAGCCACCGATACAACAAATATTCGGCTCGTCTTTGCGGCGGTGAAAGAGACCATTTTGCAGAACGCCCTGAAAGACTCAGGCATTCTTTAAGCACACTGAACCTGTATCCTCGACGCCCAGAGGCACATCAACCTACATTTCACGACCTCCTCCTTACTCACCGCGGACCGTCTCCTCCGTGCCTTTGATTTTTGTCGTCTCTTAAAGACGAACACCATACCTACTCTTTCACGACCAAACATACCCCATCAAATCTTCTTCTCTCTCGCTTCTTTCTTGATTTTGGACTAGCTGCAGGCGTTATCGGACCGTTTCTTCTCTCCTGGACGATATCCCAGGCGCCGGTTAGGTGATACCCCTTATTTGGTATCTACAGTGAGGTATCCAATCTTCTTCCTCCAGGGCGGATGCCTTCGACATACCTCAAATGCCATTGGGGTACGGAATCGTTGGTTAGTTGCTTTTGGATTTTCCTTTGTGTATTCAACCGCGAGTGATGGATCTCTCAACATCGAAAAGTCAATGGGACTTCATTTGTGAGGCGTCCCCGCACCACTTTGGATCCTCAACCTCTGTGTCCTCAACCATTTCATACTTCATGAACGGTCCACTTCTGGGATTCTACTTCTTTCTTCTTTTCAGCTGTCTGATGCATCCCATGGCGGGTTTAATTTACCCCCGGCTATGTTCTGCCTGCGCTACATGTTTTTGGAATCGCGATTTGGAGCGCCTCATTGCATGTGATGCTATTTACCTTGATTCCTGTGATTTTCTGTATTCTCTATGCGCTTGCTCGCGGCAAGTCACTCCAACCTAGTTTCTTTCCTTCTGCATAGACCAATGGCGGAGATATGTCAACAAATGTCCGGGCTTTGTTTCAAGGCCGAGCCCCGGCGTGTACGGTTATCAACTACCGGGTCTTGCTCATGTATCTAGCTTTGAGACATCAAGGCAACTCTCCTGGCCTTTTCTATTTTAATCAATCAGTCTGCTCGATGTCCATCTCGCGTAGGTGACGGCACTTAAGCGTCAGAATCTGGGTTAACCGGCACACAAGATCGGCAGGACTCAGTGGCACCGGAACCCCTGAGACGACCTGTCACTTCCCTGAAGAACGTTTTCCACTTCTCGGGGATCGGAACCAGGAAGGGTGAGACTGCAGACGAACTTGGGGCAGTGTTGTAATTTCTTGCTTGCGTTGCGAATGTCACGATCTATAGCCGGCAGGGTGCCTCAGCTTTTGCGTCAAGTAATTGGTCTCAAAGACGTATAGGAATTCTCGAATATGAAGAAATCCGTTCATGGTTTGCATTGTTGTATGTTGAAGATGAAGCGGGCATCCTTGATTTACTTGGGTCAATTGAGGGCTCCACTTGGTGTCAAAACGCAGTCTCGCTCAGAGGAAACCACCGATGCTCTCACGACAGTAAAAGAACAGTAATTAGAAGAGTAACACATATTAAGAGGTCATATAATCAACGAATTTTGAAGTGGAAAAGATAGGATATCTCGCGCCTGACTGTACCTGGCGACGAAAAGTAACAAAAAAAAGAATGAAAGATCCAGCAAGCTTCTTGAACGTGCTCAAGGGTCAGAGTCACCACGTTTTCAAGGTCAAATTCGTCAAGAACACGACGCTGCGAATCACTGGAATCAGCTGCCAGAATGATTCCTGCTTGATTCTTGACCTGGATTGTTGGAATTTCGAAAGTTTGGTCTGAGATGAGATTGTCCAGAATCTCACACCCAGAGATACAACAAGCGAGGGTTTGGAGTTTCTACTTGTGGAAGAAAGAGCCCCCGGATGGCCAGCGTTTCTTCGATTCAATCTTTTCAGCCAACTCACCTAGGTTCCGTCTCTTGGTCCAGATGTATGACATGATGAAGCGGAAATAGAGGAACCGGCGGAGTGGAAGGTTATCGGAAAGAAGAATCGTCAAGGCCCGGCCATCAAGGTCCCATTTAATGCTTAGCGGCTACCCGTTTATGGACCTTTCTGTAAGATCGATCTCCACTCTGATGCGGTTCCGCGTCCTCCCCCGGCATGTCATCCATTCCATCGACGATGTCTATGTTCATTAATGCGAAGCGGTGTGGGTATGCTACGGGACTATTATTCATAGAATGTCGATCACGTGATAAAACACTTGCAACAAGACGAACAGTGTTAGGGAAAACAGTACAATGGTGATACTAAGAGAACACAGAATCGATTTACAAGCATTTCTATCAGTCAGCACCCGAAATGGCAAAAGTATCAATGAGGTACTGTCTCGTCCCTCGGGTCGGCCCCCACCGGCATTCCTCCGCCCTAGCACCATACGTGATTAATTGACGAATACGCAGCTAAGTCGCCATTGATTGGGGCCAAATCACGGTTAATATCAGGTATCCATGTAAGGGTGACTGATGGGAAGCTGTCTAGCTCCAACCCCGCGAGCTAAGTACGAGACCGACGTCAAACAGCATGGCAAGTAACAAATCAAGACGCGGTGCACGGACAATGCGGAGTAGGTCGAGCGCCGATCCAGATCCAGACTCTCTCCACCTTGGGCTCTTCTCTCTTATAGTTCACAAATGGCATGATCATGCCACCCATGGCAAGGTCGGAACATGGTGAAGTTAAGGGGCCCCTGAATGGTATAATTGGAGATAAGTTGGCCGGATTGGGCGATGTTCGCCTGGGGTGTCGCATCCTGCACTTGCCTTTTTACTCTGGAGCTTCCGAGAGCCCCCGGGTGTCACCTGGTCTTGTAGCTCTCCCCCCTCTTCTTCTTTTCCTCTCTTTCCCACCTCTTGGCTTTCTTCCTCTTCACCGACCATGTCTGCACCCCGAGAACGCAAACCGTCTGTTGGTGCTCCCATCGCCGACCTCCAGGGTCCCGTGGGTCCAGGATTCAGCCGCCCCAAGCACAAACGTACCTTCACTGGCTTCGGTCCTTCCGAGATCAAGAATGTGGAAGCAAGCATTCCCGAGCCGCTGAGAGAAGCGTGAGTCTGGAGTCAATCCATGCCCTGGCGTGAAGCGACGCTAACTTGGGATCCTAACTAGATGGAGGAAATACGTGAGTGGCTCGTCATTGAACAGCTGCGACCGAAACTAACCTTGGCCTCCAGTCTGCTTCCGAGTTTAGCAACAAGGAAGAATTCGAGGTTCGTCCGGAGTCTTGGTCACTACTTGAATACAAGCTGACAGTACCTTCAGAAAGAGCTAGTGCGCCACATTGAGACCACACTTGCTCGATCTTTGTACAATTGCGACGAGCAGTGAGTGACCTACTCTCACTCCGCATGTCTAAAAAGCAAGACCCTCATAGTCTCATACAGTGCGGCTTATTCGGGCACGGCGCTCGCGTTCCGAGACCGATTAATCATTGAATGGAACAAGACTCAGCAGCGCCAGACATTTACCGATCAGAAGCGCGTCTATTGTATGTGCGGGCTACAGTCAATCTTCAGTTACCGAGAACTAATGCGTGGTAGATCTTTCTCTTGAGTTCTTGATGGGCCGCGCTCTAGACAACGCCATGCTCAACGTGGGCATGAAAGATGCTGCTCGGGGTAAGGCTTTCTTCCATTAGATTTCTTCAGCCCTAGACTAATTACGGAGCAGATGGCCTGAATGACCTCGGCTTCCGCGTTGAGGATGTCATTGAACAGGAGCATGATGCCGCACTGGGCAATGGTGGCCTTGGACGTCTTGCCGCTTGTTTCTTGGACAGCATGGCAACTCTCAATTATCCAGCCTGGGGCTACGGACTCCGGTACCGCTACGGAATCTTCAAGCAGGAGATTGTCAATGGCTACCAAATGGAAGTTCCAGACTACTGGCTTGATAACAACCCGTGGGAATTCCCTCGACACGAGATCACCGTGGACATCCAATTCTACGGACATGTGAGAAACTACCAGGATGAGAATGGCAAGATTGTTCATTCTTGGGAAGACGGAGAGATTGTCCAAGCTGTCGCCTACGACGTGCCGATCCCTGGCTATGGCACCAAGACGACCAACAACCTACGGCTTTGGTCTAGCAAGGCCAGCAGCGGAGAGTTTGACTTCCAGAAATTTAACGCCGGTGACTACGAAAGCGCGGTGGCGGACCAGCAGAGGGCAGAAACCATTTCAGCTGTGCTGTACCCTAATGACAACCTGGAGCGAGGCAAGGAGCTTCGACTGAAGCAGCAGTACTTCTGGTGCGCAGCGTCTTTGTTCGACATCGTGCGCCGATTCAAGAAGACGCATAGAGCTTGGAATGAGTTCCCGGACCAAGTGGCCATTCAGCTGAATGACACCCATCCCACCCTTGCCATCGTTGAGCTGCAGCGTATCTTGATTGACAAAGAAGGCCTTGAGTGGGACGAGGCATGGAACATTGTGACCAAGACATTCGGATACACCAACCACACTGTGTTGCCCGAGGCTTTGGAGAAGTGGTCTGTTCCCCTGATGCAGAACCTCCTCCCGCGACACCTACAGATCATCTATGACATCAATCTGCTCTTCTTGCAGTCGGTTGAGAAGCGTTTCCCCCAGGATCGAGAACTGCTGTCCCGCGTCTCGATCATTGAGGAATCGCACCCCAAGATGGTGCGAATGGCCTATATTGCCATTATCGGATCTCACAAAGTGAATGGCGTTGCTGAACTGCATTCGGATCTCCTGAGGACAACCCTCTTCAAAGACTTTGTCAAGATCTACGGGCCTGACCGGTTTACCAATGTGACCAACGGCGTCACTCCCCGAAGATGGCTGCACCAGGCCAACCCGTTGCTATCTGCCCTCATTGCAGAGAAACTGGGTGGTCATGAGTTCCTGACTGATCTGACCCTTTTGGATAAGCTCGAGGCCTTTGTAGACGACAAGGACTTCCGGCGCGAGTGGGCTCATATCAAGACCATGAACAAATTGCGTCTTGCCAAGTTCATCAAGCGAACCACAGGTCACGAAGTGGATCCGAACTCTCTGTTTGATATCCAGGTCAAGCGTATTCACGAATACAAGCGCCAGCAGCTCAATATATTCGGTGTCATCCACCGATATCTCAACATCAAGGCCATGTCGGCCGAAGAGAAGAAGAAGGTCGTCCCACGAGTTTCGATCTTCGGCGGTAAGGCTGCACCTGGTTACTGGATGGCCAAGACGATCATCCACCTCATCAACAAGGTTGCAGATGTCGTGAACAAGGACCCGGCTGTTGGCAATCTCCTCAAGGTTATCTTTATCGAAGACTACAATGTCAGCAAAGCCGAGATCATTTGCCCGGCGTCGGACATCAGCGAGCACATCTCGACAGCTGGTACTGAGGGTAGTGGTACCAGTAACATGAAGTTCGTGATGAACGGCGGTCTGATTATTGGAACTTGCGATGGGGCCAACGTGAGTCAAACCCTGTCTTTTTGTCAGGATCAATTTAACATATGTTCTAGATCGAAATCACCCGAGAAATCGGCGAGCATAACATCTTCCTCTTCGGTAACCTCGCAGAAGATGTCGAGGAGCTCCGCCACCGACACTTCTATGGCTCCTTCAAGCTTGACCCGCAACTGGAAAAGGTTTTCGCCGCGATCAAGGGTAACATGTTCGGCGACGCGGGTGACTTCTCCGCCCTGACTGCCTCCATCGAAGAGCACGGCGATTATTATCTCGTCTCGGATGACTTCAACTCCTATATCACCACCCACGGCATGGTTGATGAAGCCTTCAAGAACAAGGAGGAGTGGCTGGCCAAGTCGATCACGAGTGTTGCGCGAATGGGCTTCTTCTCCACTGACCGCGTGATTAATGAGTATGCAGATAGTATCTGGAACATTGAGCCTCTTGCGGTCAAGGACTAAGGTCGCTTACATGTTTTAATGTTTTCAATTTTGCACACTGCTCTTGAAATTTTCCTGCTCGATTTTTGGTCTTTCCTTCCACTGCATCCGAGCCCCACGGCATAATTCTCAGTCAGTCAATACATTTCTACATTCTGAATTTGTCACCCGCAAGAAACCTGAGAGTTTGTAGTGTGCATAATGTGCATAATTGATCATGATCTATTTGTATGTGACTATCTATCCCACCTAGTATATATCACGGTCTATCAAGGCTGGTGCCCTAGAAGAACGGAGATCGAAATGAAACAGTATGCCTCGAAGCCGCAAAAACCATGATAGGGACAAGCCAACCCAACACCAATTCCACGCTGTTATCATGATACCAAGTGCAGAAACAACCTCACATCATTAAGTGCTCTAAGAAAGTAGTATCATCAGAAAAAATAAAAAGAAATGCCACAAATGCCAGACGATTCTTAAGCAGCAGCCGCCGCCGTCTCATCTCCCTCCTCAATAGTCTTCGGCTTATAATCCGAGAAAGTCTCAGGCCAGAGGAACATCTTCTCCTCATGACTTGGTGTCGCGGCCGCCATCAGGGTGGGCACAGCCTCCTTGGACGAAATGCGTCTCCACAGGTTCGCGCGCGGGTTGTACCTCACGGGCTTACCCACACCACCCGTCTTCTGCTGGTCCTCGCGCGAGATCTTCTCAATCTCCCGCTTGATATCCAAGAAGGTATCATACGGGATATAGGGGATCTTGTGCTCAATGCAATGCTCCTCGAGTCTCAGACCACGGCGCGCGAAGAGCACATCCGCATGACTCGCCGCGGCAAGATCCGAAACTCCATCGCCAATGAAGACAATCAGCGGCATCTCATCCGGCTCACACTCAGCCAGCGCCGCGGCACGCGCCTCGTTAACCGAGCGGGCCTTGTCGTGGCCCGTATCGGTATCGTGGCGCCAGATGGGCTTCCACTCGGACCCATCGGCGCTAATAGTCGCGTCGTTGGCGACGATGTTGATCGTCGAGGCCTGCGACTCGCCTAGGAAGACATCCAGAGTGCGCTTCAGAATAGGCTTCAGTCCGGCGCTGATCACGTTGAATGGGAACCCGTTTTCTTGGCAGTACTTGTGGAATTCTTGGAATCCCGGGTCCAGGGAGAGCGCCTGTTGCATGACGACGAAGCCGTCGTCGAAGGGGACGTTCAAAGACGCCCACATGTCCTCGGAGGCTTCGCGGTAGGTGCGCTCGCCGCTTTTCATCTGGGCTTCAAGTTTGGCGAGGCCTTCGACGCCGCAGCCGTGGGCACCCACCAGAATGTGGCCTGTGTCTTCCATGAAGATTGTTCCATCGAAATCTGGGGGTGGGTTAGTTCTGGGGGGAGCAATTGGTCCGTTGAGGTGCCAGGATCAGGGGTCCATTAGGAAGACGTACCGGAGAAGATGACAATCTTTCTCTTCTGGGCATTGGGCGCAGGGGCCGTGGGGTTCATGTTGTCGTTCGTCATAGTTACGAAGATGGGGATATACGCAAGGAGGGGAAGAAGGGAGGGAGATGTAAGAATGAAGGAATTTGAGGCGAATTGCAAGATAAATCAAAAAAACCGGCGATACAGGTTGTGGCAAACAAGAACAAGAACCGGGGTATGACGTAGCAACACAACGATATCATAGCGGGGCACCGGGGATATTTGCATCAGAAAACGTGCTGAAATGGCGGGTTTTCCGCGATTAATTGGATCCAATCCGAGGGTTGCCGTGCCCGAAATACCGATGCCAAGAGATCGGGCCGAGGAATATTCCGAGTCCGAACGGGGCCCCGGGATTGGCTGGGCTTCTGGACCGATATACATTATCATATATAGTAGGATGTTCACACTGCAGAATTCACATGGGATAGTCATAGTCGTACATTGAACACTATCTAGCTCGATGTAAGCTCGTGGATCCTTCTCTCTAACTCGGGCACGGTCCGTAATTGCAGGTCAAGTTCTTCTTTCTCACTGTCACAGGATTAGCATGGCTCTATCTTTTCCTGGGAAGGGTGGTGCGTACTCTTCCAAGTTCAGCCGGCGCTCCCAGTCGAGGCCGGTAAAGACATAACTGCCTTGTCCATCAAATTGCAGGATCTTCTGGTGATATTTCCAGAGACTGCGACGGTGCGAGACCGTCATCAGGGTAATGCCCAACTTTTTGGCCGTCTCGTACATCACCTTCTCGATCTCCAGCGTCACCGAGGATGTACATTCATCCAGAATAGCGAACTTGGGGCGGTGATAGAACAGACGGGCCATAGCGATGCGTTGCTGCAGACCCCCCCGATAACACATCACGCCACTCCTCCTCGGCGTCCCAGCCACCGGGGCGGTCGACGACAGACGCGATCTCGACAATGGAAAGAACCTCATACAAATCATCGTCGGTCACGCCCTTGGCGCGCATCTCGCGCACACCATCGGGGTAGATGACCTGCTGGCGGAGGGTGCCTCGCGAGAGGTAAGGCCGTTGGGGAATGTAGAAAATATCTTCAAAGGAGGGTTTCTTGACCGTGCCACCGTACACGGGCCAGAGACCGCCCAAAATACGGAACAAGGATGATTTACCGCACCCATTGGGCCCGACGATCAAGAGATGGTCGCCAGGGTAGATCGTGAAGGATAGCTGGCGCACCAGGACATCCCCGTTGGGCGAGACGATCGGGACATCAGTAAATTCGATACAGTCGCTTTCAATGACCTTGCCCGACCAGAGAGAACGGCTGCGTTCTCCTCAGTGGATGCGGAAGAGACCAGCTTCTTCTCGAATCGCCCGGCCGTCAAGTCATCCATGACGTCCAGTAACGAGGAGACACGAGCCGTGAAACCGGCCAGCTCGGAGATCTCCTTGTAAGAGAACATCAGACGACCAAAGGCATCGGATGAAGATAGTAACATCCGTCGATTGGTCACAAAGTCTACCCCCGAATTAGCTGGAATATCACTGATATGGGGCGAGAAATACTCACTTTCGGTACGATCGCCCATAGAATGAGCGACCTGACCAGGGATCTTGAAAAAGACGGGTACACTGCAAAGGATCAAGCCCAAAGCACCCCAGAAGTATTTAATGACAAAGTCCTCCATGAACCCGTGGTAGAGGCGTCGGCGCAAAATACGATTCACATGCTTGATGAGGGTGAAGTAGCCCTTATCCAACGTGTCTTTCTCAGCTTCATGACCGTGGTAGAGAGCAATCTCTTCGCTATAGTCGATAAGACGCGAGTGCAGGAAGCGGAACTCGCCCTCCAGACGGGCCTCATCAGCGACATACTTGCCAAACGGCGGGGTGAGCATGCGCATCACGTTAGCTGACAATTGCACCAGCAGACTCATGATAAATAACCCTTCCCCTCCGACATTTTTAGAGAGTGAGTAGTTGTAGATGCACATGTCAAGGATGGGCTTGGCAAGGTTGGAGTAGAGCTCAGCCAAGCTGTCCGAAAAGCGCGACACGTCGACCGTGACAAGCTGGTCGGGGTTCTTGATCCGATCGTCGAGGGCGGAGATGGCGTAAAAGGTCATGTTGGATAGGTATTTGTCGTGTATATAATCGGTCAATCGTTTGCGATAGCTCAGCGCGAGCTTGCACTGGTGGTAGGAGAGCTACGAAACGCGGGGGATCCCATTTAGCCAGCTTCTCCGCGGTCGCATTTACTCGAGAGACACTCAACGAGCTTACCATGGAGTTCGTAAATGTCGCGGGAACAGCGACGATCATCCACCAGACAAGACCGAGGAGGAAGTCCTTGCCTTTCCCGCGGATCAAGTTGCTCACCAAACGGCCATCCAGTTCGGCCACGTACAGACTCAACAATGTCCGCAAGATCAGGAAGACGCTGTGGCTCACCAAAAGCCTGAGCTCCTTACTACGCCATCCCGGTATCACGATCTTGAGCAGGCGCAGGAGGTTCTTAAAGAACTCCCGGTTGATCTCCACCCGCTTCTTCCGGGGTTGTTCGTCCTCGCCGAGGCTGCTGGTGCCAGGTCGTCGGTGTAACTCTACCTGCTGCGAGGCAGCCTTTTGCTCGGCAATAGCATTGTGTATTCGTTTCGCAAGAGCCGCGAAAAGCGCAAGGTATACGGCGCGTGAGATTCGAGTGCGATGTTTGAGGTAAAGGGAGGTAAGACTGGAGAAGACCTGCTTAATGGAACGATCGGGCGGTAATAACTTGGAGAGGGCGGCCATGACTCGATGGATCAGCCGTCGGAGACTGACATGACCTTGAAAGAGTTCCAAGGTTGTGTTCGAGGAGAAGCAAAAGAGGAAGGGGAAGTGGAGGTGAAAGTGGAGGAATGACGGAGCTAGCATGTGAAACCCCCGGGATCCTGGGGAAGTTGCCAAGCCCCCCCAAGTTGGACCGAGGTCTCACTTCATTATTCCATTTCTGATTCCGGGTTTATTTCTATTTCTCTTTGCACTTGTCCGCCAGCGCTGGATGTTTGGGATGCATATTCATGATCTCTTATTCTTGTTACATTTCACTTGTAGCAGACATTCACCAGCTACCTGTCCAACTGAACCATGTAATCTTATGTATCCTAGAACCACCTCCCTCCCCGGAAAATTAACCTGAGCCGTTCCAGGCCATGTAAGGGCTGGGGGTATATTCAGAACGTCTTTCTGAAGATCTTTTTTGCTTACTGGCAATTTTCCTTCAAGACCTCTTGAAAGACATGTACAAAAATCCGGCCTGACCGCTTAGCAGGAGTGAATAGACTATATCCTTGGCCAGGCTATAGAATCTCACTCATAGGTCTTCGAATCACTGAATAGTATCCATCGCCTTCCGATTGTATGCCTCCCGATCACTCTTCCAAAGCTTCTCGACCTCCGAATCAGCCGGGTAATCAGGGTTCGGCTCGATAAGCAGCTTATGAATCGAAAGCAGAGCTAGAAGCCATTAGCTCTGTCAGACAGACCAAGTGATTAATGGGAGTTGTACTCTCACGAATATTCATATTCGGAGCCCACTTATCCTGGAGGGTATTCAAGCGAATCTCACCCTTCGCATCCACGTTCAAGTGGTAGACACGACTGGTGAATGCCACTTTGGGCGCGTCGAAAGGGTAGGCTTCGGGGAAGGAGACTTTTAGCTGGAGGGCACGGCCTTCGTATGGGGTTTGGGTCTGTTGAGTATGAGTGATACTCCCATGAAACACCTCGTAGCCTTGAAGATTAACTACATACTGGTCCATGCATAGTGACTGCCCAGTGGAACTAGTTGCGGTCAATTTGGGATCGTCATTCAATTGCTGGGTTTGGCTTACCGCATCTTTCTCCAAGGCAGCTGTGTACTCGCTAGGAGGATTGCTTTGCTTGTTGTCAGATGTGAAATCATTCCTTGGCTAGGATGAATGGTCGAGAGGTGTTGGGATTGGGAAATACCGGATGACGCTGTTAAGCTCCTTTTCGATTCTTCCCGCGGCCATTATTGTAGGACGCGGAGATTGGTTCTATGTTCGACTTATTGACAAGTTGAAATGAGGTATCGCAAATGCGATCTATCGTAATTTCACAATTGAGATGAATGGTTTGAGGTGGATTCATGCGCGTATCGAAACTAGCCTGGGAGCTTGCTACTTATATCCCACCCTGCAGCTCCAGGGCTGGCAGTCGGCTAAATTTCGTGCGCACAGTCAAAGTGCAGACCTGGGCCAGCTACTAACATCATAATTGGTAGCTTGATACTTGGGATGCAGGTGTGAGTTAGCTCCATGTAAGGTATCTCCAAGATGATGCGCCGTGCGCATGAAGCCCCTCCTTGAAAAAGCGGTGGGCAGCAGGTCATAAAGAGCCCCACGAAAGGGAAACATATTGATACGTGGAATGATAGTGATTTTTATGTACAAGATCAAAAACAAATTTCATGAGACATGTCCCAAATGTAGATATGGACAAAGAAATGAAGTATAAAGCCCGGTCAGAATAGGGCGTGCGATGGGGAGTATGTACAGCAAAAGCAACGCTCAAAATAATTCCGTATAAGATGACGCAGTTAAAATAGTTAAAACATATATAACAAGCTAAGACCGGGGCAACTTGCTCTTGGTGGTGACATCCGTCTTGGAGCCATTGGCTGGGCGTAGTCCACTATTAATCTGGGCTGCAATCTGGGACTGCTTGAATCGTTCGAATCCTTCAGCATCTTGGCGTTGGGCGGCCCAGAGCTCGTCCACATTCTGTCCAAGCATCTCAAACGCTTGCTCTGCCCGATCACTATCGAATGGCGACTCAGACTGCTCTTCGTGCAGACGCTCGAGCTTCTCGCGCAGGGCTTTCACATGAGAGTCGTCGTCTTCATCACCCACTACCTCGCCCTCAGGTGGATTGAGGAAGTCCCGGCGCAAGTTCTGGCCCAGACGATGGACGTGACCTTCTTCAGACGTCATCGCCCGAGCATGCAGGGATGTCATCGAACTGGTTCGGGAAAGATGAATCTCGTAATTGTCGATTTCTTCGTCGTCAATGGCGTTCTCATCAACCAGACTGCTGTGCAAATTACCGGTAGTATTCGTCCCGTTCGCATCCTCGGCGGAGTTCTGTGAGCTCGAGTCGGGGGCGACAGCTGCAGGAGCAGATTGAGGTAGGCGAGTCTCGGGGTACTCGTCCTCGAAACGTTGAATCATCTTAGCCAAGGTATAATCCAGGAACTGGAGGCGACGGTAGTTCGCGTCATTGCCCGCTTTGTCTTCGCGAATGAGCGCTGATTGAATCCGCACACGGATGTTGCGTGCTGACTCGAGCAGATTCTTTGACATGTCGCGAGGACGTTTAGTAGCAATGCTACGGGACTTCCGACGTCTGGGAGTTGTGGTACCGCTAGGAGGCGCAGAGTGGTCACCAAGAGCATCGAGCGCCGCATGGTGATGATCCAGGTTTCCTAGGCAGACACCCAGTGCCTTGACCACACCTGTCCCGCCAATGACATAATCCTCATCTGGAGCTGGCTCATCGTCCTCTTCGCCATAAGGCTCCTCGGCGGTACCGTGAATTCCAACGATATGTTGCAAAATATCTGGTACTGGAACCTCTCTTGCTCCAAGAGACACGCCGGTCTCAGAAAGCTCTTCCGCAATGGCACCGCCCTCTAGATTCCGAAGCGAGTATGCAACAATTTGAGATGCCAAAGCCTTCACAACTTCGTTGTTCTCCGCAGTAGGAACTTCGATATCGACTGCAATGATAGTCTTCGAGACTCGAACGGCGGCCATCATGGAAGCGTAGACAGCACAGGCCTCTTCCTGGACGATCGGATTAAGGGCAGATGCCAAGCGGACGATCTGAGGGTTCTCGAGTATGCTCAGATGACACAGACTAGGACATTCTGGTAGAATCTCAGCCAATCCAATGACGTGATCCGGCGACAAGTCAACATCGGCAAGGTGAATGCGCTTGAGAGATGGCATCTTAGGCAAGAAGCGTCGGAATGCACCGAGCGCGTTGGGCTGAACCGAGAACAGCTCGGGGTTGTGAGACAAGTCAATGAAACGTAGGTTGTGGAGTCGGGTCAGGGCTTGGAGCAATCGACAAATGACCGTGGGATTCAAATCGCAATCGGCCAAACTGAGTGCGTAAAATGGTTGCTCGGGTTCAATGGCATTAGTGAGAAGATCAAGGTCATCCTTGATGGGATTTCCTCCCAGATCCAAGCCCTCACATGAGCCGGCCTTGAAGTACTCCACCACGTGCTCAAGGCCCTCCCTGGTCAGACTGTTATTTGCAAAACCCAATCTGCGCAGTCCCATTTTGGCCGAGGCCTGGCAAATGCTCTTCACTTGATCAACTGAAGGCTTGCACTCGCTTAAGAGGAGTTCTTCAAGGTGATCACCGGCAAAACGCTCAGCTAGCGCATTCGAAAAAATGTTGCAAATATTGTGCGGCTGCGGCTTGTTCCATTCGGCGGAACCATCAGATGGAGCCCTGCACTTTGGGAGTGGAATGCCCGACAGGTCAATAGCTTTCAAGGACCTGGACAAGTGGACGAAGAGACCAATATGACGCCATCCTTGTGGACCAATTTGGGGGTTATCTTTGAGGGAAAGCTTTTCGATAACACCCCATCTCTCTTCCTTCATATCTAAAGAATTCGCTCTGTGATTTCGGCGCCGCCTGTAACGCATCTGCTCAACGGTCTTTGTTGAGAGGAGAGCGGCAAGAATTGCGCGCACAGAGTCGTCTGCAAGAGCACAATTCTCAAGAATGAGTTTTCGAACGGGCACGACAGCGAGCCAGTCGCTGAAGGTTGCGATATCCTGTGAAGTCATGGGGAAGTTGCTAAGGTCCAAAGCAGCCACAGTGCCGGGGGACTCGGCCAGTGTAGAAGATGGCGAAGAAATCTCATCCACAATTCTTTTTAGCACTGGCGTTTCGCGCAGCTGACAGCACCGACGATAGATTCGGACCGGATCCGTAGTGGGATGACCTTGTGTCTTGGAGCGTGGAGCACCAGCCGTAGGCGCGATAGGCTCATCATCATCGTTTTCGGCATCCAACTGCAGGGGAATCGAGCCGTTTGCCACAGCCTGTCTCCGCTTGCGCTCCTTGCGCTCCTTTCTCTCTTCCTCTGAGCGCTTCTTCTTCTCGACCTTTCTACTCGAGTCTTTTGTCTCGCCATTAGGCCTGGACTCGACAGGGTTGATGTCAGCAGAAGCAGACGCAGGAATCGGAGTGGGAGTAGACTGTGCATCTTTGGCAGTTGTATCATTTTGGACAGATGCAGGCGTAGTTGCAGGGTTAGGTGTTGAGGCGGGTGCCAGAGCCGGAGACTCCTTCTCAACCACTGCAGCTTGAGAATTCTTCAGCACTTCAGCCTCTTCATTCTCTTTACACTGAGCGACCGCTTTAGAATCTGCCTTCACTTCCGCCCGCGCTTCCGCCTTCTTCGACTTGGAACGATTAGACTCAGGGAGAGGCTGTCGGAGCTGGCAGGTGGGGGGCGCATCCTCGTCGGTGTCACGATGAGAAACACCGGCGATCTCGACATCCACGCAAAATGCAACGCGATGAAGCTTCGCCTGATTGAGCTCCGCGATCTTGCATCGGTCTCGACTTGGATCGAGGTTCATCACGCGACGAGGACATATCGCTCCATTGGAAGGGAGCTTAGGCAGTCCGCCCGAGCTCGAGGAGAACTTGCGCAAGGCATTGTGGATAAATGAAGGGCTCTTAGGTGAAGAAGAAGTGAACGGACTATTCTCGTCCTTCTTTTCCTCTTCCTTATCCTTCGGAGAGTATGCGGCGCCGAAAGGGTTGTGAGCATCGAGAGGAGAGGTCGTTTTTGGACTTGCCGGGCCTGCTTTTAGACTGGACTGGGAGGGAGGCGTCGAGCCAGACGAGAACTTGGAGCTAAGACTCGAGATCCAGGAATTTCTCCGCCCACCAGCAGGTTTTGGTACGCTCCGCGGTGTTGCCGGCGATGGGGTGGTCGAGGTTGCTTGGGGTTTCTGCTCCGTGACCTTAACCTCACTCTGCTCTGCCTTCTCTTCTACCGGGCATAGATCATTTGAAGGATCATTTTTCTGTTCCTGGGTACTTGACGGCGGACGAGCTGGGTTGCTATTCGAACGAGATCTCCTATATGATTTCGATAAAGTAGTCACATTTTCTTTCTCGCCAGATTTTTCGTTAGTAGAAGACGAGGATTTGGTGCGCTGAAGGTGATCTAAGAAACCGCGGTGTTAGAGCCCGTTTAACGCGGCTTCTGACTTCCCCCAAGATGGCCTATGGACCCGCTCGTACAGCACTCGTACAGGGCACTGACCTTTCTGCGAATGGTGAAGCCAGCTCACATCTACAGTCTGGACGCCCTCCATTGTTGAAGAATGCTTCGCCTCTTCCAGGAGTAAAGAGAAGCTGAGCCGGCCAAAGTCCAGCTAGTCCAAATTATGACCAAGTGGCGCGGTGTACTGAGGGTCGAGTGATGCGATAGGCCTCAGATCGGATGACGCATACTTGGCGGATCCCCCCACTTTTGCCAAAGGATTTACGGGATCGCGAAAGCAATTCCCACAAGATACTCCAAGGCACAAGGGGGCCTCCAAGGCACAAGGGGGAAGGCGATGGTTGAGAAATCCGGGGTGAGATGCGACCGGGAGGTTCCAAAGTTGAGGAGGGGTGTCGTTACAGGTGACAAGACACCACCAAGGCACAAGTCGCAGGAAACATATTGCAGGTGGAAACAAGGTAATCAGATAATAGATTAGGGGCGAAAAAAAGAGGAGAAGAGGCCACTGGAAGCGACCGGATGTGGAAAATTAAGCATCGACGGTGACATAATCCCCGTACCGGACGCTCACGTGAGGTAACATATACATTCCCACGGAATTTATGGGGAGATGGTCCGCTGGATTATAATTGGACTCCTCTCGTGCGGTGGCGGGATCAACACGAAACTAGCAACCAGTCGCATGAAGAGACTCAATCTTGTAGAGCCGAACTGGAGGTGGGGGAGCCGATGGGCGGTACTTAGCACCAGCTAGTGTCCTCCGTTGGAGTGGTTTAGGTTTAGTCCAACTTCGTGGATACGGTAAGAACGGCTTATCCACATTACAACGGATCTTGGGTATCTGAGTCGGGCCACATATGTGTAGTCCATTCCTCACCGAGGAGGCAGATCCATACTGGACCTCCCTATGTAACACAGTGGGTATCTGCAGGGAGCGCAATATTGCCATTCCTCCACCAAACGCCTGAGGGAAAAAAGAAAGAACCAAGGGAAACAAACACAGGACGCCCTCTTTCTATGCAAAGGAAAAATGGAAAAATGAAAAAATTAGTCGTCACGCCATGAGTCCAGACCAAAGTCCTTTCTCTTCATTCCGCCATGGGAACATCCTTGAGAATCTCCCAACCGTACTCCTCCTCGGGCCTTTCAGCCTCCATCCCAAGGGCATTGCGGTATGCGCGAACCTCGTTCTGCAAGCCCATTATAATGCGAATGGGGACTTCTTCCTCCTCGGACCGGAGTCGGTGAGCAGTGCGAATCATCTCGGCACATTTCATCGTTTGTGCATGCCAGTAATCGCGGTCCAGTCGGCTCTCTAGATGAAGGTCCCGCTCGGCTTGCAAGAGGTTATTATAGTGGCTTTTCTGGTAGAAGTAATGCAAGTTGTTGTTCTGACAGTAGTTGCGAATTTGCTCTACCATCGTGCCCACAGTGGACTCGTATTCGCCAATCAGCTTGGTGTTCTCCAGCTGCTCGCGCTTGAGGCTTTCGGTCAGTCGCTTCTCTTTGGCAAGGGCTCGTTCGAGTTCGGCAATACGGGCCGCTAAGGAAAGGGTTTTAGAAATAAGACCTTGTCAATGATGAGGCGCAATCTCGGAGCAAACGTACCGGATATCTCCCCGTTGACCTGCTGCGCCGCTGGACTGGCGCTTTCTGAAGAGCCGTGTTTCATAATTTCCTCCGCACTTGTGACAATATTCTTGGTAACCTCTCGGTTGTTTTTAAGTACATCTGCCAGCTCCAACACCATGTCGTAAAGATGGTGAAGGTCCATTTGGTGTCCTGCGTTCATGGGCATGCCAGCAGCGAGGGCCGCCCCCATCCCACCGCCGTTGACCTGAGGGGTCGGGTGTGGAAGCGCAGGAGACATAGATTGTCGCGACATGCTACCGACACTAGGGCTGTGGGAGCCGGAATCAAGACGGACGGGGGTGTCGAAGTTCGAGTATACGCCGTTGCTAGGACCGTTGTTGGACACGGCACCGCTGTTCATGGACATATCCGCCTGGGCAAATGCACGATTGAGTTCCTCAAGTTGAGGGTCGTGCGGGCTGATACGCGAGGAGCCGCTTTCCTCGTCGTACCAGGACGCGTGGTTTTCAACGCCAAGGACCTCCTTTTGAAACTTCTCAAGGTCACGGCGAGTAACGTGGGTGGAACGACGGCGGTGCCCACGTGCAAATGCCTTGGAAGAGGAGGTAGAAGCAGTGTCCTCGATGATGGCGGCGCGATCGACGAGATGGAATCCGGGGTCAATCGCAGAATCGTCGATGTAGTCGAATGTCGACGTCGCTGCGCTGTTGTGGTGGTCCGGCCCGCCGTGCCAGATCGGGTTAGCTTCCTCTTTCACCGCCACCCTCTCATTGACTGGACTGACGCTCTCCAGTCCAACTAACCGCTTCATCCTGTTGAGCGCACTCATCGCGGGGTTTTTGAGTCGGGGTTAGGGCTGAGCCGAAAATAGCACAGGTTCAATCCTATCATTGTGGGTGTCCAACCTGCCCTAAGTCAGGTGTAGGTGTAATGGATGACGGATGCCAATTAAAAACCTCCAAACTTTCTCTTTCGCGCTTGCTGAAACTGGTTTTTGTTGCAGTTGCAGTCGCAATCGTAGTTGCCAGGTACCCGGGTCCTTGCTCATTACTCCTTGGTCGTTCAGGCCTGGGTCCTTTGAGGATTTTCTGGTCGCATGCAGCCTGGTGTAGATGGCTCTATGTCAAGTACATGCTACGGCCCAGTTCGATCAACTAGCTTTCCCAAATTCGAAATTTGGGACTGGCACAAAATCTTGAGACGGCACGGCCAGTCAGGGCTCATGCATGACCCGGGGGGGTGTTTAAAATCGTACATCAAGAATATTCAATATGATTAAAAGTCGTGTCAAGTCATACCTCTGTGTTCAGCAAGGCCTCCAATCTCCGGTCTGACCCGGGCAGCAAGTACTCTTGGTCCTCTTGAATGTTATTGCTTCTCTTCTGCTGTGCAATCCTTCCCCCTACTCGCGCCACGAGCATGCGCATCTTCGCTAATTCTTGGATCAACTCGCCGTCTCGTGTGACAAGATTGGGCTGAATGTCCATCTGCGGATCTTTAAATGGCTCTATGAGTCTCTCCAAATGCCGTAATTGATCCAAACGCCGTTGTCGTTGCTGACGTTGCTGGTTCAGACTTGCTAGCCGGCCCCGGAGCTGCTGGTATCTGTGTCACGGATATTAGCCAGGTGAAACTCCAATGAGTGTAATTTTAGAGGACTTGTAGTAAGCTGACCTTGCAGAGTCTTCGTGGGCTGCACCTTGAGACTCGATTTCCAATGGTAGGTTGGTAATATTTCTAAGTGATGTCGGCGAGGATTCGAAAGAAAGCATAGCGTTGAGGACATCTTACATGTGCCTGGACATATCTGTTGTCTTTTCCACGCCATTTTTGAAGGCTGCACGTAAACTGCCTTCTTGACTGATAGAGGACCAGTAGAGAGTGGCGATCTGGTGGGCTACATGGTGGATTGCTTGTGAGGAGTAGACGACGCGATTATGTTGTTTCGCAGCCGCATTCACTGGTGATGACTTAGTACTCGCTTTCTTAATAAGTGCGCATGGTAGCCCTATATTCTCATACAAGAGGCTTAATTCATGGCAAATAGGGAAGGTACCTTTGTGCAGTACGTCTTCAATCACCTTGTCGCCAAGGTCGCCCTCCTCAGTCTCCACCGCGAAGTTACGCCAATCTTGGGGAAGTTCGAGGCCTTCGGAGAGAATTCGAACCTGAATCCGGATGAAAGCCGACTTTAACTCCGATATTGTTCTTGTTGAATCCATTTTGGCAATGCAACGACAAGAAACCCTCGTGTTGCCCAAAACGCGTCTTTATCGCGCTTATCGGAAGTGGTCACGTGTGTACCGGTCGCTGTTGGCGATGACGATCGGGCGAGGTTTTCATTATGATCTGACTCGAAGACGATACTTTATTTGTCGTCGGCGAATAATACTGGCCTCTATTACATGCGACAATCTACCATCGAGATTCGACATTTTGTGATGTTTGTAATTCCCTCGGCCTCGAACGAACCCCGTACCTCGGCAATTAATTACCCACAGCCTTAAAAAGACGTCTAGTTCTCCGCATTGGCCGGACAACTCAATGCTTCACTTATCGGAACACAAATATTCATATTTGTTCATAAATACAACTCCGGCTTCAATATCCTCTATCATGGCAGAATCTAAACGGCCAGTGGGCCTTCTTTTTGACATTGGCGGCGTGTGTGTATGTCAACCCGACCTGACTAGACCATAACCTCAACAACACTCGCTAATCTTCCGAAAGGTCGTATCGCCGTTCCAGGCTATTCTCGACTATGAGATCTCCCAGAACATTCCCTCGGGCTGGGTGAATTTCAGCATTTCCAGAACAAAGCCCAATGGCAGCTGGCACAAGCTCGAACGAGGCGATATCCCGATGGATGCCGCCTTCTTCGCAGGCTTCAACAAAGATCTATGCAATCCAAATCTATGGAAACAGTTCCATGAGCAATTACACAAAAAGAAAGGTCTCATAGGGGAGGTTCCGATTCCTCCACTTCCCAACGTGGATGCGGAATGGCTTTTCTGGGAGATGATGAGGATATCCCGTACACCCGATCCATATATGTTCCCGGCCTTGAAGAAGTTGAGAGCGTCTGGAAAGTATCTTATCGGTGCTCTGTCAAATACAGTCAAGTTCCCCGAGGGGCATCCATACAACAAAGATGTATCCGGTGTGAGGTCACAGTTCGACTTCTTCATTTCGTCTGCACACACGGGGCTGCGCAAACCTGACCCGAAGATCTACGAGGTTGCTATTCAGGAAATGAACGCTCTAGCTAAGCAGCGTGGACTATCGAAGGTTCAGCCTTCAGATATTGTCTTCCTCGACGACATCGGTGAAAACCTAAAGGCGGCAAAGAACGCTGGCTTACGCACCGTCAAGGTTACGCTCGGGCAAGTCCAAGAGGCCGTGAAGGAGCTCGAGAAGATTACTGGGCTTGAGTTGCTCGAGGGCGAGGGAAAAGCTCGACTATGAGAGGAACTGCACAGAAGAGCAAACTTTCTAGACATTCTAGACTTTGTCGAACTTCTATTAGCATTGGATACAAGAGCGTATGAAAGCATGAAGTTCAAGTCGCCTTTCGACCTCTTAAAGAAGTGCCATCAATTAAGGGCCATTTGGATGGGTAATAATGGATAAGGTTGGGTCACAGTCCTTAAGCCGCGCCAAGTTCGGTGGTCGTCGACGGTCGTCGCCAACCGCACTTTTGAGGGGGATGCAGGCCCGCTAAGCGAATCTCCCCACAAAGTCGCCGCTCGAATTTTCTCCCACTTCTTTTTTTTTCCCCATCAGTCCAGGCTTCAGCACCGACAACCGTCAAAATGGTGAGTCTAACTACCGATGGCTGAAGATGCCATCACGATCCTCGCATCAATCTCCTCTGCCTCGAGCGGAGCCGGGTCCCTGCAAGATGCTTCGGATCGAATTCTGAAGCGCTAATTGCTGACTCGCGATCTTCTTGTACAGCCTTTCACCAAGACCGTCAAGAACGATGCGTACTACAGGTAAGAACAAACACCCCTTCTGAAGCTCCCAGAGAATTTTTTTTAGGGCTTTCATGCTGACCTTATTCCAGTCGCTTCCAGACTAAGTACCGCCGCCGTCGCGAGGGTAAGACCGACTACTACGCTCGCAAGCGCCTGATCACCCAGGCCAAGAACAAGTACAATGCGCCCAAGTACCGCATGGTCGTTCGCTTCACCAACCGCGACATCATCACCCAGATCGTCTACTCCGAGATCTCCGGTGACAAGGTCCTCTGCTCCGCCTACGCTCACGAGCTCAAGGCCTACGGCGTCACCCAGGGTCTGACCAACTGGGCTGCTGCCTACGCCACCGGCCTGCTCCTTGCCCGCCGTACCCTCAGCAAGCTCGGCCTCGCTGAGCAGTTCCAGGGTGTCGAGGAGGCCACCGGTGAGTACACTCTCACTGAGGCCGTCGAGACCGACGATGGCGAGCGCCGTCCCTTCAAGGCCTTCCTTGATGTTGGTCTCGTCCGCACCTCCACCGGTAACCGTGTCTTCGCCGCCATGAAGGGTGCCTCCGATGGTGGTATCTTCATCCCCCACTCCGAGCGCCGCTTCCCCGGTTACGACATTGAGTCCGAGGAGCTCGATGCCGACACCCTTCGCAACTACATCGTCGGTGGCCACGTCACTGAGTACATGGAGACCCTCGCCGATGAGGATGAGGAGCGCTACAAGTCCCAGTTCTGCAAGTACATCGAGGAGGAGATCGATGCCGGTGACCTTGAGGAGCTCTACACCGAGGCCCACAAGGCCATCCGTGAGGACCCCTTCAAGAAGGATGAGGATGCCGAGCCCAAGAAGTCCAAGGAGGAGTGGAAGGCCGAGTCCAAGAAGTACAAGGTCAACAAGCTCACCCACGCCCAGCGCAAGGAGCGTGTCCAGCAGAAGATCCGCGAGCTCGCCCAGTAAGCGTCTCGCTCTTCTTCGACGGATTGTTCGGGCTGCTGAACCGGCTCAAAAAAGTTCCACCAAAATTCTATGAGGGAATCGGCTTTTGCCAGTCGGCGTTTCTTTTTTCCAATGTGATGTAGATTTGATGGATCATGGCTTATACCACTTCTGTTACGTTCAAGGGGTCTGTTTTCTGGAGCAATTAGTTCGGTGTTTCATTTCAAGGCATTTCTTCACAGTCCTAACTGCTCCTCAAATGTCCATGAAATCTCATCGTTCCCTCAAGCGCATTCTGATCCTTTCCTGGAAATCGTGCATTGTAAACGGGAATTAAATACAGTCCCCACTGCCGCGTGCTAACCTGCACACTTCCAACCTAGGCTCACCGGTCTAGACCCACGATGTGTAGCGGTGTGTGTCGAGAAGATCTCGTGTCCGATCGTTCCTGGTATGCAGCTATACAGTACCACTCAGTGGATCACTCGACCCACTCGCTAGCCTCAATATTCTCCGCTGCAGATCACCGCGGGAGTATCGAAATATTGAGATTGGTAAAATTTTACACTATTTTCCATTAATGGCCCCGAAAGGCTTCCTCGGCGAGAAGCCATGATCACGTGACTACCGCGTCCAAGAAGTCCAACGCTTGAAGGGTGCTTTTTCTTCATCACCACGTGTGCATTTCACCATGCACACATCTCCAAAAGATGAAGCTCTTTCTTATTCGACATGCAGAGACTGTGCATAATGTCGAAAAGGTGTGGTAGGTTATAGACAATTTTAAACAGTCCATGTACGATGATATATTTCTGACGCCCGCAACCAGGGCCGGCTCGTTAGACTCGACGCTCACAAGCCATGGAATGCTACAGATTGAGTATCTCGGAAGGCATTTTGCATCGAAATCCATTCATTTTAACTTCGTATTTGCATCAGACCTGAGCAGAGCTCGCATTACAGCGGAAGGGATTTGCTGCCAACAATTGCCCAGACACGATAAGGCTCCTATATCACCTTTCCTGACATCCGATCTTCGAGAAAAAGATTTCGGATCATTAGAGGGCGTGCGATTCAACCCGGCCCCGGGCAAGACTAATAAAGGCCATGCACGCCTCGATCGCTCAAATAGTGCAAGTCCATTGCCGCATATCGAGAGCGAGTCCACTGCCTCGATGAGACGTCGAGTGATTTCGTTTCTGAATACACACTTCCTACCATTGGTATTCGATGATACCACAAAAAGACCAAATGTAGCTATCGTGGCTCATGGTATTATTCTTCGGGTATTGTGGCACTGCCTCGTTGAGCTCTTCGACCCTACAAAGATCTCTATCGCGCCTGGCATTCCTACAATGGATGATCGACCCCCGGCGCTCCTTACCCCAAGCTGGTCGAACACAGGATATATTTCATTATCCATTCAACCCAACCACGTGCCTACGTCGCCCTCACAATCGCAGCCAGGTCACGAACAAAGACGGATGTTAGAAAACGCCACGTCACCCACCGAGAATCTATCTACGCAATACACATCAATGCCAGATGCTCATTACGTACTACACGGATGGTCCATGAGAATCCTGGCTCTCGATAGTCGAGCCCATCTCGCGGGTCTCCGCCGTACCCGAGGCGGAATCGGAAGTTCCTCTCACGATAACCGACAAAAGAGAATCGACCAATTTTTTAGAAAGTGATGGGTTAAGACCCTCCGGTACTTCCTAGAGTATGTAAATGTCATTTGAGCTACACTGCCACTGGCTTTACTCGCAGTAAAATACCTCATCCAAAGGCTTCCACCATCCAGGGCCCTCGGCACTGCCAACAGCGCCAGGGATGGGACTCTCCTAGTAGTCCAATCTATCAGCTTCTTCTCGATCACAGATCCGAGGTATTGATTGATGCGCCATACCTGCATTCCATCAGTCATAGCCCACCACTCCCGAACCTTCGGGTTCGCTCGCATACGTTCCATGTCGCCCTCGAAGTCTGTGCCGACGTACTTCATAGTCGCAAACAGGGTGCGGTCATTATCGAAGAAAATAGAATCTATTAATTGTTCAACGTTTGTGAATAAATCATATATAAGTCATGCGCAAGAGTGAATCATCCCTACAATCTGTGATGTTGCAGTCCTTGATCTGCTGCAGGACCTCGGGCCAGACATTCGCGTGGCATTCTTTGTACGCGGCCACGGCGAAGGGCTTGAGGTGGACGATTTGGGCAATGCGGCGAACTGGAGCCATTGTATCTGTTGTCGTAGTCCTGAGTGAATCGTGATTGATTTCCTGGGCAATTTGCTTGCGCGAGGTCCTGTTCGGAGGTATTAGAGCCGTGCTAGGAGGAGACCTAATAGTGTGAAGAAGAGGCCTATTGGAGAAATATGAAGAAGAACAGCTAGGAGGGGCAAATTCTTCAAGACATAAAGATCGAGATGCGACTGTTGCATACCCCTCGTCTTCGTTGGAGTGTTCACCCGCGTTCGGGGTCAGCTACCCCGAAGCCAATTTCACCGAGATGACGGGTAGACATCGCCTGTGTCCAGGAAAAGAGGTCCAAAACTTAAAGACGTATATAACATGAGAATTGAAGTCGTGAACATCTTATATCGTATAAAAATCACTCTCATGATTGAACTCCCGGGCTCTTCGGAACAGGGCGAATCCACCCGACTGCTAAATTCGCTGCCATGGAAATGACACCAATGATCCACATCGACCGTCCATAACGCGACCCATTATATCTGAAAATAATGGCAAAAATGATCCCTCCAAGATTACCAAACCCACCTACGAGACCCGACACAATACCGTTGGCATACGGATGTACATGAGGGACAACGGCAAAGTTCGCTCCGTTGCACGCCTCCGAAAAGAAAGCCAGTCCGACGATCAGACCAAACATAGTAGACTCGTCTCTTGGATCAGACAATCCGATCGCCAGCTGAAACGCACACATCACTAGACCCAGGAATGTCATGAGGAGCTTCTTGGACCAGACAGTGCCCGTGGAGTGATAAAGAATGTCCGCAATGAATCCTCCCGCTGGCCGACAGATGATGTTCAGTAGACCGAACATGGCAGCCCACTGACCGGACTTTGTCTGGCCCATTGTTGGAAATTGGGCGGCGTAGTATGTACCCAGGATAGACTTGATGGCGAGCTCGGAACCAAATGAGCATGCATATGGAATTGCTACTGCCATGGTTGAGAGGCTGAATGCGACCTGAATCACTTCATTGCGTGTGGGTGCGACGACTGTCTCTGTCTTGAAAATTTCCATGTGTCCCATTGTGGAGGCGTCTCTGTCGATGACTGGAGGAGTCTGTGTGCCTTTCTTTTCAACGTCAACGGCTACAACGTTGTAGACTGAGGATGGAGCGGAAGGGCTGTTTGAGCCGCTGCCGGAGTGGATGTCGATGATGTTGCCATCACAGAGTGACGGGGAGAAACGCTTTCTTGGGCCCCGAGGTGGCGTTCTGACCATTTCCCCGTCGGGGTGTCTTCGCACAAGAAGAGCATGCCCAGTGCCACGGCGGTGATGATGATGAAGGGGACGACGTAGGCCACACGCCATGCTTTGTGCGAAGTGAGGCCTTGAGATGCGACGAGGGAGTCATAGATGGCAGGCATGACGAAACTGTCAAGACGTGTTAGCATGGGCCAACAAAGAGTAGGGTGATCAGTGAAGACCTAAGTTATTCCTCCTCCAGAGTTGCCCCAACCTCCTGCCAGGGAATTGGCGGTTCCGACAATCTTCTTGTCAATCAATCCGGTGCACCACACCTGGCATGGAACAAAGGTACCACCTAAGATCCCGACAAAGAATCTCAAAGCAATGAGACCCTTGGGTGTGGTGACGAGCCCAGCCATAGCGGTGGGAATAGCTCCACACAGAAGCAGACCAACAAAGACCAGTCGTGGCCCGTAACGATCACAGAGAGGTCCAGCGATGAATCGAACAAGTAGTCTAGGTTGGTTAGATGATGCTTTTAAAAAGAGAGAAAATAAAAATAAAAATTAAGGATGGGGGGATTCGTACGTCGCAAGCAACGCAACAATGTTCGAGTTGGCGACATCTTCCTGCGTCATATGCAGGTCTTTCTTGATTGAGACCGTCAACTAGGGAGAGGACTCGTTAGTTGATCCTCAGCTAATGTGAAACTGGCTTTAGCATATATAGATGACTTACCAGCGGCGGGAATGCATACCACGATAGGAACGCAACCATGAATCCGAGCCATGAGAAGAAGAAAACGCGTCCATATTGATCCAATGGGTTCAGCACGGGGATTGACTTGGCTTTCTTATTATGAGGGTTAATCTCCGGCGAGGCGACGAGGAGCTTGAAAAGATTAGCCGCCATATTTGCTGGGACCGACAGAGTGCTGAGACGTGCCGATATTGGGAATCGAAAGGGCAGACTCGAACATCTATATAGACACGACCAGTCCTTGCAAAATCTTGCCCAGCGACGAAGCAAAACAAACTTTCAGAAACGCAGTCCATCACGGAGCCATAATCACAGATATCAGCCAGTGCAAGCGAGTATATCCACCGACTCTGATTCGACGGGTCATCGCTTTACCCTCTGTGCTGGAGGTTGGCAGTGCAAGGAAGTCACTTGTGAGGTCGAGGCTGACAAACGCCACGGTGCGTAGATGGATGGGCTGTGATAGCGAAAAGACATGCATCCGCAATGAGCGATGAAAACTCGGCTCAACATCCATGTCCCAAGGCTGTTGGCATGATAACAGCATTTCTGTACACCTCCGCGGACGTATGAGTCTCGTCGTGTCCCCTATAGATTCCGGGGATGCTCCCCACGATGCATAGTTCCCGGTCCACGAACTTGATAAACATGCCACGTCTTATTGGATCTCAGTAGTCGATCAAGATAGGGACAGAAGAGATATGTCTCGAGTGGGTCTCTCTCCTGGTTCCAGTAGGGTCGATCCCAGCTCCGCGGAAATACCTTAAACAGAGTCATCGTCAGGGTCATGCTGGGTCCAATCTCTTGACCATGACATAACACCATATTGTGCCCTAGAGGAGCTTCCGGTCCTAAGGTTCACAGTACTCTAGAGGATCAAACTCCCTGACAGAGGGTTTGATTCGAGGAACCTGAATAATTCGCAATTATCTTTAGATCATCAGCATAGTCTAGATTTAGTCACAATGAATTATATGGGCTTGCTTCTCGAGTAGTAGGACGCAAAATGATTCAATCGGCGGAAAAGAATATATATTCGTTAGACGGTGAATGCGACTCTCTATGACCTGAAACTATTGTCATCTACAAGTTACAAGTCTCTTATTGGAGATCACCAGTCAATCCCACCCGCTGACTGCACGGGGGCTTTCGACACTGTCTCGCCATCAGAGATCTTCTTCCCGCGCATTCCCTTATACTTCTGATCTATCTTATGAAATGGACTAGGAGTTTCACCCTTCTTCACCTTCCACTTTGCAGTCCCCAGTACAGAATCCAGCTCCTCTACCGGAGGTAGCTTGAGATAGATCTACCTATCATCTCTCTCTTCTACCGGGAAGGTAGCAATGTTCAAATCCTCATCATTAGAGCACCGCCCCGCTTGTTCACCATTAAGCTCGAAGTTGCGCTTATGATAAGGACAAGAAACCCAGTACTTGCCTGCATCATCATCTCCGACCAGTCCATCAGAAAGCACAAATGCCCGCTTATGCGGACACATCTGCTGCGTGGCATAGTATGTGCCCTTGATTTTGAACACAGCAAGCTGCGTATCGCCACGTTTGACATTAGCCGATGACACTTGTGGCGGTTCATCAGAGAAGTGATCTGCTCGAACAACAGGTTGCCAGGAGACGCTCGACCACTTGTGGCCCTTGAAGTCTTCCTTGGCCGAGTCTTTGGCCCAGTATGCAGGGCGGGTTTGGGAGCGCTCTTGGACGACTTCCACGGTATCAACTGTCTCTTCGGTGTTGGCGAATTGCGGGAATGTTCGGCGTCGCTTCGGGTCTCGAACTGTTTCGGTCCATTCACAGAAGTAGCTGTCTACCAGCTCTTGCATCTGCCGTTCCATGTCGGCGCAAATGCCCAGCTTATCGTCAATGATGACTTCTCTGAGGTAGTCGATTCCACCGGGGAGATTTTCGATCCATCGAGCGGTTCGCTGTAATTTATCGGCTGTTCGAATGTAGAATATCAAATAGCGATCAACGATGGGAATGATCATCTCTGGTGGAACGTCTTTGACAAGAAGTTCGGAATGCCTAGGCTTAGCCCCGCCATTGCCACCGACGTAGAGATTGAAGCCTTTCTCAGTTGCGATAAGACCAAAGCTGCCAACGGTTAGCATGCTACTCTCAATACAGCGAACGGATCCTCTTACTCTTTGTTCTGCGCCTCGGCGCACTCTCGCACGCAGCCAGATACAGCACCCTTGAATTTATGCGGTGCTCTGACACTCTTATACCGCTCTTCGAGGCGGATGGCCATGCCGACACTATCACTGAGCCCGAATCGACACCAAGTGGTACCAACGCAACTCTTAATAGCCCGAAGCGCCTTGGCGTACGCATGTCCACTCTCCATCCCCGCATTGACGAGCTCCGTCCAGATATTGAGAAGATCTTGCTTCTTGGCACCAAACATGTCGATTCGCTGAGCCCCTGTGATTTTACAGTATAGCCCGTACTTCTTTGCGACTGAGCCGATAGCGATAAGCTTGTCGCCCGTGATTTCTCCACCTGGAACTCGCGGTACGACGGAGAAAGTTCCGTTTCGCTGGATATTAGCGAGGAATTTGTCATTTGTATCTTGGAGATCGTTGTAGCCTTTGTCCATAATATGTGGGTTGAATAGGCTTGAAAGGATTGAGCCGATGGCAGGTTTGCAGAGCTCACAGCCTAGAGACCCTGAGTTTTGGCCGGCTGCTTTCATTACTTCGGGGAATGCCTTGAGTTGTTTGATGGCAACGATGTTGTAAAGGTCGGCTCGCGAGTAAGGGATGTGGGAGCATACTTTCTAAGTCAGTATACTTTGCTTCAGATGGTGTGGTATTTGTGGTGCTCACAGTGATTTGACACCTCGTGTCCCATTTCCATTATCGTCTTGTTGAAAATGGACTGCACCAGTGGTAGACATCCACCACAACCTGTCCCGGCCTTCGTAGATGACTTGATCTGGCCCATTGTCTTGCAAGTTTCATTCTTGACATTCTCCACCACATCGCCTTTTGACACGTTGTGGCACGAGCATATCTGCATGCTATTATCACTGCATAATGAGGCGCGTCAGTATCTGACCAAGTTCCCTAACGGATGATTCTTACAGGTCATCCGAATTTTCCTCTCCATCATTCTGAGCCCCCAGAATCAATTGGCTTGGTGGGATCTCCAGCTTCTTTTGTCCCTTGACCATTTGATTCAGCTTCAAGTAATCCCGAGTATCCCCGATCATCATTCCTCCAAGCAAATATTTTCCATCCATAGTAGAGACATACTTTTTGTATACACCACCAAATGGGTCCTTGTAAGTCAAGGCCTTGACGGGGAACTCTTTCTCGTGGGGGGCTTCTGCAGTTGACCCGGGGATGAACGGTCGTCGACCAGGGAGGAATATAGGACCGTCCCGATCGGCGAAGAAGTCACCAAAGGAGGCAACGTCCACACCGAGGAGCTTCAATTTTGTGCTGAGGTCCGGTCGTTTGAAGCTTTTTTGCTCTTTATCAGGATTTGTTAGGTTGTAAGCCAGTACGTCGGCCATTTCGATACCTGGAGCAATGATGCCGAATGTTTGGTTCTCCCAGCTGGCACACTCGCCGACGGCGTAGATATTAGGTATCGAAGTTTGTAGACTGGCGATATCAGAAATAGTTCCCGTTGAGTGGAATCGCAAGACACAAACCCTTCATCAATAACAAACCCCCCTCTCTCAGCGGACTGGATGCCAACGGATGACCCAGTTCATCTCTCGGCTTGACACCAATCTGGACATCATCAATGAGTATGCGTATCTTGTATAGAAGAAGCAAATAGACTTGGTAAGAGATACATACCGCAAAGCAAATACAACAGCACTGGATCTGCTCCCCGTCTTCAAACGTGATACCAGTCACATTGTTATCGGAATCCGTATTGACAGTCGCAACACGCTTCTGATGCAACACGTCGAGGCCCAAATCGCGGATCTTACGAGTCACAAGCGTGCCCGCATCGGCATCCAGCTTGCGTGCCAACAACCATTTGTTGCGGTCAATCAACTTGACATTTCCAAAGTCTTCCAGATCGGTCATGGCCTTGGCAGCTTCAAGGCCAAGCAAGCCTCCTCCAACGGTGACTGCTGTTTCACCTTTATGCTTTAAGGCGAAGTCAATCAGACGCTCGAGATCTTGAACTGTGCGATACACAAATACACCTTTAGCATCATGGCCGGGAGTATTTGTGGGAAGAACGGCATCTGAGCCGGTCGCAAGGACCAGGATGTCATAGGGAACCGTATCTCCCATAGATGTTTGAACGGTCTTGTTATTAGGATTGATTTCGGTGACGCGAGTGTTGAGATGGTGATCGAATGCCCTCTCTTTGAAAGATCCATACTGGTTCATGTTAGTGGGTGGTTCTTTCTTGTTTTCTATTATTTTCTCCACAACTCACCCATTCCTTAGGGTTAAGATACAGGTCTTCGATCATGCGATGCTCGAAGAATGATGAAAGTCCCACACGATTATACGCAACGTGTGGCTCTTCGCCGATCACTAGAATGTCGTATCGTTGTGCAAAGTCCTGTTTGATGACTTTCTCTCTGTCCGTCATTAGCCTATAGCGATTTCGCTCGTGATTGAGGATTGCCTACATGAAGGAAATAGCCACCATACCCAGACCAACTACGACAATTTTCTTTCTTGATTCGTTGATGTTGAAACTGGGGCTGTCGTCCACCGGCTCGCCGTGACGGAGTCCATCAAGAACTGGCATGATTAGATTAGAGTATGGAAGATGAAACCTACTACCATTCCGACCCGGGCTACATTTAAGAGAATGGTACTCGGCAGACCTGGACTTTGCAAAGGGTGACACAAAAGCCGACCCCCGTCACGAAAACCAGTAGGGATCTTGTCTTGAGAATGCATCTCCGCGGAGATCAAAAAGATCAAAACGTGGTCGATCAGAGATAAAAATCATCCACACACTGATTGGCCCGCTCATCTATCTAGCGATAAGAAGATGGACCATCGTGATTCTACAGCCCAATTATTCACACGAGTTATGTATTTTCGGCAATGTGAGAAATGTCGTCCCCGCGGAGTTGTCTGGTGCTGCCGTGTGTACTTCTGACATGGCACCCGGCGCCACTTCCTCGTGTAGTGTTCTAGTCTTCTGTACGACGTTATACTTTGCTGACCAAATAGTCCTATAATCACAACACTTCCCTTCTAGACCCAGTCGAGGACTATATACAGAAGTACAGTTCAGGGGTGTAGCATCTTCCATTCCACCATGGCGAACGCCATTGAGACTGTATTGGGAATCAACAATATCCTTCAAAAGGACGATATCAAGTGGCATAATCTTCCAACACCAGAAGAGCCAAATGAGCCTCTTCCCCTCCGTCAGTCAACCCAACGGCAATCCTAGATATCGACAAGAGCACGCCCGATAGTCATGTTCCTCGGGATCCTCGACTGATCCGCTTGACGGGTATTCATCCATTCAATACTGAGCCGCCACTGACCGTTCTATACCAAGAAGGTAAAATAACCACCGAGACAAGATATTGAGTATTAAAATAATTCATACAGGGTTTCTTACCTCCCCCGAGCTGTTTTATGTCCGGAATCACGGTCCTGTACCTCAGGTCCTCGATGAGGATATTCCGAACTGGGAATTAAGCATTGAAGGGCGAGTGACCAAGTTCCCTTGTCGGAGAGAAACGACACAGCTCCTAATTCATGGAACAGATTAGTCGAGAACCCAATAATTCTGGACTTCCGAGAGATCCTGCAAAAGTACGATCAAATCACAGCCCCAATCACTCTCGTCTGCGCAGGTAATAGACGCAAAGAACAAAACACAGTCCGCAAGTCAAAGGGTTTCTCATGGGGTGCCGCCGGCCTCTCAACCGCCTTATTCACGGGACCTATGATGGCTGACGTTTTGCGCACGGCGAAGCCCACACGACGGGCAAAGTATGTGTGTATGGAGGGAGCAGATCAATTGGTAAGATTACCACAATTCACCCTGGGTCATAACCCTGAGTTGACCAATACAGCCAAACGGCCATTATGGCACATCGATCAAATTAAACTGGGCAATGGATTTCAACAGAGGTATCATGTTAGCGCATAAGATGAACGGCGAATCATTGCGACCGGATCACGGCCGTCCTTTGCGTGCTGTTGTTCCCGGTCAGATTGGGGAACGGAGTGTAAAGTGGCTTAAAAGGTTGATCTTGACGGATCAACCGAGTGACAATTGGTATCATATTAATGATAATCGGGTGCTGCCGTGAGTTTTCATCCCAAGAGCTTGTGGAGTGTTTGTTTTCTAACGCAGATCAGGACCATGGTGTCCCCCAAGATGTCGGCACAGGATAAGAAATGGTGGACTGATGAGCGATATGCGATCTATGACCTCAATGTGAACTCGGTGGCGGTTTATCCTCAACATGAAGAGATTTTGGTTCCTGCCTCGGCTGGACCAACATATACTGCCAAGGGTTACGCATATACTGGGGGTGGTCGAAGAATCACAAGGGTTGAGGTATCTTTGGATAACGGGAAGAGTACGAAAATCCGCTCAAACTGTTGTTTCTCTAAAAAAGCTAACAGATAGTCATGATAGCTTGGCGACTCGCCGATATTGAATATGCAGAAGACAAATATCGTGGGTGGGAGGGTGATCTGTTTGGTGGCAAGGTCGACATGTGGCAGCGAGAGACTTGTTTCTGTTGGTCTTTCTGGTCACTGGATATCCCAGTGTCAGATATAGAAGACAGCAGAGCAATGCTAGTCAGAGCCATGGATGAGGCTATGACTGTCCAACCGCGAGATATGTACTGGTCTGTTCTGGGAATGATGAACAACCCATGGTTCAGGATAAAGATCTTGAAGGAGGGAAGTTAATTTGAAGTTTGAACACCCGACTCACCCTGCGAAGGCTGGGGGGGTGGATGGGGAATGTCAAGAAGACAGGGGCGATTTGAACAATGGCCACTGGGGCGAGCGTTTTGAGGGTGAAGTTCCTGTCGAGCCAGACCATGTGAAGGAAATCAATATGAAGAAAGAAGGAGTCAACCGAGTTGTTGACTTACAAGAGCTGAAGTTGAACACCAGCGCTGAGAAGCCTTGGTTCGTGATCAACGGAGAAGTCTATGATGGGACAGCCTTCCTGGAAGGTCACCCCGGGGGAGCAATCAGTATCACTGCCTCTGCTTGTCTGGACGTCTCAGAGGATTTTCTTGCCATTCACAGTGAGACGGCTAAGATGATGATGCCCGACTACCATATCGGCAGCTTGGACAAGGTGTCCCTCGAGGCACTGCAAGTCAACGCCTCCGCAGTATCCGACGAGCCCCGCCCGATTTTACTTCAATCTCGAGCCTGGTCTAAAATCAAGCTGTCAGAGGTGAAGAATGTGTCGTGGGATACCCGGATCTTCGTCTTTGACCTGGAACACGGGAGACAAACCTTGGGTCTACCGATCGGCCAGCATTTGATGATCAAAGTCCCGGATCCTATCACTCACGAGGCAATCATCAGATCATATACCCCGATCTCTGAAACAAACATGGAAGGAAAGATGGAGCTGCTGGTGAAGATATATTTCCCTTCCGATACGATACCAGGCGGCAGGATGACCTTGGCCCTGAACAAGCTTTCCCTGGGAGCAGAGATAGAGTGCAAGGGCCCAACAGGACGGTTTGAGTATCTTGGACACGGCCGAGTCCTTCTCGGCGGCAAAGAGCGTGAGGTGCGCTCCTTCAAAATGATCTGCGGAGGGACTGGTATCACGCCGATATTCCAGGTGTTACGTGCTGTGATGCAAGATCCTCAGGATCCTACCGCCTGTGTTGTGCTCGACGGGAATAGATTGGAGGAGGACATCCTATGCAAAGCTGAGCTCGATGCCTACGTTGCGGTGGACAGTCGGAAGTGCACTATCGTGCATACTCTGACGAAGGGCTCGGATGATTGGAAGGGCCGGCGAGGCCGTATCTCCAAGGAACTGCTCATGGAACATGCGACTCCCGGGGAAGAAAGCATGGCGCTTCTCTGTGGGCCCGAGGCGATGGAGAAATCAGTTCAAACAATTCTCCTTGACCAAGGTTGGAAGGAGTCAAATCTTCATTTCTTCTAGCTTCTGTTCGTGGACGCCACTTAAACTATCTGTCTTTGTGTATTAAGCGAGCGCTAAGGATTATTTCAGTAAATATGAGGAGGTTGGGCGAATATATCTTCTGGCACTCGGACTTAGGATGCCTTATACCATTTGCGAAGATGCAGAGAAAATGAAACAGTGAGAAAGAAGGTTGGAATTGATTTGTTTGTGTTGGCTTCCTCTGCGGAGAAAGACGAAAGCTATGGTGCGATGATGGATGGACCTCATGGATCAAATTATGACGGGTCATTAAAAGTTATGATAGGTGGGTGAACCACCAGATCTCCTTCCTGGGGTCCTTTCTTCGAGTACACATTGTCCTCGTCTCCTCCAGACGCCTAGAATTTATCTAATGATCGACAACCGCTGGACATTCCCCTATGGATTTTTGACAAAGAAAACAACGAAGATTCATCATTCGTGACACATCGTCGCTGATGAGAATCTCCATCTCATGCATTTTAATAGTACTCCCTCACATCTAAGCGCACTCGGAGATGTTCAAACACGCTCATCGGCTCATTCTGCAATGAAAAGGCCGCTCCCGATTTTGCCATGATTTTAGCAGAAGAGTTCCCCGGGTCCAAGCTACGAAGGTATCCCACGAAGGCCGAGGCCTGTTTCCGGAAAGTAGAATACAAATGAAGAGCAGCACCTTCATTCTCATGGCGGAGGCCACTCACCCCCTCCGCCTTGGATAGAGAACTGAACGCGAGGATGACGCTAAAGATGTTTTCTAGCAACTTCGCAGCCTGTGCATGTCGTTTGCTCAGGAGGAGAGCAAACAGCATTTGGTCGAGGACATCTTCGTGATAGTCGCGGAGGCGCGGCACGGAATGAGCGGCTTCGATGGTGCCGTCAATATCGCCCCGATCAAGACAGCGTTCGATTCTCGACAAGGTTTTTTGAAAGTTGGTCCAAATGGATCCGATGCCGACGTGGAAACAATAGTCGCTGACTGCGAGAACGAAGTGCTGGGCGTCAATTCGAAACCTCTGGAACACATTTCGGATATCCCCTGTGAGGGATTCTCGAGAGGTAGAGTCGCGAACGAGTCCTTTGACAACTGATACCATACGAAGTAGGCGGAGCAGTTGCTTGAAGAGACGGTCATACTTCTTCAAAGAGCGTGAGGTAATGAGAGCTTCAAGGGTCTCTGGGGGTTTGTACTGTAGACGGAGGAAATCCAGTGCCTCTATGGCATTTGGATCTTTGCAACGTTTGATTTCTTCATTTGTCAATTCTCGGATCGAGAAATTCAGACCACCGGGAAGCTCATTCTCCCTTTCTTGTTGCGCATTGTCGGGTTGCTCGGGCTCCGCATCGGAGAAATAGCAATCTCCAAGAATTCCAATAAGAACCAGTCGCAGCTCTGAGCTTGCTGGTGGCCAGGTATCACGATTGCCTAGGCGCAATCCAGTGTGTACACCACCCCGGACCTTCCCAGCCTTCCGCTCGCCGCTGTCCATTTCAGGATCAAATAAAGAATTCGAAAGACGCGAGGCAAATGAACCATCTCCCAATAGCTGGAATCGCCATTGAAGGTTCAAATGGTGCCGAACGTCGTGCTCTTTAAACAGGTGGTGAAGGCAAGAGAAATCGATAAGTTGAGCCTGAGAAGAGATAATCGGAGCAAGTGAGAGATAGAGGCTTGATGCCAGCTCTGGCCCGAATCGATCGCCAAAGGAGATAGAGTCAGGACAGGGGTCCCTGGCTTTCTGAAGCATCTGGCTAACTTTGTCGTTGGAAAGAGTCTTGCCGTCCATGACAGACCCGGAAACATGCTTCTCATCATCAATGTCAAATAGCTCAAAAGTGTTCTCAACGATTTCATTTGAACTCGATTCGCTAGTATCATGGGTGGAATCAAACATTTCCGGCTGAGCAGTCGAATCGCCTCTGTGATACCTCAGAATCTCAGCACGAAGGCTGGACTCGTATTCGAGTGCTCTTTTTTGTATTCGCTCAATATCTGCCCAGCTCGTCGCATATTCGAGGCGGAGTTGGCCCGTCCGAGCGAGAACATCACGACGCGCAATGGGATGTTGAGGGTGGGATTTCTTGAGGAGACGCAGACTCCTTCCGCTCTCGAATATAGACCGCGCTTGGTCTTCGGGTATAAAAGACGGCATGTGGGATCCATCGTAGATGTACTCAACCCGTGAAGGTGCCGACTTGAACCTGCCAGGATCCTCATGAAGTTCTTCCTTGATGAATGTTCGGCCACTCGCTAGCAATTCATTGAGCGCTGATTCCTCAGGGCGAAGGCCGATCCAGCCCTCCATGAAACTAAACCACGGTGCCGTGACTTGGACCACAACTTCATGCGCGAGATTCTCCATCCACGCAAACTTCTGCGCGACAAAGGCGGCCCATTGGATAACACCCGAAATCACTTTAGCATCTGTAACGGCTTTCTCCACTGCATCGACGAACTCAGCCAGGGCGCCTATCAAGTCCGCGCATCGACTGAACAAGGCTGTGACTTGCAAGAGGGACACTACTTGTCTGGAATGAGCAAGAATCTGTCGCTCAAGATTGTAGATTATAACAGCGACGGTACCACGCAGGGTGAATTTAGCAGAAATGTCCCCGAATTTGGTCGGCGGAGTGCTAACAAACGCTCGTACTCGCTGCATATCGGTGCCGCATTGCAGTATTTGTGTAATTGCAGCATCCAAAACTTTCAAGCTGACACCAGAGACACGAATGTCCTCCACGAAGCGCTCGAAAGCCATCTTCTTCTGATTGAAACGGAAGAATACAGAGCTCCAGCCTAACCCAAGCCGTAACAGTGATCGAATAAAGACATCGTCTCGAACTAGGCGGCCAGCAATATCACGGCCCTGAGTACTTTGTCGTGCAAGTGCTGCGTCAAAGCCTTTGGCGCCCGATTCGCTGAAATATGCTGACACAGGTTCCTGGAAGGACCGATCTTGGTATCTCTCCCATGATTTGAGCGGCGCAACATGACCAGATTCCTCCTGCAGCAGATCAATGTCCCATATATTCTCTTCCTCGAGCTCTGGAGTAATTCAGTCGGCGCATCGGATTGGGCGTCTATCGAGTGGTCGACAATCGAAGCGGGCGCCAACTCAAGCGACTCGCAGTTGGTAGCAAACAAGTTCAAAGTCCATATCGGATCGATTTTGTCATGTGTATTTGTACTCTGATGGATAAGAGAGCCCGAAACATCTATTGAAATAGATGCTGTCAGTTAATAGTCTCCGCCTGGATCAACGAAAACGTACCAGGCAAGTCTGTGTTCCACGGTAGAGTCTCCAGTGGTTGCAGAGCCTCTAGACTGAATTTTGAAAGTCTCCATAGGCTCTCGCTGGAAAAAGGATCTAGCCCGTCAGAATCCATGAGGCCATAGCCGAGATCGTGCAGGAGTCTCAGACGCGTTGGGTAGATTGACTTGGTTCCGCGCGAACTGATATCGTGCACGGGCCAGGCGATAACAGAACTCGCTCGTCGCTCGTCATTCCCTCTCCATCAACGTCAATTTGGCCAATATACCAATTCACAATGCCGCCACGCAAGAAGGCGAAGCGGGCGCATTCTGCTACGCCGCAGGACGACGCTACGGTGCAATCCAGCGCGAATACACCCGGCTCAAGCGATAGCGCCGAAAAGCCAGAGCCAGAACACGATTTCCTCTCCGATCCCTGGACAGACGAGCAAGAGACTGCGCTGCTGAAAGCGATCATTAAGTGGAAGCCGGTTGGTATGTACAGCTTGTCATTTCATGTTGATCCTTCAATGGCGCGGGTGCTAATGCGCATTCTACTCAAGGCTTGCACAAGCATTTCCGCATGCTCGCAATTGCAGACTACTTGAAGAGCCAAGGATTCGGCCCTTCTACAGCAGACCATATGCGCATTCCGGGGATATGGAAGAAATTAGGCACACTTTACAATCTTGAAGCTCTTGACGAACGGGTAATCCGCACCCGAGCGCATTGAACCACTGGACTCGGTTTAGCTAATCGGTATAAATTGCGCAGGAAAACTCCGTGATTACAGGTACAAATGACGATGAAGAAGAGGATCGTGACATGTACTGCCCTTTTGAACTCCCGTACGATGAATACGGCGATATGATGTTCGAAAGACGACTAGCAGCAGAAGGATCGTCCTCCCCGAGACCAGCCGCCACGCTGAGTCGCGTCGGGGCAGCACTGTAGCGGACACAGACGGTAAGCTACGATGACAGTCCATTTGAGTCTCGCTTCGAGTACTAAATAAGTCACATACAGAGCCTCGTTCCTCCCCAGCTCCCTCTCGAGGTCGCAAGTTCACCCGTGGTACACGCTCCGCTGCGCGCGAAACACGATCTACCAAACTAGCTGTTGAAGTTGGCTCTGGGAGTCAAGACGAAGTATCCGATGAGGATGGAAAATCGGACGAAGAGGATACGGGTGCCAATGATGAAGGTGACGAAGACGGCGATGAGGACAGTGATGGAAAGGAAAGCGATGGTGAGGAGGAAGAAGCCGAGGAGGAGAAGGAGGAAGAAAAAGGTGCTTCGCGAAGCACGCGGGCGAAGGCGTCAACGTCCAAATCCAAGCCGAAGGACAAGAAAGCTTCGACGAGTACAGGCACTCGAAGGACTGCCCGTCGACGTTGATGCAGTGCGCTCCATGTATACTTCTGCAGCTTTGATACCTACGGATGGGCGTTTTTGTGGTTCTTATTTCGGTGCCTGTATGATTATGGAAATTATATATTCGAAAGCATACTGTGATGGGTGATAACCCCGAGAGAAATTCACAGACACTACACAAGTGTATCGGCGTAACCACAAGTAGGTATTTTTCGAACGCTATAGGAAGTCTAATGTCGTTCGAGGGTACAGAGGGAATAGGTCAAAAAGTCATAGTACAGTAAATCCAAGTAACGACGTTCTTTACAGGCGGGAGATGATGGCCGCGGCGTACTCGTGGGTCTTGGACTTACCGCCAAGGTCACCGGTGAGGGTCTAGAGAAGAGGTGGTTAGCTGGAATCTTAATTAGGTGCTAACGAAAAGAAAACTTACCTTGCCCTCAGCCAGGGTGTCGAAAATAGCCTTCTGGATGCGACCGGCGTGCTCGTGGAGACCCATGTGCTGCAACATCATGATGGAGGATAGAAGCAGAGCAGTGGGGTTGGCAAGACCCTTGCCGGCAATGTCGGGGGCGGAACCGTGGACGGCCTCGAAAATGGAGCACTCGTCACCGATGTTACCGGAGGGGGTAAGACCGAGACCACCGATCAGACCGGCGCACATGTCGGAGAGAATGTCACCGTACAGGTTGGGCATGACAAGGACCTTGTCGTTGTAGGGGGTGGGGTCGGTAACGATCTTCAGGCAAGAGTTGTCCAGCAGCTCAGCGTCGAACTCGACCTCGGGGAAGTCCTTGGAAATGTCACGGGCAGTGTTCAAGAACAGACCGTCGGACATTTTCATGATGGTGGCCTTGTGCACGACGCGAACCTTCTTCCTGTTGATGGACTCGGCGTACTGGAAGGCGAAGCGCAGGACGCGCTCGGAGGCCTCCTTGGTGATGAGCTTGATGCTCTGAACAACACCGTCAACGACGACGTGCTCAATACCAGAGTATTCACCCTCGGTGTTCTCACGAATCAGAACAGTGTCGACGCCATCGTAGGGAGTCTTGTAGCCGGCAATGGAGCGGCAGGGGCGGACGTTGGCGAACAGGTTGAAGGTACGACGCAGAGTCAGGTTCAGGGAGACGTGACCCTTGCCAACGGGGGGTCTAAGTAATTGGATTGTTTAGTATATTCAGGTCGCACCGACGAAAGTCATTGGAGCTAAGACTTACGGCCAGGGGACCCTTCAAAGCAACGTAGTTCTTCTCGATGCTCTTGATGGCCTCATCGGGAATGGCGGTCTTGCCGTCCTTCAGGATAGGGCCAACATCAACGGGCTCCCACTTAATGGGGGCCTGAAACAAGCTTAGTATCTCAATCGCGCGGCGGAAATGAGATTTGCGACGAGCCATACCTTGGCAGCCTCGAAAATATCCTTGACGGACTGAGCGATCTCAGGGCCGATACCGTCACCCTCAATCAAGCTAACGGTGTACTTGCCCTATAATTGCAAAGCATCAAATCAGTATAATGTTTTCGTTGGAGAATATCCTTCTGCGCCCAAGTTTGTCGGTCGACATGCTTTGCGCGGCTCGCGCCGGCGAAGGGAAAAAATCGAGATTTCGCGGGAGGCGACGCACATCGGAGCCCATCTTGCCCTTGAACTTGGCGACGGCATCATTGGCGGCGGCAGCATAGCCGCGGAACTATCAGCGGAGAAGGGAAGGTTAGCCAATTGATGTTGGGTATTGGAGAGAGGGGAGGGGGGGAATCTGGTACCTGCACAATGGGAGTGTAGCTGGGGGCCACGCGGACGGACCGCAGGCACTGACGAGCAGCAGCGAAGTTTCTGGCGGCGAGCATCGTGAAAAGGACCCGTCAAAAAGTTGGGGAAGGAATAGAGGTGGTGGGGAGGGAGGAAGAAGAAGGAGAAAGGGACGAAAGAACCGAGTCTTCGCCGCCGCCCCGATCCGACCGGGACGCAGACCGCATTGGTGGTTTGATGTCCCCGGCAGCCCGAGTCCACCTCCACCTCTCCATTCGTCATTGGTGTTCGGCTTCACTTTCGATCTCGTCGCGCAAGGCTCGTTCCTTTCGGGAGAGCTTGTGTCTCTCGGTTTTATTGTTCAACGGCTGCAGTCTCCTGCAGGAGGCTCTGCACAGCCCTGTCACTGAACCCTTGAATCCCGATTCCTATTTCAATTCGTCCAGTCCCCACTTCACGCCAGCGCCAGCTTCCAGCACCCGCAGCCGAGTCACCATGACTGACATTGACGTGGCCAGTCATTATAATCTCCCAGAGGAGTTCCCCGAGGAATGGCCCGCAGCGCTGGACGAGCCTGATCGGTCCGATGAGGAGCCTGTTCAACAAGCCAAGTCCCGCCCCCGCAAGTCGCGTTACTTTGCGCTAGAGCGGACACCAAGTGACTGGCGGAGTAATCTTGGGTCTCGCAGAGGCAGAGAAGCTCGGGAGAATGTGCAAAACGACGAGCCCGACCCATTGGGTACTGGCGACAGCGTTCTCCGGATCCTCAAACAGAGAGGACTGCGTCCAGAAGAGGAAGGGGGAAGCGATCACGGTTCCTGCTCTCATCGACCTCTTTCTCGCCCGCACTCTTTCTATCGCAAGCACACCACTCTGACTCAATTGATACCCTCATGGCCGGTTTGAATAACTTGTCGCAGTCCATCGACCAAAAGTCAGCATCGCTGAAAGTTCTCGTCGAAGCGAATTTTGAGCGCTTCGTTCGCGCCAAGGCAACTATCGATAGTGTATACACGGAGATGAGAGATACTGGGGAAATCCCACGAGCAAAACCTGTCTGCTCGTAGGTCAGGGCATTTCCGGAGCTACTCTGGTCAGCACCAAGGCCCATCTCCTTCTCCGGCGAGGGTCGTCACCAAAAAGACCGCTCTTGTTAAGGAAAGCGAGTATGGTATTAAGGGCATTCGAGGTCCATTGCTGGAAGCGTCCGTAAAGGCCGAGGAAGTGTGGGGGCCTGCTCTTGGTGGTCGAGACCGAGAACAGATGCTCAAATCCGTTGTGGATACTATGGAGAAGCATCGCGATGTCTACGAGATTGGAAGCCGCTTGTCCAAAGCCATTCAGCAACGCGACTACGAATCCGTTTTTGAAGAATATATCAAGGCGAGAACCTTGGCGAATCGGGCAAAGAATCTTGTGGAGCAGGCCTCCAGTAGCCGCCGACAGTTGAACGACCTTGAGACACATGCAATCTTGGCCATGGGGCGAATGTGGATGGATGTTGACCAACAGATTCATGCCTTCAAGAACGACCTTTGGAGACGTCTCAGCGACGCACCAACCATATCGACCACAAGTACTGCATCGGGCCCTGTGGAAGAGCATATGGAACTCATTGGAGCCTTGTTAGAATTGGGCGTCGATGACAATCCTATCTGGACGTGGCTCCACAGCCGCTGCGAATTCCTGAAAACCAGAATTACCTCATTCTGTGAGCGCTGCAAGGTGGAGATAGAGATTTTGCGACGCAGGCTTGCCGCAGGAGAGGAACCTATGCCTCAAATCACGGCGTCCCATCTTCGTCTAGCACCTCGCGAGTTCCCTGCAGAATCTCCTGAAAGACTTGATACGGATCATGTCATCGAGCTGTGGGATTGTGTCCAGGCTTTCCTGACCCGCCTTCTTTCGTCCCAGAGTGGATTGTTAGGCGAGGTGCTGGACTTCTGGGAGGTAGCCCAGTCCTTCATTGACGGCACCCGACAACGACTTCTACCCGTCGGATTCGAGGGTGAAAGCCGGAAGCACCACCGCCTCTCCCCTGAGAACATTCATCATTTAGAAAAGGGAGTTGTGGACCTGGTCAATCTCATCCGCAAAAATGTCTTGTCTCTGTTCAACGATCCTCCCACTGAAGATGTCTCGCTCCTCTCCTCACCCATTCCGCCGAGTCCCACAAGCCCAGCCTCGAGGGGTATCACGCCTACGGAGTCACAATTCAAGTTAGACCCGAAGAATCTGCCCTTCCCGGTGCCTAAGAAGGGAGAGCCGTGGGAAGATTATGCCTTTTGGCCCCCCTTCTCCAACTCGCTGAGTGGTGCTCACTATCTCAGCAAGTTCCTTGTTATTGTTGGCACCGCTGCCAGTGAGATGGCAGCTTTGCGTCCAGTCAATAATTCTGGGCCCACCCGTGACTTCCTCAAAGCGCTTGTGAGTATTGCTCGTGAGCGATCTGCTCGAGTAGCGTGTGCGACATGGAGCAAGGATGCGGAAATTTGCAAGATGTTGGAAGACTGGACGCGTGACACCGAGAAACGAGATCTGACCAAGATGCCTGGCTTCTTCGTAGCTTTTGAAAGCGCCAATCTCAGTGGTCTACAGAAGATCCTCTACATTTCTGAGGCCATGTCCAATGCAGGGTCCATGGATGTCGTAACTCCACCTCCCGCCAAGCTGCTTCAAATGGTCCGCACTCAGTTCGTGTCGAGTGTTTACAAGGCACTGAGTGGATTGGTTGAGAACGCCGAGCGCTTGACACCCTCGGGCGAGGAGAACGAATGGGTAATTTCTAGGCCTGTCATGACGAGTCAGGCTCTTGATGCTGCTTTGTCCGTCCTTGCTGCAGACTCGGTGGATTCAACCGACAGGGTAAGACTTCCTTCATGTCATGATGGCAGCCCATTTACTAACAGAAGATACAGAATGTTCGAATTCTCCTAACTCTATCAAACCTCAAAGCTCTTCAGGCTGAATACGTGCCCCAGTTGATTGCCAACTTTGAGACGTCATTCTCTGTCAAACTGACAGAAGAGGCCAAGACGGTCCGGGATGTTCTGAAGCAAATTGAGGACCGTCTGTTCCAGTCATACACCGAGCCGACCATTGCCACGTTGAATGAGACTATCATGAATGGCATCTCGGCAGCTGACTGGGTCCCATCAACTGATAGACCAGATCAAGTGCGTCCCTATGTCTACAACACGATGTTGACACTCGTGCTGGTGCATACTGAGATCACCACGACCATCCCGTCCAGCGTATCGGCTAGTTCTAGTCGCTCTTCACCAAATGCCCCGTCGTCTTTGCTCTCGACGGTACTCACTCATCTACTGGTGAAGGTCTCTTCATCTTTGTTGGCCGCGTTTAAAACTCGATCCAGCTTCTCACTTGCTGCCCTGATGCAAGCTACCTTGGACACCGAGTTCATTGCACAAACATTGTCACAATATTCAACCGACGAAGCATCCAACACCCAGAGCCAGATTTACGTGGAACTGGACCGTCGAACCACAAACGAGGCTCGCACCAAACTTCAAGCCGAGCTAGGAGAAATGAGAGTCGTCTTGAAACGACTGAGAGACCGGACCAAGGGCGAATTCGCCTGTTTCCGAAAGTCACGAAGCGGCGGCTCCAAGACCTCCATTGCCACTTAGTGTAATTTTTAGCGATATAGCCAACTTTCGTATTCATTCAAATGTTCCTCAATTTTTGTCCTATGGAACTCAAATAACCGGGTATCACATATTTTGTAGTTCACCTCTTTTCGAAGACTACTGACCAACCATACGCTGCACGCGACTAAGCAATACATTGCTCTCCCTGCCGAGTCTCCTCTTCCCAAATTGATCCGGCCGCTTCGCACGCAATGTCGCTTCCCGATCCTTTTGTTTCGCTTCGCGCTCCCGCTGGCGCGCCTCAGCGGCCTGCTTGCGCTTCTCTGCAATCTCCAACTCCTTCTTGAAAGCCGATGGCTTGGGAGGGCGACTTTGTCTCTTGCCATCCTCACGCGGGCGGCGGAGCCTGGGCGCGGGTGTTGGGGCAGGCTCAGGCTCAGGCTCGTTCAACATCGTGACTCGGTCGGGGTGAAGTTCCAGAGATGCGTGCTCGGGTTCAGTTGATTGCGTCTGTCCCTCTTCTCTTTTCTCTTCTTCCGCGGCTCTTTCATAAACGGACTTTGGTGCTTTGGCGGCGCTTTCTTTGGCCTTGATCTTGGCGTAGGCTTTTTTCACTTTGGCTTTTTGGATGAGGTCGGACTTGATTTTTTGAGCTGTTCATAAAGGGGATCAGCCATGCGACTACGGGAAGAGAAGCGATATGAAAGAATACTTACTCTTGCGACGATAGGTACCATCGGGGAGATTTGCTGGGCCGACGCTGAAACCCTTGCGCTTCTTGACAGGTTCAGCGCCATCTTTGGCGAAGAAATCACCATCACGAGTCCGTTTAGGTGCCATAATAATCACCGTTTAATTAGTGTTGGTTTAGGGTTGAAGATATTGAAGTGGAGAGAATGAAGGTCAGGAAAAAAAAGAGGCGATCTTCAAGTCCGGGCAACGGACCACGGTCTGGAACCTCAAAACATGGAGCTAGGCAAGGTCAAGAACATAAGATTATTCTAGCTAATCTCACTATGTAACATTCACTCCCGATTTTCATACTGTACTGACGGTCAGGCCTGAATAACATCACTAGCAGATTTTAACATACGAACAAGATCGGATTTTCTCGGTCCCGAGTGAAAACGGAAAGCGTATGATCTGCGATGAATCATCTGAGACCCACGATCACGACCTCTTCCTTCGGATCTCTCCTCCGGCCGTTTCCTTCTTTTCTTGCTTTCTTCTGCCCGGCATCTTATTCATGCCAATCAGTCTGAGCCTTCCCCTCTGACGGCATATCCGCTCATCTGCTCACACCGCATCGCATCCCACCCCACCACAGACCCGGGTCAGGTTTCGAAATAGCTCGCCACGTAGGCGACCTCCTGCAATGTCCGACTCAGCGTTTCAGACCTAGTCTGTTCAATCTCGCCACCATGCCTCTATTTCACGACCCTGATCGCCGGCGACGTTCCCCGTCAGACGAGTACGAAGTTGAGCAGTCCATCCCAAGGTCCTCTTGGGACCGAGCACAAATATACAGGCAGCATGAACAGGACCGGTCAAGGCCAGCTGGACCAGCTCTAGACTCATTGTCTTCTGAACCTCATCCACCCAAAAATTGGACCAACGATAGGCACGAACTTATACAAAGGATCAAAGAATCGTCGCCCTGGAGGCTACGATATACTGTATGTCAACCGCCGGGTGGATTTAACTCTTCCTGGCTCTTTACTTGGCGGATGGTTTCTCTTGCTTCATCTTGCAACAAAGGCTAACATATTTTGAAGTCGCAGGAGAGTGGCGCCAGCGAGGTTCCTATGTCTCACACCGCCCCGAAGGAGTCCAAGGTGGAGGAACCGATCGAGAAGCATGACTTGAAAAATAAAGAATATTCGCAGATACCAGAAGAACTGGGTTCGCCGGCCGATATTCGTAGGCCTCGGTCTGCTTTGCATTCCGGCGACTTCAGAGAAGGCACCGACAGCTCTACACAACATGCTCCGCCGTCACCTCGGCCTCATTTCGCTGATCGATTTCCAACCATTCCTATTCCCGACTTAAGTACCTCTCCTACAACGCCTTGGTTTGGCGCATCAACTTTCCAGACCCCGACACAGCGGCCCGCATTCGATGAACATCGTGAGATAGCGCTCCAAACCCGGGCTCGAGCACCTTCTCTCGGAACTTTTTCTTCGAGCTATGTTCTCAAAGCTCCAACGAGCCCTCTGGTACACCAGGCAAACAACACCGATCTGGATTTTTCACCTCGGGTTGATTCGGGAGCCTCTTCTGAGCTTGTCGATAGATCGAATCGACGTCGGACTTTACCTCCTGAGTCGTTTCGGCACCTCCAATCATCCCCGCCGAATTCGCGCGCCGTCAGCATTCGTAATCCTTATCAGCCAGGTCATCACGAGGGACTTTTCCAGCCACAGCACTTCCCTCGCCGGTCTTTGACGTCGGCGTATAGTCTTCAACTTGCCCCAACGAATAATGCTGCTGCATATCGGGCAAGGCGGCCATCTTTTGCCTCTGAGCTTTCTGCGAAGCCTCATGCTCCGATGGTAGGATCCTACGAAGAGTCTCTCTTACGGGGCCGAATGTCTATGAGTCCTTCCAAACCACTGGATTTTACGGCGCAAATCGGAGTTCTTGGGAAGGGAAAGTGCAAAAGACATCTAAAATGCCCTCCACACGTGACGGTGCCTTTTCCCGCTGTTTTCTACAGCTATCCTACCTCTGGAAATGGCCGTTCCATTGCGGATGACAGCCCAAGTCCGTACGTGGGCCATATTGACCTTGAGAACTCGCTCGTCAAAGATGAGTCGAGCACGAGGAAACGTCGTAATCGACATGCCAGCCCTACCAAGTCTCAAGAAGATACTGTCATGCTCGACACAGATGCAGCCCGAACTACTGATGTCGACATTCGACGTCGCCGAGAAAAGAAGAATCGCAGAGCGGAATCTCCAAAATGCCCCCCCGGCGGGTGCTATCGAATTCCCCAGCAGGGACAACTTCAAATTATAATCAAGAACCCACACAAGACCGCAGTCAAGCTGTTCCTTGTGCCTTATGACCTCACCGACATGGAACCAGGCACGAAGACCTTTATTCGGCAGAGAAGCTATTCGGCGGGCCCGATAATCGACATGCCGTTGAGTGCACGGAAGAACTTTGGAACTGATCGCCCCGAGGCCTCGTTGAACGCCACCGAGGATCCCCGAGACAAACCCATTTTGCGCTATCTCATTCATTTGAATATTTGCTGTCCGACGCGCGGTCGCTTCTACCTACACTCCAGTGTTCGCGTGGTATTTGCCAATCGTGTTCCAGACGGTAAGGAGAAACTGCGCAACGAGATTCAATTACCAGAGCCCCGATACACCCATACAAGCCTACTGGGGACTCGAGTCTCTCGGGATCCACCAGCAATGCACGATTGGCAATCGAAAAAGCTTCTCGCAGACGGAGCTCCGGCCAGGGCACCATTTCCCTTCTCCGACCACATGTATCATCCCCGAGCGACGTTCCACTACACTGGACCGCAGCCGAAGCCATGGGACTCACGAACTCCTCGCAATTTTCTCCAGAGTTTGACTCCACCTTTTACAACAAGCTCAACAAGGGCGACATTGGATATGGTGGTTCCGAGAACGGTGAGAGCCTACTTGCCACGCGACTTCGCGGTTTAGATGTGCATAAGCAAGAAACCCATGACAGCAGTTGAGTGTACCATCTCGGCATGCGCTCGCAAGAACACGCCTCGCCACGATATACACTCTGCCACCATTTTAGTACTGACTTACGTTGCCCGCTTTGACTCAAGTTTGACCAACCCATAAATACCCATCGAATGACCAGCTTAAGCCTGCTAGCCCGCATTCACGCTAAATACTAACCCAGATCTCAACAGCATTTCTTATCTTCCCTGTGCCCTGGCTGTGGCATTTCCATATCGCTGTGTATTTTCTTCTGAACCGAATAGGCCTGGCGCATGGGTCTTTGAACATATACCCCCGTCTTCGACACTTTCTTCGGCCGCTCATTTTCTCCTCTGCTTTTGGTTTGTTAAAGAGCTGCATTGAACTGTTTACTCTTTCGTATTTCCTTATTTTCTTTTGGTGGAGATTTGGATCTCATAAACAAACCAATGACATATTCTCTATCTTATATTCAGTATTGTATCCCATGATAAGCTACCTAATTTACTGCGTTCCTGGATGTATTGAGGACAAGCCAAAGCCGAGCGATACCGGGAAAAGTGCAGAAGTTTATTCTTGCATATATCTACAAAGGGCGCTAGGTACAGCAAAGTATTAGAAGGGATTGAGAAACGATATTTCCCTCGGACAGAAGAGACTTCTTCGAATAGAAGCTCTATTAACTGAAAGAATCAGGGGTCTCAACTCGCATCGAAGCAAGTTCATCCGGCGTGCTCAACAATCTCGTTGACCAGGACGCCATCTTTGATGTAGCTCTTAATCTGTTCGGGAATGGGGCACTCCTTGGTATCCTCATCAGTACCTTCCTTAGGAGGAAGCATGATGTTGACAGCAGTAGACTTGCTAGTGAAGATCTCAGTGGTCAGACTCTGAGGCCCGAGATAAACAGTAGCACCATCGACCTGGTCCAACAGAACGGTCGGCACGAAGCCGTCGACTTGCAGAGCAAACTTGGGCGACTTGATCACGTCGAGACTGCTAACGAGTGAGTCAACAATGATAGAAAGACCGGTGCAGTTGTCGATGGAGATGGCATTGGCCTTGCTGGAGACCTTGATGATGGCCTTGTTGCAACGCGAGATGAGAATCGACTGAGTCTGCTTCGCAGGGATCTCGATGATCTCGGTAGGACCCTCGAAGTTCTCGATGAGCCACTTGTTACCCTCCAAGTCCTTGCGAGGGGGCTTGCGGGCACGCATGCTCTCGGGCTTGGGCTTCTTGCCTGGGGGAGCGGGAGATTTGCCCCGGGACGAGCTGGGGCGATCGGAGACCATTGAGCCGGCGCGCAGGTTGGGGTTCTTGTGTGTCATCTCTGACTTGTCCACCTTGCGCAGACCAGAGGTGATTGCCTCGCCCTGGTTGAGCTGGTCAAACACAGCGGACATATCTGCCGCTGGGGCGGCGGGGGCCGGAGCAGGGGGGATGCCCGGGGGAGGAGGAGGCGGGGGAGCACCACCACCAGGGGCTTTGACTGTTGGAACCGGCGGAGGGGGGGAGGAGGGGGACAGCGCCTGTAGGCGTAGAAGCAGGACTACCCTTGATCTCTTTCAGCGCCACCAATGCGTCAACGCCAGAGTCGTCGTTCCACGTCAATCCCTTAGGATAGTGCTTCTTAAGGTAGGCAGAGAGCGCTTTGAAGTTTTGGTAGTATGCTTGAATGTACTCGACGTGTGTGCGGTCCCTATCAAAAGCTGTTAGGTGGAGTCTAGGTCATAACAAGAAAAGAACCTACTTGTCCTTGTACTCCTTCAGCACCTTATTACCGTAGTACTCAATACCGCCCATCATCTCGGTAACAAATTCCGCAGGCTTGCTCTCGAAGAACCAACCAAGCGCAACGATGCCCTCCGAAATGGCGCTCAGATGGTTGAAGTACGGCGACGCGCGAGCATTTTCGCGAATGTTGTTGATGCTGTCCGAGGCCTTGTGGAGATCAGTCATGAGCTCTGCAGGCTGAGGCTCAGGCTTCTTAGCCTTCGTCGAGACGTAGAGATAGGTGCGCTCGGCCTGGAAGGCTTGCAGAACTGCTTTGGACTATAGGCCGCAGTCAGAGACCGGATTTGTACGACGATTATTCAGACTCGCTCACCTGCTGTGCCACCTCTCCACCAATCTTCGCACCTAAGTCGACAAAATTCTGAACATCCTTCTTGATCAATGCGTCAAAATCTTGGATCTGCTCCGGGATCTGTGCTTGCGCGGGCGCCGCGGGCGGAGGAGGAGCGGGCTTAGGAGGTTCGGGGGTCGCGGGAGGTGCCGTAGATGCATCGTCCATGTTCTTGGAGACGCTAGGGTCATCTAGGGACATAGCCATATCCTCCAAGCGTGAGGTTGCAGCCTCGAGCCTAGTAGGCACATTGTCAGTTCATTCCTCAGGGTGCCTGTCGCACAGCTTGGAAAAGAATTCAATGTTAAACCAACGCGAGTCCAGCCATATATTGGTCAACTCCACCAGAGAAGAGCATACTTACCGCTTGATGAGGGTGGTGAAATTATGCATATGGCCGCCGCTTGCCATGATAGGCAACACGTTGCTCACAGAGGTAGGGGAGTTGGCTGAAAAAAGGGATTCGTCTGAGATGAGATATTGGGCACCGGAATCCTCTTTCGGCAGAAGATCTTGTCCCTTGCAATCCACAGGTATTCTAGGGGAAGTTGAAGACGAAGAAGATGAAGTGTCTGGAAGCTCCTGAGGTCCCAGCTCCAGGCCCGCAACGGTATGTATGTATGTTACGTTCAAGCCACAGCCGCGGGATGATGTCGTCACGTATAATTGGTATTTTGATTACTCTCCACTTTGCTTTGCCGGAGACACTCGATACACCTGATGTTCTTGTTCTTTCTCTTTTTCGAGAACCATTGGTGTCACGTTTCTCATTAAGCATGGCCGGAATCGCATCAGAGATTGCCCAGGTGGGCGAGATTGAGTTCTGTACACTCGGAATGTTTATTCTTGGTATGCTTATCATTTTAAAAGCCCCGCGGGTCCAGCGCTCACGGTGCATTGCGCAGATGACATTGATTTTGGAAATTCCCGACCTGGTGTCAAGAATATTCTTGGAGGTGCCGCTTCTTTTGCAGTCGTAGGAGCTCGCTTAGTAGCCGGCGCGCCATATGCGCGGTCTGTGAGCTGGATCGTGGATGTTGGCTCCGATTTCCCGCCGGAGACTCTTGCTGTTATAAAGTCTTGGAATACGAGCTGTGTGATTCGAGAGGACCCTCAAAGGCTTACTACGAGAGCCTGGAACGGCTATCATCCCGATGAAAAGCGAGGTAAGTTGAGCAACGAGGTTGGACCTGCCCATCAATGACCGGTATAGACTTCAAATACTTGACTCCAAAACTGAGGTTGGAGCCTTCGATGCTTTCCGAGACACAGGTGTGGTCTCGCACGTTCCATATGGTCTGCTCTGCAGCGCGCTGCGTGTCTATAGTAGCAGATATCCTGCGTCAACGAGAAGAGCTGCGAAGCGCAGGCCGGGCACCTTCTACTAAGCATGCTGCAGAGCGGCCTATCTTCGTCTGGGAGCCAGTACCCGACCTTTGCATGCCGGAAGAGCAAGAGAAGTTCTTTGAGGCTAACCGGGTCGTGGATGTGGTCAGCCCGAACCATATGGAACTTGGAATGATGTTCGAACAACCTGGTTGGACCGTGGATAGCGAGCAGGGCCAGAGCCTAGTCCAGACGATTATTAATTCCGGCATTGGTCCGAACGGTGACGGTTGCCTGGCCATCAGGGCAGGTAAGGAGGGAAGCTACGCCTACTCGAGAGATCAGAAACTCTGGCTACCGGCTTATCACCAGCCCGATGCCTCGGGCTCTACGGTGGTGCTGGATCCTACAGGTGCTGGCAATTCTTTCCTGGGCGCACTGGCCCAAGGGATGGTGACTGCCGGTCGTGAGCCATTCGAGATCATTCAATCCGTGCTGTCGCCCTCCGAGAGCTGGAGTAAAGTCATGAAGGCCTGGGGCAATCGTCAAGATATCCCTCTAGCGCTCATCTGCGCAACTGTCGCAGCGGGCTTTGTGGTGGAACAAATTGGCGTGCCAAAAATTTCTGTGGCACGGAATGGCAAAGAATTGTGGAATCAGTCTGAATTCACGGAACGGGTCCGCCTGTACACGCAGCGATTGTACACGACCGTGGAAGAGTCTCCCCAAAGGCACCTGTTGATCAATTGACCTATGGTTGATCAAGGAATGCCCTTCCATTATCGTACAGCCACAGGGAATTGTTATAATGATAGTAAAAAACACAAAAAGAAAATGGTCCGTCATGCTAGAAACCCTTCTTAGGTTGCCGTCCCAGTTCTGGCCATTTTACTATGACTGATTTGCGGCCTGCTGCTTCTCGTGCTCTCGGATTTGGCGACTCCAGCTATATTTTCAAAAGGGCAAGGGTCAGTTTGAAGATCTTCGTGGGCGTAAGCCGGGAAAGCACTGACTATCGGCTGGGGAAGAAGCGGCCCGGCTCGGGCATCTTGTCGCGATACTCGCGGTCGGCACTGATGCTGAAGGCCACAGCTGCAACGCCAATGATGAAGGCGCCCATGATGGCTGTATTGGCCTTCCAGTTGGCGGGCTGGGCGTACCAACCACCAGCGGGGGACCAGACTTCCTTGGGGTACCTGCGCAGCAAACTCTGTCAGTAGGCGCGAAGGATGCGCTCGGGGAAGCAAACCCACGGGATCTTTCCACCTCCACCCATTGTGAATGAGATGCAATTGAAGGCGCTTTAGGGGAGAAAAAGAGGTAAGGCGGGAGCAGTTCTCGACGGGTTGAAGCCGAAGTGGCCGTCAATCGAAGGTCAAGTGCCAAGCCACTAATCCCAATGAAGGCTAGCTCGAGCTCACACGACCTTTGGATCCCGTGACTGGCGACAATTTCTCTTTTCTCTCCCCGTAGATTGGCCGCACGTCTCCCGATTCTTTGCCCCCATTGAGCGTGGTCTTTTCTTCTCTAGTTTCTTCCGTGTTTGCACATATTGTCGCCCAGATGAAGAGGCTGCAGCTCCAACGATGGAGCAGCACGGTCCTTTCGCCGCGGGCTCGGACTGGTAACTGTCTGCATCAACAACTCTACACTGCTAAATTGCGGTACCAATCGACCGCGTCCTTCGTTCAGTCGCAGTCTACTCCTTACGATGCAGTCGATGTGCTTGAAGATCCGAAATTGATGGGCCAAGTCCGACGTGTTCACAAACGCAAGTCAGCACTCGCATATCCCTCTCCTCCGGTCGAAGCCGCGACCCGATCAGCAAAACTCGCAGCCCTTCACGCCCGACTCTACCTCCCTTCTCGCTTACCGCTTCAAACACTTGCGCGGACATTGGTCGATGCCAGCGCCGATGAAAATGCCGATTTCAACAACGAATCCTTGGCCACACTCGGTCATGACCTCCTCACCTACTACACAACTGAGCACCTCCTCTGCAACTACCCTCGCCTCCCCCTGACAGTCATCTTCGCCGCTATGTACGCTTACGTCGGTCCCAAGACCCTCGCCGCGATGGCAAAAGAATGGGGCGTGGAGCACGCGGCTATGCCCGGTGGTGAAGTCGACCCCGGCTACCTGCAATTCCAAAGGGTCGAGCCCGGCACCGACGTAAACGCCAACTCGGACCTACAGTCAGCGCGGCCATATGCTGCGAAGAAGAACTGGAGGAAGACTGTCACCTCTAAGATCTTCTACGATGACGAGTTCGGTGACCAGATCAAGGGGGTTGTGCCAACGGGCTCCGGCTCTGGCGTTACCGCTGAGCTGGCCAGCGCGACCTTCGTCCGCGCCGTGATGGGCGCTATTTACCTCCACGCTGGGCGCCCAGCTGCGAAGCGATTCTTCGAGCAACACTTCCTCTCCCGGCACCTCAACATCTCTGAGCTGTTCAACTTCTCTCAGCCGGCCCGTGACCTCGCCCGGTTGTGCAATCGTGAGAACTTTGAGCCACCCGTCGCTAAGATCATCAGTGAAACCGGCCGGAAGAGCAGACACCCCGTGTTCGTGGTTGGTATCTTCTCTGGTCAGGACAAGCTGGGTGAGGGCGCTGGCGCCAGCCTGCTTGAAGCTCGTGAGCGCGCGGCTCTCGCTGCCTTGAAGGGCTGGTATCTTTACAGCCCGCTCAACGTGCGCGTCCCCAGCTCCATGGAGGAGGAGGGCGCCGCGCCATGGAAGCCCGTCCACGTCGACCCGGGTGAGGTGATTGTCTGAATATCCCTCATTCAAGGGTGATACCAATAACTTCATGTGTTTTTATTATTGGCTTTATTTCTTTTATTTTCTGAGGTGCTGTGGTTTCGCATGGGAAGCAGGCCAGTGGGAAAAAAGAGTCATTTCTCCTGTCGTTTGCATGACTGGATACTGTACAGTATGGAAATTTTGATTCCTTCGATTCATCTGGTGTCTTCTTTCTGGATCTGTTTTTATTTTTCTTTTTTTTCCCCATCATTGTTTTATCGTGTCTTGTTCTGGCTACACTCTTCTCTAGCTAGAAATCGATTAAATGGGTGGATGAGGCCTCGGGCACTGGTATATAGAGGTGCACCCGATCACATGTACTCCAAGAATCAAAACCATTTCAACTCATCATTTGTCAAGCTCTCGAGTAGCTTTAAAGCTATCTTCTACTCGACATTGAGAATCTCATCTTCCCACTGTCCTTGGGCCTTCTCGTCTTTAGCTCCATCGAGATATGTACCATATTCCTCCCATAACTGAGCAACCTCGGCCCCAAACAGACTCTTCCAGAACCCAACACCAGAATCCCCTTCCTCCTCACCCACATATCCGACTCTCAAAAGACGATCATTCAACATCCCAACCGCGCCCCTACCTACTCGCACATCCTCAACCCACGCCAAAAAGTACGCCGTGTTCTGATACCCAGCATCCCACTTCTCTGCCCTCTCCTCTGCAGACTGCGGCTTCTTCCAATGCGGAGGCTCCAGTCCTGCCTTGAGACGTACAAAGTCTGCGATGCCTTCGATCAGTCCTCCTGGTGGGTGAGTGATCTTAACTTCGCGGTCATTGATGGACTCGGGCGGTGAAGTGTGCTGGTAACAGTGCACAAGCTCATGGGTGAGAACACCGACTAGCTCATGCGATGGATTAGCCATTGTCATGCAGTGATGAATATACGGGAGGGAAAGGTGGATCTCCTTGTGATCATCGTCGAGCTCGGTGCCTGTTGTATAGGCGACACCGTCTATGTCGCGGAGGTGAAGTGTTACGGAGCGAGTTGGTGGTATTGAGGGGCTGAAAGACGGTTGTTGAACTTTCTGATGGGAGGGACTATCTGAGGGTGCGTGGAGCGGAGAGCTGTAGAGGTATTTGACAATATCATGGAGGGCTTTGTCGAGTGTTGAAGCAATATCGGGGATGAGAGTGAGGAATGATGCTGTCGCAGGGTGGCGGAGTGTTTCAACATGTAGTCGCAGTTTCGGTCGAGGAATACTGGCCGCTATATTGTTTTCTGCGCATCTCTGGCCGTGTTTCTTGGTGCTTGAGCTCGAGTACTGCGGCTCGACTGGCGCGTTCGGCCGAGGGATCGCAGATGGAGATGCGGTGGGGGTGGAGTCTATTTTGAAGTCTGCCATGATCCGTGACGATTTATTCTGGTTACGAATCCCTGCAAGAGGCGTAGGATGTAGAACGTGAGGAGATAATCAAGCGCAGGACTTTGAGGATGTCGAGATCGACGGCAAGCTGAAAGTGGGGGGAGCTGTGCCCCGAGCCCGCTCCACTGCGCCTCGACCACTCCATCTATCGTCAGGTTAAATCTGTTTGCCTGTTCTGATTTCCGGACTGATTCCCACAGTCGTCAGGTTTCACTCGCTTTTGATATCAGCGGCAAATCACCGCGTTCTATAGCTGAAACATATGAGACATAAAGTTCCGAGGCAAGAAGCATCGAATGAAAGTCTTTGTCGGAAAATAGTGGGAATCAGTGCGGCTTCATATGTCACGGATCTGGGAAAAGCCGAGAATAGAGCCGTAGAGCAATTAGGGAAATAAAGACTTCTGGAAAAAGACTTGGAGCTGCACAAGAAAGGTGTCGGGTTGTGGCGGGTTTGGGAAGACCCGTGCCAATGTATCATACTGTTCTGCGGGCTTTGGTTTTGCAAGGCCAGCCGTGATTAATGGCTTGCCGTTAAGAAAACATGCCCGGCGTAATGCCAACAGGTTTTTAGAATGAAGTAGATTGGCTTAGAAAACTCTTACCGATGCGGTGAGACGGAAACTGGGTGATGCTGATGAAAGATGGCCATGTCCATTGATGCCTTGGACAACACGATGAGTACACCATCCTATCTCTGCCTCTCTTCCTCGTGCATATCATCTCATTCTACCAACACAATGCAGTTCAGACACCTGTTTCTGTTTTCAGAATTCATTTCTCTCCCTCTCTTATCGGGATTTCACCCAGGTCCATCTTGAATTATTGAGACTAGTGTGTACTGTCATTATTTTCCGGGCCTTAGGCATGGACTCAGTCCTCGAGTAATCGAGTCGGGAACATGACTTCACCAAGTGTTATAGATCTAACTAATCATTGGCGGCTAAGAAACCCCTTTGATGCGATGAACCCACTTTGCAGACAGTCCTGACACACAGTCCAAGCTCATTCAATTCAATTGAGCATCAATTGAGTTAGGAGTAGTGGAAAACATAAGGCAGGGCGAGGAGCTCGAGGCAATGAGTGAATAGACAGCGTGGCGTTTTCGCTCAGAAGTGTTTCAAATACATTGGAACGAATTGCTTTAATTAGAGAGAAAAAAAGTATGTCCAAGCATAGATTGAGTGACATTCCCAGTATCTTCTCGATCGAGCTTTAAGTAGGTTCGTGGCAATGCCGTTGATCACCGTTAAGGGGCCATTCGCTGGAAAGGAGTCGAGCATCCAGGACGAATGGAAGCCTTAGTCAATCACATGGCTGGCTGTTTCAGTTTAGTCTACATTCTTAAGGAATCTAGTGGATGAGACTATGTCCAAACCGATGTATATCTTTCTGAGCTTGCCGGAGGGGAATAGCGATATTTCAACCATTGATTGGCTCACTAACATGTCAGGATATGCACCAATGAGCCATTCAGAATAATTATGACCACACCAGCATCTGGGAAGCACGAAAGGGGGCCGAAAAAATGGAGTGCTATTCAAACGAGTCAAATTGGGTGATAAGCAATCTCCGCACTCGGTGAACGACGGAGCTCCGTCGGGCCCATATACCCCAAGCCAACTGATAACGAGGTGCTCAACCCTAGCCAATTATCGGAGATGATCTTACCTTACTTAGGAACTTGTGGATCCTACCTTCCAGATCGATACTAGCGAGGTGCAGTGCAGCTATATAAACAAACGATCTCCAGTTTATTCGAGCGGGGGTGTCGATTTCCTTGCTCGTACCAATTTTGTGGAAATCTAGGCTTCCAAGTTGAACATGGTGACTTATTCAAAGCTCTCAATCCCCATTGTGGCGGTGCTGGCGCAATGCGTCACAGCTCAATTTGTGGCCGCGCCGACCGACTTGATCACAAAGAAGGGATACGCGGATATCAACGTGCGATACAAGCAAGTGCCTCATGGGATTTGCGAGCTGGACCCCAATGTCAAAAGTTATTCCGGATACGCCGATGTTTCGGAGCATGAGCACATCTTCTGGTTAGCGACTGTTCCCAATGGCTCGAAAACGGTGGGCTAACGAGTACAGGTGGTTCTTTGAGACCAGAAATGGAAACCCCAAAGATGTACGTGGACAACCATTTCCTCAAAGGCTTCCCGAACTCACACCAATCTAGGCACCGCTTACTGTCTGGATCAACGGAGGACCAGGATCATCCTCGATGATTGGCTTGTTCCAGGAACTAGGACCTTGTGGAGTTGATTCAAATGGCGATGTGTACAACAATCCGTATGCATGGAACAATGTGAGCAATATGGTAAGAGTTACTGTCGACGGAGCTATAAAGCTGGTTTAACCTGGAGCAGATCTTTATTGACCAACCTACTACGACTGGATTTTCATACACAATTCCAATCCCGGGTTACGAAGATGAAAATGGGGATATCATCGAACTGCCCGACGAGAAATGCCCCGATTATGCTCAGGCGTATGGAACTTGCGGCACATACTCCAAGCCAGACATTGCTCTAGTCCCTAATGCTACAGCAAGAGCAGCTCCAAATATGTGGAAGACCCTGCAAGGGTTCATGGGAGCTTTCCCACAATACTCCAGAAACGGCTTCAATTTCGCGACAGAGAGTTACGGGGGCCACTATGGTCCAGTGTTCAACGGTAGAAATATTGGTGAAGCATAGATGGCAAACTCACTAATACCGGTACAGAGTACTTTGAAGAGCAAAACGCTAAGAAGATCCCTGGCGCAACCAAGATCAAGCTTGAGAATGTCCTTATCGGCAACGGTTGGTTCGACCCCCTGATCCAATATCAGGCATACTACAACTTCTCTGTATGGCCCGGTAACACATATGATTACGACCCATACAACGCCTCAGTGAAGGCTGAATGGTACAACAACCTCTACGGCGAAGGCAACTGCGTTGATCGGACGCTGGAGTGCTATGCAACCGGCCGTAACGACATTTGCGCAGCGGCCGACAATTTCTGCGCCTCTACTGTCGAAAGCATGTATGATATCTACTCGGGACGTGATGAGTACGATATGCGCGAGTTGACCCCGGATCCGTTCCCATATGAGTTCTATGTGGACTATCTCAACAGCCCCAAGGTTCAAGCTGCCATTGGTGCTTACCAAAACTTCTCGGAGTCCTCTGGAACTGTGGGTACGAGCTTTGGGAGCACAGGTGATGATGACCGTGAGTCTGGAACGATTCAGGCCGTGCAGAAATTGTTGAAAGCTGGCGTACAGGTGGTGATGTATTTTGGTGACGCGTAAGTCTTTAGCCACGAACACCTGGATTATGCTAATTGACATCACAGTGACTTCAATTGCAACTGGCTTGGTGGACAAGTCGTCGCGAAGGAAATTAACGCGCCAGGGTATGAGAAGGCAGGATTCGTCAACATCACCACTTCGGACGGTGTCGTTCACGGCCAAGTCCGACAGAGCGACTTGTACAGTTTCGTGCGCATCTACGAATCCGGACACGAGGTACCTTTCTACCAGCCCCTGGCTGCATTGGAGATGTTCGAGAGAACACTTTCGAGAAAGGACATCGCGACCGGAGAAAAGAAGATGAAGCAGCATGGCGGCTACCGCACCAAGGGACCCTTCACCAGCGACTACCGAGAGGGCAACAGTACTATTGTTTTCAAGGTTCTTGGTTCCGACGCTACTTATAACACAACCCTGAACGGACCTAATCCATAGGTTGAAGTCACGCTAGACTAACGAAGCAAGTGCAGGCGGAAATAACGCCAAAGCCTACTCTGCTCCCAGGCAGGTCAGGCTGTACATATTGTTCATCTTATCATATTCAACGATCTATATCAATGACTAGCCTATTCTTCGAGTCATCGCTTGTGTCGAGGAAAACTACTTCGATTGGTCTTTGAATTGGGACACCCTTGCTTAGACCCGAGTAAACACTACCATATTCTAGAGCTCCCAGTGTTGCAACCGTTCTGGCATGATAACAAAGTTCAATCTTTCATCCAGAAGTAAATTTTCTTCATCCCAGAGAAGTAAAGTAACTATCTCATGCCTACTGGATAACTAAGACAGCTTGGCGTATTCCAACAAACATGCGTCATTTTAGCTGTTGATGATTCGATCGATTATTAGCATTTTGAAACGCGGTCCTAGTCAAGTGACTAGCTAAGGCCTTTCGGGAATGTTTGAAGACATGTGCACTGTGCGCATACAAATGCGCGATTCTTCCCAATGCTGAAGATCATATTACTCCAATTTTGCTGACAAAGAGTTCACTGCGTCTGATTGCCCCCGCCCGATCGTGGGAATATAGATCTGCGAACACTATGGCTGTCACATGACGAGAAGATCATTCCAGAAACTTTTGGATTGTAAAGAGGCAAGTTGAGGGGAAGAAATTATCACCAAGCAATCAAGCTCTTGATTTTGCATCAGTCGATCCGGAACATTCTTACAATTCGAGTTCGAACATACACTGTTCTCGGCCAATGTATCATGCGGTTGCCCTTTGCGACGGATAAACAACAGGAAAAGTCGGGCGGGGAACATTGAAAGTCAGAAGTTGGGAGTTTGGGACAAAGCTGCCCAACCACGGTTTTCTCTCGATTTGAGTAAAAGAAAAATATTGGAGCTCTGCATCCTTGATTTATCCCATGATTTGACAGAAACAGTCAAAGACAGAATAATTGAATCCCTTCGCAGAGCAGTGGTTCGCGCTTATCCGAGCTTATCGCCCCTTGGCCGCATCTCCGACCTTCCCTCGTCTTCGTCAACATCCCACTTCGCTCGCGCATCGCTTTGCACTCCGCTACTCCGAGTCGCTCTGGTACGTTATTTGCCATCTTCTGCGCTACTTCACGTATTTGTTGTTGTTACACACCGGCCTTGACTGTCGGCGCGCCACGGTCGCATCCTCAACACCGTGCTCCGATGTTGACACTCCGCGCCTCCCTGCCTGTTTGATCGCCGAGTTTCCCCTGCCCAGTGATCTTTCATATTCGCGCGACTAATTGTTTGATGCGACAGTGATCAACCCGTGAATCTATCTTCGACCTTCTGCAACCTGTTCATATTGCGATCCCACCACACGTCATCCACTACGCCAAATTTGGCGGCGCGCCTATGACCCGCGCCTGACATACGCTGTGATATTCCCTTGCTACAATTCAAGATGGAAGCAAAGGCAGCGGATCTTCTCGCGGCCTTCAAAAACCCCAATGTCTCCATTGACTCCCGAGTGAACCACCTCACTAGCATCAAGTCCGATATCAAACAGAAAAACGTCCCCGAGGGTGCCATTCCGACATTGTTCGAGGCCATCCGACTCGCCATCACTTCTCAGCACTATTCCGTCTCTAGCGCTGGCTTTTCCACTCTTGGCCATTTCTTGAAGCGGCTTTCGATCCAAGACCAACAGCAACACATCGCCAATGCGGCGCGAGGCTTCTACCCTCTGTTGATGGAGCGTCTCGGTGACCACAAAGAACGAATCCGAGCCCAGTCCGCGTCAATATTTACCGAGCTGTGGCCGATAGCTGGCGAGGATGTGGAATACTATGTGCTGCAATGCGCTCTGGTGGGCAAAAATCCCAGAGCAAAAGAAATGAGCATGCTTTGGCTGTCCAATGTACGTCTGGTCCCTTCTATCAGTTGACATGAAATCTGACGTTGGACTATGCAGATGACAAAAAACCACGGTTTATTGTTCCGCTCGCATGTACCGTCTCTGGTTGCATGCTTAGAGGACGCCGATAGTGCCGTTCGGGATACGGCAAGATTGGTGGTGGTGGAATTATTCCGGTGCGCAGAATACGTTTCACCCGCAAGAAAACCTCCAAACTAATGCTCCTTGCTTTAGAAATGCACCTGCGAGAGCCAAATCTGACCTGCAGAAACAGCTGGTCGCGCGCGGGGTAAGAAAATCAATTTCTAACGCCATCCTCTCCGGCATTGGGCTCGGCGCCGATGAGCCTCAGACTGCCACTCGCCCTATTTCCCACGCTGAGCGTCCGATCTCAGTCATGTCCTCCCGTTCACATGCCAAAGAACTTTTAGATGATGGTTTGTTTGTCGATGCCCCGGAACTCCAATGGAAAGTTCGTCTAACGACAGCACAGAACCGGAATTTTCGAAAAGTAGGCCCATCTCGCGAATTCACCACGACCGATCAGCTCAATCTGTTGAGCCTCCTTCGAGGCCTAAGACACCGGCTGAAACCCCTATTTCTCAAAGTCCATCTCAAGAAGATGGCGTTGAGCCGCTTCTTGTCTCGTCTCCCCGGGACATTGACGATCTCGTGCGCGATATGCTTCCTTGGTTTGATGGCAAGGAGTCGGAGGACAACTGGCTAAAGCGCGAGAAGAACGTTATTCTATTCCGAAGACTCACCTGCGGTAATGCGCCTCATGATTTCTCCCAGAGCTATCTTGGTGCTACAAAAACACTCCTTGACGGATTCTTCAAGGTTGTCCATTCCTTGCGAACGACGCTTTGCAGCAATGGCTGCCTTTTGATCCAAGATATCGCCCGAGTCTGCGGGCCTAGAATCGACGGGATGGTTGAAATCATGATGCAGAACCTCATTAAACTCTGCTCATCTTTGAAAAAGATTGCTGCACAGAATGGCAATGCAGCAGTTGATGCGGTCCTAAGCAACGCAACCTACTCTATTCGTATCCTTCAACATGTCCACTGGGCTTGTCAGGACAAGAACGTGCAAGTACGCTTATTTGCTGCTGGATGGCTCCGGACTTTGATCACCCGACAAGCCCATCAAAAGAGTACCGTTGAGCACGGTGGTGGTCTGGACCTCGTCGAAAAGTCAATTAAGAAAGGCCTAGGTGATGCCAACCCCGGTGCAAGGGAAGGTTTCCGTAGCACTTTCTGGACATTCTACAGCGTTTGGCCTTCTCAGGCTAATGCCATAATGGCTGATCTTGACGCGAAATCTCGGTCTTTACTGGAAAAAGATGCGTCGAACCCGAATGGAGGTAGAAAGCCCACCACTCCTGCAAAGGGTCCTGGTGGCCCCGGTGGAGCACGTTCGGCTCTCAGAGATGTTATTGCTGCTCGCAAAAAGGCTGCTATGCCGTCCCGCCCCGAGTCTGCTCAATCGGCTTTCGACACGCTAGATCCTGCACCTAAGCCTGCGATGCGCAGTGTACCCACCGGCGCGCCGCTTTCGTCCTTGTCATCGGCACCTATGCGACCTGGCGCGAAGCCTCGACGACCCGAAATAAACCGCCCTGCAACTGCTGATCCTTATGCGTCCCGACCTGAATCTCGAGCTGGTCAAACTACCAGTAAGCCGACCAGCTCGCCAAGATCCGTGAGGTCCAAGACATCAACGCCTTCTTCAAAACCGATTAGTGCTCCTCGTCTTCGGCCCCACGAAGCTGGACAGACCGGTACCACCCGCGGCAAGCCTAAAAAGCTTGATCTGTCAAAGTCAAAGTCTCACGGCGATCTCCGTGCGGTCAGCCACTCGCGAAGCAATTCTGACGATAGCATTGCAAACCAGAATGCCCACCACGTGGATCCACCGATTGCACTGGAAGATCAAGACTCGCCAGCACATGTCGTATTGGAAAGCCCTCCACTGGCCCCATCTCAGCCACCGTCTCTTTATCACGAACAGACCGAGATTAGCCGTCAAGCCACACCGGAGCCTGAAGTGAAACCACAACCGCTCTCACCTGAAGAGGCTCGTAGTGATACTCCATCCCCACGTGCCGAAATGTCGTATGCAGGATCGCCTTTGCGCCATTCCGTTTTGAGATCTGAACCTGAGCCAGTTGCCAGGAGTCAACCCGAGGAGATGATTATATATGAAGACCCTGCTACACCTGTGGCTGCAGAGGCCCATGTACCCGAAGCCGAACCTGAGGTGCTCTCGATCACTGAAAGATCACCGCGCTGTGCCGAAGAACAACAGTCCTACGATGAGCCCATTCCGACGACACCAGCCAGGTTGGAAACCCCGGCTAAAAACCCTGGTCTGGAATTGGCTCCCACGCAAGGTATGATGGATGGTGTGAATGAATCGTCGCCCCAATCCGTTCGCAGGTCCCCTCTTCGAGGAAGCCCTTCTCCATCGAGAAACCGAGCTCCCGCCACGCCTTCTGGCAGGGACTCTGCTTCTCCGCAGCGACCTATTCCAGCGCCCATCTTCGAGTCGATAACCAATAACGAGAATGCCACTGCACAGCTGAACAAGCTCTCAACCCCACGACCTGTCACCAAACCAGGCGCCCTGGAAGAAATGCCCCTGAACGAGACAGTCTCACAAACAAGGGGCCGGTCTGCTGAATCTCCAAGCCAGAGTACAACAAGCGAGGAACCTGTTCGCCGTCGAAAGTGGGCTGAGCGGCATCGAAGCCCAAGTCCTCGATCTAAGGACCCCGCCAATGCGCAAGAGATGCTTGGAAAAGCTCTCAGCCGCATCGGCTCTAAGACAATCGATATTTCTGGATACCGCAAGCTCCAAGGGCTTTTCCAGTACCACGGCGAAGAGATCGTCACTCGCAACCAGGACTACTATGCAATGCTCGATGCTCTGCTGGGTGAATTGGAGTCGGCGCCCACCAGCCGAAAGGATCACGATGTGAAAACCCAAATCCTGGCGACTATCCGCTCCATGCTCCTCCGGACAAGTGAGCTATTTCACCGATACGACGTCCGTGCAATGGCGGCGATCATTCGCGCACGACGACACTACGAGTCGAGCTCACACTTTGTCACCTGTCTAGAGGAAGTGGCGGAGCAACTGGTCTCTCTGGTTTCAACCACTACAGTCATTGACGGTGTCCTACGGGGTCTAGACCTGGGTGAGGACTCTCACAGCGAAGGGGCCTCCCGATCGATCATCATGGGTCTCTCGATTATCCACCAGTCTCTTTTCCAGGGGCCCGCCGAGATCTCCGACGACACCTTGGTGACTGTTGGAACAGTGGTCAGCCAGCAATTAGGCCATCCCCGACCCGGAGTGCGCAAGCAGGCCACCGAGCTTTGTACACTGCTGAACCTCAAGTTCGGTCTGGACCGAGTGCAGAAGGCAACTCCAGCAGCTGGGGAGGGATCGCTCAATCTTCTCACGTATTTCATGGCTCGCCGGTCCCGATAAGTTCAGACGCGGTGATAGCTGTAAATACTTTTTGTATCCTTTTCTGGTTTCCTGTCTTTTTTTAAACCTTAACCTTTTTATTTCGATGTGATTTTGTGTTCCGTGAGTTTTCGGAAGCAAGGGTGGTTTGGCACATAATAGAAAAGTTTCTATTTTTAGTCTTTCTCTCGCCCAAGACATGCTCCGCAATCCGTAGTGTAGAACGGCGTCCGTATTCAGCTAGCTTGGCATTGGCGTCGGGTCGATTACTGGATTGGATTGCGACAAGGTGACTGGGAGCCAACGAACAACCTGGAGATATTCGAATAATATCTCCAGATGTAAATCAATGATCGCCAATGTTCCAAGGATTCCAGAAGCAGATAAACAGACGAGCTTGCGCCAGATTTGCTTCTTTGGTCGAGGATCCCCGGCATACTTGCCGTGCCCATGACTCGGCGTCCATTTACCCGAACTTCCCCCGCATCTCGTCTCGGGGCAAGATAGTATAAACTGATCTGACGTCGCTTTTCCCCACGCAGCCCCTCCCACTTCAGAGTCGGGCAAGTTGCCCCGGAGCTACATGTGGCTGCTCGGAGAGATAGAGAAATGAATTGTATTTGCGATCCGCGTTTTGCTCGCATGTACCTAGTACCCCAGGTCATCATGAAACAGGCGAAATACGCAACGCTCAGGTCTCTCTCGACATCAATGGCGGCGTAAATAACCATGCCGATGAATGCAGAGTAAGCAGAACAATCGGAGATCTGTCCGCGCTTGGCAAAAATATAAAGAAGGATCAATCATCCTCTCGAGAAATCGCAGGTACTTCCACAGCTTCCACTAAAACCAAGATGGCGACAACATTGACGGGTGGAAACCCTCACATCATTCAACTCCCCTCGACGTCCGGGCTCCCTCCTCCAGAGGCTCGGATTATTGCTCGGCAATGGCTCACAGCACTCGAGATCCAACTCGCGCGTCCCGACACATTGAGTCTTGCCAGTCTGTTCCACGCTGACTCCTGGTGGCGTGATATGCTCGCGTTAGATTGGGACATGCGCACCGCGCACTTATCCACGGAGATAGAAGAGTTGCTACGCAAGCGTCAAAGCCAAGCGCAACTCTACAATCTCCGACTACAAGAAAGGGGAAGTTCCAACCACGCTGGGAACAAGTTGTCGACGGGCTAAGCTGGGTGTCAAGCATGTTCTTCTTTGAGACAGCCTGTGGAAGGGGCTCGGGTATGCTGCGCCTGACGGAAGATCCATGCGATGGGAAGTGGAAGGCGTACGCGGTTTATACATCGCTACAGGAATTGAAAGGATTCGAGGAGCCGTTGGGACCTAGACGCCCCGCAGGCACAACCGAGTCGATGCCGGGCGGATTGGCGGGAGGGACTTGGATCGAAAGGAGGGAGCGACAGAAAGAATTCCCGGATTCGGAGCCGAGAGTCTTAGTCGTTGGAGCTGGCCAGGCTGGTCTGAACATGGGTGCTCGGTTGCAAAATATGGGTCTGTCGTGTTTGATTGTTGACAGGAATGAGCGCGTTGGGGATAATTGGCGAAATCGGTACCGGGTGAGTATCCTCCACTTTCTACACATCTACACAGTTTGCCCGAGACTAACGAGGAAATGTACACCTTTAGACTCTAGTCACCCATGACCCGGCGGAGTTCACGCATATGGCGTACCTGCCCTTCCCTTCAAACTGGCCTCAATTCACTCCCAAAGATAAACTCGGCGACTGGTTCGAGGCTTATGCCAGCATTATGGAGTTGAACGTGTGGATGAAGACGAGGATCGTGTCTGCTGAGTATAATGCTGCCACTGCTGAATGGAATGTTGCTGTAACTCGTGGCAATGGCGTCCAGCGTACCCTGCGCCCTCGTCATGTCGTCTGGTGCACAGGACATTCGGGCGAGGCGCGAGTCCCTCACTTCCCCGGACAGGACTCATTCCAGGGCACAGTATACCACGGCAGCCAACACCGAGATGCATCCGAATCCGATGTCCGTGGGAAGAAGGTGATTGTCGTGGGAACCGGAAACAGTGGACATGACATCGCCCAAAATTACTACGAGAACGGTGCAGATGTGACCATGCTTCAGCGTAACGGGACATATGTCCTCACCGCTGATAAAGGCGTCTTCATGATGCACGAGGGAATGCACGAGGATGGCGGGTACGTCTTTTAACCATGCACGAGGAAACACGACCCTTTTACTCACAGCCTTCCCATAGTCCCCCAACCGAAGAATGTGACATCGTCTCCGAGAGTCTTCCCTTTCCCGTTCAATTCGCGCTCAGCGTACACATGACGAAGCGAATCGCAGACGCCGAGAAAGAAACCCTCGATGGCCTTCGCGGAGCCGGGTTCCAACTCGATTTTGGCCCCGACGGTGCGGGTATTGCTCGCGCATACTACACTGCAGGTGGTGGCTATTACATTGACGTCGGATGTAGCCAGCTCATCATCGATGGCAAGATCAAGGTCAAGCACAGCCCCAAGGGAATTGACGGTTTCGGAGAGAGAGAGTTGCGTCTTGCAGATGGCAGTTCTTTGCCCGCAGAGATCATCGTACTGGCCACCGGCTATGACAACATGCGCACTACTGTGAGGGAGGTGCTCGGCGATAAGGTCGCTGATCGATGCGCGGACGTGTGGGATCTGGATCACGAAGGTGAGCTGCGTTCGATGTGGCGGCCCAGTGGTCACCCGGGCTTCTGGTTTTTTGGCGGGAATCTGGCACTTTGCCGGATTTACTCCAAGGTTTCTTGCAGATTAGGGCTATTGAGTCTGGTCTGTCTACTGGTGATAGACAACAGCAGAGGACTACGAAGATCTGAGAGTGTTCATAGAGCGTGGATTGTTAGACAAGAACCACATGGAATGAAACCATGCTTCATGTCGTCTAAGATCCTCCGTAGAGATATCTTCCCCGAAATTGATTGTTAAGCTCAGCTCAGGTGTAGTTCGACTTATCCATCAGCGCTGTGTTATTTTATGCCAATCGCCGGGGTTATCGGCGATAGGGCGGACGAACGCTCTGAGTGGCAGGATCTGTTACTATACCAGAACATCTCGTCCACCGCAATCCCCGGATCATCAAGGCCTTAAATATCGCTCTCATAGACCATTTTGCAACCTCCATATCCAGTATTGAAATTTCTGATGAACTTTCTGAAACAAGATATTCACGATTCAAGCTCATTTGCAAATAATGGCGCCTGCAAAACCCTGCCAACTCGTCCACTAGGGCGCACTGGGCCTCTTGTCCCTCGACTGGGGCTAGGTCTGATGGGTGCGAGTGGTACTTATGGAGCTGCTTCCTCTGAATGCAGACAGATTTGTTCTCCTAGGTGAGGCATACAAGAAAGGAGAACGCTTCTGGGATACCGGTAAGTACCCGGCAGAGTGTGACTCAAATCCAAGATGCTAACCATGTCCAAGCCGACAAGTACGGCGATTCCGAAGACCTCCTGGGCAGATGGTCTACCGCAAATCCCGAGAAGCGAAAAGACATCATACTTGCCAGCAAGTTCGGTATCCGTCCTGCTCCAGGCGCTCCCTGGGGATTCACCATCGACTCAAACCCCCGAATACTGTCGATTGGCCCTCGATGCATCTCTGAAACGCCTTGGTTTACCCTTCATCGACCTTTACTATGTTCATCGCCTTGACAAGAAAACTCCCATCGAGCTTACTATGCGGATGATGGTAGAGTTGAAGAACGCTGGCAAGATCAAGTACATCGGGCTGAGCGAATGCGGCGCTGAATCCCTGCGACGTGCACACGCCGTACATCCGATCACCGCTGTTCAGCTCGAATACAGTCTATTCTGTACCGAGATTGAGTCGCCACAGAGACGATTGCTGGAAGTTGCGCGGGAATTGGGTGTCACGATCGTGGCGTACAGCCCGCTCGGGAACGGGTTCTTGACCGGGAAGCTTCGCTCGCGCGAGGACGTCAGCAAGCCTGGTGATGCGCGTGATTCCTGCCGTGGTTGAGCGAGGACAATATTGAGAGCAACATGGCTGTTGTGGATAAGTTTACTGAGATGGCTCGGGCAAAAGGTATCACGATGCCTCAGCTGGCGCTTGCCTGGTTGCTGGCGCAGGGCGATGATATTTTCCCTATTCCGGGGTCTTCGAAAGTTCAGCGACTGGAAGAGAACTTGGACAGCATTTTTGTCTCTCTGTCAGATGGGGAGGAGAAGATTCTTCGTGAATACGCAGACGGTATTGTTGGTGATCGAGTCCAAAGTAAGATGGGGTACGCTTTTGGAGACACCCCTGCACGGGAGGAGTAGGGTGGGTGTGTTGGATCGCCCCGTGGACAATTCAGAATGGAGATAGATATCCACATATCTATTCATGATTTTCAAACCTGATGCATCCAAGAATCAAGCCATGATGTATCCACCTCTTGCGGTAGCATTTCTCGCATAGCCGAGGTCGAATCGTCCAAGGTGCGAGAACTAGAAGTTGTACCTCTCCGGAATCAACATCTCTGGGAAGACTTCTGACATCTTGACATAATCCGGATCTGGTATTTCCATTCCAAAAGATCTCTGCTTCTGCTGACGTGTGATATGCAGGATCCCAAAATATGGAATGGAGAGCTCCAGGCCATCGGTTCTACCACTATCGTTCCCCTCGCCCTTTCGAGTATGGCAAGATGACCCATCTGCTGCATCGGCCTCTATTTTGATGAAGCGTCTCAGGACCTGCGCTTGTGAAACATCGAAGCATTGCTCATCCGAAGCCCTTAAATCCTCTATGAGATTGGCCACCGTTTCAATCATGCCAAGATTATGCGGTCGTTGATGTTCGAGTACATTTGCATTTCCCAGGCAATGGCCATCTAAATGAGTCAAAAGGAGAGTGAGTGAGGCTGTGAAGCCCTTGTCATCCATGGCGCGAGAAGATGGTGACCGGTGGTAGTTGCGGAGAACAAGGTACCGGGCAATCACCTCGCGACTTGCAGATACAGCAGCAAGCTTGCTATACATGTGATCAGGTGATAATGGGTCGATACTGTGCTTATGATAATCTCCCTCGAGGTGTTCAATGATATATGGCTGGTGCAGCAGGACCAGCAGATAGAACTGATGCATTTGAACCAGCAATCTTGCAGTTTTCTCAGCTACTTCAAAATCAGAGGAAATTCTATCCAGTGAAGGAAGTAGCCACCAGGCATTTGGCATAAGCCTTGTAGCTTTCTTCAGCTGCTGATCGAGCATTTCCGTTTCTTGATAGTCTTCCTGGATGGAGCCTTCGTCGTAAACATTCCCCTTGCGTTGTTGCATGCGCATATTTCTGGCAATCATGCGGCCTGCAACTGGCACATGAACATGCTCCTATGTCTGCGCAGGCGTGATGTCTGCATAGTGCGGAATAGAAGCCTCATTATCGCTAATTACGAAAGGTAGGCCCAGCATTGGCGAGAGGAAACGGTCGCTATATATTAACTCAAACCAGACCAATTTAGCTCGACCACCAGTAGTCTCAGCGAGCTGAGGAAATCCCATCCCATGGGCAATATTTGCAGCCCGCCGTTGAATGAGCCATGCTGTGCGAGGGTCGCCAATTGTGAGGTGATAGCGCCCTTGAAGCACAACGTGTGTAGGCCGTCGATAGAGGAGATTAAGATATCCTGCGACATGACAAGCTGACAGGCTGCTGCAAAATAGCGTTGCGCAACATCATTGACAGGCTTTCTCAACTGTAACTTCAACTGTTCTGCAGACTTCGCGTCAGAGTGCTGCAAGCAGAGAGCAAGTTGAATCAATCTTCGGGCAAAGAAAATTGGATGAGCTGTGGGTAAAATCTCGGGATGACCAGGAAAAGGCTCCCCACTAGACGATTGCTGGCCCTGTGCTATTTGAAGGGGCGCTCTGAACAGCTTACTGCTCTTCAAGATCATTCGGGAGAGATCTGGATCAGGAAGAATCGAGAATAAATACCCCGTAAGAGAGCGACCCCTTGAAGTCCGCTCATGATTGACCGAGCATAGCGTGGGATACTGCACACATTGAGATTGCTCCGAAGTTGTCGATGGATCTGGCGTGTTTGTCGATTTGCGTTTTCTCTGTTGAACGAGTTGATTGAAAACAGATTTTCGACCCAGTCAATGCGCTGCTCAGCTTTCTCGTAGACATTGGTGGACTCGGAAAATTCCTGACTGACGCATACAAGCCGGTGGCTTACGCAGAAGACACAAGCGGTAGATCCAGGCCCAAAGTCGCAGCGTTTCTTGCGGTGTTTACACTCCCAGCAGCTCGAGGTGCCCTTTCGTACCTACGTCGCTTCAATACCGATTTGAGGCTATTTGAAGCATTGCCTTTACTTCTGTGCTCCATCGGGTTATCCGCGGTTCATATTGTTGGTAGAGTTCAGTCTCACGATTACCTGTAACGTGTCGCAGGAAGGCTGCCCGGAGGCCGGAGAAGTGTTATTCCTTGCACATTTGAATTGTATATCACACTATCCCATTTGGTTTATTGAACCAGGGAATCATTCAATAACAGAGTTTCTAATATTACTGAATGGGTAGTCATATCGCATTTGGGACACAATCGCCGTTCAGAATGTGGAGGGCTCTCGATGACATAGTGAGAAACGTTTCCTATACACAATGTGTTTGAATCAACAGTTCAAGTATCGAACTAGGATACCTTCACATTGGATGTATAGACTGAGGGCCTGGTAGTTATCTTTATTTTATATATTTGCCTTTGGGGGATGGCGCCCATAGACGCCGTTTCGATTCCCCCTTCGTCGCCTCGCACTGTTCAGCCTTCTACGTCGTGATATTCTGCAACTCTGACCCCTACTCATTGCGATACATGCTGCGCCCTTGCAATTTCGACTAGCTTATACGCCTGCCGTATCCCCGGATTTGTTTCATGAATAAAGGTGTAATATAGACGATCATCAAGCGCCTCAATCAACATCACCAAGAATATCACTAATCTTGTCGGCCCCGTTTATAATCAAAGAAAGCTCACCATGACAAAATAGGGCGGATTTTCTTCTGCTGTGTACATGCAGAAAATCCCGTACAATCAAGATAGCACTCTCGCACTAAGGGAAAACTCCTTTGTTATCATGGAGACTCATAATGTTCGGTCGTGGGTGCGAGCTCCCCCTTATCAAAATGTTCAATCTGAACTTCCTCATGCTTTGGATATGCAATCTTGTGCACGGTATACCACGGTCTCTGGAATAAACTATCCAACGCCTGAAGTGACCGACCCGTCGTGTCCTAGACTGGTCAGTAGATCCACCGTCACCGGAAAGGGAGAGAAAACTCACCGGCATAGCGAAGAAAACATAAATCAAGGAAAGCAAACAGATAAGTGCGAAGAACACAAAAGCTCCCCATCTCTGACAGGCGGCGAGTAGACTCGGCATGGCGCGCGAACACCCAAAATAGAATGCCCAGTGGAACCCCATCGACACGGACTATATACTAGTCCCCTTAATCTAAATATTTATACCTCCAGAGAATAATAATAATAAGAAAGAGATATAATATCCGCGGCGATAGGGAAATAGGTATTCTAATCCTATCTTTCTTTACTTTTATTAAAGTGGCTTAGGTATTCTAAATTAATTATACTTAACTATAGGATAGTTAATTTTATAGGGAGGGGTAATATATAATAGGAGAACTAATAATATAATAAGCCTATATATAGCCTTAGGCATAATTTAATATCTATAATATATAGTATATCTCTAAATACACTTAGAGATAGAGAAGTTATCTACCTAATTCATTTAGGATTCACCTAATTTCTTGTATTTATAATATAGTATTAAGATTATCCTATATAGCCATAACAGGGTATCAGTACGGCCTTATCTAGCGTCCTCTATACCAGATAGGCAGTGTGTGTGTGTGTGTGTTGTCTAGTCTGCATCGCTAGACAGCCATCGAGCCGTTCCCATTTCACTAGATTATTTATGATTTCTTTAGAGATCGCGGTATTTAACCTCCAGATAGTATATATATTATTGAGAAGCTTACGAGTAGCGAGATAGAGCTACTAATACTCGCGGCGCCTAATCTTCGTATATACGGAGAAGCTACACTATCGCCGCCGCCGATATCCTTAAGTATCGATAATTTACCTCCTAAGAGTATTTAAGACCTTAAACGGAATTATAAGAAGCTATCGAGTATAGACAGCCTTACGCTAAAGTAGGAGCGGAATCTACTATATCTCTTTAAGTATAATAAAGTTATCGCAGAGCGAGTAGCTCTTTCGAATAATATTATTAGTTAAATAACGGCCGCCCGCGCCCCTCTATTACGAAACTATAGTAAGAGATATATAAAGCTATTTAGATATAATAAGGTGCTTCGCCTAAAAAATATATAAAAATTAATTAAGGATAAGAAGGTAAAGGATACTATTCGGGAAAGAAGGCGGCTAGATAAGCTTTATACGAAAGTGTACGGCAAAACACCACCGAAACAGCCTACGTAGGAGAATAAGGCATTAATTAAGGCAGCGAGGGCTACAGAAGATACCTAGGAGCTTTTCTACCTTAATTCGTATCCAATAGGTTAATAAAAATGTGTAAATAGCATCAAATTGCACTATCGCTGCAAATTGTTCTACCGGTGCAGCGCACCCTCACCGACAGGTGGGGGGCGCTATAGGCACAGATATAGAGGGAAGCGAAGGTTTGCCGCGTGTTTGATGAGTCAGGCGAGGGAGATCTGTCCCGTTTGGGGTCGTTATATTGATTTAATATTTCCTCGTCATAGGAAGAGTTATCAATTAAAACCATAAAGTTAGGTGATTAGTCGGGAACACGTGCATCTAGGGTAAGGTCTTTGGCCGGGATAGTGATTTAAGATAATAGAGAAGGTTCAGAGGGAAGTAAAGTGTCTTTAATTTCTGGGTAAGGATAAAGTAAAGGGTTATTTACTTTAAAGTCGCCTATATAAGGTACGTTTTCGGTACCTTTTAGAGTAAGATTATCCTCACTTTCGTATTACTTTTGCCTTACTTCTTCTTCTTATTCTGATTCCTCCGGAGAAGGCGGTAGGTCGCCGAGCATTTGGTCTTCATAGTCTTTATCCTCGTTTTTATGTTCCTCGGTGTCGATAAAGGCTCTATACGGGAAGACTCAACTTACGGGCTTCTAGCGTTGAAGGTTATAAGCCAGCTGCATATCGACGCTGACAGAACTATTGAATTTACTAAAAACTTACATCATAACTATAACAGCATTTGTGTTTGGGTACATTGCAAGATAGCTAGCGACTTTTATGCCACAATGGGTTTTGTTCAAGCTACAGAAGATGAGTTATTCCCAAGACCAGGTTAATTGAATGCAAATTACACTACACAACCTATCATATCATGCGATAGATGCAGGTCCAGGAAATTGCTCTCGAATCAAGGAGAAAGCCGAAATGGTTGCATGTTTTTTTTTCTTTGTGTAGAAAAACAAGTGGTCCAGTCTCAAAGACAAGTCTCCCAGATGCAGGTTTGTCTGCTTTTGTACAGAGCGATCGGATGAGCTTATTACCATCCTTCCTTACTGGGTATAAACTCCAGCCTGAATGTCAGCCAGAAGACCTCGGCCTGTGGGTATCCATCCAAGCTGCTCCTGGGTCTTTTGGCTTGAAGTTGGATTGTCAGCACCGACAGCGTGGGCCATGAAACCATTGAAGTGAGCCTGAGCTTCTTCAAAGGATTTCGAAACGGTCGGCACACCAAGTTCTTGTCCAATGGCCTCGGCAATTTCCTTCATCGTGATACCTTGTTCGCCAACACCGTGATACTTCGCACCAGGCTCGCCCTTCTCTAGAGCCAGACGGTAAAGACGAGCGGCATCGTAACGGTGGACCGCGGCCATTTGTTCTGTCCGTCCCCGAGGTAGACAGATTCACCCTTGGCGCGCGCAATTTGAGTGATCATATAGATAAATCCATGATCTTCATCGCCGTGAACACTTGGAGATAGTCGCACTGCCAATGCACGCACACCCCGGGAAGCGAGCTTGGTGATTTCTCCTTCATTGCCCGCACGAGGGTTTGGGAAAGTCACAAGGTCCACTTGCGAATCTTCCGTGGCCAGCTCACCCTTAGCTAGCATCAAGGTTCCAGAAGTGATGACGAAAGGACGGTTAGACCCTGCGAGGGTCTCACCCATGGCCACGATGGCGTGGTATTCCACTTTGGCGTTTTCAGCGAATTTGGTGAAGTCGTGGTTGAAGGCAAGATGGATAACACCCTCTGAATCCGAGGCACCGCGCTTCAAGACTTCAACATCTTCAGTAGTCCCAATGATCGCCTCAGCTCCTTTGGCACGCAGTTCAGCTGCCTTGGATTCTGAGCGAGCAAGACCGACAACAGTGTGGCCGGCACTTAGCAGTTCCTGAACAACGGCCTGGCCAACAAAGCCAGTAGCGCCAGTGACAAAAACACGCATGTTGAATATATAATTTGATGAGATATTTCGAACGGTATCAGTTATGAAGAGCTGCCCAAGTGTAGATGATATTGCTTCCCATGGAGGTTTGGGCACAGGTATTTATGGGTCTGCTGGAAAGTTCGGAGCTTCCATCCTAACGGACATAAAAGCCTGTTATTTCCATAACTCTAGGCAGTGAAATTCTGAGACGAGTAGAAGTTCGGACATCTTCCAATTTGGATAGTGCTCGAAGTCACCAAAGTTGGATGAAGTGGCATGCAAATACGAGCGCGGGTTAGCGTGAATCCACTGGTGGCCAATCAGCGGCTCAGGTTTTACTCGGAGTTAAGACCAATGGGCCCGCCATTGCACTGCTTCATCTTTTTGCACCTCCCCTTGTCAACCAACAAGCTATCTCAAGAAATCATGAGAATTTCATCGAAGCGATCTTCATCCGAGGGACATGGAAGACGCCGCCGAGCCCACACCAAGTCACGACGGGGCTGTCGGAACTGCAAGCTCCGCCGCGTCAAAGTAAGCGCTCATCCAGAGTTTCCCTCCCTCCGCCGGGCAAGAAGCTAACGGCTTAAATTAAGTGTGACGAGGGCAGTCCGGAGTGCCAGAAATGTCAAGCGTTTGGTGTAAATTGCGATTACAGTTCGCCAAATACATCAGATCTGCAACCTACGTGGCAGGCTACACCCAGCCAATTAAACATTGAGGACGCCTGTAATCAGCTTGACTGCAGAGTGAAGCCCGTCCCTAGCATCAGAAACCCAATAATCATGATTGGAGAGGGCTATGGCTCTTTTCAACTCGATTCAGATAGTCTAGCTCGATTGGATCGATTCCAACACCGCACGGCTTTTACATTCGCAACTGGCCGAGTTCGTGAGCTCTATCAAAACGACGTAATCAGAATCGCTTTAGCAGTATGTGGTTTCCTCCATCCATGCTACGGAGCCTTTCACTAAAACAATTGTATAGCAACCATTTCTTATGCACATCATCCTTACCATTACCGCCACTCATGATCGCTTCCTGTCCATCACTCCGCAAAACGCCAAGCGATCAATAGTTGAGGCTTATCATTGGTCCAAAGGAGCTGCGTTGCTTAATCAGGAAGCTTACAAGGCCAATACTGCCCCAGGATCGTGATGCTCTTTGGGCTGCTGCGGCCTTGTTAGGAATCGCTAGTGTGACCTCTATTGAGGCATCAAATCCACGGGAGGCGTGGCCACTTAAATCATACGATCCTAACGATCTTGACTGATTTGATATGTCTCAAGGCAAACAGGCAATATGGAAAGTCACCGACCCTTTACGCCCGGATAGCATCTTTCACGCCCTGGCGCCCGAGTACCGCGCTCTCAATGATACACCCCGATTTTGTGAAATTGAAGAAATACCCAGGGAGCTTGTCCGGCTTTGTGGTTTGGATACATGCTCAATACTGTATCAGAATCCATATTATCTCGCCGTGTCAATGCTGGTCCAGTTAAGGGGTGTCCGATGCACTCAGGCCTCAATGACAAAATTTCTTAGATTTGCGAGATACATGGAGCCCGGTTTTCGAAACCTGCTGCACAAGAAAGATGCTTGTGCATTGCTAATTTTGGCGAATTGGTATGCTCCTATGCGCCAATCGTTGTGGTGGATCGCCAGAAGAGCCCAATTAGAATGCCGAGCAATTTCTTTGTACTTGGAGAAACATCACCCCAACAACAAATCTCTCCAGAAGATGCTTCCAAAGCTAGAGGCTTCGGATACTGCTACCGTCTAATATTATAATTTGAAATTGAATAAGTTAACGAAGTCCACACCATCTATAGTTTTGCCTTTCTAAACAGGAAAAAAGGAACCGGCCCACACGTGACCGGTCCCGATTTTCCCGACTGGTGGAATTCTCCGAAACGATCTATTCGCCATGAATCCTCCCAAGTGCCATTCGTGACGGGGGCCGAGACGATAGATTGCAGAAATTGGTCTTGTGGGTCACACAACACACTCAAACTGATTTGAGCAAGATGCAGCCATGAGTGAAAGAGGCTCGGAAATCGTTTTTCGGGCGGAGAACATCCCGGTCCGGTTCTTCAAAGCATGTCGGTGGTGTCGCCGGCAAAAGATGCGGTGCGATGCACGCAACCAGGTCCCATGCTTCCGTTGTCGCTCAACGGGCCGCGACTGCGTCTTGGACCCCATTGAAGATAACAGAAGACGTACTGAACGTCGGAGAAAAACTACAACGCCCGCGCGGTGAGATCTCAAGTTGGTTTTACTTCACACGGAACATGACTGATTTATTTGCATTTAGCGGCTCGACGGTGACTTCTCCACTAGATCAGCGTAGCGGATTTCATACTCCGGCTTCAAGAGACGAGGAATATTCTCCAGTTGCTGGTCAGGATACTTCTTTCGATACCTCGATTGATTCATTTCCACAGTCTTCGCTAGGGAGAGTGCGAGGGTCTCAGACTGCGGATCATCATGCACATGGTCATGATTCGCAACAGTTGAGTCCCGATGATATGATAGCGCCGGTGTCAGCGGTGCACTCCATGTCTGTCAATCTAATTGGGACGGATGAGGTGAGACGAATTTTGGATCTGTATTTCCATGAATTAAGCTGATCTGTACTTAGATTTTCATGGAACATTCAAGCAGTGGAGACCCGAGAGGAGATATTATTGTTCGAGGTATTGTCAGCGAAGAACGGGCACGAGTCATGTATGAGAGGTCTGTTACACACCTTGTTCCCTAGGTGGTAGTAGAGCTGGATACTGACATCAACCCCAGATTTACCGGCGGAAGCAAGAACTATTTACCCGTCTTTGACCCCATCCGCGATACATTCGACTCAATACGGTCGCGTTCACTATTCTGTTTCACAGTGATAATCTACCTGGCCAGCAGGGCCGTGGTGGATCTCCGCAGTGACACCCACATGCAACGTGTACTCCAAGACGAAGCGCAGAGACTCGCTGAAGACAGCTTCTTTGAACGCCCCACGAAGCTCGAAACGGTTCAGGGCATGATTTTACTCGCCGCATACTCCGAGAAAACCTGGTTCTCAACTGCACTCATTTTGCGAACAGCCTTGGATTCCGGTTTAGAAAAGTCACTTGACAAATTGCTATCTCAAGAGAATCTGCCGAGAAGCTCACTTTCTGCATCCATGTCTGACCGCCAGTTGGTATGGCAGGTGCGGACTTGGCTCATCAGTTTCACGTTGGAGCTGGATGTTGCTTCAGGCACTGGTCGCAAGTCACGCATTGGTGAAGTAGATATCATGAAGCTACGCAAGTTTCTCGATTATCCGCTTTCGCTTCCATGTGATATGCGGACTGTCTGTATCATTGAACTTCATCAACTCCGAGGTTCGATTTTTCGAGTTGCCCTTTGAGATGGTCACTTCGGCTGACGAGTTCCAGGTCACTCTCGTGTAATTCTTGATAACACGGGGACAGTCCAGGACATAGTCTCAACAGAGCTCCCTGCTATAATGACCAGGCTACAGAACTGGTGGACAACATGGGATGAGATCCACAGTAGTGAGTGCAACCCAGGTCTCAGGTCTTCCGAAATTTGTTGTAAACGAATACTTACATCGCGAAGATAATGGGTTCCATTCAGGTGCATTCCAACGCAGCAGTCTCAAGCTGATGGTTAATTACGCAAGAATTTTCGTCTTATGTGCCTCCTTGGCACGCATCCAGAAATTACAGCCTGCAAACTCTGAGTCTGAGATTACTGATCAGAATGTATTGAACCTGTGGCAATCACTCATTACGACGATCATGGATCAATTGGCATTCTTGATCGACTGGCCGTCGTACCGATGCCAGCTTCCGTGGGCTCCAACCTATCCAGCTCTAACCATTGCCTTTGTCAGTAAGTCGGGGACCTGACCGATCGCTTACCTTGAACAATTCGCTGAATCATTGTCAGCGACATTCGCACTTCGGATCGCACGTTGGCGCCCAAGCTGGATTGATCAATACTTGCTCCTGAGACAGAGCGGAAAAGATCTGCGATTTTTTGAAGCAGCCACCATACCCAGACATCCAACGCACTGTCTCGATCTTCGTCAACTATGCCCGGGCATTGATTGCCAGCCAACGTTCACAAAGCAATGACAGCACAGAGGGCCCCCACGTATCCGAGCAGGGTGATAGACAAGTTCCCTCCAACAGAGGCCCAGACAGTCCCATGCAGAATGCCCCGCCTTTGGCACCTCTCGTCGATCATCGGTACAGATCCGGCACAGCTTTCCCGAGTGATAAGGATTCAAGCATGGTCACCATGCCAGGTAGTGATGTAGCTGCGACCACCAGACCGCCTCTTCCCAGAATGCCTGACACGATGGAAGCCCCGAACTGGACCATGTCCAATTCCATTGCCGAGTCCTTCGGTCTGTTCGAGGAAGGACAGAACGATATTTTTGATTTCTTGCCAATGATGCCCTCCTTGCCATGATTGAACACTCAGTATCATATTGAACATATGCATTGATACCCACCTTGATTGAATTTATTCTGAGCCCGTAGCTAAGTAAACCTGGATGTTTGTCGATCCGCAAAGTCGGTCCTAGCTCGATGGTGGGTAGACCGCGCCACCGAATCAGCATAGGAAACAGCAGGTCATCGGGCCGCAACACAGAAGAACATCTCTGACAGTTCACATGAAATAATGTGCTAATAACAATCCTGTTCAAGGAAACATCGCTAAAATGTGGAATTGCTAGTGATCTAGGCGTCGGCTTCACCCGTCCACACATCGGGCCCTGGCCGGCGCCGGGAATGAACTGCTCTAAGAACCGGCCCCGATCCGGGACCGATCCACCCGGTCAAAACCTGTAGCATAGCGGCCACATCATTGGTACGTTGAATCTACTCAAATATAATAGCTTGCAACGCTATGCATGGGCCGGATCTAGATCATTGACACAAGTTTTCCGTAGAGTTTTTGGTCTCCACTTGACGTGGTGGACAATTCGGATATCAGTTTATATAGCTCTTGATCTCGCGCTCAAAAGGATAGATGAAAAGTAACATGGATCCAAGATCTTAATAATCTTTCTTTCGTCTACCTCCCTTTTTTGCTTTCGTCTTGGCATATAAAATGATTATGGAGTTCATGCGATCTCCGATGGCTCGCATTACCAATCTCTTTTCGTCAGGTGCAATTGAGTCCTTCAACATGATGTTCTGTCTCTGCCATGCTACAATACTAACTGTTTATAGACAAGATGAAAAGTCCCCATAAAACTGCCACTATCATAGTTCAGTCCGAAAAGCGTCATAATGAAAATGATGATTACACACTGGTTGAATTAACTCCGGAGGAAACTCTAGTCGAGTTCTCCCCGGACTCAACAGCAGACCCAAACCAGTGGATATTTGTAAGCTAGATCATGTCTACACTGAAGGCGGTAAACTAACGAACACCTTCTAGAGCAAGAAAATGTACAATGCTATCGTGGGTCTCTTAGTGGTCCTCAATAGTGGCGTGTCATCTTCCCTGCCTAGTAATGCAGTCCCCACAATCATGCAGGACTTTGGCCTGCCAGGAAATGGTCAAAAGGTCTTGCCAACCTCCATTTTCCTAATCGGGTACTGCATCGGGCCTCTGGTCTGGAGTCCTCTAAGTGAAACGGTGGGACGGCGACCGGTTCTATTCTGGAGTTTTACCATCTTCTTTCTTGGTACCTTGGGTTGTGCCCTGGCGCCCAACTGGTCATCGCTCTTAATCTTCCGTGTCATCTGCGGCACTATGGCTGCGGCACCACAGACCGTTGTTGGGGGTGTGTATGCAGACTTGTTTTCTGATTTACGTAGTCGTGGGCGTGCGATGGCCTTGTACATGTCGGTATGTGCACACGACATTTTTCATGCGGACGCAACGCTGACCCATTCCAGGCGTCAAGCTTTGGTCCCATTGTTGGCCCGATCATTTCAGGATGCTCGGTACAGTATGGCTGGCGATGGACATTCCGCATCGACATGATATTCAGCGGCCTTACTTGGCTGGGTCTGCTCTTTTATTCTGGTGAGTGCCGAGTCAGTCTAGCCCGGCGTCTTCGAGATTCTTTTTTTTTAATTTTCTCGGCCCCATAGAAACATTTGCGCCAGTCATTCTCAAGAAACAAGCTTCCAAGCTTAGGAAAGACACAGAGTGTGGCCGATATTTCGCCCCGCAGGAGTTGAAAAAGGCGGATGCCGCATTCACCTTAACCCAAACCATCACCCGGCCTTTGACCATGTTGATTTTTGAGCCCATCATCTTGTTCACAGCTATTTACATCTCTCTCGCCTGGAGTATGGTCTTCTTCTATTTCCAGGCATATCCCATCATTTTTGAGGGTATTTACGGTTTTGATGTCGCAATGACCTCTCTCACATACATCCCAGGTGAATTTACCCCGATCTAATCTTCAGAATCTATCTGAGAAAGCTAACCATTGCCAGTGGGTGTCGGCGCTGCATCATCCTGTCTTTTCGCCTTCACTTATGACACCATCTACGAAAAGGCTAAGAAACTCGGCAAACACTGGACGTCTAGTCCCGAATACCATCGACTTCCACTGTCCTGTGCAGCAGGTCCTCTTCTAGCGGGTAGTCTATTTTGGCTTGCTTGGTCGGCTAAAGCATCTGTTCACTGGGCGGTGCCCGTCATGTCGGGCATGGTCTTCGGAATGGGATACCAAACCACCTTTATATCACTACTTACCTATGTCACCGACGCATACCGTATATATTCTGCCAGTGCTCTGGCTGCGTCCGTCATCTTGCGGAGTATTGCTGGAGCGCTGTTCCCTCTCGCTGCGGATCCACTTTATGCGAAACTCGGGGTGTCGTGGGCGACCTCAGTCCTTGGATTCGCCGCTTTGGCTTGTATGCCGATTCCTTTTGCCCTTCTCTATTTTGGTCCGTGGATTCGTAAGAGAAGTCCGTTCTGCCAGCGGCTATTGGAAGAAGATATGTCGAAGGCTGGGAGTGGAACGCGGACGCCTGAAGAGGCGTGATGAGGATCGAGGCCATTTTCACGACTTTGACGATAGCATGAGTATTATGCACCTCTTCTGCATCTTTGCTGCGGTTCAATTTACGAGCAATTGTGACGAGATAAAAGTACAGACGCATATGGTGTATACTTCATTTTAATCCTAGATAATTGACTTTTTCCTTGACTTCATTGTACAGCCTGTCTATTTCCTTTTTGAATTCTATATCGCGCGCTCAGGATAGAAATTTCTCAATCAATTAGTCTCAATCTCGGTAAAGTTTACTTCATATTACGCGACTAAGGAATTGGTGGCTCGGTACTTCGGTGCTTCGGAGCGGGAGTTCGTGAACTGCCGCCCCGAGCTGAATCAAAGTCATTCACAAACAGCTCCTTAAAACCCCTTCTATGGGCTTTGTATCTTTCGAAAGAGAATCGGAACGTTCTTTGGATTCTCGGAACAATCATCCTATCTGAATTTTCAAGATGTCTGCAACCGATCCCAAAGTTGCTCCTACCGAGCCCTCCACTGTCTCAGAGCATAGTTCTCTCAACGAGAAGACACATCCTTTTCCAGATCAAGATTTCAAGAAGCCCAGTAACGAAAGCTATGGTCCTTCCGCGCCGGATGGAGGTCTACAGGCATGGCTAGTGGTACTGGGCTCGTGGTGCTCACTCTTTTGTACATTTGGATGGATCAACAGTATGTGGCTGCACAACACAGGGGCGCGCGTCAACGTCAAGATCCTCAGACTAATTTGCGACTCTTTTGCCGACAGGCATCGGAACATTCCAGAGCTACTACGAGGAGTCCCTTCTAAAGCAGTATTCTGCCAGTACAATCTCATGGATTCCATCGCTCCAGATCTTTTTCATGTTCGCCATGGTATGACACCTCGTTTTCATCCTCTATTGTAACGAGACTGACCCAATTGATTGACAGGGTCCTATCGTCGGTCGATTATACGACAACTTCGGTCCCCGCTGGTTGATCCTTGGCGGCTCTGTTCTGCACGTCTTCGGTCTCATGATGGCCTCTATCTCGAAAGAATACTATCAAGTTCTCCTTTCCCAAGGTGTATGCAGTGCCATGGGGGTCTGTGCCATTTTCCAACCTTCAATGAACGTCCTACCAAGCTGGTTCGATAAGAAGCGTGGAGCTGCCTACGGGATTGTGTCAACGGGGTCGAGTCTAGGCGGCGTGATCTTCCCAATCATGGTCAGTCGCCTCATCAACGAAGTCGGATACGGCTGGGCCATGCGCGCTGCCGCTTTTCTGATATTGGGTCTGTTGTCGATTGCGATTCTTACGGTGCGATCCCGCGTTCCGCCTAGAAAGCAGGACTTGGATAAAAAGAGCCTCGTTCGGCCTTTCACGGAAACCAAGATGGTGCTGGTGGTTCTTGGGTTCATGCTTCTCACTTTTGGAATTTTCATCCCGATTAATTACTTGGTCGTGCAAGCTATGCATGCCGGTATGAGTTATAATCTCGCGCAGTACTTGATTCCCATGTTGAACGCAGCCAGGTGAGTCAAGACATCAACTCTCAAGCAAAGAAAATAACTAACCCAAGTCTCTCAGTCTCTTTGGTCGTATGATGGCTGGGATGCTCTCTGACAAAGTCGGTCCGTATAATATCTTCGTGACTGTTTGCATATTTGCAGGCATTCTGGTCCTTGGTGTCTGGATCCCGGCCACCGGCAACGCAGCCATCATTGTCTTTGCCTGTCTCTTTGGCTTTGCGTCGGGCGCATATGTCTCTCTCGCCGCTGCTTTGGTGGTTAAGATTTCACCTTTCCCAGAGATCGGCTACCGCACAGGCTTGTTATTCCTGTTCTCTTCCATCGGCGGCTTGACGACCAACCCGATTGCCGGCGCTATCTTAGCTCATGACAATGGCTCCTACACGGGTATGAAAGTGTTCGCTGGAGTTCTCTTGCTTGTGGGAAGCACTTCAGTGTTGGCAACTCGGCTCCATGAGACTGGGCTTGTTATCAAGGCTAAATTCTGATTCTTACATTCGGTGTTTACGGCTCCAGTATGGGGAATTGCAGATAGCTTTCTTCCCTGACATATACTTAGTAACTCTCATCTTTCAGACGAGGCATAGCTAATGATAGACAACTAATTCACCTTATTCTAACCGCTCACGAAATTCGTAAACGTAGCTTAGATAAAATGGGACCACATGTGGAACCCCCAAAAGCCAAGGAAATAATTGACCAAATCGCTTTCTGCCGCTGGAGGCTACTCTGATTCATATTCCGAAGAACCCTGATCGTCATCTTCTTCCTCGTTGACTCTCGTTCTTTTCGAGATGCCCGCTGTTTGCAGCGACCGGTGCCAATCCACCTCGCATCCAAGATCATCCCTTAAATTCCCCTCACAACATTCAAAGGTGAATTTCTCCGGATGATATTTGCGAGTGTCATCATTATTCAGTATCGCCAACGGTTCATCATTATCCGGAAAGAGGTCTTCATCCGGGTATGCATCTTCTGAGAAGATGTTAGTCGAATGTGATCAATGAAGAACAAAAAGTAGGTAAGAAAAGTAGGTGGATAGATGGCTGCAAGACTTACCGGGATGATATCGACAACTAGTCTTCGAGTTTTCTGTAACATCGAATTCTTGCTTGCAATTTCCACACCGTTCGTAGCGCGCAACAGGACGCTTGGTTCCTGCGATTTGTCCAGGGATGTGCTGGACAACAGAGCTGTCTACAAACAGCTCTTTCACGGCTTTTCTGTGTGCTGCTGGGATCTCACTGCAGATAGACATCAAAAGGGCGCGGATTCTCTCCTCGGAAGCCGTTTTGATCTCACGGTCGAGATTGAGCAATGCTGTAGCGACTGGTTTTTGGGATGGGCCCGGCATCTTGTTTTTTTCCCTGCTGGGTGTCTATTGAGAGGGTGTCTATTGAGGTGAAAAGGGGGTTCCAAAGTGAATGGGTTATTCGGAATTGACAGGTAAGATATCCGGCGCGTTGTTATCGCGATACGCGCGTTGCCCACCCGATCGTGGCATAGGGACCCTCAATCTCTTAAAGCTCATTCGGAGAAAAGCATAAAAGGACCGCATTCTTTGATTTAAAGCTTAATGTGCGATGTACAACATTGGCAATAACAATAAAAGCTACTAGCAGCCGAGTCATAGTACATCCCACTTGTAGAACCATGAAGATTTTCCGGAGCCAGAAGCGAATCGTTACCGTCATAGATCGAGACCAGGTCTGGAAGTTTAGCTTTCGATTTGGATAATAGGAACTATGTGGACATCTCAAGTAGGTGTATCTCGATACAAAAATATCGTCAAGGATTTACCGCCCCATAATGGCAATACTCTGCGCCAGATAATTCCAATCCGGAAAATCGAGCCAATTCAAATCCCAGTCATTGAGGTCGAGATACGCCTCATTTCCCGTAGTCGATCGCTCTTCAATCGCTCCAACAGGCGCATCTTGAACATTGAGATCCCCTTGATCAAGCGCTCCATGCGCTTGGCGAATCCTCAACGCTTTTCTCCTCAGCTGCACGAGCATCGGCCACTTCGGTCCCGGGTCCGGCCAAGAGGCATCATTCTCCGCTAAATCAAAACGTCGATTGACGCCGCGCCAAGCTTGTTTCACATGTGCGCCTGTCGGATAGACACACAGATGCCATAGGATATAGGTGAGGAGGTGGAACTGGGTATATGTAGAAGTAAGCCAGCGGAAGCTGTGCAGGAGCTTGTCGGTATGCATGTCTAGGCCGAGTTCGAGGGCGTTGACGGCCATTCCAAGAAGCTCGGCGGTTGCGGCTTGGTCGACGGATGATGAGGCCGCGCCTTGCATTTGTAGAATTTTTTGGCGCGTATGAATTTCGGCTTTAGCGACGAGGACTTGGGCGACCATCATGCCTTGGCGCTGGATTGGGATGTCCATGTCACCGTATTGGAGGTATCTCTCGTGGAGTCTTGTCTTTAGGTCTTTGATTAGTTGTTCTGCTGAGGCGCCGCGGGTATCGGAGGTGGCTCGCGTGAGTGGAATCCACATTTTGTTGATTTCGGTGATTATGAGGGAGAATGACATCTCTGTCCAACGAGCGTGGGGCTGGGCTGGATCTACAGAGTCTTCGGAGACGCTCAGGTCATCGATATTGGTTGGGAAATCTACGTCAGCGCCGAACTCTTTTTCGGCCACTGTTATTCCATGGTCCTCTGCCATTCGCGCATCGGTTGTGTAAAGAGTCCACCATAGGCGACGGCGGAGCTCGCACTCAAGTGGTTTTAATTTGAAGTATTTCCCGTCGCGGTGGAGGCCGATGGACTGGGCTGCTCGGATGGCTAAACCTCGGAGAGTAAATCCAGATCGGCCACTATTAGTATACCGCAGGCATGTCTGGGTCCAATTGTTAAAATCAAATCGACGACAATTTGATGCGAAAGCTCTTACCAGATAAATTGCCATGGCTTGTAATGAGGGCACTGTCGGGCAGTCCAGAAAGTTCGAGTGATGCATAGCAAGCTCTAAGCCCTGTTGGTATCGACGTAAATCTGCACGTATCTGCTCATTCTCGGGTTCATCTGAGCACCTGGCCGTGGTGGCACCAAAGAAGATAGCAAAAAGTAAACAGTGGATGTCCGGCTTTTGAGATTCGGGTCGACTGATGGCACCAAAGATGCGAGTGACTGTAGTCGGGATATGAAGAACCTTGAGAACGGGATCAACCCTGCTCACAAATGTATGCCACAGCATCGTGGCCTGCCACTGGTCTGGTTGAAGGGCTTTGAGGTCCATAGTGATCAGATGCGGATTCGTGATGATCCCATCGACTTTGAGTGGTGGAAATTTCCTCGGTGCACTTTTACCAGTGCTTGGTGATCCGATAGCAGATTGCAATTCTTTGTCCTTTTCCAGTACTCGTGATAGAAGCGGCTCATCGATATAGCTGCCGTCATTCACTAAAATCCCATGGTGACTCGGCTCGTCTTCTGGGGCCCTGCTACTTGGCAGCGAGCTTTTATGTTTTGAATCTGGAGGACGAGTTCCAATCGCAAGTGGAGCATTCCGCAGACTGGGTCCCGGACTTCCCAATGTCGCGATGGACCGTTCCAACTGTTCCAGTCGGGTCACCACGTCGGTCACTGTGGTCTTGGGAGGTCGACGCTTGACTCTCCTGGGACCAGGATACTGGCAAGTTACACCAAGTCGCACACATTTGCTGCAGGGAGCGCCCTTGTCACATCGAACTTTTCGCTCGTGACAACGCAGACACGACCGTTCCACGTTGTAGCGGCGTATTTGATCATCCATCGGGAGCGACGCGCAAGGTCGAGGCCGGAGACTAAACCCTAGAAGTAGATCTGCTTTTTTTTATATTCAGATGATCTAAGCGGCTCACGGTGGCAACTTGAACCGGCGAAGACAAGAATCGAGCAGTTCGGGCGTTCGGGGTCTGCTAAAGACCGAGGTACCAGCCAATCATAGGCCGTGAATGGTGACAAGTGGGTCCCTAATCGATGGGAATCGTATGCGTTGCATCTGAAGATTGGACTACTCACGAGGCCATTGATTTCCGTTAGAAGAGTTTGTGATATTTTGTTCCATGTTGTATCTTGTTTGATCTCTGCGGCTTGATACGGATGACCTCATCCCAAAGCTAGTCTTGTCGATCATGCTTGTGGCCCGCGCTAAAAAGATATGCCAAGCCAGATTTGACCAAACGAACCATATCAATCTGCAGATATGGATTGACGCATTAAGATCATGTGTTATTCAACAAGCATAAAGCTCCATCAACACCATACGCCCGGCCAATGAATGTTTCAACCGAACACCCAGACCCCCAAAAAAAAAAGGAAAGACAGTAAAGAAAAGAAAATTAACACAACAGAAACCATATAGGTCATTGAATCATGAGATGAGAAGGTCCCGTACACTCATACCTCGTCCCCTCGGTGCATCGGATCCACTTCTACTCCCCTCGGAGGAGCTGAGCTTAGTGCAGTTGGGCAAATGCTCAGTAATGGAGTCGGCCGTACCGCGGCGGTCTTGTGTCAACATGAGCAAAGCAGCGGACGCCTCATGATCCATGCCCTGGAACTCGGGGAGCTTGTCCATTGACATGTATGAAGGTCCCAGAGCCGGGCTGGGGAGCACCGAGGGCGCATCGGGCAAGGTGGGGGCCGATGGGACTCGGGGTGGGGAGAGAATGAGGGAGAAGTGCCCGACATTTGAGCACTTGGGGGTATGTATTCGGGAGAGGCAGAAGCCGAGTCAGAGTAGGAGTAAGCTGAGGAAAGAGGTCGTCTAGGAGGCTGCTGAATAGTGTCCATTCCTGTTTCGGCGATGAACTCCGGGGATGTGGGGGACGGTGGGGCGACTCGGTTGGTAGTGCCCGCCATCTTGAGATCTTGGATACACTGTTCCAGGTAATTGACATAGTCGATGCTAGCCTGTTAGAGTGAAAAGATTAGTTTGGTTTCTTTTATATTGTATGTACGGGTGTGGGTGGTGCAAAGTATAAAGTACCTGGAGAATAGCGAGTTTGTGCATGTCCTGGCCCTGACAGGCGGGGATCATATCCTTCAAGGTGCCGAATTCCTCATTCATTTTGGAACGTCGCCGCCTCTCGATCAAACTGTGGGCGGTCTTGCGAGCGATCTTGCGCCCCGCCGCACTCGTCGCACTGGGCTTCTTCTTTGTACTCGACGCATTTGTATTCTCTGCAGACGTTTGAGCCGCTGCCTTTCCATTCTCCTTGGGCTTGGCGGGTGATTTGGACACGGCCGGAGCCTTCGGTTTCATCTGAATAATCTTGCGTGTCCGTGTCGGGGGTGGTGGCAGTTCGAACTCATCGAGAGAACGCTTGGTACCAGCAGATCGAGATGAAGGAGCCCCCCCGGCCTTGAGCAGCCAGTTCGGGAGACGTCGGGGATGCTGGCACATAGGAAGGATCCGACCGAGAAGATCGACGACTGGCCGGATCGATAGCGGGACTGAGTGCCGCGGGAGGTAAAGCGAACGCATCGGAGCCATCAGGCTGGTCCTTGATGATGAACTCACCGGACATGGCAGGTGTTGGAGGAAATTGAGGAGACATGGTGACTAGGAGTTGCACAAGGGGGGGGGGGAATTTCCCCCAGGTCATCGTTATATAACAGTGCTACGATCACCAAGAGTGTCGCGTGCTTGAATCGCCCACGAGCACCAATCGAGGTCGCTGATTGGAGGACAGGGAAGGGGCCTCCTTTTGATAAGCTCGGGGAGACCCACGAGACTCCAGCAAATGCCCGTTCAGAATTTCCGCACGGGCTGACGATGGCTTTCAGTCGTCGGTACTTGTCTTTACATGCAACTGCAATAGTGAAATCAAGTACCTGGCGTGTGCGTTCCCTCGTCCAGAGTAGTAGCCCAGCACGTGCGCCGTGGACTCGTCCGCAATTTCTTTCCGCACGACATTCGCCATCATCTTTCGTCCCTGGTCCAGGTGATCGGCGAGGGGAAGTGCTGGGTTCACGTGCTCTCCTCAACTGAACGCGGCTTTTCCCGGCTTGTCCCGGTTCTTTGACTCTAGCGAGGAGAATCACCAAGTACCATCACCGTTATTGACCTGGGTATACTTCCGGGTGGATCCCGTGGCCCCTGTTGCGACCAGGGTGACTAATCACGCAGCTCAGATTCGGTTTACCCCGGCACTGCCTTGGAATGGCCCAATTAGCAATATAATGATCCTGAAATCATAGAGTGATACTTTAATCGTGCAATTTTATTGAAATCTTGCTCTGGAATTCACTTATAAGTCGATAGAGAATGGGAAAATATATAGACCCGAGTACTTTGTATCGAATAGACCTGCAGGAATATTGTCCAAATATCCTCGCTCGGATTCTCACCCACTATGAATTATTCCCCCATTTCACCCGCGATCTTCTCTGGGGCGCACCCCCGTCGTCGTGCTCATCACCACAAACAGAGAAAGCACACCCAATATCTGGTCCCATATCATCCGTCGGGTGGCTCGGCAGCTGCTGTGTTCTAGGTTTAGCAGGCGGTTACACGCACTTGCTACGATAGCATCTCACTAGGCCAAGTTGTGGGGTTGTGTGTTGAAAAGTTCTTCTATACCCAAACAGGACTAACCCTGTAAATCATACTACAGGGTGACCAAGGAATAAATGTAGGTTTTCTCACCGCCTTCCTCTCATGATAATATACCGCCTTACGAAATTAGTATATATGACGAAATCAGTACCTTTATTCTACAGCGTTGGCTCACAATAAGTGGTGTTTACATAAACTTAATATATTGGTTATTTACAAACTGCCAGCAGAATAATCGTGGAGACCTACATTTATTTCTTGGTCACCCTGTACTTCCTAAAGCTTGGCGCTCCGCTCGCGTGAAATTGATATAGCTATTCATTGCTCTCTATTTTCCCTTTCGCGTCCCCTCACCCAAGTCCGATTCGTAGGCTGAAACTGCCCATAATTCAAGCCAGCCCGTACTACATTCGTTCACATATCGCTAGAGGTACCTGCTCGCAAGAATCATCATGACACTTCCTTCCAGACAGAGTGACTTCGATGCCCGATATCTCCGCCGCCTGGTGGGGACTAGGATCACTACCATTGATGACTTCGATCTCCTAAAATAGCCGCCTGCTGTCTCTTTCTCCGCCATCTCTCCCTCTGCGGGGCCACCTCCTTTGGTCTTCCGTCCGGCCTCACTTACTATGGCCTCCTCCGCTACAGCCCCTACCCTTTCCTTCTCTGGTTCGCCCTCGCGAGGGATCAGCCGCTCATGGATCATCACAGAAAAACTCTCGGAGAGGGCTGTTCATCTCACCCAGAAAGATGTCGACATGGGCGTTGGTTCTCCTATGACAGTTGGCAAATTTCTGTGCCACCTAGAGGGGGACCCGACGCAGATAGCATTCATGCGAATATATTATCAGATTCCTATCACTAGGACGGAGGACGCTGATCTGGCTACACTAGCCCAATAAATCCAACCTCATGAGGTATGTGGTGAACTAGAAGCGTTTAGGTCATTGATGAGTCAAGGCTGTAGCTCTGTTCCACGTTTTCTTGGTTACTCTGAAAAAACGCAAAGGGAACATGATCTCGTTCCTGGTGGCTATGTCAAATACCTGGTATGGGAAAAGGTGCCTGGGGAGCCTCTTACAGAGGAATTTTTCTGGAGTTTGGATCCCCTTGTACGAGAGGATATCCGTGCCAAGTTTCGTGTTGCCTTTGAGTCAGTTTACGCAAACCCAAGATAGTAGACAGATGAAATGCTAATACAATCAACAGAGAGATGCTGCGTTGCGGTGTAAAACCACAGGAGTCGAGAATCTCGAAACTTATATATGATCAGTCCACTGGCAATGTGTACGTCAAGGAGTCTACACAATTTGGGACTACTTACTAATGATTTCAGTCGCATTTCGAGGCTTCGAAGAGGATGGCCAATCCGTGATAAACTTCAATGGTCAGACACCCGTTATGTCGCGTACAAGCTGGCTAAGCGACCCGACGAGAGGGATTGGCGTTCTCGCCCGGAGAAATGGGAGTTATGAAAGGTCAGCACTGTTGCAGTTAGTGAGCATCAGATAAATCATTATTCGCTGCTCTTCGTCAAAAGTGCTATGCAACTCGAGGGTTTGGTTCCTACCTAGAAAATAAGTGGGTTCTACTGGATCTCTTGAAGTCGTATTGTACAACTGTTGGCTCAAACTAATTTGCTTTGCTTCTCAGGTGAATTTAACCTGATTGAGACTCTCTAATGAGCACGAATCGAATTTCTAATCATTTGCCAAGAATGCACAAGGCTGACCTGATTTGACGATCTAGACGCACATGGGAGGACCGATTCGAAGATAGGAACAAACAGGGCCAAATCACACAAGGCGATCCTTATCGTGGGACAATCAAACTGCAGCACAACCACCCATGGACAAGCAGTGAACTAATTGCTATGCTATTTAATTCTCTGAGCAAGCTCAAGAGGCATGGCAAAGAAAGTGGCTCGTACAGAGACAATCTTCCTAAGACAGCCCGTTAATAATCAAAGCATATGGAGCGTCGAGTGTGCTCCGGTACTCCAATCATCTACCACATACGATAGGCGCGCGACAAACCCTCCTATTGCCTCTATCAGGCAGTGTCTCTTCCATGGAGGTTGTGATGCGTTGCATGAAGGACCACTTAAAAAAATACAGTGCGATGGGTTGTACGGAAATTGTGCGAGCACTCGAGTTGAGCCACCAAGAAGAACCCGCTGATGGCATGGACCTGGACGAGTACTACAGTATACCAAGCACAGCCCGGGAAAATGCAACGTCCCCTGGTCAAAGCCAAGCAGTGGCGTCGTCGGAATGGGGGAGCGCTGAGCTTGGCTGATGGTATGTGGTTAGGCTCAGCAAGAATCTACACAGAAAAGTCATAGCAGAGCTATAACACCTGTGATTCATCCAAATGCACTAATTTTCTGTTCCATCTCAATTGGGAATGGTGTCAAAAATAATGTACACAGTGTACGTGTTACGGTAGTATATTTCGGGTTAGGCCTAAACGGGCCGCGTGTAAGCTCGGAGATAGTGTGGGTCACCGATTGGGCTGTGCAAAGAAAATGTTTGCCTAGATGATCCAATGAAGCCCCTGATATGGGATGAGTGTTTGCAAACAATTCTGCTCCTCTATTCACAATTGAAGCAACCAGTAACATGCGCGCCCTGGGTGAATGATATCTCGGAAGAGGGTTCCTCCTAACTTGGGTCCAAAGATACTTCTTCAGTCACCCGGTTCCTCGCCGATTTGACCAACCCTCTCTCCGCTTCGAGAGCTCCCCTTGCGTGTCATGAAGCTCGTATCCTGGCTGATCGGCGGGATACTCAGTGCTTGCCATCTCATTCAGCCAGTATGCGCTGAGCACCTTCTCGAAGCGACTTCCCTTGTCCCCTGTTCCGAAAATGGGGTCATCGGCATCAATTATTTCAGTATCGTCTTCACGCCGTCAACGAGCAGTGTTACGCTCAGCTTCGATGGCACAATCAACTACTCCGGCTATGTGCTCTTCGATGTGGAAGTGCTGGTATACGGATACAGTGCAGTCAACACAACGATCGACCCATGTACACTTCCAACGGTTTCAGGGATCTGTCCCTTAAGCCTCACGGACTTGCAAATTGAGACAGCCACATTCTCGATGTCCAGTGATCTTGTCACTCAATTACCGAGTGAGTAGTGTCTACTTTGCTAAAGTACAATTGCTCATGCTTGCTGTTTCTTTAGACATCACGTACACCTTTCCCGATATCGACGCTCTCGTTCGCGTCAAGATGGTGTCCAATGGCACATCCGAGCAAATCTCCTGCATTGAAACGCGAATCTCCAATGGCAAAACAGTCGACCAAGGAGCTGTCGCCTGGGTACTTGCGATCATCACCGGTGTATGCATAATAACGTCCGTGTTTCTTTCAATTTCAGGCCACTCGACCAACACCACACATCTCAACTTCCGAACTCTTCTATTCTTGAACTTCATGCAGAGCCAGGCAATTCTTGGCATGGCTGCGGTGGAGTTCCCACCGATGGCCCAATCTTGGACCCAAATGTTCCAATGGACCATGGGCATCGTTCATGCCGAATTCCTGCAGACCATTTGCACGTGGTTCTTGCGGGCTACCGGCGGCACAGCGTCGACCTTGTTGAGTGAGTCTGGCAAGGAATCAGTCTACCTAGCGAAGCGATCAACAGAGGGCCTACATCGACTCATTCCCGAATCACCGATGCGACTGTCAACGGAACCGAAAAGACCGTCCGAGGGATCGAGCGCGTGGGTTATCGGGTCAACATTGAAACGACTGATATATTCATGACATCCTACATCGTTTTTTATTTCGTCGCCCTTTGCTTAATCGTTCTTATCTTACTCCTCAGTTTCGGCCTGCCCGCGATCGCTAAGAATGTGAACAACGCTAAGTTGAACCGCGCGGCCGGCGCTTGCACGGAACGGATAACCTTGATACGCGGTACAATTTATCGAATAGTATCCTTGGGATACCCGCAGATGAGTGTTCTCTGTCTGTGGGAAATCGTTCACAGAGACTCTTCTGCCGAAATTATCTGCGGAATCAGTATGTGGCTTGCAATGACTGGCGTCCTCTCCTTCGCGGGATTCAAAGTCTTCCAACGCGGTAAAGCATCTCGGTTCCTGGGCGGCAGCCCAGATTACACGCTCTATTCCGACCCTGTCTGTATGACCAAGTGGGGTTTCTTGTATATCAACTACCGAGCGCAGGCCTCTTGGTTCATGATCCCACTCATAGTCCACGCCGCCATTCGGGGCATGGTCATTGCATTCAGCCAGTCAAACTGGGTGGCACAATCCATTGTGCTTGTTATCCTGGAAGCAGGCATGCTGGCCGTAACAGCGATAGTGCGACCCTACATGGACAAAAAGGCAAACGGGTTTGCCATTACAGCCTGCGTGCTAAATTTTCTCAACGCAATTTTCCTCCTCGTCTTCTCCAACGTCTTCAATCAATCCCTCATGGTCGCTGCCATCATGAGCGTCGTCTGGTTCCTCTTTGGTGCCATATTTACCCTCGTCCTGCTGGTGTGGCTGTTGATCGGCCTTTACCGGGCCTTTGCAGTCACGGAATCCATCAACTATAAGCGCCTCTCCGACAATCTCTCCACCTTTCAACAGCCCGAGGATAGAATGGAGACTGAGCTCATGCCATTAGAGAAGATCTCCAGGGGGGATATCAGTCCTGTCTCTTCCCGGTGGAGAATTGATGAGTCGGAACATGCCAGATCGAACGAGGAACTGGGCGCTCACTGGCAGCCATCAAGATCACAGCGCGCCGAAGATGCGCCACCTGTTTTCAGCGAAAGGAGCCCCACGCCGAGGTCCTTGGATAACTTCATGGAACCGACGTTGCCGCTGATCCCTGGTAGTCCGGACAACCGGGGGCGAAGGTCTCCGCGATCTCCAGGCTAAACAGGGCGTGAAAGTCATGTATATTATCAACTTTAACTTTCTTGTAAATATTGTCTCGGACATTTCAAAAATGAAGTTTCTATTTCCCCAATGAAGAAGGGTATTAACAGATAATTATTGAGATTGACGCAAGAATAAAAGGTATAGTACACCTCTATCTTCGTGATATGGAAAGCCTTTCAATGAAGTTACACTTAGCCCAACCTTCCAAGTCAGCCTTATCATGCGGGTCTCGAAGGAGATCAATTTAGCCACAACCATGTGATTGAATCAGCCTAATCAATCACTTCCAAGCTGGCTCGGACATCTTACACTTGCTTACATATGAGGGTCTTGAGAACTCTTCAGAGTTTCCAAAAGCTACCTGGTAATGGATTGAAGAGCGTGGATGCTGATATTGTTGTGTGTTGTCGCTTTTGAAGGAAAAATGATGCGGCGATCACTGCCATTGCGGTCACTCAGCTCGCACGCGAAGTTCCTCAGTAGATGCTTTTTGTGTCTGTTCGCGAAAGTCATGAAAGGCATGTAGATTCACTAGACAATATCTTGAAAAAGTAATGAAAGCTACGCGGATTAGCTCACAAATGATCACAAATGGTCACAAATGAAATCAAGCAGATTATATTATGATTCTTTGAGCAATCATTTCTGAGCTCATCACTAACTGGGCAAAAAGAAACAAAAATTCGCTGATTTGCAGGTATCTAAATCCAAACCCCCCATGCACCAAAGATCTTTCAAGAAGATAATATATTTACTTCTCTTCCCCTAATCACTCGAAGTCGCTCGGCACGCAATTAGCCTTGCAGTGCAAATATTCTTGCCAACTATTATACTCAGTCAATGTGATCTCTCTTCCAAGGCTCTAGATAGTACTTACCAGTACTTGTCATCTTCAGGCATGGCAATGGTGCATGTTTGAGATTGCAAGGAACACAACTCATTGCAGTGGTTGATGTGCTTGATATGGTTGGGCACATGCTTCACTTTCGGGACATTCTTGGAGTGAATCTGCTGACGGCTATCCGTAATGGTACCCTTCCTGATCGTGGCCAAGCCCGTAGTCAAGGATGTCCTGCCAACGGTGCCAGTGGTGGTAGCATTGTCGGCACCAGTTGCGTTGGTGGGAACCTGGACCGCGATGCGAGCACCGTGGTATGGGCCAGACAGATAGGGCATAGCGGCAGCAGAGCCAGCTAGGGCAACGACACAGAGGCCGACCAAATTTGTAAGCTGCATGGTGATGTGGAGTAGATTGATGATCGGTAGATCTGAGGTTAGGATGTAGGCCTTGACAGGATGAGAGTCGCGAGTGGAATAATTGGGGTCCACTGTGGGATGATCGCTTTATATGTATGACTCCCTGGCGAACGTTAATTCTTGGTGGCTGGTTTGAAAACTTCCGGCCCTTTTTGACAGCCTCCTGGATTGTACAAATGTTACAATAGGTAAATGTATGGTGAGCGGCACGTTCGATCTCCACGCTCCGGCATTCCACATTCCTGGGGGTGGCGCGAGGGCGTCCATCATCTGTCATTGACGGACTTCAGACTGTATTAAACGGAGTCGGTAGTGACGAGATGTAGCCAGTCATTCTGGGAAGAGACCAATTGAGTACTCATAGGTAGTAAATATCACCACTTTAACCTGTGTACCACAACGTTAATGGTGTATCGGATGTCAACCTACTTTGTTGGCCTTACATTCCAGAGCGCGTATATGGATGTATGTATCATGCCAGTTGCAAGAAAACAGGTATGGGTAAAAAATAAGCTTGGCCTTGCTCAATTTCGGAGAAAACTCACATCCCTGGGAGAGGCCCTTCTAAATGACGGGGTGGCGTTAACTACATCCGCCTCCCCACACGACAAGAATGGCGCCCCGAAGCTTCTCTCGACGCGTTTCAGCTCCAGAATCGAATTGTGGATCGAACCCCTCTCGTTCCTCTACGTTCTGATTCTAAATTCAGCCCTTGCTTCCTATCAGTGCGTGCATGCCTTCCCGATGAGAGGCACCAGACTAGCGATTTCTGGCTTTGATAGGATTCATGTTCTATTTCTCTACTAGTTTGCATAATCTATACAACAATGTTATATACTTTCGAGAGACTCATGATATTCAAGAAAACAATCTCTGCATCATGATCTGACCAAAATTCTTCTCGGCAGGTGACTCATCCATGCGCAAGATACGATTGCCGGCCCTGGCACTCAGCCAAAGGCCGTGATCACTCGAGCTCTCCTCATCACCGTCAATCTTGTGGCGATTGCGACGATCAATCACACACATACCACGAGTCCATTGACCCGTCGTCTCGACACGAATATCTTCGGGCGAAGTAGACGAGGCAGCCCACTTGGGGTCCGTGGATGTCAGGGCATACCAAACACAGACGGGGTCGTGAAGACTCAGCTGAGCGTCATCACCAACGTGGCCACGATGAAGTCTCTCCAAGGTACGGAAAGTGTGGCCCATGAAGGCATCGACCCATTCAGCCAGCGGAGAGCCAGACTCAAGCAGTGGGGTCACGGCCTTGCGGAACTCGCCTCTAGAGATATTGTGACGCAGGGTAATATCTAGCGGGAACAGCCGCAGAGTCAATTGGCGACTCAGCTTCTTAGGGTACGGTGGGAGCACAGGGCTCTGAGTGGGTGGCAGAGTGGAGTTGGGGTTGGGTGATGTGAGGGCGAACACCCGGGCAGCGGCAAAGGCATCTGCATATGCATTGAACTCGCCGACTGGAGTGACCTGATGGATTTGGTCAATTTGAGCTTTCGATAGGGACTATTGTCCTGTACTCACGTTACCGGGCTGGTAGATAGTGCCGCCCATGACGACCACTTCCTTCACGCGGAGAAAAGCCTCAGGGTCTTCTGCAGATGCCAGCGCCAGGTTTGTAAGGGGTCCGACGGCCACCAGAGTCACGGTATCTGGGTCGTTCTCGCGCAGTACCCGAAGGATCTCCTTGTGGGCAGGAAGCTTCGAAGGAATGAACAATTGAGGGCTGGTCCCCGTCTGGACACTCTCGATACCATCGGGATCAGTGGCTGGGTCGAACAGATGCTCCCAAGCTTGGCTAGGTGTAAGATGCGGGTGCTATAAGAAATAGTTAGCTAGGTGGTTTGTTGATCTAGAAATTAGGCAGCGAGTAACATACGCTGGCGTGAATGCCTCCGAGGCCGTCAGTGCCATCTGTGGGGTGAGTGTTAGAAGGTACATGGCGCCAAGGCAGGTCGACATACGGAAGTAATCAGCCAACATTTTCTGGTCCTCTAGAGGATCTTCGGCGCCTACAGCAACAACTGGCCGGCAAGCACGGAGGGCGCCGAAGCCTTCAGGACGACCGTTCTGGCGACGCCACTCGATCTCGCGCTCCAAGATATGGAACATGGAAACTGCATTGCGCAGACAGCTAATAGCACCTGTAAGCACAGACTCAATTAGCTTTCATGGGCTCGGAACCCACTTTTTGACCTCGATGTTGCCAAAAGTCAACGAGACGAGCAAGAGTTCGACCTCCTCCGGCTTGGCGGACAAGGCCAGGAGAAGAGCAAGGATGTCATCGATACCCTTGTTCGCATGTGATTAATACGCCATTCGTCTATCACGGAAGATGACCTACGGGGTCGGTATCAAGAATGATCTTGTTTGCCATGGCGGGGAGGTGATATGAAGGTGGGGGAGCTTATCGAGTACAAACTTTCCCCTGTGAGGAGCGCCATCAGTAATCTGCTATCACTAATCTCGATTTATACCTCAGGCACCATACGGGGCCACATCATCTCTCGACTTTTGACCAGTACACAACTCAGCTCTATAGATCGTCATTCTTTGCTTTTCTACACCCCGGTAATTTGGATATCCGTGCACCGGGGATACGCGTAGATGCATCTCGGCATTTCCATCCCGACTCCTCGTGGCGGGCGCGAGGGCGCCTGCAAGGGATAATTAGATTCCCTGCCGGATCGACGCGATTCATCATTAAAGCAAAAGGTAAGACACGCCCAGGATGCCCAGGATGTCCGGAAGGTGCTTGCAACGAATCACACATCCGTGGCCGCGTAGATATAGTCGACGGGGAATTGAGACAGGATGGAGACGTGGCCTGTTCGCGCTTCCCCCCATTTGTGTAGCTCCTCCAGCTTTTGGCTCAAGAGTCTGGGCTTAGTATTACCACTGTGGTATTTAAGGGGGGGGAGAACCACAAGGGCAACGACATAATGGATAGGGGGCTTGTTTGGAGCTACAATCAATGAGTCGCTTGCACCTGAACACTATTTCTTCCAGGAAATCATAAAAGAGAGTATGCAAAACATTAAGGAAACGAAGAAAAACACACGGTAAATCTGGTGCACAGTGTGGCCGTGCACCCCAGTACGGAGTAATACGTGGTCGGTACCGTACCGGAGCCCCCTCGGATCCTCAGCGTGTCCTTTTCTGGCTCTTCCTTCTTCTCGTCTCTCCTTGGCTTGACGTTCCTTTTCGAGGCCACTGTCCTTTTTCTTTTCTGCACGGCGTGCTCATCGCTGAGCATTGACTCCTTTTGGCCGTTTCTTCACGACCTCCCACGTCCAAGCGCAATCTTCTTGCCAGCCGACGTCGCAACGACACCTCCCTATTTCCTGCCGCGAATTCGTTCGTCTTGGACGCCGGCGAAAGAACAGTCGCCGCATCGTAAACGGTCAAAGCAATTTCAATCCCGGATAATCTTTCACACTGGCTCTGACCTGAAGCTTTTCACCCCCCAACAACCTTGCTCTTCGCCTCCCGTGTACCACCTCTTCGGTTTACGGTTGCGCGTGCCCAGACTCTGGTCCGTGTGCGCAATTGTCCTACTTCGCATTGAACCCGTGACTGGTGGAACAGAGTGATCGCTACGCCTTCCTCGTTGCGGAGGCCACGTTTCGACAGTATGTTCTCGATCCGAAACAGGTGGATGAAGAGTAAGGTTGCTGATATACCCATAGTCAATATGACCATGAATCCCTATCTCAGCTGGGCCATCCTGCTCGTTGTGGCCGGTGGTCTTGGCTGGTACTACACCAACGGCCAAGCCCCGAAGGCCAAAACCGCCATCCGTACCGCGGTCGAGAAGACCGAGGCCGTTGTTGCGCCGGCCAAGAAGCAAAAGGCACGGAAGCCCAAGGCTGCCGAGCCGGCCAAGAAGTCCGAGGTGAAGACTGTGATTTCTCCCCCGACCACCGAGGATGAGCAGCCGGACGAGGATGTCGACCACAAGGAGATGGCCCGTCGCATGGCCGCCATGAAAAATGGCACTCCTCTGCCCGCCGCCCCCTCCGCCAAGAGCCAGAAGAAGAAGCAAAAGAAGGCTACTCAGCTCGAGAGTGGATCCCACGCTTCCTCTACCACCGGTGCTGAGGCCGACGATGACCTCTCCTCCGTTCCCTCCCCCCCAGGTGAACGCCGCCTCCTCGGCCGGCTACGTGTCCGACATGCTGGAGGCCCCCGCCGCCGGAGCTTCGGTGCTCCGCGTGACTGGCAACATGGAGAGTGAGCCTAAGAAGCAAAAGGTGCAGTCCTTCAAGCAGGTGGAGACCAAGAAGCAGCGCCAGCAGCGTCTCAAGAACGAGGCGCGGAAGGAGCAGGTTCAGGAGGCCGAGGCCGAGCGCCGGAAGCTGCTTGAGAAACAGCTGCACACCGCTCGCGAGTCCGAGCGTCGCGAGACTGCTCGCTCACAGGCCCCTACCAGTAACGCCTGGCAGACCAAGGCTGCACCCAAGACCAACGGTGCTTCGCAGCCTCCTGCGGCTGCTCCCGTTGCCGCCCCGCAGCTTCTCGACACCTTTGAGCCCTCCGCGGGCGCTCCCCAGAAGAAGTGGTCCCAGAACCTCCCTTCGGAGGAAGAGCAGATGCGCATTCTGGGCGCCTCGGGCTCCCAGGTTGACGACGAGTGGACCACTGTCCCCAGCAAGAAGACCAAGAAGAAGGGTGGCAAGGCCGACGAAAGCGAGACTAGTGCCTCCGAGTCTCAGCCTGCCCCTGTGGCTTCTATGGCTGCTCCCGAGCCTCGCGTAACCGTGACGCCGACCTACATTCCCGACATTCTGCGCTCTCGCGAGAAGGGCCACCCGCTGGACTCGGACTGGACTGCTTGATTTCCTCCTACAGCTTCCACCTTCCCCGTCTGGATGCCGTTTCTCTCTTCACCTCGACTTGTATTTATTACTGATTGTCTTGATTTCTTTTGGCGTTTCGGGTGTGTCGCATAATACCAGCACCCTCTCCTCGCGAGAAGCAGGGTTGCTCGCACAGATTGTGGAGTGTTGAAGAACCAAAAGCACCATGGAGCTGTACTTGCGCATGTATCACAATCAAATCATTCCTAGGGACAAGTCAAGGGAGATCGTAGGTCGAGTAGATCGTCTTGTTTGTGTACGACGTCACATAGTTACTCAAAACGGGCTAGCGCCAAGTTCCGGGCAGCGTGGCCTGAAGAGAGACACCTTTGTGTATACAGGCTCCACCTTGACTACCTTTAGCTACCTTTACTGTTTACACTCCTTCAATTCCCAACTTCCTCTTCACTCAACCTCTATATCTTTTCCTTTCCCCTCTGTTTCGCCATGGCCCAGATCCGTGGCACTGCGGGCTACAACCTCGGCCACCAGAACCCGTTCGGTGGACCCGGCAGCGCCGATGCCACCAGCGACCCCAGCCCACTCGACGCCATCCGCGAACAGACTAGCAAGATCGAGGACTGGCTGGACACCCTAGCCGACCCAGTGAAGCCGTATGTTCACCACCTCACCCCATGAACCACTGCTCCGTGGGAGCTTCTGCTCGACTGGGCGAGCTCCAAGCTTTCCCAAACAAGGGATCTCGAGGCATGCACTGACACCGTGTTCACTTTTTCCAGGTACCTGCCCGCGATCGGTCGTTTCCTGATCGTAGTAACCTTCCTCGAGGACTCGCTGCGCATTCTCACACAATGGAGCGACCAGCTCCTCTACCTTCGTGACTTCCGGAAAAGTAAGCTCTACCCCGACTGGACCCTGACCCGCACTCGACCCTGAGGGTCGCACACGTGCCTGTTTCTTCGCAGCTCAATTTTAACGATATATTGTTGGATTTAGTTCCGTGGGGAATCACTCACATGTTCTTGATCGTCAATGTTATCGCTATGTCCGTCTGTTCTGTTATGGTGATCGCCCGCAAACGCACCGAGTTTGCCGTGGCTGGTTTGCTAGGCGTTGTTATCTCCCAGGGCCTCGGATATGGACTCATCTTTGATCTGAACTTCTTCTTGCGCAACCTGAGTGTTGTCGGTGGTCTACTTATGGTCATCTCTGACTCGTGGGTGCGCAAGAAGTTCGTTCCCGCGGGTCTGCCCCAGCTCGACGAGAAGGATCGCAAGATGTATGTGCAGTTCGCCGGTCGCGTTCTGTTGATTTTCCTGTTCATCGGATTCGTCTTCTCTGGTGAGTGGAGCTTCTGGCGCGTCATTGTCAGCGGATTCGGTCTCATGGCTTGTGTTATGGTCGTTGTTGGCTTCAAGGCCAAGTGGAGCGCCATCATTCTTGTGGTGCTTTTGAGCGTGTTCAATGTGCTGGTCAACAACTTCTGGACGGTAAGTTTGGATTTTGGTGATAACACGCGCGTTCACTTGACTGACTATGGACTTTAGCTGCATCCCCACCACCCTCACAAGGACTTTGCCAAGTACGACTTTTTCCAGATTCTGTCGATTGTGTACGTGTTCCCCATACTTTTCCAGTCACTTCAACATTCTAATTTGTATCGCAGCGGCGGTCTCCTTCTCCTGGTCAACATGGGCCCTGGCCAACTGAGCATGGACGAGAAGAAGAAGGTCTACTAGTTTGGGGTAGAAAACAGACGATTCGCTCCTCTCTATATATTCCAGTGCACTCTCGCAATTCGCAACCGACAGAGAATCTAGCTACCAGAAGGAGAGCGGCGCCTGGGGCTCCCTCTCTATAGCACCTACTTCAAGAGTTCCGACCATCGGAGAGGTTCGCAGCGTATCCGTCTTGTATGGTTCGAGAGTGCATATCAAGAAACCATCACCACATTGTTGTCTCAGCCCATGTCTTCACTTCAATATTGCCTGTTTGCACTACCTCCAATCCTCACGCGAGCGGAATACTCCCGTCCTTGGCCGCACTCAAGTTGATCTTTCTTCTTTCCCTTTTTCAGCAAAAAAAACAAGACATGTCCCTGCACGCATGATTTCAAATATGGATCAATATCGAATCTATCACGAATAACAGTTGCATTGAAGCCATGAGTTCAATTTTCTATTACATCCGTTTCCTGACGTGTTGTGCCGTTAGACTTTTGTTTAGAGTAGTGGAGAGAGTTTACCAGGCACTAGGAACCTCTGCACCCCTGCAGTCAGCATTATGCTAAGTCAGGACGTTCTTACGCGCATATCTACCATAGTCAACTTGAATCTTGCGATAGTACAATGTGAATGTATATTTTTCACCTTCACCGGAAATTTGAGTCTCGGAAAATACCGAGATGCGATCTTGTTATGTTCTGAACTAGTTTCTTAGACATTCTATATATTCAGGTATGCAGCCAGGAGTGAGGTGGACACCACACTTTCTCAAAAACAGCGAGCTGTATCACTCGTGAACATTCCAGCAAATAGTTGATGTTCGGGTTAACATTGCAGTTACCGAGATTCAAATTTAGAGACGCGGTTTCATCTTGTGTCCAATTCTGGTTTTGCGAAACACGCTATACCGCTGTGAAGCGAACTAAACCAGGCACGTGAGGGGCGCGGAACGCGATCTAGTGGATTCGGCGTTTGAGGAATTTAAGACAAGGGAAACCTGTACATCACATCTGCCAATGGAGTAGTCATTCGGTATATATAAATTAATAGAGTTTAGTATTTAGGGAAGGAAATAGATGCGAATTTCAAGTTTTCCAAAGTTTCATCATGCTATGTAAACGCTATGTATGCAAACGGAACGAGGAAGTGATTATGATACAAGAAAAGGGGGTTCTAGGAATGGCAAAGAGGGTGGCTGAGAAGGAATGTTAGGAATAGAAAACAAGAAAAGAGAAAAAATACTGGGACGCCTAGCAGGCAGTGTGTATCTGACGAAAGCCGATAGGAATGAATGGTGTAGGTGGTAAGATTTGTCGCTGGAACGCAGTATCTTGCGTCGTCTTGCGTTGAAGCCTTGAAGCCAAGCATGGCTTTTGTTCATCGTTTGCTGTTCAGTTGCGCTGGTCCAGCCATGCACTTTCGGTCCCACAGGGAGATAATTCGCATGGGCGAGAGTAGAAAAAAAAAAAAGGAAAAAATGCTGGCTCTTTTGGTCCAAACGCCGGTTAATCAAGATCAAAGAATAGGATGCAAGGCGAGACAGGAGGAGTCGATGTGATGTGTAGATTGGTGGGGTTGGAGTTGAAGCTGAGGTTAAAGGTTGGGATGGGTGCAAGGTTGAGATTGAGGTTGAGGTTGAGGTTGAGGGAGAGCAGTTAGATGTCCATGCTCCAGCGCCAGGGGCGAATGCGTTCTAGCTCGCCCAAGCGGACTTCGTCGCGGGGCTCGTCGTTGATCTCCAATTGCAGCAGGTGAAGCTTTGGCTTAGGTTCCCGTTGCAAGGTGGAAAGGGTCTTGGAAATTTGTGGGCGAGATGTCACCTTCTCGCTCATTTCTGTGGACTTCGAGACCGGCCGCGTTGTAGGAGTATCGGGATACTTCCAAGATGTGCTGTAGGACTGATCATCAGTGTTGGCGATGGAGAACAATGAGTCGGATCGAGAATCACGAATGTGGTCGAAGTCGTCCGAGCCGACGCTATCGGAGCGTCGACGCACTTGAGTAGCAGAGGGCCGTCTCGGCAGTTTCTCTTGCATGACCTCTTGATCGAAGGCCTCATCAGTAGATCCTGTGCTGATCCTGCTGAGTCTGGTAGTATCGTATTCCTCACGATCAGCGTCTCGAGCAGCACGAGACGTGCGATCACCGAAGAATCCGCCAAGACTATCGCATGGAGATTCGTCGAAATGTTGCTTTCCTGCCATGACTTTCGCGCTGGGGGGAGGTTGCAGCATCCAGCGAGTCTCGGCGCGACTGGACGGCCCACTTACGATCGGCGGATGCAGATCGTTGACAGGGGCACTCGTGCGGTGTAATATTTCGAGGGTTCGTTGGGATCGGCACGCCCGCGACCAGAGAAGCCAATTGACGACCCGCGTACTTCCTGACCCCAAAGCGGCTCATCCTCGCGCTGGTATCGCATAGATTTCCATCGCTCATTAAGCGGGTGCATAAGGCGGCCAGTTTTGTCCTTCAATTGTGAGCCGTGGTCGGTATTCTCCGTGGTCCAGCTGTTGGTGCGTACATTGTAACTCTTTCCTCCTCGACGGGCCGGAGGTCCAGGGCCCAGAAGTATCTCTTCACGCCACCCTTCATTGGTGCTGAATGGGGTTGGCTGGGCAAATGGGCGAGGTTGGTCGGTGACGAGTTCCTGGTCCGCTTTTGCCTTCTCCTTCTCTCGCTGTGTTCGTGCTGCTTCCTTCCTGCGCTTCCTACGATCGCTGCTCTCCGCACATGGTGTACAAGTGGCGTAGTAGAAGACCGCCGACTGTGCGCCCCTGTAAAGCCACATCGCGTGGGGGTTGGCAGATTTCCTGCTATCAGTAAGGATGTTCCTCGAAAGGGATTGATCCAGAGATACGCTCACGACGGGCAATGAGCCCGGGTGACTTGTGAAATCTGACCCAGTATTGGTGTAGTTCGAGACACTGGAGTCCACATGAAGGGCGAGGGACGGGTCAGGGTGGGGGGGGCTGGTGGCGGAAGGACTCGGCAGTCGTGGGAGTAAAGATGAAGAACCCGACGACCAGCGAGGGAAATGAGTGATGAGGTACAGAGAAAAAGAGACAAGAGGGAGAATGGTGTGGAGGTGTAAGGGGAGACCCAAATCAGGGGAGGGGAATGGGGCGGGAAGTGTCACCTCGGCCAATTTAGCTGATTATTGGTTGCCAGGAATTTCTGCCTGTGCCCCTCTCTCGTCTCGACTTAAACTGCTTGCGGAGTGCGACTGATGCTACTGGGGCTAGTGTTCAATTTAAACCCCCGTTAGGCGCTTGTCTACAGTATCAAGCCTGACTCTATGTGATACATGTCGACCTAAACCCTTTTGCACCAGCACGGCCCAACAACTCGCGGTGTACGATCCATGCACGAACAACCATTACCCTAATGTGATCTGATCGGGCTGCATCGCCACTGCATCGCCACTGCAGGATGTGGTCGCGGTCTGATCAGATTCCCATCCCCTTTATCCCTGAATGCCCAGACGTTCTTCGTGGCTAGGCTTGGCACCGTCCCGCGTGGAGTGGACTATGCCGCAAACGGGTCTAAGATGAAAAGAATGAGAAAAAGCACTCAGGGGGGTCAATTAGAGATAATGTGTAGATTGATGAGCCTCGAAGATGATGCACAATGTGTCTGACAAAAGGTACGGTGTACATGCAAGTTCCTCGTAAGAACCACATTCCGTCGATTCCCTTTCTGTGCCTAGCGCCCAAGAACGTAGGGATGTTCCTCCGACCTATCCCCCAACCCCCGTCAGCCATCACCAGTCAGTGTGTCGCTGACCTGGAAAGCCGTACGGACAAGCCGTCTAACGCGGATCACTACACGACTAGGCTGACTTTCGCGGTAAGACAAGGCCACATCATGCATATCTCAACCAGTGCATCATGGCAAATCATCGTCGCAAGTCTTGTACTCGCAACTAGAGAGAGAAAACGAAGAAGAAAGAAGAGGGCCTGATGCCTGATGGTGGGGGGGGGGCGGTAGACCATAGAAAGCGATGACGATGAGATTCCGCTGGGGTCGGAGCGTCTCACAACTGCCGAGCTGGACAAGACATCGGCCCTCTCATTCGTCTGATTGGTTCATAGTATGCAAATGTGTGTTTTTCCCAGACCACCAACGCCAGCTCTGTCAAATCAAAGTATATGTTCATGCCGAATGCGCTCATGCATTCTTGGTGTCTCGGATCACTTCGCCCTTGACCTTGCTCCAGTCAATCTCTCCGTCGATCTTCTCGTCGACCTCGCCGCAGATGACAACATTATCTCCTCGGATCAGGTAGAGCCCGTGCTCAATCTGCGATGAAGGCTCATCATCATTGGGGTGCGGATGATGCGCTCAACGGTGTTGGTGAGCACAAGGTTGGTAAGTTGGTCGGTCGAGAGCAGGGTACCCAAAAGTGTGCGACCGTCCACGGTGAGAATCAGAACTCTCTCTATAAAGGTGGAAGAGGTTAGTTCACTGGATCGAAAACGTTCAGATAAAAGGAAGGTGCTTACTATTGATGTATGGTTGAAGCGACATGGCGGAGGATTGTAGGTGTTTACCACCGGTACGGATCGGGCTCAATTGTAGCCAAGAAGACACGACAATGTAATTGAAGCGATATAGAATGAACTGAAGAGGTCGAGAATGCTCAATGCGAATAGAGCTCGAGCTCTCCTAACTTCCCGCACAGGTCAATCGTCGTTCAAAGACTGCGTTACCAAGATCGCGTGGAGACGCAAGATGGCAGACACGATCAGGTCTAGATAGCTTCGTCAAGCTGAATTGATTGTCGAAGCGAATGACTTGCCTGCGTGCTGAGCACAAGCTCTCCTGCGCGAATCAAGCAGTCGATCCAAGGTCCCGCAGTCACCTCCGTACTGGCGAAGGCTGGATCAGACAACAGGCCCGATCAAAGTCAACCGTGCACAAGGCTTGTCGCAACGGATATTTTGCGGCGGATATCTCGCAGGAATGAAGGCAGGAGAAGCCCAATCGAGGCGCAGAGTTCAATTGATGGAGGATTGACAGGCGACTATCGCGAGGTCTTTGCCGTTGTTTGCATTGATTGACGTGGTCACGTGCGAGCTTAGAAGGTTCGTAGAACATCAATGTAGTTGGAACTAGCTATGTATGCTTTGCTTAACGACACTCTTGAAAGATCATTTCGAATAGGGGCAAAAGATTGCAGTTGGAGGTCGTGAAAAACATGCACTGAAGATTATTATAGCATGTGAGGACTTCAGGAGAATCAATACTCAACTGCAGAAATCTATTTTCTACTAGATCAAGGGCCAGTTTGGCTCCAACGTTAGATTTATGATTTATATCAATTCACTGTCTGTGCACGAGATCGCCTGCAATTTCTCATGCACACGAATCAACCACGCAATGCACTCATATCCAGTGGTACACTACTGCCTCTACCGGCACGGTATCTGCGCTCTCCACCTGTAAATGGCCGCGGCTTAGGAAGTAGACCGTCGCCTTGGAACTTGAACCGAGGATCGTCTATGTGGATAGCGTGTGATGACAGACTCTGAGTGCTATGTGCTGGAGTTAAACCTCCATTGGTCAGTGTATACGCACTGGGATCCAGTGCAGGGTGAGGTGAGGGAACTGGAGAAGGGCGATATGGTGCTTCATTTGCCGGAGCTGGAGGGGCTGAAGCTGGTGGTGGTGGAGGGGGAGCTGCAGGCGCAGCAGAAGGTGGTGGGTGTGGCGGTGGTGCCGCGGGTGAGCTTGTATTGTTCAGGGCACTGCGAGCGGCTAGAGCAGCGATGGAAGGCGGGCCACCAGATGGAGGAGTTGGTGGAGGAGGAGCTCCTCGTGTAGTGGTAGGAGGAGCGGAAGGCGGAGGAGGGGGGAGGGGCTGCTGGACTAGCTACTGGAGGTGGAGGTGGCGGTGCTCCAGAGGGTTTGCGAGATGCAGGAGGCGGCGGAGCCTTGCCTCCTGGTGGAGGTGGAGGAGCTCGTGGAGGGGGGAGCTTCTGGTGCACTCTTACCAGCTGCCGAAGATATCGAAGATGATGGTCTTGCCGCTGGTCGTGGAGGTGGTTTCTTCAATTGAGCGACTAGCGGGTTCACGGGCGGAGCGGGCGGGGACTCTGTAGATGGCGGTGGAGGTGGTGGCCGCGCGCCAGGTGGCCGAGGAGCTGTAGGAGGTTTTGGAGCTGGCGCAGAAGGTGCTCGGCGCGCAGCCTCGGAGTCAGACATGTATGGGGAGTCTCGAGTGGCACCTGTATCAACACCACCTCGACTGCGCAATTTGGGCATTCCACCGGCAAAAAGTCCGCCTAATTGAGCTGCAGGACTTCCCAATGTATTGTCTGACCCAGTCACTCCTTCACTATTGCTTCGCAATCTGCCAGCCGGGGGAACCGGCGGAGCGAGCCCGGAAGGCGGTTTCATTGCCCCTGGCACTGGTGGCGCTGCTCCGACAGGAGGTGCTACCGAGCCTCCTCCACTACTCGCAATGATCGGCGCGGATCTATCATTGGTAACAGCTTTCTTCAGACGAGCGCCTTTGTGAATATCGTTGAGCAGTGCACCCTATCTTCAAGTTAGCCACGTGCTCATGAGTTTTTGAGGCTTGTAGTCCATTTCAGACCGAGAGAAGCCTGTCTTCAAGTGACATACTCGATCCTTTGCTGCGCCTTTCGGTGGTCGGTTTGGCAGGTTTCCTGGAGGAGGCGGCGGGGGAGGGCCACCTAACCCTCCCGGCGGGGGCGGAGGAGGGGGCGGAGGGGGGGAGGAGGCATATCAAAGGCGTTTTAGAGACAGCACGTGCGAGTAGAGCTCCTCATAAGATATATCCAAGGGTATCAAGAGGTTGGGTGCTCCCTAGGAGAAAGCGCGGATGTGTAAGGCAGAAGCAAAGACGTCAGGGCGCGCAGTACGGGGCAGTGGACTGCGCCCGAAGTCTCCGCCTTGAGCCTCTCCTATCAAAAAAAAGGCTATCATATTCTCCATTCTAGGCCACCGCCACCATGAAACGAATTAGCTTGAGGGCCCAAGTGCCAAAGCCGCAAGCTTCTATCTGTCAATTATGTCAGTTTTCTACAGGTTCGCGCATCCCTGCCATTGCCCGATCCACCCCGACAAGCCGACTACCGAACAGCCATTCGCCGCTGCAGTCAAGACACAGCGTGCAATCATCGGCGTCCTCGCCGATTATTCTTGCGCGCCGCTATGTCTCTAACTCCTCCACACATGACTCTGCCATTCAGCAGGTAGCAGACGAGGCATCTGCGTTGCAGAAGTCGGATCAAGTGCCCTCAAACGAAGCGATTGTGGAGGTGCTCGCAAAATGCCAGAAGATCGCCGAGGCTTTGGTTTCGCGAGAAAATGGAAGCACTACATCGAACGACGAAGGCAATGCGATCTCATCGCTCTTGGACATGGAGGAGAAGAAGAGCGCGTCGACCTCGGCAGAGAGACGAGCCCACCAAGCAACCAGGACCGCAAAGCTGGACTCACGTCTCGCAGATTCGCTATCGCGCATTGCCACTGACCTCCTGTTGGACCAAAAGATCTTCATATCCCCCGAAGCACTGGAGCACTACACCAAGACCCAGACCCTCTTGCGACGAGCTGAGCACTTCCCCGAGATCTTCAGCCTGTATGCCAACAAGCCTGTCCCCGAGGCCAACAGCTCGCCGATCAAATATCTCAAGCCCAACCCCAAGAGCATTAACAGTGCCGTTCCCTCTGAACTAGCCAACATGGCTCTCGATGTCGCTATCGCGCAGAAGAACCTCTCTCTCGTGCTGGCGATCATCGACACCACCTTCTGCGCCCCCGCTTTCCACCGCGCAAAGGTCTTCCGCAAGGCCGGTATTCCCTTAGCTGGTCTTGCGAGTGCTCCAATTGCCTGCTATGCAGCTGCCACTTGGGCGGGCGCACTCCAGAATACTATGGATCCCAGCACGGCGACCGGAATTGCCTTTGCGGCGTCCTTGGCTTATGTCGGTGGTACTGCATCCATTGGTATCTTGGCTATTACTACCGCCAACGACCAGATGGAACGTGTCACTTGGATCCCTGGCATTCCCCTGCGGCAACGGTGGTTGCGGGAAGAGGAGCGTGCTGCTATGGACAGAGTTGCTGTCGCTTGGGGTTTCAAGGATCCATACATGCGGGGAGAGGAGGTCGGTGAGGATGGGAGAGTCTGCGGGAATTTATTGGCATGCGCGGCATGATTTTGGACAAGACTGAACTGATGGCAGGTATGGAATAAACAGTGGCAGCATGTACTAGACGAGTATGTAATTTGCCCGCCTATTATTTGAGCAGATGAAATGTACTATAGCAATTGTACTATATGCTTTGAAATGTCTAAATTCAGGTCGTACAGGCTTACGAAAAAGAAGTATGATCGAGACCAAGTCGTGAGTTCATTTTTTTTGTGGTCACTAAACTATGACACCCTCACTTCTCATTCCCTCTAGAAAACCCCAGCGCAGTAAAGCGACGGAGCATCTAGTAGACACGGTGGGGGGGAGACATGGAAGCCTTGATGACAAGGCTGCCAACGTTCTGCCAGCCCTTCTTGAGCAGGGAGACGAGGTAGTTGACAGACAGCATGAGGTTGGCAACAAGCTCCTCCTCGGTCATGCCGACGTTGCCGATGGCGACACCGAGGCAGAGAACCTTCTTAAGCTGGAACTTGATGGTAGACTTGACGTCGTTGACCTTGGCCTGCATGTCCTCGCCGTGACCGACGGGGGTAGGGAACTTACCGGCTGTAAAAGGATTAGCATTTGAGTTTTTCAGTGGTAGATTAGGACGGAAATTTACCCTTGGACAGACCGGGACCGAGCAGACGGGGAATCTGCTTGATCAGAGCCTCGGAAGCAAGGAAGGCATCGTACTTGCGAGCAAGCTTCTTGATGAGCTTCTTGTTCTTGTTGAGCTTCTTCAAGTCGTCGGAGGACATGGCATCGATGCCGTGGTGCTTGGCACGGTCAAGATCGTGCTGGTCACCAAGAATACTGCAAAAGGACTATCGTTAGTATTTTCCGATTGAAAGTATTGTTACACCTTCTTGTCGGCTCCTGCACTGATCGATGTGGCGATACAGGCATGTCCGACTTGAGAAGAGATGGCGAAGAAGAACGCACCAGATGCTCATGTTGGGGCGGGGATGGTGGGCAGCTTGATGGTGCCAGAGAAACGCTTGTCACGCTGGGGGTCATAGTTCTTCAGACCGATCTGAAGCTCGACGGTCTCGAGGAAGTTACGCTTCTTCTCGTTGAGAGAGTAGTCAAGCACCTGCTTGACATTCTCACGCACTCCGGCTGGTAGGAAGTTAGTGGGAGTTCGGGGTTCGTATGTAGATCAGCAGAAGCAAGCAACGTACCGACTGTGATCTTGGACATGATGGCGACAGTCTTCCTAAAGAAATTCTTAAGGTGTGGCTCTGCGCAAGAATGGCTTGGAGAGAAGAAAAGTAGTCCGCAAATTTCTCCGCTTGTGGGTGCGGTTCACTAAGCCTAAATGGGATTAGCGGTGCCCTAGAATGAGAGTCGCTGACTCATCCAGCGCGACCCCTCTCTACCAGCCTGAGAAATAAGGTGTGAACTCGATCTCTCGAATACTGCGAACTTATGTATTCAATGCAGCCACGTTCGTCTCCTGTATTCATTCACATCTCGGCCTCCATCTCCATCACCAAAGACACCACAGGAGATGAAATCCCCCGTCGGTTCTCTAACAATACGTCATCCCATGGTTCAAAGCCTGTTTTCTCATACAATTGCTTCGCACCAAGGTTGCCTGGCTCGGTCTGGACAGTGATGCTAGTCTTGGATGCACCGAATAGTCTAGATTCCTCCTCGGCCGCTTCGATAAAGGCCTCGAGTAGCCGACGAGCGTGTCCCTTGCGACGAGCATGAGGTAGAACAAACTTGCCCACGATCACATAAACGACATGAGCTCGTTTCAGAATGTCTGGTTCCACTGGGTTGGAAGGTATTTGGTATTTTCCATCTCTGATAAAAGCGTCCCAGGGTTTCTGTTTCGTAGTGTCACACTCGCTAGGAAATGGCACTGGGCCAATGAGGGTCGCGATGCCCACCCATTCTTTTCTGATGAGGCCTCGGACCGTACTAGGGGCACCTTCGGTCTGAGGTGACCATGTATCATTGATTTGATCATCAGGCTCAACATCGGAATCTATCACGGCAGCGAACGTCTTGCCGAGTGGGTTCTGGATTCGTGATAGCCATACATCCGAGGAAAATTGAGACTCAAAACTCATATGTCGATGAGAACGATTCTGGATCAACCTTTGAGACCATGTAGTCGGATATTCTTGTATCGGTTTGCGACGAATATGAGACGTACCGGGGAAATGGAGGTCTTCGGAATAAGGATGACCTCCCCTGAGTCAAGATGTGGAGCACTCATGCCAGACTGTAGAGATGGATGACAAAAATGCGGATCGACGTGTGGGATTGGGCCTATGGAGGTCCTAAAAAAGGTATTGTAGAAATGTTTTTTATGACTCAATTATATGGAAGAACACGATGTCACTTTGGTGTTCTTCGTGGCTTGCGCCCACCTCATAGTACCAAGGTGAGTCAAGAGAGTCTGTTGAAAGAAGTCCCCAAAGGCTTGCTCACAATATTTACCAAGATTTAGTATCTTCAATCCCCCCCCCCTCTCTCTCTCTCTCTCTCTTTCTCTCTCACTGTCTCGATTTACTTCTACGATTTCCATTCCAAAAGACACTAGTCCGTATTTGGACATGGTTCCACTGGCCTTTGCATGGTCCAGTACATTCGATAAATCAGCCTCGAGTACCGTAATTTCATCCCGTAGTAATGATTATCATCTCCACCAAGGACAAATGCCATGTTTTTATCACGACTCACGCTCAGCACATGGAGTTGCCCGAAGGTCCAATCAAGCAAGCATGTATCTCCCAATCGGTCAGGGAAACGGTAAGAAACTTCATATACTGCGCTTTGCTTGTTGAAATAAGCTTCCTCGGACTGTTCTCTGATAGAACCAGAGAAATCCCTCATATCTAACTCCTGACGAGCGACGAGCTAAGATCTAGGTCGGGCTTATAAGGAAGATGATAATGTGTCACCTTCGACTGGACCACTCCCGTTCCATTGTACGTTGGCCATGTGACAATTGTGATCCGTGGTAGCCATTCAACCTCAGCCTCGTCACGCCAGAGTAGTGAATGTACTGATGGATCACGTTGTTATCATTATGGTATTACTTGTGAACCACGCAACCACACCCACACACGACGGCCACGCGCCTATCTCCCCTCACCATCGATCTCAACGTCACTGTCGACCTTTCCTTATCGGTTCGCCGGCAGTATGGTGAGAATCAGGGTCGCAGAGCCCGTGCATGCAAGAGATAAGTCGGGGCAGCCGCCGTCTAGCGACGATGGATCAACCTTGGGGCCAGCCTTTCCCGAGTCACTCTCGATGGCACGATCTCATCATGAAGATATCCACGAGAGTATTCACAATATTCGCTCCCATTCCAGGCTACCGGAGCGGATCAGTAACAGGATGCCGATCGCCGAGCAACCAGACGATGATCCAGGTTTGCGACTCCCGGGCGACTATAAGCAGAAACAGGTAGGCAGCGCGACCATGAGGGACCGCTTGAGTGACAAGGTGCTCAACCTGGACAGGTATTCAAAGGCAAGGTGCTGTTGTGGTTGGCATATCAATCCGTGGGCGTGATTTATGGCGACATTGGCACCAGTCCCCTCTACGTCTACTCGTCGACATTTTCGTCCCCCCCTTCTCGGCAAAATCTATTGGGCGTCCTCTCCATCATTATATGGAGCCTATTCATGATGGTGACTGTCAAGTATGTACTGGTGATCCTTCGAGCCGACAATGACGGCGAAGGTGGCACTTTCAGTACCTATTCCCTCCTCAGTCGCTATGCAAGTGCTCCTCAACGATCTCTCCCTCGTGACAATCGAAGACTGACTGACTCACAGATGAACATCACCCATCGTGACCCGAGAGAGGCTTCGTTAGTTCAGATGAAACGGTTCTTGTCCGGTGACCTGGAGCGCGCTGGACAGAAGGTGCGCCGAAGCTTGGAATCCAGTCAGTTCGCGCGAGGGCTGCTGAAAGTGATCGGAGTGCTAGCCGTCACCATGGTGCTAGCTGATGGCCTGCTCACTCCAGCCCAGTCCGTTCTCGGAGCCGTTCAAGGCATTGAGGTTGTGCATCCAAGTATATCGAAGGGCACAGTCATCGGTGTCACTGATGCCATTCTCATCGGGCTGTTTTGTATTCAGCCGCTGGGAATCACGAAACTGTCCTTTGCATTTTCACCGATTGTGATTACCTGGCTCGGGTTTAACGCGGCATTTGGGATTTATAACCTCACCAAATATGATGCTGGGGTTTTCCAGGCTTTTAATCCTGGCCTCGCGTTCGAATTCTTGATCCGTAATAAGACGGACGGATGGAGGATGCTGGGTGGGACTTTGCTCGCCTTCACGGGCGTGGAAGCCCTCTTTGCAGATCTGGGTGCCTTCAGCCGAAGAGCGATTCAGATCAGCTGGCTGTGTTACACGCTTCCATGCCTTTTATTAGCATACATTGGCCAGGCAGCATATATCAGCGTTCACCCAGAGGCATATTCGAATCCCTTTTTCAACGCGGCTCCACCTGGAACAATCTATCCAGCCTTGGTCATCGCCATTCTGGCTGCCATTGTTGCTTCGCAAGCCATCATCACTGCAACCTTCCAGGTGAGAGAGTTACAGCATTCAATTGAAAAAAAAAGACCATCCTCTGATTATGCCGATAGCTTCTTGCACAAGTGATGAAGTTTTCCTATTTTCCTCAAATCAAAGTGATCCACACTTCTCGGATATTTCACGGGCAGCTGTTCATTCCAGTGGCGAATTGGCTCCTAATGATTGGAACCATCTTGATCGCATCAATCTATAACAATGTAAGGCGCGGTCTCTTCCTTTCCCTGTTTTATTGTTTTCTCACAACTCATTCGGAGTCCCGCAGACAACGTCCCTGGGTAATGCGTACGGCGTCTGCGTCATGTTCGTGACATTTTTCGACACCTGCATGGTATCTCTGGCTGCAATGTTCGTCTGGCGAATCAGCCCATACCTTGTCGTCCTCCCATGGCTCTCCATGGCCTGCCTAGACGGTACGTATCTGTCCTCGGCACTAACTAAAGTGCCTCAAGGGGCCTGGTTCACCATCACACTCGCTGCGATCCTTGCCATGCTCTTTCTATTGTGGCGTTACGGCAAAGAACAACAATGGTTCGCCGAAGCTGAAGACCGCTTCCCCACATCACACTTCGTCGTATCCAATCCTGATGGCCAAATGTTTCTGTCCAAACGATACGGTGACCTTCCAGTCAGTACTACACGTGGCCTTGGGATATTCTTCGACAAAGCAGGCGAGACGACCCCGATCGTGTTCAGCCAGTTTGTGCTCAAGCTCACCTCTTTGCCTGAGGTGATTGTGTTCTTTCACCTCCGCCCCCTGGAGCAGCCTTCGATCGCCCCGGAGAACCAATTCACCGTGTCACGTTTAGCTATTCCGAATTGTTACCGACTAGTTGTTCGCTACGGATATAATGACGAGATAATCACACCCAACCTGGCGAGCGTGATCGTTGGCCAGGTCCGGAACTATCTGATGTCGAAGAGGGCGAACGTGCCCTTGGACGAAGAGAACGAGGGAAAGGAATCGGTGACCGCTGGCAGCTCCACGGTGGAGGGCAGCAGAGAAGCCCGCGCCTCTTCCGACTCTGACATTGCCCATCTGGAAGCAGCTTATGCACACAAAGTGCTCTACATCGTAGGGAAAGAGCAGATGAAAATTAACCCCAGCACAGCGCGCATTCGAAAGGCCTTGCTACACGTCTTTCTATGGATTCGGGATAACACGAGGAATAAGATGGCTAACCTCCGACTCCCCACGGATAGATTGATTGAAGTTGGATTTCTTAAAGAGATATAAATGTGGCGTATCGACTCAGAGATATGTCCTGTACTGCTATGTTCGTGATTGCTCTCAAAAGAATGAAGTGAAAGAAAGGGAAAGCTTTTCTGTGTCTTGACACAGGGCTTTCAACTTGCTACCAGTGATCTTTTGTTTTCCACGATTAACCATAACATGAGATCATCGAATTAAAACCGACCTAAGCATCAATGCAAGGTGTAAGAATTTGTCTCTATCTAACATTGGAAGACTTAATGGTGTCTAAATGGTTCTAGTCATAATATACCCTTCAATTGCTACAAAGTCTAGGGCAATGAAAACAAACTCATGAGTGCTTACGGAAAGGGCATGCGGATTGAGTAAGAATAAGTGTTGTCTTCTGCTTGAATGGTTCTTTCTCTGTCAGTGCCGTCCACTCTGTCAGCTGTCGACAAGTAAAGTCCAAAAAACCCAGCTTCTTTACCTCATTTTCCCTTCTACTTCTTGGCGTTTCCTCCCCCCGATTGAATGCCCGGACCTTGCCTCTGTTTGCTAACTCTGAAACTCCGAGTACGCCTCTGAACGGTCTGATCGGGTCAGTGACTACAACTAAAGCGATCTGATCTACTCTCTGAGCATTATTCTACAGGGCCAAGGTCGGCCATATGTCTCACCCCGTGCTTTCTATAAGAGACAGGACAGGGTAGTCTCATATTGGAAATCCCATGGGACTCCTCGAATTTACATGAATCAGTTGAAATCCGAATGATATATCTCATTAAAATCCGCCCATGCCGTTGAGGCTTGCAGACGGTCCCCGGCACCACGGTCAGGCACGGACCTGCGCGTCTTTAGTCATTTTAGCACCTACATTCCGTTAACTAATTCAGCTTCGCCACGTGCGGCCACCCGAGGGATCAGACCCTCCCAAGATTTTAGGCGCCGGCGACAGACGTGGAAAATGTAAGCAAAAGCTAAAAAACTGTGGGGATTCTGATCCTGCCAACTCAGTAGAAACCGCCTTATTGGATAGAAAGGGCGACTTATTTCCTTAGCTGAACCTGGCAATACCTTCACTATGGGGCGATTGTTAAAAGGGGTTCTTGGCAAGAGAACCTTGCGCAGATATAAGAGGAGTCTTTGCATCAGCAGGGTGTACTGCAATCTTGATACAACCTCAGGCGTGAAATAGGAAAACACTGCACACGTCTAAATTGGAGACAGATACCCAGAATGGCATTCTCTTCTATGATTACCCAGTATTGGCCACCGCCACCGACCTTTACTGAGAAAGATGTCCCAAGCCAAGAGGGACGGGTGTTCATAGTCACTGGCGGGAACCAGGGTGTTGGGTATGAGCTCATCAAGATGCTCTACCCTACCGGTGCCGTCATCTATATGGCCAGCCGCTCCGAGGAACGCGCTAAACAGGCCATCAAGGACATCGTGTCTACAGACCCATCTGGCTCTGCGCGCCTTCGGTTCCTCCATCTCGATCTCGACGACCTCAATGTGGTCCGGCGTGCGGCCAAAACGTTCTCCGAGCATGAGTCGCGCCTTGATATCATATGGAACAACGCCGGGATTGGAGCTGTGAAGGTCGGCTCCAAGACCAAGCAGGGTATCGAGGCCCATATGGGAGTTAACATCATCGCTCCTTTTCTCTTCACTCAGTTGCTCCTCCCAAAATTACAGGCGGCGGCGGCAGCCTCTCCAAAGAACAGCGTCCGCATCATTTGGACCAGCTCCTGGATGATGGAGCAGTCATCCCCAAAGGTGGGTACAACCTCGAGGACCTTGAGAAGGGCGGGACCAATGACGCCTACATCAATTATGCCACGTCCAAGGCGGCAAATTGGATGATTGCTGATGAGGCGGGGAAGCGCTATGGCAAGGACGGCATCATCAGCGTGGTTCAGAACCCAGGCAACCTGAAAACTCATATCTACAACACCCAGAGCAAATTGATGATGTTCTTCGTGAACAGGCTACTCCATCCACCTAAGCTAGGCGGCTATACAGAGCTATATGCGGGTCTCAGCCCGGAGATCACTGAGAAGCAGCAAGGCGGGCTCATAATCCCGTGGGGGAGACTCCAAGCCCGCAACCCGAGGCAGGATATTGTCAAAGCACTGGGGGACGGCAAGGGAAAGGAGCTGTGGGATTGGATCGAAGCCCAGATCAAGGCGCATGCTTGAGTAATGCCCTGCTGGATTCCGTTAGGTCAAGTTACACCGGAACTCGAAAGGTCTTCCTTCTATGCCGATGGGTTTCCGATGAAATATCGCTTTTTTTTTATGGAAACGGTCGGGCGGTCCGTCCAAAAAAAGCAACGCGTGGGTTTTGCATCGCTCGACTCGGTCATCTGCACCTCAACAGACGGGCGGAGTGCTACGGGACCGGACTGAAGGTGTCCTTTCAAGCTGGCAAATCTCTACAGACATATGATCAGAGAAAGACAGCAGCTCATGTTGTCCTTACCTTTAGTGCGTGCGTAATTAGCGTAAATATGAGATCAAGATTTGTTAAAAAGGTCGACTTTCCCACGATGTATGTATTGTGCCTCTTAAACAAGTTTCACGAATCTTTGATCTAGAACGATGGACACAGACCACTCGCCGGCCTGAACGGGCACATCACAAAACCCCGACCCACCTAATGCATATTTGGGTCGACCGACTTCCAATTTCCTAGAAGACTACATCAAGCCGGGTTTGAAGTAAATACTGCTCTCGTCATAAAACGCATCTGACCGACTCATACATAAATCCAACATGACGCCTATGACCAGCCACAGAAGCTTCAGCCACAGAAGCTTCAGCCAAGCACTTTGGCAGATCTTGACAGCCAAAACTGGAGTGTAGAAGGGGTCAGACACCATGCAAGATGAAGAATGAGGGACCGATGAGGGCTGCAGCTGATCCCGGCGCTTAAGCGTGACCGGCGGCAAGGTCAGCCTCAGAAGGTCACTTGCCCCTTTTCGGAGGAGCTGGTGCCTCGTCTCAACATCACTGTTTATTAGTCTGCCGCAGTCTGCGTTTTCCTCTCGTTTTTGTTCTTTTCGTGTTCCCAGTGCGGTTCTCATCTTCTCCCCTCAAGTAAACTATTCCCGCGTGGAACTACCACCGCCGGACTGAACCTCACCTTGCCATCTGCGGAACTTCTTGAATTCAGTATGGCAGACGCTGCGTATTACCGGGACCTGCTCAGTCCGCAGGATTATTATGCCAGTCTCAACGGCGACCGAGGTTCCGCCTGGTCTCTGAAGGACAAATTCCATGATATCGATGACAAGATCCATTTCAAACCCTACATGAAGCGACTGAGTGATCCGCTCACCAAGAATTTTGTGCTGGATTTCGGTAATGAGGACGCATTTTGTGCGACGGACCTGGATAGAGACGAATTCCAGCTGTTGCTGAGGAAGCCAGTACGCGGCACTCCCGTCTACTATCTACGGGAGCTAACCTCTACCCCAGCGAGCGAAATGTTTTGGCACCAGATGGATGTAAGGAGACAGTCTGCTGGCCAGGCTTGTCGATGCAGATGATGCTGACTGTTCATTCAAAAGCAATTTCTGGGCACCGGAGGAGCAAAAGGCGTCAATCAAAGCAATAACGACCCACTATGGGGTCTCCGAGCGACTACAGGGGATGATGTGCACTGATCCAGTCATTCATCGGCCCCAACCAGTAGTCTTGCCTAATAAACGACAATCACGCTCACGCTCGCGGGACGTCAACTCAGCCATCGATGAATTGGATGATATCGAGAATGCAATTTATCTCAAGAATCTCCTGGAACAAGATGCGATGCATGATTCCCCTTCTTTCAAGCACCTTACGTTTGCCCATGTGACGAATCAAATCTGGCATTTCTCTTCTGTGGATCATGGTCCACGATGTGCGTTGATTCCTTTCCTGGACAGGCGCGAACGCGCGGGCTAATGGAGCTAGATACGTGCATCGGCTACAATACGCTATTTGTGATGCCGGATGTTCCGAAAAAGGATATGGATAACGGGGAAGATCTTCCTGATGGGAAAAGAATCTGGAACTGGCTGATATTGACAGATGATGGTATGCGCTTCCTTCTCCAGGCGTACTTCGGCTGGTACTGAATTCTTCAGGAACGATTATCTCGATCCAGGAGAACCCGCTACCAATGCAACAGGGCCCACTCTCGATGAGCCAGGGCAAGATCCTCGATGTCGTGCGCAGAAATACCAAGTTCATCTTCTCCGGCGTTTCGAAACAACATCTCACTATGTCTGAGAATGATTCCCTGGTTACAATTCGCGTGCGCCATTTTAGCGACAGTAGTCCGGATGAGGCCAATATCAAGCAGGAAGACGGACCCAGCCTGCTTTTCTACTACATTTTTGATGATTGGGTGTCTAGTTATGGCTTGATCGCGAAACGGGAGCATAAGTATGGAGTTGCTCTCGAGAGATTGGTGAGTATTACGCGCGACCGGAATACCGACCGGAATCGCTGATTTTCGCAGAGAGCTGATATGCTCAATCGCCCTGTGGTTGAGCTAATTAATGAACTGCACTGGCTCGGTCGACGACTCGCCGTGCTCAAGCGATTATACCAGAGCTACGAACTTATCATGCAACGGCTGCTCCAACGCCAGCGCATGCTGCGCGACGAGGCCCGCTCCCACCATCCGGCCCCCTTACCATTTGGAGCATCGTTTGGGGATAGAGAATTTGCCGACATGCGTAAGGACAGTCTGATGAGCAGTGGCAGTATCCCCAGCACGAGCGACAGACCGGTTGGGGTGATTCTGAGTTCAGCCGCGGCAGCACGATTTGAGCGACTCGCCGATCGGATTGTTTTGTACTGTTTGAGTGAAATCGAGGCCTGTTTGACGGAGAAGGAATCATTGACGTTTTTGGTGAGTTGTTGACCTGAGACGGAACCTTGGGACGCATCTACCGGATTGGGAAATTTGCTGACGGGACCAATTTCCTAGAATTTCAACTTGATCGCGCTTAAGGACTCGCAAGCAGTGGAGAAATTGACTCGGATCACTATCCTTCTAGCGAAGGCCACCATTCTGTTCTTACCGGTCAGTCTGATGACGGCGTATTTCTCGACGGAACTGCAGGGTGTCAAGGGCGGGTACACCAAGGTAGATTACTGGACGAGCTTCGCGGTGATTTTCGTGGTCTCGATCGTCCTGCTCATGCTGTTCGGCGTGGCCAGTGATACCGTGGAAGGCAAGACGATCTACCAGTCCTTGGTGAAGACGTTCTTCCGGTCGGGACGAGAACGAGCAGCCAGGATAACCGGACTCAGACGGGGATGAGAGGAGTGATCAACAACAGAATGTCATGACGCGGCGGTGGACTCAAGTCCCCCGTCCCACAGTCCACCTTGAGTCCACAGCCACAGCCCACAAGCCCCCCTCAAGTCCACTGAGAATTGCGACTCGCAGAATTACCGGTGCAGCAAGGCACGAGACTGGGGCACGATAAGTCGGGAATGGGCCTATCAGCGGCACGCGGGCGCCTGGATCAATGGTCGAAAATGAGGGTCTCTGCTGTGTCTCCGAGGTTCTCTGGGGGGGCGAGATCCCCTTTCGCCTCCGTATTTCGATTACGGCCAACAACGTGTCCTCTTATGAGAGTCCTCCCCAACACCGCGACCCGGTAATGATTGTAGGTAGAAATTAGCAACACATAGAGATGCAGAAAGTGGTGCCTGGTGCTAGTTCGCCGCAAGCAGAACCGTTCAAAGGGTGACCGAGACTACGCCCACCGCCATCAGCGTGCGTATTTCTGTACCAAAACAAAAAAACACCCACCTTCTCCTTCCCCTACTTGTCCTTTTTTCCCCTTCCCCTATCAAATCTCATCCTTCTCTAAACCATCTACGAAGTACCTGGTATGACTGTCATCTCCTGATTTCCCCCCCCTCCACCCAACTTCCAGTGCCCAACTTTTCCCCTCTCTCACCTCCTTTCATTTAACACACCACCCCCTTCTCCGTCTGCCTTCATCTAACCCGTCCCAGGCTTCGAGGCTCCGCCAACATGGGTATCACTTTCTCGAGGCTGTTTGATAGACTTTGGGGTCGCAAGGAGATGCGAATCCTCATGGTCGGTCTTGATGCCGCCGGAAAGACCACCATTCTCTACAAGCTGAAGCTCGGTGAAATCGTCACCACCATCCCCACGATCGGTCAGTCCCCCGCCCACCCCCTCCGACCATCGATTTCGCGCACATACGCCACATGAGCCGCACGAGCCCGAATCCACAATCGCAATCCTGCTAACCGTCCCTTAGGATTCAACGTCGAGACCGTCGAGTACAAGAACATTCAATTCACCGTGTGGGATGTCGGTGGTCAGGACAAGATCCGTCCGCTGTGGCGCCACTACTTCCAGAACACCCAGGGTATCATTTTCGTGGTTGACAGCAACGATCGGGACCGTATTGTCGAGGCCCGTGAGGAGTTGCAGCGCATGTTGAACGAGGACGAGCTCCGCGATGCTCTCCTCCTGGTTTTCGCCAACAAGCAAGATTTGCCGGTAAGACCGCATTGCATTGCTCTTTCCCGCCTATCTACGATGAACGGGAGATGGATTACTGACGCAATTTCCTTAGAACGCCATGAGCCCCGCCGAGATTACCTCGCAGCTTGGTCTCCAGTCTCTCACACGCCGTGCTTGGGTAAGTCCAGATTTCCCTGCACACCCCAGGTCTATGGTATCGGGGACATCGCTGACTCAAACTCTTCCAGTTCATCCAATCTACTTGTGCCACCACTGGCGATGGCCTTTACGAAGGTTTGGAGTGGCTCGCCGACGCTCTCCGGAAGACGAACCGCGACTAAGCGGGTATAATCACGAAACGCGGGGTGTGTATGTAGGAGCAAGAGAGAAATACCACTGGAAATCTGCAAATGGATTGATGATGACTATGGCGGGAGTTTTTTTGCGAGGCCTACCTCGAGGTACGGTTTCGGTGCTTTGTGTGTTCCTCTCCACGGCTCTTATTTCTCTTCGCTCTTAGCCTTCATTTGTTCTTTCTTCTGGCGCCACGTCAAAATTGCCGTTTCGCTTTTCTTTTCATATCATTTGTAAACTGGGCAGGTCACCGGAAATGAGGTGCTTAGTTTTAACTGAACGATTATGACGAAAACAGGGAGATTCTTCATCCAAAATTAGCCCGAACATGCGTAATCCCTCCAACTTGGACGTTTTCTGGTCTTGGCAGTCCCTCATCCAGGCAGGTCCTTTTCTTTTAACCGTCCCCTGATTGTTTGCGTATCTCATTTTTAGTTTCTTTTCTGTAGCCTGTGGTACAAAATCCCTGGTTTGTTGATTCAACGAACCCCCCCCCATTGCCTGGCCGACGATCGCCAAACCCAACACACATCTCCGTCATCGTGTGCTTCCTCTCCGCATCCATCACTTCCCCCATCCCCTAGTCACCCGCATCGTCAATTGGCCTTGTGGATTCAGATGCGTGCTTGTTAGTACTTTACGGTCAATGTTGACGTCGTGCCCGAAATCATGACAGTTCAGGCGAGGAGACACTCCGCGGCCTACAAGAAACCGTCGCCGTACAACCACCACCCGCGAGCACAGGATGCGGACATTGAGAAACAGCCTCATGTACGCCAAAATTACCACCATCACAATATAAGCGATGAAGACGAGGAGTCGGACAGCGGGCCCGACCTGGCCTCCTCGTCCTACCCGCCCATGAGTGGCGGCGCGCGCCGCTCTCGAGCCAACGTCGGATTCCGTGTCCCCCAGCGGATAATGCGATGGCTATGCTTCGCGCTATTCGCAGCCCTCGTCTTATTTGTCCTCACTCTCTTCCGATTCACCATTTCCTCCTCCGTGTCCCAAGTCGCCGTCGACCTGCCAAAGGTCACATCCACTAAACCGCCGCTATGGGAGAGTTTCGCCATGCTCAGTCGCTACGAAGGCGGTTTGTCGAGTCTCGTGGCTCGCAAGGATAATGTGCCTGAATACCCCGGAGATGACCCCGATGGATTGGCGCTGGAAGAGGACAATGCGGAGAAGGAGGACGAAAACCCACTGGTTGCCCGAGACTCGAAGCCGTCCATGTTGAGCTCGGTCTTCGACCCGTACCCCGACTATACCAACTCTGACTACATCAACAAGTACGGCGAGAAGCGCGAGTGCTTCTTGGACAAGGACAACTCAATTCGCGTCCCGCGCATCCAATCCTTCCCTGGTGTTCCTAAAGGCTTCCCAGACCCCGTCATGGGTTCAAATGAGATGCTAGGAATACGCGACGATGTTTGCTTTGATCGATTTGGACGCTTGGGACCATATGGTCTGGGTTACGGTGTGAAGAAGGGTGGCAGCGGAGCTGGGTTGGAAGGCCATCGCGATGGAGCTGAGCGCGTCTGGGAGGACGTGCCCCCCGTGGACTTCCGTCATGTCGACTGGGCTGATGCGCAACATCGGTGCCATGCCGCAAACCAGCATCGCTTCAAGGAACTGCCCGAGCCGCGCATTAACAAGTTCGTTTCTATGCCCGTCGGGATCCCCGGTGTAAACATTGAAACGCCAGAGGACACTCGAGTATCCCAGCCTCAGAGTGGCTCGGAACGTCTCCCTAGAACCGCAGTAGTTATTCGCACGTGGCACGACTTCACTTACACCCCGGAGGATATTCTTTACATGCGCGCTCTGATTTCAGAGCTCTCGATTCTTTCCGGTGGTGAATACACGATTCATTTCCTCGTTCACGTCAAGAGCCCCGACCTCCAGATCTGGTCCGACGACGAGACCTATCAGCGCGTGCTGAACGATGCACTTCCAGAGGAATTCAGGGGGATGGGCACCCTCTGGTCCGAGCAGCAGATGGCTCTTATGTACCCCGCGCTCGAAGAGACCTGGATGCGTGGGCTGCCGGTCCACGGTGTTTACCGCAGTACCTACATGCCCATGCAATATTTCGCCTTCCAGCATCCAGAATACGACTACTTCTGGAACTGGGAAATGGATGCGCGTTACACTGGTCACTGGTATGATCTCTTTGAGAAGGTTGCCAGTTGGGCCAAAAAGCAGCCGCGCAAGGGTCTTTGGGAGCGCAACGCTCGATTCTACGTTCCTTCAGTTCATGGTTCATGGGACGACTTCCGCCAAATGGTTCGGGTGCAGACCGACATCGGCACCAACAGTCCGAACAACCTCTGGAGCGCTGCTAAGGCCGCGACAGACAGCGCGAGGGGAGAGAAGAGCGCTTTGCTTCAACAAGGTGACAAAGCTATCTGGGGTCCCGAACGGCCTGACGAGCGCGACATCTTCGAGGTTGAAGGCGAGGGCATCCCGCCAACGACCGTGGAGAAGGACCAGTACCAGTGGGGTGTTGACGAGGATGCGGACCTGATCGTGTTCAACCCTATGTACGATCCTGAGGGCACGACCTGGATCCTCCGCGACGATGTCACCGGCTACAACACGGAGAACAGCATGCCGCCCCGCCGAACCGCCATCATTACCGCGTCGCGTCTTTCGCGGAAGCTTCTTACCACCATGCACCGCGAGACTAGCCTTCGTCGCCACACGATGTTTTCGGAAATGTGGCCTGCTACCACCGCCTTGCACCACGGCTTCAAAGCCGTCTACGTGCCCCATGCCGTCTACATTGACCGCCGCTGGCCCACCAAATACCTCGAGTCAGTGTTCAACGCTGGCCGCAACGGTGCCTCGGGCGGTGCACGGACCGCAGTATTCGGTGACCGGGAACACAATTTCAAGGGCACAACCTGGTTCTATTCTGCCGGGTTTTCGCCGAACCTCTGGCGTCGCTGGCTTGGCCTGCGGGTCGACAATGATGGCGGTGAACAGCAGGAATTGGCCGGCGAGGGCCGCATGTGCCTGCCCCCTATGTTGTTACATCCTGTCAAGGATGTCCAAATGGTCATCGATGACGGTGAACATGCAGAGGATCGGTAAGAGCGGCCTCATGGCTCTCGATGAATCTTCTAGAAAGCCACCTAACCCCAGTGCTTTGAATCTATATACCCACCACGGCCCTCGCGGCTCTGGCTCTTTTCCCTGTTCTGCATATTTCGGGTAGTTGGTAATCCACTGGTATGATTGCATGCTTATTTCTTTTTTCCCTATATAATGTCCTCTTCTCATCCCCCACCTTTTCTTACTGGCCTTTTTTGCTGTGTCTGACACAAGCTTCTTGTGGGACGAAAGGCGTTCTTCCTGTCTCTTTTTTTTTTTGTGTTTTGGTGGACAGACCATGGCTCACGATGCATTTGTTTTGATGTGATGTTTTCTACACCGTCTAGTCGATAGATTATTCTAGATTGACAATCGGGTAATACTACTAGCATATCGTAAAATGGCTCGGCTCGTACGTGTATTTCAAAGTTAGCGATTTTATAATTCGTCAATATTCATTGATTCATAGTCTCATGTAAATGAGCTGATCATGGAGAGATCAGATATGCAAAATAATTGTGTGCAAAGTTCCCACCGTCAAAACCCCCACGACTCCAGTCCCACGCAACATCACAAACTAAGGCAATACAGCAAGCGGACTACTCAAACTCCGCATAGCCGGTTCATTTTTCGGCAAAGAAGTCCTCGAAACACCAGAAAGGTGTTCTGAACACGACCGCTGCGCACCCAACGGCAACCTCTGCACAAACTGAGCCGGTACAAAACAGATATTACACTCATGGACCCCCTCCTCATCAATGGCAAACTCAAGACAAGTGCGACAAATCTGATGACCACACTTTGTCAAAAGGACCTCCACCTTATCGCCGCCCACCACACAAGTATGACAGAAATGTGTCGGAAACGCGATGCGTGAATCGAGCATGCGGCGCTCAATCTCAGACACCAGTTCCTTGCCCTTTTCGACCCGCGCACGGAGAAGGTGGACTTTTGCTTCCAGATCAGACCGGGCTACGGCGTTGTAAGGGTTGTGTTTGTCGTTGGGGTCGATCGTGTTGGTTGGTGATGGGATGCGTGGTTTAGGCAGGGTTGGGATCGGTTCGAGGAAGATGTTCGGGCAGAAGTGTTTTGAGCGTGGTCTGTTTTCCATGCATTTATGTTCAAGAAGCCAGCGGCGGCGGATTTGGCGGTTGAGGAGGACTGTGAAGTAAATCGATAGGGCTTGTAAGGCGCGCCAGGTGGAGATTGGGTCGAGATTTAACGGCTCGGGTTCGGGGGTCGGGGAGGGTCTTTTGGCCATTGTGATAATGGTGACAGGAGAGTGCTGAAACCGTCCCCGTTTTGTGTAATTTGTCGGTATAGGCTTGAGGTTGATGTTGGTCGGTTGAGTTTTGTATGTGTGGCGAGTGGCGTGAGTATCAAGTCTGCATACTTCTTGACGGGGCCCGGTCTTCTTGTTTCGATGTTTGTTGGAGGCAATTGGTTCTGCTGGAAATATAGAACAGAACAGACTGAGAGACCTGAGAGGTGTGGTTGGGATAACGAAGGTACCTGATCCCCAGCTTTATATAGCTACCAAGAGCATCACAGGAAAAGTCGATCGGACATGCATATAATTTCGGCCGAACCGCACTTCGCAGAACCGCAAAGTCGATTATCAAACATAGTCGATCTACCCCGGACTAGAGCTGGCCAGTCCATTCCTTTTCCAAGAAAGTGGCAATTGGCCGCGGCTCTGAAGAATGTGACAATTAGTGTCTGACCTGAAATCCAGACCCAATCATGGGTTCATGGATTTGGTGACAGCTGAGCCTTTTCCGTCGTGAACCTTGGTTCGGTTCATGAAACCTCGGCCGGAATTGGCGGCGACCCCGACAACTTCCTATTACGACGTTTTCTCGTCTAAGCGACCTTGGATAACTCACAAATGAACTACTCGGGAGTGGATTTGTTGGATACAGCATCGGATATATCTCGCCCAGGTCTCGTTAACAATGGCCATTGGTTCTCTCGGGGTTTGGTGTTGATAAGATCGAACCTAGAGGTGTCATAGACTCAATTCCTCGGCTCCAGATGAGTCTTTCTGTCCACTTTTGGTCTGTAACGCGGTGCACAAATTTAGAAATTGTGCAAACTCAGAATCCTGCACAAACTTAAAAAATCTGCACAAAACTACAGCCTCTTGGCCCTATGGATTCACCTTCCCAGAAGGGACTGGTTAAGGTTTTTTTTTGGCTAGAACCGACATAATTAGCTCGTTTATAAGCTACCTTATGTCAAGTACCATGGTAATCTAAAGCTCCTTGACCATTTGAAGGTGTTTGCCAGGCTGGATCGTGATAGCGAATCTTATTGCCACTGAATTAAGCGGATTCTTGTGCTTGGGTATCAATGTAGATGTCTATCGTTCATACACAGTTCGTGAGCGCGCACCACGTTGGTCCTTGGCAATACTTTTGCCTTCGGATATTCCAGTCTCATAGGTCACAGACTCCCAGGAAGCAATCGAGACCCCTGTGAAATGGAAAGTATACTCTTTTCGTTCAGATACGGTTCTCTCAGTCGTATCACTGGCATCAGTCAGGCGTATACTTTGGGCGTAAATCACATATTCTCCGGAAAGATACTCTCCATCTTTCTTCTTGCGATAGAACGGTGTCAGCTTCAACCAAACATCGGGAGCGGACTTTGTGGTATTTTCCGGATCCACAGCCCATACTCCAATTCGCGGGGCATGGGAGGTGCCGGCTTCCGATAAACGAAAGATCCATTGTGCTGCTGGTATCGCAGTGGGCCCACTTTCCTTGTACGTCGGCTCCAATTGCTCTTCACAGACATACTCTTTGTCCCATTCTGGGGCGGAAGGGTAGCGAGGGTGAAAGACCGCGGTTCCATTGGCCTCAACCATGCCCGTGGCTGTAGCCAACTGAGTGGCTTGCCAGCTGCCATGAAGAGCTCTAAAGATAGCCAGTGCCGCTGCTGCCTGAGCGGCGCCGTGATGGGGGTTCAAGTTGGCTTGTAGACTTTTCAAGGTTTGTTGAACCTCGAAATTTCCCACAGTATTCACGCCGTGGAGATATCGAGCCGGAACAACAGGCCCGAACTGATTTTCGCCATTTGTGAGCTCGGTGCGGGTGATCCCCAGGTCTGCGGAGAAAGATTCCATCAGCCCTACGTAGTCGCCCATGGGAAATTGACCGCGGTGAATCTGGGAGTCGACCTGTCTCAGAACTCGGAGGTTTTCTCGCTGACCTTCGGTCTTCAGATTCTCGCTGATTTGTCCGGTCCATGCCTCGCCAAGGAATCTGGCCTGCATCTCCATGATGCCCCAGTAAGGACCGCGGTAGAAGCCAACAAACCCTATATCTGGTACTTCCAAGCGAAAAGTGCCCCCCTTGTCTAGAACGAGAGGCAAGAACGGATCCTCGGTGGAGTATTCCAGAGCAGCCAAAACATCTGCTGGCAGGAATGATAATGACTCGAAGGGCGTGAATCCGGTAGCCAGCACGATTGATGACACCTTCTCCAAGACCATTGATTGCCCATCGACGGTCTCGATCTTGATGGAAGCTAGTCCGGTGTCTGGATCAGGATGGACAGCTATAGCCCGTCCCATTGTTGGCTTGATGGTTCCAGACCGAACAAATTCCGAATACTCGTTGCCAATTGCCACCCATGGCGGTCGTGGACTAGATTTTTGTCCAGAGTTGGCACCATTCATATGCCCATATCTCTCGTATTCGGTGCCCAGAAGAGCGTTAAAGTAATCATTGGTTTTCGCAGCTTTGTCCTCCGGAATTAGACCCAAAGCATACTCTATTGGACCCGGAGGGCGACGACTCAGATCGTACAGGGCAAGGTCCAAAGGCAAGAATGAAATGTTGTCGTCGGCAGTCTCATGGGGAAGGTAAGTGGGCAAGCTCCAGAAAGGCCGAGAGTATATGTGATACACGGCCTGTCTCGCTCTCTCCTGGGACCTCGAAGCAGGATTGCACATCGATGATGACTCTTTCAGTGCAAGTGCAGAAGCTGCTTCTACGCCTGACAGACTTCCCCCAATGACAGCCATATTTCCTTGGCTCGGGCTGATTCCATGTCCGGCAGGTGAACCATTACTCTTTCCAAGATTTGAGCTGTGGATGACTTGTCCTGTGAACTGCGCCAACCCCGGGATATCAGGAATGTACGGGCGAGCAAAGTAACCAGATGCGACAACGAGAAAATCAAAGTCTTCAGAGAAGACTTCGTCATTTGACGAATCTGTTTCATGCACACTAAGTGATCGTGTCACGTCAATTGACCCATGCTTCACTCCTCCATCGAGACCTTGCACTGACCTTTCTTTGACCCACGATATCCTCCACCTAGATTCAGCTTCAACGCCTGGAGAGCGTACAGCACTAACAACTCGCTGGCCCAACCGGAGCACTTCCTCAGGAATATAGCGCTGGCAATATGCAGCCAGGTACCTCCCGACCTGCCTAGCCTGCGGAAATATCGGAACATCCGCACTACCCAGAGCCGACTCCCACGAAAAATCAGAGAATGATACCGTGAACCGGCTGAGATTAGTCCGCATCCAGGGATCCAAAGTCCCCGGAGTGCTGGCCTTTGTCACTGGCGTGCCGTGCGCCTGATTCGGCCATAGACCACCGACTCCATGGCGCGAGTCAAAGACCACCGGCGCAAAAGTCCCGTGGGGGAAATTGTGCAGTAGGGTTTTGGCCGTGACGAGGCCCGAGGGGCCGGAACCTGTAATATTGTAAGGCGGGGTTGGACTCAGAGATGGCTCTTTGCCAGGCGGGAATACTTGCCGATGATGGCGACCTTTTTGGGTCGCATGATGAGAGAAATCTCTTCTTGTACGCACGCCGTGTACTTTTGGGGTACGAAGTGAGCTATGGTTGGTAGGGAGTGGTTTGTTGATGCCGATGGTCGTTGGATATAGGGCAGGGTCGCCCCCACAGCGGGGAAGCACTTCAGGCTTCCGATTCGAATTACACCTTCAGTTCGCCTCGTCATTCGGCCCAAATCAGTCTACGAGATGAAAAGGGTTGAGATATGTTCTTGCGATGCTGTTGATTTGCATTTTATCTTTCAGGAGGTATGGAGCAGAGGGTCCTGGATAGTACCAAGTTCCCAATCTGAAAGATTCGGGTGGCTCGGCATAGAAGGCACTTTGCTCAAGGAACAAAAGTAACCACTGTTGCGCCACAATATTATAGGGCAGTTGTGTATCGGATCGTCGTCTCGATCGTCGTCTGCTGGCTGACTTCGGGATACTTAATTGGGATTGAAGGTTTCCATGGCGGCAGGACATCGTCCTAACCGAAAGAGCAGATCAGCGAACACTTTCCATAGGGCATGGGTACTCTGGCAAATAACCCATGGATCCGAGGGCAAACGCTTTTGAATAATCATTGCTCAGGAGTGGATTATGTGAGTGATTTCCAAGTCCTCCATTTTAGAATAACTGCTGTATCTTGCAGACTAAAACGATTATGTATTAGGTTTGGCCTAAGCAAGGACTAACTACCTAAAGATGTGCCGGGTACGGGTTCCTATGGTCACGGTGGGTTCCCCAAGTCAGGAATCCACCAAGCCGTCTCTAAGCTGCCACGGGGTTCGCACACAGAGTGTGGTAGGGGATGAGAGTAGCTTGCCAAGTCCCCGTTATCTTAGCGCTGCCAAGATCTGTACCCACAGCGAACTATATTGGAATGAGCTCTCGCGCAAATCATGGAAGGATCCTTTGTTTGTATCTCACCTGAATACCAGCGAGCCTCTCTCGTTTCGTAGAGCAAGGGGATTAGCGCGTCGCGCCATGACGATGATGCCAAGACAAGCAGAGCGCAAAGTCAATGATGATTCCACGAAAGTACCGGGCCAAGTCCGAAATCATTTCGGCCCCCGTAGTACAGACATCTCGGATTTACTTCCTTGGATGGCGTCGCTGATCGCGTGCGGGGTCAAGGATCGAGAGAGAATTTCGAGAAGACGCCTAGTCGAACTCTGGAGCACCAGGGTTGTTGGGTGGATGCAGGTCGCCCGATCAAGAAACACGTTCGAGCCATTTGACGACTTGAAGCTCTGGCGACTGTGTATGATTTGAGCGACAGGCCTCCTTAATTTGTTGGTTGGTGACGAAGTTGTCCACGTTTCGTTGGGTTAAGGGTATTTTGTATTGGTTCTTTTTGCGGAGTTCCTCTTTCTCGGCCAGAGCGGACGGTGATAGCTTGAAAAGGGTATCTCGAAGTCGTCGAATACCACTGTTGGGAAAGGAGTGTTGCACCCTAGGGGGTCCAAATGGGTTGTCGTTTTTCCATGGCTCGGATGCGATGGAATGAGTGGTCTTGGGGGAGAGCGTAGCTTGGTCATCATGAACTAGTCGTACTCCGGTATCTCTTAATCCCATGAACTTCAAGTGATGATCAGGAGATATGCCGGTTATATAGAGCAGAGGAATAGGCCGCTAGGGGCTCTGTGCCTTTTTTTTTTCCTGCAAATGACTAGGACGCGCGGGGGGGGTTCGTAGTCTGATTGGGGATCGGTGTACACCCCCGGTGATTTAAGATGCAGTAGTGACTGCGCCAGTGCCTTTCACAAGACCGGAAATGGAGCCCGTGCGATGATCGAATAGGACGTTTAGTAAGATTGCAGCATGTGGCCGAAGAAGCTTCGTCTAATCATCTATGAAAAGTCCCGTCCAAAGTCTGTTACGTCATCTCGGCACTACAATGCCGATCTGACTGCAACGATGGCCCGGCAGACCCATGCTTGGGCTTGCTTAGGCTTGCTTAGGCCTGTACCTGAATGCACTGTGAGGTGTTTGGGAGATCTAACTACCAATACAGAGTGTCGGTCAAAGAAATGTGGTGTCAGCCACGCGAGTGGTTGCCCGGAATGTACAGCTTTTCCCCGCTGATCTCATTTTGGACGCACTGAGGATGTCGTATTTGCCACTACCTCTAATATATGGTGAACGAATATCGACAGAAACTAGGCCCGTGTCCTTCAAGAAGTAATCGACTAGGTCTCCGTGCTGATCATTTCCCCCGGTATCGTCAATGGGGCCATTGTCTTCCATTGGGAAACTTGACCAAGTCCGCCCAATAGATAGACCTAGTAAGTAAACCTGAAGCTAGGATGCCCATCTCCCAGATTCTCCAGTTCCTCTCGTAGTAACTTATACCGGTCATTCCTTTTTTACTCATCTCGCAGCCGGTTCTCCCGATACAATCAAGCGAAAAAGACCATACAAGACACTCCACAGATCCACACCATCCCAAGACTCACACCGAAGCCCGTGGGATATGAAAGTGTCTCTGAATCAAAGAAAATATTGCTCGCCACGAGTCCCCCGCAATTCCCAAATCCAATCTGCATGGCAGACGCAATTGATTGCTTATAGTGCCCGGCCATATTTATTGCTCAGCCAGCCCATGAGAATTGGCTGCCTCATGTACCCGCCACCAGTGATCGCATACAGAGCAAAATATCGAGCACCAACAGGCACCGAGTTCTTGACAGATCAAGGTAATACAATCGATCGTGGCAATCAAACACCCTGTAAGTGTAAAAGCAAAGCGATGGCGTTGTCTGTCGCTGGTGTTGGCCGTCACGAGTGCAATAGCAGTGGCAACGAGGTAGATTGGGATGCTCATCACTGTGCTCGTACCGAGGTCCATCCCAGCTGATGCAAAATTGTCGGGGTGAAAAAGGACGTCGCGTAGCCGGTATTCACGATGCCAAAGTACATGAGAGGGCTGCATTATGATGAGTGAAATGTATGATAGGAATGATTTGTGATTAGAACACCCCCAAGGTAGAGCTTGATATCGCTGAACACTTTTTTCCAGGCTGGTCCATCCAAACCGGTTCATTCTTGCCTCACCACGATCTTCCGAAAGACGACGGAGAAGTAAAGCTCGCTCTTGATCACAAAGAAAGCTGGATCGCTCCGGCCAATCCACAATCAAGAACTTCGAGATGGACTGCCATCCCAACAGTAGCGAGAGTCTCAAGTATGAACCCTCCAAGTACTGATCCCAATGAGTATCATGTTCAAGACGCACTGAGTATTTAAACAAGAGCTGGCTGCAACTTTTGAGCCTTACGATGATTTCAACATTGTCCAGACAACATGGTGACTACACCTGACACTTCTTTCCATGGTGGAACATCTTTTCCGCTTGAGGTTCCAACAGAGAGGGCCAAGGACCAGAGGTATCGATTCTTGCGGGTAGAGATATCTGAGATACTTTTATTACAAGTATTTAGATCGTAATTATGGTCTAAGCGAATTGAAGGTCGAAAGTACCCGGAACGGCCCCGCGTACCCAAACGATCTGCATTCCATTGCCGAGAATTTATGTTCTCCCCGGCCATTCCAGAACGGCTCCAAAAGCTTATTTCATTTTGAGAGAGATATCACTGAATTCCAACTGGAATAGTACTTGCAATGTTACAAAATTCTCAGAGATTTCGCGACATCTTCGTTGATGGTGTGGGCGTTGATAATTGCTTCATAATAAGGGCATCTAAACCAAAACACCAAATAAGCCCCTTGTTGATAGAAAGCAGAGGCCATCATATATTGACTTTAGATATGTTCTGGCTATCAGTTGGCTATGTATGTTACGAAACATCCAGCGGTATCAATCTGTCAATTGCTTCGATTTTGACTTCAGCCTCGAGACAGGGGATCAGAAGCCCGCATTCTTTCCTAGTGCCAGAGCTCCAGAGAAAGCTCTGGTACGCCATCAGTAACTTCTCCGAAGAACGTAGCTCAGTGACGCTGGAAAGAATAGGTTTCTCTCAATAGTGATCAGAGTCTTGTAATTAGAGATCTAGTGAATGGTGTCTGTAATGGTTAGCAAACGTCGAACGCACTTTGGCTTGTGCTTTGCTGATTGGGGTTTGTCGCTAGACCTAGGCTGAGCAAGAATTGCTGTGAATTGCCTTCTCTCATATTGATAAGGTCATACATGGGCTTGATTGCCGAAGCTAGTTTGTGGGAAAGAAGTAGAAGAAGGTAATGACTCCTGGAGAGTGAACTTTACCGCGAGGAAAGAAGTCCATCTGAGTGAATGTTCCCCTTCAATCGGCCACTCCTGAATGCGAATGAGGAACAAGTCAAGCCTGCACAAACTAGAAAACCGAAATCTCCGGTGCCTGTAGGGAAGATCTGTATAAAGAATTCGAGGGCACGCTGACTTATTTGCATTCCGTAACAGGGAATATAGACCTGTTTCTGTCCCAATCGACGCATAAAGCTCTTCAAAGCAATATCGATCTCTTCCAGTTGAGAACTGTTGAATTTGTACGCCCGATCACCCTCGTTCCCAATCGCTTTCCCCTCTCACACAAGTGGGGAAACTCGATGTGCCGAAGACCCCGCCGGCGATCTCGTTTAAAAGGTCTCAGTTGCCCTTGGACGGCGAGTACAGTCTTGCTGCCTAGCAAAGTCTAGACCACCTTTAATAGTCGGCTGAAATTAAGTGTTTATGATGGTTTGCACTGTCCACTTGGTCAAAAGCTGTTTTCAGTGCGTCAAATGTAGAAGTATGGCGATAAAATAAAAGAGTGGCTTCAAGATCTATGTTATCCCTCTGCGCAGCTAATGCATGCTACATTGTCATAACTCACGCCGTCGACTCGGATAATCCCGTCCTGTCGCATCATCTCTGTACGCTTGTACGCTAGTCGGCCTTGATTAAGGAGACCGATGATTTGGAATTCCTCACATCAGCCCCACCCACCCAAGTTATTGGTGCATGGCTCCACACAGCACGTTGTAACGGCTGTCGTGAAAGGGGCGACGCGCCCATAACGTTGGGTCCTGCGTAGCCAAAATCCTGACTCGAGAGACGTGCTGTTATCATAGGTGCCGGTGGCTGGTCTCAAGGCCGTTGTTTCCGGTGCGCTAGATCTCACACTGCATAAGCGATCGGGACTTGCTTTTCCTGTTTGGGAATCGCGACGCACGTTCTCAACGCTCAGAAAAGTTCCTCCACCGAACGCCCATAACTCAAACCGTTTGAAACCAAGCCAGGACTTATATTCAATCCTCATATTTGGATGTCTGTTTCAATTTTTCGCTTTCAGTCGAAGAATTGACTGTCTCGTCGCCAAAATATAAAGGCAGGGCTATGGATCAATACTTTCATTCCGACGGAGATGCCGGTGTGGCGTCACAACACTTAATGTAGCTTTCCACATCAGGAGCGCTAGCCATCAATCCAAACAATTCTGTTTCAGGATGTGGACAATCTTACTGTTCAAAGGATTGTACGAAGTGCGAATCACCGATGAAGTGAACGCCAGCCGCCGTTTACTGCCAACGCATGCAACGGCGTCCTCCGACCCCCCCCCCACCCAGCGCACGCTTAGGGTGGAATGCAGCTACTCAAGGACCCGAGAAATGTTCGTGGTCGGTTACACACGCCACTATCGAAGGTAAGATAAGGTACGTGGACTCCGCAGTATCTTTTTTTTTTAAGAACGTAGGATCTATTCGTGGCGTGTCAATCAGCGACTCTTTTGAACCTAGGGCAAGTCTCAATTATTGAGCACTGAATTTCCTGCCTCAATGCCTGGGGCGAACATGCTCTCATCACATGCACCAGGTCCGAGGAAGAATGAGAGAAGATAGGGGGTCGACGCGTCCAAGACTTGACAGAGCGCAGGCCCGACCGACAATAGAATAGCTTTGTAGACACATTGTCACCGGGTTGGTCAGATTATCCAGGGGTAGAGTCATACTATCCGGTTCATGCAGCTAACTCCTGCGGAAGAAAGGTTAAGGTGTGCACAAAGACCGGGGGTACCCAGGCCGTACCGTGGTAGCGCATTAGCGTGTTCGTCCCTCGACGCGGGATCGAATAACAATCTTCCGAGATCTACGCCACAACCCCCAGCACGAGGGAGAAACGCCCACGCCCAAATCAGCTGGGACTGTACTCCGTACGCATTGATTGAGCAAAAGTTGGGAGGAGCTCACTGTGTTGTTTCATGAGGAACTCACTTTTGGGACCGAGGTAGGTTCACTAGGCTTGTTTGACTATTGGATCCTGAACAAGCAAGTAACGGCGACTAGTTTCCCGCAGTGACTTGTAGGACAGCTTCTGCAATGGGCCGCCTTCAACCCAGCTATGACGGAATCCGTCCGAGCGGAACAATGGAGGTTTTGCGGTCCTCACCGGGCAAGTAATGTGAGCAAATAGTGGCCTGTTCCCCGACGATCACCGGATTCCAGGATCCTGGATCAGGTTTGAAGCCGGCCTGAGATCTATTGACGGGATGAGGCGGCGCGAGTCATAGGTTTGGGCCGGGTGGTCTCTGCGTGGGCGCATTTAGCGTGGTTCCACTACTCCCCGACCGGGAATATCAGATGTGATTTGACTGGGATTTGTTCTCTTGCTTTCCCTCAGGCGGGGTGTGTGACGGAGGATGCAAATCAGATCGGATGGGATGGCGTGGAGAAACGGAAGTTTAACGATCAATAGTTTGCAAGTGATCGACCGGGGGCTTTCGCTGCAAGGCAAGCGGCAAGCTGCAAGCTGCAGGATAGAATGAGATGACCCTGGGGACGGGCTATGCAAAACACTGAAGGGGCCGTGAGGACTTCCACATAGGCCCAAACGTGGCAAGTGGGGAACATTCAGGTACCCAGCAGACTTTTTCTTCTGAATCGATAGTTCCAAATCGAGATCACACTCGATCTTGGCCTTAAGAGGCCGATGAGATGAGAATAATCAGCTTTGGGTACGATCGTTGCCCAAACGGGAGTGCAATCGACCCACCGAGTACCACGCGGTGGCACGCTGTGGACTCGCAGTGGATTTCAAAGTCAGACTCTCCATCAGGCTACCTGGATCGAGTCTGACAATCTCGTGATGATCTACAGGGGCATCCATGGAAAACCCAGACGGGAGCCCAGTAAAAAGCGCGGCTAAACCCAGTTCAGGTATTTGATATTTTTTTTTTTTTTTTTTGCTAAACCCCGGCTCTACTGTATGCCCCATCAAGTCCCGACCTGCTGGTCCCGATCGCTCTGTTGCTAATAAAGCCCAGGGCCCCCCGGACCCGAAGACCGGGTTTTTCTGATGCCATCCAACTACTACACTCTCTTTTAGTCCCTCTTTATATCCTAATCCAATCATGGGATCCGAGCTCGGTGTTACCGCCGACTCAAAGTCGGAGCTCAATACCTCGGCTGTGAGTATCTTTTGGGTGACTTTCGGCTGCATCTGGACCGCCATCATCGTCGCTGGTGCGAGTTATCTCATCGTCAACCGCAATACCCCGACAATTCGCATCCGTGGTCTCTGGCTATCGCTCGCTGCCGTTGCGTTTCTTCATCTATATGCCTGGAGTGTTCAATTCGGTCTGTTAATTGGTGCTCTCATGCCCGGAGATGTCGAGTTCTGGATCATGGGAACCTATCTGCCTTGCGGAATTGCTCTGTTCCACGCTTCCAACAGTCGTTTCCTTCACGTCGCCAAGCTCCAGAAGAAGTTCATTCATCACGATGGCCACAGTCGTCCTGAGGCACCGGCCCCGGCCCCGGCCAAGCGTGGCCTGCTCGCCAAGTTCCGCCGTCTCGACTATACCGCCAAGACCGTGTGGCTCGTCAGCATCGCCATGGTCGTGCAGATCTTCCTCACCATTCTCATGTACCTCATTTCTCGCAAGTGGCACAGCTCCTGGGGAATTCCTGGCACTGAGGTCACCGGTACTATCATGGAGCAAAAGTCCGAACAGGGTCGAGGCTGGGAGTGGTGGCCTAGTGTGGCCTGGCAATTCTTCTGGTCTTGGGTCTTCGCCCCCTACATCCTGTGGCAGTCTCGTAACATCCACGACACCCAGGGTTGGCGTACTCAGACCATTGGCTGCGCTATTGCCATGCTTCCTGCCACCCCTCTGTGGCTGATTGGTCTTTACGTCGATGCTATGGCTCCCGTCAACGCCGTCTGGATACCTCCTCAGTGGATCGCCGTTTCCATCTTCTTCATTGAATTCTTCACTGTTCTCCTTCCATGCTGGGAGGTCATGCGCGCCAGCACCCTTCGCCAGGAGACTCTCGACGCCATCGCCCAGTGGGAACGCAAGAACAAGGTCGCTCCTCTGGAGTCCAAGTCTATCGCCTCCGGTTCCACCTTCATTGGTTCCATCATGTCTGGCTGGAAGTCAATGAACGGTTCTGTCAAGACCAACAGTTCCAGCGACAGCATCTTGACCATGAGTGCCCTCGAGCACGTCCTCGAGCGCAATCCTATCCCTCTTTTGGAATTCTCTGCCCTTCGCGAGTTCTCCGGTGAGAACATTGCCTTCCTTATCAGCATTGCTCAATGGAAGAACAGTATTCCCGCGGCTGTCCGAGACGGTTCTGGTGACAACAACACCAAGGACAGCGTTCGCGACTGCTTCAACCACGCCCTGCACATCTACGCCGAGTTCATCAGTGTCCGCCACGCCGAGTTCCCCGTCAACATCTCCCACCAAGACCTTCGCAAGCTTGAAAACATCTTCGAGAAGCCTACACGCATTCTGTACGGTGAGAAGCGTGACTCTGACGTCATCACTCCTTTCGAGGGAGCCGACTACAACATGGAGCCTCCTTCACCCACCTACTCTTCCGGGTCCGAGAAGGCCATGAATGTCTCTACCTCTACCATCAAGGAGCGCGTCTACTACTGGGGTGAGATTCCCGCGGACTTTGGTGCTTCCGTCTTCGACGAGTCGGAAGAGAGCATCAAGTACCTCGTCCTCACCAACACATGGCCCAAGTTCATCAGGAACCACCGGACCTCCATCGGCTCGGTTGAGACTCTCGAGGCTGGCAACGGCGTCGTCGAGATGGCCGACCTTCACAACGAGAAATGAGCATGGCCTACGAAGTAGCCGTGTTCCGGCAGCTATTTGTTTCACCGTCTTTTTAGCGTTGAATTATCTTCCCATTCTTTGTATATACTTTTGCCCCCAGAACTGCGACTCCAGTTCCTTTCACCACACGATACCAGATGTTCATACTAATCGATTACGATCGCTTCTTACAAGACTTTTGAGTTTCTCAAATCCTTACTTTCCTTCTCCATGTGCACCATTCTGCCAATCATGTCTACAATATACCTTCACTCTTACTTTCTATTATTCTTGAAAAGAAAAAATTAAAACAAAACTGAAATCCACCTAGTGGTTAATTCGTGTTCGTGTGTCAAAAGTCTCAAAATTCAGTCAAGTAACCTTATTTTTAGTTCAAACTTTATGACTATTCTTGATTTCGTGAATACACATGAGCCTTTTTTTCAATCAAGAAGGTCTGATGGTTCATCTCGCCCGAGCATATTCGGTATGTGAAGTTTGCAGGGATCAATGATGATGCCTTTCTATTTTTCGCAGCCCGAGCGAGCCAGTGGAAGTACAACCGACGATCGAATGACCCTACAACCTACTCTTAACTTATGTTCAATGGGAATAACACGGGGGACAACAGACACTCTCGTGCTGTGATCGCGGGAGACTCGGCCTGCTATGGAAGCATGGAATGAATCGTCGTCATTTCCCAACTTATTTCGTTGACAAGATGAAAAGACTGCTGCGAGGTCTTTTCAGGCGCAAGATACAATTTACCTTGTACTAAACACACTTAAAGCTTCAATCCAATACTTGGATACTTTCTTTATCTCAACTGAGGGCGTGAGGCTATCAAGTCGGATACTTGATATTCGAATTGCTTTCGCAGCTTCGCCCCCAATTGACCAAGATAGCACAGAGTGAGTGATCGCATCTATGTGAGAATCTCTGGTCTGTTCTCTGTCTCACTATATCATTCAGGCTACACTCTGTGCATATTCTATCTTGGACTTTCCCTCTCCAATAGGCGGATCATATGCTTGAAAGCGGGGTGTAGATTGTGGCACGAACATTCTCCACATCGTTAGCGTAGGATAAGAGGCGACTCTCGTCGCACTTTTATGCCGTGCGACACGTAATACCCCAAAGCGCTGTGAAAAACATCTTGCTTCGATCAACCTTACAACATTGTAACATTGTTTTCCCTTATTCAGAAAGGGCTAAAATCGGCGAGCGCTGTCGACTGAGGTGTTTGGGTCCCGGGTTTCTCGTGTGGACTAACACGGCCCGCTTGCGATACCCCGGAGACCGATGCATTGGCAGAGAAAGGAGAGGGTTTATCGGGTTGTTTTCGGACCAGATACTATCCGGGCTAGTGCAAATTGTGTAATTTGCGATCTTTGGCCCCTCACACGCCACTGTCTTTTCTTTATATTCTTCATGTTCTTCATCCCTTGCTAAGCCCCGCAGCGACTCTTCATGGAAGCCTCTACCAAGATTCCGAGGCCGGTGGCCGTGGACATAGAGATCCAGCCTGCGGATCAAGGTAGCCTTGCAAGCGATGGACCAAGTACAGTGAAGGATGATGGTGATATGCAGCGAATGGGAAAGGTCCAGGAGTTCAAGGTGAGTATCATCCGAGACCCTCAATCCCACGTCTCACATCCTCAATCAGAGAAATTTGCGGCCTATGGCGGCACTGACTTTTGCTTCCGTCTTGCAAGCAACATGGGAGTATATCTTGATGTGAGTTCATGAGGCGCGCTGGAATCTCCATTCGTCGCAATTCTAATTTGTTGCTTGGATATTAGTTCAAATTATGAGGGACTGGAAAACGGAGGACTGCCGGGCATGTTCTGGGGCTACATGTGGACCTTCATTGGGTTCAGCTTCATCATCGCCTCAATCTCTGAAATGTCATCGATGGCGCCGACCTCTGGCGGACAGTACCATTGGGTGTCTGAGTTTTCCTCGCCTCGATACCAAAAGTTCCTTAGCTACATTACAGGTATCTCGTGCACCCTCGAGATCTGTGAGAGAGTTCTGTGCTAATGACTAATTTTTGACGTGTAGGCTGGATGTCAGTTCTGGCCTGGCAAGCTGGGACAGCTTCTGGCTCATATCTTACAGGAACAATAATCCAAGGCCTGATCAGTGTTCGAAACCCAGACTATGAACCCCAGAACTGGCAAGGGACTCTGTTTGTCTTTGCGATGGTTTTGGTGATCTACATTTTTAATGTCTACGTGTCTGATTCGATGGAGATTCTCAGTAACCTATTGATGCTGCTTCATGTTACATCCTGGGCGGTCATTTTGATCATTCTTTGGGCCAAAGCCCCCCACCAATCTGCGGAGGCTGTGTTTGCTACGCAATGGGAAAACTTCGGGGGTGGTCGACCATGGGATTGAGCGTGATGATTGGCCAAATCTCTGCCATCTATGGATGTTTGAGTTCGTATTTTACCTTTTCTGATTGTTAGAGTTATTGCTAATCAGAAATACAGGCTCCGATGCAGCTGCACACATGTCCGAAGAAGTCAAGGATGCAGGCCGAAGCGTGGCTGTCGCCATATTCTGGGGCTATCTGCTGAATGGTATCATGGCAGCTATTTTACTAATCACTTATCTTTTTGCCACTCCATCTGTGGAAGACTCGCTAAATGACGCTACTGGGTTCCCCTTCCTCTACGTCTTCAAACAGGCCACTTCAACGGCAGGCGTGAATGGTCTCGCAGCGATCGTTTTACTGCCCGTTATTTTCAGTAATATTCTATTTAATGCCGCAACATCTCGTCAGACCTTCGCTTTTGCTCGTGATAACGGTCTTCCATTCTCTCGGTGGATAGGGAAAATTGATAAAAAACGCCAGATTCCGATAAATGCCATTGCTCTTTCCTGCACTATCAGCTGTGCACTTTCCCTCATCAATATCGGGTCCGAGACTGCTTTCAACGCTATCATCTCACTCAATGTAGCCGCGTTGATGTATACTTACATTATCTCAATTGGGTGTGTCATCTACCGAAAGATCTGGCATCCCGAATCCCTTCCGCCCCGTCGTTGGAATATGGGACGATGGGGCTTGGCTGTCAACATAATCGGACTTTTATATTGCTGTTTCGCTCTTTTCTGGTCGCTGTGGCCTAGCGATCTCCCAGTAACCCTGGACAACTTTAATTGGAGTGTGGTCATTTTCGGAGGAGTCTTCATCATCAGCCTTGCCATGTATTTGATCAAGGGACGGAAAGAGTATTCTGGTCCCGCAGCTATCGTGCGAAGATGACTTTCAATCACCCGTGCACGAGGAGAAGGCTTCTTCTCAGAATCTCGTTGCAAATATCATCTGATTTAGAGTGTCCCTTTTAGTCTTAGACTGCATGATGTCCATGTTCCGGGTGGAAGGCACATTCAAACCCGTAAATTGCACTCTACTTCATAGGGAAGGGGTGACTTGTATTACGATGGACCTGTGATGACTACAATACCCAGTACATATCATCCAAACCGAGGGCTTACGTGCGTGAACTTGATCCATGTCACGCAGAAGAACGATCCTACTTATCATAGCTGGTGAAAAATTCAAGCACGATCGACGTGCCTGTTTAGATTAAAAGGCTAGATACCTGTCTCAAAACGACGTCCAACGTCGAGACCGCTAGATATTTTCGAATCCACCAATAGAGCTCGAATTGGCAATCAACGGAACTCGCTGCGAGTCTCAACGTTCTCAATAGTGACGCTACCGGGCTTTTCATGTGTCTCATGAGCAGCTTCAACTCCTTTCTGCTGTGCTAGAACCTGCTCGCCCTGCACAACATGGTTGGCGCCACCGAACAACGCATCAATTTCCTCCAGCGGAACCTGCTTAGTTTCCGGAATGAAGAAAAAGACGAACAGCGCCAACAAGAAGTTGATCCCGGCAAACATGTAGAATGCGTAGAAGCCGTCGTTGTCGAGGAAAATAGGGAAGAATTGCTGGAAGATAGTGTTGGCGACGTTTTCTGGAAGTTGGTCAGTTTTGCGCTGTTCAAGTGTTTGGGATATTGTGCACAAACGAGTTTGCGAGGCCATCCCAACTGCTTGCGCTCTCACATTCATGGAAAAGACCTCCGAGGTCCAAATCCAGACTGTTGCGCCCCATGATGGTTTATCTGAGTGGCTGTTAGAAAATTTTGGACTCTGGCTCTTGAATCTGTATGTGGGAAACTCACAGAAGAATATGAATAGGAAAAGAAGGAACACAATCGATATACCAACTGATTCTGATTTAGCCCCGTTGGCTAAATTTGGCGTTTCAGTTTCGACAGCGGCGACGATGATCATGCAAATACCCATTCCGATACCACCAACGATGAGAAGGAATTTTCTTCCAAATCTATCAATGATCCAGACAGCATTGAGGGTGAAGAGAATTCCGAAAGTAGCATTGAGGGCGTTGATCAAGGCGATCTGGCTGTCGCTGGTGAATACTTTCTTATAGATCTTGGTGGAGTATGAGTTCAGTGAGCCTTGTCCAGTAAGTTGCTGGCCAGCATTGATGACGAGTGCAAGAAGCATGCGCTTGCGAAGAGACTTGTCTTTCCACAGAGCGCTATAGTTGCCAGAGATGGCCTCTTTTTTCGTATTCAATGGCCTCACGGATCTGAAGAATCTCGTCTTCTACTTCCTCTTCGCTGTCACGCACTCTTCTCAGGGCGGAACGTGCCTTCTCGATGTTGTTTCCGCGTTTGATGAACCTAGATTCGGTAAGCTTGGTCTTCTCATCATGGTTGGCGACTCTTGACAAAGGCAACTCACCAACGAGGGCTACCAGGCATTGTCGGAAGCAGCGCAAGGATCAAGACAGGGACCAAGAGCTGGAAGATGACGACTAGCTTCCAGTCCCATTCACCTAGCTTCTCAACGTTCTTGGTGCAGGCATAGTTGATCCAGAAGCAGATGAATGACCCGACAGAGTAGAACATCTGCCAGAAGGTCATGATCTTTCCTCTTATCTCCGGTGGAGACAGTTCGCCAATATACACCGGTCCGGCAGCTATTGAAAGATCCATGTTAGTCGCCGAGCTATGAACAGACAAATTTGTCAAACGGTGAGACTTACTCAGTGCAACACCCTGACCAATACCAATGATACATCTTCCTACTAGGAAACAAGCAAGGCTATGGCGAGGAGCAAATGTTTGCATAAATGTAGCCCCGATAACCAGGACACAGCCAATAGCCATGCCGACTTTGCGACCAAGGTAGTCGGCTACCGGTCCTCCAACGAAGAACCCACCGAAGATGGCGCCAACAGTGTAAGCAGTGTTGATTGAGCCGATCGTCGCTGCGCTTGGATTATTGAAGTAGGCCATCCAGTTGTCTGAGCCCTGGACCGAGTTGAAAACCGACGCATCATAGCCATAAAGCACCATACACGCTGCTGCCACGAGCGAGATGAACCTTGATCTTATCAGTAAGACTTTTTCGAGAGATTTTCCAGTACACCTTACCAATTGTAGGCCCTCTTGGAGCTCATGCCGAGCACCATTCTGACGGCAGTGTTCTAGAATCGACAGTTGAACAGGTCTTGGGGGCGGGGACCGGAAGGGATAGAGATGAATGAACCACCCTTTGTGCAGGAGAGGCCAAAGCAAGATAGGCACCGAAAGACCAGCCTAATGATAGCCCTGTTCGGAGACAGGAAGAGAAGCAGTCCACAATTTTCGGGGGGACTGGGGAAAACAAGCGGAGTACCCCAGATATATATGGCCTCGCCAAGCATGTCTGGGGAACTGGGGCAGCTCCCAACGCGTAAAATCAAAGACAGTCACGATACCGATCAAACCATGCTTGAAATCGACGCCCCCCAGAAAACGCTAAGCATAACTTGCATTTTTGATAACAACAGCCCCGTCAGTTGCGGGTCTCTAAGTGGTGGGGTATTCCGAAAGCTCCACGCATAGGAAGCGGACTCAAACGCCTTGCTGATAGCCGATTCGCTTCGAGCTCTTTGGGGCAGAAGGTTGATACCTGGGGTAGCTCTGATCTGGGGTTCGAGGATATTTTGTTCCGCGAGGTGATCTATTTTCTGATTTCCACGAATCAACGGCTCGCCCAACCGGGGGCTGGGAGAGAGTTGACTCCACCAATCGCGGGACTCGAAAGGATCTAATTTAGACTGACAGTCCCGGGCTAGAATCGATGTGGATGTCGTTCAGGCAAAGTAAAGCGATGAATTTGACTTCTGTGGGATACGATGAAGGCCCCGGGTCCATGTCACATGGGGGGCTGAGTGCTTTGGGCTGAGACTATCTCAGAGGTTCCTAACTAGAAGACATGAACTACGTAGAAAAGGAAGAGACGATAAATTGAGTCAGCTCCAAGCCCCAGCCTGCCCGTCACGTGCATCTCTACATCGGTCCCCGCCATCATACAGTCATCTTTGACACACATCCCTTCCTTGTGCCTCGGTCGGTGCCCAGCTTCATTCGATTCAATGGTCATGGTCGGACAGCAGGGCCTAAAGGCTGACTCTGTTTGTTCGCCATGCAAACTAGGCAAAAGACGTTGCGACAAGGCACTGCCTTCCTGCTCCAGATGTAGAAGGTGGGTGGCGTTGGTCATACCATAATACCATGGGGCAACTACTGATCATCCGGCACACTATTCAGAACATACAAAGTATGCGAGTATCCGTATGTAGAATCATCAGCAACAGACTTGCGAGGATACAAAGCTTGATAAGAGGATTTCCAGGCTTCTGTTGTACCTTTTAGAGCTTCAACCCAAGCCTGTATGAGGTGCAGGTATGGTGATTATGAGCCAGGATAAAAACCCCAAGTTTGACAGTTCAGACTCCACAAACGCAAATGTGATCGGCTCAAACCCTCTTGCTCGCGTTGTGCCAGGTATGAATGCCTCTTCCCTGTTACTGGCCTGGCAAAAGCCGAGCCTCCTATGGTTTTGATTATCAGACATCTTGTTCTCACCCCTGAGGAGACTGACTCGGTCCAGAGTGCGCTCGAGTTGTGAATATGGGGCTGCCAATGAACAGTTCTCCATAGTGCCAAGCGCTCCAAGAGCACGCTCACCTCGAGAGACTTCACCCGTGGACTTGGACTTGAGCTCTTTGTTGGTGCCTGGGGCTTCGTTACATCCACCCGTAAAATTTCACCCTTATATGTCAGTTTTGCTAGATTTTTGTAAGTCGCTTGACCACTTGCTCCGATTGAACAAAGAATACTTCGGTGCACTATGGATTACTCTTCGCCTTTCCTCTTCCATCACAAAGCTTATTAAAAGCCAAGAGAACTAACCCTCTCTACTCGCCGGATAGTCTTGACCTCAGTAGCTCTGCCTTCCAATGTCACCACGCAAGATAGCTTAGCCTCGCACCTCCACTCGAAGTGGATTCATGTTGCGATGCTAGACTCTTGTCTCTTTCACGCCACCATGTTTAGTGCAACGGCGACTCTTGATCGCCTCAAGAATCGGGACAACGGCTTGATCACCATATATCACCAGATATGGGCTGTTCGATTGCTTAATGAGCGCCTCAATCAGGAAATTCCAATTCTGGACTACGGTACTTTGGGATCCGTGGTGCCCTTGATACTTCACATTGTAAACAGTCCCTAGAAGTGTTCCACCCGTAGGAGGAAATTCGCTACTAACGCGGATCCAGGTAGCGACATTAGACCGGGCTACAGCGGTAGCTCACCAGAAGGGCCTCGTCAAGATGCTACTCTCAATATCGAAGCCACTGAGAGATGGAATAGGACCGCTACTCGGCCTCATCAAACTGTGGGAAACGTTCGCGCAAACACATTTATCATCACATTGTCTAATTTCTAAAGAAGAGTAATGATGGCCGTCGCCTGCGTGTTTGACGCGCCCCTTGTTTGGGATTGTTTGCTCTCGAGGTCAGTCCGTCCCATTTCAATCTTCGAAACCTCGTCACCGGTGGTATTTTTGGCAAAAACGGACCTATTTATGGAAAGGAGACCGTGGACGCGACTCTCGATGTGTATGAGGCGGTCTCCAAACTAGATCATCTCATCCATGCCGATGTGGCGTCCATCGCTCGGGAACTTGGACAGGTGCTCTTGTCAAAGAAACGTGATGATCAATCCGATCGCATCCAAACCATGTCCGCGCCTTCGAATACAGTCGACAGAGTAAATGCATGCTGTCAGCTCAGTCCATCCATTCTCTGGAAGTTACTCAAAAGCCAGGCTCAAACTCCAGCTGGTACCCCCTCGACCGATACAGAAGAGGTGATTCTACTCTTGAAGCATTTGACGACTTTTGAGTCTCAGTATTGGATTCAGAATGCTCCAGAGGCCTTGACATGGATCGTGTTTACAGGAGTGGCTTCATCGATTGATAAACAAGCGAGAGAGAGATGCATTCAGTTTGGGGAAACTTGCTGGCAGCTGTTGATTCTGATAGCCTAGTGATGATCAGGCAAGGCTGGAGATTCTGCGGTCTCTTGAAGAAACTGGCTGGATTCTCATTGCCTGACAAACCTCTAGAGGGTTTTGTTTAGATTAAAACCACAAATAACCCCACCAAAGAAGCGAGTCAAGAGAGGAATCTCATAGTTCTAGTCTTTCCAGCTTTTTTCGGGTCCAATTCCATAGCTCATGTACCATTTTTTGATCTCTTGCAGCTTTATTGGCCATTGCAACACTGCCAATCCGTGGATATACGCTCCGTTATTGACATCCAGAAAGAATTTGGCAAGATTGCGGCGTAAATGATGCAGCTTGGTCTCTCGCGGGGACCAGGAGCCCCTGACTCCACTAGGGTCTCGGAAAAGCGATAGAGTGGTCCCAGCGACAGACCTCTACAGACAATCAGCAATTGCAAAAAAGCACGCTATTATGATTGGTAAGTTGAACGTACGCTTTGACAGCTCCTGGATGCAGAGAAAGAGACCAAATATTATTCTATTCATTCGATCAGTCTGAGGTGCTACACATCGGTAAGATTCAAGATTCTTGCATATCGACATACTAGGAAGACTTCTCAGCTGCTTGTCAGGCACAACAAGTCTGCAAGGTCAAGTGAAAATAAGTGGACATCTACAACTGGCAACTCCTATTGCTTCCATTCTTAAATTCATTGGTCTTTGAACCGATCGACTAGCGATATAGACACGGACACCTCGCTCAGCCAACTCGACGCTTGTACCACACTCCCTGTCAAATGATTAGCTTCTAGCCTCAAGCTTCCAGAAAAGCCCGAGCAAGGTACACGTAATGTTAGTGAATATATCACTTAAGGCCCCGTGTGTCCACCAGCTACTATAGCGACCTTACCGGAAAGGTCGGAGGTCGATGGCTCCAAATTGAATCTCATGGTTGATCCTCGGTGATGGCCATGAGGAAAAGATTGGTTTTCGAGTGAGAGTCAAATGGCGAACCACCCATTAAACTATGCAGCTGCTTTTCGAGCAGTGGTAAATTCGTCCTATCTCCTCTGACCTGCATCGCGAGGCTTTTTTTTCCGGCCGCAGATGCGGCGTGGGGCTACCTACGTTCCACAAAAACGAAAATAGAATGGTAGCCTACTGGAAGATAAAAAGAAAGAATAAGTCAAACATATCTAGGAATCATTACCTAAACGAAGGACGAACCCACTACGTAGTTGAGTTCTGGAAATACAAGAAACCAATGTAGAAGAGCACCTTTACCTGAATGCTGACCATGCTACTTTTGCTTGATAAATTTTCAAAAATAGCTTCAAACAACATGGTTTTGTCTTGGACTCGATCAAAGCCGAGCTGATGTGGTGAAGCAATCTACTCAGGACTATGACACGCTCAGGCCTACTCAAAAGACCTTTCGCTTTCGTCTCACTTAGAACTTGAGTTCACGACAATTTGGTACAGTATTATTCCAGGTCTTCCAATTGTATTCTCCCTCGTCCTTATCTCTGTACCTCTTCGTGGGTGAGAGTGATCAAATTGGTTTCAATGCGATCACGTGTTCTCGCGATCTACTGACGCGGTTCCGCGCGACTCCAAAAAAGTTCGGCTTAAAGCTGAAGTTGTTCATTCCTTCGAGATCTTGTTTACTCTGGACCTGAGACTTTCTCATGACGGCCAATAATTTCGGTCTTTCTCCCTGATCTGTCCTCACCTCATTCGCGATGCCCCGCAAAGAAGCAAAGAAGCAAACGCGACTTGCATTTGCCCCAACGGTTGCATCTCCGTCTCGCGATGGAGGCGACGACAGTAGCGATCGCTTCGCAAGGCTGTCGTACGGGCACCCGAGTGTGGCCTCAGTACGAACGGATGTTTCTCAGAAAAGCAAGGCTTCGGGGTCCAAGAAGAAGAGCTCGTCCAGATCCAAGAAGGAAACTCCCGATCTAGGCCGAGAATCACCAGTCAAACAGGCTAGCAAAGGTGGGGCAAGAGTTATGTATCCTTACTTGACATTCAGGTCGCTAAGACGTATTCTTTGTTCAAAGTCCAAGCTGCAACACAAAATGAAGAGGAATCATCAGATGACGACATCATCATTCCCAGCTCCCAGAGAAAACGACGAGCAGTTCCCGATCTTAGCAAGATGCCCATGAGTCCTTCGGCGTCCAACTCAAAGAAGAAAACTCGACATATCTCACGGCCTGCGAACGAAGAGGCCATGGAGGAAACTTCTCAGCCGCGCCGGAGACTTAAGCGCAAAGCAGAGAGCTCGCCTGTGGTTGTGCTGAGCGACAGTGATGATTCGGAAGACCCTGTGGTATCCTCACCTGTCAAGAGGAGACGCCTTCCAGACCCAGACACACCTCAGACACCCCGGTCAAGTGAGGACCAAGACGATTTGGACATTCAAGAAGATCTAAGAGATCTACAGGACTCAGGTATGTCCAAATACGCTTGTTGTACGACATGGCCACAGAGCTTACAACATTCTAGTTGTCAAGAAAACCCGCACACGCGGCCGCGTTGCTGAATCTGCGAGAGACAAGCGGTTCAGACATCTAGAAGCTCTCCGTCGTCGGCGTCTTGGACTTCCAGAGGAAAGTGAACACGAGACAGCATCAGGAAACGATGACGATGAAAGTGAACATGACAATGAAAACGGCCATGAAGACGAAGCCGATGCGAGCCCAACACATCGAATTGAATATCGAAACCAGCTTGATAGTGACGTGGAGTCCGCCATCGACCCTAACGAGGACCTGGACAAGTACGAGGACGACTTCGTGCTAGAGGATGACACCACAGAGCTGGGTGTTCCGACCGAAGAAATGCCCTTCGAATTCACTCGCCACGCCTACAAACAGCCAAAAGAATACTTCCGTGATGTGGTTGGGTGGATGGTGCACAACCGACTCGACCCAGCATTTCCACGCGACGACGACATGTACAAAGTGGCCTTTATGAAACTAGAGGACGAAGTCAAGGCACGCGCTGGATCGCAACTGATCTCTTCAGTATGGAATTCTGAATTCGTCCGGGCACTTCGGGCCAGACCACACATGGAGCTGTCTGCATTTCCCACTGATCTCGGTCACTCCTGTGATGCATGCAAGCGATCGGGCCACCCCGCATCTTCTGATATCAGATTATACGGCAAAGCATATTCTCTCTCCACGCTTGAGCCTCTTAACGATGAAAGCTCTGAGGACTCGGACAATTCTGACTCTAGTGAAGCATCTGGCGTTGAGCGAGACCGGGATGGTCATGAGCTGCCGGGTGAAGAGAAACGATTCTATCTAGGAAGGTCAGTCTCAGTTACTTTCACTAGTCCTCCTATGCCCATCAGCCTAACCTATCAATAGACACTGTAAGGACAAGGCCCAGTTAGCTCATACTCTGATGCACTGGCGGTATCAACTCAACGAGTGGGTTGTTGATTATCTCGATCGCATGGGTCAAATGGAGGACTCTGAGATCCTTCGACGAAGTACCTTGAGCCAGAAGCGCAAGACGCGAAACGCTATCGATATCATCAAGCAAATGGTTGAGGCCGGGGAGATTGAGAAGCTTTGGCGGGATTTCCATATCGCTCTGAAAGCTGCTCGAGAGAAAACGGTATGTCATGCAACGAAAATGAAATTATGGTATGTGACTAATCTTATTGTTTTCATTTTAGTCTATCTTGGGATGAGCGCGAGCATCTGCATCTCCATCCACTTGCATCATTTACCATTCTTGCTGTTTTTACTATAATACCCCCATTTCATGATCTCAACGCAACTTTGTAATTATGGACCCCTTCCGTCATTAGGCAATGGAATCCGAACTAAATGTGTCTTGAAAGCACATGGCATGAAATAGGCCGAAAACTCAAGTTCCATCATGTAAGACATACAGATCACGAAGAGAAGAGAACAGAGTGAACATGGAAGGCATATGTAGAGGACATGGAGAGAAAAAAGGGTGGTTGTGGTTGTACAAATACATGCATGCACGAGCTGCCGGAGCCAATATTTCTGGAAAAACACATGAAGGAAGCAAGAAAAGTGAGGACAAGGACGTTGACAAAGATATGGGCTAGTGACTCAGGTGACCGTGGCGCAGAGCTGATTCTCGAATCATGGTGTTCGAAGTTCGTCGTGCTGGGCAGGACTGGTCTCGGATCAAGGCCGAGTATGATCCACCCACTCGCGGTCGCTCGGAGATTCCTTCCGTCGATTTCGATCCCCCTAAAAACTGGTATCGATCGGCTTCCAGGACACTTGGTTTTTTGTCGCATCCTTGCGTGCTGGGGTCGTATTAATTTACAGGATGGCCTGGGCCTCCTGCTTCTCGGGCTCAACGCCGGGAGTGAGCATCTATTGATAGAAGAGAAGGTTAGTCACTCATTCGACCAAAATATCGCGATCGAGTCGTGCTGGCTACGTTGCTATTGAGCCATGAGAGATTTTCAAGCCACCTCAGGTCGAGGACACCAGAGGCGACAAGTGAAGGCAATCAAAGCACGGTGCCAATACTGATACAACCTATCCGATATTCTGAAGTGGAGAGTGAAGGATCGAAACGTACCTCGTTGGCGCCCTTGATCATGCCCTGCTCGCGCTCCATCTGGATGTACTGCTCCTCCTCAGCGTAGGCCAGAGCCCACGGGACGCCGATCAGGAAAGCGCTGGTGCTAATGATCCAAAGGGCACGGCCGCTGAAGGAAAGACCGGCCTTGGTGAAGGATGTGACGTTGGAGACAGTGCTGGTGATGGTGCGACGCGCGGGAGGGGGAGCATGTCTTTCAAGGCGGAGACACGCTCGTAAAGAGATTCCTCCTCGACAATTTCCTCATCTTCGTTGGAAATTTCGGACTCTGAATAAATCGCGAGATAACGTTAGTTGTTGTTTTGATGATTTTGACGACAAGTGGCTCTGGGGTCGCTGGTGCAGTGTCGGAAGTGTGTAATTCTGGCTCGGGTGCATTGGAATCATCCTTGGGAGGAACCGACATGCATTGATGGATGTATCGAAGTAGACGATGGGTTCGAAGCATGATGCGAATTTTGCCTCGGGCGCAAGAACAGGAGTTCACTTACCGGTGTCACTGTAGTCCTCGTCCTCATCGTCAGAGACCAAGAGGGCATCGTTCTTGGTGGCAGTGGGCTTCTCGGAGAAGTGCTCGTCCTCGACTTCGGTAAGCTTGACCATTTTCGCGGTGAAATATAGGGGGATTGAGATAGGGAAAGATGAGAGTTGGTGATGGTTGGAAGAACGGAGCGCGTGGTCCGGCTCCGACTTTTTTGCCGGGCAAAAGCGGCGAGGAGCTTGGACCCGTCGGGAACCACGACATCATCGTTTACTCTTTTCCATCGTTTATATAGTATGAAAGTATCTAGGCACTGCTATAGCTGTAGTTTAATTTCGCTGTGGGGCTGGCTACAGCGCTGGCGGCCGCAAGGGTAAGCAAGATCAGTTTGCGATCTACCTGCCTCAGGGAGAGCTCCAAGAAACCTTGTGAGAAGAGGACGCAAACGCGGGACAAGTTCAGCGACGGATTACTCGGACTGAAGGCCGCTGGACTTCTTTACCATCCGCCAAGCTACCTTATGGTTACCGCAGCGGAGGACTCTGCCGGGTATACAGACTTACATGGGATTCCATACTGGCTTTCAGGTACTTTACTGGAAGGGTGCCAATCCGCCAGCCACAATGGACTGGGCCGACCGACTGAGGTACCGCCCCATGAGGTCGCTTTTGCCGCATCGCCAGAAATCGATTAGCTGCCTGGCGGCCTCACGGGCGAAAGCGGAGTCGCTGCGTAACCAACGAGGCTGTGAAATGGAAACTGTGGGAGGCCGAGGTATCTGATAATCAGTCGGCGACAAGGCAATATGTATGACAGCTTCAGACGTGGGATGCAGATCCCCGGTGCACCTTTGACACACGAACGGATGGTCGACCTAGACCGGTAAAGGAGCCTGCAGGTAGGCGGCAGTAAGAACAGCTCGTTCCATGAGCGTCTGGACAAATCCACTTACCTCACAACTGTCGTCCTGTGGATGGCAGAGAAGAGACGGTTACCGTCATGCTTGGAACTCGGAGAAGGAATACTTGATAGTTAAATATGTCTGCTTTCCCATTAAGGCACACTGCCGCTGCTACTCATACAATGCGTACCGTAAGCCCAGCGCTGAATGATGCACCCACCCCACAAGGATGCCCACGATAGATAAAGGGGGATAATTTATATATCTACAAAAAGATGAAGGGACTGTCACCACCGCATCCAGTTCCCTCTTCTACACTACAGTGACCCCGTCGCATCCCTCAGTGCTGCCAACATGCTTGATTACTCCATGGTCGCCGTCGACTTCGCTAGTCGTCCTTGGCTAATGTTGTTGTAGGTTGTAGTTCAGAGGTATATAATTGTATATTATTCAGAGAGAAACATGAGGCTATATATATACGAGAAGAATAAGTTGATTTCCAATCAACTTGATTCTTCGTATAGGTACCTCGGAATTATTTCCGATGGTTCGGCTTGCTTCCTGATCTGCACCAGCCTCATATCACAACAAATGTTCCCCGTCGAACACTCGATCCAATGAAGCATTTACATGGCTGACTCAATCATTTTGAGCCTCCCAGCGATATAGTAGTTAGGGGTAGCATCCGGTATTCCAATCCCTGCGCCAATCCGACGCTAAGGTCCCTTTGACAAGACATTTATTAGCCCGCATCGAGACAAGTCCCAAAAATGGTCACGAATCTAGTCCCAGCTAGCGCGATGCCGACCCCGCATTGAACCCCGTGTTCTTCCCCGTGCTTTTCCGTCCGGGAGGTATCTCCAGATTCTCCGGATCGACACGCAAGCCTACCGAGGAAAGGCCTGCAACACGGCATCACGGTCACTTCCATCACCGCAGCTCACTACTCCGGACTACCATCCTCATCGCCACACGAAAATAGTATCACCTAAAGACACCAAACCAGACGACCCCTACCGTATAGTCTCGCCTTGGAGTCGATATGGCGCCCAGGTCTTGATGTGCTCCAATTCGACTTTGACTTCTCCAATTCGATAGAGACGACCATGGCCACAATAATTGCACAAACGCCAGCTGCGGCTAGCAATGAACGCATCCGCCGTCCACGACGACATTACAAATGCGCCTACTGCCAGAAGGTGTTCAAGCGCAGCGAGCACTGTATCCGCCACGAGCGCACCCACACAAACGAGAAGCCATTCTCCTGCCGATACTGCCGACGTTCATACTCGAGGAAGGATCTGGTCACCAGACATGAGCGTACCCTGCATGCGCAAGGCCAGGCCGAGCCTTCTGCTCTGCCCCTGCCGGTATCCCAGCCGTAGGTGACGAGCCTGATGGTTCACTAAGTGACGCCGGCAACGGCTCGGTCCCGGGTCGAAAGCGCCGCAGAATTGACGCAACCGTTCTGGGTGCCGCCGACGACGCGGATCTACCACCGTCAGAATCGGAGCCTAGCCCTGCCTCGAGCGCCATTCGGGGAGGCGTAGACTCACCCTCCAACCATACTTATACATTCCCTGGCGAAAATGGAACGACCGATTCAGTCACGGATGAACCACGGACCCAAAGTCCTGCGCCCCGTCGCAAAACACCCCTACGGCAGTCAATATCAAGTCTCGCCAACGTACTGGACGCGCCGGGACATGCGACCTCGGCATCACAGCAATCTGACGTCTATACAGGACTGCATTTCGACGTATACGATGCCACATCCCAGATGCCCATGGACGTCGACCTTGATCAGGGATCGAGACACCCTGACGAGTACAGTAATGCATCTGAGCAGAACCACACTCAGCTGCAGCAACAGCCTCAACCACTATACCCCTTCTCACAATATCATGATGCCGGGGCGCAAGCGAATGCCACCAATCAGAACTTGGATCCTGAGACTTTTTGCTGCCTTCGAACCGGCCGACATGTCGTCCTTCTTCACCTTCTCCCCGTTTCCCGCCGGCCTCTTCGACGTCGGCCAGAACATGCCGAACATGGCAATGCCCGGCATGGCAGGCTACCAACAACTCCAGACTAACGTATCACCTTCAGCTACACGCCTCGATGCGGCCACCTCTCCAGCGTCAGCACCGCCGGCGCACTCGCCGTCCCAGCTCCAGCAAGTGAAGGATCACGCAACATCAAGCGGGTCTGACAGTATGGCTGCTAGAGCAGCGCCGAGTAATTTGCCTTTTCTGGTCAAGGACGAGCCACCACAGATACCAAACCTTGCAGCCGATAATAACTGGCATGCTTCGCTCTGTAAGGATCTCGCTGAGCGGTTAGGGCGGCCCGATGTCATACAGGAGGTGCCGTCATCCAAACTTTTGCAAGGTTTCCTCACGAGCTTCCTGGACTGCTACTACAGACACCAGCCGTTTATCCACTTACCCACCCTGTCCGCCGCCAACACTCCCAGTCCGCTGATTCTGGGCATGTGTTGCATTGGTGCTCTTTACCGTCTCGACCGCCGTCGGGCAGAGAGGCTTTACACCCTTGGTACCGAGTCCATTGCAAGTGTACGTAACACGCACCCCTGCTGTACCATTGACAAGACAAGGCCTTTCACTGACTCTGTCGTTCCACCTCCTGCAGGATGTACGGGCATTCCTCAAATTCTCAGCGGAACTACCCCTGTGGGTAGGACAAACCAAGATGCTCCTGACTGCCTACGCCGCTCTGAGCGGCGACAAAGCCCTTGCGGGGTCCGTCATGGAAGACAACGGCTTCTTCACCTTGGTAAGCACCCTCTACCCCTTACCCTATCTACCACCACTAACACCTCTTCCCCAGCTCTACGGCAAAACCCGCGTCGCCCTCGCAGCCCAAGACCCGGACATCACCAAAATGACCTGGGACGTGTGGATCCGGCGGGAATCCTCGAAACGTCTCCTAGGCGGCATCTACGTCGCCAGCACGGTCCACCTGATAATCTGGGATATCAATCCCTATGTCAACACCTCCCACGATCTCGAAATCGAAGTCCTCCACGAAGAATCCCTCTGGAACGCAAAGACTGGCGCGGAATGGGCCGACCTGACGGCCAACCAGCCGCGACAGGACTACCGCACCCTCAAAGACGGCCTCGCCTCCATCATGTCCGACAGTAAACCCGACTCCCCTCGCATCACCGCCTGTCGCCTTTCCCCGTTTACGGCCCACCTCCTCATGCACGCCGTGGTAGTGCACGTCTGGCAGCTCGTGCAGGTGGCTCAAACACTCTCCCCTCCCCCTCGGGTGCCCTGGGCCGCGATCCGGTTTCTTCTCTGCTCATGAACTCGGCCTTCCGATCGCTAGCCCGGTCCCACGAGTTGTTGGTTAGCGCAGAAGATCCCACGAGCGCTAGTCACGAAGAGGGAACGAGCCACATCTTCAATTGTCACGCCACGCTCAGGATGGCGTATATCCGCCTCTTCAGCGTGGCGCGCGGGTTCGAGCGGCCGAGTCTCATGACGAGTTCTGATCCTGGAGCCGCAAAGGCGTTCGCGTCGCAGTTCGCGACGACGAAGTTAGAACGCAGTCCGCAGCTGTTTAATGCTGTTGTCAAGGCGTTTGAGGGGCTGAGTATACCGGTTTGGATGGGACATATGTTGGTGAGGAAGACGGCGGCGTTGAGGTGGAGTCCGGCGCATGCTATCAGTGGGTGGGATTGTGGTATGTCATCCTTCTGTGCTGTTGAATGATGAGAGAAGAGAATGCTAACGTATGGGGGCGATCAGCGCTGTTTGTTTGTAAATGGGTGCATTCGGTCGAGATGGATCGGTTGAACGATATCGAGCCGAGCCCGGCTGAGAACGAGCTGCTGGAGAATATCAAGGATGTGCTCGAGGAGGCGGAGTATGACCCGGGGAAGAGCCGATCGCTCGCTGCCGGTGTGGCGAGGACGTGGAGCTGGCTGCTTCAGGATGTGAGTACCAGTTGCCTTGCTACGGTTGTTGTTGGTTGCTGACATCTGTTGCAGGTTTGGGTGTGGAGCATCACCCCCCCTGATGGGAGCGGTCCTCGAGCAGATGGCAGCTGCTTTTGAGCGTGTCCATGATGCGAATCGACGACCGGGGGCGTAAGAGTCGAATGTCATGGAATTTGCGACCATCTGTCACAAGCCCACGACGGGGGAAGTACAGAGGCGGAGGCAATATATCCAAGCATCACCACATGCGAATTTACTAGACGGTCTGCAGCACCGGAGCGGGTAATTCAACGCATGACAAGATCAAACAAGAGCTACTCTACTCTACCTCCAACCCCTCCAAAAACTCCAACACAGCCCCCTGACACTCCTCCGCCGCCGTCGAGTAAATCTCATGCCCGCCCGACTCAATCAGCCTCAGTCTCGCCGACGGTATCTTCTCCGCCAGTTCCCTCATACTCTCAACAGTCATCATAGCACTATTCGTCGGCGCCAGTATTAACATCGGCGTCCTAATCTCCCCCCAGATACGGCCTCGAGTCGAGCCTACACAAAAACTCGGCATACCCGGCCAATCCGTCGCTCTCACTCTCGCTCACTCTATCAATCCACCACTGCTTGTACGCCGGGTCGTCGCTCGCCAGCGTGTTCTCACCGGCAGCCAGAGACTCTGCCCACCACCGCGTCCCTCTGGCTCTGATCCCCTCCGGCCAGGACCTCTCCCCAAAAGCGAGGAATCTCTGTCCCGCTTCGGGGAGGTGGGTGGGGGGAGGAGCAGATGATTATCGAGGAAACTCTGTCCGGGTGTTTGGCCGCCAGGATCTCGGCTAGCATGCCGCTCGTGGATTCGCCTAGGAAGTGGACTTTTGCCAGGCCGAGCTGGTCCAGGGTGTCGATGATCTCGGAGATGATGGTCTCGACGGAGTAGTCGTATTCGTCTTCTGGTTTGGGGTGGGAGGAGGCGCCGTGGCCCCGGAGCTCGCGGCGGATGACGTTGTATTTTTGTGACAAGGCGGGGACCCAGTGGTAGAAGTGCGCGGCTGTGCGGCCGAAGCCGTGCTGGATTAGGATTGTTTCGGGGGGGGGGACCGCCAGGGGTCGGCGAAGGTGTCGTGGATGTAGGCTGTTGACTGGCCGTTGGGATGGTGAATGAATTGTCGGCGGAGGGTGAGGGAGGGGAGGAGGGAGGGAGCGGTGGTGGGAGACATGGTGGGATAGGTGGTGTTGCTGTTATTGAGTTTAAGTCGATAAGTCAACCTTCGAATCCGGGCAGGTTAAGTGATAAGAGTTAGTTATCTGTTAGAGAAGCGTGAGAGAAAGAAATGCAAACAGTGGGCATGTCTTGGTCCCAGGACCTCACGAAGTCTTGTCTTTACCTGGGTTTTGTGTGTCTGTAGCATTACCCCTGCTCATGTGGTGCTCGTTTGGGGTCTTGGAGTGCGGGGACCCCGTGCCTCGACTCCAAATCGTTACCCCACACTCAGTTCTCATATACCTAGTCCATTCCAGAGGCAGACCATCTCTGAAGTCTATGTTGGAAGCACAGGTTCTCGGGTTCAAGATCCTTTGGTGTAACACTACGCAAACATGGACAAGCCACTCAATGTCGGCTTCATAGGCCTCGGCGCCATGGGCTATCCTATGGCAGCCAACCTAGCCACCAAGCTGCCAGAGGGCTCAAAAGTCTACGTCTTTGACATCTTCAAAGGTGCTCTGGAGTCCTTCACCAAGTCCCATCCCACATCGAGCGAGATCTGTGATTCTCCCAGAGCCGTCGCCGAGCATGCGGTAAGTCTAATCTCTCTTGCTACCCTCGAACCCGGACACTGATACGCGTGTGCCTTCCAGGAAATAATCCTCACCATGGTTCCCGAAGGCTCTCACGTCCGCTCCGTCTACCTTGACCCCAACACCGGCATCCTCACCCACCCCTCCCTCGCCTCCCACCTGCTCATCGACTGCTCCACAATCGACACCGAGACATCTTCCCTCGTTCACTCCCGCATAGCCTCGCGCAGTCCAACGGCAAGCTTCTTCGACGCCCCTGTCTCAGGCGGAACCCTCGGAGCCGAAAAAGCCACCCTAACCTTCATGCTCGGCAGCTCCGAGTCCTCTCCCCAGTTTCCTCTGCTCAACTCCCTGCTCAGTCTAATGGGCGCACCATCGTCCCCTGCGGCGGCCCCGGATTCGGACTCACGGCCAAGCTGTGCAATAACTACTGCTCCGGGTTGATAGCGCTCGCTACGGCCGAGGCGATGAATATCGGGATGCGGTCGGGGATGGATCCCAGGCTGCTTGCCAAAGTGTTCAGCAGTAGTACGGCACAGAGCACGATTTGTGACAAGTGGAACCCGGTGCCGGGCGTGGTGCCCGAGGCGCCGAGTAGTAATGGGTATAGGGGGGGGTTCAAGGTGCAGCTGATGAAGAAGGACTTTGGGCTCGCGGTCGAGGCGGGGAGGGGGAGTGGGAGCGAAGATGGTGCTGGGAGAGGTGGGGTTGAGGGGGTACGAGGAGGCTAGTCAGGATGAGAGGTGTAGGGACCTAGATTCGAGGGTAGTGTTCAGGTGGTTGGGGGGGTGATGAGGAGTGGGAGGAGAAGTTGGCGAAGAAGGGGTAGACAGATGTTGTGTGGTAGAATACCCCGCGAAAGTTAGATCTAGTGTCAGGTCTAGAATGGAGAAATATGCGCCCCACATGCGTTCGAGACGGAGAAGTTGTTCAGAGGGGAGTCCCTACATGTATGTCACCTCGACATTCCACAGTGGGTCGCGCAACATCGACTGACCGTATTAGGCAGTTCCGAAAGCGGTAATGTCGTCGATAATCACCTAGCTAGGTTTAGTGTATTACTAGCCGGTATAAATGTATTAGTATTATAGCTAAAGATTACCTATAATTGGATTCTGCTGGGTTTAAAACCCTTTCTCTCTATTTCCTTTATTCCCCTATCTTCTATATATAGTAAGTCTATATTAGAATAGAATATTTAGAGATATCTCTTATAGAGTAGGAAGATAAATCAATTTAAAGAGAATAGAAAGAAAGAGAAAATAGAGAGGTATCCCCTAGGTATCCCTTAGGTATCCTAGTAGATATCTAGTAGGTATCTTATAGATAGTAATATTATATAGGGAAGTTAAGATAAAAAGCGGTAGAAGATACAGACGGTAAGAGGACTGTATGCTAAGAGAAAGAAGTAGAGTCCTATACATTAAATTACTAGGCCTAGATAGGTAATTACTGACATAATGCACCGTGACCCACATGTGAATGTGCAGCTGAGCTAATTCCTGTTCCTGTTCCTGTTCCTGTTCAGGGGTATGCCCTGCCGAAATTACATCACGTCAAAAGCTTGGTGCCTGTAACGTATTGGACAACCGAGCGGGACGGATAACCGAGCGGGACAGCCCAGAATAATAGTAAATGCCATTTTATTCAACCTGTAGGCAGTTTGAAGCATCAGTTCTTCACTCAACCATAAAATACACTGTAATTTAGACTATCTAGCAATAAATATATATATCTCTATAAATACCTGTGGTATTGCTTCTAGGTTATACTAGTGGGCTAGTATTACTATTTTGACTATGTAACTCATATATCTCAATGTAAATACGTATGGTTGTTGAGATAGAGTTGTAACTTATGGCATTTAATATGGTGTTCTGGGGTGTCCCGCTCGGTTGTCCAATACGTTATAATTGTTGCCGACATGATTATGTCAGTCATTATGAGAAACACTCCCCTTCGACAAACCATACATATCACATATTGTGGCCTCTAGCAATTCAGCAAAACCGAATGACGAAAATGAATTGAGACTTCGATTGCATGGTCTAAAGCAGGTATCATGATATACTAAAGACACTCTCAAGCAGACGGCTTCAACCCAACCAAAAACCTCGACAAAAACCCAAAAATATCATTCATCCCGTCCACAGTCGGCTCCGTCACCTTGGCCACATACCCATCCGGCCTCAACAGCACCGCCGCGCCCACATCCTTGCTTATCCCGTACGTCTCGTAACCATGGCCCGTCTCAGCATGCAGACTCGGCGTATCAGCCCAGATCAACCAGTAATTCATGATTCCCCTCTCGTCGCGCGGGCGGAACACGAGCGGGAAATCGTCCCACTCAACCTTGGCCTGGGGGCTGGCGTGGATGAGCAACTTCTGCAGCACTGACTCGGGCACCGTGTTCTCAGGCCTGGCCAGATACTGCCCGATACCGTTCAGCTGCTCCCTCAGCGCGGGCTTCTGCGCGTAGTCGCCGATGAAGACGAGGAGGCGGAACTGCCCCGTCGAGGGGAGCTGCTGGTTGATGAACCAGGGCCGAGCGTCGCACTGCATCACCAGTTTGGCGTCGGGGAAGCGCATGCCGATGTTGAGCTTGGGCGCTAGCGGGGAATGGTACTCCTCCTCCCGCGACTTGTCGGCCGGCTTGTCGATTAGGATGGAGGCGTCGTAGTTGACCGTGCAGCCAGTCGTGAAGGCGGACCCTTGCTCGACGACACTGCGGAATTCCTGCATCGAGATCTCCCCCGGCTTGGAGGAGTAAAGCCGCGAGAGGCGCTGGTCGAAGGCGATGAGGTCGTCGGCTACGGCTTTCCGCTCCGTCTCGTAGGTGTCAAGGATGGAGGGGGAGGCGAGGCCCTTGACTACGTACGCGATCTTCCAGGCGAGATTGAAGGTGTCCATCATGGAGACGTTCATGCCCTGTCCGGCCTTGGGGGAGTGCGTGTGGCAGGCGTCGCCGGCGATGAAGACGCGCTGGGACGGGTCCGAGAAGGACGTCGCCACGCGCTGGCCGATCTGGTAGGCCGTGAACCAGTGCGTCTCGGCCGCTTCGAGGGTGTAGGGCTTGAAGATCTTCTGGGCTGTCTGGAGGATGCGGTCCGCTGTGATTTTGCTGCGATCGACGCGCTTCTTGGCCCCATTAGGAAGGGCGTTGTCGCCTACTGCCTCCTCGTGGTCGACCTCGCGTAGCTGGATGTACAGTCGGACCAGGCCTTTCTCGCGGGGAATCACCATGATGGATCCGTCATTTACAGAGTGGATGGAGACCCGCTTCCGGATGTCCGGGAGGTCCGTTATGGGGAGGATGTCCAGCACTCCCCACACGAAGTCTGTGGTCTCGCCCTTGTGCTCGATGTCCAGCTGCTTGCGAACCCACGAGTGCGCTCCGTCGCAGCCGATGACATACTTGGCCCGCACGACCTCGAGGTCATCCACGTGCGCGCTATCGATGCCGTTCTGTTGGTTCTGGTCGCCGTCGAACTGCCGGTACAGTCCGTTCTCCACCTTGTGGCCGAACTGGTTGGGTTCGGCGTTGTCGTCTGGCAGTTTCCTTAGCACCACCCGCACGGGATACTCTGCGTCGACGCCGTCGTTGATGTCGAGGACCTCGGGAATGACCGGCCGATCGACCTTGATCTCGCCCTTGGAGAACTCGTCGATGGCGTCCGAGATCCACGCCTCGATGCGTCCCTGATGGACGACGGAGCCGTTGAACCGCGAGATTCCTGGTACGCCTTCGGGCTTCACGTCAACCCGTCGGATCCGGCCGTCCTCGCCGGGTTCGTAGTAGGTGGCCTCGAAGCCAGTGGCTACTTCTTTGGCTGCCCGGTCCGCGAAGCCGAATGTCTCAAAGACCTCTAGCACGCGTGGCTTTGTCTCTAGTTAGTCACGGACGTTGTCAAGGTGAGTTGAGTACGGAGGGCATCCTCACCTGCAGTCCGTCTGCTTGACCGGTGAATATCTTGGTTGACCGCTTATCGATGAACTTTGTCTTGATTCCCATGCGGGCGAACCATAACGTGGCCATGTACCCTGCCGGGCCGGCTCCGACGACCAAAACATCGACTTTGCTCTCGTTGATGGAGGGCAGATCTGGGGCGGTCATGATTGCGGAAGCACTCTGTTTATTTTTCTTGGTAATATGACAACGTTCTTGGAACTACGGACCATTGTGAGGCGCCTTGTCAGTCATGGATGATATAGCAACGACAGACTGCAGGTACTGCCATGCTTGGAGATAGATAACCCCCCTGCAGGCTACATACCCGACGAACCTGGGGTAAGGGTGGGTGGTCCTCGTGTGGGGTAACTCCCATGTTCCCGCATTTTTGGCGTCTTATCGGACGTGTTGTAAGTCCGGGATGTACCCCACGAGCACCCGCGTCCTCCTCACGGCCGAAGCAAAGGTGTGCTTGAATTGCTGAGGAGATACCCCATGGGGTTTGTATCTTGTTACGTGGCGGTCGGCTATATCGCCGCTATATTTGACTTGCGGTCCTAATGGATAAGATGAGTGTGAAGCAACTCCACGCGCACTGAAGCCAGAAGACACGGTTGTAATTCAGGAGGATGGTCAGGTCTAGCTAGTCTCAGTAGCATCCCCTAATGCCCCTCCTCCTTCGCCTACCTCTCCGCCTTGATAGCCAGTATAACCTTCTCCGCAATCTTAGTCCCCTCAATGCCCGCCGGCATGCCGCAGTAGATTGCTGCCTGCAGTATCGTCTCCCTGATCTCCACCTCGCTGGCCCCATTGTTCACCGCGCCCCGCACGTGCGCCGCCAGCTCGGGTCCCCTGTTTAGGGCGCACAGCATGGCAATGTTGAGCAGCGAGCGCTGTTTCCTCTCCAGTCCCGGGCGCGACCAGACGGATCCCCAGCAGGCCTCCGTGACTAGCTCCTGCATGGGCCGTGCGAAGTCGGAGGAGCCGCCAGACAGGGCGGTGTCGACGTAGGCTGGGCCGGCTACTTCGTAGCGGATCTTGAGCCCCTTGTCGAAGATGGTTTTGTGGGCGACTGCTTCGTCGTTTGGTGGAGGTGTGGAAGACGCCATTCTGAGTGATGGTAATAATTTTTGGATGGGAAAGTTGGAGAATGTGGTACTTCGATGCAGTTGAAGATGTGACAAGACTGTGTTCTCCTTCCAGTTTGTTTGGAGTGAGTAGTCAATTCCATGGTAGCGTGCAGCCTGCATAAGAAGTTTTGATGAGGATGGGGTAAGGGGTAAGAGAAGTCTGACCCCAATTGCCATGGACTGCAGGTACACAGTACCCCATCATTGAGCCGGGGGCACCATATGGGCTCGCCAGACTCTTCTAGGGTATTTGTACCGTATACGAAATTGTCAGACTGTGCGTGGTAAACACTGTCATAGTCGTGTCCACAGCGCGAAGGGTTGCAAAGACAACAGTAACCATCAACATCAGACACAATGACGCCTTACCAAGTCGATGATGCCGAATTTGACGCATTACGAGGCAAGACAATCTTATTGACGGGATGTTCAACTGGGATTGGAAACGCAACGGCGCTTCTAGCACATAGTGAGTTGAGTTGAGGCGTAATCTGTTCAGCAGTTTGCTAACCCACATCGCAGAGCACGGTGCCAACCTCATCCTGGGTGATTGGGCAGAGAAGGAGGGCCAGTCACTAGCAGCAGGACTCGGCGAGTGAGTGTACATCTCATCTCATTGATGATACTGATATTGGGAGCGGTGCTGACATCTTCAACGAAGACGCGTCTTGTTCCAGAAAACAGATGTGTCATCATGGTCTGACCAGCTGGCTCTCTTCGAAGTCGGCTACAAGAAGTTTGGAGCTCTAGACATTGTTCTAGCAAATGCCGGTGTCCAAGAGATTGGCAACATCCTGGAAGACAAATACGACTCCGAATCCGGGAAGTTACTGCCTCCTGTTCTGCAGACAATAGATGTGAACCTCTTGGGTGTCATCTACACCACAAAGCTGGCTATCCACTATTTCGCCAAGCAGCCAGACACGAAGCAGTTTCAACTCGTCTTGACGGGTTCGGCTGCGTGCTTCCTCGATACGCCTCCTTTATGGACGTACTGCGCGGCCAAGGCCGGTGTGATGGGCCTGATGAGATCGTTGAGGACACAGCTGCCCAAGAGCAACGGGGTGACTGTCAACATGGTGGCTCCGTGGATGACCAGTACGTGAACCACAGAATCCACTGAAACGTCCCAGAACTTGATTTCTAACCATATTGTTGCTAGAAACACCCATGTTGACTGATCAGTTCTTGAGTGTCTGGGGTGAGCTTCCGGCGAATGAGCCTATTGGGGTAGCCAGAGCACTTCTTCTGCCGGCTGTCAGAAAGGATTTGAATGGAAAGTCGCTGTTTGTGGCAGGACATGAGATTGTTGATTTTGAGGAGGGTCTTGAGAGAACTCAACCGCAGTGGATGGGGGAGCAATTGAGTAAGCATGTGGTTGAAGGTCAACGGCGGCTGATACCATGAGCGCACCTAACTTTAGATTGACTTGTAGACTCTCTGGATATCAAAGTCCGTGGATCTCCGATATCATATGTGCTGTGCTTGCCAATGTGGCCATCAGTGCTAGGTGCGTGCAGATTTTCAGCTCGCCTGCTGGCTCGAGCTGTTAAGTCCAGTGCTTGTTCTCAAGAGAAATACCATTGCCAATAACCCACCAGATTGCCAAGGCTTTCAGCTCGAGCAATGATGTTTTGGTCAATTCCCACAACTGAGTAGGGCCACTCCGAGCTAGATATCACAATGAGATTTAGGACTTGCCAGCGGAGCCCCCGTCACCGCAAACCCCATGAGGAACTTAAACGCTCGTGGTTACAGATATCAGCCAAGACTAGACAGACTGCTCGTAGAAGTCGGAGTGGATGAGACGTGTGGACATGGCATATGCGGGGCAACGCTAGTAGCATGCTCTAGCCTCTCACAGTTAGTCGCTCACTCTAGCTCGTCCGGATTCGACAACTTCCCCAGACGACAAACCCCACACAACGCACCCCACACGCTAGACCACGCTAGACAGTATAGGAATGGCCTTGTGACTGACTTTGCCAGGTCGCTGGGAGCGCCCTTTATCTCGAGACGGATTGGTTTGGCACGACAGAATCTCTACCTGCCGAGCATGTAGCATGCGGACATCTTGATCTATAAACACCACGGCAACCCTCCGCCTCGATCCCTTGGAAACCAGTGGGAGTGAGCACAGAGGATTGTTCACCACTGTCTTCTTTTCGTCTATCTTGCCCCATCATCAACATGCCCTTCGGTATCCTCGAGGACAAGTCAGGCCTCAGCCATGTCCCTGGGACTGCGCTGCTTGAGCAGGAGGAGTCTAGCGATGGAGGCATCCATTATCTGGAGCATCTGAAGAAGGTCCACCGCAAAGGTGAGGCCATCATCTTGGTGCCTCAGCCTTCGGATGATTTGAATGACCCCCTGAACTGGTCCCGATGGACTCGGGATCTGGTCTTCTTGTTCTACGCCTACTGTGCTATTCTCTGCATTGGCGGGTGAGTTGCCTTGATAGCACGCGTGAAGTTTATCAGCTAACGGTCTTTCCCAGCATTGGCCCTGTTTTGTCTTCCCTGGCTCTGGACCTCATCAAAGAATTCAACATCACCTTCACCGACGTCTCGCTCCTCACCGGTTACAGCCTCTGCGCCACCGGTGCCTCGGGTCTCTTCATCTCTGCCGTTAGCCACAAGTACGGCAAGCGAATCCCGCTCATCTTCTCCATGTCCTGCGCCTTTGCCGGCACCCTACGGGAGGCTTCGCCCACTCTCACAAGTCTCTCCTAGGCGCCCGCATTCTCCAGGGATTCTCGGTATCCATGTTCGAGTCCGTTTTCTTTGCCCAGGTCGGAGATCTCTACTTCGTTCACGAGCGAGGTGTCCGCGTCGGCATTGTGACGACGTGCATTGCTGGTCTGTCCAACCTCCCGCCCATGCTCGCCGGAAAGATTGCCATGGAACTGGGATGGCGCTGGGTCTTCCATCTGCTGTCCATCTTCCTCGGTATTGGCCTGCTTGGGGCCGTCTTGTTTGGCTGGGAGACTGCGTACAACCGTAGCGCGGTATACAACACCGATGTGGCTTCTGAAGACGTGAGTGATTCTAAATCCCCTAAGACGACTTCTGTGGACTAACGATATCTCCCCTAGATCTTGGATACTCTGGAAGCTAAGCGCGCCGCAACATATCACGTCGAACGCAGCGATGAGAACGCGACAAGACTCGAGAAAAGCCAGACGCAGACCACCACGGCAAGCGCCGCCGTTCCCAAGAAGTCCTTCGTCGCCATGATGCACCCATTCTCGGCAACCTACACCGACAAACCATTATGGCAACTCGTCCTCGGCCCCCTCTTTGTTCTCTACAACCCGGCCGTGATCTGGGCCATCGCCCTCATGGCCTTCCCAACCCTCTGGATCGTCGCTATCAACCTTCTCATCTCCCAGATCTTCTCCGCCCCGCCCTTCCTCCTCACCACAGCACAACTGGGCTATATGTCCGCCGGCGTGGTCGTGGGCGGTACGCTCGGTTCTCTCGCTGCGGGCGCCATTTCGGATCCCATCATCAAGTACCTCTCTCGGAGGAATAGCGGTGTCTACGAGCCGGAGTTCCGCCTGTTTCTCATTATTCCGTGCTTCATCCTGTCGGCGATTGCTTACTTCCTCTTTGGCACTCTGATCGAGCAGGGAAAGAGTCCCGTTGCCATGGCTGCGCTCTGGGGACTTGCGGGCGCCGGTATCCAGTTTGGCATGCAGGCCGTGGGCACGTACTGCGTCGATGCCTACCGCACCAGCAGTGTGGAGATATTCATCTCTACCATGGTCATTAAGAACTTCCTCTTCTTTGGATTCTCATGTAAGTTTAACATTGCACCCCTTTCTCCATGGCTGAGATCAGCTACTAACAATGTTGTCTAGACTTTTTGAACGACTGGGTCGCCGAGTGGGGAGCAAAACGCATGTTCTACTGCATCGCTGGCATCCAGATGGGACTGTGTCTGACCACCATTCCTCTGTATATCTTTGGTAAGAGAATCCGGGCCTGGTGGCATAAGCCATCCGCTGGCCGACCCTAGATGTTGGCAGTTGGGGTAAGAATTTGGGATAAGGTAATTAGTAAGGTATCTGGAATAGCTGGATACATATGACAGGAATCGAACCTAGTTTGATCATCGCATCCAAAATTCCACCTGTGATTCTCACATACACGTTCTGTTTTGCATGAAGACATGATGAAGCGTCGCTGCGTCAGAGCCTGGCCCCTTGAGCTGACTTCAAAGTGTTGCTGTGGTAAAATCGTGAAGGGCAACTCGGCTGCACGTACTGTACGTATCTTTGCTTCGACATTGACATACTCACCACGCGGCCAGGAGACTGTAGAGGACGAAATAAAATCGACTAAACCTATAGACTACGACGCGCTACAGGACTAGAGCTGGATCTGTGTATTACAAATTCAAGTTGAGACAAAAAGAAGCATTCAGGTACTACTAGTGTCCGGTAAGGCGAGGTCGTGTCCCTCGGCAGTGTACCCCATACCATGGATAGTACCCCACACGCTAACCACAGCCCTGGGTCGGTCACTCCGCATTGTTACCCCACTTTTGCCCTAGATCCAACATGGAACAAGAAAGACGTACCTTTTCGACCCCACATTGTTGAACGACCCTCGCGGACGTCGAAGAAGTACCTATGCTGGGATGGGGGTTGCAAGGGTGGAATACAAGTTGTATGTATGCTTAACACTGAAAGTGCTGTGAAACACTTGAGAAGATTCACGCCCGGGACACGGAAGTCACATGCCGAGGACCTCATTATGGCGCTCCAAGCAGAAGTCACGGACGAAGAATTGTCCACGTTGAAGGGGAAGACGATCATCATCACCGGGGGTGCGAGTGGTATTGGAAGGGCGGCGGTGAATCTTGCTCATAGTTCGTGAACCTCCTGTGTTTTGAAGTAGAACGGTTTACCGACACAGCACACAGCCGCCGGAGCCAACGTCACCGTCGCGGACATAAGCGAAGATGCCGGAGCAGCACTCGTCGATGAGCTCAAAGAGTAAGTAGCCCCTGTTCATACATTTCACTCCACAAGCTGGTCACTAACTCATCCAGACGCATCCACTTCATTAAAACAGACGTATCCTCCTGGCCTGACGTCCTCAACCTCTTCACCAAGACATACGACCACTTCGGCGCCATCGACGTCGTGCTCTCCAACGCCGGCACCAATATCGGCGAGACCCTGCTAGACGACGAACTCGACGAGAACGGGCACCTCGCCGCGCCCAGCCTCAAGAACCTAGAGGTCAACCTCCACGGATCCGTGTACTGCGCCCGAGCCGCCGTGCACTTCTTCAAGAAGCAGCCCGAGAAGAAATGTCAATTGGTATTTACGGCTTCGGCAGCAGCTATCGTCGACACCCCTCCCTTATTCCTCTACTGCGCCGGTAAAGCCGGGGTGGTAGGGTTAATGAGAGGGATGAGACAGGGGATGCGGTCGGATAAGATTACTGTCAACGTGGTGGCGCCGTGGATGACGGTCAGCCCGATGTTGCCGGATTGGATTCGCGAGAAATGGGGAGATCTGCCGGCTAATACTCCCGAGGGAGTGGCTAAGGCGCTTTTGCTGCCGGCGGTGAGAACAGAGGTGCATGGTAAGACGCTTTGGGTGGGTGGGAATGATGTCGTGGAGATTGAGGATAGTTTGTATGAGACAAGACCAAAGTGGTTGGGGAGCGAGATGTCGAGGTGTCTTGATCAGGGACAGAAGGCTATGGGGATAGGGGCTTGAGGACATAGTACTAGTATACCAGGCCTTGTCAAAGTTTGGTCTATTGAACTGATGTCACATAAACAAACAAAACTGTACTCTTGTTATAAACAACCAGGCCAGATCCTCGCCTTGTTCTCCTCCAACCAGCCCTTATCATGAGCACCAATCATCTCCACATTTCCCATCCTCCCAAGCTCCCTCAGTTGTCCCAGCGCCTTTCTCGCAGCATCCGGATCCTGGTGGATACAACACACTGCACCCCCCCTCCCTGTCCAAAACGCAATACTCCTCTCGCCCGTCAACAGTCTTCGGTCATGATACGCGTCGCCACAAAGACACACCCATCTCTCCGCCGACAAGCGACACAGCAGGTTGATGTGTCCGGGCAGATGGCCCGGGGAATTGAGCACGAAGATCGACCCATCACCGAAGATATCAATCGAGTCGAATGGACCGAGGGATTCCCACTGATACTCGGCTGTGGATTCACCGATGGGAGGTAACTCTAGAGTCCGAACAGACGGCAAGAGGTCCGCAGAGAAATGCTGATGACTCGCTCCACTACCGCCAAGACCATGGTCTCAGGAGTTTTGTCGTCCCAGGTCCGACGATGAACTGCGCCCCAGGAAAATGCGACGGATCGCCGTGGTGGTCGTAGTGCACGTGGCTTAGGATTATGGTATCTATATCGGCGGGGTCGATGCCGCCGGATCGCAGGAGTGAGGCGACGCCTGGACCAAGGGTGTAGGGTTTTCTGTTCAGGAGGTGGTGTTGCTGGGGTTCTGAGTAGGAGGTTAGAGAGGACCGGAGACCGAGGTCGAATAAGACTCGTCGGGGGGGAGAGTTAGTGGAGCCCGGGTGGGTGATGAGGAAGGATAGAGAGGGGACGGTGTGCCGGGCGGTCTTGTCGGCCGGGTGGACGAAGTATTGTTCTGGGAGGGTGATTTGGCCGCCTGGGATGGGGGAGATGGTGACGAATAGCTGGTTGAGTTTGGGAGTTGGAAGCATCATGTGTTCAATGACTTGGAAATTCGTATGACGGTGCAGGGGGGAAGAAAGAGTGCTTTCGAGGCAATCTGCACTTGGAATTCACCGCGTATCAGTGAGTGTGAGACGCCATGATCACGGATCTTAAATGCAACTGTGCCTGGGTTTATAGGACAAGTCAAGAGCGTGGGGTACGTGTGGGGTTTCTGATCTCCAAACACCGGGCATATGAAGCTCAAGGGCATGGGAAGAGGGGAAATATGCAAATTGTACATTTTAGGCACCGAATGAGTTTTAAGGTACACTCCATTCCCAAGCCCTGACAGCTAAGTAATTTTAGTATTGCGTCTTAACAGCCTCCGCACAGTCCCTCCGTATCAACTCAGCATGAGCTGCGCTTCTGGGAACTACCTTTACATGGAACGGCGCCGAATTCTTCGTAAGCTGAGGAATGCTCATCGTGTCGATGGGCTCCCCAGGAACTGCCTCGAAATCGAAGCAGTAGAGAAGGCGGGCTATTGCGATCCACACATTCATCTCTCCCACCTTCCATCCAACGCACACCCGGCGACCTAGTGATAGCTGTTAGAGAACCACGTCTGAAGCTAGCGGCAACTGAATGCTTACCCGGTCCAAATGCCCAGTGGCCCTTGAGAGCATTCTCCTCATCACCGTTGAGGAACCTCTCTGGCCAAAAACGTTCTGGCTCCGGGTACTCCTTAGGATCGAGCGCAATCGCCCACGCATTCCACGTGAACACGGTCCCAGCAGGGAAGCGATACCCCTCGTACTCGTCATCCTTGATCAACATGGTCGGGGCGCCAATCTCGGCAATGTTGGGCCGCCACCGGAAGCCTTCTTTTACCACGGCAGAGATGTAATGCAGCCTAGGCCGATCCGAAAACTCTGGCAGCCTCTCGGCATTCTGTCCACATACTGCGTCTAGATGCTCCCGAGCACGAGCTACCCAGTCCGGGGAAGTCACGGCACCCGCAATGATCTGACCAAGCGTCACTCTCGTGGTGTCGCTTCCGGCCTCCATGAGCGTGCCGAACAGGAACAGCCTCTGGACCTCGGTCATGCTCTTGGCCTCCGGCGTCTCCAGGAAGTCAGTAGCGAAACATCGGCGCTGGGTGCCGTTCTCGATTCTCTCTTCCAACCGCTTCACTTCGCGGCGGTATACGCTGTTTCAAACGTTAGCTAGCGCACAATGGCTGAGGGATTGAGACAACACGTACTCTCTTGTCTGCTCAAAGATTCTGTTTCCCCGTGGACGCCACCACTGCAAGAACTTGGGCAGCTTGTCCAAGAAAAGGAACGCATCGACAATATTCACTCCAGGCTGCTGGTTCTCCAAGAACAACTCCATAGTCTCCAGTAGCTCCACTACGTCAGGGTCATCCAGCATGGACCGCCGCCCGAATACAACACTCATAATAACCGAGTTCGAGTACCGCGCGTTAGCCGACCACCACCTATCTGGCTTCTCGAGGTAATCCCAGCACAAGTTCCTGCTCTCGAGCTCCTGAAACGGAAGGAAGACGTCCAGCGCCCTAGCACTTAAGATCTGGTGCATGATCCTGCGCGTCATGCGCCACTGCTCGTTGTACGGCATGAGCACGATGCGCGAGTCGCCGGAGATAATACCCTGCGTCATGGGGAAGGGCGGTCGGGAGTTGTAGATGGCCGCGCGGCGCTCGAGAAGGTCCGTGACGACCCGTGAGGAGTTGAGGAAGACCCATGTGGTGCCGCCAAACTTGCAGGTGAACATCTCGCCGTACTTTTCGGCCAGCTTCTTGGCCCATGGTCCTTGTTGAAGGGGGGGGAATCTGGAATGTGTTGCCAAAGAGCGGGATGCCGGGCACTTCGACGGGCATCTTGTATTTCCGCTTGTACTGCACTCTGCGGAATAGCCATGTTCCGAAGAGGGCTATGACAAGTGTTGTGACAGCGAGGACGAGTTGCTGGTGGGCCATCTTGCCGGGCTTGACGGCCGTGTCTGTGCCGTTGTGGCTGTACATTTTGGCCGGTGCGATCGATGTCTGAAGAGCAAAGACCTGTTCCTTCTAAACATCCAAGACCTGTCTGGATCTAATAGGCCGCGACTCAAATGGTTCGCGCTATGCGTCGTGGAACATGACACTGTGGGGTTGAAGTCAGTGCCGTGTGGGGTAATGCATGGTCGCCGTCGAGAGGCTGGAGACGGCATCAGTTACCCCACGGAGGGAGGAGGTCGAAAGCTTGGAGGATAACGTTTCCAAATGGATCAGATAATGCGGACCATAGAGAAGGTTTGAGAAGTCTAGAATGTACAACCCCTCCACATCTCCAACGCTCCGAAAATAATGCGATAGGAAGTGGACTGATTGTGGTCAAGAAAACGGGATGACCGGGTGTTGATAGAGGAGGCGACGATGAACAGGAGTAGAGAAGAAAAGTGTGGGGTTGCCGAATAAGGCAAGTATCGAAGTACCACTTACACAGCCTGGAACTTGTCCAGCTGGTTGGGGTACGACTCGGCATGAGAGCATAGTAGGCCCCAGTAGCTTAGAAGAAGGCATCTTCCTCTTGACCTCTTTCAGAAAGTCATCAGGATTCAGAAGCGATTCTTACGCGTAATTGTGCCCGGCTGAGAACCATTTGCGTGTGCAACCTGAGACACCGCAACCATGAAGTCGCCAGAGCCTCTCGACATGGCCCAGTTCACGGCCCTCGCGACCTCCCTTTCCCATAGCGCCAATAACAAGCACATGAAGTACGGACTTGCACTAGCCGTTGTGCTTGTTGGGCTGTATCTGTATCTGGTCCCCAACTCCATTACCGTGAGTATACGTTCCGAGTGCACAAAGAGTCATGTAACTCGTGTTCACCGCTAACTTGTGGACGTGCAGGATCCCCGGAGGAGTAAACTCCCCCCCTGGACCCCGAGGCTGGCCCTTTATCGGCAACTTCTACGATCTGGCCGACGGAGAACAAGTTCGCGTCAAAGTGCGGGAATGGCATCGCAAATATGGCGACGTCTTCTACACCAAGATCGGCGCCACAGACTACATCTGGCTTTCCTCGCCCAAGGCAGTCAAAGACTTGATGGACAAAAAGTCGGGGATCTACTCCTCCAGGCCGCATCTGCCTCTTGCCCAAGACGTCGCCAGCGGCAAGTCGCGCCAGCTTTTCATGCCCTACGGCCCAGCATGGAGAAACCTCCGCAAGCACAGCCATGCCCTGCTCAATCTCGGCGCCGCCACCAAGTACAAGCCCGTGCAGGACTTCGAGTCAAAGGTCGTGCTGCAGAATCTCCTCGACCAGCCCGACAATTTCTACACCATCAACCGGCGCTACTCCACCTCAGTCATCATGCTCGTCGCCTACGGTATCCGCGTCCCCACCTTCAAAGACCCCATCATCACCAAGATCTTCAGCGTCATGGAGAACCTCTCCGTCATCATGGCGCCGGGCGCTTTCCTCGTCGAGACCTTCCCCGCCCTTGCCAAGCTGCCGGAGTTCCTTGTCGGAAACTGGTACACCTGGGGCAAGCGGACCTTCAAGCACGACAGCAAGATCTACCTCGACCTCTGGGAGAACCTTAAAGAAGACCACGGACGAAGGCAAAGCGCGCGACTGCTTCTGCAAAGACTTCTACCTCGGCAAACCCGAGAAGAACGGCATCGACAACCTGCTGGCCGCCTACACGTGCGGCGGTCTGATCGAGGCCGGCTCCGAGACGACGGCCACGACAATCAACAACTGGATCCTCGGCATGCTCTTCTACCCGGATGAGCTGAAGAAAGCCCAGGAAGAGATCGATCGTGTTGTCGGTCCGGATCGTCTGCCGCAGTGGGACGACGAGAAGGCCCTCCCTTATCTGCGCGCTATGATCAAGGAGACGCTGAGGTGGCGGCCCGTCAACAAGTACGGCATGTATCACTCCTCAACCGAAGATGACTGGTACGAGGGCCACTTCATCCCCAAGGACTCGGTCGTCGTGCTCAACTGGTGGGCTATCCACAACGACCCGAGTCGCTACCCGGAACCCGACGTCTTTCGCCCGTCGCGGTATCTGGGCAAGGATCTGTCGGCTGCAGAGTACATTGGTATCAATGACCCTTATGAGCGAGATCACTTTGCCTATGGTGCAGGACGGTTAGTTTGAACTGGCCCCCTTTTTCCTACCCTCAGTTCATCTCACTGACTATGTGCATAACAGACGAGTCTGCCCCGGCGTTCACGTGGCAGAGAAGTCCCTCTTCATCGTCATCTCCCGCATCGTCTGGGGCTTCAACATCGGCAAGAAGATTGGCCATGACGGGAGGCCTATCGAGCCTACTACTGTGATGATGCCCGGGTTCCTGAGCATTCCTACGCCGTTCGAGTGCGACATTACGCCTCGCTCGCCTGAGCGGGCCAAGCTGATTCGGGAGGCGTATGCGCAGTCGCAGGCTGAGGGGTTGCGCTATAGGGAGTAAGTTGGTTTCCATGTCGGGTAGAACAGTGTTAGACTGAAAAATCGATTGTGTCTTCAAAATCTTAGCTACTGGTAGTTGCAATCGCTAAAAGCGCTCGTACCTGAAGGAATGGGATCACAGATGTTGCAGACTTGTGCGGCACTTTAAGTCTGCACGTCCTATCCGACAAGATGGAATAGAAACAGACGCGCACGAAAGCTTTAGGAAGCCCTACATTGTAAAAGTATGTGTTTGAGCAGGGGTAAATCAACTATACGGCTCGAAACAAAACAAGTTTCAACTACCACTCCCCTTCAAATCCACCCTACCCATGTCTACTGCTTATAGTGCCTAGTGAAATCATACTGCAACTCATAGATCCCACTCATCATCTTCCTGGCAAACTCCTCGTCCTTCTCGGCCTTGAGGCACAGCGTCAGAAACTCGTCCTTTCCCGGTTCCAGCACCGTCTCCGGGTCGCTGATCATGCGCCGCAGGTTCTCGCTCGAGATGGGGTCGACCATGGTGCTGTACTTCTCCCGCCGCACTTTATCATAAACGTCCAGGATCTCGTCGGCCTCGGTCTTCCCAGCCCAGATGCCGTACAGGCAGTCGGCTAGACCGCCAACGTCGACGATGCCTCCTGTTAGGCCGAGACCGCCACTGCAAACAACTCTGTCAGTTCATCAACCCTTCAGTATAAAGATTGGGTAGAGAGGAAACTTACAAAGGATTACACAAATGCGCCGCATCAGCAGCGAGCAAAAACCTCCCCTCTCTCATCTTGACCGCGAGTCTCTGATGCACCTTATACGGGCTAAAGTTCGTGAGCTCATACTCCCCAGGCTTCGGGTTACCGGGCAACATCCTCTCGAACTTCATGGCCTGTCTCTCCTTCAGTTCATCGTGCGTCAACCCGCCCCGCTCGCCATATGAAACCCGCCACATGCCGTCCTTGGTGATCTTGGACGCCATGTGCCAGTGCTCTTTGTCAATGATAAAGTTCGCGTCTTCGTACCCGTGCGCCTCAAAACCCGGGTAGTACACGTTCGTCGCGACAATCTGCTCGTCCCATGTGCGGCCAGGAAAAGTCCAGTCGCCGTGCAGCGCTCGACGGATCTGGGAGTTGGCCCCGTCGCAGCCGATGATGTATGTACCCTCTACTCTTTTTTCACCTTCTGGAGTGGTAACATCTACCCAAGCCTTCCCCTTGTCCTGCCCTAGCCCCGTGACTTTGTGATTCCACTTCACTTCTGCCGCCGGCTGTTTGGCGAGATGTCTCGCCAGGATCCGACCAAGCTGGTCGAGAGGCAGACAGGCAACACGGTCCGGGTCGTCACCGAGAATTGAGTTGTCCAGGCCGGTGAGATAGGTGCCGTCCAGCTTGCGCCAGCAGATCTTCTTGGGAAGGAAGCCCTCCGCGAGAACATCGTCCATGACGCCCGCGCGGCGCAGCTCGTAGACTGCGGGGGGTCCATAGTGGGTTGCTCGAGGCCGGTGGTCGGGCCCAGAGGCTGCGTCGAGGAGGGTGACGGGTATGCCGGGCTTGGAGAGGAGGAGGGCCAGAAGGAGGCCTGCGGGCCCGGCGCCGACGACGATGATCTTCATAGCAGAATGTTAGGGCTGGCAGTGGTTTGCGGAGGGGCTGGGAAGAACATACCTTGAAGTCTTTCTGTGCTACTGTCATGTTTGCTTCACAGGTAGTTCTCGTGGTTGTGAGACGGGAGTGGTTGATACAGATCTGGCAGCGAACACGGGAACAGTGTATTGCTGCTCACTCTCTCTTCTCGCCTCAACTTAGCTTATACCGATGATACAACATTTAGAACCCTTATGGTCTATTTCTGGGGGTATTTGGAGACCTGGAGGGGTTGTGTGGGGAGCCATGGGCGTGGTGGGGTCTGGGGAACTTACCCCATGGGGGCGCTATCTGGGGTACGCCTTGGCCCTAGTCGGACCGGCAAGACCAGCAATGGTCTGATGGGTCAGGGTTGCAGAGTTTAGATACCCGCAGGACATTTGGGGCTTTGTTCGAAAGACCGTGGCTGTCAACTTCCCTCGAGCCATGCGAATGTAGACTGGTGCATGTGGTTGACGCAAACTGTGAGGGTTGCATCTCGACCTGTTCGGTGCGATGCTCCGTGGTTGTCACAGAGACTTGTCCCGGAGCAAGAAATAACAATGAAATCACATATAGCCTTGACGAACATAGTCTTGAGCTCATGTAGGCGTAAACCGATAACGACCGGCTCAGGCGTGTAAATGACGCACTTTCTTAAAACGCCTAGCTCCATCGCTTGCATAGAACTGTCAAAGAGGCTGTAGACTCTGTTTGAGCCTCTTCCTACCAGTCAAGGTGAATCCAGGGGCAGGAGGTACATCAGCCGCATCCCGACCCCCCGAAGACCGGAGTTGACCTCCCTGGATATCCGTAGGTGTATCTGAATGCGAGAGCGTTGCAAAAGCCTCGGCATAACTGCCATATAAGTCGTGTCGAGTAATTGTTGCGCTCTTCGAATATTTATCCGCTTCCGTCCCCAGAACCGATGCCGTCACAGCTGTGGAGGTAGTCCCATATATCAGACTAGAAAATCGACGTTAACGGGCGCCGGGTGCGCAGTTGGGCACTGCGTGCCCTTGCTATTACGTAGCGCTATGTGCTACTGTTAATATACAATTCTTATTCGCTTTGTTATAGTATTAGGAAGATGGAAGATGAATGATGAGAGATATGATAGACGATTGATTCTGGAGATAAAGCTATGGATCTAGATATCATGGAGGCTGAGGCAAGGATGCGGTGAAGTGGGGCAGTATCCCAATTCAATGCGAACACCCGAGCGGGCTCCATGATAGATAAGAAGCTTCCTGAGGCTATTTGCAATAGCAATGCGCCTCTTCCATTAGTCGAATCAGAATGTGGTTAGAATATTAATGTTGAAGCGTGTGTGAGTATTAAGTGGGAACAGCTCGATAGCTGTCTGGCGGTAGACCTCATAAAAAATATTTTGAGGGCCGGCATCTCCCGCCCTCCGCCCGACCCTCGCGGGCGGAGGGCGGGTCCTTACCTGCCCTCACCCGGCCCTTAGCCCTTATAAGAGCCGCCCTTAACCGCCCTTATCCGCCCTTATTTATATAAAAAAAGTTGACTATTCCTAATTTAGATATATAATCCTACTAATTTATTCTTTTAAATTACTATTATTTACCTTTATTTTGGTTTAAACGCTTATAGTTATCGCACTTTTACCCCTTTATAATATAATTATAAGAAATAGATTTTATTGGAATATAGACCAATGCTACATAGAAAGATCTATCCTTATATTCAACATATAAGGTCAAAAAGCCAAAACCCTAAACCCTAACAAAATACCGATTATATATCCTGACACCCAAAGACTGAAAAACATTGATCACGTGACCAGACTTTTCCTTTACTAAAATAAGTTTCGGACCACTTTGGCCCGCGGACCATTTTGGCCCGCGGCCGACTGGGCAATAGCCCCTCGCCACCCCTAAAAGATAGGCGGGACCATTTTCCTTTAAGGGGTAAAATGGTCCGCCTCTAGGTATGAATAGTCCGTTTCTTTCGGGGACCTTCCCCTCTTTTGCCACCTCCTTTGCTACCTTAATTATCTTGCTGCCTAGTGATCGTATGATATCGTATGATATTTATATATATTATATGACATTATTTCTAGGCTATTCTAGCCTATAAATACGTCCTTCTTACCTTGCAGAAAGAACTAAGGTCACTTCCACTTTCCTAAGGTCACTTCTGTGATAACAGGGCCGTCTTGTTAGGGGGAAACGGTCACGTTACCCAACTTTTCTGCCGTGCGGACCCGCATTGGTCCGCACGGCTACCATATATCTACTCCTTCGTACACTTACTGAATGGAACACACTTTCCCACCTCCAGAATCTCACTTCCACTTTCCTGAAGTCTCTTCTACTTTCCTTCTTCTATCCTTCTTCCTTTGATCCTAAGGATTGTGGTTCTGCCTTCGTTTAGGCTATATCTGCTTATAGCCTATCCTAAGACCTTTGACCTTCCACCTTTGTCTGGCACCGACTGACCCAGCCGGACTAAGGTTGATCCCACGGACTTAAGGGGTCACGATCTGCTTCGTGGTAGCTTTACCCTTATAGCCCGACACTAAGTCATAAACTTCTTACTTATTTTATCTTTATATATGTGGGAGATCCAGTGGGAGATCTGTGGGAGATCCAGTGGGAGATCTAATGGGAGATCAAGTCTTTTATCCTTCGATGAATAAAAGAATATTTCCTTAATAGGAAACCTCAGGGTATGATATGATGATTGAAGAAGAATTATATTTTTCTTGTAGGGAATTGCGGACATATTTATATCCAATCAACAATATTCTAGGCCTATATTAGACTTGCATTGTTTTAAGTCTAGGCCTGTCTTGCTTTGAAATCAATTATAGTCTAGGCATCATTTTTAGTCTAGACCTATTGTCAAGGCATCATTAATAGTCTAGACCTATTGTCAAGGCATCATTAATAGTCTAGACCTATTGTCAAGGCATCATTAATAGTCTAGACCTATGTCAAGGTATCATCAATAGTCTAGACCTATTGTCAAGGTATCATTAATAGTCTATCCATAGAACACCGTTTAATAGACCTATTATAATTAGGTGGCTTTTCGTATTTACCTGACCAATTTTAAAGATCATAGTCTTCTTGGATGGCTAAAGGTAATACTGACAGTCCTTGATATGCTGACAAAGGTAATGCTGACAGTCCTTGAATATGCTGACAATATAATAGGAATTAGTTTACTAAGTTAGGTTTAATTTATATAAGGCTCTTAGGCGCTAAAGGTACTCTCTATAGAGTATTAAGTATTATATTAAAGGTAAGCTAACTTAATGAAAATAGGCTTATAAATAGGCTATTATCTAAGATAAGATATTATAACTTACTTATTCTAACCCCCTTAATTACTAAGAATAGATATATATTAGAGATTTGGGATATAATAAATATATATATTATAGAGAGATAGAATAAGAGGACTTATAGAGATTTTAGATAAAAAAAAGGCTATTATATAAGGGGAATCTATTTATCTTAATTATATAAAGATATAAATTAATATATTATTTTATAGACCTTTACTTAGCTAAAATTCTCTTATCTAATTAGGTCACGGAGAGAGTAACCTTAAAGACCCTTAGGGTAATCCTTAAGACGCTTAGGGTAACCCTTAGAGTTATTCTTTAGACCCTCTAATTATATAATCTTAAGTTTTATAATAAAAAATATCTAAGTCTAATAATCTAAATCTTTAAACTTATTTTATATAATAATTAGAAAACCTATAAGAAATCTAAATTAATAATTATTTAAATAAGTCTTTATTAATTTTATAACTAAAAAAAGCTTTTAATTTAGTATATTTTTAGTATTAAAAGAATATAATACTCTCACTTTACCTTTAATATATATTTTTTTATAAAACTCTTAACTTTTTATAACCCCCTTAAAAATTAGCTACTTACTATATAATTTAAGTTAAATTTTAGAATATTAAGATAATAATATATAAATTATCTATTTATAATCTAATTTCTTTAAATCTTATAAATATTAATATATAATTAAGGAAAAATCGAAATAGATATTAGAATAACTATAAATAATAATATTTTTATAAGCTAAATTATTAATTTTATATATCTAAAATAAGAAAGATATAAAGAAATTATATATTTAAGGGTCTAACAGACCCTCAGTAGGTAAGCCTTAAGGGACCCTTAGAGGGTTAGGGTTAGGGTTAGGATTAGTAAGATTAGACCCTAACTCTCGGAGGTACGGGTAGAGGTTCCTAATCTTAGACCCGCGGGGCGGGGTGAGTCCTAGAGCTACTTATTACTCTTTAATAAATTTTATATTTATATATTATAGCTATCTTTAGCGACAGTTATATTTTATTATTATTATATCTATAAGTACCTTCTCTTAGTTAGTAAGATATTATTTTAGGTTAGCTTTAAATTGATATTTAAGATTAAGAATTTATTTTTAATATTAAGAATCTATTTTTAATATTTCTATGAATTAAAGTTTTTAAAAAAGAAAGGGATATCTTTAATCTTAATACCCCTTTTATTATTATTTATAATTAATTTATCTTTATTATATAGCTAAGTCCTTATTAAAATAGATATAGTTTAGTCCCCTTTAAGCTCCTAATTTTATTTAAGAAGATTTATTTTTTTATTAAGATATTTAATTTAGTCTTTCATAATTTAATTATTATTTCGGAGTTCCTTATAAGTTACTGAAATGGGAACGGCTCGATGGCTGTCTAGCGATGCAGACTGGACAACACACACACACACACTGCCTGTCTGGTATAGAGGATGCTGGATGAGGCCGTACTGATGCCCTGTTGCGGCCGTGCGGGATAATCTTAATACTGTATTATGGATAGAAGAAATTGGGTGAATCCTAAATGAATTAGGTAGATAACTTATCTCTCTCTAAGTGTGTCTAGAGATATACTATGCACTACAGATATTAAATTATGCCTGAGGCTATATATAGGCTTATTATGTCACTAGTTCTCC